ATCAATATAGAGATCTATCAATATTAATAAAAGAACTAAAAAAAGATTCTAAGAACTAAAATAATAATCTTAGAATTAAATTAAAACATCTTAGAAATAAAAAAAGAGATTTTAAGAATTCTAAAAGAATTCTTTAAGATAGAATACAAGATTATAAAAACTTAAAATAAATTTATAAAAATATAAAAAATAAAAAACCATACTATTATATATCCTTTAAAATAATATACTAAAAAGAATCATTTTAAATATAATAATAATATATTAATATATATAAAAGATATTAAGAATAGATATTTAGAGAATACTTAGTTTATAATAAAAATAATCTTAAATTAGCTAAGAAAATAGAATAGCTATCTTATTTAAAAGGAATAAATCTATATAATAAAATATTAGAATATATATATAACTGCGTTTATCATTATTATTCTAAGTTAAATAGATTTAATTATCTAGAAATATATTAAATGCTATACTTTAATAAAATATACATATATCACTAGATAAATAAAAACTTATATAGATAGTTTTTTATATTATTAAAAGTCCTTTATTAACCAATATTTAAATATTTTAAAGGATATAAAATTGTTAATATATATATAAAAAGATGAAATATCTAAATCATAATTATCTTAAAAGTATAGAATATAGAATAAACAACTGTTATATATATAAAGAAAAAATAAAAGTGACTAAAAAAGAATAAATATAGTTTTAAAAAATATAAAAAAGATATTATCTATAATATATAAAGAAAGTTACTATTATAATAGCTATTAATAATGAATCAGTAGAATATATACTCATTATATAAGCTATAATTTATAAAAAGTTAATAAAAATGCTTATTAACTCTAAAATATTAATAAATTTCATTAGTGAAGAATTTATTAAAAAATATAAGATACTAATAAAGTAAATATAATGATAATAGATAATTATTATCATAGACAGAACTATCTTTAATAAAGAATATCTATAGATAGTTAAAAATATAATTCTAAAATTAGAAAAGTACATTATAAATACAATATTTAGAATCTCATCTTTAAATCACAGTCATTATAATATAATTCTTAAAATAACCTAATTATAAAGATAGAATCTAATTATTAATTAAAAAAAATAAATATTAAAGATTAATAATATAATATTATAAATAGATAAAAATAAGAAAAAATAACTTAAGATAAATATTATTAAAATTAATAAAATAAAATAGAAAATAGCATAGACTTAATTAAAGCCAAAGAAAGTATACAAAAAGAAACTTATAGAGATACTTAAGAAGCTATTAAAAAAATATTATAACTATATCAAGTTATTTATGAAAAAAGAATATCAATTACTAATATATCTATCTAAATATAAAATAATAATAGACCTAAAATTAAAATCAATATTAAAACAAATCAAATAGAGACAGAAATTGATATAGAAACTTAAAACTAAAAATAAATTTATTAATAAATTCTATTCAGCTAGATATATTTAAGAATTTAAAGCAATAAATTCAGTATTAAATCTTTTTATATTAAAGAAAGATTTAATATTATAAATAATATATAACTACTAATCAATTAATAATCAAACAATAGACAATACAAATAAAGCATTATATTAAGAATAAAAAAGAGATTTATTATAAAAAATAAAAATTATAATAATATTTAATATAAAATAGAGATATTATAATCTAAGAATATATAAAAAAAACATTTATAAGATAGTATTTTTAATAGATAAAAGATTCTATAAATGGATTATCATCTTAATAAAATTAAAGAATCTACTAGTATAGTTTATATAATATATAATATATATATTTAAAGAATACTTAAATAATTTTGTTATAATATATTTTAATAATATAATAGTATTCTTAAAAAATCTTAATAAATATAATAAATATATCTAAAAAGTTATAATAAAACTTATAGATACAGAACTCATTCTAAAAATTAAAAAATATAAATTTAACATAATATAAGTTAAATATTTAGAAATAATTTATATATCAAATAGGTTTAAAATATTAAAAAAAAAACTAGATGTTATTTTAGAATGATCAGTTTTAATAAACATTATAGATATATAATTATTCTTAAAAGTCATCAGCTATATATAAAGATTTATAGAAGGATATACTATTATTATAATCTTATTAATAGAATTAATAAAAAAGAATGAACTATTTGAATAAATAATAATATATTAATAAGTATTTAAAAAGATTAAGAAACTTATTAAATATATATCAATTTTAAAGTTACATAATTTAGACTTATAGAATGTTATTTAAATAGATATATTAAAATATATAATCAAAATAATTTTAGAGTAAACTAATAATAAAGAAATACATACTATCACATTCTACTTAAAAAAATATATTAGCACTGAATTCAACTATAATATACATAATAAAGAATTACTAATAATTATTAAAACATTTTAATAATGATAATATTATCTCTAAAGATCTAAGTATAAGATTATTGTAAAAATCAATCATAAAAATCTAAAATATTTCATAATTATCAAAGAATTATTAGAAAAATAAATATAATAATATAAAGAACTATTATAATATAAATATATAATTAAATATATATTAAAAAAACAGAATATCACTATAAATATACTAAACAGATGATCAAACTATATAATTAATATCAAAATATTAAAAATAAATATTCTAAAATAAAATTTAGAAGTATTATAATATAATCATAATACTATCTTAGTAGTAATTATTAGAATTAAGAAATCAAAATTTAGAAAATAACTAAAAAGAAAAATAGAAAATGATATATAAATTCAATAGAAACTATATAACAGAATAATAATACTGTAAAATAGACTAATAATATAAAATAATATAATTAAAATACTATAAATAATGACTATAAAAGTCATTTAATAATATCATAATCTATTTAACCAAAAACATTAAAGAATTAATAAAACAGTTAAAATAATAAATCAATTATATTACTTTCTATATTTCAAAAAAAGATTAAGAATTATATCAAATATTATAAAGATTACAATTAGAACAAATTATTAATATATAAATCTTATAGAAAAATACAAATACCTGAAGTACTAAAAAAAATATAATAAAATATTATTATTAATTTCATCTAAGAATTACTAAAATCAAAAAAATCTATCTTTAAAATAACCTATATTAATGCTATAATAATAATTGATAGATTAATTAAATATATAATCCTATAATCAGTACTAAAAAATATAATTATAAAGTAATATATAAGCCTTATATTATAAAAAGTATTTTTATAGATCAATCTATTAAAAGAGATTATCATAGACTAAGATAAGCTATTCATAGCAAATTACTAGCAAATAATTATAAAAACATATAGAATAGAGTATAAGTTATTAATAATAAATCATCAATAGATTAATAATTAATCTAAAAGAATGATTTAATTAGTTAAATAATATTTATAAAATTATATAGATTAAAAATAAAATAATTAGATATAAATATTATTAATAATATAATTTACCTTTAGGGGCCGCTGCTTCGGGAAATGGCCTCGCCGGACGCGGAAAAGCGCGCCCGCCGGCGCACGGACTCCACCGGTCGCGGTATATAATGACCGACCTCTCGCTGTTTTAACGACTCCCGTCGTGCCTCTGTCACAGACCCGTCACAACCAATCCATTCGGGATTTCGTCTCCCCCTGCGCGCTGGACTGCTAGAGATGCTTCCTACCTCCTGCCAGACGGCAGCGCTTCATCTGGAAATTTCCTTCTCTTCTCTCCTGTTATCACGCGGTCATCCTCCTGGCGGAATACGGCCACGATCGTCGTATTTTTGATCTGCCCTCGTATTAAAACACCTTGGGGTGCAGCTCACCACCAGCCGGTGTTGTCTCAGCCTAGAGGGCCTGCTGCTAGCCTAAGTTTCAGTAGTCTGGGACGCCTGAAGGCTTCATTTCGGTCATTTCCCTCTTCGGCGAGTCTCTGAGCTTGATGGTTGGTTGATGGGTTCGCTCGGAGATGACACTCCATTTGGGCGCAGATGTCCCCCTCTCCTTCCCGAGGAGAAGTGAAATGAGATGTTGTGTCGATTGGACGCTAAGGTGCAGATGCGCTGACGGAGATGTCGTGTCTACGATGGAACCCTTATCAGTGGGGAGTCCGGACTCGCTTGCTTGGAACCTCTCGTGGTCACGGTGCGGAGGATTGATATGTTGTGATTTGCCGCCATGGCTCCCGATGCCCTTGTAAGAGGCACATAAGACACGGAGTCTGTATCATCCTGCCCAATGGCAAAATTGCCTCATGCAAATGACGCGTCCAAACCGTTGCGCCTCCTGCGCCGGAAATGAGCTGAATTGGCTTGGAGATGGGCTGCGCCAATATACTTCGTCGCCGTACTGGGCAAAGATTGCTTCGGTGGCTACGAACGGGCTGACCACTCAAATTTCACTGGTCTTGACGGGTTGGTCGATGGGCACTTTCAATCGCCGAATTCGTTGGTCGACTACCATTTTGGGCTGTCCGAAGTCGTATTGCCTCAATTTCAGGACCAGGCGTTAGTTCATAAAACGTCTCGGGCATCTAACTGGGTTCACAGGCCTGTGAGCTATCCCTGAATCCGAGGCAGAACGGAAGCTTTTGGCAACGGTTGCCCCGAGTGGTGATTCGTACGTTGGGTCGTTGATCCTTTTCCGAACGACTTGATCCAGACAGCCACACACCTTGTGAGGTATTTTCAAAACTTGCCAGACTGGCACATGTGTTTTCGGGCGTAAAGGGGTGAAAGAGATTAGCTGACTGGAGAATATTAGACTTGGCATATGGCTCTAAGATGATGTATAAATAGCGGTATGACTGCTGTCTCGTTTTATCTCCGTTTCTGAATGATTTTTTTTTCATTTCTATTTACGTTGCAATATTAAGGATATACGGCGCTCATAACCCTTGGTTCTTATATTCTTTAGCGTATGTCAAACATGCAAATTGCCTTCTACGACCCTAATGGAAATGCTGGCCGATACTCAGATGGGGTCAGATTCAACCCGCGTCCTACAAATAAACCGGATGTACATGCATGCGCTGCAGCGAGGCTCACAACATCTACGATTACTGCACAATTAACGCAACAGGAGAACCTAGATGCAGGTACAACGCGCCGTGAGCCTGAGATAAACCCAAGTATGTACATTTGTAGCTAGTTATAGGATCGCGAATACGGCTGATACACGTCAAGCCAACGTGACGAAAGACTACCATGACACCTCCTCTATTCCGGATGCCGGTCAGTCAGGCGAACTTGATAGCAACTACAGCGATGATAACCTTCGTTCTTTGTTCTCCACGCTCTCCGAAAACGGGGAGAACTATCTAAACCCGGCAGCAGATCCAAACGCTTCAGAACACCATCAGGCGGACCGGGAACGTCTGGAGGACCACGATTACCTCCCTGACACTGGGATCGAAGAGGCCACAAGTCCCGGTCCAATAGGAGAGCTTCCTAGTGCTGCTGAAGACCTACACAAAGGTAAGGTTATGTTTATTTTTCAGTCACAGCAATGAGTTCGAGCTAATCTATATTTTGAGCACAGGAGTTAATATGCAAGATCTTCCTGGACCTCAGAGAAGTAATTCAGAGCAAGGCCCTGCCGATGATTCTATTGCTTCAGGGTCCTTTGCGAAGGGTCAACACCGTGATCATACCGCTATAAATAATGCTCGCGCCCGAAGCCCTTACCCCGATGCGTCAGATCCAATATTTGGAAACAGTGAAGCGATAATAAAAGATAACAAATCAAGTTGCGGTGTATCTTGTGGCTATCACGCTGATGACCAGGGTTTTGTTTCAATCGCTGACGTCCAAAGCATTACTGCCGTTTTTTTGACCCTGTTAGCGAAAAATTCCACTTCCAATGCTCACTCACGGCGCAGTACAGCGACAACGTCGCCATCGGAGATGATTTCCAATATATCAGATTCTATATGTAGACACGGGCGAAATGAGATACAGAGCCCAGCCTGTGTATCTGTGACGGGAAAGCCACTGCCTGCCGTTGGCGATGAGCATATTGATCCCCGCTTAACTGTCAATCAATACCCAACTGTGGAGCCTGTCGCACATGTCCCTTCTTCAGATGTCCGGAAATCGTGTCTCTCAAATGCACAATTGGACATCATAGAGAAAGTTGACCCCACCATGTTTCGATACCGACACGGCTTAAGTGGTCCGAATATGATGGTAGCAGACCCTTTGCCAGACAATATTGGAGCCCCGATCGGCAGTCAACAGAGTCAACAGGATTGTCTCATACATGGCCGCTTCACTTCTCAACTACTTCCAGAAGGGAGGGTATACCACATGACATGGCACTCATCAGAGACCACTACCAATCAACATTTCCAAGGAGGTTCCAGAACAACCTCCCAAGGCTTTAAAGAGCCTACAAAAAGACAGACTCGCTCTAAAGGCTCGAAATATTCTCCAGAGGAGAATGAGAAATTGATCCAACTTCGTAGCAGCGGGCAATCTTGGGAGGAAATTCAGAATAGTCATTTCTCGAATCGAACACCGGGTGCTCTTCAGATGCATTACTACCACCTTTTGACGCATGACAAAACAAGGAAGAAAAACAGTGGAAGAAAAAGAAAGCAGAAAGGCGGTCCAGCCTCAGTTACCATATCCCAAGTCTCATCGCGCCATAAGATAGGCCCTTCGACCTCCGTCGAAGTAGAGGGCTTAAAAAGGAGAGCGGGGGATTCGCGATATCCTCAACGAAAGCGCCATAGGTCTGAGCGCTACCATCCTGGCAAATAACCAGGCAGAGCGGCACCGTTTTGGTCCCAAACCTCGGACGACTGTTTGGCAGCTTGGCAGTTCTGTTGTGACATTACACAGATACCATCTAATTAGCTCAGGCGATAGGGGGCTATTCAAAGCAAACTGACTAACAGTTCAAGGAGTTTCTTCACAGCAGCAATCATAAGCAATTCTAGATAGCTCATTATTATTTGATATTTTGAGCTATTACTGTACAGTATAATGTATGCGACGTACGGACACGAATTCTCTGGCCTCTATTCTTCACTGGATAATGTCGATAACGTGATACTTTAATAATCATAATTAGAATGAATATATCTATGGCTTTCAGTCATAAACTCGATTAACTGAAGCTACTAGTGGACACAGAAGATGAGCATGCAATGTATCAATATATAGTATGTACCCATTATTTATTACTCTTTCAACGAATTTCGGTTTTTAAGTAAAAAAAAATTACTAATAAGTACCACACTTTCATTTATATTTATAGAAATCCGTAGATACTGTCAGACCTTTGTAGCGTCGTTCTGGTATAGAATAGGCCTTTTTAATTTCACAGGTTTCTCAGCATATACTAATATTGATAAGAGAGGACTTGTCTATCAACTCTTAGAAGAACCGGTATAATTAAGTCATACACCTTCTGGACACAAGAACTGGTAACTCCTGAGCGCTTGCTCTACCCCTGCATAGTCTACATATTGTTTAAAATATTCGTTACTAGCTTGCTCTAATCTCTATAAGATCTCCACAATGTTAAAAATATTTCGCTATCAGCTTGTTTTAATCTATACACAGTATTTATAATGTTTGAGAGATTTATTACTAACTTAGTTTAATCTATATAGCATATTTATAATGTTTGAAAATCTATTATATACTTTTATCTTAATCTCTGCACTATCTCTATAGTGTTTAAAATGTTCATTATTAATATTATCTTAATCTTTAAACTATCTCTACAGTATTTAAAAGATTGATTACTAGTTTTATCTTAGCCTCTATACCGTCTCCACAGTGTTTAAAATATCTATTAATGTTCAATACTAGCTTTATCGTAGCCTCTGCACTGTCCCCACAGTGTTCAAAATGTTCACTACTAGCTTTATCGTAGCCTCTATACCGTCTCCACAGTGTTCAAAATATCTATTGATGTTCAATACTAGCTTCATCTTAGCCCCTACACTGTCCCCACAGTGTTCAAAATGTTTATTGCTAGCTTTATCTTAAACCCTACACTGTCTCCACAGTGTTTATAGTCATTCTCAAAATCAGTTTGACCAGTAAATACACGTGTTAGTTATTCCAATGCCCCACTACTAAGCTCTAGGCTCATAGCTGAATGAAACTAATTGGAGGCTTTATCCTTATATATAAATGGATGCCCAATCAAAGGAAATGTAATCTACCCTGAAGCCTTGGCAGTAGGGTAAGCAAATAATCATCATCGGTTGCTCTTTCCTACTCACCTTCCTTCACCTATCTTAACGTTCGCTATAGCTACGAGAGTCATCTCACAGTGTTGAATATCTATGACTACCTCTTGTACGTGATTCGAAGTCCTTTTCGTCTAATATACATCCTTGGACGCCCTCATCTTTTTGGTATTGAATGACTACCTTGCCGTGGAAGAGAACATTGACTGACCGGTTGCCCAGGATAGGATTACGATCCTCTAAAAAAGAACTCTTCATTCTGGCGCACTTTCCATATCTTTGTTTCTCAACTCCCTGATTTGGCGAATTCCCTGTCAGGCTATTTCCCTCACTCCGCCACATCACTCCATTCAATGACTGAACCCTCGTCAGCCTTCCGACATTGTCCTCCTATCTAGGGCCATTGCGCATGCCTAAGTTCGCAATGCACGGTCTACCCAGAGTTACATCGTGTGGAAACTGATACCCCGGCTGCAGTGTTGGCGCCACCGTCTCCCTCTCCCATCACTTTGTGAAGCCTCTCGGCTGAGAATTGACATAGCGCCTCAGTTGGCGATGTTTCGGGCCAAGAGGTTATAGATTACAGCATCGTTGTGGCATCCTGCTCTGTTTACCATCATTGGATGATCAGAGACGACGGGTTGGAGCTATGGACTAATGCGATGGACTCTCCGAGCGCTAGTGATAACCAAGCAGATTGAATTAGAACAGAACAGTTAATCTATCGCGAAATTGCCGCATGCTCTGGCCTCACTATTGTAGCTCAATAGCTCAAAATTATGACGGACAGGACGGATGGATTCGCAGCATGCTCTATTAACTGACCATGGTTTGCCACTATTACAGGATGTTCCACGGGCGGTAATCTAGTCCCCACGAACGAACATGGACAGTTTAGGTTTATTTGAGTGCTAAATGCGACGGGATTAATTTTTACATTACGTTGACCAAAGACGCCGCTTGAGTCGAACACGACCTGCTTAGTTCATGTCCTTTAATCCTATTGGACTCAGATTGCTAGGACCGGATTATGATATGATTGAGCTACCGGTCCGCGCGTCGATGACGGCGTTTTGCTGGTATCATATAAACTGACTATAGCGTTCTCTACGCCTCAAATTAAGTCTCGTCGCTTACCAATGGACAGGAGCATAGCAAGCGTGGGATGGACCGTGCGATGATGTCTACGAGGGGGTTACATGGAATGTTTTGCGAAGACTGGACTAGGATCGACCTGCGAAAGTATAAGGGTGCGGTGCCCTGTATCATCCGCTTCCCAGTACTCTCCAACTTGCTATAGGCTGCTCGCGCTGCTCTGGTCGTCACATTGATGGCGCCACCCCAGCCATTGTGAGAAACCGGAGATTGCTGCCTAGGATGAGACAATGTGGAGGAATGTTTTTCCTGGCATCGTATGTATAGTAGATCTGCCTGTATCCCGAAAAGAACAACGAAATGGTTGGCATCGAGTCCCGGGGACCACTGGAAGAATGTTATTCGGCACTGCGCGTGGGCCAGCCGAGACGCAATTTTCAGATACGGTGCCATGGCTTGAGGCTGATGCATATAGGGTGTATTGTATCTGCAGTTTTCAGCCTTTCAGGGCCCGTCTGATTGGAGAAAGGATGAAGGGTGTGTATAATGGGGGCTACATCATGCAGTTGGGGGCGGATGCAGGGGTGTTGCCAATAATGTCATTCGAGGGAGAGTCGATTTTTGAGTCTTGATGAAAGTGGAGTCTCATTACGAGCATATCTAGTCCAGAGCTGCGAATAAACTATACTAATTCCAGCTCTACGTCCGGTGAGATACCGTTAAGTTTGGATCCTTCCAGTCTTATACATGGGCATAAGTGTAGATGTGGCCATTTATTAAATTTGCCCTGGCCTCTTCTAGGCACAGCACAAGATCGAGGATTCCCCCCTTTCAGCTTGCTCTCACCCGCCTTTCACCTACACGGTTTATCGTTTCATTTTGAAATCATACTGAATACCCTGATGGAAGGCAAACAACCAAAGGAATTCAAAATGGCAGGCCGACTTTCCATAACCGACTCCTCTCGACGAGGTCGTGAATCTTCTCCTAATTCGTCCAATTCGCCAGCTAAGCGCATATGTATAGACAACCGTGATTCATCGCCATCAACAACTTCTACCCAGCTACCTATCACTGTGTTTCGTGGGACCACCTTCACTTTAGAAATGTTCGATAGCCTTAGCAAGCCAGCTCGAGAGAATCAATTTCGGTATATGCAAGAAACCCTTTCGAAATACGAGTATTTGTCCAAATCATTACCTCGAGTTGATATGATGCTTTTTGAGCAAGCGGAAGATCGATTAAGCAAGGATGAACAGGAGCGAGCTGCGGACCAAATGAACGATATCCACGAAAAGTGGAAATTTGAACGTTTAGTCGGTCAACAAGAAAATAAGCAATACAGGGTGATAATTTCGTGGGATGATGACCGTCTCCATTGGATGCCCGAGGAGTCCCTATTTAGGACCTGTGGAAAATTGTGTGGATGGGAAACGCATGGCTTATACCTCCACATATCCTCACAGCTCCTCATGTTTCGTCTTACCCTCCTTTTTGGCATGCCTCCTGTTGAAAATACTGTAGGGTACAAGGTTGGCTGGGATATACGCATCCTCCACTTGGACAACCAAAGTATTTTAAGGTTTTGGGATTCTAAAGGTTCTGCAAGGACCTCTTTCTGTGGTCTCAAAGAATCTCAAAATGATGCGCTTCTATTAGTAAATTTCCTTACTAGGTGGAAATTCCCTCATACCTATGATGGAGTGATTGCAGGGAGAATGGCCTAGCATGGGCTGTATGTCACTGCTTGGCAAGATTCCGACAGAAGTCGCGCGAAGTTTCATACGGGAAATATGTTCCTTTTATTTTGTGATAAATTGATGTTTTAGCTCAGCCTTTGTAGAATCTATCTTTATTATGATCTAACTTTCTGCTGTTCTGTTTAAACATTCACTGATATCTTATCTAACTGTGGTGAAGAGTCCCCGTAGGGTCTCCGCAGCGATTGAAGTTTCTTGTATACTATGTGCACGGCAATGTGATTGTGCGGAGGCTAGCCCTTCCTTGCCATGATATGCAGCTAGTGCTATTAATAAAAGCGATTCCCTGTATCCAGCGGCTTCGCCTTCCGAAAATAACAGAAACTAGCCCGAGCACAATGTTTATTACGCATATACATAGTCAACAGTTTTAGATCATCATGTTTTACTTCAGCAGAGTCTAATCTCTATTTGGATTAGTCTCGACCGAAGCATTGATGCAAAACGTGAGTGATTAAGTATCAAAAAGCACTACTTCCTGCTATACTAACACATACTACAGAATATGCCAAGATACACGCTTTGCCTTATTTTTCTGTATTGGTGCCTATACTCAGAAGATGGAGAAGCTTTTGCAGATCAAGGTGATTTATTTTTGGAAGCCAATATCGGATCTATTTTTGAACCACTTGAGGCTATGAGCAAAAAATAGTTTATCGCTACCTGATCTTTCCCTCTAGTTCGTATCGAAAACGAAATAAATAGCGAACATAAAAAGAAAACGCTCTTGCTTAAATCTGATAATGGAGGACATAAAATACCAACCACATATAATACGTACAGTGGAAATATGAAAACCAAGTCTGTATTAACGGTACAACGTTAAAACAAGGAGAAAAGATTAACGTAGCTATCTGCGGCCACAATCTCTCTAACCACAATGTTGGAGATAACACAGTACGTAACCCTACCCCTTAAACCCTATACAATGATACAGTAAGGGCTGGACCCCCCTTGGCAGCTGTAACCAGCTGGGCATGTTTCCCTTGGGGACCAACTATTGTCGATGCATTGCTCCAGAATGGCAGCATTATTATTACACTGCCATTCGCCAGTCGGACAGGATCCGGCAGGCAACGTCTCAGAAGCCGTATTGCCCATGTTGTGTGCATAATTGTTGACATCCAAGCTCTGAACAGAAGCCGTGTAGTCAGAGTTGTCTGAATAAGTGCTGACATCGAAGCTCTGAACGATTTCGTCGACAACCTCCCAACTTAGATCGAGATGGCCGTATTTACATACACTCGAATACAGGGTATTTGCCACGCTATAACTCAAGTCCAGACCAGGTGGACCGGTAGCGCAACGTTCACATCCGTCACCAATAAAAAGGGGCAAGTTTGAGGCCACTCCATTTACTGAGACAATCACCTTCTTGCCGCAATACTTTGTTCTGTCTGTATCAAGTTCCGATACATTCATGGCCACAAGATACTGAGAGTTAATATCTTCTAGGGTCTTGCTCCAGCATGCAACATCATTTGCCGTGTTCATACTGCTCATATCTTGATTGCAGGCGTAAGGATTCTGGATGTCGTAGTAATATGTGCCAATGCCACTTCCACTATATATGATTTGAGAAGCCGACACTAGCCTCGGCGATTTGATAATCATTAACAAGAATCCTGCAATGAGTAAACATTTCATGATCATACATTCCAGCCTAAGAGTAGACACGATGAAGGCTGGAAGCCCTTTTAAAGTCAAAGGTACTAGTTTGCTGTAAGAAACATATGTAGGCTTCGATCACTTGACCGACCACAACATCTTTGGGAAGCTGACCACTTCAAATATGGGTTAGAATTGATATAGAAACTTTTCGCTTAATGCTCAAAATGTACCAGTCAGACGAAGACACCTTCATCTGCCCATCTAACTAGCAGTTGAAACTCTGCAATATACGGTTGCTGCTAGCCTATTTGAACCCCTATCAATAGTTCCTATGGCCTCTGATGGCTTTTTGATGTTTGGATATGTTTAAGTTGGCTACATAATCAAATAATACAGTAAGTTATCTGTCAGCTTTTCGGTTTTTCCAGGCTTTTAGGTAAACAAGTAACTAACAAATTACCAACTCAAACACCACCGAATTGACCAACGAAAAAAAAAAAAACGTAATACAAGGGTCCAGTCCAATTTATTATTTTAAGCTACGTAGTATCAATTAAGTTTGACAACTGAAATCTCGAGCATGTGGCCTATAATTTGAAGTCATCCAGTAACAGGATCCAGTAATCAAGAATAAGACATATAGGCTTGTCCAATAGCATTGAGCTCAGTCCCAGATAACAGATACTCATCAGCAACGAAGAAGTAGGCATAACGCTCAATAGCTGTATTATTATTGAGCCAAGGAATGACTTCATGCAAAAAAAGAATCTGATCCGCAGAAGATCCTGTATTCTGAAACTCAGTGATCCAGATACTTGGAATGCCGTTTCTTTCTGCGAGATCAATAGCAGTAGTCACGTAGTTGATAAAATCAGTCGAACCACTGTTGGCATAGTAATGAATTGCTATTCTATCCGCTTTGCACCGGCCGTTACATTCAGTAAACCATTGCTCTAACCAATTTAAACCAATCATATCCCCCTCACCGTTTGTGACGGCTGGGGTGACAAGAGTAGCCTGGCCAGAGTATGGGGTCATGTAAGTCTGGAAATCTATTGCCGCTTGTTTCGGGGTCATGTTGGCCTGCTCTGCAATGTCGGGTTCGTTGAAGCCCAGAAAGCAGCCACTTCCCGCCGAGAGAGCATCGGAGGCGGCAGAGTACCATTGGCTGTAGAATTTAGGACCCCAAAGCATCGGACAGTATTCTACTCCTCTTGGTAAATCCCCACCAGCATAAGGACTCCAATCGTACGCCCATGAGGCGCCACTAAGACGATCAACTAGTGTAACATCACTGTAAGCTGCTCCAACTTTGCTAAATTTAACATTTCGAGGAGAGTAGGCGATATCCAAGTCAATCGTCCTAGCCATTGAAGACCCGGTAATAGCAGCGGTAAACAAGTAGCAATAACGCATTTTCAATCAAGCAATAGAATGATGTTTACATGAAAACCATATTCGTTATCATCAATTGGCGCCGAAACTACATATATCCTGATAGGCGTATTCAGCTATATAATAATAAACATAGATACCCTCTGCAGAATTGAAGGTAGAGATGACATATTATGTCTGTGTTTAGAAAAAGGTGTTGGATTGTAAAGGACTGAAAGTAGTGCATTAATTATATTTAAATCCATAATTGTCTCTTTTTGAACTTTCTCGATATTCTGGCCCCACTCATTTCAACATAGTGAGTTTAATATCTCCGCCGTTAATATAGTGATGTGTATCTACGCATTGGGGCAATGAAAACAGCTCTAGCAATAAATACCTGACAAATATCCCCATTAATCCCGTTAAAATCTCGAGCAATAAAAAATACAGTAGAGCTGAGAATCATCCATCCAGGCTCTGCACATTAAACACTAACATGTTGTGCATTTGTTTATGGGGTCCAACGAAGTGGCTGAAAAAGATGGTCTATCTCACTTTATTTCGGAAGACAAAAGACCCAGATGGGTATGAGCAAAGGTCCTCAGCTCCATCACCAGAAATACAAAAACCTACCACGCACTATGCAACAGGTTATAATGCCAAGCTTGGAAATGCAGAATTGTTCCCGAGCCACACTGCTGGTTCCTTTCGGAGCCAAGAGTGCTATGTGTCTCCTGTCTAGTTGTCAGATTAATATGGGTAATTTTGCAAGTCTCCGATTGGGCGCCGAGTCGACTTCGACTGGGCGAGAATAAGGCTAATTAGGCATAAACACGTCTAATAGGGAGGGGCTGGAATTCTTCAAAACTGACGACAAGTCCCCTAGTAATTTAGGAGCAAGTTTGTCCAAGACAAGCAATTAAGAACGTTGCAATTATCTCAATTTATTCCAATAATTTTGGCGGTTTTTACCGGGTCAAATTTCCGCACTAAATCTGACAATAGGAAGTGACAACAATTTCTATCTATAATGCATTTTCCATGGTCCTTTTACAGAGACGGGGTTATACAAATGATGGTTTTATATAAATGTGAACAATATCGGCGGATTTTAAAATAATGGATTACCTAACTGACAGAAAAATTACAAGAATATCCATAGGCTTAACTAGCAAATCCAGGGGATAGGTATTTTAACAAGCCTGATACCGTAAAATATATAGATCTTGGCCATTTCCATATACAGATGATTATAGGATTGGCTTTCAAATTTCACCTCATCGTTATTGGTGTTGTGTTGAGCCAAGCCATAGTACTGTTGAGTTCTTGACGTAGAGCCCTTTTAGCCTCGAGAAAACTCAACAGTGGACTCTGTCTCAAGGCACGAATGCGGTTAGATAGTACTCGCATCGTTACTACGAATCCATTCTCGAACCTCGCCTAATTGTAATATGCACTGTTGATACAACACAAGAGCGTGTCTCCAGTGGCTACAATTTCTCTCATATTCGTCGTGAACTGCCCCCGGCTCGCCTCCGGAGTTGATACAAGATAATCTGTCCAGCATTTTTCTTTGAAAGCAACTCCATTCCCTGATGTAAACACATATACTCTCTACGTAAGTTTCGATTGGTGGAACTATGCCGTTGAGACCATTTTCCGCGAGAATAAATGATGGTCTCGTGGGGAGTTGAGGTGGGGATGGAAGGCCAAAGTTTTGGCTCTGGCCAGGCTGCTGGCTGGTGTTTGAACGTGGTGCCGTGAATGGTGTTTCGTCTGGACCCCCTTTCTCGGTATGGCTATTGCCAGCAGGTATATCAGTGGGCGTGGTCGGCAAACCATCCATTGGATCAGGGCGTCCTCCTTCGTGATATGGAGGCACAATCGTTGTCTCATTCTCCTCTTCCTCTGTCGATACAGTTGGCTGGCGATAGTTATTGATACCTGCAGTTGATGGAATTTTGCCGCCTGGAAATTTTTGTGATTCATTGGGATTACCCACAGTCGGAAAAGTCTGACTCGGCTGTGGTTGATTGTTAGTAGAGAAAGGAGACTGCGTTGACGGAAACTTGGCGTATTCCCCTTCCTTATCATTCTTACGAGAAGGTATATCAGGTGGCGTATTTGCATTCCCTCCCCTTGCGCCTTGTGTCCCGAGCTGACCGGGCAACTCGGCACTAGAAAAGAACGTCTTTTCACCACCTGTTGTTGCGTATCCACGCTTCGCTCGTTTAGGTTCCGGGACTTCTGGAGGCGGAGGTGTGAAAGAACCCGGCACCGTACCCGCTTTCGTTTTTGATAAAGGAACGTTACCAAAAAAATTACGTGGCCGGTCAGAGTGACGGGTATTTGTGTAAGACGTGGTCTTTCGTGCCCTTGGCTCGTCGTCGCCTGAAACTCCAGGGTTAAAGCCTGTTTTTTTGGTTGTCCTAGATCTTTCAAATGCTGGTGTACGTGTACCCCATCTGGTATATTCTTGACCTCCATATCGTCCCCTCCCCGGGGGCGGCGAGAAAGGGTTTTTTGTGGTATCAAACTGAGACCACCGTCGCGAAGTATATGAAGGCTTCTCGGTATTTGAAGTTGGCTGAGCGCCTCTTCTTGTGAATGAGGTAGTACTTTTCTGCGTCGTGGAAGATGTAAACCTAGTCTGAAATCTTTCAATATCATAAAGCTGTCTAAGTCTTTCGTCGGACAAAGTTTCGTTTGCCTCCTGAATTGCCTGAAATTTCGCCACAAATTCGGTCTCACGACCCCGGTTTCGATCAGGATGGTATGCCAGAGCTGACAGGATATGATTAGTATAAATAATAGTCACCTAAATCATACTCTTATACCTAGCTTCTTGTATTGCTGTCTGATTTCATCTTGGGTTGCTCCCGGCTCAACATGGAGAGTGGCATAGTAGTCTTTACTCGCATCCGGTTTGCCCATCTTGACGAGGAGCTTAACAACTTCAGCCGAGCCTGCTTCTAGGATATAAGAATGTCTAAAGAGTCATCACATGTGGCCTAAATCCTATATGGCCGGATGACGACGTTGTAGCTTAGCGCTATGTCCGTATTAATACTGTTGCCCGGTGGTAATAGGAGAGGATAGTTATAGAAATCTTCTGATATGGCAGAGCTGTTTTATGCTAGACTAGATACTGAATCTCCTGAACAAAAATAAGTCATTAGTTTTCACAGTTCGGAGATGAAAATCTCGGCACTCTTTTAATCATCAGCTCTAGAAAAGTCCCCACAGACCAACGCTACTCTCCATTTACTGCCCGTAAATACTCGTGGATGAAGGAGTGTGGATTACTCAAACTGGGAAGCGATTGAATCTCCCCAGAAGCTTTCTGGCATCCTTTCAATGCAGCCTTCGCCTTTTCGGACCAATCTTTGTATCTGTCATCTGAAAAAGCTTTCTGTGTCATGAAAAGTTTGACTATCGCTTCGAAGACTTGGCAGTAGCTTTTGATTGGTCGAGGATCATTTAAAATTTTCAGAGCTAGCGTTTCAATGGATTTACCTCGAATGTTCTTCGAACTATTTCAGTGGTTAGCACTTCCCTCGTTGAAATACACACTGCACTAACATTTCAGTATCCATCTGGTCACCACTGATGACTAGTATTCCTGGATCGATCCAGTTTGCTAATTGACACCACTTCTTACCAATGTTTTTCTCGTTATGAAACCTCCGACGACGTGCTTCACGATTGCTATCCTTCACCTGATCCCAGTCCCCGTAAAATTTCTTCATAATTGCATCTACAGCGGCTCTACGTCGGTCAATACCTTGACTAGGGCTCTTTTCTCGTATCGCTTTGCATTCCTCCTCAAACCAATATACGAGGCGAACCCGAGCGAAGCGACGACTTATTTTCTTAGAATTCCAGGGATTGTCGATGCCAGCACGGAACATCTCATCACGGCAATTCGTGACCGGGTCCAAAAAACTCTGCAGACTGGGTTGTACGAGCCACAGTCCTTGTTTGGCCCAAATTGCAAGATCATACTGAATAAACTCGTCTAGATTTTCTTGGACACAATTATTCACCGCCTTAGAAAGTGCCAGGTCAGTCACTGATTGGTCAGTCTCCGATACGTCAGTAACTGATAGGCCAGTCACTGATGTCGCAATGGTGGTTTGGCGCGTGTAGTCCGACGTATGCCCTTGTACGTAATTTGTCTCTTCTGCGGGTTCACTTATAGTGGTTGTCATGGAAAAGGTTTCGGGTGCGTCATGAATGGCTGGAACGAATAAGTCTCTATCAACACTTGTTGGGGAAGAATTGATCCTTCTTGATAGCATGTTAGTCGTTGTCGCAAGAATTGGTGGAGTATCAAAGCGCGGTTCGGCCCCTTGGGTTAAGTATATAGGATTAATATATTGTTGATCAATATATTGTTGAGACCTTATAACTGATTTCCAACACATTAGCACGCAGTGAACAAGAGATTAATTGTGTTATCGTACCTTCTGCCGTAAAAAGGCTTTGCCTACTACTCTCTAATTTTTCAGCTACTTCAGATTTGCGTTCTGGCTTGAGCCGCGTGAAATATTGCAACCAATCCATCAGTTTTTGGACATATTCTTCATCCACATCCTCAACTTGCCCATCGCTGTCTATCTGTTTAACAGGACATTAGCATTGATTCTTTCGCTGACCAAATGAGCATCAAATCACCGCAATTGTGATCTTGAGTGAAGCCATAATTCCCTTTCATAGCATAGACGAGATCCTTATAATAAGCGAGGAGCTCAAGACCCAACACAGTCGACATCGACACAATTCATTCTTGTATCTATAAGTATTTATGAATGAATATGTAGTAACTGACTATATTGCAGGCTTAATAAACTTATATCCAGCTCAAACCCCCTCTATAAAAACTATATCTTTACAGAAAGCTGCATTCTAGTAGGGGAAAATTGAGGGTGTGAAGTGTTCCTAGACCATTTGATATCCTACAAAGCATTGTCAACTTTCCATATCAAGTTTAAAACATTTTTTTGTCATCATATAGGATTGTTATGTCAAGCGATAACTCCTTTATAGCATGATTGACAATTCCGTAGATTCTTCAATACAGGAGACTTCTTCCTTATCTTTTCTTTTATCATATCGCCCTACGAAAACTTAAAAAATATAAATGTCCATACGCGACAAAATCATTCAATCTGGTAGCTTGGGTGTTGCCTGACTACTTATACGGTGGTCATCTAACTGCTGCGGTTTGTCACTAAATAAATATTTCAACTGTATATATGAGTTTCATTGGAATAATTCCTTTATAACCGGGCCCTCATATGATCAGGCTAATAACGGACAACTTAACGTGTTGGTCATAGAAAGCGGAGAGATCAGGATAGGTATGTCTAATAATATTCATTATTTAACATATGTTTTGAACAGAGTGTGGGTTCATCACTATGTTTTAGCCATCTGTCTAATATAGTTATTATTACAGAGACATTCGAATCCTCCCTCATATTTCACACACACTTTCTCTTTTTTTATTTTGCTCCACTGTGGGGACATTCATAATCACACTAGGCTATATCCAGGAACACTTGTATTTTACTATTTCGATCTGGTTCTTACGTAGCTCTTACGCATTGGTACTTACTCGGCCCGAAATTATACTGAGGTACGTACCATCGTTGCTGGTTGACTTGTAGACAACACGCACTGTACGTGAGTTAGTGTACAGATTCTAGTATATTGACTGCGATGAGGTGTAGGACCGAGTAAACGTGGTTTCCCCTAATTGGTCAAGTCCCTGCCTAGTCGAAGCCTCCAAACGCGCTCATCTTATCTAACTAGTTAACAATAGGCTAGGTTAGTGTTACCTACATTTTTAATCCTCACTTGGCCTTTGGCGGGGTCGTCACAAGGGATGATCCCTGAATCCACGATTATTTTTCTTCAGCAACTTTTTTAGATATGAATATATTAATACTCTTAGAAAAATCTACATCAATTGACCTCGCAAAGGTCTATTCTCACATCAACGACCATGAAGCCTATTACTTGTGTCGCTTGTCAGTCTACTTCCTGCCGCTCCGTTCCTGACGGCCCCTCCTCACCAGTTCGTTGCTTCTTCTTCTCTAACGAAGTTGCCTGTCGCGCGGACAGGGCTGTCGGGGTCAAAAAACATATTCACAGCTCGTTTAATCCTAGCCCTGTGGTTGAATGGCATCCTTGGATGTGGCCTTCACAACCGGCAGGGCGGGTGACCTCCTTGAGTGTTCTTGACCTCCCCAACGAAATCATCTTTCAAATCGCCGAGGACCTTTCTGAAGTCGATAAATTTGCGATTCGCTTCGTTTGTAGCCGACTCTATTCACTTTTCACTCAAATTAAACCCCCTTACATGCTCAGTGATGACATGCAGAAGTTACTCTGGGAAACGTCGCTTCGTGACAGCTTTCGACGGGGTTGCGATTTAGAGGTCAGAAGGTTATTAGATAGACACAGGGCAATGTGCAGCATCTGTAAGGTATCCCATTCAAGATACGCTTTCACGAATGTTCAACTCTCTCAGCCACCAGTGTCGCGATCCTGTCGTTATACAACTGAGATTTTACAACTTTGCAGTCATAAAAGTATGACAATACTCGAACTTCTCGATCATTTCCGGATGAAGGCGAAGTCTCTACGGCAAGAGCCGATTTATACTATGCGCAATGCTTTGTCGTGCTCGAAGATTTCGCACCAATCACATGCGCTAAACAAGGCGCCACAAATTGGCATTAAAAACGGAACTGTCTGTATCTATTGGGCTTGTGCATTCCAATTCGATCCACGCCTCGCTTCGTTGAAAAGCACTTTGATGGATTTTGAAGCTGGATTCTGTCCTCATCTGACTCTTGAAGATATTTGCCGAAGAATTCTTCAAAAGCCTAGGCAGAAGAGGTTCAGAACACGAGGATTATCTTTTAGGTGCAGATCTGTTGGTTGCTCCTCTGAAATTACGCTCGAAGCCACAGGCGGCTCGCACATGATTTTATCTGCCTTTCGATACTTTGACGCTCGTAGTCCAGAAAGGCCGGGAAACTTAGCCCAGCTCACCAGTGCCATACCTAAATGCTATGAGCTTGACGTAGAGGACTCCGCCGCACTCCAACTGGGAGAGCTGTGAAATAGTAATTAGTCTAGTTCAATTATAGTAGATCATGTATTTTACTCATTACTAGTGTATGGTTAAGACATGCTCGTTATAGTTTATCACCCTTCGCGGCCCGGAGATGGAGCCTAGGAACCGCGTCCTCCGGCGTTTTCCTAACCACCACGAGTATTTCATTAGAGCGCAATTCTGCGACGAAGATGGACAGGATGTCTACTTCAACTCCCGTGTGGATAATGAAAAGATCATTCATCGGTTCAAGTCGATTTTCAACCAGGGTATTGAGATCGCCGGGCGGACCTACGGTTTCCTTGGCTTCTCGCATTCGTCACTGCGATCGCATTCGGCTTGGGTGAGTTAAGCTCGTCTTTGGTTTCTTGATATCTACGAATACTAAACGGCTAGCGAAGTTCTCCGCCCCGTTCGTCGACGACAACGGCACTTTCCAAACGTATTTTTCCATCATCAAGGCGCTAGGGGACTTCTCCCACATCACGTCGCCGGCCAGGTGTGCCGCGAGAATCGGCCAGGCCTTCTCGGAGACGCCTTTTGCGTTGCCACTTGAAGACAACGATGTACGTGTTACGGAAATTCCGGATGTCAAATCTCTGGATGGCTCTCGCGTATTCAGCGATGGCGTCGGGACCATTTCTCGGTCAGTTATGGAAGCCCTGTGGGTCAACCTCCCGTCCGAGAAAGGAAGGCCAACCTGTTTTCAAATCCGTCTTGGAGGTGCAAAAGGCATGCTCGCACTGGATCCTTGCTTGACCGGGTCTGTCATCTGTGTGCGTCCTTCAATGGTCAAGTTTCCCAGCAATGCAATGCAGGACCTCGAAATCTGTGACGTGGCATCCAGGCCTATTCCACTCGTGCTCAATCGACAGGTGATTAAAATCATGGAAGATATGGGTGTGCCGGTTGACTGGTTTTTCAAGCTACAGAAACGCTGCCTATCGGATCTACACGCAGCGACAGCCACAACCGCGGCGGCAGCCAAGTTCATTAAACGACATGACATCGCTCCGGCGCTCCGACTGCACAGGCTACTTCAGCGCTGTGACTTCCTACACATGGACTACCGTGAAGAGCCTTTCATCACTTCCGTCGTAGGCGCTGTGGCCCTCAGCGAGTTGCGTCTGCTGAAACACAAAGCCCGCATTCCCGTCAGCAAGGGCACAACCTTGTATGGCATTATGGACGAAACAAATTTCCTCCAGTCAGGGCAGGTGTACATCACATATGATACACTGGGCGATCGTTTCGAGTTCCCCCCTCCGCCAGGACTAGTACTAGTTACACGATCTCCAGCGCTATGTAACGGCGATATCCAAATTGCCTACAACAACCCACCTCCCGCGTCTCATCCGCTGCGCCAGCTTCGGAATTGCATCGTGTTCAGCCAGCTCGGCCAACGCGACTTACCCAGTCAGCTCAGCGGGGGGGATCTTGACGGTGATCTGTACAATATCATTTGGGATACGGAAGCAATCCCGCAGACCACTTTCAGTCCAGCCGACTACCCGAATGTCCAGCCCATGGATATAGGAAGGCCAGTGGGCAAGGATGACATGGCCGACTTCTTCGTAGATTTCATGAAGACGGACTGTCTGGGCGTTATCGCAACGCGCCACATGATTATCGCCGATCAAGAGAAGTTGGGAACATCACATCCAAACTGCAAGAAGCTGGCGCAGCTGCATTCCGCCGCCGTAGATTTCTCCAAGACGGGAAACCCAGTTAACATAAAAGATCTGCCCTGGGCAAATCCACACAGGCCTGACTTGTAAGTAAAGTTATTCCACTCAAATTCCCCTGCTAAAATTTAGTACTGAGCAGTCTAGCACCCGGACCGCAGACCAAGTTGCGTGACAGAGCTGAAATCGACCTGGAAAAGTACATAATTCAGCCCAAGGAAGACGAAATTATGCGGCCTGTATATAAATACTACAAATCGAATAAATTACTTGGAAAGCTGTACCGCGCCATCGACGAGCAAAAGATCTGGAAGCAGAATATCCGTCCTATGCGTATCGTCGCAACAACCTCATTTTGGAGTCGGTTCATCCAAGGTGTGATCACAAAGTGTAACAGACGCGGGCCTATTCGCTGGCTAGACCACTGCGACACTGCTCGGCGCCTTCGAGTTGTGTACGTTCACTCCTCACACGCTTAACGCCGACATTCCACTAACCACTTTTGACTTCGCTCAGGTACGAAGAGGCTGTTTTCTCAGCCATGAGCAACTTCTCCGAACATCCAGTAAAGCCAATTAGCGAACTGGAAGTCTTTATTGGCTGCATTCTGAATAATACAGGTGTCCAGACGCGCCGCCAGCGCGAGAGATCCATCAGACTCAAAGACGAGTTTGATCGCATTACTGCCTTGATTATGGCTCAATTGAGGCCCCATGGCAATACCGTTGTTCCCCTGACGGGTTACGAATCTGAAATGGACGCTTTAGAGTTATGCTTAGCTTGTGTACATATAGGTGGCGAAAGAAGCTCTTTTGCCAGCGAACGGTACCGCCGTGACGGATCGGGTGAGCTGGGGAGCTTTCGGATTGTCGCAGCGTGCGCGCTACTGGCCGAGGCAGATATGTTCGAACAGGGCAAATAGGGGAGTGATCTGTGATGAGGGTCAGGCATCAGTTTATATGATAGAAATCTCGGTACTAGATACTAGCATTCAAGTTTTTTTTATTTCAAAACACGCATTCCGAAATGGAAAGCGTTTAATGGAATACCCAAGCACCCAACTTCAAAGGCCTGGACAAAATCTTAGCTATCCTTTATCTTCGTTCTATGTCCGGCAGGTGGTAGACACGTGTCGGGGTCCAGGCTTCTCGTGTTCCAGTGACATGGTAGATCAACACGCCAAAAAATGGGAAGCAGGCATCTTGGCTATTCGTTGTTGACGTTGTAGGAAGCGTGTCAGAGTTTTACGACGCGTCAGGATTGCATCCAGCCACACTGGGTCACCACCCCCATCTCCATCGGGCAGATCTTAGTTTCTTCAAGCAGTACCGAACAACCTGCTTGAATACTCGTCCCCAGCACCACATAGAGGTGTCTGCCCGTCGCTGGGGAGGGGAGGGGGGGTCATATATATCAGTGTCCCAATCAAACAAATCTCCATGTTATAGAGGCTTGTACTAGCTAGGGCTCTTGGCTGACTGCTGTATGATGTGGCACAGGACAAACCTGCACTGGAGGGTATCGCACCTAGAAGCTGTCACTCACCTTTCATGGTGCTGAAGGGGATCAATATTGTTATATTAGACAGTACAGCAATATTACGTGGAAGTTCTAACACATATATCAAATGTCTATTGACCATGCAGTCATGTTATAAAATAGTTCTGATCAAATGCAATATATATCTATTAAGCCATTGACCACAATTTTGCATTCAAGAGCATCGTGAATCGCACACGTGTACCGTACTGCATTCGTCTAATCTTTTGACTCCCCTGCTGAACGAACCAACTGCAACAAAGTCTGACTCAGATCCTCAAGTGCTTCCAAATCAGGTTTATCGGCTTCATTATCGGCTCGTGCATCCGGGGTCTTTTTGCGAAGGGCTCTCCTGGACCGGGAACGTAAATCTCCGATAAGAGACATATCGGAAACAACAGTCATCATAGTTGTGTACACTGAGTACAAACTTTCCCGAGATACATGTCGTTGATAGTCGGCAGAATTGGCTTGATCACTCAAAAATTCGTTTTCCAAATTGGCCAACTTCTCATTAATTCTCATATCTGTCTTACTGACCTCTTCATTGATTCTCCTTATCTTTTTGTTTTCTTCGAGCATACGGGTGTTAAGACTAATACGACAATGTTCCAGTTTTGTGTGAAACATTTTTAGATCGAAGTAAGTAAATTGCGTTTCTTGGCCGTCTTCTGTAGGCTCTGAAGAAGCCCTCAAGATCCGGAGGGCTTCATAGACACCTTGTAGAGCTTGAAGTCTATATGACTAGATACAAGGACATGATGTCAGTACTCACTCTTCAAAGGATATGGATCTATCATCTCACCTTGACCGGAGTATTGTCAAACACAGCCCTATGATCGCTTGTGGCTTCGACTTCTGCTGAGGTTTGCTGTATGTCATCTAGCATAGTAGCTTGCTGTGAAGCACCTAGGCTAGTTGTGTAGGCGGATTGTAGTGGGGAGCCATCAGCAACCTCCATTTTAATTTCAAAAGTTCGGTGTTCTGAGAGGCTGTTGAGAGAAATATGGTTATAAGTGCTTCAAAACTTATAAACTGTATGTGAATGCCTATGTAAATAATTGATCTTATGTCCCTGGACAACGAGATCATATATACTCAGACATGTGTTATCCCGTGTGCTACCAACATTCACCATACAATCACTTGTGCTGCCGAGAATATTAGGGTGATAGGTGATGTTTGGTGGCGTCATATAGTACATCAATCGGTGTTTTCTGCAAACTTATGTTTAATTACCAGGAGCACCTAAAGTGTTCATCCAATATGATGTTACGCGACATCAACTCGAAATCGGCTTAACCAACAAACATATGATGTCCTTGAGTAACTAACACGTGTGTTTACAGGTCAAACCGATTTTGAGAATGACTGTAACTATTATTAGCCTAGTGTGAGGCAGTATTGTCCTAACAGTGGTTCATAATTGAATAAAGAGAGTGTAAATAGGTGAAGCAGCTAAGTTCAATAGATGGTCGTAAATTATAACGCTAACCGCTTAACCATATGTGTGCTAGGCTGTTCCAAACTAGGGTCCAGGAAAGACCGCGGCAGTACAGAGGTAGGCAGGGCATTAATGCAAGGCACTGTACCTGACTGTATCGTAATTGTTCGAGATTTAGGGAGTCGTCTAGCGAATCAGGAGCTAGGAAATCTAGGTCTAGATATACAATTGTTATAGTGCTCCAAAGACAAGGGGCTTTATTGTATATGCAGAATAGCGAAATAGCAATATAAAGACAATCAGCGTGCATCATATGCATATATTTGCTCAGATATATTCTTAGAGTTAGGCAGCTATATGGAGCTTTTATAGACAACAGTAAATAAGAAATCAATATATATTCTTCAATTGTAATATACTTGCATATACAAACTATACCACACAGTGCCAAAGGTAGTCATAAAATAGAAAGCCAGTATTGGCTGCTTGACTTTCATCCAGAGGAGCCGGCCTGATCTATCACAATCAAATTTCACTGCGTGCCTGTTCTGACTACTCTCAAAAATCACGTGCCATGTTTCTCCACCGTGAGGAATGGTGATAGCATAGCCATATTTAAGAATAGCTGTATTATATGGTGGCCCCCCTACAGCAGTTATATGAGATGGGAGCAGGGTAAAGATTTGGTTACCCTTATAGAAGGAGTACTGTGAAGGAGCCTGGGCATTACTTTTAGAAATGAGTCGTAATAACCATTCACTATCCAGTTGCAAGGGATCTTCCGGAGATTCAATCTCAGACACGTTAAGTATGATTCCTCTATTAAGAGTGATCTCTCCATTGCCGGATTTATCATATGGCTGCCATAGGCAGTTCAGGAATATGCTGAAGTCATAATCACAGGTTTCTGTTTTATCGCCACAATGAATTGTCATGTATATTTGCTCCCGACTTTCTTTTGGTAATCCTACTTTGTCGAGCTCTGGGCCGAAAAGAAAAGGGTTGCCCTTTACCCGAATCATTTTTTGAAGCCACTCATCACTCTCAAAGATGGAATCCCACAGTATACGTTGTCCATCAGACGGATAGAGGCCAAAATTAGGTTTATCTTGTACCATTGTAAAGGTCCGTTTCTTCGTAGAACTCTGGACGAGGACGGGGGATACAAGAAGTTAATCAAACGCTTGGGATCTCGGCGAATAATGATGTCGTTGATTAGGCAGTAGCTCCATTGACCAATCGTTGGCACGTGACTGCGCTTGATGGCTAGATGACAAGGTAATCCTGCATGATTATGCGTCAGAGACTCTATGGAGTGTGTAAGCGGTTACGGGTGGGATATTATTAACAATCAATGATCATATTAACAGGTTTCGATACTTGCTGAAAGACTGACCAAAGCCACCGATTACAGTCTCTCCACCGCCGCCCAAAGTTATACCATATACAGTTAAGTAGGATTAAAGGGCCCAATTTTCTAATTTTCAAATCCGTTTATTCAATGGCGTCTCTAGCTCAAGTCCGATTCATATGCACAGCCCCAGCCGTTGATGTTTAGGCCCATTGGCGCCACAGTAACAGATAATGCATAAAGATCATGTGAGAAGCAGGTGCATGTTAGAAACTACGGTTTGTTTTCTTAACAATAGTGTGGAATTACAAAATCTTAATTACATTAAACCTCTTAATCTTCTTTGAGAATAATATTTATCTAGTTTCAACACTATAAGTCTATTTGAGTAATAATGTGGTGATATTTTATATACTATGGGTCTATTTTAGTAGTATGTTAATGATTGAATCCAATTAATAAACCAGTTATGACTTATGGAATAATCTAGCAACCAGAGATTTTAAACAAAGTGGAGACCTTACAGGGATTAGAGCAAGCTAGTAGTGGGCCTTTTAAACACTGTGGGGATCTTGTAAGGACTCATGCAGGCTAGTAATGGGATTTTAAACACTGTGGAGATCCAGTAGGAACTAATGTAGGCTAGCAGTGAACTTTTTAAACACTGTGGAGATACACTGCGGGGATTCGCACGAGCTAGTAACGGACTTTTTAAACACTGTAGAGATACTGCAGAGACTAATGTAGGCTAGCAGTGAACTTTTTAAACACTATGGAGACATAGCAAGGACTAGCACAAGCTAGCAATGAACTTTCTAAACACTGTGGAGATACTGTAGGGCTAATGTAGGCTAGCAGTGAGCTTTTTCAACATTGTGGGGACCCCGTGAGGTATATCTAGGAATGTGCGGATATAGCGTTCAATATATGTAGTCGAGCAATGATAGATTTTTGAACACTGTAGGCACCCTAGTTTTTCTTTATAAACATTCTGTGATTTGACTAGTATTGTGATCTGACTAGTAATTGCAAACACCGAGTGAACTGCTCGACCATGTTGAATATCCTTGCAGGGTCTCCACAGTGTTGGATTCATTAGCTTGCTTATAGCCCTATAGTGTTCAAATGGCCACCACTAACACATACCACTATGTTGGAATATCCATGCGTAGTATTTGAAATCAATTGCTGACTTGTGCAGCAGCAGCAGCATTCAGCACCTCCAGCCTTAGGCATGAGACTTCAGACCCAATACAATGTTATTTTAATAATATATCAGCTAGCTCTAGAAGATACACAACTAGATTCGAAACTGCTTTCACCATTCTGGACTCTCTTCGTTTGATTCTGTCCCACTGCAGAGATGTTACTGCCTTAACGTAGACTAATAATAGTGAATGCGCTAGATGTTTACGGTAGTGATGGATCCAGCTTTTTGAATCTGATGGTATTAGAACATGGAATATCAACATGCAAACACTGTGGAGCTCTCTAGACAGGAGTGTAGAATGTATCTGAGCAAACATAGATCTAAAAGTTAAGAAAGTTAGTCCAGTTTTCTACCAGCTTAATAAAAACTCAACCCATTTACTTCCATCAACAGGTTCACTATCACCACCTAAGTCCTCACCATGAAATGCACGTTGCTGGTTTTAACTCTTTCTAACGTCACTGCCTGGGCCGCTGCCAGTCCAGCTTATGGGCTGGCTGCTCGCGTTGGGGCCCGCACCGAACGCAACCGTCTCTCTCATATCAGACTTCCCGCCAGTTCACCTAAAGATATCCCCGGACTTGAATCCACCAACCAAACTAATATCGATTTCTCCTGTAACTGGGCTGGCGCTGTGCTCGCTGCGCCTCCCTCAGGGACTATTTTCACGTCCGTTTCCGCCGAGTTTACTGTGCCGATCCCTAGGACTGTGAATAACCGAGCTGGCTCTTCATCCGCCTGGGTTGGGATTGATGGCGATACTTACCAAAATGCCATTCTACAGACAGGTATTGACTTTTCTGTTACTGCAGACGGCTCTGCTTCCTTTACTGCCTGGTATGAGTGGTATCCGGATTATGCCTATGACTTCTCTGGCATTAGTATCCAAGCCGGAGATACAATATTTGTTCTGGTGAGGTCTAGCTCTTTCAGTACCGGAATTGCAATTATTGAAAACCTCACAACCGGGGAAAAGGTGGCGCAAACTCTTACCGCACCTCATGCGTCTTCGACGTTAGGCGGCCAAAATGCGGAGTGGATTGTTGAAGATTATAAAGAAGGCGATGGCTTAGTCACACTTGATAACTTCGGCCTGGTTGCTTTTAGCAACGCTCGTGCTGGGTTGTCGGATGGAAGTCCTGTTGGAACGGACCGCGCAAATATTGTGGAGTTGAAGCAAAACGGTAGAGTTTTGACCTCCGTCTCCGTCCCAAGTGCGTCTGAGGTCATCATCACTTCCAGGTCTTGGCCGGAAGGTCTCTAGATAATGTCAGCACGGCATAATTGACCTCTCGTGATGAACGCCGAAGGTGTGCTGGCTGGGAAGGGCGGTTTAAAATAGATCAAGGCAGCAATCACATTATGATTACAACTTATTAAAAGAGATTTGCAGTGCCGCATATAATAATCAACCTCAATCTTCCTCTCAAATAGTATGGAGTAGGAATAACATTGATCCAGTAATAGTAGTATACTTTTTGGATACGACTCTTTATGTTAAATACAGTACTTATCCCACTATGCTATGTCTACAATAAAATCACCGAACTAAAGTTTTTCCTGATCTGGATGCTTGTAAAGTATCGGCTTCCGGCACCTGTGATTGTTTAAATTTCCTCGCTACCTTGCAATAGGGGAGTCTAGATACCATTATAGCAAATCAGTAAGCTGCGAAGTAAGTCCCAAGAGATATGCCTGTGAGAAAACGGCATAGCAGCCATGAATAATGATTGGCTGGGACGGCAAAGTAATTACCAGCCTTAGCACCCTTTATTTTTCAATCTCTGTTTAGTGTTATAAGTGGGTTACTAGGGGCTAGGCTGAATGGAGTTAAGATTCACAGATCGAGGTGTGATGAAACTACACTTGAGTTGAACTTTCATGCACAGGAGCTATACTTATTCCTACTATGCCACGTCATCTATTACGGTTGCCTAGTCAGCCTTCCGAATTGCTCATTAAAATCTCTGTAAAGGGCTAAAAGGATGACAAACAAAGAGTGGAAAGGTGGGAGACCTCTCTAGGAACACAACCACCTTCGTCGGGAAGGTTTTCTGCCTTGCGACCTGCCTTGCGCGCTTACGTAACCAAGGCGAAACCGAACGGCTAGCCATATAATCCCTTCGGCCGCCCTCAGGACATTGTACCCTGCTCATTTTCCTCATCACCTTTATTCTCTACCATTCTGTTGTGATATTGCTTCGATAGCTGTCTTTAAATGTCCGAGATTTCCATAGCTTCTGTCTCTGACACCGCTAGTTCGTGGGAGAGATCTGTTCAGCATTGTCTGGACAAGCTCGTGATTTGGAACGACGTTGAGAATGCGAGTGATTTGACTGCTCAACAAGTTAGTCATCTTCAACTACTCGGTGCGAGACTGCGTTGGTGGGTAATGAGATGGGGCATGCGTGAAGTCGAAATGTCCGCTCCTGCAGGCGTGGACGTTCAACATCATCTGATCCAAAGCTGCCTGGAACTAATTTCTAACTCCGTGCATGATCTAGCTATTTCTCATGGAGATAGACAGATTATCACGGCAATGGAAGCCCCTAACTTCCGGGGTAGCTCTGGAATACCCTACGCATATTCACTGGACCAAGATATGGAGTTTGATACGAGCAAAGGCGATGAAACCAGCGCTCACCAAGAGCGACAGGGGCTGGATTTACCAACCAAAGAAGCGCAGGAAAATTTGCAAAGAATTTCCGATCAAATTCTTCAATTAGAGGGCCTTCTTCCTTCTGACCCTGCGCCGAATGGTGCAGCAGTTTTCAATGTAGCTCTATCCACTAGTCCTTCGAAGCTTAGATCGTTAAGCTTCCCAAAGGACGTCGATTCCTTCACCCCATCGCTTGCACAGATCAAGGCCACTAGTCAAGATCACATCAGCAACATCCAAGTAACCCGACGACGTTCAGCAGATGAATTGAGGAATGGCTTTAATATCCCAAAGCTACGAGAAAATGAAGCAGGAGTCTCCTACTTTGGCGAATACAATGAAAGCTTGGTCTTTGTGCATGAGAAAAAGGATCCCTGCCCTTGGCAGGCTACTCTCAAAAGACTGGCCTGGCAGTTGAGATTATCGGAAAATATCAAAGAACTAAGAATTCTCCCCTGTCTGGGATATACCTTGGACGGGTCCTTAACTCAGGACTATATTCATCATGTGATATACGCTATCCCTGGGAAGCACGTTATATCATTACGAGATATGTTAAGGTCAAGAAATTTTCGTCGTTTTCAATCATCACTTTCGCTCACTATGCGATTCAAGATTGCTCAATCCCTCGCCCGATCAATTCTCTACCTACATGTAGCTGAATGGCTTCACAGAGGAATCAGGAGCAGTAATGTATTATTCTGTTCGGATGCGGGCTTCTCTGGTACTCATCGGCAACTTGGCCTCCCATATCTAGCGGGTTTCGATTATACTCGTCCACCATCTTACGACGAGAGCGCCAAAATTCCGACTGAATATAGAGAACGAGAGCTCTATCGACACCCAGCAGTCTTACGTGAACCTACCACTGCACCACATGCGGCTCTGGGTGATAATGATGAGCTATTCTCAAAAAACCACGATATCTATGGCTTAGGAGTGATTCTTGTTGAATTGGGTGTTGGCAAGTCAGCCGGTCGACTCTGGATGCAACGCCCCAAAGACAAATGTAATGGATGTAGTAAATTCCAGGGATATCTCATTGCCGAGTTTATTCCTAAAGTTCGTTCAATAACGGGGCGTACATATGCAGATGCAGCCTTATATTGTCTTCAAGCAGATGTTTATCTTCCCCAGGAGCCTGATTGGGCCGGTGCTGTGGCATTTTATAGAAATGTTATAGAGCCGCTTGAGAGATGCAAGAACACCGCAATATAGCCGCGATCTATCTGCTTGTCAAATATTTTGTGATTACATGTAGGGCTAGATATGGATGAACGCTTACATTTCTCCCGTATAGTGGTTTGTCTATTCAGAGTAACAACTCAAAATCTCTTTGCATTCCTTTAGAACAGTGCCAAGAAACGTTAAGATAAAGATAGCATAGGCATAGTATTGATCAGCTACGAAAAGAAAATCCAGAAAATCCATCAATACCTGATGGGAACATGACTAGGATACAGAACCACATGAACGAGAATCACACGAATTCACACCGATCCCGACGAAGCAGATTCTCCAAGTACACTACGGGCTCGACAGAGCACTCGGCACGATCATTATACATATACACACGGGAAACATAAGGCTTAAGCATTACCTATATCAACGAGAAGTGCCGCGTACGAACGGAGACGGCAGATGTGGAAGAGGCAGTTAGACAATGAGACCTTTCCTCTTTAGTTGTTACTTTGATTTTGCAAACCACTGTACTGTATCATCCTCTACACTATCTCGGCTTAAGACTGCCGACAGCTTTAAGTTGGACAATTGACTATCTGGTACATTAAACCTCTTCACCTTGTCACTTCCGTTCTCGAAAGAAGGTTATTGTATTGGCCTGTACGTATATGCTCCTTCATCTGAGCCGCATATTATATATTTAATCAAGTCAGGAGTAAACTCTGAAGCGAGTTTCTGGCCCCTTAGAAGCTCCTCTAGCCGAGATGGGTCGTGTATGTACTTTGGAGTACAACCATGTGCATGTACAGGGTTTCCGGAAACTGGTTTCACCACCGAATACTCTTTCTTCGTTTCCCGAACCCTAATGTGAAACCAAGCTAAACTTCATCTGGTCTGGGGCGGAACAATAATCTTCCTTGTAAATTTCAGTATTGTACTTACATATATTACTAAACGGATGATCGCAGGATGAAATGAGTGGTAAATTTGCCCCATAACAGAATCACGGAGAATCTGCTCGACTATTCTTGAGGATCAAAGAGAAACTCTATATAATACTCAACCATCCCAGGCCCTCCTTTGAAAAAGAGATCAGTAGATAGAGTAGGTAAGTGCAAAGAAGATTCAATCTATAATGCATAGAATCCTATAATAGAAACCCGCCCGTCGCTATACCCAAGAGCTAGGGTGGACCCTTTAACAGCTGAAGCTGTAAATTGACGATGCTCTTGAGGGAGCCACAGTATATTTTCACCCGCCAAAGAAACCCAGTTATCTGATAAAGACACTTGAAGATTGAAATTATGTGAAGTCGGGCCACAGGATTCATTGAGTTGTGGGATGCTGGTGGCGCTAGTGGCAGTATGCTCCTCCACATGCTTGATGGTATGGTCGCCAGAGCCTGACGTCACCATTTGGCTATCACGGGAGAAGGCCACTGACTGAACCGACTCTGAGTGGCCCTTGAGCGTCTGCAGTTCAGTGCCGGTCTTCGTATCCCAGAGCCTGATGGTGTCATCCCAAGAGCCTGACGCCACCATTTGGCCATCACGGGAGAAGGCCACTGAATAAACCAACCCCGAGTGGCCCTTGAGCGTCTGCAGTTCCGTGCCGGTCTTCGTATCCCAGAGCTTGATGGTATGGTCGCCAGAGCCTGACGCCACCATTTGGCCATCAGGGGAGAAGGCCACTGACTGAACCGACTCTGAATGGCCCTTGAGCGTCTGCAGTTCAGTGCCGGTCTTCGTATCCCAGAGCTTGATAGTATGATCGCTAGAGCCTGACGCCACCATTTGGCTATCAGGGGAGAAGGCCACTGAATGAACCGACTCTGAATGGCCCTTGAGCGTCTGCAGTTCAGTGCCGGTCTTCGTATCCCAGAGCTTGATGGTATGGTCGCCAGAGCCTGACGCCACCATTTGGCCATCAGGGGAGAAGGCCACTGACTGAACCGACTCCCAATGGCCCTTGAGCGTCTGCAGTTCAGTGCCGGTCTTCGTATCCCAGAGCTTGATGGTGTTATCGTTAGAGCCTGACGCCACCATTTGGCCATCACGGGAAAAGGCCACTGAATAAACCAACCCCGAGTGGCCCTTGAGCGTCTGCAGTTCCGTGCCGGTCTTCATATCCCAGAGCTTAATGGTATGGTCGCCAGAGCCTGACGCCACCATTTGGCTATCACGGGAGAAGGCCACTGAATGAACCGACTCTGAATGGCCCTTGAGCGTCTGCAGTTCAGTGCCGGTCTTCGTATCCCAGAGCTTGATGGTGTCATCCCAAGAGCCTGACGCCACCATTTGGCCATCACGGGAGAAGGCCACTGAATAAACCGACTCTGAATGGCCCTTGAGCGTCTGCAGTTCAGTGCCGGTCTTCGTATCCCAGAGCTTGATGGTGTCATCCCAAGAGCCTGACGCCACCATTTGGCCATCAGGGGAGAAGGCCACTGACTGAACCGACTCCCAATGGCCCTTGAGCGTCTGCAGTTCCGTGCCGGTCTTCGTATCCCAGAGCTTGACGGTGTTATCGTTAGAGCCTGACGCCACCATTTGGCCATCACGGGAGAAGGCCACTGACTGAACCGACCCTGAATGGCCCTCAAGGGTTTGTAGTACTGGGCTCCAATCATCCTCTACCTGTGGTAGTATGTGTATTTGTTTGGGCCTACTTTCGAGAAACATCTTTCTAATATTACTTCGCAATGGTAAAAACACCACCCCAGAACAGTAGAGTTGGAGTGGAGCAAGACTTGCAATGTAGGCGTTCTTTAGAATAAATCGTTTTGCGTCGCGGAGAAATTTAGAAAATTCAGCATCCACGTCCTCCTGTACACTCGATTTTAGCTATCACTTGAGTATAAATGCACAGAAACTTACCCTAGCACCTGACTGAAGTATATCCATCATTGCCACCGCCTCTGATATAACACCCATTAGGCTCAGCGCCTCTAGCCAATGAAGGAAGTGCTCTTTTACAAATCCAAAAGCTAGGGGCCTAGTGACATGACTATGGCTATTTTCAAAATGATATACCCAATACCGACAGGAGTACTGCAGATCTGCTGAGAGGTACTTATTAATAACTTGATGATCGATATTGGTTCTCTGTGTCCCATAGCTTGACAGATCACAGATATTTTGCTTCAGGCCGTTGTTCATAGTACGGAGGCAATGCAAGACTATCTTCTGGTGCGTCACTTTTTCATCCACGTGGAATATGCTTGTTGTGTTAATGAGGAAGTCTCGGAATGACAAATGCAGAATGCGGACTGGTTGGTGAATCTCCTCCGGTATATTTAGGACTGAGTGGAATCTATTCAATCGAATGCTGATAGTATCCTGAGATATTCCTGTCAGACGTGCAAGAGCAATGACGGAAAGAGGAGTAGCGAGAAGAATAATAACTCCAACTATGTTCTGAAACTCTTCCATGAGTCGCTCGCAATCACGCTGATTCCTTGAAACAACAAGTTGATTCAATACCGGAAGGTACGTTCTTTCAATATCTGATATTGATGTGGCTGCTTCATCTTGGAGAACAGCTGTAAGACGTTCCTGCGGAAGCCAGTCCCTATCCCCTACAAGACGGCAGATAGTGGCCGCGAAAATGAACAAAGGGACAGCCATCTTCACCAGCTTTTCCATATTTTCATTTCCAGGCCACTCCGCGGGAAGTAAATGTTCGTCCCGTATTTCTGACAGTTTGTGTTCCAGAAACAGGCGAATATCATGTTCAATCACGGGCTTAGGAAGACCATGGAGGACCAAGTCCTGATGGCCATTACTCTTCCTGAAGCCAAGACGGATTGGAAGTTCAGGCCGGCTAGTCAGAAATATTCGCAGACAGACTGACTTCACTTCCTGGAGTCGAAACAAAAGTTGAAGGATGATCTGGATATCATTTTCCCGATCACATTCGTCTAGTGCATCAATAATAACTATAACTGTTGCTGGTTGATCCAGCTTTAATCCAAGCAAAGGCTGGAGAAGAAGCTTGTCGAATTGTTCGCTGAGAGATTTGGATGAGATATGTGGGTTATTCTTGATCGCTTTTAAGACATCAGGTTCCAGTTGCGGGTGTTTGGTGACCAGCTGCTTTGTGATAGTTGATATCAAATATCTTGCATTACTGCGATCCGCTTCGCCCCGCTTAAAGAAGAAAGTGGCGCCAAGCTGTCCTTTGTCTTTAAAAGATGCTGCCACTGTTCGAGCAATGGTAGACTTCCCCGTCCCCGCCATTCCTTTCAACCAGAACATATACTTTCCGTCCGATGACTCGGCCCACTTTGCAATTTGGGATAGAAGCTCGGTCCTGGTGCCCGGAAGACAAAATTCTTCATGCTGATCCACATATGAGTCGAACTCGGCCCCATCCGCACTTGGTAGCTTGTCCAGGGGATCTGCACTCGTCAATAATTTCCACAACTTAATAAGGTCTCATAATCTTATCTACCTGCATGATTGAAGGTAACCTCGACCTTGCCGGAATTACTCCCTATCTGCATGCCATAATTAGGGTTATAAAATGATGTGGAAGACGCCATGGTCATGATCTTAGCATGACGATGATATCGTGACAGTGGTGGGACGATGATAGCTATCTGAGGCAGTGGATCGGGAGGGACGTGAGCGGGACAGGCGGGGTAGAACCAATTCACTGTCATGTACTAGTTACGAAGCCCCACATCCGTCAACACTAATGTCACAAGACACAACAACAGACTGGTAGCTAAGGTCAACTTTCTATGGTGTGAGAAAGGTCTACTATGTATATTCGCTTACTCGCCAAAATCTAGATACAGGATATGGTTATCTAACTTACATGCACATAGGAATTGGCTGACAAATTGCATGCCCCTTTTCCCATTACCCCGTTCTGTAAGTTTGCATGAATAGGCGTAACTTTGAGTACTGTTGGGTTTTGAAAAGCAATCAATGTATGTAAATTTGGGAAGGAGATTTCTGGTGCGACTGTATAAAATCCAGAAAGCAGTCAAACGAGCAACGCAGGTTAATATTGCACTTGGTGGTCTGAGACACCTCCGCCCAGAGCAGATGAGACAACTCTATCAAGCATGCGTAACACCAATTGTGGATTATGCATCCACCGTCTGGCACAACCCATTGAAGGATAAGGTCCATCTGAGAACATTAAGGACCGTACAACGGACCGCTCTCATCCGCATACTCTCTGCGTTCAAGACAGTCTCCACGGAAGCCCTGGAGGTGGAGTCCCACATGCTACCGACCAACTTACGGCTCAAACAACGTGCACAGATTGTGGCTGCGCGCCTTAGCACCCTCCCAGAGGACCACCCGGGCCATGCAGTAGTGAACCGAGCAGCAACACGGAGCACACACATCGGACATGGACAACGATTCCCTCTGGCAGAAACCCTGCGGACCATGGACCTTGATCGATTACGGGCCTTGGAAACCATTAACCCAACACCGCAACCACCATGGCAGACGCCAGAATTTACAGAAATTGACATAGAACCCGACCGTGACAAAGCTAAAGGCAAAGCGTCCGCTAGACACAAGGCGGCGGGCATCACGGTCTTCTTCGATGCATCTGGCCAACGTAACCAGCTCGGAGCCGCAGCTGTAGCCCTGGATCAGAGTCAAAATGTCATCCAGCACCGACAGGTCAGCATTGGTTCGATGGAATTCTGGTTGGTGTACGCAGCAGAGCTCATAGCGATATACTATGCCATCAGCCTTGTCTTCAAGATCGCGATGGAAAACCGGAGCGCTCGAGCCGACAAGCAGGAACCGGCAACTATCCTGACTGATAGTATGTCAGCACTACAAGCCATCCCAAACGTAGGAAATAAGTCAGGCCAGAGGATTATCCAGGCGATTCAGCAATCGGCACGGGAGGTGCAAGCACGGGGAATCCCACTCCGCCTCCAATGGGTTCCTGGACACTGCGGAGACCCAGGCAACGAGGCGGCCGATCAGCTGGCGAAAGAAGCCGTTGGCCCTGATAAGGAGCATCCATTTCAACATCTTCTTTCACGGGAAAAGGGATTCATCCGCAATCGAATCCAGAAAGAATGGGAACAGGGATGGAAATCGTCCAAGAAAGCTGGCCACCTCCGCAAAATAGACAAAAGTCTCCCTTCAATTCACACCCGGAGACTGTACGGCTCGCTACCACGGAATCGAGCCTACTTGCTGATGCAACTCCGAACCGGACACTCATGGCTCGCAACGCATGGTAAACTGCATAATCTAAGCGAAGACAATAGATGTGAATGTGGAGCGGTCGAAACCGTCACTCACGTACTGATCGACTGCCCAAAATTGAGGGCCCTACGACAAGAACTACGGAAGAAAATTGGAACAGCATTTAATGATATTAGCAATATGCTGGGAGGAGGATCTCAAGGTAAGAAAGGTAAGGAGGATGATATGCAAGGCGGTAGCACCCTTGGTGCAGTACTGGACTTTGCAGAGGCATCGCAGAGGTTTCAAAGCCGCGCGCCATCGGGCCGCTGACAGAACACGAGACACTTAGACCACCATAGGCCGCGACGAGGCTCCAAATTCGTCGGTATGTAATGGTTTACTGTACATAAAGATAGACAAGGATTAGATAGTGTTTTACCTGCATATCGCTTCGGCGAGGGGTCAGTGTATGAATACAACAACAACAACAACAACGACTGTATACTCATCTCGTAAATCAGCATTTCGTTCTCTTGCTTGTTGTCGGGCATCTTTTTTTTTTTGACCACCTTTGATGGTGAAGTGCATCACTGATCGTGGATTTCGGTACACGCATATCGAATTCATCTAGCAAAAATAGTTCCATTTCATGGAGGTATAAATCTGGCTTTTCAAGTAGCTCATCGCTAATCAACATATCATGAATTAAATCAAGCGTTGATCAAGCTAGATTAGGAGCCATTCCTGTTACACGAACGTTGATCGACGACTGCCAAGGTTGGTTGTTCGAGGAGATTTGTATTATTTAGGCAGGGGAGGGGATGCCACGTGGACTTTAGTCTGGTACAGTAAATTATACAAGATCTAGTAATGATACCATGATGTATTTTACAATACGAACTCGGGTTAATACGATTCCGAGAGCATGCCTCGAAATGGCCTAGTGTCTTCTTGTTTTAGGGTTACGGAAAGAAACAAAGAGTATAATCTGGTGACACCAGTTTCCGGAAAGACTGTAATACACGCCTAAGTCGCACCGTTTTCAGAATATCTAGCTTTGCGATGCGTTCAAATGCCAGGAGTTTCTCAGTTGTAAATATATCCTGGGGTTTAGAGTCATTTTCACGCCAGGTGAGCCAGAATTTTTCCATCTTTAAAGAACGGAGAGTTTTCCGATGACGCTGAGTAAAATCTTCCAGGATGGGAACTCGCACTGCGGTATGACGAAGATATAGGCTTCGCAGTGAAGGAATGTTAAGGTGTGGAAATGTCCGGTTGTACCACGTAAAGCAGTCATATAGAGACAGAGATGTAATTTTAGACAGCGCATTCCCTGTAAAATTGATAGATTTCAAATCATCATCTACAGGCCCGTAATTGTACGACCTCATTTCCATGTTCGTTAATAAATCCTCGCTGCTTGACAGTGCACTGAGGGCGGCGCGAAGGCGAGAACTTTGAGAAGTTGTTACTCTTCTCTTTCGTGCGATTTCTCGGTTATTCCTTTGTGATGCCGTGCGATTGCCAAGGCCAAAGTCTAAGATTAATGTTGTAAGATTAGAGAGCTGTTGTATAGCATGCTTTAAGCATTCATCTTCGTGGCCGCTGTCGGGATCCCGAATGTGTAGATCAAAGCCACTCTCATTCACAGCAGGTTTCACCCACAGTCCAAGTACGTACCGCAATACTTGGGCATGCTTTGGAAGGTCGGGGTTTGTCAGCGTTTTCAGCATTTTCAAGCGTGTAGAACGATATTTGACAGTAATGGACCGAAATAGGACTGGCTCGCACAAAGCGCGAAATTGTTTGCTCACCAACCTCAGACTCCCCAGGTCATTTCTGACCGTGACATGACCAATGATTTGGATGAGCAGCTCTGGGGGAGAGGCTTTGCTAAAGTTCCAGTCGATACCTGAGGTTCCATTGAAGGCATCTGTAGAGGATTGAGTAAACGTTTCTGGCTAGGTGTTGGAACTTATAATATCTCAGGTAAGAGTTCCCTTCACTCTCATAAATGTGTCTTCGAAAGAACATAGGTGGTTTTGCTTCTATAGAAACGTGTATTAGATCCCATAATATTGCGACGAAATTCGAACGAAAATCGATAGGCACAACGGGTCAGAGCGGATGTGGGATGGGTTATCATCGACAAGAACGACATCCGGAGGCTCTTCTGATTGGCTGAAAAAGCTTACTAGATACAGTTAACAGCGGCTAAGGTCTTGGCGGTGGGATTGGAGAATAATCATGATAATTATATAGTCCTTCTCAAAATCGGTTTGACTAGTAAACACAAGTGTTGATTATTCCAAGGCTCCATTGCTAAGCTCTGGGCTCATAGCTGAATGAAACTGATTGGTAGCTTTATCCTTATCTATAAATGGATGCCCAATCAAAGGAGATGTAATCGACCCTGAAACCTTGGCAGTGGGGTAAGCAAATAATCACCATCTGTTTGTTGGTCAAACCGATTTCGAGAATGGCTTTACATGGTTCTGCGTGAGGTGTTATCATCACCGCTCCGGTGATTGGGTGCCTCGCGTCCAATTTCGTGACCTGGGCGCTGCATACCTGGCCTTTCTCGTATTTCTACTTCCAAGCAAGCAATATATTCTACCCAATACCCTATTTAGCGACTGCATTCATGGAGGATTGAATAAAACATCTAAAGGTTGATCATTTCCAAAGCTGATACTAAGAATAAGGTCCGGTTTGTATATGCACTCCGTGCAAGATCTAGGTAGGTGAATTGTTTCGCTTTTTTTTTATGGGGAGGGCATCAAGTTGAAGATTCCAAAGATTTAGTTCATCCTCAAGGCTGAATTTAATAAAGGTCTGCCTATTGCTGAAGATAGGGTTCTAATACCCCTGCATATTTAGTTTTTCAATGCAATTAGCCCACAGTTGTAACAGATCGAACCATATGTATATAAACGATCCAGAGTTCAATGTTTAGATGATATTAGTTCTTCCAGCAAAGGATCGTGGTTCATAACACTGCTATATTTTCGAATACTACGCAACATTTCCAATATCAAGATGAAGCTTCGCTCTGGTGGAATTTATTCCTGTCCGTCTCAGTCTACTCCAACTGAAAGCGAACTCAGTTCTGAGGATTTGGTGAAGGATATAGTCAATCAAGGGAAAATCACCGGAGAGACACCTAATGGATATACATTTGAGGTCCTACTACCATCTTCTTGGAGAAAGTTACCTATTATCCGTAATAAGGTGACCCAATACCGGAGACGGCAGTCAAAATCTAAGAAGCAGAGAAAGCTAAGTCTAAAACTGGACTGAATGGCTCATGCGATCCCATGACAACGAACCATTCAAGATCAATATTTTTAATGCGTCTATCCCAGATCCTCATTCAAAGATGGTCTCAATATATTTTGAAGACCCTTTTAATATAGAAACGACATATTGTCGTAGATTTCTAAAATATGAAGAGGAATATCCAATCTTTGCCGAGGTTAAGGGAATAGCCTTATCGCTTATAAATTGAAACCTGATACACACTTTCTTTTCTCTTAAATTCTTCGCTAGGCTATACGTAGTTACAGTAGGCGTGATGCCATTACAATTACAGTAATTATCACTAATGTAACAACTAATGGGCACTTCGCCGCTTACCTTGAACGTGTCAAAAATATGGGTAATTTTTGGAGGCCCCGATTCGCCGCCGTGTCGACCCCCGTCTAAGGATAATTTTGACCAATTAGGTCCGGTCCGAGACTTGATTAAACCTGTTCGCTGGGTGGTTAAGTTTTAGATATATATAGGTACCTAATAAGCACTGCGGGATATACTCTAAGCAATTATGAACCTAAGTATATAGTTTAAGCTATGATTTTTATTCAAATGTTCATCATGTGTTCATATAAGGACAGCCGTAACTCAGTGCACTGAACTGTTCATATAAACTTAATGCGTCTCTGGATTAGAAATTTTCTCCCTAAAACTGCATGCTAAAATACGCGGAGTTTGTTTATCTACAGCTCAGAAAAATTAAATAATTCGATAGGTATCCATTAGAATTAGCGCAAGTTTATGCCGACATCCGCCGACCTTAAGATAATAATCTCACGATTCCTCTCTAAAAGCATGTCCTGAACAGATTGATGAACCCTAACTTTTTGCTTGGCGATCATTGCTATTCATTGTCTTTGGTATGTTTATATCATGTTATGGACGAGGTGCCACTGCAAATCCAGTCAATGTCTATCATCCAACAATCTATGTCAGCCATCAGTCGAAATATAATAATCACGGACCTAGACTGTTAAGCACTGTATACATAGGGCGCACAAGATATTCTCTTTTTCTTTCCGTCCCTCTAGTGATCTTCGTGTAATTTCTCAGATGATGGGTGTTAGGAAAGGAAGGCTAGTAAATAACATATCTATTACAGGGATGTATTATCTTGGCGGAATCTAATCATTAATATAAATGTCCTTTCAACCTCACTTGGAACAGTTTGATTTATCAATCCATATACTCGTTGCTCTTCAGGATGTCTACAATCAGGAGCGAGGACGACTCGTCTAGTTCATACAGTGTGAAGAGTAGAACAAGTCAAGAATTGCCCAGCATAGGCCAGCTATACGGAAAACTATTACAACCTATGCCTGATCCTCCTAGCCCCAACGATGTGGATCACCAGATTGGTAATATGGGCGGTTCGACTATGGCTCTAGAAATATCCCCGGTGCGCGTGCAAATGACTAAGATGCGTGGATTGCCTGGGGATCCAGAACAATTCCTAGAAGATCAGCTGACGTGTCATAAATGGGAAAATGACTATTTCGAAACCTGCCATGAGATCTACCAGGAGCTACTACTTTCCACACTAAGTATTTCGAGTCAAATAATATCTCAATCCCAAACTTGCATGCTGCAACGTATGTGGATGCCCGAAGATGAACCAATGAGTAAGGATTTTATGAGGGTCGCCGCTGAAGAGTTCAACGAAGCATTTCGGCACTCGTACGAAAAAGAGGCAAAGGCGAAACAGATATGGATAGACAAGTGGAGAAGGAAAAAGGAATCTGATTTTCTTATGCCCTGGCTGTGAAGAGGGTAGAGCAAATAAAGTCGGCCTAAAAGAACTCTAGGCTACTATTTAAACGTCATGTCCTATGTATCTTCTCGCGTGTTTATAGCATACATCCTTTCACCTTGACCAAAGAATATAAATCTTAATTAAATTATCGTCCTTGTCAGTAGTAGTAGGTCGAATATACTGCATTCAAGATGACAAAGGTTGAAAAAAAGACAGAGTCCTACAAAAAGGGGGATCGGACGCAGCAGGAGAAAATTAGAAAAAGACGTCATAACTTGTTTAAACGCATTAAAGAGTTCCAGGATCGGTATGAAATTGAGACATGGGTAACGATGAGAATGCCAACCGGTCGGATCTACATGTTTTCTACTAATCCCGATGAGCATGCTCCCACTGAGGAAGAAATAGTAAATGAAACGCAGGATCACTTATACTAAACTACCGCTGATGATCTGAGTCTAGAGGGAAAAGAAATTGCCTGTCGTGCACAAGACGTCGGCCGATTATGCTCCTCAATCTCATGATCCATTTGTGTTACGAGACCCACCTCCACTCCCACGTCAACATGATAAAAATTCCCCCGCTCCAAGTTCAGACAATTTATTCAACTCCACTAATCCATTATGATAGAGAAATAATAGAAACCTAGAATCTACATTGCTTTCCTCAAACTACATGTAATGCTCGTATCCAGTGAATACAAGCCATAGTATAGCAGTCACTGCACATAGTAAAAGCCAGCCAGGAGTGTACACCACACTGGTTGATGCCGAAAATGGTGTGGATGATAATGATGGCCGGGGTCTCCCACTTCCCCCGCCGTACAGAGCAGTACCGGTGTTCAAGTTCGACGGAGAAGTCCCTGTTGCATAAACGCTGACCGGAGTGCTCCTGGAATTGGTGCCTGTCACCGGAAAGCCCATTTTGAAATCTGTTTGGACACAGTCAAGTGGAGTTGTGAATGCGTTAGCGTTGTCTCTTTAACCATCGCTGTTTCCTTTGATCTATTTATGACCCTCTATAAGTCCATTGAATTGTATATACATCGGAGTGCGAAATTTAAAGAATATATTTTCATATGCCGTGTCTACCACATAGGGGTACAAAGATACATCAAAGCCATCAATTTTAAACTCATAAAAGACAACTTCTAAATCATCCGATATAATGCGGTCGACTTCTTTTGCCTACCTCATACTCTTTAGTAGTATATACTGGATGTGCAATGGTCTATTTCAAAGCATTAACGTTCATCGGAGGGTTGTGTCAAGCTATTCCCCGACGGGACCCTGGCGAGGATCGCAGTATCTCCCTTCTCATCAGAATGGGCACGGCGGCGAGCTGGTAATCATCTCACCATCGACGAAATCATCTTATGATTCGTCTACTGAGCACCGGCCTAACACAGCGTCAATTCAACCATGGACAGTAGGCTCGTCAACAACACACGTGTTGCCGTCCTCTACCGTACGGGCAACATCTCATCCGGTCCCTATCATATCTTCGACATTTCACCCTTCAATTACTTCCGAACCAGATAATATCCCAGAAATATTATCTGGTATAGTCACCATTTCTACCAACAACATCGTATCGTCTACGGTAAAAACAACATCTCCTCCTTCGATTACCTCCGAACCAAATAATATCCCAGAAATATTATCTGATATAGTCACTATTTCTACCAACAACATCGTATCGTCTACGGTACAAACAACATCTCCTCCTTCGATTACCTCCGCACCAGATAATATCCCAGAAATATTGTCTAATATAGTCATTGTTTCTACCAACAACATCGAATCGTCTACGGTACAAACAACGTCTCCTCCTTCGATTACCTCCGCGCCAGAAAATCTTCCGCAAGTATTAACAGTTACTCTTCCCAATTCTGCCGGCAGTATCGTGCAAACCGATAATCCAACAATTTTTCGCGAGCTTCCTTTCCCAACACCGTTTGACGTGTCAACCTTGTTTGAGAGTACTAGCAACATCGATGTTTTCCCGTCAGCTCTTCCAACGCTGCAAAACGCACCGCAGACATTGATCAGTTCTACATTCAATGGCTACATGAAAAGTAATTTTATCCCAGACTCTTCGACTAATGTTGGACCAGCGCCCGCTACCGCCTCTGTCTTTAATAGTATCGTAACGAATGACGTTCTATTCCCGGCACTCGAGGTTGTATCAGACGGTCTAGCATCGGTGGTAGATTCGCACTCCCTACCAATTAGCGGACACACACAAGGAGCAGAAACGTCGCAGCCCACCCAATCCGGACCTAGTTTGTCTTATACAAATGTCAATTATATGCCTACGTACCAGACCACGACAACTTCGGCTGCGACTAAGGGGGACAGCCCATTCCAGGCTACCTCTGATTTCGATGTTGATGGGAAGACCGCCAGTCAATCTTCAACTATCTCCAAGATCATGCCTTTGCCAATCACCTTGTCAGGAACTCCGCGGAACTCGGGCCTTGAAAGTCATGCCAGTGTTGTGTCCACTCTCGGCGATGCCACCACGAGTGTGTCGACTAGCGCCACAAACGTCCCGTCTGGCACATTACTTCCCCAAACGAGTACCAATAACGATGAACACACTTCCGGTACCAAACTTTCTGGACCCACAACTACTGCCAATTCCGGCAGCGGGCCATCCAGCGCCGACGATTCCAGCGGGTCACATCGCGTGTTGAGTAGTAGCGTGGAAATAGCCGCCGGAGCCGTAGGGGGAGCCATATGCATTGCATTATCTATTTTCATTTGGACGAAACGTCTTAACAGGAAGAAGAGATCTGTCCCTATCAAATATTCTTCCCCGCTGAAGGCCGAAAACAATATTGATATCTCGCACTTTTCGTTTGATTCCTAAATAAAGCTTTTCAGCCTATTAAAATAAGCTAAAAACGCTCTTATTCAGTCTAGTTCCTTCGCGCATCCTGGTTACGTGCTTTCCAGGAGGTTGGATGGGCCTTTGAAGGATCACATACAATCTAACTGCGTACGTACTAGCCCATTTGATGATAGGGTTGGAGAAAGAATCCAATACGTTATAGTCCCGCACAATGGATTCATCAAGGCTCCCAATCGGGCATTTCCGCCAGAGCTGGGACTCTAGATAAGTGCCAGTATTGGCCTGTTATAGTTGTATTTTGAAGCCACATATATTTTCTGGATGGAAAATTAAATGAGGCTGGAAGTATTACGGATGTTCTACATTCGAATGGTAAACCCATTAATTTCTGTAAAAAATATTTATTCAATATCCTTGAGTGTTCGTGATGGGGAATTTTGAATTGCGACACTGTTTTCTTATTATCATGGTGTTTATTCAGCAGATTGATTTATTCGAGTTCCACAAGCGATGGCCGCCTATTACGTTTACACCGCCTGCGAGAGCAATTCCCTTCACTGGGAAATATCTGCGGGTACCTTGCATGTAGTTGGTGGTATTGTTTTGATCGATACCTTGTACAAGTTTGACATCTAAGAACTAGTCTCCTGGTATGTTTCTCCCATTTTTGGCCGGACTTTTTATTATGACGGTTACGCTGACAAACCATTGTTGGTGCCTGTACAGGTTGTTCTCGAGAAGCTTGAGCTGGTTCTTGTGCGAATCCTTTTGAAATATTAGAGAAATCTGAGGGTATAAACCCATCAATTAAGCCGATATGGTCGATGTTAAAGGCTCCTCTAGTTTCGCCTTTAGGAGTTCTCATTGAGATATGATCAGACCAGCTATGGTTATTACCATTAGATCGATAGGATAACACGCCACGTAAAGACTTACTTGGGAATTCGCCTTGTACGTTGATGAATTCTGAACTATGTTAGTGGGATAAATCTTCATGTTAACCTTGATGTACCTTTCACATAGCCCTTTCCACACTCCACTCCAGTATTTCATTGTTGGTTATTTGAAGAAGGAATTCACGTTCTTCGTCATTTGGAAATAAATATCAACGGAAAGTCCTGCTGTTCACTATATTTAATCTGCTACGAACTGACTACTTCAACACACCTCGGAAGTTTAACAAACATTTCGTTAAACAAGGTGTAAACATCGTATATTAATTGTAGTATGAATGTGGAAAGATCTTTTTATACACTCATTCTCTGAATCAGTTTAACCAGTAAATATCAGTAAGGGCTGTTTTAAGGTGCTACTTCTAATACCCTAGCTCATTGTTCAAACGAAATAATCATTACGTTTATTGGTCAAATCAATTTCAAGAGTGAATGTATTAAATTCACATCGCTCATCGTTGTATCAGATTGCAGACGCACATAGAGATGGAAACACTGGAAACCATTAACCCATCTACATTAGCACACCATGGGAGGGAAACCTCAGAGGGCAGACAGAGGCAGGTGGGTCAGTACCGGGACTTAAACTTTACAGAATCACGCTACTTTCAATGTGCTAGTTACCAAAAAGGTATTGACGCTATCTAGAAAATAGCGTTTTTGTGTTCATGATGAGCTTCATTTCTGATATATTTACGCCATCCGAGGGCAGATGTCCATCATGTTGAATGGTAATATTCTGTTTATGTAAGCGATGTGTGCGTGGTTTTGACCTGCCTTGTTCTCCAGATGTAATAGACAGATGTGTTTCAAGATTCAGGCGACGTGTGTACATTTAGTTCCTTGTGCAACATTATACTATTTGCATTTCATGATTCTAGTATTGCTCAGAGCTAGCTTCTTCCGCATGTATGCTTTTCGACGCCGATTGAGTCATAGCATCAACAGCCTCTAGTTCGTCGATCTCCGATAACATCGGATTGGTTATCGGACGATCGAGCGGCCTTTGATGACTTCGCTTCGTTTTCTTAACAATCTGCCTAGCGGCAGCAAGAATAGAATTGTCAGAAGCCCCACCCCGAATCTCCCTGATAAGGTTTATATTCAGCGCATCACCATTGTCAAGTCGGATAGCATCCAAAACGGCCTCAAGATTGGAATGAGCCTCATACAGCTGTTTCTTCAACAAAAAATGCTGTTCGAGCTTAGAAATATTGCTATGTTGTTCTCCCTGGTGTGTATATTTAGAATGAATCCAAGATATTCTACCATTCCAAGCTTACTCTGTCGAATACTTCTGGATCACGATCTTGGGCCCTCGTGGATGATAGATCATGACATTTTCTAGCCATTTTGAAGAGTATTGATGATATAGGTCAGTTCAGAAGGCACATACTATTATTGAATTTTTGAGGAACTGCCGTTCCGTCCAGCGGGGTTTTGTGGTTGTTGAGGACCGGCTGGGCTGATTCTTTCAAGCCCAGCTCCACTATTTCCCTTCGTTGAACCTTCATGCACAGAACGATAGGTTGATTTGAAATCCGAACCACTCGGATTAGCTCCGTGTTTTCCGGGAGGCCATTAGGCTGCAATGAGACATCGCTTGCCCCCTCGTAAGGAGTCATCGCTTCCAATCACACACACCACCATGCGCCTAGTGGCCATTATTTATGATTTATTAAAACTATTCGCCCGGGCTCCATCAGCATGCCTTCGAGCACTTTGGGCAATGTTGGTGTCAGCGTTAACCTGGAATACTCCCGGCGTCGTTCTCTTTAATCTTACATTTATGGTGATTCTGGTTACTGACTACGACTATTTTTTAGCTTATAAACATATGAGAAACCCACTGGCATTTAGATAATTAATTCAATATATAGAAAATTAACTAATGCTACTGTAACATCAGCCCTATTCCAACAATTCTCGCTAAACATCCTCCAAAGCGGGTGCTAGTAGTCTAGATGGGTCTAGGTTATATACACTATTCCTTACTCTTATAGATTAGCCCCCAAATCATCCAATTGCTCTGTTCTCAAGAAGAACTTCAACCGGACCCACTCTGGCGGTAAAGTAATCTTGGAAGTCCAGCCCTCTACACTTTGTTTTATGAGATCTTTGAGACAAACCGTCATCATGGAAGTGGAAATTAAAGGAGAGAACGAGAACGGCAACCAAAATTCGCATTTCCATCATCGCCAGTTGCTTCCCCACGCAAGAGTGTTGGCCGATGAGAAATGGGTTGAAAGCTTCTTGCTTAAGTAGCAGGTGTGACTGCGAGGACCATCGCTGCGGAAGGAACGCGTCCGGTTGAACAAAGTAACGAGGATCTTAGAAATAACGTCATTAAGGTGTTAGTTCGATTCGAGATCTACCACTTGAGCTGCGGGAATGAAAGAGATACCTCTATGGATTGCATAAGTTGGGGTCGAAACGAGGGTGTCCCCAGGAATAAGCCGGCCAGCAATGACTGCACCTTCTGGAGGAGTCATTCGTTGGACGCCGCTTGGAACCGCAGGATATAATCGAAGAGCCTCTTTGATACAGCCATCCAAATATGGAGCGTTCTTGCTTAATATCTGATTTGACACTTCTTGAGGTGATGAGCAAAGCCGATCTACCTCTTGTCGCAAGATTTCCTGTTTCTCGGGTTCCTGCGTGAGCAGATATAACAGTGCAGCGAGCGTCGTTGAAGTTGTGTCGCTACCAGCCACAATGGCAAGCTCTGAGTCATAGATCAAGTCATCGGCTTCTAACCCTTCTGAATGTATAGAGGGTGGGAGAAGGAAGGAGAATAGGTCCACTCGCGACGAATTAAACTATACATCCTCAGTATAAGGCTTGCCATACGACGACAGATAACTCACAGTTTTTCTATCCTCAACCTGAGATTTGCACCACCCGATCCATTTGTTTCGCATATGACTAATGACTGGCAAGTTCTGGAATAGAATAAATAGCCATGGAACACAAATCAAAGAGCCTACCACGGGGCCCATTGCAGCCATCTGTCCAAGGATAAAATGAGGTCTTCCTTCTTCAAGCATGCGAAATGATTTTCCAAATACCAAGTCACCCATCACGTCGAAACCGAAGAATTGGATCCATTTAGTGATATCCTCGGGCTGTTGTGTGCGTTTAGACAATTGGTGTGCCATGACAAGACTATGGTGCAGTATGCGTGGTTCATATTGAGATAGTGCTAATTAATGACTCGGTTACTCTTTTGCAGTAATAAATTAGATGGACGACTGGTTGCATACCGCTACTCGTGAAACCCTTTTCCCATACTTGCTTTCGCTTGGAGTGGAAAGATTTGTCGCGTGTCATTTGCAGGGATCGCGAAGGGTAGTTAAGGTCATAGAATGGTCCCTTCGTACATTTTGATCGAATACCGTGAATGTCTCTGATGGCGTCAACATGATTGATTGATATTTCTCGGGGTCCTACTTTCAACAATTAGATCGCAGGCCTTCCAGAACGAGGACCGTACACATATCGTACGAAATTTCTTACGTATACGAACAAAATCTCCATAAAATCTGTGCAGTGTTTGCGTTTTTTTATATAGCTGGAAACCTCTCAATGCAGTACCCATTGACCAAAATCCCGAGAGCCTCGCTCCTAATGGTCCTGGAAATTGTCGTAGACGATGAAAATAGATCCTGTATATGCTCATGCTGGTAAAAACGCCAACACTGAAACCTACCATAGTGGTCAATGTATAAAGAAGAGATTGAAGGTATAACCCTCCGTAAAATCGCAATGTTGCCGCGCATATCAAAGCCTGACATAGGAATATAGACCACATAATTGTCACCACATGTCGCTCCCATTCTCCGCGGGAAAAGACAATGAGATGGATCGTCACCCCTACACATATTGCTCCAGTGAGTGGCATTATTAATCCGGGGAAGGACATCGTCCTGTTCTTGCTTGATATCGGAAGATCACAGGACGGATTCTATTTTGACTAGATATATAGTCACGTGTGCCAAGGTGCGGGGTTACCGTAGGATGACGCTGCGACAGCTTCGCCAAAAAAAGTTTCATGCCTTGAATCATTGAAAGAAAAGATGGCTTTAGAAGCCTCAACAGTGCCCGAGTCGGCAGCGGAGTTAGTTATTGAACCAGATGTATGTCTCGTTTTTGCGTCAATTTAGGATTCTATTGATTGCATAGAGACGTTGTCTGATGAAGACGACAATGACTCCGCCTGTGGGAGAGACGAGTTAGGTTACCCCTTCATGAATCACATTGCGATATGCTTATCTTATTTCCTCAGGTCTAGCAGTCTTGTCTCACTTAACTCCGCCATCACTGAATACGTATACAAGAACGGACGTCGGTATGCCAATTACGGGTCCGGACAGCATATTCTTCCGAATGACGAGGTACACGACTCCCTACGTTATATGATACGACAATATTGAATTCGTAGCACTGACGACACTATAGATGGAATGCGACCGGCATGATTTTTTACAACACATATTCGGCATGCTATTTGGCGGGCGTCTAGTCTTTGCGCCCATTGTTGCCAACCCTTCGCGAATACTTGATATAGGAACCGGAACGGGATTATGGGCTATAAATGTCGCTCAGTAAGCTAGGACACTCAGTAAATCGTTCTAATTGCGAAGAAGGATCCTCAATAACCGGATGACCACGCTTTTGCAGGATGTACCCCTCTGCAGAGGTAATTGGTATGTGTGCTGACTTCTCTTCCATCTTTTGATTCTCCTTGATTCCATCACGACGTCACAATATCGATTCTGATATATAAGATTTCATTAAGGCACCGATGTGTCGCCTATTCAACCAAGCTGGTCAGTACTCCGGCTTGTGTGTTGGCATGAGCACGTCTAAATTGTTTTCGAGACTATGTCTAACATCATGTTAGGGTGCCACCGAATTTGTCTTTTCAGATGGATGATGCGGAGGCGGACTGGACGTTCAGTCGGAAATTTGACCTCATACATTTTCAAAGCCTGAACGGATGCATTCGAGACTGGAAGCGTCTGTTGTCTCAAGCATACGAGTACGTCTAGTTAAACGCAATGGCTTGTAAACCAAAATATGATCCGCATTTAATAAAATATTTCTAAACAGAAACATTCTCCCTGGAGGATACTTGGAAGCAAAAGAGACAGATGTCTATACTAGGTCTGATGACGATTCCATTCCCCATGATACGAGCTTGAGAGAGTGGGAAAAAAATTGTATCCAGGCTTGTGCTTCAATTGGACAGCAGTTAACGGCCCCAGAACATCTGAAGGAGTTGATGACAGAAATTGGATTTGTCGACGTTGAGGAACGACAATTCAAACTTCCAATAAACGGCTGGCCAAAGAATGAAGAACTCAAGTTGATTGGTCGATATCAAAATGTGCAATACTTGGAAGCATTATCGCCTTTTGCTCTCGGACTCCTTGTCGAGGTAGCCGGTTGGTCACGTGAGGAGATGGAAGTTTTCTTAGTAAATGTGAGGAAGGATATTTCAAATAGACGATTCCACGCCTATAACATCGTGTAAGTTTGTTTGTATTCGGTTCATCTGTTCAAAATCTCATCGGCATGGCCCCAGTCGTGTCATTACAGGTCGAAAGCCGTTAGCGAAGGAATATTAATTACAAATATAAGTGCATGTATCTAATACTTTGTCGCCACATTGTTAAAGCCTTTGCAGAAGTGGCATTATGGGTCGAAATTGAAGGAATAAGTTAATAGGGTATGTATATTGAGCGGTAACCGATGTCTAAGGAACACCCCATACCAGTTGGAAATTTCTGGCCACGCTAAAGCGAAGTTATAATCCCATGTCTTTGAGAACATTCTCTCTTGAGTAAGTAAGCAGACAAATCTGACTATATCGACGATTGATGATGCTAACGATTTTACATCGTTAGGCGGACGTTCCCTGAATATTGAATAGAATTAATTGGGTCGCTGAGCCGTATATCTCCTTCTGAATTTTGTTGACAAGCCCCGACGGCACTATCTACCAGTGATAAAAGTGGAGCAGGAAAAATGCAGTCATTAAGCATCATTAGGGCGGCCTCTAAGTGATCCTCAACGCTAGATGATGGGGCGGTTCAAATGCGGTTCAAAGACAAGGTAGCTGAAGACACTGATTGAAGAGATCGTGGCCCGTAAATCTAGCTTCTGTCTTCACTGTTGTTCTTCTGATTCATGGGCGCTACGAGTTGGTTCTGAATTTCTTGCGCAATTAATCTTGTTAAATTTGTCTGAGTCTGAGTATACGTATCCAGAATTTTGGATATCTGACCGCAGGCCTCTTGGAAAGCTTGCATATTCTGTCAACACTCTGCAATAATGGCCAAGATGTGCGCTACCTGTATTTGTCGCACTTACTCAGGGATAAAGCTAGAAATCAGGGGGTGGTAAAACATTTGAACCACCCTCTCCAGGTGGTATAAAGCATTCCGAGTGATGATGTTCTTCGTCGACCGGTAATGTATATTTGGAGATGAACGAACCTAACCTCGGTATTGAGATATCTGTATTCGCAAATCCTTCAATGCCTCTTGGAGGATGGAAGTATCACGGCGAAAATACTCTCCAATCCTTTGAAATGGATCCTCCAATACGTCAAACAAGGATGTTGTATCATGGTTAGAAGTGAATGCAATGTAAAGCTTAGGCCGTTCCACTCTCCATACGCTCATTATGCGATGAAGAATAGCTTTGACAATTTGTCCTTGAGAGGTGAGAGGGCATGTTCTAATCGGAAGAAAATTAAGCACAATATCTAGGCGCTTAATATGTAGCCGAAGGATCTCCACGTATTCAATAACCCGAACGGTCATATCAAGGAGAAGAATGATGCTTGTCCGGAATGCGTTAGTAGAAACATCAGTAGAAACACCTTCAAAATGGACTTCAATACGAAAGGACTGCATCTGTGCCAAAGAGGTTCTTTAACAGTAAATTCCACCCACAGGTTATATAGAGCCTCGGAAGTAACGGTGGTGGCAGTTACAGAAGCATCGCATGCCAATGAAGCAAGAGATGATGGGGACACCAATTGCTGTAAATGCTAGTCGAAGATTCTGAGTAACTGCGTGACGGGTTCACGGCGAAGCGTGAGTGGACTCAGTATCCGGTCATGACAACGTCCAATCATAGCGACTGTGTTTTCAGTAATACGAATGCAAAATTGGGTTTGCCGGTAAAGAATTATGCGTGCCTCTTCATAAACCTGCCGATTAACCAGCAGAATCGCATTTGAACCCCGTCTTGGGTTGATTCCCCTCATTGTTTCTCTTGAACCCTTGGGTAGGATTAATTGGCTTGGAAAGAGGTACAGTAATCGTAAATCTCATACACACACACACACACACACAATTTATTAACGCCCGGCGGCTAAACCGAAAGGGCAACTATCACTAGTCTACTTGTACATTTCCTAATGTGTGCCGTGCCTCCTTAGAGCCCATACATAATTGCTCTTAGTATATGTCATCTCATCTGACAGTATCGTAGCGGATTCTGGTGGGTTAGTAATTTTGTTAGTAGGCTGGCTTGAAGGCGCTTCTTCAAGTGTTCAATATCCTATTCTCGGCAGTTGAAGCGCGTCTACCGTCCCTGGCACGAGGTGGTTGGTGTGGGTTAGGTCGGGAAGAGTGGGTGATCGGTGTTCATCTACATGGTTAAGCAGCGTCGAGTCGACCCGTGGCGATTGCAAACCGTAAGGAGGCCCGTACCGCTATAAGTTTGGGGTCCAGTTTTGATCATCTGATAGTGACTTTCCTCCTAGAAAGAAGGATATGTTGCCTCTGTGGGTGCTGGTGTATTGTAGCATTTCTGCCCGATATGCTGTCCACTTTCGACATCGAAAGAGGAAGTGCTCTACAGTCTCTCTTGCTTGTCCACATGCACAGTGATCCGTTTGCGCTGCGTTGATTCGGTAGAGATACTCATTTAATCGTGCCCTGCCAGTCCGGAGTTGAGCCAGCACGCTCGCTTCTTTCCACGATAATCGATCATACAGCTGTCGGGTGTACTTACCTGGAAGAGCTGCATCCACTCTTTTGACGTGTTTCCCAACTTTCTCTGGAAAGACTTTGCTGGTGCCTACTTGGGATTGTGCGATGTTGAGGGTGGTTGGTTTCATTCTGAGAAGCCCAGTGTATGCGGTGGCGCCTCTTGGGTGGCTGCCCTGGCCTGCTCTTTGGCCAGGCCCAGCAGTTTGTTATCCTTGCTTGTTGGGACCCAAAGGATCGTGATCTGGTTTCCGTTTCTCCGTAGTTTTTTAATCAACTTGTATATTTGACCGACGTATTCCTGGCCCGACTGTTGTCGCGGGTTCCTCAGTGTGAGTGCGGCCGCTTTGTTGCTCAGTAGTGTGATTTTATACAGTTTCAGTACCGGTAGCGTCCTCAATGCGTGTGCCATTGCTGCCAGCTCCCCCGAGTATAGGTTCTGCTCTAGTCTTACGTCAAGTGTGACGGAGAAGGTCTTCAGTTTCGGCTTTTTATACCGGGGCGACTGCTTCTGGACAACGCCACCAAATCCCACCACCTCATTCCGTGCCGAGCTGCTTACCGCGATCTGAATGTGAATGGGTTAATGGTCTCCAGTGTTTCTATCTCTATATTCTTCAGCGCGTCTGCTACTTGGTACAACGGCGCGGTGGAATCTTCTGAATCTCTTGATCCGAGCGGTAGCCCTGCGAAGCGGGTTGGTTTCTGGTAGGGTGTGGATATCTGTCCATATCTTCACGGCCCATCTCCAGAACCGGTTTTGTGCAGTGGCAACGTGAGCCTCTGCTTCTGCCACACTGGTTGCGATGGTGAGGAATGTTCCCACAATCGCTTGCGCTCCGACCCTTTGGACTCGGTTGATGGGTCCGACGGCCTTATCTTTGAAAGCGTGCATCCAGACATTGGACGCATAGTCCACCACTGGGGTAACCGTAGATGTGAATAACTGCCGCGCAGTTGCTGGGGATAGACCTCGGAGTCGTTTGAGCTCCATTGCTGCTTCTAAGCCCTTGGACGCTGCCCTTGCTATGTGTTCCTTGTATTTGAGTCTTGTGTCCATGATTACGCCAAGAATTTTGACATGGTCTTTGGGTTCAACGGTTTGTCCCTTGAGGATGAAAGGCAGGTCCTGTTCTGATTTGTGTGCCTTGGGGGTGAAGTGTATAATGGCGGTTTTCTCTGCTTCAAAGGTCGCTCCACTCCTCCGTTCCCAACCGAGCGCTTCATTGATAATTGATTCAATACCTTTCCGGTTGCTCTGTGCAGTTGGTCCTGTCACCCATGCGGTAAAGTCATCCACAAAAGCAATCGCCCCTCCTTGGCTGTCGATCTGTCGCTGTACTAGGTCTGCGTTGATAGACCCGTGTACAGTCATTCTCGAAATCGGTTTGACCAACAAACAGATGATGAGTATTTGCTTACCCCACTGCTAAGGCTTCAGGGTAGATTGCATTTCCTTTGATTAGGCATCCATTTATAGATGAGGATAAAGCCACCAATCAGTGTCATTCAGCTATGAGTCTAGAGCTTAGCAGTGGGGTCTTGGAATAACTAACACGTGTGTTTACGGTCAAACCGATTTTGAGAATGACTGTACCAACAGCGCACCTTTTCACTTCTTAGTTTCTCAAGAACCTCAAGTTCCAAATAATCCCACCAAAGGATTGCGGCAACTTCGATAAAATGATTCCCCTAAAGAAATTTAAGAGACTCTCATCAAAAACCGACTACCTCCGTTAACTTCCTCAAATGATTGAATGTATCAACTATAACGGTCCGCAAAAATGCAGAAATATCATCGATCTGGAATGCAAGAAAGTCATGGAAGGGTACAGTATACAGTCATTCTCAAAATCGGTTTGACCGTAAACACACGCGTTAGTTATTCCAAGACCCCACTGCTAAGCTCTAGACTCACAGCTGAATGAAACTGATTGGTGGCTTTATCCTTATCTATAAATGGATGCCTAATCAAGGGAAATGCAATCTACCCTGAAGCCTTAGCAGTGGGGTAAGCAAATACTCATCATCTGTTTGTTGGTCAAACCGATTTCTAGAATGACTGTAACAAGTATCAGAAATACGTTCTTTATGTGGTTTTTGCCACGAGTAAAGCAACTGGTCGGGAGTTGCCAGTACTCGTGTCTAGGCAGGAGCACTGCCTAATTACAAGGACTTTAGGTTATAATACGGATGCACTTTGTGATTATTTGGTGGATACAAGAGAACGCATCGGTTCAAAGGGCCGAAGGGTCGAAGCGCCTGTGAGAAGTTCTAACGTTGGGAGGTGCGTTTAATCTGATTTCTAGCTATATAGCTCATCCATTTTAAGCACTATGTTTATAAAGGGTATAAATATGGCTATCGTTTTAAACACGCAGTGGATGTATTTTACACACGGTGGATCCATTTATGCACTATACCCATAAATGGTATAAATATGGTTGATCTTTTTAAACACAGTGGATCTATTTTATACACTATATTCACAAATGGTATAAATATGCTCGATCTTTTTGAACACTGTGGATCTGTTATATGCGCTATATTTATAAAGGGTATAAATAAAGTTTATCCTTTTAAACACAGTGGATCCATTTACACACTATGTTCGTAAAGGATATATACCTGGTTGATCTTTTTAAACACTGTGGATCCGTTTTATACACCATATCCGTGAAGGGTATAAATATGATTTATCCTTTTAGACACTGTGGATCTACTTGATATGCTATACTCATAAAAGGTGTAAATCTAGTCGATCTTTTTAAACAATGTGAGATCCATGTTATGCACTGTGTTCAGAATCAAACAAACTTCTATAAAGAACTCCGTCCTCATTACTTAGCAAATCTCATTTGATTGTATCCGTTAACCCTGATGATCAGCTGGCAATTTGCTGTAGCTGGTGAATTTTTTTTCAACCACCAAACCCCTGTCACAGTCCCCATAGTGTTTGAAAATCATTGTAAGCAGGTAATCCAATCTTGAAAAATCCGTATTAGAGTCCCCACAATGTTGAAAACCATTCTCAGTGGGCTATACAATATTGAATGATCCCTGTCAGATTCCACACAGTGTTTAAACTTCCTGTTACTAAATTGATCTGTTAAACAAGCCTTTCAGTTAGATGTTAAACCTTAAACGTTATATACTGATACTGTATCAATATTATATATATAGTAAAGGTCAGCACTTGATTAATGAACAACTTGTAACCAGTGATCTTACGGTGTTCACATGGACTGACAGTTATTATGAAATAGATTTAGCCAGTAATACTAGCTGAATAAGAAACAAGCAAATATAGTCTTGGCAACTATGATAACTTCAATCCATCGGTCAATAGATCTATATAGATATTAACAGAGTAGTGATGTTTATGCTAGACATCAGTTACAAGACTTATAATATTTATTGTCGATTGCTAGAACTATAATATTTCAATTTATAGTACGAATTAATAAGTCATAGTGTTTATACAGAATTTTTAATCTAATAGGCTCGAAATACTTATATCATCAGAGAATACAGCTGACCTAAACACTATAAATCTGATTTAAACAACATGCTTATAAATGATATAAACATTGCCGATCGTTTTAAACACTGTGGATTCATCTTCAACAGCCTACACGTAAAGGGTATAAATATGGCTGATCATTTTAAACACTGTGGATCCATGTGAAGCGCTATACCCGTAAATAGTATAGTGACCGTCGGTCTACTTGAACACTGTGGATCCAGTTCAAATAATATATCCGTAAATGGTATAGACATCACTGATCGTTTTAAACACTGTGGATTCATTTTATGCAGGATACCCGTAAATAGTATAACCATTGTTGATCATCTTAAACACTGTGGATTCATTTTAACTAGCATGCCACTGATCTACTTAAACACTATGGGTCCATTCTAACCATTATATACGCTGTATAACAGTGAGGAATTGTATTGAATAATCCCTGTCACAGTCTCCGCAGTGTTTACAAGATGTTAGTTCATTATACATTGAATGATCCCTGCAAGAATAGGCGGGCTACCAGACATTTCAAACACCGTGGACACTGTGCAAGGTCTGCATTGAGAACAAACTATGATTTTTAAACACTGCGGGGACTCTGACAGGGATTAGTTGACTTTGTGCATAGTATAGTAAGCCAGCAACCATAGTTTTTAAACACTGTGGAGACTGCATGAATTACTGTATGATTTTTAATCACTGCAGGAACTTCACAGAGACTATTCAACATTACATAGAGAATCAACAAGGATGTTTTTAAACACTGTGGGGACTGTGCGTCAATATTGCATGGCAAACTAACAATAATTTTTAAACACTGTGGATACTGTGTGAGGAATAGCGGTCCGGACTTATGCATATACACAGTGTGTGTGTGTGTGTGTGTGTGTGTGTGTGTGTGTGTATTCATACGCTGTCCCCTCGCCGAAGCGATATGCAGGGTGTTGCTCTAGCTATCTCTATCTATCTAATTACAGTGATCAATTACATACCGACAAATTTGGAGCCTCGTCAAGACCCGTGATGGCCTATGGGCTTGGGGTTCTGTTGTGCGACCCTGGCGGCGCAGCTTCGAAACCTTTCAGATGCCTCCGCAAAGTCCAACGCAGCACCAAGAATGCTGCTGCTTTGTGCGGTGTTGTTGATCTTACCTTCCTTACTTGTTTGTCCTGGTCCCCCTCCTTTCAACATACACGATATATTGTTGAATGCATCCCCAATCTCCTTCGTAGCTCGTAAGTATTTAAGTTTCGGGTAGTCCACCAATACGTGAACCACTGTCTCCTTTGCCCCGACTTGTTTGGCTAGTTTTGGATTGCCTGTCACATAGACATACTGTCGCTCAGGATAGCGGCTGGTAGTGACCTGCTCAAGTGGTCTCGTTGATGTCTCGACTGAAGTTCCCATAGTCTTGTATTCGTAATGTCATCGCCCCCACAGCCTCGGAGTTCCTCAAGTTCCTCAGTAACATGGAGCAGTCAATCCCCTCCACGAGTATTTGATATATATGCTCAATAAGCCTCCGCCTGACGGTTTCATCAGCAGCACGGAAAAGCTTCAGGGCGGACATGGAGTCAACAATAAGACTAGCTTGGCAGTCACGGACACCCTCGAGAGCATCAAAGGCGGCTTTGATGGTGATCCACATTAACCCTTCCATAGTGAGCAAGATCTGTCCTTGGTTATTATGGTCGCCGCTTCGAACAAGCGCGACATTGAGGCGGTGTAGAAAGAGCTTGACTCGTGGCGATCGATCACGGAGACGCCAGATCCCCGTCAGAACAGTGAAAAGAGTGAGGTACTGAGCTGTTTGAAGGGCGTAACGGCTATATATCGAAAAGTTGGGCCATAGATAACGGCAGAGAAGGCCGGATACTAGCAGGAGACGAATTGTTTCATTGAGATTAAGGTTCATTGACGGCGTGAATTCGTTACTTGCGGATGGGCTCGTAAACAGTCGGTCGGATGGGTCGACGGCATTTTCCCCTCTGGCAATAATCTCGAGTATTCGCAAGGCATACCCGAGAGCTTCAGGCCCGAGTACGACATCAGTTGCGGGTGGTGCGGAAATAAGATACGGCATCAAGTGGCTTGTAAACAATATTAAATGTGTTTTGGAGGCCAGAATCATCTTCCTCAGCCCTCCTCTTGTCTGAACGGCTCTTTCGTATCCTCTAAGATGTATATTCGAAGCATCGCGCTGGGATAAGCGTGACTCAGTCATGGTTGCCATGATGAGCATGTCGACCAAGTAGTCAGAAACGGGACCCTTTGCTGGACTGTTAATGAGATTTTTACGCATCGTTTGGTATGCGATTGATTTGCGACGGAATATCGACGCTGACAGGCCCTCTCCTCGGCGACCTGCGACAAAGCCTGCAGCGGCTATAAGCATCCATTGTAGTGTCATCGACGACCGGAGAGACAGGGCAAAACTGATATCGCGGACAGGGTTGAAAACGGCGTCTCCCCGAATTCCATAAACATCTCGCGATACACCGGTCAGGTAAAATTTCAATAATTCTTCATCCTCCTTGGAGAGGTCGAGCCCAGTTGGCAACGCACAGAACAAATTCAACACCGACGCTATCAGCGAGACTTCCGCATGTTGAATGGGTTCGGTCGAGGCCTTTTTAGTTAAGGCAGAGCTGCTGTGCCGCCCCTGGCTGTTTTTTGTCTGTTCACTATTCTCGGGGTAATCATTCTTCGCAGCATGTTTAGACTGCGATGTAGCCTCGACGGGATCTTTGGCAGGCTGTTCGACGTGTCTGGCAGGTTTAGGCGGCGCGCTCGAGAAACGCCAGGAAATGACCTGCGACTGAGAAAGCGCCGGGGTCACATTTAGCCGTCGCGGTGGTGCTTTGCTGGCTCTGGCGGGGTGTAGCACCATGGCGCACGCAGAAACGAGTTGAATATAATGTCATATGATGGGGTTGCTTTTCAGGCCAGGCGCCAGAGATCATGTCGCCTCGATAGCAGGCATTGTTGTTGCTGTCGTTGTTTTGTTCTGCAGAGAGAGAAAGTAATGAGGGGCCGCCGGCGGCGGGGCGCAGTGGGCAATCACGGGCCAGCTCCTCTCTGGGGAAGACGCTTCACTCCCGGCCCCGAAAGTCTTTTCACCAAGAAACAACAGCTTGCTGCAACATGATTATTTTCTAAACTCACTGGAATGCGTCAAGCCAAGGCTCTGCAAGACAACCTCGCTGTTCGCAATGTGGTACAGCGTTCTGCTGGTTACGCAAACATCTTGACAAAATATCAATGAAAACAACGATGCTCACGGACATCGATCAATACGAAAAGCATGGCATTGGGCCCCTGGTGGTGACTCCCTGCATGATAGGGAATGTCGTAGTGCCTTCTCATCTGCCTTCTCATCGATTGTCAAGTTTCATTTTCCATTTTCAAGCCGATAATCCTTTTTAAGTAGAATGCTATATAGGGAACAGATGCCCTTGATCGCAGCCACGCCTTGTCGATTGCGTCAGACAGTATTAATAGTGCCTGTTCAGTGTTTCGTCCTGGCCTACCCCAAACTTGAGTGTTCGGTAGCAGATTATAGGTTTCTGCATAGTATGCGAGGCGTTTTGCGATAACTACTTCCAGGACCTTGCCGAGTGTGTTGAGGAGTGAGATCGGCCGGTACGCTTCCGGGATGGCATAGCCCGGTTTGTTCGGCTTCCGGAGAACCCACAATTCTCACTCTTTTCCACTGTCGAGGGTAATGTCCGAGGTTGATTGATGCCGTGAAGATCTGAAAGATCTCCTCGCTGACGTATGGCCAGATTTGTTTCCACACTCGCGTCGGGATTTCGTCTTCTCCTGGAGCTTTGAATATCCATGCAGATGAAAAACAAGATGTGGGGCTTAAATACTCCGCCTTTGTTGACAGTCGCTGATCATTCGACATCGATCCCCCAAGCTTCTCATGCTTATGTCTGTCATATAGCCCACCATCATGGGCCCCAAAAACCTAATTTCTGAGGACTTCGTCCCTTCGCCACTGACTCTGGACCGGGTCATGGAAGGTAGGCCGGCTCCTACGCAGGATAATCATTTCCTAAAACTTCCGGTTGAAATTCGGTCCTTGATTATCAGATATATCGACACGGACAAGACTAGTCTGGCTGCTCTTGCGCTCGTTAACTGGGATTGCCGTCAGTTAGCGCGATCTTGCCAGTTTCGCGATGTGGTAATTGACTACAGCCCTCGATCCTCCTGTGTTCTTGGTATCCTTATAGGCGAAGCTGCTGAGCGACTTAGGTCAGGGAACGGCCTTACACGCCGACCATCACTGGGGGCATGTATTCGTAGCATAAGGACAAACTCAAACCAGTACTGGAAGGAGATTCGGAATATGCGCCCTGGGGACGACGATGGTAATGTTGATGACAACGATCGTGATGACACTGCTAGCACGAATCAATGGAAGCAATCAGTGGGGAACATGACAACAAGAATTAATCACGTCTATAATCCCAGTTTTTCTCTTGTTATTTCCACTCTACCCCACCTAGAAGCCCTATGCTGGGAGAATGGAAGTACCATTGATTGCCACCTTTTCAATTGTTTGGCAGTCTCAGCGATCAAACATCTCAAGTTGCATGGTAGCATTGAGTCCGAATATGTCACAGTCCCTCTAGACGGAGATCCCTGGCAGCTCGAGAGCCTCGACATCGACATCACGTGGGATTTCGGGTTTCATTATGGGCGCAACATAGCCGACTCTTCCTGCCTTTGGAGTAGTCTTTTTTCGGCATGTTGCTCCTCCTTACGATACCTAAAGCTCAGCCACCGACATTTTCTCAACAGTCAAGATAAGCGAATGTCTTTTACCGCAAATTTTCCTAATCTCCGTTTCCTCCAGATTGAAACCGGTACAATGGTCAGTCAACTGACGTTGCAAAGCCTCCTGCGAAGCAAAAGATTATCGACTTTGGTTGTCGACTTTGACGATTCAATTACGAGGGAATGTTTAGATCAGATGGGATATCATGAGTCCATTCAATATCTTGTCTGGAACAGCTGCACTATCCGTCAAATGGTATCGCTTCAAGTATTGGATCACAATAATCAGTTGACGGGCTTCGCCATTCGTTACAGCCAGTCCACTGCCCTCCTAGACCGCATACTTCCTGTCTTGGCATCATTTCCTAATTTAAGGGTTCTTTCAATGCGGTGGAATGGGATGATGATCCCAAAGTCTTCTCTTATCGCTCTTTCTTCCCTGACCAATCTAGAGCAGTTGCACATCAGTTCCGGCAACCAAACCGGGTGGAAACACAACTGGTTGGTTGATCATGATGCTACACAAAGCATTTTATTTCCTTTGCGCAGACTGAAGAAAATCGCAATCACCTGAGATTCATACCGAATCAATAATGATTCAACGGTTGAAGACGTTGACAATTATTATTCTTTACTTAGACAGGATCTTGATGAACGTATTCGGTTCATGCGAAATTCTCTAGGTGAGAATCTAAGCGAGAATTCTCTGCCAAATGACCTACACTCCAGGTGGGAAACACTACACTCTCGGCGCATGATTAGGTACGCAGAGAAGTATGTCGCTGCCTTCAAGGACCTAGAATGGATCCATCTCGGCCAGTTATCCTTTACTTTCCAGAACAACGCAGAGACGAAGAAAGTGGCTGTCCCGGTTAACCTTGAGAGAATAGATGACTTCCCGGTACTGGACAGTATGTTTGGAGTCTTGTAGATATGCATTGACAGAGAGTCATCATCACCCTGTCATTTCTATTTTGAGTCGTAATGCAAGGACCTGCGGATTTCCTGTTGTGATAGTTTTGCCGCTTCCGGTTTAGTCTCCCATGCGCTGTATTGCCTTCGTTCTTGTTCCTCCGGTTCGGCCAGAATATGGACCGATTCCCGCCTCATATTCCCGATGTCCGAGTCTGGAGACAAGGTCATTGGCTCCGGAAGGAGTAGTCTCGTGTTCGGATGAATTGATCGGATTAAAATCAGCACTGTGCTTCAGGATTACCAAGCACATACAATTTGGAAGAATGTTAAGTCAAATCATTTCAAATTAACTGAGCCCCAGAGTAAGCGTAGGGGCCGGTTATAGGATGGTTCTGTCTTATATAAACCCTAAACCACTCCAGACAGATATCCCCACAATCCTCTCCAAACTTTAACAACTTTTCTTCTATCTCATTCTCGAAATCACCTCCCTAGCAACGATAATGTCCAAAATCATTACCGTTGTCGGTGCCACAGGAACTCAAGGTGGTTCTGTCGTCTCAGCCCTCCAAAAGGACACGACATACAAAATCCGAGCCATAACCCGGAACCCAACCAGCGACTTGGCCAAATCGCTCCAATCCAAGGGAATTGAAGTCGTCCAAGCCGACGCCGATGATCTACCTTCACTGATCCAGGCATTCTCTGGTTCCCACGCCATCTTCGCTGTCAGTGACTTCGTCGCCCCCTTCGCCGCCGGTGGCCCCGATCACGCGGTAGAGGTCGAATCCCAACAGGGCATCAACCTAGCCAAGGCTGCGTCCGCAACGGCTACGCTGCAACATTACGTGTGGTCGACACTTCCCAATAGTAAGACCATCAGCGGTGGACGGATCGTGGTTCCGCATTTTGAATCTAAGAACCTGGTTGATGACTATATTAAATCTGATGCCGAGTTACTGGCCAAGACGACCTTCTTCATGCCTGGCTTCTATGCGGACAATTACTTATTCCCTATGTTGACTCCTATTCCAGTTCCCGGTACCGGTGATTATATGCAGTTGAATTGCACGGGGCCGGATATTCCCATTGCGACGGTGGGACATGCCAAGAATAATATCGGATTGTTTGTAAGGGCGATTCTGGAGAATTCGGACAGAACACTACGAGGGAACGTGGTACTTGGGTCCACGGGAGTGATCAGCCTGGGGGAATTGTTGAAGACTTGGGGCAAAGTGAACGGGAAGCAGACGCATTACGTGCAGACCAGCAGGGAGACGTATGATGCATTGTGGCCGAACTGGGGAGAGGAAATGGCTCTTATGTTCGGGTACTTCGAGCTCATGGGAAGCCAAGCATGGACGGGAGCAGAAGGGGGGAACGTGTTGAAAAAGGATGATTTAGGTGTGGAGGATTTGCTTGATGCGGAATCATATTTTAAGGAAGTCTTGCTCTGACTTTTGCTTTTTTAATTCCAATGTCATCACCGCTACTCCTAGTAGCGGCGGCGGTGGCGGGTATACATACGCTGACCTCTCCCCTTAAATTAGATCTGAGGTCATGTGATATGTATACTGTTAGGCTACTAGTGATAGCCTAGCAGGCAACAGGCAGCTGCTATAATTATAGATAGGTGTACCTGCATTCTTAGTTTTGGTCGAATATCATCATCACTTGTACCTCAGTTCAGGGTTACAACTTCTCGGTGGGGATATGTGGATATACAACTCTACCTATCTAGATTATCACTCTAGAACAATGGTCCACTTCCTAACAATGAATTTGAAGCATCACCGGGACCTGTGGTTGACTAATCTTGGGTCCCGTTTCCTACTTGCATATTCTTACCTGTCTCTGGCCCTTTATAAAAAGGGCCGTATTTTGATGTTCTCACAACTATACGGGCTCGGGCCTCCTTGGCGCCTAGCTTCGAAATATCTGAGATACTTCTGCCAAATCCAGGACCGCTTTGATTGTGCTGTGTTGAGTAGAGCTTGCTCCTTTGCCTTTTCCCTTGCCTCCAAGCAAGGTTGATATGTTAAATGCATCTCCTGCTTCCTTTCGTAGTACTGCTCGTAGAGGACTGAGATTTGAAAAGTCAATCAGAACATGTTTAATCGACTCTATTACGCCACATTTGCATTGGCCATATTCACTGAATCGATGTAGTGAGGTGGTTGAATGTTATGTATGTGATAGCTTCCTGAAGATGGATGACTATATTCCCGCCCTAGTTAACAGCGAGGTTTGCCTTCATTCATCCGCGGAAGCAATCGCAGATTGGTTTCGGTATGATGGCCATACCTTTGACCTTCGATGCTATGAACACGCTTCAATAGGGGCCATTATGAATGGTAACGAGACAGGAGTCTGCGATGATGTGCAAACTGCTGTATATAATTGCAACAACATGTCTAATTTGTGTTTTCGCTGTTGATGGGGTGTGAGCTTGTCTTTTCTTATCAGCCCCCGCCCCCCCACATTTCCCTAATCGACATGGGATCATTTCTCCGTCTATTGCATCAGCATCTTGATGAGTTATAGCCATTCTCAAAATCGGTTTGACTAGCAAACACACGTGTTGGAGAAGCCTAACAGGTTGATATCGATCACTAGGAATGCTCAAAACTGATTGAAATGAATCCAATCGATTGCTGATTCGATCTGCCTCTATTCTAAGAAACGATGACAGTGTATTTGTAGAAAGCGGAACAGCAAGAAGGATGATGACTCCCACGATGTCCTGGAACTCTTGCAGGAGCTGTTGCTGCTCCAGCTCATTACTTTCTTGATCGTCAAACAGTCGTGTCAATATTGACATATATGTCTTATCCATTCTCGATGCACATTTGGCTTGGTCCTTTAGAAGCTCTGCGAGGCGCAGTTTGGGGTTCCCATTTTGAATTTTCGACATCACATAGTGTTAGTTAGTTACTTTAGCCTAACCTTATATAAGCGCCTAAGCTTTTTCTTTAATAATTTCTTATAGGAATTTTTTTATTTTTTAAATCGGAAATTGCTAATAATATTCGTCCCTCTTGCTATACCAAATTATTTGGATTTCCATTGTGAACATTGGCAGATAATCCCCCAGTGTCCCCACAGTCAGTGTTTAATGTTTAAGCATCTCCTGTATACCGGGAACAATCCAACTGGATTGACGCAAATGGAATAGGAACACATTGTCCACTATTAGGAAGTGGGATGTTTTGTTGACAATCAACTACGTCAGGCCCGAAATGGGCGCAACTCGCTTTCCCACCTAGACCACCATAGAAACAGCCATTATTAGAGAAAGTGAACACATCGCAACCAACGTTGTATTCCGATGCGAACAACGGGCTCTCTGAATAGTGGCTAAAAGCAGCTCCTGGAACATCGAAACAATGGCTATCAGAGACGTCAATTTCGATAGTGGTCTGGGAGCCTGAGCAGTTTGGATTTTCCCAAACAGTAGCGTTCGCAATATATCCAGAGGCGAGTTGAGAACTGTAGAGAAATGATAGGACCAGAAGACGATGAGAGTACATGACGAAGGACTAAATCACTTCAGAAGATAAATTTATATATTATTTAGTGTACTCTATATAACATATACTGCTAAAACGCCGTCTACTAATCGGAGCACAGCCCTATTGGGGTTCTCTATCACGTTATATAGTGGCCTAACCTGAACAGTTACAGGAAATTGAATCGGCCTTAATACTTCAAGTATGATTAGCCGACATTTCATGTAGCGTCCAAAGGTTCTTGCGGATTCCTACGTTTTATATTATCAGACCCATAGTTTTTCTGCTGTCCAGCTGTTCAGGGAGCATTAACCCCACTGCCTACTTCCAGAAGTAGAAATTTCAGTTTAGAATTATTTAAATTTTGAATTGTAACTGAAAAACCAGTCTTACATGTCTCAATAATTATGGAAGCCCCATAGTAAAAATTCGACTCACTTATCAGCCTCTGCTGAGGCACCTCATAATATCATGTATTCCAATTAGATCAAAAGGGTGGTTATAATGAAATAAAATCAGTTTATACACTCGGAGGCAAAATCGGTGTCGGGGTTCAAGTGCTAAATATATCCCTATAAGTACTTCTGTATGAACGGTCCAGTGAGATTTAGGGCGTTCGAACCCTTTTATTTCAGGCAAGTTAAGATTCTATGGTCCATTAGAAAGTCCATGCAGTAACTTATCTTTGTGTATCGTTCGTAGTAACGGCTATATGGATATAGGGAAAAGCACATGTAATGTAAAGGTGAATGTCTCCAGCAGCAGGAGAGGACAACCTAGATTTATTGGTCTTTCATTCCGCCCCATGACCTATATGGTGCTAGGTGGTGTACTAAGGGAAAATCCACTCAGAATGCGCTATTTTTATTATTGGTCATATGCTCATTGTTTGTTATTGCTACTGTGTCTTCTTCTATACTAACAGCTTAATGCCTATTACATTAAACCTAATTTTCGTTTTAAATAGTCTGCTCCACCCTGTTTCAATCCTTTCTATTTACCTTCTATTTACTCTCCAGTTCAGATAGAAGCCACTTCCTTTTCAAGCTTATATACACTCGGAGGCAAAACCGGTGTCGGGGTCTTACACTCTTTCATTGTTTCTCAAAGTTGACGCCAAGAAGGGCTAAACTACTTTTGGACAAAGTCCCACACAGCCCTGATTCGCGGTATGACGTATGGTATTGTATCAGACAGATATACACAAATTTTTGTATTTAGGTTCCAACAGACTGGGAAACTATCTAAACTCTGTGGCAAATACTCTTCATTAGGCATTCTGGATTAACAGAAGCTCGAATTTAATAGCTTAGGGCGTTAACTGTCTCTAAGAGAACTAGATTCACATGCTATATAGAATTATCGGTCATTGATATACTAATGTCCAACTTCTCTATTGACCACATAGTCAACATTGTAGAGGATGATAAAGTATTGGGGTGATCAACGCCTAAAATCTTCTTCTGTAGCTGTACACAATCCTTCATTAAGTTAATGGCTTCCACGCCGCGGTCCTGCCGTTTCCACGTAAGGGCAAGGTTATTCATGCTGGTCAGCGTGTCTGGATGCTCCCCACCCAGCACCCTTTTTCTCGTCTCCATCACTTGCACCTCCAGCTCCTCGGCCTCTTTCCATCGGCCTTGATTCTGGTACGTCAATGCCAGGTTGGCCATACTGGTCAGCGTGTCAGGATGCTCCGCACCTAGCACCCTCTTTCTCGTCTCCATCACTTGCACAAACAGCTCTTCAGCCTCTTTCCATCGGCTTTGATTCCGGTACGTCGATGCCAGATTATTCATGCTGCCCAGCGTGTCCGGATGCTCCCCACCCAGCACCCTCGAACTCGTCTCCATCACTTGCACCTCCAGCTCCTCGGCCTCTTTCCATCGGCCTTGATTCTGGTACGTCAATGCCAGGTTGGCCATACTGGTCAGCGTGGAGGGATGCTCCGCACCTAGCATCCTCTTTCTCGTCTCCATCACTTGCACAAACAGCTCTTCAGCCTCTTTCCATCGGCTTTGATTCCGGTACGTCGATGCTAAGTTGTTCATGCTGGTTAGCGTGTTAGGATGTTCTACACCTAGCACTCTCGAACTCGTCTCCATCACTTGCACCTCCAGCTCTTCAGCCTCTTTCCATCGGCCTTGATTCCGGTACGTCGATGCCAGGTTGGCCATACTGGTCAGCGTGGAGGGATGCTCTGCACCCAGCATCCTCTTTCTCGTCTCCATCACTTGCACAAACAGCTCTTCAGCCTTTTTCCATCGGCCTTGATTCCGGTACGTCGATGCCAGGTTGGCCATGTTGGTCAGCGTGTCAGGATGCTCTGCACCCAGCATCCTCTTTCTCGTCTCCATCACTTGCACAAACAGCTCTTCGGCCTCTTTCCATCGGCCTTGATTCCGGTACGTCGATGCCAGATTATTCATGCTGCCCAGCGTGTCCGGATGCTCTACACCCAGCACCCTCGAACTCGTCTCCATCACTTGCACAAACAGCTCTTCGGCCTCTTTCCATCGGCCTTGATTCCGGTACGTCGATGCCAGGTTACCCATGTTGGTCAGCGTGTGAGGATGTTCCCCACCCAGCACCCTATTTCTCGTCTTCATCACTTGCACCTGCAGCTCTTCGGCCTCTTTCCATCGGCCTTGATTCCGGTATGTTGATGCCAGGTTGGTCATGCTGCCCAGCGTGTCAGGATGCTCTGCACCTAGCACCCTCGAACTCGTCTCTATCACTTGCACCTCCAGCTCTTCAGCCTCTTTCCATCGGCCTTGATTCCGGTACGTCGATGCCAGGTTGGCCATGCTGGTCAGCGTGTGAGGATGCTCTGCACCCAGCATCCTCTTTCTCGTCTCCATCACTTGCACAAACAGCGCTTCGGCCTCTTTCCATTGGCCCTGATTATGGTACGTCGATGCCAGGTTGTTCATGCTGGTCAGCGTGTCAGGATGCTCTGCACCCAGCATCCTCTTTCTCGTCTCCATCACTTGCACAAACAGCGCTTCGGCCTCATTCCATCGACCTTCAAGCGAGTATATTAACCCTACCATTTGGATACTATTTAATGTATCTTCATGTTCCAGACCCAGTAACTTCTTCCGAGCTTTCATCGCCCTGACTGACAGATTCTCACCCTCGGCTCCATTTCCTTTTTTCCAGTCATACCATGCCGCCTTATGCAGCAACGAGGCCCACTCCAGTAATGGATCACGTTCCCGCGGTTGCTGCGTGGCTGCAGACTTCGCGTGTGGGAAAAGTACTTGGCATTGTGCCCAGTTCTCATATTCTCCTGTGGGAAATTCTGAATTTAGATTCCGGATATACTGTTGTTTCCACCTTTCCAGCTCCCCATTCGCTTCAAGCCATCTTCGTGTCGCTAGCTGCACCAGGTTGTGCATTTCAAAGGTTGTTCTATCCACACTTATCGAGATAAACAAGTACCTTCGCAGCGCTAGAATATCATTTTGGAACTCATCGGTTATGCTAGATTGTGATTCACTGCCTTCGTCATCGTCGCTACCACTCCGCTGAGCGATTTCCTGATTCGTTCGACCTTGAAGAAGGGCCTCGGGAATCCCTTGACGGTCGAAAAAGCTCATCAGCGACAGTAAATCGGCCGCTGATCGTCGGGTTTGGCGTATGCTGTCAAACGAGATCTGCCAGGTAACGAGGACTGAGTTCTTGGCCTCCCAATCTCGACGAAACTGGCCGTCGTCGTGGTCTAACAGACGGATCTTCTTGCAATCACTTTTCTGGAACTCATTGAGGTACTGTCGCACTGAACAACCTCGATCCGGGTCGGAAATATATGCCGCGGCTTGGACAATTGCAAGCGGGATAAACTCCAATGCTGCTGCTAGCTCAGCAATATCCTGACTCTCATCCTGCTTTCTCAGCTTCTTCTCAAACAAGGCTAGTGCGTGCGCTTCGTCCATCGGTTCGATTGCAATAATGTCGCGCTGTTCCACCAGCTTCAACGCGGCCTCCCTGCTCCGCGAAGTTATCAGGATGGACCCATTCTCGCTTTGTGGGAGATATTCTCGCAGTGGGCGATCAGTTCTGCCATTTTCATGACCAGCCTGACTCTGAACTTTATCGGGGCGGTCGAGGAGGAAATGAGCATCATCAACATTGTCAAGTATCAGGATCCACTTTCCATTCTTGCTATCCCACAGCCAGTCGTGCACAAGCTTGAAGATGTTGGCCTTAGGATCCTGCCGCCCAAACAGCTTGACGGTATCTGCAATCTGCTGATAGCTCTGCTCGAACCGGGCCGCGTTGCTAGCATGGACCCAGAAAACCCATGTTCTAGGATCCTGCGTGTGGGTTTCGTATGCATATTCAATCGCAAGCTGTGATTTTCTTCATCTCAAGTTAGAACGACTGGTTAAGGGCATGGACTTTTGTCATACCCGACACCACCCAAGCCGACAAGCGCAGTCCTGGAGCCTGGTACAGTAGATCTTTGGTGGAGCTGATTGAGGACTGTCCCACGATCGACAAAATCTGGGTCGCGGAGGAACGGGATCGATAGTAGTGGACCAGGAGGAGTCTCTGGACGCTCTGCGCAACCAGGATGCTATCAGCACGGCTCTCTAGTGGCTCTCGATTGGAGAAAACAGTGACTTGCCTGCGGGGTAGTGGTGGTGGGTCTCGACGTTCCCAGCGTTATAGCCAACTTGTACTCCTCGGTTATCCGAGTCCGAGAAGGTAGCATGATACACAGCATGAGCCATTCCGACTTGTGATCATTTTAAAGCCGTGTTTTATCTCGAATTCAAGCCAAACGGAGCGGCATCCCAGATGGGGATGATCTCCCTCTTAAGTGAAATAGACACAAGTGTTCTATTTATAGTTCCGCCAATGACACCTCGAAATATGGTGGCAGGCGGGATAGTTGGGCGCGATGGTCCAGCTACTTGCACCTTCCGAGCTACCGTTGGCTGATCTTGATGCGGAAGTGCCTAACATCCGTGCCGCATGTCTACAACCCCCACAATAGACTGACCTGTGTTCTACTCATACCTGTCAATCCGACGTACTTCTGCTTTACAGAAAGCACATAAGCGTCTCTTCATTTTATCACACGAGTCTAGAACACATGGATCCGTTCAGCATCGCTATCGGTGCCATTGGCATTACCGAGTTCGCCATTTTCAGTATCAATCACCTTCGTGATTTGATTGGTAGCCTCGCAGAAGCGAAGGAAGTGGTCCAAGATATCGCTTCAACCCTGGAAGCTATCCAGCGTCCGCTAGCCGCTCTTGAAGAACTTCAAATTTCCGATAGCGCGACTTATGCCGAGGCCAAATCAGATCTCGAGAAGACTGGCGTTGCGGACGCGGTGAACAAATGTGGTCAGGCGTGTGCTGATTTTAGCAAGAAACTTCAGCAATGGACAAAACATTCTAGCAGTACAAAGCTTTCTCTTCGAGATCGCCTTTCTGTCAGCGTATGGAATAAAGAAAAAATCGGTGCATTCAGAGTGCAGATTCAATCCTGCCAGAATATCGTTCAGTTCGCTATCGAAAGCACTCAGCTGTAAGGGATCCTCACAAAGTCTCTTCCCAATCTATACTAATGCTCTGAAGACTTATTCAGCTTCGCTCAGAATCCACCTCTAGAACGGATCGTGAGAAGCTGAAGAGCCAATTACAAAACTTGGAGAAAGCCATCGAGGAACATATTGATCTCTCAAAGAAGCAGCAAAATGAAGTCCTGAAGCGCAAGGAAGAACTTCAGGAGGAGCCAGAAGACGAAGAAGATGGCGGCGCCCAACGAACTCTCGCAATGAGAGAAGTTGAAGAGCAGTTACGCTTCCTAGAGGCTGACCAAGCTGCCTCTGGAGTTGTGTCATCGCAATTACAATCTCGATCGTTAGGCCAGGGCAGCGGCAACACATATAGCGCAGTATTTTCAGGTAGCCACAACAGTGGCATGCAAGTTGGCTACAGCGCGGGTACTATCAATTGGAATGCGCATGGCAAAAACAACTAAAGGGGGATGACGGTGAATCCTCGTGATTCCTGACGCAGATGCAGTGCACGCATCTAAACTCTCGGATTCTGTCTCAATCCTTAATGGCGCAGTGCACCAAACTATATTGGGTCAAGTCTCCGATATAAGTAGATTCCTGATATTTACCGAAACAGTACAAGACTGCAAAATAAGATGATGTCATGTGTTTCTCTTGTACTGCCTCAGTATTTGAGGTCATGCTCCCTGGAAGGTTCCATGCAAACCAGGCAAACCTTAAGTATGGGTGCCTGGCAGATGTGACCAGTTTAGTCTGCGGTCAGCTCATTACATTTTGTCATATCGTGGATCAATTCCAGAGTGGATGCGACAAGATTCAGTTCCATATCGTTAATATGCTCAGAACTCGATGATCAACATGATCTTCCGCAAATTTGCGTGGTGGGTGAAAGCAAATCAAGGTGGGGCATCTGTGAACTACGGAGTCGTGGTGGTCGATTTGTGGTTCGGCTCGGTCCGCTCTCGGTCCCAATCTGTGGCCTTTGTCGGAATATCTTTGGTCCGAGCCAAATGAGTGAGCTGCGCCCTGCCAGAGGTGTTACAAGGCTAGCGGGCTCCATTTCACTCAAAAAAGTTATCCATCCTGATCATGAAAAACAGAGGAAAGCTTCATATTTATCACAAGTCGTAATGGGTCATATTGAGAACAATGCTACGTTCACAGGCTCGCATAACCGAGGAGTACAAGTTGGCTATAACGCTGGGAACGTCGAGACCCACCACCACCACCACCTCGCAGGCAAGTCTCCACTGAGAGCCACTAGAGAGCCGTGCTGATAGCATCCTGATTGCGCAGAGCGCCCAGAGACTCCTCCCGGCCCACTACTATCGATCCCGTTCCTCCGTGACCCAGATTTTGTCGATCGTGGGACAGTCCTAAATCAGCTCCACCAAAGATCTACTGTACCAGGGTCCAGGACTGCGCTTGTTGGCTTTGGCGGTGTTGGGTGTGTAAAAATATTCCATGCTCTTTGCCAGTCGCTGCTAATTCAACTTAAAGGAAATCACAGTTTGCAATTGAATATGCATACCAAACCCACAAGCAATCTCCTACAACATGGGTTTTCTGGGTCCATGCCAGCAACGCGGCCCGGTTCGAGCAGAGCTATCATGACATTGCAGATACGGTCAAGCTGTTTGGACGGCAGGATCCCAAAGCTAACATCTTTAAGCTTGTACATAACTGGCTGCGAGATACCAAGAATGGGAAGTGGGTGATGATACTTGACAACGTCGATGATGCTGATTTTCTTGTCAACATACACCATGATAGCTAGCGTCAGGCAAGTCGACCGCTGCGAGAGTATCTCCCGCAAAGCCAGAATGGGTCCGTCCTGATAACTTCGCGGAGCAGGGAGGCCGCGTTGAAGCTGGTGGAACAGCGCGACATTATTGCAATCGAACCGATGGACGAAGCGCACGCACTAGCCCTCTTTGAGAAAAAGTTGGGAAAGCAGGATGAGAAGCAGGATGAGAGTCAAGATATTGCTGAGCTTGCAGCAGCATTGGAGTTCATCCCGCTTGCAATTGTCCAAGCCGCGGCATATATTTCCGACCCGGATCGAGGTTGTTCAGTGCGACAGTACCTCAATGACTTCCAGAAAAGCGATCGCAAGAAGATCCGCCTGTTAGACCACGACGACGGCCAGTTTCGTCGAGATTGGGAGGCCAAGAACTCAGTCCTCGTTACATGGCAGATCTCGTTTGACAGCATACGCCAAACCCGACGATCAGCGGCCGATTTACTGTCGCTGATGAGCTTTTTCGACCGTCAAGGGATTCCCGAGGCCCTCCTTCATAATCGAAGCAGACAGGAAAACGCGGAGCAGAGTGATCGCGACGATGACGAAGGCAGTGAATCACAATCTAGCGTAACCGATGAGTTCCAAAATGATGTTCTAGCGCTGCGAAGGTACTTGTTTATCTCGATAAGCGTGGATCGAACAACCTTTGAAATGCACAACCTGGTGCAGCTAGCGACACGAAGCTGGCTTGAAGCGAATGGGGAGCTGGAAAAATGGAAACGGCAGTATATCCAGAATCTTAATTACGAATTTCCCACAGGAAAGTATGAGAACTGGGCAAAATGTCAAGTACTTTTCCCGCATGCAAAGTCTGCGGCCACGCAGCGACCGCAGGAACGTGACTCATTACTGGAGTGGGCCTCGCTGCTATATAAGGCGGCGTGGTATGACTGGAGAAAAGGAAATGGAGCTGAGGGGGAGAATCTGTCAGTCAGGGCGATGAAAACTCGGACGAAGTTACTAGGCCTGGAACATGAAGATGCGTTAAGTAGTACCCAAATGGTAGGGTCAATATACTCGCTTGAAGGTCGATGGAATGAGGCCGAAGAGCTGGAGGTGCAAGTGATGGAGACAAGAAAGAGGGTGCTGGGTGCAGAGCATCCTGACACGCTGACCAGCATGAACAACTTGGCATCGACGTACTGGAATGAAGGGCGATGCAAAGAGGCTGAAGAGCTGGATGTGCAAGTGATGAAGACGAAAAAGAGGGTGCAGGGTGTAGAGCATCCTTCCACGCTGACCAGTATGAACAACCTCGCCCTCACGTGGAAACGGCAGGACCGCGGCGTGGAAGCCGTTGACTTAATGAAGGATTGTGTACGGCTACAGAAGAAGATTTTAGGCGTTGATCACCCCAATACTTTATCATCCTCTACGACGTTGACTAGCTGGTCAATGGAGAAGTTGGACATTAATATATCAATGGCCGATAATTCTATATAGTATGTGAATCTAGTGCTCTTAGAGACAGTTAACGCCTGAGCTATTAAATTTGAGCTTATTTTAATCCAGAATGCCTGATGAAGAGTATTTGCCACAGAGTTTAGATAGTTACGCAGTCTGTTGGAACCTAAATACAAAAATTTGTGTATATCTGTCTGATACAATACCATACGTCATACCGCGAACCAGGGCTGTGTGGGACTTTGTCCAAAAGTAGTTTAGCCCTTCTTGGCGTAGACTTTGAGAAACAATGAAAGAGTGTAAGACCCCGACACCGGTTTTGCCTCCGAGTGTACCAGTGCTCTTAATCTTGAAATTAAAGGCAAATTTCTTCTAACCAAATAGTAACGCTATACTATCCTATGCGTATTAAACTTTAAATGATGTATTCTTCTCTTCATTCCGATTTCTAATGAATGAATACCTACATACATTACACACAGAAGTCGTTCGGTTAAGGATCAATTCTCCGTTTGGTGATATTCAACCGTGCGCTTCTCGAAGATCGGTTCTCTATTTGATGGCATTTGCTACTGAACCTGTGCCTCTGGTGGCGAGGCATTGATTCTCTATTTTTTATTCGACTCGGTGGCCTGTTTCCATTGTGATTAGTGTCCTAAACTTTACAGGTATCAATAAAACCAATATCAGCCTATCAACAGAAACTCCATAAAGTTGTTAGTACAAAATAAACATCTTTGTTTATACTGGTGGAATCAATTTAAAATTTCAGCAAACTAGGAACGTAACCCTTAAACACTGTGGAGACAATGCAGGGATTAAAATGGGCTAGTAGTGAATATTAATGAACATTTTAAACACTGTGGAGCTCTTGCATGAATTAGAGCAAGCTAGTAATGAACATTTTAAACACTGTGGAGACAGTGCAGGGATTAGAGCAAGCTACATTTTAAACATTGTGGAGGCTGTGCAGAGACTAAGATAATGTAAGTTGTGAAAACATTTTGAACACTGTGGAGCTCTTGCAGGGATTAGAGCAAGCTAGTAATGAACATTTTAAACACTGTGGAGACAGTGCAGGGACTAAGATAATGCTAATCGTGAACATTTTGAACACCACGGAGACAGTGCAGGGGTTAAGATAAGCTAGTAGTGAATATTAATGAATATTTTGAACACTATGGACCTCTTGCAGGGATTAAAGCAATCTAGTAATGAACATTTTAAACACTATAGAGACTATACAAGTGTTCAGAAGTTGCCAGTTCATGTGTCTAGAAGGTGCACGACTTAATTACAAAGACCTTAAATGATAATACAGAAGCACCTTTGGATTGGCAGTATCCCGCTTCCAAGAAATAGATTCACAGTGTCTGCATAACCGTGAAAATGCATAATATTAATGGCATTTGAAAATTATCGCTAGCTTGCTTATTGTCAGGATATAGAATCTTTAAAGTGTTTAGAATATAGAGGAGAAATTAGTCTAATGGTGGGGCAAGCAAATAGCAAATTTTTTAAACACCCTGGGGACCTTATAGGAACTCCATGAAGTTAGTAAATACTGTGACGTGAGTTGTTACCCCCTATTATAATGTTGATTGTTAGTTCTCTATGCAATGTTGAGTGATCCCTGCGAAGTCCCCACAATGAATTTATGCATAATAGTGTTTAAAAATCGATTTTAGCTCATAATGCAATATAAAATGATCCATGTCAGAGTTCTCATTATACAATATCGAATAATTCCTGTATGGTCCTCGCAGTGTTTAAAAAATATCGTTGCTGGCCCGCCTATTCTTGCAGAGATCGTTCAATATAGTATAACGAACTAACAATGACTATAAACACTGTGGGGACTATGTGTCAATATTGCATGGGAAACTAACCATAATTTTTTACTGGAGGGACTGTGAAAGGGGTTATTGAACATGATTACTCACTGTCGTATATAATGTTAGAAATGGCTCCATAGTGTTTAAGTAGATCGGTGGTGTTTGTGTTGAGTATACTGATCTACAGCGTAAAATGGTCGGCAATATTTATACTGTCTGTGAGAATGTAGTTCAAGTGGATCCACAGTGTTTAAAGTGATCGGCATCGTTTATACTATTTACGGGTGTGCTGCATAAAATGAATCCACAGTGTTTAGTGTTTAAAACGATCGGCAATATTTATACGATTTACGGATATATTATTTAAACTGGATCCACAGTGTTCAAGTAGACTGGCGGTCTCTATACCCATTACAATATAGTGCTTCAAATGGATCCACAGTGTTCAAAATGATCGGCCGTATTTATACCCTTTACGTGTTATGCGTTGAAAATGAATCCACAGTGTTTAAAACAATCGGCAATGTTTATACCATTTATAAGTATGTTGTTTAAATCAGATCCACAGTGTTCAAGTAGGTCAGCTGTATTCTCTAATACACTTGAAGATGAGACGTGGAAGGAAACTCTAGTTAAGACACATACTCCTAGTGATGACCTTTAGGGGATTGTCGTCCGCAGTGGTTACAATTGATTAGAGAGTGGTGATTGTGAGGCTTGGAGGCTGCTATAATGAATATGTAACCCCTGTCACAGTCCCCACAGTGTTTGAAAATCATTGATGGCCGGTAACACAGTGTTTAAACTTTGAGTTAGTTTGTTATACAATGTTGAATAATCCGTATCACAGTCCCCATACTGTTTAAACTTTCTGTTGCTAAATTGATCTGTTAAACAAGCCTCTCAGTTAGATGTTAAATCTTTACAATCTTATATACTGAAACTGTGACAATATATATATATATAGTATAACTCAGTACTTGATTGATGACCGACTTGTAACCAGTGATCCTACAGTGTTCATATGGACTGACAGGTATTATGAAATAGATCTAGCGAGTAATACTAGCTAAATCAAAAACAAGTAAATGGAGTCTTGGCAACTATCACGACTTCAATACATCGGTCCATAGATCTATATAGATAATAATAGAGTACTGATATTATGCTAGACTTCGGTTACAAGACTTGGAGCACTTAGATTTGCTCGGCCTACAGTATTTGATCTATAATATGCATCAATAAGTCACAGTGTTTATACAAAATATTTAAACTGATAGACTCAAAATATTTATACTATTAAAGAATACAGCTAGTATAACCATTGCCGATTGTTTTAAACACTGTGGATTCATTTTCAACGCATAACACGTAAAGGGTATAAATACGGCCGATCATTTTGAACACTGTGGATCCATTTGAAGCACTATATTGTAATGGGTATAGAGACCGCCAGTCTACTTGAACACTGTGGATCCAGTTTAAATAATATATCCGTAAATCGTATAAATATTGCCGATCGTTTTAAACACTAAACACTGTGGATTCATTTTATGCAGCACACCCGTAAATAGTATAAACGATGCCGATCACTTTAAACACTGTGGATCCACTTGAACTACATTCTCACAGACAGGTATAAATATTGCCGATCATTCTAAACACTGTGAATTCATTTTATGCAGTATATCCGTAAGTAGTGTAAGTTTTGCCGACCATATTCAACACTATAAACTCATTTTAAATAGCATACTCAACGTAAACACTACCGATCTACTTAGACGCTATGGATCCATTTTGAACGTTATATTAAATAATCTCTATCACAGTTCCCACAGTGTTTACAAGTCATTGCTCTGATAAAGATTGGTTGATTTTGGACATAGTATAGTCAGCCGGCAACGATATTTTTTAAACACTGTGGGGACCAAACAGAAATTATTCGATATCGTATAGTGGGAACTCTGACATGGATTACAGCACTTGGTGATAGTGACGGAAGAATTGTTTCCGAATTTGTTTGACGCTCCAATGTATATACCGAGGGTGTGAAAGAAGATTGAGTTCTCTCTTTGTCCAACTATGACATCGTCCTTTCCCAGGCCGAAATAGTGCTCTTGTTTGAGATAGAGACGACATTTTTGGCGGTGTAAGTTCTGAAGGTCATTTGGGGAAGATGATATCAGGTTGTTCAAACTCTGTAGACTTGAGATAACCCCTTTTAAAAAATAAGATTCTCTTGTACGTTTTACGTCTTTATTCATGTTAGAAATAGTATATGTAGCCTAAGAAATACTTTTGGTTCAATTTATCATAAATAGTTAATAGATTAGTATAGGATTGATGTTTAAATTGATAAATTTAACTTGTTTATGCTATTAGATCTACTCTATACAGAGTCCTGTGTGTAAGCCTGAACACTGTGGATCCATTTTACGTGCTGTATTCGTAAATTGCATAAATATTGCTGATCTTTTTAAATACTGTGGATCAATTTTAACACTATAACACCATGGAGATGATTAATTAACATTGTAATGCATAGTAACAAAGTGTGCTTAAACACTGTGGAGACCATGCAGGGATTGATCACTAGTGGTCGCATGTGGTAACAAAGACTGTTTGAACACTGAGGGGATTAATCACTATTGTAACAAATAGTAGTAAAGTGTGTTTAAACACTGTGGAGACTGTATAGGGATTAATCACTATTATTAACATGTGGTAACAAAGAATCTTTACATCCCATGGAGAACTATGTGGAGAATATCAACATTATATGTGGTAGAAATGAACTTTTAACCACTGCAGAGACCCCAGTATTTAACAACCCCGGGAAGTTTTCATGAGGTCTCCACAGTGTTTGAACATTTGCTACTAAGTCGCCCTGCCATTGGACTAGGTTCTTGGTTGTATTTTAAACACTTTAAAGATCCTATAAATTGACAATAGGGAAGGTAGAAACTGTTCATACCATAAAGCGTGATAATGAGCTTTTAAAGACTGTGGAGGCATGGTAACAAAGAATAGTTAACCACTGTGAATGTCGTGCAGGGATTATTCAACATTGTAATGCATGATAAGAATGAACTTGAAAATACTGTGAAGACCCTTTGTAACACATGGTAACAGTGAATTTTTGAACACTGTGGAGGTATGGTAACAAAGAATATCTAAACACCATGGAAACCGTGCGGAGATTAATCAACATCGTAATATGGGGTATATGTATGTGCTGCAGTGCTTACTAAAAAATGAAGTTAGAAGAGGCACTTGAAGGTGAGACGTTGAAGGAAACTCTGGATAAGACACATACTTCTGGTGGTGGCCTTTAGGGAATTGTCGTTCGTAGTGGTTACAATTAATTAGAGAGTGCTGATTGTGAGGGCTTAAGGACTGCTATAATGGAAGAAATTAAAGGGGAATCTTCAATAAAAACATGACGCGAAAGTTTCTTCGAGTTGGTCCGAGGGATCCTGTTGACTAAGTAACTACCCGTCGTTGGTTTGATGAAGTCGGTGCTGGCTTGTCGAGGTTTGATGTTGAAAAGGACCTTCAGTGGCCGCCATATCTGGCTGGGTTGACAGCCCCGCCATCGAGAAGAAGTAATTGTTGCTGGAGATTGGACCGTCGATCAGAGGCTAGATTTTGGGAGTCCGAGATGGGCCTCGATCAGATACGATTGAAGAGGAGATTCGGAGTTGAGATACTCAGAAGCCAAGCAACATAGAGCAACAAAAAGATCTCTTATAAATAAAAGAAGGGTGTAAATGAATCACAAGATCGAAGGAGATGCGATATGTAACGAATGTGAAGTAAGAAGCAACGGTAATGACTATTCAAAGAATGGAGATGGCAGGCCAGCTGCCCCTGATTCAGAAAGAAATATCTCTAATGCTGGATTCTCGGCCATATTTATGCTTCACTTACTTACAAGGGACAGAATTAGCTACATAACTGTGGGTCTTCTTTGATTGGTGCGAATTGACCATCCTGCATATGAAGTCGACGTTAATTATAAGTTTTTGCTCTTCAATTTTCATGTATGCTTTAGTATCTTGGTCAATATCAGCCCAAAAATTATCTACGGATATGGTATAGATGCTGTCAGTCCACTTGAACGCGTAAAAAAGTCCGACACCCCTGCACAGTCTCCACAGTGTTTAAAAATTGCATTACTAGCTTGCTCTAATTCCTACACAGCCTCCACAATGTTAAAAAATTTGCTTTTAGCTCGATCTGTAATTAGAATAGTTTCTTCTCCATACACATTCTAAAGATCCTATATCTTGACAATAAGCAAGCTACCGATTTTCGAATGCTGTAAATATCATGCATATTCACAGTTATGCAGATGGATCCATTTTAAGATACTTGGAAACCAGGATAAATACTGCTGGTCCTTCTAAACACTGTGGGTCCAGTTTGAACAAGAGCGATGGAAGGAGGCCGAAGATTTGATTTACAATACTCATTACTTTGCAAAAGCCGGTGCTAGGAAAAGCTAAACTTATGTTAGATAGATTCCAAGTGACCTAGTTTGCGATTTGACATTATATTACGGTGGTTTGCACAATCAGCTTGACAGTCTCGGATTGTTGCTCATTTCCCAGCATCCGGTGCTAAACCCAGAACGGTTAGAAAAACCATTCATAGCCAATATAAAAACATTATTCTGATGAGTAAGACGTTTAGTTGCCAGCGTACCGCCTTTTCATCAACGCAAAATGATTGATTTTGTCAGGCTGAATGTGCAAACCACTGTATACAGGACCTGACACTTAAACAGAGTACGCATAATAAAGTCCTACCTTACCTAACTGTTTTCCTACTACAGACGGTGGTTACGATTAGCATCGTACAGATGTGTTGAAAACAAGTTCCTACGGACAAGAAAATTATCTAAAGTCGTTAAGTAGCAGATAAAATACTTTCATTTGTCAGTTATCCTTCTGAGCGTAGTTATTGTGTGACCCTTTTCCAGTAACTTTGTCCCGGTCACTATTATCTGGTCACCCTATCATCCACTTAAATACAGTTGGTGATAAACTAGTCTGAAAGGTACGGCAGCTACACCATAAACTTCTCCTGTTTGGCGAAGACTTCATGACTTCGTCGTGTTGTCCCGGCCCTAAAAATTCATTTAAAGCTAAGTCTTGCCTACCTTTTCTTTTGTAATTAGCCAAATAAAATACGATCTGATTTACGATGTACTTAACTCGTCTGAGCAAGAATGCTTTGGCCACACAAAAGCTCAAGCCGTCGGATCAGAAAGCTTTGATAGCTAGCCTGATGTCAGACCAAACTTCCAAGCAATCAATGAGACAGATTAGCAACACTCCGATGCCGAACATCCTTTGTACGCTTTCTGATCCAGATGTTCAAGGCGCCATTGAATGCGGCGAAGGTCTAATCAGAGACAACCTGTCGACATATATATACCAGAATTTCACCATCTGGCAGAAGGAAGGCTTTTGGTTTCACAATTCTCCATCTCTTTCAGCTTCAACCCGCTCAATCGAGGAAAGAGCTGGATATGCTTTTCGACATGCTTATACGCTTCCGGAATCTAGATCGGACCGCAGACTCCGATTGTTTGTCTCGCAAACCTTGCTATACTTTTCCTTAAAACTACTGATGCGAGAAACCAAGCGAGAGATGGAACATGGAATGCTAAAAAATTCTCGTTGGCAGACTGCTGCGAAACTCTCTATGGACCGTCTTTTGGCAGTTGCATATCCTGATGAGTGGGATACGATGAGCATCTCGCAAAAGGATACCCTGCGAGTGAAACTTCATGAGTTCAAGAGACAGGGCAGCCGATGTTGGCAAGCAGCAGGAGTACTAGGCATTGGGGTTCTGATAGCCTGCGGAGACACGTTAGCTAAGGTGATGTAGGTCTCACGTACAAATTCCGCAGTTGAATCTTCACTCATCTCTATTCAGCAAGAACCACAAGAAATATCCTATTCAAAAATTGGATATCGTCATAAATTATGTTTTCAATGCTCATCCAGATGTAGTAAGCATTTACAATGGCTTCGATGAGTTGATGACGCAAGTTCTATGCGGAGATACTGTCACAGCATGGCCATCAAGGCAGGTAATTAATGATAAAGTAGCTGCAACGATGTTGGCTGTTGACGCGAGAAAGACAACCCCACCTCAGCCCAATACCTCGCCAGCAGACACAGACCCCCTTAAGAGAAGCTGGCTGGATGTGGTCTTGCAATAATCCTACGGTACTGCGTGATGAGAATAGCATTTTGCTCCCTCTTGTGCTTGTCAGTCGCGACTTGTTTTGAGTGGACTCAGAGTAATTGACACAGGGTGGGATGTCGGGTTTAGGCTCTATGCTGGATTAAATCCGATGTTCCATGTTTGTAATATAGCCGAAAATCATTACCTACCACTCTTCTCAAGTACTTGAAATCGAGCTATATTATTCCTAAAGATCGCAACGATATTTTGATCGTTTTGGTGGTCGGTCGTGAGGCTGGACTAGACTTGATCGGCGAGACAGGTAGAATTTATTCGCGTGTAAACGATGCCCTGATTACCAGTCCATGATCGTACTGTAGCGTAACTACAATTTATTATAGTTTAACTCTTAATACCATCCTTATCACCCTTTATTCTTCTAATTCATCCTGATTGATTCCGACGCTTAGAAGTAAGAGCACTACATAGCCCGAAACGACTCAGTCCTACCACGCCTTCACTTCAAACAGGTCCCGCTGTCCTGCATATACGAAATTTCATTGACCAAATTGAACCAGGCCCCACACGACCAGGGAAAGGACTCACTCTGCAGCTTCACATTTCGCTCAACGTAGTACATGACCGTGGCGGTCAACTGAACCAAAGTTTCACTCTACTTCACTACCGCCTACAGGTGACAGTCTACAACAACTCAACTCGAACCCCTCACACCTTTCCAGTTACCATATACTTCAAAAAAGGAGACCGGTGGTCGAATTTCCCTCCCCTAACGTCACAAACTCAGATTTTTGTCACTGGTCGTATTTTTGGTGTAACGAAGGAAAATCTCCAACTGGAAGCCAAGGTCCGGCTGGTAGGGAAACAGAGAAGGGAGGGATGGGGGGCCGTAAAAAGAGAGTCGGATTCGAGTTCTGCAGCCAGTAGTGAACAAAATATTTATCGGGCATCCGCAAGCTGTTTATTGTTTTTAATTTCTTTCCACTCCAACAAAAATAGCTGGGCCATCGGTCAGAATCTTGTTGCTTAAAGCCTGATACAACACAGGACATGAAAAGCCTTTACTATGTAGCAGGATAGATATGAAAATCAAGCCTGTATCAAGAGTATCAAAACAGGAGAAAACGATTAATGTAGCTACCTGCGGCCACAATCTCTAGTCACAATGCTCAAAGTAATATAGTAAGCTTTCTGTTGCGGTGTCCATCATTATCTGTGTATCAACCCACTCGATTGTTTCAGGAAGAACATTGAACTGCAAGTGTAATGGGTCTATCTGGTCGGTCCAGTCTATAATATGATTCGTAGTCAATGATGCATTGACTAAAAGTGGTTGAATAATGTCGTCAAGTGACTGGAAATGAGCTATAGCGTTTGGATATGCGTTTCTCATGTAATTTACTAAGAGCTCGAGTGAGCTATCAGTGAACTTACGATTCTCCCTAATATAACATAAGTACCCAATTTCTCAATGCAGGGGGTGATATCATACATATACCTCGCCACACCTGGTCCACCAGCCAGGATAACAATGATGCCAGTACCACTTCCAAGCCTCCACCATCGCTTGCCACAGCTTTTGTTATTTGAGATCTGCTCCTGGGAGCAATTTTTGCCATTCACCGACAAGTCACCAATCTCTTGTAATATGGACTTATGGGCCATACCTGTAAAATTACGATGATTATGGGCGATGACTTCCCCATTTTTCTCTCTCTTGTCGAGCTGTTTCACGTCATTCTCGACGAAGACGAAAAAAAGCACTTGAGCTAGGCGGCGATATACCGACTTTCGTTGCCTGTCATTATTAGTTTCCATCAAAAACCGAAACATTGAGGTAGAAATTTTTGCTGAAGGAAGATTGTGACAAGATGGAAGCACAACCCCGTGTTGTTGGAAATCTTCCCACAGCCACCCCTCCAAGTCATTTAAAACAATGGCAGTGTCACTAATTATTCTATCACCTAGTCGGTAAATTTCACGCCACTCCTCATCGTCAATAGGTTGATTGACCAGAGATCTAAAGAGATCAAACCGCGCTGTCTCTGCTTCAAATGCAAACGAAAGTTCGTGTTCTTCATTTGGACTAGTATTGGTCGAGAAGCCCGAAATGTTTGAAGACGTAGTGGAATAGATCTCTGGGCTTGTTGGTGACCATCCTAGGGATCTAGGAGAATATTGGGGTGAAGGAGGAAATTGCCTGTTGTCACTAATCGTCGGACCTGTGGGATTGTATGTCGGAGAGCCTGGGCTGAAAGTGGGAGACTGATGACCCAAATCAGGCGAGGATGGACTGTAATTTGGTGATGACAGCGAGAAGGGTGGTGAAGTAGGGGCGAGCTCTGTATCAGCAATAGTGATATCTCGCTCGAGCTCCGCATTAGCTAGACGCTTGAAATATGATTCGCTCTCTGTGATGATGTCGAGAATCAACCGAAGCAAGCACTTGCTAACGGCGGAGTAGTTTCTACCTAGCGCAGATGTGTAATCTCGTTTCACAGAAATCAACATCTCGTCGACTTTGATCGTCAGATTGTCCTCCAAGAATCTGAGTAATTCCCCAAGGGCTTTCCGGACTGTGTCAACACTCTCTTGAAACATCGTCGATTTGGCTCGGTTCACAAAGCTAGACATCACTTCTTTCATTTGGTTGAAACTTCCGGGACCTATATGAGAAAGCTTATCTTAGCAATAAACGAGATAGGCTTACTCATGTGTAGAAAATATTACCTGATAATGCGGTGCAATTCGCGTACACTGGTGCGAGTTTCTCCGCTACCACAGGCTGGAACATCCGACTGATGTCTTTTGATCTTGTTGTGACCATTGTAAGATTCTCCAGACAGAGGCCCTTGAGAAGCTGTTGATAGACACGTAGCTGTTGAGACAGCACATGGTTGCCTATTCGGCTGGTGTTTTGGTCGGCGGTATGATGGACGCTGTCGTGGAACGACTGCAATAAGCGTGCCCCTTCTGATGCCATGCTGAGCAAGAGGGATTGGGCCCGTTGAGAAAAGGTATTCTCCCAGCCAGAAGCGACGGCCTTGAGGACTGGTTCGGTCAATTCAGCGTTCCAATCATGGGTGCCTTGTTCATTTGCATAGACTCCATCACGACGGCAGATAGCTTTATAAGTAGACCAGAAAAATCCCCCAACAGCACGGTTATCGCGGTTAACCTTCCTACCCCATCGCTTTACAGTCTCGTCTGCTTTGTTTGTTGCTGCTTCTACTGCGTCTTCTATAAAATCACGTCATCATTCATCATTAGAAATTCATGAATACATATCAGTCAATCGGAGTGGGTTCAAATTCAACTTACTGTAGGCCGTAAATATATTGCATTCAATCGTATTCCGGACCCGCTCGCAGATGTCTCTAATAAGTTCCGCAAGATCCTACATCCATTATAAACCCTCAATACGTATCAAGTGATGGCAAGATGCACGCACTGGAAGGTGAGCGATACAATGGAACCAGATACGACTTACAGCATACAGCACTTTATAGTTACTTTCGAGAGTGTTAGCCCAAACTGTCTTTTGCTCGTCAGTGGCTTGATTGCCGTCTGCTGATGACATCAGCCGAAGAGAATTCAAAAGTTGGTCTAGGCTATTTAAAAACCGACGAGAATTTGCATCTCTGCTAGCCTCTGTTAGCTTCCTGCAGTGGACTTGAAGTTGAGGGACTTCCGTATCCTCAACGGTCCGAAACCCGGGTATAGTGGGCTCCATTTCGAAGCGCCCTTTAAGCTTCTGATACGCCCGAGAAGAGATGCAAAACACCGGAAGTGATCGAGCAACTTCGTCATAATCGCGATCATCGGCATCAGGATTAAATCTGGACGAATCACTCTCTTCTGCAAGTTCTTGGTCGAGTTCTTTGATTCCAGCTGCGAAGTCTTTCTGTATCGCGCTCCTTGAATACTCGTTTCGACTGGAGATCGCTAATTCGTTTATTTTAGCTTGAATGCTTGCTATTACGATCTCACTATCTGAAATCTGCCTCTGGGCAGTTTCCATTCCGATTTTTATGTCTTGTCTGTAGTGACGGCCCTCTTTCTTTGTCGCCCTAAGTTCGGAGAGCTTTTGATCGACCTCTCCTGCCGTGAGAGGATTACTGAAGGTTTGCGATTCGACCGGATCCTCATCGAGTTCATCCCCCCCATCGGAATCGACATGGTAATCCCCGAAATCGGAATGCACTAGTCTCGGCGTTTTTGGTAACGCGCTTGAGATGCCACAATTGCTGCCGCGTTTCCGTTTCTTCGAGACTGTCTCTCCATCTCTAATGTTCCCCTGGAATGTCTCCAACTCCTCAACCTGCCTATCGATTTCGTCTGCGGCCGCGGTGGAGTCGGCCATGGCTTTCTTCAGTTCGTCGAGATGTTGTTCGCTTTGATGTTTCTTGTTCAAATGCTCATCGGCATTGCCCCGAAGAGCGCCCATCTGCTTCTCCAGGCCCAAGCATTCCTGGCATTCCAGAAGACTGATGTCGTCGGTCTTGCTGCAAATAAACGTGATGCTGTTCAAACCGCCATCCATCTTGAGCTGCCGCTTGAAACCCCCGCCCAGAAGGTACTTCGCCGCCTTGTCATCAACAGCCCGAGTAATCGGGGCCACGATCCATAGGCCGGTGCATTGTTTTAGGTAGCTTTTGGAAACTGCAGCACGAGCTGGGTTAGAGTCATGCACACCAGGCAAGTCGACAATGACCGCTCCTGTTGAGAGTGCAGTAGCTTTGACATAAATACGAACAACCTTAATCAAGGGCCAAACCTCCATGTCTAGTAGTGGCTGGTCTGTCGTGTCTTTCTCCTGGGCCATTTTCTCTCTACTGTCAACATAGGTCTGAAGATTCTTGTAAAATTGTTTTGAGTTAGTTTCGACGACTGATTCTACCCTGCCGAGCACTTTCTGAACGTTGGGGTGTTCAATTAACTTGGAAATGGTGCTGTTCTCTAGCTGATTCTTTGTGTATGATGGATACACTGCCTTAATCTTCGCGTACGCTATGCTGGCGTCGGTGTCATGATTATTTACGTCACGAGTAATATTCCCCCGACACCCAACAATTCATCCAAGAGAATTTGAAGTTCCTTTGCCCAATCGTTGGCCGTAATAAATTCAATTTCCGCTCGATATGGAGTCTCTTCGTGATTATAGGAGATTTCGGTGACAACCGCGGTGCAAGCTCGCATACAATTGGTTGGTACTAATCGCTCTTCATCTAACACGGCATTGATAATGGACGATTTCCCTGCTCCAGTATTACCGACAACGCCGATAATGACTTTCGGGTGTACAGCCTGTTTCTGAAGGTATTTGATGGCTTGTAGCCACTGAGACTCATCGACATCAGACGATAGCCGGCACAATGGCTCCCGCAAACGGTCCAACAAGGTCATCCCATACCTGACGGCAGCTTCGAGACGTTCAGAATCACCATCTACGAACAATGTTTGCAAACTGGGCTCGTCTGAAACATTCGGGCCGGAAAAGCTGGGGTCCATATTTTCAGTGATGGTACCGGAAGAAGAATTGACAGATGAAGTTGTGCTTGGTGTCCCTCTATGACGGACCGAAGGAATATCCACGTTGGTACATGGCTCATACATTATGAAGACACCCTCGTCTAAGCTTGAAATTCTAACTGGAGTTCGGAAAGAGGAGGGGCATTTTTATAACCAGACATACTATTTGAATTTATAAATTTCCACCAAGTTTTACTCGCATACAGTACTATACATGTAACGTTAATAGGCCTACCATCGAATAGACTTATCAGAAACACTCACATATAGGCATTGGTTGTGTTTGTATAGTTTAAGCTAGATCGCGAATCGGCGGTGTTTATACTTTTCACGAGCATGAGGTTCAAAACGGCCCCACACTGTTCAAACTAGAATATGCTATTACGCTCACGAGTATATCGTTCAAACTGGCTCCATAGCACACTGTTGTGGTAGGACTATCTCAAAAATATTAACTTAAACATTTTGTATTAATATATACAATGCAAATTATCTGTACACACTAAAGCTGCCTCAGTTCACCAGAAACCAAAAATGAAAACAAACAAAAATAAATTCAAACACGAGCGGAGATTATCATAGACGTATTAAGAGGTCGTAATTACGTCATTGTACAGACTCACAAGTCAAACGGTGCTTTCTTGGAGGATTGTTGAAAGCACTGAATAAAGCACTAGATGGTGCAACCTTAAGAGGGCAAGCTCAGTTGATATAGCACCTGATGAAGCATGTTATAAAACGCCATATCAAACCATTCAGTAAAAGGCAAATTACTCTTTCCTATCTTTTACAGCAGTTTACACATCACTGTAACAATCTGGTTCACTTGATTAGTTTTATCATAAACTGTTTCAAGCATAGCTAAACTGGTAAAAATGGCCAATACACAACCAAAAAATCGATGACTAATAGGTTTTAGCTCTGGCCTTCGGGCTAGAAGTTATTCAATGGTCCTCCTGAATGTGCAAACCACCCTGCTATGAATAACTTACTTTTTGCTGCCATTGTGGTTTTTGTTTGTTGCATAGGAACTTTTTTCTTATCACCAGGATGGTTTTTATTGCCATATAATAAAGGTCCACTAGCATTAGTAGCTTCATGGGCTACATGGGAGGACAATGCAGAGACTACATGGTGGTTGATTGATGATTGCTTTCTTACCACTGACATTCCTGACGTCCAGGACAAAAACTGCACAGACCAGCAAAACTAATAACAGACCAAATCGAGTGCATAGCCAATTGGAAACTGCCTTCACTTTTTTATGCTCCTTTTATTTAATTCTGCTCGACGTCCAAGGTTACATACCGATCACAATGGATAATTGCGACGTCGTTCATGTATCCACCTCACCCGCTAGGGGCAATGAAAACCATGCGGTGAACGAGCGATCCTCGGTCTCTCCGGCCAACACCAGCCATGCTGTTGCCCTTCAAAATGCAGCGGCTCCGACTAGGAATGTCACCCATGAGGACTCAATGCTCGCCGCGTCCCCTCCGGAGTCGAAAAATTCGTCAGTCTATGTCGATAGAGCCCACAAGGATGGGGCAAAGCGCAAGCGAGATGTGGATGAAATAGCGGATACGTCGACAAGTAAAAGAGTTGTTGACGAGACAGAGATTGTTGACGAGACAGGCATTTTGGATAACACGGACAGTTCTGACGAGTCTATTTCATCCAATGATCCCGGTCTCCATAGTCCTGAATATTACCGACGCCTGGAGGAAAAGTTCGATGCCGAGCTAGCCCGTCGTGCGGCACTGTCCCCAGAGGCCCGAAAAAAGGAAGATTTCAAAAAGTCAAGAAGATACCTCAAGGATCACATTACGCCTCGACTCTTAGTTGATAGATATGGCTTGCCCGTGGACTTGGATTATTATCCCCGTTTTATACTTCAACTAGCACCGGATTCGCGCAACGGAGCAACTTGCAGATTGTATCACTGCACCCACCGTATTAAACCAGGGGATTACCGGATTGCATTGACGCCAGGGATGAGCTATCCGAGAGGTCCAGGTGAGACGATCTATCCAAATCCTACCTCCTTCACCGGATTCCGCGGTTACTAATTTCGCTAAACCCGCTGTAGATTATTACCATGTTAGATGCTTTGAACATCTTCTTCATATGTCATCGCCACATTACGCAGCCCGCTTCGATGCTGATATGGAGAAACACACTCCGGACCGTGGCGCACGAAGTATTCTCGAGGAATACATTTCCCGGTGGAAACTTCGATTAGCTCCAGCACAGAATCAGGAAAATCCAAGTTCCTCCATTGCTAAAAACAAAGTGGGAGAAAGCGAGAAGCATTCACCCGAGGCCGAGGCCGAGGCAGCTGAACAACAAGAAGAGCCTGTTACGATAGACGATATTCGAGAATTGGCAGATATTATAGCAGGCAGAGCACCACCAATACAAACAGAGTCTGCTCGTGCACGGGCAAGACGCATTTTTTCCGCAGCGAAAGCAGCCGTTAAGGACAAGTGGAAAATAGCAGACGAATTCTATGAACAAGTACGAAAAGCTGAAACTGAAAGGATACGGCAGCGTGCCGGAATATATTATCGTAAGTCGTTCTTTCTAATATACTTACTGTAACACTGCAAAATTAACTGATTAACAACATGGTATTCGCAGGCCCATCTGTAAACGAGGACAATTCTCGAAATGAAAATGAAGGTTGCTCCTGGAATATCACGCAATATCTGTTCTCAGAGACCGATCCAAAGTACACCAAGCGCCATGCTCTCAGCCAGGCATTGAAAGGATGGAAAAGGGATGTCGTGAGTGACTTCAGCGTGCAGTGCTCGAAGAATAGTTAACTAATTACCTGTTAGAAACTCGCAACAGCCGAGACAAACAAATTGAACGATGCAAGACGCCAAGCACAAGCAAACCTGCCAATAGAGAAGATTAAACGGTACGTCTAAATGTTCTAGAGCACACTGGAGTTTATCTATTATTGGAGGATTGCTGGTAAATGATGGACATTTGAAAGAATATCACTGAACATGTATATCCAATGACTATTACCCATAGCGTTTGTAGGGCTTCAGAACTCGTTGGTCAAACTGAACATACTGAAGAATTCAACGCTGCGTTCCATACATTGTTGAGACACTTGGAAAAGATTCAGAGTGAGCCCTAACCTAGATGTCAGATACATGTCAAATAATACGTGCCTCAATTTCAGTTTATAAGTACTCTATTAATTACAGTATACAGAAGATGGATGGATGGAGGGATGGATGATTTCATTTACCCCGACCTCTCCCCTTGAGTTGGATCCCAGGTTATGTGATAGGTATACTGCTAGGCTACCAGTGGTACCTAGCAGGCAACAGGCTACTATGACTATAAATAAATGTACCTGCATTCTTAGATTTAGATAGATTAAAAAATCATCACTTGTACCTCAGTTCAGGGTTACAACTAGTGTAGCGAGAGGTCAGGGTAAATGAAACCATCCATCCATCCAGCCTGTATTCAATCGTGCGCTTCTCGAAGACCAGTTCTCTATTTGGTGGCATTCGCTACTGAACCTATGCCTCTAGTGGCTAGATATTGATTCTCTATTTTTTATTCGACTCAGTGGCCTGTTTCCATTGTGACTAGTGTCCTGGACTTTACAGGTATTAATAAAAACAACATCAGCCTATCAACAGAAACTCTGTAAAGTTGTTAGTACAAGATAAACATCTTTGTGTATGCTGGTAGAATCAACTTAAAATTTCAATAAACTAGAAATTTAATCTTTAAACACTGTAGAGACTGTACAGGGATTAAGGTAAAGCTAGTCATGAACATTTTAAACACTGTGAAGTGTAACACGGTCTGGCAGGACCGTGTCCGGGGGTGTCTGGATGGACTAGATGTGGGTGAGTTGAAGCTTCACCGTTTGATATCGATGCTATAGAGCAATGCTACTAGGGAGGGAGTTATCGGTTTAGGTTATATAGTTAGGGAAGGCTTCGAGCCGAAGGCTATTCGAAGCCTAGTAGGCTTATATTGAAAGTTATATCCAAGATTATACAAAAGATATTGCTTGGTTTTCTCCCTCCGGGTGGGAAACCAAGCCTATATGCCTGAGTCCCTATCTCAGGTCATTGATACCTAATCTAACTAGATAAAGGCATATATAGCGAGGTGAGGGGTACTGGCATCATACCCGGGGTCTTATGGTATCAATTGTGATATATCACAATTGACCCCGGGGTATCCCTGAGCCCCCCGGTCCTGCCGGATTAGGCTTGAACATGCTCCCTGGGTCTATCCCTGTTACATGAAGATAGTACAGGGGTTAAAATAAGCTAATAGTATTAATGAAACACTTTAAACACTGTGGAGACAGTGCAGGGGTTAGAGCAAGCTAGTAATGAACATTTTGAACACTGTGGAGCTCGTGCAGGGATTAGAGCAAGCTAGTAATGAACATTTCAAATATTGTGGAGGCTGTGCACAGACTGAGATAATGCTAGTTATGAACATTTTGAACACTGTGGAGACAGTGCAGGGGTTAGAGCAAGCTAGTAATGAACATTTTGAACACTGTGGAGACAGTGCAGAGATTAAGACAAGCTAGTAGTAAACATTTTAAACATTGTGAAGACAGTGTAAAGATTAAAGCAAGCTAGTAATGAACATTTTAAACACTATGAAGGCTGTGTAGAGACTAAGATAATGCTAGTTGTGAACATTTTGAACACTGTGGAGCTCTTACAGGGATTAGAATAAGCTAATTATGAACATTTTAAATACTGTGGAGACAGTGTAAAGGTTAGAGCGAGCCAGTAGTAAACATTTTAAACATTATAGAGATAGTGTAAAGGTTAGAGCGAGCTAGTAGTAAACATTTTAAACATTATAGAGACAGTGCAGGAATTAGAGTAAGCTAGTAATGAATATTTTAAATACTATAGAGATAGTAAAGAGATTAGAGCAAACTAGTAGTAAACATTTTAAACATTATGAAGATAGTGTAAAGATTAAAGTAAGTTAGTAATGAACATTTTAAACACTATGAAGGCTATGTAGAGACTAAGATAATGCTAGTTATGAATATTGTGAACACTGTGGAGCTTTTGTAGGGATTAGAGTAAGCTAGTAATGAATATTTTAAATATTATGGAGGCTATGCACAGACTAACATAATGTTAGTTGTGAACATTTTGAATACTATGGAGCTTTTGTAGGGATTAGAGTAAGCTAGTTATGAAACATTTTAAACACTATAAAGACAATGTAGAGGTTAGAACGAGCTAGTAGTAAACATTTTAAGCATTGTGAAGACAGTGCAGGGATTAGGGCAAGCTAGTAGTAAACATTTTAAACACTTTCCAGGGATTAGGGCAAGGGGCTAGGAGTTGCCAGTTCTTATGTCTAGAAGATACATGAATTATAAAGACTTTATAGTCATTCTCAAAATCGGTTTGACCAGTAAACACACGTGTTGGTTATTCCGATGCCCTACTGCTATACTGTAGGCTTATAGCTGAATGAAACTGATTGATAGTTTTATCCTTATCTATAAATGGATGCCTAATTAAAGGAAATGTAATCTACCCTGAAGCCTTGACAGTGGGGTAAGCAAATAATCATCATCTGTTTGTTGGTCAAACCGATTCCCAGAATGAGTGTACTATGAGTCACTAATACCTTACATATAAAGCCAAGTCTATAGAAGTTGAACAACCTGATATCATCTTCCCCAAATGACCTTTAGAATTTACACCGCAAAAATTGTCGTCTCTATCTCAAACAAGAGCACTATTTCGGCCTGGGAAAGGACGATGATAGATGGACAGAGAGAGAACTCAATCTTCTTTCACACCTTCGGTATATACATCATTGGCGCTTCAAACAAATTCAGAAACAATTCTTTCCATCATTATCGGCAAGTGCTGTAGTTCCCACTATACAATATCGAATAATTTCTATTTGATCCCCACAGTGTTAAAAAATATCGTTACTGGCGGATTATACCATGTCCAAAGTCAACTAATCCTTATCCGAGCAATGACTTGTAAACACTGTGAGTCCTGTAACAGGGATTATTCAATGTAATTACTCTCTGTGATATATAATGTTTAAAATAGATCCATAGCATTTAAGTAGATCAGTGGTGTTTACGTTGAGTATACTATTTCAAATGAATCCATAATGTTTAAAATGATCAGCAATACTTATACTACTTACAGATATACTGCATAAAATGAATTCACAGTATTTAAAATGGTTAGTAATATTTATACCCTCTGTGAGAATATATTTCAAGTGTTTAAAGTGATCAGCATCATTTATACTATTTATGGGTATAGTGCTTCAAATGGATCTACAGTGTTTAAAACGATCAGCAATGTTTATACGGTTTACAGCCATGTTATTTCACTGGATCCATAGTGTTCAAGCAGATAGACAGTCTCTATACTCTTTATACGTATAATGCTTCAAATAGATCCAGTGTTTAAGATGATTAGCTATATTTATACCCTTTACGCGAATGCTGTTGAAAATAAAGAAACAGTTTTTAAAACAATCGGCAATGTGTATACCATTTATAAGTACTCAAGTAGGTCGGCGGTATTCTCGAATAGTATAACCATATCGAGCTTTATAGTTGTAGGAAATAATGGACATATCTTTAAGCTATATTGTCATGATATTTTCATCGCTGCCTGGATTAGCATTAACAGAGGTCTTATGGAACGGTTATCACTCCTATCTGGGAGGTGTTTGAAGAGACAAGGAAGGTGATACTTGGTCAATTTGTTTAGGCGCCCTTTCGTTTCTTTGTTGAAATTACTAAATTGATAGACCAAACCTAGTATGGATTAGATTGTGGGAGTGGCGCTGAGAAAGAGTCGAAGAATTGCAAACCGTGTAAAGCCGCACTTGCAAGGCGCTGTATCATTTCGTTGGAGAACGGTCAGTCTGATTTAATGGTATATAATCGGATCATTTCCGACGGCACTTTGTACTACGTACATGTAGCTTGCCTTTCTTTGTTTACTTTGCAGTTGCAAACGAAAGCTTCGTAGCCGTGTGAGATGATCGGGCCTCTTCAACGACTAAGGATATCAAGCGCCTACAAATCTTTTTGTAAAAATATTTATTCTTTTACAGTACCCCTTCGCCTGCGGTTTACTGTTACGATATCCAACAGCAAAGCATTCCGGCTGAAAAGAAGACACAGAATGTCTGGTGCCACCTCTAACATTAGCCCATACCATTCTCTCAATGACTATCAAGATTTTCTGAAGAAGGTATGACAATCGCTGCTCCTCAACCTTAAAACAAGCAAAGAGTAGACGTTCTAATGCAATTCATGGTTCGATTCTAACGATAAAAAAAGAATAATAAAAAGCGGCACCATATAAGATAGCATGTATTTAACTTTCACATTCTTATCCCAAAAATCAGTGCACTGTCTATTAGCCTAATATTATTTTGATTACTTGATAGTAACTTCGTTGCCTAATTTTTACAGGCTCTCTGACCCAACTCATGATCATCATAACACATAACGATCAGAAATAAATTCATAAGAAATATATGTCAAGATTGGACGTGCGATTAGATGTATTGTCAGATCAGGATAAAGCCAGATATGGTAAATATCGCGTACAAATCACTCTATGTTTCTGACTGCCATATATATAGCATATATCGGAGAGAGTAAAATGATTTGTTTCGCGTAATCAATCGCATTTGGATACCCTGTAGAATCAACAAGATGTCACCAACTGAACTAAAATGCCAAGAAGTTGTCCAACACGCTGATTTGCGGTCCGCAGTCCGTTTTTCCGCAGCGGTTCATTTGGTAGTGCTGTAACGGGAATCATGATTGGTGCATTGAGCGATAGCCTGGCGTTCAGCCGCCTGATTCCATCAACGGAGGGAGGGAAAATATCTTATTAGTGGCAGGCTGCCGTAGGTGGCGCCTACGCGGCGGCTACGTTGATGCCCGACCTGTGAGGACATCCTGACCCCAGCCTGATAAGAGGACTCCCACCCCTCAGGACGTCCTGAACAAGGCTTTGATATGTATTTTGAATGTGCGTCTCCCGCCTTCGCCGCAAGACCAGTTACAGTACAGTACATTTGACTTCCTCCAGATCACCAAATGAGCGTCAGCACAGTGGAGAACCAAAGAAATTTTCTTTTATCATCCTCACCATATATTCGTACCATTACGGGGCTTTTCATCTCAACGGCCTGGCTATCATGGGAACGTTCCGGACAGACGGAGTGCATGACGGCTTTCATTGATCGCCATGGCCTGCATTCCATGCGTTTGCAAGATTTTGAATCTTCGCTAATTCGTTCGTGGGATGTAACGGAAGCTCTTGCACTAGGATCCGTAAACGGACATCTAGAGTTCGTGGGCACTCTACTCAACAAAATACCTTGACTTTTTTGCTCTGGGTAGCCATTATATGCAGCGTCAAGGGATTGCCAGACAGATATGGTTCGTTTCCTTCTAGCAAAGGGTGCCAAACCAGACGTAGGTTTCACCCATCTACCAATTCAGGTCTCTGAGAACAACGACATTCGACAAATGCTCATCGAGAATGGTGGACAACGCACACTTGAATCTGCAATGAAGTCAGCGATAGTGAAGGGATCGATGTATAAGGTAAAAGAGCTTCTAATGCACCCAAAAATTCAGGACTGCGACTGTCGAGGATTGGTGGAGACTGCGGCGAGTTGGAGGAATCCCGAGATGATCAAACTGTTGCGATCGCACGGGATTCCGACAAGTCGACGCTCTTTCATCTATGCGGTCCGTAAAGGGGAAATCGACGTTGCAGAGGCAGTAGAGGGTGATCCAAACGGAAGCTATGGCTCAATGAAACCTCTACACCAGGCCGTTCGACATTCATCGAAGAAGGGGATTGCGTTCCTCCTCAACATGAATGCGGACCCACAGCTTCAGGATGGTAATGGCCGAAATCCAGTAAAATTAGCTGAAAGTATAGATATTGTGCGGGTTCTATGGCCAAATTGAGCACCAGACGACCTAAGACGTCTTTGTCGAAAACTTGAGCGTCAAAGGAGAATGAACTTAAACAAAATCCTCGATAAGTATTCTGTTAGGGCCAAGAAATATCTGCAAGAAAAAAGATTTGTTGATTTTATCCTTTGCCAATTATTAATATCTGGCAAAACCCCGTATCTCACATTAGATGGGGCTCGACTACAGGTCTATTGCTAAAGGCTGTATTGGAAGACGAGACATTTCGTATATTCCGGCGTACAAATTCATGAGACGTGTCATTACAAACTGCGAATACTTTTCCACCATCTTCCGGAACATTACTGCATCGAATTCGATATCTCTTGCGTTGAACTATAACTGCGTTACCAATGGACTTATCTTTGCAATCGAATTTTCACAGTACAGTAGAGGCAGAAAAAATTCGCCACCATTCGCATTTTTTCAATGATTTTTAATATTTCTCGACCGCAAAAAGTCTAGGTGAGCGTGGACGTTGGCCCTGTAGTGTTTATATTTATTACCTGCAACTATCAATAGTTTGAGTCTCTTACGTATAAAGTCCAGATTGTTCTCGGTAATTTGCACGGAAATTACTATCATAGCCTAGGATATCGCCTTACTTGAGAAATGTTCAGACGAAGTGCTCCCCAGGACCTCATCAATGCTACTGAAAGGAACCTTCAACCCATCGTTCAGAAGTATCTGGATAAGGGGATTAACCCAAATGTTCGCACCCACATAGATCCCTGGTACCAAGGTCTACAATTATTGGCACTTGCCGCTATTCATGGACACGTAGACTTACTTAAACTTCTTCTTGAACGTGGCGCAAAAGTTGATGGGCTAGATCTCAGTCGCCGCACCGCATTATCCTGGGCAGCGGAACATTGCCAGTATGGAGCCGTGAAGGTGCTGGTTGAGCACGGGCCAATGTCAATGCAGAGGATGTAGAGTGGACGACTCCTCTTATGTGGTTGACTGAGGCAGGCACTGGAGGGAATATAAGCGAAATCCACAAATATCTCGTATCCAGGGGAGCAAAGGAGACATTGCACCATACCTGGTGGGATCGGTTGAATTACTCGATCGCAGCAAAGCTGAATTGGATATTGTTCAGGGTCAAAAGTAAAACGGTACACTATTTCTCATGGATAATACAGATGCTAACATACACAGCGGTTACGTCCTATCTAATAGGATTAATTCTTTAGGCAGCTAACCCCCATCCCGGTAACATGGAATGTCAATCCATCGAAATTGTATTAAGTTTACCGGTCGTATTAACATCCCAGACTTTGATGGTCTGATCACTGTAGCCTATAGCAACCCTTTGAAGCCCTAAAAAGTCCGCAAAGAAAACTGACCAGGTTTATTATTCGAAGATCCGAACGCTTCTGCCAGACGGCTTAGGCTACAGATAGTTCTCTACCGTATCCTGACTAATCTGAGGCCAGCATCCAGCTATCTGGAAAGAAGAAACTCAAAGGAGACACGTCAGCTCACCGCCTTTTCGATCCTAGGCGCCGAACAAAGGCATAGCTAGATAGCTTCACAATGACAGCTTGAAACTTCGTGTCAGTACAGCTTCCGTAGATTGCTAGGGCACCTGCTTCAACTTAAGGTTACGTCACGGCTCCTTGTAAGGAGATCGCTGGCTAGAAATTGCCGCGGCTACTTCTCTTCCGTCTATCAGCTCTGGATGTGCCCATTATTCATACCCACTCTGCCGTGTTGAATGACGGATATATAGTTCTGCTCGAGGGAATCCCTATCATTGAACGCTTGTCGTTTTCTACTCGTCTCATGCACGTTGTTATCATCCTTGTGACTAACTTTTGAACGGCAATTATTTTATTGTACCCAACCCCTGCTATCACTGGCATCGTCGGTCACGCTTGGCACTCTCCTGAGCAGAAACTGTCTACAAAGTGCGGAATAGTTTATAAGCACCGGCATCCACCCCATCCCGAAGGTTCGCTGTCCTACCACAGCATCTGATTCCTCCACACCTCCCTGTCTTAACGGGTCCGCTACTGTCGCATCATAACCAAGCCATATCGTTATAGCAGAGCCGCTGCTTAGGAAATGGCTAAGACACCAAGTATTTCCAACTGCAAATGCCTAATTATTTTCTCATTCTATTGTTAATCCAACTTTTAGTTAAACTAGATCGAAGGCCACTTTACCAGCAACAAGCCAAAAATGTAACAAAAGAACGAATCAGAATCCTACTAAGGCAAGGGCACGCAAAACACTCTCTATATCAGGTAATTCATCACGAAATTAATAACAATTTCCTGCTAATTTCATTAGAAAACAAGAGCGGAATTACTAGATCACAGACACAAAAGCAGAGAATACGTGAATTGTAAACCGAGGTGGAACAATTGAAAACTAAAGTGAACCGGTTAATATTCTTGCAAAAGCAAGGGGTGTCTTCAGTGACTAAAGCAATTGAAATTATGATGTTGACCGCTAGAGAGTTAGATTTACGAGATAAGACAACAGGTCGAATCAATGAAGCCTATGATGCAGGACAATGCGACGAAGACGTGAAGATGTCAACAGATTTCGATATAGTAGAAGGTGCTACTAGCAATGAAATTTTATAGCTACATTTCTATAGAATACAATCTTTTACTATATACGGTAATATTCTCGCTTTCTGCGTCTGCTGGTATCTTCTCCCAATTAATCCTAGTCATGGCCGAATATATCCATCAATATGAATCCATTTATTCTCACTAAGATTTTGTAAGACGGACTTGAGGTTGACCTACAACCAATATCTGGGAACGTATGTTTTCATTTTGAGTCGGACGGATTTTGATACAGGAAAAGACTGGTTGATATTTTGAATAGATAGTTCTAGCTGTAGTTCCTGTATATTCCATTGAGGGCAGAGTATGAACGTGCGCGTACAGGCCTGCGAAACAGTTACACAAAGTCAATCTCCTCAAGTAAAGGTAGTGAAAATATAGGCAAAGGATTCTTTTTATTTGCAAAGCCAACCTGGGCATTTTGATAATCTAAAATTAAAACCCCGAGCTGCGACCACCATGTCCCGAAAGAATATAGATGTTTAGGATCTGTAGAATTATCGCCAGTTAAGAGTGTAACACAAGTTTCTCCACTGCTATCGCGCTGATAGGGCATATAAACCCCAGGGATAGTAAAAGTTCCATTTCCCAGACCAAACACAAAGTCTGGCAATACTGAATTACATGGATATCGGTAAGTGTTATCATACGATGACCATGTGGCTCCGTTAATACCAGAAAAATACCAGTCTAGAAGCTTCTGTGGCCACTGTAGAGATATGTCCGCCGTAGAGATAGCAACCGACCAAGACTTGATAGGGGGATCCGTTCTACTGCCGGCAGATATTGCAGTAAGATTGATAGCCCAGGTCTCATCGTCATCGATAACTCGACCTGCCCATGCGATGTCGCCACTATAATCGGCAGGGCTGACCTCTCCAAACTTCACGGTGCCGTTTCTCCATTCCCGGGAAGAATCAAACATGCATGTCCATTCTACCGTACTTAACAAGCATTCATCAATGATTTGCATGCACAGACTCACCTTTCAGTTGACTTTTAATAGCATACATAAAACTCGGTTTTTTTGCAAGGCCCTGGTTTGGGTTGAGATTCAATCCAATTACACTGCTGCCTCCGCCAAAAGGCAGCGACCTCCCGATCTCTTGATGGTAATTGAGTCGACCGAACGGTATGTCAGTAAAGTCCACGCCTCCAATATCGATAGTGTCCGAAGCAAACACAACCTCTACCCATGAACCATCCCCAAACTCATAATAATAATTATCCGCAGAGGATTCGAAAGAAGTAGACTCCGTTTGGTTAAATACAACACCAGTGACTGGTAGGGGATCTTCCATGGTAGACTGCACCGTCACACCATTAAAGGCACTGTCAAACCGGACGTCCATGCTTTGTCCGGGCGTACCGATGTTGATGATTGAATTCAGTCTGCGCCAAATCTCAACACTGGATTGGTTCGAAGAACGTTGGACTTACCCATCAATACCCGACAAAACATTCACTGTAAAGTCTATTGGGGATCGCTTCCAGGCAACAGCTTCTGCTGCAATAAGAGCATGAATGAAAAGATAAGCGATGCAAATTATCGTTTGAGCAGAATACATGTTTTATATGTGGAGAAGAGCAGCACGTCCAGCAAATCATCAATCTCTCCGCAGTTTAAGTAATAGGGTTTCTGGCCATCAGTCTCGCAGGTGTGGTGATACGAATGTCTTTATACTTTGCTATTTGGTCAAGAGTCTCATTTAAACAAACTTCTTTGAGATTAAAGTAATATTACGGAGAATAGAATTAAATATTGCTAAAGGTCAGGGCGACGAGAAACAATCTGCAAGATAACACCAGTATATACGTTAGCGAAGTTTGATTATATGAGCATTCATTGCTGATTCGAGTACAATGTAGCCCTACTATTTCCAGTTCTTACATACATCTTTGTCTGCTATATTTGCTTAATTTAAACATCTTCTAGAGGGTGGTATGTTAAAAGGCCAGAAAGAAATAGTAGCGACACCCCAGGAAAGTGTTTGCCCTTTTTTCTTTATACACGTAGTCTCAATATTCTCGTTCTATAACCTGACTATACAGAGACAAATGCATGGTATGAATCGCTTTCCATAGATGTCCTCAGCTCATGGCTTGCCGCGACTGCCTGGATTGCCCCAGTGTTCGATTGGCCGGAGGAGGAAGAAGACAACAACAGGTGTTTGCATGACCAACCGGTTATTCCAAGAAGTAATATCTGCGTGTTGAATTAGTTGTCAAATCTAAGGGAATTATGAAGGCCTCACCTCTATGGATATTAACCAGAAGTCTGCCCATAATGCAAGCAGGGCAGTGGTAAGGGTAACTATTGTTATTGCGAGAAATGGGCAGAATATTGAGTGTAAGATTCTCCGTCTTGTTGTTTTTGAAGTGGCTGAATATGAGAACCACCAGACTCCACCAGTCAGCACTGCATAGTCGAGGCAGACGAAGAATAGAAACATCTTTTGGTATACTGTCGATAATAAGGTACCAGCTAGCATAAGAAAGATGTTCCAAACAGTAGACACTATCCCACTGTAGATGCAGGACACGCGGAGGATTTTAGCGTATAATACGTTATTGCAAAGAGCATAGAAAAAGATGAACTGCAGCCGTTAGGATCCTTCTTTAAAAAGTCTTGAATGTGATATACTTCAAAAATTGGCGGAAATAGAACGCATGTCGCTATCGGGCAATATAAATCTAATATCTCCTCAGTTTGATTCGATTATCACGACTGAAGTGCTTACCTTTTGGAAATTCTCTTTTCAGTGTGAATATTAGAACAACCACGATGGGTATTAAGAACAAGACTGAAAGTACGAGATCTCCATATCTCCAGATTGTCTTTCCATCTACCTTCCGGATAGCTAGGAAACATCTAAGCAGACTGATCAGGAGGAGTAAAACAACGAGTACGACATGAATCATCTTTGATACATCCATGGTGCTAATCTTCACCCTCGCTACCTTTGGTATCGAAGGTCTCAAGATGCATACATCAAAAGGCAGTATTGCCTGGGCATACTTAGTGCTTGACGGCACGGGTCCTGTTATGACACGCTAATGATACCGTAGCGCTATGTAGGTGATCATCATCTATACGTACAAAGAAATTGCCATTTGAATTGTGAACCACAAGCAAAAGGCAAAAAAAATATGGAGCTCGTATAAAGGCTCATGGCACGTAGTAAGTGCCCGCCTTTAGAAGTTGCCATAAATGCTCGGCTATGCAATAGCTAGGTTTCTACGTTGTATTTTGATACTTTAAAAATTATACTTATATGGAAGGCGATAGTCCCTGTTCAATTTACAGACCGCAATGGCTATCATCAAAACCATTGTCATGAATAGTTTACTCTTGATTTCAATTCTCTGTAGTGATGCAGTCGTGGCTGGGCGGGAAGCTCGTATGGCAGCCCGTGCACAACGTAGTCATCTCTCACACGTAAATCTGCCAATTGAATCGTCCGAAGCTATCAATAACGAAGTTTCCGACAAGAGCAACGGTGATTATTCTTCTAACTGGTCTGGTGCAGTCCTAAACGCCCCCCCATCAGGAACTACGTTCACTTCTGTTTCTGCCGAGTTCTCTGTACCAACTCCCGGAGTCGCAGATAATGAGGCCGGCTCGTCCGCGGCCTGGGTTGGTATTGATGGAAACACCTATCAAAATGCCATTCTTCAGACTGGCATCGATTTAAGTGTCAATGCCGACGGCTCTGCCTCTTTCGATGCCTGGTATGAGTGGTATCCTGCCTATGCTTACGACTTTTCCGATATCAGTATCAACGCCGGTGACAATGTTTCTCTTTCTGTTGTGTCCACTTCCCCTAATTCCGGTATAGCAACGATTGAGAATTTAACCAATGGTCAAAAGGCCAGTCAGATTCTCACTGCACCTGACTCGTCCTCCACATTGGGTGGGCAAAATGCGGAGTGGATTGTCGAAGATTACGAGGTGGGCAGTAGCTTGGTCACACTTGACAACTTTGGCATTGTCACTTTCACCAATGCGTCTGCGGGGTTGTCAAACGGAACTTCTGTTGGAATAGACAGCGCGGACGTCATAAACATGATTCAAAATGGTGAACTCTTAACATCGGTCCTTCTAAGTGAATCGGAAATTATCGTCAAGTCAGAGTCGGGACAAGAAAGTGAAGGAACAACTCCTGGAGATGATAGGATCAAGCTGGGATACTGAATACACTCGGAGGCAAAACCGGTGTCGGGATTGTGGGACTCAATCTCAAAGTAGCTTAGCATTTCTTGACATAGACTTTGGAAAGCAATAAAAGCGAGTTAAGACCCCGGCACCGATTTTGCCTCCGAGTGTATGATCTACAAGTTGCCGATACTGGAATAGTTTAACGCTGCTCTGCTACACATTCATTGATATCCTCGTATATACAGAAAATAAACGTCACAAATTTAAAGACAAAATTTCTTACCTTGACTGCAAGCTTCTCTAACGGTGGGAAATCCATCATAATATAAGATTTTAATATAGACGAAACAATCTAAGCTCTAAAAAGTTATTGTAAGCTAGTTCATTTTATGATATTTTTTTCAGACAGTGGTAAGGCTACTATATATTATAATAATATTGGTTTAGTCATGCATCCAGTTCTTCTACAACTCTCCCATACGAGAAAAGTGTATCATCAATTTTGGCAAGTAGTTTGGCCACTTTGAATATCTGAGCCCAGAACTTTATGGAGCGGGACTTCCTTTCTCCGAATCGCTGTATGCCTCTTTCCTGAACTAGATGCGGAAGACCAATATGAATTATCGATCGACATATATCCTTCCTCCGTTCTTCACTGATCCAAAGTGGACGAAATCTTTTGATTCGCCTGGCTATGGGAATTCTGTTCACTCTTTTTTGGTTCTGCCCTGGTGTAAAGATACCTTTTCCTGCGAAAAATGATCGGGAATGGATTCCTGTGCCTGGGCTTTGAAATCTCTTTGAGCGATTGTTCAACCATACACATTCAAATTCAGAAGCAGAACTTGAGCATTCAAACAATTTAGGATTGGACCTTAATTCCAGTTTTGACTTGTTCAACCCATAGTAGTAGAGATCGATATACTTTAAGATGACTAATAGGTAGATGACTTGAGACAAATGATCCTGTCGAACAGATCGTGCGTTCGAAATCTTTGAAAGGCTCATTATAGGCAGGTGATATATCGACTCAATTGAAGTCGGAGAAACCTACAATTTCTTTACAGGTGTGTATAAAACCAAAACTAGAACAAGTCAGAATATCATCAAAATACGAAAATTTTATGTCGAATAATAGGACGTACTGTATAGTGCATTGTATTCAAAACCAGGAAATTGTTATTATGCATATATAAAACTGGAAATAGAATGTAGTTGTATTATATAGTATATGTGCTACTTTCGAGCTTTAACTATTAAAACTAGACTCCGAACATTCGGACTAGATAGATATTTTATGTTTAGATAGTAGACCTAAATTAAATCATTTATAAAAAATTGACATATAGACTATATTTATGAGAAAATTTTCAATCTTAGGGGGCTGGCCAGGAATTTCCTTTCTAAACAATTTTGGATATCCCTCCAGGGTCATTTTTCGAAGGACAAATAACTAATAGCTTTGATGGTGTTCAGAAATGGACCTCTTAACAGTCTCCACAGTGTAATTTCACTACTAGTGTACCTTCCTGTGTTGATTGAATATCCCTGCCCGGTCTCTGCAGTGTTTAAATGTTTATTTTGATTATCCCTGCTCCTGCCCTGCAAGTATCCGCTACTGATGTGCCCCACTGTGGAGATTATGGACACAAACACTCGCACGACGGTTTTATATGATCATGTAGTTAGCTTGGTGAAATGGCGGGCGTTGGTAGATGGCGGACACAGACATTGATCCGCACATTTTCGTCTTTTCAACCTTACACACGTCTGCAATAGGGCTAGATATGATAGGCATAGTCATTCTCAAAACCAATCACTTCATGTATTGTACAGTGGCCTACGGAATGTAAATCGACTTTAATCTATGTCCTCGACTATGGTGTGTCTTTATTCATGAAGTTAAGCTGACACAACCTTGCCACAATGTCATCAATTGAACCCCCGAGCCAAAGTATTCCATTGAATCTAGAATCTTCATTTTATCAAGACAAAATCGCAATTACGCGCTCGGAACATTTAGAAGTTTTAGTACGGGCATCAGACATCCACGAGACGATTAATTGGAGAGGGCGAAATTTTGTTTCACACAAATGCAAGGCATCAGACGTTTTCAGTAAAATCAAAAGAATGACTAGAAAGAGGAGCTGGATTGGATTTTTAGAAATTGACATCACCGTTTACAATCAACAGAAACAAAGTAAGAACCGGAAATTCCTGTTGCGTCGAAAGATGTTTCTTCCGGAGATAGATGGAGAAGTCTGTTTTCAGGATATCAAATCTCGAATTGTTGGTTGGTTACAACCCACTTTGGGTGTGCAGTGTGTTGTTATAATCAGACCCCGGGAAGACCTCAATTACGGATTTATCCCGCAGCATTTATATGAATTGAGCAAGAACTTTCGTGGTCCTGTATGATAGAAACCAATAATGAAAGCGAATAGTGTTTTGTCTACCTCTACCACTTCTGCTGTATACATATGATAAGAGTCCCTAACTAAAACAACGATCTTTTAATTCGTTTTTTTTCCCAAGGATTGCACCTTTGTTATGCTCCTGGAATTCCCTTTGACACCTAGAGTGCGTTAATCCCACCACGCACACCTTATCCCGACAGGGTTTTTAGGGGACTCATATGCGTTGAGTAATGTGACGGAGAAGGTGAGAGCCGACCCAAGCAGAATGAGATGCAGGATAGCGTCGCTAACTCGTGATTTCACAAAGAGTCGTTCCGGCAATCGGCCGAGGTAGAACACTGCCCCAAGCACATTATATACCACATATCTGATATAAGCCATGGACATCGAAAACCGACAGTTTGAGGGGCGGAAACACGCGATGATCGCCGGGGCGAATGCAAGAAGGCCAAATCCAATGCAACACGTTTTGAACGCTTCAGTCCCTCCGTGATACACAGCAGCCGTGCATCTTGTCCCCCAAAGGTGATCAGGAATAATAAAGCGATCAGTGCGTACTTATCGTAATAATATTGAAAGTAAACGAATGGAATAGCCGATGCCCAGATCAAGACAATGACTCCAAGCCATTCCAGACGCCTTGACCGTCCCAGCAAATAGAATGACGAAAACGCAATGACACCGAAGCAAAAACATAGTAGTGCCAACACATCTAGCAGACCCTCATGAACGTCTTCTAGAGAAAGATAAAAGGATTTACCGATAATATTGGCGGCCAAAAGCGAAAAGTATCCAAGACTCGCCAGATGCTGCACTGCAATGAGTAGATCTGTGGAACGATTCTCAACTTCGGAGTCGAGCATCGTAGCTGTTGCTTTCTACCTTTCAAGTCGATCTTTAGACAAGTCACAAAATGGATTTGATTTATAGGACAGATGGGGGTAACAGCGGCTTTATAAAATCTCATATATTGACCTCATTCAAGGCTGAATATTTACATTCTGATTGAGAAATTTCAAACACATTCCTTGCAGCTACATTGGTGAGGGGATTGTTTTTTTCGAAAAAAAACTGACATTGATACTGAACAGAGTAATATTCACAAACTGTGTCCATATTTTATTCTCACCCATCTCAATTCAACATACAGGAATCATTGACTAGACAATAACCGATAATCATGCAAGTATGCTATCTCAGTTCAGCATACATGTCAAGCTGAGTAGATGCTGGGGTAGCAAAACATGGTAGCTTCCTTCTGGTTATAAATCAGAGGGGTTATAGTAGTAAAAATGAACACTTCTGCTCTTAAACATACAGCTAGGTATTTCTTGTCAAACATTTTTTACTAGGCTTGAAAGGTTCATGTATTTATTTAATGTTCAAATGAATGTCCTCTATACAGACACATACGAAACTTACTTCCCCATTTGCACATTCTCTCTTCCTTTTCACCCTACTAGTTCTACATTAAAACGCTTGATATGGATCATCAACACAAAGGCCCCGTGAATACTGAATCTGCATAGCTAATACTGTAACGAGTCATTACTGCCAACATAATCAATTTGTTGTTATCCAAACCACAGTGGTCTTGGTGACGACAATTGTCCGAGTGGAGTTCAAAGACAAGGGCGTAGTAATGGATGGCTTCGTTTGAATTTGGGTGATAGTGGGAGAGACAGTATGATCCGTTGTGTCAAATTTTGTCACAGACATCAACGAAAGTGTTGAAGAGCTCGAAGTAGCGGTTGAAGTGGTTAAGGTTACCGAGGTGGTTAAGGTAGATGGCACTGTTTCAGTAGTGGCAGTAGTGGTTGTGGTGGTGAAAGAAGGATCCTCGTTCCATCCACATGCGACCTGGCCAATTTCCTGAAAAGCTGCAACATTGCATCCACCCCGTTGCCAGCAAAAACAATGACCACATAGAAGAAGCACTATGGTTAGTTTAAGCATTGTTACGCTTATCTGTCTCTAAATGAGTAGAAGCTACGCCTGACCATGGTGAATGGTATTTCGCGCTATATACAAGACAGGTCTGCTTGTAGATAAAATGAATTAAGAGGGACGCCTTTAACCATTTCAATTATGTGTTGATTCAGCAGTATAATTTCTAGTACGAGTTAAATTTTAAAGAGCCTTTGAAACAATGGTACCATTCCATCTCATACTGGTGGCTGAGAGATGCCGAACCACGGGCCCATATACTTGAAAAACTAGGTATTGAAAGCAACCAGTAAATATAAATACGAGTCCTAGGAATACCGCCTGGAACCGAGCGTTATGGAGAATAAGAAGACCAAAGACGCATAGTTCAGCAGTGTAAATGCCACCAAACAACTGATGTAAGGTCCTCCAATAAAGAAGGCCTCCTGTCTCCACTTTGCCTTGGAATCTATGTATAAATTGATTGGAATACATGATAGAAACGATGCCGAAAACTAGGGTGCCAATGGGCAATATGAGCGGTGCGATAATTGAGAAAATAATACCTAGCATGCATTAGCTTGTTGATACGTTGCAGAAGAACAATCAGAATTACATATCGAGGCCAAGTTACTAAAGACGGGGTATATCAAACCCCACCGCACCGGCGTCTTCTCCATCCCTATTCGCCACCTGACCCATGGTTTAGCGCAAAGAAAAATGTGCGGCAGTAGGCGCAATGAAACTGCACACTGTATAATGCACTGGAGCAGGAAATATGAATAGAAATAATTGCTGGACTTGGGAATATTGGTAGCCAGAATGTACGGTACCGATTCCGGACTTTTCAACACCTCTTGGAAAACCGTCACTAGACTTGACGAAATCGTCACCACAAGGAATACCTGAATGTAGAGAAATACGAAGTAATAACCATCAAGGGAGAGTTCCATATGTGTGTATGTGAGCAAACCCTGGCGTTTGACCAAGTGTACAAGGACAAAAGGGAAGAAAATCATCAATATTGATAGGATGAATTGAGGAAGGAATCCCTCGATCAGACCTAGCCATGTCGCTAGTTTCTGGTTAAGATAAGATATCTGTGATAACATCCCAGTGAATCCGATTGGAACCGCCAAAAATATGCAGAGAGCAATGATAAGTGCTTCGAAAAGGACTCTTCTAAAAAGCCGACCCCGCCATGAGCGGGACAAACTAGAGCGGATCACATCACTCTCTGAACCAACCGCGTGGGCAATCATTGACATAGGGCGGGCGTCTTGAACAACTTGCTGCAGAATGTGCGGAATTAAGGGGTTGGTAAACTCCAGAAAAGCTGATAGATAACGTCTATCTAAGCCCGTGTTCACCGATATTCTCAATGGCCCATCTCCAAAGCCAGCATAGGCAGTGGCCAGAGCCTCTTTTGAGCCTTTCTCTTTGGGAATATCAGTCAAAAGAAGCAGTTTTGGTAAGGGATGAGGAGTAAGGGGGTATTCTTGACGAATCTCGGCCAAGGCACGAAACTCGCCGACTAATACATAACAAATATAGACAACAGCGGTGGCTGTCACTACTGCATGGGCCCAGTCCCTAGGTCCATCCCCCGGCTGGACATTTGCCCAGGTCATTCTATCCAAGCCATGAACTGTGCTCGAGTTATCGGCGGTAAGGTCAATGGGCAATAGTATTCCTGTGACCATCAGATTTAATGGTAGGAATATCTTGACAACAGTCCGAAGGAAGCGAATGAACAAAAATCCATCCAGTCCATGGCAAGTAATCGCAGTTGTCCTATTGGAAGGCCATTTTATGGACCAAGGAGGGGTGTTTGCATTAGGGAACCGCTTCGAGTACCTATGGCTGTGTGAATTTATGCTCTCAACCGTTCATGGACAACCAACCATCTCTTATGCGCTGCAGTTTCAAAGAATAAAACTCCCACGCAGATGCTCCCATAAATTACGAGAGAAGTCATAAACGAGCGTACAGACATGCCCTGACTTTGCTGGGCTTCACCGGTGTTGGGTTGGCTCGCATCCCCACGTTCCATTGTCACAGATCCCAGTGAAATGTATCCCAAATGTATCCCAGCACAGGTGCAACGATATACTATTTTATAAATGAGATAACCGTTGTTTACCTCCGGTGGTCTATCGGTGATCATTGCTGTTGAATAACCATAAACGGTCTGTTAAACACAGAACGGTTAAATTGACGAAGTAAAAGGTATGTCCCCCTATTACAGGTTTCTTTCGCAAGGCTTCCTAAAAGCGATGTACGGGGGGAAGATGTTTATAGGTTGACGCATTTTGCTAGAAAATCTCGGTATTATGTTTAAGTATGACTGAAAACCATCTCGTGTCGTCCAACGTAGCAGCTGACACACGGTAACCTTAAAACGAGGCTTGAGTCTAGACCTTGCTAATCTAGTCACATTGTAAGTAGTCAATATGCTGTGTCAACTTCCACAAGAAATATTGGACATGATAATTGGGTTTGTAAGTACCACTATTATGGTACATGCTTTTCATTCGGGTTAATGGCAGTAGATTCCCTCAAAGGAGGACCGCCGATCAATCAATTTGGTATCGAAGGATATACATTATGCCACTACCCACCACCTCTACCATACCCTGACATTTTCCGCACGCGATGAAATGCTTTTGAATGTCTTGGACACTAAGAGATTTGTCAAGGTCCGGACAGATTTGGATCATCTCAAGCATGTGAGAAGCTTAGCGTTCACTGCGCCCTTTAGAATCGCTCGTAGTCATCGATGCTCATACCGAACTGTTTATTTATATGAATCACACTTGAGAGGAAGTCAGGAAAATGACCCCAGGATGTTTCACGGAGACTTTCTTTGTGACATGCTGAGCCAGATCCGCATCATTTTTGACCAGCTGGAGATTGGATCTTTGAGATCGTTTCAGTTAGTATAGCCCGGTTTCCCGTGTGAGATGGAGATCTTATACATATCCTACTATAGATGGCATATGGGAACCTGTTTACCAGCGCATATTCTGGATGAGGATGGATACCTCACCATTTGCCAGCAGAACATACAACTATTATCACTACGTGTCGATGCTTCCTGCCCACATGCTGGCCTCCGGCTAGGTGGCCTAGTGGCGATGTCGAATCTTCGTTCTTTCACGCTAGAGTCTATAAGTACATTCGAAGAATTGTCACTTGTCCGGAAATGTATAGAACGAAATGCTGGTAATCTGCGCGTTCTAGACCTCGTATTCACGCCCCGTTTCACATTAGTGGGATCCACAAGGCATCTCATGAGTGCGCTTGGAACTCTGTCGCGTCTTCATACACTCTCATTAACCCGGTTCCCCTTCGAAAAGAACGCAGAGAACCATTTATGTTTATTTCTAGTTCAACTACATTCGTTAACCCTCCGAGACTGTCCTCGTCAGATGGAGATGCTAGAGGAGTTGTCACGATTTCGGATCTCCACCCAACTCAGATATTTTGAGATATCTTTAGATGAATTGTGGGACTCTGCTTTAGCCCATACTCTGGATACTTTCCTGGAATCTTTCAATACTCTTGAGCATCTTCACATTTTGGCATCCAATTCCCTGACACCAGAAAATCACCTTAACCCGATTCAGCACCATCCCTTGCTGAGTTGTTTCGTGTATCATACACGGAGACTTTTTTCTTTTCAGCGGAGCCCGACAGAGGAAACCCAAGATTTCCCCGTCAGTCTCTTTCATACTCTCCGCACTACCTTGTGCAAAAGCTCCATCCAAAATCTAGGACTTTGTGTGTCTCCATTGGCTGCGGTGAGTTATACATTCCGTTTCCCTGAAACTCTTCATCCTGATGAAGTATCAGAGATGCATATTGGACCCAATCGTATCCCACCTTCAAATTGAGGTTCTCCACTTACGATTAAGCGGCTATGACCATCCGCTTTGTGACTTCGAGCAGAGAGTATCGTCACGGATTATCTCGAAGGCAGGTACACATGATATGGATGATTGGATATTATCCGACAGTGAACATTCAGAGGGAGATTGGTCACCTAATCTTCACAATGAGGTCAGTCCTGCATATCACCACCACTGTTCCGCAACAGATCTTGTTACTTTTGCCGACTGGGCTTTTGGACCATATGGCATAAAAACTCTGAAAGTCCTAGCATATGGAGATTTCACCTGTGGGGACCGATGTTCCCAACAACAGGTTCTTCTGGTCCAAGATTCGTATTCCCAATTTGCAACCACCCCGTACCGAATATCGTCTATCCGAGACGACGAAGTTCCAGATAGCGTCCTGAAAACAATTGCTGCATGCCCGTTGGAGGACCTCATGGATGCTGATAATGAATTCTGGCACCTCTGATGAGGATCTATTTTTATTCTAACCCGGTGATTTTCTCATCGTGAAGCCGGTATTCTATAACTTCACGTAGCTTAGGACTTCGCACGTTGACTACTTATCAGCTCAACATATTTCTGCTCTGCCTAGAGTATAGGGGAAGCTACGATTCTCTAATGATGGAATAACCGAAGTTGATAGGTCTATTCAATATTTAGTTATGGTATGCAACAGTAGATATAGTGCTATGTAGATATACAACTGCTAAAATAGGTCAAGAAGTGATGTTGACTCAGAATATGCGTAACCGCCGGCCAAATCGGCTAGGTATAGTAGCTAAGTTGCATAAGATATTGGGGCACTCACTCCGCTGGCCGACTGTTTGTAATATAGAGGGAGCAACGTTTGACTCACGCACGCGGGAAAATATATATGCATATCCCTAACGAATCGATTTGTTCGTTTTGAAATTTTCTTGGACATCGTAAGCAACATATCTGAACCAGAGATCATTATCTGTGGCCCAGGACTGGCCATCATCGATGCTGTCTGACAGGATATCATATATTGTAGCGGCTGTTCAGTTAAACACGGTGGGGACCGCGCAAGAATAATCAACATTATAACAGGCTAACAATTCATATCACAGTATATAACTCCAGAGGGTTGCTGTGAGATCTCCATAGTGTTTAAAAGGATGCTACTAGCTCACCCTGCCATGGGACTAGTTTCTTCTCTATATTTTAAACACTTGAAAGATCCTATATCTTGGCAATAGGCTAGAATGTATACAGCCGGCTGCTCCGTGGCACACCTAAGACTAGTATCTATCGAACCAAGCCAAAGTTCCGCTATTATTTTCACTCCTGTACGCCATTTTTGATCGTTGCAGCATTCTTAACGACTTAGAGATTAGTGCATCGAAGAATGAGGTGACCCGTGTTGACCGGCGGGCAAAGTGCCTTGTACTAATGCCCTGCCCACTTGGATCTTCCAGATTCCTTCTCCAACACTACCATAAAACGGGCTAGTACGTATGGAGTTAGAATATATGTGATCCTCCTGTCAGATTAATATGGGTAATTTTACAAGGCTCCGATTGGGCGCCGAGTCGACTTCGACTGGGCGAGAATAAGGCCAATTAGGCATAAACACGTCTTATAGGGAGGGGCTTGAATTCTTCAAAACTGAGGACAATTCCCCTAGTAATTTAGGAGCAAGTTTGTCCAAGACAAGCAATTAAGAAATTTGCAATTATCTCAATTTATTCTAATGGGTAACATCGCCCCACTAAATCTAACACCTCCAAAGACCCATCCTATCAGCCTTTGGAACCACGTAACCAGGATGGGTAAAGGAACCACTTAACCGTATACATAATACATACTAGGCTATTTCGAGCTAAGGTTTAGGAGAGAATGTAGGTGGGCAGGGCATATGGTGCAAGACTGTATTATCTGCTCCAATTGATAAACCGCCAGTGGACCATAAGTATTTAAAGAGCCATCAGCTAAACGGATCCTAGACCTACCTCCGAAACAACCTATCATTATCATCGACTATTAGGCCACTTACCAGCGCACAAAGCTCAAATACCTCGCATCTAAAGTTATTCAACGTTGAAAGAGCGCAAGTATAACTGTGCTGAATTTGTGTAAGTTTTCATTTCATTGTTCAGTTCTAGCTCCACAGTAACATTCTAAACCATTCTACAGATACTTTCTGACGTGACATTACATCTTTCCAGTAATCTAGATCCAATGGTTGCAGTTCAGGATGACGAACTGTCTACCTTTCGTGTCCCAGAGCATTTGGTGCAATGTGAATCACACCCCCCCGACTACCTGCACGACGCGAAAGTCGGTGTCATAATTTTTTCTTCTAGGAAAGATCATGTACTACTCCTCAAAACATCAGAGACGGCAAGCCACCCTAATACCTGGGAATATCCTGGTGGAAGCATTGAGCTGGACGTCGAGCCGGAGCACATTGACGAGTCAATTATACATGCTGCTGTGCGTGAATGCCGCGAAGTGACCCAATTACATATATCCAATTTTATCGACGTCGTTCGGGACCAGTGGATTAAGGGAAACCAGGAGGTGCGCAAATTCATATTCATTGTCAATGTCCATGACAACCAGAATCCCGAACCGATGTGGACAAAGGTAGGACTCAACCCAGCTAAGCACCAAGCATTCCTATGGGCGGAGAGAGCTATGGTAGAGGGTATGGATGAGGATATGTTTTTTCCAAAACAGAAGCAGACCATACTAGATTCTTTTGAATTCGTTCGTAATATGCTTTGATAAGCGCGACTGTACGTTGTTGGATGTGATCAATTACTATTTGTCTTCTCTTTCTTTTCTCAGTTTTACAGAACCTTAACTAATTAACCTTACTGTAACATCCAATTAAAAATATTCTTATCATGCAAGAATTTAACGAAGTCTTGGATTAGCAGACGGAGTGGAGTTTGGTGCATAGTCACGAGTTCGCACATTTTTTTGTTTTACGCAGCTGTACGTTATTTCCCGCGAAAATTGGTCTACGACTGGAAATATGTGCCTATTAAATATAGGTCAGAAGTTTTCAAAAGTAGATCGTTACGAAGTCAGTACTCTGGCAATAATATTACTGTATGGCGTCACAACTGGTCACAAGTTGACTAAGACTTAGTGCAAGACCGACTTTTGTCATAAATAGATTGTAACCGTCTCCAGCTTCAATTAATTCTGACCCTACTCTCAGAACATGAGGCGTATGCCTAGAATATCTTCTCTGTCTTATGAAAGGCATAATAAACATGGAGGGCCAAGCCGTTCCTCAGAATATTGTGAGCCTACCTATTGAGATCATCCTCATGATCATTAATAACTTGCCAAGCCACACGAGCATTCTTTCACTGGCGCGGACCTGCAAATTTCTGTCCGGGCTCTCTGTTAGAATGCTTTATCAGTTGAACATCCGATACGAAAACAGTTCAGTCTTCCATTGGGCTGTAGAAACCGGGAGGATCGATTTAGTCGAGAATATGCTGTGCGGCTACTCGCCAAACGTCAACACTGTTGACATGCTGAATCCGGGAAAAGCGAGATCAGAAACACTCACTTCCAACGCGGACAAGCTAACCCCGATCATGACGGCAGTTAGACGAAACTATCAGTCGATATTTCTTCTGCTTCTCGAAAGAGGTGATGTGGATTTCACTTATCAGGACAACCTCGGCCGCAATGTACTACGGCACGCTGCCTCTACTGGCAACGTGTTCTGTGTGCAAAAACTCTTGGCTCGAAATACTATCGATATCAACACTCAAGACAAACTGGGAAGAACGGCATTAGCTATTGCCGTAAAACGTGATACGAAGCGGCATCGAGACGTGGTTCGTATGCTCCTCGAGGTAGATGAAATCGACATCAATCGTGCGGACAAGAACGGCAGCACACCGCTTCATATTTCAGTCAGATCACACAACCCGATAATTCAATTACTACTGTCTCACCCGATGGTTAAAGTCAACCAGATTGAGAATAATGGCTCTACGCCACTCATGATAGCTACACATCGGCCGGATGACACTCTCACTTTTAACACCTTGCTACATCATACTGATGTCAACATGGACCAGCAAGATCACAGGGGTCGAACCGCCCTTGTACATGCAATCTATCGGGATAACCGACAGGCAGTTCGGGCACTTCTGCGGAAGGGATGTAGGGATATCCCGGATTTCCGTGGCATGACGCCTTTAAGCTGGGCGGTTTGGAAGCAAAGGAAACCAATAGTTGAGGATTTGTTGGCGGACCGCAGTGCCAGGGGCATCGCTTTCTCAGACGCGGACAATCCATCATCGCGGCTCGCTGTCCAACATGGCAATGTGGAAATCATGAAACTGCTGATCAGATATAGCATCGATGTTAATTAACAACGTGAGGATGGTGAATCGCTTCTTTCTTCTGCAGCAAAATTGGGGCATCGCTCAGTTGTCCAACTTCTCCAACAAGGCACGATTGAGGTCAACGTCTTCGACCATGCAGGATGCACGGCACTTCATGAAGCAGTTTTTGCGGGACATGTGTGGGTAGTGAAATTACCCTTAGCCGAACCAAAAGTCAGCATCAATGCTATAGATAACGAAGGGAGAACACCACTCAGGTACTCCATAAGACACAAGCATGACAACATTGCGGAACTCTTTTTGGCGGAGCAGAAAATTAAGATTAACACTATCGACAAGGAGAGATCCACTTGTCTTCATGAAGCAGTTGCAGTTGGAAACCTGCCGATCGTGCGTTGTCTCCTTGACAGAGAAGGGCTGGAACATAACATCGCCAACCGCGATGGGATGACACCATTAGATTTGGCAAAGCAGTCATCACGTAGATCCTTCGTTAGAACCTCGCACAGCGCTATTATAGAGATGCTCAGCAGCCATAGGGTGAGCCCATGTGCCGCGTACTAAAAGACGCAAAGACAGCTAGCCATGGGCAGTGGATGGAGATGAATCTTGATAATTTCATTACTTCCTGTAACCCCTTGATCCGTTAGAGAAGGAGGTTTAGCTCTGCAAGGTTGAAGATAGATCCAGACAATTTGATAACCGGCTATTTTCCGTCCAGATTTGTCTAAACTTTGAATTAGTAACTGAGAAACCAGTTTTATTTGTCCCCATAGGTACAGTATGGAAGTCCATACTGAATAGCTAGATAGTTATGATTTGCCTCCTAGCAAAGGATGCCAAATCAGACGTAAGTTTTAGCCATTTACCAATTCAGGTCTCTGGGAATAAGGATATTCGATAAATACTTATTGAGTATAGTGGACAACACACACTTGAATCTGCAATGAAGTCAGCGATAGTGAAGGGATCAATGCATAAGGCAAAAGAGCTTCAGATAGATTTTGTGGAGCCATAGCGTCCATTTAGGTCACCCTCTAATGCCTCTGACACCTTGATTGTCTCCTTACGGACCGCACAGATGAAAGAGCGATGACTTGTCGGAAACCCGTGCGATCGCAATAGTTTGATCATCTCGGCATTTCTCCAGTCGCCGCTGTCTCCACTAATCCTCGACGGTCGCAGTCCTGAATTTTGGGTTGGATTGGCAATGATGGCAATCTTGCCCGATTGGTTTAGACTGTACACTATATTTATATGGCGTTCCAAAATAATAGTTGACTGTCTCTGGTTCAATTCCCCGCTTGGGTGCTTTATGCTTGTATTCAGGTACATACCTGATTGGGCATCGAGCCGGCTTCAAATCGGCCCCGATCAGTCCTCTAATCTAACGATATCCTATATGTTCAAAATACGCTTCTTATAAAGTCAGCAGGAAGGGAAGCTTTAAATACTGGAGAGATAATGGAGCAACGAACTTTTGAACTCTATAGGGACCCATGCAGCGGCATATAGTACAACACCAAGCCACTAGCGTTTTAAGAATTCTGAGCATTGGCCCTGTGTAAGTACATTATTTAGTACACCATCATCTGTCACAATGGAGCTGTCTGATTCGTAACCATCATCAAGTTCCTAGCCTACTTGGGCGTCGCCATTGCTCGTATGTAACATGACCGGAGTCGCTCGAAGTTTCTCTCTCCAAGTCTACTAGCAACATGCCATCAGACAAGGAGTTCACAGAACGCTTAACAGATATTAGATGGCTGTCTAGAGGAAACTTAGAAAGAAAGCTATTAGTTTAACGAGATATAGAGCATGCTGAGATGAAAATATGTTTCCCCTCATTTTGCCTTACGGTATTACTATTAAAATAACTTTCAACAGTTGTGTACTTTCCTAAACGGTCTCCATCTATGCGGAGTAAAGTATCTGCCAACGCAAGTTTGTCCTAAGTAGCAGTCCGCTAAGAGGTCATTACAAAGTTTTGTAAATTTGTTTGATTATGAACACAGTGCATAAAAGGGATCCACAATAAAATGGACCCATAATGTTTAAGTAGATCAGTGGTGTTTATGTTCAGTATACTAATTAAAATGAATCCACAGTGTTTAAAATGATCAGCTATATTTATACCATTTACAGATAGTTATTTAAACCGGATCCACAGTGTTCAAGTCGACCAATGGTCCCTATACCCTTTGCGGCTATAGTGTTTCAAGTCGATCCACAGTGTTTAAGTTGACTAATGGTCTCTATACCCTTTGCGGCTATAGTGTTTCAAGTGGATCCACAGTGTTTAAAATGATCAGCTATATTTATACCGTTTACAGATATGTTTTTTAAACCGGATCCACAGTGTTCAAGTCGACCAATGGTCTCTATACCCTTTGCGGCTATAGTGTTTCAAGTGGATCCACAGTGTTTAAAACAATCAGCTGTACTTATACCATTTACAGATATGTTATTTAAACTGGATCCCTAGTGTTTAAAATGATCAGCTATATTTATAACGATCCAGAGTCCAGTCCCCACAGTGTTGAAAATCATTGTTAGTGGGCAATCAAATATTGAATGATCCCTGTCAGAATCCCCACAGTGTTTAATAAAATTTAGCGAGTATTACTAAATAACAAACAAGCAAATGTAGTCTTGGCAAGTATCATGACTTCAATCCATCAGTCAACAGCTCTATATAGATATTAATGGGGTAGTGATGGTTATGCTAGACGTCAGTTATAAGACTCGTAGTATTTAGATTGCTAGACCTATAGTATATTAATTTATAGCGTGCATCAATAAGTCATAATGTTTATACAGAATGTTTAAACTGATTATATCATTAAAGAACACAGCCGACCTACTTAAACACTGTGGATCTGATTTAAACAACATGCTTATAAACGGCATAAACATTGCCGATCGTTTTAAACACTGTGGGTTTATTTTCAACAGCATATGCGTAAAGGGTATAAAGTCAAAATTGCATTACCTGCTAACGATGATTTTCGAATACTGCAGGGACAGAAAGTATGTTAAACGCTGTGGTGACTGTATATAGAGTACAGAGTATGAAGTAAAGATTCGCGATAAGTCATGTGTAGTAATTCAGTGCTTAATTGATAAACAACTTGTATCTACAAATATTTTAACCCGATTCATAGTGTTTATATAGTAATATATTGGGAATGATATACTTTCTTGAATGTTACAATTTGTACACGTCCTTGCATGTGCGTACATGACTACATTAGCCTCTCGGTTCAATGAGCTTTTGTTTCTTATAACTTGTGTTACATTACTTTACTAGTCCAGAAGTAATAAACCTTGTGTGGTAATATTTCCTTATTTTATATATATATTTAATGTGTGTTCATAGCAGCATACCGCACACTTGACACAGAATGCGCCTAAAATAAGCGGTCACATGGTGGAAATAATCGATTGCTTAGGTTTCAGACCAAAGCACCCGCTTTCCGCCTGGAATCGATTATTGAACTCTCTTTAATATTACCCTCTACATGGTCTGTGTGTAAAAAACTCAAGGAAGTTTTAAATCTGTCTGTTTACATATCATGGGAGAAAATGCAGAGAGGAAAATTGTTTGGTGTAGTACATACTGTACTGTTATGTAGAGATTATAAAGGCCACTAACCATGCAACTAGAAAATAACTGCCAAGTCGCTTTGTTGACAAAGTATGCGCTTCTGAACTTAGTCTTTACTCAGTTCCGCGATTTTATCATCATCCAATAGTATCACGCGGCACATAAATCGGCGATGGGAGGGCAGTATATGTCTTTTATGTGTTCCAAGCTCACAAATCTCATGTTTCCTGTAGAAAGAATACTGCCCATATGTTCCTCTCACCGCACGAGAAAAAAGTGGTTCCAGGCGACATATATTTTTAAAAATTAATGTTTGTTCCTTTGAATTGTGAAGATCTTCTACATTCATTTTCATTCTATTGAACATTTTAATCTGTTGCCAGTAGTTGTTGTATGCATAATTTGGATCGTGTAAACATTGGAGAAACAGCTGCCAGTCCTCCTGCGATATAGGCTTTTCAGCGCTTAGATAGAGTACTATATCCAGCCATCTGGATTTGAGAATCGACTCTTTGTCGAGCTTAGGACCTATGAGAAGCGGAGTTGCCTTGTACTCTCAGTGACTTTCAACAACAACGCATCACTTTTGAAAATTGTAGACCATGATGACTCAGCCGGCGCTGTAGATCGCCAGGGTGCCATTCCAGCAAAAGATCGAAAATGCTCTCCTCGAGTCCGAAGGAAGAAAGTCATAAATTAAATCTTTCAATTATCTCGCAAGCCAATCGATATAGGTCCACCTCTTTTGTCACTTTGGTGGCCTAGCAATATCAGAGTCAGGGTTCTTTCTCTTCATGTCCGTTCAAACTGATTCATCAGTTATCAAGACATATCAAGCAGATAAAAGCTTATCTTATATAAATTTTGCTCGGGAGCCTGCGTGTCTATTTATAGGCAGATTCGAAATTTGTCACCTTACCTATTATCTAATTATACTAAATATTGTGACTATATAGAAAGAATCAATTTCAGGTATAGAATAATATATACTTATTTATTAAAGGATAGTATCTCTTTTACTTGTATAAATTATCATATAAGATGTATTACAATACAATATATATATAAACCATCCAGCTTATTACTATGAGCCGTAACAGGGATAGACCCAAGAAGCATGTTTAGGCCTGATCCGGCAGGACCGAGGGACTGAAGGATATCCCGGAGGTCAATTGTGACTTATCATAATTGATACCATGAGGCCCCGGGCATGATGCCAGTACCCCTCATCTCGCAATATATGCCTTTATCTAGTTAGATTGGGTATCAATGGCCTAAGGTAGAGACTCAGGCATATTGGATTGGTTTCCCACCCGATGGGAGGAAACCAAGCAATATCTTTGTATAATTTTTGACATAACTTTCATTATAAGCCTCCTCAGCTTCGAATAGCCTTCTCCTCGAAGCCTTCCATAGCTATATAAGCAAAACCGATAGCTTCCTCCTAGTAGCCTTGCTCTATAGCATCAATATCAAGCGGTGAAGCTTCAACTCACCCACATCTAGTCTTTCCAGACACCCCCGGACACGCTCCTGCCAAGCCGTGTTACATGAGCACTGTTAACCCCTGAGATTCCTCCACTCGGATAAAGCCTCTGCCTCGTCCTTTCGTAGCTGCCTTATATTCCTGTTGACTGCAGCTGCAATTTCCTTTACTAAAGTAAAGCTATCCCCAACTTTTTGGGAATTATAATGAGCGAGCATATCATTGGACGCCTGTATCACCGTGTCCTGTAAAATCTCTAAGAGGAAGTGGGTCTTTCTATAATATCGATTTAAACCTTGTTGACGACCTATATCACGGATCAAGTTGAGCTGCCTCACTGTCGTCGGCACTTGTCCTCGATCAGACTCGAGTAATCTATGTATCAAATCCAAAGCCTTACTTTTGACCGTCAAGTTATTGGCAAATGCTCGCCCTTCCCCCTCGACTCTATCCGCATTTATAGTCAAACAGGGTTCTGATAGACTGTGTCGCAGTGCTCTCATAGCTCAGATGTTGTGAGGGTCTTTGCTTTGTTCGATTTTCAATAGTAAGACTTAGTCGAATAAAATCTAAAATAGTAAGCTCTGACTAGTTTGAGCGTGTAGATAGATAAGAACCATTTCTAAAAGCTCTATTGTTTGAGGATAAATACCTTCCGATAAACGAAATGATCGCTCTGGATTTAAATCTCACAGTCAGCAAATATAGTCTTCACCATGAAACATTTCAGATCATTCAAATAAGGATGGGCTTTTATATTTGCGTAATCATACATGAAAGGTCACTAGTATCGAATGGCTTCATTGTTTCTTATTATTTTTTCTTATCACTTAATACCATAGAAAATCGCCTGAACAATACCTATTGCTGATGTGGCTAACTAAGTTGTCCCTTTTTTCCTTTGCTTTTTACAGTACTCATATTGACATAGTATTAATATGACGGTGATCAAAATACAAAAAGATTTCTGGTAACCCATGATGTTATAGTTAGATAGCAATGTGCTCTCTATATCTAAAGTGTTAAAGTAATTATCCAAACCTTTCCAATGTCGGACATAGATGTATCGGAATTAGGTGAGGTTGGTGTAGATGTGATTGGTAAATGTGGTTGGCGTAGATGTGATTGGTGTTGATGTGGTTGGTGTTGATGTGGTTGGTGTTGATGTGGTTGGTGTTGATGTGATTGGCGTTGATGTGGTTGGTGTTGATGTGATTGGCGTAGATGTGATTGGTGTTGATGTGATTGGCGTTGATGTGGTTGGTGTTGATGTGATTGGCGTTGATGTGATTGGTGTTGATGTGATTGGCGTTGATGTGATTGGCGTAGATGTGATTGGTGTTGATGTGATTGGTGTTGATGTGATTGGTGTTGATGTGATTGGTGTTGATGTGGTTGGTGTTGATGTGGTTGGTGTTGATGTGGTTGGTGTAGGTATAGGGCAGGGGGAGCCTTTTTCCAAAATGTACTTCGCCTGTTGAGCATAAGTGCAGCCATTTATAACGTTTGTATCTGAATATCCAGCACTCCACATCATGAAACCACCCCAGGCTGCGTCGCTGCGATGGTCAGAGGCAAGCGACGCAAGCTCACTTGGTTCAAAGTAATATATTTCTCCACTGGGGAGGTTGTTTGCGGCCAATGGAGACGCAGGGACTCCAATAAAGATCTTGGTCTGACTAGATGCAGTGCCCGCAATATAATTCTCCCATGCCTCGTAGTTGATAGGGTTTGGGTTGGAGCATGAGGGGTTGTTATAAAATTGCACCCAAAGATAATCAAATTGAGACTGGCTTATCATCGCCCCCATGTTTCGTTCCGGAAGATAACACTGAGGAGCACCAGTAACATAATATGGTTTGGTCGGGTCAGAAGCAAAGTTAGATCGCAAAGTAGTTATCATATATTGATAAAATTCGTTTCCGGCAGAGTTTTCAATACTGAAATCCCAGCCATCGAGGACTGTGGTCCCAAAAGGTCGGGGAACCGTGTTCGCGGAAGAACTTCCATAGGCGTCCCAAAGATTTTGGCCAATGCTCTCCGCCTCTATCCTGGATAGTAACGAGTAGGTACCAGTGGCTCCCCCTAGCGAAAGAATGACTCTTACGCCATTTGATTGACAGGAGCGGATCGCGTTAGCAAGATTATCACAGCCCTGGGGATCACCTTGAGCAGAGATGACGCAATTACCGATTTGGCCAGATGGAATGGTTAGGCCATTACCCCATGAATTTAAGAAGGCAAGTAGAATGATATCAATTCCCGCATCTTTTGTGCAGTACTGTGATAGATCCTCGTTCTCCGAAGTGCTTTGCCCCCAGTACGCCGCATTGTGCGTGTTAGACGTTCTTAGGTGCAACGTAGCGGATCCAATGCTAATGATAAAGAGTAATGTGATCGCTAAAGGGCCATTAAGGGGCTGCATCGTGATAAACTGTGTTTGAATGATATAGGGAGGAACTAGGTAGTTCGGTTATATAAGCCTGTCCGCTCGCGATATGATGTCGAATTGGAAGAAACCTACATATTAAGACCCCTACCAATGTGTTGGCCTTTATATAGAAGTGGCTGATAATACCGGGGTTCCCAGTATACAGGCTGGATGTATGGAAAACGAGTTGACAATTCTCCTTCTGGTAATTTCTAGGCAGAGATTTGCCGTAATTTATCATACGTGCTATAGGCGTTGAGTTTGGGATCACAGTTGGTTAGCCGTTGTGGGGACTGGTTTGGATATCAATCCTGGAAATCACTCGCCTGTATCGGTGTTTAGCACCGCGGTCTCTACCAGATAATTCATTGAGCCATAATATTGCACATTTGACTTGTTCTGAATAGTATTTTTTGGATAAAACTTGAGGTACATGGCAATCTGGGAATATCCCCGTCTAGAACGATGCGAAAACTAGAAAATATAGCAGATTTGATTTCAGGTTATTATATGAAGATTTGGTTTTTTGGCATGTCTTTCTGGCTTGGTATTGGCTTCGGATGCCAGTTTTCCTTCAACAGCCCGTGTGTCTCGTTGACTGTGAAGCGTTATCCTGCCGCATATCGTGCAAATGATGATAGCAATTTGATATGCAAAAGACGGAGGCAGGGCATTTAAGATCTGTGTATAATTGCTTGGGTCAATGCCGTCGCTAAAATCTTCGCTAAATCCCCGCATAATGGCTACAGCTCTCGGGTCCTTATAGTCGTCTACCAGTGGAGTCAGTACTGATTAGGTTGAAGGACAAAGTATGTAGACGTTACCAGTTGACGTAGGCAGCCTTTGAAATTTGCTACTACGGAGATCGCTCAGCGTGTTATCGATCCAGGTAGGATTTGTGCACCGTGGTGCTGCAAGAAGGAAAAGCACAGGGCTCCCGTCTTCGAGCTCATTTTCAGGAGTCCTATGTAATCTAATGTATACCGAGTATTGTTTCCCGAGGAGCTGAAGGACAGTCTCCGCGAGTTCATTCGAGGAAGATGGATTCCATTCTGCTACAGCTAGGTTCAAAAAGATAAACTCCGGACGGAATTCATCTTCAGCCGCAATGCGACAGCGATGCAGCAACTCAACCAGGGAATCGTCAAACGGTGCTTGCTGCGAAGACAGGCCTTTCGAAATTGTCACAACGCGATATTTGCGAATCTCAGGTGAGTCTGGTGAAATTTTCAGCCCATCCTGTAAGGAGCTAAAGATGGCTGCAGTAGGGTTTTGTTTCTGAGAGAACGTTGCCGCCAGTGAGCATCATTATCACGAAATTTATAGGCTGAATCCTTACCTCCCATAAACCATGAGAGCTTGCGTTATAGAACACCCCTCCATTGATACGACAACCCGCCTTAATGAATCCAGCAGATACTCCTGGATCATCAAGAGAGGCATCGATGACGGATGGTTCTGGTAGTGGTGAAAAGGTGGGTTGGTCTGTGGTGTTTAGTTCATTTTGCTTAAGGGGAGAAAGACAGCAAGAATTGGAATCCTCTCGTCTGCGGATGGCATATCGGCAGTAATACTCTGCCACAGATGCTAGCTACCGGTCACCTCAAGCCCGCCAAGGCTAAGGGTTGATTGGACTTACTTGGATTGTCTTGCACATGAAGGACCAAGAAGTCCGCGTTTGTAAGCAAAATATCTGTCACACTGCAAACCTCCGCATCTTCCCCCTCCCCCATATGGTCCGTATCTGTGAAGTGCAACACAAGCTCCTTCTTGTTGATGCGATCGGGGGTCATTGACCCGAAAGGAGAAAGATCTGCCATAAATGAATACCGTGTTACTAGTAGCTGAGGGGGCCTATTTTCACGAGGACCCCAGACATCGTGGATATAGAGTACCACCCGGGAGCCTTCGGGAGCGAGAGTTCCTTCTATGTATTGGCCCTTCTCAAACTCTTGATACTGTCGCATTGACTGATATAGCGGGACTTCCTAGATTCTAAGTAAGCACAATCCTTGGATCATCCAGCCATCTTACTGTTCTTTTCTTTTCTTCCACTTGGAACATATTGCATATGCTTTGAGCATTCTTCAACACCTGCTCTTCCCATACCCCTCGCCCTTCTGAATAACGGTCGTACAGTGCATGCATTGTTGTGAGATGGCTTTCTTCAACATGACGCCGCGTTAATTCATTCTGTGGTACATATCCACTCAGCCCTGCATAGGTTGTAACTTCATTAGGGACCTCTGGTGTATGCGGATCGGCATAGTCGGACTCCTCTTCCTCAGATCCCCACAGTTTACCCTCATATTGGCTAGACTGATATAAAATAAAAGAATCCGGGCTTTCTACTAAGCCATCACAGCTGGACGGAGCAAGCAAGCCTGGTGGAGGAGTAGACGAGCTGACATTGGGCGCTATCGGGTCCGGAGGAAGGCCATAGATGGTGTGGTCACGAAACCGTGCAACCATGGGAAAGCGAGGCTGGCCATCTAGTCCCTCAAAGACCACCGTGTTGGTGGCTTGCGGCACCAATTTCTGTGGGCAATCGCAGCATATGCGGTCTTTGTGATACCACAGGGTTTGTCGTTCTGCGGAGCATGAGATGCCATGCAGGATAACGAAATACGTCACCGCTATTCCATATTTCCTGGAAAAGGCTCGGCTATAGCTATCATTCCAAGTCACCGTTAGGGAGCCTGCACTGTTGCCCTGGACGAGTCGAATCATGGTCGGCATCTCACGGATTTTTTCCTTGCACTGACGGAAGAGCACTTGTAGAGAGCGGGCTTCCTTAAGTAGAAGCTGCCGTTCCTGTAGAGGGTGCGATATCGCCATGATCGCTTGTTTGTACAAATCTTCCACCAGATGTCCACAAAACAGTTCTTCGGGCCCTCCTTGACCGACTTGAGAAACCTCGCACGGTGCATTGCTATGAGCTCGCCAGAAGTCTAACCATTTCTCATGCACATACAACCTATTTCGCTCTTTCAAGTAAACGACGTTGGGTCGATTGTCGTCGCACTGTACGTAGACGATTTGGGTGTTCCGACTTGTCACGTGCGCTGCCAGGAGGGCCGATAACACTCGGTGGATCTCACGAGCGAATAACGTCGCAGGCGGTTCTATAACCTTTGACAACCGGAAACGAGAGTTCATCTCCTCGAATGGCAAATTCACCAGACCGAACTTTCGGAACAACCTCCACAGTTGATCCGGAAGTGCCGCCGGTTCAAGTTTCAGATCGTCCTGAATATAGCGAAGATTCTAGTAGCAGTGTTAGCATTGGAGCTAGTCCTCTATGTAGCTGCTACCTTACATCGTCTGCGTAGGTTTGGGGATAGTAAAATAACCCCGCAACCTGGGCGTCTTTGGAGAAGGCATCCCAAAGCTTTCGTGCCGTGGCTTCTGTGAGTACCACATCGATGGAAGCGACATCAGCACAAGACGAATGCCATCGTAGTAGCGTCTTGTATTCCGTGAGAACCATTTCCTCCTGGCGTAGAATGGCTGCTTCCCATATTAAGGATACCGCTCTTGCCTCTTCATCTGGACTGGCCTCCAATCGCCGATCGCGATTAGCATTTAAAGATCCCGATAAAAAGTCATATCCAAAACGGTAATGAGATTGCCTGGCATCTGTCAAATGTACGCGGATACCCCTGATGTAAAGCCGTCCGGCGAATTCGGGGTCGAGAATCAAACTGCCTTGAGGGGTCCGAACTAGGGCAGAGGGCGGATTGAGATCGATCGTGATTTTCATCCACTCCCGAAAGACGTCCATCGTTACCGGCTCTCCATGATCACGGACTTTTCCCACAGAGATCGAAACATCCTCCCAGATATTGGCCTTCCGCGGCTTGCCTCGTTGACGACCTGCTTCGTAGGCGGCTCTCAGTTTTTGCACGCGATCCGCACCAGCAGGATACAGTTGGTAGTAGAATTCGGTCTTGAGCTTGCCCTTAAACCCAAAGTTCCAATAACTGTTATTGCTAACAATCCTGACGTGATACTCGGAGCGGCAAAGCACCAAAGCGGCAATTTTGAGGCCATCTCCATATCGCCCTGTCAGCCTTGGATCTGTTGACTTGGTTGTGAAACCCAACTCCATAGAACGAGGAGTGATGTCGCTGCCGAAATTGGCTAATTCAACCACACCTGCACCCTTGTCGAATTTAATATATCCTAGACATTGCGCAGCCACGAGGTTTCCCGCTGTCTCCACATGCTTAGAGATGGTTATCAGGGTTTCAGTTTCCGTGTCCGATGTTTGCGGCGTGAATTCCAGCAGGCTGAGATTATGTGACTGGATTATTGCATCCTTCCTGCAAGCGAGTCAGTCCTGGGGCCGGGCAAGGAAATGCCGACTTACCAATTCTGGTATAGTTCTCGGAAGGCATCAGATGAATCCCAGTCACGGGCATACGCTTTAGTTAGACCAAGGGCACTGCTATATGATGTTGGACGAGCATTGACTTTATCCAAGTCCGGTGCCTGTGAGATTTCAGTTGCCATCTGTGCTTTCATTACTTTGTAGTGTTTCTGACAGATCGACAGTCATGTTGTGAGGGTCCGGACTCCTTTATACTAAGTAAACTAGTCAGTTAAACACCATACTGGAGTACGTTAGATGTTTGGCTCCATTGAACGGAACGGGATGTTCAAGTGTTCAAGGCTCTAGTTTTAGCTGTTTACGCATCGACGACGCAAACAGGTCATGGCATGATCATAAGATATTGATATATCATGACCCCAGAGACACTGTTCCTCCGATAACCTTTTCATAAAACCCGCAACCTCCATGTCGAGTCGATTATAATGGATCGAGTGGACTATATGAAATCCACTGGCCTTACTTCCGTGGCAGGACGACAGAATGTCCGGGACATCCGAAACATTTTTGCACGATGCTCGACTAGAATCGGCACTAGCCAGAGAGGTGTCGAACATTTTATTGGAAGTGTTGGACAAAATATGGCCAATAGTACTAGACCGATCACATCCGCATAAGTGTTTGCAGGCGACACTTGATGTGGCATTACATCAGATTGAGCTGATAGAGCAAAAAGCCAAATATACGAGTCTTCAGAGAGAAAATGATAACCTCAAGAAGAAGATCCGTGCATCGCAAGCGATCCTCGACCTAAATCGCCATCTTTCAGATTCCGATTAGCACGAGATCCAACCTATAATGTGTGCATTTATCAGAAGTGAGAGTAACGCAGTTGTCATTTATCGCTTCCTCTTTTCAATGTCTTTGATTTTGGAACTGTATTGCGGTATCAAACGAGTCGCGAACTTTAATTTGCGATTGATGGGTGAATTAGATTTGGTTTGGGGATTTCCATGGATACAGCACGGTTGATGCCATATGCTTGTATGAAAAGAGTTAGGCAAATATCCATGATGAGTACAAATTTTAATTCTACCAGGATCCGGCAGTAACTTTGACCGATTATAACATCCTTCATAAATTATATCGGAATTTGATTCCAATCCGGCTAAGCAGGTTCCCAATCAGACCTACTGAGCGGCAATTCAACGATACAGGTCTACGAACCCTAATCTCGATTCGCCACTCCCTACCGGGGAGGCTGGGCCAGCTAAATTGATAAGTTTAATTATATCAGTTCAATGAACAATTAATTGTCCCTCAACAATGGGAAATCTTGCCATAGATTCAAAATTTCAATTCGATCTTGAAGATGAAGTTTGGGGTCGGTAAGAGTTGTACATGCACCCAAAATCTTTGACCTGACTAGCCTATCCTACCCCTCACCAACACCTTGATACGTAGTGATAGTGACCTATTGGTCATAACACTCGAGCAGCCTCTACTAGCCAGCCACTTATTAATTGCTTCATCTGCGCGTGCGGCCGTTAGTTGGGACCATATGACGTATGTTGGTCACAAAACTGGTAAACTCATTGCTGACACTACTGCATGATGTAACTTACATTGCATGATCAAACTTTATAATTGGAGGCTGTGTCCACCGTTGACCTATACAAGGGTCAGCGGCGGCCGAGCTTTAGGCATTAACTGCTAAAGACCAAGTACTCCGTGGGTCCATCGAAATTAATAGTGCTGCCGGGCCCCTTCATCGGGATCCCTTCATCCGAACAGGAGTGTGCTCAGACTTCCAGATATCCCGGGTTATTAGCCCAAAATTGGTTGATACTCCGTTATACTGTACCGTAGCCTGATGTGATTGGCTGAGTACGCCGCTGCTAGCACCTAAGCAAAACGGGTATTAGCTCTCGACAACTTAGAAGTCGGCGCATAGAGAGACTTGAAATAGGACGCCACGGATTAAATTAAGCGCCCAGGTTTTAAAGCTAATTAAATCATTCTGTGGCTAGAGTCTACAGATGTACATGGTCCTCCTTCTAGGCTCTGTTTTACAAGCTAGAGTTTGCTTCGAGCCCCTTATGAGAGTGATTATCTTCGTCTCGTTGCTTGTCCGACCGAAACTAGGTTTGCCAGCTATGAATTAGATAATTGTTTCCGGACATGTGTCTGTGGGGGGCATACACACTCAAATTGTTACTGTGCATCGGAGTGCGATGAATATGATTAAAGGCATGTGGCAGCCCCGAAGCCGTTTCATTCCTTGAGTCTTTCTCGACAATATCCACGCTGCATGATTATTACACTGGACGTATATATGGTCTGATCTGTGCTCACATGTATTGGATCTACAAGTGCATTACCGACTATCCGAATTAATGAAACACGCAATATTAGTACGAGGTTATCCTAGAGTAAGGTAGTTGACTAAAGACTATCTAGTGATTAATTTATTACATGGTCCGTGTCTGTGTGTTTATAGGAAGACACCATATTTTGCACCTTGCAATATCCAGTGCCTTACTCGAAATTGAACCGAGGCGGTTTAACAGCGGCCCGTCGATCGCTTCCCAATAGGTCATACGATGATTGCCGTAAACTTTTTTTCTAGTCACGCAGTGGGGTTGAAGGAAAACTTAAGTCTGGGATTTCTTCGGACGCTTCCCAAGGGTTCCGTTAACAACATTCTTGACTTCCTCAGTCCAGTTACTAAGGTCCTTTAAATGTTCCCAGATGGAGCTGATGTCTTGTAACATTTTCCTAGAGGCCTGATTATTATATTGGTAATCTCAAATCCGAATATTGGGGGCCGAGATACTCCATCTGTCGTTCGTTCCTAGTTACTACCTCTTGTAAGCGCCTGTGGCGCAATTAGCTAAGATGACTTCTCGTATTATTGGCAGTCTTACTCTAAGACCTGATTGTGACTGGAGACAAATAATTAGTCATATTGTCCATTCTAGTGGGCTTAAGGATCGGTTTCCTTTACCTCATCAATGTCTGGCGTAAACAACTGGTGTGGTCACATTAGTTGGTAATGAGGCATGAGGTGAGTCACGAGCATACACGATATCTTGGCCATGTCTGTCATCCATTATTAGCAATGAACTAATCTTCCTTTCTCAGACATACTCCTCTAATCTTTCCTCTACAGTGCTATTGTCTAAATCGGAGAATCTGGTGAATGGAGCAAGGGTACATCAGCGAACGCTCCATTTGTAATGTAGAAATCCATACGAGGTCATTAGAACTTTGTTATTGCTGGCTTCTTGCATATTATCTGATGCGACGTCCTCAACAGAGGTATGTTCAGTGGTAACAACATTGCTAAGCCATTGTCGCCAAAATTGGGCTTCAGGAGTGGACATGGTGGAAATGGGAGCAGACAAGAAAAACCAAATAGCAGAAATAGCCTATGGATAGAGAACTGAAAGCACAATGAGCCCCTTTAAGTCTTTGAAGCACTTCGGAGAGCCATTCGAATGTAATTCGGCGGGTCTATGCTATCAACATTTATCTGCGCCCCGTTACGTCCATCACCTGGTGGCCCCGTATAGAGATAGTCATCTGAGCCCATTGTGGTTGTCAGGCCGGGCGGAAAAGACTGCGATGGAAATGATTCGGATGGAAAAGGCTCGGGTTGAAAAGATTGCGTTTGGAAATGTGCAACTGCTTGAGGCTGGAAAATCGCAGGTTCTGAAAACGGTGCCATGGCGACGGATGGATCATTGTGATTGCGACGGGGACTTTCTAAATTGGCTGCAGCGGTGCTATACTTTCTTAATTGCACAGCAAGTTCATCCGGAGGTTTCAATGATGTTGAAATCCAGTGGCCGAGTTTATTGACGAGAACAAAAAGATCTTCTTTATCTTTTTTTAACCTGTTGATCTCTCCATCTTTTGCGTTCATCATCTCGTCGAGAGACATCTGTCTGCGTTAGATAGGTCATCGCTTTTTGGATCCCTGGAGACTTGCCATGGCTTTCATCAATACAGGCTGAGACTGGACAATTCTCCACGAGCGGGTCAAGTCATCATGACCATGTGAGCCGATAGAACCGTTAGATTGCATGATGGTAAGTAATGGTGCGGGTATGAGATGCTAGGACTGCGAACTGGGACAGTTGAATCTGGAAGCTGGAATTAGCTCAAAGATAAACACGGCGGAATAAGAGGACTGCTTATGAAGGAAAATCGCGAATGTCCCCGGTATCTAGCCAGTCAAGTTAACACCGAGTTTAAACACTTTTAAACACCCCTATCTAAAGGTCCACAATGTGAAATGCGGCGCAGACCTGTGTTTGTGTAGATTGACGCCGGGAACGAACACCCTGGTCTAACGGCCCACATCGTGAAATGTGCGGCGCTGCATTGCTTTCACCAACATGTGTTGGTTAATGTTGAATCTTGACTGGCAGATGTTCAAATGCCTATAGACACAAAGAACATTTCAACGCAGCCCACCCCCTCATTTCCCCTCCTTAACTTGTTTTCCAACAGTGTCTTAGTCTGTGCGGCAATCCGCAAAGAAAGAAGGGCAATAAAACTGTTGAATTGCGCAAAGTGTCCTGTGCACATCAAACGACCTTCAACATGGCAATTAGAAAGGGACAAAAGAAGGCGCAGCGCAAAGTGACAACGGCGCTGAGAAGAAAAGGAAGCAAGGCGACGAAGAGGAATATCATACCATGGGAAACGCGTGAGAAGGAGGAGATCGTCGCATTCTGCGAAAAGCACCATGCAAAAGGATGGGATGAGATGTGTAGGCTCTGGCAAGCAGAGTACGGCAAACGACGGACGAGGGAATCTTTGCGCGGAAAATGGAATTATCTGACGGAGGGTGGTAAAGAACCGGGCGGTCACCGAGACGATGACGCCGGCCTAGGTGCTTGTGTAGGAGCGGACCCAGCAGCCGCCCCGAAAGTAATGCTTTCCAACGAGCCACCCCAACCTCTTTGCGACAGTATTTACCGTCTACTTCAGAGCGGGCTTGCAAATCATGACCGGCGCCAGGAAATGGCCCCGAGAGCTAAAAGCTATGAAAAGCCCTATGAGGGAAGACTCATCAAGATGCTAAGCAAAGGTGAGGCTCCGAATCCGTTTGATCAATGCATCTAACGAAAGCAGCATTCGATTTCTGTCGCCAGTAAAACAGGGTCGATAGAAAGCTCATTGTCGCCAGGTATAGGCGGGCACGCCACAAGAGTCAAGAGGGTAATTTCCAGTTGGCATCTAATAATGTATCGTGGCCTTGTTAGACCCCATTTCGTGTATATATACCTAAAGCATGTACGTCGCGTTCGAGTTGATGTACTGCAGCAGTATGGCGGCCTGGTTGAGACTGGAATCGGACCACGGCGGTTGGTCAATCGAAGATAGCGGACAGATGAGAAGTACTATTAGGTTTCTGAAGCGCCCCTGTGATCAATTTCCAGCTCTTGTATTTTTCCTCGGTAGATCCACTAAGAAGCAAGCATTACGATGCCTGCTGCCACATAATAATACAACCAGACAAGGCGCCCCAGGAATTGCCAAGATTCACTTAAATTCTGTTGATACTGATGCGCATCATCCCAATCTTTTTATCGATGGAGATCTCGACAAGCCAAAAAGCGTAAACACTGCCTACAATGTATCCGCTCGGGTCGATAAATCGTTAGTTCGCCGGCATAGGCTTCATAGAGATGCTGGCCAATCACACGCAGGTCTTAGAGACTATTTGTTCCGTCGATGCATTCTGCCATTTGTGCATCTCCTGTGTGTCTTTGTAGATGATTTGGTTGAGTCTGAAATGATAAGCGATTGGGTCTCGCCGAGCAGTCTGAAAGGGACCTCGGCTCATCCACGAGTAGTGATTATCTTGGCCAAGCAAAGCAATCAAGGCAAGGCCGAAGAGATCGCCGCAGATGCAACACACCGTGGATGTACTGTATCGATTCTCGATTTGCACGGCCGTCTTGACCTCTCGGGGCCCGCCCGTTTCGACCCTTTACGTTCCCTAATCCGGCGCGAACTGGCCGTAGAGCTTGAAGGGCGCCACACACAAGGGTTACTCTATTCTGCGACACACCTCGAGTCTCTTCTGACAAGGGCAGTCCGACATGCGGCCGAACATCCAGGAACAGATTTTGACGTCGTGTCTGCCGTTAGAGAGAACAATCCAGTCCCCCCCGGGATAAAGCAACACCTTCAAAATGTTCTTTCCGTTGCGAGCGAGGCACAGCTCTCATTTCAAGACGCGGCGGTATTCATTGCGTCAGCTCTGGTGGTTGATGCCTTCCCACCGGGCATGCACGGTATGGTTCATCACATTTCTATTCCTGCTCTGTCCTCAGCTATGGGCTGCAGTTGGTAGGACATTGTTGCTGACCCGGCGTAGCATTCGACCCTGGTCTAGTATTCGATCGCCTGTATGCTGACCCCTGCAAGCAAGCGTGGCAGGCGATAGCGCCGAACGACGTGCAGAAAGCTGATGACAGAGTAAGAGGTGAATTCATCCGCCTGTTGGACCTAGTACGGCCGCGGGGACGGGCTATCAACCTCAGAGGACTGGTACTTCGGTCCAGTCGAACATGGGCCCAATTGAAAACAAATGTAACTTGCCTATTCTGCCTGCTTCGAGGAACATGTGATGTGCTGCCATGTGGACACGCAATTTGCGAGGTCTGCATTCGCAGGTTAGGCGACCATGCCCAGGCGGAGTATCATTTCAGGATGAAGATCTGTCAGATCTGCGGAGACACATTTGACTATATGATTCGTCTTCTACCGCCAACACAACGACCCAGCATTCTAGTTCTCGATGGAGGAGGTATCCGAGGCGCAATCAGTCTCGGGTTCCTGCAGGCGCTTGAAAGATATACCGAATTGCGACATTTTCACCTGACGGTGGCGACCAGTGTTGGTTAGTCAGACATGTAACAAAGACATACAGAATACTAATCGCACACCATACCAGGGGCGCTGATTGCATTTTACCGGACTCTGCTGTGTTACTCAGCCGAACATGCCCAGGAAGTATTCAAGTCTTTTGGGCATGGCATCTTCCCTCAAGGGCCGTATACTGTATTAGACTTTGTGACAAGCATGCTAGCTGATGGCAGGTACAATTCTGACATACTCGATTCCGCCTTAGCAAAAGCGTTAACGAAGCAGTTGAGGTTATTTGAAACCTCAGTGGCCCAGCCATCCGGCAGCCTCGTGGCCGTCACGGCCAGCCACGTCGAAAAAAATGGCTCATTGTGTTTGTTTACAAATTATCGGCCATCAGAGCGCATGGATGAGAGAACCTCATACGACATCATCACCCCAAAGAGAGTGGTTGACGAACCTTTTCTTTGGCAAGTGTAGGCTTTGCTCTATTATGATCGTTGATCTCGGTCGCTCAGCGTGGCTAACTACCCGGTTAATAGAGGACGATGCGCTGTGGCTGCGCTAGGGTAACGTTTTGAAAAGATAAAAGGAATATTGGCTAATACCGGTAGATATTTCAAACCTCACCATCTGCCGGGACTCGGGACATTCCAAGACGGAGGCGTTTGTGCAAACTGTCCGCTGAGAGTTGCTCTCCACGAGAGTAAACTGCTCTGGCCGTCGGGAAGCCGACCAAACCTTATCGTGAGTATCGGCACGGGATTTTTAGACCAAGAGCCCCCAGGTATTACCAGCAGAGCGTCTTCGCGTACCCCATTAGACCCTGTGCTCGGTGCTGATAGCGGCGACGACGGAGTGTGTAGCGTTGCGGGAGCAATGCGCTCTCATCGTTCACAACCTAATACTGAACCAAACGTGGGCAGATCTAGGATAAGGTCGAAGACTGCGAGGAGCGGCGTCCGGAACCAAGAGGCATCCGTGAAAGGAGGTCGCCAGGAAGAAAATACGGAGTCGAGACAGTCCATTTTCTCTATCATTAACCTGTTACCAGGCTTATCAAGGGTACTGACCCGAGGATATGTGAAGCGGGCGAAAGATGTTTTTCTCAATTCCCCCGCCGTTGACGGTAATAAAGGTTGGAAAGACGCTCGCGACAGCATACCCGAGGCCCTGAAGGACGATGTATTCCGACTTGACCTTCCTCTCCAAGCACGGCTCCCTGAATTGGATGATGCGGCGCGGATCGATGACTTGAGCAACTCTGCATTCAATATTCCGGACGCCCTCGCACGTAGCCTCCAGACAACGTCATTCTTCTTCGAACTGGATGAAGAGCCAGCTTATTGGGGTTACCTATATCACTGTCAGGGCTCGATCCTATGCGACAAGCTCGATCCAAGTGCGCTCCTATCCCAGCTACAGCGTGATTTGCCCAACGCGCAGTTCGTCACAGGAAGTGGTGAGCATCTTGGTCTAGTTGTGGATCACAACGGTTGCGAAAATTGCGGTTATTATAGGAAGCAGGTCAACCTCAGTGTGTCTTGCCTGGACGACATCATCCAGCTAGGTGTTGCCAGTGGCTCAATCTTTTCGAAAATCGGCGGCTTCCCAAGTTCTATCCAAGCCATCTCGAACGATCAACAACAAAATGCACCATTTGGACGAGCGGACCACTCAACCTATCAATGGGCACGTTCACGTCAGTGTTACTGTACCACAGGCAGCAAGCGAGGAATACCAGGTGTTGCAGTCCGTCTTCCATCGAAAAGACCGCGACTTGAGGGGAAATAGTCGCAGGATAGTATTCAATGTAAGCCGCGTCTGACTGAATTCAGAGGGGGTTTGTTGCTTTTAGGTGCTGCTGCGCGAAATGGGGTTACAGAGCATTGGTGCCACGTCTTCGTTAGAGTGGCCCGGGGGGCAGGGACTAATTAAGCGTGCTGTGTACAGATGGCTGTGTGGGGCTTGGCCCAAACAAGGGTGTCTGCAGGGAGAATGTATTTTGTTTTTTTTCCTTTACTAGGTAATACGTAATCGCGAATTAGTACATTTCTTTTGACAGGCGATATATTGTACAAAATCCGTCCTAAATGAATTGATCTATTTACGGGAGTACCACATTGTCGGGACGGCCGTGCTCTCCTCTGAAGAATTTTAGAGGGATGTGATTGGAGGAGATAAGGCCAACCAACGCTTCTCCTCAATGTCTAATTGGTAGTGCTTTATACAGTGGTTTGCACATTCAGCCTGACAAAATCAATCATTTTGCGTTGATGAAAAGGCGGTACGCTGGCAACTAAACGTCTTACTCATCAGAATAATGTTTTTATATTGGCTATGAATGGTTTTTCTAACCGTTCTGGGTTTAGCACCGGATGCTGGGAAATGAGCAACAATCCGAGACTGTCAAGCTGATTGTGCAAACCACCGTATAGTCGACCATACGACCAGTATCAAGTATCAGGAGCACAGTCCACCTCTTTCGGGGCCCAGGGTGGGGATACTACTATCGAGCAGAGGCCCTTTTTGACAGCTTGTAGTCCAATCAGAAGGATCTCCTTGGCAACAATACAACGTGATACCAATCACGCTTATCCTGGACAACATTGGTCAATTATGTGTATTCTGTTGGTAATTTGTATGTATTGCGGTAGTATAAAAGTCATATGTGCATTTGCTTACTAGCGTTCTGCTCATATCTAAGCAAAATATTATACATAGAAGTATTCATATTTGATTAATTATAATTTATTGCCAGGGCACTAATAGGCATAGAAAGGCGTGAACCATCAGGTTAGATCGATGTGATGAATGCTGTGTTGGCGTGTTTAAAACACCGAAAAGTCATAGTGATTCTCGTCGGGGTCCTGAAGATTGTTTCCTATAATGCTATAATATGCTACTTATTCATTGAATATGTTATTCACCTTTTTGTGATATCCTCATTTTTGATTTAATCTGCACTGATTAATATTAAAATTGTATGTTTTTCAAACTATGAAGATAGAAGTCATTTACATATTAGAGGGATCCTCACTACTTGATTTCATCTTGTTCTGCTGGCTACAGGATCTGACCCTCCTGCAAATGGATAGGTCAATTGGCTTTTTATAGGCCGTCTTCTTATAATATCAGTGTATCAGGGAAAATTATGCTTCGCTCTTCCTGGTTTGTGGAAGGTATGCTATTTAGTGTAATTATAGTGCGTGCGAAAATAAAGATGGTCTATGATTCGGTGAGAAATTCGAAGATTGTTCAGACTATATAAGAGCCGTAGTGAGTTCAAACAAGTTCTATACATAAGTCCGAGTTCATCTCTATCAAGTCTACAGTTACGAAAATATCATACAATGGCAACAGCAGACAACGAACTCTATACTACTCTTGTTTGGTCTGGTTTCATAAAACATGGCAATAGAACTGGACCTGAAACGCCAATCAATCAAAACATTAGAGAGGGAACTATAACACTTAACGAGACTCAGAGCTCCGCTTTGCAAGATAGCCGTCAATCTATTATAAATCACCTGGAAAGTACAAGAAATGAGGAACGTGATAAGATTGTTGATCTTTCCACCTTTGGCGCATTGCCAAATGGTATGACCTTGGAGGAAAAACGATCAGTTTTTGAAAAGGTTTGCAGGAACCAGGATAAAATGGATCTCTGGAACGATATTTCAGAAAGTAAGTTGCCTTGATAATATGAGTATGACTTGAAAATTAAACTGCGCCTAGAACTAGTAAAAGAGGCAAGCGGAGGCACTGATGACACTGGCGGCACTGATGACACTGGCGGCACTGATGACACTGGCGGCACTGATGACACTGGCGGCACTGATGACACTGGCGGCACTGATGATACTGGCGGCACTGATGATACTGGCGGCACTGGAAGAGCAGACAATGCAAAACGGCCGTGTCAGCCGCCTCCAAACAGAAAGATTGTCGGTAGTGGCAAAGGATCAACCAGTCGATACTCAAATGTACCCCAGTCAGTGGAAGATTTCTGGCCATATTCATTTGCTATGAGTGAGCATATGGCACTTATCTTTGAAAAGAGGACCAAAAGAAAAACCATATCCGGCAACTCTAGTTATTATGGAATCCAAAGAGAGGTATACGATGTAGATAAAAAAAAGAAGATCTTTCAGTATGAGCTTGTCACAGCACGCGAAGTTTCAGGACTTCTAGATGACTGGAACCAATTGAAGGACGACGAAAAGTTGGTATTTAACGCAGCTGATCGAAAATCGCCAGAAAATCCTGGGAGACTTCTGTACATTTACATGGTTTTCCCACACCAAACTAAAAGAGGGAAGAAGGACAGCTATAGCCCTACAGCAACGACAGAGGTTTTCGTTCAGTTCGAAAAACTTGGGAACCAAGTTATTACGCTGTCTATGCTCAAGAATATGTATGGGAATACTCTAGATTGGGATATTCAACATATATGTGACAGAGACGGCATTCCACCTCCTTGGAAATGGTTACCGGCACAGGCCGTTACAGATATTAAGGAGGCTCATAATTATACACCTAAAGCTCGAGATACGGATTCCGTGACCTTGGAAGAAAAAATGGCGGCACTCAGTCTGGACAATACCATGCCGAGAACCTCCTTGAGCCCTGTGGGGGCAACAGTCTCCACCAATGTCCCTCCAAAAATGAAAAGAATATCAAGAAGCACTTCACGAGGGGCAGGTGCTATACCTGGTTTAAAGAGCTCCCAAAGTCCTTTCCCGGAGACTTCCCAGTCAAATCAGGACCCATTCGGCGCAAGACTGGATAGAATTGAAAGGGTACTTGCTGGAATATTGGAGAAGCTGGGTGTGGAGGAAGATTGAGACCATGACAGAAGACACTAATTAGGCTTGCATTATGACTTTCTGTGTTTCTGATTTTCTTGCAAACTACACGCTGATTATGAATGATAGTGAGACGCCCAACCACATGGATCGGTGCAGGCCACCATGGTCTCAGCTCCCAATATTGTATAAGTCTTGCATGGTTTTTTCACTTGGAGGTGGGTAATATGTGTTCTATAGACAGTTAGTATTTAGAAAATTGATATTTTCCATATCACTTGCGAGTTCTTCCTTAGAAGGCGGCCATCCTAACTCAGAGTTAAAGATATAGATCTGGCCTGTACTTTTAATTCGAAGAAAAACAAATGCGTGAGCACCACATATAATGCTGTACTTTGCAGCTTTTCGGAATAGCCCATCTTTCCGGCGGTTCTTCTGTTGCGTTCTAGATCGACGGCTCGATGATTTGGGCGTCATTTTGCAAGGTTTTGGAGTCATTTCTATGTTATTTATTTTTCGTCTACTTACTATTGAAGGGATTATTGTATTTATGTGTGAAAATGGACCTTAGATCCTATGAATGAGCACCTACCAACTAATATATGGGTTGATAACTAGCAAGCATAAACACTGGCACGGTCATTCTCAAAATTAGCTTGACCAGTCAACATGAGTATAGTCTGCGCTTTACTCCTATGCTCTGGCTCGAATTTTACTTAGTACACATGGTTGGAATTTTTGTCAACACAGGCCTTCGAGTTTTCGAGTGCATATAGAGTACATATGGCAATTGTACAGTAAGGACAGAAGGGATAACAACATGGAACGCAAAACAGATTACAAGAAATCGAATGGGAATCTATGGAAATTTCGGCAGGATCCTACGATCTAAACATGCTGTGGGTCTATATATTTTCGTGGCTTATTCTACCTATCAACATACCTATAGAATATGAACACCTCCTACAATATTTATTTTTTGTTTGGTACTATGTATTATTGATTCTGATTAAACCGAATCAGCCAGTCAATTACGGCTCTAAACTAAGAGTCGCTTGGTTGACTTAGGGTAGATCAATTGAGACACCGTGTGGATGTCAACACTGTGGATACATGTGAATCCGCATATAGATGTGGGTATATAATGAAAATAGGCCTGCTTTTAAACACTGTGTAAATATGGGGTTTTTATGGATGGAGGGAGTTGCGCCCATCAAAGTTGAAAGGCGTGGCCCAGGGCTTCGTCATCTTCAGTGCGTGACGGTATAAGATGACAAAATTCTTAGCTAAGGTGGCAACCGCTTATTAGTTTCGGACTTAATCTGTACAACTAACTCGAGATGATAGTAATTGTGATGATTATGCATGATCCTTGTCTGGAGTTATATTGGCATAAGTACAAGCATAAGCAGCATGACATATTTACATAACAAGCATATTGACAATAATGCAGCTTTATTAGCTGAAAGGGTAAGGTCCAGGCCGGTAGAGCACTACCTCTTAGGCTGTCGTATTAATTAGCTTCCAGCTATTACTTCCTGTTGGCTGTCTAAAAGGACCTAATAAGGAAAGGAAAAGGTCACAGCCGGCGTTGTAAGGGTCAATCACGTGAGGCAAGCGCAATGTCTAGATTACTGTAGCTTTTCCTTTGACTTCTCAATCTTGGCTCCTCATTCGTCTAGGAATATTCACGATTTTCGGGTGGAATCTACCATACATAATGTTCTAGTTCCACCAATGACCTTGAAATTTCAAGTCGTCAATCGCACTATACCGTCATGTTCCTTCCCGTTCCTACGTCATCCTTTCTTTAAGATTCCGCTCATATTCATCAACGAGGTCTTTAGCGTTATCTAAGTCGTTGATATGGTACCACCAATCATATTCATGGCTGTATCCGCGCCATCGAACACGGTAAAAGGTATCCTCATTGAGAACTATCCGGTCAATCAATTTCTCAATCTCATATTCAGCATATCCCCTGCCCACTCGGATAGGACCCGGATTATTTGATCGACTGCTGCTAGCAGTTTTCCAGTCGGCGGGTTGGAGGCTGGGTAAAGACTGCCCCGCACTTCGTTTGCCGGCCAACTTTTTCGGCACCATCGTAGCAAGGTCCTATGGGTACACCTATAGGCTGAATTATTCGCACGGGTTGCCGGCTTGCTGTCAAAAGGATAGAAGCTCATCTAGGTATGAGTTTTGGCGAAAGCATGCATGAAAATCAATCGAATCCTATCATTAGACGTCCATCGATAAAACTCGCCATGAGGCCTGCTAACAATACTTATACAATGATGACATGGGTACAAACTTCTATCATTTAGATCTACAGTAGGCATTTTTACATAAGCTATAGGCACGATTCATCCCCGCCGTTTAAATCTCTACATTGTTTTCGTCCGTAGTTCAGCCAGTGTTCGAATTGTCCGCCTTTGATGTTTATCTGCCCAAGTCGTGCCCCGAACTAACAGCGTTAGATCGTCTATGATAGAACGTTGTGTAAACACAGGCGATGAGCATGCAAAGGGCGCTCACAAACGCCCCTACGCAATATTTCCTCGCATCACCTTTCTGGATAGAGAATACCGTATTGTGGGAGACTGACTCTTCAACACGCGACTGAAGTAACGAGACGGTCACCATCGATACAAGTGGTGGTATTACAAGGCAACTAAACCCGACAAGGGTGATGGCCGCACGTCTCCACGGAGTGAACAAGCATCTCAGCAACCAAAGAGTCAATCCAAAGCCAATACTAAAGCAAACCACCAGCGTAACCCCGGCGATGAGAGAGTTGCGAAGAGTTCCAAAAATAGTAGTCTCAAGGCTCTGAAACATTTTAAGGGTATCACCCAGAACATCCGATGCCCCTGGGGGTAGTGCGGAAGAGATGTCGAACGGCAAAGCTTTACAATTAGGAGACCCATTCAAACAGATCTTCCTAGTTCCAAGGGAGATATTTCTAAGTGCGCTATTGGCACCCTGGATCACTGTCGTCGCTTTACTTTGGATCGCAGTAGCTACACTTCCCACTCCACTGTTAATAATAGTAGGCATACTTCCTGCAACCGTCTCAAGTTCGTCTGGGATCATCTGAGGCATATTCCTTGCTAGATGGGGAACCTGAGTTGGTACAAGAGCCCCAAGATTCACCTGGATAAAGGTATTAGTGATCTGTTAATACATGGTTCCAATGGAACACATTACATTCATTGTCACTATTCCAGATTCTTGAAGAGTTGGGTTTAGAAGAGCCTCAAACCCCAATACTACGGAACCAATTCCAGTCACAGCGATGATTGATCCAAGAACCCAGGGGATAGGCCCTCCTGAAACGGGGAAATGCGGAATCATCTGCCAAGTAAACGAATTCATTCTCATTCATTCCCAAGCAGGTCTCTGCAAGTTATTATGTTAAACAGCGTGGAGACTGAGTATATAAGCTACCTGAATACTTATTCTTTTAGAAGCCGGGTGCTTTTATGCATGCCGGGTCGGCCAGAGCCTTCAATGATTAGGAGTCAGAAAGTAGCGGTCCATTTTTGAACCCAAGAGCGCATCCATATTTAATTAGATATAGAGCAAGTTGGCCCTTGTGATAGTTACACCATTAGATGGAATATATACCATCATCGATACCTAGCATTTTACATGTAAATAAAATAGAGGTCCTCGTCGATCTACATATCCCTACAGTATCGGGATATTATTCTACGGGCAGTTAGTATTTATCTTCATTTAATGTTAGAGCCTATCAATATAAACACGCTGAATAGAAATACTGCTTGTCCAAGGATAGATTGTTGGAATTATCAATGTGGCCGAATATACATATCACAGTTATCAAACATAAAATATTATCACTCATCGATACATAGCGGAGAGATTTTCATCTTACTGTATCGATAGCGAGCGATGCAGCTACCCAAAGCCTTGGGAATTTCTTTGGTTTGTCCATACTCCCATCCTTCTTGGGCTGGGGTAAAGAGCAGCCTGTACTGCTAGAGAGTATTTCACCGCAAGAGTCGTAGTGGCTTAGCTTGGTGACCCCAGAGTAGCGTTGAATAGCTGCTAGATTTCATCAGGATAATACATAATAAGACATCCAGATAATTTACTGACCATGATAATCGGTGATCTGCTGTGGCATCTCTGATAAGGAGGATAAAGAGCGTATTTCGTGTATAGAACGGTTTTTTTCACACTGGTCATTCGACTAAAGTAGAGAAGAAAAAAGTAAATCTATACTTTTATAGATAAGTCAGACAATCTACTTTGATTTCATTTCAAATATTTATCGGATAGATCAGTAAATCAAACACATCCAAAAACTTTCAAACACTGTGCAGATGCGATGGAAGCTATTTCGTAGCTCAAATTCGGTCCAAACACTGCCTCCACTTTAATATCATATGGTTATAGTCGTTCTCAAAATCAATTTGACTTACAAACATATGATGGTTATTTGCATGCCCCCCTTGCCAAGGCCTTGGTGTATACTAAATATTCCTTGATGGGACGTGCGCTTTGGTTACCGGTAAGACGGCCAATCAGTTTCATTCTTCTATGAACATGGCAGTGGGGCCTTGGAGCAATCAACGCTTGTGTTTACTGGTCATATTGATTCTGAGAATGTAAACAAAGGATTTTCTGTTTTTTTCTTTTGGTCTGTTGGAATACAGTACAGCCGTTTCACACTGATTGTGTAATTAACTATGTAAAAAATTTGATTTCTATCTATTAGGATCTCCGTAGCGCTACACTATTCTAGAGTGAATTTTCTCCCTCAATTCCCACATCTCTCGCACCTAGTTGATGCCGCTTAGGCGCTGGTGAATGTTGCAGAAACTTAACATTCAGTCACAGTAATTTTCAATTCTTTCGGCTCCTTTGAATAAATAAGACCAGACTGGCTCTCTTTGACATCATCATATGGAAATGCATAGCCTTTTCCATCAGTCTCATGACTGTGCACATATTTACTGTAGTAATTAGTTGGAGAGATGGTATAATATGACGTTGATTCTAGATTTGGTTGGGTATTTCCGCCTTCCAGAGACAGGGTGGACCTCTGAAAGGCCGCACAGAGACGTGGAACCACCGCCAGATGGATGCTATTGTCACTCGCATCGATCGTGAACGGTCCAGTGCTGCAGCTAAAGATATCTGCTGCAGTAGGCTTTGCGTAATTTCGGCTGCTATTTTCGCAGTTGAGGATGTTACCTGCCGTCGTGCATTGGATTTTGCCAGCAGGACCCTCGGTGTCGATAATTAGAGGGCGGCTGTTGTATGTGGTCCAGATATTGTCCACATAGTTAGTATAGTATCCTTGAAAAGCGCTTGGATCAAGACTTATGTAGGTGCTTGGAGAAAATATTCGAATTATATCATTCGCAGCATCTGTCACGCAAAGTTTATCCCAAGGCTGATCAGTCTCGACGATTTGCAGTTGGCTACAAATCTGTTTGCAGGCGGCGGTCCCAAAACCCGGAGCTGTTTGCACGCTACCGTCTGCTGATTTTACGGAGATGGCAAGTGTAAGACCAACAAAGTCTACATAGCTGAGGTTGACGAAGAGACCATCGCTTTCAATATTAGAAAATTCTATAAAATCATATTTGGTCGCTGGATTATCAATGACAGACGGTTGAATGAGTGTAACTACACCGAAGTTTTCATATGCGTAGAAGGCCAGAGTGCCAGCGGCAACCCAGACGCGTCCGGACGAGATATATCCCGGTAGATTGAAAGTAGTTGTGGTTCCTGGTTTTCCCACAGGAAGTTCAATGCCAGCAGTGATCGGGACTGGTGTTATGGACTGTGGATTCGGGTGATACCAAGTGCCGTCAGGTTGCAACAACACCCAATTGTTGTTTGAGTCGACGCCTGTGACGTAAACATTGGTAGGTTTATCTTCAGTGAATTGATTCACTATAGACAGAGATATCTGTGCAGAAGCATGTACAATGATTCCTATCATGAAAACGAAGAGTCTCTTCGCAAGAAATGACAGCAATATCATCGTCATCACAGATTCATGCTGATGACACTATACCTAGGTTGAATCAATTGGCTTAGCTCTAATGGGATAATCAATGTCCCTATATAGAATTACTTTAGATTAGAAGAAAATAAGCCCGTTCAATTCTTGGGTCGAAACCTTTGCAGCTACTGGGGGGCTTAAGACAGCCGAACAAAAAGGAGGGACCAGCGGGCCAATATTGCAAAGCTTTGTTTGCGTTTTCTCTTCCATTCTTCTTAGACACTAATGTAAAATAAACCCCTATTGTATCATCACTGATTGATACGCGGCATTTGGTTGCTCTTCTTCGGTATCAATTGATACCTATTCTATCATTTCTTCCATCTGAGGATTCTCAAATTGTCCAAATTCTGAATTATCCTTCTCTTTAGGGTCTTTCCCAATTTCTTCGCCTGTATTCGACACTGTCCTCTGCTCTAACTCCAATTCCATTTCCTCTTCCGGAATATCGGGAAGGCCATCAGCCATCTTTGTAACTTCCTCCATCTGCTGCACATATCAGTGATAGTTTTTGGACTGAGAAATGTGCCTTACTGGCTATGTAAATTACTCTTTCTATAGAATGGTGGTTCTTCTTTGTTGAAATGTGACAAAAAGATGGGCTTGACTAAAGTTAAAGTGCTGGCTATTGTTATTATATACTTTTTAGGGGAGGCTACATATATATGAAACTAGTTCCTCATGTCTCAACACAGGTAGAAAAGTTTCGACCATCTAACATTGGCTGTTCTACACTGGAGGCCCAACTGATACGTTCAACACCCTCCACATTGGAGTTAGCAAACATCCTTTTTTAAACAACAGAAGTGTTTAATAAATACAGTTCTTATCGGGTTAACCAGTAAACACACATGTTAATTCTTCTAAGGCTCCACTATTATGCTCTAAAGCCCATAGCTGACGGAAACTGATTGGCGGGTTTATCCTAATCTATAAATCGATGCCCAATTACAGAAATCATTTGTACCTACACTGTAGAACGCCGTTGCTCTCTGTTCAAGAATCGGTTTGAAATTCAAGTTTATCACCTGGATCATAAAATATAATGCTGGGAAAACAGGGTTTCCTTGTGCTGTTTAGGGAGGTATTGTATAGTGCCTTGCAGTAATGCCCTGCCCACTTGGGTCTTCCAGACGCTTTCTCCAACCCTACCATGAAACGGGCTAGTACATATGGAGTTAGATTATATGCAATCCTCCAAGGACGCATCCTATCATTCTCCTGGAAAGCATGTAACCACGATGCGCGATGGATAACTGTATACATACTAGGCTGTTTCAAGCTGAGATTTAGGAAAGAGAGTGTACTGTAAATAGGTGGCGGCACTTTCGAATCCGCTCGTACTGAAACTGTCTGCCAAGCTCAGTCGTTAGGAATTTGACTCAATCAATCTACCTACAGTCATCTATTTCGTCTTACCTTCAGGCTGAGGACACTGTAGAGTGGCTCAGGCGATGAAAATTAATAAAATTATGGATCTAATTATCCAACTAACTTCCAGCTCCATAGCATCACCCGTTACATATCATAGTCTTCTAGGAACTTAAGATGTTGTTTTACTGGGGGGCTGCTTTACTCAAAGCTTACTACCATCAGGAAGCCTGCACTAAGACTTAAAAAGAACACGGCAAATTTATGATGGAACTAACTTCACATGAATCACATTAATCTATAGATGGTTGACGGGCTCTCTCTGCTGCAAGCTCTGTGGACTATCGGCCCACCGACCCAATCGGAGGAAGCTTTACACTTTCTGCATTCATAAACCGACCCGAGGGCTTTCCTGCTTGCTCTGGGGTTTCGATATAATTCCACTGGCTGTCTCCATTTCTCTGCGCACCGATTGGTGCCTCAAAGTCGTTGACGTTGGCTTGTCTTGCTATAAACTCAGGAACAAGGTCTTCGAGACGAAATTCTGGTGGTAGTTCCAAGGATGCAGTGGCCATAATTTTATCAACCGTTCGTGCTAGGTTTTTAAGCACTTCTACACAATGCTCTCTTGATTGTTCCTGAACATATAACTGCTTTTGCAGACAGGCATTGGCATTATATGCAACTTGTAGTTGTTGTTCCAAAAAGGAAGAATGCTGCTGAAGTTCATTCACTTGCCATTGCAGATGCGCGACCAAATGTCGATATCCCCAATCGCTAGTACCATAATGCGATACGTTATATCTGGGAAGATCGGCTGGGATCGAAGTCTGTGCTCTAAGTATCAAAATCTTTTGTTCAAAGTCTAGAGGATAGAATAGAAGAATACCTGAGCTGGAGCGCGTGGGAGTCGTGACATGATGTCCACAGAGGTGACATCCAAGTACGAAGCTCCATCCCGACCGGAGATGGGTTTTATATATGGCGTGTTTGTTCCTTGACATAGTGGTGTTTGAAAAACGAATGGAGATTTTCATTTACCAGGTGCGATTCGCCGGCATCTACAAATACGGGGCACAGGATATGTGGAGGGCTACTTTAAAGTATGTAATGCAAATTCTGTAGTGTTTACCAGCTGTCATGTCGAGGAACATTTAAAATGATCTCGACTCATTGTACTAACGCAGCAGCACATTATCTGAGTATTCGTGGTTCATAATGCAGCAAAGCTATATACTCTCTTCACAGGGATATGACGAATTTCCTAGCATAGAACGGGGTTGTACAGATTCAGACTCGCAAGACTCACCGCTTCCATCGGATTATAATGAAGATAACGACCCGGGTATAGAATTAGGTTCTTCGGATTCGGAGTCCGGATTTGAATTGGGGGCACGTCATAGAACTACGCTGGATGTTCAGGATGGGTTTAATAGCCCAGATGCGTCATATGTTCCGAGCGAAGCTGAGTCGTTCGACACCACTGTCAGTATAGAAGTACCCCAGAGAACCATTTACATAACCTAATATATAACAGGATCATACTCAACTTCTGAACGTGCTGGAGATCACAGAGGTTGGGGGTGAACTTAAATACTTCGTCCAGTTTTGGGTGAATGGAGAGGATCTTGGTCAGGTAACAAAACTAGCCATCGATGAGCCTTGCCCCTCGGAGATCAGCTTGGATGATATGGGCAGGTATTCTGTTTAGCTACTTCGTGAACTGCGCTACATTACAATTTCCTGCGTTGGGGTGTTCATTTTCATGATATTTTCATAAGGTATTCAAATATCACTGTCACTCATTGAGCTCTATCCTATGATTGTGCCGAGTTATTGTATGCATGAAAATAAGAAAAGAAAAGAAAAGAAAAGAAAAGAAAAGAAAAGAAAAGAAAAGAAAAGAAAAGAAAAGAAAAGAAAGATCGTAAAGCGAAAATGGTCCGAAATGTTTATGTAGATGAACCGGTTTGTCTTGTTTTCTGTATGAAGCCTAGATTGCTCGCCATTGAACAGAGCGACCTGTCGCTGGCTGGGCCCTGCATTGCCCTATGTGACTTAGGACAATGAACCCTAAACGTGAAAAAAACGGAAAATTATAGTTAGCCAGATGATCTGGCATAAGCTTTAAGGCTAGTAGTCATCATATCTTGGCATTATGGCTTGCGAAGCATTTCTCTCTTTGCAGTAAATATGGGATTATCACTCTTGAGCGAAGGCAGTAGCATTAGGGTATGCACTGTCTGAAGCTAGCGATGCATCAATGAAAAACGCGAAACGTTTTGACCTGACTGGGAGGATGAATACTCATATGGGAGTGACAGAAGATAACAATGGGCGAGGCATTAAGTTGTGCCTATTAACATCAGGCCTAAGTTTTGCAGTGACATGCAATTAACAATACCCACAGATACGGAGACAACGATTCAAAATAGCCCCATAGCCGAACAACATAAAGAAACAAGCGAGAACTACTGACACCAGCGGTGGCCGCTCTCCATCTCGACTGATTTTCCCGATGGAGCCCTTGGCCGGCTATATAGCAGCTGTGATAGCATGTTTCATTGTTATAATATCAATTTGCTTCTGGAATAGGCATCGTTTGAGACCTATAACAGATCCAATACTACGACTCCTTCAAAGCACGTGGAAATATCTGCTTTACAAAGATGTTATCCGACAAAACAATGTGCTTGGTCCGTGGACTGCCGCTGAACTTCTAGTGTCTCTGGCATATATCTTCGTAAATGTTTTTTCAGTTCTTTACCCTCGTGTCTCGTTGATCAGGATGTGTAAACAGTCCGGTACGGTGGCGTTTATCAATACCATATTTTTGTATTGTAGCCACAATATCAGTTTTGTCGCAGATGTGCTTGGTGTCACGCCGAGGGTATGGCGTCGTCTACATCGTACAGTTGCTTGGATGGTTGGGGTTTTGACGACAATCCATATGGGCAGCGGATTGAGCCAGGCCAGAGCGCCAAGCCGAACCGACCTCATCGGCTCCTTTCTTGTACGTAATCATCCCCGTTTCGACTCCTGTCTAATACGATCATAGGCATTTTCTCTTATAATAACCATTCTAGCCACATCAATCCATGTACTGAGAAACTTAACCAGAAATCTGGCCTCCAAGCTACATTGGCTGCTTGCGCTTATCGCCATTGCTGCCGTGTACACTCACGTCGTTATTAAGATAGGGAACTACTGGATGCTATACATCATTCCGATATGTTTCAGTGCAGCTTTCTTAAAAGATGTTTGCCTTTTTCTCTATAATAACGGGATATTCGGTATCCGTGGATGGACTTATGCTTCCTTCATCAGATTTGCAGACAACACAACACGGATTGACGTGTTCCCTGGAAGGCCGGTACAGGTACATCCTGGCCAATATATTAACTTGTGGGTTCCCTTTTTCGGAGAGAACTTCTGGCCTCGTTTTCGGCAATATCACATTCAGTCGTGCGAGCCCATGCCGCAGAAACAAATGAAGCTTTTTGACCTTCCTGGCGGATTCCTTTCCAAAACCCCACAAATCAAAACACTAAGGTATATACAAGAGAACCCTCCACGCCTTGCATTTTTCACAGGCCCATACGGACTGTCTCACACCTATGTCCAGTATGAAACGATACTCGCCGTAATATACGATTATGGAATCCTCTCAGTAAATGCTCTGCTCCAATATATTTATCAATGTATGGAGAATCGCACCTCGAAAGTCCGTCGAGTGCGTCTGGTATGGCAATGGGAAACAGTCTCTGAGACATTTTACGATATCCGAGAGATCAAAGACTTGGAAACGCAGATCATCGGGGAGCTGGAAAAGTTCTCAACCAGAACTGGCTTGGACCGAACCCTGATTGAATATCATCTCGGCAGATATGTTCCCCCAGTCCGGACAGGAGACTCGAGGGAAACGAGCAAAGAGGAATCAGAAATGGAACGGCTGGAGCGAGAAACGCGAGAATATATTGTATTCGACAAGGACAAAGACTCGGAGGGCACTATGGCGATGAAGGAAGCCCGAAAACATGATTTTGATCGACTACAGGACAAGATCGCACCACTCGAGTGTCGAATCGATGAATATGTCGCAAGAAGACGGATCATGGATGATGTCTTTGGCTGGATAAACAATACGGCCTTGAAACGAAACAGTGAAAACTTTGTCAGTTTCAACTTTAGTACAGCTTTTCCTGTATTGATTGCTCATGATATCCACAGACACTTCAATGCAGCGTTTACAGAACAGACGTTAAGGAAGCATATAAGTCCGGGAGGGCAGAGATCGTAGGAGGAGCTGCTGATCTCATGTCCATTTTTGACTATGAGATAACTGAGCACCGAAGACGTATTGAAAATGACCCATCCGAAATCCGGGGGAAGTTTCTCGTTATGGGTAGGTGGTATAGCCGCATTTATTCAAATGTCTTGTACTAAGTGAAGTTTAGTTTCGGCGCCTCCTAGTGTACAAGCGCGGGCGCGGAAGATTGTTGGTGCGAACCTGGGGGATGTGGATTTGAAAGAGTTCCAGTATCATGCTGGTGAAATGTTTAACTAATTGTAGAAGATGTCAGAATTTCGAAGTATACTTAATTCGTATAATCTGCTACATTCCTAGTTTCCATATGACTTGACAGTGTAGAACTAGCGTAAGTATAGATTGACTAATACAACCGGTCCAGTTTTATTAAACCACATCGGGTCTTTCGTCCTGGGTCATCCTGACATCTGGCTCTAATGTAGTATCTAAAGTTTTCTCAATCAAATCTTTGAAACCGTCACCATCTCGTCGCTTCGGGTGGATGAACGGATGCTGAAACACTTAGTTTTCTCGTCGCATAACCTATTAAAGAGAAACTCACCGCCGTCAATCTGTGGAATTCTTGGGAGTGTTCAAGCTCATGAAGGAATTTACACGCTTCATCTTGCGGAGGCCACTGACCGCTGTCTTGGATTCCAGACTCGCCAGGTCGATTTTGAAATTTTTGCATCAGTAAAATCATTATTGCAGCTAGGCGCTTGACTAAACGCGTTGTTGGTGCACATATATCCTTCTGCATTTCCGCATCCGCAAATGCAACTGTACGCGGTCAGGACAGGCTTCTATGAGAGATCATGGACCTACCAATCTTGACACAGCCGTCTCTGTTGGCGAGAAGCCGGGAGCATGATAAAGAATTACATATGATGCCATTTGATACCAGGTAACCCAGTCCATCCATTGTCTTGCACCAGTTAGTTGACGTCTTTCAGGAGCAGGACTGGCTTACCTGGCCGATCATGGAGGCTAGCGCCTTTGACGACGGATATTGAGGACATGTCACAATCCGAGCAAAAGAAACATCCATAACTGGCGAGCGAATAAAGCCCTTTGCTCCGTGTCTGAATATTTCCTGAGCCGGGAGGACGTTGTGATGATCTAAAAGCTGGAATTGCTGCTCAATGACATCAAATTTCTCACCAAGTGGAAAACGACGGAAACCAAATATCTGGCCTGATACGATTTTCCTGGCCTTCATTACAGTATCACCGTCCATGATGGCTTCGTCGACAAACGTGTAAGCTTCCCAAGGGCTTTCATTGCTGCGTCTAACAATACCCTTAGCTAGTTTCGCGGTCTTACCCTTGAGCACCCCTTTATGTTTTGTCGAGGCCAAGGATCCAGTGTGGTTAAATGAGGCCTTTTTCGCCGGTGCTTTGGACTTTGAATATTTTCCATCTGTGGAAGATATCTCGGTCTCGTCGGCTGGCTCCTTAGAACCATTCTGTTGATCCAATAAAGTGTGAGGAACTCGGCTCACACGGCGCGTTTCATTCATTATCGTTCACCCTCCCGTGTTTTTCTGAGATTTGACATCCTCTGGTATGCGAAGGGGACCGGTAATTTATATCGAGGTAGTGAGTGTAGTATGTTCAAATGTGTGTTTATGTTTGTAGTAACAAGAAAAAAAAAACGACGCAGAATAATACGACGCCCGGTCTTTAGCTATAGCTTTCGATCCACAGATGGATTATATTTTCCACTCGGCACCCTTGAAGGATCTAATCATAAAGCATTATCAATGGCAAGACGACCAGAAGCTCAGATATCGCTAGAGCGAATGCGAAAGTGGCTTGGGACGGTCGAGATAAAGCTGTCACAGTTGACCCGGTTCGATGACAACCAGCCTGCGTTGCAGCCAAACGAGTATAGAGTTGATGTCTTGGCAAAAAAGTTCCGGCGATCACACATTCAAGATGGCCTACACGAAAACTATGTCAAGGCAGTAGTCTCTACCCAGGGTCTCGACCGTGCTCTCCGAGCCAAAGGCCTGAGCCGAGAAGCACTCCAGCAATTCCGCGACCCGACGAATTACCTAGAGCTCGACTTTCAGGATGGGGAGTTGATATGTCTCGGTGGTAGGTCGCGAGTTTTGGCGTCCCGAAAAATTCCCCCATGGGATCGGCGATGGCCTGTTGAGTTATACTCTGAAGGTAAGAAGGCAATACCATCTATAGATTTGATTTATCAACCATGATCCAGACATATCGTTAGAATTGCAAAAACAGCTGAGAGACAATTATGTTGTCCAAGCGCCACTGACTGACGGTGAGATTTTTCTTACTCTCCAACAATATAAACAGGCTGGCGACCTTTACTCGGTGAGTATTTGGGAAGCCTACCTGTCGGAAACAAAGGCAAATAACATCGCCCGTTTGGCAGAGACACAATTTGGTATCATTTTGTTATCTCTATCCCTTATTCCAGGGCTGTGGAGAGACGGTATCCATTTGGGGGTGTTGCACAAGATGCGATCCCTCCACGTAAATTCAGTGAGCCAGAGATACTATATTTGGACATTGATGTATGGGTCGCGTCGCTGATCAGTTTAGGAAATTATACATTATCTCACCGAAATCAAGAACTTCTTCGGTGGCCTCGTCGGTCACGATACTACAATGATGGCCAAGCTTACCCAGGAAGATATCGATGCTCTACAAAGTACTGCCCCGAAAACCAGCGAGAACGATAAACAAACGCTACTCGCTGCTAAAATTCTGGGTGCCTTTTCCCCAGGCGAACAAGGTGAAATTTGCAACAATTTCTGCGATCGAAAGTTGCTCATACCAACCCTATTTACATTTTTCCATGATATCAGCATCATAAACCAGTGCGCCCCTAGGATTTTGAAGCTTATAGATAAGGACAAACTAGTGCCACCCAATGGATCCAAGGAACCAGATATTCGAGCGTCGATGGCGTACATGTTCGAAAGTGATGGTAGTATCCAGTACAGCGATGACTTTGATATTCAGATATCCGAGAGCGACAGTCGCTCTGTGACAGTCAACAGCCATTTACGTTTCGAACTTGCATACCGGCAATTGTGGCTATACGCCATTCGGCATTTCCTCCGGCCAGACCAACGGAAGCATAGGAAGATTCGATTCCACATTGATCAGGATGGTGAGACAAGAATGCTGGCAGCGTTTGCCTCCAAACTACGATTCTCTTCCACTTCTATCCGAAACCTTACCTCAGGCCCGGTTAGTTCCACAACCCGAATCGTCACGGACCCGAATTCTGGCACGCGATACGCCAGCCGCGAACAAAGGTGCGGGCTTCCCCACCCTTCAAACTGGCAACGGGATCGTGAGTTACTTTTTTTGGATCGGATTTACTCTTCGCCAGAGGATACGGACATTACATCATTTTTCGTGCTACAAAGTATCTTCTATAATTTCTTTGGATGCCCGGATGGTTTTACGCCTTTGGATGGCACCGCTGGCAACACGAACACCCCCGGTTGGCCAGGTACAAGCGGGCACGAAACAACCCCCAACAACCAAGGCTCTGGTCAAGGCTCCGTTAACACAGGGCAACCTACTTCTTCCAGAAACGTTCCTGGCCAGCCACCAACGAGTATTCCAGGACAAGGGTTTCCTGGCCATACGGATCCAGGCCAAGGATTTGGCAACTCGGGGCCAGACTTTACTTCATTCAGAAATGGATGGCAAGGCTATGCGCCAGCCAATCCTGTCAACGGTGTACACAGCTCGTCATCCAGCAACGATCCTACTTCAGTGGCTTTAGATCAAAGCACGATCAACCGGATCGACGCGATACTAGAGAGATTGTCACGATTGCGAACGCAAGTAGAAGCGACACAAGGTGATATGCGAAGGCATATTGACCAGGTAACGGTGTACAAAGGTTTGCTCCGAGAAACAGATGTATCTTTTCAGTCCCGGCGTGATAGCCTTTTGTCACAATTAAATGGGCTGGAACTATCACTCAATACACGACTGCGAGGCGTTGAGGACTCTCACAAATTTTGCCTGGACCTACCCCAGGAACTAAACAAAATAAAAGCGGAACTACTAAAGCCTACAACAAATTTGCGCCTTACAGCCACCAATTATCTTTATGCCCAGTTTGTCGACATGGCGTTACCTCGTCTCAACTATTACGACAGTCAAGTCCAGGGCGATATATTTTCGGAACAAGAGGCATCTACAGGATTACGTCAATGTGGTGTGGCCGTCCTCAACCTCAAAGTCTTCACCCTTTACGGTAGCGTGGCTGGAGATATAGAAAGATCCAAGATGCAGAGCCAGCGTCTTTTTCAGATTGCTGGGCACGTGATGGAAGTAAAGAAAGTCGTTAGAAGTGACCAAGAGATTAGTGAATGGATTGCGAGACTGGAAGCGCTGAAAAAAGAATCCGACATCATGCAGTCAAACTTGAAAGAATGGCATGACGCGGTGGTCCGCTTTGACGCAACCCAAAAAGACCCAGCGTCTACGGAATTATACGAGTCCACGATTATTCTACAAGATGAATGGATCAAGCAGTTTCCAATGGCCTATTCTAACTTAAGAGATCTCAATGAGAAAACCAAATCCGATATAGATCGGATTCAGAAAATGCTCATTGATGAATTGTCAACGGTTCTGAAAAGCCAGTTGACTGATATTAACGATATGAAAGAGCAAGTGACAGAAGAACAAGCCCTACAACAATTTAACAATGAACTTGAGGTGATATATGGTGATATCAAATATCTATCTATAGTTGAGGAGGAAAAACCTGAACTAGGTGGCTGTCTAGATCGAACAGCTGACAGGAACAACAAAATAAAACACTGGAGAAGTGACATCAGGCAAATCCTTCAAGAAAACGAGGATGGGATGGACACCACCGCGTCCGAGTCGCTAAATTCGAAAGGTGGACAACTTGGGCAATGGAATAGATTCTTGACCGGCATACAAGTTCATATGGAGTGTGTCGTTGGAACCTTTGGACAAGACAGAGCTTTTGAGCATAGGGATCCGTACATAAGTGCATTTCGTGCATGGAAAACTGCGCAAGAACAGGCCCCAAACCGCGTCAACTACAAACTCTATAGTGCTGCACGAAACGCAGTCAAAAATATGCAGCACCAGGCTGAAAATGTAGAGCATGTTATCTATGATGAATTGAGCACATTAGTACGAGATGCAATGCAGAAACTGGAGAATATGGGACAAGAAACTCTACTACGGAAAAAGTGTGAAGTGCTTCTGCATTCAATAGGCGAACGGGATCGAAGGGTCAGTGATGATATCCAGCGAGACGCGAGCCCATTGTCCTCTGAAGCCCGAGCAATTGAACAGCTGGATACTGAACATCGGGAGACGCTAAAGGCCGTCCAAGATGTACTGGAAAATTGGGCAAATGCCCGTCGATCAAAGAAACGTCAATTCTCAGAAGAACCACCACGAACCAGTGCGCGCCAGAAGGCGCCAGTGAACGTCAGATTTTGGGTCATGTTGAACGAGAAATGCAGGCCGCTAGAATTCGTTTTGGAGCAAAGACACTTGTCTGAGCTGGGGAGAACATTCACAGAAGCCCGCTTTCAAATTCAACAATTTCGATTAATGGGTGCTTCATATATGCCTGCTCCTATCAATTTTTCTGTCAGCTCACATAAAGACGCTCTAGGATACTTTGCGTCACAAGAGAATCCCAAAGAATTGAACAAATATGGGGAATTTTTGGCCAGCTTAACTTCGTATATTAAAGTAATTTGGGATCCAAGTCAAGCAGATAAGGCCTGGAAAAACGCTAATGCTAAATTCGATTTTGATCTTAGGTCTAAGTTTAGAGAATATGAATCTAAGTTAGACGAAGATGAACTCAGCCTATGAATCAATTTGATCCTGGGAAAGTGATCCTAGGAAAGGAACGATCCTAGAAATGGGTTCCTACGACTTGCTTCCTACAATTTCAATTCTAGGTATTTATTGCACACAGGTTTTTTAATCCAGATCCGTAACCATTCAAGGAGCTCTGGCCCATAACACTATGAGATCTAGAATTTGCTACCTAAGATGTGTTTGCTCTTAGGAATGAGTTCCTATACCTGATATTATAGGATTGGGTTAGACATGGGCCGATTATCCTATGTTCTAGACAGTACCAGGTCCAATCACCTAGGATTTCTCGAGACTGGGGATCCTGTTCCCGATCTAGCATTCTACCCAAAACTTGCTACATCCTAGGAATTGGATCCTAGGATGCCAAATGACTGGACCTATCATTCTTCTTCTTCTTCTTCTTCAATTCATAGGCTGTCCCAGCCGCCCTAGTGGCATGGCTATGCAGCATTCGACTATAAATACAGGTGTTCCCGTCTCTCCACTTCTAGAGAATAAGCCGTTCCTGACAAGAATTGCTTCCCTTTCTGCTTAGTACAATCACATCTCTACTTATAGTTCTAATAACTGTTCTGTGTCTGTGTACTTGTCGGGCCTTTCCTGACCCTCCTCCGCTTCCGTATACCATAAAACACTCGTCTACATTATGTGTATTTCAGTACTGTGGATGGAACAGCGCGGAATTGCTCCAGAAGTCCAGTCCTTATCATCATCTTCGCTGTTTGTACTGCAATTTTCGGGCTACAGAGAATTTTTTTGATGTCGATGCATGGATGCTTGCCTGCCCATTTTCGTTCTCGTTCTTCCGTCCAGTTTCTACACTCGAGAAGGATATGGCGCACTGTCTGGCGCCCGTGGCCGCATTGGGATTGGTCGGTGTCGGCATTATCGATGCTGTGGAGGTATGCGCGTAGGGCGATCTTGGCTGTGCGCATCTGTGTAATGACCGAGCTGATCGCTCTGTGCCAATGTGTTTGGTTAGCACCCCCTTTCCGGGCCGAACTCCAAGTCGGAAAAGCTCTTTGCCATGTTTGGCCTTGTCCTAGGATTGTTCCCATTCGCTTTTCATCGTCCGATGGATGGTCACACCATATAACATTCTTAATCCTGATTGGCTAAAGCTGAATAAACTTCGTGTTAGCCAGATCAATATAATGCGTATGAGATTATTGATCATAGGAACAAGTGAGACCATAAGTCGAGACCGAGGTGCCTGGACTAACCCAGTCTTCATCATGAAGAGCTTTTAATCCTACTTTGTTTTGATTTTTGTGGTACGCGGCATCTCTATCTCAGATATAGTTACTAATCGGTCAGCTGTATACTCTATGCGACTAACACTAGCACCAGAAGATGCTATTTCAGCACGAAGGCTTCACACCTCATTAATAGGCTAATGAGATTAGATCTACGCTCTTATACAATCAGTTTCAGATTACCTAAGCTATAATGAAGTAATTCCATTTTCGACTTATAAAACTACTATCACTATGTACCCACTATGAATGTGATACACAAAGCGAATTAGTGTAGATTACTCTATTGCTAAGCATTCTGCACAGCCCTTATGATTGCACACTGTTTACCAGTTGGATGGTCACCATTGCATGCACAACAATATACTCGAAGCCGCTCCCACGCTTCCTCTGGTACCCTTCCTTTGGATCTAATTGTGTCCATTCGTGTCGATCCTAACCGACTTATCACAGTTCCGAAGTCAAGATGGCTCCCTCCTGGGCTACAGCCGACACCGCAGCTTCTGTACTCCCAGACATTTTCGTTGACTCTAGATCTGTAGGGTTTGGCGATGGCTTTCTTTTCGGATCTCCAGTGGAGCGGAATAAATAAAGAGTGTGGAAATATGAAGGAAGGTTCGAATATCTGACGCCATACATCCTTTTCCAACATAATATCGACAATTGAATAAGGGCAGAGACCGCGGTGATAGAGAGCGCTAGCATGTCATTGCCCTTCCTTTCTTCATCCAGATACTACGTCCCAAAATGTGGTTATGTTGGAACCCCTCGATTCTTTTGTGGAAGCTTTACAGGCCTCAGTCGCTTTGCAGCTTGTTGAGCTGCCACTATCTGTTCAATTCGTTTTTGAGGGACGATGGTAGGACCCATCGGAAAGACAGGAGAGGGAGGAACTCCGTAAAATGATGATTTCCAGTTCCGAGCTATCATTGGAAAGTAAGCTCGAGTGAAGTTCAAGTCAGAGAATGTGATCGTCTTGCAGCTCCTAGCCACTACCATTTGTCGACAGCCACACAGGGCCAGCCGAAATTGAGGATCGGCTACAATTCCATTGTCAATTATTATTTGTTGAGGTCATTCCACGTTAATAACGCACCTTGTTCTTCGTGTAGCAGTTCTGTCATCACATTCGCACATCGCTTCTCGTGTAGGATGACATGATATGCCAACGTTGATCCAATTAGCCCTGACAGTGACTCTGTCTCACCATGTCGCCAGCTCACTTGCAGGCATCCGGGCTCATTGCTTTTTCTAGCGCAAATATCGCGCGGCATCCACCGAAGTTGGTCGCTCACACCACGTAAAATCCCTTCCTAGTCGCGTATATTGAGTCTGTACATGAAACCCAAAATTGCTCGGATCATTTCCTCGATGATATGGTCACAAACGAAACGATCATTCGGGACAAAATCCCTGCATCTATACTTCCCGTGTGTCTCTTCATAGCTTAGCCACCTCTGGTGAATGTTCAAGGTTTTTTTGTTCCGATCCACCACTATGTCAACATCATTGTTTTCACTGTTGACGAACTGAATCTTCATTTCCTTCGTTTCCATCCAAAGTGACAACGTGGCTTTCAGACCCCGCTCGATGTTCCTCGCGAATATTGTCACTGGAGCTTTGCATACGGTGGCTTTTTGAAACAAATGTATCTGCTCCTCATGGGCAGTTCTGATCAGTGAATCCGACCGTAGCATATTCCAAAGAGTATCTGGCAAACAAGCAGGGTTTTTTTTTAGACCGTTTTTGATCTTCTCAATACTCTGTACTAAGTAAGTTCACTGCGCACTTGTCGGGAAGCTAGATCTCGAGGTCCGTACCTGGGATCCATAACGTTCACAATAGTAGAAATCGCTGCCTTTTGCTTCGCTGAGAAGAAACTTCCATATTAGAGATCTTGTCGAGCTTTCTAAAAGTTGATCCGCAGATTCGACATCTGGGGCAGATGGGAAGTTTCGAAGCAAATCGACATATCTGGGGAGGACGACGGCCTCATCTTTTTGAATCGCTGCTTCCCAGATCTGGCGTAGAAGATTTGCTTCTTCGGACGTGTCAACCAACCTCTGTCTATCACGGTTGACTTTGCCATTGGCAAAATTATAACCAAACTTGTAAGAGCGTACATCCAACGCTTGTGAGGGGAGAAGTAAACCCTTCAAGTACACCCGACCCTGGAATTTCGGGTCCAATATAAGGTCACCGTGATCGGTTTCAACGATAGCTGAGGGATATGAGAGCCCGCGAATATCTAGAGATACATTCAACCAGCTTTTAAATATATCAAGCGAAACTCCGTCACTGAGAGGTTTGTCTCCCGATCCGATGGTTACGCAAACATCTCTCCATATGCGAGGCCTGAAGCAGTCCATATCGTGAGCAAAGTTGGTCTCATCTGAGGGAGTTACTGCTGTCGAAGGAACGAGTAAACAGTGCAGTTGACGATCTGACAGTCCTCGAAATACGAAGCTCCATGTACAATTGTTAGAATAAATGTTGAATCTGTGACCTTTTCGAGACAGGACCATTGCCGCAATCTTGAGTCCTTCTCCGTGACACCCCGCAAGGCTGGAGTTGATTTGCTTTGAGGTATTTCCTAGCTGGAGAGCCTCCGGCTGAAGTTGAGCACAGGCATTGGCTACGGTGACTGTACCCGATTCCTTCTCATACCGGATAAAACCCAAAGTCTGTTTTTCACCAGTATCTCCCGATGGTATCTGTAAAGTGATAGATATGAATCCCTCATCTTCGCTGTAGCATGGCTGGAATGCATGACGGTTTACTGAGAATGTGTCCAGAATGGAGTCCTTCCTGTGCAAGTTAGATCAGGTTGATGACAACAGGAGAGGAAGATTAACCAGTTTTGGTACAGCTCCCTAAAGGCGGCAGTTGTATCCCAAGATTGTACGTAGTTGGACGATATTCCAAGCGGGATCTGCCTCGGACACTTCTGCAGAGAACTATCCACATCATTCTCTATGCTGTACGCATGATTCTCTTTGTATTCGTTAGCTCTTTCTGCTAGGTAGCGCAACGTCCGGTACTCCTACCTCTCACCGTCATTGTACAGTCGAAGCGAGCGGTTTTGAGAGAGCGGTATGTGGCGTGTGGCCGAAAAGTGTATGTTTGGCTCCTTTGACAGACAGACAGAAAACCATATAGGATGTTACATTTGTATAAAAGGAGAGCAGGTGCACTTCAAAACATTTAGTGTTCTAATATGGAATCACCACCTTGATAGGTTCAAAGTGTTTCCGTTGGTAGACCTGCTACTATCCTATAGTATTTACTTATCACGAATACCCCCTCCGTACTCTGTATACAGTCCCCACTGTGTTTGACATAATTTCTGCATGGTCTTTGCAGTCATCCTCGAAGTCTGTTTGACCAGCAAACAGATGATGATTACTCGCTCGCCCCACCGCTAAGGCTTCAGGGTGGATTGCACTTCCTTTGATCGGGCATCCATTTATAAATAAAGGAAAAGCTACCAATCAGTTTCATTCAGCCATGAACCTAGAGCTTAGCAGTGGGGCCTTGGAATAATCAACACATGTGTTTGCTAGTCAAACCAATTTTGAGAATGACTATAGAGTAGTCCATTGTCAGTTGGATTGCAATACCATGTTGAATAACCCACATCACAATTCCTGCAGTGTTTGAAAATACTACCAGGTAATACAATCTTGAAAGATCTCTATTAGAGCCCTCATAGTGGTTAAACTTTCTGTTGCTAGATTGATCTGTTCAACAAGCCTGTCATTTAGAAGTTAAACCTTGATAATCTTATATACTAATACTGTAGCAATATTCTTTATTATATGGTATACTTCAGCGCTTGATTGATGCACGACTTGTAACTAGTGATCCTACGGTGTTCGTATAGACTCATAGTTGTTATGAAATGGATTTAGCGACTAATACTAGCTAAATAAGAAACAAGTAAACGTAATCTTGGTACAGTCATTCTCAAAATCAGTTTGACCGTAAAAACACGTGTGAGTTATTCCAAGACCCCACTGCTAAACTCTAGACTCATAGCTGAATGAAATTGATTGGTGGCTTTGTCCTTATCTATAAATGGACGCCTAATCAAAGGAAATGTAATCTACCCTGAAGCCTTGGCAGTGGGGTAAGCAAATAATCATCGTCTGTTTGTTGGTCAAACCGATTTCGAGAATGACTGTAACTATCACGACTTCAATCCTTCGGTCAATAGATCTATATAGATAGTAACAAAATAGTAATGTTTATGCTAGATATCTGTTACGAGACTTGTGGTATGTAGATTGATATACCTACAGAAGTTTGTTTTATACTGTGCATCAATATGTCAGTATTTATATAGAATGTTTAAACCGATAGACTCGAAATGTTTACAGCATTAGAGAATACAGCCGACCTACTTGAACCTGTGGATCCGATTTAAGCAACATACTTATAAATAGTATAAACATTACCGATCGTTTTAAACACGCTGGGTTCAATTTCACGCATTTGCGTTACGGGTATAGGTATGGCTGATCATTTTAAACACTGTGGATCCCTTGTAAGCACTATACCCGCAAATGGTATAGATACCATCGGTCTACATGAACATTGTGGATCCAGTTTAAATAATATGTCTGTAAATGGTACAGATATGGCTGATCACTTAAACACTGTAGATTCATTTCAAATAGCATGCCACTGATCTCCTTAAACACTATGGGCCCATTTTAAATATTATATATGACGGTGAGCATCCGTATATCGGTTCAACTCTCTAGTAGCTGTAGACCATGGTAGACACCCGGCGCAAGGGGCAACAATGTTTAATATAGTGGGGCATCCGTACAATAACCCTTACCGTCCTTCGTTATTTATTTCACTTCTGGCTATATGTAATATTTCTTATACATATAATAAATCATTCCTCACTGAATTAATTAATATCGTGGGGGGGGTCATTATTTAACGGCCATAGGCTGTGATTTATCACAGCCTACCCGTTCCCTGCTGGGGCGAAGGCCGCCAGAAGGTAAGCCCTGGGTGCCAGAAATTAGTTACGAAGGGTGCATTCTTGGCGCATTTACATAGCTACTGTGGTCAGATAGCTAGCCTCTACATATGGAGGCTGGGTTGCTGCCAGCTGCTGTGGTCCGCCTACTCTCCATGACATAACTCATCCCGTTCCGCGCTGGTCAAACTTAAGAGAGAAGAGAAAAACAAAAGAAACTAAAACAAATTAATACAAATTAATACCGTACAAAAGAAATGTGTCAAGCTATTATAATTTGAACCGTGTGTGAAGAGATCTATGCGTTGATTTGTTCAGAGGCCACGCAGCTCCACTCGTTCTACCAGACGCCGATTGTACGCGTTGGTAATGGGTTATTGCTTCGGATTGACGTCGAGGAGTTCGAAAAATCTAGTGTATGAGCCATTCGAGCGACTTCTACAAAGTCGGCGGGCCACACAATTTCCGATATATAATCCAAATGGCGCTCAATTTCGGCTGTAGATCGTCCCGCGGCTGTACATCATCAGCCAGGAATCGTGGGCAGGGCCACATGGAGCTTTGTATTGGCTGGTAGCCAGCCGATGGCGCTCTCTGCCAAACCACGTTCCTCCATAACACGATGTGACCAGTTAGAGTGCAATCAATTGCTATGTATGTATAATCAGTCTGGACTTTGTCGTATAATTTGTAGGTGTCGAACTTAGATTCAATACGATGTTTTGAGTATTGAGCCTGCATACTTTGATTGGCCAATTTTGATTAGCTCGATCCCGAGAATACCTCACCCCGACCCTGCCACTTTGGACCACATTATGATCATGTTTTGACTCCAAAACTTGAGGAATATGTCATCACACAATACATTTATTCAGCATAAGCAAAAATACCAATATCACAAGAACCATCCGACCTTTTGCTGTGCAACACGCCAGGATGGCGTCCCCTGTTTTGAATATGGGGTCCGGCAATTCAAAGACGGATGTATGCCCATGTGTCGTCGACACCAGCAGCATACGTGAAAGCTAGTTACTGCCGTGCTTTGCAGCCATGTGGATATCTTTGCGATGAACTGGTGGAATGGAAACCACTTCTCGAGGTGCATTTTTGCGACAGCCACCGTACTGAGGCACCATGCTACTTCTTGCAGAAGCTTCCTCTTGAAATGCGATACACACAATTTATTAACGCCCGGCGGCTGAGCCGAAAGGGCAACGATCGCTAATTACAAGTACATTTCTTAAACTAGATCTGGTCTCCTCAAGCCCGTACATAATCTGCTTTTGGCTTATGTCTTTCTTCCTCTGTCATGGCTTTCTGAATTCTCGTGGGTTAGTATTGTTGTTAGTAGGCTAGCTTAAAGGCAATTCCTTAAGTGTTCCGCGTCCTATCCTCGGCGGCTGAAGCGTGCCTGCTGTTTATGGCACGAGGGTGCGTAATATGGGTTAGTTGGTGTGGTAAGGACGACGTTTGTTGGAGATGTGTGGCATTCGAAAAGGTCTGCAATAGAGTGCAGAATTCGTGCAAGGGCGGTGGTGGGGGTTTTCCGTGGAGAAATATGTCTTTGCGGGTTATAGAAGGGGGTCGGTGTGTGTTGGAAGCGGCGTTCGAGGTCGTAAATCGAGAGGACGTGCGATGATGTCTGTTTTGGACGGGGTTGTGGAGTAGTCTTCGGTGTAGTTGGTGTAACAACGGGTGTAGGCGGTGTACTATTTTGTGCTGGTGGTGTCGGGGTTGTCGTTCGATGGGGTTTCGATGGTGTTAAAGACGGTGTCGGAGGGGGAAGAGACGGAACGGTTGCGTAGGAGGGCTCCACAGGAGAGGCTGGACGAGGGGAGAGGGGCGGCGATGGGGAAGGCGTGGTCTTCGAGGGAGGAGGAGGATGGGTGGCAGCAGCGCGTTCTGTCGCTTGGGTCAGGTATGTACTTGCTGGAGAGCGTGGTGACGACATGGATATCTGGGTAGATTGGAATTATATTCTTAGAGAGTCCTAAACTAGCATTTCTAACCTTATATAAGAATGGGATATTGCACCCCCCCTAACGCCACAGAATCTCAAAATTCTGATATTTTATTTATTATTAACCCTGTTACTGTAGCAATCCCAGTCTTGCTTAAAGATAATTAGAATCTAGTTTAATAGGAATTGTATGTGTTTTTCTAATAATTTATAACGTTTGGCGTTGCACTTTGGCAGTCCAACTCTACAAAGAGTGGGGCTGCTGAAAGAGACGGGTACTCCGTAAGTCCAATCCTGCGACCCTTTCAGGAAAGATTGTGCGAAACCTTAACTGTAAATTCCTTCAGCATTCTGAAACATCAGTCACCCAAGCCGCCATACGTATAATATCGAAGATACATTGTTGGAAAAGTGTCGGGAAATCCCAAGTGGTTTATACTTTGAGAAAGTTTGAATGTTTCATCGCTGGATCAAAATCAGCCGGTCTGTTCAGGAACCAACACGTTAATGATAATTTAAATACCAACATAGCTATTCTTCTTCATCGGACCCCAAATAACTTTTTCATAGTCAGTCCATGAGGCGTGAATGAATCAACTCAACTGAGCACTTCCTACTTCTTTGACCTGGGAAACCGAGACTTAAAGCCACCATGAATAGTGTAAAACTTGCCAAGACGCCATTGACGCTGAGCTTGATCCTTTGCATAACTTTATACTTCAATGTAGTCGACGCATTTTTCAATTTGACTTGTCGCTGCTTTCCAGGTGATAGCTGTTGGCCGACGACACATCAATGGGACAATTTCAACATGACTATTGAAGGGAGGCTTATAGCCACGGTACCTATTGCAAGCTATTGCCATAATGATGCTTTTGCGCCTTATGATGAGCAAAAATGTGCACATTTAAAGTCCATATGGGGCTTTCCAAAAACGCACTACGAAAGTTCGTCCTCAATAATGGCCCCTTACTTCGCTAATCAGAGCTGCGATCCATTCCTTGCCAGAGACGCTCCATGTCGGATCGGAACGCACGTTCAATATACAGTCAATGCTACCAATTTCTTTGATATCCAGAAAACCATCGCGTTCTCCAAAGAACACAACATTCGCCTTGTCATTCGTAATACAGGGCATGATTATCTAGGAAAGTCCACGGGGCCTGGGGCATTGGGCATCTGGACTCACCATTTCAAGGATATTGAAGTTATTGATTACAGTTCTCGTTATTATACGGGAAAAGCTGTCAAGGTTGGTGCTGGAGTCCAGATGTTTGAAATAAATGAGGTCGTGCACGCGCACAACCTGGTAGTAGTTGGCGGAAATTGCCAAACCATCGGTTTCGCTGGAGGATATTCACAAGGGGGAGGTCATGGGCAACTCGCATCTACATTCGGTCTTGCAGCGGATCAAATCTTGGAATTTGAAGTGATAACATCGGAAACAAAGATTTTGACGGCTTCACAATCTTTGAATGAGGATCTATACTGGGCCCTTGCCGGTGGAGGCGGTGGTACATTCGGTGTTGTACTGTCTATGACTAGTAAAGCTCACCCAGAACTTCGCACCGCTGCAGCAAATTTGACTTTTACAAATGCTGGAATCTCACGGGACACTTTTTTCAATGCCGCAAAGATATTCATCACAGGTCTCGGCCCTATACTAGATGCTGGTGGGGTGAGTATTTGGCTATTAACAGAATCGATGTTTACTACTACACCCACGACGATCCCAGGTGGAAGCAAAGACCAATTGCAAAAGTTGATGGACCCTATTTTGCAGACGCTAAAACGTGACAACGTCACATATAGTAACGACCCCCGTCTACAGTTAAAGTGAGTCACTGACGAGAAATAGGGTACTTCATAGAGGATTTCCCATCCTATTATGAAAGCTATCAAGTGATGAATCCAGTATCCAACATTACAGAAGCTCAACTAGGGGGTCGCCTTATCCCACGGTCTCTGTTGGATTCAAGTCCTGGAGTTATTATGAACGCGTTTCGAAATATTCTTACATTGAAAAATACCGCTCTACTTTCCGGAGTCTCTGTAAACGTCTCAAGGCAAGCAGATGTCCAAAGAAACTCCGTCAATCCCGCTTGGCGTGATGCTGCGATAGACCTTGTAGTTGGAACGTACGTCCACCCCATTCAGATATTCCAAACACAACTAATAAGTAGTCAAAGGTCCTGGAACTATACCAATTGGGATAATGATCTAGCCAATAGAGAGCTCATCACCAACAAGCTACTCCCTGAGCTAGAGAAAATAACGCCAGGAGGGGGCGCGTATCTTAATGAGGCGGACTCGGCCCAACCAGATTGGAAACAAGTTTTCTATGGATCAAACTATGATCGCCTTAGAGATATCAAACAAAAGTACGACCCGGACGATACCTTCTATGCTATCACTGCTGTTGGAAGTGAGCATTGGACGCAGAAAGCAGATGGAAGGTTATGCACAAGCTGAACAGCGCAACTACCCTCGTGACTATGACGGGTGTGATCGAAAAGGTGCTCAGGCCTTCCACCGAAGAGATAATCTTTTGACACACCAACACGGCGTACATGGAGGCTTGTCACCAGAGCAGCAGTGGCGATTTCAACAACGCCGTGCAGACTCAGATGCATCGTTGAGTGATCAAATTTGCCGCCAGACCTTGAGAGGTCAGATGGTGGTAAACTCAATGATGTCACCATGGATGATGTCTTAGAAGGCCCAAATTCCCGCAAAGCTGTCACGACAGAAGGAGAGATTAATGTGGTTGATATTCTACGGCCGGCTCCAAACCTAAGATTGATTTTAACTGATAGCGACGGTGTAAATGTTGTAAAGGATTTAGATTTCGGAGACGGGCAACTCAAGGAGATTAAAACATTTAGAGGTGCAAGTGGAACAGCTGAAACAAGAAATGAGAGAGTTGAAGCAGCATCTGGACTCTTTTGAGAGCCAGGCTGTTCCAAGTTACAAGAGTCAGGCTGTTCTTACTTACAAGATAAGTGGAGTGGAGGTAGGGTACTGGACTGGGGCCATATTTGGTTTTCCTTCCTTTGTATCCTAATCCAACGTTCTACTTATCTCGGGTTAGCGGCTGCACAGCTTTAGAATTAAGAACAGGAAATCCGCAGGTCCTTGCATTACGACTCAAAATAGAAATGACAGGGTGATGATGACTCTCTGTCAATGCATATCTACAAGACTCCAAACATACTGTCCAGTACCGGGAAGTCATCTATTCTCTCAAGGTTAACCGGGACAGCCACTTTCTTCGTCTCTGCGTTGTTCTGGAAAGTAAAGGATAACTGGCCGAGATGGATCCATTCTAGGTCCTTGAAGGCAGCGGCATACTTCTCTGCGTACCTAATCATGCGCCGAGAGTGTAGTGTTTCCCACCTGGAGTGTAGGTCATTTGGCAGAGAATTCTCGCTTAGATTCTCACCTAGAGAATTTCGCATGAACCGAATACGTTCATCAAGATCCTGTCTAAGTAAAGAATAATAATTGTCAACGTCTTCAACCGTTGAATCATTATTGATTCGGTATGAATCTCAGGTGATTGCGATTTTCTTCAGTCTGCGCAAAGGAAATAAAATGCTTTGTGTAGCATCATGATCAACCAACCAGTTGTGTTTCCACCTGGTTTGGTTGCCGGAACTGATGTGCAACTGCTCTAGATTGGTCAGGGAAGAAAGAGCGATAAGAGAAGACTTTGGGATCATCATCCCATTCCACCGCATTGAAAGAACCCTTAAATTAGGAAATGATGCCAAGACAGGAAGTATGCGGTCTAGGAGGGCAGTGGACTGGCTGTAACGAATGGCGAAGCCCGTCAACTGATTATTGTGATCCAATACTTGAAGCGATACCATTTGACGGATAGTGCAGCTGTTCCAGACAAGATATTGAATGGACTCATGATATCCCATCTGATCTAAACATTCCCTCGTAATTGAATCGTCAAAGTCGACAACCAAAGTCGATAATCTTTTGCTTCGCAGGAGGCTTTGCAACGTCAGTTGACTGACCATTGTACCGGTTTCAATCTGGAGGAAACGGAGATTAGGAAAATTTGCGGTAAAAGACATTCGCTTATCTTGACTGTTGAGAAAATGTCGGTGGCTGAGCTTTAGGTATCGTAAGGAGGAGCAACATGCCGAAAAAAGACTACTCCAAAGGCAGGAAGAGTCGGCTATGTTGCGCCCATAATGAAACCCGAAATCCCACGTGATGTCGATGTCGAGGCTCTCGAGCTGCCAGGGATCTCCGTCTAGAGGGACTGTGACATATTCGGACTCAATGCTACCATGCAACTTGAGATGTTTGATCGCTGAGACTGCCAAACAATTGAAAAGGTGGCAATCAATGGTACTTCCATTCTCCCAGCATAGGGCTTCTAGGTGGGGTAGAGTGGAAATAACAAGAGAAAAACTGGGATTATAGACGTGATTAATTCTTGTTGTCATGTTCCCCACTGATTGCTTCCATTGATTCGTGCTAGCAGTGTCATCACGATCGTTGTCATCAACATTACCATCGTCGTCCCCAGGGCGCATATTCCGAATCTCCTTCCAGTACTGGTTTGAGTTTGTCCTTATGCTACGAATACATGCCCCCAGTGATGGTCGGCGTGTAAGGCCGTTCCCTGACCTAAGTCGCTCAGCAGCTTCGCCTATAAGGATACCAAGAACACAGGAGGATCGAGGGCTGTAGTCAATTACCACATCGCGAAACTGGCAAGATCGCGCTAACTGACGGCAATCCCAGTTAACGAGCGCAAGAGCAGCCAGACTAGTCTTGTCCGTGTCGATATATCTGATAATCAAGGACCGAATTTCAACCGGAAGTTTTAGGAAATGATTATCCTGCGTAGGAGCCGGCCTACCTTCCATGACCCGGTCCAGAGTCAGTGGCGAAGGGACGAAGTCCTCAGAAATTAGGTTTTTGGGGCCCATGATGGTGGGCTATATGACAGACATAAGCATGAGAAGCTTGGGGGATCGATGTCGAATGATCAGCGACTGTCAACAAAGGCGGAGTATTTAAGCCCCACATCTTGTTTTTCATCTGCATGGATATTCAAAGCTCCAGGAGAAGACGAAATCCCGACGCGAGTGTGGAAACAAATCTGGCCATACGTCAGCGAGGAGATCTTTCAGATCTTCACGGCATCAATCAACCTCGGACATTACCCTCGACAGTGGAAAAGAGTGAGAATTGTGGGTTCTCCGGAAGCCGAACAAACCGGGCTATGCCATCCCGGAAGCGTACCGGCCGATCTCACTCCTCAACACACTCGGCAAGGTCCTGGAAGTAGTTATCGCAAAACGCCTCGCATACTATGCAGAAACCTATAATCTGCTACCGAACACTCAAGTTTGGGGTAGGCCAGGACGAAACACTGAACAGGCACTATTAATACTGTCTGACGCAATCGACAAGGCGTGGCTGCGATCAAGGGCATCTGTTCCCTATATAGCATTCTACTTAAAAAGGATTATCGGCTTGAAAATGGAAAATGAAACTTGACAATCGATGAGAAGGCAGATGAGAAGGCACTACGACATTCCCTATCATGCAGGGAGTCACCACCAGGGGCCCAATGCCATGCTTTTCGTATTGATCGATGTCCGTGAGCATCGTTGTTTTCATTGATATTTTGTCAAGATGTTTGCGTAACCAGCAGAACGCTGTACCACATTGCGAACAGCGAGGTTGTCTTGCAGAGCCTTGGCTTGACGCATTCCAGTGAGTTTAGAAAATAATCATGTTGCAGCAAGCTGTTGTTTCTTGGTGAAAAGACTTTCGGGGCCGGGAGTGAAGCGTCTTCCCCAGAGAGGAGCTGGCCCGTGATTGCCCACTGCGCCCCGCCGCCGGCGGCCCCTCATTACTTTCTCTCTCTGCAGAACAAAACAACGACAGCAACAACAATGCCTGCTATCGAGGCGACATGATCTCTGGCGCCTGGCCTGAAAAGCAACCCCATCATATGACATTATATTCAACTCGTTTCTGCGTGCGCCATGGTGCTACACCCCGCCAGAGCCAGCAAAGCACCACCGCGACGGCTAAATGTGACCCCGGCGCTTTCTCAGTCGCAGGTCATTTCCTGGCGTTTCTCGAGCGCGCCGCCTAAACCTGCCAGACACGTCGAACAGCCTGCCAAAGATCCCGTCGAGGCTACATCGCAGTCTAAACATGCTGCGAAGAATGATTACCCCGAGAATAGTGAACAGACAAAAAACAGCCAGGGGCGGCACAGCAGCTCTGCCTTAACTAAAAAGGCCTCGACCGAACCCATTCAACATGCGGAAGTCTCGCTGATAGCGTCGGTGTTGAATTTGTTCTGTGCGTTGCCAACTGGGCTCGACCTCTCCAAGGAGGATGAAGAATTATTGAAATTTTACCTGACCGGTGTATCGCGAGATGTTTATGGAATTCGGGGAGACGCCGTTTTCAACCCTGTCCGCGATATCAGTTTTGCCCTGTCTCTCCGGTCGTCGATGACACTACAATGGATGCTTATAGCCGCTGCAGGCTTTGTCGCAGGTCGCCGAGGAGAGGGCCTGTCAGCGTCGATATTCCGTCGCAAATCAATCGCATACCAAACGATGCGTAAAAATCTCATTAACAGTCCAGCAAAGGGTCCCGTTTCTGACTACTTGGTCGACATGCTCATCATGGCAACCATGACTGAGTCACGCTTATCCCAGCGCGATGCTTCGAATATACATCTTAGAGGATACGAAAGAGCCGTTCAGACAAGAGGAGGGCTGAGGAAGATGATTCTGGCCTCCAAAACACATTTAATATTGTTTACAAGCCACTTGATGCCGTATCTTATTTCCGCACCACCCGCAACTGATGTCGTACTCGGGCCTGAAGCTCTCGGGTATGCCTTGCGAATACTCGAGATTATTGCCAGAGGGGAAAATGCCGTCGACCCATCCGACCGACTGTTTACGAGCCCATCCGCAAGTAACGAATTCACGCCGTCAATGAACCTTAATCTCAATGAAACAATTCGTCTCCTGCTAGTATCCGGCCTTCTCTGCCGTTATCTATGGCCCAACTTTTCGATATATAGCCGTTACGCCCTTCAAACAGCTCAGTACCTCACTCTTTTCACTGTTCTGACGGGGATCTGGCGTCTCCGTGATCGATCGCCACGAGTCAAGCTCTTTCTACACCGCCTCAATGTCGCGCTTGTTCGAAGCGGCGACCATAATAACCAAGGACAGATCTTGCTCACTATGGAAGGGTTAATGTGGATCACCATCAAAGCCGCCTTTGATGCTCTCGAGGGTGTCCGTGACTGCCAAGCTAGTCTTATTGTTGACTCCATGTCCGCCCTGAAGCTTTTCCGTGCTGCTGATGAAACCGTCAGGCGGAGGCTTATTGAGCATATATATCAAATACTCGTGGAGGGGATTGACTGCTCCATGTTACTGAGGAACTTGAGGAACTCCGAGGCTGTGGGGGCGATGACATTACGAATACAAGACTATGGGAACTTCAGTCGAGACATCAACGAGACCACTTGAGCAGGTCACTACCAGCCGCTATCCTGAGCGACAGTATGTCTATGTGACAGGCAATCCAAAACTAGCCAAACAAGTCGGGGCAAAGGAGACAGTGGTTCACGTATTGGTGGACTACCCGAAACTTAAATACTTACGAGCTACGAAGGAGATTGGGGATGCATTCAACAATATATCGTGTATGTTGAAAGGAGGGGGACCAGGACAAACAAGTAAGGAAGGTAAGATCAACAACACCGCACAAAGCAGCAGCATTCTTGGTGCTGCGTTGGACTTTGCGGAGGCATCTGAAAGGTTTCGAAGCTGCGCCGCCAGGGTCGCACAACAGAACCCCAAGCCCATAGGCCATCACGGGTCTTGACGAGGCTCCAAATTTGTCGGTATGTAATTGATCACTGTAATTAGATAGATAGAGATAGCTAGAGCAACACCCTGCATATCGCTTCGGCGAGGGGACAGCGTATGAATACACACACACACACACACACACACACACACACACACACACACTGTGTATATGCATAAGTCCGGACCGCTATTCCTCACACAGTATCCACAGTGTTTAAAAATTATTGTTAGTTTGCCATGCAATATTGACGCACAGTCCCCACAGTGTTTAAAAACATCCTTGTTGATTCTCTATGTAATGTTGAATAGTCTCTGTGAAGTTCCTGCAGTGATTAAAAATCATACAGTAATTCATGCAGTCTCCACAGTGTTTAAAAACTATGGTTGCTGGCTTACTATACTATGCACAAAGTCAACTAATCCCTGTCAGAGTCCCCGCAGTGTTTAAAAATCATAGTTTGTTCTCAATGCAGACCTTGCACAGTGTCCACGGTGTTTGAAATGTCTGGTAGCCCGCCTATTCTTGCAGGGATCATTCAATGTATAATGAACTAACATCTTGTAAACACTGCGGAGACTGTGACAGGGATTATTCAATACAATTCCTCACTGTTATACAGCGTATATAATGGTTAGAATGGACCCATAGTGTTTAAGTATTCTAGTTTTAAATTGATACATTAGCAAACTATATCGGTAGTGCCCGAACACGCACTAAGTTTCCTTCGGCGATTGGGCCATTTTATCTCCGTTATCGAGCTAACTTAATTTACCCAACACTGCTTAGGTAATAACGCACGTGATTTTGCGGTCATTGTTATGACAACACGGCGTCAAATTAAGCATATCATCGCGTTCACTCTCATCTTTTTGCTATAGCATAATCCAGCCACATAAATCTGCATGGTTTGCTTTCTGTATCATCCTTTTCATAGGCAAAACGAATTTTTTCTCCTCACAATATTTTAGTCCATTTCTATGACTCTCTATGACGAGAATATCCTTCTTCAGCGAGCGCCGTACGGTGATCCAATAACACATATCCCTACATCCCTCAAATTCGACCCAAACTATGATATATACTTTCGTCATCCGGCCTATCCAGACCCTCATGATATTTTGATAATTCTCCCTGGTCTTGACCATCCGCATGGAGGAATCCATCATCAGCTGGCTCTCGATGCGTGCGCTATCCTTGCCAATAACAGATATGAGGGTTGGTTTACAGAGGATAGAGAGGGAAATGAACGTGTCAATGTTCCTTTGAGTGGAATTCTCAGAAAACGCAACTATTATTTTCGAGTGTCGGACCATTATCAAGGTCTGCATAATCTTCTCCCCTTCAAATCCAAGCTAAGAGATAATTGTTAGATCTGTACCCCATTGTGCCAAGTTTTGAAGACTGGATATTTCCTCATAACAACGTTCCATCCTCGTGGAAACTCGACATTCCCCGTGCTCCGAACCATCCAACCCCAAGAGAAAGCACATTAATGGAAGCAACGCTTTCACGGGACATCCGATGTCGTATTACAAACCATATTGAGGGAACGGAATGCGCCCACCTTATTCCCCGAAGCCAAAGCGTCTGGTTCCAGAGAAACTTGATGGTCAGATACGGCAAAACCAGTCGGCCTGGCTCCGAGCCTATAGACACTCCTCGAAACGTGCTGCTTTTACGATCCGATATACATACCTCATTCGATTATAAGCGATTTACATTTGTTCCGAAGCCCCAGTATGCCACAAGTGGAGATAACCTAGAGGTGGGGAGTGAATCAGATGCATATGTTACTCATGTTTTCCGTTCCTCTGACCCTCACGAGCTGACGTCGCTTTACCATGGTGTGAAACTGCAAATTCTTACTGGTGTGGCTTCGGAGTATTTGTTCGCCCGGTTTGCGTGGACAATTTTTCAATTTATCCCAATATTTATACAAGCTGGCGTTCATCGTCGTGTGGCTGTGTATGAGCCTGCGAACAGTTTGAGCAGCTCCGTTGCGAGTACAGAACCTTCTGTAAAAACTCTTAGCGGAGACGAATGCCGATTTTTACCACTTCGGAACAAGCCTAGGAGCTCAAGCCCAAAGAAAAGAAAGCCAGAGGAGGACATTGGAGACGCAGACCTGGATTATAGGAGAGGACGATGCAGGACAAGGAGAGATGAGGACGCATCGGCCATGGGGTCATTCGATTCGGGACTTACAGCAGACGGACCATGGTATCAAAGTTCCGCGTCGGAGGCCACTGAGGATACTGATCTATCAGATCCAGACCTAGACAAGAGCGGGTTAAACTCCCATACGTCTTATATAGATGACCAGCTTCTCATATGATCGAAGATGGCCAGGTCTGAGAAGGACATGGGCCGTTTGTCTATAAATGAATTTAATATTATTCTCATGTGTTATAGGGCGCAAAAATGAATTCGATGGACCTCTAATGATGGACCTGGATAAAGTGGATTAGCGGTGTTATTTACCTAGAATAGATTATGACAATCAATTGGTGGCACCACTCCCTTGATTCATCAACCCTGCGCTGTTTTTTACTAGTCCTCTTTAGGGTTAGTTTGTGTACAAGCATCCCAGAAATTAGACATAAATCGGGCCGAAGGCCCTTACATTACCCACATCTGTTGAGAATTATCAGGTTTGATCCTTGGTTTGTGTTAGTCATATTATTACTTCCAGACATGCTATCAGCAATGCTAAGAGTCATTTCATTACTCTTAAAGAGAAGTTTGAATTCAAGTCTATGTTCCGAGGTTCAAAGAATATCGGTGAACTGCTAAGTAGACATCATCAAACGAAAGCTATGATATACAATAGCACGACTTGACGTCAGCCAGGTAGTGAATAAGGAGGAAGAGGACATGGCGTGCACTCAATCCACCAAGGCTCTTACTGATTGATTTTGACTATGCATTTTCTACTCCCTACTAGCTTGTACGTGAGTTTTTGTTTGAAATGAGTCGTGACCGGAAGAGAGCGGTAAGATAGATGTCCATTTCTTAAAGTTTGCTTGAACTGGCAAGGAGATACTACATTATTAATCTGAACATCCGGTGGTTAGTTGACGGCTTCCTCATCTTACATTGAACATACCTATTGATACTGAGCCGCCGTTCCTACTGGCCCCAGATATTCGATGCAAATGCACCTGCAGATTTTGTGGGGGAAAAAAAATCAAAGGCTTTCAATCCACGGAATTACAATCTCACTGTTAATGGGATGATTAAACCTCGAGCAAATTGTCTAGTCCTTCAAAGAAACACGGTTTTCTATCGATCCCCTGAAATAGGAAAGCTGTGTTCAACTCCTTCAAAGTTTCCACTCGCCCATTAATTCAAATTCACTAGTGACCTAAGATATTTGATGATCTTATGAGATCGGAATGTGTTAAGCATTCAGCACGACTGAGATCTGCAGTGAATTTGTATTTGTGATTACCGGGACAGGTTTTCAAGACCAACTTCACCGTTACGATTCATATAAGCTGCCATCTAACGCAATGACTGACATCCTTTGCCAAGGACGTCCGTTCATCGTGCAAGGTAGGCACATGTGTTACAAGAGCAAGCTCTTCATCGTCCCTGGCATAGTGTACCAGCCACTTAGCGTTTGTAAGATCCCGTTCATGTTGTGGGCTCGCAATGCTTCCCATATGATCGAGGAGATTCGTCAAATGGTGTGACGGGAAGGATCGAAAAGAGGTGGGCGTCGATGGAACTACAATGAAGTGCAGGGCAAACCAGTTTCTTCCGGGTTAACAGGGATGTTGTTGAAGGAATCGAAGATTCAACTTTTATATATTCGAGAGCGCATCTAACCAGTCGCCATCCCACAAATCTTGTGAGCCTCTCTACATCCTGAACTGATTGATAATGTGATCTGTGGTTAAAGACTGAGCCTATATATGACCCGTACCCCTAATTCGACATTTTACAGCCACAACGGCGAAAACTTGGAATCGAGCCGGATGATAAATCGCTGTTTGTGGCGCGAGAGGACATGTGCTTCCCTTACATGATGGTGGAGATCAAATGCGGCAACCAGGCTCTGGAGCTGGCCGACTGGCAGAACATGCACAGCACATGCATTGTACTGTGAGCTGTGGATTCCTTGTCCCAGGTGGCCAGTTGTCGAGAAAAGGTACATCGAAGGAATCTCATCGGTCATTACTATAACTAACCAAATACTATAACTAACCAAATCAGGATTCTTACTACCCCAAGAAAATGCGGTTCAATTTCATTTGAAATAAGATGGTAACGGGTAATAGACATACAGGGTGAATAATTTACTAAGTCCCTCCTACACGTGATCTGCCTTGTTCGACTCTGACCCTGAAGCCACCGGCTAATCGTATAAAGTGTCATCAGACAGCCTTGTGACTTGAGTGGGAATGCTGTGCCCATTTGCAGTGAGGGCTGTTCGAATATGGTTGGCGCGTGTTGTCATATTCTCGCACATAGCGACATTATAGGCGATCTTAACAATGTTTTTGATCTAGTGTCATTTTGTCAAAATTTGTTGAACCCGTTCAATGTACGCTTCTCACCTGACGACCGTTCAATGCGATTTCGGCGAATATTTCAATGTCGGTCTCCGCAACACATGCCTTCACTTCCTCCAAGAAATGCTCGAAAACCTTTCGTCGAGCGGAAGGATTTAAGTTATCGTATCGAAGGTTGAGCTGGATCCGATCGAGAATGGCTTCATCAAAATTCTCGAGCATATTGGTGGTGAGGAAGAAGATTCCATTGTAATATTCCATCGTTCGAAGGAATGTCGCGACAAGCCGGTTTCGTTCCAGCTGCAAGCTATTGCGTCGTTGCAAATATACATCGGCCTCATCTCATAGGAGCACCGCTTTCCAGTCACTAGCGATGCGGAAAGCACGGGTAAGCTGGACATCCAGCTCTTCCGCATTCGTGCTAAGATCTCCAGCGGATACCTAAAGAATTAGATGATGAATGGTGCTTTAATTGACAGAGACATACCGAGTAGAGCGGGCGTTGAAGCCGCTCAGCCATGGCCTCGGCTGTGAGAGTCTTCCCAGTTCCTGGAGGACCGCTGTCACGTGACACATTAGTTGAGTCGACGAGAAGGACAAGCGCACAGGAACATACTGCAAACAGATGATGATCCCTTGTCCTTTTCCTACGATGATATCGTCAAAACCGGCCTCGTTTGTTGCACTAACACGGCTCTCAGTGAGAGATTTGATAACTTTCTTCTTATCTTCCGGGATAGTCAACATATCAAAAGCAGAATCCGAGAACTTGATGTCTTCGATGTACTCCACGGCAAATTCTCCTATATACAACCGTCAGTTTCCAGACGTTATATAATAGTGGATGCTGACCCCAGATCTTTTCACGTAGTGAAAATCCAAGAACCGTCGGGCTACAGAGTGCTAAGTCATCTTCTTTCATCTCGCTGGAATTCAGACTCACCAAACGCGTCTCCGTCAAAATCGAAATACTGGCTGTTAATATGAAAGCAGGGACCGTTTCTGACCGTCCTCTTTTCCTCTCCAAAATTATACCGAACACATCGGGGCAGACCGGTGGAAGGACAAACCATGAAGACCAGTGTACCAGGTTTAAAAAGCGCCGATAAGAGATCCCAAGTTATCTTTCCATGGCTGAGTAAGGAGTCAAGCTGATCGGATATCGACTGGTAGGCATCTTCCAGATGCTGAATTAGCAAATTGAGATGAAGCTCAGTGTCAGTCAAGACCTCATTTTCTGAGTTACGTCCAGCATAGTCTTTCAGGTCAGGAAGGAAATGATACAATAGATTCTGTTCAGTCTGTACTATCCTTAGCGGTGGTGTTCACAATGCGTCACCGGGAACATACTGCAGGCTTCTCTGACTCAAGACCCGCTGTTCGAATATCTTTCAAGACCATCCTCAAGATGTCTCGCAGACCCGGCGATTTAATGTCAATATAATCTGTGACCTCACTTGTGTTTCTGTCTGGGTCATGGTCAGCCATGCTTAAGTCACACCTGCGGAAAGCTTACCAATGCGTTTGCGAATAACGAAAACGAATTCATCTAACTCAGTCACATCTTGGGCCGGTGGGGAGTCGAAAATTTTATATATAAGCTCCTTATGATCCCAACTGGGTGCTCTGTTAGCAGAGTCAATATGCACAGGTATCCACTTACATTTCGTTGACTGTTTTGTATGCGAGCTTCGAGGCACAAATCCTGGGGCTGGGTTCTAGGTTGCTGGATTTAGGCATATGATTGGGGGTCTATGGCCGTCTGATGACAATTTGTGCGTGGAGGTTGCGAGGTCGTTCTATAATGAGATTTTACTCTAGATTACGCCGACAGAGCTGTCGCGATGGAGCTTCATAAAGCGGCCTCAGAGATTCCGAAGCGCGACGAATATCCAAAACGGCCATTACACTGGGCGCAATACGTCCACTATGGTGCGTAACATGAGAGGATCTTTTCAGCGACTCTCTCTAGCCTCAAGCACCGCCTGAAGTTAATATCCGAAGAAGTTGGCGGGCGAATATTTTGCAAAGTAGTACAACAATACAAAACACAGCAGTCGCTGAAGGAGCTTTAGCGATACCCTCAACAGTGAGTTTCCCCCCATGTCCCTGAGAGACCCTGATCAAGTCTAACAAAGGATGCATTCAAAGGTACCAGCGATTAATGATATACTCAGTAAAAATAATATTCTGTTCAGCTACTTTTGATTGATACTGATTGGATGTAGATGGAATTATGGTTCCTTTCTCATGGAGCGCCACCACCGCGGGCAGGTGTCATTACTTTTAGCCAGATTTGAGGTGCTTCAACAAGACTATAGGTGATCTAGCTCCCGCTTGGTTCTGGCTTCGCATGACCTTGCTCCAGAGAGCTACTTCCAACGGCAGGGCCTTTTAAGTCAGCAACGCGTTAGCTGGATCTACAAGTTCAAGCTAATAAGGGAAGTGTTAGACACTTCAAGTTGCTCAGCTTTAAAAGCAGTCATTCAGCCAAAGTGCCTTACTACGATCTCTATTACCGACATTCCGATAGTGCAAACTCTACTCTTTGTCTACATTGCCTTCAGGTATTGTTCTAGCGATTTAAAGTTGGTTACCTAATCCTATCCAGTAGTCAAATAACATGGCAAGGTCCCTGATCTGCTTATCGCCGTGATAAATCTGATTTGATACTAGAAAGCAAGCATCGAGTAAGCTAATATGAATGACTAAGGATTGTATTAATGGCCCTCTATAGTGCAATAGCCGATGAGTAGTTTGCGCCTTGATGCCGTCTTGTACTGCTTCTAAGAAGTGTTGTTTCTCGTATTCAACACGGTTGCAGAAGACAACAGTTTTCCAACAATATATCGAGTCTTGCAAGATATCTTTTGTCTCTCCTTGAATAGCGTACCAAGCTCGATATGCTTTCAATTCCTTTGTTATGAGCTTCTCGGATATCCATGAAGCAAAAGCCACATCAACCGCAAAGATGATCCTAATTACCAAGCTATTTAGCGCTATTATGCAGGTTCTTCAGGAGGATGCATTTACGACCAAAGACATTTAGAGCATGTACTCTCTTCGCCGTTCATCACGCTATTGCGATAGCTGTTAAGGGAATGACATCGTATTCCTACAAGGGCGCAAACTGCCTACTGGTATGGGTAAACTATATTCGAAGGCTGAATCCAACTTTCGACAAAGTCCTTGCCAACTTCCGACATCGAAACCTCCTTGTTCTCACAAAACCACTGGTGACTATCTAGATACTGGGCACTAGTGTAGCTGGAGAGATTATGATAGTTGATTTTCTGTGTTCCTATGGCATCAGGCATCAACGAGGAGAAGCCCATATTTTGCCCTGCTTGCCAGAAATCACGCAACCGATCGCTGCCGCTGTCCTGCGCTGATGCGTCATAAAGCTGAGAATCCAAGTGCCTATTTTCCATATGGCTACCAGAATGATGAATTGGGTATGAGGAAACCAAATCTTGACCGCCGCCTGGAGTCCCGATGAGACTGCTGTCATGTGCATTCATCAATATTGATCTGAGATGAGGAGCCTCGTCGGTAGTTCGTATCATGTTCGGCACATCATAATCAGGATATGGAAAACCATCCGCGTTCACAGACTGACCGTCTGTTTGCCACGGAGGCCGGTGACAACTTGCAGCCAAGACCGGCTCGTTGCTCTCTAGCGAGGCCAACTCACGACTTTCATCGCAGCTTCTGAGCTGAGGACTTTCCTCTTTTATAGGCTCAAGGCTATTCCCTTTACTATCTTCATATTCTAAAGAATTCTTCTTGCTGCGAGGAGGCTTCTCACTCCTTCCGAGAACGAATTTATAGCCTGGGTGGGCTAGTTTATGCTTATCCGAGTCGATGCGGGCGAGTAATTCGTATAACTGTCGGACCTCAGGCGCCTCCTTATACCAGCTTTCCCCAATCACTGTATTGATAACCGCAGGGTTATTGCTGGCATACCACTTCTTGGCGCGTTCGAAATAGGCGCTTCGATAGAGCATAAAAGAGTTCCGCGGCTGGGTGATTTTACCATTCTTGACCACTTCTTCCATACGAGTCTCCACTGACCGGAATACCCAAGCTTCCATGTCCTCTATGGGAATGTGGTGCATGCCTTTGGTCAGTTGACTCAGGGGACCAGTATCACGTTGCGAGTTTCCTGAGGCTTCGAGAACCATATTTCGAAGCATATCCAAAGAAACATTTCGCAAATTATCCCCTCCCAGCTTCTCAATGTAAATCCGTCTCGAGGTTTTTTCGTACTTTTTGATGTCGTCGTCGAGGCTGCTTATCGTTCTCTTCCATGGTCGACTTATCTCGATATTTTCCTCAACTCCTACTTCTTTCAACCAGCTCACAAGAGTCATTAACCGATTGATTCTTTTCTGTTTATTTTGATTGCATATTTTAGCGTTCGCACAGTTGGTTTCTCTTCTCGCGACGGAAGTATCTTTGTCCCTGATAAGTGTCAGTACAGTGATTCGAGGTTTCATCTTTGGATACTCACATTTTGTGATCTGCGCCGATTACTAGGGAATTCTGTTTGTGGAGCAGATTGGAATCTTAGAGAGAAGGAGCTGACATGTCTGTCATGGCCAGTATTTGAGATGTCTCCTTGATCTGTTTAATACGATCAGTGCTAAACATGTGATCACCAGTCACACCTTCCCCTTTTCATCTACCTGTGTATGACCATGACCACATGCTGCGGCCTTTGCTGACTTAGATCCTTGCTCGTAGATGCAGAATAGCCGAAATTACGATGACGAGCCCTGCTAGTCCACCAGTGCTAATGGAAGGATCCGCTTTGGCACGAGGTCTGGAATTCTCACGCATAATGCGGCCTGTCAGGGATCTGTGGCCACTCATTTCAAGATGGCTTCGCGGAAGAGCAGTGCCGCCTAGACTAGGCTCTCGGGCGATCCAAGCTCATTAGGTTTCTGGACAGAATATGCAGGCCCTCAATAGTCCCAAATATCAGTCATCTTCCTACAGCATGCGACTAGCATTGGCTTCCCTACCGCATCTTAGCGTCGACGCTATGGTCAAACCAACGCAGAAGTTAGCAGCCTAGGAGAGCTATGTTTATTTACCCATGTATGTGACTCAGGGACACGGTTTAAATTCATCGATTCGTTGCCCCTCCGAAGATCGAGGAGGGAAAGCAGTAAGGTAACCTCTTCGAATATCGTTCTCTCTTCTTTACATTATCTTTAAGAGCAATCCTATTTACAAATGGCAAATCCACTTATTTTGTGCCTTACAACTTGGCTGGAAGCCTGGCTTTTCATTATGGTTGGCTTTTTCTCCATGATACGCTTCGGCCTGCTTCACGCACCATCCGAGATCACTTCATCGCCGGAAAATGGGCGAAATAACCCGGAAAGCATGGGTGAGTCTAGATTGAGCTTCGCTATGATTTAGCCAACAGTGTTATTTAGTGTAGTGTTTGATGATCTTACCAGTTGGAACCCGAATTTTTGTGAACTATACAGACACTGTATCTTCAGTACTTGATTCGTCGCTGTTCTTCTCGCCTTGGTGGACTTTTTCCTGTATAAGAAGCATAAAGTAGACAAACTCTGGATAGAGTGACGAACAACGATTATAACCAATGCTCCTGACATATGCTGCACTACAAACTATAGATATTAAGGTGTCACTTCGAATTATGACGGAGAGATCGGGCTCGACAGTGAATTCATGAGGTTCGTAACCCCAGCGTACGAACTCCACAGCCTGATGATTGTATTTTTGTTCGTGAAAGACAAACCACATGTTCCTCAGGTCAGGGTTGTCAACAGAAAACACAAGAGCATAAGGCATCCCAGCTTGAAGAAAATCTCTGGTATCCATCACAACCTCGTCCTTGACGACTTGTAGCGGTGCATTTGTTATCACAAATCCGACGCATTTCCGTTCACTTCGTTTTATTTGTTCCAGTATTTTGGGGTTTTGAAGAGCAAGAAGGTGCTCAGCGGGAGAAGGTTGATCAAACACTCGACACGGGTTCATCGGAGCCGATGCCATTCCAGGAAGAAACAACAACAATCTTAATGACAAAAAAGTAACAAGGGTAGCATCTATACAGGCCAGGCGGAAAACTGGCGGGGAGTCTATTAATATGTATGCGACCGGCCTAGGCTTATCGATGAGTCTGCTAAAATATTATAGCCACAGGGAAACTCTTCCACCATACCATGCAATAATTGGCGGGTCCGCTACGCCTTCTATCATTTCCTATTTATTGGCGCTCATCGATCAATAATCCCAGCCTGGGTTATAGCTGGACGGTGTCACGGACCGCTTTGAGAATCCGATTTGACCCCACTTCTAGCCTGAATAAGATTAGTCGAGTGTCAGCCCAGTACTTGTTGCTTTGGGGGGGAGCAATTTCCTCTCCAACGCTCAAAAACGATCAGAACACGGTCCAACTGACTAATGTACGTGCCACAAGAGGTCTAGCTGAAGTCGAATGAAGTAAGGCCTGTTTCATCCCTCCATGCTGCTAGGAATACGCGGCCTATTCAAGCTTCCAGATTCGTGAGGATTGGTTACCATCCAGCATGCAGAGGCCGATCCCACCAGACAGAAAAAAGAAACCATTTGGGGCACATTCATTCCTGAAACTAGCAGAAAAGAGACTTTCTTTATTGGAGGCGTTTTTGGAACGTGACAGGACACGTACCATCGCTGAGATGGTGACCAAGACAGAAAACCGGCGTTTATTCCTGTCACTCAAATCGTCGTCTAATATAGAGGCATCCCTCATCTATACACTTGAATCTCACGAAGTGACCCGTCAGTACTTTGACGAGTTTGTTGATATAGATTGGACTCGTTCGGATCAGTGGAGAATACTCAAGAATAAAGGTTTTAACTCACAAGGAAAGCTTTCCGAATTTGCCGAGAAACATGGCTTTGATCTACCTATCCTACGCTCAGTGATTACGGTGACAATGAAGGAGAAAATTATTGAAAACGAATTACAGATACCGGCATTAACAGGTGCTTTTCTTCCTATTCGGGAACGACTAAAGGAAATCAACTTCGAACAGTTGGATGTTTTATGTCACCTTTTACGATGTAGTCCACGACTTCTGCATTTTCAACGCTACTCTCTCAAGATGGTAATGATGCGAGAAAACTACAAAATTTTGATTGATGCCAAATGGCCACGCTTCCAAAACCAGGAAATGGTGGTGGGTGAGACAGTGACCGCTATGCGCGATGAATAGCTTATTGCCGTCGAGGATATCCAGATCGTTCTTCAAGGATCCTGATTTCCGTCGTGGAGTGGAAAGGGGCAACGGGCATAGAGCGTCGATCTCTTTGTATTCCCAGTTGCGGATCTCCTCTTGCAACTGTCATTAACACAAAAATACCATCACTGTCTAGTAATGGCCAATCAATACAAAGATCTGAATCAACGCAAATGATATCCCCCAATGTTAATTCTAGAGGTAGATGTCGCTCGTCGTGCCTTATCTCTTGAAATTGAAACATGTCCAGCTTCTGCGACCCTGAGTAGTAGGGGATGCGAACCGTGCCTCGGATTTTACGCAGCAGGTTCACAGCCTCGCCTTTATCATAACCATATGGGCCAAGCCGACAGAGCTGTGGTGGGTCCGAAACTTTGCTGCAGTCCACTAGTATTGGTTCCCCCAGTAGCATCTCTTCCAGGTTTCTACCACCAAGCAGAGAGTAGTAGATATATTCGTTCTAATACCGAATTAGCTAGGTATTTGATGGATATGGAACGCATACCTTTTCTGTGGAGATGTTATACATCATAAACTTGATCAGCACCTTCGATAACTCGGAATTGAATATGCCTGCGATGTAGTATTCATTGGAGGGCATTTCCGTCCTAATAGCTTCATCAACTTCCCTTATTACCTCCGGCGGAGGTTGACCCCAAGGTAAAATTACGAATCCTTGCTGGAAGAAAGTCATCATGCGGTCTGTTTCATCCTTCAAAAAGGTCCCGTCGTCTGGGCTCCCCGCCAACTCGGTGTTTTCCATGGCCGGTAACACCCTGGTGTGATTATGTAATAGTCGTCCACATTCACGCTTCATGAACCTCAACAACCAAAGGCATTATAGATATATATCTTGCCTTGTTTACTAAGCTGCTCCAACTTCTTAGTCAATAGTCAAGTAGCCTAATGCATATGCTAATATAGATCATTATTAGCTTGTTTGGTTGTTGCAATACCCTGCTGCTTACAGTTGGCAATGAGACACCCTTCCTATAGAATCCAGGACGTATGAACCGATTCATTTACGCTAATGCAAGATTGGCAGTTCTAACTGATATGCTTTTCCCGGAGCATGTCGACTACCAGCTGCTCTATTCCAATTTCGTTTACAGTTTCATGCAGCATGCGACTAGCACTAGCAAGAAGACCTACTGCCTCAGTGCGGAAACTTCTCTACCCGAATTGAAGGGGAACCAGATAAGCCCCTGCTTTCATGCAAGAATACGACTGATCGAGAGGAGGTCGTTACGTTGTCAAATTCTCTATGTTGGATATGCACGTTGTTAAGTCGAAGAAAGGAAATTCTTCAATCATTTGTTAAATTTGGATGCCAGAATGTTTCAATTTCTCCAATGCTTCCTTACCTCCCTCCATTTTCCTTATGTCGTCATATGAAAGAGTCTTTACATGTGTAGAGCCATCCACTCTCTCCAGTCTCACTTCGATCTTGGTAGCCTCTTTCGCTTTCAGTGGCCCATTTGTAAATGCAATATGTTTCACAACTTTGATTCTTTCTGAGTGTATCGGAGGTTCTCCGTAGAGCTACGCGATGTGAGACTGGTGATAATAATGCAAGTTATAGATCTTACTTGCCGCGAAATCATTTGAGTAGCTGTCTCCCGATCTTTGCAACAAATTGATGCCGGTTCAGTGGAGCTAGGCGACACCCAGCTCATCATCCAATGGAGCCATGCCAGAAGCGCTGGAAAACAAGCCATATCTTTACATCGTTAACTTGAGATCTCCAAGCGTAGGAAAAAACGTACAGTACATTAGCTTCATTGGCTGAATGTGATCTTAGAATTGGTTAGGTAATTATGATTTGGTCTGTGCCAAATTGCGGTGAAGCTGGGACAAGGCTGACATCTTTATAGACATCGTATCCCTTGGGATGAGCTTCATATTAAGAGCCGGGGACAACTCATCCAGACGAGGTATGTATGCGGACTTCTCCAAGCACATTTGGGGTGATAAGATGAGATGAGATGAGGTGAGATGAGGTGAGGTGAGGTGAAACACCAGACCAAGCAATGCGCAGAAGCCTGTTGATCTTGAGAGTGATCGCAGCTACGAGGTCGGCGCGCCTGGACCCATGAGGAGAGCGCCACAGGCCCACCAGAAATTCCTTTTATACATAGTCCTATTGGTTGTAACTAGATATGCAGGTGACTGCATGTTGGCTGTAACTAACTAGTGCCACTGTGGACGCTATTTCTGGTTTTGTAAGTTTCCAGGCTTGGATGACTGTGCACCAGCTGACAGCTTGTCTATTATTAAAATGAAGCTGAACTGTAGGTCCCCTCCGCTGCAGGAATCCGCCATCAACCATATGATTAAAATTCTTGAATTTACTAAACTGGTTACAGAAATCCCTTGAAACATATCTTATACTATTTCGGTCTTCCAAATCATTTAGCCGGTATTTTTGATAACATTTTCTACTTCAGGCGCCTCGTCTTCGTTGCTCGAATCATAACCCTAACCAACAAAAGGATCTCTATCTCGAATCTGCAAAACCTTTTGCCGGAGCTTTTCCACAGAACAATCAACCTTGGCCTCGCCGTTTGCCTCCAGTTCATCCACGTAGAACTTTGTGAGTTCGGCTTCACGTTCTTTGAGCAGGTTTTCAAGAGTGCTTATCCCCTTTTTATGGTAGTCAGGGGCCTTTATAGAGGTTTTAACACGCCCAGCAACCTGATATTCGTGCAATAACCAGCTGTCGATGAGGTATAGACGAGTTGCAATCTCCGACCTCTGCTGGTTTCTGATTACCTGGTTGGCGGAAGAGGGTGGCCTGTAGGTGTCAGCGCATTGAACCAGTTCCTATTCTTATACACTCACATTTTTTTACCAGGGAGAATAAAATCGATGTGGTGCTCACAGGACGAGTTGAGTACTTTTTGGTCGGTATGTTTCTTGATGTATACACAGTTTAATGCAATGCCTCAGGGTCATCCTCAGCTTGCCCGTTTCAACCCTGCTTCGTGGAATAGTGCCAACTCAGCGTCGCTGTTCGAGATTTAGTGAGATAGAAGGGTATTGGGACTTTTATGTCTGTTGGGTCCAACCTTTATCCCGCTACCGAGAAAGGAAATCCGTTAGCAAGCTGACGTGGGCTCTTGGTCCACCATGTCACCACTACATGGGACTATATCGGTTCGCTTAAATTTGTGATCGGTCTCAGCTGAAGTGTATTCGTCTAGCTTTCGAGACCCAGTGAGAACGAGCGTACATGTCAATCACTAAGACTTAGATCCTTTTTGTAACACAGATACAGCCAGTCATTTGCGTCAATCCGTTAGGTTCGGCCGTCACGAAATAGGAGGTGTTCAGGGTCTTGGATTCTAGTCACTAAACCAAAGCCTGTAAGTGGAGCGAGCATGCAGGAGCAAAAGCTGGTCCAGCAGTCCTGCAGGCAGGTTATGCCTATAAATTACCACTACCAATTTCGCGCAGTTCACACGTCCGCAGGACTAAGGTTTAGTACTTTCGATTAATATTAAAGTGCGAAGCAGCCAATTGGTACTTTTACTTTTTCATGGGTGCTACAATCCCAGAAGGTCAGTGGCTAGGACATAGAATTAGTTGATTATAAGTTGCCTTAGTGGAAGCGACGTATTGGAGCATCTAGAATATAGACAATCTTTCATTTGTTTGACGAAATAAAGCCGCGATCTACCATATAATCGCGTGAAACAGATAACTCGAATTCCAGGTCACCACAACCGAAGAGTACCCCTATCTTTCCATCTTTAACGATACTTTGGTCAATGGCTCTGATCTCAAGTTTTTCGATGTCTATTTCATCTATCCAAATCATCTCGACCACAAGACGACCGGATTTCTCCTCTGGATTTCTGGCGCAGGCGAACTCGAGATTTTTAGGAATATAGAGTGGCTTGGGTTTCTATCTCCATCGTTAGTAATAAAGAGTATTTTAAGCCGATCTAAGGCTACTCACTTCGAAAGAAGTTAGAGAGTCAGGGCGCTTGCAGCTCGACTTCCGGAACCATCGAAAGAGTGCCGTCATCTGACATCTCATTAGCTTCATTTCCAACCAGCCGTTTAATACATACATCTAATATTATCAAACAAGGCTGAAAACGGTGTAATAGTCTGTGCTCGCTGAAGGGTCTCGGGGTATGCAAGCATGCACGGTCACGATGAAATGGAACTAAGCAGCCCGGATTGAAATAATGCAAGGCTGAAGGGTTTTGATGTTCGTGTTTAACGACGGCTCGGAGGAGGAGGAGGAGGAGCGCCGGGCTTCTTTACACCTGTAGTATCGTATGCTCCCCTGCCTAGGTGCATTATCCAGCGGAAGTAACGAAGTCGAGCCGATTGATGGCCTGAAACTGGTGACCGGAGGTGGCCTGTGTTGAATTGCGGTGAACCTGGGACAAGGCTGACATCTTTATAACATCGTGCTCCTGGTTAAACTTCATATTGCCTATTTCAGCAATGGTCGAGTCGTGCCGCTTCCCTAGGCAGATTTAAGCTAATGCAAGTACTACCCCTACTTTGGAAGGTTTAGTATTGGTAAGATCTCTTTTTAACCTACGATAATCTGCATACGATTCGCAGCGCCTCTTCTGATTGGACTTGTCTAGAAATATAAATGCTCCAACACAAAAGCACGGCCCTCGACACTAGTGACGCATGTGAGGTTGCCAAGATGTTACGATTGGCCGCGGATATTGTTAGTTTTCCGCGTTTTCCCGCAGAAAACTGTGAAATCACGCGAAAATCCTAAATATCACCTTTTATTTAGAAATATTCCCGCATTTCTTCTGATTTTGGAATAATTCCCTATCTTTTTCCGTTATTATTTACCTTATCTCGAAGATAAATACCCTCAAATCATACCATGACGTATCCTTGCATTACACTCCATATACAAGAAAACGTCAGCTTTTCTTGGGAAAATGACTACTCTAATGTAGCAAGCTCGGACCTCGAAGGCCTTCTTTTACAAAGCCGTCATGCGGTGACCTCTCTTGAAGCGGAGCTTGAGCGCCGACAACTTAGGAGAGGCTTAGGTGGATTGTCGCGGGTCGATGATTGCTGGATACGTCTTCAAAAGCAAGCTCGTCAAATTCAAATACGAGGACGACTTGATGATAAAGGAAAGAAGCAAGCTAAAATAGCTGTTGGCAGTCTCAATGGAGTAACGGAAAAAAGTGCCAACTTCTATCGCGAATTTCTCCAAGATGTTTTACATGACTGTGGTTCTGAATTTGTCATCCTTTGCGCCGCGGCTCTTGGAAAACATCGAGTGGTTAATTTGAAAAAAGACGACCGGATATCTCTTCTAGGTCGTATTAAAACGGAGATGCAAACAATAAAAGTTTCTGCCCTTAGTGTAATCGCAAAAGATTACCAGATGCCCTCTGGTCAGGCAGGTAAGCAACTTTCATTTCGCCCTCGGCGGTATCATGAATTTAACAATCCACAGGATATTCACGTTCTGCATTTCTTCCGCTTGATGAGATGGGCGCCAATGTTATTCTAGAAGCAACGAGAAAGGATAGGAACCTGTTAGGCATAGCATTGCCGGACGCACATGAGACGCTTCCATACATTGTTATTCCCCATCAAATATGCGCTAATATCATGCGACTATATACAAGTTGACACGCCAAACACATCTTACTTTATCTAATAAATTTCACTTTCGCTCCATTCGTCCACCACGAGTAATATCCAGGTTCGAGAAACACCATTATAACTTTGAGCGCTCCTCCCGGTGAAGTTTGCCAAGTTTCAACATTCGTATCACCCAAAAAGACTTTAACCGTTCCGATGTTACTATTCAACCAAATTATAATTGCAGTTTTATATGTAAACGGCCCTCGAACAGACGCAGGATTCGGTATGACTTCCTCAATCTTGCCATCGACACCTGTCTACGTCGCATTTGTTAGACGGTAACAGCCGTATAACTGAATCCAACTAACCACTTGTTTATATCTTTCTTTGAGACTGTCGTCATTTTCCGCCACATTTGTGACATCTTCGATTTGTAGTTTCGTGGCCATGGATCAAACTTCAAGATGTTTAATGCTTCGCCATAAAGGATGCGAGTTGCAACGTGGAAAAATTGAATAAGACGTTGTTCGGATAAGCGGCGGGTTGGGTCGACTGGACGAGCGCTAGAATATTTGCATTCAGTTTAAGCACACATATAACGGATGAGATCCTTACATTGCAGATAGGTAGATTGGTGCCTTGCGCAGTTTGCTCAGAACTAGCTTATCAGTGGATTAGGCGTCGTGATATAAAGAAACAGGCCAATAAACATACTAACTTTCGATGACTATCGGGCGTCAACGCATCCAAATTGCAGGGGATCCATATGGGTTGTAATGAAAATTATTTTCATCCCAGCGATAAATAGTTTCTGCCATATGACTTCGGGCAGAGAGAGGGGCAGAAGTCCCCTCTTCGGGTTCGGTCGGATTTTCTCATTCACCGGCCCAGCCAATCATTATCCATGACTATGCGGGATATGCGTACAACTCTTGGTGCCTACGCGTATATTTACATCTCCAAGATTTGCTTCAACAAAGGGCTTGGCTTCTTTGGGATATGCCCACAAGTAACCATGAAAATGCAGCTTCTCGTTTCAGTCTTACCCCTGGATTTCTTGGGAGTAACACTATGTGCCTCGACGTCTGCTGCCTGCGGCATGATACATACATCAACCTTGGCAACCTTGAATGAAGTATTATATACCTTAAAATTATGATCTCTGTCCATCTACTCAACCTCTCAGCAACCATGCATAAGTGCTTTCCTCCTACTTGTGTGTACTGCACAGACCTTATCAGCCGTTGAGTAGGGGCAATGCAGAATACAGCCTTGTCACCGGTAGAGCACCCTCGTAGCGGAGAGACTTGGGTTGCACCGGGCACACATTTCATCTTTCGGCACAGACCTTATCAGCCGTTGAGTAGGGGCAATGCAGAATACAGCCTTGTCACCGGTAGAGCACCCTCGTAGCGGGGGGACTTGAGTTGCACCGGGCACACATTTCATCTTTTGGCCTAGGCCGACTTTTTCTGTGATAAATGTATAATTAAAGACGCAGAGTCCCCGAAGTTCTAGCTCATTTCCCCTCAGCAGACATTCTATTGAAATCGTTTCGGACATAAAGTATCAAAATGAATTACACTCGCCTAGCTTACTTGAAGGAACGAAATCCTAGCTTATCTATTTCTGAGAGAAGAAGCACTTTCTCCTACGGGCATCAATGGCAACCCATAGAGGGGATCGACATGTGGGATGATTTTTTAGCTCTCAAACGAAAGTTTCGGGGGGAATTAGCAGAACCAATTACGCCCGATTCTCTCACTGAGCTGATAGAAGAAACTCGGTTTAACAGCATATTCGATGAACCCGGTCTAGCCCAACTCCACGGTACAGCAATCGTCATGCCAGTCTCCAAGGCTTTGCCGGATGACACTTTCATCGGGCCTGGGGGAGCGATCAGCGCCATAAACCCCGATCTTCGGCCTGACTGGGGTGCAACTATGAAACGCAAGTCCGGCAATTTTCGGCCCATTGTATGCGGCGACACAAAGCTGGGATGGGATGTTAGGGCAGCTATAGCTATGATTAGAAATAATCCTCATGGATACGAAAACACGGAAGGAAGATCCCTAGCTCGGCCATTCGAGCAACTCCAACATTATTGTTTGGGTTTCGATGTACCCTTCGGTTTTATTTTGACGGAAGAATTCATAGTGTATTGTCACTTCATCTTGTCGCAAGATCCGAAACATTCTCCGCGACCAAAGAGGACAGAAAGGACATCTCAGCATACTCGAATTCAATCTACATCGACGGTATCTACTGGTTTAGAGACTAGCCTTAGTGACATGTCCTTTGAACCCGCCTTGTTCGATCGTCATGTCGGACCGGTGAGAGTAGCGGTTGATCGATGGAACCCTTCCGCAGACTCTACAGAGCTCTCAATGAAACTTTCCCTATGGCTCCTAGTCATGGAAGCGCGAGATTGTGAAGGGTTGGGGTCGAGAGATGACTATCCTAGCGGTCATGGCGGAGGTCACAAATCACCTCATCACAAATCGCCTCCTCATCACAAATCGCCTCCCCATCACAAATCGCCTCCCCATCACAAACCGCCTCCTCATCACAAATCACCTCATGAAGTCATGGGATGGGAAACTGGACGAAGTCGAAGATAATGATGTTGTCAATCTGGAGGGTGTTTTATGTACGAATGAATTAAACTCTAGGAGATCAGGCATCTCAAAAAGGACATATCACTCCGAATTTCCTAAAACTAAATACCCCTTTTTGCAATCAAAAATATAAAAATAAAATAAAAAAAAGCGCGTGGTTCTACACTGAAAAATGTTAGTGCTGGAACCGTCAGTCCTATTTGGGGTTAGTGCTAAATTAGTCAGCCGTATGAGTTAACCTGTTATAAGGGAGGCCTTCATCCCCACTTTGTTGTTCACTCTTGCTCTCTTCCAATATTTCTTGTCTTTTTCGATTATCAGAGACCCGTATGGAGAATCCCTATCCAATTTCGGCATGGAAACTCAGCACCCACACCAGACCTGGCTGGAGGAGTTTTTAAGTGAATTTACGGCAATCCCATCGTCAAACACCACATTTTCGTTGGTGAATCAGAGAAATCCCAAACCATATGAAAACGGCACTCTTAAACTACGGGGGTCGATAAGAACGAATAAGTATCACCCGATATCCGTGTGGCGAGCCACAGCAGACGAGCGACAGCTCGTAGTGAAACAAGTGAGTATCAACAAGTCCCGGCCATGATGATGATGCTAAGAACATACGATATTAGTTCCATCCAGTCAGAGCCAAAGAGGTCAGGGAGGTAATCAGAGCTTCTCCTGAAATTTTGAATAATCCCTTGTTTGATCGAGTGATGTTTGATCGAGTGAAGCAAGATTACGATCCATTCATCTTAGAGCAACGAGCATATGAGAGGATTGATCAAGTTGCTTCAGAGGAAGCCAAGGCATATTTTCCTAGATATTACGGCGCCGCTGACGAGAGAGCTCTTGTTGATTTTCCTAAATGTTACGCCAATTCTAAAGAGAGGGTTCTTGTTCTTGAGTTACTACGGCCATCTCTTCAGTCACGGTGCGTGTGTTCCAATTCGGTTCCTGCTTACTTGCGCAAGGACTTGGAGCTCCTACGGGAAGAGAATGCCAACGCAAAATTTTCGTCCTTAGAGCAGAGATGGTACGAATCTCTCTTTATTGACCGTCTGAAGCGACTAACAGCACTTCATTGTATTGGAATAACACACGGTGATATCAAGGAAGATCATTTCCGCTTGCCAGACGACTTTCATGACACCGTCCTCTTTGACTTTTCTCGTGCATATACGATCACGTCAGGAAGGCCATATCTTATACAAGGCTACGTGATTGATAGAAGATGTGCATCGAGATGGGCAGCGCGGAGATGTATGCAAAAGCTCGTTGAGTTGGAGAGAAACTGGGTTCGAAGTCTTATTAATGCGCGGTATATATTTGAGAGACTTTTTTTCTCCTGTTAATACAACCGCTAACAATAATTAGCATAAAAGAAAACAGTTTCAACTCGAGATACAAATCCAACGACAAGGACTATCTCATATCTCACCGTGATGAACAAGAATTAATCGCGATGAGAATATACCGAGTACCAGAAGGCTGGTCTTGCTATGACTTGAGAAAACATATTACTATGTGGCTGACTTTTCGCGTTTAGAATTCGCTTTCCCGTCACTCGCCTCTATTCTACCATTCTTAGAAGAAGCATCAACCGATAAGCCAAGAACTTGGCTGATTTCCAGGGCAAATTCCTTGGAGGATTACGTAGCGCTTTGGATTGTTTCCTACGATGACGATGATCCGTATTTGATCGAGATGGTCTCCTATTCTGGAGAGAATATACGCTCTTATTCTTCAACTGGTACTTTCGAAGCTAAAGGCAGGAAATACCATCTATTCCTCATCCCAAAAAGATGGTTAGAGGAGTTGCAAGTTTCTCGGCAATTTGCTACGAAGGTCTTATCGACGCGGCTTAGAAAGAAGAAAGCATGGACAGTTGACCGAGAGGCTTCCTTTGCAATAGCTGGTGTTTTGGTAAGACGAGAAAAGGATGAATCTGAGCAGCTAGATATGTCAGTTGTCACCAGTTAACGAAAAGTGGAGTGCAAAATTACAGACCGTTGAAGGCCATTCATACTCCGTTCAGTCAGTTACAAATGACAGGTTGTCGGACACTGAGACTGTAATGATCTTATCAAGAATGGTTATTAGTATAAATATATCATTCTACCTGCATTTAGAGAACATAACAAAAGTACCTCTATCGGTCCTCTACATAAAGGAACACTCTATTTATCTGACCTTTTAAATGACCGCCCTGGTTAACAAGAGCAGCGTTGGATATTTCCTCCGATCTAGAGCTTTCATCATTTGAAGACGAGCTTAGCACATCCTTTGATGATGACATAGATGATGAAGCCGAGGAGGCCAATGCAATAGATGACATTCAAAATACTTGAAGGGGATTGATAATTTTATACTCGTATCGAGCTAAGTAAAAATGGTTCGCGGCCAAGGCTAGCTGAATGACGGCGGTACATAGTGTAACAATATAATTAATATATATATTTTTCAACTGGACACAACACGCTTCCACCGCTCAGAAATTAAAATACACAATGTTCAAAGGATTTAACTAATAACCCCATCTTTACAAGAAGTACCAGCTGCAACGGATCCCATGCTAGTTACTGTTCCATCATTACAGACAGACCATGTCTGACCAGTCGCACCACAGATGATAGCACCGTTTGTTGAACATGAAGTGCTCATACTTGACAGCCCAAGTATGGTAGATTGAATGCTAGTGACATAAGTGGAAGTGGGAGTAGAAAGATCGCCATAGAGAAGCTGAGGTGGGTTTGCCACCACCGAACAAGTATATCCCACGCCCGTGACACTGCCCTCAACATCAGGGCCTGGTTCCGGGAATTTCACTTCATCACCCGCAATCGTCACGCATTCACCCGGACCGTGGACGTTGGCAATAAATATTGACGGTCGGGAACTGTATGAGACCATCTGACGAGCATGCTGCTCTTTACGGGGTGAAAACTTGTTGGCCGGCCCTTGTTCGATAATAACTTGTGCGCAGTTCATGTACATTTCACGGTTCCCAATTTTATTGAACCAAGTCCATACAAACAAAGCCTTTCCCAAAGGAGCATCGGATGGAATTGTGAACTCATAGGTCGAGGTCAGCGGACATCCACCTTCGATGGATTTGATGACAGTGAACGTCTTTCCGGTGTCGTATGAGAGAGATAGTTGGCAGGAGCCTCCTCCGTGGGTTGCGGAGCCCTGCAGCGACAATTGATATTGGCCGCCTGCTGCATACGTCGCTGTGGGCCGGAAGGGGTCGGACTGATATCCTTTACAGGGAAAGTCCGACCCTGATGCTGATAGCGGGTTGGTGTAAGAATAATCTCGGTTATCACCATTTTCTGGATCTAACGGGCTCCGGATGGGATATGGGTTACTCATCTGGATATGTGCGAGAATATGATGCACGAAAACCACCCAGATAGCAAACAGAGACCACATTTTGAATTAAATCCGGAGTATATGTGAGCTATCAGCAAAGGGTTACAACGACGATGATATAAAGCTCAAACGACTATGCAGTGGGTAGATGCATTGGTATTTGATCAGGCCGCGCAATTTCAAAACCAGTCTTTTATTCAAATGGCATAAAAACGGAAAAGACATGACAAGAGGTATGAAAGCCACAGCGAAAGTACATTTTTGATACAGTATTGGTATGGAGCTAGGCCCTAGTTTTCTACTGGTGAGGATCCTGGAAGCTGTTCTCCCCAGCTATTACCAGCTGCCAGTAAAAGGAACATTATATGTAAGGCATCAGTGACTTATAGTATCAAAGATTTAAGAGCAACTTTAAGTTTATATAGACTTTTGATAACCCTTTTCAAATAATAAGATTCTCTATGTTTTATTTCTTTATTCATATTAGAAATAGTATATGTAGTTTAAGGAATACTGTTGATTGAACCTATCATGAATAGTTAATAGATCAGTATAGGATTGATGTTTAAATATAATTAAATATTTAAAAATAGAAAATATAATAGATTTAACATGTTTATGCCATTAAATCTACTCTATACAGAGTCCGGTGGGTCGCCTTGAATACTATGGATCTATTTTATGTAGTATATTTTTAAATTGCATAAATATTGCTGATCTTTTTAAACACTGTGGATGCATTTTAGACGCTATATCCATGAAGGGTGTGAATGCAGCTGCTCTTTTAAAACACTGTGGATTAATTTTAACACTATAACACTATGGAGACAATTAATTAACATTGTAATGTATAGTAATAAAGTGTGCTTAAACACTGTGGAGACCATGCAGGGATTGATCACTAGTGGTTGAATATAGTAATAAAGACTTTTGAACACTGTGGGGATTAATAACTATTATAATAAATAGTAGCAAATGTGCTTAAACACTGTGGGGACCGTGTAGGGATTGATCACCAGTGGTCGCATGTGGTAATAAAAACTTTGAACACTGTGGGGATTAATCACAATTATAACAAATAGCAGCAAAACGTGCTTAAACACTGTGGGGACCGTGCAGGGATTGATCACTAGTGATCACATGTGGTAACGAAGAATCTTTACCAAAGAGAACTATGTGGAGAATATCAACATCATGCCGTACCCGTCCACACACGTTTAAGAGCATATGCATCAAGTCGTTGTTCTACAAGAACTTGTACAAGTTGCCGTTTGTGACCTCGTGTCTGGTGTAGTCGTTCCACTTGTCCGCGTCAAAATTTGTGATCGTCCTTCCGATCTTCCGGTACTCGTTGGGGTGTTACTCGGGCGTGTTCGCGATGATCTCCATGGCCATGAAGTCGTTGAAAATCTCGGCCTTCCGGAACATCATGTACTGCTCTGTAGTCGCGAATCTGAAGCCGCCGCAGACGAAGCCCGACCTGTACCACTGGCTGAACCCGCCAAACTCCCCGTCCGCCTTCCAGAAGAACACGGTGCTGCTCTCCGAGCTCACGTTCATCATGAAGGTCCTCCTGTTGTTGCGGGGATCCGGATTTTCGACTTCGGCTTGGAACGGGGACCTCTGGATGCTCTGCGTCCCGATTCATATGTACGAGCAGCAGTCGCCTTGATCTACGGAGTGCCGTACATCTCGATCAGCACGCGGCCCGGCACGTACTTGGTCTGTTTGACGTGCAGCTTCGTCGTCGAGACCTCGCGTGGCACCGCCTTCACGTCCAGGCCCCTGATCTCGGTCTCCTCCATGATAATGTACGGGATCTTCTGCATCGCCATGTAGGTGCTCTGGCAGATGCACAAGCTCTTCTCGTTGATCATCATGTCGAACATGGCGTTCAAAATCTCGGTGGCGGTGATCACCGTCTTGAGGTCCGACGGGTGCTCGTTCACGCACTGCCAGCAGTTGCCGCACCACGTGTTGATCGGGATGTAGTACGTGATGTCCTCGTTCTTCCTCTCCATCGTATCGGTATGAATGTTCTCCGGCACGTTCATGAGCATGAAAGAGTCCCCGCAGCCCAAGCAGGTCACCACCGCGTTCACCCGGCCGGTCTCCATGGTCCCGAACTACATCTGCGAGATGGAGCAGCCGGGCAGGTTCATACACACCCTGTCAACGGTCCTCATGTTCATCAACGTGAGCATGAGGTTGGGGTCGAGCCTCGACTTGCAGTCCGTGCAGATAATGAAGATGAAGAAGTCCAGGCTCTGCACGTGAGTAAGTCCTACCATGGGCACAACGATCGGCCACAGGAAGCACGGGTTCGCGTTCTTGAACGACTTCGTGACGATGCCCATGCAGGTACTGCAGAACACGGTCACGTTCCTGCGGCCTACAAGAGCTTCAACGGTGGACGAGATCCTGTTCTTGTAGTCGTCCACCTCCGTGGTCTCGTCCGTGTCTGACTCCGAGTGGTTTATGCTGACCACAAAGCTGTACGTGGGGATGGTGATGTTGATGAATAAGCTGTTGTTGTTGATGTCGCTGTTGCGGTGCCATGTGAACAGGAGTACAACAGGCTGTGGTGACCTGCATGTCCTGGGAGATGTCCGTGTGCACGTACCCCTTCGACTTGATCGCCTTGACCGTGCACCTGTGGCAGCTCGTGATCCTGAGTCGATAGGTACTCGAGTACATGTTCGGGTCCAAGCTCGAGGTGTTGTACCTGATGAAGACCGCATCCGAGCACATCACGCAGATCACGAAGCTGTTGCTAACTCGCTCTGCAATTGGACTAGGTTCTTGGGTGTATTTTAAACACTTTAAAGATCCTATATATATTGACAATAAGCATAATTGGAAGAATTTTAGACACTGTTAATATTATGTATATCTACAGTTGTGTAGATACGAATGATCTATTTTTAACAATATTGCATAAATCTGTGGATAATAGCACGTGACTTAACTAGGATTTCATATCCTACTTGGTTGGAAGTCCACATCACACTTATGTCCATAAGGTTAGAGCTACGAATAATCTAGACCAGTTCTAGCTCTATATCCGGTTGGATATTATTGAGTTCGGCGTCTTCGCCAATCTCATTCCGATCCATAATCGACCAGCTATCCTGCTGGAACCCACACTCCAGCCCTTCCGAATTGCTCAACAACGGTGTTAATTCATCGGCGCAGTTGAGCTCCCCAAAAAATGTCAAGAAGAAAACTGTTAGATCTGACCATTTAGACCAGATCCCGCCCATGTAATGACTGTAGAAGGACAAGAAAGTCTCTTTGAACGACATTCGGGAAGATAGCTTCGGAAGGTTTTCTGCAATTTCCTTGTATGCTTCAATCATATCATGATGTTGAGAATGGAAGCTGCCGTCGAAGTATACATCGAAAATGAGATCGGGATCTCTCTCTGCTCGTATACTAACCCGTCGGGTGTAGCTCTCGCTGATACCTTGTGGTAGCCATTGCCGCTGGATTTCGACGTCTTTCGGATATACACCGTGGGAATACTTTCTCACCTCTCTTTGCAAATCCTGAGTAGAGATATGGGAAAGGGTCATTACGAAATGCAATCAACAGACCAGTAAATCTAGATTGGGCCGATGGGGTACGGGGTCGAATAAAACAAGCAATGAAGCGCTCTTCCAATTAGCCCAATATTTTCCAGATTATGACAATATGGATTGAAATCTGGAGAAATATTCTGCTCTTATTGCATAAGCTATTCTAGCATAGCCGATCTTACGTATTTAATACCCTTTTGAAAATTGATTAAGTTACTGAAAAAGACCCACTGATAAACCTAAGCTTTCGAGCTCTAATGACCTCCGCCCCGTGGGGAAAGTTTCCATCACATTGACCTTCTGATTCACCGGATGTCGTTCGGCGATCTCAGCACATATAATGTGGAGCTGAAGACCTGCCATTCTTCGCTACGAGATCATAATTCATGCAGAGTCTCCACAGTGTTTAAAATCATTGTTAGCTCGCGATGCAATATTAAATGATCCCTGGCAGAGTTCCTACTACACGATATCAATTTAAAATGTTTACTATTAGCTTTATCTTAGTCTCTACACAGTCTCTACAAGTGTTTAAAATGTTCATTATCAGCTTACTCTAATCCCTGCACAGTCTCCACAGTGTTTAAAATGTTCATTACTAGCTTTATCTTAGTCTCTATACAGTCTCCACAGTGTTTAAATTAGTCATTATTAGCTTGTTCTAATCTTTGTATAGTCTCTATAGTGTTTAAAATATTCATTACTAGCTTATTCTAATCCATGCATAGTCTCTATAGTGTTTAAAATGTTCATTACTTCGGCTGCCAAGAAATCGATAGAATCCGTTGGCACTGGCGAGACAAGGGGGTCAATGGTGATGCGTGACCTCTGAGGTAAAGATGGTCTCATAGCCATAAGATCTCCTCATTTCCATAGATATCTGACTCTGAAAATTGCATTCTTGGCGTCGAGGAAGTTTTCGTCGATTTTTGGGCCATCAAACGGCACTGCTTGAGACACGACTGGGCATGGCGTAATTTTTTTCTTGAGTTCGGAGATCTACAGGATATTGGCCTAGAAATATGGCAAATCTCTTTTCACCAAGCGCTGAGTTATACTATAAATAAGATTGTTAAGGTTTAATGTCTAACTGAGAGGCTTAGAGTTGCAAACTGTGTGAAGCCGCACTTGCAAGCTGCTGGGGTGTAATTTACAATCTTGGCAGCAATAGCTCAAAAGATGTCCGTGGAGATACCCCAGGAAGCGTCGTGGAATAACTTTCTCCTTTTCGATTGCCGTACTTCAGAACGCTCCATTTGGCAACCAGGAGCATAAATGGTCCCCAGAAAATCTTGGATTTTCTGCTCATCGATCCCACCTGACCGCAAAACATCAAGTGTATCTTCAAAACGCATACGTGGTACCTCGAAAGCCGTCCTTGATTCGTTATCCCTGAATTTAAAGTCGACTTTCGCTTCCTTAATCAAGAATTTCATAACCGTTTTCCGTCCATTTGCGTAATGAAGAGGAGTCCAATCGAGATCTGAGACAGCCGTGATGTCGGCACTGTTTTTGAGCAGCAGGTCTATCATGGCTGTATCAGCCTGTGCAGCAGCAACGTGTAGCACCGTGTCGCCATTACTGTCTTTCGCGTTTGTATCGCTTCCAAGTTTCAATAAAGCCTTAACAAGTTTTCGACTTTTCCTTTCTACTGCGTCGTATAGTGGTGTTTGCCCCACTATATTCCGAGCATTGGGATCTGCTCTGTAATCAACAAGCAATATCATGATCTCTGGGTTCGGACGAATTTTCCATGAAACAGCATGGTGTAGTACTGTGTCTCCACGCTCATCAGTTAGGGTAGCATCGGCTCCTTGTTCAAGAAGAAGACGTGTTGTCTCAAAGGTTAATCCGGCGGCCAGCATGAGTGCCGATCGCTTGTGACAATCAAGAGAATTGATATTCGCACCAGCGCCTAATAAAATCTTGACACAAGTTATATTGGACAGCAAGGTGAAGAGCTGAATTCCCATCGCAGTCTTTTGCATCAATTTCTGGCTTGAAATTTAACAGTGTCTCCATGGTCTTATTTTTGCCATTTGCCGCCGCCAAGTAGAGAGGTGTCAGATTCCAACTGTCTGTTTTTCTGACGGATTGCAGATCTTGGTCAATGACCATCTGTACAATCTCTGTACATCCATTCTGGGTAGCTATATGGATTAGAGAACGACGGCCCTCTATCTGTTGCTGTTCAGTGACACGCGTGTGGACGAGATCACATAACAGTGACCGATAGTGAGGATGCTTGTTCCCCAATTCAATAGGAAGGCGGTTTAGCGACGGTATTTCTTTGATCTCCATGCTGAAATCATAGAAAGAGAAACTGCTCGCGTGTCCTATATATTTGGTATATAGATTTTTAAAGGTGAGAGACTTTTATGGGTACATATGCCCCTTAAATGCAAAGTAGATTTTCTCACATTAGCTTCTGTTGCCTTATCCAATTGATATGTATATTTCTAAGTTAAATGATAGTTCTTACAAGAAGATGAAACATTTCAGCTCTAAAAGGCCAATTAAACCTTGCGCCACAATATAAGCGCCTCCTGTGCTCTCATTACTTAAGCATGGTGGTAGTGTAACACATATAGACATAGCCACTCTATTTATTAATATTATTTAAAAAGTGTATAAAGTGGGACAGTAGTCTTTGCTGTGCACTCATACTGTGACTTGGGATAAATAAGATGGAGAAAGCTATCTCTACAAACGTGTCTCTTGGGTTTGCACATTCAGCCTGACAAAATCAATCATTTTGCGTTGATGAAAAGGTGGAGCGCCGGTAACTAAACGTCTTTCTCATCACAGAATAATATTTTTCTATTGGCTATGAGTGATTTTTCTAACCGTTCAAATGAGGAATAATCTGAGATTGTCAAGCTGATTGTGCAAAACACTGGATAACCTGTTTGTTTAAAGATGTGTTTAAAACTAGAGAGTGCTGGTTGAGACACAATGCAATAGCACTTTTAATAACTATATTCAAAGTGAAATAACTATTCAACTAATGCTATTATATGATAATACATAGTTTTCAGGATCCATAGAGAAAGCCCACGGTGTTTAAATAATAAATTATACATTATGCGTATACGTATGTACATACACACACACACACACACACAATTTAGTAACGCCCGGCGGCTAAGCCGAAAGGCCAACTATCACTAGTCTACTTGTAAATTTCCTATATATGCCGTGTCTCCTTAGAGCCCATGCAAAGGACATATAATCTACCTTGGCAGTGGGATAAGCAAATATTCATTATCTGCTTGTTGGTTGTTAATACAATATAAACATCTTTATTTATACTGGTGGAATCAACTATATATTTCAGCAAACTAGAAATGTAATCTTTAAACACTGTGGAGACTGTACAGGGATTAAGATAAAGCAAGTATTGAAGATTTTGAACACTATGGAGCTCTTGCAGGGATTAGAGTAAGCTAGTAGTGAACTTTTTAAACACTGTGGAGACAGTGTAGGGACTAAGATAAAGTGTCGGAATATTTGGCACTAAGCACATTGGGAAAGGATTAGAAACACCCAAAATTTACGATCAATAGCACCAAAACGCCATGCCGAAAATCGACATTACTCAATTTTCAATACCTTACCCCTGATGACAAACATTAGTGTAAATTCGCATATAAATACGTCTAGATAGATGAGTTCTTTGCACCTCACGCTTGTATCTCAATCCAATCGAATTTGCCACTAAACTTAATTTGTTCTAACGCGTAAAAAGCCCGACATAAAGCTAGTAGTGAATATTTTGAACACTGTGGCTTGCAGGGATTAGAGCAAGCTAGTAATGAAGATTTTAAATACTATGGAGACTATATGTACAAGTGTTCAGAAGTTGCCAGTTCTTTTGTCTAGAAGGTACACGGCTTAATTACAAAGACTTTAAATGATAATACAGAAGCACTTTGGGATTGGCAGTATCCCGCTTCCAAAAAATAGATCCATAGTGTCTGCATAATTGTGAAAATGCATAATATTAATGGCATTTGAAAATTATCGCTAGCTTGTTTATTGTCAGGATATAGTATCTTTAAAGTGCTTAAAATATAGAGAAGAAATTCGTCTAATGGTGGGGCAAGCAAATAGCAAATTTTTAAACACTCTAGGGATCTTATAGGAACTCCATGAAGTTAGTAAATACTGTGACGTGAAATGTTACCCCCTATTATAATGTTGATTAATCCCTGCACGGTCTCCACAGTGTTTAAATATTCTTTGTTACCATGCCTCCACAGTGTTCAAAAGTTGTTACCATGTGTTATAAAGGGTGTCCTCATTATTTTAAGTTCATTTTTACCACGCATTACCAATGTTGACTAATCCCTGCATGGTTGCATGGTCTCCATAGTGTTTAAAGTACAATGTTACCACGTATTATAATGTTGATTAATCCCTACATGGTCTCTACAGTGTGTAACCATTCTTTGTTACCATGCTGCCATAGTTCAAAAGTTTACTGTTACTATATGTTACATAGGGTCTTTACATCACTATTACGCTTTATGGTATTAAATAATCGGGTGCTTATCTCGCTTATTTTTTAATATTATGAAGACTTGGATATTTATTGTCTATGTTATATCTTTAAAAATGTGGGGCTATGTAGCAGCTAGCGCCCTAAACACAGTTTGGACCCCTGTAGGGATTAACTAGTTAGCTTTACATGCGGTAATAAAGAGCTTTTAAACAATGTCAAGAGTGTATATGGAGAAATAAAATAAAGAGAGACATAAGCAACACGCGACCTCCGAACGCCTTTGTCCCAATATAATTAACAGCAGCAAGGCTAAGCGGGTCGCCACTCGCAGCCTGCCGACTTCCTTGCTTGTTTCTTATTTAGGATATTTCGTATATATAGACGCGATAAACCATCGTTACGTGAATGCTGATGGTTGCAATTTCCGGGTCCAAATTTCCTCTTCGTCACTCTCGTCATCAGGTACATCGATAGCCTGCTTCGCAAGAGTCTGAAGCTCGTTATAACCGACAACATCGGTGAATGTTCGGTCGTCATGAATTTTCTGGATCCTGGGAAATCGCAGAGCAAGGTAACTCGCATTTGGCGGCTTGTCGAATCCTGCACCGATCACCTCGACGATAAATGGATGCCTAAATATCTCTGGCCCCTCAGATCGTTGGAGTTCGCCCATGTTGACGTCCATCTGAGGTAGGGAGGTGGTAAACGTCTCAAGCTCAAGATAACCTCGACGGTTAAGAAAGACCAAGTTGTGTTTTGAGATGCCATGCCTGTCCACTATGTCAATGGAGCGGAACTTCGGTTTCGCTTTAAATCCATAGACTTCCTCCTTATTGTCTAGACAGGCGATATAGAAGGATGTCCACCGTAGGGACCCGATCCCAAGTGCCTGCTCATCCGTAGCATCTCGCCAGCCACCAACCACGGCAAAGTCAATCGAATCGCCGAGACCAGGAATATAGTCTTTCTTCAACTTGATGGGCCTAAAAGTCCTGTACAATGGGAGGTAAGAGTCATAACAACCCTTCAGTACGAGACCCTCCCATCGCTGTGTGATCGCTCGTGCAAGTATTTGCTGGAGTCTTTTCTCCGCCGTTAGGAATGAAAAGTCTATTCGGTGGCGATTTCCGATATCAGCTCGTCCAGCGATGCAGTGAACCAGGGACTGGAGTCTTTGGCGTCGCTGTATGTCCGGTTCATACATACAGACTATGTGATCGAGGAGTAGAATATCGTAAAACATGATCATCAGATGTTCATCGTCCCGGGCTGGTAGATCTCTGGCCGTACCAAGGAAATATCCTCCTCGTGTCACATGGTTGCGAATCCGGTGGAATGGTGCAATCTTCTGGTCAGTATCATTCCAAACCAGCAATTCTCCTTCCACAATACACCGTTCCTTGAATGAACAATCTGCGGAATCGAGTTTGAGGCTCTGTCGCAGCGCTTTATGGAGGCCTATTCGGTCGTCCGTTGAATCCCTTCCACTCTTCGAGAAAATTTTGATACAATCTTGTCCCCTGCTCCGGTCAATATGGACTTGGCAATATTCACCGTCATATTTGCGCTCAATGCTTAACAGCCTTGAACCCGCTAATTTACAACAATGACTGATGCTTCTTGCTTTTTGATATTCCGGACGCTCAACCATGATTCCAGCCTCGGGCAGAAGATTAGAAATCTTAGACTGTCGGAGTTGGTGGGTATCTCTTTTTGAGGGTTGGACCGGCAATGACCGGATCATAGGTATACTCAAAACCTTGACTGCCGCTTCAAGAGATTTTTGCACTCTGAGAATATCAGGCAACAGAAAGTGGAACTGGAGTATCGCCTGTCTTTCTGGAATGGGATTATAATTCTTCAATATCATCCGAACCATCCACTTTGCCTCGGAACTATGCAGTCGCCGAAAGATACTTACAAGCCTTTGATATTTCTGAGCTGACCGTGTTTCCTTACCATTGATGCTCGCGCTTAAATGAGCGGAGGAAAAGGATGAATACCCTGCAATTTGGTCTAGGGTCTGGTCTATCTCTTCTAGAGTAACACTTGGACCGGACCTGGGAGCTGCATCAGTTGCTATCATGATGTTTTCGACGCAGGATGCAAAATCGGGGCCTTCCGCTGTCTTCCACGCTTGTAAGTCCTGGAATCTAGTATTTCCAAGACATTGAGCTTCTTGGATGAGCTTCGCAAGTCTCCTTTCACGCAGATCGAATACCCGATCTACTCTGCGTTCTGGCAAAAGGCATGATAGAAAGCTAACTGCTTCTGAGCCTATTTGTGGAATCATTTCCCTATTCCTCTTAAACCAGTCCGTGGTGATTTCATTGTTGATATTAATTGATTCTAGATGCGCAGAAGTTTTTCTCTCTCGGGCTTGATCAAGAGCATTGAAAAGGACACACAGTTCACTGAATGGGAAAGGCATGTTGATCGAAGCAATTGAACTGCCCAAAGAGAACCCTGGCTTGTTCAGCAAACACTGTTCACAGTTTTTCAATCGAAAACGGTCTCTACTTCTTCAATTACAGAGTTCGAGAGGATTTGTATATATTTCCCGACTGGTTCTTCATTATTAGTGGCCTATATTATTTAAATGTAATTTGGCTTAGCCCTTAAGTCATGTTGCACCATATTTACGGCTGAGTAGACCCAAAATCGTTCCAAGGCCAGTACAATGTGTGATCGCCGCATCAGTATAACTATGCTTGCTCTGCCAGCATGACTGCCAGCCAAGAGAAACAGTTTCTACAGCAATAAGGTACCGTATTGCGTCCATAATGTTATGCTTTTCAAGATCAGTGTAATCCCCAGGCGCCAAACCCATCGTACCGGATTCAGAACGATGCAACAGTGGGGCTATTCTAGCTAAAGTGTATATTCTACTTCAGCATCTTAATAAAGGCTGAAGCTCTTCAGGAAGCCAAAGTCCTCTACATTCCTTTTCTAATGTCTATTAAGATACACTATCCTTTTAAAGCAAAATAGTTTACATCACCTTAAAAGCCACTAATATACGATAATTATAAGCTGAGAATGCACATGATTCCTTCAAGAAGAGATATCAAACAGTATAAGCATAGAAAAATGTAGGATTTATACTGGAAAGTCAGAAACAATAATCAGAAACGAAGTTTGCATCTGCTGTAACCGCGTTCGCACTTCTACTCGCCTCTCTCAAGGTGTGGCAGCGCCCCTCAAGAAGTGCGATCGGCGAATGACCGGCTCGATTTGTGGAGGTATGGTAACAAGGAATGGTTAAGCACTGTGGAGACCATGCAGGGGCGGGATAAATACTGCCAATCCCTTATAGATCCAGTTTACACAGCATACCTATAAAGGACATAAGTATTTTTATAACACTGTAGGTTTCTCTTATATCCATTAAATAATCACAAAGTGCTTCTGTATTATCATTTAAAGTCTTTGTAATTAAGTTATGCACCTTCTAGATATAAGAACTGGCAACCCCTGTCACTTGCTCTAACCTCTGTATAGTCTGTATAGTGTTTAAAATGTTTATTACTAGCTTGTTTTAATCCCTGCAAGGTCTCCACAGTGTTTAAAATGTTCATTATTAGCTTACTCTAATCCCTGCACAGGCTCCACAGTGTTTGAAATGTTCATTATTAGCTTACACTAATCCCTGCACAGGCTCCATAGTGTTTAAAATGTTCATTATTAGCTTACTCTAATCCCTGCACAGGCTCCACAGTGTTTAAAATGTTCATTATTAGCTTACTCTAATCCCTGCACAGGCTCCATAGTGTTTAAAATGTTCATTACTAGCTTGTTTTAATCCCTGCACAGCCTCCATAGTGTTTAAAATGTTCATTATTAGCTTACTCTAATCCCTGCACAGGCTCCACAGTGTTTGAAATGTTCATTATTAGCTTACACTAATCCCTGCACAGGCTCCATAGTGTTTAAAATGTTCATTATTAGCTTACTCTAATCCCTGCACGGTCTCTATAGTGTTTGAAACGTTCATTACTAGCTTGCTCTAATCCTTGCACAGTCTCTATAATGTTTAAAATGGTCATCACTAGCTTTTGGTAGTATTCTATATGCTACAGAAGATCACGCGGAGATTGGAAGCAGATGATTAATCAAGCATTTTTTCACCAATCGTTACGATGGTCTTGTCGAGAAAGTTCGCAAGGGCGAGAGGCGCTTCTTTCCAAACGACAGACCTCATGTGTGGCATGCACTAGAAGACCTTGCAGAACTCAAAAAGCAGTGGCTTTCATACCTTACAATTTCTAACAGGCATAGTGCTATCATGATGTGATTAATGTGCTTTAGTGGATACTTGCAAATATATACATAATCAGAAGAATTCAGATACTTGACTGTAGCAATTGAATTAATCAAGATATAGAACAGAGCAATATAGGAGTGTCTTGACATTGTGTAGGGTTAATAGGAAAGTGGGAAAAGATACAGTAAGAAAAGTTTCGATTCTGTCATTCACAGTCCTTGTAAGGGCAAGCGGAGTGGCCGAAGCGGGATTGAATGGATATCGCCTGTATGACGCTTGAAATCAGATACACTAGAAGGCTTGAACACAACTTCACTTAGGAAACACAATCCACAAGCCCGGTTACCAGACTCAAAAGCCGCGAGTTCTTTACGGTGACGGTTCTCGACATGGTCCCAAAGTTTGTTCGTCTTCGATTTTTTCTTTGCCCGCTGACCAGGAGGGAGACCGGGGTTTGATAAACAAAATGGACATTGCAGCGGATGGAATTTCAGCGGGATGTTGTCTGGTTGCATTGCCAGAGATAGAGGTGGAGGAGGAGAAGGAGGAGGCTGAGACATGGTGACCATTTGCCTTCCTCGGCGAGGTGCTTCCTGGCGCTTTTGCCAACGGACCATGAGACGAATGAACTTCAATCGACGACTATGAATCTCATCCTCTGTCTGCACAGATATGGAATAACAAAGTAAACGAACACTCTCTTCCCGCTCGGGGATGGTATATCGGATAGAGGTCAGGGATTGGCTTTCTCTTTGCTGGCTAGTCGAATCTATTTTGTACTGCTGGTTAAAAGTTTCGGTGTCTGTATTTCGGAAGTACCTCATCCGATTCTTGTTGAGCTCCTTCTCTCGCAGGCCAGTAATAGTCCGGTTTAACTCTGCATCTGCCTCCTTCTTTTGTAGACTGAGTTCAGTTCCAGTGGCTTTAGCTTCCTTTACAGTGTTTCCCTGTTGATAGATCTCCTCTGTCAATTGCTGGCAGATTGCACGTAGCCTCTGAACCTCGGGATGGTTTTGAATTTTGCTAGACTGCTCGTCCGTCAGACGAATCGGGGCCGTCCTGTCCGCCAACAGGGTGGCGCTTCGCATCTCTCTCTGCACCACCTCGTCCGAAGCTCGTTGGTGAAATGCAGCTGCTGTATCACAGGAGATTATTTCATTCAAATAATACATGACGGCGTTCGATTCGTGATCCGCCACTTGATCCCGCACTTCTGGTGGAGCGTTTTCTGGTCGAGTCAGTTAACCGCGATATTATGACACAGAGGATTATTAATTACCATTGATTGCGTTGATACCACCTCGGCGTACCCATTTCTGGGTCAGGCCTGTTTTCTCACCAGTGATCAGTCCAATTCTTTTAAGATAACGAGCAAAAGTGCTTCTCTTGAGGGGTGTTTTCTCTGACGTTCGGTAACCATCTTCGGTCCGCTCCGGCTCCCGGAAGACGGGGATATCTAATTTTTCTCTCTTGATCTTAAGTTGGAGAGCCTTCCGATGGGATGGAATTGGTACTGTATAGATATCCGCTTCATCCCTAATGTCGGCCTTAAAAATATCGTCATCCAGACCCAACGCGAAAAGCTGCGATAGCAGATCGAAGAGGAGGTTGTCTTCATGTTGTATGACAAATCTCTTTCTGCGTAGGGGTTAGTGATATTGAATACTTCACCGTAGTGTCCGCCCACTTACACGCGGGCCTTTTTCCCCTTTGTATGAATAAGCGTCACAATGGCGGCCAGCACGTGGCGAGCACCCCGCTTCGGGTTCCGTAGAATATAAAACTCAACATGTCTCCAAAGAACAGCCTCAATTGCTACCGCTTGACCACTGAGGTAGCCATCATCTGTCACAACGGAGCTGTCTGATGCATAGCCACTATCCAGTGCGTGGTCTGGTTCCGCGTTACTGTTCCTTGTAGGGTAACCGGAATCGCTCGAGGCCCCCCCCCGGCTGAGTCTACCGGCAGCGTGCCGTCCGGCAAAGGATTTACAGAGTGCTTGGTGTCAAACAGTGAAACCGCCCGGCAGGCCGTGACGCTTGATAGATTTAATGCAACTGTGACATAGAGTCGCTGCTTCTCATCCGGAAATACTGACGTACAATGAACGAGGTGGGCCACCTGAAATTCAAGGAGGTCAATCGAGCTTGCTGTGGGTTTGGGTAGTGCATGCCTCCGCAAGCCCATCATCCTGCTGGTGTAATTGTAGTACTGCTCTTCTATTATCAGGTAGTGTTCGAAAGGAGGACAAGGGCAGATAGCCTACGTTCACGCATTCTCTCTCCATAGATGCCTCCATGTCCTTTTCGTGCTTTAGATAGTGTAATCTCTTCAGAGTTCTCCAGTAGGTGCCGAGAGCGTGGTGGGATTTAATTGAGCCCTGAAAATTCTCTCTGATCCAATCAAACCAGGTCTTGACATCTCCAATGGTCAGGTGCTGCAGAAAGTCGTTAACATCATGGATTGAATACTCTTCACAGAACCTGGAATAATCAGTATGAGAGGTTGCCTAGCCACCCGGAGTCTGTCAAGGAGCAATACCTCGTTAACTTGCCACGCACCGAAGCTGCCTGGATATTGGTGTGCCGGCTGAATAACGGCTGCGTCCGTTGCTTTTCATGTTCTCTTCGACGCTGAAGATATAACAGATAGTTCTTTCCACCGTGCTCTGTCTTCCGCTGTGCGGTTTTCTTTCGAGCGAGACCTAGGAAAGGCATCGTGCGTGTAATATTTGGCAGGCAGGGAACTGCTGGGAATAGAGATACAGAGAAGACATTGAACCAGGGAGGAACTCATTCCGGATTTTATAGTTTCGTCAGGATATGAGAGGTAGTAATGCCATATAAACAAAAGCCCCCTAGGTGTTCACCCGTCTGAACCACGATGTATGGGATAGGGGAAAAGGACGGTACAACACCGATACCAAACGTTTCAGTGGTAATTTTAAACTATTAAAGCAGCACGAACAAGTTGACTATCTAGGATTAGTTCCTGGGGCCAGAGATGCTGGAAGTGGCCGCTGGGGACGCCGGATCGGGCGGCGCGGGCCCCTAAAGGAGGATTCATAATATAATTTATAATAAATAATTCAATAAATATAATTATAAAATAAGTATCATATTTTATAAATCTTAAATAATATCTAAGAATAATATAATCTAATATATTAAGAAAAGGACTATTAGAAATTATAATAATATAAATAAAGAATCTCTAAATATTCTATCAAATAATCTTATAAAATATTGAATAGATAAAACAAAGAATAAAAACCTATTATAATAAAAAATATAAGAATGTGTTAATCTTTAAAAAGAAAAGAAAGTTTATTTTTTATAATAAATTATAAAATAGAAGAATTTTAATATTCTAAATAAAAGATTAAATAATAAACTCAATATAATTAAATATAGATCTTTTAAAATTAAAAAAAAATTTACTAATAATAATTATAAACTTTAGTTATTAATAAAGATAAAAATATATCTAATATTTCATATCTTATTATTAGAATTTATAGAGAACCTAAAGAATAATAAAAATAAAATAGATAATAATAAATTTAAAATTAACTTTATCAGAAAAAGGAAGTTAGAATAAAGAAGAATCTTTTATTTGATTAAATAGATAGAATATAGATCTAAATATAACTTATAGAAATCAGTTAAGCATTTAAACTGTCTAGAAAAATTCAAGTCTTTTATTATTAAAGAATTTAAAAAGTAAGAGGTTAAGAAAATTATTTTTAAATAATTTAAAATAAGTTTAAAAGACAATAATAACTATTTTATTAATTTATTAATTAATCAATTTTCTTTACTTTTTCTCTTATCTTTTTTCTTTTATTTCTTTTTGTTCTTCCTTCTCTAATCTTTCTAGTTTAATAATATTCTATATATCTTTTACTATAAAATTATTAATATATTTCTAAAAAAGATCATCTTACAGTTCTAAATAATGAAATTTCTTAAAAGCCTTTTTCTTCTAAATATAAATTTAATTTTAAATAATTATAAGCTGCCATTATTCTTTATTAGAAAAAAAGTTTTTAATTTAATATATTTTTAATTTAAACGAGTATATTCATTATAATAAAAAAATCTTTTAATTATTATATAAGATTTATTTAAATTTGTATAATAAATATAGAGAATAATCATCTTAAAATCCTTATCTTTTAAATGATTAATAAGCTTTGATTTTTAGATATAAAAAGGCTTTTTTAAAGATATAATTAAACCATCATTATAAGAATAAGAATTTATAAAATAAAGATATTTATTTAAAAACATAAGCATAACTAACTATTTATTATGCTATTAGGACGTCAACCTTTAAAAAGAGAATTATCATAAAAATTAATAAATCATAATCAATAAATATTATAATGGATGCTATTATATAAGCATTTAATAAAATTAGAATGATAATAATCATGATTATTATATAGTACAATTAGATATTATAGAAATAAAACTAAAAAATAATTACACTTTTCATCTAGCTACAACGATTAGTATAATAATCATCAGAATTATAAATTAATGTCTAATTTTAGCATATACCAAACACATGACTTAATAAAGCAAAGTTTTAATATATAGAAATATAGCTTCTATATAATAAAGTAATAATTTTAGATATTAAAGCATAACTTCAATATCTTTTAGTATATATAGACACTCATTTACTATTATATATTTAATTAATTATCTTTTATCTTTATATCAAATAGCATACTACTATTTAATATTCAATAATCTTCTTACTATTACTATTATCCTTAATAGATAGTCCTCCAATATTAATCTTATATTACTCTTTTATCTTATATTAGCAGAATATCCTCTAAGATCTCCGATCTTGAGACGAGTTGTTGACAACTTTTGACAGTTCGGTTCTGGTCCTGAGTTTCTGAACCAAACCCAAAAGTGGATCGGTTCGGTTTGGTCCCTAATATTGGAACCAGAACTGAAAATCAAACGGTTCTGACTCTCTAAACCGAAACCGAACCACGTTAAAGAATAATTACTAATTATGGTTAGATCGGTTCAAGTCTGGTCTGGTTTTCATTCAGATAACCGAACCGTATCAAAGAATTTTTAACTATAGTTAGATTTTATCCTTAAAAATATATTAAAATCTTTTTAAATTTTAGTGAATTAGATAGATAAATAATATAAAAATTATAATTAATTATTTAAATTATAATTTTTTATCCAATTGTTGAAATATACTGAAAAAATAGGTTAGTAATGGTGAATACTATAGAACGGGTATAGAAATATATATATATATTTTCTCTAATAGATAGGTTGACCATTGGCTATAGCCGTACAACATAATCCAAAAATATAAATAAAAAGTAGAAAAGGTATTATTGCCATCCAGATAATTCTTAGATTATAATCTAAATATTAAGAATTTATTATAATATTTATAAAAATATCCAAAACAAAGTCCTAATTCAAAAAATATGAATTTAATTCATGAAAAGCTGCTTCGGAAATGATTATATAATCAATAATAATTATAAAGGATTAGGATTAAACCTAAATATATTAGTATTATTATAGAAATCCACTAGTATTCAGATATTCAGATAAAACCAAACCGAAAACCTAAACCGAACCAGACCCAAATGGGCCCTAAAAAACCATATGGTCCTAGACTTGGTGAACCGAACCGCTTCGGTTCGCTGTATATAGGACCAGAACCAGACCATTCGGGTTTCAGATCGGTTTTGGTTCGGTCCGAACCGAACCAAATGACTGCCTACATATGACTCAATAAAATAAACATTTTTAGATATAGAATTATTTATCTTTATATAGCAAAGTAAGTAATTCTAAATATTAAAGTATAGATTTTAATATCCTTGATATATATAGACTCTCATTCATTATTATATATTTAGTTGATTATATTTTATCTTTATAACAAATAATATATTATTATTTAATACCTTAATGACTTACTCTTTTATTATTTATTATCTACAGCTCTTCTCTACTTTGTTAGCAAAATATCCTGAGTGACCTTCGATCTCAGACGAATCGTTGATTATGTTTTGACAGCACCACACCAATATTTATTAGTAAAATCAAATAGCAGCACTAATACCGCGATTTTGCATTGATGTTAGCCGGGTAACGTCGTAAAACTTGATTATATAAATAAATAGAATATAAATAGATTAATTGAGAAGCTTATATTTATAAATCTGAACTTTTTTTGTTTGTTTAGTTCTTCAGAGTTCGTCTTGTTAATGAATAGACTCCTGTTTTCGATCTCTCGCCTTGGAACTGTGACATCTGCAACCTAACTAATACTGTAATACCGTAGAATAGTCTTCTCTAGAATGCTTAACCACGGTTAATAAATATCCCTATATCCTACATTTAGAATGAGTGCATGACTTAAGCAGTGGAAACCATTGAAGAAGATAATTAAAAAGTGCTCTGACTTTGACCTACACAATTAATGTTATAAACACTTGTTTGTTCTCAATAGACTCAAATATGCACGGCTCCAAGAATTCTCCCCTCAAAAGCCTAATATGGACAAGATGTACACTGATCAGCGTCTTACGTGGTCTTGAACATGAAACATATTTTCTTCGACTTGTGCCTGAACTATAGTCATCATGCATTTATCCTCTCGGTGAAAAACAGGGGAGGGAAAGAAGTCGGGGTACCAGGGCCAGAATCAAACAGCCCTGAGAAAAAATCAAGCATTACTCCATCGTCCACCAAACCCGGCACACCAGTGCCAAACGCACCCTCGTCACCAACCGTCGTAATATCCGTGATGGGCTGTAGGGGCGCTTGTGTTGCGGTGGCTAGATGCGAGAAACTTCTCCAGTCCATAATCCCGGGTAGATTCTCACTGCGAGAGGACGATGTTAGTCGTATCGGAGGCGAGATAAGAAAGTTTCCAGTGGATGTAGGTTTATTGTCAGGACTATTCCAGTTACCATGAGCGGTGTTATGCTCAATACTTGAACCCACTGCGCCTGCTTGGCTATCAGATACTTTTGTCGTTACTTTACTTTCGTTAGGGGATGGCTGAACAGCGACATTCTGCGCTTCGAGCCCATATTCTTCTTCCCTTCGCGGCAAAGGCAGTGTCGATTCAACGCAAGGTATCCCTGCTTTTAATAGTCCTGGGAGGAGAATGTCCAAAGATCGGTCAGCTTCGGCATATATCTCCCGAAGGTCTTCGAGGAGTCTGACGCATATGCCAACTTCCTTCCGTAGCCGTTCAACGGCCGCGCTGTGGCCAAATTGTATATCCATTAAGTGAACGGTGATGGCGGTAGTTAGAAGGGTTATACTGATCTATTAGCCATAGAACAAGGGGAAAACCCTCAACAGTGAAAAGAGAAAGAGGGATTGGCTACCTGTAGGGTGGCATATATTCACAGAACTGCTGTTGCAGTATAGTCTTGGCTAGCACTGTCGTCTGAGTTGCGATGTGGTGTAACCGGTCCTTCGAGAGTGTTCGGATACTGATATTTATGTGTCTTGCGAGCGCCACCTCTGACTTTGAAGGGAGGACTAGAGGTCGATGCAAGATGCTCAAACCAATAAGGTACGTCATATGTAGTAGGGTCTGCTGAAGCTGCAAGCTAGAATCGCCAGCAGTGGACTCGTTCAGTTTTGCTTCTTCACTTAAATCATTGACCCACTTTGTGAAATCCGTGTCGTACATGCGGATCTTTCGGGCAAGTAAATCGCTGATTGCCGCCTCAGTGGAACCGTAACTGAAAGCTGGGTCAGAGGAAATCAGAGCTGTGACGGAGGCGTGCATTTCAAGAACACGATTGATATGGATACAGAGCTTTGTCTGATCGATGTAGATAATGGCTGATGTGCGGAGAGCCTCATCCGAATCTCGGGATAGGTCGAAGTCATCGAGAGTCAGCAGCGGAATGTCACTTTCTTCGGTCTTGGTTTTTGACGGGCTCATCAACTGCTCAGCAATGAGCGTATCTCGCACGAAACAACTCCACCATATCTTCCGGAGTAGCTTGGTTCGTTTGGTTGACGGCGCTGAGATCCGAATCAAGCGTGAAAAATCCATGCTTTGAAGGAATGGCGTGGAGAAACCTGCGATGAACCATAGCTCTCGCTGATTATCAGTCTCTTTGAATCGATATGACATGAGTAAGACTGCTTGGAGTAATGTGATAGGGTCTTGCTCTATATGAAGGTCATAGAGTAGTTTTGTCTTCCGAAACAGTGCCCTGCGAGCTGCTGAACGCGAGTCATATCCCATTTCTTGCAAGATAGACATTTTAATGTGCTATGAGGACGGATTATCAGTGATATATTTGGGACAAATGACTTGTGGAAATGCTTACTGAGCTAGCTGCAAAGATAATTGCCCAGTACAGAAGCAGACTGAGCTTAGAATCTTCGTCACAATCCACCGAAGGAACTGACCTAGTATCGAAGACACGTAGCAAGTTGGCTCGGTCCAACACTAAAATATATGGGTGGACAAATTGCAGGTATGTGTCCAGTAGTGCTTCGCCGAGGTGGTCCTGCGGTAGCTCGAAGGCACCTTTCATCGACAGGAAATCAAGATCGACAGGACTAATAGCGGCTCGTAACGGCCGAATGTATAACGGTAGGTCAATGGATAGAGATGTAAGGGGGGAGTTGCTCTTCAACTGTCGGCAGCCATGACGTAGCGGTGGTGAGAAGCTGGAACCACTTGGCAATGGTGTCTTCACATTCGAGCACGGTTCGGGGTAAGGACCGAGGCTGCGTCTGTTATCTGAAAATACGGTAATTTGAGCGGACGCTGCGGAAGAGCGTTAGCGGCCAAATGAGTAGCCAATCCCGCAGTAATGAGCACATACCGTTTTCCTGTCGACACGATAGGCCCTCTACTACTTCCCTGCCTCTATCATTCTGCACCGTTGTTTGATCATCAGTTGCAATGGCCACCGGACTAAACTCAACAGGCGATTGTCGTCTGCGTGCTCCTCTATCGAATATTTAGTACGTGTATCTACATAGATATTGATATATTACGGGGAGGTTAGTTATTGGCAGTTACTCACCTGCCCCCACGTCTACTCTCCCCGACAAAGCAACGAACGTCATCTAATCTACAATTCGTGCATGGGTCTCCTCCTCTGACGAGATCGCAGCGGACCTTTCGCAAGCTGCATGGTCGACAGGCCCTCGACGCGCGACGATATTTCGGGCGAGGTGGAGGATTGGGTTTATCCTCGTCACGTCCTTGTCGAGCGCTTATTCCCTCAAATAAGGCGGGCATGATTCCCCTATAGCCGTAGCCGGTGAGATGAAGTCAGATTTATCGGTTTCTCATCGGTTTAACAGGGGGCGCTTGTAGATATAAGAAGCAAGGTAGCACACTAACCCGACTTGCCTCTAGCTAGCGGAGCAATGGTTGGACGCTAACCTCGACTGGTGGGGCTTGGGCGTGCGGGGAAGTGGGCTAGATCACATATTTCTATTGGATAGTTACGATACGGTTTTAGGTTTCAAGGGTTTTACCGGTGTAATTGCAACCATGTCCTCTTACAGGGCCACCATGGTCTGTCGCTAGTAGTCTTATCAGACTCGCCCAACGCTGTTTTATACACGCGATCCTAGCCTTGTATACAGAAAGCGGGCATGACAATATCAATTATTAATATCCATCCTCCATCAGTCTCCCAATGATTTCACGGGTAGCCGTATCTTTATGGCCCATTGTACTGCCTGCTCCTCCCGGCCCAGGATCATTGAGCTGCTCTACTCGACGGACTCGTTTCCCGACCTCGAGGATTGTCCCACCATCGATCCTACCAGCAGCGCACTCGTCCTTTTCGATCAAGTCAACCATCACTTCTGCAACTGCCTCGGGGGTCACCCATTCGTCATCTTTGGTGATCATTTTCATTTTCTCCCTGGGGTATATTAGGACTATTCTATGATCTCTGGTCTGTTGAACTGCAGGTGTCATCACTCACGGAGCCTCAATCCATAATGGAGTCTTGACAACTCCAGGGGCCACTGCTGTTACCCTGATCCCAAGGCCCTTCTCCAGCGGCGCAAGACTTCGAACGAACCCACTTACACCCCATTTACTAGCGACGTACATTGGTGTTGGAAACGCTGCGTCCTGACCGGCGATACTCGAAACATGCACGATGCTTCCACGTTTCTTGTGCGCTAGAAAATGCCGGATGGCCAACTGAGTGACCCGGATAGGGTGGACAAGGTTGACGTCCAACATCTTGTACCCATTGCTATCTGTGCCATCTGTGGATGGGCTTTTGCCGGGAGGGTACCAAAAATTGGACCATAGAGGCTCGTAAACACCCGCACCAGGACAAACAATGTCCAAACTCCTGAATTCCTCCTCTGCGTGAGCAAATACGCTTTCTAAATCTTTCCATTTCGATACATCGCATTTCTGGAATATCGCTCGGGCGCTTCCTGGAGAACGAAATTGATTACATTCCAGGAATTCCTTCGCTTCTGGTCGAAGCGCAACGTCAGCGAGGACAATATTGCAGCCTTTAGATAGAAGAGCCTTTGCGAAACAGAAATTCAATCCTATTATGTATGGTTACAAGCATCAACATTAAACACTTGCAATATTCAAATATGTTCTCCGGCGCTACCCTAGTGAACGGCGAAAGCATCTTGACCTACCAGACCCGGATCCTGTAATCATTGCAGATTTCCCAACGACAGAGAAAGACATGTCGATACTTTGGCCTTCTATCGTGCAGAGTTAATGCTCATATTCTGTCAAATTGTTTACTTTGCTCTAGACTCACAATAATGTACCTCCCTATTACCGAGGTTAGGGGTGACCCGCAACTTAACCTACACTCGGAAATGCTATTTCCAGCAACGGTAACAATTGAATGGCACTAATCCGAGTTAGTCAACAAATTAATATCAGAGTTTCGCAAGATAACATGTCACATTTGAATTGAGCGATCGCAGCATTATTAAAGACGAATACCCTCAGCATTATTGCATACAATGTTTTCAATTCCATACTCCCCAAAATTTGTCGACCTTTTAACCGCTTGAGCAAATCTTAATGGGCCTATCGTTATTATATTAAAAAGGAAATAATTCAACCATGACTTGCACCTTATACACGGAAGATTGGCTCCAGGTTAGACACCGCTAGCCATACGGAAAGTTTACGTAGACCGCGTTTGCCTAACTAACATCCATGACACAGGCCGAGGAAGCCACAGGTGGTCGATTCTTACTCAAAGGAAATGTGTCTGAGATTCGAAGGCAATACAGCAAGCTTGGTGAAACCCTGAAGCTTTTTGCTAAACCAGGTCCTAAAAATGTCATTACTAGTAGGTTAAACCTTTAGGGGAGGTTGGCTTTTTCCATTCCTCATTTGAATACAGTTGAGATTGATAATGCAGAGGACTACGAGATTCGACCCGGAGTCCAGGTGCGCGTATATAAGCCCCAGGAAAGAGAAGGTATACTTCCGGTCGGCGTATAGTATGTATATAAGCCTTGGTGAGCGCGGTTCAGATTGACTGACGTGATCTGAAAGTTGCCATGGCGGAGGATGGGCCCTAGGCGACCTCAACAGCGAAGACAGTATGTGGCGCTATTGTTTAGGGAATTTGACACTGATCCTCTTTCATAGCATTATGTCGAATTTTGTGTGTTTCCGTGCCTACTGTTCTCGTCTCAGTCAAATACAGACTGGCACCTGAGCACAAATATCCCGCTGGTCTCGATGATTGCGAATTTGCTTATAAGTGGGTATGTCTCTTACCAAGATTTCATCAAGGAAGATACTGTCTTTAACTTATATTTTTGGCAGGCTGTGGACAACGTGGAAATGATTTCCGGCAACAAAAATCGCTTCTACTCGATTGGAGGTTCGGCAGGAGGCAATCTTGCTATTGCAATGGCCTTGAGAACCCTCGAATGGGAAGGGCCAAGGATCAATAAAGGACTAATCGGGATTGCACCAATCACTGTAGACCCTTCTGTTGTTCCTGTTGAATTCAAGCAACGGTTCGAGGAGTCTCTAGCAAAGAATACCGACTCCTCTATGATTGACATACCAGTTATGGAGACCTTTCGTGGTAAGAAGCGACGACCCAAGAACTCTGCAGTCACCAGCTAACTCACTTTTCCTTTTTGTTTCGTATGTGATATTAGCTGCGTATGGAGTCTCATCCCGATCTGATCCTTTCTTTTCAGTCCTTCTCCATAAGAATCTGGACGCCCTCCCGACGACGTATCTCGTCGCATGTGAGAAGGACCCGCTTGGTGAAGATCCTCAAATGTTCCATGAGGCTCTCCTTCGGGCGAGAGTGACGAGCAAACTCGATTACTACGCAGGCTACCCTCACTATTTCTGGACATTTCCCGTACAGAAAACGAACGAGTTTAACGAAAATCTCATATTGGGAGTGAAGTGGGTGATTGAATCGATGCCCTAAATTTTTATATGGTATATGGAAAATTAGACTCAACATATCAATTGATCACATGGGAGAAGTAACATTTTTGATTGTAAGAATTATTGGCAACAGAGGTGCTCCACAATGAATTGAGCAATCTCTGTATGTGCAGCAAACCAGGTAATTTTATCATGAATGGATGACTAATACATATAGCCTTCCATCTCAAACTACGTTAATACAATATTCAATGTTATGCAGTATACGCCAATATTCCTGACGGATAGCTCTGTAACACGGAAAATAATTAGCGAATATGTACACAGTTGACTTAGAATTGACACTTGAATAAAATCACAACAACTCATCCATTTTAGGGCCATTAATTGATAGAGAGACAGAGCAACCCGGGCTCTTGATCTATCTGGTGGGTAGAAAGGTTACGTAGTACCTTTTCTTAGAGAGACATGGGCAGGCAAGGTAAAGCTCAAACTGAACTAATTTCCAAACGCCATCTGGATAAACAGAAGGCAATCGATACTATTCAATGTTCATTTGTTAGTCGACCAAGTGAGACTGGATTGTACGAGTTCAAAAAACTGGACATCTGAACATTTGAAGAAAATATTTAAATCGTCTGCATGGCAGTTTCAGTGTTACATTCTAAGGACTCAAGTACAATAAATCCGAAATTATACAGCAAAACGACAAGGACTCGGTCCAAACCCCGGCAATCTACGCAATATCCCACGGGTGATCGCTCTTCCTGATATATGGTGCCAAGGCCGAAACGTCTTCTTTCAAGACGGTTGCTTGAACATTGCCATCACCAAAGTAGGCGAATCGCCGGCCCTTCCAGTACGTGAACTTGTAGTCTTCATAGCGTGGAGGCGCGTTAAGGGTCTTTAGGTAGTGGATAGTCTGCAGTTAATTAGTATGCCATTAATTATTTTTCCGTAGACGGTTGACTTACAGCACCTGGCCAGATCCATGCTTTGCCATTCTTCTTGTACCAGCTGCGACAGCTGTCGCTCCAGACAGTTTGCTTGGATTTGTGGAATAGCTCCAGATGGTAGATGAAATCGTCACATGCATCCTGGGTGACTTCGATCGACTTGATGCCTTCCTCTTGCATTTTGCGAAATATCTTAATGAAGTGTTCGGAGGCGGTCTCCAACTGTAGATTATGTCAATCATGATCTGACGGGATATGGACAATTGGAAAATGAGGGTTCTTACAGCAGGCAGGATGGTTCCACTACGGAGGTATTTAGCAGTTGGTTTCATAAAACAACAATAAAGAAAGATCCTTACTTGGCCCATGTTCCACCGACACCAACCATGACGAAATAGTTTGGATATCGTGGAGCAGTCACTCCAAGATACAGACTCCATAGCTGTGAGCGTGGAACGCTTTCAGGGGATCTGTCACTTACTTTGGGTCGTTATTCCAGTCATCTTGCATGTTAATACCGTCTCCGTTTGTTAGTTTGAAATGGGGGGCATATGGAATATCGAACTAGGTAGCTGATTAGTCTTGAATCGGAGCGGTCAACCAAGTGCATACCTACCCCAGTAGCGCACACCAAGATATCAACCTTATGAAGCTCTCCATCAAAGTCAATTACTCCGTCCCGCGTGATCTTGGAGATGTCATTGAAAATCGGTTGGACGTTCTCTTGGGTGAGAGCCTCGAGATAGCCGTCTCCTGGAGTTATCCGACGGCAGCCTGGGAGCCATTTGGGAATCAAATGTTTCTAGAGATTTGTCAATATGCCTGACTGTTTTTTCTTTTTTCCGTGGATTGACCGGCGGTATCTTCACACCTTTAACTCATCATGCCCGGATCCAATACGTGTGTTCATCTCCTCCGTCATCTTGGAATGCATTTTTTTCTGCAAATTCGTTCCTCGCTCGAAGAATGGGAAAAGTAGATTTACCTCGGCCTCGATTTTCTGCCGTAAATTTAGCAGGAAATTTGGATCTTCCCTGAATTTGCGTTTATCTTCCTCGGTGAAGACGTACTGCCGACTGGCGGTGTTCTCCTGTCCGCCTTTAATGTCATCTTTCAACACATCTCCTCCGAAGGGGGGGCTGATCCAGGTTGGAGATCTCATGAACAGCTTCAGATTCTTTGAGACTAGTCGACTGTGTTAGTTTGCTAGGTAGAAATGTACTGGGATGTCCTACTTTTTTGGAGCTGAGGAACGACTTGAATTGCGGTAGATCCGGTGCCGATAACTATCAATCAATGAGTGACTCGAGCTTGTCATTCCTGGCACAGAGACTTACTGCCAACTGTCTTGCCTGCGAAGTCAACAGATTCATCCCACTGGGACGGATGCATCTTTGGCCCGGCAAAGTCGTGCAACCCTTCGATTTCAGGCCCTATACATTCCTTCGTTAGTCAAACGCTTCGAAACGATGGAGTTGTGCACAGACATTTCCATTTATTAAGATTTCCCGTCGCATTCACGAGTACGTGCGACCAGTCCTCCCTCGTTTCTCCAGTAGTAGTATCCTCAATGACGATTTTGTAAATGCCTTCGCTCGGATGCCATGTAGCAGCTACCACCTTCGAGTTCACTTGGATGAAGCGGCGACATTGGTGTTTTTCGGCGAATTCTACACTTCTTATCAGTCTGAGTCCTCGGCTTAGAGACAATATGGACTCACTCCTGAAGTACTGGAGGATTTCCGGCGCATATGCAAAGTAGGTCGACCATTGAGGGTTAGGCTCGAAGCTGTAGGTGTAGATCTTGTATTGCTTAGTTCATTGCCTGCATATCCAACAATCTTCAGATTGCACTCACGTGCGAAGGAATCTGCTATGGTCAGCTTTTGTTTTTCAGGGTTGTGCGAGCAAGAACTTACATCGCAGGCACAGCCTATTGTGCCGATCATCGGTTAGTATTACGCCTGGATGGATTGTGGAAGCTTTCATATAAACGTACCTGGGTATCTGTTGATCAAAAGGGATCAGCACATCTGATCAACAATAATAGCGCCTGGGAGTTACTCACTTGTTCTCATACCACGTGCCACAAATGTCGTCATTCTTCTCGTAAATGGACAGTTCCCAGGTATTTGGGTCCATCTGGTGCTGCATTTTGTAGGCAAGACAAATACCTGAGTCCAAGTGAGTAGAGCATTGCGACATGCACTTCTATCAAGCCAAGCTTACCTGAAGGTCCTGCTCCAATACAAACAACGCGGATCTTAGTCTTCTTGGAGTGCCAGGTATTTGGCAGGGCGTAATTGCGACCCGATCCATTCTGGGGATATTGGATCTCAGTTGAGATATCTACAGGAACAGGCTCTTCGGCAGATCCATTTGATTGGCTGTTTTTGGTCGAGCCATTCGTGATGCCATTATCGCGCACCACGTTGGATTCGACCGGCAAGCTGCTCCAGAGGGGAGACATTGTAGGGGCTTAGGTTTTCTTTTTGGTTATCAGAACTTGAATCGTTGCTGGGATTCCTCACATTTGGGCATAGCCGGATGCTACGGACTAAATAGTAGTACAAGTACATCTTTTGACTCTCAACTCGGAAATCCTGGACTTTGTCGTTATTGCCGCGGTATGGCAAACTGACGCCGAAACAACCCCCATCAGCCGGTGCACCAACAGCAGCCACGGAAATATCAATTCCGAGCACTGGACGACCGAGAGTCACGAGAGGAGAAACAGAACTATGGTTTTGATTCAATAACCGTGGATATAGAATAAGACAGTATGTAATTTTTGTCAGATTATTTGCGTCAGGAATACAAAAGTCATATTGTATAATCTGCAATCTACTATCAAACCATCTATCTGTTCTGCCTTCCGTACGACACTCACCATGGTGCTCATTAATTTCCCACGCAAAGTGGCGACACTGTCCATATCTATACCAAGGCGGCTCTCGTACCGTCGTTATATGTCCAATGTGAGGTCAGACGATGATCGATTCGGCGCGATCGTCACCGGCGGCGCATCAGGTATCGGCGAAGCGACGGCGAGAAAGCTAGCCAGCCATGGGATCAACGTTATAATTGCCGATCTCAACGAGGCCCAAGGACATCAGCTAGCATCCGAGATTTCCTCGACCTACGCCGTAGATGCCCAATTCACGACTGTGGATGTTACGAAGGAGGACAATGTCAAGCAGATGGTAGAATTCGCTGTGAAACGGTGGGGACGCCTCGACTACGCCGCCAACTGCGCTGGCGTGTGCATCGAAACCGCTCGCGATGAAGAAAGCAGTGTTTCAACAGCCATATTCGATAAGTGCGTAACCACTGACTGTACAGCTGCGGATTTGACACTGACAATCCCTCCCCAAGAACGTTCCAGATCAACCAGCGGGGGCTCTGGCTCTCGCAGAAATATGAGGCACTTCAGATGCGAAAACAAGATCCACGCCCCGTCAAATATAAGCCACATTCGAAGTACCCGATTGCGTCGCAACGGGGAGCCATCGTTAATGTGTCATCTATGTCGGGCCTAACCGCCATGGGTCTAGCAGCCTATACGCCCAGCAAATTCGCTGTTCTAGGCATCACCAAGAACTCAGCCCGGTTCTACGGTCCGCACGGCATTCGAGTTAATGCTATTTGCCCGGGCCTTACTATGACGCCAATGCTGGAGATTACGTATGGTAAGAACGGAAAGGAAGGCAGCGCCGAGAGCCAGGACAATGCCGCTCTTTCGTTGATACCTATGCGGCGGATGGCATTCGCACAGGAGCAGGCGAATGCTATCAGCTTCTTGCTCAGCCCGGAGGCTAGTTATGTCAATGGAGCACATCTGGTAGTTGATGGGGGATATACAACTGTACGGTAGATATATCTGTGAGAATATGAGAATGTCAACATGATTATATTGAAATCTAAGAAGTGAAGCTATCGAAGGGAATATTTGTGAGCGTACAAACGTACTAAGAGACGATTAGGGCCTGAGGCATTCTAACAATATCATGTGAATGCAATTTACATGTATTTATTTATTTAATCAAGTTTAACAACCTACCCGACCTAAGGCTACGAAGGTCTCGCTTAAGTGAGAACCAGGAGGGTCTTAAAGGGCTTAAGCTCCTTATTCCCCCGGTCGCCAGGCCGCCTGCCCCGAACTGGTGCCAAAACATTCAAATTCGCTTACCAATTTGTCTTCCCAACCCTTTTGTCTGTGCAGGGCGCTTCGTGGCCTTATAGCGGCTGACGGACCCCGGCCACCCTCCTAGAAGACAAGCTTGCGGACGTCGTCTATCGATGACAGACCGCTCAGAGCTGCAACCCTTGTGAATGCAATGAGAGTAGTAAAAAGAGCGATTCTCCAGCTAATACATATGATATCAAAATCTGCATGCAGACTTGCTAGAGATCTACAAAATACTCTTCGTAGTAATCAATACTCGAATTTCAATAGCCATGGCTAGACACCACAATCTAATCAAATTGTTGACTGGAGAAGCCTTCAAATGTTATATTTGGTAACGTTCCCCCTTCTCGCATTGGATCCTCCTACCCACCACCATCATGAGTTCCACCTACAGAGGTTGAAGTGGCTTGAGCGCCTTCGGTGCCGGTGGCCTCGCGAGGAGCCCAGCGGCGGCGAAATCTTTGAATTCTTGGCCAGTAATATGCTTCTCGAAGGCTTCGCGGCCGGTGTATTTCTCGTAAACGTGGAAAATATCGGTGTTTTCGACATCGCGCGCGATCACATAATCGAGAGTTCCGGGTTCACTAAGCGTCAACCTGACAAGGCGGCGAAGATGATGTTCGAGTTTGTCACCACCATTTGGGATGGCCAAGAGCTGCGTTTAAGAAAACAACTGTTATTGGATTATGAGCGAAGAGAATGTTGCTATACGAACGGTGGCGTAGAGGACAAATTCATCCTCAGGAAACACGGGGAATTGCATATCCATCTTCGGCAGATTTTGGTTCCGATCTTGAACGGAGTTCTTCAGAACAAGTGATAATAATAAAGAAAATTCAAGCCCAGATCTCGTCGTTAAATAATAAGGGAGGCATGGCGTAGAGCAACCCATTGATTTACCGAGCCGATGTTTTCCCTAGGTTGCAGTAGTGAACTCAATACCTCGGAAACCGCTTTTCCAGCATTTGCCTCTGTGCGATTTCGGAGGCTTGTCAGTGATTGTTGGGGTATTATTATTGTTATTATAATTATGCAAATTTAACTACCTTGCCCAGCTAGCAGCTATGAAGGTCTCGTTTCAGTCGGCGCTGACGGCCTCATACGGGCCTAAGCCCCTAATTCCCCCTCTGCCTACCCCGAACTGGTGTCTAACGTTTTAATGTACAAACGAATTCCTCGCCCCAAGTCGCTTATATGCGCAGGGCGATTTGGAGGCCTTATAGGGACTGGCGGATCCCGGTCTCCTTCCTGGGAGCCAAACTTGGGCGCTTGGCCTGTCGGTGACAGGCAGCCCAGAGCTGTCACTCTTCCCCTGGGGCTCCCCTCTTCCTCCATGGCCTCCCCTAACCCATAAATCCGCCCTCCAGGCCTCCCTGGCGGCCTCCTGCCGCTGCTCCTGGGCCTTAATAGCCTCTATAAAGGCTAGTGGTCCGGTCCTGCGGTCTGCTAATATGCGCGCCGAAGCGGCCCTCGAGGGCTTGCTAACCTTGGCCTTCCGCAGCCGCCGCCAGCTCCTGCGGTGGAAAAGCACGCGTGCGACAGTCTCTGCCCCCACATAGCATTCCCCGCACTGGGGTGTCACGCTTGCCGATTCGGTGCAGGTATGCCGCTGGTGGCGCATGCCCAGTCCTTTATTGGCGTAGATGGCGCTCCATGACTATCAGCTCCACATCGTATATAATACCACGAAGATTGCCCCACGATCCCTTTTAGTGTGGTGGTAAGAATAATAGCCAATTTTACAGTATTTACTTGAACCCCGGAATATGTAATATACACAGAATGCATATTGGTTGGCAATCTCGTATTCTCTAACGTAATCGAACACCGACCCGGTCATCCCCATACACCATATAAAATAGCCATTTTCCTATCCTTACATCTCAGCAAAATTATATATAGATAGTCACTCCAACTTTATATACATGTACATATCATATTGGTGAATGATATATTGGAGGTTTTATTAAATTATTCCATATTTATAGAAGTTACATACCTAAAAATACCTAAAAATACGCTGTATTTTTCGTAATCTCAATCAATTCTTATTTATTTTCATTAAAATTTACGCCCCTGCTTATATATAATTTGGTGAGATATAAGGATAGAAAAATGGCTATTTTAGATGATGTATGGGGGTGACCCGGTCGGTGTCCTGGCCGGGTGGGTTACTAGTTAGGGTTAGGCACGCTTGATCGATGCGGGGTCGTGCTGGTTAGGGTTAAGTAACCTGACCCCCCGGAAGCTTCTCCTCTAACACACACGACTCTCTCAGGTGCATATCTGGACACCTTGGTGCCTTTTTCCGAGATTGGGTTGAAGCCATGTCGACGGGAAGAACAGGCTCGTCTAGCAATTCCGGCCGGTCAAGGAAACAGTTAGGCCTTGCACATCCGCTTGATCCACTTCAAGTTACAGTCCTGACATGTATTACGGTTTTCTAGTGCCACGACCGCTTGCGATTATTGTCGGCAGAGGAAGGTAAAGGTAGGTACCTATCTGGTGCTTACGATCAGTGATCGTTCTTGACTAAAGAAGATGGCGTAAGTGTGACGGAAAAGAAACGCAGTGCTCGAACTGCGAGAACCATGGCTTTGAATGTACATATAGGTCTGATCCAGACAAACGCAAGTACGTAACCCGTCGGATATGGTGTAACTAAGCCTGATTTCATTGATTGCAGAGGCCCGAGGCCAATCCTCTCCCGCGTACAAGCACTCGAGCAGATTCTGGTAGAGAATGGAATTCCTATCCCATCGTGCACGCCAACTTCTACTGAGCAATCGACTGTACACAAGACTTACTTGACGCCAGCCCAGCCAATTGCGGCCTCACATCTGCAGTCCTTTTCGACAGGCTCTCCAACCATGGAAGAATGCATAGATACCCATCTGGCTGTGGCCATTTCGGCAGACCCTTTCGTCACTGAATTGGAGCAACCTATGCATTGTCTCAGAAATGATGAGGCAATATCATGGACATGGGATGATGATGGCAACGCCTCGACTGAGCTTTTTGATCGGAACACCCATGATAACATACTAGTTCCTGCTGATGTATTTCGTGATCATCAACCATACGTGTCAGCCAATGGCCTGGCAAATGACCTGCATATCCATGCTAAGCCTAATTCAGTCTCTGAGGATGGCTTGGATTCGTTGGCGATGCGAGTAGGATCTCTCCAGGTGGCCGAGGACGGAGAACTACGCTTCTTTGGAGCCACATCCAATCTTCATTTACTACAACAATGGTGTTCTAATTCTTCCCACCATGGAAACATGAATACTACACGCATGGACACCCAATCTATCCTTGAAAAGGCTGGACTAGGTCATAAAATTCCTAGAGAGCTAGAGGACCATCTTATCAAGTTGTATCTCACCTGGGAAGATCCCGCCACTCACATTGTTGATGGACAGCTTTTCTTTGAAGCTCGAAATCAAGTCCTAGACCATCCACAGAATATGGGACGAATGCCCTCCTATTACTCTGAATTGCTGGTTAGCGCAATGTGAGTGGATATCATTTTGCCTGATCTGGTCCTTGAATTCTGCTGACATGTGGTGTTCAAAAGGTGTGCCGTTGGTGTCGCATTCACTACTCGCATAATTCCCGAGCTTCCCTCGCCGATGGCCGAATTTTTTAGCTCTCGCGCCAAAGCCTTGTTGGAAGTCGAAATGGACAGGCCAAGTGTTTCGACGGTACAAGCACTAGTCGTATTGAGTGCGCACGAAGCGGCATTCACTAGGGATGCTCGAGGGTGGTTGTACAGTGGGATGGCGATAAGACTGGCTGTCGATCTCGGACTGCACTTGGACGTCGAGTCTTACGTAGCGACTGGCATGATGAGCAGGGCAGAGGCTGATGTACGACGGACAACTTTCTTTGGGGTCTACATTCTGGACATGTACGTCTTAGCTCTAACACCACGGGATACCTGTGAATTCTCACTGCCGCAGATATTGGAGCTACTACATGGGCCGCCCGCCGATGATGAATGCGGTGAAAGCAACAATCTCTATACCCGAAATCGATGACGATCTAAAGTCATATAGGCAATGGCAATCATATATGGAGGAACCATATATTACGATGGACCCCGGCCCATCATGGACAGCTACCGATGCTGTATGGACACAATGCAAATATACCGTAAGTGCTGTGTAAGCTATAGCGGTATGGTCAATCAACACTGAAGCGATTGCCTCAAGATATCCTTATGCGGAATCATGGAATCATTGCGAGAGGCGCTGTCAGTCAAGGTTACAGTGTTAGCAGGTTATTTAGCTCAACTGACAAGCAAACCAGGTATACCCCCATTCCCATGTCCCCGAGCACCCGAATCCTCCATGTTACGGAGTGTACAGAAAACCTGGCTAGATGGTTTGATGAACTACCGCCGTCGCTACGGATTGACCTCGATGATTCGAGCAAGATACATCTGCCCCATATTATACAGCTCAAGTACAGCCTCCATCCAGTTGATGATTCTGTTGATTGTTGTTCTATATCTTCATTAATATCAAACAGCATGCAATATCACGAAATCTTGATCTTCGCCAATCATCCCTTTGCCATCAATACCAGGCTCAATATCCCCCATATGCAAGACATAGCTCATATATGCAGAACATCTGCATCCGCTATCGCGCAACTTCTAAAGGTATACGAGCGACAATGGGGACTCTTCCGTGTTAATATCCAAGCCGTAAAGATCGTCTTCTCTGCGACTTTGGTTCATTTGTATACCATCTACGACAATACTTCAACGATTGACCATGCGAACCAGGCTCTCGAGGACTTGAAAATCTGTTGCCATGCCCTGTGTCAGTTCTCTCGTAGTTGGCATAACGGTAAGCACCAGGATAACAATCCGGTCTGCCCTTTTTCCCCCTCGATTGGCAACTAACCTGTCTCTACCATTACAGCATTACGCGCCCTTCAGTTTATCGTATTATTAAAAGAAGATATGAAAAAGAAAGCCGCTTCCACACAGTTGCAAAGTTCCATTTTTGGAAACCATGAGGCGAACTTCAAATGGCAGATGTTGGAAGTAGCATTAAAGGAAGTAAAGGAAACACAGCAGAAGCGACAGGCTGAATTTAGCAATGCCTCATGGATGGAAGAATGGTCTGTCCTTAGTTCGTCTTTAAAAGGCGATCCGTTTGCCTGTACATTGAGAAAGTAACGATGTAATGTTTTTACTTCAAATCTATACCAATTACCCATTAACCCTAACCCTACACTTCTAGTTGTTCCGTAGCGTTCCTTGAACACTACCAAATAGTTGAGTTGAATAAGCTAAGGTTTAGTTTACGCCACTATAGTGTCCCTCGGAAATAGCAAGACTACTACCGAGGGAGGTTGAACGCAACTCACTTCGGAAAAGCATGGCCGCGAAGGTAACCTAATAGATCACTCCCTACCTAATCAATGGATGTTATACTTATAAGAAACTCCCTGAGGGCAACCCTCACATTATTGCAACCAGGCGTTCTGCAATATCAAACACTTAAGCTCCTTTGTTTATAGAACCACACCATTGAGATATCTACCGCTGTTCATTCATCATGGCGACGCACCAGCGAATCGTAGACGATTCGTACAAAACCCCTATACAGACTCATTTGAACTACAAGGACAAGACCGCCGTAGTGACTGGTTTGTAGTACAACTTAAACACTGTTTTCCTAGGCTTGAATTGATGTCACTGATAATAAAAAATTGCATAGGTGGTGCCAGAGGAATTGGCCTTGCCTTGGCTCGCCAGGTAGCAGAATTGGGAGGCAATGTTGCAGTACTAGACTACCTTTCACAGCCTGATGATGAATTTGATGAATTGGAGAAGACGTTTGGGATCAAGGCGCGATTTTACCAGTATGTTGCTTGCTAAATTGAGTCAAGAGAGAAAGAGAGCGCTCGAAAACAAAAACCCTGGTCATATTTTCGCATCTCAGCTAACGTGCTTGCTCTGCTCAGAACCGATGTCACAAAGAAGGAGTCTCTAGAACAGTCGTTTGCTGAAGTGGTTGCGGAATTTGGGCGGATCGATGGATGGTGAGAAACCGAGGGTCGATATTCCTGGGAACCAGACACTGAAAGAAATGGGTAGTGTTACTGCGGCGGGTATCGTCTACGACGCACCATTCCTTGGAGATAGCTGGGAGAACGTGATCCGGGCGCAGATGGTGAATGTATGTTGCACTCTTCCCATCCAGAATTCTGAACTAATATGACCTCCGCCCAGGTGGTAGGTACTTATTTCAGCGCCCAGCTAGCTGCCCGGCAAATGGAAGCCCAAGGTACCGGAGGCAGCATCGTAATGATCGCGTCCATTTGCGCTCATCAAACGTTGCCGACACAGCATGTGTCTTCATACTCGGCTTCCAAAGGGGCTGTAAAGTCCCTTGGTCATGCACTGGCCGTTGAGCTTGGACCGAAAAATATTCGAGTGAACACTATATCTCCTGGGTAATATTCAAACTTTCATCCGATTTTATTACCTTCAATGTTACTAAGACGTCTCAGATATATTTATACAGCAATGATCGAAGGAGTCATGGAGCGGTTCCCATCGCTCGCGGCTCTCATGAGAGACGATCCGCCACTTGGGCGTATAGGAAACCGGGCAGATATAAAAGGCGCAGTTGCATATTATCTAAGTGATGCATCGTCATATGTAACTGGGAACGATATTCTTGTTACAGGAGGGCTGCATGTTGGGCGTAGTAATCCACCTACGATGACGAAGTGATCATTGCAAGGCGAGACTCATTGTCCATTCAGTTAGTTTAAGAACTTATTCATACTTATTGATTGGCCCTGTTATGAAAAGCTCTTGTAAATCTCTTGTAATTTGACAGCAGTATACCCTTCACAATAGTCATGCCACCAGCATTACAAAGATCCGGATTTTGAGATTGGTCTTCTTAGCCAGAGATGCAAGGGCACAGTGATTGAAATATAAGCCCAGATGGCACATGTACATATGCAATAGAGAGGATGTCACTTCGAAGTGTTCTAATTGTTACCCGTTCATTTGTGGTATATAGTTGACCTATCTTGAGTACAAAAATTGTATTTAGCCATTTTCACAAAATGCTACATGCGATTTCCTATTTACACACTTCGAATTGTTTAGGATTGAAAGTCATATTTTGAGAACGATGATGACTCGGTTTTGAACTTGCTCCTCTCATTCCTCAAGTATAAATCCTTTGACCGAGGACTACGCTGCAGCCCCAGTCGCTTTAATGTGCTGCAATACGCTACTCTTCTCTTCCACAGATGAGTTATTACCATTCTCCCGCATAGTCAGCAACCTTTCCTTTACCTCAGACTTTGCGTATAGTATGTCAACCTCTTCGAGAGAAAGACCAGTTGTCTCAGGACAACAGAAGTAAACGTAAACGACTGATTGATGAACGAACGATCAGCCTGGTGTTCAAATATATCTCAAATAAATAAAGACGTGATTCCGGGCAAAGAACTCACCAGCGAGAGCGCAAGAAAGCAGATTCCAAATCCAAATCATTGGCCCAACACGGTCAAGCGCGATGCCGCCGGCGAAAATTGTGACAAAAGCAAATAGCCATTCTCCAAGGGCAGCCATCGCGCCGCCTATGTGCCGCTGCTGAAGTGGTGAAATTTCGGATGGATAAAGCCACTAGCAAGCGAGAATATCGTTAACAGGAGAACGTAAAAAAGAAAGGAAACAAAAGAAGATACTATGAGGACAAACGTACCGGAACGCCGACCCAGCCCCAACCGAAGAAAAAGTTGAAGCAAACTACCATGGCCACAGCAGACCACCGCGTCTTATTGTTGATCAAGTGCTCCGGTAGACAAATCAGAAGGACGAAGAGCAGCATGCAGATGGTACAGCCCATACCGCCCCATAGCATGCTATATCGAAACTCGTACCATCAGAGAGGGATACATCTCGTAGGTGAGCGAATGACTTACAGGTTCCGGCGTCCAAATCGCTCAACAGTCAGCGGCATGGCTACACAACCAATGGCAAACTATCCAGTAGCTATCAGATCCACTGTCATATTCAAGGCGACATCACCCCAGCTTACCAGAGTGTTCATCACTGCCGCGAGAACATGCGACAAGAATGAAGACAGGCCTATATTGGCAAATATCGTAGTGGAGAAGTAGACCATCATATTAATACCTGTGAAGTCGGTTGTAAGCATAGTGAACAGAATATAGTTCCTTCAACAATAATGATTGTACCCATCAGGTTGTCAAGCATATAGAGGATAAATCCAGTACGCAGTCGTCGGCCAACACGGAGATCAGACTTATCCCTATATCTTCGTTAGTCTTCCAATCCGTGTGCAATGCCGAACCGAGAAACGAACCAGATCAAATCCATGATCCGGAAACTATGCCCAGCTTCTCGCTCAAACTTGATATTTTCCAAAATTTCACAGCGCATTGCTTGTACTCGAGCGTCGTCAATTGGTTTTTCATGGAGTTTGGACAGAATCAAGTCTCCCTCCCGTTCCCGGCTGTTAGCATAGTACCAGCGGGGTCTGATGAATGGTGTGTTAGAGATAATATGACGGGTACAAATAAGGATTTAGCATACGTATCTATAACTCAATGGTCAGTTTATGAGAAAGGAGATGTTAAGAGTGGTGGGCTGAGCCTACCGGGAAGGACGGAAAACAAGGTAGCGGAAGTGAACGCGAAGCCTGATTGCAATGCGATGGGAAAGCGCCAGGAAACTTGGTTGGTCATTTGAGTGAAACCCAGGTCTATCCAGTAACTGTCTCCATGAGAGTCAGTAATGTCTCCGCCGATCGAGAAGAGACGTAAGGATAAGGAATCTCACGCTAGAGGAATGCCGCTGATCAGAATCACAATTTGCCATCCCACGGCCGGTCTGTGGAGTCAGTAAGATACATCATAGTACTCTTGATATGGTGGCCTGGTTACCCCCTCTGGGAAGCTTCAATAGAAAGTTCAGAGATATACATTGGAACAGTAGCTGAGATGAAGCCCATGCCAAATCCAGATAAAAGTCTGCCGACAATGATTTGAGCCACGGAAAAAGACGAAGCCTGTTACACATGTAGAGTAAGAGGAGGGCTATTTAAAATGGTTCGATTGTATAATATAACCTGGAGGGCTCCGCCGATTACCACGATAGCATTTCCCATCAAAATAGAGTTTCTGCGACCCATCTTCATACCCGTGAACATGCAGATGACGGAACTCAATGTGGCAGATAGACTGTAGGAGGAAGCAATCATCGGAATAATATAACTTCCTTTGGGATTCTGCCAATTATGTGAGCACCTTGCTCGACGGTGTAATCGCAAAGACCGTCGGTCTTACCTGGATGGCATCAAGAAACGGCTTTGTTGACTGAACTCCTCCCAAGACGCCAGCATCGTAGCCGTAAAGCATAAAGCTCACACCCCCTGCCAATTTGGCAACGCAGAGCAGGCTGTTGCCCGAGAGCCTTTCATAAAACATTGAATAGAAGTGACAAGAGAGCAGTTTCTCGATATTTGTAGGAATAAATTATGAACTATGAACTCGTCTGGGATCATTCTTCTACGTCCCCTTTATGATCATTCTCCTGTTTCATACGCCAATGATCTAAATCCTACTTGTTCAGGCTGAACCTTGTGCTTAGCTGGGAAGAAAGAGACTTTGCGGGGATACACAACCAAGACTGGAGACTGATGACGAAGTATACGGAATTGCAATATCCGCTCTTAACCCTAATTTAATTGGCATCTCCTTCTGTTCTGTTACGTAAAGTGCTAGATTTTCTTACCCGGGTGTTTGTCTTCTGGGTTTAATCTAATCTAGAAGCTTTCGGCTGAATGAAGGCTTATTGTAGTTATTGCAAGTTGCGCCCACCGGAACTTTGATCGAAGTGGTTGGTTATTCAGAAACTCGTATGGAAAAGGGATGGCGCCCTACGCTAATTTCTTTCGGAAAGGTCGGGTAATCAAATTTCCTGGTAGTTTATCAGTATTGTTAGTTGACCAATTTTAAGCTCTACGAAAATGCCCAAGGTCAGCCTCAGGGTATACTATAAGCATCATTAGACCTTGCTCAAATTCTGTGGATAGTATAACTAGTCTGCCGTAGATTCGTCAGGGTTCAGTTAGGTAACGTAACCAATTGGACACTCACCTGCCCGGGAGGCCATTTAATATGGCGTATGGGAGTGGGCGACTGGCTGTCCCGGGCGGGTGGGTGTCCGATTACGTTAGAGTTCTTGAAGCGGAAATTATTGCCCTTCTGGTTATCCATTCCGCTCGTCCCTAGAGAGTGATTAGAAATTCACTTTATCAACTATGAAAGGTATCAATTATGAAAGGAGAATATAATAATATATAATAAACATACCTACTCTACACTTTAGCAGAATCATAATCATTATTGTTTTGTCCACATGGCTCCGAGAATTTTTGTGTAAGCATCTTACACCTGGAAGCGTGGAACTGAGAGCTACTAGTACTGACCAGTGATAGCACCGGCATCACTGGGTATATTGGCGGCCAGGTTATTGTCCACTTGTACCGGAAACACCCTGAATTAGATATTACAGCACTTGTGCGCAATGAAGAGCAGGAAAAAAACGTCAAGGCGGCTTTCCCTCAAATAAAGACTGCGATCGGTGATCTCAATAGCATTGATACCATTGTTAAATTGAGTGCGGAAGTGGACATTGTCCTTCGTAAGTCTTTACCTTTACTGAGATCGGTAGTGATACCTTGCTAACAACCGATCTCTTGATCACGTCCATAGAGTGCGCCTCCGCAGACCACCCTGTAGCGGCCGCTGCGATCATCAAAGGCATCAGATCCAAACCAGCAGGCAGTCCCCCAGGATTCTGCATACACACCTCAGGTACAGGGATCTTGGGAGACCCCTCCCAGGGCTATGGGCTTCCACCTGATAGGGTGTACGACGATATCGCTGATATTGGCGTAATCACTTCGTTCTCGCTGGAACGCTGGCATCGGAATGTTGACAAGATCATCCTGGAGGCGGCCGTGAGCGACCCAGTAGACAATCCAAAAATCAAGACGGCAATCGTCTGCCCACCTACCATTTACGGCAAGGGGATTGGTCCAGTTCGACAGCGCAGTGTCCAGCTTCCATGTCTAGCAAATGCCTCTCTTCGCAGGGGAAAAGCGCTGTGCGTGCATCAGGGGCAAAACGAGTGGAGAAATATTCACGTCGCCGACTTGGCCGACGCGTACGTTATCCTTGTTGAGAAAGCTCTGAAAGGGGGTGGAGGGGCAGGTTGGAATTCTGAAGGGTACTACTTTGTTGAAAATGGGCAGCATATTTGGGGGGACCTGGCAAAAGCCGTTGCTGCCGATGGATTCAAAAAGGGATATCTAACATCTGCTGATGTTGATCAGCTCTCCGAGGAGGAATGCCTTAGGCTTCAAGGCGATCCTACTCCAGGGCCTGCAATTTGGGGAACGAATTCTCTGGGAATTGCAAGTCGCATCCGTACGCTGGGCTGGGAGCCACGTCAACAGTCTTTATGGGATTATGTTTCAGAGGCAGTTGATATAGAGGCCAAGGCTTTAGGAAAATCGGGCTGAGATGGTACGTTTGTACTATCTAATGATCGTCACAAAACAGGAATCAATATATACCAGTTGACATGGCCGTCTCTGGACAAGTATGTGACATGTATCTGTACATATATTCCTAGAGAAACGTTTATTAAATATAAATTGAAACCAGTTCTTGATATAACCATCAACTCGATATTTAGTGGGGGTTTCGGGCCCGGAGACGGTTGGGTTAGGGTCAGGACGGCGTGCCCCCTGGGACCATCTGTGTCCTGCTGCGGGAGTGGTGCTGTCATGATCTAAGGGCTTTCACCATAGTGAAACCATTCAAGCTATAGTTAGATGTTCTTTATATACCTTCAGTTATGTATTAGAGCCCTAGATCTTTCTTATACACTCTCTGCAGAAAGTTTCGGCCTAATCGGCCCGAAACCCCACACACAAATTTCTATAGAAATTATTTTTCTCTCTTTCTCTTTCACTATAAGCTTATGAGGCTTAAAAAATAAAAATAAATATCTTTTATTATTACACTATATTATACTCAAATTTAATATATTAATAAGTAGTATACTATCTTTTAATCTTTCGCTGCCAGCGGTGATGAAGATGCGCGTCGCCTCTTTGATTTCGCGCTCGGTCATGCCTTTGTCGGTGTATTCTTTGAGAATATATGAGACTAACTATTAGAATTTTTTTTTCCGGCGGGAAGGGAAAGACAAATATAAATCAGTCCGATCCGTCTCCTCGCTAAACTTGATCTGAAAGTGATAATCGTCTTTCAATCCCCACGGAATCACGGCTATCATGAGTATTTGTTGCAGCGGCGATGGGAACCTGCGCGCTGCGCGGAAATGGTTTGAGATCTTGACCAGGCTGAAGACGACATCGATATACCGACTACGATGGTCCTTACGCAGACAGCCCACGGGGCTGCCAAAGGCGAGGTCGCCGATGGTGTCAAAGGTGAGGAAGTTGAGCCACTGAACAAGGTCTACAACTCCTTCTTCTTTTCCTTCTTCTTCTTTTTCTTGCGAGTGAGAGGAGGACGCTGCCCTCTGTCGTAGTTGACGAATAAACTCATCCAAATGCACACCCAACACATCCTGCTGCGCCAACAGCGCCTTTTGCGAAAACGCATACGCCTGCAACCTGCGAAAGCCGCGATGGTCGGCGTCATTCGCGACGACAGTGTGCGAAACATTTGACTCGGTTGCGAAAAAGCCGCCATCTTTTTCGAAGCTGGCAGGGCGGTCTTGCGTGCGGTGGCCTTGATACACTACTTAACATTCAAAATATAATTACTAGGAGTAAAATAGAGGATACCGTACCGCAAATGTCAATACACGCCTGCGCGGTATTATATGACAGCTCGTCTGGCGCAACGCGCACGACGGGGCCGTATGTGTCGTGCCATTGTTTTTGTTTGAGATGCTGGATGCCAGACAGGTCGTACCAGATATGGTACAGGCGTGTGGCGCGCGCGAGCAGAGGGCCGGGGTAGTGGTGCAGAGGGTGGAACAAGACGTTGTAGATGCATTTGGCCAGGGCGAAGCAGATGGTCTGTGATTATTAGTATGGTGTATCAATTTAAAAGGAGTGTAGATGAGGGTAGTCAGTCCTACAGCCGCCGGGAGATAGTAGAACAGAGCCGTGGACAGCGCCATGAGTTAATGGTTGCGCTGAGTGAGATTGATTTAATATAATATTCTGGTTATCTACCTATTACTCTTGAAAGTATTCGCAAAGGAATGCATGGTATTTAAGATATCGCAGACGAGGGGTACCACACCACCCGTCACAGATTCTATCTATCCATACGTATGCAAGAACTAGTCTATTTCATACATAGGGAGGCCCCTACTCGAATAATTCATAAGGTGTCTCTTATTTTTTAGCAGATTTTGCCAGTTATATTATCAAAATGTAGCACATTACAGAGATTATACAGGCGTGAGGCGATTTTTATCTCTGTTGCGCGAAGGCTACGTTGACTCTGCTGCCTTGCTGGATGCTTCCTGCAATGGATGAGCGCTAATTTATTATATAGGGTGATTATAGCTAGTTATGCAGTGAGCCTTGCCTCTCTTTAGCTATCAGCTCCCTTCACATATTCCGTTAACTAACCTTTCTTAGCTTGTTCAACTGAACACGGTTGACTGCACTTCCCCGTATTATTTCGAATTCATACATAGACATAAATCGGTGTTTCCAACTAATTTTCTTCACGAAAATTTCAAAAATAGTCTTGTGGTCTATGGCTAGGATAATTTCGTATCTGTTTGGTCTGCTCTCTCCGGCCGTAGGAGTGATTTTAGTCGGTGTAATTATAACCATATCAATATGGTCGGCTCTGGGTTCTTTCACTTGTGATTCGTTGTCGGATTTCCCTTTGGTCAACGGCAGAAAATGGTTTGAAATCTCGAGTCTGATGGCCAAGATGCGATACCAGATTAACGCACTCGAGCTCATCAACTCTGGCTTTGCAAAGGTGAGGGAATATTCAAAGAACCGAGAGATAAAAGCAATGACTAATGGATTCTGATTAATAGTACAGTAAGGGCTTTCGTCTCCTGACCAGCGAGGGTTTAACTAGTGCTTTCTCCTGAGTTTGCAAATGATCTTCGCAATGACAAGCGGCTAGATTTGGGCGGATTCTTTGCAGAGGTATGCTACCTTTTTGTAATGTACGGTTAAGTGTTTGATGACATTTTCTACCAGGAGTTTCACGCACATATGGATCAATTCGCAGGGTTCAGACCACACACAGGCGAGCTTATAAGGGGTGCTGTCAAAGTTGGACTGCAGCGCCAACTTGGTAAGTACATAAATACCTACACCTGCAAAGGCTTCAGGCTTCAAATATAACCATATTTCATCTTAGCAAGCCTCTCGAGGCCCCTTTCCGACGAGGCAGCAGACTCACTTCGCAAGAACTGGGGTGATCAGCGAGGTGAGCAGCGCATCAGATATGAGCTTATTGATGCACTGGGCTGTTAGCTGATGAGAGTTGCAGAATGGCACGAGGTTGAAACGAAAGCAGTAATTACGAAATGTGTTGCTCAGCTGTCCAATAAAGCTTTTATTGGGAATGAGTTGTGTCGTGATTCAAAGTGGCTTGAAATTACAGTAGATTATGCCTTGCGTATGAGTATGGCAGCGATAACCTTGCATCTTTTTCCTAAGACTCTGCGTGGCCTTGCGGCCCGTTTCTTACCTGTCTGTCGAACGCTACAGAGACAGGTTGAGCATGCCCGCCTCTTTCTTGACCCTTTTTTAAAAATGAGGCAATCGGGAAGGGCAGGCCTTACAGAGAATAGACTAACAACTGATCAACATTATAATGCACTAGACTAGGTAGAAGAAAACGCCAGTTTTCGCCCTTATGACCCTGTCATTGTTCTTCTGATGTTTTCTATGTCTGCGATTCATACGACATCAGATATGCTGACTCAAGTTATCTATGACCTCTGTGGCCGTGAGGGGTTAATTCATGCTCTACGGGAGGAGATTATCTCGGTCATACCAAAGGATGGGTGGAGCAAAGCATCCTTCTATAATCTCAAGCTTATGGATAGTGTAATAAAAGAAAGTCAGAGGTTAAAGCCGTCAGCTATTAGTAAGATCAAACCTCCTCTGTTGTCAAGTTAATTTTATAGCCAACAGGTGATGGCATTTTCTAGTCTAACAGCAGTGATTATGGTGATATATAACTGATAGTCACGGCAATCAATAGCAAGTAAGTGATGGTCATTTCTATTCTGAAAGCAGTGGTATAGTACTGACAGTCATGGCAACTAATAGAAAGTAAGTGATGGTCTTTTCTATTTTGAAAGCAGTGACTGTGATGATATAGGACTAATAGTTATGGTGATAAATAGCAAGTAAGTGATATTTCATTTTTTTTCTGAGAGCAGTGGTGGGATTGCTACGATATTAGAGTTTTTACATCATTTCATGCTAAATATTCTAGTGATGAGGACAAACAGTTCAGGTCATAGTATATCTTTCATTAGTGTCAATCTACAGTACAACAGTTATCTCGTCATTGTTTCTCAGAAATTGTCTCTATCTCTAAAGCTAATGAAGATGAAAATGATGACAAACCGGTGGTAAAACACCGACTCGGCGGAGTCGAACCAGCTAAGCGCGATGATAGTAGCCAGGCCTGGGATCGATAACGTCCCCAAAACAGCCGTCACACTCCTTACTCTCTCCGGTTCAATGCACTGAACCCTATGATTCAGGGCCTCGAAAGCAGGGGATATGCTGTTCATCGTTGCAGGCTGCAGGACATGTCTCTTCCAGCTAATCAAGATGCAATTGCGTTCCTTGACGATGAAGGTCCTTTCTTAGAAAACATGGACAACCAGCGATTTGAGTCTTACAAGTCTTTGGTGGAAAACTTAAAGCAATGTGGTATCTTCTGGGTGACCGGTCTTTCGCAGATCCAATGCCAGGACCTGCGATTTGGCCAGATCACTGGCTTCGCCAGGACCATTCGCTCTGAAATGCTAGTCGATTTCGCTACCTGTGAGGTTGACAATGTTAACACCTCACTGGACGTGTTTGGGAAATTCCAGATTCGTAAAGAGGACGGCACTCTCAAACCTGAGTTCGAATACGCCAGTATCGACAATACGACGTATACATTGCTTCTCAATGCAAGACGAGCTGTTGAGGTCGAACTCGAATGACGGTATTACCATTCGTACCAGTATGCCCGGCCACTTAACTGCTTTACACTGGGCTCTCCAGGAGATGGAAACGCTAAAAGATGACGATGTGGAAGTCGAAACATATGCCACTGGCTTGAACTTCAGGGTAGGTTAGAATAACGCCGGACGAGCGAATCCACAAGGCTGGCAACGATTTATAGGACGTTATGGGTGCCATAAACATTGTTGAGGCTTCAGAGAATGGATTCGGACATGAAGGCGCCGGCATTGTCCGCCGCGCTGGTTCCGACGTTAAGGATCTCAAGGCCGGCGACCACGTCATGTTCATTGGAAACTGTGCATTAGGGACGCAGTTGGTTGTCTCCGAGAATCTTTGCGAGAAGATTCCAGACGGATTGAGCTTCGAAGATGCGGCTACTATGCCTTGTGTGTTCGCTACGTCGATCTACTCCATTTTCGACATTGGGAATCTGAAGAAGGGACAGGTTGGTCTTCTCTGCACTCCCTGTGTTTTTGAATTAGCCTTTAACAAAATTTTTAGTCCATTCTTATCCACAGTGCCTGCGGTGGGGTTGGTCTTGCTACCATCCAGCTTGCCCAGATGGTTGATGCTGAGATCTATGCAACAGTCAGCAACGAGGAGAAGGCCAAGTATCTTATGGACACGTTTGGCGTGCCCCGAAACAGAATCTTCAACTCTCGTAACACCTCATTTGCCGAGGACGTTATGCAGGAGACGAACGGTGAAGGCGTCGATTTAGCATTGAACTCACTGTCTGGCGAGTTGCTGCATGTTACATGGAGGTGCATTGCAGTGTTTGGCAAGATGGTCGAAATTTGCAAGCGAGACTTGATTGGTTCTGGAAAGCTTGACATGAGTCCTTTCATGGCCAACCGTAACTATTGCTGCGTCGACTTGGATCAGATTTGTCTCAGGAAGCCGACTATTGTATAGGAGTCAGTATCACTCCCGGTATAGCTATTTGATAACCAATGACTAATATATCATGAAGCCTGCTCAAGAACATTGTCCACTTACTCCGGGAGCGCCATATCCATCCCATTCGACCCATTAAGGTCTTCAACTCTGATGTTATCCTCGACGCTTTCCGCTATATGCAGGAAGGCGTCCATCTGGGCAAGATCGTCGTGTCGATGCGCGATTCTACTGGCCAGGTCAATTGGGAGAGGGTATTCAGTAGCGAAAGAGACTCACCTACTTCGATAACTTTGACGCATATCTACTTGTTGGTGGCCTCGGAGGCTTGGGTCGCTCTATCTCCACGTGGATAGTGGAACACGGAGCCCGTCACCTCATCTACCTTTCCCGGAGCGTGGGTGCAGACAAGAAGCACCAGGAGTTTGCCCAAGAACTTACCAGTATGGGATGTCGCACTGATTTTGTTCAAGGTAGCGTTTCCAACCTTGACGATGTGACTAAGGCCGTGCCACAGGCTCAAGGCCGGCTCAAGGGTATCTTGCAAATGTCCATGGTGCTTTGTGATCAGACATTCACCAGCATGACAATCAAGGAGTGGAACACGGTTGTCCATCCTAAGGTTAAAGGAACGTGGAATCTCCACAACACTTCCGTGTCTGCCAACGCGGACCTCGACTTCTTTGTTCTTTTCGGCTCCCTTTCAGGTGTTTGTGGACAGCCCGGTCAAACCAACTACGCTAGCGCCAACACTTTTCTAGACGCCTTCTCTCAGTACCGCTTGAGTCTAGGTCTACCAGCCTGCGCCATCCAGATTGACGCCGTCGAGGAAGTCGGCTGCCTCGCTGAGCACGAGTCGATTATGCAAAAGCTCAATGCTGCCGGTGCCTTGCCCGGTACGGTCTTGGAATGTGAGCTTCTTGAAGCGATAGAGGTAACCACTGCATCCACACTGAGCAAGTCGCGGCTCACTGCCTCAAACAACTTCTGCCTTGGGCTCCGATCCAGCCTGCCCCTGAGCGATCCCGGAAATCGATCCCTCTGGAAGAAGGGCACCCGAATGACGGCCTTCCACAATAGTGGAGAGACCAGCACCACGTCAGGCTCTGCCTCCAGCGACGACCTGGAGACCTTCGTCACCGCGGCTAAGGGTGATGTCGCCTTACTAGGTCAGCCCAATTCAGCTCATTTTCTCGCTGTCGAAATCGGAAAAAAAGTGCTTAGCCTTTTGCTGAAACTAGAAGAAGGCCTGCAGATGTCGTGCTCTCTGTTTGATGTGGGAATGGGGTCCCTCGTTGTGATTGAGCTATGACAGTGGTGGAAGATGATGTTCGGGTTTAATATAGGTGTGCTCGAAATGATGGGAATGGGTTCTCTTGATGCCCTTGGAGGGTACGTTGCCAAGGACATGCTCAAATTGATTCATGGAGTTGAAGATCAAATCAGTTAGGTGGGTTGTGCATGTGATTGACCTAGGTCTGATACGGCAAATTGTCTGCTTACCTTATGCTTAGAATTACAAGGCAGTCCTAGTTAATACAGCAGCCTTTAGCGACTGTCCTTACCGATGTTTTGTCTGACAGTTGATACTATAAAATTCCTAGGATTTTTATATAAAGAATTTGAATAATAAGATTTCTTCAATAGTATAAGTTTATAGTTTGGTTTAACTATAAATTCAAAAAGAATTTATATATATCAATTAAGTATATAATACCCAGCAACTCTGAGCTCCCAATCCATACTCCATAGTTTAGTATATCAATATATTAACCTCAGCTATGTATAGTCAACTTCCCTCCTTAGGCCTAGTGTTTTAGTTTAATGATACCCTATACGTAGCCATGTGCTGATCGTAACATTTTGTATATCAAAAGTAGACTACAACCTAAGATACAAACAGTGCTCAGAATGTAAACAACCTCTTGCAACTAAGAAATTCATGACGCTATGGACATTAAGCACACCTCTTCGGCTGCCAAAGACGTGTATCTTTCCAAGAGATCTGTCGTGGTTACACCCCCTTGATGCATATAATTAAAGTGCGCTGCCAACGCGGTACCTTCAATCAATATTGCTATGAAACGGCCAGGATCAGTACTAGCATAATACCGTGCAAGTCTAGGGAGCATAAACTCACGTCTTCCCAAGTCATGAGGCAGCTTTAAGATAAGCATATCTTCATCGCCTTGGTTGCTAGGCCAGTTAAAAGGATCTGTATCAAGGACGTCATCACCGAGGATTGCCAAGAAGTTCATACGAATTCGTTCCCCTTTCATATCCCACTGTAGGTTAAATTTGTAGAGGTCGAGCTGGTCATTTTCAATGTTTTCCAGTAGAGAATAGTGCTGCTGAGAGGCAATAGCCCAGCTCTCGTAAGTTGGACCCCATACCTCGTAGGTTAACTTGGCGACCGGCGTACGATTTATAGCGTTATGGTCGTCAGTATCCGATACCCGAAGCCAACGGTGATGGGGGGGGATGGAGGGGGCATGTAGTCGAGAGACCATTCGAAATCGGATGGGCCGGTCCAATTCGGATAAGCGGAGGGGCGCCACGGAATGTTCCTTTTGCTCAACGTTGTAGATATGTTTGAATCCTCAGTGGACCTCTCTTCTACTCTTTCCTTGATGATATCGTCATCATTCCGTTTATTATTTTCTTGCTTCAGAAGAGTCGACAAGTCAAATCCCTCTGGAATGTCTGGAAAGTAGGGATGAAGAGCTCCCATGTGATAGTGCATGAAACTAAGAGGTGGGTTGTTTATAATATTGGCCGAGACAGCAAAAGCTTCCGGGTGCTCAATCTTCGTCTGTACGATTCGTTCGATAGCATCATTGGCAAACCAAACCTATTATACCCAAGTCATTAGTACTAGAACAAAATAGCTTGGACAGAATGTTGCGAACAATATCATCGTCAATTTTAACGTAAATTGTACCACGTTCGACTAAGCGCCATAACTTGGCGTAGTCCGGCCACCATACTGTTTTCTCCAGACGATGTGCCTTGTAGAGAGGTGATCTGGCGAGTATCTCGTTTAAGAAGGAGAGATCGGCGGAGTTTTCAGTATTGGCAATCCAAATAACATCATCAAGCCAGCCGCCGTTCGTGACAAGGTTTCTCTGTGCAGATGGGTCAACGGAGTCGAATGGTGACATTGACGAAATATTCAAACCTCAACATAACAATGCATGGATTCCACTCGATCGCGGCGACCATAAAACACAAATCCGGTGATTTTAAAATTCATGGGTTTACCGGGGATACGAATCTTGTACGGTGGTGATTCCGATGCCTTGAACGGCGTTGATGTTGACTCAGATACCCCGTTCGACTCTAAAGTCGGTGTTTGAGGCATGATCCGTCTTAAAACCGGATCTTGTATTAATGTCAAGGAAAACACAATTAATAAAGCGAGGGAAGACACCAAAACCGCGCGCCCTCGTATTCGCGGTAGCATATTACACATAGCTCTTTACAGCATTTGCCAAGGAGATAAAGAGAAAGAAAACAAAGTTGGTAACAATCATGGATTAATATGAGCAAAACCTGGAAAGAGTATGCAGTACAGGGAATACTGAAGCAATGGATGAATTAATAGGTTCCAAGCTAAGCATACGGCGCCACATATCTACATATAAGGAACTTTCACACCCCGTATGTAATATAATCTAGCTCAAAAATTGTCAATTGTCTGACTGATTTGTAAAACTCAATCGCTGGCGGCAGTAATGATCAACATGATTATAACTGGATGCAACGGGATCCAGCCAAGTTCGCCTAACATTTGTCTCATGCCTAGCGTTGGTTTTCGTGAAAAAACCTCGTCCCATATGGTTTAACATGATTGCAACAAATCACAATCACCAACTCTAAAACTCGTAAAAAACTCATTGATAGGTCCCTATATCCTAAAGTTATCCAACCAGAAATATCTTAACAGTAAATGTTGGATATTAAGACGCTAAGAAGAGCCTTTAATATAGAAATCGTCAAGTGATCTTCAATCATAGAACCATAAAAGAACCATAACTTTTCTTGACTACTATTGTTAATATTTTAAGATTATATTATCTTTACATACATTAATTAGTATAAGCTTTTTCTTAGTATTAGTTATTACCAGTTAATAAATTATTCATTTGAATAATATCTTATGAAATATCTAAAAATGGTTTAAAAATACTGTTAGTTTATATAGATATTTAATATCTAAAGATTGATATGGATATATACTGTATACTTACAGTGGCACTGCAGATTTGGGATAGCACTAAATGGCGCGCCTTAGCGCCAACGCTAAGCCGAAAACTATAGAATCTCTTACTATAACGGTTATATTATTAGTATTTTGGGCCCTAGTACCGAATTCATGCAGGTAAACGTAATCACTAATCTTGGTGCTACCCCAAAATCTTTGCAGCGCCACTGTACTAATGGTTAGTTTAATAGTTCCACGTCTTACTCTTTCCTGTTGTCTCAGGTAAGTTGTCTTGTTTTGCCCCACATCTTCTATAGTCTGTGTGGAGGGAATGGGGCTACAGCTGGATGCGGTGCCCGACAAACAAGACTAGTTCGAGATAGGTATATTCTGCGATCTATGTATAGTACCTATCGTATTCCCCAAGAAAGTATATACGCTCACAGGTTCTAGTACCTTGAATTTTGCATTAGATCATCTCTAACGTATTTCACCCGTGAACGGGTCAGACCCCTGAGCAGGCCACCCCTCCGAATTTCCTCTCAAATTTATCAACCACAGACCTAGGCTGCCATTTGGTGCGGTTCTGGTCCGATGCTAAGCATGGGTGTGTCGTCGCAAAATTGCTGCCTCTTAATTCCATCACCAGCTAATAGGAAGGTTAGCATAGCTCTATCAGAGTCCCAGTTGATAGAAATTATTACTCTTCCGAATTATCGTTCCATCAGAAGAATGATACCTATCCTCTCAATTCACATTCCACATCGTTAAGCACGTTTCTGCATACGAAATTCAATAATACCAGAAACAGCAAGAGGAATCCTCAATGATTTCTCGAGATTGACAGTCGCAGTTGATTCTATGCCTCTCGGCGGTTGTGCTCTCTGTCGGTCTTCTGGGCATTACTTCCCACCAACAGTCATTAACACTTCGCTCTATACTTTATCCTCCAATCTTCACCTGCGAGGATCCGCAATACAAAATCCGAATTGTGTCGTATGCTCCTCTGTTCATTCATATCGAGAACCTCATTACGGTTACCGAGAGATATGCGCTTGTAAAACTCTCGTGAGTTGTAGTGTTAAGATTAATAAACTATAAGAACTAAAACTTCCCAGAGAGCGACGGTTCAAGCCTTCGAAACGATTTCAAAAGACTCAAGCCAGTCAGTCATAAGTCCCGGACGGACAAGTTCCACCACATTCCTGCCCAGATTAGACAGGACTGTGCAATGCCTAATAAATCGTGCTTCAGAATTCCAAGGTTACAAAACTACAACTCAAATTGAGGGCCTCCAAGTTGTAAGGTACATCGAAAATGAAGACTATCAGCCTCATTTTGATAGGGATATCCGAAACAATATGACAAGTCGCCCTCAACGTCACACGACGTTCTTTGGCTTTCTTGAGGCTGATTGTGAGCACTGTGGGACGCATTTTCCAGGACTTTCAATCAAGTGGGACGTGGAAGACGAAAGGTTGTGTGAGTTTTTTGAGTGTGGGGTTACAGATGGCATTATATTCAAGGCTGTGTCTGGGAGCGCTCTCTTTTGGAGGAATCTTTTGGATAACGGGACAGGCGATGTCAGGACGCCTCATGCGGGACTCCCAGTCTCCAAGGGGGTAAAGCTGGGGTTAAATATTTGGACAGGAAAGTGAAGAAAATGGAGAACAAGCTGTATCCCAACTCTCGAAGCTTAGTACAACCAAAAAGTGATGCCAATATAATTATTAACGGAGGTTAGATGGAGTGCATGGTCACAGATCAAATTACCGAGCGCACTGCGTCGCGAAGCTACATCAGGGAACCGGAACCGCAGAACCAAGACGCGCGGAACAGGATTTGGAGGTTGGAGTACGAGCCTAATACTCCTTGCCACAACTCATCCGATGAATAAGTTAGCACCATGTCATCCGTAGACTGGAGAGAGCGGAACCCCCCGTAAGAAGTTTCTGCGCCAACTCGGGAGCCAGGACCGGGGCTTCGTAATCTATCGCACCGTCTACATGCCCGAGTCCAACGATTTCTGGCCGCTGACCCTGGCAAAACTAGATGCCTATATGCACGCGTCCATCTGGTATGATGTTGACCGCGGCAAGCATGATATGGATTTAAGAAAGAAGACGCTCGATCCCGAGCCTAATCGCCAAGTATCCGCGCGTCTCAAGTACGTTATTATGAGTGATTGGGGTAAAGTTGATAGTATATCGATTGGGGATATGAGCAAGCACTATGCGTATTTCGTGGAACTGGCTGATGTAGCGAAAGCATGCACTGTGAATACGAAGGAATGTTTGATGATTGATGAAGATGCTTTGGTTCGTTGAGGGATGCCCCAATCTCGGGTTCCTGTATGGATAGCCCAAGCCTATAGATTAAAGTTCTTGACGGGGAGGCTGATTTTGACTTTCCAAATGGCTTTGGTCCCTAACACTAGTTTCCGAAGTATTACTAGTAATACACCTAATATACTCTACAAAGGTTGTCACTACTCAGACCTAATCTATAATGGAACAGGTGTAGATGCTATCTACGGCTCTAACTCAACATCTTCTAGTGTTGACCGAGAAGAACTTGATGGATTTGATAATGTTGTATCTCCCAATATCACCATAGACCAAGGATGTCATGGGGTTGTTCTATGATCATGATCTTAAGAGCTTTTAGCAAGTATATATATCGCCTTATATCAAAAGGAATAGATTGTAGGTATGATCATGAGGGTGATTTCGGAACGCTTTAATTGGCTATATGTGATGTGATGACCCCATTAGAATGGCATGGCTGTCATAATCTAATGGCTCTCACCATGGTGAAACCATTCAGGCTATAGATAGATGCTCTTTGTACACCTTGGGCTATACATATAAGCCTTAGGGTTATTAGATATTCATTTTATCTTCAATTTTGTTAATTTTTAATTTGAAAGATTTTACATAAATTTCTTTGATTTTATTATTATTAGAGTCGGGCTTTCTTTATATTCTTATAGATTCTTATTAATAATCTTTAAGGTATTGTTATGATCGGCACACGGCTAAGTATTGTGACGGCTGGCTCAGCATGTGGATGCCCAAGGCAATTAGGGTTCGGATTAGCATGCTATATGCTGTTAGCAGCACGTGCCCCATACATATTATCTACTAACTACAATATATAGCTAATTTTTTTTGTATTCGGATAACCACCCGATCCGTTTAATACACATTATCAATTGTGTCACTCCTAGTGATTCACATTTTTCGCTTACGGAACATCACTTTTGCCATCGGGTTGGGCGTAATTTCGGTACTGCTGTAGATGTTTTCTGGTCGCTCCGAGAGCGTGATATCGTAGTGCTGAATGATGTGTGCTAGTATTACCTTCATCTCGTTGCTTGCGAAAAATCGTCCCGGGCATGCATGGGTTCCGTGGCCTGGTTCAAAATCAGAGTAAGCGTAATATTCAATGAAACTGTATATTTGCCGGGTATCTGACAGAGGCTAGGGGAAGAAAAAGCAAGCAAGGTATAAAGAGCAGAGATGAGGACCATACCGAAAGCCAAAGAATTTTTCCCTGTAGTAACAAACTGATGAGAATGCTCCTGTCCAGGTTTCTCTCGTAGTTTTTCAAACCGGAACCCATCAAATTCGTCTGCGTTACTCCAAATCGAGGGGTCTCTTGAAACTCCGGCTAAGGAGAACGCCATGTGTGTGCCCTTTGGGAGTGTATCGCCGGTTGTGAGCTTCAGGGCAGATGTAGTATACCGAGTCATTGAAAGCATGCTTATTGGGTTTATCCTCTGGACCTCTTTAAGAAATGAGTCCATCTTCTTAAGCTTTGCCATTGATGGTTTGACAAGTGTTCCATTGTGTTCTGCAAGGATGGTTTCAAGCTCTTCACGGAGGGGTGCGAGGTATTCTGGTCGCAGTGCAAGATCATAGATGGTATGCACAAGCTGTAGAACTAGAATTAGTACTTGAATATATTAAGGATTTAGAAAAAGACAAGTGTGACATACTTGTTGGCTGGTAGTGTGAATCGCAGCCAAGCTTACAAGAATCTGAGAATTCACTTGATAATCCAATGACTTGCCATCTTCATCAGCCTGTTTAATAACCCACTGTCAAATAAGAGAGGTTAGCGGCGAAAACAAGCTCAATATAAATTGACAATGTGAAAGCAAGCAGGAAGCGGATCCTTTTCCCTACAGAATGTCAAAAGTTGTCAACAACTCGTCTCAAGATCGGAGATCTTAGAGGATATTCTGCTAACACAAAATAAAAGAGTAATATAAGATCAATATTAGAGAACTATCTATCAAAAATAATAATAATAATAAGGAGATTATTAAATACTAAATAATAGTATACTATTTAATATAAAAATAAAAAACAATTAACTAAATATATAATAATAAATGAATATCTATATATACTAAAAGATATTAAAATCATATTTTAATATCTAAAATTATTATTTTATTATATAGAAGTTATACTTCTATATATTAAAACTTTATTTTATTAGATTATGTGTTTAGTGTATATTGAAATTAGATATTAATTTATAATTTTAATAATTATTATACTAATCGTTATAGTTAGATAAAAAGTATAATTATTTTTCAATCTTATTTCTGTAATATTTAATTATACTATATAATAATTATGATTATTATTATTCTAATCTTATTAAATATTTATATAATAGCATTCATTATAATATTTATTAATTATAATTTATCAATTCTTATAATAATCTTTTTCTTTGAAGACTGACGTCCTAATAACACAATAAATAATTAGCTATATTTATATTTTTAAATAAATATCTTTATTTTATAAATTCCTATTCTTATAGTGATAATCTAATTATATTTTTAAAAAAATCTTTTTATATCTAAAAATTAAAACTTATTAATTATTTAAAAAATAAGGATTTTAAAATAATTATTCTCTATATTTATTATATAAATTTAAATAAATCTTATATAATAATTAAAAAATCTTTTTATTATAGTAAATATACTCATTTAAATTAAAAATATATTAAATCAAAAACTTCTTTTTTTAATAAAAAATAATAATAGCTTATAGCTATTTAAAATCAAATTTATATTTAGAAGAAGAAGATCTTTAAAAAATTTCATTATTTAAAACTGTAAGATAATCTTCTTTAGAAACATGTTAATAATTTCATAATAAGAAATATATAGAATATCATTAAATTAAAAAAATTAAAGAAAGAAGAACAAAAAGAAATAAAAGAAAAAAGATAAAAAAAAGAATAAAGAAAATTAATTGATTAGTAAATTAATAAAATAATTATTATTATCTTTTAAATTCATTCTAAATTATCTAAAAATAACCCCCTTAATCCCTTATTCTTTAAGTTTCTTAATAATAGAAAGCTTAAATCTTTTTTAAGCAATTTAAATATCTAACTAGTTCTTATAAGTTATACTTAAATCTATATTCTATCTATCTAATTAAATAAAAGATTCTTCTCTATTCTAACTTTCTTTTTCTAATAAAATTAACTTTAAATTTATCATTATTTACTTCATCTTTATCATTCTTTAGATTCTCTATGGATTCTAATAATAAAATATAAAATACTAAATATACTTTCATCCTTATTAATAATTAGAGTTTATAATTATTATTAATAAATTTTTCTTTAATTTTAAAAGATCTATATTTAATTATATTAAATTTATTATTTAATCTTTTATTTAAAATATTAAAATTCTTCTATTTTATAGTTTATTATAGAAGATAAACTTTTTTTTTCTTTTTAAAGATTAATACATTCTTATACTTTCTATTATAATAGATTTTTATTCTTTATTCTGTCCATTTAATATTTTATAAAATTATTTAATAAAATATTTAAAGATTCTTTATTTATATTATTACAATTTCTAATAATCTTTCTCTCAGTATATTAGACTATATTATTCTTAAATATCACTTAAGATTTATAAAATATAGTATTTATTTTATAATTATATTTATTAAATTATTTATTATAAATTATATTATTAATAATATTTATATCTAATTATTTTATTCTTAATCTATATAATTTTATAGATATTATTTAACTGATTAAATTATTCTTTTAGACTAATTATTAGTCTATTAATAATTTATTATTAATAACTTATACTCTATTTTATATATTTTTATAATTATTTATTAATAATTTACTATAAATAGTTTATCTCAGTCTATAATAATCTCTTTTAATAAATCAGTCCATAAAAATACTTCTTACAGTATGAGGCTTATATATTACTTTATAGTTATATTTTTTAATATTAATTATAAAATTATATATTTAATTAATCTATTAACTACTATTATAGTGTTAGTATAGATTATTTTAAAGATAAATTCTTTTAATTCTAATAATCTTTAAATAAAATTAATGATAATATTTTATTATATTTTTTTTAATACTTTAGATATTTATATTTTTTTATAAGATTTATATATTAATAATTTATTCTAATTATAATCTTTATAATATTTAATATAATTCTTAACCTTTTTCTTAAAATATAAGAAATAGTATGATTGATTTATTATTTTAATTATTTTATTAATTCCTCAATATTCTTAACTGGATAGATTATGATGTTGCTAAATAATTTCTATAGTTATTATTTATAATATTTTAATTATATTATTCTATATTATTAATCTATCTTATAATATTATTATTCCATTATATAGTTCTTATTAAATTTATATATTATTTTCTATTTTTCTTTTTAGTTATTTTTTAAATTCTGATTTCTTAATTCTAATAACTACTGCTAAAATAGCATTATAATTATATTATAATACTTCTAAGTTTTATTTTAAGATGTTTATCTTTGATACTTTAATATTAATTATATAATTTAATTGTCTGTTTAATATATCTATAGCAATGTTCTATTTTTTTAATATATATTTAATTATATATTTATATTATGATAATTCTTTATATTATCATATTTATCTTTCTGATAATTCTTTAATAGTTATAAAATATTTTAGGTTCTTATAATTAGTTTTCACAATAATCTTATGCTTAAATTTTTAAAAATAATATCATCATTATTAAAATATTTTAATAATTATTAATAACTCTCTGTTATATATATTATAATTAAGTTTAGTGCTAATATATTTCTTTAAGTAGAATATAATAGTATATATTTCTTCATTATCAGCTTACTTTAAGATTGTTTTAATTATATATTTTAATACATTTATTTAGATAATATTCTATAAGTCTAAATTATATAACTTTAAAATTAATATATACTTAATAAGTTCTTTAATCTTTCTAAATATTTATTAATATATTATTATTTATTCAAATGGTTTATTCTTTTTTATTAGTTCTATTAATAAGATTATAATAATAGTATATCTTTCTATAAATCTTTATATATAGCTAGTGACTCCTAGAAATAATTATATATCTATAATATTCATTAAAACTAATCATTCTAGAATAGTATCTAATTTTTCTTTTAATATTTTAAATCTATTTAGTATATAAATTATTCCTAAATATTTAACTTATATTGTATTGAATTTATATTTTTTAATTCTTAGAATAAATTCTATATCTATAAGTTTTATTATAACTTTTTAGATATATTCATTATATTTATTAAGATCTTTTAAAAATATTATTATATTATTAAAATATACTCCTTAGGAATTTCTAATTGTACCCGGGTCGGTGATCTTGCCTTCATTTGTAGGCAAAAATGCCTTCACGAAAACATTGCTTCCATACACGTCCCTCTCCGTAATGAGCACGCACTCTTGTCTCCTCCCATGTGGATTCCCGCTAACCACTTCTGTATTATAGGCTTTTGACCTCGCTAAGTACCAAATGACTAGATAATTTCAGCTGGTTTATAGTTACCAGTCCACATCTATGTTATAAGACCATTCCATAAAGAGCCCCTACAATCTTCCAGCCATGGACGCCTCACGTAGCTCTCTTTCCTTCAGCTTTCCGGCTTTCCACAGCTTCTTCACAATCAAGCATCATAGACGTCGTCAAACTGGCATTACTCTGTCTCTTACGCTCATCCTTTTTTCACCTCTCCAGCGATAATCTGATCCACTTAATCAAAGCAAGATGGCCCGCAATCGCCATCGGTGTCGCACTACAGACCTTGTCGACACAGAGAGTGATGTGGACTCTCAGTTCGATACCTCATATACGGATGGATCCGATACAGATCTAACCGAGCCAGAGATTCAAAATCATGCCCGGACGCTCCCTCTGAAGCCCGTTCATGCTACTGAAAAGTCTGCCACCGCCAGCTGTCAGCGCTTTGCAGACCCCCCGACGATACTGACGAGGATCTGTCCGATATTGAATCGGATCATGACCAACCCGACGGCACTAAAAGATTACGTACACGCGTCGTTGAGCGTTGGCAGCGGTTCGTATTATTCAATCTTCCCTCTGTCTGCCTGTTGGTTGTCTTATACCGCATAGTTACTGCCTGGTAAAAGCTGCCGAAGAGCCCGCTGGTTCGATATGGGATGATCCCGAGGATGCCCTACGAAACGCATCTCAAAGCATCATGTTTCGATTCTTGAAGTGGACTTTAAGTCTCACTCGTGGGAGGAAAAACCGCAAGCTGAAGGGCATTAGCACCGCCGGCAGCTTTAAAACTGACTGGAAGAACTTCCGCATCTACTACCAGAAGTTGAAAGGTGAAAAAATCGATGCTGAGATAGCACGACGAATCCGAATTGTACGCTTCGCGTTCCCTGTACTGTAAGAACTCATCTGTTAACATATAGATGGCAGGGTATACGTAAAGTTATCAGGGATAGGAAAATGAACACCCAACCCCGTGACAACATTCCGCTGTACATCGAGGACGTGATCCCTTTCAATGAGACGATCATCACGACAAGAAAAAAACGATTTCACCTCGGTATTCAACGCATCATGCTGTGCCTGCTCCTCATGCTCGGCCTGTTCACCGCGAATCGGAAACGAGCGATGATGAGATTGCAATATAAACATATCTTGATAACTATGCAACGGAATCCTCATGGTGGGCCTCCTGTACCTTCTATTGATATCAAGCCGGAGTATGTGAAACAGTTGCTCGGGACAAAAGATCTGTAAGTGATCCTAGAAAACATCTGATACTACTTACACTGATATTAATGTAGCAATGAATTCTGTTTCCCAGAAATCATCTTTGGAGTTTCATTGGTTCTGAGTCCGCATGTTTTTCTTTTTGGCTTGTTGTTCCACGCGAACGCGTTTGAACCCAATGTCAGGTCAATGGAAGCACTACGAAGCCTCTTTATTTCGCGTGGGCGTCAACAATTAGAGGTACCGATCAAACGTGAAATGGATGATTATTATATATTCTGCAAAGTTGACACTGTCAACGGCAAGCCACGCATCTTTCGAGAACAGCCGATGTCGGATAGTAGCTACTATTCGGCAGTCAAGGGTATCTCAGAAATTATGGGATTTCTCAATTGTATCTTCTACCACCAGTTTCGCTACGGGACGGGTGAAATTCTAGATTCCACAGGCAAGTTCCTCTTCTGTACACACGTCAACCCGGGCTTGTTAGTTCTGACTTGAAGTCATCAGGATGGGTCAGCGATTCTCAGCGGAATTTGATTATGAACCATGCGAGCACGGCCACATTCCTTGAGTATTACCGCCCACGACGCCATGCGAACATGCAAGAGGCTGTATTGGGTTTAACCCCGGACGAGACATGGAAACGAGCTCTGACCAGTGCTTCTCGATGGAAAGATTGGGGCCGTCCACGCTATCTGGATGATGATGCGAAGGCTTTAGTTGATCAAGATCCAGAATTACTCGATGCAATCCGCCATTGGAATGAATTAGAGGAGGCATATGAGCGTGATTTAGACCCGGAGCTGATTCCCGCATTGAACGAGGCGCAACGAGAGGTCACCAATGCTCGACAACGGGCCCGGTATAAGCAAAAGAACGATATGCGACGAGGCTTCAGCCGGAAAAATGCTATTATAGAAATCAATGGGCAACTCTCTGGGTCTATCCTACCGGAAGATGATATTTCTCACCCGCCATTGGAGGCTGACGATGTACCTCCAGAAATGGCCCTCCTCGCCGAAGCTTTGCTCTCTGTTCCTGTAGAGTGGACCTTGGAAGGTGAATGGCAGCGACGCAATACGGCCTCTGATGTGATAGTAGGCTATTGTGACTATGAGGAAGGGGGTCCTCTCCGCGGCCGGCCCAAGAGGAAGCGGTCTGCTAATCATGTTGATGGAACGAGGAACAACCATCCCGGCGTCACAGAACCAGTGTTCAAGGCATCGTTCAATGAGGAGGAACGACTAAGGGAACAGCGTAAGTATAAGCAGAAAGAAGAAGAAGTGTGGACCTGTTTTCAATGTGGGAAAAAGTACACCAAGAAAAGCAGCCTCCTCCGTCATTTCCGGCCAGCCCACTTAAATGACCGTCGGTGTAACTCCTGTAACGACGGTTGGGAGCATCTTGAGCAGATGCACTGGCAGCGACATATTGATGAAGTTCATCATCTTCGTACTTGAATTTGGCTATAGCAATCATTCTCTGCCGTTGATTAAGCTGGATGTATTACTACAATAGATAGATTAGTATAACATATCTCATGTCTAGTGTGCAAAATATTCAGTTCCAGTATTTTAATTCAGACTGGCATATTCAAATTCCTCGGCTACTTCATCCGCCACTTCAGCGTCAGGTTGTTTGGCAGTGTCCGCGAGAGCTTTTTTGATTCTTTTGTTTCTTGTCATCTTTCTTCGATATCTTGGCTTCTGTAGTTCGATTTTAGCTCCACCTTGATCATCCCAAAGCATTACGCAGTTACCGAGTAGCTTATTTACACTGTCGGAAGAAGGTACATCGATATTCGCGGTCGGTTGTTATTGAAAGAAAATTTCACTTCAATCACTAATTCTGCGCAATACATGGCTCTTAAACTTAGCCATTTGAGTCTCCTAAAATATGGACCGGAGTAAGTGTCTAAGAACGACATTTCCACTTCCTGTCTGTTCAAGATTGTTGTAAAAGATTTTGCGACTTTTTTGGGTATATTCTCTCAGCTCTTCTAAGGTACGGAAGAGCCGTACCTCACCCTTAGCCCCCTCACAACGAGCCCAGTCAATCAGGTCGACAATATTAACATACAATCCTCTCACAGCCTGTTATAATATCTCAATATACTACTACGAGAAAAATTACAGGGGATAGTTCAGCGTACCTTCTCGCAATCTCGACAGGTTTTCGGTAAAGGATCTACCCTCACAGCGCGACAAAGCGAATGCCAAGAACACAGGTCATCTTCTGCCCCAAACCAGAGCTTGAACTCCTCAGTAAGAGCGGTTTGGAAATTATTCCAAGCTCTTTCTGATTCCTCATCGCCTCTACGCCAACCATAGAACCTTTGTAAACGCAAATATGATTCATTCGGCGGCAGAGATGGGTCAAATGTAAATTTTGAATAGGTCTGGAAAAACATGTCCAGAGGGGTGCCAGGTAGTTCGAAATGTACGGGTGAATCACGTAGATGCTGTTGAAGAGCATCCTGGCTGGTAAATGTGCGATTACAGAGCTCACACTCGTATGATGCAGCATGTGCTGGTGAATCACGTAGATGTTGGTTAAGAGCAACCTGGCTGCCAAATAGGCGGTCACAAAGCGCACACCTCATTATGCTTTCTTTTTGTTAATTATATTCGAGCAGCTTTATGAATGAAAAAGTCTTGCAGATTAAAATTGGTACAGTTGGCTTCATTTATATGATATCCCTGTTATGGTCACAGGATTCTATGAATGGTTACACAGCATCTAAAAGTTATTAGGCAGGTTCATACCCTACACCGCTCATTCTGAGAGTATCGTTAGGATTCATCAGATGATATGATAGAATTATAACGTGATAAATAGCTATCTAACTTCAACACAAATTATTACATGGCATATTAGAATCCAGTCTGCTGAGGAGATTCATTGATAATGTTGCAGATCAGATTTTCTTCTATGCACATATGTTGACTGAGTATCTGTCTCGAGTCCATTTCTATCATAATATCCCTGTTAGACCATCTAGGGTGGCGATTGTAAAGAATTATGCAGTGTAACTCCCCAAAGTGAATTTACAACCACCAACAGATAGCGAACCCATAACCATTTTGAGCCAACCACTTCGACCAAGACGCATCAATTATTTTTCAAGATCGAATCAAGGGAGATTCGATGTAATTCCTCGCTCATACCGGATGTAAGGAGTGTTAGCCAAATGTAAATCTAGCCGCAGTGCCACTGGTCACCAGAAATTCCTTGTTCATAGGAGGCGCTTTTTTCTGCGAAACGGAAGTTCCAATTTCTCTCTGCTCAAACGCGGTGTAACCCATCCGCACTTCGATGGAATGGAGGAGCCTACAAGATTGACTTGATTGGTCTAGCTGCACAATACATTGAGAGAATTAGATATAACTCTTATCGACTGATCATTTTTCGGTCGCCCTGACATACCTATCCTTTGGTTGTGATAGTGTGAACCACTGTCTGTCACAGTAACAGCTTTGCTACTGCGGCACTCTCGATACCCCCAATTGGATACAATATATGAAGGGCTGACCTAACTCGATGTTGATTTCCCTTAAAAAAAACCAAGCCACCTAGGATCTCATCCGACAGCACCGTTGATTTTGTATCCAAAATTGTGTTAACTTCGGTTCCGAGATTTGAAGGGCTCATCAAGATGGTCACACACGGTAAAAATAGCCATGACTCACTAGCAGATCCGGCATTGCTGGATAAAATTGACAAGCTTTTCGCTTGTAATGTCGGCGAATATATCAATCTTCCGCAGTTAGTTGTGGTAGGAGACCAGTCGAGTGGCAAAAGCTCCGTCTTAGAAGGCTTAACCAAGCTAGCTTTCCCTCGTGATAGCGGTCTCTGTACTCGATTTGCAACGCAGATCATCTTTCGCAGAGTGGAGGGCGTTGACAGAAGTATCACAGCAACTATTATACCAGGGCCTAACGCGGACAACCCTTCTGAGTTGCAGGAGTGGAAAGCTACGGACCTGCAGGCTTTGAGCCCTTCGTCATTTGTAGAGATGATGTCAGAGGTGAGTCTATAACCTGTCTAAATGATATGGCTGTAGCAAACTTTTTAAATTCTATAGGTTCATACTCTGATGGGACTTTCTGTTACAAAAGATGATACAATGCCAACTTTCTCGGAGAACGTCCTACGATTAGAGATTTGCGGACCGGATGAGGACCATCTAAGCGTGATTGACGTACCGGGAATCTTTCGAAACACAACGCCGGGAGTGACGACCAAGGAAGATAAGGATATGGTCCGAAGAATGGTCCTTGACTACATGGAAAATCCGCGGTCAATCATGCTAACTGTTGTGCCAGCAAACGTGGACATCGCAACGCAGGAGATCATCGATATGGCTCGAGAAGTGGATCCAGAGGGTAGAAGAACACTGGGAGTGCTTACAAAACCAGATTTGGTGGATAAAGGAGCAGAAAACAAGGTGATTGATCTCGTGGAGGACAAAGAGATGAGGCTCAAACTAGGTTGGATTATTGTACGCAATTTGGGTCAGATAGAACTACAGGATCTTGAGATCGATCGAGATGCGGCCGAGGAGAGATTCCGCCTCACCGCTCCATGGAATACTCTGGGACGTGACCGATTTGGTATCAAAGCCTTGAAATCCCGTCTTCAGGAAACGGTCACCGCAAATGCCCGTGAGGCATTTCCTTTGGTTTGTCCAATACTCGGTTACCAGAATCTGTGGCTAATAATACTCAGGTCCGAGTTGAAATTGGGAAGCGACTTAAAGACTGTCAAGATAAGCTTCAAGTATTGGGAGCAGAACGCGAGACTTCAGAACAGCAAACCAGATATTTATTAGGTGTCATGAGCTCATTCCAGGATATCACACGACAGGCTTTGAGCACAAATTACAGTTCAAACGATCAATTTGATATTGACCTAAATCTACGACTTGCTACTAAAATTGTTAACCGAAACGGCGAGTTCTCCAATGAAATGGACGAATGGGGTCTCAAATATAGCTTTGCTCAGGATGGCTATGACGATTCTAGTCGTTCCGACGCCGAGATTGATGATGAGTCTGAAAGTGAGGACGAGATCCCTAGAGTGCGGCAGTTGAACACCAGAAAGACCACCCCTATCCCCGGACTTGAGGATGTCCTGCACGGCTTGGAAGAAGGAGCCGTATCCCCATCTTGCGGCGGGATATATTCCTGGATCGAAAATCAGTATCGTCAGTCACGAGGGTTCGAAATTGGGACTTTCAATTTTACCCTCCTTTCGACGATCATGAAACAGCAGTCAGCCAAGTGGCCCATTATTACTCACGGGTATATTAACGACATGATCACTATGACGCACGGCTTCATTTTAAAAGCGTTGAATTTGGCCTGTCCTAATTTGAGGGTTCGACACAATCTGATGTCATTTTTGCTGGACCGACTCTTGGACCGGTACAAGGATGCCATTAACAAAGTGAATTATCTTCTCTTAGTTGAAAGATCAGGCACCCCGATGACTCTTAATCATTATCTCAACGACAATTTGGAAAAATGGTGATTCTCTCTACACTGTTATTATAGTGTCGCTAATGTGGGAAACAGCCGACAAAAACGTTTCACGTCCGTAATAGAGAAAAAGGCGTTGAGTGATTGCACACATGGAAAGGTCGTTCGATTTGATGATATGACTCATCAACATCATATGAGCAATGAGAAACACACTGTGCAGGACATCCATGACATTCTACAGTCCTATTACAAAGTAGCCCGGAAGCGATTCGTCGACAGCATTTGCATGCAAGCCGTGGACTATCACCTTGTTACTGGCCCGAAAACTCCCATGAGTTTATTTTCTCCACACCTAGTGGGCAACTTTAGCAAAGAGCAGCTTGAGGAAATTGCTGGCGAGGAAGGAGCACTGAAGCGTAATCGGCGCCAACTTCGGAAAGAAATTCAGGATCTTCAGAAAGCCAAGAAGATTCTATTCTGATCAGGGGCTTCTAGCTCACTACCATCCTTCTGAGTAAACGTGGGCTTGCTCTTTTTACATTACTTGAACGGCCACTGTCAGTGAGCAAAGAAGTATTAGTTATTGAGTACAAAAGAGGAATTGACGCATTATGTTGGCAGGGGCGTAAACGTCTAAAGATTTATCCAAGGAAGTCGTAAGTACGTTTATCTGTTATAATTTAGAAAATAATAGGAAATGAGCTATTCTGGATGCTCTAGAAACCGCTGATGCACAAGAATTTCTGACGCGACCCCTTGCGTAAGATACATTGAGGCATCATTATTGCCCAACTACTCGCTTAAAATTTCTGTGTAATTTCAGATCCAATAAACCCCAAATATCACTATCAAACAAGTGTGGAATCTGTATAGAGAGCTGATACTGCATCTTGTAGGTCCAAATGATGGCGAAGATCACAATATACGTTCTTCCTCAGATTCAGTATCACTGTCGCTTATTTCCAGATGCTCAAGCCACGATTCTTTTTGTAGGCCGAAAGTATACAAAATTCCCAGAGTTGCTAGATACCAGGATCCCTGCCCGATTCTTAGAAAAGGGTGCTATCTTCCAATTAGTTTAACGTACTATAATCTAGCCTACGAACGGAATTTTCCATGCCTTGAGAACATCCTGGAGCTGAATATTGGATGGTAACTTTGTAAAGTGATCCGCCAAGTAAAATGACATGCTGGTCTTATCCGAATCCGCCTTGAGGTTGAGAAGACTGAGGGCAATATCGTAAACTCCTTGAAGATCATCTGAACCGTTTTGCTTGCCTTCTTTCATCATACTGTCTCCAATATTTCCTACAGGATGTCAGCGACGCAGGTTTGAATGAAAGGTGGGCATAACGTACCGATGTGAACCTCACCATCCTCATTAACAAACACGTTGTCGCAATTGAGCTCGCCATGACTGATCCTTAAAATATCATGTATGTAAATTAATCCATGTATAATCTGTCCGCTCGTTAGTCTTCTCGATGCCAGTACTAGATCATGTCTGAAAACCTCTCTGCAAATCGTTGCCACTGCGATTCTATCAAATGTAAGGCGCCCGTACTTCTTGATTTCCGCCAAAGATAAACCTGTCCGTTCGTAAATTAAATAGGCGGCGTCATCCGTGATCGATATGCCAGTTAAATTCACGAGGTTTTGGTGATAGGTTTTCTTGAGCGCCTCATGTCTCCCATTCACAGCAGCGAGATTTACTTTCTTGACAAACGTCACTGGGTGAGAGAGATTTCCCACCTCCATCCCATCGTATCCCCGTGGCCTTACATTCCCGAACTTGACGAAGATTCTATCCATTCGAGAATACGGAAACCCATCAAGAACATGAGACAATGCCTGCTCACGAAAACTCACTTCGTCGGGTGTTTGAGACTGAACGTCGATGCCAGCGTTATTCTTTTCGACATCGCTAGGTAGTTTCTCGGAAAGAATATCGTCCATGTTCGTGGCTTTCGGTTTACAAGACTGGCTCATTTTAAGCAGGCAAGTTGAGTCAAGACTTGTAGATTTGCATGTTCTAATAACGTATTCGATGTGTGAGACATACTGGTTATATAGTCTTATGACCAGAGCCAAGCAGTGGCCTCTAAATAATGAATGCGACCCAAGTGAGGAGAGGTTGCGAGTTGGTCATTGAGATGGAACGGATACTATTGTCAGCAATGACTGTAGTAAAGTTACCATACTATTCCAGTACATGCAGCTGTTTCAAAAGAGATATTCAGTGTGATTGATAGTATGGTCGACTACTAAGAAGTTAACACGCATAGATGGATATTCAAACGAGATGAAGTGCCGGGCTGAAAGGACCAAAGAGAAACAAATACGTAGCAATGAATATCAAAAAGGCATTAACACCAATTAACAGTTACTTCTAATTAAGACTTAGTACCATTTAGTTCTTGGTAACAGTTGAAACTTTGCTGCTAGTTGAAACTTGGTACCGACTGGGACTTAGCGCCAAGAGTCGGGCTGGATATCCAATTCTCCCACTTGATGCGTTGGCCCAGAACGATAATGCTAGTGGTTATATTTTCTTGACCTCATTGCCTACATCCATAGCTATAAGTGTTGAAAGTTCAATTTAAATGACAATACTTCTTAAGGAAGCTTTGTGAGTGCGAAGCAATTTGCGTATCCTTTGGGCACACTCTCGGAACGGTCTCGAGTCTCTTCTGGTTTGAATTCAAAATAGAAAACCGAGAAGGCCCGATAGGAAAGCCGCTAATTGGACACTTCAAAAATAAATCCTCACGAAACGGTACGTGATGCGCAAACTGTATTGCACACCATGGCAAGAATGAATAGCAAACGGAAATCAATACCAATTTGTAATAACGCTTCAGATTCGTCCACTTCAGAAACAACATCCTCAACATTAACATATTATAGCCACTGATTATTTTCACCGTCATATATCTCCAAGTCATACTAGAACAGTTTCACCCTCCATACGATTGGGGCCTATGAACTGAAGGGGCAATCATATTTTTGCTTCCAAGAACGAGGTTGTTGTGGTAATAGAGAACATAGGATCCATTTCTGCTGGCACCTTTTATGCCTCTCAGCAAGCGTCGAGTAAGATGACTGCGGAGACATCACAACCCCTGTGTCCAAATATCCACGTTCAGAGACGGCAACAAAGGCAACGACGAGATCAGCGACAAAGCACGCTTTTTCGCAAAGCATATGAGATGAGCGAGTATTGTAATGCTGATGTATTTCTCGGTGTCCGGATACGAGATACGGGTCGCATAACAACATTCTGTGCTGATGGTGCAGGAATTTGGTCACCATTTATTTCCTGTCTAGTAGGTCTTTCATCTAATTTTAACCAGCTACTAAACGAAATTAGAATTCCTATTATCCCACGCCGAATCACAAAACGTCGGAGAATTATATCACAAACTCCCCGCAGCGTGAGCAGACGAAAGCACCTCAAGATTCCTGACATTAGATGAGAATATATACAGAGACATCACATCAAGTGATTAAATCATCGCCGGAGATTTCTTGTCCGCGCTCGCTACCGGGGCTGCGACTTCTCTTTCCCGTTGCTACTACATGGTTGGATACATACTCATAGATATCCTTTGTTGCGCCTAGGCCGTCTTTCTTAACCATCAAAATCAATTGATACTTCAGTGCATCTTCGTAAGGATCTTCCATAAGTTTGATTTCATTCTGGTAGAACCCCAAGGTAAAATAATGTCTAAGAAGACCTTGCAATGTACTTCGAAGGGCGAAGCTACCAGCCCCAGCGAACTTCATATATTCTCGAGTTTCGAAAAAAAAGAAGACCACAAGCGATGGTTTTGGTGACTGTTCCCAGATCCGCAGAATGTCAGCAGCTCCACGGTGCAAAGTAACGGGAATTTTCTTCTCCATTGGGCCGCAGGACATTCTATCTTCAAATCCAGGTGCTACTGTAGCGTCCTCACTGGAATCCATGGGAAGAGTCGCTTCGTTATGAGATATGCGGGTTTCGTGGGATTGAAATTGTGTGTCTGCAATTTCTACAATAGCATGCTCGGGAGAGGGTTCATGGGCCGTTTTATCGATGTCAGGTGGGAGCGTAATCGATGTTGAGGTGTTGAAAGATTGCTCATGTCCCGAAATCAAGGATGAGACGACATCGACGAAGGGTGCTTTTCCAAAAAAAGCAAAGACTGTTTCTCTTGCCACCGCAAGCGGAGTAGGGAACTGAGCGGCTGGCTGGTCTGGGCTGTAGATGTATTGGATGAAGAGAGACGAGCGATAGGTTTCAAACTCTTCCGCAGTTGGACTGTTAAACCGTCGTGTACCCGCCAGTTTTGTATCCTGAGTGGAGAAAAGTGATAGTTTCTGTGGAGATTCGTGTGCTTTAGATATGACATGTGTCATAAGCTTGTCCCATTCTTTACCCACGATCATCGCTCTTTTTGGGTCGGCCTTATAAAGCATATCATCATAAAAGGATAAAACCATCTGTGTCGGATGAAGTACATGTGGATTGGTTCCATATAGGCCGTTGATGATGTCAGACTCAAATCCAAGCTCCTTAGCCAGTTTGGCAAATTGTTGTAGTTTGTGAGCTTCGGGCACCAGCTGGGTATCCTTCCATCCCGCTTTTCTTTTAGAGCAAGGCCGCGTAAAATGTCTCATTGTATGCAGCCATAGCTGAATCAGTGCCAGTTCTCGAACGGTTTCGACTCCAGTGAATGTCTCAAATGAGCGTTCTGATAACTGTAGTTTTGGCGTAGGCTTGTCAAGCATCTGGAACATCGCATCTGGAATAGCACCCTCGAACTTTTCAGGTAGTAGTCGCCGAAATGCCCTGGTACATGGCATCAAATAATTAATATCTTGGACCATGGTGCATAAGGATATGAATCTACCGGGAGTCTCCATAAGACGTTTGAAGAGGGTGTCTCGCGCATCATGCTCTGCAACGAGAGGAAAGAAGTCCTTTGATTGCATGAGCCTCTGAATCTGGTCCCGATCACTTTGCGAGTACATGGGCATTAATCCATTCAAACATTTCACCGACCATGCGTCAACTAAAACTCCCTTTGTTGGGGGGAAAAGGGATGACCAAACTCGATATATCTCGTTCAAATAATGCGTTGCTTGCTGGGGGCACCGTAATTCCAGGACGCTCTTGAAATGAGTAGTCAAAAGGTCGTTCCATAGACCGATGTAAGGGAGTAATTGATCCAACCCTCTACATAGCGCTGGCTTCTTTTGGATTCGACGGACATTCTTCCTCTTCTCGTCAGACCCCAATCTCCAGAGCCACTTCTGTGCTTCCTTACTGTTACCAAGGAGTTGATATTGGCGCAATGCACGATATATGTCTCCTTCACTAAACCGGATTTCATTGGATGAGTCTTCTCGCATACATGTCCACAAAGGATTTGGTATACCTGCTAGGAATTAACACCATCAATCGTCACATGCTCCATACAACTGACATTCAACATATAGCTCAACAACCCACGAATCCAAACCACATTTCTTGGCCGCTTCGAGCCGGTGTTTTCCCTGGGCGCATAATAAATGGACCTCAGGGTCAAATTCCAATAAAGGTGGCTCAAGCGATTTAAGCAGGTCTTCTTGCGTGATATCGTTTTTGGAGAGAACTTTCGTTAAGTCGTCGTCCCTGATTTTGGCGGCAATGCGATGTTCAGGCTCAACGGCCTGACAGCCCTCTATTTGAAATAATTCCACAAGCCGCCTTACATTCTTCTCTTCTAGTGCGCGAGTGCCGGGTATTCTGTCTTCACAGAGAAGGTGAGGAAACTTCACTTTTGCACATCCTCGAAAATACCTCGTTTTTTCTGATGTAGAAGAGTTTGAGCCCTGATCAGGACTATCCATGGTGATCAGATACTGCGGCTTCCTTTACTGTTGAGACTACCCGCTTCATATAGTTTGGCTATGTCCACCGCTAGGTGCACATGCACCATTTTTGTGCAGATGCACCATCCACTAGTAGTCTAGAGCCATTCAATGTAAAACTATGCCGGTTTCGAAACTAAGTCCTTTTAGTCACTAAATGCGATTAGAACAAACACATCCCTTTTGGTTGAAATTCTAGAAGAATAGGACCTTGTGCACACGCACTTCTCCAGTGCAAATACACTCAGTGCAGATACACTCTTCCGGTGCAAATGCACTCGGTGCAGATGCGACCTTCCAGTGCAGATGCACCATTCCAGTGCAAATACACTCGGTGCAGATACACTCTTCCAGTGCAAATACACTCGGTGCAGATACACTCTTCCGGTGCAAATGCACTCGGTGCAGATGCGCCCTTCCAGTGCAGATGCACCATTCCAGTGCAAATACACTCGGTGCAGATACACTCTTCCAGTGCAAATACACTCGGTGCAGATACACTCTTCCGGTGCAAATGCACTCGGTGCAGATGCGCCCTTCCAGTGCAGATGCACCATTCCAGTGCAAATACACTCGGTGCAGATACACTCTTCCGGTGCAAATACACTCGGTGCAGATACACTCTTCTGGTGCAAATGCACTGTTCCAGTGCAAATACACTCGGTGCAGATACACTCTTCTGGTGCAAATGCACCGTTCCAGTGCAAATACACTTGGTGCAGATACACTCTTCCGGTGCAGGGCCATCTGGGGCTGTGCCTCTGTCAGGGTCAACCCGCGGGGTCGAGGCCCTGTGTAGGGTTGAGCCCGCCCGCAGGCTGGCCCGCGGAGGTTAGACCACAAGTGGTTTTAAAACCACGGTGCTGACCCCAGGCCAGGGCTGACCAGGGCGGAAGTACACCCACAGCGGGTGCAGTCACACTATATGGAATTTTCTCTGCCGTAATAGTGAAGCTGATTATTAACTGTTCTGCTTCAATTATTCTTCAAGTTATAATGAACATGGGTAATATATTTATTTGGCAGTTAATCAACTAATCTTTAAAGCCCATAGCTCGGCGAGAAGCAGAATCAAATTTGAGTGCTGCCATTATATATGGTTTTAAGGTCCAACTTGGACCGCTCAATGTGAGGAAATCATGCTAGTGGTAGTACTGTTAGTTTTAATTTTCCATAACATCTTTGATTGTCTTTTACCTTTAATAGGACATTCATCGTTTGTTCACCGGTATTCTTAATGAATTGACGTATTGAATCCGATGCAGTGTTGGATGTCCAGTGTTCAACGTCAAGGTTTTCCAGTTTTGTAGAACGATCTTGGAGATTCATTGCAATCTTACCAACTGCTTTTAAGTCAAGATCTCTGTCTCTTAGAGTCATTGCGTTCAGCATGCTGTCACCTATATTTGCTGCAGCTTGTCAGTATACGCAGTTAAAGTGAATGGTTTCCATACCGATTTTCACATCACCGGACAAGGTAAGAAGAACGTTTTTATCGTTTACCGATCCATGAGCAATGCGCAGTTCTGAGTGAATATACTCAAGACCTTGTAAGACCTCTCGACAGACAGTCGCGATGTCTGTCTCCTTGAATTCCGCGCAACCAGAAACTGAAGCGACAGTCATATTCACATAATCGCATTCGTATACCAAGGACACTACACCGGAATGGTGGAAAGCAGAGAGGAGACTGACCACATTTTTATGAGAAGCGGCTTTCAGGAAGCCGGGTATTGACTTGTTGTCCGGTCGCTCTTTGATGAGGACATGCGGTAAATGCTCCTTATCTTCAAGTGAAAGTATTGCATGCCCGGCATGATCAACCTCTTGAAATTTATGGTATTTGGAATCTGGGTTATCCATGATAAGAAAGCCCCTCGGAAGGTTAGTATTGGCCGAGATATCCGTTTGAATTTTCAGTTCCCCCGTTTTCTTTTTAAGAATGCCTTGTGCTTTCGCTGGTGGAAGATGGCTGCCTTTATTGTCACTCAGACCTGGATGGATGGGATTTGCCCCTATAGACTCTGTAGTTGTCTCATGATCCGCCAAGGGATTTTCTTCGGAAAAGAAGCTCTCAAACTTTTTCGGGACAATTGTATTTCTGTTCGTCTTCCCGCTCATTGTCACCAATCAGTTATTAATTCTGGGTATCGCCGGACCATATAGAATGCGAATCTTCGTCACAGGATCACCAGAAGTTTATGTAATTTCATCAGCTTCTTAGGTTACATGGAGGTTTCGGTTAGTCCATTCGCTAGCACGAAGCTGCTTGAAATTCAGTTGGTCGAACTAATCGAATCATCATGCCCACTATAAACTTAGCACTTGGTGCGAAACGGGCACTTGGTGCGAAGCGGGAACTTAGTGCGAAGCGGGAACTTGGTATAAAACAGGCACTTGGTACGAAACAGGCACTTAGTACGAAACAGGCACTTAGTACGAAACAGGCACTTAGTACGAAACAGGCACCTTCACAAACCGCTATTTTCATAAAATGGATGTGTCGCGTCCATATTCGAATAATTGGAAATTGCTGCATTATATGATAATAAACAAGAAAGCGTGCTTTGGGCGAAGTCAATCTTTATTGAATATTTCTCTGAAAAATAAAAAGACAATACAATAATAATTGTGGAAGTCCAGGAGCAGCAAAGGAAGAAGCATTTATCACAAAATAGATTTCGTCGGGTGTATTCTAGTGGTCTATTGGACTAAGCTCCTGATAACTAGTTACTGTTCAAGTAGCACCCGAGATATATATAGAGAGCTGATACTCTCTTAACTTAGGGACTGTTTTGTGAAAGCTTCACAACGATGACAACGAACATTATGGACTACACCGAGATTTACTTATTGGTTCTTGGAGGAATAGTTACTTGTCTTCTACTCCTTCGACTTACTTGTATACTATTCCATACTTATCTAAACCACATCCGCCCTTTCCTGCTCACTAGAGTGGCCTATCCCCGGCATATCACCCTTATATCTTGGACCTACCCTCTACGTGCAACATTTATAATTTCCTACATTGTGATTACTGCAGGATTGAACGCGGTCGGTGTCCATAATATCTCGGAGGCAAGTTCTCGGGCCGCAAAAATATCACTACTCAACTTAGTTCCTCTGTTCGTCTGTAGTCATGAGGGTGGTCCTCACTATTTTGGTATATCTTTGGATATATACCGGATTCTACACAGAATTATCAGCACTGTGGCATTCCTGGAAGCGTTTACACACGTGGTCCTTCAAGGAGTTATCTATATCATCCAATCTCAGCAGGTGGATCTTCGAGACACAGCAACAGTGTGTGGAGTTACAGTATGTCCCCTAGGATGACTTCAAAGGATCTTACTCATTATCATATAGTCAATTGCGCTGTTGATACTAATATTTGTGCTGTCCGCTTTCAAGTCACATTTATACGAGTTGTTCGCCAAGGTTCACGCCCTCTGCGCATTGGCCCTTCTCATTGTCATCTGGAAACATGTCGATGGTAGGAGTCCCATGGCAATCCGATATCTATATGGTAGCGCATTGGTCTATGGTGTAACTGTATTCTTTCAACTGGTTCGGATACTTTATCGCAACTTCACTCTCAGTCAGCGAGGAGAGTGTATCATCAAAAGTCGAGGCCGCTCCGCGATCATACACGTAACACCAGCGCGTCCGTGGAAAGTCCGAGCCGGTCAGAGGATAAATATATGCGTTCCTGGTGCTAGCCTCCTTTCTATCTTCCAAATGCACCCCTTTGTCATCGCCTGGTGGGATGATGATGACCAGGGACGACAGTCCCTATCACTTTTAGTCCAACCACGGTCTGGCCTCACCAGAAAGTTTAATGAACTCCACATGATCGGAAAGTATTTCACCGTGATCGATGGTCCGTACGGCCCGGATAAGTCTGGGGGCCTGGTTAGAGATCTAGGCGACTACGGTCATGTTTTTATGGTAGCTACTGGAATCGGCATCGCGGCTCAAATTCCCTACATCAAGGAACTCTTGGAAGGGCATCGCCACGGGTTGGTTAGAACCCAAAAGATCACTCTCATCTGGCAATCAGATATGAATCGTGAGTGTTTCTTAGGACTTTTGTATCTAGATACTGATCCAGGTTGTAGAAGACTACGATGGGGCGCAAGACTGGATCCAGAAGCTCGTAACACAAGACAGTGGATATGTAAGGCAAGAACATGCGTCCAGCTTACAATTGCTGATTGTTTAAGAAACTCCATGTATTCCTTTTCGATACATCCCGATCCGCATCGCCTAAGGACCCTCGATTTCATGGCGAACATAAATTGATTAAGGCATGGGGTGGGGAGGCCAGCTGGGAACAAAAACTGTTGGAAGAAATGGATAACCAAGTCGGGACGATGCTGATTACAGGTAAAGATTCTGATCGCCTTCACCATACCGTACTAAGAGTGTAAGCAGTATCCGCACAACGCCACATTCGCAGTGAGTTTCGTAGGTTGGCCCTCCAGCACCGGAAGCGCAAGGTAGAGCTTCTCGAACTTGAGTTTCAACCGTGGGGGAGAAGCAGAACTTGGTGGTCATACATCTGACCTCACAGAGTAACAAAGAATGATGCTGCGAGTTGGAATCCGGCTCTGTGTTCAATCCGTTTAATATAGATGTTTTGTTTCATTAATATTTGTTAGACAATTCCACTCTACTCGGGACTAGCTGTACCTGTTTGCGGTTCTAGATTCTTAGGATAAGGACTTCCTCTGATTTCTATCGAATATGTTGTGGACACAGCGCTTTCAACTAACATGGTTAACTCCCTTAATCCGATATGTCGAGTGATTTTCTATACCACCAGTGGCTTAATTCAACTCGACTAATATGAGGTCAAATTAGAGCTGCCATCCTGAGCATAAATTTCAGGTGTTACGATAAGTACAGAACGCAAATACCGAACGTGAGGCATAAGAAACTAACCCCCGAAGATAGCCCTTCTCCCAGTGGTGGTTGACGAAGAGCGGACGCTGCCAATGTTAGATCTAGGACCACACGTTGTCGTGGGATCTCACCTTTCGTAGCATTTGAATTGACATCTGTGAGTCAATAGACGAAAGAAAGTCCAAAGCATCACTACCAGAAGGGGATTGTTGAACATCATCTACCCCCACCCTCGTGTCCACTTCCTGATACCATTGCATCAGCTCCACTGTGATCGCCCTTAATGGTTCGGTGTATTGTCCGATCCGGCCTTCCTCCATTTTGTCGCATTCTTCTAAGCGGGCTGAGAGATTCAGTAAATCTATTCTTTGAGTTCCGATGTAGACTAACCAATCTTCACTTCTCCCGAAGCCGTTAGAAGAATATTCTCAGGACTCAAGTAAGGGTATACAAGGTGTTGTTGTTCGAGATAGATCAGACCATCCAAAATCTTTCCCCAGATGATTAGCAACTCGGCCAATTTCCGGGATACAAACCGACCTGAGCGAGAATAGTTGCAAGCTGAATTTCATCAAGACTGGCATCACAGGTAATAATGTGATCTAGCGAGGTGGAGATGTCGCCATGAAGGAGGTAAAATGCCCCATCCCATATAAAAGTCTCCTGGGGTAAGAGAAGGTTGGGATGCTTCAGTGATCGGAATAGAGTCATCAAATCATTATTATCCCTCCCACGAATTGTTCTGATGCCAAGGAGCCGCAAAGGGTGAGCACGGTGAACGACTACCGCGAAAAGCCCAGCAAGATCACAATCATACACCTTTACAAAAGCGTCCCATGGCGATTCCGATCGGCGAGCGATCATTGTGTGGGACACATTATTCTCACACTGAAATGCTTCCGCCAGGTCTAAAGTTCTGTATGAGCAATGCATGAACTCCCCAAATAAACGGTGTTGCAGTGAAGGCTTACGTTTTCTGTGGTGGTCCCGTTTAGATAGAGATGGCTCTTTGCTGCTACTGGCTATGCTGTTGGATTGCGTCAGGAGTGAGGACACCGCAATCGTATCATTCCCGACATTTATTGTAGTTAGCACTTTGAAGGATTTAACAGACATCGCTGATAGAAAGTTGAGATGAGAATAAAAAACGAAGCGGATTTCAAATCAAGGGGTGTCCGATTAGCAAATGATGAACCATCCCATGTATAAATAGTGCTGCGGCGGAGGACATTACTCCAATAAACGCGACACACCGGAACCAACGAGTAGTAGAAAAGTTTACAGCCGTCACGGGTGTACAAACGGTCACTACTATTCAACTGGTAATAGATATCCAGTTGGTATTTTCATGACCCGCTTGGGTGGGACTCGTGCTGTTTGGCGCTACTATTGGGCTCGGGATTAGGCTAGGAGAAACCTTAAATCCCGCTCGAGGAGCCACAAAACTACAGGAAGCCATCCCATCGATGCTATTTCATAACTGGCTGATCCGTCAATCGGATTTGGAATTTGCCTCAACTTGGCATTGTGCCTAATAGAGCATCAGCCCTAGTTTGGAATACATCGGGCGACGTATTTTTAAGCTACACATTATTATACCACAAGGCGATCTAGGTGCCGTTGCCTCCTCAGACTAATCGCTTTATATGTTCAAGTATCGTGGATGTATAAACTTTAACAGAGATGTATACATGACAATGTGCCTTCACAACCTAATTTGCGGTAAAAACCCCGCTAGAAGCTACCAAATACTAAAGAACAAAAGTTATAGCAGTTTACTATCCTTTTCCCGAATTCTAATACACTTGTATAATCAGGATAAGGCCATAGTGTATTGCTCTTTCCATAATGTCGTAGTTGATGGGATGTCACATCCCTGTTCGCAGCGGACTGTAGTGGTGGAATAGATGGTAGGGAGACCGCTTGGAGTGGCATTTTTAGGGACGTGGGAACTTCGACCAGGCGTAGCCACAGATGGTACGTTCCGGGGGGTATTTTGACTCTTGAGCGATATAGTGAGACAAAGAGGCAAAATCTATCCAATTAGTGGCGTTGTACAAACCGTATTGCGAGACATACCCAGAATTCTTCCTTATGTACATCGTTTATCAGTCCATAGATCACGTACACGCTGCCGCTCCTCAAATATCGAGGTACTTGAATTGCACCAAGGATGGAGCTGGAACCGACTTGAGATGTTGCAAGCCCTTCATTTGTCAGTTTGCTGCTGTCACGGCCGTTGCTTGGACTTACACTGCGCATCACTGGCGTACATCACCTCGTCGATGGTTTGGTTTCGACCCCTACTAACCGCTTCATACCACGAGAATACATAGTCTTGGAAAGTCTCGTTTGTTTGCAGTAAGATTGTGTTACCCGCGGTGACAATCGGCGAAGGTTGACTTGGCGGGCAGAATGGAGTGTTTACTGAGTGGCTATTAAGGGAAACCTTGTATTGAAGGAGATCATCCAGATCTTCAAAGGGAAAAATTAGCTGAGCCTTCAAAGAGTATATTCCTAGACTTACGAAAGATATTGTACTGGGAGAGACTAGGTGAATTGAAAAGCACGGCTTGTCCTCCCAAGATCTTCTCTTGTCAGTCTTGACCTCCATGATGAGACGTTTCTTACCTGGAAGATCAAGCCTAGAAGGAGGCCCAACTGTTGTAGATAAGGGACTTGCATTGTATATTGTGACAAGTTGAATGATGCGGGAGGGATATGCTTCGCTTTTATAGCGGCTTCCTGCTTAGGACCCGATAATTTAAGTGAATGAATGCTTTCCGCTTCTAGATTTCGTGCGGCATGTGTTGCCTCCACAGCACCTTACTATGGTATCTCAATCACAATCTGGACGATTAGTCACCTCTGTTATGGAACTGTTTATTTTGCGCTATCATCAGGGAGGAATGTAAGTCAGTTTCACATTAAACAACCGACTGGTGGGGATGGAAATCTCGACGTGCTATCGCTCAGTCACGCATTTAGTATTTAACCTTGATGAGCTTCCTTGGTATATCTCCGTCCTTTTCTATTATTTGGGATTGATCAACGTATGAAATCATACCAAATGCTGAAGTCAATTGTTCTCTTAATTCTGTGTAAGCAGGCCCTTTCCTGGCAAAGAGGCGGTTGTGCCGTGGCGGCTTTCGAGCAAGAGTCTCAAGTAGCGTGTGGGTGGCATGATCCACCTACCGCGATTATGTCAACTACAACCACTACTTCGACCACGTCAACCACGTCGACCACGTCGACCACCTCAACTATCATTTCAAGTTCTACCTTACTTCTGCCACATACGTCGACTACCTCTCTCAAGACGCATATAACAACCCTTTCTCCTTCTTCCCACTCGGTCAGCGAAAAGAGCGGAGAACCGTCGGTCACAGCGACGGCAACATTTAATGCAACACGTACAATCACCACTACCCAAACTACAGTTCTTTGGATTACTACAAATTAATTCATCCGTCGGAGGAATATACATATATAGAAACGATTGTTTTGTTTATCTGCAGTTTGTCGTCTGTGTATATTCTTAAATCCACTCAAAAATCGAGCCGATTTCGGATGTCTTTGTACTTGATAGTTTTTCAATAATATAGTCCGGTAGATGGATGAGATCAGTGCAGAATAAAGTAATTCCGGTGGTATATTTCCAATTTCTGCCAATCCACGAGCTCAAGGTCCAATAGACATCCATCACTCTCAACAAAGCATTTTATTAAGTTGGTTTCGTTTCCCAGCGCACTGAGGGTCTCATGCAAGTCTTCCCAGCTTTCTTCAAAATCCTTTTCACCAATGCTGATGACTAGCTCTTCCAGTAGCGACACTCCACCAGGCAGCCAAAGCGGAAGAAAATTAATGGAATCATCCAACTCCAAAACTTTAAGATGTGAAAGATTGGGCAGGATTGCTATCACCGGCTTATCAGCAGGCAGATCGCACCACAGTTTACTTTCAATTATGCGTATTTTTTGAAGCTGAGAGCCTAGCTTAGCAAGCAAAGGGACAAAGCGCCAGCCAACGGTAGAGCCGTGCATTTCGAATCTTTCCAAAGACTTAGATATGCCGGAAACAGTGAGGCTTCTTTCATCCAGGTTCCATATTGCAAGCGATACCAGTCGGGGCAGATCTGCAAAGTCCATGATTATGTCTACATCGCGATCAGGATGAAAGCGAATAGACAGGTTTGCTAGAAACTCAAGCTTAGGGAGTACAACAGCACCTATATCAAGATCTCCTAAGTGAAGCTCTTCCAAAAATGTAAATGTTGAACTAGGTGCTGGATTCCCAAATGGTGTACCACGGATATAGACGTCGCAAACGGAGGGCGAGAAAAGTCGCTCTAGGATGTCTTTAGGATATATTTTCATCGTTGTCGAACCGTAAATCCTGTTTGGTTTTAGCCCAGTCCCTCTCCAAAGCGGAACATAAGAACTTTGAATACCAGCATTGTTTCAAGTGAGGGATATGACTTAAGAGATCGAATAAATTGAGCTGAGCAGAGCATTCGTAGCTGTAGATCTTTACCTGTTCGATGTGAGGCAGCCGCTCTCTTAAGATGTCAAATACTCTGCTAGCTGACAGACGTCTCCCGTTCAAAACCCGTGGAAATATGGACTCAAACGAAATTTTGGTTGTGCAAAATAATTGCTGCGCAACTCGAGACCGGAGGGTGACCGAGGTGTCGTAAAGTCTCCATAGATCCTTACTCGATAACTGGTATATATCAGAACGTGAAGAAAAACAATTACTGAACTCCACTCACGTCATCGAGTATGATGTAGAATAGCTCAAGTGGGAGGCCAAGCAACATTGATTGGATGTGATATACGGGACTAAACGGACAGCTCATTGATATTCCTACTCTATAGACGAAAAGCGAGAGTCGGGGTCATGGTTTTTATGCACCTCACTGTCCAGGGATATATAACCTATTATACTTCAACTGATGCGCAGATTTCAAGTACGAATAAAAGTTTCTCACATCTCGTACCAATTTGGCAGTTGACACCTAACGGCTGGGTAGTTCCGTATAGTATAACAATTCGCTCGGGACTAGCGTTCTAGCGGGAAGGGAAGTCAAACAGAATGGCATAACCCTAGTATGTCTAGAACACAATGATCTTAGCAAGGCGTAGTGGAGGCATATCCTAGAAAGTATTTAAAGAAATGTTTCCCCTCATATCCCAGACAGTGCAAAATCCTACGAGATTCCTGATCGTGATAGGGCTTCATCAATACAAAACTGGTTTTTACAATGGTACAAGATACCTCTGGTTTTGGTCTTTTTCCGTCCGATAGACATCGTATACTGTGGAATTCCATCTTCGAGAATGATACATGGCTTCAACAAATGATTCAGATAGGGGGCAATCCTTTTCTTTTCGGCCCGGAACTCGACAAAGTCGCGTTGCCGGAAGAAAGCCGGAAACAAAACTATATGACAATTCATTGCGGCGACAAAACCACTGAATGTGATTATGACTTTGGGACGTTTCTGAACTGCTTACGCCGTCCATATGATAATTCTGGCAAGGGGGAGATCATGCTCAACAGAGGAATCATACTTAATGTATCTGAAATTGAATCTCCAGAAGATCCCTTGCAACTGGATAATGAATGGTTGATACGACTCTTTCCCAAAGGCGACACTCAGGCTCTTCCACAGTACTCCTTTTATAAGAGCAACCGAATCTATACACTGCTCCCATTCTATATAACTGCTGTAGGTGGGCCACCATATAATACAGATATTCTTAAATATGGTTATGCTATCACTATTCCTCACGGCAAAGAAACATGGCATGTGATTTTTCAGAGTAGCCAGAACAAGCACGAAGTGGAATTTGACTGTGAAACGTCAGGCCGGCTCCTCTGGATGAAAGTAAAGCAGGCTCCTCTGGGATGAAAGTCAGGCTGGCTGCTCTAGATGAAAGTCAAGCAGGCTTCCTATTTTGTGACTATCTCTAGCACTGTACGGTATCATTTGTATATGGGGGTATAGTTCACTTAAAGAATAAGAATATGTGTTGATTTTATAATTACTATTACCTATAATAACTCCATATGGCCACAAGTATAGAATATACCTGAGCATACAGTATAAGATAATTCAGCACTAGTAGAAATGGGGAGAAAGTCACTAGAACTAATGTTCGGCATTAAAAAATATACAATATAGCAGGCGTTTGTAAACTCTCCTTTAATCACTAAGTGAACGGCTGTATCAGACTGGAAGGGATGGATTCTTTCTAATCAGGATGTGATGAAGTTAGTTATATTAATTATGCTAGACAGCTATAACAAGTCTTTAGAGTCCCTCAAAAGCTAGCCCTTGAGATATATATAGCGTATTCCAGATGGGGTATTGTGATGAAGAACCGTGATGAAAATTCTAGGAATTGTGGCCCTCTACACCCGGAAGACAGGATGAAGAAACACAGTTACACAAAATTGGTAACAGATCGGTTTGTAGTTACGGAATGATCGTTAGGTGCAGATCGATCGTTAGTTGCGGATCGGTTGTTAGTCACCGATCGATCGTTAGTTGCGGATCGGTTGTTAGTTACCGATTGATCGTTAGTTGCAGATCGGTTGTTGGTTGCCGATTGGTTGTTAACTACGGATGAGCCACAACTTCAGAACAATTACGACTAGCGGGTTGATACAAGCAGCGCGAGAAGAAATCAGGATACAAACATGAATAATAGAATATAATAAGCAAATAATAAGCAAATATCTCATGGAAAGGGCAGTAAGGAATCCTAGGACAGTTTCTAGAGCTACAGGAACCGGAAAAATATAATTCACTAGCAATATGTTACACGCACGGTTACATATCTCATATGCTGAAAGATGAAAATTGAGACTTGAATTTTTTGGAAATAATCAACGAGTAATAGAGATTATATTACAAATCAGGAATTCTTAATACATGTGACGGCCTATCCCGTTAAACCAACTCACACTCAATCAGACTTTCCACGCCAGCTGAGTAAGTCCAGATGTGAACAATTTGGAATCCAGCCTGAGCGAGAAGCTGGCGCCATTCGCCCTCTCGTCGCTCTCTAGCAGAAACTAGCGTCATGAGCATGAGATCGAGGCCGGTGATCTGCCAGTCGGCCCCCTGGTCCGGGACGATATTCTCGTTAATAAGTAATTTGCTATATCCTGGCTCCATAGATCCTGCAATACAAGACAAAATGCGGATGCACTCATTGTCTGGCCAATCGTGAAGTACAGAGTGTAGGTAATATGCTCTGGCACCTTGGATGGGCTGTTTAGTGAAGAAGTTATGTGCCATGGCTTCAATTTCTCCTAAGCCCCCTTGAATCTGAGCGATAACATCTCGTTTGTCCTGCAAGATCAACCGACCGGGTGTGGAGGGGTGCTTTTGAGAAAATTCCATAAGATCATGGCCTAATCCACCACCAACGTCTACCAGGAACACCGAGTCCGCATCCCTTCGAGCGCCAGCCGTCAGAACGGAGTGGACAGGAAAGAAATCCGCATCCATCCAACTCGGACGCCCTTGATGATATGCGCTCATATGGTTGTTGAATTGTCGAAAGAGACTTGGGTATTGTGTAGACCAAACAAACCAGTGTTTGGAGGTGTTATAGGCGTACTGAAATGGCCCATCGGTAGGATCATTGGGATTCACGTAACCAACCTTTTTAAAGTACTCTGGAAGCTTGTATATGGCTCGCATGGCACCATTGGCCCTAATCGAATATCAGAATCAGGATTGAAGTCAAGGGTGGAACGCTTACATGCACGGAAATCCGTCCGCATACTTCTCCAATGACAGTGTTCTGGAAAGTTTGTTTGGCAAATACTCGTCTGGACCATATTCATGAATGACTCCCATGGCAGCGAGATGTTTCATAATCCGGCCTCTCTCTGTCAGAAAAGAAATAAATTAAGGGACTGTAAAGGTACGTACTGAGCAGTGTGGGATCTACGCCAGTAAATTCCGACAAGTTCCGTGCGGTCATTGGGAGATCTGGGCAACGGTTCATATGACGGAATAAGCCAGTATCAATGGCCATGATAATTGCGCCGTAAAGAGTTGGCTCCACTAGATCAGCTCGACTGTTCCAGGTAAACGAAACTTGTATCCTACCTCTGCCCAACATAGTCTCAGAACGGTTTCTTGTGGAGTTTCAAGTGCTCTTACAAGCGCCCGGGCGACTTGAAGCATCTGCAGACGATTCTGCTCGTTCAATTCCAGGTCATCATCGAAAACCTTTAACTCTTCAAGAAGACCAGATACACTGTCCATATCATGAGCAGTGGTAGCCATGCTGTTCATATCAAAGAGATGATGTTCAACGGAGTATAGCATGTTTGGGTATAGAGATGAGAAGATCAAGCTGTGGTTGTGCCTCCCATGTACAGCTGGGAAGTAGGGCTCTTAATATATGCGCTCTGTCGGCGCGACACCTATGATATCATGAGAGGATGTCGGTCTTGGTGCATTGTGGGACAAAGCTGCTGTAGATTAACAACTGAACTTCTAATTGAGCACTAATATGAGCTCTGTACTAATTCTGTTCCGCTAGCGGTTCTATCTGGTTGCTGTAACCAACAGGAACACAATCCCAGTCGACAGAGGAAATGGGGTGATTAATTTCAAATTTGCCATATATAGCGCCTGGTAACTTGATATTCAGATAGAAGCTGAGCTATTACACTTCCATACCTCTTATTGCTAAGATTGCAGGAATCATGGAGCAACAAAATAAAGGACCCACCATTCTCGGTGTGATGTGGGCAACCACATCTACCGCATTGGTATTTGTAGTTGCAAGGGTATATACACGAGGAAAGATTTTGAAAAAAATGGGATTGGATGACTACTTAATTGGCCTGTCCATGGTTAGTCTCCATTGGACGCTCTTCTGTGGAAGCTGCAGAGCTAACTTTTCTAGATATTGGGACTGATCTTTGTCGGCCTGACTACCTCTGCGGTGCGCTACGGCAATGGCCGACATTCTGAGACACTGACACGCGATCAATTTGAGAAGGCTGCCATGCTCAATACGGCGGGATTTGCGCCGGGAATCCTGTCATTCACCGTCCCCAAACTAGGCGTTGTAGCTCTTCTCATCCGCCTTTTCAATCCATCACGACCGAGGAAAATCTTCTTATGGTCATTTGTAGGAGGGAGTTGCATGATCATTTCGGGGTGCATTGTCATAATTTATGCGCAATGTTCTCCAACCAGAGCCTTGTGGACCGTAAACTTGAACAGCGCACGATGTTGGAGTCCGTGGATTCTTGTCAACTACTCACTTTTTGCAGGAGGTAAGTGGATTTCTTCAGATCCGGCGTCTATTCTAACGTTGTGTAGCACTGTCGGCTTTCTTAGACTTATTCCTAGCGGTATACCCTGGTGTTATCATGTGGAAGTTGCAAATCGCACAGAGGAAGAAGATTGGCTTGATTACCGCTTTTTCTCTCGGGGCTTGGTGAGTACGGTATGATCCCATACTTCGACTTCTAATTGGATACCTAGTGCTGCTGTAGTTGCCGTTTACAAATGCACCCGTATTCCGGGACTGGCGGACGAGTCGGACTCCACATGTAAGAGGAGCGATTAAACATCCCAGACGGTGCTAAATTGATGCAGATAGTACGGCGGACCTTGTTATATGGACAAAGTAAGTGGTATTTAGTCGGTGACACAATACCGAGCTAAAGGAATTTAGTGTTGAATCTAACGCCATCATCATCGCCGCATGCATTCCCGCAATCATTCCTTTGGTGGACAAGGCACTCCAGAAGAGGAAATCATATCTAATCAGTAATGCCCATAAATTTGGACAGTTCGAGCTGCAGTCACCACGATTACGCCGTATTCCGCAGTGGGAGACTACTGTTGGCCAGAGCACAGGCCAGCGGCCCTCCGCGGATCATGACTTGCGCTCGAACAGTATTATGAGAACACAAGAGATTACTATCCATATAGAGTAGTGCGCAATGGGTAGGCATAGCCTTTTACATTGCACAAGTGCCATTTTTATTTCATCAAGTCTCAGTCTAATACATCCCGAGGATTCAGTTGCAATGTTCCTGAACAGCCGCGGGCTAAACCTTGAACAGGCAAATCTTACATATCACTTCGTTTTAACAGCTGCTACTTGTTTTTACCTATTTAATTGATCTTGCCCTTAGGGAATGTTTCGTACTCTAATTTTCGCGATCTTGAGGACTATGGCAAAAGGCTATTAGACAGAAACCTGGTCTTCAACTAAAACATAATATGGTTCAGTGGTAGTGGAAGCACGAGCTATTTATCGAGAGACTCTATTTCTCTATCAAGTCATCAACCCATCGGTCCCAATTGACGAAGCTGTCGAATTCCACATCAAAGCAATTTGGTGAAGTTGAATCAGTGATATCCTGCTCCACATGGGAATGACATCCGCCTAAGGGGTCAACATGGCAGCATGGGCCATTTTGGCAACTCATGTGTGATTGTAAATAACCTGGATGAGGGGTGTCATGCAATACAGCCGGACTTATTGTCTGTGGTGTGTCTGTTTTGGATATCAGCAAGTAATCAGGTCATTATTAACGCCATCCATGCCTTGAAGGACAGTCTGGAAATAGGTCTTGTGCCCAGTCCAATGGATATTGATTTGATTGTCTTGCTCATTACACATCAGACAATTCGACGGAAGAAGAAGTTTTAGTTGATCCAATGTTTCCTGCAGTTCAACAGGGTCTAGGCTTGATAGGGAGGAGATATTTCTAGCGAGAGCATTTGCGAGCTATAACCTCGTTAAAGCTAAGGAAGGGATACATTTGGGAGTATTTGTTACCTCATATCGCTCTATATTGTCCCTCGGTGTGGATAGCTGCATGGGATGCTGTGAAGCTTTAGCTTAATCCTGCACCAGTATCGACAGACGCATCTCACAGATGTCATTTCGGCGCGATTGTTATTGTGATATATCATGGCAGACTTTGTCCCTTAGCCGGGTGAAATAATTGATATTGGTGAACGAACTAGATCTAAGAAAAAAATCTCAAGGCCATATGGTGATGCGGAAAATAAGCTGGAAGGATATGAGTATAAATATATTCCACTGCGTTGTTTCAGAGCTGAACTTGGGAACGAAAACTATCATGAAACGAGAAGTGTCACGAAACGGAACCCATCACCAAATGAATATCGAGCTATGAACTGAACCGCATCAACACATAATAACGACAGGAAGTTAGAAACGTTTTAATCCAATACAAATCTTCAGATGACAAGGTAGAAGAAGATTTCTACTGCCTGCATTCATAGAGGAAGGGTAGGTAGCAATTCACATTAAAATCAAACCGATGCTGGCTACCGTCATCACCGTTGCACACACTAGTGCTGCTGTGCAGTAAGTGCCGACCCTACCATTTTGAGTAGTGAAGAATTGTGACAAGTGGTCGCGGATGGACCGCTCAAACTTTGATAGTACCACGTGGACCGTAGCAGTCGATATAACAAACGGAGTGATTAGACATACAATACTCACCAAGATTATGGTTACTCTTTGCCATGGACGTTGTGTAGATCGGTGGAAAAATGACAAGATGGCACAGGAGATCACTAGAACCACTCCAGCAATAAGTGAGCGTCGTACAGTTCCTAGAATGGCTGATACCAATGTATTCTCAATGGTTTGGAGCGTTTCCAGGCTTTCTCCAAGTACGCTGGAAAGCGTCTCCGGTAGAATGGAAGATATGTTCAATGGTAGACCTCGACAGTCAACTCTGCCATTTTTAAAACCCAAACAAAGATTTTCTGTGCCGATTGAGATGTTCCCCAGCTCGATAGAGTCAACAGCGGCGGCTGCACTTTGAATGGCACTCTGGGCCGCAGAAGCTTCTGATCCGACGGCACTCTGAACTCCGGTAACCACGCTACCAAGCGCCGTGGGCGCACCTGCGGCAATGGTCTCGATGGGAGGAGGTATTCCAAGGCCAAGAGGACTGTCCTTAAACAAACGAAGTTCTGGGCTTGGCGCAGCGATCCCAACCTTGCTGCATGTTTAGTTACTCGTTCCGCAATGCATATTCCTCCACATACCTGGAGTGTTACGATTCCTGAGCCTTTCAAGTTAGGATCGAGAAGTACCACGAGCGCTAGAACAATTGAGACAACACCAGCTATAATAAAAACCACTAGTGTTGCCCAGTAAGTGAGCAGGCGCGTTTTCAAGGGATTTTCCAGGAACGCCATGGATGACTAGGTATTGAATTGCTTTGGTCGCTATCTAAAGATTCGTGTCAAGGAATCAAATATGAGCCTTGAAGTGTCTTTATATAGCAGGCTACATTATAGAAATTTTTACGACAAGATTGTATGTGTTTCGGAACTTAATATACGATGTGTAGAAATTTCATTCAGTTCCAAATTCATGTTCAAATGATAATAAATTGGCGAGGCGATACCAACCAGTCACAGCATACATACGGCCTTGACACCACTTTCTTCTCAAATCCCCATCTCACTCATTCGTTTATCTGGTGGAACTCCCCACAGTTCCAAATACCGATCCTCACATTGACGTAGGCGGTCGTTAACCCGGATCAGAGATTCTCTGATCATAGTAGCAGCCTCAAAGGTCTTCTCATGCAACTCCATGAGAGCACGCCGTGCTTCCTGATTCCAAGCGAGCTCCGCCTTCAAATAGCTATTTTCGTACGCCAGTTCTTCGATCTCCTCCCGGAGGCTTGTAGACCGTTGGTGCTTCGATTGTTGCAGACGCGATGGGAGTCGCTCGAGGTTGGAACTAGATCCCCCAGCGCGGAGAATTTGATGATCGAGAGGCGTAATCTCCTCTTCAATGGGATAGAGCTTATTCGGAGTTTGAGCCATGGTTCCTGGGATGAAGAGAGTACACAAATCCAATGATTGCTAGGACGGAAATAAAAGATCATATATGTACAAGATGAAACCGCTTGCGACGCCAATTTCAGCCAGAGTCTGGCTCACGTTACGGAATCTATACCATTTTCGACGCAGAATCAGAAAGACATGATCGACAAACTGGCTCACTTGCTCCAACTGAAACATCCACAACTGGAACATCACATGCCAGAATCCCCACAGATCGCTCTTCAGCAGGATCCACAGGAACATTCGTCGGCATGAACTGGTGTTTGGTTCTCGACCATAGTTTCATTCTGGACCGCGGGATTGGTGACTTGCTGTAGGATAAGTGACACCTCCTTCATAATTCTGGTTTGCGACGCGACTTTAAATCTCAACTCATCAATTTCACTCTGCTGTTCCTGATTCGCCAACAATAACCCTTGAGTATCGAAAGTTTGGCCGTCTGATTCAGACTGATCGTCTGCGAGAAGTTGCAGTAAAGTTTCATTAACGCTATATAAAGTCGCATATCGATTTTCCAACTCTCCAGCTTTCGTTTGCTCTTCAAAAATTGTCTTGAGGAGAGATTGCTCCTGAGCATTCAATTGGGAAACGTGTGCCTCGAGGTCGCCTTGTCTCTGTCTAGCGCGTGTTAGAGACACCTGGTACTGATTCGCCCTCTCATGGAGATGTTGGCATTCTGCCGACTTCTGTTCGAGCTGGGCTTCCATATATGCTTTGTAGGTAGAGTGTGAGTCTTGCCAAGCCGAAAGTACCTGAACCACCCCGCAAAGAAGACACTCGGTGTGGGTGTTGTGGGTGTCCATTTCCTAGGTCAACCGAGCAAAGAGGTCGAGCACTTGTGACAGCCAATTGTTTAATCAAACAATTCCACAGTAGGCCTGGTGAAATGAATAAGATGATATCAAATATGTTCTATGATTTGTGGCTTATGAAGTGGTTTAAAATGTATTTTATGAGTGCCGATCGACACGTAAATTCCTGGTTACCAGTCTCTGCTTACCACTTGAAAATATTCCAAAACGGTTCCACAACTTGTGCCATGCTCATATTACCGCTTTGCCTACAGCTCTCATTTGGTCAGAGTTTCCATTTGGTCAGAGTTCTCATGTGTTCAGAGTAGTCATTTGGTCACACTTTCCATTCGCGTTTACATCTAGTTCATGCATTGTTCCTATCCCAACGAAGTGGGTCTGAATTAGGGATTTCGGTTAGGTTTAGGTTTCGCAAGGTCTCACAACCGGAGACGAAGCCATGCATATTAATAATATACCCAGGAAACGGAGAGAAAGCGCCCTAGGCCAGTACGATTGGAATTCCAGACTATTATACAGACCAATCAAATCACTGGGGGTATATGTCCCTGTCAGAGGATTAACTAACAGCTTTCTGACAGGCCCTGACCCGGCCCCCTAATTTATATCGCTCATTCTAGCCTTCTGATTCTGACCGTATTTTTCTATTGTAATAGCAATAAAGAACTAGGATACAGCATACATTCACTCTAGTGTGGACCCGATATTCCGCTTTCTTCGAATTACCTTCACCCGAGGTCGGCGTTGGGAACTAGAACGGAGATCCGAAGCACTGCGATGTTTCGGCCGAATCTTATGTAAAGACTTGGACTGACCTCGGATGAAAAGCTCATGATAGAAGGCACCATCACACTTGTGAAATCCATAGTAGTACAGCCGCCGGATCAAAGCCTCGTAGGTGGCGACCTCTAGACGGATAAGCAGCTCCGGTGGAAATTTACTCTTCTCGGCGATGGAGAAGGAACATCCGTCGCTTGACCACCATATTATTTGGGCATTGTCTGAGTCATCCAGGAGGCTTTGGGAAATCAACAGAATGAAGTTTAGATGACTGGTGTTAGATCACTCACGTGCTTAGAGTTCGAATAAAATTCGAGCCACGTAATTCGACTTCGCTTCCGGTTATAGCGTCCCTTGCCGGCTCAGAGCTTCTGGACGGACTGGAACTTTGAGTCAACGCTGAAATTGATAAATCCCTATTAGATTGCTCTTCCGTGCTTTCCACGGGCAAAGGCGTAGCTGATGATTCTGTCATCGCCGAAGTTTGGCACAAATGGCTAAGATTTGCATCTCCTCCCGAGGTTGCGGCTTCAAGAACATCATTCTGATTAAGGCGCTGCCGAGTGCATCCACGATATAGCTCCGCAGTTCTGGGGATCGTCGAAAGGCGTTGGTCTTCATAAAGCTGGGTGACTTCATTCCTCCAGTTGACTAACTGATATTCAACCGATGAGATGTTTTCCATAACTGGATCCCAGCTTTAGTCCATGTCATGTGCCGTTAGTCCTCTAATGTGACTCACCTGTACTTAAGGATTGCTTCAAGGAGAATAACTCCTCCAGAGATGTGTCAATGGCTTGGAGTTCTGTCTGGCAATCATCGGCACCTGGCCAAGGAGAAAGAAATCGCCAAGCTCGGCCAGAGCAGATGAGGTCGAAATCGTCTTTAAGCAGGTGGATTTCGGATTCCCCTATCCTTAAGTGTTCCATGCCTTGGAAGGACGGCCCAACGGACAGGACAAGCTCCGTCCAGCTTATCGGGGGACCTTTTATCACGTTTGGTGCAGCGCTTGAAAAGACACTTTCTAAGCCTTTGCTAAGGCGTGTGCTGGTTAACGTTTGTCCACGACCCAGGGCAATACTCAGGTTCCGATAGAGCACGGATATATAATCGCTTAATGTAGACGAAATCTCCGAGACTGGAGCGTCGAGCAGTTTTAGAGAGCGAAGATGTTGCTCGCGAGAAGTAAATTCAGCGATCACATGCTCGCCAAAATTTGCATGGCTCCCCCCAGCACTGTTGTCATTGACGAGGGTCACCATTGATGTTTCGCAACTATCCCCAGAATCAAGGAAGAGAACGAGAAGAAGACTGTGAATGGGAAGAAGTAATGGGAAGAATGGTTGATCCGCCAACTGCTACACGCCTGGGAGGACTAGCGTATTTGAAGCCAACTCTGAATGTAGTAACAATATAGTCTCACTTCAAGTAGTGCATATACTTGCCTGAGCAGCCCAACTGGCTAGGGCACGCTCAGCGAAGTAGTGCATGAGCCATGTCCAGTGCTTCGCTAACTCTTCCCATTTTCGAGCATCTACATTCTGCCTAGTGTACGAACTGAGAGTCCAGAATCGCATCCAATATGAGCGGTGGAAAAATAGGTCAAGTGACTCGCAGTAAGGGTCTTCACTGTCATTTCGGATATAACGGCCAGATGAATAATTCCAGTCGAAGCGGGACGATCTTCCTGGCACTTGCCCCGCGTTCTCAACCTCGAAGGGTCTGATTTTTGAGTCACAACATTAGTCAAGTTTGATTGACACGTGCGATCAGCAATACCAAGTCCTTTAGATAGACCTCACACTTCCCTAGCAAATCAGCTGCGAGTGGCTGGCGCTGGCTAACGGGATCGCCGATGACAACCCCGGCCCCTCTTCCCGTTCATTGCTCACCCGGCACAAGTTTCACATTTCATAGGAGGGCTATGTGGCTATATGGGCTTTTTATCTCAAAATTATGCTATAAGAACGACTGATCGAATGGGACGAGTCTTGCACTTGACTTAAATCTCAACCCACATATGTGCTGCTGAAGGCAATGATCATTTACTTTTCTAATATGCCATCGGACACCCCCTTTTCAAATAATCTATCCGATGATTTGGTGGACGTCAATCTCTGGCAATCACTGATGGACTGGCCTCAGGTTCACAATAGCGAACCACACGACCCGGTAGATTTTATAGGGAATGAAATTGCTCTACCCAGTGAAGATCCGGCAGAGATTGAATCATCTTCAGAGACACATACTCCACCAACTTCGGTACCTTCATTTGCCGAGGCCCATCCAGTGCAAATCACCCTGGATCCGAAGGATCAACTCCTACGTGAGCTCGCAGAGCGAGTACACCTCTTAGAAACGAAGTGAGCTGGCATATTCTTCCGGAAATTCCTTCGACTAATCTGATATCCAGCCTGCAGCGAGAAATGAGGAGAAATGAAGAGGAGAGGGAGAGGAGCGAAGAGAACAAAATAATGGTACGAACGTGGTGCAGACAGCTAAATGCGGCGGTTCGAGTTTTACAGAAAAGTCGACGTGGGACCTAGTCCAATTGTTAGTAAATCGCTGCAAGATGTTGGCGTTCAGCTCGACATGACCGTAAGGGCAGCTAGTCTCGTTTACATCAATACTTGATACTTAGATAGCACGTATTATACCTCCCAGCATAGACAGAAAGAAGCAATTCAAATTTTCTTATTAACCAGCTTACGTATATCCATCTTACTGTACCTAGTCTGCTCTCTACGGTATTCTTTCTAAGAGGACGTTGTGCATCAAAACCAGCGCGGCTTTCGTGATATGGTCTAAGCTAATAGTCTGATATCTTTGTCAACTATTTGAAACCGATGTTTGCATCTGATACAGCAGCAAGGTTTCTGCCGGGTAGGCGTGGGCAGTGATTGACATTGGATCGGCTGCCACTCGTTGATAGGGTATATATTAGGGTATCGTCGTCCGCGCGGTTGAATTTAGTTCGTTCCTCTTAGCTTCCTGCAAGGAATTTTCAAAGTGCATACAACTAAATTAGCAAGATGACACGGTGGCAGGCTTCCCGTTGGTTGGAGGTGGGCGCTAGTCACGACGGCGCCTTCTCGATTGTCGATAGCGGCACGCTTGGTCGCTTGATAGAGCAAATGCCGGAGCGGCACCAACAGTTCCCTATGCTCTGGGTGTTCCTCGGCTCAACTAAGAAAACCATAGCCCTTCGAGGAATGTTTGCTGATAATGCAATCACCAGGACAGCATGCGATGGAGGGATTCATCTGTGGAGTGATGTGAGCTCGTTGACATCGAGCAACCCGATCCTATTCGTCGATAGCGATCCATGGATGCAGCCGACGGAGCGGCGCGGTAGGCGGCAATGGCAGAATTATCCACTCGTGTGGCCGTCGTCATCGGCTAGTGAAGTGAAAACACTCCTCATTGGTCAATTACTCTTTGGGTTGGCCGATGTCGTCTGCGTGTGGATTGATGATTCGCCGTTTGGCGAAAATGTAGTGACCTTTTTGGCCAATTATCGTACTACGACCTCGCTTCCGGTTGCGCTTCGCCCACGACTCATCATTGTGCATGACACTAACACTAAACTACCCCACAACTGGGCGACGCTAGATCCTCTGTCAGAAACGTTTTCGCATATCGTGGCAGCGCCACTCGCCGTAAACAGTAATTCCGATGCAGATCCTCAGTTTGGTCATTTAAAAACTCTGATCCGAACTCAATCTCAGGAAGTACAACGTCTGCGCCACGAGCATATTGCCCGGCTCTCCGCAGCCCACCTAGACGAGGTTCTCAAATTAGCGCTACAACATCTTTCTAAAACCAGGGAACAACCATTTAACTTGATCAGTGCCTCCCGGGGCCCGGATGAGATTCCCCCAGATCTAGGGCTGCACGTCGATTATTATCATCATGCCTGTATGGATGCGAATCTCACCGACCTTGACTGTGCAAAGTCAATTGCGTCGGCACTAATCATGGATCACTACCGTCCGGAAATGCCACGTAGGTTCGTCCCTTCCGTTCCTTGAGAGCAGATTCCTGACCCACTCGCTAGCAATGAACCCTAAGCTAGTGTTCCAGGTACTCTATCAGCCTAAACTTGCACTAAAACACCATGGGCATTCTCCTCCCTCGGAGATTCTCTTGAATTTGGTGGAACAGGAAATGAGCAACCAATTTCGTTTGCTCCAGAACGGAGCCATCCCGTCCGTTGTCGTGAGAAGGGATCTTATAGCTAGAAACAGGCACTACTCGGGTGTCAGGTCCAATCGACTGTGCCTGTACTGTCTCATTCGTCCGGCGCAGCACGCCACGGCATGTGACCACCCATTTTGTGACCTTTGTGCTCGGCTCTTTGGCGTCCCTGCGGTGGATATGGAGTTTCGTTTCAGTGTGAACCACTGCCTCTTTTGTCACACCCATATCTCTCTTGTTATGGACGTTTTACCACCATCCATGGACCCAACTATTCTCGCCATCGACGGCGGTGGTGTCCGCGTTGTCATGCCTCTCCAATTTCTTAGCCTTGTACAGGAGCACCTTGGCGAGGATTGTCGGCTTCAAGATCTGGTCGACCTCCACATCGGCCCCAGTGCAGGTAGGTAGCTCCTTGACGGGGCGGCGAATCCGCTGACCTAGTGGTTAGGAGGCCTGGCGGGAATTGGTCTTTTTGATAAGCAATTACCGGTGGCAGACTGCGCGGAGATGTTTGACCGCCTTGCCCGCGTCGTATTCAGTAAGAAACGTCGCCCCGCACTTCCATGGCTACCCCAACAGATCTTCGGACAAATCCGGCAATACGCTTCATGGTTTATGCATGATGGGTGCTATGACGGCTCGGTATTTGACACGGTCCTTAAAGATCTCTTCGGCAGCCATTCTTTCTTCCACGGCAATCCTACAGTTTTATCAGCCATTTCAAGAACGAAGATAGGCGTAGTGGCAACCGATATTGCCAATAAAACAAGAACGATTGTCATCGGTAACTTTAACGCCACCAGGCACGCTACAGATGATAGCGGTAAGTTTCTTCGTTTTCCCCGGTTGACCACTGCTCACCAGGGCTGAGACTACCAATTGATTCGACCAATGAACATCGAAGATGAGCCCCGCGCCTGGGAAGCGTAAGTGGATCGATCTGTTTGGCGCATTAACTTCTAACGCCGTGCACAGGGCGAGAGCGACCGCGGCCGCCCCGTTGTAAGTCCGCTGACTCAACCAGCCAGGATCCACTGTGTCTAATTAGTCAAGTCTCTTCCCACCCGCATATCTCGCCGTGGGTGCTCTTCAAGACGGTGGCTTAACAGATAATTTCGCCGGTGGAATCGCCCGCCGTGTCAGTCGAACAATATGGACGCGGAGTGAGGAGCCCGCGAGAATGCTCTCCCTGGGCACAGGTAAGTTTCCTCGACAGAATACAGAGTCCAGCCCCCACTTTCGACATGTCTTTCGTGATGGATTCCTTCGCCGTGCTTTTAGCGCGTGGATGACTTCGATGGATTCCGACAGTAGGTGGCGGGAAATGCATAGCCAGCTAGATCAGTCGATTGCTTCGAATTTCCGACGGGTGGATGTAGTATTAGAAGGAGAATCAATGTCATTGGATGCGATTGAAATGATGGATCACTACAGGAACTTGGTGATTCGAAACCCAGAGACTGCACGCCTCGCTAAAATCGCAACGCTAGATTTACTGACCGCGAGGTTTTATTTCGCTCCCAACAGGGTCTCTCCGAACAGACGTCGCCCATTGCGGGTCCACGGGATTATTCGATGTAAAGGCCCCATTCGTGCCATTCTCGCCATTATGGAACGCCTGGTGGGCGATCCTTTCGAGGTCGTGACCGACAGTCGGCGCCTTGGCTCCCGTCTGAGTGAACGAGACATCTGTCCCCTGTGTGGCCGGTTCTGTCGCCCAGTCACACTCGTTGCTCAAAGCCTGGACCAGCCCATCGCGATCTATCTCAAATCCGGCAGCAAAAATCGGTGGCGGATTAACGTTCCAGGCACCCTCGCGAAATTAGTAAGAAGAGAACAACTCGACTTACCGTTTGGCGGAGAAGCCCATGGAAAAGCAGGAACCCATCCGTGTGCTGCGTGCGACTCGGGGTGTATGCCATTTCGGGGTGAACGCCCTAAGCGGAGTGCGAGCATGTCTATAGAAGAGCGGAAACATAAGCGAATTTGCATCGTGGATGAAGTAAAGGATTCTGGACCAGTCGTGGGTACCGGAAATACATGAATGGATAGGCAGTGGGACCTGACTGGCTACTAGCAAGAATGGACATGTTGATTAGCTTCCCTGTGGTCTTTGTCCTCTATAAATAACAATAGTTTCCCATGATCTCACGAGAAACAATCCCGCTTCCTGTTACACACCAATATTTCCGATTATTACTTCATTTATCCTTCTATTATCCCTCTGTGGTCATCATGAAATTCATCGACAGACTGAGATACTCGAAGAGAAAGAGGACCTTGTTGAAAAAAGTTTACGAACTTTGTACCTTGTGTGATGTGGACGTATACTTGGTTGCCGTTCACCACGGCGATGAAACGGTCATTATCAATACACGGAACCGTGGAGACTGGCCACCTGCTGAAGAACAGTTGGTCAGTAAACATTCAAATGAAGATGTACTGCTACTGACATCTCACAAGGAGGACATGTACCTCATGATGGAGAGGTTTAATCTCGATGACTTGGGCGAATATCTTGCGGAAGCGGAGCCAAATGTCGAGCTCGAGCTTCCGGAACCTCCTGAACTGTTGTAAAGCATCCGTCACAAATCGCAGTGTCAGCTGGATATGGTCCACTAGCCTCACCATCCCGGTTCAACTGTCACGGCATGGGCTGGGCATATTTATTGGAAGCGTACCCCATTGAGAAATGGTGACAGGAAAAATGAGAAATAAGATCTGTGGTTATGATGACAACGAAGATGAATTTCAATGAAGTTTACTCCTTAGTCCTTGGCGGAGTGGTTACCTTTTTTCTTCTATTCCAACTAGTTCACTTTATATTCAGTATCTACAAGGATGCCATCTACAAATTCTTTGTGGCTAAAGCCGCGTACTCACACCCTTTGATTCCTCTCCAGGTCCCCGACGGGAAGCTTGAAGCCATAGTGAGCAATGTAGCAGATTATGACCATCTTGCCATAGTGGATACCAGGAACAGCATCGCGGCTCAGGACATCAGGGAACTGCTAGAAACACTTAGGGGAGTCCAGGTATGAATGGTCAAAGTCACCATTGTCCACGTTGTCACGACATGTGTGAAGTTAGATCTGCGGCAGAGGTAGGGTGGCTGACTGAGACAGCAAATTTTCATCACACGATCATCTTTGCCGTCTTTACAAAATGAACACCAATCAGTTTAGCCTTCGGTGACAGGAAGAAACGAGGTACCAACTGGGAACTATGTCGTGGCCAGTATCATGTCTGATCGAGTAATCCCACCGAGCGGTATCAGCTGCGGAAAGGATTCTGCGAAGCGTCCGGTTTGAGAATATTGTTAGAACGTGGCAGACGAAAGGGAAGTGGAGCAATCGGAAGTTAGATTTCAGCCACGGGAGTATGCGATCATACGGATGCACTTCCATTATCCAGTGGGCATCAACTGAACGATCAATTGATCTGTACTTCGAGCCTGGATGTATGTACTTAGTAGGTCTATAAAACTGCATAATCTAGATCCCTTCATTCTCTGGTATAGTGTATGTTGGCTCCTTTCCTATATATTAAATACCCAAAGGACCATCTCGTGCAATGATCGATCAACCTCAACAGGGAGATGTTAACCGCACAGAGTGGCGTTCTAGATGTCGAGAACTCCTTGCATCTCACATTAGTAAGGACGCCATCCACAAACCATTATTTGGTACAGTAACCCACCCATCCCAGATACAACACTAGGACTTGAAATTCTCGCATCAGAGGTTCGACTCAAAACTTCCAGTGATGACGCCTATGAATGGATCGTCGACGACCCATCTCTCAAGTCACTATTCAATAGGCATCTCAGTAAGCACTCGGTCGGTGCTTATATGCAACTGTGTCAAGAAATCGGCAAGTCGTTTCGAGCCGTTCCAAAGCATACCTTGGTGATAATACTCTAGACCATACTATTACTTCACGGACTAATATAAGCACAGCGCATGGATGATCTCGAATTGGAAAATGTCTATCTTACGAACAAATTAAGGTTGGCAGAACAATTGGCGGGGGTCGAGGCACAACAAAAGGCAGAGTTAGAGATGGAAGTCATAAATCAAAAGTCCGATCTGTACCAAGCGCAATTGACCATCTCCTCTCTAGAAGACCAGGTCATGTGGTTATCTACACTTCTGGAAAAGTATCAACAACTGTCGTTTGAGCCTTGTCTACTAGATCAAGCGATCTCGCTCTTACTGTCAATGAGAGAGACCATGGCCCCCTCCAACGGTCAAGACTGTTAATTTAGCACGTATTAAGTCCGTTGTATTTTTTCTCTCCACTGAAACTATATCATAGAAATATATGAAAAACCAAGTCTCAACTCGAGGTCGCACTGTAGTTCGCGCTGTGGGCCTTTGCATATACAGTCTTTCCCGAAAGTTCTCTTAGGTCACAGTAAGAGTAGAACAAAGAATAGTAACGGTAGAGCGATGAATGCCACGAGCGGTCGAATGGATACGGAAGCCCTATGCACCCCTGAAGTTACGGCAGGCTCACCGGACAAGGGGGCATTGGTTATTGGAATAGCACCCGGTCGCCCCATGAAAAGAGACCAGGAGGAATTGAAGTAATTGCCACCGGTGGACGCGGCACTCAATTGACTGCTCCATGTTGTGGATTGCGAGGGAGAACCCGAGGTAACTGATACCAGCAGAGAATGCGTAGATACACCGTAACTAGGAGCACTCGGCCTTGGCCTAAGAGACATAGATTAGGGACTAATACCAATTGGGACAGGAATAGGCGGTTGCTGACATGGCAAGAGCAAAAGGAACAATAATACCAACAGGAAAGAATAGGACATTTCGAAGCTGCATAGTGTAATGAGGTTGCGAGAAGTTCTTCAATGTATCTGGTTTTAGTGTTGAGAATCGAAACTGTTTAAATATCTGCCAAAAAATCAAGCGTTTCTCTTCTGATATCTAACTCGTCTCAAAAGTACTACCAGCTTCTGAATTGTAAAATATAATTCCTTGTTCCTTGTCTCTAGCAATCGATTGGTTTCTTCGAGCGCAAGAACCTTTCTAGCAGTATTTCGTAATAGTGTTAGCCGGCTTTCTTGAAGAAAACTTCTGCTTCGTATTGCCAGGTTGTCCATATGAATCGGGATTCCTTGAAGATGTAAACGAGCAGCCATCGGGAGTTAGCAGAATCCGAGAAAATTAATATTTTTGTGGCACCTTAAACGCGACAAATTAGTCGTCAGCTGTCGATCGGTTGTTAGTTGCAAGTGGTTGCTAGTTGCAAATCGGTCGTGGTTACCAACTCTAATTAACAAGCAAACCGGGAAGGCCTAGATAAGATCCGCTTTTGTATTTTAATGACAGAGTACCGACGAAACATGAGCACAATGCCTCTAGGAACTCCAACCTGCGACTTCATCAACACTTTCCATAGTACCATTCATCAGTCGAAGACATGTTACCACCAGCTAGGAGTGCGATCCAAAAGACGTTCCGGTACCAGCAGCAGATGCAGCTGTACCACACAATCCTCTCTCACGATGGCGATAGACGTCACCCGAATAGCATATCCGTAAGAGCAGTTTAATGTCATGAAATTTCCACTGGTTTAACCATTAGTAGGCACGTCCTGTGATCGATACCCCAAAAAATCTCTTACGTACCCTCCTTGATGGTTACAATCCTACATTCCATCGACATCCATTAGGACATAGGGTGGAGGCCCTCATCAAGTTGAACGTGCATCAGCAGATGTGTTACTATGATGGAAAGCTCTTCGGTGGATACCTGACACTTCTCCTTGATCATATTTTGGCGGATTGCTGTCAGCCGATCCCAGCAATGACAGCCTATCTCAACACTACATTTTTACGTTCCGTTTCGCCTGGGGTGCCGATTCGACTAAGTGCATGGCCAGAAAAGATTGAAGGCCGCAAAATATATCTCACTGGGTCTATTCAGGTCCCGGGAACTGGTAATGGGGAGTTGATCGATGCGGTCAAAGCCAGCGCGTTATTTATCCGGCCCAGGTGTTAGTAGCAGAAACGGGAGTGTGGCGTTAACTGCCGAGGGCAAAAGAACCCTAGGAGATAGTGTTATCAAATTAAGGATTGTTAGGCCAAAGCAGATTAGACACAGTCTATAGCACTGAAACCCGTATGATATTGTGTATACCACTAAACGATTTCATATCAATCGGCATGCCCGACTGATACGAAGCTCTGGAACTGGTACTCCATCCTCGCGTAGACAATTTAAAAGGCCAGTACGGCCCTAATGGAAGTTATTCCACTCAGTGTATGTCCCAAATCTTCATACGCAATATGTCCTCCTTCCACCTACAGAACCGGGGAACGGTCTCCCGGCCTGGCGGGGAACCAACCATCCAAACTCGATACACGAATATGTTGCTCGAAGTCGACCGAATTCCATTGACACACACCGTCCTAGCGGCCTTTTTTCAGTGGCTCCTCTTGGCCGGATACCTCGTCGTCCCTGGAACCTTCACCTCGCTTGAAAGCTCGACCACCCTTAAAAATAGTTCGAGTGTGGTAATTCGTACCATCCAAAACCCACCACTCATCGCAATTTCCTGCATCTTTCTCTTCATCGGAGCTTCCGGAATGTCATGGCTAGCTTGGATACGGAGGAATAACTACATTTGGCTAGCAAAGCTTTTTCGGTATGTATAAAAGATCTTAGGAGAGAAATTCTAATTCGACTGTAGACCCACGTTATCCAGCGCGGTTATCGGTCTACTCACAACGCTGATCAACGTTTATACTGCTCGGCATGGGGACTGGTCCATTATGGCAATTCTGACCGTGTCAGTCACGTCTTCCGCAGCCGCCACATCATTAGCGCTCATTGGGTATTTTCAGTTCTTTCGATTAGCTACGGTCAAGAAGGAACATGAGAGATTCATGCTGGAAGCTGCTCGACAGAGATGGCGAAGACAACTAGATATGTAGCTCATGGTGAACAGAATTATTGGCCGGATGAAACGGTCATATCTGGAAAGGAAAACATACAATTTTGACTGTATGATTAGAGGATCAACATATAGAATCCGATAAACGATGCAAATCTCGAAAACTGTACCCTACCCGGTCCGTAAATATACCTGAAACAGTTCGTAGCTGCTCAAATGAAAACTTTTGAACCCGACACATACCGTTGAAACACTTACCATTTACCATATCGATGTAGCTGAAATCGTGGGTAATTTCGATTTGTTAGTTCGGAGTGAAAGAATCAAGCTGTCAATTGAAACTTTTGCGTGGTACTCCTATTTGACTGCACGCTGCACATTTTCCTCAAGGCCTGGTTCGAAATATAAAAGGCCCTATTTCCCCAGGTCCAGTTCTTCCCAGCATCAGTCAAACCTTTTCCTTTACATCGCATTCAAAAATCTCTCTGAAATCCATCATGGCCGCAGCAGTCAGTAACAACGAGCAATTACTTGCCGAAGCGGTGAAGGCTACCCAGGCAAAGGGGGTACTTTACTGGGACCGACACACGCCTGAAAATTCGCCCGAGCCAGAAATCCAGGAGCTTCCAAAAGAGGACGATAAAGATGATGTAAAACGTGAACGACTGACCAAGATAATTGATCACATTCAGAATGAGGACGAAAATCCCTATAATATTCTAGAAGTGAAAAATTCAGAGGAGTTTTCCAACCGCACTCCTCGCCTTCTAAAGAGCCTTGAACAGGCAGAAGTAGAGAAGATGGAGGGAGCGGCAGGTGCTTTGGAGAGTATGACCATGCCCACAGAGAGGAGAGCAGACTGATACTGACCACTTCAGAGGCTCGCAAAGCGGAAGCGGTTCTCGCTGCGTATTTCGCGAAGTGCCAGGAAGAAGTGAAGCGGGTTCTGGATGAAAAGGACTCTTCGGCCCTAGTCATTCTCGATAGACACAGCGATGATGAGACCCCTGAGGATAAATATGAATTGTTGAGAGTTTTTGTCAACCCTGACAGGTTCAAGGGGGAGGGAGCAGTTGAGGCGCGGAAAGGTAAGTTTTCTAACTCATCGGCGGCTCCCACTGACACCACCGCAGTTCTTGATCAAGCCATGGAAGACGCCAAGAAGGAGGATGTTGAAATGACAGAGGGTACAAGGCCAGAACCAGACGCGGAAACTTTGGCGTTGTATGAAAAAGCCTCGCCAGTGATTCTGGAATTGCTCCGAACTCAGAATTTCACGGATGACGCTACTAAACCTCTTGACGAAATCAACGATGAGATCGAAATTCATAATTCAACACACATTGACGAAAAGGGTGTTGAAATGTTACGAATCCCTATAGGTGAATTATCGGTGTTTTCTACGAGAGCTGTTCCTCTTTTCACAAAGCTGGCTGAAAATCCTTCGCGCGCCGATGCCCGTAAAGCGCTGGAATATCTCAATGAAGAATTGCGAAAATATCTTCTAAAAAACTACTACCCAACCTCATGGCAATTTCCCATGCCTGGCTCGCTAGACGAGATGCTGGCCAGAGTCCCGACGTCGACAAAGATGGAAATCGAATGTGAATCGGGGGCCACTCCAGATGGGGGATAATCCACCGGTATAACGAATTCTTTGTGAAGAGAGATGAGAAGAACAACATCGTGTCAGCCAGGTACAACTTTTTGGTGGAAACAGATGGTCGCTATTATATCAAGACTGGGAAGGACATCGGAGAAGCCGCCACCAATGCCTACGTTGCGGAGGGAAATGATAAAAAGGTCAAGATGGGAACCTACTACGGCGAGGAAAAATACGGCATCAAATATACCAAGCAATACTTCAACACACTGCGAAAATTGGAGAAGAAAGATGGGACCCCATACCTGTACTTCTTAGGTGCAGCACGACGGTCTGATTCGACCAAGTCGAAGAGAATAATGCCGGCGGAGTACTGCGTGATCGGTATTCGCGACCCGGATCTCAAGACGGGCTGGTACGATGTATTTAAAAGATCCACGTTTGTCAACTTGTACGGCAACGACGCGGTTCGTCGAATTGATAACTACTGGAAGGATCTCGGTGAGAAACCCTCATTCCGAATGCCTTTGGAGGGTGAAGGGAAGCCAGCGGCGGCACCTGCTGCGGCAAACCCTGATATTCGTACGACAAGATCCAGCAATCCTTCTAATGAGGCCACACAATCTCTTCGCAACGATTTGGATAAGCTTCGTGACGAAGTAAGCTCGATCAAGGCGGCTACTGATAGGGTATTATCGTTCGAAGAAAAGATGGCCGAGCTGATGACCAAGATGGGGGAGCTGACCACTTCCATCAACGAAATGAAGCAGAAATAGGTGAATATCTTGCAGGATGCCTTGTCGTTCGAGGCTGTTTTAGGCTGATTGTGGCTTTTTGAATTTCAAGTTTATTCTTCTGTTGAGTGTACCGTAGCTTGTATATATTGCTAGTAGTTGAGACAAATAGCGAACAATAAATATGAAATCCATAATTCAAAACGTCCCGCTGGGATGCTGTTCTTGGAGCATGTTCAACCAAGCAGCCACAACAAACGTTAACCTCCGTGAACTCTTCACAGTTGCTCATTACTGCAAACAAATTGACCGGCAGGGCAAGCGCGGACAAGACCAGAATGTTCCGGACTTGGCCGACGAAAGAGCCTGATTAGCATAGATCAGCCTGGAGACCCACCTGTACCTGGCATAGGCGTGTACGTCAAAGCATCCCAAAAATGAGACGCGAACCTAAATACACTTATGCATTCAAGTGGATCTCGGTCTAGCGTAAGTGTCAGAGCTAGTAAGAGAAACGATCGACGCATCGCGCTTAGACCCCATCGTGCACGGGCGATACGCCGGACTATCCGTGACCCATGGTTCATGCTGCTTAGTGCATTTCTCGGCTGGGTCAGGGTGGCAATCGTGCACCCTGCTCCACAGTACCTCCGTACACGGCATCGCAGGTCCCATCCAATGCAACCGAAAAAATCCCGAGCTTTACTAGCTTCTCACAGCATGGTCCGCGTTCCGGATGTGTGTATTGGGTAGGGAAATAATGGCTTGACGTGCCCATCTACTCGATGTAGATTTATCGTCACATCTCAGCGACGAGAAAGGTCACAAAAGGCTCTAGTACTAAGAACCTATTGATCTATCCCTATTCCATAGCCCTGTGCGATATATGTTGGTCTAATCTCAGCTGAAGTATTGGCGAGATGAATTACTGCTATCCTCATTTCCCTGCTCGTGTAAGATTATTGTGCTATCCTGCAATCCCCGTGTGACCTACTTACTGTTCGACAACATATTGGCTAATGTTAGCTCAGCAATCGAATCAAGAAGGTGTTGACTCGACCTATGGCGAGTCTGTTGCAGACACGAGCGAATCATTGCGATCGTCGATTTTCCATTACCAGTACGAAAATGGACGTAGATATCATAGTTTTCACAAAGGCAAGTTCCAGGTTGGTTTCCTTTAACACAACCTATCCTGATTACCTCCCAGGCTCGTACGCGATGCCGAACGACGAAACCGAGCAAGACCGTCTCGACCTGCAACACCACATTTACCTACTCTGTCTGGGTGGCGAACTGCACCTGGCACCCCTTTGCGACCCGCAACGTGTGCTCGATATCGGCACAGGTACAGGTCTCTGGGCGATGGAATTTGCAGATCGATTTCCGGGCTCTATAGTCATCGGAACCGATCTCACGCCCATTCAACCCCGGTTTGTCCCACCTAACCTCAAGTTTTATATCGATGATATGGAGCTTCCATGGGCCTACGGCAAGGACGAACGATTTGATTACATCCACTGGCGGTCGCTCGGTGGTAGTACCGGTAATTGGCATCGATTATATGAGCAAGCTATGGAGAGCCTCAATCCCGGTGCTTATCTGGAAGTACACGAACATGATATGTGCGTGTATAGTGATGATGATCAGAATCTTGACAAAGCCCCGTGGACGAAAGAATGGCTGAGGCGACTGTCAGAGGCCTCAGTGCAGAATGGCAAGCCGATTGACGTAGCGTGTTACCAAAGGCAATTGATGGAAGATGCTGGTTTGGTTGATGTGACTGAAAAGATCGTCAAGGTGCCCATCGGGCAATGGACGCGAGACTCCCACCTCAAAGAGATCGGTAGTTTTGAGCGGTTACATATGAACGTTTCGGTAGAGGCATATTCGTTGGCCCTTTTTACACGTCTGCTTGGTTATAGCTATGACCAGGCTAATGCCTTGTTCGCGATGGTGTGTAACGAGATGAACGATCGCAGTCTACATTTATATACTATGTACAGGTTTCTCATTGGAAGAAAACCGTTAGGTGCGTGATATGGATGTTGTGCCATTATGCTTGCCCATGGATATTTGTGAGCTATTCTCAACCTATAAATATCCAGCTGAACAAAGCAACAAGTCCCTTCAATATCTACCATGGTTCCATAATAAAAGACACCATCCATGCACTGTTTCATCTAGTCGACGCAGAGCGGGCCAAGAATATACAGATGGTAACGCGACTAATGATGTCCTCCAGTGGACTCCATTAACGGTCATTGTGTTACCTGTGGCACTGTCTAGAGGAATTTATTGTAATGCCGCATAATCTTTTATACGTCTGTTTTCCTCTGTCTTGCCGAATCGTATCTTAGCACTAGCCTGAAATACATACAACTCTCCAGATGTCAGCACTCTATGTTTCATAGGATCATGATCGAGGTAGATTTTCTTCGCTAACTAAATCCTTCACTCCACTAACGCCAAAGTCACCCAACCATCATCCCGGAAAATGGATTCTTTAATAACAACAGTGGAGGACACCATTCTACTTCTAACAACGCAAATACGTCATATCGATACCAATAAAACCAAATTTACAATAAAATTCAGCAAGGGGTTTCAACGTCGTCCTGTTGGTAGAATTGGTGCAGGTTAGCATTATGTTGTATCAGTCACCCATTTTGTGTCAACTACTCATTTGGTAGTAACTACTTGTGTGGTACTACTCGTATAATATTAACTACTTGTTTGATGCCAACTGGGCGAGTTGAACTAAAAGTTATGCCGACATAACAACAGTTTAGAGTACCTCTGGCAGAGCTAAATACTAACCAGCTCATTCACCTCCTGTTTATATATATTCGTTCTCCCTCTTGCTTTTATAACAATGACTTATATTTATCCCCTCTTTAGCAATAGCGCTCTGATTTCGCTCTAGTCATTCGTAATGAATCATTCGCGACAGTCTTGAACGTGTTTCGACCCTAGAACGTTGTCTATTGCAAGAGAAGCTCCCTTTACCTGCATTCTTCTCTCGGCATACATCCAACTCGAATATCCCAGCTACGTCGTATCCAATTCCAGCAACGGATCTATCCCACATCCCAAGCTCTCTCATCACACAACCGAAAATAGCCCTTTCACATCAAAAAAAGGAAGAGAAGACAGCAAATGGAAGATCACCAAACGGCTGCACTCTCAAATTTGAGAGACGTTACCCCATCACCTAGTTCGGGAATGGATTTTCTAAGATCTCTAATGCGCAAATCTGGCCAATATGTAAGTGATGATGACCTGCACACTATCCAGGAACTGGGTGATATAATCGTAGGCGATACAGTCGCCGTTTTGGATCACTGGAATGAGTGGCTGGAGAACAATCTTCATCACAGCTGCATATCTCTCCCGCCATTTGACAGGTTTTCCTCGGCAGACATTTGTGTTGCCATGTTTCGCTTTCTGAGGGAAACTGACAGCAATACACATCGGAAAGCAATCCTTCGCCGTCTAGCGCGAGTGCTTCTTCATATATTCGTCGCGGAGTCTGTTAAAGAGCTGGAATCAAGGGAACGCAACGGCGAAGTGTTCGACCGTAACGGACGCAAAATGACCACTGTTGCCCATGACCTCATAATAGAAAAGATTGACCGGTCGAGAGTCGATGATCAGATGTGTGAACGCAGCCAAATCTCGGAGGCAAAGAGTTATGGCAAGCGATGGTGGAGACTTGGAAGTGGCATTGGAATCATCGCTATTCTTGTCTGTGCACCAGACGTGGCGGCCAGCTATATGTACGTTACTACTTACCAAACCCTGAAAAATCCATGCTTATTGTACTAGCGAGAGTCGTCGATTCCACGATAACGCCTTGGATCTCCTGATCAATTACATGAGAAACGTATATCCGACCGCCCTGGCCCATTTCCAGTCTTTTGACCAAATTCTTCATCACGTCTTGGTTGACGGCTCACTGGCCGCAAATCATATTGCCAGTGCCATGGCTCGTCCAGCTCTCTCGGACTTGCTTGGGAAATCTCTTCCCGAAAGCCCTCGCTGGTCCAACACCCAGGAGATCATGACTGCTGCAACCGAGGGTTTAGTGCGCGCCTTTAAATATCACTAGCAGTGGCTATCTGTCAAGCAGTACGACAAGGCAGGTCTATAGCCATCTTATGCTTTTGCGTAAAAAACCAATCAAACGGCGCAAAGGGGTTGACAAAATCGATCCATATTCTATCAACTCCCGGGCTTTCTGTTTCTACATAATGTTAGATCTCCTGATGAATAAATATCACCTGATTTCTGATCAATTCATTTCTGTGCTTCACATAATGCTGGCTTGATGCACTTGTATAGCCTAAATTCGATCTTTTACCTTTGATGATTGGATCGAGATCAAAATGCATTTCATCTTTCATTGTGTTAACCAGAATCTTGACATTGATAATAGCACACTGAGCTGTTATGTCCCGCCTGTCTATATCAACTACTGCTTTCGTATTAGCGACCAATTTCGTATTCCCATTTCGTATTAACTACCCGTTTCGTATGAACTACCCGTTTCGTATGAACTACCCAAAAAACACCACACTCAGCTCAAACTTAATTTTTGAAATTACCCCACAACATTGTACTAAATTAAGCTCAGGCTGAGGTCATTTTATTGGCCAAATTGCAGGCTTTATTTTGAAGCCCGACAATTATGGTTAATAAGGACACGTGGCCGTCGGTCGGCTTTCAGCCCCCTAATTGCAACGAGCATGCCGCCCAACTCGTAGCAGATGCGACAGCCTTGCTAACCCTGGACGCGACACTCCGCAAAGATCTACCTGATACACTGTTTGAATCCTTTCTTAACAGCGTAAAAGACTTCGCCGAAAAAACCCAGACCGAACCGTCACTTCGTGAGATCATCGACAAATTGAACCAGCTTCACCACATCACCCAGTCAACCATCGCAGAAGACATCAACAGGATCAAGAACGCCGTCCAACCAACAGGCCCGGAAGCCAGAATTACAACCTGGAGCGACAAAGTGAGGTATGGAGCATCACCCTCTCAACCACTGTCACCACCGACAACTACACCAACAACAATAATCAGCAAGGAACGTGAAGTCATCATTAAAATCAAAACTCCGGAATCAGCAGCACTCCTTCGCCAAAAATCCCCGCAAGACATACTTAATCGAGTTAATGGAGCACTGCAACAGCAAGCGCACTCCCCTGGGCAGAGCCCAAGGGTCGTGGCGGCGAAACAGCTGAAGAGCGGCGACATCTCCATACATACAGCCACGACCTCAGACGCCGACCTCCTTCGAAAGAATTCTGACACATGGGTACAGTCACTTGGAAGCGATGCAAAGGTTCTGGTCCCCACATACGGAGTACTAATGCATGGAGTGCGAACTGACAAAAACAACATTGATCCAAACAAACAAAAGGAATCTATCGAAAAGGTACAAACGGAAAATGCGGCACTTCATCCCGGAGCGAAAATATCATATGTAGGGTGGTTGACCAGGAATGGAAGTGCAAAGACGGCCTCCGCTCTGGTGGTGGAATTCGCAACCAAAGAACAAGCAAACAGGGCTATCAACGAAGGATTAGTCCTCGGAGCCTGCCACCACGATTGCGAACTCTATGACAGGGCTTGCAGGTTGAAACAATGCTACAACTGCCAAGGATATGGACACATCGGAACTCAGTGTTCTGCCAACCCCAAATGCGGCCACTGTGCAGAATTTCATGATTCACGACAATGTCAAAAGAGAACGGAAACAGACTTTGAGCCCACTTGTGCACTATGCAGAGAACGACACACAGCATGGAATAAGAAATGTGTGTATAGGGAAAGAGAATTGAAAAGAGTGGAACAAGCGAGGAGATCCAAGCCCAAATTATACCACACCAGCAATGCGAGCAACCCACCTACAAAAATTGGCAGTGCAACGACCGTAAACTGCATTACAGAAAACGTCCAATTACCACGGCCACAGATCTTGCATAGTTCGGTGACAAACCCAAGCCCACGGTCGCAAAGAAATGAAAGAGCCACCACAAGATCAAGAAACATTCTCCAAGGAGCTGCGCGCTCGTCACAACAACCTGCTGACTTTGTTGTTCTCACTCCCAATGACGGAGACGTTTTTACACACATCCAAGCCCATAATCTTGTCCCCGCAGTGGAAGGAAGAGAACGAGAAAAGAGAAGAGAACAGCCAGAGTCGGTGTGGGTTGGCCGAACAAGATACACACGGGCTACTTCGACACAAGCACAAAACCCTGAAGAAGAAAGCCAATCATCAGCTCAAATGCCCATCGATCCACGAATCCTAGGTCCACAAATCCCAGACTCACAACCCGTTGTCAGCAATGAATAAAGCAATTACACTATCAATACTGCAGTACAATGTTCGAAAATCAAAAGATGCAGTGATGGCAAGTCTTCTCAGGGATGAGAGACTAGATGAATTCGACATTATTGCCATCCAAGAACCCTGGCGCAACCCCTTTCGCAACACTACCCATAATCCGATCAGCCAATCTTTTGACCTTCTCTATCACAACGATCATAACACCAGGACATGCATGTTTATAAACAAAAGGATTCACAACGCTAATTGGACGCCGGCCTTTCACTCTCCTGATCTCCAGACGGTCACAATACGAAATATCAATGGACAAGATGATGACACAATCCATATTCACAACGTATACAACCCCGGACCCGGCAGCGGACTAAGCACTCTTCCACTACTTGGGGATGTCCTTGCAGCAAAACCAACTGATCATCATATTGTTCTGGGAGACTTTAATCTCCACCATCGCCTCTGGGGAGGGGAAGGGGTTCCCACCCAGCATAAGGAAGCGGATGAGCTCATCAAGCTAATGGGCCAATACCATATGGACCTGCTCCTCCCTGCCGGAAGCATTACCTTTGAAGAAAACGGAGAATCTACAATCGATCTCGTCTTCGGCACACCATGGATTCAGGAAAGAAAGATCTTCTGTGGATTACGAGAGGACTTTGACCACCAATCCGACCACCTACCAGTTGCAACCGTCATCATGGCTAAAGTGAACGAGGCTCAACCCCCAGAAAAATGGTTATGGCAACGCACCGACAAAGCTATCCTAGAACGCAAACTGGCGGAACATCTACCATCGCTCGATCCACTACATTCAAAAGAGGATATTGACCAACGTACACAGGAATTGGTTGATGCAATAACACAGGCCATTGCTGCGTCCACTCCAAAAGCCCGGCCCTGCACCCGATCGGTTCATGGATGGACAGAGGAATGTAAACAGGCAGTGAAAACTGCAAGGCGACTGCGACGGAAATACAAAAGAACGCGGCTGAGAAGCGACTGGGAAGCATACTGCCAAGCGCGAAACCACAAAGCTCGATTAGTCAAAAAGACCCTCCGAGACACGCACCGAGCTAATGTGAAGGAAGCAGCCAATACACAGGATGGTCTCTGGCAACTAGTTCGATGGGCGCGGAATCAGGGACCGCGCCAGCCCTACACGCCAGCCCTCCGTAGGGCAAGCGGAGAACTGGAACATGACCACCGGGCTAAAGCAAATATGCTGAAGGAAGCCTTCTTTCCCCCCTCCCCAGATGTGGACCTAACCGATCTGAAAGACTACTCGTACCGGGAACGACCAGCCCTTCCACCCATCCAGGAGCGAGAAGTGATCCGAGCTATCAAATCGATGGCACCTAAAAAAGCACCAGGACGAGATGAAATCCCCGCGTTTCTTCTCCAGGATCTACTCCCACAGCTCTGCCCGCACTTAGTCCAGCTCTACAACGCCTCGGTAAACCTTCAATACTGCCCAAAACACTTTCGGCAATCTACAACCGTGGTCATCCCAAAACCAAACAGAGAAGACCGATCCGCTATTAAATCATACCGCCCAATAGCCCTCCTCAATACACTGAGCAAAGCATTGGAACGAATACTGGCAGAAAGGATTGCATACCAGGTGGAAAAATACCGTCTGTTACCCCAACAACACTTCGGAGGACGAAAAGGCCTATCAACTGAACATGCAATACACAATCTCACCAACCAAATTCATGAGGGCTGGAACCATGGACATGTAGTGTCAATGCTGCTTCTAGATGTGTCTGGAGCGTTTGATCATGTATCCCATCCTAGACTACTACACAATCTCCGAAAGCGCGGGATCGATGACAAGATGGTTGGGTGGATCGCAAGTTTCCTACATAATCGCACGACAGTCATCCGGCTTCGAGAATACACATCAAACCCCCTAAGTGTGAGCATCGGGATTCCCCAAGGTTCATGTATCTCATCCATCCTCTACCTTTTCTATAGCGCCGACAACCTCGAGGAAGCGACCCGGAATATCCCTGCAACGGCAACCGGAGGATACATCGATGACACATATTTCCTCGCCCACAGCACCTCCACTGAAGAAAACTGTCGAAAACTCAGAGAGATGCACGCCAAAGCGGAAGTATGGGCCAGAACCCATGGCTCACGATTCGATCTCAAGAAATACAGATTAATACACTTCACCCGCAACTCGAGAAAATACAACGTGAAACAAAACCTGATACTATCCAACGCAACCATTGAGCCTTCAAACATCGTGCGCTACCTCGGGATCAAGCTGGACCACCAGCTAAAATGGTGGCCACATGTCCAATTTGCAAAAGAAAAGGCAGTACTGGCTCTTGGTGCCTTAACATCCATCGCAGGCTCCACATGGGGAGCAAGACTCATCATGCTTCGCCAAACCTACCAAGCCCTCATTCTACCCATAATTGCATACGGATGCTCGGTTTGGTACACACCACAAGGAGAACCTGGACATACAAAGAAAGTGCGAATGCAACTAGCTAGAATACAAGCCGAAGGGGCAAGAATCATATCAGGCGCGTATCGAGCGACGTCAACAGCGGCACGGGATATTGAACTCTTCCTCCTTCCCATCAACTTGTACCTTGAGAAGAGAGCGTTTGAAACAGCAATAAACATCAGAACAGGCTCAACACGCCTACTTTCTTCCAATATATTCTTCCACAACATACCATCCGATGCACCGGCATCAGGCAGGGGAATAACACACCTTCATGCAACACACAAAAGCCCACTCAAAACTCTGGATCTCAACCTCCAAAAGAGACTTGGCACAGACATAATGAACAACCTTGAAATCCGCGAACCGTTCGCAGTGGAGCCATGGTGGGCCCCACCACCGATCCACATCGAAGACGACCGGGACAAGGCCATGACGAAACATCAGAGAATCACGACGTCGGAACCTCCACCACTAGCAATATACACGGATGGCAGTGGTATCAACGGAAAAGTGGGAGCAGCGGCAGTGGCACCGGCGATTCATGCTCATCAAACAGCCTTCCTAGGTAAAAGGAGCACGGCCACAGTATATGCGGCAGAACTAGTGGGCATTTTAATGGGCCTCCATCTCGCTCTCAGAGCAAATAAGCATAAGGCGGCCATCTTCGCGGACAACCAAGCTGCTCTACAATCCATAGGACGACCGGGAAGACAATCGGGACAACACATCATTAAACTCATCATTAATGCACTGGTACAAGCAAATCTCAAGGGCCTAGATATACAACTGCATTGGATACCCGCACACCAAGAAATAGAAGGTAATGAGCTAGCTGACAAACTCGCTAAGGAAGCCACCGGCTGGAAGCAGAAACATGACAGAAGAGGACGGCTAGTCGAACACGACACCAGCAATACCGCTCAAACACCTCCTTATGTAAAAAATCTCAAATCAGCTTTAAAGACAGAACTAAATCAACAAATGAGATCAGCTTGGTCCCAGGAGTGGGATCAAGAGACGAAAGGTCGGACCACATACCGCTTAACACCATCTCCATCCAAAGAAGTGTTACACCTCCACTCCTCGATCTCCAAACCCCTCAGCTCCATCATCATACAAATGCGGACTGAGAAGATTGGTCTCCGAGATTTCCTCCATAAACGACTAGTGCCAGATAGCAATAACGGCATATGTCAATGCAACCGAGGAAGACAGACAGTGCAGCACATACTCTTATCATGTCCAAGACACAATAACCTCAGACGAGAAATATGGAAAAGAGAGGGAGGAATGGATGTGATGGAAATTCTTAGCACACGCTCTAAAGCACGAAAAGCTGCGAGATTCATGGTCCTTACGGGGCTTCTCGAGCAATTCAAAGCTATTCCGGAGAGCGAAATAACTGAAGACAGACACTGAGTTCTTAGGGTATGCAGCACCAATAGAAGCTGAGGGAACCCATGTGGACCGATGCTTCATGTGTACAATAGATGTATAGTACAGTGTACATAGACCCTCGTCCGCATAGCTACTATAGAGTGGCTGCATCGGACGTTAATAGAAAGAAGAAGAAGAAGAAGAAGAAGTATGAACTACCCGTTTCGTAACTACCCATTTAGTGCGAACTACCTGTTTTGTGCTGGCCACCCGTTTGGTAACTGCCTATTTAAGGGGCAAGAATCATATCAGGGGCGTATCGAGCGACGTCAACAGCGGCACGGGATATCGAACTCTTCCTCCTTCCCATCAACTTGTACCTTGAGAAGAGAGCGTTTGAAACAGCAATAAACATCAGAACAGGCTCAACACGCCTACTTTCTTCCAATATATTCTTCCACAACATACCATCCGATGCACCGGCATCAGGCAGGGGAATAACACACCTTCATGCAACACACAAAAGCCCACTCAAAACTCTGGATCACAACCTCCAAAAGAGACTTGGCACAGACATAATGAACAACCTTGAAATCCGCGAACCGTTCGCAGTGGAGCCATGGTGGGCCCCACCACCGATCCACATCGAAGACGACCGGGACAAGGCCATGACGAAACATCAGAGAATCACGACGTCGGAACCTCCACCACTAGCAATATACACGGATGGCAGTGGTATTAACGGAAAAGTGGGAGCAGCGGCAGTGGCACCGGCGATTCATGCTCATCAAACAGCCTTCCTAGGTAAAAGGAGCACGGCCACAGTATATGCGGCAGAACTAGTGGGCATTTTAATGGGCCTCCATCTCGCTCTTAGAGCAAATAAGCATAAGGCGGCCATCTTCGCGGACAACCAAGCTGCTCTACAATCCATAGGACGACCGGGAAGACAATCGGGACAACACATCATTAAACTCATCATTAATGCACTGGTACAAGCAAATCTCAAGGGCCTAGATATACAACTGCATTGGATACCCGCACACCAAGAAATAGAAGGTAATGAGCTAGCTGACAAACTCGCTAAGGAAGCCACCGGCTGGAAGCAGAAACATGACAGAAGAGGACGGCTAGTCGAACACGACACCAGCAATACCGCTCAAACACCTCCTTATGTAAAAAATCTCAAATCAGCTTTAAAGACAGAACTAAATCAACAAATGAGATCAGCTTGGTCCCAGGAGTGGGATCAAGAGACGAAAGGTCGGACCACATACCGCTTAACACCATCTCCATCCAAAGAAGTGTTACACCTCCACTCCTCGATCTCCAAACCCCTCAGCTCCATCATCATACAAATGCGGACTGAGAAGATTGGTCTCCGAGATTTCCTCCATAAACGACTAGTGCCAGATAGCAATAACGGCATATGTCAATGCAACCGAGGAAGACAGACAGTGCAGCATATACTCTTATCATGTCCAAGACACAATAACCTCAGACGAGAAATATGGAAAAGAGAGGGAGGAATGGATGTGATGGAAATTCTTAGCACACGCTCTAAAGCACGAAAAGCTGCGAGATTCATGGTCCTTACGGGGCTTCTCGAGCAATTCAAAGCTATTCCGGAGAGCGAAATAACTGAAGACAGACACTGAGTTCTTAGGGTATGCAGCACCAATAGAAGCTGAGGGAACCCATGTGGACCGATGCTTCATGTGTACAATAGATGTATAGTACAGTGTACATAGACCCTCGTCCGCATAGCTACTATAGAGTGGCTGCATCGGACGTTAATAGAAAGAAGAAGAAGAAGAAGAAGAAGTAACTGCCTATTTAGTGTCAACTTCCTGTTTGTTGTTGATTAATATTTAGCACTAACAAATGAACTTAGTTGCCGTTTTGATTATCGCCATATCCATTTAACTAATTTAAGTAATACACTTTTCTTCATAGGACAACACGCACCGTTATTGATGGTCGACGCGTCGAAGAAGGATTGATTTCTATCCAGGCCTTTCGAAGCGGCGATTCAAATGGCCATTTTCTCATCAGACAAGGAAGTCGATTTCCGGTCCCGCCTCATATTTCGGCGTCTACACCACTCTTCTTCCGCGATCTTAACATTAGCTGTGTTCTCCAGCGCTATGGCTGTGGGTGCTATGATTTTTAACGAAGCCCAGGCTACGAGATCCTCCTTCCGCTTCGTTGCAGATGGTCTTTTGGGTAGCTCTACCCAGACGGGAATTATTGCTGCCGCTACGACGATTATGATGAAATTCCAATGTGAAAGCCACGCACCGGTAACAGGAATGGATCATGGAGGTATCTGGGTACCAATCGGACTTTTGGATATTTCTGTTATTGAGTTCGTTGTAGGATTCGTACTCTGCAATTGGGACGATAATGACCATTGGGGAAGCCAGTTGACGGGATTTCACTTGTTTATTCTTTTGTTTGTTATCATATTCCTTACTCTGCAGGTGTGGGCTACTGGTTTAGAGGATCATCCCAAGCAGTCCCTCAAGACGAGTCTCTATGGAAGGTGAGCTTCGTTGCATTAGACCACGTTTAGCCGCTTACGATTATCAGCAACTAGACATGACTTATCAGCCTAACTCGTTTGCCTTTGTTACCATCCGAACCTCATACTCCCGATACGCATAATGAATATCTGCCTGCGGTACGAAGTCTTATCCAACGGTCATCAGCAGGTGGCTGTTCTATCTATTGATTGGGGCTATAAGAGTGGTGTTTTATCAGTTTTATTTGAATTTAGCTAGTTCATCACAATTTCCCCGCCCTTAACTTGTTGAATGATTTTGTTTTATGGATTTTCCACTCGGTAGGCAATACCAGCCACCGTTCTCTCTGATGAGCTTCTCAACCATCAGGCAATATCCAAAAAGTTCCTACATTCCCACATAGTTCGAACCCATATTTTCACCTCTTCAGGAGTCATCGGCCTTTCCTGATCGTTTTCTTCTCCGTCTATGCCACTTTCGGTATCATCTCCGTCCCAATGGCCAAAGTGCTCAAGAGGATCAAAATCAATCCAGCGGACCAGCACCAGCTTTCCATCATCAAAGTAGACATATTCAAAATCATCCATCAGGCAATATACTGGGCGTCGCCCTCGTCCAGTAGAATCCGCATACCAGTACCCAACAAGAACTCCGAATTCATGAAATATGGGAGTCCGCGCCCGAGGTGGTGGTTTTTCTGTATTGGAGAACGACAATTTCCTGCGTTTGATTCCGCATCTCTCAACCCCTGCTTCAATTGAGGGAATTGGCGTATCAGGGTCGAGGGGTAGGTAGTCCCGCTTCGTCCGTAATTGCTGCATCTTGCCTAGTCCGCGTCGAACTGGCTGCTGTGGTGGATGTGGTAAGAGGATTGATTGTATGATTTCTGAGGAAGACATGCCTGGCTGGGGAGTTCTCGCTTTATATACCAGGGACTATGGCACTGCCTCGGAGATATTGTTAGCTTCATTAGATAGTTGAAGCGACGATTATTCATCGGACAAGGCAGACTGTATGTAACGTAATATCACTTGTCTAATCAAGGCTTTCCTTGATGATGAAGTCAGCCTAGCGGTACTGTTGCAGACTCCTGTGTCCAGAACCAGTAATCTTTCTAATAAGATGATGAAACCCGACCATCGAGAAGCTTCGAAGTAGCAGCATGCAGTCCATGGTTGAGGATGTAGCTGCAACCATTACGAAAGTGACGTAGGATATGGTGCAGTTGAGCTCGAGAGAACTTGGTTCCCGACGGGCCACTTCTGAAGACTCTGCTAATATCTGATCTTCGGTGATGATACACAACCGGTGCTTCTTCAATCCAAGAGGAGTCAAAGATTCTCCCATGTCATGTGGATTTATCTTTTCTCTGCTCCTGCTCTGAGCCCGAATACATCGACGCGTGTCGTGGACTTTCACCAGCTGTTGTTGTTGTAGTGCTGCGTTCATATCGGTCCCCATCGCTAATGTTTGATGGGGTCTCCTCTCCCTGGGCCTTTGGTGGAGATAACTGCTGCGGTTGCGATGGAATCGTCGGGAATGATTGTTGATTCATATTTTCCGCATTTCCTTCTTCCACTTGTCTCGACGTATCTGTACCCCACCCTTCGCAAATTCATTATACTTGCTGGAGGTTTCAATAATGAACTTATATGTGCTTAATTCATTAAATGTATGTTTGTGCATGCGACATAATTTAAGTATGGCGGGTACAATCAATATCCATATCCCGGGGTTTTGTGTCCTCTTCTCCATCTGCCAGCATGATTCGCCAATCTGAAGTTTCGCGTAAAAATTTTCGGGGAGGTGAAGCCAAGTCCTAAATGTTGAAAGCCTGCCCTGTCCCAGAGGGAGTTCTTCAGGGATGTCCGCCACCGGACACTTGAAGATCATAGGCAGATATTCGTTGTGATATTGTTCCATCAGGTATCGTAATTCTAATGTATAACCGACTAATAAATCCAGACCACTGTTTTCTGCCTCTCCAAAATCCGTGAGTTTCTTGTAACTCTTGATAGGAAACTTTTTAACCCCTCGAAGCTGACGGGAATTGATATATTCGTCTAGTTTCGGGCGGCCTTCAGAAATAAGGCGTAAGACTTCCTCTGCTGTAACATGCGTTTGACGAGGTCTTTTTTTACTTGTACTGTCTGCTGGCGTAGTACAGGGGCGTTTCTCCAGTTGTGTACCTTGAAAACCGGCATGTTGTGTATTCATTGCTGACTTGACCGGTGACGAAGCAGCTAGACTTAATGAAGGAATGGTTTCGATCTTATCCGCACTTTGGTGATGAGTACACTAAATATCAGATTAGAGGTACTCTTCAGAAAGGCCTAAGCTTGCCATAAATCAAGTTTTTCTATGAAGATCAAGCCTTCATAAAGTAGGACTACTAACCTTCATCTTTTTGCGTCTACATTTCTCACATGCCCCTTCTACACGCGATATCTTCCTGGGTCGAGGGTGCCGTGGTGAATTACTATATGGTGGGTTTGGCGAGGACGACTGCGAGGTACCGTATGGCAGAGTAGGGTCGGGAATGGCGGCCTGAATTGGAAGAATTTGGCGTGATTGGTGCCAACGTCGTAAAGGAATATCTGAACGGATGCTGCGCGTCAAGGAAAGATCGTTATCATTGTATTCTTGGGATGGTATCATTCTTCTCTGTGTAGTACCACATTTCCTTTGACCGATACACCGCTCCGCCATTTGCAGCAGTGTTGTATTGTGGCTAGCATCAAAATCCAGAGTTATGGCTTCATCGCATTGAGGAGGCTGCAGACCGTTGTGCGAGCCCTCGACTTCGATGGGATCGACCGACGAGGCGTTCACTGGGCTGCTGAGTGGAAGGCACCAAGAGTGACGTGAACCATCCTCCATGGACCCCCGCTGTTGTGAAAGAATCTGTTGCTGTTGTGTGGTATCTAGACCTAGCAAAGGAATTTCCGGATTGGGTTGGTTGAGTAGGGAGTGGATAGAAAAGGTGGTAGCTCTATTTGACAAAGGAATGGCATCTATGCTTGGTAAAGTGCTAGGGGCTTCCCAATCGCGGATGTTTTCATAGTCTGAGGACTCCTGCTGGCCGAGAGATGTAGTCCAGAAAGTCGCAGACGGGTGCGTATTGCTCTCGACAGAACATTGTCCCAACGAATTGCCACGCAATTCGTTGGGCAGAGCATATGAATCGTTTTGTGGCTGCGATAACTGAGGAAGGAATGCCTCGGGGAAAATGGTGTACGGTTGATATGAAGAGCGAACAGAAGAGGGGCGGGCGATATTCAATAGGTCCCGGCAAGAAGGGAGGACCGGTCGAGAAGTTGTATACTCCATGTCAATTCTTTAATGTCCCCCGATTCTCCAGTGGTGAAGAATTGCCGTTAGCGGTGGCTCCTTAATAAAATCACTGGTAGGCCCTCAGATGGCATCTAACATCTCAAAGGAGGACAAGGTAAGTTATGAGACAACTGTAGGAATAACCGGTTCGTCCAGTTTGTCAAGAAATACATAATTGAATTACCTACAGATGGGCCTATTAGGCTTATATGATGCAGCTCCGATCCCCTGGGCCTGATTCAAGTGGGTCATGAGGACCACCTTCCTCAGCTCGGATGCATAGAGACGATTCCGAGTCCGCTTTGCCTGGTGCAATATGCAGCTAAAGATTTGTGTTTACTTGCGCTAATATGGCTTACCAACCCATAGGCCCCTGAACGTCGGCCCGTCAATTACGAATTACAGAGCTATCTAGCGATCCAGCGATCCAGCTTCCCCGAAGCCAAATCAATTATGCCGCCATAAAACACAACGAGATAGCATTAACCCATGGCCAAATTGCACACGCTTCGAGCAGCCCCTGGGTCGCTCCGGCATCCTTTTTAACAGGCTGGGCTCCGGCTCATCTCTAAATAGCAAATCATCCATTTGACTTATATACATTGCATTAGGATACTTATTCAGAGTCCGTTAGAAAGATCTAAGATTAGTTCTCTAACCCACTCCCATCAGTTAATGCAATCTGAGGACTTCTTCTTGCTGATCCTTTCTTGGTAGCTGACTTGCATGGACCTCCGCGAATACCTGTCTTACGAACACCGTCTTAAACCATCAAGTATTATCTCGTCGCGGACGTCCACGTCCACTTCCTTCTCGTTTCTGGGCCAGAACCGTCCGCAGCTCCGGATCATCCTTGTCTTTATCCGGGTGATGGTCTTTGACATGCCTGAATCTGATTAGACAAGGGAACCTTTTTATAACGTCAAAATAACAGCCATACCGTTGTAGATTGTCTTCACGGGGATATTTATGTTGCGAATCTGTACAAAATGGACACCCATAAACCGGAGAATCATGCACAAGTCCATGGCGATCCATGTCATATTTCCTTTTGAATCCTTTACCACCAACGCCACGTTCACAACCAGGAACTGGACAGTAGTGTGGTCTGTGGTCTTTATGGACTGCGCCATGAGAACTAGGCTCTGAATCAGCACTACTGTAGACAGCTCAGAGGATATATTGCTTACGATAAAGAATGTTTGTTTGTGAATGCCGCCGTGCAATTAGGGAATGTGCATTTATGCACTTTAGCCTCGACTGGCACGGGATGGTTGTTTATGGGACTCTTGTCTGCCGGAGCAGCCATCTGTAAGTTGAATTCTGATCCAAGTTGTTGATTCATGTCTTCCACATTGAAATACGGTGTTGGCAATTGGCCTGACGTTTGCCGTTGTGGTGGTATCACACGTGAGGACGAAGCGGAAACACTAAATGAACTGAGCACGACGGAGCCGAGATTGTCTGAGACGGCTTTCATTGACGGCAGAGTTTGAGAGTTGTCTATAAGTCCATCATGGGAAGCAGATGGGAACTGAATCTCGGAAAAGGGGATTTCTGGGGTTGACAGGTCTGACAGCGAAAGAGCATATTTCCCTACTCCGGGCTTTCCTGGTTTGTGGGCCACCAGGTCATTAAATGAGGCTATTGTATTATTGGATCGTGGCTGTTGGCGAGAGACCTCCGCGCGATTATCTTCATCTTCATTATCTGATTCCACATCTCTCCTAAGCGGGTTATCTCCGACTTCTCCAGCAATGTCTGGTCTGTTAGGTTCGAGAGCCCTGATTAGGGTGTAGTCACCTTGAGAGGGTTCTATTGTCCGCCGTTGAGAGCGTTTATGCAAACGATCTTTTAAGTTGCCTGAGCTAGAGACATTCTTCCCGTCTGCTTTCGAGGGCTGGTTCTCGCTTCCATGAGGACCATAGTCGATCTCAACCCGTTCGAGGAAATCATCGGGATCGGAACCATTCTCGTCTGATATCATGGAGTCGACACTGTGCCGACCGTCGGCGGCAGGATGCGGTTCACTGTAGAATCCGGGAAAGTCGAAGATGCTGTTGGGAAGTTTATTCACCTAGAATGTATTTCATTATCCTGCTTATAAACTTGACGCACGCAGCTAAAGGTTCGGTTGATACGGTAATATGAGGGAAATCCCGGGGTAAGTTCCTAGCAACGCAGCCTTGTTATCCGTTGTGCACGGGCGTGATTGAAGTGGATAATTCGCAGGCCGCGTTGGCCGCGTGCATCATGTAGTTAAGGGGGTTATGTTTACTAGCGGTAACAGGATAGGTTATCGCCTTTTGCGCACGATTGGTGCTCAATCTAGTTTCATACCTCTTATATCTAACTATATATCATACTGCTAACTTGCTAGAATAAAACATGGATTTAAAAATATATTGCTGATCCACAGCCATCTGACGCATGACGACGATGTATTTGACCCCACCAATTTCAGTATAGGCTCTGTCAGATCCTCTTTGCTTTAAAATCTTTGCGAAATAGAATAAAATTTTTTGGAAGCAGACAAAGCCTGCAATCTTTCCAACAGGCGATCTGTCTCGGGGTCCTTGTCGTGAACTTCCATAAGTCAGACCGGACATCAGCCTTGCTCTACGGTTTAGGGATTATTCATACCCGGTTTGTTCCTAATTATCCGTTGCGTCCATTCAATCAATAGAAGACACGAATGTGTCGGTTCTCCTTCCCGTGTCTGAAATGCATCCATCACAGACCACTCTCTAGACGTCTCGTGTGTATAGAGATGAAGCCAGAAATCATTAAAATCGCCAAATTTCGATGCGCACAGTGTGCAATGGAAAGGCTGAAGGTGTTGATCGATGTATTTCGCAAACGTATCGAAGTCCGTAGTTGGAGGATGCGGCCCTGCATTGGGTTGAAGTAAACACGTTCCATTGTTTATCCCTAGAATGCAACGGTGAAATCCATCTGTCCATGCTGGTATCTTGTAGAATTCATGACCTGCAGATTTACTGCGAAAATATGATATTATCGCTGACCGAGCCTGGGAATCTAATAACACTTCTTCGCGACGATATTCCAAGGTTTGAAGGGATAAAGGCTCAAGTTGCTCCAAATACCTCCTTTGTTGTGCATAGCTGCTTGTAATCAGCGTTGGACCAGGTGTCAAGGTCAAATGCCCTTTCGGGGGCCTAATGGCAATGTGTTCTGCCATTCCCTCAACGAGGTTCTTCGCTAAGATAATCCACTATCGGACAGGTTCACTGGCAGCTGCGAGACGCAGGATTAACTAGGTTATATACTGAGAATGACTAATAGATTAAGCATATAAGGATAGGGTGCATGCTTCCTGGTCTTAGTGGCTTTTTGTCTTGAAACATTCGCTATTAGACCTAAACTACAATGAAGTACACGAAGCCTGGAAGACCTTAAAATGTTTCGTCTTAACATCTAGCTCCTTGAGTTCCATTTACCTTCTAAGTACTTTTCCACATTCTGAAACATCTTGTTAACCTGTTCCAACTCCCCTTTCCTTAATCTAGCCTTGTTAGCCGCAGTGAATCTCCGAAGCAATTTAATAGCCTCCAGCACGGGTTTGATTTTGTCACGAGTTTCCCTCGCCAACCGCTGTTCAGCCGGAGAAGCACCCTTGGAGACTGCTTGATGAGAACGCCGTTTAGATTGATCATATTGAAATGCTGGAAGCATCTTCGGAGGGAGTGCAGTTGGCATGGTGACAGGAGGATCAGGCGCCCGCGTCGGCAGCGCATTGACGAGCGCTGGCAGTCCCTGAGATGAGAGGATGCAGGAATATGCAGGTGATATGGGATCCGGGTCAGGGAAGACCGGTTGCTGGGTAGCCGGGGACAAGCTGCCGCACATACAGGTAGGCTGACTGTAGGATAGATAGCCGCTCGGTTCAAGGCCCAAGGGAATTGCTCCGTAAGGACATAGCACGCTGGGATACACGGGATGTTGAAAATCAGAATCATTCATTTTAAGCAGCTGCATCCAATGACCATTAGCATGGGAGGTGAAATAGGATGCAGGGGTGCAAGCTGCAGCGGGGATACAGAGATACATATGCGGTGTAACATATGGCTTGCATGTTCATCAGGGCAAAAACTTGCGCGGATCTAGAAGAAGCGAGCCGTGAGTGCCATTAATACAGGCTCCACTTTTCAGTTGTCCCCAGAAGGCATCTTGACCCAAAATTGAGCCCAGGGATCGAGCGTAGACCAGTTATTTGCAGAATAAATTATGAACTAGATATTTCACGCCTACAATACGCACTAATACTCCTTCAATGGCTGTGGCGAGCTCGCCGAGGGTAGTAGAATATGCATTAAAGTAAAGCTGTTCATAACAGGCATATGCAATGACTCCTGAGAAGGGTTTCAGCGTGATATGCCCGCGTGGCAATCACGCCACATCGGTCAATGCCACTTAGTAATAGTAAATAACCATTCTCGTCTCAAAAGTCGCTTATATCCATAATCTCAAAGGTTTTATTCGAAGCGTAGACTTCCAAATAATTGTGTATGAAACAGAAGCAACCGCCCAACTAATCGCCCAATGACAATTTCCTATAAATGAGCGAGGCTTCCTTCAAATCTTTCTCAGTTATAGTAGCATTCATACCGCCTCTCTGCGTTTGAAGCTCAACACTGAGGTTGCTATACCAGGGGAGACTTTCCGCGCCATTTTCTGTAATGTACGCTATCGCACTCAGAGTGCAGAACTGTAGCTTCTCTTTTCTAGCAAGCTCTCTTGCTTCCCGTTCCATGACTTCTTGCTGCTGTAAAGGAGGATCATTGTCATCGAGATGCTGGAGTTGATATGTGTAAAGCTTAAGGTCTCGGTGGTGGATGAAAAGAGGATCATTGTCATTGAGATCTTCGAATCCGGGGAAGGCCTGCGTGACGGTTTCAACGTCATCCGCAGGGACACCTACATACACGAGCCCCAATCTCATTGGAACAACGTATGCCTTCGCTATACCTAACTGCTGCAATCGATGTTGAATATATGAAATTGCGCCTTTGATGGGAAGTGCAATTAAATCGGTGCTGGTAGCTTTGCCTTCACCCTCTTTGGTATCATTCAAGTATGTACTGACTGCCATATTGTATACTTGGTATTTGTCGTCTTCCACAATAACTCTCACTGTCTGTGATGTCTCAGTGTCGTGAATGCGGTTCTGGAAGGGGAAAACGTACTTGCAGCTCCATGGTGAGATAGACAATATGCAGAATGAAAACTTCGGTATTGTGTGACTATTTCAAGATGCATATGCAGTGTAGTATATGGCTTGTAGACCTATGGGCCTAAGCATGGTGTGATCAGGACATGACTAGTCAAAGTTCCGTTTCTGCGGACTATCACGGTCTCAATAATTGGAACATACTATTGAGCGAATGGCGAGCCTTACCATGGAACGAGCTGGTTCAAAGTGAAACAATGATGAGCTAGCTAAATTTAATTGAATGATGCTTTCTCCGTGATTGGATAGAATGTATACGAGCTTTGATAACTAGAGAAGGGGGGTTGCATATTCTAGGAACCGCTAACATGAACACGGGATCCATCCTGCAGTACGAATTTACCATATGACCCTGCTACAGTAAAAGAACCATAAACTTTGGAGGTCGGGTAGAGCGGCACGAGATAGGTGATCAATGACGATCCAGCTGATACGCTAGAGTCAATGTCATGACTCAACATAACGTAAACGCTGATTTCTAGGTCCGAGGGTACATAGATCTTCACAAACTGAATTCGAACCGTCAGACCATTAGCACCTCTACTACTAGTAGGCCCTGCAGTTTGTACTTAATTCCTCCATAAAAAAATCGAAACAGAGAATTTACTAGCAGACAGTTGGCCTCCTGAAGAGACGGGAAATCTCAGCTGAATCAGAAGCGCAATTGAAAATGGGATAAACACAGCTAGCCACCTGACTGGAGCTCTATACAGTTCATTCATTCTATAATACAAGGTCCTCTAAATATACATTCTCTTAACCGGACTGTCTGCCGGTCGATTTTTGTGCGGTGCTCACAAACCTATTAAAGTTAGCAAAGAATGAGACATTTGTCTACACAACCTCACCATCGTGTTTGACATTCTTCCGCAATGCACTGCCGTATATCTTTTTTCACTAGTGCACATATTACCATATCCCATGAGCTCCCCAAAAGCCTCAGGCTAAGTGGTTCGACTGTGGACAGAGTATATGCTTCATTCAACAACGCAAGCCGCTTGTGTGGAGATTCAGATGGTGTGCCTAGAGGAATATTCACTTCCTTAACCTGAGTTTCTCGGAAGCCAGCCTGTTGTAGAAAAGACCCCATATAAGGTCCTACATCCAGGGCTGTTCCCAGATTCTCCGAAGCCTGCCGGATTTGATTTTCCCACCAAACTAATGCCTCCGTTTGATGATGATGTTTATGGTGTATCCCGATACCCATTTCTATCCATTTAAGCCAACCCCCTGGCTTCAGAAGTTGAATGACGTGCTGGAGAAAACTGCGCCAGTCCCGAACCGCGCTATAAAGATGTGAGCATGAGAATATTAGAGCTCTAAAGGTTCCTACCCTGCAAATTGGCCGATATAGATAAAATCATATTGGCCCTTGTGTTTTTCCTCCACAACGAATTCCCAGGCATCGACGATCAAGTATGATAGATTCGGTGGCACATACTGGGGCTGCATATAACTGATATCTATCCCGAGGACGACTGCTGATTTATATTTACTTTGTTGTATTAGAAATAATTCTCATGGAAGACAAATTTCACTCACTCCGCAAATTTGGTGGACCATATTCCTACTCCCGTTCCTATGTCCAACACCTTCTGAGGATTTGTAAGAGGGCAATTATGTAGATCACCCAGAGCGTAATACAGCCTCCAGGATAAATCTGTTAGTATAATCAAGAACGAAAAGAGAAGAGCTTCTCACAATGCATGTCCCTGTCGTTGTCGTTCTTGTTCTTTCTCGTCTTTCGGCAGTCTAAAGCCACAAATCAGCCAATATCCTAACTTATGGCAAGAATATTAACATGTATCTATAGTCTTGATATTGGCGACCATTTTCGTTAACGGATTTAAGGACGGTGCTGTCCAAAGAAGTTGTGGAGTCGAAATCGACGACATGGACGACATCGATTGCAGAGTCCTCGGACTCAGAGTCAGACATCATATGGCGGTGAAATGGAATGACAAGGCTGAGCAAACAGTGCTGCGGCAGGGGCAGTATGCTTAAGGCTGCTGGTGCTAAGGGAGCAGGGGTTAACAGAGACACTCTACACTAGCTAATGGCGCTCTTCCAGATGACGACTCAATTGATAGGCTATCTATTTTGCGCACGGGCTGTGAGAGATCCACCTAGCAGCTTCCGTATTCAGACAGTCCCTGCTTTCCTAGGTGGTGTAGGGTTTAGACTACCGTCCGCGGAAGACGGATCCAACATCCATTTCTACCTGGCTCACTATGATCATATAGACTAGTACTCCGCCACTCGCTTGTTGGTACCGGGAGTCACGTACCCTCCTCATAGAAACATGCATTTTGCTCGCTGACCCTGCCGCCACGGACAATAGTCTATGGAGAAAGATCTCGATCTAGGCCCAGGACCTGCACATGCAGGCAGTGCATATTCCACTCTATCCACACTCCATTCCGTGGCGGCCGTGTCCCCACAGACAAAAGCCAACGCGGAAATAACAGGAAATAGCGTGGAAGACAGTGGCCAGGTTCCGTTCTGAGCTCATTGTGCTTAGACGGTGGAATCAATGGTACCGAAGAAGACGGCGCCTACGCAAGGCGTTAGGACCACGCCACCGGTCTCTCAATACTACATGGATCATTATTCGAGTCAACGCTAGGGATAGTAGTAGTGATCTAATGATGATAGACACCACTGTGAGACCCACAACTATTACAGGGAGCAAGGCGTTTATCTCGATCTATGCATAAAGAACCTCAAATTCAGCTAATATTTCATGATATCAGGTCTCTCAGTATGGTATACTCCTCCCAACTCAGCACCGAATCATCCTCATACTCTTCTGACACCGTGTGGAGTGGCTTGTACCAATAAATCTGGAAAAGTGACTTTAGCGCCCGTAGGACCGGTTCAGAAGGCCTGGTTCCGTTCTCATGATACTCCATTATCTTATAATGTGCCCTAATGAGAGTTGCTATGGCGCGCCGTACTTTGTATGGATCATGAAACTCCCAGACATGGTAGCCTAGGTGTTGGAATTGAGCCATGACGGTCGTTGCCTCTTCAACGGTGAGAGGGTAAAGCATGTATTGATATTCATTGCCAGGGAGAGGAATAATAACTGTAGGGCAACGGAGGCTATTTTTCTGAACGTAAGCATAGAAAAAGCGAAGTAAAGCCATAATTTCATCAACGACAGTGAAGCTCTCCTGATATTGAGCTGATAATACATTGACAGCATCAGTTGCTTCACGTAATCGAACGAGCTAGACATGCAATTAGGATGGAGAAACAGATGAGAGCAGTGATTGGTCACGTACAGGATCAGCTAGCTGGTCGAGGCCTGCTGCTGGCACTGCGCCTTGCAGCAGCAATTATCCTATAGGACGGCAGGCTGAGCTCACCATTACCAATCATCAAAAACATCTAAGAACGTATATTCGAGCTGGGTGGTCACACTGTCGTTTACGAAATACACATCAATACCAGTAGCGGAGATGGCGGCTAAACCCCGCTCATAGCCCGAATCTACTCTGTAAATTCCATATGTGGGCATTTCTAGCCAAGAATGGATATTTGATTCCGCACTATTGTCCGCGGAAGACGGCATTCATGTTTCATTCCTCATCTGAATCGACAGATGCCACGCTCAGACTGTGGTGATCAGCAAGCTAATGACGTTGAGGTGTTAGGAAGCTCTCGAGGAGAGTACCCCGACTGCTTGTGGATCAGGTAGACACCACGGTCGAGACCCGGTACCAACAAGCCTAGTGACAGCCACAAATAACCCCGTCATGTGGGCTTATTATCCCGTGTTTCTAGATACTAGTGTAACCAGACCAGGTACTGTTCAATGACAGTGTTGCTATGGCTAAAATGATGTACGAAATGATATATTACTAATTTGAAAAGTGGGGCTAGTGTGGATTATATTTCAGAAATGATATCCACCAGGTCCGTGCTTACCTTCTGCTAATCACCCCAACCATTATCCTGACTTCCTCATCCGCAACACTGCTAGTCTATTGATTTACCGCCATGGATACGCATAAGGAGGATGATTATGTTAACTGGGCCTCCCAGTTTCTAACTAGTTTAAGCAGTGACAATATAATTCGTCACCGTGCCGCCCTTGACCCCATAATAGAGCACATTGGGCCCCTTCTTGGATGGACAAGACCCACCCCGGGTACATCGCGCATGATTACAGCAAAAGAACTCCTGGATTTGATGCAGTCATCATTGAGAATCATCCAATCCTTTCTCGCTTGGGATATGGTCGATTTCATAGTTGCTCACACCCTGAAGCCGGGCGGCAATTCACTTGCATCGCTCCGCCCAATGCCGGATGTCTTCGGCCTGCTGTTACATACTCTATACATACTTGGACACACGACAGCATGTTATGGACCCGATGTCGACCACTCAGCAAGAGCTTCAAATCGAGAAGAATTTTTTAAGGGAAAGATTCCCGCATATTGCAAAACGAACAAGCTAGACAGATCTACTATGGAACGGTGTATTGGGAGAGGGAGCAAGGCTAGCCTCCTTGGAGTTCAAGTACAAGAGCCTGGAATCGTGGTTGTGGCTGCTCCGGTGATATCCTCTTTCAGTCTGGTGTCGTACAGAGAGATTGACAAGGCGGCTGGCCTTCTTCTATCTGGTCGTTATCCTCATGTCATGGAGCTGGCTCGCCAGTTCTCAAAAAAGAAAGAAAAGTACCAGAAAGCGTTTCATGTGGCATTAAATCTACTATCGAACTAGTCATATGCGAGATGCACTTCTCAAGTCTTCTGCGTATATTGAAAAGGAAATCTGCACATGAATGGAACCACGTTGTTATCCGACTTCAATGAGATATCCGCTTCCTCTGAACAATAAGTTTGCAAGACAAGAATAGATTTGTATTTTTCTGTCAGCGGCAAAGCAATCTTGGTTTGATGTGGATAGACGGATATGCGATTTATTGAGGTCCCATGAAGATCGAGATCTTCCGATCTAACATCGTCCACAGAGACTGTGGGGGGTACATCGTACACGCGCATGCGAAATGTATTCGACAAGGGGCGAATCAGCACCCGGGCGTCCTGGTAGTCCTGTGGACAAAGCCAATAAGGTGTTGGCTTCTCGTCTTCGTCGTTGTCGGGGGTGTAACGGACGACAACCGGGGCGCCAGGGAGCTTGGCATTGAGAATCTTCTCGTCATCAGTGACACGCTAGGGAATTAGCTTTTTCTTGCACAATAACAGAGAGGAAAAAAACGCTTACGCCGTGATCCAAAAACGCCTGCAGCACCCTCAGTAGTTCTGTGTCCCAGCCAGCGCGGGCCCACTCAAGATTTTTCCACTTCGTCATTGGGGTTTTCTCCACCACCTCTACGACCTCTTTGACTATGTCATCGTGAGGTTTCTCCCGATAAAGCCAAGTATGCTGTGTCTTCGAGTTCATGTTTGTATCTGAACCCAGCTGCTCAGTCACGGGATCGAAATGCATATACTCCTCGATGCGTAATTCAGCCATGATGGCGGGGTAGTTGATTATGTAATACAAATGGGCTGTGATTGGTTGAGAACGCCCAGGTGCGTTTTGATAGATGTTTTACCGTAGACAAGATGTTCGACGTAGGCACTATTATATAGTTTTCCTAGATTTATGGCACGGCTATCATGATCTATCCTACAGAGAGCAATTTGCCAATTTCAATTCCAATTCTAACCATGCATACGCAACGCCGTGCGTCTAGCATAATTTCGGTTCAGCACTTTGTTGCACATCCCTCAATTCCTCCAACTCAGATTCAAGGTTAACGATGCGTTGCTGTAGATTCGAATTAGTTTCGACATTTTTTTCTTTATTTGGAGAATTGTTTCCGTTAATTGGCGGTTTTGTTCCTTTAATTGGATGTTTTGTTCCTTTAATTGGATGTTTTCTTGCTCTAAATCGGAAGCAAGCGCTCTTAATTCCGCTGCGTGCTGGTCTAGCATTTGCTGAGTACGCGAGTTACTTGCAAAATCAGCCTATGTTTCATAGATCTTGCAAGGATACTTACAGGTATATCACCGGGGAGGTGATGTCACGTAGAACCATTGGATTGCCTAGTCTGATTAGAATTGGCTTGAACAGGGACAGAAATAACATACGGTTTTCTTGGTTTTCTTGGTTTTCTTGGTTTTCTTGGTCACAATAAATATGTGGTGAATCTTGCATCATTAGATGGAGTCAGATCTGAGTTTACCAGCTAAAATGGATTGTAGCTGAGGACAATTGTTTGCAGGCCTGGTTTAGGGATTCTTATAGACGACCTACGAATGCTTCTCAGAGCCCAAAAATGACAGTTTCATTAATAGATGAATTGCCGCCTACGCTATTAAGTGGTTGAAGCCTACGATCCGCCGTGGCAGGAATAGGATTGCCGCCGGCTGTGTTGCAATCGTTTCCGAGAAGTTGAGTATGGGGGATCGGTTGGACCTCGCATGCTCCACCCGTCGCAAAAATGAGTCGTGGCGTGAGTGCAATGGCTATTTACAGGCTGATCGGCTCGAGTCAGCGCTTAGCAAGATACTTTGGTTTAGGTGGAGACAGTGTACGTTCGCATGTCCGGACATAGACGGAAATAAAATGTCTTATCAAGTAACAAGTTTCTTAGTTCACATGCATAGCCCCCCTTGTGTAGTAGGAACGCAGGTAAATGTGCCTTTAGCGAGCCTCTCTATAGCAGAACCTTGTTTGCCATAATCTTTGCAAAGATGGGACCACATTTTCACCGCAGCGAATCGATCAATCAACCCCTCCGTGCCAAAATCATACAGAATATTGTATCTAATTCGAACTCAGCCGAGTATCATATTTGTTTAACAGTGACACCTACATCCAAAAACGGCAATCGGAACTATCTTCCGGTGGCTGATACTCGGTTCTTCCACAAGCGTGAAGAATGCTGTCAAAACTGGACAGCGTAGGTTTACCGCAGACTTGAAGCTTCCAGGAATGTTGATGAGTGCCTTCGATGCCGTCCATTGTAGAAAACTGTAATTTCCAATTACCAGTATTTCCTAGTTGGTCCATTTCGACGCGCGTTCGACTACCTCGATGAAGGAAGTTGATATGCCATATATTCGCATTAGATTCTGTGACACTGACAGTGACGAGAAGTTCAGTAACCAGGTCTGCCATTGTGCTAGCGGATGTCCCAAAGGTTGAGGAGTAAAGATGCAGTTTATATGCTGACTACGCAGTGTAGGTATGAAGCACACTCCATTGATATTTTTATTTACACACAACGATTCTAGACCATTACCAAGGCTTTGTTTTGCATAGGTACATCATTTCCACAGTAGGCCCATAAGGAAACCCCCAGATACGGCGAAGGCGTAACCAACCACCTGGGCATCCGACCAATACTGGTCATCTTCCTTCTTGATTATTTTTCGCCACATGTCTCCGTATTCTTCATAATTTTGCGTTTTCAGATATTGTTCCATACTCAAAATCCCTTGTTGGGTATCATTTCCAATTTCAACCATTACAGCTACATTCTTTGGCTCCAAACACTCACGACGCCCCTCTCGATGGGTGGCGGCAACCCACTCAATACCGTGAACTTGACGAATCTAAAATGATTATTACAATATTCGCTTCGATAATCGAGAAATGAACTAACCTTGGTGAGTGCTAACTGCTCTCCAGAAAGGTCCATTTCCTTATCAAATCCCTGTGCCGGCTTGTCTTGTCCAACGAAAGTACCATCATCATTGTCACAAAGCCAAAGACTGGATCTACCCATTCTTTTGTAACTGGATAGGACTTTGTGTAGGAGAGACATTTTGATAGATGGTCGGTGTCTTAAGGTTTCTTGGTTATTATTGTCTCTTATTGAGGTTGTCTGCGTTCTTTATAAGGCTACCACTCAACCAACAAAATGAAATTAATATATGATACGTCATCCTGGCTATTTTGGCATGATGGTACCGCTGCGTACGCGCACATAAAACCATTGTGGGTCCTTGTCCTGCTAGTTAAGAGCCATAACGCTTGTATGACCGTCGGAAGAAGAAGCGTCTAGGAACGATGATCATCTCGAGGAGAGAGCGCGAAACAAATCGAAATACATCAAACTCCGATGTAATACCGAATAGTTGTTGTCCAAAGCGATAATCTTGGACTAGATCCAAGTTTCCTGCGCCATCTATGACCTTTTGATCGAGCGATACGACTCCACTCCTCCCCTGCCATCTCACGAGCATGGTCTGCGGTTTGGTACTTCTTCACAGGCATGCTTGTCTTTACATGCGACCCTTCACCACCCTCAACGCATGCTATTATATGTGGACTCCTATCTGATAAAGAATCGTCTGATGCCCAATATCTCAGAATCGTGAGAGGACCTTTGGGACAAGGCTCCAGTTTATTGGGACACTTAGTGAGGCCATGACGTCTTTACAGTTCCGTGAGAAGCGGTAAAAAGAAGTAGAAGGCATGACTCACGTTGTTAATTCCGACACAATAGCTGAGTTTTTGTTTAGGTCCGGGTTGGGTGGGTATTGGGGTGGAGCGACTGACGAGTACTCCGTGCGCGTAGGGACCTCTTGCGTTGAATAGGTTGGGTGTGCAGCTCTAGACTCAGTCTTGGAATCAAGGCCTAAGCATGCGGCAATGAGAGATTGAAAGTATGCCATATTAGGTAGGAAAATGGATTGAAGGCAACGGCTAGACAGAAACGATACAAGTTAGATCGGACGCTCTCCCACCATAGGAGCAACACAATTGGCATAACATGGATATGAGATTGTGATTTGGCCTGAGCTAAATTGCGGTGAGTCAAGGGCAAGGCTGAGATTTTATAACCATGGTGACGACTATGATATTCATGGACAACGATCTAGACTCTTCAGTGATCCATCAACTATAGATAACGATTGGTCCTCGTGACTGGAAGGACTAGACAAGTTCGTCCAACAGCCGGCAATCCCAAATAATGTCAAGCTTCTGGGTCTTCCCTCGCGGTTTCTTTGTTTCTGCCTGCGCTGCTTCGTCGATTAGACTTTGCATTGGATCAGTCGATGTGGACTAGCAGAAACACTGTCAAGTAATGTGATACACGGTCGACAGTTCTTGTAATGCTGCATGGTAAATGCATGAAGGACACAGTATTTCGTAATTGAGGAGCGAGTTGAAATCAAGATATGATTGAAGAGCTGCAGCCTGCACGGCAGTCATCAACCAAGCAGATGGAAACTAATAAACGGGGGTTGTTCCTAAATCTATCAACAGCGCCCAGCTGGACTTACAAGTATACTTAAGATAGTTCCGCTAAGATTCGAGATCAGGCAAATAAAAGTTGAAACTAATCAATAATATTTACACGTATCATTGCAATGTCAAATCGATTTTTCATCCCTTTGCGTCTGGCAGAAGATTCCCGTTCGGATAGCATTAGCCTGAGCAACGCCCCATTTATTGGACTGTCGATGACTGAACGCTATATATCGCCAATTTAGCCTGCTACGGACTGACATTCCATCTTTGGTTAGAATTACAAGGCAAATAGAGAATTGGGTATATTATACGCTTCAAACTCAATGTCTTCTTAGATTTTTCCAAGCGAATAAGGGTTATTACATGTTTCTCTTACAGGCTATGTCAAGGCTTTGCACTTGTCGCAACTGCAGACTTCTTGGTGCACGAGGTGTATGTGGCGGGTAAGCGCATCGTTGCGCGAGAAGGTCCTTTCTCCCGTGCAAAAATCGCAGCGCACGTTCTCTTTATGGGTATTGTGTATTGTGCGCTCATGTCGAGCCTTCTCGTAGGGCCGTGAGAAAGTAGAGTTGCATGGCTCGCCAGAATAATTGATCCAATTGCATATAAAGGGGCCGGCCTTGCGCTTGTGTTTCTGCAACTTAGCTGGCGTCTTGAACAGTACGGTGCGGTCGCGATAGGGATGGGAGTAGATACCCGAGTCGATCGACTCGCTCTTGATAGACTCCATGGTAGTCAAGAACGCCAGAAATTTGGGTGTCTGCTGGTTCAGACTGCTGGTAGTGCGACGAGTCTGTAGCAGTTGCGAATGGTTCAATTGCTGTGGAAGACTGGCAGCCTGCCTAGCGGATTGGCTTGAGAATGTTTCCATCTGGGTGTATGGCAGGGTAGCTTGGAAAGAGTTCACGCCGTTGACAAAGTCATCAGGTGGGAACGGTGACGCTCTCTCGGCAGCCTCCAGAAGAGCATCTTTGGGAGAGATAGTGTCGACCTCGCCATGTTTAACCTGATAGTGGATCCCTTCTGCAGTATAAAAGTGACATGGTGTCTGTTGTGGTGCCCAGTTCGGTAAATCCCTAACGCTCATTAGAAACGAACGGCATAGTATGACAAGGTCACTCACGAAGACGTCGAATCCCCGGGAGAGGTTATTGGCTCCGGTTGTGGCAACCCGGAAGCATACTCATACCCGCCCCAAAAAGAATTCGATATCTTGCTGCCAAAGCTAATGGATATACCAGTATCCATGGCTGCGCAACGAATCCATCAGTCTCGGTCTGTTGCGAGATGACCGGATAAGAAGTCGGTCGTGTAGCTTACTGGTATAAACCAAGTATGCGAATGACGGAGATGGTAGCAAGAGTGTAAAAAAGGAGTAAAGGGAGGAGCGAATGTATGGAAGAAAGGAAGTTTGAGAGTAGGAGCACCTATGTATAAGGGGAAGATGTGATAGAGCAAGGAGAGAAATAGCTTGCACAAATTTGAAGATCGCAGGTGGATTGAGGGAAAGAAGAGCTCCAAGAAGCAGCAAAGTGAAAGGGAGAGAAAGACACGAGCGACGGAGAGAAACCGCGTGGACGAGAGCAAGAGAGCGCGGAGGAGTGTAAACAGTATGTACAGGGGAAGAGAGCAGGGAGAAGTGAGGAGAGAACTTGCGTGCGCGAATTTGAAGATGGGTAGTGGTCTTTTTAATAATAGGCCGACAACGTAGAATGCGTCAAGTCAAACGAACGTCCTTTTCCTTTTCTTTGATGGTGCAAGGTCCTTGAATCCGGTGGTGACTAAAGGTCTATCAGCAACACCACAGTGTAGAGAATATGAAATTGCGTACGCAGATCGTCAGACAATAGTTCAGTGCTACTGTCTGATTGATCCTTGGAATCAGGGATTACTCGGACCCATTGAGACCTTGTAAACTCTCTCTCAAACTGGTCCTTTCCCCGAACTAAAGCAATTTAGCAGCGAAAGAATAGAGCAAGTGCCGCAGCGTACCCTTTTTTCGGTAGGTCTTGATACGGCTTTCGTAGAAGCTCCAGTCCGTTGTGCATGACCAGATGAACTCAGCTGCGAGGTTAGAGGCCGGGATTGGCCATGTGATCGAAAAAGTGAACTCGCATTCCACAGTCACAGACATGGGTGGTTGCGCTTTCCAATCCAAGAAAGCCATGGTCAATGCAGATGCAGGAGCAACGAATGTAAATCAGCAAGGCTGCCACTACAGATGACCAGGCAACTGCTTGTCTTCTTATAGATTGGCGGTCAATGGTCATGCTTGAGCATGGATAGTGCGGTTTCGGCGAGTGGAGCCACGGGGCCTATTCAAAGTCTGTTCTAGAGTCGGGGTCGATTGAGTGTATACCTTAAAAGTCAACGGCATGAAGACGGCGTCTAGTGTTAGTTCGATTTCAAAACCTGGCTATCATTAGATCCCTAGCGTGTGATGGGGAATTGGATTAATGGGGCCGAATCATTGGCACTACCAGGTTGAGCAACCTTTCCGGTCTGGGGCTACGCAAGGTTCCACCAAAATACCTAGCTTGTGACTAATAGAAGACACTAGGTCCAGTTACGAGCATGTGACTGCTGCTGTCGAAGTAAACGTTTACTTCGTCTGACATAAGCTGGCGCTGAGATATTTCCCCTCTCTAGCTTCCACTGGTGTTCTTCCCAAAAATTAACTATGGACATCTCAAGTTCGCAATTCTCTCTGAATTCGCTCTCGCAAGATGCATTAGGGGGGTTACTTTTCGATATACTCAGTCGTCTTGATCCACCATATATTGCGTCTCACAAACAACTCAGTAACGCTTTCTTTCATCTTTTTTCTCACCCATCGTCGCGAGACTTGCGAGAGAGAGTTTTAAATCAAGACAAGACGGCGAATATAACGTCGAACTCTTCTGCATCGAACCCGTCGCCCGAACCCTCGACTCCAGCTCGTTCAATATCCAACTCCTCTCCGGAACCCCCGTCTCGAGTGTGTTCGATATCGAACCCCTCTCTCGAACCCTCGCCTCCCGTTCGTTCAATACCGAACCCCTCACGTCATCGCTCAATCCCCCGTCCAGAAAACTCAACGAAGACAAGCCAAACGAGCAAACCCGTGAGAATAGTTGTAATAATTAAATCTTTACGGCATGATGCTCTAGACATCAGCTCCTTATGGGAGTGTCAGGAAATCTTCTCGCCAGATAAGGATGCTAAACATGACCCTGTTAAACGACATATCCAACTAGATAATGCTATCAAGACTCTCATCGCCGACAGTGAATTATTAGTTTGTCGCATTCGAATACTGAACCTTGCTCGAGGCAATGAACGGGATACAATCAAAAGACTACATCAAAAGCGGTCTAGATATGGTGGCGAGGCCAAACTCAACGAGTATTTTGCGAAAGCCTTCGACATATCAACAAGCACTATAGTGAAACAAGGAACTCAATACAGACGGTATATGTCGATGATAAACGAATTTTGTCTCGGCGTGATCCTTGTTATCGGTGATAATTCACGTCACCATTCCGAGTAAGTACTCTAATCTCTTTTCCCCAATTAAAGCTTACTGAAATAGTTGGTTGCTGATCACGGAGAGTGATTTTTATTTGCTACTTGCATATATTCGCAAATATAAACAACACTGGATTCAACTAGCATGGTCTCAAAATTGGGCAGCCGCAAAGGTAATTGCCGAGGCATTGCTAATGATTGGCGTATCATCATCTTCTATCAACGAAGGGCACTCAGCCATTGCATCAATCATCTGCCATTATGTCATGGTCGACGACGAAGGGAAAGTTCATCCCTTAACGACCACGGGTGTTAAACCTCTATTATCTACACATGAGAGCGAATCGACCTCTCCTATGTCATACGAGGAGAAACTTTCGGAACTTTACAAGGAGATTAATGGTCGCGACGTTCTTGTAACCGAAGACAAAGCTACTGCAACACAATCTGATCGAGAAGAAGCTACTGATTCTTGCGTCCACTCTCCCGCCGAAAGTCAAGATAATGCTGAAACACCGCGTGATCACATTCCGACCGCAACAAGCGTCCGCCCTGTGTCTTTTATTCCCGCTGTTAGAAACCCTCTCCTATCATCTGGCACCTCGCATCAGAATCGATCGATCACACAACCTGGCATCTCTTCACTAGAATCTCAGTTTTCCAACGAGCACCGGCCCAGTGATTCCAATATATCTCAGAGCGGACACGACGAATCGTCTGAACGATCGTCGCCACCAACCGATGTAACTGAATATGAGGACTCCACTGAGCGTCCTTCGAAACGTCCATGTCCCGAACGTTTATATGAAAGACATCACCAACATCTAAGGATATTAGGGCCACAGCATGTGGCATATCCTTTTCAAAGCAATATTTCACAGTATAGTCAGGAGGCTCTCTCATTGAAGCACCAGGGGCTAGTTAATTCCTTGCCGAACTTTGCGCATCGACCGGAAAACCACATAGGTGACCGCCAACCGGCTAATAGCGGCTTCCAGGTTATGAGCTCATCGACTTCTTCGCACACGACGATTATGGAGCCACGGACAACTACGCCAGAAGATAATAATGCTGCCCAGGCTCTTACGGGGCTCCGTGAAGAACATCGGCCGTCAATAGAGTCGGATGATGTTCAGGTAAACACAGAGCAAAATCAAAATTGGGACGGCATGAGAGCGATACCTCACTATCCAACCGTCCCCCACGCAAGTGGAAAACGGCAACACAATCAAAACAGCAATCAAACATCGAATCTGCCGCTCATCTTACCCCAAGCCTCAACCCGATCCGCGATGCCTACATCACGGGTTATACAGTATGATCATATGCCTGATGTTCCGGGAGCAACTGGTCAGGCAGCATGTCAGCAATCGGCTCAAGCCGCTCTGCCCGTCAGTTACAATACTTCATCCTTGATCACCAACCCTCACCTCCCCGAATCTTCAGGCGAATTCCCTTCGTCTACAGGCTCGCTAGTTGAAGGCGATGAGCAATCTTCTGGGGTATCATCGATGACATCCAATCCGAGCGGATTTATCCCATCAGATGCCCTCCAGAATCGTACATTTCCATCCCTGGGCACAAATGATATACCTAACCAATTCCCACCGCGTGATACACTGCCACAATGGACTTCCCAACCCTTTGATGTCGATTATTCTTCCATGTTAGGTATAAATGATATACCTAATCAGCTCCCACCGCGTGATACACTGCCACAATGGACTTCCCAACCCTTTGATGTCGATTATTCTTCCATGTTAGGTATAAATGATATACCTAATCAGCTCCCACCGCGTGATATACTTCCACAATGGACTTCCCAACCCCTTGACCTTGAAGGCTCCTTGGACTTAGGGACGAGTAGCATGCATAGCTATCGCACTCCATCTATCACAAATATTCCTGAAGCTTATTCGTTGTTCATGTGAGACTATCACCATTCTCCTACAATGTCAAGAATTCAAGATATCTTTATGTAACTTTATTGGTTTCCACGTCGCATTCCAAAAACTCTTATCGAATATAATTACAGAGCGTATCATAGCATCTAAAATTCACCAACATTATGGTCTTTTTTTCAAGACAACTAGTATAAAATCTACCGCCCCATACACCGCAGGTTCAGAGTCCGTATATGTAAATTGTCCAGGGGATATATTGAAGTAGGGCCCTTTCTCCGGCTTGATGGTCGAAACATGCAGAGGCATCATCAGAATGCTTTTCGTCTCGTCTGAAATTACAGCACCTTGCTTAAAATGTTCGACACGGGCAACGGAAACCTAAAAAATCTTATATCGGTTTTCTGGTTGAATAGAATGGGGGGGCAGCTCACGTCATAACCACGCTTTTTCACAACTTCCTCCAAATCCTTTACGGCTAGATCTAGTTCGTCCCCTCCATATCGTGCGCCCCATGCGGATGGTGTGGTAGTGACCGATTTGCCAGATAGCGCTTTTTTTATGGAATTTGTAGCATTTATCGCATCCTCCCAGAGGGGAAGGACCTTTCCCGGTTCGAGAGTCTGAGACGGGGCACTCATGAACGAGTGGTGCAGATAGAGAAATATTGATAAAATGAAAAAAATAGTTCGGCAGGTAAGGAATTCGAATATTAGAGAGAAGCTCCTTTTTTTGTACTTTCTGATGAAATGCATTCTCACGAAAAATCTTTCTGCCCGACTGAGGGGCGGGGCGAGGAGGGGCGTGGAGTCACATGACATGAATTAGTCTCGTAGGTAGGGTTTTGTAAAATGACTGACAGGGCGTGTCATTGTAAAACCTGACATGACAAGGTCTTGTCATGTCAAATCTGACAATTTGCGTAATTTTGAAGTGGGTCTAATTTAATGACTTTAATTGGCCAAATCTGATCATCAGCCAATAAAAACATAGAGAAATATCTTGGCGGTGGCCTAATGGCCGCCGCTTTTCTAAAAATATTTAGACCTAAATCACATGAGTGATTTCTTCCATTTTTACGTACCTAAATAAGTATAGCGCTATCAAAATTTATTAGTAAAAAGGGATCTGACGCAGACCTCCAAAAATTTGTCAAACCTGACAAATTTTTGTGTCATGTCAGAAGTGGGTCCTGACAATACCAAACACTACTCGTAGGTCACTATTCGCTTTACGGAGTTGCACGCGACTCCATCCGGGTTCCGTCGCATGCTTGGCCTGTGAATGTTACCAGGTTGTACGCCAAGACGATGTATCTTGTGAACAGTTTGCTAGTGTGTATAACACTGTTTCTACTTTCAATTGGTCCAATAAAATTTGTGTCTACACTGTGACTAAGAAGGAAGTGCTTGATTTCAACGTCTTTATAAAAATATGTCTGATTAGGGTGGGCGGTATCCAAGAAAACCGGTACACGGAACCTAAGACAGGCTCATTGCATCTATGTACATGAGCCCCCACTAAGTTGCCATTCTTGCTGGCCCGTCGATAAGTTAGCATGTGAAATATAATATTAGTAGAGGGATATTGTGCATCGCCCACCCGCAGCATATGCCTGCTACATATTTGAGATCAAATTCCAGCATTCTATGGCGTGCGTGGGAAGTCGCGTTGCGTTTATAGTTATGGCCGAAGCTTTAAAAGAGTACACTAGCCCGGGATTACATAGCTAGAATTCGACTATTTATAAATGATCGCTCTTTTATTAGATTAACAGTCACCGCTGATATCAGATTTGAATATCTTCATTCACCAATCCAGTACGTTTTGAACATGACGATGGTGTGAGACCTTATGAACAAGTTCAGTCCTCCATCGCTGGACATCGATAATGATACTTCGTTGTCGGAAAAAAGGTGGACCAAGGACTTCCCTCCACTTATACGTCGGTATGTTACAGTTTGGCTATTAATAGTTAACGCCATAAATACATTTCTGGGACACATGACAGATACACCCTTGGTGGTCGATGTTATTGGTCTTGAAACTCCCGCCCATCATTTAAATATGTGCCCACAGTTGGCAGAAACTGAAGGGGATGTGATGAGAGATTTTGATCAGAATATAATTGTACCGGTTGAATTGGCTTTCTCCGGTAGCTCAGCCCTATCCAAGCCAAATCCTAACGCAGCGCCTATACATGGCGCTCCCAAGCTATGGTCGCGGTCATTAGTTGGATCGTCAGAATCAGGGTCTTCCACAAAGACTGTTGACTATCAAATGATGATGTCCCACCGAGAGCCATCGCTTGAACTCCCTTGTATGATAGGGGAATTGAAAAAACCACAAGTCATTAAGCTAAGTCAATGGCTTTTCAATCCCGAATACCCCGCCGATGGAAAGACCACTCGCCTTCAACAAGAGCTTAGAGGGTACGGTGTCTACATCTTTGCTTATTTTGTTTCTACGTTGAGCTGATAGGGTAAAGGTATGCCTATAAATATCAGTGCCCTCAAGTCTTTCTTTTTGATACAAGAACCTTGGTCATTGTTCAATTCCGGGCTTCAAGTGTTCAGGATATTAGAGAAGAAGACTGTCCTGTAGACTGCTGTGTCATTCCTTGGAAGAGACTTGAGCCCGACCAATGTTCCATACCGTACGCGCTATACAGACTCGCCTCGTGGGGATATATTCGCTTGAGTGGAACTTTAGAATGCAAATACGAAGCGCCAGGGGAATGCTCATGGGCTCGAAAAAGTCTTTCCTTGGATGGGCTGACTCGAAAATATGAATATTGGTCAGGACAATCGAAATAGGTCAACATACACGACGGCCGTGAATATTCAACCCATCTGAATGGATATCAGCGTGACTTTATCCATCAATCTGTCCAGCTACCTGATGGCAGGATGGAGCCTAGAGGGTTCTGGGTGTGGAGACTTGGAAACCAGATTATTTATGATATCTTTAACTGTTTCATATCTTGCTACTGAATCAAAATAAGGAATCCATGCTCTATGTCATTATAAAATACTGGCCTCGGTAATCAAACCAATGAGGATGCACAGAACCTTGTAAAAACCAACTACCGTCTCTAATCGCGCATGTTTTAATGTTTAGTGGAGAATCGGCCCGCTTCTTAATACGTATCAAGGACGTTTGTTTTGTTTGCATCCTGCTACATTTAAATTTCACCCTCAAGCTTCTAGCCCTTGACACCATCCCTTCCTCTGACTTTTCCCCCGCTTTCAGGTTCTTAGTCAACAACACCATGGATCATTCCCTTGTACGTCTATATACTTGAGCTAAAAGACTTGATCATGCTGACCTGGTGTTAGACAGTCTTTTTAAATGGAGATCCTATCGTTGTGTCAAAGGTCGAACAGTTAAATCATCGTGCTATGGTATATCGTTTATAGCTTGAGCCAGCTTCAGATAGATCTAAGATTCTGAAAGAAGTGAGCAGTATTGTTGTTAAATAATAGAAGAATGATTGGGATGAAGAATTCAGTGCTGAAAAGAATGTTTATGACTGGTTAGAGGTTCTTTAAGGGAAAGTGATTCCAAAACTATTTGGCTAAAGTTGCTTCAACGGAAAACTGGCTCTATTTCTCTCAGATGTTGATGGCATTCCTTTATAAAAACTCGTATGAGATACTAAATCCAATGTCCAAGAAGAGGCTCTGAAACCTGAAATTGAGCAAGTGTTTAATGCCTTCACTGATCATGGGGCTGTGTACTATGACCCAAGTTTAGATAATGTGATCTGCTGCGTCAACGAAGACTCCACCAATATCAAGGTTATGATTGTCGATATTGAAAGCGTCACTTTTCCCGATCCTATCAAGCCTTGGGAATCCACGATTAACCAGGGCAACGCAAACTCTCTGATGGGAGACCTGATAGATATTCGACAACAAAATTGTGATCATTCACATGCGAGTTCCAAAATGACTGAACCTGGTGATGATAGTACTTGGAAGATGGCTCAGTCTAGTATCCATACGCAGCTGGCGAGTCAACATTCTGAGGCTTCCTGCCATATCATGGTATAACGCTCTGTCACTTCCAGAATAAAGACACGGTAGTATGTAGCTAGAGGAATATACAATGATCGTGATCAGTATGACTAACATGTGCCAACATAGAATTAGTTTCTTTATATGCAAATCTATATTGGGCATAGGACCTAGCCGAGACTCCATACGATTCCTAGCTGAATCTTGTAGTAGAAAACCAAGTCGTAAGCCATCTCTTTCCGTCATAGATCACATATGCAATGAATCATGTAGTACGAACTCGTTTCCTAGATATATTATTATTCAGAGCAGCTAGTTTGCGCTTCCCTGGCCGTTGAGGCGCCGGCTTCGCTTGATGAAAACCGGTAATTCGCGCGTGACTACGTCGCGGGGTCCACAATACGTTTGACCGATGGAGTTTGCCAGGGTTTATACCAAGATGTTGTATTTCCTGAACCGTTTGTCGATATATATCCCACTGCTCCTGGTTCCAATCAGTCCAATCAAATTCGTCTCCGCACCATGACAAAAGTAGGAAGTGCTTTATCTTAGCATCCTTATAAAAATACATCTGACTGGAGTGGACTGAGCCTAGAAAAACCGGTACTGCGGAGCCTTGGACGGTCCGCAATACATCATAGACCTCTACTTCCCGTTGTACCTCCTCCCAGCCGCGATCAGTGGTTCCCTTGCCAATGACGGTGTAACCGTAAGGCATTAAGCTTAATTTGAAAGGTACTGCCCCATGCCTGGCAGCCCGTACGGAGCGCAGTAATTGTCCAAGTCGATATCCAGCTGCTTCTTGAGCAAACTTGCGAAATCAACGCAGTTGATTGGATGATGATTGTCGGAAGCCCTCCGGTGTAACGTAACATTTGGACAGCTTTCGTCTAAACGCCTCCCAGTTTTCATTCCACGCAGGCAACGCTGAGTACAGAAGTCAAGTGATTCGGTCGGTGCTGGACGATTGGTGCGTTTATTCTGCCGACCCGACCTGTGTTGACGTTGCGGAGGTGACGACGAGAAGTGACTCAAAGTACGTTTTCGCGCTCCCGAAATATTTCCCGACACGTCATCCGACTCAGAATCATCGGTGGGGGAGGATTGTTCAATGTCGCCCGGTCGACAGCCAGCGTGCGTCCTGGTGTTATGCGACTCAGAGAAGGAAGATAGGGGAGACGACGACGGTATATATTCCGAACCCGGAGGTGTAGAGTGTATCTCGTCGTCTGGAATCTGGCTGAGAATATACTCGAAGTCGACCTCCCACGTATGCAGTTGCGGGATCACCTCGTTGCGCCAGCGCTGGCTCCGGACTGGTATTTCTAAGCTCATCAAACAGAACGCAAGTAATCGCCCCACTGCTGTCACTGGGGTATACATCCACATATTATCACCAGCATTGCTCATTGCTGTCACATCCAAATTCGGCTCCGTCAGGCAGTAACGTAGGGTTTCTGGGTCATCCTCGGCAATATATAAAAAGACTAAGCAGCTTCCAGTTCTCAAAACGGCATGCCCTAAACCACGATTCATCATAGAGTCGTAAGCATGGGTTAATGCGGAATTGGTCAACAGCTCTGCATTATATTGGAGTTTCTCATCCCGGTCCAGAGGAATAGTCGGCCTCTGCACTACCTTATCCCAGACGTTCATCGTTTGTAGTCCAGCACGAAGGTTCTCAGGCGTCAACTTGTGGGTAGCTTTATCTTCAATAAAGTAAAGTAGGGTATTTTCCGCGTCTTTTCGATGGACACAAAACTGGTCAGGTTGGGATCGCTTTCGCTTCAGGGCATCGGGAAGAACAGGCTCATCGTCAAAGGTATTCGCGTGGTTATCGAACTGGATGCCGTCGCCTAGAGGGAAGTCGGAATTAGCTCTCAACGCTTCAAGTACTTCAGCCGTGGGATCTTCCATTCCAAGTCGTCCATAGGTCCACAAATCCCCTTCACTGGATTGAGGGCGACGGCACAGTTGATTTCCGAGACCTTGCACCACTGTACGCGAGGAAAATAGTCTAGGGTTCTCCAATGAGTTGAAGCATCCCAAAACCTCTTGGTAGACTTCTGCCTGCCGCTGGTGAAAGCCTTCCCATGGTTTTAGATAAGTCGGACACAGGCGGCCTTTAGGGCTAGTCAGTGACCCGCTGGTAGATCGCTCTTTGTTCATTTCGATTTGCAGGGGTTCGGATATGTATTGGTGGCAGTACTGAATAAATTCAGCGATTGTTGTTCGTTGCGTTTCTTCTTTCAACTGGTCGCGCTCCCTCTCAGCTTCTTCTCGCTCCCTCTCAGCCTCTTCTCGCCTCTTCTCAGACTCTAGGAAGAGTGCCTCATAATCTAGAGACCTATCCATAATCCATAACAAAAGGACAAAACAAGGAAAGCTTCGCGTCACTGCCAAGTTGGATGATGGAAGTGTGCTAACAGCGTGCCTTAACGTTGGAGTTGTTAAGTGCGCGCTGTGCCCAATAAGGTCTAGTGCGGTTTCGCAGGACGATGTCAACAATCTTCAATAACTGTGCCTCTCCACATTTCATAGTTGCACGCTGTTGCCTAATCAGCTAGTTATCTTACAAGGATTATTATTGATTGACACTAGCATGACCAATCAATACATGTACTATGCGATAGAAGGTCTAATCTGGGCAGCCATGGATCCACAGGGTAACAGCACGAGTATTGAGAATGATCCAATGGGAAAGCTCGATTGTGATTACCTGCGACTAGCTCCGTGTTTCAGCTTGGATTTTCATTGGGCTGCCATGATAAATAGAAACCACCTTAGCGTTTACACTTGGACCCAGAAGATCGTCTAGCTTCGGTCGGATACATTACGCAAAAGTTTGCTTATCTTTGTCTGAATATTCACCGGTTAATGGCAAGAAATCTTGTCCCTATTTCCTGCACTCTTCGAAGGCTGCCGCAGGGAATTCAAGAAAAGAATTCGTTTTGATCCTACGGCAGAGACAAGAGGACGTGAACATAGGCAGGATTATAGTCACCATGCAAGGACTCGACGAGAACATGGATTGCACAACGATCGATATAAGTTGGATTGTGAAGAACAGTAATCATCTCAATAGCTCCAAGATTCGTCGATGTTAATTGAATACCACCCCCAAGTATTTGGTCTACTTAGGATCCAAGTTATTAACTCCAACTTTTCTTCCCATTCTTTTCAGCCAAACTTTGAGATCAAAATCCCCTTCACTCAAATCATTTGAATTACCAACGAACTTAAAAGTGTATCCAAAATCCTGAGAGGGCTCCTTCTCGTCCGAGTAATGAATGCGACATGGATGAGCATGATAGTTGTCTGTTTCATATGCTGCTAATCTTTCTCCGTGGTCGACAGTCTGAACATGGTACACAGCACCCTCGATTGTCGAGCCAGGAGCATCTAATAGAGCCGGATATTGACCCCACAGCTTGCATTCGTAGCCCATGATATACGCCGGTCGAAGCTCAGGGTCACTTTGCAACCCCAGAATATCACGAAGCATAGACGGATCACTTAATGTACCGTAGAAGAAGTACGGTCCAATGGGGGCTGAAAATAAATCTGATATAGGGGGAGGATTTGGTGCCTGATAGAAATAGTTTGGAGGAGCACTTTGAAGCTTTAGAACGAAAGGAGAGACCTTCAAGCCGGCATTTTCGGGTGGAGATGCGGGAGGTCTTTTTTCCTCCACGTCCACTCTCGTAGAGGTGACCATGACTGGGCTATGTAAAGTCGATAAGATGTTATCGGAGATGAAGGGAGTCCCAAAGTATTATACGTATGACTTGAAGGTACATCATTCGATGGAGATGTAGTTCTGTTCGGGTCGCGGGGACGCGTTCTATTAATAACCCGAAATGTGATAAATCCCTTACATAATCAGCCCAACCTGATGTCCGGTGCCGTCGGCGCTTGCGTTAGATCTTTTCCTTAAAGCATAACCAATCAATTTGCAGATACTGTGCTTCAATGAGTTTCCTCGGTTTCAGGTTGCCGGTCGAGAACGCATTGGTTTGCTGTGGTCCGCGCATACGAAGTAGACACATAAAACAATGGTTAGGGAAACAAGGCAAGCATTGATCAGAAGCGCCGGATGACTTTATCAACCGTGGCATAGGCGGCACTATGTATCACAACTTTTTGGTATCAAATGTCAAAAACTACTATAAATGAGCGTGTCTCTCCTCCTTGTCCAGCTGACCTTTTCTCACGAGATAGCACCTCATTTTTCCGCCACTATTATCTTCTCTATTGCTTTTATCCTTTCCTATTGCTTGTTGCGATTTTGTTAGAACCAGAATGGCTCGCCGCGCACCACCTCCACCGCCTCCACCGCCGCCCCCACCAATCACATCATCCGCAGCGACGAAGTCACGATTGACACAGATCGAGGCACCTACGTACCCTTCTGGAAGTTATGGCATTGGAGTGGAGGTTGAGTTCCTACTAAGCCCTCGTCAAGAGACAAAAAGCAATAGTATCCGCGACTTCTCAATAAAGGTGGCGTCGTCTTATAATACCTATCTGGATCAACTTGCACCAGGTAGACATCCTCGGATGCATAATGCAATTGATGAAGCCTACCTTGGCCCTCAGTTCGCGGAATGGTCCCTAGATTCGGACTCAACGATCGAGATGCCTAATAAAGGCCACGAGCCTTGTGAGTATCGATCCTGCCGCTACAACTCCGTGTCACTTATAAGCATGTAGGGGGGCTAGAAAGCATTTCTCCAATATTCAGAGCCCATAATGGCTCTACATGGCGTGAACATGTTGAGTTCATGTGGAGGTTTCTAGTTACAGACTTCCACATTAGCGTAAATACTAGCTGTGGAACACATGTCCACCTCTCACGTGTTGGCGGCTATTCGCTCGCAGATCTGAAGAAGATATGTCAAAGCATTATCCATTTTGAGCCTGCATTTGAAGCTATCCTGCCTGAGGAAAGACTTGGCAATGAATATGCGCGAAGCAACTGGCTGGACAATGAGAATTTCGGACATCAGAATCTGTCGCGGAAACAAAGCATCGCCGTCATCAACAAGGTTTCCAGTATAAGAGAACTGGTTCTCCTCATGAACCCGCATCATGATAAGATGTTCGGTTGGAACCTCCTTTATCTTCTCAACAACCCACATGGCACAATCGAGTTCAGACGGGGAGCTGCCAGTGCTTCCGTTCAGAATGTTTTCGCATATATCGAAATTGCAATGTCCTTCGTCGAGGCCGCAATCCGACTGGGAGATCCGAAAACACTACAGAAAGTGCCTTCCACTGTTGGTGGGCTTAGACAGTTTATCCAAGCGGCAAATCTTCCTGATGGTATACCTGGATTATTTGATTCTAGGTACCTCAACCTGATCTTTTTGGGGAAACTGGAAACTGCGTTTCGTGAGCCAAAGCCGCTCGGAAACCTTTCTGCCTATAAACTGAACAAGCTTAAGGTTAAAAAAGAAGAGGACAAGAAGAAGAATGTTGCTATGATAAAAATGCTTCGTGAACCTTACTGGAGCTGATGACACTTATCTTTCTCTTAGCTACAAAAGAAGCAAGATTCTGGGGAGTTTTAAACGGCAATTTACATATTTTCATAGTTTTGCACTCGTAATTATTTGATTGTATCTTTTCTTTTATCCCTCATCAATTACAATTCTTAGGTCTAGACCCGTAACTGTTAGTTTCTATGTATATTAGTAGTCAAATATCTCAAATTTCGCGGGGTATGACTTGGACGTCTTAGGCTTCATTTTTAAGCACAGGTTGGTTGAATAATTCCTATATATATTAAACATAAAGAGCATAACAATATACTATGTAGCATATAATTTTAGCGGATTCTATTCTAGAATATAGCGATCTGATGAGCGTCCACATAGCTCTGCTTGTTCACAGGTTTGGACGTATCACTGTCGACGCGTTGAATTGTCGCAATACTCTGTCTAGAATACTGCATCTGAGCAGAGGGCGGTTCTTGAGCAAAGATCTCTGCTTGCAATACGTTGTATTGTCCTATCAACCCTGACGCCAAGTGAAGTGCTGCTTTGGCTTCCACTTCCGGTGTACCGGGGGTGGTTGGCACGTTGAAGGTATTTCTTGATCCGCTGAACTATCGTGTCCTTAATATCGGCTATAGAAGAACCGACTTTGATGGTGCCTGTTTCTGCAAGCTCCTTGACGGATGCTTTGTATAGTTATGGAGACTAGTCCGTTTGCTTGGAGGAGGCTCGCACTCTCCGTGATTCTCGAACACTCACATAAGGTCTGCCGTTCTCTTGGCCTTCTTGACGTGGAAGAACGGCGAAGGTATCGCCGAGTAAGGTTCGGCAAAGAAGGGCCCGGGTGTGTTGTATAAACACTCGCACAAGCATCAAGGGTCAGGGACCGTAGCAGCGACGCACTACATGCAGCTGTACCGGGTGCCTTTCATCTCGCCTGAGATTGGACACTACAGCGCGAAGTGGCACATTTGTTTTGCCTTAAATGTCGTGGACTAATGGGGTCGGGTCTAGATGCTGTTACCGCCGTGGATCCGCATGAGCACCGGAATTGATCCAATGAGAACGCTCGATTGCGATTACCTGCGACTGGCTTCGTGTTTCAGCTTGGATTTTCTTTGCTTATGCATGCTGTTATAACAAATGAAAACACGCCTTGGCGCTTACACTTGGACCAGAAAGATCGTCCCACTTCGACCGGAATTATTCATCTGGCCTTTATATCCGGAATGACTCCATGCAAAGCTCTTTAGACTGTGCCTCTCTAGTAAAAAGCCACAGTGGGTCTGCATGTGAGAAATCAACTCGGGAAAGGCACAACACAAGACACAAGCCAATGAAATTATCCCACTGGTTTTTGTCCTCGAGCCTTACCGTTCACTTCTGCTCTATTTGCATATGGAGATGGCCTATGGAGATGCAATGGCTCAAATTAGCGCAAAGCAACGTTATTTGTCCTAGCCAGTGCTTGCCGCTACCTCATGCTAAAGGATGAGGGCGAAGGCATACGACACCGCTCGATTGGCTAGCATTTCTATTAACACACTTCAACATTATTGGGACTAAGGACAAATCAGAATGCGTAAAATTAGAATACTTCAAAATATTGCGATGACGTCAGGCAACTGTAATCTACTTGGTCATTGGCTGGGACGCAAAGAGTCCGTAATTGAATTTTCACGCCCACAAAGCCCCCGGCCAGGAGTTGGATTAGGCGTCAATTCTGGTCAACGGGTTACGTCCATCAACACTCAAAGTCCAGCTCCTTTAGCCGATGAGACAAAGCCAACTATTATTTCTGTCCCTGTATCTTCCTTGATTATTGAAACATATATCTGCAATTTGGCGCAGTATCAATTATGAAACGTGAAGCGCCATCTGAATTACATGACTCCTATAATGACGGCAAGGAGCGGCCGGCAAAAGTGCGACGCCGAGAGAGTTCGTGCTCGAAGAGAGAGCACAAACAAAGCAACCCACAACAATTGCTCTCTCCCGCTTCGCCTGATTTTGATGGCAGAGTAAGCTATGATGATTGCTTCACAATAGTGACGTGACTGACTGGATAGAATCCTGACAATTTAGAACGTCAAGCAGCGATTCCACCTTCGCTCACGAATGCGACCACAGAACTTGCGGACGAAATATATCAGTGGATACCCGCACTACCGGTAATCGGCGAGTTTGATCCTATGAGTCAACTGGGTCATACAGAATCATCTCCACCATCAAGACCGCATAATTGGACTCTCCAAGATTATCAGATGCACATGATGTCACTTGACCGACAGAAAAAGAAGCGGTTGATAATGGGTCGCAAAATTCAGGGGAAAGGGCTTCCCAAGCGAACAGTGAAAGATTACCAGATGCAGATGATGGTTCTCGAGCAACAGAATAAGAGGAAATTGATGTTATTTCGTCAAGAGCAGGAAAACGCAGCGCTTTGGGCAACTATCAAAGCCCAGCAACATCGGGTTAAGAAATATGTGACAACGGTTGGGAAGAGTAAAATTAACAGCTTTGATGAGATAAGTTGCCTGCTGTAGACAAACAAGAGGCTAAGAGTCGATAATGCGCCTAGTGCACTTTCTCTAGGATTGAATGGTAATGTAATGCTAGAGATAAAATCTGCCTTGGCCCCTTCCAAGGCTAGTGCCTCTTTATTATTATCACTGGTCAAATGCCTCAGCTGACCCTATTACTAGGTGGCATGACTTGATTGTGTATGCGTGGAAATTGCAGCACAGCACAAAGTTGTGTACTATAATCAGAACTACACCCTAAAGGGGGCTGAGCAGGTTTCGATTCAGCCAATTTCGTCGCTAAATAAGACAGCATGGATTCCAATGAATTCTGAATTATAAAATCTCCTGAACTCTTAAGCTATCTCTCCTTGTCAAACAGTATTATATTTGAGCACACCTGTTCACACAAAATGACTGAACCCTCTGCCTCTCAACATCTTGAGGACGCAATCCCCTTGCCACCCTATACCGAGCAGCCGACTATCAGTCGTGATGATATCGAGCACGGCCGTCATATGAGTAACAGACGTCTGGTTCGACTAACAAATACACAATGGTGCGTAATAGCGCTCGTGGTTATAGTTTCCATTAGCGGAGCCATCGGATGCTTGATGTACCTAATATATATGCCCCATGTATGAGCAGGTAAGTTCTAGATACTCAGATACTACCTTATCATATATAATGACCACTTACTAGCTATGGATGAATTCCGAGGCATTGACAGGGAATGGTCAGAGAGATAATTGCGGTCATTCATCAGATTCATGTAACTGAGGGACGATCTATCTACGTACCGAATGGTAAAAATTGTACCGCCTTGAACAGCCTATATAGAAAGTCTTATTAATGAGCTGACTTGTATAGATTGATTATCAGTCCTACTTCACAAATATAAAAGTCGATAACAGCGACTTCAACTGGTCATTTTACCTTTGTCCTTCTTCTTTCTAGTGGCTTTTTTCTTGATACTTTCTTTGACCTTCTTAACCTTCTTTTTGGCCTTGGTTCCTTTTTTGACATTCTTTACCTTCATATGCACTTTTGTCATATTTCTTTCCTTCTCGTGTTTTCCCTTTACCTTCGCCTGCTGTATTTTCACTTTTTTTACTACAGCCTTCTTCTGTTTCTCAGCTTTTTTCTTTCCATTTTTCTGCTTCATGTCCACAGTTATAGCCTTTATTGAGTTTGATTTCTGGCCATATTAATCAAGAGAGTTGATGCAGGGTATCAATTTTCGTACCTTCGCTGGCCGGCCACCATTCATAGCAGACATCGTGAGATTTTCGGGTTTCAGACCATCAGCAGAAATTTTTCGTGTTATATTATCGAGGAAATTTGCCTTGACGACTCTCCAATGCGGTTTAGGAGCAGCTTGGCTTCCAAATTTCTCAATCCAGGAGTAAGTCTCATCGACAGGCCAGATTTGATAATGGAAGTTTCCAGCTCCTTTCACCATTGGGTGAACAATTTCAATTCGAGATACAGATATTCCTCCAATCATTCCTTTTACGATGGGTTCTTCGAGCATTTGATAATTCGTTAGTGCACTCGGGTGGAATCTTTCCGGCGGTGGTGGCGACAAAACTGTGACCGAGTTTCCTCTTGAGATATACCACGCAAATATGACAGAGGCACCTTTCATGTACGTGCTCAATTGCCTTTTGCCCTTCTTTTCATACCACTGATCACTTAATGGCCCCAGTGTTGCCTTCAACGTTTGCATTCCGTGGTTGTTGGCCCATTGCTGGACTTGCTGTTGGCCTAAACCACTCCAAAGAACTTGGCAATTAGGATGCCACTCGTTCCCTTCAAATCGGCGGCATATTTGGCCTATTTCCTCTGCTGTGAGACGACTCACGTAATATTCGATAACGGCAAACCGAAAGTCATTGGGTTCCCTGATTGATAGAGAGTTATGGAAGGGAAGATCCATTTAAAGCCAGATTGCATATCCTGTATATGTTCATCGATATTTCATCGTTCTTGTATATTATAAAGGGTAGATTAGCCAAATCTTATTTATCAAGTCCTAGCATTCGAGAGAGACGCTGGTAATGACGCGTAGAGTCGCAATTATACACATGGTTTATCCGATCCGAACCACAAGCAAATACCATAATATCTGACGATTACCCCGCCAAACAATCAACTTTTGATATTTGATATCTTTTCTGCAGATATCTATTTTGTTACTACTTTTACACAAATCTAGGCGTGTACTATTATTGGAGCGTCAACTACTAGACGTCTTTGTTAAAGGGTGGCACTTATAGCCAATGAGCGGCTTGATGCGGACCAACTGTGGGGGGTTGGGAACAGAGACCTATTCCGTGCATATCTAGATCTGCTCATCACCTGCTCAATGTAGTGTTATTTTATAGCTATTTTCTTCATATTCTCTTTTACATGGAAAGTCATTGAGTCATTTGCTCTAATATTACTTTGTTTCTGCGGATTTTATTGGTGCAAGTCGCATTTTATTACACAATTAAGACACATCTGCCGGGATTGAAGACTAAAAACTTGTCATTTCAAATACTTGTTGCCAAAGGGAGATATTTCTCCAAGCCGATCTTTCAAATGCTTGATCGCACATAGAGGGAATCGGCGGAACAAAGCAAGACACTCTTTCCTTTGTAAGTCTGATACGGCCAGATATTTTTCATAGGGTTCCGTTGCTCGTATAAGCCTTGCATAGAACTCCTCTTTGGTCTTACTGTTCTGTTCCAGTAAGGCCATTGTCGCCATGTGCCATTTACTGTTTCTAGACCACAGATAATCGATCACTTCAACTAGACCTTGAGCAGGGCCCATGGTGCTATCACCTGCATGCGAGGTTGTGATAACATTATTTTCGACCTTATCACTAGGGGCAGATCTTATCCTGCAAGCCGTGCCTTCGAATATTTCTCGCTTAAGATACTGACCTCCCCGATGAATCTGTAACTTGAGGCGAATACCTGGAGTAGCTGCTCTGATCTTGATATCCATACATGGAAGTGTAGTCGCTTGGTGGTAAGAGGGAATTTGAGGTGTGAGGTGCAAAGTTCCCCTGTATCCCCATTGACCAAAAAATATTGGTAGAACGGTCTGGTAGAGCCAGAGAAGTACAGGCTGAGAGCCTTGTTTTGTTGTCACCTTGTCTATCACTTCGTCTCTTTCTGTATTAGAAAAAAGGTCGAATTCACCGAGACAAGTTAGCCTGAGCTTTGTGTGATCTGGAAACATGATCTGTTGCATCTTGGCGTAGCGGAGAATGGCAGCCATGTGATATCCAAATCTGTGCTCAACATTACATATATCCCTCAAATTGTCTATAAGTTCGTGTATTATGAACTCTCCAATGTCGCGATCGTTGTCGACGATGGTCATTGACTCCGGTTGGATGAGGCTATCTGATTTAGATTTCACACATGTTTGCGGAGGAAGAACAGTGTTGAGTTCCTGTGTCGAAGTATTGAAAAGTGTCTCATCACCATCTTCGTCTATCGGAGTTGGGATATCGGGGAGTGATTCATCGTCTTCGAGAAATTGGTCCCTCACGTCTGACCTTATGTTCGGCCGAGGTTTCTGGGAGGTAGTTTGTTGGCACAACCCTTGTGTAGAATAGTAATTCTTCATTGGGTTTAAAAGTTTATAGTTGGTGAGAATGAGTTGGGTATAATCACTTGGAATAAACTTCTTTGGAGAAATTTGATGCACTACACACAGAGGCAGAAGGGGGATGCTCCTGGCTTTATGTCACGCAGAAGTCATCAAGGGCCAGAATGGCAAATGGAGAGCCTCCCGATGGGCTGTACAAGGCAGACAGATAAGAAACATTCATACAAGAATAGGTTCTCTTTAGTTGCAGACAGTTCAAGACCATCGGTAGTTTCAAGTTACCATCACCAAATCTGCCTTGTCCGTCTCGGGCTAAATCCACAATAGATAAAGGCTGAATTCCAGTTCAATGAATATGGGAACACGTGTCGTAGCTATAGCCATGGCGCACTGGTGTGCTATTCTGTTTATAGTGGAGGCGCATTCAACAAGGCGCCGTTCAATAAGACAATGGAGCATGCGTGATTTTTGCCATTGGTGTAAGTCTGTACCTTAATTTCCTGTACAGGATCTGGCAGCTGACGAATTCACATATACCGACCACGAAATAGACCCACGGCAACGCATCACACCTAGTACGGCAGATGCTTACGTCCGACGCTATAGCTTTAAGCCACCACAGACATGTTGCACCGCACGGACAAGAGATGTTGGGCACTAGGCAGTGCTGTGCTAAAAATCAAGCGATGTGGAACGAGGTGCCACTAGCTAAGAGATCGGTCATAAAAGTTGGTCGAGCAAGCCGTGTACCCGTAAGATTGTAGGCGTAGGAAGTCCCCACGGTGAGCAAGGAGGAAGAGGAGGGAATCACTCTACTGAAATGGCAGTACCTCTCTTCTATTGCCATAATAGCCAATTCATCGGCACCGAAATTGAGCAGGTCAAGCTTGCCGAGGCCAGGGAATGCAATATGGCGTCGACCACATTTCTATCACCCGCAACACGGCCGTTCTAACTATTAATAGTGGCTACAACGGTGATGTGAGACACCTTGCTTCATACCTCGCCTAGTACTGAGGTCCAAAATCAGACTCGATTGGTCAAATCCAGCAAGAAAGGGCCGATCGAGTGACCAGGGCCATGGCGGGCGGTTGTCAATAAAGGGCCTCACCGGAAATCAGTTTTTCAGCTAGCTGAAGGCGTCAGTGGCAGTGTCTGGAACGACTTCCTGAGAGGAGTACGTGAAATTTTGCGGACAACGATAGAGGATTGTGAGACGCATTGATGACTTATATATTTCTACGCGATCTGGGAAGTGCTCACGAACACAAACCCGATCCGGGTATATGTAACCAGATCCCTGGTGGTACTAGTCCGAAAAGGATAATCCTAAAGCGAGAAGGCCATTTGAGCGTCGGTCATATAATTTCGAAATTCGCTGAAGCTAACATCCACAATCCGGCTAATATTTTTGTAATAGAATTCTCATAATATGATATTTCCTTAAACACTTCTCTCTTTCGTTTCAGGTCGTTTTAGGGCAACCATATGGGAATTGTATATCTCTAGTCTGTAGTGTTTAAATTTGGAACGCCTCAATCTGTCTTGGCATGCGTTGCCAACCAATCGACGATCATCAACGGGACCCGTTAAGCGAACCTGCCGATGCGTTCTACCCACAAAACCATTCCCGTTCCCTTACTTTCATGCAGGGCTGCCTATAGAAAACGTACGGCGATACTTGCTCCTAATTTTGATCGAAATCGGCGATTCAAGACTATCTTGACCTTCCTGTTCAGAGGCAGAATATCTAGAGTCTAAACAATCTTGCAGTGCACTAGAATGTTAAAGCCTCGGGTTCCCCGTGAATAATGGAGGATAAGGGATTGAATCACTCGTACAGCTATATGTACATAACTGCCGGATTAATGGTATTCTACTTTGAATGGCCAGTGCTAATTATATGATATGAGGCAGACTCCCAGAACAACACCCGAATCATATAGAGAATGGACGAAAATACCATGGATATCACAAAGGAAAATACGTGTGGCCATGTGATGAAGAGGAGCAAGATCGCCTTGATTTGTTCCACAAGGTCATCACGGAAGCCAGGAAAGGTGATGGCTTATTGTACGCTCCTCATCCTTCCAATGCACGGGTAATCGACATAGGGTGCGGCACGGGGATATGGGCCATTGACATCGCCAGGAAATATCCCCACGCGTTTGTAGTTGGAGTAGATCTCGCAGATATCCAGCCACTAAATCACCCAAAGAACTGCGACTTCTACGCGCCTCGTGACTTTGAGCATCCATGGACCCTTGGCGAAAATAACTGGGACGTGATCCATATGCAGATGTTGTGTGGGAGTGTGATCAGTTGGCCTTCATTATATCGCAGAGTATTCGCGCATCTTCGCCCTGGTGGCTGGCTCGAACATGTGGAGATTGATTTCAGACCGCGGTCTGATGAATGTTCTTTGGAGCATACCTATATGCATCAGTGGTACCAGCATTTGCAGCTGGCGTGTGAACAGTCATGGCGGCCTATTGCCTATAGTGCTAGTGAGACAAAGAAAATTTTAGAGAAGCAGGGGTTTGTCAATATTGATCACCAAATAGTTGGATTACCCATGAATACATGGCCCGATGATAAACACGAGAAAGAAGTGGGCAGGTGGTATAATCTCGCAATATCAGAAAGTGCCGAGACACTCAGTTTAGCCCCGTTTTGCCGACTACTGGGCTTCTCACGGGAAAGAGTTCAGCATCTGGCTGCCGAGGTCAGAGCCGAAATTAACACGAGGAAATTACGTGCCTTTAATATCCTTCATATTTATCAAGCACAAAAGCCGCTATAAATTGTGTGGAATCGGATCAAGCAACCTATTGCTACTGGTTCTAGTTGATATCACAGCCTCTGGCCAGGCAAGGCGCACCGTGGTGGGTCAATACTGTTAACCTATATGGCCTATGTGAAAGCTATAAAGCGCCCCTCTCTCCCGTTGTGTGTAGCCCAGGTGGAATAGCCAAAAAAGCTTTGGTCAGACACGATGCCGGAAAGTCAACCAGAGCAGTCTCGGACTGTGATCCTAGTTGAAGACGATATACCACAAGAGCAAGACCACACACTAGACTCTCAAATACCACCTTTACGCCACATTCGTCCGCGTGATGATCGTCATCAGCGCAACGAGCAACTCATTCGCGACACTGCATCGGCGAAATCCCCGAGCAAAAAGCGGCAACGAAATGAAGCCGCCGTGAATTCTGATGATAAAGATTTGCGCTCAGCCTCGGTAAGAAACTTCTTCATATATTAACCACAGATTTTAATGACGAAATAGGATCGTTTGCGCGATACGCTTGGTCGACAGATTAAACGCCGGGAGCAACAATTCAGAGCCAAAGACGCGCAGAGAGAGAAGTCTTTCCTTGAAGAAAAAGAATTGCTCCAAAGAAGAATCTCTCGCCTTGAAGCTGATATAATTCAGCTGAACGAGCAATTACGCGTGTCTACTCTAACCAACGAATCAATCCAGAGAGAGCTTGATACTGCTCATGGATCTCGTCTTCTTGAGTGTTCTATTTGCTTTGAGCAGCCGGATGAATGGATTACTCTTTCATGTGGTCATATGTTCTGTGCACGATGCAGATCTCTACAAATATTGAAATCTCCAGAACAAGGTTGCGCACTCTGCAAAGCGCCTGTAACAGGATGCATCAGATCATGTCCCTTCGCGGGATGACACCAATTATACTTATGTCTTAGGAAGAAAAGATTTTCTTTTCATCATCTATTCCATCTATTCCAAGCGCAAATGAATAACCCAGTCTAAATTTTCTGAATGAGTTGATGGCAGACAGAAAGCCTGTAAAGACAATACATTAAGTGAAGTTGAGATAGAATATAAACATAAAAAGGATCTAATAATTGTGACCTATAGTCTGTGAATCTTTGAATACACAATATAGCTAATCTACTGAGCTACTCTGGAGCATAGCGATCTGTCGAGCGTCTATTCAAACGCAGCCCGTATCGTTGCTGACCGGTAGATGTATCGTCATTGAATCGGTTGGGTTGGTTAGATCGTTTTAAGACGCCTTTAGTGTTCTGCTGTCCAGCCCTTATCCGCGTCAAAGCTATTCTGTCCTCCTTTCGATTCTTCAATTTTGTGATGTAGTGTACTTGAAGAGCTTTAGCCTTTCTTCCTGGAAGACGGTTTGCAATTTCAGTCCACGTAAGGTTTTCTCTTTCCTGCAGATCCACAATAAGAGCGTCTTCTTCAGGCGAATACTTTATCTTCTTGACACGCCTTGATATCTTAGTAGATGGAGTGATACCGCCGTTGTTGTGCACGGCCTGATTCGCGCCTAATAAGGTGTCGGGAGTAGTGATGGATGATTCCCCGGAGGGTGATGGGGAGCTTTTGCTTTCTCTGAAAGTGCATTTCCATGTACATCCAGAGTCATTTCGTACACGAGTAAATAGCCCTTCGATATCGATGGTCTGAAAGTCGGACATGCCGGTCGATTCACCTGCATCTCCATTCTGTCTGGTAAACGAGGCTAATGAATTGAACGAGCTGGAGCCGTTGGCTGCCGATTCTCGGTCTTCTGAGAAGCAACAGTAATATTGGACTGCAGATAGAGACACTGCACGACTTAGATGACCACGAATGCAGATGGTTTCCTGGCTGAATGGGGTTTGCACCGTTGACTGAACATTTGATTGACTAGCCAGTGATGTTGCTGTGGAATTTGCTCGTTCTCGCAAAGCTGGTTGATGATGAGAACTTGTGGAAGCACCAATCCGCTTCTTTCTCTTAGTCGGGCGAGTTAGATCTTCAATATCAGTTATATCGCCTTCTCCAAGACTATCGTTATGATAATCATCATCCTCAGAATCGTCACTTTCTGAACTCTCAGATGAAGCACGGCGGCGCTGACGGTTTCGCCCAGCATATTTTTGGGTAGCGAAAACCGGTACGGTATTGGGTCCTTTCATCCCCGCACCCAGTGGGTTTGTATGTTTCGTGGTCACTCTAACTGGTGGAAGACCATCTGCCCTTTGCGATTGATATGGACGGGAATCGCTTCCAGTAACGATCTCATCAGGGCAGTGACTCTCAGTTAGCTCAAGTTCTTCATTCTGACTAGCAAGATCCAATTTGGCTAATCTTGATGTTTCAATTTCCGGTGTGACTGCGTCGAGGTCGGCATCGTCCAGGAGATTTATAGAATGTTGGTTGGACATTCTAGTACCATCAGTTCCCGCATCAGTTGGTATATTCCATACTGGGCTTTCTGGAACTACGCTCTCACAGCCTTCATCATTTGACGTATTGCATTGGGACTCTGCATCCGGATTGAATGCTACTGGAGACTCACGAGTCGATCTCTGTATTGAATGGTAATTCTCTTGAAGAGATGTTGCCTGACAGATCTCGCTAAGAGACTCGTTATCGCCTTGCGCTATCATGATCAGTTTTAGATTGTCAAATCTTCAGGATAGCTTCTTACGATTATCATGCTCATTCATATCAGTTGTGATATCGCAATCTAGATTGTCTTCTTTGCTTGATTCAACAGAATTGACCGGCGTAGCTTCTCTTGATTGGGAGGAGTCCGATTGAGGCTGAATTGGCAGTTGGACGGGGCCAGTAGAAGAAAGAGAAGATAGCTCTCGGTCTAAAGAATCAGGAATTGTGGAGTGCGTCACTGGGGCAGAGGGACGTGGTGGAAGGGGGTGGGCTAGAGATGAGGAGGTTTGGGACTGGAAAGAGGATGTACCATCAATAGAAAACGGTGATTTAGATCGCTTACGAGGACGATGTGGAGGACCACTGTACACGATCATATTCGTAAGAGTGATGGGTTTTTTGTTGGGTTCCATGGCTGAAGAGGTGTATAGAGGAATGAATGACTTCGGGCGATACTGAGGAAGGGTCTTAATCTCACTCTTGGACAGGACCAACGCAGTTTATATAGCTTGATACGCAAGAGTGAGCTATTTCTAGATGTCCCATTTTTCTAGTTCTCATAATGGAATGGGCCTATTGAACGCCGATCTACCCTAGGAAAGGCAGGAGGCGAAATCAGGTCGACATTGCCGATGGCTCTCTGATTTGGGTCTCCATCAGCTCACCACCATCAAATCTGCCTTGCCTAGTCTGGGATAATCCCAAAGTGGCAACGGAAAAAAAGGCAAAACAAGGCGGCTGGACACTAGAACATCCTGGGAAGCTCGCCGATTCGGGGTTCCCACATCTCGACTATACGGCATGCTCCGCTCGCAGTAGACCAGAGTTCAAACGCCATGGATAACACGAAATTTGGATGCGGGATTTTTGCTATTGGCGTAAGCGTATACTCAACTTTGTGATCGGGATCTGATTCACAATCTAAGTGCTGTGATACGGCAGACGTGGACCAAGCGATGGCGCTGCGCCTGGCGGGTCATTGCACATGATGCTATCGTTTCAAGGACCAATAGAGCCTCGTATAGCTAGATATGGCATTGGTCACTCGGCCGTTCTCTCCCTAGAGCGCCAGTGGTGGAATCTGAAAATGGTGAATGTCCTCCCCCATTGCAGTAAATCGATGAACCCAGTCAGCCGCTACCTGTCAACCGGTCTCTGGAAACAGGCAGTATCGATATCAGACTCTCATTGCTTTCCTGATTCTCATGCCCGTTTGACGGCATTCTTGAGATCAGGGAGGGCTAGAGAAACGTAGCTTCCAGTCAACTAACTGGGAGAACTAGAGAATGTAACATCCCTAGAACAACTCCGAACCTCTCCCCACCCCAGTCCTCTAGTCTGCACTAGAATTACGTGGTTTTCACACGCTCATCGTGTTCAGGAGCCAGGGAGAAGATCGAAAAGCTAGTTAATTGGCTGACGATGAATGTTGGTGGATCGAGAAGTATAGGAGATACAACGGTGGCGTGACACCAAGGGCCGGCTGACGACCAATTTTTCAGCTCCTGCGACCGGAGGGACTGCGGACGGAGCCTAACGGGTCTGATGGCCGGAGAGAAAGCTGGAGGGAAATCGAGGGCGGTCGTTGAGCGACGCACCTGCGGTTTATATACTTGGACGTGGACCGCACATCACGCGATCCCCGATCCGGACGTCCCCAGTGACGCTAAACCCAATATAGTTCCACGTGACCGATTTCTAGGCGGCACTAGTCCGTAGATGGTGATCCCGGGGCTGAAGGCGATTTTAGCTCCGGTCGTACAAATCGAAATTCTCCTATAATAAAATTATTTAAATATTTTTTAAGTATATATATTATATATTATATAAACTATATTAATAGATTCTTTAATTTTATTAAGATAATAATCCATTTATAAAGTCTCTTATCTATTAAAAATATTATCTTATAAATATTTTCTTTATATATTCTTAGATTATAATATCTTTATTTTATATTAAATATTATTATAATTTTTATTCTTTATAATAAATCTCTCTTTTACTCTTAATATAATACCTTATTTATATCATTTATCATTTAATTATTAATTAATTAATAATTATATACTATTTATAATATTAAATCTTTCTTTAATATAAAAAGATTTAATACTAAATTTATTACTTTAAATTCTTAAATATATCTAACTAAATAAAATTTATTAATAAATTCATCTTTAGCTTTAAATTTTTATACTAATTTCTATTTCTATTTAATTTATTTTAATACTAATCTTAATTTTAGATCTATTATTACTTTATACTTAAATAGATATATTAACAGTCAATATTCCTTTTTCATAAATAATTCAATATAATTATAATATTTCTTTAATAACTTTTTAAATATCTTTATAAATTCTTTTTATATATTTTCTTTAGCTTTAATCAAATCTATGCTATTTTCTGTTTTATTTTATTAATCTTAATAATATTTATTTTAAATTACTTTTCTTTATTTTTATCTATTTATAATATTATATTGTTAATCTTTAATATCTATTTTTTCTAATCAATGATTAAATTCTATTTTTATAATTAAGTTATTTTAAGAATTACATTATAATGACTGTAATTCAAAGATAAGATTCTAAATATTATACTTATAATATATTTTTTAATTTTAGAATTATATTTTTAACTATCTATAGATATTCTTTATTAAAGATAGTTCTATCTATAATAATAATTATTTACTATTATTATATTTATTTTATTAATATCTTATATTTTTTAATAAATTCTTTATTAATAAAGTTTATTAATGTTCTAGAGTTAATAAATATTCTTATTAATTTTTTATAAATTATAATTTATATAATAAGTATATATTCTATTAATTCATTATTAATAGCTATTATAATAATAACTTTCTCTATATATTATAAATAATATCTTTTTTATATTTCTTAGAATTATATCTATTCTTTTTTAATCATTCTTATCTTTCTTTTATATATATAGTAGTTATTTATTTTATATTCTATATTTTTAAGATAATTATGATTTAAATATCTTATTTCTTTATATATATACTGACAATCTTTATATCTCTTAAAATATTTAAATATCAGTTAATAGAGAATTTTTAATAATATAAGAAACTATCTATATAAGTTTTTATTCATTTAGTAGTATATATATATTTTATTAAAGTATAATATTTAATATATTTCTAAATAACTGAATCTACTTAACTTAGAATAATAATAACAGATATAGTTATATATATATTCTAATATTTTACTATATAGATTTATTCTTTTTAAGTAAGATAGCTATTTTATTTTTTTAATTAATTTAAGATTATTTTTATTATAAATTAAGTATTCTCTAAATATCTATTCTTAATATCTTTTATATATATCAATATATTATTATTATATCTAAAATAATTCTTTCTAATATATTATTTTAGAAGATATATAATAGTATAGTTCTTTATCTTTTATATTTTTTATAAACTTATTTTAAGTTTCTGTAATCTTATATTCTATTTTAAAAAATTCTTTTAGAGTTCTTAAAATCTCTTTTTTATTTCTAGAATATTTTAATTTAATTCTAGAACTATTATTTTAGTTTTTAAAATCTTTTTTTAGTTCTTTTTATTAATATTGATGGGTCTTTATATTGATTATTCTTAAAATAATTAATTAATAGATTCTATTAATTTTAATTTTATAAGATATCTAATTCTTAATTTAAATTTTTATAGTTTATTATCTTTTAATTATTATTTTAAAATATTAAATTATATTAGATTTTACTTTTTAATAAAGAACTATCAATATTTTAACTAACATTATATTACTCTATCAGTAGCTTTGATCTATAGATAGATTAATATCTAGTTTCACTTTTTTAATAAAAATATACTTCTTCTAATTTAATATCTTCTTTCTAAGCTATACTTTTCTTAAATATCTTTTTAATATATTTATTAGATTTTTTAAAACTCCTTTATTATATTATAATCAATTTATATTTCTATTTAAATCTTTATTTAATAATTCTATTCTATATTTTTTTAAAATTCTGTTTTTCTTCTTTACTATCTTCTTTAATGATTTTTTAATATAGAATAAAGAATTATAAATTAATAGCTATTACTTTCTAATAATTAATATTATTAATTCTTTATCTTTATCAGTATTCTTTTATAAAGTATTCTTTCTATTTATATTTATAATAGATTTTTTCTTTATATCTTTATTCTTTCTCTTTTTTATTAATAATAGTATTAAGCTGTATTCTAATATCTTTATTATAATTATAGTAAGACTTTCTAGGTTATAGAATATTTATTTAATAATTTTCTTAATATTAGTCTTTTTTTCTATAAGTTAATTATATTATTAAAGATCAATCTATAATATTATTTCTATTATTTTATAGAAGATCTCTAGTCAAGAATTCATCATTAAAATTATATCTTTAATATTTTTCTTAAGTCTATTATAATATTAATTATAGTATATTTAATCTCTATAATAAAGATTATTTATAATTTAAAAATATACTAATATATATTCTTTTATAAATTAAATCTATTAAATATTTTAAATTTTATAGATTATTATAAGCTTTTTATTAATTATTTTATAAAATTATTTAAATTTAATAATAAAGTATCTATAATTTATAAATATTAAAATTATTTTTAAGTCTTTTTATTTAATACTTACTTTAAGTTAATTTTTAATATATGATATAAATCACTTTATAATATCTTTAGTTAGAAAGTTAGATATTATTAATATTTTCATTTCTTTAGTATTGATCTTCATAGTATTATTAAAGAAATAGATTTTTATTTAAATAAAGAATATATTAAGTATTCTAAATTTTTTTAAAAATAATTCTACTTTACTAATCTTTAATTTTTAATCTAAGCTATTAATTTATTATTAAGCTATAATATTTTTAAATTTAATAATTCTAGTAAGAGTATTTCTAAACTTAATTGCTAAAATTTATTCAGTTCTATTAAAAGATAAATAACTATTATTTACCATTATTAAAGATGATATTATTTATCTATAACTTTTTAAATATTATAAGAGTCTTTTATTATTAAAAATTATTAATAATTTATCTTAAGATTAAAGATTTTAAAGAATATTCTATTAATATAAGATAAAAAAGTAATATAAAATTAATATTGGAGGATTATCTATTAAAGATAATAATAATAGTAAAGAAATTATTAAATATTAAATAGTAATATACTATTTGATATAAAAATAAAAGATAATCAATTAAATATATAATGATAAATAAGTGTCTATATATACTAAAAGATATTAAAGCTATACTTTAATATCTAGAATTATTATTTCATTATATAGAAACTATACTTTTATATATCAAAATTCTACTTTATTAGATTATATGCTTGACATATATTAAAATTAGATATTAATTTATAATTTTAATGATTATTATATTAATCATTATAGTTAAGTGAAAAATGTAGCTACTTTTTAGCCTTGTTTCTATAATATCTGATTATACTATATAACAATTGTAATTACTGCCATTCCAATCTCATTGGGTGCTTATGTAATAGCGTCCGCTATAACATTCATTGGTTGTGACTTATCGATTCTTGTGACACAGAACTAACCTCCATTAAGTCATTCGGCGATTGGAAGCCAGGAGTTTGCATATCTTTTAGTCTTTGTTCTAAAACTGGCTTTAGAAGTATCCTAGCATTAGCGTAATGTCTGCGAATGGCCTTGGTCTCTGCGAGAAATGGTGCAACGAACGGTCGCACGAAATTGCTATAGCTTCTTAACTTCGAAACACAATGAAAAGCGTCCATAGTATAATCAATTGTGATATTGACCCATTTGTCGTCGCGCGACAGAGGCAGGCCTACGAATACTCGGCCGGATAACAATGCGATCATTCGTGTTAGCACTGGATAGACGTGAATAGGTGTCCAGGTGTTAGGACATTCAGGTACCCCGATAGAGAAGGCATATTTGCATTCATCTTGCAAATGGTCTAGGCTACTGGCAATATTGCTTGTCAAATCAAGTCTGATGGCTTTTATTGCAGCAGCAGGTGGCAGTCCTATAGATGTATATTGACCGAAGAAACGATGGGAAAACGACTCAGCCAAGCTGACCTGATGCTCGGGTAAGGACTTGACTTCGTCCAGAAGCGATATAGGTAAGACAACAGTTGAGTGATGTGCCGAATCGAGGGCAAATAGGGACTTAGGGTACTAAGTGTAGAGGTATTCAATAAATGTATGTAGTAACGGAGTAGTTACAAGATCATACCTCGGAATAGGCTTCAGCGAGGATCCTACCAAGTCCCTCGGACGTAGAGTCGCCAAGGAGAGGAAGTTTGAGTGTTCTGTTGCTTCTAAGTAGATGGATGAGCAAAGATACGAGAATGATAGCCGTGCCTATCAATGCCTGGTAGGACATGAACCCGTAGGTTTCTAACCCATCACTTTGATGTTGAGACATGGCTGGAAGAAGTAGAGCTAGAAGATGTCCAATTCTAGTGACGTAAGATAGTAAACGGTTTTTGAGATAGATTGTGTGAAATAAATACGGCTTCGGAACAAGCTAGTGATAGTTGGCATTCGCACTTTTATAAAGCGAACCTAAACCATTTTGTTCCGCGGACAACCCGCGGGAATTGTTTTAGTGAATACTTATTAATAACGGCAATTTGCTAATCTGCCATCGTTATGTTTCCGATTTACTAATATACCGTCATTACGTCTATGCACCAGTATCCTAGCAATTTAATCACTCACACAATCTATGGTAATCTGCAAAATAACTACCAATTTGAGAACTTGCTCCATAACTCTGCACATAATAGCCCTCCTACACCTCTACTTACCGTCACAGTAGCACGGGATAGGGCGTCACGAACCTTATAATAAACTCTCAACATCAATTGTATCCATAATAATCTAACATCCATCCTATTTATCTATAATCTACAGATATGTGAGATAATCTGCAGGTAATTAATTATAAAATTAAACAGATAAATCACAGATCAGATAATATAATTATCTGTCTAGAAATATCTGGGCCGAGCTCTAACTTTTACACAATGGAAATTAATTCAGTGTTTATCTAGTTCACATTTTCAACATAAAAATTATGTATTTTCTCCAGATCATTGCTAAAATCACTCAGTCGTTGTAATATGAGATCGTCGTATAAGGTCTATTGTGGAATCTTCAAGTCATCAAGAAATAATGAGACTTAACATCAGCTAACATCTCATGACCAATCGTGCTGTAAAAGATTCGATATGGCTTTTTATGTGATACAGATGAGAAAACAGCAACCATAAAATTTATTACACAGCTCGTACATGATAACACAAGAGGTCGGGTCCATGGCACGGCCATTAGCCCTTATCTAGTACTACACGTGACTTGACGAGGTAACGCTAAGAAATAAACAAGGTTTAATCAGGTGATCTGCTTCCTGACTTTATTGTTGGGGAGGGGGGGCTTGGGTGATCTCTATGCCTATTAGATGGTTCTGTCAGATTAGCAGAAGTTTTGTAGAGGACTACTCGGGCCTGACTCAGTGCCGATGCCCAATACCCAATAAAGATCACATACACACAAGCATAAAAGTATTAAACTAAGCAAGATAATTAAAAAAGATAGAGATAACTAAAAAAAAAATTTAAATAATTATGTGTATATAGTATATAATTTAAATTAATCAAATAAAAGTATCATTATTGTGAGGCCCTATATGTTAGGAGAGGTCTATAACCCTTCGGCGCACATGCGGCGCCTTCGGAGGGCCCTGCCTGGGACCGTGTTAGAAGTGGCCGACTCGGGTGTGGATGACTCGGGTGTGGATGACGTTATTATGGGAAATGCAGATTCTGTAATCTGTAAAGAGAGTCGGTATTTGGCAGGCAATATTGAAAGCTTAGTAGCTCTTTGTAACAGCACTGCCCTGCTCTGCATGCGAATATTATGCTCATCTCGATTATGATAAGACTCAAAGGGGTTTAACAATTAAGATCTTATTCAGGTCGCTGGACTCGTTTCAAGAGTACGATGGACACTATTCAGCAATGAGGAAATAAGTACAACCTCTCAGGTGCCATATAGAAACTTTCATCTTTTGTACGACTGCTCGTTGATACATGATTCTGTCAAGCGAGCTTAGAGGACATAGCGGAAATTTTTATTGCCAGCCTCACTAGTAATCTGGTTCCCTAATTCATTCCGATCCCTCTGATCAAGTCTTTTGTTCTCTCGGCCTAAGAGCCCGCGGAAAGCTAGGGTCGTGATCATAGCAAGGACAATCGCAACGGCTTCTATCGTAGCAGCCATCCAGTAACGCGGTGACTGAGTTTTGGGGTAAATATAACCAGCAATGATTTTTCTGTTTCTAAATCACTAAACATTAGCCAAAAGCTCTTCAACCTCGGTGGTGAATCTTACCCAGCCTGGCCAAGCATACTAACAATTCCAATCGCGACAGCTTTCTTTTGGATGGGTCGCGGCATGCAGTCCGAAATCCTGCATTCATTTAATGAACCCTAAAGTGAATTACATTGAGATATTGGAAATCAAACGTACCAAGCTAAGTTACAGTTGTATGATACCCACATAACGCTTGTGATCAGGAAGAGTGAGAAGTATCTCGCAGCCGTATTCGAGGAAGAAGACAAGATGATTAGGCCAACGAGAGCAACTCCAAGGGTTCCAACCATGTAGCAGGATCTTTGCTCAGAAATATCGGCACGGTGGCAAGAGTAGATCGCAGTCACAACCGCTAGAAGATAGGGAGGAGCGGAGAGAACGTATGTTATTCCTAATGGCCAAGTAGCCCGAAAAAAGTGAAGATGCTGCATTTTCTGACATACGAGTTGAAAACCCTAGTGTACTAGCGACAGTGGGGAAAAACACAACAAGGCCGGCGCCAGTTGTAATGAAGATGTGGTTCGTGGAGATGATCCAAGTTCTATAGTCACGCGCCGCTTGCATAAAACCTTCCAAATGCCGATGTTGACATCCTCAGAATCAGTTATCTCGCCTCGGTCTTCAACTAGGCGGTAAATAGCAACAGCCCTCTTCTGGATTTAACCAGCGAGTGTTATGCGGGTAATTCGGCAAGATAAAGATTGAAAGGATAGAAACACCAACTGGGTCATACTGGCTAGAATGTCGTTCAACGGACAAGCTCAAATTGAAGCTTTAGGGGATTCAGGCAAAGGGTATCCATACCAGTCATTGAAGCTTCGATGATGTAAAGCCATCTCCCTGAAGAGAGGCCATGAACCCCAGCCAAAGTCTCAGTCACGCCGAGTGCTATGAGGCTTCCAAAAGCTAATTTCGATTAGAATATTCGCTTGTCATATGCGGGACAACGTGGAACGCACCGTTGCTTATAAAGTTTCCAGCGTAAAGCCAAGCACATCGCATGGCCATCTCCTTCTTGGTGTACCAAGAAGAGATCAAGAAGATCGCGCCAGGGAAGAAAGGTGCCTGGACAACTCCAAGAATAAAGCGAATGATTACTAAAGAAGCATAGTTATTCGCCGCAGCTGAAGTGCCGGAGACTATGCCCCAGATAATCATACATGCAGGCTACCGTGTCGTCAGTACTTTTGAAGTGCAGGCCCAGGACCAGGGATAGACTTACAAGATAGAGAGAAGGCTTCAACTTGGATAGGATCAAATTAGATGGAATTTGAAACTGTGTGGTTGTGAATAAACTTGATCTAAAGTTATGGCGTGGTCATTTTCTTACCAAGCAGTACCCGACATAGAGGATAGACAAGCAGGTATCGCTGTTCCATCTTAGTAGTCAAATCCTCATTGCTGGAAAAGACGATTCTTACAACTGCACGCCATTAAGGTGGAGTTCGTCCTCAATGCCAACGGGGCGGACAAATGCGAGGGCACCTCGGTCCTATAGGCGGAGTGCAGATTAGTCTACATATATGCTGAGTTAAGCTGAAGCGCCCACAGGCCTTATGAGATATACCCACCAGGTAGTTGAGAATATAAAATAAGAGACAAATGTCGAAGAGAAGATTTCGCAGCGACAAGACTGCTAGAGTATCCTCTTCACAACTATTGGTATTGGTGGTCCTCCCTCCCTTCTCCAATGACTGAGCTTTTCCGTAAGCATCCTGACTCAAGCCTTCCTTCTGTAGAAGCCAGTCAGACATTTTAGTTTCACTCGCTTTCATCCTGATAAGACTTAAACGGAATAATTTTAAGCTCCTTAATTTGGAAGGGATATTTAGAAATTTTGACTGAAGGATCAAAGAAACAAGAGATACTGGGCTAGATTTAATGCATCATTGAAACCCAAAGATCTAGTCTTCTGCTAAAACAGTTGCGACGGGGCTGCACAATATTGAGTCTGAATACGGACACGGCCCGCGGTCTAAGCAGCCAGTTCTCCGCGCCTATCTAAAAGTATCTAGAATTCCGAGACCACTGTCATAATTGCAGTCCTATCTGACTTGATTGAAAAGTTATCCTTAGACTAAGTGCCGAGACCAAATTGGAGTTCGGCGTTTCGGCAATATCTGGATTGCTTGGATAGTTCTAGACTCCTAATTGCGCCTCAGTTCATAACGCCTAAACCACTCGAGCCGGCAAGTATCCCGGGAGACTGCCCTTAGTAGCTATAGTTAGCCATAGCATTGAGAAGTCTTAGAAAATGCAGGTTTAATCCTACACAGCAGTCTACAGTTGTTGAGAGTCCATCAGTTCTTGCGTTTCACGTTTAAAGTCGCGATACTCTCGGCATTCTGACCTAGAGATCCGCTGAACCGAATCGGCTTTACTGATGCTAATCATTTCCTTTAGAGTTACAGAGCCCGACGAGTTCTTCGTGTTGAATGCCTCAGGTCCTCTCATGCACTGGCGTTGAGGCTCTACCGCCATTTTTAGCATTTAATTCTAGATTAGAATAATATATGAGCTTCAGAATCAACATCACTCTATGTCAAGACGGCGTACCACTATCTTAATCTTTGAGTTGTTATCTCAATTGGTGGTTGAGGTTAATAATCTATCTATAGCTGGCTACAGGTCTAAAAGTATGTCGTGTTTCTCTATTAATTTTATATTCTAAAATACCGATTTACTAACACAATAAATTTAGAAACTAAAAAGACCTTTAAAATATATATATTGATAAATTTTGAAGCTATTAAAATCTTATAATAATAATAAAAGATCATTAAAAGTTAAGCTTATTTTTATATAAAATAAGTTTATTAAAAATAGAATAATTTAATTATAATTAGGCTAATATTTAATTAATACAGTTTAGTCTATTTTAAAGATCTAAATTAAATAGTTTTAGTTCTGATCCTTTTCCTAATTTAGCAAATTGGATCAGACTGGTTTTAGATTTGGTTCCCCAATTGGGAACTAGAATTGGACCAAATGACAGTCTAGTTATTTATCATAACTATTGAATAGATAGATATAGATCTCGGTAACACAATTAGACTATGGACCAGGTCCCGATCCTGAATCCTTACCCAATGCTGGCCCACGGGAAGCAATCGCGAGCTTGCCTCAAACCGGTCCAAGCTGAAGACCAGTCCACTGATTCTCTATCCCTCGTACGGCAATATCACCTTCCGCATCCTCCGCTAATACATCCGTGTCACTTGGAGCACTCTATGATTCTGGCACAATCTCATCTTCGGCAGCCGGTATGCCGCTCGTCTGCGCCACTGAGCTCCGCTCGTGCCTGCTCAAGGTCCTCATAGCTATCGCTACACCAATCGGTGCCTTCCAATTAGCTTGATACAAGCCTAGTCGTTTCTATACGCGCGCGCACTTCTCACATAACTCCCAGTGTAATTTCACTTAACTAATATAGAATTTCACCAAGCTTGGTCCCGTTATTTGGTGGCCATTTATCCATGTATCTCCAAAAGTTTCAAGATGATCTAAGCTCATTCAATCTTAGAGTTGATAATTGAAATCATTCTCTTCACCCTGGTTGCAAATTGGCCTTGACCGCATTCTTATACTTAATTCCCACTTCTATCGCCAGTGGTAAATCCCACATCACTTCCCGACGACTCTGCCTAGATACATGTGCTGTCAAGTCACGCTATCTTTAGCCACTATTTCTTCGGCCACCTTGTCTTTAGACTCTCTGTGGATACCCTGTCTTTGGCTATCCTGTCACTGACCTATGTCCTCAAACGCGGATTCTTCAGCCACAGTTTCCCCGGCTACCTTGTCTTTTAAATGGAGTCAGATCGCGCTGGTTTTGAGGATTACTTAGAGGCCTCCCTGATGATGCTTGATGAGTGTCATGCTCCCCTTCTATTACCGGTGATAGAAGTGGTCAAGCAGAAATTTAATGAACCGAACGATTTTTATTTGGCGCCAAGCAATGGGACGAGCCCCGACAAGCGATGATCCGCACATGATCAGGCTAGAGGTATGATCGAGGTGTAGAAGTGGCCGAGGTAGTACTAACTTAACTTTGTTATGAAGATGCAAAGGCTCTCGGCGGAGCATCAGGGATAAATTTATATATGTACACGCTGACAAATGCCATTAGAGAGCACTATCTAGGGGACTACGTGCGACCTACAGTGGCGAAAAGCCTGATGAATTCAAGCAAAGTCAAGTCATGATACAAAAGAAGTAGTGAAATATATAATATACAGTATATCTCTAGTATATAGTATTTCATAGACTACGATATTATATGATACAAGACTCATCTACAAATTTCAGATAGATGTATATAACTTATAAATCTGAATTAATTCTATTTAGCACTTAGGGAACATCAACCTAATGGTGTCCTCAAATCGGTAGCAGCATCATTATCATCAAGGATTGATGTAATCAGATTTGCTGCTTACTTTCTCAAAAGGCAGATAGTGTGCAAGGACAACTGCTTCTCAGTAACAATTTATATTTTAAATGTTGTAAGCCCCCACATTCTCTCCTTCAGAACCAATTATCTATTTCAACTCGATCATGATGTCTCCACCCTCTCGACCTCCAGCTGAAACTCAGCCTACACACTTATGCTTAAAATGCCAGCAAAAGCTCTAACTTAAAAAAATCCTCTTCAAAAAAACAAAAGAATTCAATCTTAAACATAACTCTAATTTACATTTAATAAACCAATGGTCACTATCTTATCAAAGTTTTATAAGTTCTTCCATCATATGGATTAATTTCATATAATACTAACTTAGAGTATCAAAGTAGCTACTATCCTCTGTCCATAATAAAGACTATATGAAGAAATCTACAACCATGATGATGTATTGAGTGCGTGATATATACTCTTATTACTCATTGGTTTAAACCTATACTTTAATATTTAAAGCAAGTTAGAAGATAATCATCACAATAAGAATATAAATTTTAGTTACCTTAAAGTATTATTATTCTTAAATCAATAAATCTAAATACAGTATAAAGCTTCACATATTCCAAATAAAAATTAATAAAATTATTTATATTAAAAACTAATATAATAACATTACGCAAATGCATGGCTGCACGCTGTGTCATTATCTATCTGTACATGAAAAGGTATGTATCAGAAAGCGGCGAAAGAGAAAATGTAGAGGGACTGCATGAGATTATTCTTGAAGTGTTGTGTTAGGGTTTTACACATACGGAATGGTAACTCCGGACTAACAGAAACTTCCGTAAGTGGGCTTTTCTGAGGATGTTGGGAATAGCTTCGCGAGGGCGAGCCTTGGCGAAGCCTGAGCACTGATTAAAAGGGTTAATCCTTTACATCAAGTCTTCGCTCATTTCTTCCTAATTCTAAGTCTATAACGAGCACATTACACTAACGGAAGATGAGAATTTTCGGTGTCTATTACAAATATCGTAGCTATATAATATCAGCGCTAAGCTTATTCCATATATCCATTCGCTGCTAGTTTACTTTAGGATCGTTTTCATATACTATACACAGCACTTCAGCTTTTCATAGAAGGATCATCCTATGTCAGCACTCGCTACATCGCACGCCATTGGTCGCACCCTTCCCGGCTACAGCATGTGATGTAACATGACTATTTATTATTGTTGTTCAACTGAGATACTATAGTGTACGATCGGCAGGAATAATGCTGAGGCAGTGAAGCTGAAAGCTCCGGCCACTAAACAGAAGTTCGCACCCCCGATTTTCATGTTTTTTGGAAAATTAAGCAATAACCTGAGCTTATTTAATTTTACCATACAATTTAGGTACATAATCGTGACAACTTGGCAAGTCAGCATAATTGCTGATCCAACAGTTCGAAATCAGTTTTACTAGTACTCCTTACCCTTTCAAATTCCGCCGTTGTGCTCTGACTCATGAATATTTATTCTATTGGCCATGAATAGTAAAATAGTGTAATGATTATAGTAGTAATTATAATGGAAAGACTTGGGATATAGGCGATTCTCAAAGAATAATTCTATATAATACTTTCTTTAAAGAAATGTCAGAGATGGCTACGGTAAGCTAAATAAGATAGCTTCATTTGATAGGTAACAATGAAGAATTCAAATTTCCTGTGCTTCAATACATATCCGTGGCAAAGCAGGATGGCAGTAGCCAGGCTATTAATTACAATGATAAATGTCCGATCAATAATATCAACTTACGAGGGCTAGTACATAGCTATGTGATTGTCAAGTCAGAATGCTGCTATCATAGTGCTTTAATCCCAAGGAATAATAGCATAATTATAAGTATTTTATGAAGCACCATAGACAACAGCTGTAGGTATTATAGCCTGTGCTCTTTAGATGCACTCATCTTTGGATGAAGGTCTGTTGGGGATATATGAAGCTGTCGTGGTTGAGCTATGGAAAAATACAAATAACAATGTTTATATGGTATAATAGTATCTAGTGGCAACCTGCTGTAGATAGAAGAGTAATAATAATAATAATAATAATGTTAATAATGTAATGTATATTGAAGCCATACTGTATTCAACTGCTGGCTGGCTGGAAGCTCACACTACATTTAGTGTCCGTCGGCACCCCTTCCAGACCTCAGGTCCAAGGGGGGTTGGGTCCAAATCTAGCCTAAATTAAAAGAATCCCTCAGCCTTGTATTTTCCTTTTCTCCTTCTCCGCTAGGGGAAGAAATCCAGTCACTATGTTTTCGATATGCTCTCTCATGCGAATATGAGCACCTAGTAAGCTATTTCCCTCGCTTTTATCTTAGTAGACACTGTTGACTAATTTGTTCCGTAGAACTACCATTCCCACAATCCAGCCCGTTAACATATGCCCAACATGACCTCTGCGCGCGATAATCTCGGTCCCTTAGTAACGCCTTTCACCTACCCTTCAACATGCACCTCTGCTTTCCTGGATTGTTCAACATGCTCCGATGCCTGGCAAGCGCAAACATGCAGCGATAATGGTACCCAGGATGACTCTGACTGCTGGCCCCCGCCTATCAATGGAAACCTTTTGACAAGCGTCCCCATTTTTGGCGGTGGGTTTTACTCGCCAGGTATCTCTTGTCCGGTCGGGTATGTATCTGCATGCTCGGCAACAGGTGGAGGACATACAAGCTATTCATTTCAATATGATTTGCTCGAGGCTGAGACTGCTATAGGGTGTTGTCCAAGGTATCAAGCATAAGAGCCCCAGACTACAAGATAGAGAAAGTGAGACTAACTTTCAACAGCGGATACACTTGTGGCTACATCTCCGTAGCGACCGGCAAATATAATAAGGTCCAGACCTGCCTCTCTATGATCTCCACTGGGCAATTTTCAGCAATTCAATGCCACGGTTCAACAACCATCTTAACCCAACAAACTATACCCGCTACTGTTGCTGTGTCTGTCACTGCCACCACGTCCTACGTGACCGCATATGTCATTGTTCAGACCATGACAATCAAAGCCCCTCTTTTCCAGATCATCCACAAGTCCACTGACCTGCCAAAATCCACATCAACTATAATAACAACGCCGACGTCACAACCAGGTACTTCTTTAGCGACTGGCGCGAAAGCTGGATCCACATCAACTTTAATAACAACGCCGACGTCGCAATCAGGCAATTCCTTGTCAACCGGCGCGAAAGCCGGAATAGGCGTTGGTGCTGCCGCAGGTGGTCTGGTACTCATCGGAGCCGCCATATTTATGCTGTTTTGGAGACACAAAATGGCTCAACGGCCATTTCGTCTGATCGCTGGTGGATCCCATGAACTAGCAATAGATGCATCCAAGGCGGAACTTCCACCAGGTCATGCAATCCTAGAGGCGGGTGCGCCGAAGGTTTATCTGCCGCTTGCTGAGCTTGGCTGAGCCAGTTAGAAGAGTGTATTTAGAGGTTCTTAAAATTCGCACAACACCCCTATCCCCGCTCAAATCATTTTTCAATATTGATTTCTTAATGCCTGATTTATTTTAATTAAGAGGTTCCATCATATAATCGAACGTTCTTATTGTGTAGCAGCTAATCGCCCCAGCAATGGGCAGGCGCCTCTACGTGGTCCTGGGGGCCACTACTCAAGCTGCATATATTCGTGTCCTCCAAAGGAGAGCTGGAGAAACATGACTATTAAATCCGTTCCATTCTAACCAAAATACCTAAATGTATCCTACTAGAATAAATTAGATTTAGGGTTAGGGTTATTTGTTTACTAACAAGCCCATACTAAATACGATTTGTGTAGTCAGCCCCATGGTGCCCATGAGGCGATACAGCTTGTCACTATCCGATACAGCAATGTCTTAATGATGATAAGTAGGAGTAAACCCTGCACGATGCCGATACAGGGCTTTTGGAATCGCGTCGATAAATGAATGGAGCCTTCCAATTGTTGCGGGAGCTGGCGACCGTGCAGTCGCTCCGACTCATCGGTTTGCATGGCAATCAAAATCACCAACAGAATTTTCAAGACGTATACTTGATTAGGATTGACAGAGGCTATCAACACTTCATCCAGCTCAGCTATCAGGCGGTTCTGTTCAATCACATTGTAGATTCAATCATACGTCTGACCAAACCGACGATCCACTTTTTGCAGGTCGATCGATCGGGGAGGAGGTTTACGATGCGAAAAAGAGACTTGACGTCGGAGAATATTTTCTGGCTTGGTTGAAAATCATCAGTTGTTTTAAAATGGCACGGATCACGGGCAAGTCATAGCACACGGCCATCCAATGCGTGCTACCAATGGGTCTTGTTTTGACGTTGGACTCTTCAAAGGCGTGGGTATAACTGAGGGAGATCTTGTGGGGGATCTTGAGTATCCGTGCATCTGGTATCTCTCCGTCCGACACACCGCACGTCCAATGTTGAATTCCACATACCTCCGGTTCTGTGGTTCGCGGGGATGCCGTTCCCTGGGGGGATTCGGGCTGGTGGGCTTCTGGATCAGGAGTAGGTGCAGTGCGTCTCTATCCCACGATCCTGGCACGGCTTGAATGGTGATCCGCAATCGAAGCGAACCTTTGATTGTCGACCGTGTTTGCATACTGCGGGCTCCCTGCAGCGCGGTCTTTTCCGACCATCGTATTTCTTAGGGTCCTCGAATGATCTACATTGAGATGGCCGAAGGTCAACATTTTGACGGCAGCAACAACAACAACAACAACAACAACAACAACAACAACAACAACGGTAGAGGGGAAGATGGTGATGCTAGAGAGGCGCAGAATGGAAGAACTTGAGGAGAAGAGAGAACCGGCTGTCAGTTGGCTAGCTAACTACTACTCATTATGTTATACAGAGCACATGAGTAAGCACGACCAACAGGGATGGCGATATCGGGTTTGTCGTTGGACGAAGAGCATTGTTATGGATGGAATCTGGCGGTACTAACTCTAATGGTGGATGGAGAAGTCAAACCACAACGAGCGACAAAGCCTCACGACACGCGTTACGAATAGTGTTCGGTATTGTTGGGACCCACTTCTAATATAACATAGATTGTGGTCTAACACACTCGAAGTAGACAAGGATTAGGCGATACCTCAATACAACAGGGAGCGGCCCGGTGAGGGTAGGGGGAGATTCCTGTATAGTGCATTGCTAAATCAATGCGTGTCCCGATCATTGACTTCATTACTGCCCCACTAGAACCCATTGGCCCTAGAATAAAGAGAATGTCTGATCAAGAAGCTTGCCTTGGTCCAGGAAGAATGAAGGTCCAGGCTTGATGTCTATTTAGACCACGATGATGCCAGTCCGATACTCGGAACGACTTCAAAGTCAATATATGAATATGTACGAAAGTCCCTTCGCATACCGGTTTTGTGCACAGCCAGGATCATGACACATGTCTCTGACGTGATAGTCTCGAGTGATTGTAAGGAGGTGCCGACTATGGTAGATTTACCAGCATATTATATCGGGCCATTTAATGTAGGCAGCTAGTGCCTATTATGAGTAAAGTCATTGGGGAGTGTTTGATGGGTGAGGAACTGTGTCAGTAGCCTTTTCAAGATTGTTCCCCTCATTCAGGTGCTATCCCTTTACTGTTGAGCTTGTCAGAATTAGTGTCTTCAGCGCACTTTTTACTGCTATCGCTATAAGTGACTGACTGACTGACCCTCACCGCCCTCAGGCGGTTTTCTTGTAGTAGTAGTAGCTCCAAAATATATTCAATACAGTAAGAGAAGATTATTATTCCAAGCGCACTAAAGACGCTAATCCTGACAAGCTAGACAGCGAAGCGGATAACGGAAGCTAAGAATATGATAGGCTATTTAACTATAGATTATCTAGGCTTAGTATGACAATTTACTTAGAGAGGGGTATAGCTCTAGTACTAGAACTGGCGTCTCCCAATTTTTTTTAATTTGTTTGCGGGTTGTGAGATGGGGGTTAGTCCAAGAATTATCTATTCGCCAATTTTGGTAACTAGTTAACCAACCAATTGAACTGATTGCTTAGATTTTATACGGCCTCAGAGGCTCAGAGTGTTATTGTAATGCGGCCCACATGCATGCCATTTCCCTCGAAGTGAATTGTTACTTATGGCTCATGCCTCAATCAAACATCGATGGCCCTTGGGCTGGGCGAGGAACCAAGCTTTCATTTCCATATCGGCATCCGACATCCCTTCTTTCGACGAGACTCGTGCGCTTGAAAACCGTCTAAAGAAGTGGGCCGTTGCTAATCTCAATTCGACTTTGGCCAGGTGCATACCTATACAGACTTTTCGCGAATGATTCATTGTGAGTTCACGTTCGGTACAAAGAAAATGGGTTTAGCTTACCCCGCGAGCCGCCCCCAAAGGCCATAAATGAGTCGTTCATTTCTTTTGTCGGCGTTTCCCAACGGGAGGGGTCAAAACTACATTAACTTATTAATTATCTTTCCATTTCCCTACGTAGTCAGTCCGATAGCAGGGTATATTTACGTCTGTGGGGCAGGAAAAACGACTGGATTGTTGTGTAAGCTGTATGCCTGCGTTGAAACAGTCATGCCACCCGGGATGGAATAGCCAGCCAGGACAGCGCCTCCAGATGGCACAATCCTCGGCAAGGCCGTGGCAATAACCGGGTAAGCTCTCAAGGTTTCCGTGATCACTTGGTTTAGAAATGGCAATTCTCGACAATCTGTATCACGAAAGTCCGGCGGAAGCGACGCCAATTCTTTCACAAGCCGATCTTTAATCTTCCAATCCTTACAAACAGCATATATCAAATAGGTCAGCGTCAAAGCAGTGGTGTCGCTCCCGGCCACAATGTAGGATTGAGCATTGGCTAGAATTTCTTTGTGATTGAGGATATCCTGCTCTTCAGCATTGTATAGCTTTGTGAAGAGGGTTGGCTTTGGATTTGTCGGGTTTTGCTTAAGGTGGTCTTGATAGCGTTGCACAGATTGAGTCGCATACTCTTGCAGACGCTGAATGAGTTCAGCAATTCGACGAAATACTCCAAGCTGGATGTATAAACCCGCCGTCACCAACCATGGGAAAGTGGTTTTGAAAGGCTGGTTAGAGGCTATCGTCTCAAGATCTTCTACATATTGGTTTTTCTGTCAGGAAAATGTTAGGAGCGGACGGTCAAGGCCATAACAGGCAAGAAGCGGAAGCTAAAAAAATATACCTCGCGGCGCTCTAGCATCTTAAAGGACTCGCCAAAAGTCAGTTCGCCGATGACATCCGTTGCTAAGAAAGTTGCCCATTTGAAAATATCGGCGGCACCTCTTGCCCGAATTTCATCGTCGATCCCTTCAAGCGCGAGTGATACTCGTTCCATGATTATAGGTTCATATTGTTTCAGGTTTGCATCGGAAATTGGCCCCGACATGAGTTTCCGAAGATGCGAATGATACGAAGGACTTGTCGTATTGAAGATCGTTACGGTAGATCTGGTGGTAAGGTCAAAATACCAATCTGATTTCAAGTAACGACTGCCAACTTTATGAATTTCCTTGACGGCTGGGATGTCGTTGACGTGGACTTCAGTCGGGGAGACTCGCACAATTGGGCCTGGTCACAACTAATAAGCCGTATCCCAGTACATCTGTAGACTAGTAACACCATCACAGCGTACCATATTTATTATGAAGCGAGTCGACATACTGGGCACGCCGCCCCATGAACCAGTGGTAGGTAGTAACAACCCCGGTCCAATTGGAAAGCCAAGGTCCTGGAATAGCTGATAGCGGATTTGTCCAGCTTCGACATATAATCGCCTTGTTTCACATGCTGTCAGAAATCCACACGTAGCACCAAGTTAGGAATACGATGCTCACTATTAGTAGACAACCTACAAGGCCTATGGCCACTGGAAAGGAGGAATTGTGCGTGCCGGAGCACACGGACAACAAAATGTCTATCATTATACCAATATCAGCGATAGCCTGTCAGCTAGAGGGGGGATGTGTGTTCAATAAACGAATTCGAGATATCCTCTATTACATTGCTACTCAAACCTTCTACGGCGTACCTCGCAGTTATAAGTCGGCTGTTCAGGTCGCATCGGTTGTTCGTATGGCCGAAACTAATGTTGATCGGCGAGATAGCGCCGTTCTCCGCCTCGCACCTCATTTTCACGCGGTTGTCCGGGCCGGTTTTGTAAAATTACACTTTGCGTAATTTTGAAGTGGGACTAATCAAAGTATTTTGATTGGCCAAATTTTGTCATTAGCCAATAGAAATTTAGAAGCTTTTCTTGGCCGGGGCCTAGCGGCTGCCAATATTCAAAAATAGCTAGATATATATCGGGTGTGCACTTTCCTACATTTGTACTTACTTCAAATAGTATAGTGCATAACAAATTTGGTAGTAAAATGGGTTCTGACCATAGGCCCTCAAAAAATGGTCAAACCTGATATAAATCTGTCATGTCAGATAGTTGGTCCTAACAATACCAAACACTAGTCTGGACAGCTTTCAGCGCCAAGGACAGTAACGTTGGAGACATTAATTACCCGTTTCTAGTGCGGGGAAGCGGGTGAATGATCTACACTATTTTCTTAGCTGCGACCAATAAAACTGACAATGTGAAATCGTCGAAGCCGGTTTTCTTGCATTAAGCTAGAGTCTATATCCGTCTGAATAATCACGAGGATGCGTATAATGCAGACATACAAAGGGGCGAGAAAATGGTACCTGGGCTGGTAAAATAAATTGATATTGAAATTGGCTTGATGCCTGCGCAATATGGCATCCACAACAGATTCCTTTTTTTTCACACAAGTATACATGTGGACATCAACTAGTATATATAAAAAAATTATAAAAATCACACGGGATTATTGGCTACGAAGTACTTAGGCTTTTTGTCACCCTGAGAATATCATCTGTTAGTTATATTTAGTCGAGATTACGCCCACTGCATTAACAAAACATGTTCCCCCAATTTGCTCCTCAGCATATGCAACACAAAATAAAACAGCTGGACGGAGAGAAGATGGCTCAATGGAGTAGATAATGCCGATATATGTCATTACACGTTGGCCTGTACAGTCGCAGCCAACCGTCGCTTTCTGTAAAAAACTGACTGGAAGATCAGGCATACAACTTGTTGTCATCGTCGTGCTGGCCAGGCTGGACAAGTTGGTTTCGCTTCGAGTCGTTCTTTGGATACAGTACCTGACGCACTGTGAATCCCTTCTCACAGTCCGGCCGTCGCTGCGTACTGTCTCCGTGGTAAAACTCGCAGCGGAATCGCAGGTATTGGTCGCCATTTGCAAATATAGTAATTACATCGTCTGTGTATAGTTTGCCAAAATGAAATGCTTCCTTGTCGTTTGTTGTCTCTGGGGCCCGGCGAAGCTCGACTCCGTTCACCCAAATGCACTTGCGCGTTTTGGTAGAGAGAATTGCCATGACATCTGGCATATCCATCCAATTGGTCCCTGCCGCGATGCGCGCCTCAATTCCAGGACTCCAGAACGTGACTTCGATCGCATACGCCGGAATGCGGGTGTCCTCTCGATCAGGATGTACAACAGTGGCGTACGGTCCTCGGCCCCAAGATGTCATGCGGCTCTCTAGCCTCAAGGTCAGGTCGATAGCAGAACCAGGAACGCTGATTAGTTTGCCAAGCAAAGGTAGAGGCTTCGTAAATGTTGTCCCCGGTAAGGCTCGCGGAATACTTCTAATGACAGACTCTGACCTTAGCAAATACTCATCTGGCGTCTCCCGGTATGTAGAGGCAGGTATTTCATCTGGAACTTCTTTTCCGGTGCGTGCGTCAATCGTGGTAGCGAGTTCGTCGAGATTATGCCCTTCCGTAGGGATGTTTTGTTGCTGCTTCCCCAATTCTTCGTCTCGTGCGAAGGAACTTTCGCTGGCGGTGTCGGGTAGAGGAAGTTCAATGCGTCGGTTAATGGGGGCAGCCTTTGGTGTAACTTCATTTGGTTTGAGACTGCTGTTTCCTGACCGCGAGATATCTTCATTAGCCGGAGTCACCTCTCGGTGCCATACTGGATCGTTTGTGCCTTGGCCATCTACGACAGCAGTGACAACTTTGGGCGAGTTATTCCCCGATGACATGTTGAGATGACCAACGAGGCTATCGGCGCCTTGTAGACTAGGAGAAGAGTCCTCAAAATTGAGCACCGGAAACGAGTGCACCGGAGCCACAAGCCCATCGCCGTCACCCATTGACTCACCAGAAGATTGAAAGCTACTGAAGCTGAATTCGGTCGGCCCTAGACCGTCGAAGACCCCCGAGCTACGCAATGCAGACGGAGTAATCTCGCCAAAGAGCCGTTGGTCTGTCATTTCGGGACGCGCCGTGACCACTGGGAAACTTTGTATGCTGGGAAGAGATGGATAGCGAACTGAGGCCTCCTGGTCAAGACGGGGGCGCTTCATTTGGTTCGCCCCAAAGCCGGCCGTCTGAGAGAGTGCGCATTCTTCAAAATTATCGTGGATCGACAGCTGAGAAGCATCTAATTCTTCCTCCACTGCTTCCGTGATTAAGGGAAGACCATCTTCTTCGTTTACGGAGATTTCTGCGTCTGAGTATTCATCTATGTCAGCGACGTCAGCGATCCATGCGTGTTTAAACAACTGCTTTTCTGTAGGGCGATCGTGAGGTTCTCTGCGCAGAAGTTGTGAGACAAAATCGATGCCATTCTCTGATATTCCCGCTTCTCGTAGAAGATCATACTCGACTTCTGTCGTCATGATTGTGCGCAGCATATGTGCGCCTCTGTCGTCTGCGCGACCTGTGAAAGGCGGAGTCCCACATAGAATGTGGAAAAGGACCGCTCCGAGCGACCACATATCCACTGATTGGCTATAGGGAGAAGTTCGTGGAGGTCTGTCTCAAATCTGAGTAAGTTATCTGCTTTCTGGAAAAGTTTTCATGATTGGGACACATACGGATCTCCCAGTCGCCGTCGCTTTCTCATGGAGCCTTGTCTGTAATTATCATATTCCGGATACACCTCAGGGGCACAGTAAAGGAGAGTTCCGCAGAACGTCTTCAATAAGGTCTCCTCCTGGACAGATTTGGAAAGACCAAAATCTGACAGCTTTACCCGCAGAGGATTGAGAGATGATATAAGGATATTGTCTGGCTTGATGTCACGGTGAGTAATTTTTCGCTTATGAAGGTACTGCAAAGCATGCAGGAGTTGTCTTGCAATGCTCTTGACCATATCCTCGGCAATTCTACTATTTTCTGCAAGATATGTCGACAGCTCGCCGCATGCCACGTATTCCATGATAATATAAATCCATCTATCATGTTCATGATGGTCGATATACTGGACAATATTGGGCTGCGCTTTATTAGCACCATATAAACAGTAACTCGATTTCTTGGTACTCACGTGACGAAGATCGCTCATAATTCTCATCTCGTTGTCGACTTTTTGGTCCAAGATACCATTCTTCATGAAGCGGCGTTTGTCCAGCTCTTTTGCGGCATAAACAACACCGTCTTGTTTAGTCGCTAATTTGTACACAGTCGCAAAGGCGCCCTTTCCGATCTGCCCAGTAACATTGTAAATAGAGCCACCAGTCCAGTGCATTCCATAGGGATTTCCCAATGTCCATTGAAGTGTCGGTTGCAGCGCTGGTGTGCGGCCTTGGAGGTTCTTGACTTTAGCAGTATGCCTGGCAACTCGCTGTATATATGCAACCATATTCTCCCTGTGTTGAACATTGAAACCGTCGCGGGATGGTATCCGCACAACAAAACGAACCTCCTTCTTGTCAGATGCCACGATTATGACAGACCCGTTAACGAGCATGCGAGTAGTCTGGCCATTCCTTTTCCACAAACGAGTATCGTCAACAACGGTACCGTTGGTAGACATGTCTTGTAGCATCAAAATACCATCATCATTGACGAAAATCCGAAAGTGGATATTCGATATAGTTCTGGATGTTACTTCTGGGCTCAACAAGACATCACAACGTTGTGGGTTGCGTCCAAAGACGAATCCCAATGACAAATCTTTGACGGATGAAGAAAGTCGAAGAGCGATATCTCGAGAAGAGGCGCCGTCGGAGTCGTACTCGAATTCATCCCGTTGAAGGATATGCTGCTGACCTTTGTCAAGCCGCGCTGTGGCATCAACTAATTCATGGGCTGAAGGAGATCCAGGATGGAGGATGCAGAGGATATCAGATACATCTTCATCTTGAAGCCCTGAGTTGTGTGATCCCATTCGTCTTGGGTCTGAGTATGGTTGCGTTGAACCTTGCGTTGGGTTCACATCCATGATGGAAGAGTGTTGAATAATGAAAATGTCTATGTCCTTATGCTCTGAGAAAGGTATTTGGTAGAAACAGCAAAGAAAGTAATAGAAGAACGTTGAGAACGAAAGGTAGCCAATCGATAGTAATCAGCCCCAAGTGTTGAACGGCAGCTTTTCGGAAAGAAACTTTCTCAAGTCTAACAGACCGATCGATCACCGGATGCTTCCTTGTTGAGATTCGGCTATATTCAAAATAATAAAAAGGGTCTCATCCTAGACTATAGAACCAGTATTAACGATGCCATTTGGCGGCACTTAGGACCAGGCGTATAACTGCGGTCTGATGACCTCCCTTGGGCCGCTTCTATTCAAATGTAATGAGGAGTCACTTAGAAGCCCGCTATTCACACTTGGCAATTTCCAAAATGCAGTCTACAAGTCGGGACGGGATACTGATGCGTTTTCTCTGCTCGCGGACTGGTTTCAGCCGATGTACGGAACGAAGGTTACGCAATTCAAAAAATAGTTTATGACAAGACGCTAATTGTCCGATGGCCTAGAGAAAGCTCACGCTGTCAGAATAATAAGACCGCGAACCGAAGAAGGCAGACAACTTACAACCCACGAATTCGAGCGACATCGATCGCCTATGCCAAACTCCCCTGCCAGGACATCCAAACACAAACAGAATGGTTTGTGTCCGAACAGCCAGCGTTCGCTTCTCCAATACAGGCGAAGAAGGCGGTCACACGTAGTTGGTTGTCTGGCAGGGGCGTCGTCGTCGTCGGAGAAACGCTCAATTGCAGCTGGCAGCAGATTTGTCGTCTCAGCTAGCCAGAGCGTTAAAACAGTTTAGCTTCGTCGAGATAAATAATAATCCGGCCCCGAGTATGCAGGCCCACTGACCCAGGCTCCCAGGCACTATTGCTAGCCAATGGGCGTCCGCCTTGGCTGCCTCGCGGCTGCGGCTCGTAGTGCCCGGAGAACCGCGCTGGCGATTGGTCTAGAGGGGTGAAATCGCGTGTCTACCACAGTAATTGGTTGAAGTCTATATTTCATCTCCACAGTGACATATCTATACTTTCTACCGCACTGCAGGAAATGATCTACCAGAGGAGATGTGCTATTTACTGCCATAGGGCTTGTTCGTGTCACTGCTGCGCATAAATTCCCCGGAGAGAGCAATTTTGAACACCTTGTCCAGTCGTCGCAATGCCTCTTCCGACACCTCTGTGCGCTATCAGTGCCGTTTCGGCCGAAATACTCTGGATATTGCCACTTACGATAGTGAACTATGAGCCGGTTCCCCAGAAGCTGTAGTCCCTGTTGCTTTCCGATTTCCCCCATGTCGTTATTTCCCAAACCCGAGGCTGCAAGGTCCAACCACACCATGTTCGTTTCCACGGGATCAGCCAGCTTCCCACCCTTGGACGTCCACATTTGAGCAACTCTTTTCGCCTTTACATGCGTCTCTCGGAGTTTACCATCTTCTCCATTAGGGCCAGTTCCAAAGGTTTCGTCAAGGGCTACCCTGGCGGCGGAGGCGATTACTCCCGACTGACGTGTACCGCCGCCAATAGACTTGCGAAACCACCTTGCCCGTTCAACAAACTCCTTCGATCCGACGATAATGCTGCCGATAGGTGCTCCTAGCCCTTTAGAAAAGCAAAGACTGACGCTGTCGAACAGGCGCGCATACTCATCCAAGCTCCCTGCCCCCGTCACAACAGCCTCCCATAGTCTAGCCCCATCCAGATGGACCTTAATGTTGTTCGCATGCGCCCATTCGATAATGCGCCTAGTCTCACCGAGCGGCATGACCATTCCACCAAGTGTGTTTTCCAAGCTAATCAACCTAGTCGGGCAGTAGTGGATGTTCGTTGGAGGAACATATTTTGCTTGGAGATCCTCCAAAGTTAGGTACCGGCCATTTGCCGGAACAATACCATACACTGTAGCACCTGTCCACAGACTCACTCCACCGGCTTCATATTGAAGAATATGGGCACGATGATCACAAAGAACCGAGTACGGCGGTTGTGCCAGATGCGTGCGAATGGCAATCTGATTTCCCATTGTCCCGGACATAACTAGGAGACTGGCTTCATGGTGGGTACGCTGTGCCACATATTCTTGCAAAGAATTCGTCGTGGAGTCTTCGCCAAACACGTCATCGAGTAGACTAGTCTGCGTGATAGCCTCAAGCATGGACAGGGTTGGCTTCGTCATAGTATCGCCTAGTAATGCGAAAAAATCAGCAATTGTTCACAAATCACACTACCACCTCCTGATAGGCCCACTCCTCAAGTCAAATTCTGCGGCGCCGAGACCCTGCCATGTGTTCGTCCTGCGGCTCGTCCCATTAACAGAATCTGTGATCGAAGACGCCATTGTGAGGTTGCGCTGTGCAACTCGTGGGGAAATGTGGGTAGAGCCGGGACGCCAGGTCAGTCGTCTGAGGAGCAGTGATGCTGGTTTCATCGAGCGAGCGGTAGCAGTCGAGTACAAATGAGTCATGTAGAAATGAATATATAACGAGTAACAACGCGGGGGATGACGAAGGTAAAGCCAATCACGGTTGACCTTATCTCACCGCCCGCGGCAGCGGCCCAACGCGGCCTGTTGGCAATTAATTAACTCACTATTTTTATGGTTCATCGTCTGCGTTTGGAGATGCCCTTCCTGTGTCTTCGCAATCCGTCATCTTGAGGCGCCGCGGCCTCAGCACCAGCCAGTCGCGACCCTGCCACCATGGGCCTCTCCCATCTGGCGCGCCCGTCCATTCTCTGCCAGTGCGCCTGCTGTTCGAGCTCTCTAGCCGCATGCGAGAATGAATGGGCCAGACTGTCCGATACATACTCTACGGTGACTGGCTGGCTCAGCATCGATTTAGATCGCATCAGAGTGTCTTCGGATAAGAAACAAATCCCTCAATCCTCAAGTCTCGACTTCGTCCGCGGCCGCGTCATACAGGAGATTGTATGCAGGCTATGCCACCAGAAACTAGGCGCACTCGTCCACCTGGAGCCAGAGTAAGCTGCCGCACCGCAGAATATCCTACTTGTCCTATCTACTGACTACCAACAGTGAAAAGGTATTCTGGAAGCTATCCAAGGTATCTTTTAGGGAGATCATATCGATGAAAGAATCACAGCCCGTCTTCCGAGAAGGGTCTTTACCTTGGCTTCTGTTTTCCGACCAACACGAAGTTGTGGCCCAAGACGAATCGGCCGCGAGTCCCTCTACTCCCAGCGTATCGGAGACGACGCTCAATAAAGCAATAAAAAGCCAAGGCGCGAGCCTGCACAGGATATCAAGCTCTGTTGACGAGCTCCACGACACGATGGCGGATTTGAAACAATCGTTCAAATCTCTACGGCTCGAGCTACATACCACACCCTCCTATCGTGGCCAAGTCGGTCAGTGCGACGAAGCAATGGACATGTTAAAAATCGTTTTGAAGGAACTCCAGTCCAAGGCCGATGACATCGAGAAGCTCAGGTTGGAGAACGAGTCATTGAAGTTGAAAAACAGGTACCTGGAAGAGCGCCTTGTAGGAGATTCAACCCCTCGCTTGTTGGAGGGTCGGTTTATACCAGCAGTACAAAGTCCAGGCTTTCTGAATGAAAATGGAAGGCGATCGTGGACAGAATCCGTCGCAAATCAGCAAATACCGGATTCATTTGAAGGGGATATTGAGTCACTTGATCGCACACCCATTGCCGATCCGAACGAGCCAGGGTTACCTCCTATTAAAGTTCCTCTCAAACCCGCTGTTGAGAAATTACCTATGCATATTCGTCAATTGCCGAGTCAAGACGATCAAGCTGTGTCTGGAACAACCAGGTCTCGAAGAAACTCGGGAGAGCCAGCAACAAAACGGCAGCGCCTCAATATTTCCGAAGAATCAGTAAGCTCAGTCAATGTTCAAGTGCCAAAGGAAAAACGAGGACGCCCACGCAAATCTCAAATTTCGACGTCTTCAGTACTCCAACCCCCCAACTCAACTACTGTTGTTCCCACGCCGGAAAGTCACGATACATCTCCTGTCACACCAGCAGAAGAGCTATCAGTCCACCCAGTCGAGGAGCTGGCGAGGTCAGGGGGGCCAAGAACAAGAGGCAGGCTACGGACTAGGTCTAGGCCATCAGTTTCTCGCGCTCTTTCAAGGGAAGTATCCACTACTTCAAGGACTACTCGACAGTCGAAACTGCAAGAAACATCGTCTCAACAATCTTCGGAGAAGCAGACTAATATTGCAGAAACCGAAATTCAGAGAACCCCAGTAGTTGAAGTTGCTGTCAACGTGGCAGAATTGACACCCCAAAGTGAGATCGAGGGAAATGATCTTTTTGCGAAGGGCAAGAGGGAAAAAGGCCATAAGGAAGGAAACGAAAACAATCCCGACGAACACAATGCTCGACTTACCGGCAAAGATGCACTGGCAAAAGCGGCAATGGAGAGGGAAGAAGCCATGGCTGATGGTTAAATACGTATATACGTGATGCATATCAATTGATCAGATAAGAAATATAACTGTAGCCTTACACATTATACACATATATGTATCAGTAATCTAACTCGATAGCTTATCGAAGCAATTGATATCAATTACATGTACATGTAACCTTTGAACTACATGTGCATAGGTTGTTACCGTAGGGTATATATATTTAACATTGAAGGTAGGTCTTGGTCATCACCACCGATAATTCCGCCACCCTTAGTCCCACAGATGTCAACATAATAGAAGCAACTACTTGATACACATAAACCCACATCCTTCTCGAGCCCGTTCACATGCTCGTTTGAGCAATTGCTCCTCGGTATCAGACCACTTCACACTCAGTTCGTCCCATTTTTTGCGGGCGTTGAATTCATCCCGATAAAGTTTATGCATAGCATGCAACCGAGAAACTTCGCGCGGGTCACCAGTACCTGAGTACACAATAAAAAGCGTACAGGAAGGAAGGGAATCGTATATTCTTTTAATCTTGTGGATGGTCTTTGACACTGTCAATGCTAATGTGGATGGCGGTACCGAGGCCGTAGTAGAGGTAGTTGGAGTAGTCTCCTCGGGAGGATGAATGATAGCAGTTGATGCATTCGCGTTGTTGGGATCTGGCCGGCGATTACACCAGCCTCGGACTACCTCAAGTTCCCGGAGACGCGCCCACGCAAAGTCAACTCCTCCACCAGGAATGTTGGTGTCAGAATCATCACCACACAAAGCACGCTTCATGCCATCCACAACTTGATCGTCGGTGTCACACCCAATAGAAACCGTGGCTTGAGACCCAAATCCTCGCTCAGGACTGCCCCAGTCAATGATCGCACCGGTACGGCCTTCTGGTTTGCCGCTTTTAACGGACCTCCCGAGTCTACGGAATATACTCTCGTTATTTGCGTCAGAGGTGCCCCAATGTTCACCCTTCTCGCATTTCTGCTTGACGAGTTCAAGAACAGAGCGAGCGTCCTCGATTGAATCATGGCCTGTGTGACCTTTTTGGATCTCCTTGCCGAGATATTTCTGGCAAAGCCATTTCAGTGAGCTTTTCAGCGGAGGACCACGCGGGTGGGGATAGATAATAGCCGTGTCGACAATAAATGGATGTGTGAGTTTGAGAGCGGTAAGGTCAGAGTTTAGCGAATGCCCAACAAGGATAGTACGAGGAGTAAGAATTTCCAAAAGCTCCTTTTGAATGTCTGCTAGGGTGGTGGTTACAGGGTCAAGCATTTCTTTTGTAATACCGGAATATTGAGTCAGGTAGTTGATGACTGGCAAGTCCGGCTTGACGAGCTTGTCCAAAAGCACCTCGCCATCCCACCTCACCAAACTGATGCGAGTGAGTTCGGATTTTCCCCCTTCCGTGATACACATTTCGCAATCCAAGCCTAGTACTTCCCGGCCCGCGGTCATGCTCCCTTCTTGAACGTCGACTTCGGGAGGCACTCCCTGGGCAACTGATTCGATATTTGAATCCACCCAGCCATGGTCTGCAGAAGTGCTAAGTTGGTGACGTATTTCTGCCTCTGCTGCTTTTTCGTCGGGAGAAAGAAGGGCAGGGTGTAAGACGTAATCATTTTCTCGCAAATCTTCTTTGGAGCTGACAAAAACAGTAATGGGTGTTCGTTTGGGTACAAAGCTTTTGTCCAGTCTTGGGGGGCGGGGTCCTTTTTTAACCTCGCCAGGAGTCTTTGGTAGTTGGGAGAGTAGAATAGCTTGTAGAGGTGAGTGTACTTTGTTGTATTTTTTGTCGCCGGGAGCTTTGACAGGCCATATGTGAGGGAAGATGTCTGCTAGTTCTTGTAATGGCTCTGGCAGTGTCTCTTTGGAAAGGGCTCGGGGATTAAAGCGGTGAGACTTGTCAGCTACAGGTAGACCCTGTTTCCATCGCTCAAAGTCAACATCCTCGTCATCTTCCAGTTTTTCCTCATCTTCTTTATTGGGCTCCTCGTTACGGACATCGTTATTAGGTGACTGCGTTTCTAATGATACCGATCCATCAAACATGCCAATTTCCAGTCCTGGAACCATGAGAACCGCTATTTTCCTCACATGGCCCGAATGTCTCATTGAGATCCATTGCGGTGCAACGCCATCCGCAAAGCAATACAGCAGTAAGCCCTGCAAGTCGGCAATACGGATTGAAGATTGTAGCCTCCCCTCGACATATGTTAGCGTCGGGTATTTGATTTTCTCGCCATCGTCGCCCCTTCGCCTCTTCTTCTTGTCGCTTTTGGCATTCATCAATTTCACACCATCGACAGCGATGTCGATACTGGTGACTGACTGTTCTGTGGGTGACGGTACCGAGTCTTGTAGAAATGACAATGTCTGTCCAACTCCGAATCTGCTGTCGCCGACGGGTGGAGGAGGTATAACTGGATCACCATAGTCATCAGGCTCGCGCTTGCGTTTTATCCCATTATGGGCCATAGCAGCCTGGACCTTGTTGAAAACAATTGCCAGGACAGGGTAAAAATGTGCGAGCCGACAGCGTCAATAATAACAGTAATAATATTCGAGGATCATCAATGGATACTAGTGAAAACTGCGGGTGGTTCGTGGCACGTGATCCTTATCGATAAGCACCGAATGTCAAGTGATCGTGTGGTCACGTGATGCGCATAATGAGATTTCTGGTATTCAAAATGTTACATGTATTAATTGATATCGTTGATTACTATTGAGACTTTCGGGAAGTATGTATCTTGTCTGGAATCATCCAACTTCGGACATATTATTGAAGTTCGGGCTAAAACTGCTCGGCGTTCCCTCTATAAAGTCGAGTGCGTGCCTGCCAGACCGGAGGTACATAGTTATATATATAAAGACCAGCCAAAAGCGTGTGTGATATGAATGCAAGATATATTTAGCTTGAGAAATAATGGCTATACTCGTTCTATGAGTAATCACAAAAATCGATGTCTTCCAGTTCATTAATAATCAATTTGCGCCAGTACATATGCATGGTCTCGATGGCGTCACCGTCGTAAGAAATCTTTTCCGGCTGCCGACCGCTTTCTATCTAGAAATCAATCATTGACCCCATCGAGCTGTTTAAGGAGTCCTCGCTTTCGACTTTGTACTCTCCTTCATCTCTTTTCAGCCAGCTTCTCTGAAGCCCCCTCTATCGGACTACAATACGGTGTTCCCTTTCTCACATATCCCGTCGTCTTCCCCCGCGAACAACCAACAATCGCATCCAAAACGGCAACCAAGATGTCGACCCTTCAAGAGATCACATCCGACTCCGAATTCAGCACTCATGTCACCTCGCTCAGCCCTTCAGCTCTTCTAGTGCTCTACTTCCACACCCCGTGGGCTGCACCGTGTACGCAAATGCGTACCATCCTCAGCACCCTTGCTGCAGGTTATCCAGTCACATCCCCGCCCACAACGTCCTTTGTCAGTGTCAATGCCGAGGAGCTGCCTGATATCTCGGAGCAATACGATGTTACCGCAGTCCCATTTGTCGTGTTAATCAGAAATAATCAAGTGCTCGAGTCTATCAGCGGAAGCGATGCCGTCAAGGTTCGCGATGCGATCGAGAGGCATGCTGGCCAGCCATCATCCTCCGGCGCTGCTCCAGCTGGGTCAAAATCGACCATTCCTCCGGTATTGAATGCCACGCCACGTGAGTCGGGTACATCGGGCGCCGCAACAGAAAATCCAGTCGGCTCGTTAGGCACGCCAGCGGCTCCAGTGGCTCCCCCGCAAGAAACAAAAGAAGCGCTCTTTGCACGTCTCGCCGAGCTCGTCAAGGCTGCACCCGTTATGCTTTTTATGAAAGGCACGCCAAGCTCGCCACAATGCGGCTTTAGTCGTCAGCTTGTCGGTATTCTGCGTGAAAACGGTGTTAAATACGGATTCTTCAATATTTTAGCAGATGAGGATGTGCGCCAGGGCCTAAAGGAGTTCGCAGACTGGCCAACCTTTCCTCAGCTATGGGTTCAGGGCGAACTTGTTGGTGGATTGGATATTGTAAGTTCACTTTGCCCCGTCTGTCTATAGGATGATAACCAGCCGTAACCATATGCTAACGGTGATACGTTTCAGGTCAAGGAGGAAATAAACACTGATCCTGACTTCTTGAAGGCTTATGCAGTTCAACTACCTTCAGCAGCATGAACAGATTTAAATAAAGTAAAAAAAGAAAATATGCCGCAAAACAAAATACCCAATTGCTTCAACAAGATCTCTTCAGTTGACAACAGTCGTGCTTCTAACATATTTACAAGATTCTCAAGTTGATTCATTATCCTTCATATGTGTAGACTTAAATTTGGCACGCCAATCTTTTTGAGGTTTTTTCTATTCCACCCTTATCACGACAAGATACTAGAATCAAGCAAGAATATCAAACATTTTGAATGAGTCTTTGATTCTTTATATAGGAAGGATTTATATCATTTATAATTCATTCTCGTCTAGGTTTAATATGTATGGATTTAGACATGCTTGATTACTTCCAATATTTCGAATTCTATATATATGTATATGTATACCAAGTATAAGAACACACTTGGCAATATTGCAGTTATTTTAGGTGATATATTGTAAACGCCTGCTCGCTTGGTCTTAAGAACGCGTTCAGGTGTCGGATTCCCAAGCATTTCCTTCAAACACGCCGGCTTTTCTCTTCCAAGTAAACATTTTGCTATTTACAGCGTCTTCGTCCACGTAGGCTCCTGCAAGCCATCTCTCTCCGCTTGTCGTATCAAAGGCTCGGCGGGCATGCAGCACACGCCTGTTCTCAAAGATGACACATTCGCCAGGGTTTAGCTTCAATTCGAAAATTCGCTCAGGATCTTCAATTTTGTCTGCAAAGGTCTTGAAGGCATTAATGAAGGACTCGGCCCTTATACCCCACCGTTTCATATTGGCAGAACTGATCCTAAACGGTCCTTGGAACGGAGGTGAGTAGTTGATGTGCGCAATCCAACGATTTTCGAGGGAGTCTAATGTCGTAGTGTAATTAGCAGTTTCAATAACCGGCCTGCTGGTGCGATAGTAGTGGTCATCGTGGTTGTAATGGTAAGGAACCTGAAATCGTGTAAGGATGTCCCATGATGAGGTGTCGAGATCATTCGCGGCGGAGAAAGCATCTAAAAAGAGTGATTCTCCACCCTGGCAAGAATTCTTCAGGCAATGCAACAGCTGAAATCCCGGCGGGTTGGTCATGTATAACAAATCCATATGAAAGCCCAGGTTCTGGTTTGTGTATGCAACATTTTTGGCGTGCGGGTCGTTTCGCACATCCCAGGTCGAGCCATAGAATGAATTGCGCAGAGGGCCAATGCGGGTAGCTATTTTTTCAACCATTTCTCGAGACTCCGGAATATCCTTGATAAAAATTAGGCCGTACCGTGCGAGGGCCCTGAGGGCTTTGCCAAACTTGGCGTCATTCTCTATATAATCTTTATAGCTGATCCAATGTTGCGCCTCATCCATTCCAGCTTTGTTCCAAAACACTCGCGGTCTTCCGTGTGTCTCTTTGTTGTAGTGGAAGCTGGCAGGAAAACGAATTTCGTCGGCTGTAACGCGTGTTACATGGGAGGAATCGTATCCGGGCACATCGTTATCCCATAGAATCTCCAATACTTTTTCTTCATCGACCCAGGACTCGTCTATCCATCTCATCTGGCGAGGTTTTATTTTACTGGGAATATCGCTTGTGCGGAAGTAGCGCTGTTTCGTCTTCGGGTCAACGCAGAGCGGGCAGTCGCAGCCGTCACGGAGCTGAACGTAGTAGACGTTTGTAACTCGATGCTTCTCTCGTGTTTTCTTTGTCCAGGGTACTCTCACTGAAGCCTGTGACTGTCCAAGCTCTTTGACGGTGCCCCTGAAAGTAAGCTTGGATTGTTCCTTCTTCCATTCCTCAATGCTCGTCAAATCTGCCTGTGACTTAGGGTGAGGGCCCGTCCTCGTTTTGAATCTAGGAGCATCGCTAGGAGCATCACTATGCCCAAATGTATCCGTGGAAATCAGTCGCGGAATGGGGGTTTCGCCAACGTCTGTATGCCCGGGAGAGGTAGCCTCGGTTGATTTAGAGGCTCCTCGAGCTGCTTTTGCCGAAGAATTGGACAGAGACCTTTTCTCTGAAAACCACCTGCGCGCGGGACTGGCAGCCTGGAGAGAGATTGTCCTCCCTGCCGGCCACCGTGAGGAGCGAAGCAGCAATACGCCTGGGCGATGCATGGTTGGCTTCAGCTTTGGAAATGCGGGAGGTGAATATGACGGAGAAGCGCCAGAAAAGCACGAGGTTCGTAAACTACGGGTCAACTACAGGTAAACTATAGGTAAATTACAGAATTACCCGGCGATACGGAACGCCGAGTACTCGACACATACGACGTCACTGCGATAAGAGATTTCGGTTCAACACAACAACACCGTAACATTCCAGTCTGTGTTTATCTCATTCTCGTTTCTTGTCGCCTTGCTGTTCTCTTCCTTTCCGCTATATCCCGATGCGATAGTCTCTCTTGCATGCAGACAGCCTCCTCTCTTTGCCACTTCTCTTTGCGACAGCCACTGAATGTATGTCTGCCGGAGGCCCACACCTGAAAGATGAAGGCACAAGGACGCAGGTCGTCATTGCAGGAGGCATAGCCGGACTAGTTTCAAGGTGAGTTATCGGTCGCTTTGGAGCCATGATTTCCGAAGTAGCAACATGTTAACCCTCTCCGTAGGTTCTGCATCGCGCCTCTCGACGTTGTCAAAATCCGACTACAGCTGCAGATTCACTCTCTTTCGGATCCAGCCTCGCATTATGGAATCAACGGCCCAGTGTACAAGGGGACGATTCCCACAATGAGAGCAATTATTCGGGAGGAAGGAATAACAGTATGTTTTTTGCACAAAATTACCAAGCCCAAGACCCCGGGATAGTCTGCTCTCTAACATCAACAGAGTTTATGGAAGGGGAACATCTCGGCCGAACTGCTCTATGTCTGCTACGGGGGAATCCAATTCACAGCCTATCGCACAACAAACCAAGCCCTGCAGAAACTAACCCATCGTCTACCGCCATCCGTCGAGTCCTTCATCTCTGGTGCTGTCGCTGGTGGTCTTGCTACTGCGTCCACATACCCGCTCGACCTCCTCCGCACTCGGTTCGCCGCGCAAGGGAAGCGAAGAATCTATACTTCTATATTGTCCTCCGTTCGGGACATCGCTCGTCATGAAGGCTCGCGCGGGTTCTTTCGCGGCTGCTCCGCCGCGGTTGCCCAGATCGTACCGTATATGGGCCTGTTCTTCGCAGCATACGAAGCCCTGCGTCCCCCTCTATCCCAGTTTGACAGCCTGCCCTTTGGGTCTGGTGATGCGGCAGCGGGCGTAATCGCCAGCGTTATTGCTAAAACAGGTGTATTTCCTCTGGATCTGGTGCGCAAACGATTGCAGGTGCAGGGCCCACATCGCTCGCGGTATGTCCATACCAATATACCTGAGTATCGTGGCGTTGCTAGGACAATCTCAGTGATACTAAAAACGCAGGGCGCCCGGGGATTATACCGTGGACTGACGGTCAGTCTGGTCAAGGCTGCTCCAGCAAGCGCGGTGACTATGTGGACGTATGAACGAGTGCTCAAGATGCTGCAGGACGTTGACCATTCTACAGGTGTCTAGCCTCGCAATTATATCACCATCACTATTATTTGATATTTATGGCGTTTTAGAGATGGGCGGCTTTCTTGTTTTAATAGATCATGTTCTAGAATTCCCACAGGGGTAGCATAGTCACTTTACAACCTAATGTCAGACAATTTTCAAATAGAGCAATTATTATTTTTAAATAATTTTATTCGTCGTTAAAGGTTGACCCTAGCGGCCGAAGTTATTAGCAGCTTTCGTGTTAACAACAGGGGTTGTCTCAGGAATCATCAAAGCGGGATGGATGCCGGATGTGCGGGGATATGTGCGACGGATACTCTCTCTACTTGATAGCTCAACTAAGCAGTAGAGAACCGAAATATGGAATAGTAACAAGGCTTATTAAGTGGGTTATAAAGCGAATCGTGCCAACTGATGTTGAAAAAAAAGGAACCAGGTACCGCAATTCGCCTAGTACTCGAGCTCCTCCTCGCCCTCGACGTCAATGCTGTCGCTGGCAACCTCTTCGTAGTCCTTCTCAAGGGCGGCCAAGTCCTCACGGGCCTCGGAGAACTCGCCTTCCTCCATACCCTCACCGACGTACCAATGCACGAAGGCTCGCTTGGAGTACATGAGATCGAACTTGTGGTCAAGACGGTTCCAGGCCTCAGCAATGGCTGTAGTGTTGGACAGCATGCTGACGGATCGGTCGACAGGGGCCAGCTCGCCTCCAGGAACACGCACGGGCTTCTGATAGTTAATGCCGAGCTTGAAGCCAGTGGGACACCATTCGACCAAGTTGAACGATGACTTCGCCTTGAGCGAGGCAATGGCGGCATTGCAGTCACGAGGAACAGCATCACCACGGTATAGCAGAGCAACAGCCATGTACTTGCCATTGCGGGGATCGCAAACCACCATCTGGTTGTTTGGCTCGAAGCATTGGAGGGTGAGGTCATTAACCTTGAAGCTCTCGTGAGAACTGCGGTTCTTGGAGACAACAGGGGCGTAGGAGATCAATGGGTAGTGGATACGGGGGAAAGGCACTAAGTTGGTCTGGAACTCGTTGAGGTCGACGTTGAGGGCACCGTCGAAGCGGAGGGAGGAAGTAATAGAGCTGACGACCTGGGCGATCAGGCGATTAAGGTGTTCGTAGCTGGGGCGGGGAATGTCTAGGTTGCGACGGCAAATGTCGTAGACGGCCTCATTGTCGACCAAGAAGGTGCAGTCTGAGTTTTCGATAGTACTGTGTGTGGAGAGAACAGCATTGTATGGCTCGACGACGGCAGTCGAGACACGAGGGGCCGGGTAGACAGAGAACTCGAGCTTGCACTTCTTTCCGTAGTCGGTAGAGAGACGCTCAAGCAGCAAAGCACCAAAGCCGGATCCAGTACCACCACCGAAGGAGTGGAAAATCAAGAAACCTTGGAGCGATGTGCAGTTGTCTATATATCTGGTCAGCGACTATCCATGGCTTATTCGAAGAATTCATCTAGTCCAACGCACCGGCAACACGACGAATGCGGTCGATGACATTGTCGACGAGCTCTTTTCCAATGGTGTAGTGACCACGAGCATCTGTATATTCCTTCTCAGCATTTCCAATTGCATACATCATCATCATCATCATCATCATCATCATCATTGTGAAAGAGTCGTACAGTTATTGGCCGCATCCTCCTTGCCGCTAATCAGCATTTCCGGGTGGAACAGAGAGCGGTAGTCACCGGTGCGGATCTCATCAATAGGCTTCGCGAGTCAGCATTGTAATGGCAGCATATGAAGCTGTATTTCGCGTCTCCTGAACATACCGAGGGGTCCAAGTCCACGAAGATTGAGCGAGGAACATATTTACCACCACTGGTCTCGGTAAAAAAGGTCTCGTAGGAGCCCGCATCACCGATTTCCTGGGCAGCTTCTGCGTCAACTCGACCATCGGCCTTCAGACCGTGTTCGAGCAGGTACCTGTCAAGCTCTATCAGAATCGAGTGGGCACGAGAATAGCGGTGAGCACTTACAGCTCCCAGGCGCTGTTACCAAGCTGGGTACCGGCCTGGCCGATGTGAAGGTGGCAGATCTGGAGATAAGCAGGTTAGCATGGTTCGAAGGCATTGAGAACACTGGTCGCCATAGTCGATGCAACCTCCGACGTGGCGTGAACGAGGATGTGGATGGACGCTCGCTCTGGTCAAGATTCAGGGGAACAGGTGGGGTGGGGTAAACAATGATGGGAGCGGGACGCAGGACGCACCTCACCGCGCATTGCAACTGTTCAGCACACACGAGGATGTCAGGAGAAAGGCAACAGAGAGTCGAGGGAAAGACAGCAGGGCTCTGTCGGGCGAGGATAGGTATAGAATATGCGAGTGACAGGTATGGGGGAGAGGACAGGAATGAAGAGACCAGGACAGGCGGTGACCGCCAGCACTAGTTGCTGGTACTCTACTAGGTACGGACTAGCGTCTATGGCCTAGTTTGCTGATCTCTGGTTAATATTCTAAATAATATCAGTATGTTCGAAATAATAACAATATCGCTGATGTTATTGTTTAGCAATTCTCTATATAAATCATATGTTCCAATGATGCCATGAGAATGGCATGTAATTAGTACATGGCTCGTGGAAAACCCTGTCTCATTAAATCAATGATGCGTACGGTGGTGGATTTCGTATACAACCTATTTATGATATGCTAACAATTGTGAACGTGCAAACAGAATCTACCCGCTTGTTGCAAATACTAATGATCGTCTGCAACGTGTCATGCGCCTTGAACAACTTTCCGAGCTTGGCAATATTACCAGCAGCTGATGCCATAGCGTATCAAGGTAGTTATGAAAGTCAGGAAGTCGGAATTCGGATTGTCCAAAATCGTATAGATCCCAAACGCGGCGTCGACTGTGGGAACTAGGACGCGCAACATACCTCAACTCTCGGCCACCCATCATCACAAGCGCATGCTGTGAATCCTGCTTGGTGGTATGAGAAGGGTGGCTACTTGGATGACGCTGCAGGGGGAGGGGGAGGAGGAGGAGGCATCTGATCAAAGGGACCTTGACTTTCTCGGTTGGCGCAAGGAATATCTCGAGAATGTAAAGATGGTGTTTATACGTGCAACGGTAGCGATAGTAAGACAGCTAGACCTTTTCTTTGACGAGTACATCACCCACGTTGATGCTATAGATGTAGGCGACGACCGGGCAGGTGCCGCGATGGCGTTGGATGATCATGTTTCGCTTGTGCGTGGGTGGATGTGTCTGTAATATCAATTGATGGTGGCAGCGAGCAGAAGTGCTGACACAGTAATATTAATCACATTAGTATTATTAATCCAGTCATGCCTGGATATACCCATACCTGGTGAACACAGAACAAGTGAAGAGAAAGTCGATGTAGTATACAGAAGAGGAGAGAGAGAATAGAGACCAGGAAGGAGCGCGGATCATGTGACATCCTTATTAATAGGTAGTGACATGTTTAGTACTCTAAGATGCACATAATTATGCGCGCGGATTCTCATAAGAATAATGTATTATGTTATATAATCGCCAAGAGCCAGTGGAGAAAGCAGTACGCGTCCAAGACTTTTACAGGATGTGATTAATCGATTTCCTGCATCTGGCTTGCCTCTCGGGAGAAAAAAGGGGAAAAAAAAAAAAAAAAAACCGCCACTCGCGCCATTATTATTCTTAAAATCTATTAATACATACAGTATCAAGTTAATGCGTCCTCTGTGAGAAATATTCCTGAGCATTGACTTCCCGTTATCTCTGTCGATCACCCTGCTATCTCCGCTTGGGCGCTCCCCATCACTCCACCACCACTCCGTCGATGTCTGTAATTACGGAGTCGAGGCCCTTCTTCGCCTGCCAATGGCAATGAGTAGTCTGATTCTTGACAGCTCGACCGTCTGTCCTTCCCGTGCCGAACCAGATTATCCCACTTAATACTGTGATCGGTTTGATTGCCATCTTTTTTCCTCCCCCGGGATTCTCATCCTGGCTTATCCTCGTCCTGCTCTTCGTTTTTTCGTTGCCTCTCTCCGTACTGATTTATGTTTTTATCCTGTTCTGTTCCATCTCCTTCTGTCTACTCTTCTCTCTTTCTATCCTTAACCGTATGTGATTGTGAAGTTGTGAACTGCAGTCTCCACTCTTCATTCCTCGCTGACATTCTTTCTAGAAACCTAGTGATTCGGCTGTGCTATCTGGCCTGGTGCCAGCATGACGACCCCAGTACACGAGATCGACGAACCGAACTACTTCGACGAAGCTGCCGCGACAGATGCCACTGGCAATCGTGGTCGTTCCCACTTGAACCTGGAAACCCGTGATTTACCATCTGGGATCCCGGAGCGCTCCCCATCTGCTGTCCGCGAGTATGCCTTGAGACTGGACGACGACCTGGCCGTGCTGGAGGCCGAAAGAGTCGTGTCCAATTCACAGAGAAGCGATGGCCCTTCATTGCAGCGATCCCGCTCGCATCCGTCCCAGGCCGTCGACGAGTTTGACGTTGCGACTAATCCTCTCCACGAGACCGCTGCCATTTACAACCCACCTGAGACCCCGACCACCAACTTGGCTAGGATTTTCAAGCGCATTCATCAGTCGAGCTTCCTCGTCCGGTACTTCTTTTATATCTCGCCCGTCACGCTGATCATCTTGGTTCCGTTGTTATTGGGAGCTCTGGTATTCAAAGATGCTAGTGTAGGCGGCGTGAAACTGTTGTGGTTCAGTATTTGGTTAGAGATATTCTGGTTAACTCTCTGGGCTGGTAGAGTACGTTACATCCAAAAAAAGGAAAAACCAAAAAAACCAAAACATAAAGACAAAGAGCAGTCGAGCTGATAGGTTTACTCTAGATTGCCGCAAAATGTATTCCATATGCATTGGGTATCATTACCACCGTGTTCACCAATAACTCGAGAAAGTGGCGGGATCTAGGAAGAATGCTTGAGCTCCCAATAACCCTTTTCTTCTGGTGGCTTGGTGTCGAAATCTCCTTCTTGCCAACCATGACCAACCACCATCTCGACGGCAACAAAGAAGTCCAGTCCTGGGAAAGCACAATGAATAAAGTGATCGTATCCATTTTTGTCGGTGCAATTCTGAACCTCATCGAGAAGCTCATCATCCAGTTGATCGCCATCAGCTTCCACACCAGAACTTACGCCGATCGCATTGAGATCAACAAGTTCCAGATTGGCAGCTTGGTCAAGTTGTATGACTATTCGCGCCACACCATCTCTGAGAAGGATGAGGATTTCGAGGAGTCCGGCAGTGCCGGCCATTCGGGCACCAAGACCCCGATGAATGTGGCTGATGCGGCCCTCCGTGTTGGCAAAAAGACTCTCAACAAGGTTGGCGATGTCGCTGGAACAGTGGCCGGCGACTTCACTGGCCGCAAAGTCACCAAGAGCAACCACCCTCATCAAGTTGTCCTCACTCTTCTGAGCACGAATACCGGCAGTCAAGTGCTGGCTCGACGCCTCTATCGAACTTTCTCCAGACCCGAGTTTGATACCGTTTTCTCCGGTGATCTTAAAGCCGCGTTCGATAGCAATGACGAGGCTGAAGCTGCATTCACTATGTTTGACAAAGATATGAACGGAGACATTTCCATGGAAGAGCTTGAAGCCGTCTGCGTTGAGATTGGTCGCGAGCGGAAATCCATCACTGCTTCGTTGAAGGATCTAGACTCGGTCGTTTCAAAGCTGGATGGAGTTCTATTTTTCATCGTCTGCGTGATCACCCTGATTGTCTTCTTGTCCTTGATCTCAACGTCGGCGGCCGGAGTGCTTACCTCCGCTGGCTCATCGATCCTGGCGCTTTCATGGTTGTTTTCTGCAACAGCGCAAGAATTCTTACAGTCTGTCATTTTCGTGTTCGTCAAGCATCCGTTCGATGTCGGTGATCGTGTAACCATCTACGGCAATACCGGTGATAACCTTACAGGGGATGACTACTTCGTGAAGGAGATCTCTCTTCTCTACACCGAATTTAAGAAGATGCAGGGGCATATTGTACAGGCTCCTAACAGCTATCTCAACACTCTCTTTATTCTCAACCAGCGCCGTTCTGGTGGTCTAGCAGAAGCTGTTCCCATCGTCATTAAATATGGCACTTCTATTGAACAGATGGACGCCCTACGACAACGACTACTCGAATTTGTGCGTGTGGAAAAGCGCGAATATCAGGGAAACATTATCACTGAATTACGCGAAGTCACCGAAGCCTTTTCGTTGACTCTCAATATTGTATTTTTTTACAAGTCCAATTGGCAGAACGAGGGACTTCGTCTTCAGCGACGCAACAAGTTTATTTGCATGCTGATGGTATCTATGCAAGAGATCGGCATTGAAGGGCCTCGCATGAACCTCCAAGGAGCTCATGTTGATTACCCCTTCCACCTCAGCCACCACGGGCAGCCGCCTAGCTACGCAGCGTCTACCGTCAACAATAATAATAACGACCCACGCCAGCCTGCGACCGAAACAATTCTCGAGGAACGAGAGCCTGGCCTCACCGAGAATACGGCGACTAGTACTGGTAGTTCTGTTCGACCCCAGCATTCCATTCTGCGCAAGGGCTCCGTTGCTGCTGCGGCTCGTGCTCGTGGTGAATCCCTCTCTAGACCGGGTCGTCACGTCGATTTCTCGTTGGGCACCTCGCAGATGGCTGCTGGTGATCTTATGGGCGATGTCTTTGAAGACCGAAATCCCTCGCGGCTCGAAGAAGTCGTTCGCAACGCCAATCGTGAGGCTTTGGAGCGGCGACTGCGTGAGGACGAGGCGGCTGCAAGATCGCCTCGCCCATCGAATTCAACGACGCGTGCGCGCGTGCAGGGCGGTCTTGGAGCACCAGATGGTCGCCAATCGACAGAGTCTCGACAGTCTTCGCGGGTGAGTCGGTCATCCTCGGCTCACCGGAATCGTTTCCTGTCGCGCTTCGGATCGCAACACACCAGCAGGCGGGGACCTGATGAAGAAGACTTGATGGAGCAGGGGCGTTACGAAATGAGCGAGGTTCCTTTAGAGCCGGATTCGACGTCCCCTACGACCGAAAGATCGCCTAAGGATAATTTGGCGTGATGGATAATGACGTTGTTTATATTTGTAAATACTTAGAGTTTTTGTCTGTTTTTGTGTTTATAGAATATTTGTTTTATAGATATTATCTTTTGCATAGTTTGACACGCAAAGCAGTGTTTATGTCATTATCGAATACATTGCTTTGGCGAGCTCGAACGCTGATTTGCCGCTGGGAACTTTTATTCCTGTCCATACATTGATACATACCATGAAATACATCGAGCAAATGCCAGTGCTGTGGTTAACCAAAAATATCCTGGAATCAGTTGATCCTTCAAACGTCAAGCTTCCGTACTTATTCGATACCAAGCCTACTTGTATTCGATGTTAAACATACAGCCTTGTGCTGTGGACGCTTGTCAAGATAAGATGAATTTGATATCAACCAAGCTTGAAATCAGTCGCGACCATATTTTACATAAGCAAAATCACGTATGTTCAGAGATATTCTTGCTATGCAGTCAAATGAGAGCTTTATTCCCGTCAATATTGATCTAGCACTCGGCCGATCTCGATTCAGACGGATGTGGCGGATTTCTCCCGGCCGAGATGATTCGTTGAGTCATTCGACCTGAAATCTTTTCGCCAGCATTAATCATCAAACATGGTACAAGATAAAGACGTTTAAAATCTATTAATAGGTAGAGATTATGACCTTGTATTCAAAAAAGACGACAAAGTCGATTTCTGCCAACTTCCACGATGGCTACTGCGACGAGACTTGGAGAGGCGAAGAATTTGAAGACTGCGGTAGAGCCTAATACTGTTATTTCCAAGCATGATATGGGATGGCGCCGGGTTGTTCGCAATTTCACACCATCGTATGTACAGTTCCATCTAAAATCACATCGACAGTATTACCCAGCTAATCAACATACCACGTAGATGGTTCTCAGTCAATATGGGCACAGGAATAGCCTCCATTCTCCTCAACACTTTGCCCTACAACGGCCAATGGCTGTATTACATTTCAATCATCCTTTTCGTGCTTAACCTGTCGCTTTTTTTCTTGTTTTGTACTCTGACAATCGCTCGATATGTACTCTACCCCCGAATTTTCGTCGCCATGATCCGGCATCCCGTGCAGTCCATGTTCATTGGCACTTTTCCCATGGGATTTGCGACAATCATCAACATGTTTGTGTTTATTTGTGTGCCTTTGTGGGGCGAGTGGACGAAGAATTTTGCCTGGGCAATGTGGATTTTTGACGCGGTTGTGTCGGTCTTCACGGCTTTTACCTTGCCTGCTCTTTTGTACATCTCCCCGGAGCAACCATCCTAGTTAGAAACTGACAAGAAGGCAGAATGATGCATATGAAGGAAATGGATCTGTCTTCAATGACGGCCGTCTGGCTGCTGCCCATAGTCAGTCCCATTGTAGCGGCCGCTTCTGGGGCCGTCGTGGCTGATATCCTGCCTGATCCGCGCCATGCCTTCTGGACGGTCATCGCCAGCTATGTGCTTTGGGGGGTCGGCCTTCCTATGGCTCTGATGGTGACGACAATTTATTTGCAGCGATTGACGCTTCATAAATTACCGCCCAAGGCACTGATAGTAAGCGTGTTTCTCCCATTAGGGCCGTTGGGACAGGGTGGATATGCGTGAGTTATATTCCATCATAACATTTGAACCTTATTCAGTATCTATCAGTCTGATCAATCAATACTAACGAGATTCATAGGATCCAAAAACTCGGCCTACTTGCTCAGAGTCTCTTCCCTAAGACCCAATCATCACACGCCCTCCCTTCCGCTGCGGGCGATATCTTTTGCGCCCTGGGCTTCATCACTGCACTAATACTCTGGGGGTTTGGACTAATCTGGCTCTTCTTCGCACTTACATCAATTGCATATACGCGCAAATTCCCCTTTAACATCGGTTGGTGGGGTTTTACATTCCCGCTAGGCGTGTTTGCAACAAGCACCTGTCAGATTGGACGGGAATTGGAGTCTTCCTTTTTCCTTGTTTTGGGCACCATACTTTCGGTGGTCGTCACGATGCTGTGGGTTATCGTTACCGCTAGAACGATACTGGGTGCAGTGGAAGGGAAAGTGTTTCATGCGCCGTGTTTGGGGGATATGCAGCCCATTATTCGGGCGGAGACAAAAGGGGTTTAACACCATTATTAATGTACTAATATCGTGTATAAGTATATTGTATAGTATTTGGATTTGTGCATTCAGTAAATCGTTTAATATGTCCGGGGTGGTCATTTATCGCCAAATCAAGTTATTCTATTTTATATGAGGTAGTGTAATATCTCAAGCTGACTCGATGGATATATAATAGAACCAACCACGCCTAATGAGCAAATTAGCACGGTGGCGAATAGATAGAGGATTATGATTACTGGCACCAGGTACAGGTAGACATCTCGGCAAATGAACCGAGGCGAAAATGGTGAGACGAATCTTGGCTAATTCACGAGGTTTTATTCTTTCAAATGAAATCTTCAAGCTGATTAAATATAAGGAGAATGTTGCAAGGAAGAAGGGCGTACTAGGCTAATCTCGGCACTTTCTATTTGTTGCACTGGTAGGATTCCCACTTGTCACCCGATTAGGCTTAGACGCGAATGAATTCTACTCCCACTACTACCGTCACCACTGCTACTCCTACATGCTTAGACCTTAATCAATAAGATCACGCTCTGTCTATCTCCATGACACAAACAGACCGCATCCTCACATTCTCTGATTGTTTCGTCATCAGCTGTGGCACAGTATGCTTAGACCTTAATCAACGCGCTGTTTTGATTCTAAGGCACCGCGGGAAGAACCAATTTTACTTCCCCAAGGGTCGCAAGAACCGCGGCGAGACTCTAGAGGACGCGGCCGTGAGAGAAACCTACGAAGAAAGTGGATACCCTTGTCAACTGCTGCAGCATAATTGTCTGTCGACAAAGGCTCCCTGCCCAAACCAAGACAAAAGAAGTCTTGATTCGCTCCTTGACAAGAATGTTGGCGAAAAGAATGAGCTGCATACAGAGCCTTTTGCAGTTCAGCAATGGGTTTATCAGGATGGAGTGCGGAAGTTGATTTTCTGGTTTCTTGCAACAGCAGATTCGCTGCAGCCCCCGCATGAAAACACGCAAGATGAAGGCGAGGAGAAGGATAACTTTGAGGCGCATTGGATTAATATCGAGGGTGCACTGGCAATGCTTACATTTGAAGATGATCGGGAATTAATCCGAAAGGCACTCGAGGTATTGAAACTTTCAAAAACATGATATGACGATCCAATTCATTATACCTCCATCGTCTGTTCCTTGAGCTTGAATGTTGAGATAAACCCATAATTAAAGGAGAATATGAGCCTTTGCATAGAAAAGAAGAAGCAGATTATATAGATGCATTCGGATGTCTGCTTCAGGTACCGTTGTTCGAGTTCAATGCTTTATTAAGCATGACAAAGTTGACCTCTGCAGGAGTATGACTTAGTTGTTCCAGTATTATTTTTAATGTTCTTTACGTTCATATAATCTTTGTTGTTGCAAGACTTGTATGGATTACTGAATTAACTCATGGCTCTACGGCACCGCATTTATATAGCCTTGGACGAACCCCCACTAGACAACCCATATAAGTGCCTAGTTGTAACTCTATCTCATGTAACATGCTGCCCGTCATTAAATTGTTGGTCTCCTTGGAGAACTTGCCGGCGCTCTCGGTTTTTGAATTATTATTGCTGGTAAGTATACTTTCTTATGGTATTATCTAGCCATGCTACTTAGCGTGCTGATATAAATTGAGGACAGAGGTTGCGTTCCATCTTGGGTCTAAATCCACCTTGTCGGGTGATAGGTTATCTTTGGTATCACACGCATACTGAGTCAAATTTTATGTATTTAACAATCAATATATTAATAGTATTATATTCACATTTATGATATACTAATACATTTCATCCACCGCGATAGACGGTTCAGGTTTGTCGTTCGGAGGCTGAAATCGAACAACTACAAACATCGGTTCTCGGGACTGTAGTTGGGATATATGATTTTCTCCCCTGGGGTATTCAATGTTTCTGGGATCATCATAATCGGACCTGCGAAACCGAATGAGTAAGTTTTTGTAGTAATAGATACTGGGAATATTCCTTATAAGATGCTGCCCTGGCTCAAGCGTGAGTCACCGTTGCATGACGCCAGCACCCAATCGACGTTGGTCTTACCGGACATTGGCTTCGCACTTTTGCCTCCGACGGGCATTTCCGAGCTAATCCTAGTCGATTTAGCCCGGAGGCACAGCTCGTCATGACACGCGAACGTGGAGTGAGAGCACGCCGATTTGTCAGAATTACCCCACTTGGTCAGCACGTATAAAGAGGAAATGCTTACTATGAGTGCTACTCCCTAATTCTTTTCAGAGAGTTTGCGAATTAAGAAGTACGGAATCAGCAAACGAGCCGCAATGTCCAGCACAAGTACAACCACGCACGAAGAAGAGCGCGCAGCGTATCTTCTAGATGCCCAAAACAAAGCTATGCAGCTTTTCGAAGAAATCGAGAGAGATCTTCTTCGCCCAGGCGTCAGCGAAAAGACTATAAGCGACGAGATCCACGAACTGGGAGCAAAGCGACACGGTGTCAGGACACATTGGCATAAACGGGTTATTCGTAGCGGCCCCAATACGTTGCGACCGTTTGCCGAAAACCCTCCAGATCGGATCGTTCAACCCGACGATATTCTATATGTTGACTTGGGACCCGTATTCGAAGCTTGGGAAGCCGACTTTGGACGCACTTATGTATTGGGTGATGACCCACGCAAGAAGGCATTGCGCGACGCCCTCGAGCCGATCTGGTATAAAGTCAAGGCGCGTTTCTATGAAAACCCGAATATGACTGGCGAGCAGTTGTACGATATTGCATGTGAGGTCGCCAAGGAAAATGGGTGGGAGTTCGGGGCCCATCTGGCAGGGCATATCATCGGGTCTTTCCCTCACGAGCGTATCCCGAGAGACAAGACAGCTCTGTATATTGCAAAGGGAAATCAAGAGTCCATGGGTGCTGTTGGTAAGGATGGTAACAAACGGCATTGGATTCTGGAGATTCACCTTCGTGATGCTAGCGGCGAGTTCAGTGGCTTTTTTGAGCAACTTTTGACAGTCGATTGATAGAACACTCGAAACCAGGTCCAAATACAGTCTGAGTGCATCGTCTTACAAATGATGGAGCACTTCACTGGACTGGTCGTACGTGTCTAGGAAAGATATAACTGCGTGGTTTATTTGCTACGAACCATATCTGGAACTAAAGCTAGACTTGATTATAGGCGTGCCCAAATTTTTGTGAATTATTAATTAATAGAGGATCAAGTGTGTACGCCGGAAATGAAACTTCAAAAATATAGTTACTCACACTTTGATAATCTCCAAAATTTGAAGCAGGCGTGCTATCCTCATTGGGGACAGTTCTTTAGACCTCTGGAAGAACGAAATGAGACCGATATTGTGCATTCTTTAACTGGGCAATACGGTGTAGGGTAGCTAACTCAAATGATTGCATTGTTAAGGAATACCATAGTCGTCTATTCGGTCTACTATATTGGCTATCGATCTATAGAAGCACCGAAATAGGTTGGGGAGTTGCTTTCCCCCCAAATTCTTGACCCTCGAGAGTCTTTCGAATTGGAAATGCCCCTCAAGCTTTACTCAGCTGATATTTGCATCGAGAACAACCTTAATTACTCCGTCCCATTATCCAGGCGGGCTCCAATACTTTACCACTCTCAGTCCAGACACGGCGCAGATATTTTCAAACTGGCCCACGGTGCGCTGAGATCCACAATGAATAGCCATCATCCATCAGTCCATATCCGCCTTGCGTGTTGGACATTGAGTCTCTGGAAGACAATTTTCGACAATTAACATGTGGGAGTAAGGTGGAGTCATAGCTAATGCAATCTTGGAAAGTATTCCAACAACAGCCTTGTCTGACCAGGTATGAAGAACATAGTGAATGCGATACACTTTTGCACGTGTGTGTCACGGTAAATCTGTGAAGCTTCAAAAAGGGAAAAGATGGTGTCAAAGCATTATCTTTGACTGGCTGCTCGTGTCGCATATCGCATTTAACTAGTTCAATGCTATCATGGCCCTCCGCGGGGTCGTGATCATCAATTACATGGGGCAAATCCTCTAATACAAAACGTCTGGTGGCTTCAGGGTACATTTTAATGAATGCTGTTAGGTCATGACCTTTTCCACCACTAATATCAACCATCAATATTTGCTGAACCATAGTCTCTTTCTCTTCATTTAGACGAACTTCCTGCACAGGTAACCAATTTACCCAGTGAGATCTTGCGCCACCTACTTCAGTCATGAACGTATTGAAATTCTCCGACAGAACTGGGTACTTCGACCACCAGTCAAATGCTGTCTGACCGTCTTGAATATTGAAAGCGTATTGAAAGGAGCTATCGTTCTCAGTTTCAGGTGAGCAGCACCCAGTGCCGCGGAAATACTCGGGTAATTTACTGGAAATTGGTAACGCGACAACAACGCTGGTAAGGAATGAAGCATTAGAACGACAAAAGAAATTTTGAAAAATGGAAATTAGTCTTAGAAGGTGATTGTAATGCTGAACTAACAGATTTTTCATGCTAGCTTTGATATGTTTCCTAGTTCGTATTACCTCGCTAATAGCTGGGGGTTGAATGATTTGGCGTCGACTTGCTCCGCCCAGCCCATACAGTCAAGAACTTGGAGAACACGAGCTGAGTTTGGTCATTAGGAGCTTTGAAGTTGTATTTAAGAAGAAAATGGGGTATATATACCCATAAGAACAGGGTCACAAATTTGTCTTTGTCGAGAGATCTTCGATGGTGTGCGTCTCTGCATCGCCGTCGATGAGATGATCAAATAGATCTAAATCAAGAACAATTCTAGCAGCTGTACTCTGGACAGGCTGCAGTCAAAATCATATTAGTTGACAATAATGATAAACAAGAAAAGATCAAGAGATCAGGAAGAAATTTCAAGGATAACGCAATTATCATACTAGAATGGAATTGAGAGGAACTGTTTGCAGTTTCTCCATCGCAAGGACTAATTTCTTTTGCCAACTGTAGTGCTTTCTTGCGTAATGCTTCACCTTCCATAGTGGTAGGACATGCTACATTGATACAAGCAATCTCATTGATTAAGCTAGCAACTAAGGCTGATTGACATGTTGACATGTTGAGCCAAAAATGGAGATACGTGTTTCAGGCAATACACTGCTTAGTACGCTCTGATAAATAGTAATCAGTATTTACTTAGGCCGGGGAACATTAATTGATATAGTTGACGCCTGTCTGACAAAGTGCCCCATCGCTTCGGCGTCATTGCAACTACAAATATTTTATTCCTCTTTTTTTAATTTATTGTTTACTAATCAGGTAACTAAATTTCGGCCCGATATACTTTCCCTAACACATGTAAAATGTCATATTGCATGAGCCAATGTCTATCTATCATTCGTAGTCAAAACCTCGTCCATGTTAAGAATATGCACGAATACCGACTTTCTAGAAATAAGAAAAGAATAGGCCAATTGGGAATTGCGGTATAATATAGTATGGTGAAATGGACTGGGTAGCTCGACTTGGACCAAATGGATATTAACACGGCACTAATTAATCACAACTATTCTATCATTAAATATTACATCTTTGCATGATCACATATCTTTTGCTGCTAAAAGATTTATCTAGGGGTTATAGAATCCAAATCGCACTGCACAACCGGCTTTTTCTTAGTTGATAAATGGCGCAGGTAACAGTGATGGATGTTTGTAATTATTAGAGTACTGTTTTGGTCCACATTTATGTATTCGGTTTCCTGTTTGGCAAAGCTTCCCTCCATCTAGGCCCGAAAACCCTCATGATGATAATGATAGGAAGACATGCTAGAGCGACAAAAGCCCATATAGTGAAGGTCCATCCGTTCTGTAGACGGCTGTCGAGCATTGGGGCACCAATTACAGTGCCAACGCATCCTACTCCGTTTCTTGCAAGGACAGAGCAAGAAAGAGGTCGAGCATCTCCCGGTAGAAATTCTGTGAGCATAGTAATGTTGAGGCTGATTATTACTACTAAACCGAAGCCAGTGAAAAAGTTGGCAATCAACTAAGAGGTGTTAGAGCCTGATACGATGTGTAGGAAAGAAATAATTATTAACTCACAGGTGCAAGCCAAAAGACCTTGTACTGTATTGTCCATCCATACCAAATCAGCGAGGCCACAGGGATAAGTCCCGCTAGCCATGCGTTCTCCTGCATTCGATCCTCTGGATTAAGTTGGGGCTTCCCATTCACATCAAATTGATTACTTTTCTTGGCTGAACGCATCATCACGTAGTCCATCCATCTGCCTCCAATTACACTCCCAACAATATAACCCAGGGAAGATGGGATATAGCATAAACCTATAACGAGCGTGCTGAAATTGTATGGGGGTGCAGCAAATGTCTGCTCCATACTGATGTTGAGGACGTAAAAGTAAACCGTGACTATCCCAATATACGCCATGGGAAAGAAAAACACCGGGTATCGCAAAATATAAAGGGCCTTGAATGGATCCACGATGAGCATTCTTGGGATAATAAAGGTTTTAGAAACTGCACTATGGTGGCTCAGTCGCTCCTGTGTCGTCTGCCACCAAGTCTTCTCGTCACGGCGGGATGTTTCAGGAAGACAAAGTAACTGGATCGTCAACATGGCGGCTGCGATAATCACAATGAACCACATTGTGCTTCTCCAGCCCCATCGATTGGCAAGTGCACCCCCAATAATCGGGGCTAGGAATGGGCCTAATTGGGGACCGAGGAAGAAAATCCCCATAGCACGACCGCGCTCGCGTGGCTCCCACAGATCTGTAATGGTGGCCACACCGACTGCTTGGACAGAAGCTGAACATCCGCCACTCATCAAACGCATGGCGATCAGCATTCCGATAGATTTGGAGATGGCTGCGAGAACGGCGAAGACAACTCCCAACGAAAAGGATACCAAGTATATATTTCGCCGGCCAAAGGCTACCGCCCAGTTCATCCACCAAAAAGGGAAGATAGCCATGGCGAGTAAATAGAATGCAAGGGAAAGATTCGTGACTGTGGAGGAAGTATGAAGGTCGCTTTCAACTTGGTGCAGTGCAGCTATAATCATCATATTAGCGATTACTAATTTAACTCTATTCCGTAGATGTAAAGCTTTGAATGATAAAACATACGGTAGAAAATAGAGGTGCCAAGGGGGGCAATCAATGTCGAGAATGAGACGATGCACGTAATGATCCATTTAGTTAATCGTGAATATGCTCTTGGATTGTCTACCTCCGGGATGATTGTAATCTGGGAAAAAAGACCACGACGCTTCAAACGAGGAACACTTGTAACTGCAGCCGGATGGCCAGTATTGTTTCCAGATTCTGGATCTTGTTGAGTGACATCCTTGTCCGATGCGGCCCCTCTGTTTGATATGGGTGTATTCTCGATCGGATTGTCTATGGACGCTGCTGAAGGATTGCTGTGCTCTGAATTAAGATCTGCACCTTTTTCTTGAGGGACAGACATGATCAAGAGAAAAGAGCGGTCAAGTCACAGGCTCAGTTCAATCACAAGTATGCCAATGTGAATTAAATAAGGGTAGTCGGTCCTGAAAAGAGTCACTTGAAGAGAGAATAAGGTTCTGCCAGATCGCTGATTTTGTTTGATTGGCATGCGTGTTAAACGTTATACAGAGTAGCGACAGGCATTGCGTACTAACAGCCTAAGATGCCTAACTTCGTTCCAGCTCGTGCGAGAGAAAGGGAGAGAAGGATGCCACTCGGAGAAGTGAAGGAAAGAGATCAGCGAGCCTAGCCAAGGAGAAAAGCTTCGGGATAATATCAAATAAACAAAATATAACCATGCTCAACGGTATTAAACCGAAAACGGCAAATACTTCGGACTTAATCGAGCGACCTTTACCGTAGTGGGGCTCAGACTGCCATAACCGAACGAGTCCAGTAGATGCAAACCTTTCATTGGCTGTATAGGGATCTGGAGCAGCCCTAACATTTTAGTGTCACGATAGTTTCATGGGAACCGCAAATCCGGCGATGATCGACATTCCCCGGAGTTTCGTTTGTTCACGATTCGGCATGTGGGGCCATCGTCGATCCAATAGTGCTTTTGTTGCAATATCAGCATCGCCTTTGACTAGGCAACTAATTGCCTTTATAGTTTGGTAGTTAAAAGTCTAGCGCCTTCATTCGTGAAGAATCTAGTACTGCAAGCTTGCCTTAATGACTGTTTTTGGCTACTGATTGATAATGAGAAAATTGATGCTAAGTGGATTCAAGAGCAGATGAAATGGTCGTGTTCAAGATCATATACTGCAAATCGAGATATCCGTACCTTCTGCTACTGCGAGTATATGCTGCACTAAAGCAGTGACATCTTTAGATTTTATGGGAACTCGGTGATCGCCCTCCCACTCCATCAACCTCGTGGCTTGTTTATAGCAACAGCTTTCAAGTAGCTGTCTATGCAACGGTAACCCGGCATCACGTAAGCCATGAACATGCACAGTTGGTGTATGTAGACGGAGGAGTATTTCACCCTCCTGGATGTTAGAGTTCCAACCATTGCCATATATTTTTTCGCCATTAATCCCAACCACAATGTCTTTCATATCAGGCGTAATAAGACTGGGGTCAAGTGCAACCAACGGTCCTCTTCCAGCGAGAAGAATTCCAAATTGAAAGTTTAGTCGTGGATCCCATCTTAGGCCGCGTATCCGTTGTAGTTGTTGAAGAAATAGCAAACTGGCGCACATCTTGGCGCCCTGACTGAACCCAAGCAGCCCAGCCCAAGGTCCAGTGGCGCCTTTCTCGTCATCCTCCTCCATTGCACTCTGAAGTGAACTTTTAAAAAAAGAGATTGCAGTATTGCTATCTGTCTCCGGGCACCCAAGCGCTGAAGGAATCCATGATTTGAAAGGTCCCCATTCTTTATATACAGAGAGGACATCGGGGCCAGCTTGACAAGGCAGAGGGGCCTCTGCAAACACGAGTCTAAACTTTCTTTTCAGGTGTGTGGACAAGACTCGACATTGGGATCGGAAAATTCGCGCGTTTGTCCCGCCGCCATGAAGACAGAGAATGCGTGGTAGATTCAGATTTGATTCATCGTACATTGGCATTTTCGACTTTGTAGCCCAGCTTGAAGAGGTTTGCAATAGTTATATGAAGATAGATTCACTATTGCCAGTGACAAAAACAACAAAATCGAGTCAATCACTCGGCAACGCTTACTTCTCTGGTATAATGTTGAAATATGGCACTGGATGCCACTGAATAATGCCATATAATCAATGAGACTGCGCTAGGCTATTCGCCTACAGCTAAAAGAATATACGGTCCGACTATCGGCCCAAAATATACAGGCTTGTAGAGATGGGATTATCGTCCGTTTGAAATCTTTGGCATAGATACTATTCACTATTCGAACCACGTTACTTTCTTAAGTCAACCAGTGTCGTGGGCCGGTACTGAATACGACGTGACGAGAAACTCCGCTACACAAACTCCGTCATCTAAGTACAACAAGAAAATTGAAATCAATTCTTACCTGTAATCAGTCTGAGAACCGATTTAGATAAATCTCAATAAGAAGTTCACGACATTTGGCATTTGAAGGATACACGTATTGATATTCATATACAATATGACATCTGATGGAGATTACAAAATTACAAATGGCATGGAATACCGCTACATAGGTAGCCAATGCATGGTATCATTGATATAGAAGGCAATAATTATCTTTTGTGCTTATAACCTATGTTAAGGAATAACGATCGAATAAATTTCGAATTACATAATAGCCTTGTAATCACCCAAAACTGCGAGCGTCGCTTATATCTGTATCGGCTCACATTAAAAAAGACGAAACGTTGGAAAATGTCAAAATACAGAAATAATGGAACTGCTCATCTTGAAATCATTGAGATATCTAATTGAATCAATGCTGAGTGAATCTTTTGCCGCAGACGACTCAGAGACCCTAATACGAAATATAATATGAAGTTGCCAAAAACTAATGGCCTTAAATTTCCAACTACAAATATAATTCACCTCTAGATCTTCATATATTATATAAAATTACGCCATACACCAGTGACTGTATGGTAGGTTATGCTGGTACTAGGTGATAGAAAAGATAGAGGAACAGAAGCGCTAACAGAACCGAAAACGTGATTTATACGTACAAGCGCGAAGGACTGAAAGATCAATACACAAAATTAAAGGTAGCATACTGAAAGAAAGACAAATTCAAAATAATGAATAAAACAAACAAATTCTGTCTAGCATGTTTTGCGAGTAGCAACATTGAAATTATGGGAACCGATTGGGTGACTTGTAGCGATTTGCTTTACCCTCGCACAATTTTCTGCGTCCATAAGAATGAATTGTAATTTTAGTTTAAAAATCCTGTATCCTTCCACCTTTGGATGAACTTCTTCGTAACTTCCGCACTAACTGGCGTGACTCTTGCAAGTGTGGATGAATGTTCGCAGCTCTTGGCAGTATCCAAAAGCAGGCCGCCGCAAGACATGCGTAAGAAATTGTCGTCAAGGAAATCGATGAGCATGGCAGCAGGATTATCCCACTCCGTCGAACCAGGAAATGATCGTACCTTACGTACCCATTCCTTGAAAGGAAAGATGTTTGTACGTGGAATATCAAGAGCATCTGCTAGAACAGGTATCATCTCCCTCCAGGGTTGGCGAACGGGATTATCAACATGGTAGACTGGGTAAGGCATTCGGTCGGACAGCAGAAGGTCGCTGCATGTTCCTGCAACATCATCCACCGGAGTCCAGCAGAGGTCGCCATTAAAGTCGGGCAACGCTTTCAATGTTTGAGAGGATTTGAATAAGAATGATAGATGTTCCATTGGATTCCAGTAACCAGTGATCTTGGATCCAGCAATTTGACCGGGCCGCACTGACATGACACGGAATTGCTCTGGATAGTTGTGAAGTGTTTCATCTAGAATTCTTTCACAAACAAATTTCGCGTCGCCGTAGCCATTAGGTAAGACGGAATTAAGAGAAACCCGCTCTTCTGGCACGACCACGTTGCCGCTCCAGAGAGGATAGTGACCGACGACAGCAATAGAGGAAATCAGTTGGAAGGTAACCTTGAAACCTTTCTCACGTCGTGATGAAATGTCCCGTGCAAGATCTATAAGATTGCGGATCACTTGGAATTGGGTTTCTAAACCTGACACCGGCCTCTTACCGGTCATCGGCCAAGCGTTATGCACAATGTGAGTCACACTGCTAAGAAGCTCTTCGTACTCACTGCTTTGTAGGCCCAACATTGGTTTGGATGTGATAGTTTGTAAGACTTGCACTTTACATTGAGAAGTCTCATCCAGAAGAAGTCCTCTATCCTTCATAGCCTTGAACTGACGTGCCTCTGGGTTCCGCTCTGTGGTGCTGCGACGATTGAGACATATTATCTTTTTAACGTTTGTAATAGTCGCTATGTGAGAGACAATGTGAGACCCTAGGCTCCCGCTACCCCCCGTGATCAATACACACTTATCGTCGTTGGATGTTATCTTACCCGAGGGTGCTTGAATATTGAAACCCTCGGAGTATTTGCTAATGTACCCCTTAATGGCTGCCTTGCGCTCACTGCCTACCTCAAGTTGAATCTCAGGCTTCGGTAATGGTGGGACTGGTTGTCTGTCAAACTGGGGCCCTGAGGCTAGAGCTATAATAACCCGCTGAATATCGAGTTCTGGACTGTTTCCATCTGTCCAGTCAACATGTCCGTATCCCACTGACTTTAGACCACGCTCCCACACGGTCTGATGGGCGATAGCATGTTGTCGTCCGTCATCAAACAACCACCAACCTTCAAACAAACCAAAAATGAGATCCACCCAGAAAACTGGCGAGGTCATTTCAAGCATCATTAGAAATCCATCTGATCGCAAGGCCTTTCGGACATTCTCTGTGGACTTCATCAAGTTGTGAGTAGCATGGATCGCATTACTTGCAATAATGATATGTTGAGTGCCAATAAGGTCATTAGCAGGCGGCTTTTCAATGTCATGAACTCGATACTTCATGAACGGGTACTCTTTGAATGTCTTTCGAGCCGCAGCTACGAAAGAGCCTGCGAGATCTGTGAAAGTATATTCGACAGGAATGTTTAGTTTAGAAAGAAGAGCCACCATGCCCTTAGTTGTCCCACCGGTACCGGCACCCAACTCAAGTATCTTTAAGGGACCTTTGTCCTTAGGAATTCTGGACGCCACCCGTTCAACCATGTCCTGCATTTGAACATTGGCCAACTTATTGAGTAGGGAATCCCCGTACAATCCAGTTACCAGGCGCCGGCCTTCGTCGCTTCCAAAAATGAGCTTAATGCCGTCACAGTTACCTTTAAGGACGTCAGCAAGCCGGCTTCCAGCAAAGTAAGTCAATCTGTTCGCCCATTCATGATCGGGAAAATCGCGCAAAAGCTGGTCTAAAATGGCTTCACTAGATTTCGAAGGGGTTGAAATGGCTGTGCGGGTGATCTTTGAGTCGCTCAAATTAACCAATCGAGCTTCTTCAAGCATTTTATAAAGATAGTCCACCAGCCTCTGATGCTCAGGCATGTGAGAAATGCGTTCTAGAATCTCTCCAGCTTTTGAAGTGCGAAGAGGGCAACCAGTTTGGTCAAAAGCTTCCACCGTAAGTGCAACGCAGAGCTGGGTTTGTCTGGGTAACACTATTTCCATATACCCGGCGCATCTGTAATCGTCGATAAACTTATCTGTGAGTTTTCTGGATTCCTCGAATGCTTCGATAATTGTCTTCGATGGCAATTCAAGACTATCAGAGAAAGAATTTGTCGCATACTGTGAAGACTTAACATTCTTGGGGTCCTCTAAATCTGATACCGATGTAGCAGATGAAGGAGTAAATATAGATTCGTCTTCGCTCTGGCTGCCCTCCGACTCCTGTTCTAACCCATCTTCTGCCACCTCCACACCTAATGTGTCTTTCACAACTTTGAGGAGCTCGTTGAAGCTGGTAACATTCATCAGCTCATCGCTTGGCAGAGTGCACTTGAACATCCCCTCAAGCTCGCGAGCCAGTTCCATCCCCATAAGAGAATCGATACCGATATCTGCTAGCTGGGCATCATCACTAATCTCGTGCGGTTCCATTCCTGAGATCTCTGCGAGTAGAGCTCTGACCTTGACAACAACATCCTGTGCGGCGGATGGCTTCGCTTTCTTTTCCTTTTCGTGTTTGTTAGGTCCGGACGCTTGGTTTTCATGACTACGATTTGCTGTGGCCGAGTCAAATTGAACCTGGGCAGATGTGACCGTCTTTGATGGTAACCCGGATAACCGTGCAAGAATTTTACTCATTGTTGCCTTAGCCACTTTATGATAGTTAACACCGAGAATGACCTCCATCAGCTTGCCATTGGTAGAGTCAAATATAAAGATGTCAGTGAGGTAAGAGTGCTCCGACGGTAGCTCTTGATGGTAAGCAAAAACGTCCCATACAGCCGGTCGTTTGTAATCTGCACGGACATCCGGGCTTCTCATCCATTTCTCGAAACCAGTAGCGATATACATGTCTCCAGGGTCTTTCTCAGTCATGCAATTGACCCAGATTCCACCAACCTGGCTAAAGGCATCAGATAGCAATGGGTCTAGCCACGTTTCCCCCTGATACTTCTTGGTGACACGACCCGCCGATTCAGTCCCTTTACCTACTAGCTTCTGCAAGCCACGGTATGGGTTCGAATAGTCAACGACCTCCCCAAATGTTCTGTAGATATTTCGGCCTTGAATGATATCATCTGCATCATCACTGTTGAGGATGCTGAGACAACGTTGATGACCAACCAAACGTTCATATCTCGAGAATTCAAGACGCCATTCGTGGTTATCAACAGGGACAAAGATGATCTTGCCCGTCACATGTACGGTACTGTTCTTCGGCGAACCGTTGTCGCTGATTATCTTCCAATCCCATAGGTGAGGGTCAGATTCCTCTGATTGAACGTCCAGCCAGACAGATCGCGATTGATCAATACATATTGGTGACTGGTTATCAACATTGCAAATTCTTGGTTCGAGACCGGATGCCCCAAAATCGGGATAGAGGCTGATGAGTGACTCAACCGCAATATCTACTTCAACGGTAGCTGGACATATTGGTGCTGTATTTGCAATTATATGACCGGAAACAAACTCTAAGTATTTCTCTGTCGTTGTGTTGATACTGAACCGGGCGGAGCGTTTGCTGTCGTCTTGATACCCAACAAAACTCCAGAGGCCCTTTGGTTCTCCCGTCACCTGTGCAACGACTGGCCCAGTTGTTGAAATGGGTGCAGGCACAGGTTCCATCCAGTGTCGAGACTTTTCAAATTGGTATCCCGGTATCATAAGTGGCGAATATTCGTAAGTTTGGCATCTATGATGACCCCAAAATGTCACGGTAGCTCCTTGTTTCCAGAGAGAAACAGTTGAGTCGACCAAAAGCTGCAATGCACTATCGGCGGTCAGATTCATTGGCTGAAAATGAAACTGCGCAGGTGAACCAAGAGCTCTGCTGGCCATATTGGTAATAGTGGAATTTGACCCAGCCTCTAGGAAAATGGCATTTGAATACTTTTTGGAAAGCCGATGAATAGCCTGGCTGAAGAAAACCGGGTTTCGCATATGATCAGCAACATATCGTGCAGTCAAAGGTTCTGTGGAAGAAAACTCGGTCGCTCTTTCCAGAGGAATGATTGGCTCATTGAATTGAATGCTTTCTCCAATCTTCATTAAGTCTTTCATCAAAGGCTGGACTAAAGTAGAATGGAAGGCATTAGTGACATTTAGCCTTTTGAATCTGAGCTTGGAGTATGTAGGGTTCTTGGAGATGGTCTCTGTAGTAATGTCGATGCTACGAGAAGATCCAGCCAGAGTGAAACTTCGGGGCCCATTAAGACAGGCAATTGTAGGTGCTTCCTCCCCTTCTTCGGCGCAAGCCTCTGCTGATACGGATAAGATTTTTTCTACCTCATCTTGATAAGCCTCGACAGCCACCATGCCCCCCTTCTCGCTACCCCAGCTTTGCTTGATAATTTTTGCACGACCAGCAATCATTTCGATTGCATGTTTAAGCGAAATACCACCAGAGATGCACAACGCAGTCAACTCTCCAAAACTATGCCCGACCACAGCTGCGGGTTGAATGCCGCACTCAATCCAACTTTTGGCACAGGCAAACTGTGTCGCAAACAGCATCAGCTGAAGTTTGACCGTGTCCTCTACGGAGTTTCGCTCAAATATTCCTGGGAAGATGCTTTCACAACCAATTGATCTGCATATCGAGTCACATTCGTTGAGGTACTTTGCCAAGACAGTGGCATTGTTAAACACCTCCTTACTGAGCCCGACGAATGTAGATACCTGACCTCCAAAACATAGGATAATAGGCCTTATAGTTGGCTGGATGACCGTCCCTGCACTGGTCAAATCGCCATTTTCAATAACACCGAGTTTCTCCGCCAATTGTTTACCTGATCGGCTAGTGAAGATGAGGGAGCGTTCCAATGTGGGATTGGATTGCCTGTTAATATTGAATGCCAGGTTCGATATTTCTGTTTCTGCTCGGTTGTTGGTAGTTAACCATTTCCGAAGCCTTCTGCTATATTCTTTCAATGCACGCTCATCTTTCCCATATAATTTGAAGGGGTAGTCAATCACGGGAGCCTCACGGGTACTTTCGTTGGACCCAGTCAAATGAGGGGCTTCGGAGACCACAGCGGAGGCATTGGAACCGGATGCACCGTAGTTGTTAATCAGAGCTACCCTGTACTTGTCTGTCCAGTCCCTCATCTTAGTCACTATTTCCATGTTGTCATCCGCGGTGGCATTGAGATGCGGATTTTGGGTCTCAAAGCTTGGCTGTGCTGGAATGATTTTGTTTTGGATCATAAGTAATGTTTTGATCAAGGAAACCACACCGGACGTTGCCTCTGTATGGCCCACGAGCCCTTTAACAGACCCAAATGCAAGTGGCTTCGAGCGTAGCTTTGATCCTCCTAGAACCTGACGAATACTGTCATATTCTGCCGGGTCCCCAACTTGTGTGCCTGTACCATGCGCTTCTACCACAGATATTTGGCTTGCATCAACTTTAGCATCGCGTATCACATTGCGGAACAGAGACGAGAGGGAAGGAGCATTTGGGACAAATATCGGCGTGCAATTTTGGTTCTGGGATACTCCGGTGCTTGAAATTGTTCCTAAGATTTGATCCCCATTTCTGATGGCGTCTGACATCTTTTTCAGAAACACAACAGCAATGCCTTCACCCCGACAGTAGCCGTCTGCGTTAGCATCGAAAGGTTTGCATTGACCTGTTGGACTCAAAAACGATGCAGCAGCCAGATTCTGGAACCAAAGAGGACTATTCATCATATTTACACCGCCCGCCAGAGCAGCGTTACATTCGCCGCTCAGTATCGCTTTACATGCTAGATGAACGGCAACCAGTGATGAGGAACAGGCTGTGTCGATAGTAAGACCCGTACCAGTCCAGCCAAAATAGTGACTAACTTTGCCAGCTATGAAGCTTTTTAGATTCCCGGTTGCAGTAAAGGCGTTGGGTTGATAACATGCGACGTTGTCCGCGTAGTCAGCTGCACATTCACCAATGAAACATCCGATATTTTTATCCTGTTCCGGCGAGGTGAAGTATCCAGCTTGTTCTAGCGCCTTGTATGCGACATGTAGTAATATCCTTTGCTGTGGGTCGGTAGACGCCGCCTCCCGAGCACTCTTTTTGAAGAACTTTTGATCAAAAACATCATGATCGTTCAGAAAATTACCAAAGTACTTTCTCTGTGGATCAACCTCTCTCCATTTGGCAAACTGAACGCGGTTCCGGGGGGCCTCCTTGTGCTGGGACTTGGCTTCACAAAGTAAATCCCAGAATTCATCAACATCATCCGCCCCTGCAACTTTAATCGACATACCCACGACAGCTATGTCGTCATTTTTTCTAATAAATGGGGTATTATTGAGAGCAAACTTAGATGATCGATTTTTAATATCTGACACATGAACCACCTTCGATTTGATTTCACGCAAGATCGAAGGGGGAACACAAGGTTCTGGTCCAAAGGAAACAACAACAGCGTCTTGGTCTTTTAGCTCTGAGTTGTTAATCTCTTTGACGGTCTGGTACCACTGGGAGTGGTCAAGCAGAATGGTCTTTAAAGCGTGTGCATGAAGTCTGCCCTCAGTGAGCAGTCCACCGCCTGAGTTCGACCTCGTGCGGTAAATAAGACGAGATGCGTCAGGGAGTAGAAGGCCCGGATTTGATTCACAAAACTCAATTATTTCGTCAACGTCACCTGTATAGCCCTTGTAGTGAAAACGACCATAAAGGCCAATTTCGGTAGCGACTATTCCTGCGCTCCGCAGTTCCTGTTGTAGCGTGACGATTCTTTCCGCTGACGTGGTTATGGTGGCTCTTTGATCGTCATATGACACCGAAATATATGCCTAAAACATACATGTAAGTCTGCTCTTTTAGTATTGGCTAGATCTGAATACCTCAGGGTACTTCTTGATTATCTCCCTCAACTCGTCGCCTGCTGTGGGGGTATTCCAGGCGGTCGCCAGCGACTTAGACACACCATTAGTGTTGACAATGTCTTGAGTATCGACTATTCCTCCAATTATCATCGCGAGTCGAATTGCGGTGGATCCATAGCTTTCGATATCTCGACGATCTCTGCTAATTGATACAGCTAGGGCACTGATAAATCCCATACAAAAGCCCAATGTTTCCGTGGAACGCTCAAGAACAGTACTCGAGGCTGTGGAATCAAGGTAGCTGATATATTCTGTGATATGTGTGATGATGACGAGTGGGCTCAGAATGATATTAGGGAGATGCTCGCTGTCGGTAAAGTCAAGCTTCCCCGTTTGAACCCAGTCGATGAGGCATTGGAGTAATTTCGACCCGTTGATAACTTTGTATTTAGGGAATCTTTCCACAAATTCTGACCAATAGTTTGGAAGGCTGGTTATCGTATCAACTATCCACTGCAGCTGCTTTGCCGTGCCCTGAACCGCCCGGAATCCAGACCCATGAGAGGACAGTGCCTGAGGCCCGAAGATGAGAACTCTTTTTCCTTGGCTCATCATAAGATTATTGTTGAAAACTGAGTTCTTCGCAGTTAATTTTGCCCAAGGCAATGATCGAACTGCAGGTTAAAGAAGTTTGATAGCCTGAAAGACAAGGGAAGAAGTGATGGAAGGTGAATCTCGGAGACAGAGCTTAAAGAAAGAAAACTCACTGCACTATTCAGCAGTATCAGGAACTAAAAGCTTACTGAAGAATTCGGCCATTTATTGTATCTGAGCTTCGCCGTTCCGACAACAGCGAATCCGATCAGGAGATCCCGAGATGCAATTAACAGATTTCGTACGGAATCTACCGAATGACTTATTGAATTGTATACTAGTAGAGAAAAACTCCATATCACAGGAATATGATACCGCTCAGCCTATAATCCTGCTTTGTATTTTCTATTCAATCGTTGGAAACTCCGACCTGAGCTCTGGTCACCCTGCCGGATAGCATCGAAACTCCGCATACCGAGGATCTGTTTCCATTATCAAATAGAGATAGCGCTATTGTATCTGTCCTATCATCGGACATTGTAACTCGAAAAACGTTTAGCGAAAATCGGCAGTTACCTTTTGGTGCTCCCTAAGAAATAACGGGATAGAGTTTCCATAGTAAGATTTAGGTACTATTTAGTGGCAGGCTAATAATCTGGATACAATTCTGTCAACCTCACAAGTTTGGTTTTACTATTATTTACAATTACACGTAGTTTTTCCATTAGTAGATCCCATCGGTTGCTCATTTTTTCTCCAATAGCAATGTACCTTTTGCGGATAAGTATTCACCTCGTTTAGTAGGTTTATCTTAACCCTTCGGAATATACGCAATTTCATGGTATTATTATCTCTTCCTACCCTTTGAATTTTGATTCTCTCTATTGCCCACAAACATATGCGCTGATTGCGCCAAACATTTTTATGCCCCCTGACGACCGATAGGAAAATACACCAACTGTATCAACGTCTATGCTCCATTATTTGTTGGCTACTACTATATATCTCAATGTTGTGGCGACTAACACAACTGGCAGGAAAGTATTTACTACGTATGTAAGTTTGCATATTATGTTGTCATCATTTAGGCCCGCGAGATAAATTATGTACTAATATTCTCTGTACAGACCCGAATTATAAATGCTGATTGTAGAAATTCGACTGTTTATCTTCATGAACAATGGGTAACTTGAACACAACGTATACTGGACCTAGCCCCATATATTTCAAGCAAATATAGCATGCCAGGGTAGATCTCTAATACTCCGCAATTATGTGATCCGTGAATAAATATACGACGGCATCAGTCAGTAAAGATCATATCTCAAATACTGTGAAATCTTGGTATCCATGCCGTACAGTTTTGGAAGCTCACCAAGTGCTACGGGAAAATATAGTCAATTGACGCTAAATGAATTTTGAAATCCGGCATGCAAATGATCTGGGTATATGCAGTCATTGATCTGTGCATGGAAATGAGTGGTCGTTGTCATTTTAATTATCAAGTTTTCCAGTGGTTGATTATATGACTTCACTCAACAAAGATCCGGAAAGGCGACAAATGAATGATAAGTAGAAGAAAACACAGTCAAACAGTCACTGCTTGTATCCGAAGCTTACGAATTTTCTCGCTATTCATGCAAGTATGAAAGTTTATGTCTTTAGATTTCCACAAAAGTTGGCTATGCAAGGGGAAAATACTCTCGGGGTTTCTCTGTCGATCTGCAGCCAGGTCTTCAAACTTCATTGGTGCCGGAATGACCACAAAAAACCCCCATTAGCAACGGAAAGCAACTGAATGAATGAATTATACCCCGGTTCTACCACGATATCACAACCATGCATTTTGATAGATCCGGACTGTTTTACGGCCAATAAGCGCACACCGGAAGTTTAGAATCGTTAATATTTTTAAAATATCAATTTACAAAGCCAGTTTGTCCTGCAGAGATAGACAAGCGTATTGCGCATCCGTCAAATACGCACGTGCCACATTGCACCTAGCCTACTAGATTAGGAAACTGGCAGCATAGAAACTCCGGGTCTTCTCGGACACAAATTGACAATAAAATGTATCTTTTAGAGAGTTCGTGTGGTAGTAGACTTCGATGTATTGCAAGTCGTCAATATCGCACTTTTATAGCTACACAAGACCTTGGGTGCTCTAGTATATCTGTAACGTTTTATACTATTTGGCCATTTCGTTAGATAGTACTATAATGAGACAAATATGCCTTTGAATAATGCATAGTGCGAGTAAATTTTTTATTGTGATCTCGTAGAGCTATTATCTTAGCGAAAGTGGAGATTTCATCTAATTAGTGGAGATTTACAACGATCTAAGGAGTAATGCATTCTGAGATAATATAGAATATGGTTCTTCAGGTATATGAAGAGCGCACAGCACTAATATATAGCTTAAAGTACACAGTAATTCTATCTTGTATAAGGAACCACATTAGAATGGTTTCGCAACGGTGCAAGCCTATAGATCGTGCACATCATTACTTACCAATTTAGGAAAATTCTTGTTGAATAATAACAGTGAAAGCCTTACCATTCGGCACACAAGTCCCACTTATCGAACGATGGCCCTAGGTAGATTGATGTCAATGGAAAAGATTACTCAATGAGAAAGATATATTGAAATTGACAATAATGCGCTCTTCAAAGTTAAAAAGAATGGACACGATTTGTGCTTTCAATAGAATATAGTAATTCCATTGACATATGACTGACATTTCGCACGTATGAAGTAGTGAAATATGTTTTTTGTTTTCCTCTCCCATTTAGCAAGTACATGTACCATTAATTAAGCGGCACGGGCTTCGCTACTCCAAAGAGATTATTTGAATCCCATTTCCGCTTCAACGAACTCAAGCGTTCGAGATTATTCTCACCATACCAAACATTGGGACCTTCATCGCCATGAGCATAGTTTACATATGTTGCAAATGTAGGAAAGCCGCTAAATTCATCGAAATGCTGGCGTTGCTGGGTAAAAAAGCCATCCGTGATGGTGTCTAAAGTAGAATTAGTTGGATAGAGATTCTCAAAAACACTACAATTGTCTTAGTTAGAATAAATTATGAAAGAACAAGAGTGGGAAAACGTACATATTCATCTTGGTTTCACGCCATGGATAAACTCCTCGTCGCTCAGGGGGAGCAGACATTGGACCCTGCGAGCTATACCGCTCAATGGCAAAGTCACCCGCATAGGTTGGATTTTCCTGCGAAAAGGTAATGAAATCTGTGAAAAATCCTTCAAATACTCGTGCGTTGGTTTGGTTCAGCGCAATAGTATAAGGGTTGATATGCAAGTTTGTCTCGCACGCGGTTCCTCTGCCCGCGGCGTCAGTCAAACCGTCCCAAGGGAGAGTTTCATTCGTCCATGTAGTAGGATTTAGAGCAATAAATTGATTTATGTATTGCGCAAACTCTTCTTGTGAACCCCAGAATACTAGATTCACTCCGATAGAAGGCTGGACATTGGCATGTCGTTAGAATAAAAACTATATGGCTTTTGATAAGTGCTGACCTCTTGAATCGTCTGATTATACGATACCCCAATTGTGATTGACAATTCTGGAGGAAGTGTCTCGTCAAACGACTCCAATATATTCCATATCGATCCATTCGCTGATGGTGGGTACGATAAGAATGCATTTTGTGCATATCCACCGTTTGTAGCGTTGTATATTTCATACGTTGCGGACGTAATTATGCCAAAGTTTGCGCCAGCACCTCGGATAGCCCAGAAAAGATCTGAATTCTCGGTCGTGGAGGCATTAAAGGGAATACCGGCAGCTGTCACGATCGTCACCTGAAGGAGGGCATCGGAAGTATATCCATGGATCCCCTGAAGTAAGCCGACGCCTGCACCAATAGTTGCCCCCACGACTCCAACGCATCGTGCATTTCCAGTTGCTGTGATGTTGGTACGTCTATATTAGCAAATTATATTCATATCTGCTCGGCGAATTAGGTGAGAGGTCATACGGATTTCCTTTCCGATACTGGATAAGGGCTCATATAGCTCCCCATACGTCACTCCACCACCAATCGTGATACGGTTATTTTCCGCGTCGACGTCGATTGTATTGAAATTAGAAAGATCAATACTAATTGCATTCGTCACATTGGCAAAATTCTGGGATGCGCCATGACCGCCGCCGGTGGCGAGAAAGGCAATATTGTATCGCGACGCAAGTTTTACCGTCGCTGCCACGTCTTGTTCTGTCACCGGCTTGACGGCTCCAATATAAGAAGGCGCATCCCAGGTCGACCAACGTTGTTTCGTTTCGGTGCTCCAGTTAGAATCGTTAACAGAATAGATTTTTGCTCGTTCTGATAAGGCCGGACCAAAGATTTCGGTAATATTAACATTACCACTACTCTGGGCTGTGGCCAGGAGGGACATCGACACCAGGAGGGGGATGTAAGGCAACATTGCTGCAATACTAATCGCCAGTTCCCTAATTTTGGCCTAGAAGGTAATTTGAATCCACCAACATGCAAGGTACGAACGTAAAATTGGAGTGATCATGCATAGTTATTTATATCTTGCCTTCAGCTGGTGTGAGGAGCATTTTGTTTTGTTTTTTTTCTAGTTTTTATTACTCCGCAGTTTACTGCATGGGTCTCTTCGGCTAGCAGATGGAGCACGTCACTCTTCTGCGAGAATCCATTGAAAATATAAAAACTAAAATTCACAATCGGAAACTAGAATCTATATTCTCGTTCCGACAGTCAGAAAAGTTTGTTTGTTCTTATCGGCGATCTCGGACTTTCTCAACGGAGTGAGTCTGTTTCCCGAACATACATATAGCAATGGATGAACTATCAATGCTTAGCAACATTTAATGTCGGGATAAAAATGAATGGATGTCAATTCTCCACATATATAGAGGGGATCTTTCAAATGCTCTTTTTTGTCTAGAGAAGTATCATTTCAATCGGTTATCGGGTATAAATCGTATCACCCAATGAAACTTGCCTAATATGGTCACCTATAACTGGACACCTGCCTCTGATGGAACATGGCGCAAGGAACTCGGTGGCCTTGAAAAGGTCTATCGCTTTCAGTCAATCATCAGTCGTGAGACTGGGAAAGAACACTGGGGCCTTTACGCGGGGTGTACTGTTAAATTCTCTGGCTCTGTGATCAGCCCAGCAACGGCATTGCGAGATGCATGGAAGACACTACGCATACAGTTCCCTGCACTAGGTATTATTGTCGATAGATACGAGGCAGTCTATCACGCAGCAGCCAACTTGGGGGATAACGATTGGAATAGGGACAATAGTACAGACACTCTTGAGCTCTGGGCGCAGGAAACTTTTCTCATTGAGCGAAAAAGAACCGTTGAAGAAATAATTAGTCGATATCCACTTCGTGATTTACCCGCTTTGATTTGGCTACCTAGGTCGTCAGAGGTGGTGCTTTTAGTCTCCCACTGGCGTTCAGATGGACTGGGAGCAGTGATGCTTCTCAATCGGCTGATGGAGTATCTCGTCGAACCGCCCGATATTTCCATGAATCGATGTGGTAATCCAGAAACTGAACTAGCTAGAATTTCACCGAGCCTTGAGGATGCGGTTGGTGCTCCATTGATTCCAACTCCTGGGATCATCGAAGCGGCCAACAACATAAGCATGAAATTCCGAGAAAAGGCAATGAAATCAATTGGCATAGCTTACAACGGTGACCATACCACCGCTCCTGGAAACCCCGCCATCGAGGCCGTTTCCTTTACGGCAGAAAGCTCAAGATCCCTTGTACAAGCCTGCAAGGTGCGTAATATCACTGTATCGGCTGCTGTGCATGTAGCGCTTGCCGAAACCATCTTTGAGATGTCTGCGGATAATGTCACTGAATACGCAACAATCATGGCTGTGAATATGCGTCCGTATCTCAAAGCGCCTTACAACTCAGATGACCATGCTTGTCGCGCATATGTGACTAGTATTACGCCGGTTGTCCAAAAAGGGGCAAGCTTCGAAGACTCCACTCTAGCTGTTACAGAGTTATTCAGAAATTGGCACTGCGAAAGAAATGCACAAGCCTTGCGAGAGATTTACAAGGGCGCTTCCCAGGTCCTTCTCTCGCCACCTCGTCGGCCAGTCGGACCGGCCCCAAACCCACCAAATGGCATAATGCACAGTAATCTAGGTGTAATTGACCGATTTCTAGCGGCGCAATATGGTAATGGCTTGGTGGAAGTCAGCGAGTTTCGTTTTGGAGTTAGTATGATGACGCGGCAGATGATGTTATATCCATTCTCTTTCCGGGGCAAACTGAATTTCTCGATTAACTATAATGATGCTTTTTATGGCACTACAGCTCCACGGAGGCTTCTTGATGGTATTCAAAGCAAGCTCGAGACAGAACTTGATGTAAAATTAGTGAAGGTCTTTTGATTGATATGCTTAGTCGTCAGTAGCAAATTCCTGCTCTTATCTCGGAATTAATCTTATATAATAATTTCAGTAATTAATACGATTTACTCATAAAATCCCGAGGTTTAGTGATTTTGGCCTTTTTTGAGGTTTCCAGGCGCAATATACTTGCCTGCTAGGTTTCTTACCTATAGGGTCATGAATATTAACTATTCATGTCGGAAGCACTATTATGAGCTTAAAATTGGCAAACTGTGCCTCATTGTAGTATATTTAGATTGGTCCTTTGTTGTTTGTTTATTTGAACAAGAGAAAACAACAGTCCGTCAGGCCAGTTCTGTCGTTACAAAAGAACCACAAGCTTCTTCGCGGAAACTCCTTTCTTCAGTATATTCAACCCATTCTGGATGCTCTCTAGCCCATTCCCAATAATCTCAGCCGCTGGCGCGGCAGTAAAGGTACCATTAGCAAGGGCTTTTGGTAAATAATCCCCAAAGATGGCCGGACCAACATCTGTGTCCAAAAGAGAACTACCAAATACCCATTTTGCCTCCAAACCCGTGGGAACATCTTTAGGAGGGCCGTTAGCTAAGATAACAGTCTTTTTACCTTGAATCTGACTAATTATCTCAAAAACTGGGCCAGAAGAAGTAGGCCCGATTGCAAAGGCGCCCACACTTTCCTTGTTCTTGAACGCCGCTACTATATCGGCAACAATAGTCCGACTATTGTAGTCGAAGACTTGGCTGGCACCCATCTCCTTGACTAAGGTAAAGTTTCGAGGAGAAGCCGTAGAGATGACATCGTATCCGGCAGCAACAGCAAGTTGAATGGCATTGACTCCAACACTGCTCGCACCACTCCAAATCAAGACGGTCTTACCATTTTCTGGGCGCCTAGGGATCGTAGGCAGAGCTAAATCGAGCAAATCATTTTGAAAAAGCGCGCTAGCCGCAGTGGAGAGTCCAAGCGGAATGACGGCCGCTTGCTCATATGAAAGCCCAGGAGGGATATGAGCCATAGCAATTTCCGTTAGAATCACATATTTCTGGAAGGCGCCGTCAGCTGGCCTATTGCTGCCAAGGCCTAGCGCAAGTCCAATGATGCGATCGCCGACACCGAATCGCGAAGTCGCTCCCGAGCCAACCTCGACTATCTCACCAGCGACGTCGGACCCGAAGACGGCAGGATATTTGGTCCATGAGAAAAGATCGTTGCCTAGCTCCTGACGCGCATAGTCGACTGGGTTCAGCGCTACCGCATGGACTCTGACGACTACCTCGCCTTTGCTGGGCGGGGTATATTCAGCCTCCTTGACTGTGAACGGATACGCTTTGGGCACGGTAACCCAGGCGGCAGTATTTGATGGCGGCATCGCTTGTGGTCGACTGAGGATTATTCGCACGACAACGTCAGGGAGCGGTGTGCGAGGGAGTGGTCATTCCCTTATATCCCATGCGTAGTGTATGACAACATTAAGGATAAAGGACGAATAACGAGTAATAATAACAATGAATGGCATGCTTAAGGCATTGAAATCGGCGGCGAGGATCTTCCAGATCAGGCATCGCGTCGGGAAAATACCATATCTCCGGGATACGCTAACCGTGTATATCCTGTAGCCCCCGTCGTGAAGACTCGTCGCCGATTGGCTCGTCCTCGCTTCACACTTGCCGTTTTGGGACTTCTAGGCTTCAAAAAGTCAAGAATAATACACATAATTAATTCATATCGATAAATCGATAATTCATATGCTATCTTACCTCTGGCATGGTTGACTAGCACCATCCTATCATCCTATCCACACCAGGCCATCACGTTAGGAACTCGCTCCAGCTCGTCGTGGCGGTGGGATCAATCGATAACATTAATTGACGCAGGACCGTCGAACACGGAAATCATGACCAATTTCGACAAGTTTCTCCATACAATCTCTTTCCCCTAATGAAAGTGCCATCACAGCAGATGACGAGCTTGCTACCAATGTGACAGACGACATGCTCACAACCTACAAACTTTAAGCGCCAATGCCATGCATCCCCGTTTTCTCCATCTTCATGCATAGGCAGGCCTTGGTCGTCTCGGCGTACGCGTCGGAACCAAGGAAAATGTTGCATTCTATTCACCGGATGACTAGCATATACTCCCTGGCCCTGAGGAGTTGCGGCAGGGATTCGGGGAAATAATGACACAACTGCGGTTTTACACCGAGCTCACGTGATCGACGATTAAGAATAGCCTCAAACCCGCCCATCAATCGTTTTATTTACCTGACGTCTCGAATAAGGGTGAAGAGTGTCCACGCACCACCTGAAGGCCTGACTTGAAAAATAATGTGCGAACTGTGCAGTTCTGCAGCCCGCAATATGGCTGTGGAGTTTGTAAAACTCCGCCACACCGAGAGTTTTGCGATAAAGAAGACCTTCTCGCCGTCTCGTGCTATCTATTTAGCCTCAGAGAAGCACATTGTATTTCTGTTAAATATTTGATCGGACCACAGATTGGTGTGGGCCATCAACCTCTCAAAGAGCCCGATCGATTATTATTGTCGTAAGCGTTAGCCGACAAGGCAAGTCTGACAGCTACGAAATGACAACAACATGGACTCAGACATCTGATGGCCACTACATGCGGGCTATAGGTGCAAATGAACATTTCATCAAATTCGTCGGGGATCGTGCGCACCCAGCTGGCCGAGAGCAATGGTCCGTCACTGTAACTGCCACAATGAAGATTCCGGACACTATCTCGACAATCAAATACGCAGAGATATTACGGGATGCATGGAAGCTGCTCCGTTTTGAGCACCCAAATATAGCATCGACAGCAGAAGAGCCTGAAGGCTTCGGTGCAGTATTGCACTACGTCGTTCCAAACGCCGCGGAATTGGATGACTGGCTTAGTGAGACACTTTCGATTGTAGAAGACTCTTCCTTAAGCCCAGAAGATGTGATTGCTACGCTGAAACCTCAAAAATTCGTTTCCCTTCATTTTCTTCCACATCATTCACAGATTATCCTTCACACGGCACATTGGCGCATAGACGGATACGGTGCGTTTTACTTGTTGAACGCCTTCTTTTATGCGATCAAGGAAATCCTGGATAACAATGGTTTACCATCTCTTCCATGGGGGAATGAAACAGCCCGTCTGGTAGCGAGTCTTGAAACTGCCCTGGACTTACCAGAAGAGGACACCCAAGACGTAATTGACGCTGCTAGACAGTATATCAATACTCAAATTCTCATGAAGGATTCTATCGGAATTCCTTACATTGGGGATGTAAACCAAAAGCCTGGAGGTACTCGAAGTGTTACCATGGAAATTGCCCAAGACCTGACGGATAGCTTGGAGGTCGCCTCTAAGCAACACGGCGTTGGCCTATTTTCGGCCTGCCATGCGGCATTAGCTGCTATTCATTTCTCCTCATCAAGTACGCCGTCGAACGCAATACAGCATTATGGCAGTACAATTCGACTCAACATGCGGCCGTATCTTCTCCCACCATACAATACTTCAGCAGGAGCGTGCAGCATCTATACTGGTGGATATCGTTTGCAAGTGCCCTCCACTCAATCGTTCATTGATACTGCCAAGCAGTACTGGCGAGAGTATGAAGAAGGTGTTTCAGAGATCTTTCTCCGATCACGTCGACAATTTGCTCTGATTATTCTAGAAGGTCTCCGCAAGGGCGTTCCTGTTGCCAACCCCCCTCCGAGCAATATTGATATCTCCATAGTTGACAATGCCGAAGCAATTCTGAGTTCGACTTTGAATACCAAAGCTGGCCCTTTGGAGATCCTGAACGTTAACTTGGGAATAGAAACACTTACGCGACAGCCGTACCTTTTTCTATGGAAATTTAGAGGGAAGTTGAATCTGAGCTTGTGGTACAACGAGAAGTATCAGGATAGAAAAGTGGCGCTGGAGGCCCTTAAAAGTATCTGCCAGGCTTTAACAAGAGGGCTAGGTCTCAAGACCCAAAGTGAATGAGCAGTTTTCATTACCTCCACAGGGAGGATTAAAATCATAACTTCAATTAATATTAGTTCTTATTTGCTACTTTGAATATTAAATCGGAATTATGTAACCTTTTGGACTATCTTTGGTCTCGTTCCTTGTCTATCAAATGGCTGCCTCTCTGGTAAGGTATGCTAAGCATTTGTCCACCATGCTCTGTGGACTTTTTTGGCTTGACAGAAACACAGAAATGAAAGTAACCAAGTTTAAATGTAACTTACCTGGGTCTTTGATTATAGCACCCGATCTCCTTCACTCTACTTTCAATTCCTTTTAATGAAAAAGGTGACAACGGCGACCCTACTGGGGTCTTTGGCAACAATCATGATAAAATCCGGTTTTCGGAACCCAGGACCCCTTTACGATACTTCCAATAGTCAAGATATAATCAAGGAATAATGCTAGATTTGACTAGCGTTGTATTAGAATTATACGGAGTAATGTTTTTAAACTCAGTGGCTCCGGGTGCCGGAGTTTTGTGGTGAGTAAGATACTGAAGAATGCATAGACTCGGACTTGTCGGTAGAAGAATGGAGACATCTCTTTAGGTAGGGTGAAGTCTGATTTATAATACCGTTGTTGATTTACGATGACTTGTTTTAAAACTGTAGATATAGTATTATAAACTAGGATGAATTGAGATAATAGACAGTTACATTCCTTATCACAGCATGTACTAGGGCTCACAAGTTGGCTCACATGTTGAAGAGAGTCCGACTATTTACGAATGAGGATCCTTGATCAGTCTCTGTGGATCTTAATATACGCAGCGAAAGGACCTTGTCTATCAGTTTTTCTTAGGATACACTGACTCCCCAAATCTCAATTGCAATGGCACAACCTTTGTCTGCGTCAGAACAAGTGTCGGCAGCATTCTTCTGTCCACAAAATAAACCCCCAAAAGCAGCTTACCTCGATGAAATTCGTCGCTATCTTCGCAACAACAACACTCTCGCCCCTTTCCGAGATGCCGTGCTCGATCTCTCCTCAACATGGCAATTATTTGCGCGAGAAAACGCTGACATCGCCGCAATGTCTCAAGGGCCTCAATACATTCAGTATTTCCATGACTGGATTGCCTATGATGGCTCATTTGCCAAATCAGGAGACATGAAATGGATCGAGATCATGTCCGGGCTAATTTCTTTACCACTTCTTACTATAATGCAGACAGTGCAGTATTTTCAGTTTCTTGAGGTACGTCAAATACGGCATACGCAGTTTTTAGAGGAAATCAAGCTTGGGGGTGCGCAAGGTTATTGTGCTGGATTATTGCCGGCATTTGCCATTGCAGCAGCCCATGATGAAGAGGCAGTTGTGAAGAATGCCTGTATCTCTCTACGATTATCACTAGGCATCGGTGCATATGGTGAACTAGGTGATGATCAAGAAACAACGGGACCGACAACGGTTGTTCTGCGAACGAAGTACATCGGGCAGGCAGAGGAGATTGTAAACAAATTTCCGGGAGTACGTCTTCTATTCATTCGCTTTCCGCATTTTCGTTTGAAACCCGACGCTAATACAAAGCACAGACCTATATTTCAGCCATCACGGATCCAGAAACCATAAGTATAGTTGGCCCAACGAGAATCATTGACGAAGTCCAATTGTATGCCGAAGGCCAGGGGTTGACTGCCACAAAATTACATCTTAGAGGGAAGATTCACAACCCAGAAAATGCAGATGTGTGCAAAGAGCTTATTATGGTATGCGAAAAGTATTCAGAAGCCCTACTCCTACCAACTTCGTCGGTCCTACAGATTCCTGTCAAATCAAACATGACGGGAAGGCTTGTGAGATCAACCGATTCATTGTCTAAGGAAATTCTTGAAAGTACCCTCACATCTCGATGCGAATGGCATTGCTTGCTCACTGAACTGGCAAGTGAATTACAGAAAACTGGAAAAAATAAGCATACGTTCGCACTCTTTGGAACTGGACGAAAAAACTGCGTGCCTCTAAGGTCGTTCGAAGAGAAGGGCATGACTATCACAAAGCTCGATGTAGTGTTATATGTCCAGCCTCTCGAGATTGCTAGAGATGGCAGGCTTCTTCATCAGTTCCCAGAAAATGCAATTGCTATCGTCGGAGCAGGTTGCCGATTACCGGGTGCAAACTCTATCGATGAGTTGTGGGAGTTACTCGCCAATGGAACCCAGCGTGTCGAAAAGTTTCCACGGACCAGGCTTGATATCTCAGCAGCATCACGAGGCACCGTAGGGCCAGATGCGAAGCCACAGGGGAAAAGGGAATATTATGGAAATTTTCTCGACAACGTCGACTCTTTTGATAATAGCTTCTTTGGTGTGAGTCCTCGGGAAGCTACATTCATGGACCCTCAACAGAGGCTATTACTCGAGACTGCATATGAGGCATTAGATGCTACTGGGTACTTGCGCACACATCGTCGCGAAAACTTTGACAATGTGGGCTGCTTCATTGGATCCACGTACGTCGAATACCTCGAAAACACTAGCGCCTATAACCCAACTGCTTACACGGCGACGGGCACGATACGAGCATTTCAATGTGGCAGAATAAGTTATCATTTTGGCTGGAGTGGCCCGTCTGAGGTGATTGATACTGCATGCTCAGCTTCCTTGGTTGCGGTAAACCGAGCCTGCAAGGCTATTCAATGTGGGGAGTGCCCAATGGCTTTGGCTGGTGGCGTTAACATCATAACTGGCATGAATAATTATTTCGATTTGGGAAAGGCTGGCTTCCTGAGCACGACTGGGCAGTGCAAGCCATTTGACTCCACAGCGGACGGTTATTGTCGTGCCGACGGCGTTGGCTTGGTAGCATTAAAATCCCTGTCACAAGCTGTAACTGATGGGAATGACGTGCTGGGGGTAATTCTTGGTGTGAGCACCAATCAAGGAGGCTTGTCGCCAGCCATTACAGTGCCTCATTCGCGTGCGCAAGTCGATCTTTTCAAGCGTGTGACCAATCAGTCTGGTCTCAAGCCCAATCAAATTTCGTACGTTGAAGCCCATGGGACGGGAACCCAGGTTGGCGACCCCATTGAAATATCGAGCGTTCGCGAGGTATTTGGGGGAGCTCAACGACATGATTATGTAAATATCGGCTCACTCAAAGCGAACGTGGGACATAGCGAAACTGCTGCTGGGATCGGCAGCCTGATGAAGGTGCTTGCCATGCTGAAGCACGGAAAGATACCTGCTTTGGCTGGTTTCAAGAATCTCAACCCCAAGATCCCAGAGCTTGAACCGGACTTCTTGAGGATTCCTACAGAGGTTCTTCCGTGGAACACTCCTTTTCGTGCCGCGTGCGTTAATAGCTACGGTGCAGCTGGTAGCAATTCAGCACTAATATGCTCGGAAGCGCCGAGAGATATCAAAAAATCAGCTTCTACCTTGGGGGAAGTACTCGCCCTTGATTTCCCTATTCTGTTAAGCGCCGCTTCGACTGAGAGCTTGAGATTGAATACAACTAAGCTGGCAACATATCTTCATAGAAACCAGAAGAATGTGAATATTGGTGATCTAGCATTCACTTTGTATGATCGTCGTAAACATCACCGGCTGCAATGGATTGGCAGCTCTCATGATGTGGAATCACTGGTAAGTTCATTGGAAACAGCCTCTGACAAAATCATCGAATTACCCTCGTCACCAAAACCCGTGGTCTTTGTATTCTCCGGTCAAAGCAAGCAAACAATTGGTCTAGATAAATCATGGTACAATGCCTTTCCACGCCTTCGGTACTATATCGATCTGTGCAACGACCTTCTCGTTAGCATGGGATATTGTGAGCTTATACCAGATATTTTTGCGTCTACCTCCATTGAAAATGTCGTCAAATTGCAATGCGGTACTTTTGCTGTACAATACGCATGTGCAAAGTCCTGGATCGATGCCGGACTGCCTGTAAAAGCAGTCGTTGGACATAGTTTTGGGGAGTTGACTGCCATGGCTGTGAGCAATATTTTATCTCTAGAGGACGCCCTCAAATTAATCGCTTCACGGGCCTCATTTATGCAGACCAAATGGGGACCGGAGAGGGGAACTATGCTGGCCGTAGAAGCCAGTTTAGAAACAGTGCGCGATATTATTACAGCCACCGATGCCACCATCGAGATCGCCTGTTTTAATGGGCCCAAGAGTCACGTTCTAGTTGGATCTGAAGTCGACATAGCAAAAACAGAAACGACCATTTCAACACTCCCTCGCTTCAAATCCTTGCGGAAAACTCGTGTTCACACCAGTCATGGATTCCATTCCATCTTCACCCAGCCAATTCTTCAGGATCTCGATACCGTATCTCAAGATCTTGCCTTCAATAAGCCCACAATACCGTTCGAAGCCTGCACCGAAACGCCAACAGGAAGTATCTCGCCATATAGAATCGTCCAGCATACCAGGACACCAGTTTTCTTTGGCGCCGCCATATCTAGACTCGAGAAACGTCTGGGGCCCTCCATCTGGCTTGAGGCTGGAACTGATTCTCCAATTATTTCGATGACAAAGCGTGCTGTTCAAAATCCATCGGACCATATATTCTTATCATTGAAGACCAAGGATGCCGCTAATTCATTGTCGGCCGTGACGCACACTACGGCTAACATTTGGAGAGAGGGTGTTCCTGTTTCTTTTTGGGGCTTCCTGTCCCCGCAGGAATGTGGAATTCGACATATATGGCTTCCGCCTTATCAGTTTCAACGGACAAGTCATTGGCTTGAACACATAGACCCTGTTACTGAGGAACGAAAAGCGACGCAATCTCTAGATGTGACGAAAGAAAGCACTGCACTCCCAGCTACTCCCACCAAATTAGTCACTGCCCGGAGGAGAGACTCTACATCATGGTCTTCAATAGAATTTAACATTCATACTAAAACAAGTCGATTTACAAACATTGTGTCCGGCCATGCAGTTCGCAATCAGCCCCTGTGCCCTGCATCCATGTACATGGAGTGTGCAGTTATGGCCGCGCAAATGATTGAGCCAGGTATCTCTGCCAAATATTTGAAATTCCAGAATTTGTCATTCCAAAGTGCACTGGGTATCAATTACAACCGGGATGTGTTGCTTCAACTAGATGGAGAAGGAGACTACTTGTCATGGAATTTCACCGTCAAAAGTACAGCAGAGATGTCAAACGGAAGACAAACAACACATGCCAAGGGCAGACTTAGCGTTGGGTCACAAGTTGACCTCCAACTCTACGAGCGAATGATATCAGATAAGATCAATGAGATTCTTGTTAATCCCCGATCAGAGCGTCTGATGGCTGGCAGAGCATACACGCTCTTTTCGAGGGTCGTGAATTACTCCGACGCGCTACGTGGCATTTCAGAAATTACAATCCTAGACAATAAGCATGCAGTAGCTGAGATTCATTGCCCTAAGATCTCTGTCAGTCGATTGGAAAGTACAGCAGCAGATGTTTGCGACACAGTCACGCTAGATACATTTATACAAGTCGTCGGCTTGCTCATCAATAGCAGTGATCAGTGCCCTGCAGATGAGGTATTTATCGCCACCAATATTGATAGCATTGTCATGCAAGATTGTGATTTTACAGATTCCGAGTCCTGGACAGTGTATGCTATGGCAACTGCACGAAGCGAGTCACATGTGGCCGGTGACATGTTTGTATTTACCAAAGAAGGGAAACTCATCTTCACTGGGTCCGGAGTACAATTTACACGTCTCCCCATTACGAAACTTGAGAAGCTGTTGCACGGAGTTGGAATGCCATCAACTACAAAGCCCAATAGCGATAGGAAGATTCCTTTACATGGTAATCACGTGGCGAGTGAGCAAGCAATAATGAGCAGAATTAAGCACAAATCTAGTGCTGAAGACCTTGATGATAATACCCTCGTCGCTGCGGAAAGTGTGCCCAGGTATTCATCTCTGAGATCGGCGATGATAAAGAACAACGAGAATTTAAACACACTTGGACTGGACTCAATTTCAAAGATCGAATTTGTCAATCAACTTCGACAAGAAATTAGAAACGATATGACCCATATCAGTGCTCTTTACAACGAACTTCCTTCTAGCAATGCGTTGGATATAAAGAGGGTGCACATCGAGGAAACAGAGGTATACTCCTCATCGCCCGACAGCGCCAAATCAGCAGATATACATTCCAAAATCAGAACTAAGCAACGAATCCTCGAACTGATTGCAGATAATTCTGGCGGTTCTACTAGTAGTATTGAAGAAATGACAAGTCTGCAGGATATTGGCATTGATTCATTGTCTGTTGTGGAATTAAAAGAGTCGTTCGAAGACGGATTTGGTATCCACTTTGGAAATTGGGATTTCGGTTTACATTTGACTGTGAAAGACATAGTGGATTTTGTTGATTCGCAACTGTAAGATACTCAATCGACCTGATTTCAAATTAGTGTTAAAAGCTACATGTACTTATTAAAAGAGATTGATTGAATTTGCCATTTCCCAACAATTACCTTCTGTTATTGTTTATACTACTACAGCTATAGCAAGTGGAAAACCTAGTAACCTTAGAGGAACGCCGTATAATATTAGTTTGTCCTTGATGATATTCTTTTCGAATTATCTCCTTGGAGCTATCAATTGATATATCTACATGCCCAATATAGAATAGGGGACTATATACCGGAGTTTATCACCGGAGTTTACTTCAATGTTGTTAACTCCGGGGCAGCGCAATACCGCAGGATTCGTTGTATCGGAACAGTTCCTCTACTAAAGTGTTTTTCGCTGTACTATCTATTTTATGCATACAATAAGTGTATCCAGAATCCTTTGTCATATTTCAATACGGAGTTGTTAAACCTTATGGCCGGCATTTCCATGAACACCGTAAATGCAGGTCAAATGTTAACACCGACCACATTAAATCGTTACTTATAAATAATGAAGTTTAGTAACACAAGTCAAGAAATTCAATACATATACTACTTAGAATTAGAACATCTCGTCAATTCATATTGCATGTTCCATTTCAAGAGATTATGATATTGGATTAAATACTGTACAATTGCAAGTTTTAGTCACGGCATTCTATCCAACATCACAATGGGCTCCGCTGCTCCAAAGCAACTGGTTTTCCTCACTGGTAAGGCCTCGCCTTGTATATTTAATGTGATTAGCAACTAGCGAAGCGAGCTGACTTTGGAGATAGGAGGAAGCGGTTTTATTGCGTCCCATATTCTCGAGCAGTTGCTCTCCAACGAGTAAGTAAGCATTAAAATAAACCTTGCTTATAATAAGCGACACTTTAAAGTCGACTAAATATGTGCTATATATAGTTATCGCGTGATCGTGACGGTACGTTCCGCACTAAAAGGCGATAAAATTATTTCTTCATTTCCGGAGGATACCAGAAAGGACATCTCCTATGAAATTATTGAAGATATTGCTCAGGATGGTGCTTACGACGAGGTCGGTTCTTCTTAGTTTCAAGGCGAACTAAAGTCTAATCTGATATGTCTCCACTAGGCAATTAAATCGAACCCTTCCATAGATTACGTGATTCACACAGCCTCACCATACCACCACAACTTGCAAGATCCTGTCAAGGATTTTCTTGACCCAGCTATCAAAGGAACCACGGGTATTCTGCACTCTATCCTGAAGTATGCACCAACCAGCGTGAAGCGTGTTTTGCTATTATCAAGCACCGCCACTATCCTTAACCCTTCCAATCATGCAAAAGTATACACAGAAGAAATTTACGGAACAACAACCTGGGAAGAGGCCATTGGTGGCCCGTTGACTTACAGAGCAAGCAAGGTATGCCATGTTTTTAGATTATTGCCCTTCGTTTACCCCTACAATAACTCTCATACAAACCAACTCAAAATTTATCCATTAGATATACTCGGAAAGAGCAGCTTTTGAGTTCATAGAAAAGGAAAAGCCAGCGTTCGACTTGGTTACGCTCAACCCGTCATTGGTCTTTGGTCCGCCTCCCAAGCACTTGGCCAGTCTCGATGCATTGAACACCAGTAATCATCGCCTTCGCGACATGATTCTTGGTAAGATGCGAGAAAATATAGCACCAACAGGCCCTGTTCATATTTTCGTTGACGTACGCGACGTAGCCACCGCTCATATTCGTGCACTTCAGATTCCGCAGGCTAGTATGCAACGATTCATGATAGTTAGTGATTATTTTTCAAACAAGCGAATCGCTGATACAATTCGGGAGAGATATCCACAATTAAAGGACATCTTACCAGCCGAAGATTCGCTTGACGACTTCCCAGAGAGTATTTATGGCTTCGATGTTAGTAAATCCAAGAAAATGCTTGGAATCGAGTACAGGGATTTGAAGACTTGTGTCAATGATGCGGTCGAAGCGATGATTTCACAAGTCTAGGTTGCGGCCATTTACCGAAAATCGAAAAGTAAGTATATGGTGCATTACGTTTGAATTTTGAAAAGAAAGTACATGTAAAAATAGCTATGTGACATGGGGGACAAGAATATTCCCCTCTCACTGCTCTTGTACGAAATCCAATGTTACATGTATTCGTTAATTTAAACGTATATAATTTTTCATATTTCATGAGGCCATTTTTTTGTTTCCTTTTATCATTTCAACCTGTGGTTTTAAAATAATAGCGAATATTTCCTGAGTCTAGTTGGTAAAATATAAACTACATGGCTATATCATCCATCGAAATTCCGCCAACGACCTCGAACTAATTTCTACCAATAGAGAACTGTTACACGTACTAGAAACCATCTTGTAAAGATCTCATCTGACATACTAGCGTGCCACATTTCTAGTGATATCAACATATACTACTACACACGTACCTGAACCGCACGAGAGTTACTGTATCAAATTCCTCCTTCTGAAACGCTACTTCTAAAGGTCCGCCCTATTCTCGAACTACCACAAAAAAACACGAAAACGGTCATATGAACAAAAACTACCAGATAACTCCGGACAACAAGAGTTTAAACTCCATAATCCACAGCCAGACCAAGGGCATTTCCAGATTATACGTCGGCCCAGATTTAAGATAAATTGAAGAGTAGATCCTCGATCTTCAACTAAATGAATTGTAGGTTGTGTAACCATTTCGATGTTCCTGCTTCTTTCATTTCCGTGCTATCCGATGGGGAGTCTACAGCCATAATGTCTTTGCCAGTTTCATACCCTACTTCTGCGTATTGTAGTGCTGTTAGATACCGTCTACGTTTTTTACTGATATTCGCGAATATTATTATCGATTTTGTCATGACCTAAGGGTTTCCATCATGGTGAAACTATTCAGTAATATAGATAGATATTCTTTGTATCCCTTCGGGTATTCAAAATGCACACATTCCTTAGATCGTTACAGTTTTGTATGATACCGCCGGTGACCTTGATTTGGAGAATAACGAGGCAGAACACATCTCAAATTACTGTTCTTACCTCTGGAAGATCCAATACTTTGTGTTGCCGAAACCTGTGATTAAATTTCGCATCTGAATCGGGGTACTTGCGGACTAGTAGTATATATCTTGGCCAATTCTATGATAACGTATTTGTGTATGTGCCTACGTCAATTGGGTAAAGGTACTAGCGTCAGACAAACTAGGGGCTCGTATTTATGCAGACAAAAAGGCCTAGTCGAGTAGTTATTCTGTCGCCTCGTGACATTTTGACCCGGTCTTGAATTTGCGACTGCGAAAAGTGAAGTGAAGCTCCTCTATCTAGAGTCCATGGGCACGTAGCCAATTGTGTTACTAGATTGCATGAGTCAGAAATTTCGTCTAGAACTACGTCAAGTCTTTTTGCAACATCCACGATTTCTCCTTTTCTTGTCTCTTGGATTGTGCCGCATCATATGGGCAAATAAGAAACACGCAGGATCGACATAGTTCTTCGCTTGCGGTACGCCGCAATTTCCAAACACGGCCTGTGTTGTCCATATACGTCACCGCCTGCACCAGCAAAATATGGCTCCTTTGTGTCGTACAACATATGCGTGTCATCCCAGAGACCTGACAAGTTTTCTTGCTTATCTAGACTTTCACTTACGAAGATATGGTGAATGTGACTAAAATATTTCGCAAGGTCCCAGACCTCAAGGAGGTTGACGAACTCCAAGATCTCGAAGAGTATGCAAGAAGAACAATGGGGTTGGGATTAGATTTGGTAAGGTTCTCTAGAAGCTGGGACACGAAGTCTATCGTTTTTCTATTTTACTAGCTCACAATGACTCGATGTTAACGTGTTCATCGCAGGAGCTGAGCCCCGTATTGCGAGCCGTGAAGACCGTGATCAAAAGACTTGGCGAAGTGAAAAAAGACTCACATTATGACGGTGAGGATCTGGCAAAGGTTGAGGGGTTCATTGCCAAGTGCAGCAAAGCTGTGTGGGATATTATATTGGAAAATCCAGATCTCAGATCTCGAGTAGCTCGGGACATCTTTAACTACAAACTACCGGAAGAGAGACTGCCGTCTAGGTTTGAGCTGAACGAAATCATGAAAATTCACCGAAAGGTAGTACACATACCCGACGAGCAACTGCAGTGGCCACCATTCGAAGATCACAGCGAGACCAAACGGCAAAGGCAATGTGGAAGTGGCAAGAGGAAAGAAAGACAATTTCATGGCATGACCCTACGCGAGTATCTTGATCACACACAGCACACGTCCGATGAGATGGGAAAATGGCGTGTGGAGGCTGGGAAGTGGTTGGAATTGTACCGGAAGACTGAAGACTATAAGGAAACCATGACGAGTAAGGAGAAAATGAGGGTAGAGATCGACAACAGGAGAAAAAACGAGGAACCAGAAATCTTGTCGCTGCCCAAACCCGCTCTAGAATTGAGGCCCTGGCCAGATATCTATGTGGCGTCCTTCTGCTTCTACGCGTCCTTTCTAGTGGCAGGGTTCGTTTCTAGCTATGTGTTGTACAAAACCTACTTTCGCTCATAACCCGGTAACACTCACTGCAGTTGTACTGGTCTCTGATTGAAAGAACGATGTAATCAATGCAGAAACAGCGATCTAGCATATAGAATAAAAAGAGAGAAAACTTGTTCCCATAAAATTGAGGATTGCTTTGAACCACGCTAAACATTTGCGTTGCTTAACCGCAGCAGCAAATCTGAATGCAAAATACCGCTTTTCCGAAAAGGGATGTTGTGTATTGGTACAGTTTTACCAACATGTTGTGCGGAACACGCATCCCATTGGCTGGAGTGACCAGTCTGGTCAGAAGCTGTCTTAAATCTTCAGCTGGACCAACATTTGTAAGAAAAGGCCAACTCAGACAACTCCGCACAATCCACGACAAGCAGTGGATGGTGCAGCACCAGACGCTACGTTCTGGTGTATGCCCTCGTATTAAACACTAACCATGGTCTTCCCTTTCACAATCATCGAGCGCACAATCCCTGGACAGCATATCCGAGAATACCCGCACAGCATCAATCTCAACAAGGCCCGCCAAGAAACTGCTCTCCAGCTCGCTATCAAACAGTATGTTCCCGCCGATAGACCAGAGCCAATTCCAGCAAATGCTGTTACCATTATTGCGGCACATGGAACTGGGTTTCCAAAAGTTCGTTTTGTCTCTGTATACTCGGATTGGGTGTATCATATTGATAGCCACAGGAATTATACGAGCCACTCTGGGAAGATCTGTACAAGCAGCTAAGAGCGCGTTCGGTTCCTCTACGTGCTATATGGATGGCAGATGTTTCTAATCAAGGAGCCAGCGGCGTTTTGAATGAAAATATCCAGGGCGACACGAGTGAGTCTCCTACACTCAACTGAAAACTAAAGTCATTAACAATGACAGCAAACTGGTATGACCATTCACGTGATTTATTGCACATGGTGAACCATTTTCGTGATGAATTTCCTCGTCCCATCATTGGCGTCGCGCATAGTATGGGTTGCGCCCAGCTGTCAGTAATATTTCTAGGCCCCTCAGAACATATTGTGATGATTGATATATGAAAACAGAGTGCATCTGTCTATTCTTCATCCACGACTACTCTCAACACTTATTCTTTTCGAGCCTGTAATCTTAGAGGCAGCTTTTGGGGGCCCTAATCCCTCGAGCTTTGCTGCCTCTCGAAAAGATCTATGGCCGTCACGCGAGAAGGCGCAAACTTCACTCCGTAAATCTTTGCAGAAATGGGATCCTCGAGTCATAGACCGCTTTCTAGAATTTGGTCTCCGCCCGGTGCCTACACGACTCTATAACCCAGATACAGATGCAAGTGTTGATTCATGTGCAGTTACACTAACTACATCCAAGCACCAAGAGTCGTGGAGCTACTCTATAGCGAATTTAGAGGCGGAATCAGCGGGCCTAGACCGATATTTGATTCCAGACTGGGATCCTGATGTGGAGCGTCCGTACATGTTTTCGCGACCTGAATGCTGGTCAAGCATGCGCAATCTTCCCGTAATTCGACCGAGTGTGCTGTGGGTATTCGGGGAAAAGAGTTACCTATCACCGTTAGAGGCGCAGGAGGCTAAAATGAAGGTTACTGGAACGGGGGTTGGTGGTAGTGGTGGCGTCAAAGCGGGCATGGTAGAGAAGACCGTTTTGAAGGGAGGTTCACACACGCTAGTATTGGAAAATGTTGATTGGAGCGCAAAAGCTGCGGCAGACTGGGTTGAAAAGTGGTTTTCCCGTTGGTTGGCAGATGAGAAGTTCTGGAAGGAATATCTAAGCCGGAGATCAGATGCCGAAATGCTGAAGCCTTCCCAAGACAATTTGGATGTTTTTACAATGGCCATGGGCACGGAAAGAATCAAAGAAAAGCTATGAATCGATTCGGAGACTCGGAAAATTACTGGGAAAACAATTGATCCAGATAGCCAGTGTTCACCGCAGTTCCGAGTTCTGAAGCGCATATCTTTTGTCTTAGTAGCGGTCCACTTGAATGATCAAGCACAGCTCGCAAGGAAGTGAGGAACACATCTTACGTAGTTGATTGTTCTCGGTGCGAATACTTCATGTGATCTCCATTAATGGATTTAGCAGACTATTATTTCCGAATACAATTCATTGCTAATCCCATCATCAATTTTCTAAGAATAAAGAAAAGTACAGCCAACACGATTCTAGCCAGCGATTCGTCCGGGAATGGAGGGGTCGCGCTCAACGCTAGCCATAAATAGCTTTGGTCCCGGTTGCTGATCTCCTGGCCTTTTCTCTTCTTCCTGAGCTGGTAAGTGTTGCACGACGCTGAGGAAATTATTCCTTCGCTTTGCCTTGCTAAATGGGCTTGTTATTACTTGACCCACGTTTTTTTCGGTCTAGATTTGCGAAGGCAACAATAGCATTGAGAAATAAGCAACTAGCTAGCATTTCTCATAACCATCACTAGTAACCCTGACAAACACGGACTAGGTCAATCACAATGGTGTTCTACGGCCCTTCCAAAGGATGTGAGACATGCAAGCGGAGGAGGAAAAAGGTTGGTTGACTAAAGATAATAGACAACATGGCGGATAAAGAGACTAACTCGCGACCACTGAACGTTCTAGTGTGACGAGACTCGTCCTGTAAGTGAACGCCTGTCGGGCTCCAGAGTTGAATCTTTGTAGTCCAGTCATATCTGACGTCCGCCTTGCATACACATGACCGCCCAAGCGACTAACCCCTAGATTGTAGTCATGTATGCGATGCGTTGAAGCTAGGCGCACGTGCGGTGGCTACGATGCAAACGCAAAACTTCGTATACAGCAATACGGCCAAGAGAAACAGCCACCAAAGTACTCCATTTTCAGGCCATCTATGTCTATTGCTCGAAAGTGTAGTCTTCCCGTCCGGCAACCCGTCACCGGCTCCAATATTTTACCTGCAGACGGCAGACCGATTGAAGTCTCCGAAGAGAAGTCGGACGAGTACGCGCTTCGTGCTTTTTTCTACGAATACAATCTTGTCTCATCCCATCAGGCTACTTCTCGGGGTTTCCTTCGTGGTCTTGAGCGGGCTTTCTATCGACATGGGCCTCACTCCAATCTGGCGCGGGCATGTAGGTTGGTCGCGTCGGCCACTTATGGTATCAAACTTTGTCGTCCATTTTTTCTTCGTCAAGCGGATCAAATGTATCACGATCTGCTGTCATCACTTGCAATTTCTATCGATGACTTAACCTCGGTATCAATGAGGGATGAGTCGATATTGGTGGCCATACTTCTAGGTCTCTATGAGGTTGCTTCTCCTGTGTCCCGCTTTCTTTTCTTCGGCCATTCTGATCTGACACTTTCAGATCATAATTACAGACGAGTCTTGTCCGGGTTATCACAATGCACATGCAGCCGGCGTAGCCGCAATGCTAAGGGTTAAGAATACCCCGCTAGACCTCCTGCAAGCTCTTCGAAATGACCAGTCATTCGTCTCCAAGCGGTTATTACAGGTGTGTCTTGTCTCGCCTATCAAAATGATTCGGAATGTTATGGCTTGAATCATCTGTTACTAACCATGATTTGATTAAGACTAATACCCGCGGCTTATTTGCAATTCCACAGGCGAATGGTGATGAGACACCCTTAGATAATCTACTTTTCCAACTTGGAACTCTATGGAAACGCACAACCCAATTGGATATTTTACCACATAATGTTCTCTCAACCCTGAGGAGCGAAGCATTATACCTTGATGAGAGCTTTTCTCTGTGGGAAAACACACAAAATAAATACTTTCGACCCAGTACCATTTATTGCATGTCTAGCAACGAAAAGTCTGATTATACTTCGATCGACGTGGGGTACTGGCCAGGTAACATCGATACATATGTGGACCATTACATTGCCGGCGTGTGGAATACTTACCGTGCAGCGAGATTGGTCTTGCTGGACATTATTCTCAAGCTATCGCATGCACTAAAATGTGGAACGTCCCACGATGCAGAGCATAAGTCTGCTCAGCAACTAGTGAAGAGCATCCTAGCGTCTATTCCGTATAGCTTAACAGAGGATCTGCACATCTTTCTCCGTGATATAGAAATAAATCAGTCGATTGCCAATCCAGGGAGAGCAGCTTGCGGCTTACTACTCATGCATACAATCCATGTCACCGCAAATCTTTCCATTGTCGACCCTGCCGTCAGAACTTACTTGAATGAATGCCTGATCTGGATAGGGAAACATATGGGCATAGGGCAGGCGGCTTATCTAGCTACGGTGAGCGTGTTCATGTTCCCCTGTCAACTCACATATATATTGAACTTCATCACAGAATGCCGAGGTAGACCCGGAATACTTCGCGGGAAGCTGTATGATTGTTTTATTTGGACTACTTGTTTGACTATACACATTAGGTACGTTATAAAACTATAAGGGCCTTTCATTTTATTTGGTCGCAATTACATCTCGAACGCTTCAAAAGTATTCTTCCTGTCGCTATCTTGGTTAATATCGGTTTACCCCTAGTTCCAGAGATTTGAAAAAAATATGAGTCATCACTTTTCGAAAAAGATATTTTGGGCGACGAAAAGATGCACTCTACAGATGAAGTGCAGTTACCGACTTGGGCTATTAATATTCTACTAATAAGTTGTGCCCTATGAGTCCACAGCCGTTTTTTTATATTCTTTTCTTGATCGACCGATTCCACAGGATGAATCCTAACATCAGTACGGCTGCGCAGCTGCGGGAAACTTGAGGGTGCCCCAGCCGAGGCTAGTTGGAGGGTTTCCCCACAGAAATGAGATGCACATGCCTTGTCAGCTTCTGGAAAAGCCAATGAGTGAGAACCTTTCTTTTGAATTCGAGTTTTTGGTTGAAACGAACGACGTTCGATCGCCTTAATATTCGTAACTCGCTGGCCGTGATACTATGCGACCGGGGCAACGTATTTCAGTTTACAGTTGAGAGTCCAAGGGTGTTATTCCCGAGTCTAAAATGGAATCAACGTACCCTGACAAGTTTGGGTCTCTCCAGATCTCCTCGGCTCTGTACGGGTGTTCCGTAGAATAAATCGTATATCATACAATATCTTCTCCCAGAAACATTCAATGTTGTCTCACTGCCCGACTGCTTCACCGAATCTTCCTGTTGGCCGCGTTTAGCGCATGTGAAGGTCGGCTATGCACATGATGTTCGGTAGCTCCTGCATAACTTTAGTCGTTTAACGATCTAGCCCTCTTTCTATTCGACATCGAAAACATAACTGAGTTTTATATTGCTCAGCAGACCTGATGGTTCGTTGACACGCAGGACCAAGAAAAATGCGGGGAAATGACTGCCGTTCCATACATCCCATAGATTTTATAAATGCAAATGTCAGTGCACTCAACCGAACCCTGCATTTTAAAGTTTGATTCCTTGGAGATTAATTTATACTGCTGTATGAATCCTCAAATATCATGTTAACATAGGCACCGCGTTATGTATTGACACATAATTCCACAGGCATCCATGCTGGAAGATGTCTTGTCCAGAACCCTTTATTAGTGAACTCTCCATTACTACCCCCGGTGGCTGTAAGAATACCTATCAATTTTCATTGGTCCAGTGTTTCAACAATCAAAGTCTATCTCATTGCACAACACTTGCTGACGCTCTTTACCTTCTCAGATATCGATGGCCGCTGGTGCAAGCTTATTGGAAACACGTCCTGTTGTTTTCCCTGTCCCATTACTGACTGGACATATTCGGAAAGTAGGTTATATGCTTATATCTCTTTTTCGGTTAGTTAATTTTTGGTGCTTAAAATCATGCAGACTTTTCTAGCGACATCCAAATTTCCTCTTGGCTAGGACTCTCTGTTTTTGTCCTAGCAATCGCATACTCTATATCTTGTTTGGTTCTCCCAAAACAGGTTACAGGGCATCACTATCTGAATACTGCCCCATTAATAGGATTTATCTTCATGTCGGTGAGTATAGCAGATTGTGCGTGACATTTTTATAAGCAATATAATCTTTCTAATTCCTTGTGGGACGCAACAGGTGGCCTATTGGTTACCTCTCGCAACTAAACCTCAGCAATGCTACGATTCAATAACCCCGCACGACTGGAAATCAGACGTTTCATGTGCCTTCACTAGCACATTCCTACTATTTGGGGTCTGGGTTCTTGTGATTAGTTGTGAGGCCACATTATAGTTGAACACTATATCAACCCTCGACTTACATAACCATTGACAGGTTTCTTCCGCGCCTTGTCATTATATCTCCATCTTCGATGGGAGAAAGAGCTTGGGAAGATGTTCATGGTATTTTCGTTGGTCGTCATCTTTGTTGGTGCGGCAGGGTTGCTCGTGCTTGCGATGACATTGACTGGAGCTTCATATCAGATTGGCTCGATTTGCGTCATCGATATCCAAAGAGGAAAAGGGACTTTTTGGGGACCCTTACTCGCTATTGGCGCTACCACCATATTGCTACAGGTCCTACTGATGTTTTACTGCTTTCGGGTCGTGTTGAAACCGCTGGATATCTTGTCAATGCTGCCGTTTCTTTCAGCTCGAAACAAACGAGCCTCTGTCGTCTCTCAAGAGACCGTGATGACATATACCACTCACATTACCAATTATACAAATCAGACGTCAAATAGTGCGACAGCGCGACAAGCCTCTGCACGAGTTTGGAGAATACTACAGCTACAGTGGAGAGCTGTTTTGAGCGTGCTTCTGATTTTAATACACGTTGCTTTACTGACTCAAATGTTTTTCCAAATTCATCTGTCAGCTTATTATTCGCTCGACAAGTCTATGCCATGGATCCAGTGCCTAATTAGTGCCGGGGCAGCGAACAGAACCAAGTGTTCATCGTATAGCTCTGAATTCGGACCAAGTGAGACGAATGTTGTGGCTTCCATGTGCCTCCTCATTGTGAGTATCATGTCTTTTATTTTGTCTGCCTTGTCCCTTACCAGTAAGCGGAGAGCTGACCTGTCTCTTGCTAAAAGGGAAGCGGCTTCTGGGGTTTCATCTGTGTCATGCGTATATCCATCGTAACTGGATGGTTGGACTGGATGAAAGCGAGGAAAGCCGCCATTATTAACTCTGTCAAGAACTCTGGGCCCCAAAATAATGACCCTGAACGAGCGGAAAGTAGTATGAGCTACTGCACAGATACAAAGGACCCACTAAGCCCCGATTCCGACTCCCGACAAGACAAATGGTTTGAAGATCGTGAGAAATACCCACAGGTTACACACGAGGAAAATAGTATATCTAGGAACTATAAAATCCCCAAGCAGAGCTTTTCAGCCCCTACAAGCCCAATTAGTACCATTAGCATATAAAGGTTCTCAGCAAAAAGTTATTTTTGGACATATATTTTCCATATAAAAAGCCATTCTTTGCGGCTCTGCTGAAGGCCTAATTAGGCTTCGTAGTTCCGTCTTTGAAGACATCATTTCTCTATATATGTAATGCTCTGTAGCACAGAATCCAAAGGTTACACCTTCTCCTGGGACTAGCAGGTATATGAATACGACACAAAAATGTGAAATGTCTTGATTTAGGGAAATTACATACATATATGCAAAAGTCAAGATCAGTTACCAGAATCGCCAGTCGCATTAACCAAGCCTTTGCAGAACATGAGTGCCTTTTGACCGTAGATAGAACACAGCAGTAATGGGTTGAATACTCGGCAACAATTAACATCGGAACGCTTAAAAGAATTTAGACTGTTACAATTTGTATGTACACAGACATTGCAGTTGGTGACATGGTACGTAGGCGCGTCTTGCGGGATTTCAGTGTGCATATGTATGTGAAGGGTAAAGTGTCAAAAATGTGGATTGTGTTCGAATTGACCCCTAGAATAAAAAGCGACCAGCAATTTTTCTAGCCTAATATTGAGAAAAATCCTCGTCCCAGTTACAATCTAACAGGTTGCCCTCCGTTTCCTGAAATAATTACTTATTCGAGAAAATGTTGAAATCTGTCAATTTATGATCGACGGTGCATATTTACTAATTCTTGCATGGACTTTGCCTCAAGATTGAGCCTATCGCGGACCAAGGTACTTACAATTACAAGCTATCTTTTTTACAAGGCCTATAGGATTCACTTCGGACGAGGAATGAGTCAAGTAGTTCGACGATAGATCTAGCCACAACTAAGATATCACTCCTTTGTCCGGTGTTTAGCGACTCCGTACAAAACAATATTCGGCATTCCGATCCCAGTACAGCCACCAAGCCGCCCAAAAGATCATGGCGCATTGGTTTGCGGCATAATCTACCCTTGGCACTATCCCGTGACCATTCGGTAAGATTTGCTTATGAAAGCGAGACACTTTTTCTCGAAAATAATGTTACATAGCAACGAAAGTCGGCGACTTGGACCTAGCAACGTCATTTCGCTTATTATCATCGCTCGGATCCGGGGCTAAATGAGAAGGACATTCGGAATTTTAAGTGGTATGGGTTCCCCGTTCCCGTGCCCCATTGCTTCATCCCCGACCATTTCCCACTGGAGTCTGCTGCTTGTGCCTCTCCGTTCCTGACCGACCGGTTAACCCGAAAGTGGAGTCCCGGGCTGGCCTTTGCCGTCCTCCAGGTTGTGTTTCCGTATTTTAAATTAAGATATTCGTCATGGTCGTGCCTTTATTGGTCGATGAAAGGAGTGCAAACTTTCATCCGTATCCTAATATGCTCATCACTCCATACTTTGCCTCAAAGCTGGCTGCGGGGACCCCAGGTCATCAATGGCCAGCAATTTCATCTCGTCAACAGAGTCGCACTGCCCTGAAAGCTTTGCATTTCCCTGCCGCCATGAAAAAAGCCGCATAATAATCAGTAATCGACGATCATCTCCGCTAATAAAATGATTACTGTCTCGCAGCCATTAGATTTAGAGCCCAATATAATACACCCAAATGATATTACCCTCATGAACACATACTGATCCTAATATAATTCATTAATAAGACGAATGCTGCTATTTGTCCAGCAGGCAAATGGCACTCATCTCGTCCCAGAGGACCGGATTTGCCCAATCGGGGATAGTGCACAGACAGGTCACATGTGGGCTCCACCAGCGAACCTCAAGCTTTGCCATTGGCCAGTTATGTAATTAGTATAGAAGTAGTACTCTGATAAAGAGGCTGCGGAGTATATAGTACATCTTAATAGCAGATGCGAGAAGTAGGATACTAGGAATAGCATTCATTACTCAGTAGTTCGTACTGTCCATCTGATATTGATCAGTACATGGTCAATGCTACGAGGAAACGGACATTGGAGGTTGAGTCAGCACATGAAGAGCGACCATAGCACGTGGTGATTATTTGGTTCTTTCCAGATATGATTTGCTCCGTGCTCAGGAAAACTATGCACAGTATGACCACTCTGTGCACTCGATGCACGTAAAGACTAGACCAGCTTGAGAAGAGAATGGTCTGCAGCTTGCAGTGCCAGAGCCTCGGCCCATTGCATAAATAAAGTACAGTATTTACTTTTCCTCCGACTGATCAGCTGTATAGCTTCTGCATGATCCATCCTCTCCAAATGCAAGATCCTGGCTTTGATTTTTATGGGGCTGGACACGCGAACAATAAAGACAACGCTGTGCACATTATTATTATTGGTCGCACTGTCATTACATGTCAACTATCTGACTATCATACAGATATGGAATATGCAAAGCTACAGCGCCATGACGTAGAGGGCAAATTGTACACACATATGTACAATTATTGATGTAGCAACCAGCTTTCGCGCAGAACCAAGGCAGTGGCCAATAATATCCATAATGATATAAAGCTGATCGGACATGTCGAGCGATTCCAGGAAAGGCTTCAACGCCTATGGGGTGACGGGAACAAATAGCGCGATGGTAGTGCTATTGTAAATACTGAATACTAAATACGGATTAACAAACGCCATATACGTCCGAGGCCAACCAACAACGCCAAGACAAATTGGCACTAAGGGGGAGACAACGTCGATCTTTGACTGTATCCATGCTATTCTCCGTGGCTTCGACCTACAGGCGTACGGCGTACTCTACCTGGAGCGGATTAGCGTGCCTAGTTTTCCCTCTACGTACAGTCCTACGAACTGGCGCTGATTGGGTAAACTCCAAGGATGCCATAGCAAAATTGACGGTTTTAATTTTAGCGCATGGCACGGGCAAGCTGGCTGGCACCGGTGAACTCGTCGGCATCTCGGTGCGAAAGTTGAGCTCGTAATTTGGCCGGGGGGTGGGAAGGGAGCTTGCGCTACTGAATATTGAGTTTGGTAGAGACATGGGGTTGTTGAATTATCATAAAAACAATAATAATACGGTAGTTCGCTCTTCCCGGTTGAGGCGTTTTCTGTTTTGGTTTCCTGGGAACACTCTGCATCGTGTCGGCTTGGTTCCCCACGAGCGCCTGTGCGCCCCCTGTCGAGGCGCAGAGCCCTAGAGCCTGGAAAGGCAATTCCAACATATCTAGAGTCTACTTTATGGCACTTCATAGAAGTAGCCTCGATACCATTGGCACGCTCACAGACGGCGTCTCTTAGTATAGCCCGACTATTCCGGGGTTGGCGATAGTTGAAAAGCTATCGTTCGCTAGTGTCCTAGTGCAAAGTTTCGGGCCTGTTGGTCGCCATCCCGCGGGGAAAAGATTCAACAGAACGGCAATCCGCATCCCGAGGCTCATTTATCGCGAGGAGGGGAGATCGTCCTTCCTACTCCACAATTCACCGCGTTCAGGTAGCATCAGGCTCGCAGCACAGGATCATTATTGCCTCCCCAACCTTCCAAATGTTTTGCGGGGTCAGTGAATGATTTTATTTCGTCTTGTGGGGTCTACGAAAAAATTCGCACGGCAGTGTCCGACACATCCTTTGGTTCCCTGTCCGTGTAAAAAAAGAAGTAGCACTTCCAGCATCGTGTATAGTTAGCACATAGAACACAATTGGGCAACAGACCTGCACTATACGACGTAATTAGTGCTGCCAAAGCCAACAGGAGGGTGCACATAAGTAAAGAAAAGACATCAGTCTGGGCCGCTGTGGAGAGGGGAAAAAATCCGTGTTGCTCAATCTTGTTTACTCCGCACGTCCCATGCCGCTAGTAAGCTGGAAGCTCCACTACGCGATCAGAAGCGAAAGGGGCCTCAGCCCAATTCCTGCAACGCCCTGAGAGTCTGCTTCGGCGAGGTTGATATTGCCCTTGAAATTTCCCCGATTGTATGTGTGTAATCTTTTATCATGGATTAGTTCTTGTAAAAGGAATTGGTGGTAGCCGGCGTCATGTACCGTGCGAAGTGACGTGATATGGCACCCCCCGAATACGCTCCAGAGAACACAAACGAGATATTGATAGATTAATTAGCTTAGCTTTTAGTACCAAGCTCCGTCCATGTTATAATTGTCAGAGTCACATGGCGTCTGGATCCTGCCTCGGTCCATTTGCGCTAGACCTTGTATGAACTGGGTGGAGATGACGACAGAAACAGGGACCACCGCCGATCTCTGATGGGTACGGAGTACCTAGAGGTATATATGGGGAAGTTCCTGTTTTCTGGAGTGTCGAAGAGATCGAAGTAGGGAACCTTTTATCTAGGTGGGCTCTAGCTATACGGACGACGCGCCTTGGTCAACATCCCCGTTACTCCAACGACACTTGTTTTTCCTCGACTCGACACATTAACAAGAAAGCCGAAAAAACAGGTCGCCTTTTATACCTGACCAGCAAAGACAATGCGCTTTCCAGTCCTTGTAACCACCACTCTGGTGGTTGCGACGAATTTGGTTGCAGGATCGCCTGCCGGGCCCCAGAATGCTTCTGCTTCAAGCTCAACTGCGGTACAGGGTCAAGCCAATGCACCCCTAAATGCTGGTCCCAGCGCCGTTCCGGGAGAAACATCGGCTTCGTCGGCCGGTCAAAAACAGCCTGAAGACACAGCTACTGTTGCTGCAGAGACCGCCACCAGCCAACCTGCTCCTGTATCTGTAGCACTTTCCAACACAGCGCCAGCCTTGTCGGCCACAGACACTGCTCCCGGCACCGAAGCTACTAGCACGAATCCCGGAATTTCAATCCCTTCGGTGTCCATCCCTGCTGTCTCTGTTCCATCATCTAGTGCCGGAGGAAGCACGGGCACAACAGTCTCGGCTAGTGCTCCCCAGAGCTCCGTCTCCGACAGCCCTAGTGGAACATCTGCCAAGCAGTCTGCGACGGTCTCGGCAAGTCCTTTCACATTTACGACTGGTGCCTCCAGCAACGGGGATCCATTGGGAGATCTTGGGTCAATTGCAAATCTTTTGGGACAACTGCTCAGCTTCTTGACGAGTAGCTCATTTGAAAACTTCCTCCCCAATTTTATCAACAGTTTCGATTACTTTGCCACTGGCCTCGCTCCTCCAGTTGATACAGATATCAGGACGCTAGTTGGCAACGCCAATACACTGCTGTCTACATCTTTCGTCAACAAGGTCGAGACGCTGATTGATAATGCAAATGATCTCCTTACGACACAGAATACCAAGTCAATCTTGTCCCTAATTGACAACGCCAACAACCTTCTGACTGCTCAGAACACCAAGGAGATTGTTACCCTCATTGGCAACGCCAATAATCTTCTCACTTCTGACTTTGTTAACAAGACCAGCAATCTGATTGACGAGGCCAGTCCGTTGATTACACAAGCCAGCGGTCTTTTGACGGCCAATAACGTGAAAGAAATTGAGAACTTGCTTGGAAGTGCCAACAAGCTACTCACAAATGACTTCATCTCTGAGACCACCAGCTTGATTAACAACGCCGGCCCAGTTCTATCCGAGGCCAAGGGACTACTCACCAGTGATAATGTCAAGGAGATCGAGAGCTTATTGGCTAATGCTAACAGCTTATTGACACCTTCGTTTGTCAAGACCACCAGTGGTCTCATCAACCAAGCCGGTCCTCTTGTATCAGAAGCAAGCGCTCTACTCACCAGTGATAATGTCAAGGAGATCGAGAGCTTGTTGAGCAATGCCAACAGCTTGTTGACGCCCTCGTTTGTCAAGACTACCAGTGGTCTTATCAACCAAGCCGGTCCTCTGGTATCAGAAGCAAGCGCTCTACTCACCAGTGATAATGTCAAGGAAATTGAGAGCTTGTTGAGCAATGCCAACAGCTTGTTGACGCCCTCGTTTGTCAAGACTACCAGTGGTCTCATCAACCAAGCCGGTCCTCTTGTATCAGAAGCAAGCGCTCTACTCACCAGTGATAATGTCAAGGAAATTGAGAGCTTGTTAACCAATGCCAACAGCTTGTTGACTCCTGCCTTCGTCAACACTACCAGCGGTCTTATCAACCAGGCTGGCCCTCTTGTCTCAGAGGCTAGTGAATTGCTTGGTGGTGGTAATGTCAAGGAGATCGAAAATCTCGTCTCCAATGCTAATACTTTGTTGACGCCATCGTTTATCAAGGAGACTAGCAACCTTATCAACAGCGCTGGCCCTATCATCCAGGAAGCTGGCCAGCTTCTTGGAGGTAACAATGTTAAGGAGATTGAGAGCTTAATCAGCAATGCGAACACCTTGTTGACGCCTTCTTTCATTAACACTACGAGCGGCCTCATCAACCAAGCCGGCCCTCTGGTCTCGGAGGCCAGTGAATTGCTTGGCAATGGTAATGTGAAGGAGATTGAAAGTCTGCTCTCCAATGCCAATGACTTGCTTACTCCAGCCTTCGTCAAGGCGACAGCAAACCTTATCAGCCAAGCTGGTCCTCTCATCACTGAAGCCAGTGAGCTCCTTGGAGGTAACGCTGTTGAAGAAATCCAGTGGCTCGTTACTAACGCCACCTCGCTATTGACACCGCGGTTCGTCAACGAGACCTCTGGCCTTATAAACGACGTCAATGGCCTGTTGTCTCCTTCCCTCCTCAGCATGATTGATGATCTTGTGAAGACCATCATTCCTCTTGAGCCTTCATTAAAGGGACTGTTGACCAAGACCACGGTCGATGACCTCGGATCTATTGTTACAAACGCCAACGATCTGCTTACTCACCAATTCGTGAACGAGACGACAACTCTGATATCTGATGTTAGTGAATTCTTACCTCTACTTCAGAGTTTGTTGAACGCCTTGTAAGGAGCTGGTATGATGTATAATGCCTTCTTCCTATGATTATAATTTTTATGCCTTAATGATAATTTCTCCCATGTTTCAGCACCTATGTCATGAAAAGGAAAGTTTATCTCAGGTACGATTAATATGACTATTGTTTCATGATGTTTTAGTAGTACGTAGTGAAATACTATGGACTGGTTAAAGCTGTAACATATTTTATAAGCGAGAGACATTTTTTCCACCTCTTAAACTGATTTTCGTGAAAATTTATCACCCAACGCTAATAAATTGCTTAAATTTCTATGTAGGTCTGGTCGGGCAGTACGTCCGAATATGCCCTACTAATTTACAATTAGAACAGGTAGGTAAAGCGCGCCGACGCCCTTCTAATGCTTCCAGATTCGGAATTTGTGAAGCTTCTGGATGTGCCAACGCCGCTGCAGTTATTTCTTGGGCCTCAGAAACGCCCATAGCCCTTGGCATATTGAGAACCCGACCCTTTATCGTACGCTTTGTCTTTTGACGCTGAATCGCTACGCGTAGATCGTACCTTTCCTTCAATAAAATAGCGTTCAGTTGTAATGCAGTTGTGTAACCTTTGATCAGACAGTCGAAAAGGTGTTTAGTCGGCGAAGGAGGCATGTTTGAGACTTCTCTTTGAGTGCGCTTTATTGTAGTTGACTGCCGATTCAGTTCTTCTATTTTATGTAGGTAGTCAAAATATTCGGTAATTAATACCGGATCCTCATATTGAGCGCGTTTGTAGTTATATTTGCGAAGAAATCGGGAGTTAAGATCGGTTTGGCGCCTCAAGTAGTTTGACACCCAATTCCTACCCACGGTAACTGGAGTTGGGGTCTCTTCGCGTTTCGACAGTAACAGATTGGCCATAGTCCGAATCATGGAAGGGCGAACTGGGCAGCCTCTTGATTCCATACTGAGTATCCATTCACGAAGCGATATCTCTTCAGGAGCGGTCAATATTGAACAATTTGGGCGCGTTCGAGCGCGCTCAGAGCGACCCTTGATTCGCATTCGAAGCGTAGTTATTGAGACATCAAAAACGTGCGCTGCACGGCGCAGACTTGGGATTTTTTTGTTTTTTAACGCGTCAATAGCAAGAGCAAGCCTGCTTTCATAATTATCATCGTTTTTTGTAGCGTTTTTAGGCATGTTGGTATGGTTTGGGGATTTTGAAGAATAAGTAGTTGATAAATTTGGGGAGAAAATGGTTGTTTACTTTCCCCTGCATTAACTTAATGTAACACTAAGATAACCTAGTGGGAGTGCTGAGTCATCCCATATTACACGCTGCATGTTATGCCGCCTATCAGGTTCACTCGATCGTATCCAAAGCTTCGCATTAAAGGTTCAGAGTTTTTATTATAATGTTCTGGTGTTATGACATCAATCAACTTATCCGGAAGTATAATCATCCAGGGCTTCGCCATGAATTTTTTCGGGCGCAGATTTTTAAACTGAATTACATATAAGATTATAAATAATCATGATCATACTATGAGTCTTATCCTGGCACTGGAGGACAATATGGAAGAACTGCACTAAACGTTACATATGTCGGATAAGAGAGATCGTGCGTGGCAGTTTCTGGATTAGCCTCGCCCACCCCATCCACAAGCCGCCTGGGCCCGCCCTGCTAATCACCAATTTCGCAGCATAATTATCCGTGGTGATTCTGGATTATTAGATTGTCTGGCGACCCCAGGAACCTAGGAACTGTTAACTTTATACAATGGAGGGTGACGGTGTCAAGACTTAAGAGACCAACCGACTCGACAGCGCAGGCTGTTGACCCCAGGGGCAGGTGAAATATGATTATAAGGAGATCTGGCTAAGGTAAAGTTCTATTTCCGGTCCTGTCTTCTCTTCCCACCCTTAAAAGACACAGAAAAAGATACTGGAATATCCCTCAATGTTCTTGCTTGCTAGAAGATCCATCGCTTTTCGAGCCCAACAATATCACTTGTTTCCAACTACCGTCTCTTTCCTTACGCAGAATGGCAAGAAGGAGTCTGGCTAAAGAGGAAACACAGGAATGTCAACAGAGGAGAGGCTGTAATAATGATAATTGACTATTAACCGCGTTTTGGCTTACTGAAAGCCAGAAGATATGATGGTCAAATGTTATGATACACAGTGGAAGGACGGGTTGATATAGGTTCTCTGCATTCCTAATACCTGGGGGGTCTTGATTGTGCGATATACTGCTAGGTCCGAGCTGTGAGACGCAACTGCTGGATGATGTATGGGGTTAGTATCAAGCTGCATTGAATTTATCATATTCATGAAACTCAACACTTGCTGTTTCATCCATTTTTGGCTAATAAGGATAAAGCAAAAGCAGAAAGTGAGCTCTGCAACTGTGAAGACTTGAGTTCCTGAGGCGAAGAACTTGCTCTCCTCAGTACCCTAGGCGGCTCGGAGCTTGGCAGCTCTGAGATTAGGTACGGTTATACCCTCGAAAGATACCGTGGGTGTGGAACTCGTGCGTGCATACCGAAACAGTATCACTATCAGACCGGAAGCCGGAAAATATCTGTACCGATGCACGCCTTCCAAGGATCTCTTATGCCCAATTTTTGAGCATTGGCGACATTTTCCGAGACAGAAAAAGTACCTCAATTATTAAAGTATTGCAATAAGGCGACTCGTTTTGGCCAATACTGATTGCTAGCTATAGCAAGTATCAATCTTAAGGATTTGAAGGGACGTTACCTTACCTTCTACGTGTTTAAGAGCATACCTCCAGATATATCCTGACTTCCGTATTTCCATGAAATCCTGACCTATATGCCTCTGGCACTATGGATGGTGGCGTGGCGTTTCGGCCGAGGCATGGCTGGTGGTCCCTCGGAATCTAATTATCTGGAGTACTTTAGTGTTGTATCCTGTCGAATACTTTCTGCTAGTGTGCACTTGAAAAGTGGACTACACAATCCACCAAATTTACTAACGGTCAGCAATATGCACCCATTTGCCTTTCTCGTTGCTGCGTCTTTGGGCGTGGCAACTCATGTCTTCCACTTTCATGAAGGCGAGCATCACTTGCATCCTCAACGATATATTCAAGTTGTTCTACTTTTGTTCCTCTCAGGCGCTGCATATATCAAGTACCTTGAGCCATGCATAGCAATCACGGCTGCCGCTCTGTTCTCGGTCAAGCTGCTGAGTATCTACCTCTCAGGCATCTACCTAAGCTTGGTGATATACCGACTTTTCTTCAACCCCTTGAACAAATTCCCAGGCCACTTCTTAGCGAGATTGACGGCATTCCATCATGTCTTCCAAGTCGCCCCAAAGAAAGACATGTACCGAAAACTGTACGACTCCCATCAACGACTAGGCAATTTCGTCCGCACTGGCCCTAACGACCTCTCTGTCGCCGATGCCGACGTTGTCCGCGTTGCATTTGCACCACAATCTGTCTGCACAAAAGCCCCCTGGTACTCTATTGAACTCCCTGCGTACTCCCTGCATACAACTCGCTCCCACACGCAACACAACAAACGCCGCCGTATCTGGAGCCCCGCCTTCAGCGACAAAGCCCTCCGCAGCTACGAACAGCGAGTGCTCAAATATAACAAAATCCTGATCGACCAGCTCGCCACCTTCTCCGGCAAACCGGTTGACATGTCAAAATGGTTCAGCTTGTGGAGTTTCGACGTGATGGGCGACCTCGCCTTCGGACGGTCCTTCAACATGCTGAACTCCGCGGACGGGCACTGGGCCATTAAACTCCTCAACGAAGGCCAGGACATGGTCGGTTTCGCTTTCCCCACCTGGTTCACTCGCTTGTTGTGGCATACTCCCGGGGCACAGGCATCCTATAGACGGTTTATGAAATTCTGCGCAGAGCGGATCGAGGAACGGATGGCGGTGCAGGGGAAGCAGCTAGACCCTGATATCACGCATTATCTGATTGAGGACTTTAATGCACAGAGTAAGGAAGAACAGAAGAGGGCCTTGCATTCGCTTCATCTCGATAGCAGGTTGATTATTGTTGCGGGGAGCGATACAACCGCTGCAACGCTGACGTACATGTTTTACCATATCGCTGCGGAGAATGGGCTTCTTTCTCGTTTGCGGCAGGAAGTCGAACCGGCTATCGGTAGTGATGGGACGATTGAACATAAAGCGCTACAGGCTTCTACTCTTCTAAATGGATGCATCAATGAGACCCTACGTCTGCATCCACCTGTACCCAGTGGACTCTACCGCAAGACTCCCCCAGAGGGTGTATATGTGGGAAAAGAATTCATCCCAGGAAACACAGTTATACAAGCGCATCTCTACTCAATTGGCCACAGTAAGCCCAAACCAACCAATCCCGCAAGTAAAATCTTAACACTAATGATAAAATGAAAGGCGAATCCCACTTCGTCCAAGCAGACGCATTCATCCCGGAGCGCTTCTCCTCTCGCCCTGAATTGATCAAACATAAAGACGCCTTCGCTCCGTTTTCGATGGGTCCCTATGGCTGCATTGGTAAAGCCCTGGCTTATATGGAGATCCGGATGCTAACTGCGTATTTGATTACGGAGTTTGATATATCGTTTGCCCCGGGCGAGGATGGGAGAGATCTACTGTCGAAAACTGTAGATCATTTCACAGTTAGCCTTGGGCCGCTGAATTTGTGTTTTGCTAGGAGGAGGTGATCTCTATCTAGGACTGATATCTTACATTGATATCATGTTCATACATGGATGCCGCGCTAGTTTTGCACTTGTGCCATAAATGCTGATTCCTGGTAAAGTGTAAAAAAAGCGAAGGTGAGAGTGTGATTGGATTGTAGCTTTTGAACCCCACATCTGCCCCACGTAGATCAAGCTCCTTCAACTAGTCTCGGGAGAGAGTTGGTGTGTCACGATCTCAACGAGATATTGTCTCCATCCCCGTTATAACAACTCGCTATGGTCCATGACAAATTGAGTTTTAGACCGGATGCGTAACAAAAGCAGACTTACATGATTACTGGTCATGATTGCCGATCATTAAGTTTTCCTCTACGTAGTTAATGCACAAATTCGAATCGACTGATATATTCCTAATAGGGTACCTACTGGGTGAACCTGAGGATGCCTTTCATACCGTATTCTTGGTATGTTTTCCGGCTTTCACCTGAGGCATCGAAATTCATGATCCAGATGTCTCTGTGAGCTGGAGACACCAAATTACACTCCTAGTTAATCTTGGGTTCTGGGTCGTCTGTCCATATTGTATCGGATATGGACAGTTCGTAAGTTCAATACGCCATATAGGTTCACTTGACAGTCGGCTTATATAATAGGGATTTGGGTCCGTTGTTCCATAAGCGTTCGTCCCATGCGGACGACTTTGTCTGCCTGCAAAGCAGCTGGGTTGCAAGAATCTCGTCATCGGTGGCCATTACGGAAGAGCCAAGCGATAGGTTGGGATTCTGGTCACATCGAAACTAAACCAAATCGTGGCGCACCAGGGGTGCCTTAATCGCATCACGCTGTGCGCTCTACCATCCAACATCTCTTACCCACCTGATGCTGTTCACGGTCCCTTATTTCTCCCCATCTCCCATGTGGGTAGAGACCGCAGACCATGCCAAGGCCATCAATACAGTGACATACAAACTAAAGTTCGGAAGCGAGGACCATGTAGACGAGTCTCGTATTCAAGACGAAGGAGTCCATAGTTTTCTGAATGCAATGCACAATGATACATCTACTGGGGGAAAGTTGGCTAGGGAGACCACTTGTGGGATTGATTTCGATCTCGTTTCCCAAGTTGCCCAATGCGAAACTTCTCAGTGAGGATGAGCTGCAGTATTACGCTAGTGGATTCGCAAGAAAAGGCTTTGGGAGTCCATGTATGTTGCTACATAAGAACAGGGAACGGAGGCTAACACCGATTACCTCGGGCAATTATTATTGAACCGCGAGGGAGAGTTCATGGACGTATAGGTGCTCTAGGCTCAAAGGGTAGAAACTATTGCAACCAACCAACAGACTCTGTTAATACCTAGCCATATCTTGATGGCACCGTTTGGTAGGTTTTACGTGTTTTATCAAAGCAAACATCGTGGTCAGCCCACATATAATTCGATCGGGAAAGTCCGCTCAACATACAACCAGAAGAGAACTTGTATATTTATTAAGAGATCAATTGCACACGTATAAACCAATGAACGCAGCTGAGAGAGACGAAAAATTTCACAAAGAAATAGAATGAGTTACAACACTGGGTCACAAAGCGCGGCACCTTTTAAAGAACATCGCTGAAACAAAATGCCTTTCTCTCCTCCTCGTTCCTAGCTAAGGTACTGACCGTCCACTCCCACAAATCTTCCTGCTTGATACGATCATAACTAGCTTTGCTAGTCTTTATTTGTGCCTTTCCCTCATAATAGAGACCGCTTTTACTCTCAAGCTCGGGGCCAATTGTTAGCCATGCCAAAGCCTCGCCAGAGTCTTCTGGAGAGTGGATATTGGGCGACAACATCAAGCGTAATAGAGGGAGTGCTTTAGGCAGAATTCGGTGCCACAGGAATCTCTCAAAAAGATTAGCATCTCTTGCGAGTCCTGTTCCAGGCATGAGGCCAGGATCGAATGCATTCACTGTCCAATGCTTCGTCGTCTTCTCGTTGATGGAGGCGAATCGCCTGTGCAAAGAGTATGTATACAGTACGTTGGCTAGTTTTGTGCTAGTGTACCGCTGCCGACCTGCATTCTTGGCCGAATCCGCGGTTGGGTGAGCTAGCTCTTCGGCGGAATGATATTTGGCATCGGGCATGCCTGACTTCTGAGCCGGGTCGTGTGTTCCACTTGAGACAATAACCACGCGGGCGGTATCCGCCAAATGGGGCTGCAGAAGGCAGAGCAGTAATGCATGTCCCAGGTGGCTGATGGCAAACGTTTTTTCATAGCCATCCTCAGTATACTGGACATCACCGGGAAGCTGTAATGCTGCATTTAATACCAGTGCGCGTATTAGTGGGAATTTAGACTCTTCCCAGTCTTGTGCAAACGAGCGAACATTGCCGAGGCTGGACAGGTCCAGACGAAGAAACTTGACGTTTTCGTGGCCGAGAAGCTTGTTTGCAGTGGCAGCTGAGGCATTAGAATCGAACCGTGAGGCAATGACAATTTGATATTCAGGGTGTTTGCGAGCAACATTAAGAGCACAGTGGTAGCCCAGGCCGGCAGTTCCACCTGTGATGAGGACACTGCGTTGAAATCTGCTTGACATTGAGAAGACTGGGACACTCAACAAAATTGAGTGATTAGACAGAAGCTTGAGGCACGTATTCTCGAGTATCAGGACAATGTCAGTTTAATATTATCACCAATCTCTAGAATTCAGCTGGCAGGCAGGTTTATATACTCTAGCCGCAATGCCCGGTGGGGGGTCGCCGGACGGACTTAGGAGATAGGAAATCAGACTCATCTTCATGGAAACATGGTAGAAGAAGAATTCAGCCAGTAGACTCGAAGTATTCGTTGACAAAACGCAGCTTTTCCATTCTATAGTAAAAGCGACGCTCCTGTTCGGGTTAGCGCAGAACCGTACCGCCGGCTCCACTGCAGTACCGCACCCAATTGGTCTATTGAAAGTGACGCTCCGGTTCCGGTTAGCTTCCCTGCGGTGTCGCTCTTCTGCTCGATCCGAGCCACTGCCAGGCACGGGACGCTGTTTCTTGAGGCTGTCCATGAAGCATGGGTGTCACTGCCATCGGCCCTACGTGTCTCCCCCACGAGCTATTCCACTACTCCCCAGTCCACGAGGTCCTGATCTGCACCTCCTGCCACTATGCTGTGCAGCCAGCAGCTATTTCGCGTCATCTCAAAGAAATCCATCGCATTTACCGCGGCTTCCGACGCCCCTTCATTGCGTATGCAAGCAGGTTCTCTTTAAAGAGACCGGAAAGCGTCTCACCGCCGCGTGCTCCAGACTTTCCCGTACCACTCTTGTCTGTGGAACAGGGATGGCAATGCGAAGCCCCACGCTGTGGCTATCTCTGCGTTTCGCTCAAGCGGATGCAGAGCCACTGGCCAGCCCAACACTCGCGCAAAGGCGACCCTTCTCGAGACTGGACGGCTGTTCCCCTGCAGTCCTTTTTCCGGGGTAACTTCCTGCGTTATTTTACCTGGCCGTGTACCTCTGACCACCAGGAGACTGCTACCCCATTGACCAGGCAGCTTGGTTATGGCTGCAGCACAAGTTCATCATTCTTATCTGTAGAGAAGATGCAGAAAAAATACAAGTTGCATCAAACGGATGTGGCCATCCTGGAGCATTACTTCGATGATGCTTATAAGAGCTTTGTAACCAATGTACAGACGAAAAGAATCTGGCTCAATGTCGTCCCAAAACTTGCATATGAGTCTTCGTTTCTGCTTCATGGTGTTCTTGCCTGTACGGCCCTACATCTAGCCCATATTCACCCTCCCCGTCGACAATACTACAACTTCCTTGCATGTGCTCACCAGGATATTGCTCTGCCTTTGTTTCGCTCCGCTATTGATTATCCGACTGAGGATAATTGCGATGCTATTGTCACATTTGCCTATTTGCTGGTTGTTTACTCCTTTGCAACTGACTCAGATGTCTCAAACCAGTCGCTACTGCTCGTTGACGATCACAACGACGGCGAGAGTGGGAAACGTCTGATAATCCCGCAGTGGCTACACTTCATTCGTGTGGGCTGTTCAATGTTATGTAACGTTTGGGACAGGGTTGAATCTGGGCCTGTCAGCGCTTTAGCAGCTGCGTGGGACATCGAACTGGGTCTTTACGACACTGACCTCCCTTATTTAGAGCATTTTCTTTCATTTATCCCTAACGACTCGTCCTGGTCGTCGGAAATTGTTTCAATATATCGCAATGCTGCCATTTCCCTGGCTCAGTCGCTTGCCTACACGAACACTGAAGGCATGGCATCTTTTGTTACGACGTGGAATATCCTTGGCTCATGGCCAATGCGGATTGAGTCAGAGTATATGGACCTTTTGTACGAGCGCCACCCTGGTGCATTGTTATTGCTTGCTCATTATTGCATTATATTGAAAAGGCTAGAAAAATGCTGGTATTTCGAGGGCAGAGCGGTGAGGCTTATGACCTCTATTATGAGCTTACTGGATGATGGCTGGCATCCTTTCATCCAGGACGTAATCGACAGCGTTCTCGGTCAAGTTGAACAAACACAGACATCATTAATTTCTGGCAAAACCAACAAGCATAATTGATTAATCAACTGAAACCCGAGCTTCCGTGACTGTCAAGGAAAAGAACTGCAAACAGGCGAATTTTGAGAAGATCGTACCACCTAAATTTGGTCTCTCTTTCGGGCTGATATTAGGCTGCCAGTGTTAGACCGACGGCCATGACGTATTAGGGCTGAGGGTGCAAAAATTACAATGATATTGTTAAGAATGTTCGCAGCGAATTACGCTTCAACTCCATACCGAAATCGTCCAAATTCGTAAACCATAAAATCAATCGCTACTAAAATAAACCCGGGGTTCTCGGGGAACCGGTGTGCATCGCTTTTCGACATTGCTTTATGACAACAAGCTAAAGAAAGAAATTCAATCTCTCGAAATACACTCAGACTTGTCTGAGATTATCAGTTGCAATTGCATCATGGTGGGGCAGTACTTCATGCTAACAGGAGGCTAATGATTTAGCAGGCAAAGTCGGGGTGGGACTGAAGTCTAAACGAAGTTCAGCAACTGCTTTTCTGGACACCGCTTGTTTCTTTTCTTGCAAGCGCAGTTCTTGACTTATAAACCCAGTGAAATTCCCAATGCAGGCATAGAACTATTACCAAACATGGCCGTTGATGCACAAAGTGACAAATCTTCAGCCAAAGTGGCTATTATTGGGGCGGGGCTGACTGGCTTGCTGGTTGCACACGGCCTAACGAAGGTAAGTCTAGCATCTCACCTGTTACCTGGGACATCTAAACACAACATGCCAATTGAGCCCAAAACACTGACATAAGCTGTGAATCAATCGTGTTACTAGTAAAGAACGGTTTCAAGGTGTCTGTTTTTGACAGTGAAACCAGCATTGATACTCGCCTCCGCGACTGGACCATCCTTCTACACTGGGCTATGCCGACATTCGAGAAATTGCTACCAGAAGAGGTTATAAAGGCGCTTCCAGGGGCAATCTGCAATCCCCATCTCACATTCAACGATGAAGTCGAGTGCTTACCCTGCTACAATGGTATCACGGGCGACATTCTTTTCAAGAGCCCGCTTCCTGGGTCACGGCGGGTATCCCGTCAACGACTACGTAGAGTGCTTGCACAAGGGCTAGACATCAAATGGGGGAAAACCCTTAGCAACATATCGTTTCCATTCGATGATGTCGATCAGAGTGGCAATCCTGCAAGATCCCCAGTGCAGCTAACGTTCGCAGACGGGCAGTCGGAATTAGCAGATTATGCTCTCGGAACGGATGGCGCATCATCCAAAGTACGCCAGCTCCTTTTGTGCGATAAAGACGCCGAACCTCAATTATCTGGTTTTATGTTTGCAACGGGTATCACTGAATACCGTGACGCGTCAAAGGTTGAAGCAGTGGTTAAGGCGCATCCTGTTGCGGCGATTACGTTGGGAATGGAAGCCGTGGCAGGCTGTGGTGGTACGTTTAATCTTTTCCCACGCCTATAAAGTCGCAAATCCGATGGCTGAACTATGTCGCATTAACAGTACTGTCCGTCGAAGATGAACAGGACATGAGTACATGGACAACATTCTGGACCAAAATCTGGCGTGGAAGCTTGGCCGATCTGCCCAAGATAGACAATACCGTGGAATATATCAAACAAACAACAGAGGGTCTGTGTGAGCCGTTTCAGTCCATTATTAATTGGACTCCGCCTGATAGCGAATGCTATATCGATGAGATGAAGTATTGGATTCCAGTTCCATACGACAACTACGCCGGAAGGGTGACTCTAGCCGGAGATGCAGCTCACCCGATGTTAATTTGTAGGTATTAATGACACATTTGTATTGATATGTTAAAGTGCCAAACTTGTGCGATTTGAGACTGGGCTGATGATCATTAAAAATAAAGACCGCGGCCAGGGATTCCAGCACGCCATTACCGATGCCAGCAACTATGTCGATGCCCTTCTCAAAGTCAAAGACTCAAATGAGGGAGCCTTGGGATATAAAACCGAGATAATGAGTGCATATGATACGGAAATGATTGAGAGAACAGCCAAGGCAGTCAAGCAGTCTCTTCAAGAAGCTGAGCTTAGCATGAACCTTGAGACGGTAGGAAAGATGCTCATGGCACGACAGGGCCACGGGCGATCCGCCTAGCCGCGAGAATCGGGGTTATGAATAGATCGCATGCTTTGTCCGTATATTTTCGGTATTATGGCGATTAGAAACACCTGTTCTTTTCTTTGCTAAAACATCCGTGGTCTAGACCCTATTTTGTAAGCATGTTCGGCGGCGCCTGCATGATAAAATAACAACACGGACCAATAATATTTGCATAATTAACTCTCAGATAGTAGCGTTGAAGGTGCTAACCCAGGCTGCTACGGAGTACAGCGCTTAATAATGGCTTAATAGATATTTGTGACGTATCACATCCACTCAATATCTGACATTATTGTGGGTGTTAACCCCGATCACGAGATATTGTCCGTACTCTGTAGTGTCGTCTTTCATGTGTAGCGACTCAGTAATGATCGAGTAGCGAGTCAATGCCCACCCTGTCAGTCCTATTCGCACTTACGAACCCTGACTCGGCTGATTTGTGTCTCGTCAAGGTGCATGCACTCACACACTTAAGGGCTATGTTAAGGCACGCCGAGTCCGCGTCAGGTGGGTCCCATGCGCGGGAATCGCTAGGATACAGGTTATTGAGTGGCCGGGGAAGCTTGATACGATGACTAGTGCATTTATTAGAGCGTACACGGCTCGGCTCGGGGAGGCACAGTGGAACATCAGCATTACTGAGCAAGCATTAATGGGCAGTGGAAACCAGCATGCTACATCCAAGTTCCAGCAGTTTCCATTTCCAACATGCCTAGGATTTCCTTATCGCGGGAGCCGGCGTGGAGAGGTTGGAAACCAGTGGTGTGATAGGAGCTGAGATATGAGCTGAGCTCCTATCTGCCAGGTGAAAATAGTTGTACGACTACACGGTATAGAGCATCATGTGGGGGGGCTGTGGCGCACAACCCTTGCCCTTGGGTCTTTCCCCTCCATTTCGACCGCTCGTCCTGTCGCTAAGCTCTAGCAATGTTGCCGGGGATCTTGCTATTGGCACTCGGCGCCACTTGCAGTGGGTTCAGGGTTTGCAGCAAGGTAGCCGGTATTATTAAGGGGACTGTGTCAAGCCTCGGAATTTAGAAACCATGTTTCTCAGCTGTGTCTTTCACTCACTGGTTCTTTATCCGACGGAAGATTTGCTCTACCATCGCAAGGAACACAAACCGTCGTTTTATGGTCTATATTATGGGTGCTACGGATGCAGCAACAGCCCCCGTAGCAGTCACAACGGCCAAGCCTACTGACCCTGCTGACAGTACAGCAGCAACAGCGGGCTCGGTGGCATTAGAAGCCGTTGTCTCCACGCCAATCGAACCCGCCAGTGAACCTGGCGAGGAAGACGAATTCGACGTCAACGAAGGCTGGGAGACAAGGTCGGACGGATCCGCGAGTGCGATTTCGACTATTTACGCGCATACCTACGAGCACGGCCGTCGCTATCAGTGCTTTAAGAATGGCCGGTACCCAATCCCCAACGACGACAACGAGCAGGACAGAGAGGACATGAAACATGCCATGATGCTGGAACTGATGGACGGGGAGCTGTTCCACGCGCCTATTGGCGATAGTCCTCAGAACATTTTGGATATTGGCACCGGAACGGGTGGGCAGAATCCTCGAGCCCAAGAAAATTTACATAGAAAAGGTCACTGACATGTTTGTCTCTGCGTAACAGGGATATGGGCTATTGATGGTTAGTCATCCCAAGTTATGACACGATTTCAAAAATTCAGCCCCTCTTACGAAGCTCAATGGGTAACATTGTTAATACCAGCTGGTGACCGATATCCGAGCGCTCATGTGCGTGGTATCGATCTATCTCCCATCCAGCCAACCTGGGTCCCTCCAAATGTCGATTTCTTGATTGACGATTGCGAAAAGGACTGGTTGGCAACTGATTGTGATTTCGTTCACTTTAGATTCATGGTCATTATTCTGAAAGACGTCCAAACGGTCTTACAACACGCTTACGAGTGGGTGACCCTAAATCTTCCCCGTTTTCCCTTCCATCGGTCTTCTCTGAAGTGCCTCCCTTGAGGATTACTGATTCGGATTTTGCTTTATTAAGGAGCTTGAGACCCGAAGGATGGATCGAGCTGCAGGAACTCAACGCACAGCCTATGTGCGACGACAACACAATGCGCGACGATGATCCCGTTAAACATATGTACGATTTGGCTGGACAGGCTTTCGGAAAATTCGGTATGAATGTCACTCTTCCTAAACATTTGGAGCCTATGCTCCTTGAAGCTGGATTCCAGAATATTCGGTGTATCGTCAAAAAGGTTCCGATCGGCGTGTGGGCGAAGAACAAAACTCTCCGACTTATTGGCCTTTACCAGAAAATAGCTGTGCTCGATTTGATGCCTGCTTTGGCTGGGCGACCTTTTGAGGCTCTGGGATTGTCGCAAGCGGAAAGTCAAGTGACCCTTGCCTTTGCTAGAAAGGCTCTGGAGGACTCCAAAGTCCATCGGTATTTCAACTACTACTTTTGGATTGCCCAGAAGCCAAGTGGTTGAAGCTTCTTGTCGATGTATTAAAATCCTACATTTAATTATCCTTTTTGAGATGCGGCCGTGCTTGCTGGTATGTATTTCAACGATTTTCATTTGCAGTGACAAGTACGAAATTTATGTGTCAATACTTTATACACTTCAGGCATGGGATCCGAGAAGGCTTGTCGAAGTATACGCCATTTGAAAGGATTTATAAGATGATGCTTCAAACACGTTGTACTTCGGCCGATTTGAAGCCACAGGGTCCAGCCCCGTCCTGAGCGGTCCAAGAATACGTTCTTCAATTTATCCACAAGATCCCTTGTGGCGATCCTTGGTAGTATGTGGAGTATTTGCTCAGAGCCCATGCCATGTACTTTGCTGGCCTGAAATCGCCTTGACAGCAGCCTTAAATGACATTAGATTCATTCACAGGCTGAAGGAAAGGAACAAAGATTCAGAAATTGACAGAAACAATATTTACCGTTTTTGAGAAAGTCAAAAGTTTCCTCGCTCTTGGCTGGCACGTACTCGCTTGGCGATGAGTGTGAATCTGTCATTCCTCTGTCACAAAAGAACAAGATCATGAAGTTCATCCTGTACATATGTGGACGAGGCTTTTCAGATGTTCTTGCTAATTATTCGCGTTTCTTGTGTGTATTTAGATATTCAGGCAGTAAAAGCAGTTTAACATCAGTAGCAATTGGTCGCTAGACCAAGAATTGATTATCTTCAGTGTTAATCTAGAAAGAATACATGCATCAATTGAAAGCTCGTGTGATTAACCAATGCTACTGGTCAAATGTTAGTTCTTTGGATCGAAGAAACCTATCTGAGACATGAACATTGAGTGATTGATCATCTATCCAGTCAATTCGAAACTCGCACACGGATATTCTTTGAGCCTGGTAATATATCAATGATAACAGACATTTACACATGTCGCTCAAATGCTTCGATCTGTATTAAATGCCCATGCGGTTGAAATACAGGACGTTCAACGCAGCCATCAGCTGGTCATATGAGCCAAGTAACTGAGTGGCAACCATGGCCCCCCATTCTTATAAAATTGAGTGTGACCAGGTTCGCTTCGAGTGCGCTAGAAACACGTTCCACTTAAAATGCATATGAGAATCATAGATGCATATCATTACCTAACGATAGTATATTGTATCTGCTTCTGATTTACCATCTAAGGATTGTCACATATAGCTTGATATGTAAGTGCTCATTGAATAGATTTAAATTCAATATCCACTACGGCTGTCGCTGCTGGAAAAGGAATGTCGATATGCATTTTCCGTTTTCTCATTTCCTCTTGACCAATAGTCAAGAAGAATTCCCTTTTGGTAGTGTCAACTGTCGGATACGCATACGTAAGGCGGACGTTTTTAGGCACATCAGAAGATTTCGTGATTTGATGATCTTGCTGCTCTAGATTCATGTCCGAGACGATTGTTGTTAAAGATAAAATGCTGTCGTGATAGTCAGAACTAAGCCTGGAAGCCGCAGCTTCTTCTATAGCGATGACCTTCTCGGCAGCCATTGCACTGACGTGGCTATTGAAGACGCCTTCTTGACGGGACACTGAACGCAGAATATGAACAGCTTTGCGACGGATGATTGGGTCGCGACAAAGAACGGCAGTGTCGTAGAGCGGTGCGATTATGCCATTATCGAGAGTAAAGGACGGCTTGAGATAAAATCCTTCGCCTTTCTCTAACAGATTTGTCGAGAATGTAGAATCCGTGTCAAATCTAGTCCCGGCTATTGACGCAGCTAATGATATGATTCCCTCAAATAATGAATTATACTGGTCCCAATTAAATGAGTTGGAATTCTCAGACTGGCCGGACGCGAGTGTTATAATTGTTTGGAGTCGATACATTCGTAAGATCTTTAGGCCCACCTGCTCTTTTGTAGTCAAGTTATGCCCCCGGGACTGTTCGAATCGGTCTAGAGCTGCTGTCCACTTATTAATTATCAATGTGTACTTCTGAATTAGATAATCCGAAACATGGGCTGCTTTGGCCGATGATAACTTGCCCACGGCAATGTGATACTCATGTGAGCATAGGCAACCGTAATTCTCGAAAATGTCGCGAGCTTCAGCGATAGAGGAAAAACATTCTGGTATTTCTATCTGGACAAGACTGGGCTGCTCTATGATGTTATAAAGTGGCTTATCGGTTTCTATACGAGTCTATGGAGCCGTTAGTACCTTCATTGAGGTAATGAACACTTGCTGGTGACCTACTAAAGTTAATGTTTGACTTTGAAGACGAAAAAACATGCTTCGCAAAGTCTCCATTTCTAACTTCGTCACTGTGGATGGTTTAAGGAGAGGATGTCGATATGTGCCGGAGCGCGGATCGTAATATGCCTCTCTAAGAATCTTCATGCCACTGCGGATATGATTGATGGCGGACACATAGTGTCCTGAAAGAATCTATATGGCCTTTATAAGCCATGCTTTACACAAAGAATCGTGGGATTTACCTCGAAACAAACGAATAAGATGCAAGAAACCAAGCACACATCCACGGTCAGATTCATAGCAGAACTCGTAAATGCAGGAGTAGAAGGATTAAAATCCAAATTATCCGACACATTAAGAAGAGCTCGTATTGCAGCTACGTACTCTTGTATCGCAAAGGAATCTTGAGTCTGCCGAATGAGCTGCGTTGCTGGACCGTCTTCGTTCTTTTCAAAATTCTCATGTAACGCGCCTAGCGCCACCAAAGCATGCCACACAGACTTCTCATGTTGACTGACTTGTAACACGAGCCGGTTCCAAAACGCGGACCCGCAATATCCTGCCAAAGAAGGAACAGTTCGTTCATAGAAGTATTGAAATGATCTAGTTTCACGGTCGTTTTCTGAGCGTACTAGGCCAGGAAGAGAATATAATGGAAGCTGGTAATCCCTAAATAGAGACCGTGGACTAGATTTTTGGTAGCCGTCGCATTTTCGACCAGTTGAAGAGCACCGCAGGCAGTTGGGTTTGGCTTCATCGCATTTCACTCGTCTTTCTACCGCCGAGAAACAGCTTAGCGGGTTTTCAGAGTCCCAGAGCATCGTTCGGGAATCTTACTCCTGAAATAATTCGGCCGTCAGTTGTCAGATATTACTATACTTTGACATTCGACGCAACTTGAATGTTTCGTTTGAACAGGAAGAGGAAACTCACTTGCACGTCAAACAGCCGGACTTGGTCTTGGGTTGGGGCGCTCGTTGCAGCTCCCCAGAGATAGAGCGGGGCATGGTGCTAGTAGGGCAGTTAATTATATAGAGAGGTCAACGTACCAACGCATTGCTTATGAGTGCTGATCGCCTTTATCTGATCGCGCAAAGTGCAAAGGCAATTTCGGCATGTGCTCTAACACGCTACTTCATATACAGCGTAGTGCGGGGAAATGTACCGTTTAGACCCACTCTTGACATGAGACTTCGATTTGCTTATAAATTACTAGAAATTAAAAGTATTTAAGAAAATTGAAAAATCTTCAAATTCTTATCAGAATAAATGAAATCTCCCTCGTTTTATAAAATATGCTTATTAGAGGGCTATACATACACTGCGACAAAATCCCTCACTCCTTATCCTGTACAATAGCAATTATCCCAAGAGTATAGCCAATGGCCATGATTGTAATCTAATTGAAATTGGTCATGTCGGTTCCTGTATAGTCTATCAAATCAAGACTTGTATTCAGATGTAAGTGGTAGTCCACCGAAATTCATTGAAGCCATGAAACGGCAATTTATATTCATCTCTGAGATTGTTACCAAGGTCTATAAGATGATCTTGACTCCAGACCAGCTATTGATAAGATGGTTACTTTGAACAGCTCGCCAACCTGATGAGGTAGGTGGCTCAATGTACTATCGCCGTTGCTATCAAAAGTCTTGGCGAGTTCCTTTTTCATCTCAGTTTGGCAGCTCTTCGGGCGGATCATGGAAACTTCAGCAGCGATCGCATGGAAAAGTAGAATATTCTAAACCATATCAGAAAAATATTCGCTCCACACCTTTCCTGTACACCAAAGGATAACCATCAGCATCCGGTCACTCACCGGCCCAGTCGGCGGTCAATTGTAAAATTGATAAGGATCAATTTACCTTCATATAAGGCTAGGATATCAAAGCTTCAAGTTTTTAGAGCAGAAATCATCAAGACAGCATTCTCTGCGGAAAACTCAATTCTCCTTATTTTAGATGGCAATACATTATATATTAAGGGAAAAAGGTTTAGCCACTAGTGATTCTAGACAACTATACAGTCCACGTTGCACTCTATGCCAAATAACACATATAGCGATAATAATAGTAATAATAATAATCTTCCCAGCCAGTGCATACCGCAGAATGGATGGACGGTATGGTGGGTTTTGACTGAAAGCAATGATCTTGAACACGAGTGTGCTTCTTTTTGACTGGGATTTTCTGGGCTTGAAATGAGGGAAACAAACCTGGAGGATACAATTTTCGGTCGTATCGCTAAAGGCGATAGTTGCACTGTTTAAAAGAATTCGTGATAGTTTCAATTACATCCATTATTTCAAATAATATAGACAACACCACTAAGATAGATTCAATATTTTACACCATACGATAGTTAAAACACAAGAGCCATTACAACTTTAGCCGTGGAAATTGAAAATTCGTTTTCGGCGGGCCCCTTATGATAACAGCCAACAATGACCCTTTTCGGCCCGCTTCGTCACTATCTTTTCAAGCACACAGAAGTTGAGAAGTTCAACTATCCTTACCCAATAGATGATTTACACACATAATTAATTCTACATGCTTTCATCACTAGCATATGGTTGTGCACCTGCAGTCACATATTATATACAGCAACGTGTTGTTTATGGGAAACAGTGACTCGTGTATTTGAGATTTAAAGATCCCAGTATTCTATAAGAAATGGTTCTACTTTTGGCATAGTATTTACGTACCAATGCTGCATTCCAAAGTCTAATTTAAATCCGTCTCACTGCATAGTTCAGGACCGCCCGACGACTAAAAGCTCCCCGGCGGAGCATGCTAAGTAAGTTAGCCAAGTAGTGATGACTAAGTCAAGTGCTGAAATATTCGTTCGTTAATCTGACTGTCAATCACCCGCTGAAAGGCGACTAAGATTCCTCACTGTCAATCACCTCCATGCCTACCACTTGGAGAAAACAATATGTATACTGACGTACTTAGCATCGGGTATTAGACATACAATGTGAGTTTTCTATAATTATTGGCATATTGATAGTCATCTTTGTGTATTAAATGGTCTTTATTTATCTCATTATAAGCTATACTAGCTTTATCATAATATCCGGGTTATCTTATTATTTAGTAACGCTACATTCAATTATTCTCCACAAATGTCATATTCTATTCATAGGGCAATCTTCTAGGACATCTCTATGTAATCGTAGAGATATCCTATTTACTATGAGTGTTATTATAATGTAGTAAGATGTCAATTGATATAGCAAGAAACAGTGGTTCAAATGACTTTGACACCACTGTCTCCTTTAATGATGATGTGAGCTTTGTGATCTGTGACGGGTTTGCCCAAGTTCCACCTAACCTAATCTTAGGCATGCAGTGTAACCTTGTACCTCTCTGAACACATTCTATACATGTTAGTTCTTCTCTAGCTTGTCCACTATTATATAGGCGCAAAGAATAGGGTATATGTATATAGAAATGTTAGTGTAATTAACGCTTTGAAGATGGCTACCTTAATACATATTTTAAGATGACTTTGTAGCTTTCTATATATGACGAGGATTTATTATAGCAGTAGTGCAGGATTTCATTGACCCGTTCGCGGACTGTCAACTGATACACTTCGTTCGAGGTGACCCTTTTTGTACACCATTGGCTTCCAACAGCCTCGCATGTACCCTAGCCTAATCCCAAGTCACTTTCCCTCACGACACACAGAATAATATAGATTAGAATCACCAAATAAGTTTTGTTTTAGATAAAGAATTCCAGAGCATTAAAAGTATAGATTATCATGCGACACTTATCACCATAGGAACCTTGCGGCTTAGTGAACAAATACCCCCGTTTACGAGGGCTGTGACTTAAAATGCAAATAAGAAGGATATGCCCAATTCCACCGACCTAACCACCTAGAATCACTTTCAACATTGCCATTTTATTTGATGGCAGAGTGAGCGGCGCTCTATGGGATCCTTAGTAACAGAATGAGATATGGCGTAAACTTACAGACTAGTTAATATGCCCGGAAAGAAACAGTTGAAGCGCAGGGTATTTCATGGACCTGGGTCAATTTTAGTTGTCACTGGTTATGCCGAGATATGATACGATGGTTGAACTACACAGAGATTACTGAGGGTAACTAGTAACAATATACTAAGAGTTGCTGAAGGTATGAGGCGTATAATACAACTAGAGTAGGAGAGATCCATTGAAGTGCTATATTAATTCAAGTATGATTGCCTTGCTAATTCTCTCAGTTTCCTAGTGTACTTCGGTCATGTGATGCTGTTTGTCCACAATGTGTTATATTTAAAACTGCGAGCTCGTCGCTATACTAATCGCAGTGTAGATCATTCCTTTCTTGGACTAGTGTTGGATAGTGTACTTTTGTAACATTGTTTCACGTTTTGATGTACTTGAGAATTCATAAATCCCCAATTAGAAATATACCAATGTTTTAAATTTTACTACGTATGATAATATGCTGGCTATTTGCTGCGGCTAGTTTATAAGACTCGTAATGATGAGACACCTAAGGACGTGCTAGAAGTATGATATGTATTCACTATTCTTTTGATGGATATTATAAAATCCGATGGTTTTCTTGTAGGAGTGATTGGTGGTACTGTACTACTGATAGGGCTAAGAATGTCCTTGAAATATTCAATGTTACCCAAGCATCTCGGTAGGATCGATTTGATAGAAAGTGCTGCCAAGAAGGCTTAGATCGGATAATAAAGCTTGTTTCTAGCTCTTGACTTCTCACTCGTACTCGGTACAATAATCCTATGTTTGCAAGTTCGACTGTTCTCCGACATTTGCAACTGGTTGGTAGCACAACAGCCTACCATTATATAGGCACTGATCCAGTCGAGGCATATTTTTTGCGGAAAATAAAACCACAGGGATGATGCAATCGAGAAAATACCAGAGCCTAAGAAACGTTACATCTAAATGTACAGTTTAGGTAGAGCCTGGGCCTGTATATGAGGTCAAATGTTTTTGTATCCAACAAAATTAGATAAAGTATGCTGCATTCCCCTGACCAACCCACTAATGCAGGTCATGTGGGGCATCCAAATGCCCCATCATGCGCATCAAAGTTATCTAATCATTAATAACAATTAAACATTGAAGGACGTAGAGAATTGTTCCCATTCATCAACTAGGTCCGTGACCGTGTATTGGAGTAGGCCATGTATAATTTGCGACTTGAGAGGTGAAAAGCCACCCTGATAGCCATCTGAATAGATTTTCTTGGGTAACATCGTTCATCATTGCTCATGTGAGCGCTTTTCACCCTGCTGTAACCTTGAAGCATGCGCTATCGTAATTGCCGACGCCTCCTTTATTCAATCTTCACTGGTGCGAACGCCACATAATTTCGCATTGTTACGCTGCCATCTGTCAAGAAAATATGGAGTTGCCCTGGAACTGAAATTCTGCTATCATTTTTACATTTAGCTAATTATTCTTTGAAGTAATTAGTTTCAAATGTTATCTGGCAATGTGGCTAAACCCTATCTGGGCATACTATATATAACGTATATATGTACGTTGAGGAGAATTTCAAGTGACGTTGCATTGCTAACAATATAACGATAGGAAGTGAAAACATTTGAATCTGGAAACCCGAGAAACTGTCGTGACCTCTGGAGTCTTCATTTTCTATTAGCTTATTTTGTTTAGGCCTTTTGTGGCATTTCGTTCTATAAAACCGAATTCATCTAGTAAAAGCACAGGTATACTACTGTGCCATTCAGATTACGCGTCCCCGCGTCAATTGATTATTTGGCGTGGTTGATAACATGAAAATAAAAGAGGACTTGCACCATTGTACCAGCGGCTATAAAGGTACCTAGTATCCTCTTCTACATCCGGTTGCTCTTTACTATGTGCTTTCAATAGGCTGGTTCCTTTTACTGGCTTTTCGACTCGTGTCTTTCCACATTCCTTTTTTGAGAAGAAATACAATCCCATAAGTTGGATAAAAAATCATTTGCTTCTTACTTCCTATACCACATCTACACTGTGTTCAAAATGAATTCCTTCGGTGTATTATCTATGCTGGGTTTCAGCATCGGTATCCTTCCTAGCATAGTCTTGACAAATCCTGTATCTCTCCCACGGCGTAGCTCCCCAGGTGGTCAGAATGTTGTTTACTGGGGACAAAACGGCGGTGGTTCCATTGAAAACACCGACCTGTCCGCTTATTGCACAGCTAGTCAGGGTATCGATGTGCTTGTGTTGGGCTTTTTATATGAGTTTGGCAATGGAAATACAGTGCCAGGAGGGGGATTTGGTCAGACGTGTACTGTGCTCGCGACATCAGGCACTTCGCAAAGCTGTGAAAGTGTCGCGGCCTCGATAACTGATTGCCAGAAGGCTGGTGTAAAAGTCCTCTTGTCATTAGGGGGTGGGAATGGTGGGTACACTGTTACTTCGCAGTCTGAGGCAGAAGCAATCGGGCAATATCTCTGGGATGCCTATGGAAACTCTGCAAATTCGAGTGTGTCCAGGCCATTTGGTGATGCCATCGTGAATGGCTTCGACTTTGACATTGAGAACAATAGCAATGGAAATAATCAATACTATCAATATATGATTTCGACCCTTCGATCTAATTTCGCTACTGATACAGTCAACAAGTATTACATATCTGGAGCACCTCAATGTCCTCTTCCAGAACCCAATATGGGAATTATCATTCAGAATTCCCAATTCGACTATATTTGGCCACAGTTTTATAACAATAACAACTACACATACCCTTGTGCTCTTGGAATCAATGGAGACGCCGCCTTTAATTATGATGACTGGGAATCTTTTATCGCTGGCACACCTTCTTCGGGTGCTGCACTGTTCATTGGAGTGCCTGCCGCGCCTCTAGCTGCAAATGGGGGCACAAGTGGAGAAGTTTATTATGCGACCCCAGACCAGCTAGCTACTATTGTCAGCTCAGTAGATACCTACTCTCAATTTGGCGGTATCATGATGTGGAGTGCGGGTTTTTCGGACTCCAACGTCAATAACGGCTGTACTTATGCACAAGAAGCCGACAGTATCTTATTAACCGGCTCGCCCTGTGGTTCCGATGGCTTCACCCTCACTCCATCACTGACTCCAGTCGCTCCTACTCCTACATTTTCCACCTCTAGCAGTACAGGCTCAACAACGGCAACGGGTACCCCTGTTCCAGAATATGGCCAGGTAAGTTAACTGGCTTTCCTCAAATACGCACTTTTTCTGTGACAAGTATTTAATAAACCTAACCTGTGATACAGTGTGGAGGTGAAGGCTATACGGGCTCAACCGTGTGTCAATCGCCATATGTGTGCGTCAAAGGAAGTGACTGGTGGTCATCATGTCAAGCGGCATAGACGGCATCTTAATAATAGAGGGTTACACGCACCTGGAAGGTGAAAATTTATATCTTTATTACCTCTGGACATTTTTTATTGTTGCTCCCCTTTCCTTCAAGACCTCTGGTGTTTGGCTTTGGCTAGCTAGGTCGCTGCTTCTACGTACTAGGCATTTTTAGGTTGATGATCTTATGGTTTCTTTGTCCTTACAGTGTCAAGTATTCATGTTGAAAGTAGATCATGAAAGACATGTTAGTCAATACAGCGACAAAACAGGACGTTTCTGAGGTCTATGTCTCCACACTAGTCGAATTATCTGCGCGGGAGAAAGTTGGTTTACACATCTTGCAGATATTTGTGGAATGAGACCCCAAAATTGAAAAATCTCTTAAACAAACAGTATGGTAGTCATATGTTTTCCACTTTAACCTGTATCTAGTATAGAATCGAAGGCGATGAGCTTGAAAACTTCTTTTGTACAAAATATATAGCGTAGTACATTAAATTCAAACTCAAGCCCGTTTCAATTCTTTTGAAGTGAGCGAATACCCTATGTTGTCCTAAAGTAGTTATTGGCCAGCTTAGGTGCATTGCCCTAATTGCAAAGAGTAAAATCAGTCAAAATAGAGTCGTTGACTGTCTCTTCGGGCAGACAAAAATCTATATTCTCTCCCTTGAGATTATTGAATACACTGGAGTAGGCATCCTGCTCGCACATATTTGTCAGTGCGTCTATTAATGGGAAAAATACGAAGTATTACCTGGGCGGTATTAATGAATTCGTCATAAATATTATCTGCCTTCATCTTCTGACGAACGAAATCCGTAACGCCTCCCAAGATAGCAATAACCGTTGTAATCTTGCTGTCCCAAGTGACTAAAGCGGAGATGAGCGTTCCATCCACCCGCGTGGATTCAGTACTTCCATACATATCTAGGAGAGTTAATTGTCACCATTACCGATTTAACATCAGACGGTGATTTAGTCTTACTTTGCATTTTCTTGGCGATGGCCATATTTCTCCACCAAGCAAGACCAACTGATTTGTTGAATAGAATCGTCGGGAAAACGCTGTAAGGAGTGATGACATCTAATTCTTGCACTGTCTGATTTGAAATAGAAGGGATTCCGGCGTTAGATATATAACCGATCACATCACCAGTCTCTGGGTCGGTGGAATTATTGACAGACGCAAACATTCCAGGAACCTTGGTCGAAACTGAGTTGCACGTGCGAACACGCTCTGCATTCTGATAGACTCGTCTGGTATTTTGTCAGATTTTGTTGTACAGAATTTGATAAATATTTTAGAATCGATAGGATAACTTACCGAATAATATCAATATCGTAGTAGGGCATTTCCATCACCTTCCAGGTCTCATGACTGGAGAACCAATATCCTGGTTACTTTGTAAGAAAAATCTTATCCACTTTAGGTTTCATGTATTTTGGGGGTGAGCTCGAAATTCCTAACCTTTTTGAACCGTGATAGGCCCAAGTTTACCCATGTGATAGTCGACACTCATCAACTGAGGCTTTTTAACTTCCGAGAGTGCACTCTTGTCGTCTTCAGACAGGCCTGCAAAAAGCTGTAGCCAGAAAGTGAAAAGTTCACCCTCGTACGGATCGTTGAGCGTGCCAGTTCCTTCACAGGTATACGTTTGTTTAGCGTCGTTAACAGGAAGTGACTGGTTTTTAATATCTGTAACCGCGCAGACTTTCCCGTTGCCTTTGTAAAAGATCTATTGTGCAATCCATTAGTGGAAAAACTTTGCAACAAATTCGAATCCAAACCGCATTATGATACCTTTGCCGCCGTAGTCTTGGTATAATCCATCCATATCTGCCAGTCACTTGCAAGCTGCTGATAAGATTTATTTTCGGTATTTTCCAGCGATTGGATGAAGCCGTATACGGCCCAGAGAAGCTCTCTTTTCAATATGAAATTAATTTCATTGTCTGGTGTCAAGAGTTCATCCTAGGTTCTACGTACCCATTGTCTAATCCAGGAACACGGTTTACCCAGTCCCATGTCGGTGAGAGATCTTGAGCATCAGATACGAACCAAGGTAGAAATCCTCCAAATCCGGGATAGGTTTCGTTGAATCGAAGGTATGTTTCCAACTTAGTTTTCATTATAGATGTCGCGATTTCGGGGGCGGCAGAAGGGTTCTTGGGTGAGAGAAACCGGGCGGCTTCAGGGGATCCAGCGACCGCATGAGTATAAAGCATAACCTGCAGAGACTGTGCTAAGCTGTTAACCTCTGGGTTCTGAAACGGCAAGCCAAAGCAGGGGATTCTACCTCTTTGCTTGCTGCACTGAACGGATGCTTGACCGTTCTCTCTCCAGTGGTCCAGTCAATGTTGGTGCCGTCGTAAGACATACCATTGGCATTATTATACGAGACGTTGTTTTGATGGAATTTGCCCTCCCAGTATAGCAGGTCGTTGATGAAAGTACTCGTATCATTTAGAACCTGTTCCTGGGTGTATTGAAGTGCAAAACGGCAAGGTGGCTCGATAGTTTGAGCAGACAACATGGGATGACCGCTGGTGAGGATTGCCCCGAATAGAGCAAGTGACGAGATGCTGCCGAAGCCCATGTTGGATAGATACTCGTTGTCTCAAAGTGTAATAATTGAAAATCGCTTATTTCCCCTGGCGTGCTTGATGTTATCATTTATTTATACCATTTGGCTCCAATCGACGGTGCCACCATCTACAGAATCCCCGCATTCTAGAAAATAAAGCGATGATCAATACCTCTGGTAGAAAATCTGGAGAACAAGAAACGGCAGATGGTCAGATCTCCAAATGCTGGCACGAAATTTCATTCTCCACAGACGCTCAGCTCCTTCGCACTGCCGATCATTCATTCACGAATGATTCATGATTTTATGATTTTATTTCTCCGTCAAGACAGGCGGAGAAACTGGCGGCCTGTCCAATCATATAATGATACAAGGGAACTCGGCCCGCAAAACTCCCGCCCCGGAGAGTTTTTGAGTTGAGCATTTACTCCGCGCACACCACTATTCAGTATGAATGTTATTTGACCAGCAGCAAACCCCTGGCGGCTGTCAACACATTCACAATTTCTCCGAAACTGGGACCTACCGTTGATCATATGGAGATATGATGGCGGCCGAGACAGCTCCAATTCTGGCTTTATCTCCTCGTCGCCCATCAACTAGGGCATGCGATCGATGTCGACGGAAGAAAGCGAAGGTAGGCGGACAGGCTTTATGCTCCTGGATAGGCCAACACCTCTTAGACCAATATTGCCAACCGGACTAATCAAGATAAATAGTGCATAAACATTGACTCCTCACTTGTCTGTACAAAGTGCCGGCTGTCTGGCGTACGGTGCACCTTTGATTTGCCTGTCGCTAAAAGAGGACCAAAGACAACTCGCAGTCGCCACGCCGCGAATAATGCCCCAATTGTAAAAACACATCAAATCGACGGGCATAATACATCTCCTGGCCGTAATTCATCCAGTTGTTCTGATACGGTAACGCCGTCAAGGCCTGCCCCGACTGATTATCTAATTCCTGATCTGGACCCCCCAAGACTAACCATACCAATACCAAGCCCAACAACCTGGGAAACTGGAAGATTAGCCCTTGACTCGGCCCTATCTCCACAGACAGCCCATACAATAGGGACACCTCTTTCGGAATGCTCGTCAAAGAGAGCCATTTCGGCCACACGGCGATGGCATAGGCTGTCGAGTAGTCTCCATCTACGAGATCCATTGTTGAATCTAGACCTTGTTGTCAATAAATGTTTTAGCCTGTTCTTTGAATACCTATTCCCACTAATACCGCTTGTTCATGAACCAAGTCTTCGGGATGGACTAAACTTTTTTGTTCACTTGGGCCATTCTTCAAGCAATACCGATCGAATCGGCATGTCTGAGACATGGACTGGTGAAGCAGGATTTTCAAGCAATGGCAGTATATTACCACGTGAAGATAGCTTTAAACCGCCAGATATCTGGCCCGACGCCACATTTACGCTCATTACAGCCGTTTGTGCGGAGGCGGCCTTTCTTCTTCCTCAAGAGATCTTCCCAGAAGGCGAGTCTATTGCGGAGACATTCCTCCATGCGTCCCGCGACTGCCTGGCTAGTTATCTTGAGACAGACCTTGAATATCCAACTGCCAACTCTGTCGCTGTTCGGTACCTTCACTCCAATTGCGTACATGCCTCTGGAAAACCACGGCTTTCCTGGCACATATTTGGAGAGGCTACTCGCTTAGCTCAAGAAATGCAAATGAACGATGAAAAATCACTCCAGGTCCTACCACCACTTGAAGCAGAACTTCGCAGACGGGCGTTCTGGATACTTTATATCGGAGACAAATCTGCGGCTATTTTGAATAATCGTCCGATTACCATGCATAAATTCTCCTTTGAATCCGGTATAACAACGGTTTATCCTACGGGAATCGAGGACAATATGCAGATAGAATCCGGAACTTTGTCAACAGATATTTCAACCCAGAAAAATTTCATTGCGGGTTTCAACGCTAATGTGTGTCTTTGGAAAACAGCATCTGACTTGATTCTTGAGATGCGTCTGCTAGTCAATCAGAAAGAGCCTACTACTATTCCAAAGATCGATATGACACCTGAAGAGTGGCATCGTCTAGACCGATTATATGTTCAGTTTATGACCTCAATAGACAAGTTGCCTCATTACTTACAGGCAGATATTTTGGCGGCTTCGCAGGATAACCTAAGAACGAACAACGAACACCTTTCGAATGGTATTTATAGGCAGTATCTTATCCAATGGACCAATATTCATGTGTCACTTCATTGTCTGAAAATGGTAGTCACTCAAAAGTTGGAAGAGCTCGACAGTTGCAACCCGCGGAGCGGAAACGTCGACATGTCACTGTTGCGGAAAACTGAGATAGCTCGTGATTTATTGCGTGTAATTCGCGAAGCACCATTCTGGTCTTTACAAGTGAACGGAGAGCCCTGCGTAAGTATCTCACTCAATCTACATAATGACAAATTTCCCGAATATGCATTCTAAAACAATCCACACAGGTTGAAAAAATCAGACTTATAGGAGCGAGTCTACTTGAAATAATTGATCAACATGAGAACTCTCCACTCGCAGGTAGAGCACGCAAAGATCTCTCTGTTTTACTTGATATTTTAACAAGACTTGACTCAAAGGCATCTGACACATTGCGAAGGCCTCTATGAGATTGATCTATATATAATATAAAGAAGGCTCAGAAAACCACTATAATATCGATAAAAACAATTTAAAAGTAATACCAAACAGATTCATCTAATGTATTAGAAGAGATATTCAACCATGAAATATCGGAACTTCATCTATTAGGCTATTTTCGGCAATTCTCAGAATGAAGCACATTGCTATACCACTTGGGACTAAGATGCTGTCGGCAAGTTCATTCGCTCGTGGAAAATATGCTGCAAAAGCATCGCCGACTTCTTTGGAGTTCTTTTCAGTGTAACGTAATCCGTGAAAGTAACACCAAACCTAACACCATAGCCATCGGACCATTCTGTGTAATCATGAAATTAGCTAACCTAAAGCTCATTGCTAGGGGAAGATTATTCTACCTAAATTATCCAACAATGACCATGCAAAATAGCCCTTGATATGGGTACCATCTTCGTTGTTGGCCAAAGCGATAGCTTCAAGGTGGTCTTCGAAATAACGAATTCGATACGAATCATTCACAGATTCGTCACAAGTCATTGCGTCTTCTCCTGGACAGGGACATCCATTTTCTGTCACATAAATAGGTTTTCCATACTTCTGGTAAATCCTAGTTAGATGTTTACGGAACAGCTGTGGCGCGGAACGAAGCCAATGAACACCACTCGGCTCCCCAACAGAGATGCCATTCTTGTCACCTTGCAACTCTTCTATATTGCCAATGAAATCGGTCTCCGGTGCCGGTTGGTCTCGGTGGCGAGCAAATTGGGAAGTGTAGTAATTCATCCCATAAAAGTCGACTTTAGCCTTCTCAAGTATAGAAAAGTCTGAGGGCGTGAAAATTGGAAGGCGTTCACCAAGTTGCTCTCGCATGCAAGGCGGGTAGTCGCGTGCCAAACTAGAAAGTCAGTTAGAAAATTTCTCAAAAGAAATTTGAGGTATCTTAATTCTATAAATTGACTTACAATATTGGATTAGCAAACCATCCGATGTGAAATTCCATGCGACGTTCTGCGGCAACTTTGTCCCGCGTATCTTGGTCGTCCCACGGCTCGTAATAATCACCATTGAGAGAGATTCCTATTTGGCCTTTTTGGGACTCTCGAAATTGTTTATTGTATAGAGCAACCGCTCGAGCGTGACTCATTATTAAAGCCCTGCCCACGATCCAGGGTTCAGTCGCGGTGTTTCCTTGAAATGATTGTGGATTAATGCTACTCCGTCCTGGCGCGTTTCCGCCGGTGGCATATCCCTAGGAAATATGTAAGAATCTCGCGAAGTACTAGATGAATTGAATTTGCAATTGGGTAATACGCACGAAAATTGACACGATCCATGGTTCGTTCAATGTAATCCAGTTCTTCACTCTGTCGCCGAACCTTTCATAGCATATTTTAGCATACCGCTCAAAGTCCTTCTGCGACTCTTCTACATCCAGCCACCCGCCATATCTATCATGCAGAGCCTGTGGTAAATCCCAATGATAGAGGGTCACCCAGGGAGTAATACCTCTCCCAAGCAAGGAGTCAATGAGAGTGTTGTAGAACTCAATCCCTGTCTCGTTCAGCGGATCATCTCTTCCACCTAATGGAATTATCCGTGACCAAGAGATGGAAAAGCGATATGCTTTTGCACCGTATTTTTTGAGGAGGTCAAAATCTTCCTCATAGCGATGGTAATGGTCGCACGCGACATCTCCGTTTGCCCCTTTGGTGCGCGTCGGTTGCAAATGGCAAAAGGTGTCCCAGATTGACCTCCCCCGGTTATCTTCATTGACTGCGCCTTCAATTTGGTACGAAGCTGTGGCAAACCCCCATTCGAAGTCAGCGGGAAGGGGGGTAGGAAAAGGCATCGAAGGTCTTTAATGTCTTTACCATTCCCTTCAATCTTTTTGCACGCCTTATAATCCACCAAGGAAATAGAGCGGGAAATCGAACTGGATTGATATGAAGTATCAAATAAAATACGAAGAAGTTAAGTTGAATTTTATAATAATTATGCAAACGGTCTAAAATATCGAAACCACCACAGTTGATGCATTTTACCTACCCTAAAGAAATGACCCCGGACGGAGAAACGGCGAAACGGAGGATTAGCCGCAATTTAATTTCCCACATTTTGAATATGATTGGACTCGGCATCTCAATCCACGTGGATTTGTTGTTGATTTTGGTACAATTCTCCGTTTGGCTCATCGACCTGGGTGAAAAATCCCTCCATCCCCACGGGGTCCATGGTGCACGCCCGGGGTCAAAGCATAGAAATCTCGCGACGAAATTTCATTATTACTATGCTAGGATGGTAGAGTGAAAATAAACTTTTTCGTTTATTTCTCACTTCTCATCTATTTACTTCTTATCATTTTGGCCATGAGTGATTGACGGCTTCTATTATAAATAGTTCGTGTAGATGTCGCCTAAAGCTTGTATCTTCATGTGCATTCTCGGCAGTGCGTCACTATATCCCAAAGGTTCCTTCGTTCCTCTACTATATTGTTCATACATACAACCAATCACATCATGGCTCCTGCTGCTGCTCATACCACTGATGGCATTGCATCGACAGTTGATGTGCAGTCTCTGCCACCATTCTGGCGCCGGAAGAATGGTGTACTGCTATGCTTCCTACTCACCCCGTCTTTATTAGCGAGTGCTGCTCTGGGAATTGACGGAGTGTGTCGAGATATCCTATATTCACACTATTTATATACCAAATTGCTAACTGTAGGTAATAGTCAATGACAAACGGTATGCAGGTTCTGCAATCTTGGCAAGACCAGTTTGGACATCCTGAAGGCTCTAAGCTGGGGATTTTCGGAGCCTCCAATGCAATTGGTGGTGTTATACCCTTCATCTTCTTCAGCTGGATTAGCGATAAGTTCGGACGGCGCTTGCCGACTTCATTGGGTTCCGTTGTCATTATCATTGGCGTGTTCATCGAGTTCTTTGCCACTTCCTTGAACATGTATATTGGAGGCAAAATCGTGCTTGGCTTTGGGTCCTCGTTGATCCAAATGGGTGCTCCTGTTCTGGTTACCGAACTCTCTCACCCCAAGGAGCGTGTCCAGATAACTACATTCTACAACACGTCAATCGTCCTTGGGTATGTGATTGGCGCATGGGCGACTTTTGGCTGCTATCGAATTAACAGTCAATGGTCCTGGAGGCTTCCGACTCTGATCCAAATTATCCCATCCGCTTACCAGTTCTGTTTGATATGGTTCTGTCCAGAGTCTCCTCGTTGGCTGATTGCAAAAGGTCGCCATCAAGAAGCTCGTGAGATCCTGGTCAAGTATCATGGGGAATGCAACCCTAATTCAGAATTGGTAATTTTCGAGGTCGATGAAATTCAGCAAGCAATCGACGCTGAGGCTGAGAACAATTTAAGCTGGAAGGACTTCTTTTCTTCAGTTCCCAATCTTAAGCGTATTTTTCTATGCTTTGCTACCGCAGTGTTCAGCCAGAGCTCTGGTAACCTTCTGGTATCGAACTATCTCACTCAGATCTTGAAGGATACGGGCTTAAAAACTGAATATGAGATCACCCTTGTTAATGGGATGGTCACGTTGTGGCAGTACATCGTCGCGATCGCCGTTACAATTATGATCGATCGCTTCCGCCGCCGCTTCTTCTTCCTTACCGGCTCAGGCGGCGTGGTCATTACATTTGTGGTTTGGACGATTGCAGCCCAGCGCTATCTTGAGCATAATTCACTCACGGCTGGACGGCTGGTATTAGCGTGCATATTTGCATTCCAGGCATTCTACACTCTTGCATGGACAAATCTCATCGTCACTTATCCTCTTGAAGTCGTCACTCTCCAGATGCGCGCCAAAGCGTGGGCTTTCGTCCTGCTCACCATCCAGGTATCTTCTATTTTTGGCAGCTATGTCAACCCGATTGCCTTGAAGAATATTGGATGGAAATTCTATATATACTATTGCATTTGGGTCCTTATAATCTTCTTAGTGGTTTATTTTTTCTTTGTTGAGACTTCTGGGCCGACCCTAGAAGAGCTTATCTACTTATTTGAGGGAGATGAAGCCAAATCTCGGACGACAGAGAAGCTTGCGCAGCAGAAAGAGCAAGTTGAATTAGTGGAATATGCCAAGGAGACTGTAAATCCATAAGAAATTTGAACAAGGCGATGTTAGGTATGTATTTCTGTATTTATTTCTCACATCAAGGGCTCATGAACTTGCAAATATGATTGAATATGGATATATTATTACGTATACCTAGGTAACTCCATTAGTTGATTGATTATACACAAGTACATATGTAAGTTCATTAATCTGTTAAAAGTTACTCTAATATATATGAACGTGGAGAAAATAATTCAGAGCTAGTTATTGAATTTATTAAAAGGGAATTGGATCTCTTGCAAATAGAATGGGGGTTTTCCGTAAAATAGCAGCGTGGCTGTACAAACAGGTACTTTAGTTAGAGCTAGACGCCATTATATAGAAATCTGACTCGTCACGCAACCTTGAATATTTATGCATATCGCCGCACAGATAGCTCTGGTATATGTACAAAATTGTGATTGTGTCAATTTTAAGCTATAAAAGCACACGGTTACTAATGAGGAGGCCTTTTTACTAGGGAATACTTTTCATTATCGTACAGCGCTGTAACGGTCTATAAGATATTTATTCTGATAATATATAGATGATAGCTCCAAGATACAAAAGGATATCCAGCTATCAAAGAAACGGTGCCTTGGACGGCATCAGAATTGTTCCACTCTGATGTAATCCCATAATCATGCCACAACTGCAGTAGACAGAGAGTCCATATAGGAAAAAAGTAAACAGATAACTTCAGTCCATCATAGAAGTGGTTTCCGAATGGTTGAAACCCATAGATCATGATAATAACTGAGGATAAGCCTTTAGAAGATAATGAAGTTGATAGTTGTTTTGTAAGACTAAAGCATCCTCTAGAGGTGTAATGGATTTAACAGCTGTCCTACCCAATAAAACTTTCATAGAGATGGGATGAGACGTGGGTGTCATTCTCAGTAAAGGAAATACAAACACAGAGGGAATATCAAAACTATTCATGTAGGAACCTTATGCATAGAGTTGATCGAAACCCTATAACTATGTGATTTGCTTTTCCTATCAGTGTACTAAGTTTAAATTGCATATCGGAACCCAGGGTTATTTTCCATTCCCTTGACCGGGCCAATCTCTCCTCTTGCTAGTTTGCGATTCAATGTCACATAAGTCTGTCTCATCGCTAGCAGTGCTAGTAACAAAATGCCTTGACATATTGCTACGGTAATCAGTGCTGGCTTATATACCGGTGCGTATTCATCGCGGAATACTGCACTAGAAAGGATACCACCAATATTTTGCCCGCCGATAAATAGACCTAAAGCCACAGCTCGTGCAGACGCACTGGTCAGGTTGCTACTCAGCCATAGTGGCATAAGAAGCTCTGGCATGTAGGTACCAAATGTAATAAGATAGGTAATGAAATAGCCAACTCGCGTGTTATGGACGAGGTCGAGGGTAGCGAGCAAGATAAACCCAACCATAGACACAAGCAACGTGAAGAATGAGACAAGGGCACGTTGCTGATAGCGATCCGATATCCATGAAGAGACTATCTGTACTGCTGCAGCGACTAGGTTGGGGCCGACGGTGTACAGGTTCGCTTTTGGTGTCGTTGTTGCAATGCGCTTCACCATAGTCTTTTGATCCATTAGAGAATGTCTTGTAACCACCAGGAGGAATATAAAAGAAGAAATGTCTGACCGGGAGGAAATTGGACGCGCTCGCCACCCCTACACCACACAGGAATGCCATTGCGGCAAAAGCCCATACATGCCAATTGGATAGCACGGCGAAAGCAGTTTCCCACTCAATTTTACCAACACCCTCAAGTTCTGACTCACGACTAAGTCGGATTCGAGCTACTCGCTGCTCGTCAGCTGTGAAAAATTTTGAGCTTGTATCTCGTGGTAGGACGAAGAAGACAATGACTGAAATGGCAACTGTCATGCCACCTTCGATAAGGAAAAGATATTGCCAACCCTATACCAGTACGTTTTGTTAACATGTTCATTCACAGAAAATGGCTCATAATACTCACACTAAGGGATCGATGCCATTGGGATACATCCCATGCTATAAGACCACTCGTCGCACCCTGTTCATGGTAAGGATATTGATCTGATTTACACCGTTTAAACCAATCATACCGCAATAAACCCAGTAAACCCCCATGCCGCTGTTCTCAACGCAAGTTCTTTCCTTGTATAAAATAAGGAGTAGTACAAATATACACAAGGCATAAAACTAGCTTCCACTATTCCGATAAGAATACGGACAGTCAGTAGGCCGCCGAAATTTGTAGTCGAAGCGGTTATCGTAGATAGTGCACCCCAAGTTCCCATCATGAGAGGGATAACGCGTGCCGGGTTAAAGCGTTTTGCAAGACTAAATAAATTCTTGTTAAGAGACAAGAAGTACTGATAAATAAAGGAAAACCAACAGAGCAGCTGGAATATTACAGATTCCATATGGTATATAGAACAAAATGAGCACCAATGAGAACTCATTGTTGATGAGGCCCAAGTCTGTCTGAATACCCATAGTTTTGGCATTTCCCAGGTTCGCTCGATCAAGCGTATGAGTATAGTAAACCAAGGCTGTAGCATGATATTATGAGTTTCGTTTCTAGAGACTTTACATAATCCAGGGAAACACGTACCACACATCGGAAGGATAAAAATGTCGAATTTGCGGACTAGCGATCGCTCGATCTTGGGATCTATATACTCGTTCCCATCGATTATATCAGGGTTACTCCTCTCATTGGAATGGTTCCCTTGATCTGATGGCATAGACTTAATGCTAGGGGTATTGGCTAGTTTCAAATCGCCCATTGTCAAACGAAATTTAACCAAATATATTAATATTGATGGGTAGAATGTCAGCTCTAGCTCCGAGTTGAGCAACAGCGAAGAGAGTTTAATTGAAGTCCAGACTCATGGCTGTGTGTGGTTATATATAGGCAAATAAGAGATTGATAGTCCGGAAAAAATCTGACGTATTTCGGGATGCCATTCTTGAGACACAGAACAACGATCAATGACTTTGTGTCGCGCAATAAGCCCAGTGATGTCGCAATTTTCCATCAAAAAGTCTCTAAATCATCCATCTTCAGTGGCCGTAGTGAGGGTGCCTTTCTTTCCAGCGTGCCCTCTATCAACCGCACGGCGCGCGTTGGATAATGTGGACTCCGTGGACCCCTTGTTCCGAATCGGCGAGTCGGGAACTCGGGGATATAGACAGTAAAGGCGGGAGACGGATTCATAATCCTGTTGGTGAATTATCAATGGTGGGGTTAAATAGTGGTACGGAACTTTTCCTAGATTGATAGCAAGGGACATGACTTGCCAGATTCACAGGTTCTCAATTGATAATAATCATGGCGTGATAAGTCACTAAATCGTGCGATCATTAAGGGCAATTCTTTATACAAGATCGAACATCTCTTCCGCAGAATAGTAGTCTGACATTTTCAATGTTTAGATACATGGATGAATGACTTAGCTACGGCAGCTACCTATCAACCCATATTACACGACGACATAAAAATGGCCATTGCATTGCGATCCCTGCACGAAGCCGTGACCTCGTCGGTCGGCATTACAAATGCGACGATATTAGTCTACTCTCAAACAATACTCATCATAATTATAGTACTATTCATCGGAAACGAATATTATCGATGGGCTATCCGCATTAGCGGAATTCCGGGCCCGATTGGCCTTCCATTGATTGGGAATCTACATCAAATTCAAACAGTTTCACCCCCGGAAAAATATCGTCTTTGGTCCCTGAAATATGGACCGACTTTTCAAATTCAGCTAGGCAATGTTCCGATACTTGTCATTAATAATGCTGCAGCTGCAAAAGATCTTCTCATACGTGAAAGCGCGGCGTTCAACTCAAGACCTCTCTTCTATGTTTTCCACAAATTTGTTAGCAAAGAGATTGCCAGTATCGGGACGAGCCCGTGGGATGAAAGCTGCAAGAAAAGACGCAAAGCAGCTGCCTCTGCTCTCAATATCATACAAGTAGATTCATACGCCCCAGTAAAAGTCACCGTGCCCAGGAAAAGAAAGTACATTTAACTAACTATCCCAGATTCTGAGATTGGAGTCCAGTGAATTTATACAAGAATTGAGGCAAGCGTGCAAAAATGGAGACACGCCAATTGAATTCCACTCATTCGCTCGGCGTTTCTCTATGAACTTGTCACTGACCTTGAATTATGGTGCCCGGTATAAAACCAGATCCTCTGATGGCGATGATTCTCAGTAGCTGACGCACATTCAGAGCATCTAATCAAAAAAATTTCGACGGAAACCCGCTAATTAATGAGATCAACGCTGTTGAGTCCGAAGTAGGGAAGTATCGTTCGACATCAAGTAATGTCAAGAACTATGTGCCTTTGCTTCGGGTACTAGACCCGTTACTGCTGTTACTTCCTGGAAACTCGTTACAGAAAGCATTGGATATTGGAAAACGACGACTACAATACCATGCATCTTTACTGGAGACTCTAAAGTCTGAAATCGACAAGAATACCGACAAGCCATGTATTCAAGGGAATATGCTGAGAAACCCCGAGACTAGAAATCTGTCGGACTCAGAGCGGCTCAGTGTTAGCCTCAGTATCATGGCGGTATGTTCATCTAATGTTCTCGTTGTTATTTACTTTGCTGAATTGAGAATTACTGGCATATAGGGTGCGGATAGCAATACACCAACGATTGCGTGGGGAATTATTTTTCTCGCCCATAATCCTGAAATTCAAGACAAGGCATTTCAAGAGATTAAGGAATCTCAAGTTCTCGACAACGACCCCTTCGGAAATGGAAAAGTTCCTTATGTAGATGCGTTTACCAAGGAATTGAATAGATACTATACTATCCTCCGCCTGGCGATGCCAAAAGAGGTTACTGCACCTGTAAAGTACAATGGGACTATCATTCCCAAGGGAACGATGGTCATATTGAATTCATGGGCATGCAATCGCGGTAAGCACACTTTTTCACGCACATTACTCTTGGTATATCAAATGATATGATGCATTAAAACTGACATGAGCCACCTCGTAAGACCCTGATCTTTTCAAAGACCCTTTCTCGTTTAGTCCCGAACGCTGGTTGGAGAGCGAAGATCCGCATGCCCATCAGTTCGCCTTTGGAATGGGATCCCGTATGTGTGTCGCTTCAAATCTGGCCCATAAAGCGCTTTATCTTGCATTTTTGCACTTAATAGCGCATTTCCACATTCTGCCAGCGGATGAAGGCCAGCCGAAAGGCGTTGCGCACCCGATTGACGGTGCCAGCGACTCCAGAATCACGTCTACGTCGCCGAAAATCACCAAGGCCAGATTCGTACCGAGGGGACAATTCCCATTCTGAGTGAATACGATGTCTTCAGAAATCATTATCACCATTAAGGTATGGATGTGGATCATGATTGTTCTACTTGACAGGCGCCTGGGTAGATTTACAAAATTGCCCACTCGGAGACATTCCGTGTTTCCTCCGACTCGCCGACGCACCCCGCTTGACGCTATTCGAATATATAATGGCGTGATACATATAAACACGCCACTTTCTGTTCTAAGGCACGTGATGTGCGTTGTTAATTAGTATTTCACTGTCTAATTGGGCAGAGTAACTGCAGTGGAGGGTGTAGATAGATATTAAAATTCGCAGTCGCCGTTTCGCACTCTAGATGACCATCAATTGAATATGCCCCCCCAGGCTCGCGAGAAGCTGAGATACCCGCGCCCTGCCTCCTTGGCATGTACGGAATGTCGCCGTAGACATCTCAAATGCGACGCGCGGCTCCCCGTTTGCTCGCGGTGCTTGGAGTGGGGTTGTAATTGCCGTTACTTGAAGTCAAGAAGGGGTGGAAAGCGAAAATATCCTATCGTGCCAAGCGATAATCAAGACATTGTGGAAACCAATAACAACGATTGTCACGATGTGATCATATCATCTACCCAACAGCTCCAGGCTGAATCATCGCCGGCAGCAGCACTGTTCAATTTGAATAGACCCTGGCCAGGGAGTATCGAGCAAGATACAAACAGAAGCGTCACTATTGACACCCCAATTGCGATCTCGCAATACGAAGGAACACCACCTCCCGGGTCGCTATACACTGCGCAAGAGCAATTTGCTGCTAGCAGCGATGGGGCAGTTAGGATCCCAGCGGACGACACCCTTGTGGAGCTTTACTATGAAAACTTCCATCGCAGCCATCCGATACTGCTTCCAAAGATCGTATATGATGAAGGTCACCAATACCCTCGATATCTGAATTTGGTTATCCAGTACATTGGCAGCCATTACTCCACTATTCCAACAGCAGCCTTGGGGACCCTGGCGACCGATGAACTAAACAAAGCAAGAGATGGACAAGTCTCGCTCGCGCTTGTGCAAGCCAAGTTACTGTTGGCCATAGCGTTCTACAGCAATGCAAATGCCCAGGAGGCACGCAAGTGGCTTTTGCAGGCCATAGATGCAGCTACAGGCTTAGGAATGAACGGGAAATCATTTGCAGACTTTAGCTACGTACAAAATGGGATAGATATTAAAGCTGAAAGTGCGAGGAGAACATGGTGGGAGCTATATGTGCTAGATGGTTTGATCACAGCATTTGATTATAGAGACATGTCAAATTTCAACATCAGTGTCAAGAAATGTGACGTCGAGATGCCTTGCGAAGAAACTGTTTACGCGGAAGGGAAACGTATTCCTAGTCCCTATTCTCGTCAAGAACTCGAGTCTCGAGTATTTGGTGAACAGGAAGGCGGAGAAGGGATTTTGGAAACGCACGCAAGTGGCATCCTTTCATCTTTTACATACCGCATCGACGCGATAGATATCCTCGTACAAGTTGTCGCGGTAAGGGACCAAAACAATGCCAAACGGGACAAGGTTCAAGCTGTTGACAACACACTCGCTAGTTGGGCACACTATCTTCCAGCTAGCAAAGCTGAAATTGTTAACGCTTATGGCGAAATCGATGAGATGTTGCTTCAGGCTCATATGGTCATACAAACAGCTGCCATTCTTCTACATTTTCCAAGGAGTAACCTCAACTTAGACGGCGTGTTCATCAACAGAGACGATACAGATATCAATGTTCTCTATGGCCCATTATCACAAAGGCTTCCTCCCTCTTCCACTAGGCATATTCACGGCATAAAAGCGACGGAAGCTTCAAAACGTCTTTCTAACCTCTTTTCGCTTTGCACGTCCATGCAGAAGAATAGTCCCTTGTTTGCATTTAGCCTCTCCCTTTGCGGGCTTGTGCAACTAGCAACATTCCGCGCTCATGCTCGCATTGATACATCTCTGAGTTGTTTGGAACAACATCGTGCCCGAGTACGTCTCATTGTTGGGCTGTTGAAATCGTCTAGTGAAACGTGGCCGCTTTACAAAGTCATTCAGCGAAGATTGAAAAAGACTGCGATTGATACCTTTCAGATAACGAAATCTAAATATTCAAGCGTGAAACTGCCAGAGCTGCCTTCTGGTGGTGCAGATGAAGCTCAGTCCGTTAATCGTTCCACGGATATAATATTCCAACCCGGAGCTGCTCACACATGGATGCCACTGCCTGGACAATTTGATTGGCCTGAACTGGCGCCTTGGGTTTGGGGATAGATAAATGAACCTGTATCAGAAAATTTTGCAACCGAGGAACCAAACTAATCCTTACTACTTAAGGGTGCGCCCTTTTGGTACCGTGGTTAAAGGTTTGACTGCTGCATATTTAGTGTTATGATCCATGTGTTTCCGCTACTCTGAAACTCCCGCTTCGTGATTTATACGTTCCTTGTATATCATGTGCTATAAATTAGGTCCCAATATCCCTATGTATCTAGATAACCATCATCCATATACCTCAAAATGCATATCTCTTATAGATCGTTACACCTAGACTCAATATGGCACAAAATCGTAAAAACGCTCACATAAAGAGTTCTGATCAATATTGAACGAAGGGTTACATTCCATGTAGCATCACTTATGCGGCCTTCGTCAACATTTCATGCCATGTAAATTCAAAATCTTTAAAGACAACCGAGCCGCCAATAAACAAATTATCGTGGTTATCTACATGTACGTGGCGACTTCATAACGCATCTTAATACTGCGCCAACATAACTATTCTCTACCGTGAGCTTATGCTGCTTGGATTGTGACATCAGTCATAAAAAGCTGACATTGAAATCTAACAACAATGGGGTTGATACAATTTGTAGTTCCCGACATACCGAGACGCCGACACCACAGGCACATCACATCAATTATAGTTATTCGTTGTCCGTGGAGACATTCCGGATATCTATCCAGTCGGCGAATCAATTGATAAGATAACATTGAAAAAAGATGTCGGTGAAAACAGGCGAAAACATCCAAGTTGCATACTAATGTCTTCCCTCTCGTTCAACCACAATTACTTCGGCTGCCTAGGTTGATTTTTATCATTCATCATCTCACACTGAAAAAATGCCGACGATTGATTTAGACACAACCCATGCGGCTTCAGGGGTTTTAGGAGGTGCTACTACAAATCAAGCTTTAGTACTATCTAGACCAGGAACATCGTCGACGTCCCGCAGAACCTTGTTTTGGGGGCTCGGAACACTTGGGGCAATTATCGCCAGCGTGTTTCTCAGTCCCCTCATGATAAATCAACAATCATCGCCTGAAATAGATCCTACAGATTATGCTGCCCGGACTAGACATGTTCTCAGCACGACGCCTCTCATCGATGGTCATAATGACCTTCCCTACCTCATACGCACAGAGCTTAAGCACCAGATATACAACGACAGATTCACGTTCAATACGGGCCTCTTGAGTAATACTGATCGCGAAAAGCTTCGCAGTGGCATGGTTGGTGGACAGTTCTGGTCAGCGTATATTCATTGTCCTAAAGATGCTGCTACAAAAAACGATGTGCCTTTGGAAGACCCTACAGTACACACCCTTACCTGCCATACCTTACAAGTATTTGAATAGGAGATCATACTTATAAAGTCTGTAGTGGACGCTTCGTGACACGCTTGAACAAATCGACATCACGAAACGTTTTGTTGCCGAATATTCGGATCTTTTTCATTACTGTACCAACTCAACTTGCGCACGGGAGGCATTCGCCAACGGGAAAATTGGCAGTTTCATTGGCATCGAGGGAGGTCATCAGGTTGGTAATTCGCTTGCGTCACTCCGACAACTGTATGACCTTGGGGCACGATACATCACCACGACACACAACTGTGACAATGTCTTCGGTACTGCTGCAAGTACCGTTAGTGCTGGCGGCGAAGATAGAGGCCTCACAGCGTTTGGGGAGGAATATGTAGCCGAGATGAATCGCCTCGGTATGATGATTGATTTATCGCACGTATCACACGAAACGATGCGGGATACGCTTCGACTCAGTCAAGCGCCTATCATATTTTCGCATACTGGAGCTTATGCCCTGTCCAAGGTCCTCAGGTTTGCTCCTGATGATGTTCTTCGGGAAACCGCTGAGAAGGGTGGGGTGGTCATGATAACCTTTATCAATCGCTTTCTACGACCGGACAGCCCTGATGCTGCTACTATCCACGACGTTGTCGACCATATCTGGCATGTTGCCCAGGTGGCCGGATGGGACCATGTTGGCGTCGGCTCTGATTTTGATGGGACGCCTGTGACGCCCCGGGGATTGGAGGTGAGTTTATTCCAATTTATTGCCCGATAATTTTATGCCTGTAATCTTCAGAGCATTATAGCTTATAATGGGTATTGGAATTCCAGGACGTGTCCAAATACCCTCGTCTCGTTGAATTGCTGATGGAACGAGGTGCGACGGATGACCAAATACGCAAGTTTGCCGGCGATAATATACTACGTGTGTGGGAAGAAGTGGAACGCGTAGCTGAAAGAATTCAAGCGTCTGGCACAAGGCCGAATGAAGCATTGTGGGATGGGAGAACATGGGTAAGGAGTGAGATGAGTCCACCGACCATGTTTCGAGATAGCATTGGAAAGAGGATTCCTAGTTATTTAGGACAGCCTTGAGAATAGAAAAACCAAGCCGAGGAATTTCAGGATTAGGGTTTTCCTGTTTAAACATTTGATCAACTGAAGAATTTCTAGTCTTGGAACTCGTCCTCCGTCAACAAACTTGAAAGCACAGACGCATCGCATTACTAGACACAAAGAAGACATACTCGTGCTTGGCGCAATTGCAAAATCACACGCTATATTGCGATGCCTGTAAGAGCTGTACTGCGGACCCAGTAATATGGCGAATATTTGCTTGTATCTTCAGTGAGGGGTAGCTTGTTGTGTTTCCCATTTCACTCCAGGAGCACGCAATCGTGATGCCCGCCAGCGTAGTGTCCTCCTCCATCTGAATAGTGACCAACTCACCATACTTAATTGGCCGCAACACCATCTCAGTTTGCAGTGCCAAGTTGACCAGATTATTAGTGCTCTGACTTAAAGCTCTGTTGCTGGGAGCCTAGGGTATAAAGAACCTCCTCATCAGCATGGCGACAGTAGCGGATCGCTCGACAGAGTCGACACCTCTCCTGAGCCTTGGTAGCAGAGAGACGCATCCAGAAATGTCGATCACTAACACCGATATCTCGTTCAAGGCGAACCCAGAAGAGACAAAGGCGGATACAGATGCTATTTTCCGAACTATCTCTGGAGACAGATATTCCGATAAAAACCCCTTTCTTGATCCAGAGGTCGCAGAGTACTGGCGGTTAACATATGAAAAGTCACAGTATGAATGTCGACATGTGTTTGATCCAGCTTTGACATGGTCTGAGGAAGAGGAGAGAAAATTGGTTCGGCGACTAGACTGGAGGGTTTGTTTATGGGCGGTATGGGGATTTTTCCTTCTGATTCCTGTTATTTTCACTCTCATGATTAATTCAAATTTAGTGCGTGATGTTTTTTGGACTGCAAGTGGATCGAGGCAATCTAACCCAAGCCGTATCTGACACATTTCTTGACGACCTTAAATTGAATACGAATGGTGAGCCGACTTCCACCGAGTTTGATTCTCCAATTTGCTACATTACTAATCACGTGTGTAGACTACAATTGGGGAAACACAGTCTTTCGGCTTGCTTTTTTGTTTGCCGAATTACCTTCACAGCTTGTATCGAAAAAGATCGGGCCAGATCGGTGGATTCCAACTCAGATTGTCCTATGGTCAATCGTCGCCATCTCACAATGCGCATTGACTGGTCGGCGCTCTTTTCTTGTCACACGAGCTTTACTAGGTGTTCTCGAAGTTTGTTTCAAATTTCTGTCCAAATTCATCTAATAAATCGTTGGCTAACTCATAATCTACAGGGGGGTTTTATTCCCGACATTGTGCTATGGCTGTCCTATTTCTACACTTCTAGAGAGTTACCCATCCGCCTGAGGTAATTTTATGGATTCAAAACCCCTCTAGTACGAGTGCGATTCTCTACTGACACTGTCAACGTATAGTTTCTTCTGGGCGACATTATCTTTCACTTCAATTGTTACTTCGCTGCTGGCTTTTGCCATTTTTCATCTTAGCGGTGTTCATGGCTGGGCAGGTTGGCGATGGTTATTTCTCATCGAAGGATTAATTACTCTCGCTGTTGGTTTGGTATCGTTTTTCATGATGCCTGCCTCCGCTGTTCAGACCAAGACATGGTTCCGTCCTCATGGATGGTTCAACGATCGCGAGGTCGCTGTTGTTGTGAATCGAGTCCTACGAGACGACCCTTCCAAAGGGGACATGCATAATCGCCAAGCAATTACACCACAAAGACTATGGGATGCAGCAACAGATTATCATCTGTGGCCATTGTATCTTATCGGCTTCTTAGCATATATCCCACAATCACCTCCTAGTACATATATTACGTTAACGCTACGTTCAGTCGGATTCAGTAAATTTTCCACAAATTTACTAACAATTCCATACAACGTCCTTCACATAGGGACCCTACTCCTTTTAACACGGCTCTCCGGATGGTTGAATGAAAAAACCTTAGTGGCCATGTTACAAGGGATATGGACTTTGCCTTGTATCATCGCCTTACGTTTTTGGCCCAATGTCATTGATGACGCATGGGGCACGTATGCATTGGTTACGGTGTTACTCAGTTATCCTTATTGCCATGGTATGTTTTAGTATATTCTACGTTGGTGGTATCATATTACCACAAAAGAAATTTATCAAGTTAACTGTTCCTTAGCGATTCTTGTCGGATGGACATCTACAAACTCTAACAGTGTTGGGACGCGCTCCGTCTCTGCCGCACTATACAATGTAAGTCGCCTTATTGACATGAAATGAAATTATAACTTATGTCTTATGTTTGAAAAGATGGCTGTCCAAGTTGGCGACATTGGTGCGTTTTTCGTCTATCGCGAAGATGACAAACCAAAATACCATCGCGGAAACACTAATCTATTAATCATCAACATCGTTGTTATTTTCGTCTTTCTCGGAACAAAACTATACTATGTTTATCAGAATCGGCGAAGAGATCGTATTTGGAATGCCATGACTGGTGATGAAAGAAACAACTATATCAAAACGACCAAGGAACGTGGAAGTGCGAGGCTAGATTTCCGATTTGTTCATTGAAGTAGCAGGCACACTGAAGCGAAAGGGAGCGGATAGCGCTAAAAAGGGAATCCAGAGTCATCATCTATGGAGTTTCACCATTCGAACCGTTCCTTTGATAGATAGATGTTTTTTGTATACCTTGGGCTACATAATACGCCCCTAGGTACACATTTGGGGGGGAGGGGGGGGTTAAATTGCCGCGGTCGATCCAGGACATCCTAGTAGTCCCTGTATGCGGCCTTAAAGTTGAGCCGTAGCAAATAACCCATCACTTAACCCAATGCACATCCACATTTTTCTGATTGGACAATTTTGACAGTACTAACCTGCAGAACATATGACAATTGCATAAAGTTTCCAGGCTTGAAGTAGGTAAACCCGAGGTATCTTTCGGGAATTATTTTACACTGTGGATTGAATGATTAATTGATATTTCCCTCGTACCCGTCAACTTGACGGGTGCACATTTAGCAATTGGTCGACATAGAAATGGAATATTCCGTTGCACCATTTGGATGTAAGCATCTCCGATTTATAAAAGAAATGTGTGCCTTTAGATGACAATTTTTTTCTGCCAACAGACGTTTTCGACAAACATTATGGTTAGTCACCAGGTAGCATTCGATTCTCTCACTTCAGACATTAATAAGATGTTCACGTTTCCAAAGTTAAACCCGGAGATAACGAAGAGGAGCGCGTACAGGTCAGTTATTGGGTAAAGCTTGTCATACTCTCCTGACATTCTAACAAAATTATTTAGCGCACAAGACATTCCAATGCCGGTAGAGTTGATACGAAAACCCCCAGATATATCTATTGGAACCCCTCAAGTCCATCGGCCTCGTGTATAGGAGATATCAAAGAAGGAATCACATCCAGTGAAGCAGACCTCGTTTCAAAAATTAATCAACACCCTCGAGGCGTTGATGATAGATTTTCCAACACACACTATAAATCTCCACCGCATCATCCGAAAGAATCCGATCTAATGAACAACTTTTTCTGGTGTTGGGGCTGGGTCTTAACAGATCCAATCAGTTCAGCTTCATTACGTGACAACAGAATTGAGGGTAGAGTTTACAAGGGGCTACCGGAGGAAACTCAACAGAATCTTGACTTCATGCCTTTTTTAAGTTGCGGAGGTCCACGGAACACACAAATAAAGAAGACTCCTAGGAAATCTTAGTATCGAATTCGCAATCAGGTCGCACACTAGGTATGGAAATTATCAGTTTACTTATTATCGGTCTGCGAATGTTGGTCTGTAAGGTATAACACGAATATCAACGCTTAACAAGGATTGTAAAGCTATATAGAGTATGATCTTGCTTTTGGAATCTAAACTATGCCGCCAGAAAATCTCTGGAGGTTGAATCCTTCTTAGTTGAGACCCCAAGAAAAACAAACTCTAGCAAAAAACCGAAGAATGGCTCTCCTAGACCGCATATTTGCCACTTACCGAGGCGTAGTGAATGGCACGTAGTGATGATTGATCGTGCAAATGGGTATAACTAAGGCTGTATCGACGACACTCTGGATGGCAGGGTGTTTAATTTGTTTCGGATAGATCACCATCCGATGCGGAGAGACGGTTACACCGGCCGATGAGAACGTAGAATAAAACGAGAAAATGCATCATTTCTGGGTTTGTGCATATACATTCAAAAAATATTTAGCTTACCCGCTCCAAACACATTCCAAGTCGTTTCATAATCCAAATTCTTTTCACCTTGACGAATAAAGCTCCTTTATTCATGAAAGCTCCCACCACGTACCCTATCCTTGGAGAGCATTTAACTATGGAAGAAGTCATTTCTAATCCTCTGGCAGAAAATGGGTGGTTCTGAAAGTTCTTTATTCAAGTCTTGACCCGTACTTGCGTGGTCGTGTGCGGCCAGGGGTAAAGTCGTATATTGCTGCATTTAAACTTGGCGATCCTATTTCTTCCCGAGGAGTTACGAAAGTGATTGGGTCGAGCTTCTCTAGTTACAAAGAAGGTGACATTCTTGGTGCTCTTCCAATCTAGGAATATATGACTATTAAGGATGAAGAGTTCAGTAGTTTATCACTAGGTGCGCTTGATGTGCCGGGGCTCACTGCTTACGCGTCCCTCTTTGAAACTGCAAAGCCCCTCAAAGGAGAAACCATCTTCGTTTCAACCGCAAGTGGAGCAGTTGGTCAGACCGTCGGCCAAATTTCCAAGCTTCAAGGGCCAACTGTTATCGGGCATTTTTGGTTCTGATGAGAAACTGGACTTCATTACACGGGAGCTGAGCTTTGACGGTAGTTTCAGCTACAAAATAGGGGAAACCGGTGGTGCTCTCCCTCATTTATCGCCAAAAGGGATAGATATTTATTATAAAAATACCGTGATGAGCAACTTGATGCGGCGCTTAAGGCCCTGAAACCCCACGGTTGTATCGTAGTGTGTTACATGATCTTCTAATATTATAAGGCCCTTGAGGGTTAATATACTGTTAAAAACATTCACCTTATCTTAATCAAGTATCTGACCAGGGTGGGATTTATTGTGGGTGAACTCATCCAGAGGTCAGGGCCTCGATTTTATGAAAAGATGCACAGGTGGATTCACGATGGCGTTATCAAGACCGTGATATCTGAGACGGATGAAATCGATAATGCTACAGAAGGCTTGGTAGGCATGTTCTACTGGAAACCTTTTGGAAAGGCAATTTTGAAGATCTAGGAGCGAATTTCCTGAAGGTTATGAAGGACGCAATGTGATATCCACAATTATGAACCGAAGCTCCGGTTACTCTAAAGTCCAAATACATTCTCTAAACTACACATCCGATTGATGAAATTATTAAGCTTTGATCAGCACTTTTTAAAACACCAATGAGGCGTATAAACTTTTTTGGGGAGCTTTAAATCAATTTGGCTCCTTTCTCCGAGCTTGAAGTGGAAATTAATACAATTTCAGATGTTTTTTATTGTCCTCACATTCTTCTAGCTGAGTAACATTGCCTAGTCTATGATAAAATGAGAATTTGGGAAGGGGGGGGGGGTTCAAATACGGAGTAAAGCGATAGCTATGGCCGTTTCCTGTGGGGCAAATCGGCCAACGGTGTAAAGAATTTGTCCGCACAGGTTGCGTGCGGGATGGTAGTAACGTTGAAGATGAAAGTGCAGTCAGACGAAACACAGCAACGGCCGGCCTTCAAATCAGTGTTAATCTTTGACCAAGAGTAATATCTCTATCTAGGATCCATTCATTATAAGAGGTGTTTATTAAATAATACTTTCAAATACATCTATTCCTTAGATATCTTATTAGGTGCGTCATGTTTCTTCCTCATAGCACCATTGTTGTATATCTATATCTGTAAGGTCTATGACCTTATTAAAATCTACCAAAGATTTAATTATAGGCCAGTCAAATGTATGTTTTAAGTAATCTCCATGCTTTCCTACATATACTTTCAGTCAATTGGTAGTGTATAGTAGTTATAAGAGCTTAAAGAACACTTAAAAACAGAGGTTTATCTTTGTATTTTTCAAGTACTCCGTTGATATAGATAAAAGCTAAGATTAAAAAATATTAAAACCAAGGATAGATATCTTTCACATTTTTATATCCCAAATTCCACTCGCTCTTAATTTATGAGGAACAGAACTAAGTGGTAAACGCTAGTATTGCTACAAATAAAGCATTGATATCTGATATGGGCCTGAGATCCGAGAGTTTATTATAAAAATTAGGAGTAGCAGGCGATACCGAGCTTGCGACACCGGCTCTCGTCAAGACTATGGGCCGCATACCGTTTGTCACACCATTTCAGCTGAATTGTCGATCTGTTGTGGTAGATGCGACATCTTGCAACAATAATATCAACAAAAGGCGGGCTATGGCAAGGGAAAGCGAATTGCGAAACGATGCATGTATAGTTCACAGAGAGACAAAAGGTAGTCTACTGAGTATCGATTGGATTGAATACTCTTTTAAATACACCTATCACAAGATTTAATTCCCACGTTCGATCTCGCCGCTGTGACATAGACCTAAAATCCAACAGGCTGCGGTACCGATCAAGGGATTCTGCACGTTGACAATATCCTGACTCTGTTAAGTGTCAAATCTAAAAAATTTGGCCTGAAAATTCAACTGGATATGCTCCAATTCGTTCCTAGATACGCCGGAGTAGTCTTCGTAGCACCAGCCACAATAGCACCGGAAAGTACAAGGGGTTTGACCCTCTTGCGATGCTCTCTTTGGCAGCGTATATTAGACTAGTTCCAATGAATATTTCCACATGCACATATAGCATCTGATTTCCAGTCTCTTTTCCGTAGAGTCCTATTTGTCCATCACAATGTAAAGAAACTCTTTCTTGCGTCAGCGCACGGCCGTTCAAGAAGAGATCGAAAAGCAGGATGTTAGAAAGGTAGAGAACTAATAGACTGTCCGCATTGCCAAACATTATTGATGGAGCCTGGTGCCACTCCTCCTGTTGATATTTATCCATGTCTTTCATTATGTGCCCCAAAGAACTTTTAGCAACTGGATAGCAAGATCCAAGAACGCGAGCGACCAGATGAATAAGACTTATGCGAGTGTGCTTGGCCGTGTTCGAGAGCGTCACAAGCTGAAGGGGAGAAGAGAATCACTCATAGACTCCCTGCTAGACGAAGCCGACAATCTCGATCTGAATCGCCATCAACTCTACTTCCTCGCTGGCGTATTGATGGAAGCAGGGTGAGACACGACGAGCTCACTTATTCCTGCGTTTGTCCGTGCTATGACTAGATGGTGCCATGTCCTGAGGATTGTACAGGAGGAAATCGACGTTGTAGTCGGTGACGATCGAACCCCAGTCTAGTCAGACTACTCGCAGCTGCCCTACGTGGCGACCATAGTGAAAGAGGCCCAGAGATGGCGGCCCGTTGTGCCTTTAGCCTTTCCTCGTGTGGCCGCTAAAGGTAGACCAATCTTCTACATCGCTATATGCGTTCGGCGTTAACGGAAATTTACAGATGATTGGATCGATAGCTACTTCATCCCCAAAGGCACAACGGTTATCAATCAACTCTTGGGTTATGCACAATGATGAAAAACGCTACCCGAACCACGATGCTTTCGATCCCAATCACCACAAGGGTCGGAACACGCTTGCCCCCGAGCTCGCAGCTGCAGCGGACTATGAGAGCCGCGATCACTACAGTTATGGCTCTGGTCGTCGAATTTATCCGGGGATCCATCCAGCTGAACGAAATTCGTTCTTCGCGATGACTAAACTAATCGCTTGTCAGTTATGAGAACTTTGCTTTCCACTGCAGGCTATCGAGAATGGATTTAGGGAAATAGACCCAGCTAATGTATTTCAAATGACTATATCCTTTTTGTTATATATGTAAAAAGGTAAATAGTAAATATTTAAATATTAAATTTACACATGAACTATAAATGAACTAATTAACTAAGCTGAGAATGCTGATATAATATAGATTTAAAAGCAAACGCTAAAGTTAAAAAAATCAACCCCAAAAGATTAGATTCATCCCTTAAAATTGAAGTTTTGGTAAGGTACTGATAGAATATGCTTAGGACAATTAGTGAGTGCCTCACAGTGCTTAGTAGGTAGCTCTAGAATGATGTCCCTATCCAAGGTCAAGTGCTCATTAAATAGCACCTGCGGGCATTGCATATGTAGAAGCTCAGTGAGTGTTGGTTATGTAGGAATCCGCCAACACCTACTTACAACGCCGGATGTTTATTCTAAAAGAAATACGAACTTTTAGTCAGTTCGTTGAGCCAGTAATAAAGAATAATATATACCGATTGATACATTATGTACATGTACCTGAAGAGAACATTTGAAATGGCGACATTAAGAGTCCTCGAACCGCCGATGCCCAGTTGTCTTTATGTCTACATATAATAATGTAGTGATGAGCATAAATATTTATAGCAACAGACAGACGTATTAACCACCAGATCATAGTCATGTCGACAAAGCCATTGGCAAGGTTGACGTGCAGGACAGTGGATAGACTGACTGCTTACTAAAACACAGAGAATTATATTAACATTGAATGTTTCAATATAAAGAATAATTGCCTCTTGGTCATAGCTCATTATCCGAAGCCACGCCAAAACAGTGTTCAGTATCTAGGTAAGGAGGCGAGAAAATCGAACTAACCGGGTCTCAATTAATATTGAATCCAAGACGACCACTATCCTCAGAAGTACCTCGTCCTCCCACTAATAAGGATGTGGTGAGATAATCTCCGATCTTCGAGCCGGGGGCGGCGGCCTGGATTGGTTAGAGATGCGACCCCTCTCAAGGTGGGTTTCTTGGCCATCTTGCATTTTTCAAAGGACCGTCATGATTCGTGAGCACCAGCCGTAGTGAAACCAGTTGGATCATTAGTGGTGGAGAGAAGGATTTATGCTTTCTTCCCCCACATGCAGATCAAGCGATCATGAGACCTGCTGCTCGTCTTCACCGTTTTTTCGGCTTCATTAGGATTGTCAGAGGGATAGAATGCCGAATGAGACGGAAAAAGAAAAGTGACGTGAAATTTTATCCTGTCTCCATGCGAATAATAAATGGCAGGTGAAGTCGATTGAGCTTCTCAGAGAAACCTGAGGCACCCTGCAAAGGATGCGTAGTCAGGCTCCACATTGAAGATGATTGGGCCTTCTCTTCCACATTCTTTCAAATGTTTCTCTTGTTTCAATTATTCTCCACACGAACAATAACTAGAGAATAAGTTTTGAAAATATATTATATACTTTGAACTTATTTGCCGATAGTCGTAGAAAGCGAAGCGACATCTATCACACCGTGTCGATGGGTCTGTGTACTGCTGGGTTTAAATTTCCTTGATATAGGCTTTCTTTTCCATGGTTCTAGTTAACGTCGAATTCCAGAAGCTTTCCACACTGCTCTTCCTCCTCGTCTTCTTATTATTGACGAGTGTTACGTAACTTGCCCGTGTATCCATGGGCCGGGGGTCATGAGGTACAGATCCACGAGCTAGCATCTCGAAAGGAGTAACAGAGTGGTGAGGTCATGATGGTTCCATGCCGGCCATGCCACGGGCTAGCCTGCTTTGTACCGCGCCAGCAGATAGAGTTTTTTCCGCGTTCTAGTGCTGATGGTGCTGACAGGGGATGAGGGGCCTGGCAAAGCAGCCATAGGCTGGAGATGCAGCTGATGTTGTTGAGTGGCGTCATGGTGCTGTTGTCTTTGGGCGGGGTCGGTATGTATGAAGGGATTACATATGCACTAATCATGTAGTGCACGGCTACTGCATTACTCCCAGCAGCAGAATCACCAAGGATGTATGAGAAGGACAATTCTTGTTGGCTTGGGGCATGTGTCTGGCGAAACCGATCGACCACCATTCGACATCTGCATGCTTTCTCTGACCATGCTGTTCCAACTTCTGACTGGCTTGCAGGAGTTTTTTTATCTTTTCCGTCTGGGCCAGACTGATCTAAGGCACGCAGAATGGGGGTGCCAGACAAAGGCCTTCTGCTGCTATTATTTGCATGTCTGACGGGTCAACTGGTGCTGTAAATTCCGCCCGTCACATGGCTTGTGTCAGTGATATCACAGCTCAGTCGACACTGGAAGGGCGTAGGCAAGGGATGCCAGCAGTGCAGAGATAGGCATTTATCATGGACCAAAAGAGACAAAAAGGGCACAATGTGAGTGAGCATGGGGCCAGAAAGAGCAAATATCCCATTTATGCAAGTTCACAGCAAAGGAGACAAGAGTAGGAGTAGTCTTTTCCAGCAGGTCGCGAACTGTGATAAGCAGCCAAAACGGTGGATAAGAGACACAGGTGCGCTATTCCTCTTTAGGCCTACTATGGGGCCACTAGATGCTGGTTATTGGTCCACACTCATAGCTTAATCAAGTAGACGCGCTCGCGAGACATTCACAGCACGACGAGCCAGCGAACCTAGAAGCGAGCCTAGCAGCGAGCCTGCAGCAGGCTTTGTGTGGCAATATAAGAGCAGGATAATAGTTTAATAAAAACACCATCGTGTCCTTGGCAAATGCATATAGTATAGAAACTACAACAACAGAACTCGTCACTCTCACTCTTCGCTGTCAGCCAACTGCCCGCCCCACCGCCTCCCCGCTGGCCAATCACCGCCGGCTGTGCTCCAACTGGGCCGCGTCTGCCGGTTGCCATTTGTCGCGACTGCCTCACCATCGACAGTTTACTGCCACTGCCTTCCCTCCTCCTTCCGTGAGACACGCCAATAATAAGAACAGCGCTATTATCGATTCATCTTTCCCTCGTCCTCGAACCACCCCGACCCGCCTCTGCATGCTATTCAACCTCCACGCCGAGTATCTTCGCTGCTGGGACCGCTTCTCTGGCTTCCGACTGCCACTCCACGTCTGATTGACTGTGCTTGCCTCCGCTCTCACACCCCACCCGCTGGCTGCTGTGGACAAACAGCCACAACACTGGCCATCCCCAACCTCTTGACCTATCTCAGTCTGAGTATAAGGACGTCTGGTCACTGGCTCTCGTCACAGGCAGTGTTTGCAGTGGGATCGCTCAATCCCCAGCTGCCTTGGATACATACTTGTTTCCACGTCCCCCGCCATGGCTTGCTGACCCTCCACGAGCGAAGCCATAGCTGCTCACGGGCAGCCGATCTGCCTGGCAGACGGTCGGGCTCTGCTTGATCCTTTGCTAGGGTAACGATTACGGTCGAGAGGACAAGGTGCTAAGTCACAGGAAGCCTTCCGCCATGGCTGCGAACGATGCGGATGCGTCACGATTCCTCGCCCCGCCTGCCGTTACGGCTTTAAGGGCAGAGGCTGCAGAACCCCACAGAGTGTCGATGGAACGTTCTTTTAGTGAAGATATGCGAGCCGAACGAGAGGATCTCCGGGAAGCCGCCGAGCAAACATTGAACGTCATTCTAGACCTGGGACTCGACGGCCGCATCAAATGGGTCAGTCCGTCCTGGAAACAAGTCATCGGCACCCCACCAGAGTCAGTAGAGGGAAAACTCATTTCGGACATTCTCTGGTCGAACAAAACGTGTTTTCAAGATGCTGTTAAGTCAATGAAGGAGGATGATTCTCGAAGTCGTTTTATTCGTTTCTCCATCTGCATGGGCCCTGATTCGATGTTGAGGAAGTCCGTTCAAAATGACGACACTGACAAGGATGAGGCTGAAGCGACGGTCACTGGAGGGATGGACGAAGATGTTGCTGGTAATGACGACGATGATATACTGAATATGGAAGCCCAAGGAATTATGGTTTATGATCGTTCCGGCGACGGCGAGGGACATGTAAGTTGCAATTCAGCAAAAACCAAACGATAAACGTTACAAAGAGAGTACTAACGGATCATACAGACTATGTGGATGCTACGCCCGTCAACATCGCCGAAAGAAGTAACCATCGACCTTCCCCCGCTCCTGGTAGAGTCTCTCGGAGTCGGGGCCGAAGTCCTGGCCAACCATTTGACGGCCTTGGCTGAAAAAGGTGGTGAAGCCAGATCTGCCAAAGAAAGCATACCGACCCCGATTCTCTGTCGCATTTGTGAGCGCCAGATCACTCCATGGTGGTTTGAGAAGCATTCGGAACTATGTCTGCAGGAGCACACGGCCGAGATGGAGGTACAAATCGCTCAAGAGAATCTCGACGAGCATCGCCATGCTATTGTCAAAGTTCTCGATGCACTTGAGGCTCGTCAAGGACGACCTCATCCGGGCGATGCTCAGGCATCCCCGATGAGGCCAGAATACAAAGGTCTATCCATCGGCCCATCACCTTCTTCGTCAGGGCCAACCTCTGCATCTGGATCATCACCAGCTACTCCGCCTCGGTCGAGAGACCCCTCAACTTCTGGGCTTGGCCATGGGCGAGGCCGTTCGTTTGCCGTGCGAAGGCCACTATCACGCATTGTTGAGCTCGTTTTAGATCTCTGTGACACTGCGTTAGAAATAAATACTCCGGCACTTAAAGAATCCAGAGCAGACAACCCCGAAGACTTACGCACGCTATCTCCACAATCAGAATCTCGCATCTCTCAAGTCCTCCAATGGCAGTCGCCCAGCAGCAATACCTTAGAGCAAGAACAGGGTCTTGCTGCTCTAGCTGCCGACACAGAACAAGTCGCCAAAGCCAAGGTGGGTGCAGTTGTCCGTCATCGCCGAATAGTCGAATACGCTGAGCGAATTCGAATCGAATACACGGTAATGGTGGAAGAATGCATTGAAGCAGCACTGATCAAAGCTGAACGCATTGCTGCTGGTGACCTGTCTGACTCGTCTTCATCTTCTTACGATGACGAGGAGGAAGAAAGCGATGGTCAACCGGATAAGTCAGAACGAGGGCAGCCGGACTCCTCTCAGCCTACCGAACTAGCTAATTCCGCCCCCCAACCTCAAGAGAACGTCGAAGGACCGGCTCGTATTTCGTCTGATCCCTCTTCTAGTTCCCAATCACCTCGGCGTGGCTCGTCGGTGGCTGTCTCAACTCGCTCGGTTAGCCCGATGGAATGCCCTACTCCGCGTTCACACAAGAGCCTCAGTGGCCTCTTGGGTTCGTCTCAACCAACTAAACGCGGTTCGTTACTGGCAGAGAGTGATATCGGCGATAATAGTGATAGCAGTAGCGTACCGTCATCGTTAATTGCTGGTGCTGTTAGGACCGAGTCACCGTTGTCTGAGTTGGGAATTTCACGCGCAGCGAGTGCTAAGAGTAGGAAGCGCAAGAGTTTAATCCTTTCAAACTTATCTAGCTCCCCACGTCGGCAGCCCTCACCGTCTCGTGTATCAGGCCCGGGATCTCCCTTACGACTTTCTAAGCCTCGGCTTCCTAGTGGAGAGAGCATGCCTTCTCCTAGCATCTCTCCCTTGCTGTCAACGAACGAACTGGCTACTCACGGATTACCGCCGCATTACCATCTTCATACGCACATCTACCATCACCGTCGACAATCGTCCACCGCGTCGTCGGATGTCAAGGCTCCGATCTCTCCCCATTTAAGTTCCGTCAGCCAGCCTCAACCTCGTCCGGCACCACCATCGATAAAAGACTTCGAGATCATCAAACCCATCAGTAAAGGGGCTTTCGGGAGTGTTTACCTTTCGAAAAAGAAGACAACAGGGGAGTACTTCGCTATTAAAGTCTTAAAAAAGGCCGACATGGTTGCAAAGAATCAAGTCACAAACGTGAAAGCAGAGCGAGCGATTATGATGTGGCAAGGCGAAAGTGACTTTGTTGCCAAATTGTATTGGACTTTTTCCAGCAAGGAATATCTCTATCTGGTGATGGAGTATCTCAATGGCGGCGACTGCGCTTCTCTGGTCAAAGTACTTGGTGGTCTACCGGAAGACTGGGCTAAGAAATACATTGCCGAAGTTGTGTTGGGAGTGGAGCATCTACATAATCGAGGAATCGTGCATCGTGACTTAAAACCCGACAACTTTCTTATTGACCACAGCGGCCATCTCAAACTAACAGACTTTGGGCTATCGCGGATGGGGCTTGTTGGTCGTCAGAAGCGAGTGCTGAAGAGTCCAAACGAGTCGGCACCAGATCTACTGAAGCAGGAGTCTTTCCCCAGGGCAATGTCACTGGCTTCATCTCGGTCGGCATCCTTTGATTTCCAAGGCGGCCACTCACCGAGCTCCACTCCAATCATAGCACCCGATACCGGAGGCAGCTACAGCCAACCCTCTTACTTCAACCTCAATCAAAGCGCCTTCCGCGAGCCTCGTGAAAGTTTAGGACGTGGATCGGTTCAACGAAGCGACAGTGGTGGAAGTGACACCTTGCACGCAATGTTCCGTACCTTTTCATTGAGCGAAGGAGGCGAAACACCTGCTCCTTTACCACCTCCATCTCAGGTTATGACTGAAGATGAAGCTCCTAGCGAAGGTGGCGAGTCTCCACACCTGGTCCCCTTAAGTCAGACTGTGAGCATTACCTCCACCTCAGCGTTGCATAGCACTCCGCCTCAACAATCTATGCTACCACCTCCAATGGCTTTGTTTGACCCTGAAGACCATAATCGAAGGTTCGTTGGTACTCCAGATTATCTGGCACCTGAAACAATCAACGGTGTTGGACAAGACGAAATGAGTGATTGGTGGTCATTGGGCTGCATTCTTTTTGAGTTCGTATTCGGATATCCTCCGTTCAACGCCTCGACACCGGATCAAGTCTTTGAAAATATTTTGCATAGACGAATCAACTGGCCTGAAGAATCCCATGAGCTTGCTTCCCCAGAAGCGATTGATTTAATGAACAGCCTCATGACAATCAACCCAGAACAACGCCTGGGTGCCAATATTGAAGAAAAGTTTCCTAATGGTGGCGCAGAAATTAGGGCCCACCCGTGGTTCGCCGATATCAACTGGGATACATTGCTGGAGGACAAAGCGGAATTCGTTCCTAACCCGGAGAATCCAGAGGACACTGAATACTTTGATGCCCGTGGCGCTACTCTACAGTCCTTCGAAGAACTTGATGATCAACAACCTGCTCCGTATCCCGTGACGACTAGCGAGTATCCAGACCGTCCCCATGATGCTCTTTCCAAGGTCCGCTCCCAGGCAAATTCAATCAAGAGGGGGTTAATGCCATTACACATCCCTCCTCACGTCAGAGACACACGGAGTCGACGTCTCAGTGAGCCCGTTTTAGCCGATGACTTTGGGAACTTCAACTTCAAGAACTTACCCATGCTAGAAAAAGCTAATAAGGATGTCATTCAACGATTACGACAAGAAGCCATGCAGGCACAGCAAAGACAGATAGCGTCCACAATAGCGTCCCCAACCCCACCTAGTTCTGCACCATCCCTTGAAGGTAGTCCACTTCTCCCAATGCCACTACAACGGGCTCTCTCGCAAAACAAAGGCAACCGACCCGCCTCTCCATCTGGATTGAGTCAAACCGGCTCCTCGCCGAGTCGACCTTCGCAGCCTTCTTCACCATTACTAGTTCAGTTTAGCACCGGCCAGAATCACGAACGTCGGAAGACTTCTGGGTCATCCTCGGCGCAGTCTCAATCACAGCAATCGGTTGGTTCAGTATCTGAGAAATTTGGGGATATACCACGTCTAACAACTAGTTTCAAGCTCGCTTCTTCAGCACCTTCACCGAACAAATCCAATAGGGTACCAGCCACCTCCCCGGACAAGGTCGTCCCAAATGCTGCCGGCTTGGCGAGTTTGAACCGTGCAAGATCACAGACATTAGGATCCCAGGATAGCGAAGGACATTCAATGCTGGGCAAGGACCCATTCATCCCTGGTCACCATAAACGCCGAAGTCAATTATTTGATATCTCTCCGTCATCATCTGACAACGAAGATCCACGTACAAAGGCTCGATTGAAGGTACAGAGGAGACGTCAAAGCTCTCGCAGGCTTTCCCAAATCAATCTTTTGGATGGACCTGTTTTCCGCCCTCTTGATGTACTGATTTGTGAAGATCATCCTGTTTCTAGGCTCGTTATGGAAAGACTTTTCGAAAAACTGCGTTGTCGCACTATTACCGCGGTCAATGGGTCTGAGGCAATACGGTATGCGTTGACAGAAGTCCAATTTGATATCATCATGACCGAGGTCAAACTTCCCCAAATAAACGGAGCGGATTTGGCGCGTATGGTACGCGAGACCCGAAGCGCCAACAGACATACTCCTATTATCGCGGTCACAGGTTACTTGAAGGACCTTCCGGAAACCCATCATTTCAATGCTCTTATTGAGAAACCGCCAACATTGACTAAATTAACTGAGGCGCTATGCAAGTTCTGTCAATGGAAGCCGCCACCGAAAGACTATGTTCCTACACAGACCTTGATGATCCCTCCACCTATTCCTCGCAATCTCATACATACAGAAGATAGTCCCAGCTCGATATCATCCGGCTTTCATCCACAACCTTCCAGCTCTTACAGAGGTTCGAGTCGAGCAGACTCCGTTGGAAGCAGCTATTTTGGTGACATGGACTCGATTAAGGCAGAAGAGGTCCCGGTCATTATCAGTCGTCATACAGATAGTTGGGGCGATGCATCAGAAGGACTTGGCATTTCCGAAAGTGCTACAGCACCTATGGCAGCAGAAGCGAGGCCAATCTCCAACACCCCCAGTGACATCGCCTCATCTATGCCACAGCTAGGGCATTCCATTTCGTCCCCTCCTATCTCTGCAATGCCTGGTATTATTACTCCGCGCAAGCAGCGATCCAGTGAAGCGATACGTGCCAAGCGCGAGGTGCTGGAGAAACGACGGTACGAATGTGCTGAATCTGGAGATGATGAAGACGAAGAGCTTGGCAGTCATCATGTTCGCCATCGCAGCCCAACACACACTTCCAAGGGACCTCGGTCAAGTTCGAAACTGGGGATTGAAATGATGCGAACTAATAGTCGCGGCAGTGTTGTCAGTGGTAGCGAGGAGCTGGTTGCCAAAGAAAAGGCATCTGCCAGCCCAGAGTCTAGCGTTCACGAGCTTGGGGAGAAGCTAGAAGCTTTTCAAATCCCCGAAGATGATGTTACTTCACATGTCTCCCAAAGGCAGCAACATGATGACACAGTTGAGTCGCCACGTTCCTCGAAGTCACCTGAACACTGGAGGCGTCCACCTTTGGAGCCTCTTCATGAATACCCTACTGAGGTGCGGTCTCCTCCCAAGGATTCAGAAGGCAGTAAGCACACTGGCGGACCCAAACCGTCTACGCCTTCTAGAGATGGCAGCAAGTCAGCTGAAGATCCAACCACCACCGAGTTAGAACTTGCGACAACCCCAGAGGAAAATACAGACCCTAACAACACCACCGATCCGGATGCTACACCTAAGCCAGCGCCAACTCCTGCCATGTCAGATCTTGATGACACCACTCCCCGTCCAGGTCGTCTACATACCCGTGACTACGATCAGCATGGTCAAAATAATCCCATTCAATCTTCTGGAGGACAACATTCCATGCAACATCATCTTCGTAACGTTCTTCCTTGGAAACGACGATAGAATGCATCCTACCTTTTTATATTCTATTATTATGTGTTTTACTACTACCACCTACCCACGATGTACTTACTACTCTTCTCCACGCAGTTTCTCTCTACTTTCTGAAGCTCATTGATGTACGAAAAATGACCCAATTGACTTCTCAGTTCTTTTTCTTTTTCTTTTACTTTCTTTTTTCCCTTTGTCCATTCTATCTCAATCAAGGCAACAAAAGAATTATCATCAGCTTTTGCATCTGGACACTTTATTCAATTCGACCTGTCATATCTTTTTTGTTTCTCTGTTCTCCTCGGAATTTTCACGTCACGCTACGATCATATCAATTATTTGCAAGCGCGCATCTGTTTTCTTTGTTATTTTACTTCTCTTCTAAAGCCAGGGGCTATTTTTTCAACAATCTGTGTTATGTGGTCTGCCCACATCACGATTTTCAGGTCACTTATTTGCAGGGTCTAAGCGTGATTTGTTCAGGTTGAACAAGATCTTACTTGTCACCTCATTTAGTTTTGATGTGCATAGCTGCCATTCATAAGAATAAGAATTGCCACATCACAATATTTATAACATTTACAGCTTCTGTAGGAACATGTTTAGAAGGTTGGTTTGCTCTTCATCAAATTGAGCCCTGGTGCAGAACTATGAAATCCAAGTCTACAAGACTGCATCTATAGATTACAAAATAATAATGACATCTGGAACGAGAAGGAAAAATTAGAGCTCAGGACTATATACATGTATGTATGCGAATCAGAATGCTGTTATCCCTTTAACAGGTTTGATTCGTTTCATTGCGCCTTTTTAGATTTTGCTTCAGCAGCAGTCGCGTTCCAGAAACTCACTGTCCGGGCTGCTGTCTCCTGCATGTCGACCACGGGCGAATATCCCAGTCTGTCCTTAGCCTTTTGGCAGGAATAGTACCTTGTCATACACGAGTATCGCACCGCTCTACGCGTCAGCCGTGGTGTCTTGCCTAACAACGAGAAAATGGTCTCGGCAACACTGCCAATTACTTGCAACAAACCCTCCGGCAAAGCATACACGTCAGTTGGCTCGACAACGCGATCCATCAAGGCCCAAAGCGCATGTGCAAAGTCCCAAAAGTACATGGGCTGATCGTTGGTGATATTGAACGCTTCACCGTCAACGCGCTCGTAATCGAGCGGTGCGCCCTTGCCAGCCTCGAGGCGCGCAGCGGTGGCGAGCAGATGAAAGGCGCCGAGAGTGTGACCGAAGGCGATGTTCCCGACATATGTAAAGTCGAAAAGATTGTTATTGTCGCCGAGCTGGAAGCGGAGAGACAGGTTGGAGGCGTCACGTCCATGTTCGAGGATTTTATACGAGACTGTTGTGTCTTTTTCGCCGACGATACCGGCCGGGCGGATTGCACAGGTCAGCATACCAGAAGGATTATTGTTGTTTGCTTTGAGGACGATTTCTTCAGCCAAACCCTGTACCGAGCATGTCGCCGTTATCTTCTGCCAATAGCCAGTAAAAGGGAGGCTTGCTTACCTTTGTCTCGGAATAATACTCGCCCTGCGCTGGCCCTCGCACATAAGGCCACTGCTCATTGACATTGATCAAGTCACTCCTGGTATCATGCACAACCGACGAGGAGCTCGTGTACACGAATGCCTTGCACTTCCTGCCCCAGTCCCCATGCACACCGCCGGCAACTTCGACAAGAGTCCTTGTTCCATCGACGTTCACCTTCCTCAGCAATTCATCTGTTGATCCAAGTGGCGCCGGACTGGCAGTGTGAATAACGACATCTGGCTGGACCTTCTTGAACACCTCCAGCATAGACGGAACGGAAGTGAGGTCGCCTTCATGGTACTGAGCGCCGGGCAGTCGATTGTTCGTTGTGCGCAGGTCAACGATGTGAACCTTGGCATTGTAGGACGGATAGCGGCCCTTCAGGTCAGGGTATTCGAAGCGCGGGTCATTGGTGACTTTGGGGAGAGCTGCAGCTGGGTCTGTCTCGGAGGGGAAATTGAGGAGCTGGTTGACGATATTCCAGCCCAGAAAGCCGCAGCCGCCCACGACCAGGACGGTGCCGAGCTCAAGCGTGGGAGAATTTTGCGCGGCCATTGGTGTATTTTTTTTATTATTTTTTTTCCCTTCTCCTTTTCTGTTTGTTACAAGGGGACGAGTGGAAAGGGGAAATGGGAAGGTGGAAAGGAGCAAGACGAGATGGGCGGGACGAAGCTGCGGAAGTAATTAGGAACGTGATGGAAAAAGGCAGCCGCTATCTGGTCCGGGGAAGGCGCCGCAGTGGAGCCGGGCAGCTTCCTTGCCTTAATTTACAACTCTCATCTTCCTCTTCATCGTTCTCATTCTCATTCTCTTCTCATTATTGTCACCTTATTGTTACTGACACCTACGAACTAGTTGCTGGCTGTTCAAATTAAATGCATTCATTAACCTATCGCAACCCCCTCGTGTCCAAAACGCCAGTCCATGGCCGCTGAAGAAAGAAGAAAGAAGAAAGAAGCAAAAAAGAAATCCCGTCCTGTTGCTATCCGCGTGCAATTCGTTGCAAGATGATTACATTTCCCTGGCGTCAGATTAGTCAAGGGACATTACTGCGTGTGGGTTGCTTACTCGGCGCTCTTCTCCACTGATCGTCGCAAAGCTCTATTGTACCTTTTCCTCTCGTCCGGCGTGCCCCAGAATAGTTTCGATGCTTCTAGATTCACTGTCGTCCTGGGATCAAATGGGGGAGACTCCTCTTCGAGAGCTTGGACGATGGCGTCAATGTGGTATTTCAATTCCTCGGACCGACTGGGGAAATAGCAGAGTACCCCGTCTTTGGAGACACGCTGGTGGAAGATAGGCGTCTCGACAAAGACTCGCGGCTGCTCTTCGGGGAAGCTAGTACTTAGATACATCTTGATCTTGAACACGCCGCCATCGAGATGCGTCATGGGCCTTCCGAAATATGTAATGGTCCAAACAAACGGGTTTCCATCGGCCAGCGATATGTCGACAGAGAAGGACTTGCGTGAGTTCAGCTCCTCCTTTATTTGATCGTGCTGGCGTTGTATGTTGTTTGCTATGCTCGACTCGTTTTTCTTGGACTCCAATCCGTGCACACCCCAGCGCTCTGTCTCATTTGTGAGGGTCTCTTTGATGAATTCCAGCCGACTTTTCAGATTGGGATAGTTGAATGTGCCGTCCATGCTGTTTCCTGGGTGTTCAAATGTCATGGTTTCGAATTTCTCGTTTTTCTTGACCTTCTGAGATGCTGCCTCGATAGCTTGCATATAGGACTCGTAATACCACAGGAAACGACGTTTGCGGAGATCTTCGAAGGGTTTGAAGAACCACCTCGCATCGTCATATGCAAACGTGTCTTCCTCGTCATCGCTGGCATTTAGAGATTTTCCCTGAGGGATGACTGTACCATCCTTCTGGATCCCCAATGCATCTTCTAGCGGTCGAATAACTGCGATACGCAGCGTCTCGTGTTGAATCTAACTCATGTCCTTTTTATTAGCAATACAATTTCCATCAATGCTGACAGAGCTACTCTGCACACCTTCGCAACATATTGGCCCATTGCTTTCAGATCCTCAGGTCCTTTGGCATCCTCGTAACCGGGCTCGTTTTCATACGGATTGGAAGACATCAGGCTTTGGATTGAGATTAGGATCGATTCTAATCCTTGGGCAGAGGACCATTCTTCGCCTCTTTCCCCACGCCATGTTCTATCGCCAAGTCAGCATCACGACTACAAGGTCATCAACCAGCAATACCCAAGAATTGACCTGCATTTCCAAGTTAGTGAAAGACTGTAGTTTAAAGCAGCACGATACTAGCATACAAGCAAACCTTGCCTCCAGCATAGATGTTAGGGTTGAATCGACAACGGCCGGCGTTTGTTGTCAATGCGTTTACATTTGGGGGGCTCGCAGGGTAGTCTTGAGCGCAGGTTAGACCGATCGGCAGCGTAAAAGAGCCGACTACACTGACCTCTAGGAAACTTTATTGAGAACTTCAACCGTTTAAAAGGAATTTTGGCACAGGTCAGAATGGCATCACATAAACAGGGTGCTTTTGATCAGTGTTACCTCGAAAAAGCCGAATTCATAAGGAGTGTCGGGAGGGCCAACGATCAGTGCTTTCACACTGCGGATGTCGGATTCATGGTATGCCACACCCAACGCTGCGACGACAATGTCAGCTTGTTTGCCAAGGAAGATGGCCAGTGTGTGAGGGAACAGAGAATATGCAAGCACATACACAGGTCTGTTCCTTGCTGGATCTGGCGAATCTCCTGGATAACCCCACCACCCCGCCCTCAGTTAGCCATTAGTTAACTAGCAGGCTCACTAGTCGTAGACCGAAGTCGTGGAGAGAGAGCTTACGCGCGTGATGCGGAGAATGGCCTGATCAGACATTTCCAAGAAAGCAGACCTTGCCGGAGACCGGGGAGGTTCGCAGAGTCGATGATGGTTGCGTGTGCAGGACCGGTTTGAAGAGAGTCGAGTAGGAACGAGGGACCAGTTGACACGTCGAAGGAGTTCAGTGTCGGGCTTGGTATTTCGACAGAAGGCTGAGGGTGCAGCCAGCGGCTGTACAATTAGATGGAATTAATTCGGCTGGGGGATGCAGGTGGAAGCCTTGCACAGGATGCCGGCAGACAGTACAAACTCAGTAGGCGGCAGAGTGCAGCCTTTATGTGACCTCACACTGATCAGTGTGGATTTATTTTTCTTTGAGGAGATGGTTAGTGGACTAATAGCTGGTATATATACATAAATAAATATCTCTTATAGTTCACTGTGAATTACTCTGGCTCCAGATGTCATCGCATCATTATTGACTTCAATAAAAAAATCTATGTATTTAATGCCAATGTGACATATATGGCCAGGCAACACACCATGACTTTCTCGCCTGTATACAATATTACTTGATTGATGTTTGGCTTGTTGGTAGTCCTGCCTAGCCACGGCCATATGCAGCTTATCCACGATATAGATCTTGTTCTATTTTCTCTCTCGCTCCATATCTCAAGCTGTCAAGGGCGATCTTGACCATCCACACACCCGGCTTTGAGACAACCACTGGATGCATCACTAAGTGCAGCAATATGCGCTGTATTCTGCCACCAGCTGCTGACGACATGCTGCTCACCACTGCAGGCTGTTATTTATATCTGCACAGCCTCAGCAGCATCTCTGATGATTAGTTAATTGATAACTTGTCGGTCTCTGGCAAGGCGGTGGGCAGGGGCAGGCCACGTGATGATGACGCTAGCCCAAAATAGCACAGCGCGCGCCGCTGCGATAGGGGCACTGCCCTTACTGGCCTGGCTGCCCTCTGCTGCTGCTCATATACTCTGTACTATTATTGTTGTTGTTCTGGTTGTTCTCAACACCACCGCCACTATCACCGCAGACCACCTCCTCCCCACTGCTGTCTGTCTGTCTTTTCTCGGCCCTCCATCAAGCACCCCCGTTGAGCCAGCGTCCCAGCATTGCTCGCACGCATGCTGGGCATGCCTGGAGGAGTTGTTGACTATTGACCGTCGACTGTCGAATTGGCTAACCGTGCTCCGCCGCTTGTTGTGTCTCACCTGGGACCTTGACCACCCCCCTCCCCGCATTGTCCAACCTACAAAGCTACCGATAGCACAGTTTCATCCTGTCTCGTTCTCGGGTCCACATTGTCGTTGCCCGCTCGCGCTTTTCTCGACTCCCCTGGGTTGAGCCATTGTGCCCGTCCTCGCCTTGGCGCCGATCACCCGAACGTTCGACTGCTCGCCTCCGTTCATGGCCTGAGCCTCCCAGCAGGAAGACTAGAGAGACAGCCTCCACGCTGTCGGGGATCAGTCAGAACAGTCCAAGGGCTACGGCGTATGGCTTGGAAGATACGCTCGCAATCTGTCGCCGTTCCCGTGCCCCTCGTTCCCTTCCACCATCACCCCTCGTCGCGCCGTCTGGGGAATGAACCCGCGCTGAAAGTGTCATCTATTCACCTGTGAAGCAACGCAGCCCTCAACCCTCGACCACTGCGCGCCTCCGAATCCAGTCACGGCCCCCCTCCCTTCTGCCGCAACCATCATCATGCCTGATCGAACCCTCCCCGACATCCTCATGCCGGGTAACGGCGGCTCTGCCAGCCCTCGTCCTTGGGGAACTGGCGCCGGAACCAATTCTCAAACACAATCTCCCATCTCCCCAATAGACGGTCAACAGCCATTCGATCGAGTCCCCGCCTCCGGTGTCGCATCTCCCGCACCTGTCTATCAGCCAGACAACCGCGTTCAAAGACGCCAAGACCCTCCTCGCGAGCCTTGGGAACAAGACCAGGCCGAACCGCCACGCGACTCCTCAGCCCCAAGAGACAGGACTCGCCCTCACACCAAAAGCACCAAATCCCCCTCGAATCGCACTTGTAGGAAGTGCGGAGAACCGCTTACAGGGCAGTTTGTGCGCGCACTTGGTGGTACCTTCCATCTAGAATGTTTCAAATGCAATGTAAGTTATCAGCATTCCTCCACGTCTCGTAGCTGTTCGTTGCCTACTGACAACCTAATTTAGGACTGTGGAGATATCGTGGCTTCTAAATTCTTTCCCGTTGACTCAGACGACGGTACTGGCCAGTACCCTCTGTGTGAGACAGACTATTTCCGACGATTGAATCTCCTCTGCTACGACTGTGGCGGTGCGCTTCGAGGATCCTACATCACTGCGTTAGACCGAAAATATCATATTGAGCATTTCACTTGTTCTGTTTGCCCAACCGTGTTTGGTGCACAAGACTCTTACTACGAACACGAGGGCGACGTTTACTGCCACTACCACTACTCCACTCGCTTTGCTCAGCGATGTAATGGCTGCCACACTGCTATCCTAAAGCAGTTTGTCGAAATCTTCCGCAATGGTCAAAATCAACACTGGCACCCGGAGTGCTATATGATTCACAAATTCTGGAATGTTAGGCTCGCTCCTGCAGGCCAACAGCTTGAGAAGCCAGAAATTGAAGAGGAAGCAACTGATGCAGAGCGTGAAAAAGTACGACAGGAAGAGGAAATGATGGAAGAAAAGGTCTACAAGATTTGGAGTATTCTATCGACATTTGAAGAGTCGTCAGCTGCTTGTATCTCCGAGATGCTCTTGCATGTCAGTAACGGCGCTTATGTGGACGGCGTTCTAGTCGCAAGAAGCTTCATTGCACATGTCGAAATTCTTTTCGCTGCAATCGATATGCTGGCTACGATGTTGAGAGAGCAGGGAATGAAAGGTTCATCTACCACACGTATATGCCATGATACTGGGTGCTAACATTTTTTGTAGATTTGTCATATGGACGTGAGGCAAAACTCCTCTGCAAGAAAATTGTTGCATTCTTCTCGCTTTTATCGAAAACCCAAGAAACCGGCGTGAGAAAGCTAGGCGTCACCCAAGAGTTGTTATCGCTTGTGACAGGTCTGGCTCATTACCTCAAACTCTTGATTCGTATAGGCCTACAGGGTTCTTTAAAGCTTGAGCGGGCAAAAAATACACCAGATGGTCTTTTCGCTTTCCTCGATCACCTCGAACTTCATCTTCAGGAACTTAAGGCATCTGAGGAACACCAGTCCACTGATCTCATGTCCGGAGTTAACCATCTGGCAGATCAATTCTCTGATTGTTGTACCGCATGTAAGGAACCCATTGATGATGCATGTATCCTCTATGGCGAGAGACGATGGCACATCAAACCTCCACATCTTTCCTGTTCTTCGTGTCAAAAAGACCTGACTGTGGAAATACATGATGCAATGTGGAGTGCAAAAGAGGATCGCCCATTTTGTAGACCCTGTGCCTTGCAGAAAGGTCGGGCGCCAGATGCTCAAGGTGGCTTTACAAATGTTACGAAGCTTGTGCAGTACGTCTTTCTTCTGAAGGTCGCACTTGCAAGGCTCCTTTCGGTATTGCGGTCTAGTGGTACCCTTCCCCACAGCACCGGTACGTATACTTTTTCTTATTCTCTCCTATTTTTGAATAATCATATACTCATTTGGATGTAGATGACCCTAATCTGAATGCTTATGCGGCCAACGAGGGTCATCGTGTTGATCCGAATGGAGAAACCTCGGGACCTGGACCTAGAGCCGCAAATTCGCGCTCGTACTCTTTTACCGGCTCAGTCAAGAACGAAGAATCTTCACTTGAACAAACTGTCGGTGAAATGCGCAGGTTGCGTTCTATTCGTAACGAACGAACCTTGTCAACTACTTACAAGAAAGCTCGTGCGTCAAGAATCATCGATGGCCCAGAAGGAAGAAGCGCTCGTCCCGGGTCTTCTAGTGGCGAGGGTCCCGATCAGAGAAATGCAGGCTTCCAGATCATAGAAGAGAGGGATGTCAATGGGGACACTGTGAACGAGCTTCATTTCGGTCATCAAGATGCATTGACACTGGATGATATTCCTAGAATTGTGGCTGCTGAACAAGCAAAGGAGCAACGGCCTAATGCTTCTAAGTACGCAGGAAGTAGTCTCATCGGTACTGGAGATCCGCAGGCCAAATTCGTCTCAGGCCACAGGCGGGATGTATCGGGACCGTTGGATAATCTCCCTGCCGATATTACTGGCAGCAAGACCAAGAAATACTTCTCTGAGCTATCTGCGCTGGAATACTTTATTGTCAGACATGTTGCGGTTCTCTCTATGGAGCCTTTGCTAGAAGGTCACTTCAACTTAGAAGAACTGCTTTCTTTAATTGAATCACGCAAGCCTACGATATGGAATATTTTTGGGCGTGCGTTCAACAAGGAAGGGAAGAAAGTGGGCAAGAAGAAAGGCGTTTTTGGTGTTAGCCTTGACTATCTTGTCGAGAAAGAAGGCGCTGAGTCGACACATGGTGTTGGCCCTGGAGCGCTCCGTATTCCTGCTCTCATTGACGATGCAGTGTCGGCAATGCGTCAGATGGATATGTCTGTTGAGGGTGTATTCCGGAAGAACGGCAACATTCGTCGCTTGAAAGAAGTTGCAGACCTCATCGACAACAAGTACGATCAAGTCGACATGAGTAGGGAGAGTCCAGTACAAATCGCTGCGCTCCTCAAAAAGTTCCTTCGAGAAATGCCCGACCCACTAATGACTTTCAAGCTTCACCGGCTTTTCCTCATTTCACAGCGTATGCTTTGTTCCCTTTCCAATGTTATACTATTACGGTCGCTAACTGAATTCTGTAGAAATCTCCGATCCTGAGAAGCAGAAGCGTGTCCTGCATCTGACTTGTTGTCTATTACCTAAAGCTCACCGCGATACCATGGAGGTCCTCTTTACTTTCCTCAACTGGACCGCCTCATTTTCACATGTGGACGAGGAGTCCGGCAGTAAAATGGACATACACAACCTTGCTACAGTAATGACTCCGAATATCCTCTATCCCAACTCAAAGAACGCTAGCATGGATGAAAGTTTTTTGGCTATAGAAGCAGTGGCGTCTTTGATCACATACAATGATGTCATGTGCGAGGTGCGCTACCCTGGATTGCTTTCTGTTAATTAACTCGGTCTAACTTCGATAGGTTCCCGATGATCTCCAATCGATACTCAATGATACAAGCTTCTTCAAGGACAGCGCAGATATTACCACAAAGGAAATTCTCAAGCGGTATGGCGACTTTGGAAAAGGCACTGTTGCCCAACGCGTCACACCAGGTATCACGCCAGGCGTCGAACCAGTCGGCACGGGCTTGACTCGCACCAATACTACCCCTGTGACTGCACGCATCGAAACAGATCCATCGCAGGCAGCAGCGTGGCAAATGCAAAGCTCGGTGCGTCATGTCCAAGCACCTGGAGGGCCAGCATATGCTGCAATGCCAACCAACCAGCCAGGAGGGGAGTATGGTCCACCGGAACAAACTCGTGACCGCAGTGCGAGTGCAAGTAGCCAGCAGCAGGCTCCGGCCGTGGGTCGACCTCAGCCGGACTCACAACAGCTTCCATATCGCTCTCACCCTGGTGCCGGCCCTATGGGAGTTGCTGGCTGATTACCTAGTATACCCTCAGAATGTGCTATCTTTGGATGTCAGTTTCTTTTTCTCGAATGCAATATTTGACAACATAGCTATGCATTGATGCATGAACTGTGTGGGTGCTTATCAAAAGAGAAGGCGTTAATATTAATGAGCAAAGCCATTGCATTTCAGCCGGCCAGCCAGCATGTCAGGAGCGATTTTTCTTACTTTTTCGGATATGAAAAGAGAATTGTTTTCTTTTCCTTTCCTTTCCTTTTCTTTTCTAATGGGTGTGGTTGGGTTTTTTGGCGCGCATTGATGACAAAAAATCTCTTGCATAACAAGTCAAGATTAACATCTAGCTCTTCCTCTTTTCAAATACTGGCCACTTCGATTTTTAGCGACGAAAGCACTGGTTAGCGTTTTCTCGACAGTGCGCTGTTTTCCCTTTATACCATCTTTCTCCTCTTTACTTCATCGAGCGGAGCCACGTCTGTTATGATTAAGTCCTTTTCTTCTTTATCTCTAGCTATTATACTTTTCTTGAGGTCCGATTTCAGGTCAAGTGCAAGAGCATGTTCCATTTCCTGTTCGAGTTTTTTTTTTTTTTTTCCTGGCGCTGGGAGCTATCTCAATTGATACCACAGCCAAGAGGCTGCTGGTCAGGGTTACATATCACATAAAAATCTTTCCAAATCCTCCTTCAGGTCCTCAGCAAGTTGTGATGTGGTCTTCTCTTTCTCCAACCCTATTTTTGTTTGTTTACATGCTGAAATACATTTATTAAGTATGGAAGCAACATTGCAAGTTTACTTACATTCACATCTCCCTCAACTTGTATTGATTGATGTAAAATGACTAGGAAAACGTAGCAAAGTGTTTGTTTACGAGATGATATATGGGCTGAATCTTATTTAAGTCAAATTACTAGTCTAATCGCCGCTTTTGTTTTTATATGAGATTATCTCTCCAATGATGATTCACAATTATTTTCATCCAAAAAGAAAAAACAAGCAGCAATATTCACAACACTCCCACTCGGCGAATGGGATCTAGCGGAGTCGTCATGTAGCTAGCTCGGATTCGAGCCCGTAAACGGGTGAGTAATATGTGTGATAGCTGCAAGGCTGTCACTTATGATGTCACACAGCATTTTCATTCATTCCAGCTTCTTGGATAGTTAGTTTCAAACCAGTGTGTTTTGGAATATGGATGTCAGTTAGTACATGTAACTTGGTAGTACAGCATCATTTCAGTCTCAGTAGTCTTGATATATCAGTGGACGCTAAGCAATTAAGGCGATCTAATAGACAGGCACCCAACCCCCTGGTTATTTGATGTAGACCTAGGATGTCAGGTGAACAGGGTTAGTAGAATAAACCATTTGAACTGGCGATCATAAGTCAAAAAATTGAAATTCTAAATCCGTGGGTACAGAGACTCGTTTTAAAGATAGAAAGACAAGAGACAATCTGCAGCTTCATGACCGTGAAAAAAAAATGATACATCGTCTCTCACATGTACATTGTTTTTTCCAAAAAGAAAAGAAAAAAGAAATACAAAAACAAGTTCATCAATCGTTAGCTTAATGTTCGGCAGTCGAGTCAGCACTCATAAGAGCCAAAAATCCATCGAGGAGGCGTAGGAGGGTATATCAAACTAGGTCGTTAAAGCAGGGAATAGGCCGAAAGGCGAAAGTATTACAGAAACAGAAACCCGGAGTTGATACCCAACCCAAAACAAGCAAACATGTAAAAGCAGATAGTAGTAGAAACAAGCAGGTAAACAAGGCGATACAAGTTCAAGAAATATCTCCAACACTTTAAAAGCAAATCTTTAAAAGTGAAAAAGAAAGTAGAATTGGTGTGGTTTACTTCCGGCGGCGTGTCTTGAGCAGACTGGATAAGATAACCTTCGAAGAACCCTCTCTACAGAGGATACCTTCTCGAAGCGCCCAACCGACGAGATTGGGGTCCTCGGCTTCACCGCTAAAGGAGCCACTCTCGTAGTGCTTGCCCATATGCTCCATGCGCTCCTCCCAGGAAGTGAAGACGATATTGCATTCAGCGCACTTGGTTTGCGGTGGAGGGCTGCGTTGTCTCAGCCAGCATCGGGTATGGTGTTCACGAAGGGTATGCTCGAAGTCATCGTTTGGGTCGATTTTCGCGTTTTTGTTATTGCCTGGGTTGTGCATCCGGCGCAAGTGCTGCGTAAACAGGTCCTTGCGGTTGAAATCGTTCGGGACTTTGTCGGTTGAGCCACAGCCTGGAAGATCACAACGCCAGAATCCCAGCTTGAGATGCTGTGACGCGATGTGTCGCTTCCACTCGTTCTTTGAGTTGAAAGTACTGGGACATCCGTACTGCTTGAAGCTGCAGAAGAAAAGACGGTCGGCAGCGCCGTTTTTCGGATTAGACCTGGCTTTGGATTTATAACCAGGGTCATGACGAGGACCGCTTTTGCGTGTACGAGGAGAAGGTGCTTTGGGAGTCTTCTTCCGCTGGAGACTCGAGGGAGTCTTTGTTCTGGGCATGCTTGCCAAAGAGCTCTGTTGGCTCTCTAGGTAGGAATTGCGGGGCTGGTCGTCTTCGTCGCCGTCAGCGTCGACATCGTCGTCCATATCGTCGCCCATATCGTGGGTCACGAGCCCTCCCTCAGCAGAGTGGTACGAGGTCGGACAAGGGTATATCTGTGCAACTTTGTCGCCGCAACATTCTGGTTCGGTAAAAGGCTCTAATAGACAAGCGTGATCAGTCTGGGTTCAGCTAGATAGCTCTCTCGTTCATGTTCTTTTGTCTAAATCAGAAGTGGCTGGCATGCTAGCCCTTCTCTATGACATGGCTGTCTTACCAGGATAATGCTCAACCTCGCGCGGGGTCACTGATCCATATCCGTCAAAATCCTGGATAGATGGTTCGAACATATGCCCATGTTGAATGGGGTTCAAGGAATAAGCAGCAAAATTCCCCGGACTAGGAGACCGGTCAGTCTCCGAAATAGAAGAAAGGTCTGTGGCAGGCGGACCAGGTGGTGATGGATATTCACACTCATAGAAAAGCGGGACGCAGTCATATGGTTCCTCCTTTCCTAGGGTTTCCGGAACGTGGTATGTAGCATCGGGGCCAATTGACATCCTGGGGAACGACAGGTCAGAGTGTCCACGGACGACAAGTTCCTCAAGGGGCATCACGCGCGATTCCAGGCGCGTCCTTCGGTCCAAATTGGTGAAAGATGTGTGGTCCAATCCATATGAGGGTTCGGCGTGAAGGGGATTTAGCGGTGGTAATATTTGAGGATACATCATCTTGTCGTCCGGGGTCTCGACGTACGAGGGGAATGTAAAGTCCTGATTCATAGCGACAGCACGTTAATGTATATTGATAGACAACTCATGAATGTCTCGAGAGATAATAGGGACATTAAACAAGAGAGTTCTAAGCAGATGCGCGGTAAAAGGAGGAAATAAAGCAAAGAAAAAATCGACAGAGCTTGTGTTTCAATGACAGAATTCTCTACGACTCGCGCAACCTCGGTCAGACTATATATCTTCCTGGGTCTTGGATTTTCCAGTGTACGGACGAATTTTCATTGGCTGCCAGCTGATTGACGAATACAGGGTTCCCAGCCTGCAGCCAAATCCCCCATTTCATAATTAGTACTACTCGATAAGGAGGGCATTGCCTGGGCCGCCAACAATCCGACGCATCCTTCGCCCTCCAGTGTTGCTATTGAGCCGCACTAAACTGCATTTAGAAGGGCCTCGATGTAATTTGTTTTTTTGGCGTTTGTTGGCGACACAACACCGGTAGCACTAGTCTCTCATGGATCGCAATTACCAAGCCACTCGACAAGTCTCGATAATCTCTGTTGTGGGTCGTCCCTGGTATTTTGGATGTTATTTGAATTTGTGGAGCTTGTGCTTGCTCAATGCAACGACCGGCCAGGTCCAGCTCAACAGGGGTCTGCTGAAAAAGCTTAGGCATAGTGTAGGATATGTTACGACAGGGGAAACACATCAACTTCGGGGAGACCTAACAGCCCGAGTTTGTCAGACAGTCGTGCAGCCAACGGAGAGCAAGGCACTTCTGCCAGAACATCGTTTGGAGCTGTACCTCGTATGGTGTGACGATCTGAGATGGTGGAGGGTCTGACTCGTTAACGATGTCTCGATTGGCGCTAGTAACGAGACTCTCCCGTCAACATGCGCCTAGGCATCTAGAACTTCACCCGGGTGGCTCATGCAATAATGCATGCAACTTTCCTTTTTCCCTTTCCCAAAACTATAATACCAACCACACACCACATGCCCGAAAGTAAGGCACGTTATGCACTGCCAAGGCTGACTAGCATCGCCCGGGTTGCCCTTTGCCCTTGTGGTGCCTCGTGATTTGGGGGCGAATAGCCGGGCAGGGACAAGTAGGCCTTTGCATGGAAGATCGTACCTGCTAGCGGCATTACTTAATCACGCACCTGCTTATCATTAAAGGAGACATGCGTGTCAGCCGTCAAACAGCGCGGGTCCAGCGCGTGTCTGTCGGTACTCCGGAGGCTGTTGTTGCTATCTAACTTCTGACCCAGCAGGTATTGGGTATTACTCCCGGACATCCGGCATGAAAAGGGGCACTCGCGCTGATATCCCCTTTTCTACCTTTGGGATAAATGCCAAACTCGCAGCATTATTCGATTTATGAACATTGGTGCGCGTTGTTGACAGGGATTGCAGCAGCTGAGTCCTAGCTTCTAGGTCAATAAATCATAATGCCCACGGGCCATGTGGGAACGCCAGGCGGTTAAAACTCAAGGGTCCACCAGCCCGAGAATCCTGGAGATCCCCGGCGCTTCGAGACGTCAACGAGAACGTCAAAAGGTCCAGACATCGCCGATGGCATAGTAGACTTAGTAGTATCCCCCCTCCCTTCCACGTGATGATAAATCTCTGAGCATTCAATTCCGGTAGTAACCTGAGCAGACCCTTGCCGAGTCTCACTCGCGATGCGCCAATCAAAGCGAAGGCTCTGCGAGAGTCTGTCTGTGCCACATTTGATGGGTGTTTGACCCTGTTTTCGCCCCAATCGGTTTATCTGTACTAGTATGTATAGTATAGCTGGGTTAGAACCGTCGCACAAAAAGCTCTTATCATTGGCTGTCGCTGCAACTTGAGGAGCTCGACTAAAGAATACAATAGCAATGCATGCAGCCGCAGTTCAGCTAATACGTAATCTCAAATTAGTTGTTAAACCGGTGACCACTGACCACAGGACGTATCTTTTCTTTTTCGAGACCCATTTTCAGGTTCCGCCTGTCATCGACTCATCGCACCAGTGGTGGTAAATCGGTAAATCGCGGGGTCGGGAGAAGACCGAGACATTGCTCAACTAACGCGTTGAACACTTCGGGCACTCTTCGCAATGCCCCTGCATTGCGATGATTCCCTTTCAAGGCTTACTGAGCGACAAGCAGCTAACTTGCAGGCGTCTATTGAACAGGCCCTGTAAGAGGACGTACTAGAGGCATTAGTTAATCATCCTTTCCGTGGTGAGCCGGTGCAATGACCCTCTAGTCTGATCGACAAGAATTTGTTCATCGTAGTAATTAAAACTCAATGCCAGCAGTGGTCGACGCAATGCCCCACTTTTGGGGTCGGTTATAAGCAGTTACTCCAATTTCCGAACAGAGCAGGAGAATTCGCCCAAGCAGCAGCCAAAGATGGTTGAAACATGAGTGATCATCGGCCAAATTTACTGCTTCCGCTGTAGTTAGTGTCAAGGGTGGGCGAGGGCTGTTCGCCCGGGTAATCAAGGTGAGGCACCGCCGCCCTGGAACCCAAGTCAGCCTGGGCTCATCTGGGCAAAGAAAGCCGTGGGGCTGGGCAGTGCGATATGATCTTCTGACCGCAAACTAGCATCTAGCAGTCGACTAGCACGAGAGGCAAAGGCAGTCGTAATGCTTATCAACGATCAGAACCTTGGCAGCCATGTGGTGAGCCCACGACTGGTCCATTGGCCCTGATCGAGCAGTCAATTCGGAAGAAGCTAGCCAATCTGGAAACGATTTGACAACTGACAACTGACAATTAACAGAGCTCGAAAGCGCCCGTGTGGTAGATGCATGCTTTGGCAGGAGCTGATTAGAGGTCGGTCGTTCAGGAGGGCACACGGCATATGCCTTGCAGAGGTCAACTTGTTTTTTCTGCTCCCCCTTTTTCTTCAGGGCAGGCAGTATCGATTGCAGCGGAGAACAAAGAAATTCATCTGTGCTCAAGCATCTTCATAATACTAATAATAATAACAATAATAATAATGCATAAGTAGGTCTCATCCGGGGAATGCGAATGATGCACGGTGTGTCGGGGGGCGGTGTCGCTAGTCGCTGGTGATTGGTGGCGCTGTTGCCATTGACTGCGCCGCCAGCTGTTGGACCGAGCCGCCAATACGAGACAGTGAATTATTGGGTGCGCAGTGCAGAACGAGTTGCACATCGAGATCACCTGCTTGCGTGTTGAAGGCAAGACGAGACGAGACGAGACGAGACGAGACGAGGCCACGCTGAGCGATTAGACAGTTGATCCGACCGAAGAAGGAAGGAGCGCGCCCACCACATGTGCCGCATTGAGCACCGCCGCAACCACATCCCGCATCAACATATCAATTGTTAATCGTCAATCGTCAATCCTTCCTCCTCTTTGCGCCAGCTGTCTGCTGGCCCGGCCACTATGTGTGACTCCCTGCCCCTGTATCGCTCTTTTACTTGGCGCGCCTACTGACCGCATCGCTTGCTAGGGCCGTCTTCTCACTCATCATCATCAACAAGGCCGGCGGTCTCATCTATCACCGGGAGTTTCAGGCAGGCCTCCAGCGGCTCTCGACGAACGACTACCTAGTCCTGGCGGGAACCTTCCACGGGTGAGTGACTCTTGACTCTTCTCTGCAGTCGACATCCCGGCCTGCGCTGACAGCCAATTCTTTCCGTGACAAAGCGTCCATGCCATCACCCGCTCCATCACCCCCCAGATCCCCTCCGCCTCCAACATCAGCAACACATCCGGCACATCAACGCCTACAACGAATAATCCGTCATCGAGCACGTCGCTCCCGAACCCAGGCCTGCCGAAGTCTGGCATCGAAGTCCTCGAAACAGATCGCTTCCGCCTGAGCTGCTTCCAGACCTTGACCGGCACAAAATTCCTACTGTTCACTGATCCCCTGATGCCAAACATCGATACAGTACTGAAAAAGGTGTACGACTTGTATGCGGACTATGTGATGAAGAACCCGTTTTACCAACTAGAAATGCCCGTCCGCTGCGAGGCTTTCGACCGGCATCTGGGCACTTGGCTGCGAGGCAGGACATAACGATCGATATAGAGATGAAATACTAATGAAATGACGATATCAAAATCGAGCAATCTATACATGCACAATGACTCCTGTTCATGTTCGTAAGAAGATAGATAGAGTTACACTTGAAATCTGCTCTCCGAGGCAGACTCGTGATGCATTAGAAAGAACCCAACGTAGGTTATAATCTAGAAACTGGAGTTCCACTACGCCGTGTCCATCTTGTCCCCATCTTGGTCCTTATCCTTGGATGGCTCGCCACCCTCTTTGGCTTCCTCTGGAATGTTCTCCAGCGAGGCTTTCCCTTCTTGTTCTTCACGCTCCCGCCTCTCCTTCTCTTGTCTGTTCTTCTCTTCCTCCAGTGATAGCCGTAGAGCAAAAGCAAGCTCGGGGTCGTTCTCTGCGGCATCCTCGAAACCGAACCCATCACCTTCCCCAGCACCTCCAGCAACAGCATCACCAGCCTCACCTCCTAAGATAGGTGTGACCTGTAGTTCTTCGCTAAGCAGATTCGGGCCCGGCGGGATGATAGCCAAGTGTGAGCCATCGCCTCCCTTTACATTCTCTATGAACGCTTCCAATTTCTTAGTTGTATCCGAATCCAAGTCTCCGAATGCAATAACATCAATGGACACGTTGTTCTTTTTCATCCTCTTTGCTAGCTTCACAAGCGACTTCTCATCTTCGGTGACCGGGGCGCACGAGAAGACAATGATCCGTTGTCGTTGGGACTTCTCGGAGCGATGTTTCAGGGCCAACTAGGACTATATCAGTATCGATCATATCATTCATCTCCATGTGAATCAAGCAGTGATGACCTACTCCAGCGACCTGTATACTTGATGCGAGGTGAGGTTTGCCGTGAATCTTTGTTCGGTGCAACCCAGATAGGATTTTGCCAAAGTCGGTTGTGAAAGTCGACAAGACCTCGGGACCGTTTCCTCCCATGCTCATGAGACCAACAGCCGACTGGGGGTGTGCTCGCATCTTTGTGTTATGTATAACTGCCACCGCATCGACCTGAGCCTGCCAGCGGGTGGCACTTGCATGGTGTCAGTAGAGCCGCCAGCGGATACCAAGGAATACACGCCCACTTACGTATAATCACCATTCCTACTCGGTTCGCTATTATCCACACTGCAATGAGTCAGTAAGTAGTCAAGGGCGACCAGAGAGGAGCTACCGACATAATCATAGTGGCTTCCAACCCCATCTTGACGGCTAAGCAGAGCTTCGAGCTCTGGACGGGCGGTGCACAGGTGCTCTCTGTATAGGGGAAGTGGACAATAAAGACAAGGAGTCTAACGCCAAGGCAGTTTTGGAGGGAGTGATGCAGAGATGGTATTCGAGATGCTGGGGGAGCGATGTGAGGCAAGGCGAGGCAGCATGCTTGGTCACTCGTCACGACGCTGGAGCTCGGCGCCGCCAAGACGCTAGCCCGCTCTGGCTCAGGCGCCGCCTTTGTTTACCAACTGACTAATTACTGTACTCTGCTCTGCCGCCATCATCACTGCTGCCCTCTCTCCAGACACGCTCACCGCTGCCCTTTCGACGCGATTCAACCACCACGCTGCCATTGACTCGCCCATCGCGCTGACACCAGCTGCCTGTCTCTGTATACTATACTATATACGATTTTCCATAGCGCCGGCCTCTTCTCAGCGCAATGCCTGTTGCTCTCTCCCGGAAACGCAAGTCGCCAGAGCCCGACCGCGACACATACAATGAAGAGAATGTCACAACGCCGACCGGCAGCCCAGCCCGCAAGAAATTGAGAATCACACAGACCCAAAAGCAGACTCTAATTGACAATTTACAGTTGGAAAGTAAGTGCAATCGGTGCGACTTATATCCTTGGTTGATGGTGGCTAACCGGGATGCATCAGTTACTGAGCGAGCACGAAAACTGCGTGCTCAGTATGCCCTTCAGGCCCAAGATCTAAAGGCTCGTATTGAAAGACGCGTCAACCGCATTCCCATTTCACTGCGCAAGACCACAATGGGCGTGCTCCTCGAGAAATACCAAGCTCAACCGCCGAAAAAGGCAGCTGTTTCAACAAAGGCCAACAAAAATGCGACGACAACTGTCATTCCAAAGGATGTCGAATATCCTAATATTGCCACAATCGCCTCACCATCTCGTTACGCTCCACAAACGAGCAACGTCGGGAGTTATTCCGATAAAGAGAACGCGCCCGTTCAAGATGCTCATGTCCCTCTCGAGAATCCCAAGAAGCGAGGTAACCCGAATGCTACGGGACAGCCGCGGTCTGTATCGCAAGTGTTGCGTGATGCCGAGTCCAAAGTCCTGTCACCGAAATCTTCCAATTCTCGCACCTACAAGCAGTCGCCGCTGATCACGTCGCCGACCAAGAGCTCGTACCTATCGCGTCCTGCATCTCCACTTAAGCCCTCTAGTCCTTTAAAGGCTATGATTGAAGATGCTCGCGCTCGTACTATGCGACCAGAAACAAGGAAGGCTTCTCCTGCAGCTGGAAGGAAAACAAAAACTACAACACAAACACGAAAGACTACGACCAAGTCCTCTAAGCCTGTCGCCGCTAAATCCCCAGCGCGGCCAGCCACACGGCAGCAAGATCGACACACAAGTACCAGCACCACATTATCCAACATGTCTGCGGGCACAACAATCGTCAAACCTACACGCACTGCAACCGCCAAGCGTGCCACTGCCACTACGTCAAGTGCAGCGGCGAAGCGGACCGCAGTAGCTCGGAGTCAAGGTCCCACGGCTGCCGCTACAGCGAAACGAACAGCAGCGGCTGCAAAAAAGGCTGCTATGGAAGCCCCTGTCAGTAATACTGGCAGAGTCCTACGGAAGCGTGCCTAGTTGTGTGAATGGGAATTTAATGACTTTGTAATGAAATCAACATTTTAGGACTGAAAATAGACTTATTTCCTTGACTGACAAGGAGCCCTTGGGAAGCAGAGGACTCCTTGCCTCTTTTCTTATAGGCTCATTGCACGAACGGGATCGGCGTAGGGGTTTTAAGTGCTATTATTGTTGCGCATCCCTCTTTACACTTGGGGATGATGTTTGGTTTTGGTTTTTCTACTTTTTAGGCTGCGGGATTGAATTGGGCTTTTGTTGCTAGCGATTTGGGATAGAAAGACATTGACTATGTGCTCTGGGGGATTGTTTTCTTCCAAAGCATGCAAATTCGATGGAGTCCATCTTCCGTCAATCGAAAACTTGATCCTCAACTAGAATCTCGCGTACGCATACGTAGCAGACCCTTGGCCTATGTTATCAGTTTATCCGGCCTTACTGAAATGATCAACCTTTATGTGTACCACGAGTGACTGATCTTCCGTCGAAACACTGATCGACGATCATAGTCCCAGCTTTTACAACAGGAATGATCGGATTCAAATCAGGTGGGATAGGGATTGAGATCATATAGCAAACACGATACTAGTTCATCGATAAGGCCTTGTACGTATGTGGGATAATTGAATTTGATGAAACGGGTTCGTGGTTGCGATGTAAGAACCAACAGCATCAGTGGATCAATTGATAGTTTTCACGTGGGTACTAGTTGACATATGTAGTAGCTTGTGTATGTGTGAAGTTACATCAATTGGTGTTAACTCAATCAAGTCAACTAGTAAGCTATCAATATATAGCAAATACAATAGCGGGAGATGGGTTTTCTGAATACCGTTGCAGATTCCCTACCATAATAATACGTAATAGACAATTTAGATATGTGATACGTCCTTAACAATGTCTTATATAAAGCGAGATGTTTATATATATCAATTGATATCTCCACCTCTAAATATAATACTAAAAAGCGTGATTTTCCCTAATTAAGAGCTTAGTGAAGTAATACATTGGTATGATATATATAGATAGATATGGCCATTACACACACAGCTTTTTAAAAAGTATGAAATGCTCCAAGATCAATATAATTTCTTTAAACATTTTTACTCGAATTCTTCGTTTGCTGCTACGCTCGATTTTAAAACAATGAACTTGTTTTTGTGTACAGTGTAGCTAAGCATACATCCTGAGCGTCCTTATCATAGGCAGAATGGCTATAGCTACATGGATCAGCGCATGTTTTAGAGCTTCCCTGGAAATCCTTTTGGGAAGTTTAGCTTATTATAAAGAGCTGCAAATGGTATATCTTCGCTCTTCTTGTCCGTAACCGTAAATGCACATAGGATTTGGAGCGGCGGGGAATGGCCGCTTTTAACAAACAAAGAAACAAGAACATTCACAAAATTATTCATGCGGGCGTAGCAGTTAGCGTCACTTACCACCGTAGCAAGCCACATCTTCACCCTCTGAGTCTAGTGGTACTGAGCTGGGAGCTCAGCTTCATCTTGAACCGTAGGCAAAAACTGGTTAGCCCACGCCTTAGCAAGAACGTAGAGGGTCATTTTCAATATCAATGCCAGAAGTAGCAGAAGGACCAAATGGAATTGAAAATAAGTCTATATAGCAGTTGCCGGGCCCGACTAGTTTCTCGTTCGAGGTCGCCAATTATTACTTGGCCTTTAGGTCGAAAGAGGGAACCTATTTTTGGAACATATACTAAATTTAGTTGTGCAAAGATACCTTTTGACTAACAAGAAAAATACAAATGGATAAAGGTGACGGCGAGCTGGAGAGGATGTGTTTGTACCTCCATCTCCGAAGACACTCTCTCAATAACCATCAACTCCATTTGTGTTCAAGATGTCTCATTCTCCTATGCATCTGCACTCGCAACAATTTATCAATATGAAATCATTTATTATTTCCTCTTGCATTATGGGTGCCACCCTGGCTGTCCAGTGCTCGTGCAGGTAGCGTGGCTATTCAGATGATGACACCTCTGCAATTTGAGGTCCCACTCGATGTCGTCTTTTCTAAGGCGTTGGGTTTACTGGGCTCCATTTGAAATTCGCCAACTAGAAAAACCCTGCCTCCTTAGGTAATACCCAAGCTCAAGTTGGTGTCATTACCCTGGTTATTGAGTCTGACCTGACTTGCCATGCGTTCAGCGACAACGCAGGCATAAAACCTCTTGGAAATAACTTCAAATACTATTTAGGGGGGTTCACAGACACGCAAGGTGCTAGAGAGATCAGTTCTGACAATAGAGGGGCTCCAATTTGTACTCTCAGGCCGCGGTTGATGCCTAGGTGGTCAAGGAGAGCATTGCATGGGGCTCATCTTCCGCCACTGTCTGCATCGGGAACGACTTCGATAACAAGCGACGGCGAGTCAGTTGGGCATCTTCCTGGGTACCTTGTTCTTACTAGGTGAGAATATTGCCTTTATTATCTTATCCAGTCCCTCATTAACGGATTTTATAACACAGGAAACACCCTTCTTGGGACTCGGTCGGACTATCTGTCCATCGTTTCTGATAGACCAAGTTGCGATAGCATCGAGATTTGGCGAAATTACACTCAATAAACTCCGATTATGGATACAACTTTCATGGCCGCTACCCTGGTGTTAGGGGTGCTAAATTTGCTGAAGATTTCTCTTATCATGAACTGAAAAAATTCCTTTGATGGTCCACAGTTGCTTAATCTCACTATTTCACCCACCCCGTTCGCAGAACCTTCGACTCTAAGCCAGTAAAACGCCTCGTGTCGAACTTTATCTAGCACATTTGTTACTCAAAAATGCTTACGATAAGGGAAAGCTCAATTAAGCCTATGGCTTCATGTAGATCATTCGTAAATTCCGTTAAGTGCTTTCTTTTTGACTTCTGTGACCACTGCAACCGCCACATTATCAACTGAATGACCATATCGTCTGTAATAATCAACCATAACACACGCAAGAGGTCAATCCAACTTACTATCTCTAGTTCCAGACCCCGTGGTCTCAATCCGTGGTTTCGGATCGCTCTATCTATACAAAGTTTATAGACATCTTAGGTGGATAAAGCAATAGGTGAGTAACTGAGGAAAGAGCCATTCTAATCTGGCATGTTATCTTGGCCTGCATAGAGCATGTTGTATTCGCTCTAGCATATCATCTAATCATCGCTCCTCGAAGATGTGAGGTTCAATTATCACATAGTGGCTTCTGATTGGCTAATTCAAAATAGGAATAAATGGAACGTTTTGCAGATTAGCCTCATTTGGTCACCGTGTTTATCAGCAGTGAAGAGTGGCTTTCCGGTGGCAACGATAGGAACTCGGCGTGAACCGACTGTCAAAGCTTAGAACTGTATTCAGGACCACCGCAGCAAGCTTGGTTCCCTAGAGAAACAATAAGGTCTATATTAAATGCAGGGACGTGGACAATTTTGGACCATCCATGGAGCAGATCAAATTCTTAAGCTATGAATTCACGCGTCGCATTCTCCGCCCGCATGCTCTTGGGCATTTCACTTGCTGCACTTGTTCTGGCGGATCCAGTGAAATCTCATACTTCATGCCATGACAGCTCGGTCACAGTAACTGCTACCACTACCGTCACTGTTTCGGCAGCTGTGAGCACAACTTCATCCTCGCTATTGACAACTGCGGCCCCAGGTACTCCAGTATCACCCAAAATTCTCATTATTGCCAACGAATTCGAGTTCGGCTACCTGGAGGCCTATAACTTTACGACCCTGTATACTGGCGCCTTGTTCGAACAGGTCTTCGCCTGCACTGCAGATGGCACTATCTGCAAGCTTGAGTGTGGCCAAGAACTCGTCTCAGCTTCTCAAATTACCTCACTTTTGCTCATACCTGGGGTTGATCTCACGAAATCCTACATTATCATCACTGGTACGGGAGGTGTAAACCCGAAATATGGTACCGCTGGAGGCGCTGCGATCAGCACATTTTCAATCCAGTGGGAATGGGGCGACATGTTCCTTGGAGCCGATTTGCCTGTCAATTTCTCTGGGCAATATTTCTCCTCATATGCGCAGGATGCCCCATACAAATACCCTGTAACTGTCGGAACCGAGGTGTATAAGCTCAACGAAGCTCTCGTGGATCGTTTCTACAAGGTTGGGAGCACGGTTGCGTATCAAGATGTCCCTCCATTCTTACAGGACTTGAGGGCGACATATGAATACGATATGGCAAAGCAGGCGCCATTCCTGGCGCGATGTGACACAGTTTCCTCACAGATATACTGGCATGGTAGCGTGGCAGGGGAAAATGTAGAGTACTACAGCAATGTCATCACAACAGGCCAGGCACGCCCTTGCAATACCAACGAGGATGACCAGGGAAGGTTGCTAGCTCTATTTTTGGGTGCTGTCTATAAGAGAATAGATTTTGGCAGAGTTGCGATGATCAAAGCTTTCAGTAACTTCGACCGCCCTCCGCCACAGCTGACAGCCTACCAATCTCGCTTCTTTGTCGGAGAAGCGGCGACAGAACCTGGATTAAGAAATTCATGGAAAACAATTGAGGCTGTTGTAGACGATGTGCTCGAAAACTGGGAAACTATTTTTGAGACTGGAATCAAGCCAAACACGTATATGGGCGACTTGTTTGGAACGCTGGGTGGGAAATGCGACTTTTCATTACCTGCTAGTGCTGCTCCTGGCTCAGTACAAGGCAGTTAATACAGCAAATTCCTTCCAAGCCAGCGGTGGATGTCAAAGCGTAGCGTTTTATCAGGCTACTGAGTAAAACACTTGTGTCATCTATCATATTGCTCCGTCAGCTTAGTTTGGCACGCCAAGCAGGAATATCTAGCCACAGGAGTGTACATCTAGATGTTAGGAAGGGAAAAAATCTAAATACATCTAACGTTCGTAAAATATATACTAGTATGGGCTGTAATTATATAAACAGAAAACGGATGAGTGAACTACACAAAGCAATATGCTCTCCAATTTGTTCCATCTCTTGGAGTCAATAATATTGAAGGCGGACTTAATCATATTTGATCAAAATACTCTCCATAGAAGAATCACCAAGAACATAATTTGCGTGTCCTTCGTCAAGGGGACAGTTGATGAGCAATCAAAGAGTTACATGAATGCCAAAATGTATTTGCTCAAACCATCACCTCTTCCTCAACCGTCCGTTACTCCTCCCTCCACCTTCTCCTCTCTCTTCTCCTCCCAGGATTCTGACTCTATCTTATGTCACCATCGATTAACATAAGTTCCTCTATACTATGGGGGGATGTACTTGCGACACTGATAAGCGGATATCGTTCGGACCGTATGAGAAGCCTGTCCGTCTGCTGCTCAATGAAGATAGGACCAATGAGATTGTGGAACGATATGCGCCAAGTATTATACCGAACTGTGCAAATATTTCCCCGCAGAACTTGAAGCATGGATTATTAATATGCAGCAACGCATATGCAGGGTTAATTACATCTCATAAACGTTCTGGCTCGCGTACTGATAAGGCTTGCCTTGGAGTTAAGAGTCTGGACACATTGGAAATTAATTTCCTAATCTTAAATCTTTCGATAATAGTTGCCTTGTGTGTACATACGGAGTTGTAAACTTTTCACCATTCAGCTTTTTTGCGAGTTTACAAGGTCTATGTCTAATTTTGACAATAAGAGCGATGAACTGAAAGACGATCTGGGAAAGCTATGGAAAATTGGGTGGCTCCATGCAGAGAAATCCGGTGGTGATATGCACCTGTATTTGCAAGCCAAATACACCGTTGATAGGTACCTGATCTTTACAAGTTTCTTCCCACCTTCTAACCCATTGACATAAGTATTATTAATCTATTTTCTTGGAGAAAAACTATGACTCTCCCCTACTGGCACTCGATGCTATTAATCGTTTCCAGTCTCGTCAACTATCAGATCCCCCGCGTTTGCTGAATGGCAATTCTCCACCGTTTGAAGACCTATACCAGAAAGAATTCTACCGCTGCCTATTTCCATTATTAGGTGATCCTAATGTAATGTCTCCTGAATTTGTGATCAGTGCGGGCACCAAGAGTGATTCCATTGATTTCCTTGTCGCCTAGAAGAAGGGGACTGGAACTTCTAACAGATCATGATGGGCTTTTGCAACGCACGGAAAGATTTGAACCTAAAGGAAATTACCCCTTGATCGAAGAAGGGAATATATGAAAGAGCATATTGTTCTCAACTTCGCTTAGACATAACTAATATCTTCACTAGAGTACCACGGTCGCCTCTACCACTACCAAAATCACAAGCATGTAATCGACATAGACCGTAATTATTCCCAAAAATCATGAGATGCCCCATCCATGGCCTATAATCACTTTAAGAAAATGACCTAAAAATGAGAACTTTGATTCTGATGCAGTTCGCATTACTGGCTATTCTATGTTGGGTTCATAGCTTATTAAGGAGCTCTTATGTTTAATCTCCTACACTAAAACGAAGTTGACCGATACCTCCAAAAACATTGCCGATACAGACGCAACGGTCCATGTGAGTTATCTAGAACTGATGTTGTTCGGTTCTAGCCGGGAACAGTGCAAGTGACGGTTAGCTTTAACTCAACTTTGCTTTTTCTCTTCACTCGGATGACATCGTAAGAGGCCGCGCACGCAAGTTCTACAAGCAGAAGTGACTGGGGCGGCCACTAAGTCTAACTCTGGCATTTAATGTATGTTTGTAATGGTAAATGTATTATTCGTATTATAGCCGGCCCTAATACGTCACCATCTTACACTTGTGTGTCACTAAATTATGAACATTCGTGATCATAAAAATGAGACCGTTGCAGGTAGCTATTGGAAAGGCAGAGGTAAACCTGTCTGATTCGCGTGACCTATGATTTATAAGTTTTGAATCTATATGAAGAACTGAGACTTAATTAATATCGGTGTTTGATTTATAAGGATAGTAGTAGTTGGTGCCGAACTTGTACGCAATAGTGAGAGGACTCGGCAACAAATTAAGCTTAGTGGCAAGTTCGATTGGATTTAGATACAAGCCTGAGTTGCCAAAAACTCATTTATCTAGACATATTTATATGCGAATTTACACTAATGTTCTGTCATCAGGCGTCAGGGGTCGGTAGTTGATTTCGCCAACTTTTGGCGCGCTTTGGCCCTGTTGATCGTCCTAATCGACTACCCTCACACGGTTGTCCTCTAGCCGAGCTTGGAGATAAGGAAATCAGCTCCAAGCTTTTGTACAGAACTTGAACTTCCATAGAGGAGATGGTTGGCCATTGAAGTATTCGATGCAATTCCGTTGCAAACTAAGTCGCCCTCATAACAGATGTTCCGAACTTTGCCACTGTCCTCCCAATGTTGAGAGAGACCCAGGCTAGGGTTCTCAGAAAGAAGGGCGCCATTGTTCCCTCGGGTAGTTGCACCGCCATTTTGATCAATCGTGGTTATCTGATTCCTGACCTGGTATGGATTTCCAATAAAAACAACAGCTTTTATAGCCGCTTCAGCAGGCGTACCAGTCAAATTTTGAAGAGCTTCCAAGGTAACAGTAGCTCCTTGAGAGTACCCAAGCAGGGCGTACATCTGCTGAGGGCATACCTTGAGGCCGGTATGAATATGCTTCTCAATGTCTTCAGATCCAATATAGGTCGTCAATTGCGTCGGGTCGGGAGCCGCAGGGTACACCACATCGTACTCAAAGCCCCCCGAGATGGCAGACAGAGTAGTCTTAATCATACCCACGAAGCCGATGGAAGGGCCTTGAGGCTCGAATGTACCGCGAGAACTCAGGATGACGTAGTCCTGACATTTTTCAACAAGTGGCATGCCAAGAGCTACACTGACTCCAAGAATGACTGCGATGATTGCGGATTTGGACATCATCTAGAACGATTGAATATGAACCAAGAAAAAGATGGCGAGTAAAACAAATAGAAGTCACTTAAGAAGCGAAGAATATCCGTAAGTGCCAGCCTGCCCTTAAGCTTGATATTCTGTTGTAAAAGTGGCCATTGAAGCCATGTCAATGTCGTTAAATAGCGACCATTCTAGTTCCCATAATCCAGCACCGAGGCGACCGATCACTGTTGAGTACATGTGAATCTTCCGGACCAAAACTTTTCGTTCACAGTGTTCTAGGATTCTCCATGGAAAGTAGAAGTTAGTGTCTGTATGCAGGGTATTACTTGAAAGGTTCAGACTAGTTCGTACGCTAAACGAATTAACCCAGTGTCAAATGTCTGGGATGAGCATCTCTTTCGACTGTTCCTGTTCACGAAGTAGAACACGAATGCTTGATTGTAATATTCACCTGTGGGAACCACTACCCCCGACACAATAGTATCACACGGTGGTGTCAGTGCTCAACGCTTTTTCTTTCTCAGCCTCGAAAGTGTTTTCAACGGTCTTGAATCCGTAGAACTAGGGACTCAACTCGCTCTCGTGAGTAGACCTGCTCGTCATCTAAGTAAACACCAACAGCTGCATATACCTCAACAGTTTACAACCCCGTACAAGTGACTTGATAGCTCCAAGGCCGCATAATTCAGTAAGGCCTACGACAAATGTAATGAAACGATCAGTGCTTGGTTTCAATTGCTACGTCAACTGACCCAAAAGGCGCAAATTTTGGTCAAGAGATCGAACACCATGCTATTTTGTAAATCAACCCGTGTCACCGAGGCTCTGTAGGATCGCTGGAGACAGGTTTCAAGACAGATGCCGGTTATAAAGGCTATCGCAGTGGCTGGAAGACGGTGCTCTTCTTTCGAGCTCAGCTTCCTCTCATTTTCTCTGCTCTTGATGAGCTGTAGCCTCCCTCATCTAACAGCTTGATCCACCTCGACCCCCGCCTACCCCTAATGCACGTGTATCACTGAGTGGCAGCCGTGGCGGCTGTTCTACTGGGGATGGCCCCGTACATACTAGCCATGCTCGCAGTGATCCTGCCACAGCCTCGCCGTCGTTCAATGGTGCACGTACCCACCAACGATCCTTTCTACACGCCACCAGATGGATATGTTTGAACAAAAAGAGAGCTAAATCTGGTCAAAGGTGACAAGAAAAATATCGAATGGCTCCACCTAAACAAAATAAACAGCAAATATAGTCAAAAATGAAGTAACACAGACAACATGGATCCGGTTAAACAGAAATTACACTAAATCTGATCAAAAATGAAGTAAAACAGAGTGGATCCTACCTGGACAGAAAGTACGCTAAAATCTGGGCGATAGTGAAGTGAAACTTAGCAGAAAAACTCTAAATCTACTGAAAAGTGAAGTTATACAGACAACTTGGCTTCACCTATAATTTATTTTCCCCAAGTATTAGACCCACCGGTGAAATTGGATCTACAAGTGTGTCACAATAGTAAATAGTTCATGCTTCTCTCCTGCTTTCATCAGTTAGTTGCACAATCAATTAGACCGTGGTGATGGTTTCCGACGCTATCAACACCAAACACAAGTGAAGCATAGGTGAGTACGATGATACGGGGTTCGAATTCGAATCGTGCGAAAGGAAACTACGGTACATAAAACGGTTGCTTCGGACCTGAATCAGGCCGGAAAATATTAAATTGGGGCCAGAGAGATAAAGAGATTTTGATGCGTGAATGCCTAACCCAAACGAGAAAATAAGGTTCTACGCCTGAATGATACTCGGCCGTTTGCTTCAAGTAGGCAACAGATAACCCTCCATTTCAATGATGACTACATGCAGTGTAGGCCCTTTTTTGCTGTTGGTCTCTTTCACTAAGCGTTTACTATAGTAGTGGTAGTAGTAGCATGTACTACACTTGATAGTTGATATCCCAACACCATACAATTTGTGAACTGAGATCACCAATTGTTGACCTTTATCCTGATAAGGTGGATCTACTGTGGGGCTGTTAAAAGGACTCATAGGAGTCCTTAGCTTAGAAGGGTGTTGACCTGTCAACAGTCCGATTAACTTTGTGGTATCTCTTAGGCTAAAGCCAAATAGCTAGAACGCTGTCACATATATATTAAGTTTTATTTTGAGCTAGAGTAGATATACGATAATAAACTTATATTTTACTACAATCTGCCTCTGTATATACAGTTATTCTCTGTATGTATGATATTTCTACCGATTACTTTATGTCGTTTAGAAATGATTGAGTCTATAAGTGTGTCTGAGGATATCTTTAATTCCTATTCTGTAGATATTCAGTTGGACTAAATAAATGAAATGAAATGGAGAGCATCAGTCAAATCTGGTATTTTTCTCTTCCGTTTTTTTCTTTGATAGGATTACATATTACAAAAGAGTCTTATATGATATTGAATTTAGAATTATTTGATGGAGTAGACAATCAACTATAATAGAGATTGTCTGTTAGTAAAATGATTATCAGCGTGAAGGTCGGATTACTAATTTTATTGTTCAGTTTAATGGGGGTGAGTTGTTGGATGATTGGACGAAAGTCTGGAGCTGTCTTTTAATATCTGTATTACTTCTATAAATGAGCGAATTATCTGGATTGAGGACTGGTTTAATGGTATGTGAACTAAGCTAGTATGTAATATCATAATTCTTTATCTCTTATTTGAATTGTTTATAGAAAGATTCCTTGAAGAGTATGAGACGCCATGGATCACCATATTTTCTTCTACTATTCTTCCGTAGTTGTTGCAAGCTGGACACGCGGGGTTTGCGGACGCAAATATCAATTGATGTCGGTGTAAAACACATGCTTTGACTAGTCTGCACATGAGTCAGCCGTCAGTTGGATCCTGAGGCAGTAATAGTATAGCTGTACGAATCAGCCTTTAGACAATAGCACATGTCATGGCATTCCATGCATACCCATAGCTAATCACCCTATCGTTTCGTCAGATTCTGGGCTACTCTTATTCAGCAAGGCGATCAACGATCGTTGAAGGAAAAATGATAGTATGAGCCCAAAATAGTAGTTGAAAAATTTGAGATAATAATTGTTGCTGAGAACAAAAGGACGTTGGTCTAGTCGAAAGCGAGTCACAAAGAATGGAAAATGCTTGTGAAGATAAAAGGACAGAAAACATTAAATCCTCAGTTCCACCGCTTCAATGTTCTAACAATGTTCACATGCTGGCATGATAGCTCATGCAACGTTGTAAGATGTAATTCATTCAGGTACAAAGTAGTAAAATGAAGACATGCGATATATGCGACACCTTCAGGCTTCAAGTATTCTGTTATTATTATCTGTTAGAGCCCGTAAACAGTTGACATCAAAGTTTTCTGGAATGATCCGAGTTTACGCCGGATCAGCTACTACCTCTGTACAGCTTACGGTCAGCACAGTCCAGCGTGCGAACAATTGTCTACTTATGTACAATAGTTCGCCGATCACAACAAGCCACAGGATTATTTAAATTCAAATAACTAATGCGATGCCGAGTCATACTGAAGTAAGCGCTGCGACGCTGAGTGTTGCACGTGATTATTAATATTTCTTCACACTTTATAAACGGCGCAATAGTGGAATAGTCTACGAGCCGTCTGGTTGATGATGCTGATCATGTTGTTTTGGCCCCGGAGCTAATTCGCACACGGCAACGCTTTCAGATAGGCCCAGCTGGATTTGCAATGGATATACACATATTGATCGCATTGCATACATTAAATAACGATTTGGAAGATAATTATAGCTGTCCTCTCTTTCATAATGAAAAGACCAGAATTATCCTCCGACAACATACTAGAGACACTCTATATTATCCGTGTGGAGAAAGGCGCGAATCATCTGCCATCCAAATACTCCGCCACCAAATTACCGGGAATTGGCCCCAAAAGAAGCAATGATCCCACCAAGCAGAATAGTTCCCGAGGCTTATGGTCTTTTTTTGGCACAAAGTGACATTATCTTGGCTCTTGGATACGGATCGTCAGAAGCTTATTAACGACCATCAGTCTAAATGGAGTATGTAGATAGTAGTGGGTAGTGACCAGGCGAGCATATTAAAATACTACCAGTCTGAAGTACTTATACTGGCACTCGGTTGTCGCCGACGGGACATATTTCGGACCCTACCTGGATGGACCGGAGGTATGCTGTTTTTAGACCCAGAGTTCGCCGGCATTTGATCATATATGAAAGCTTACCTTCCACTAAAGTATCCTTTATCTTGTTTTGGAGTTTCAGAAACCCGCTGTTCACACAGACCAACTAGCAACCATGGTGAACAGACCGGACTCTGCATTTTACTGGGAAGATGCATCGCCGATTTCGAACGAAACGATGACGCCCGTCGATCAGCAGCCAAAAGATCCCTTGAAAACCCACTTGGTAATCCCAGAGCAACCGGCCTATCAGACCACTGGCGAGTCGCCTATTGATCGTTTTGGGCCGCGACTGAGAAGATTCCCGACGACGAGCACTACGAGAAGGTCATCTTTGACACAGTTCCATCAAGCAGAGTCAACGCAATGCTATTCGCCGATCGATGGAAATGCAGCGAGTTTCAGAAGTTTCGTGGTCGCAGAAGTACCAAATAATTATTCTAATTTTCACGCACATGATGATTATGACGATGTCAATCTGGGGGTTTCGCAATTGGGAGCAGTGGCTGAAGATGATTGGGATGGAAGAATATCAGAGCTGCAAACCCAACTAGAACAACAGCAACAATTGGAAAATAAGAACCAGTTTAATTTGTTCAAAACAGCGCCTTTGACACCTAGGCACTCCTATCACGATAGCATGTCTAGTCAAGGAACAGTTGACAAAACAACTGTCGTTTCACGAGAGAAATATTGCTCAATCGACACAAAAACAGATGGAAGCTTGAAAGAATATTATAATTCTACATGGAAAATATATTTAGTGGTTATTGCTCTCGCTCTGACGACCTTTTGCACAAGTCTAGTATGCGAACTCTCTAAAATGTTTGATTGTATTACTGACCGACCACACATCTAGGACAGCACTATCCTGGCTACTGCGATTCCCCAAATAACAGACCGTTTCAATTCCCTTGATGATGTTGAATGGTACGGCGCCGCATATTTGCTAGCAAACTGCTCGGTACAGCTTATATACGGCAAGCTATACCACTTACATAGCGTCAAGTGGGTGTATTTGGTTGCGCTATTTTTATTCCAGCTCGGTTCATTCGTGTGTGCTATCGCACCGAGTTCAGTAGTCCTTATTACAGGCCGAGCAGTGGCTGGGCTAGGTGCAGCTGGGATTTTATCGGGGAGTATTCTTATGATTAGACAGCTGGTTCCATTGCACCAACGACCAGGGTACATGGCAGCACTCGCTTCTATGACTGGAATTGCATGGATTATAGGGCCAATGTATGTTTCCCTATTTATTTAACGAGAGATGTATGGCCTAACGTGCAGCAGCATTGGAGGTGCTTTTACAGACTCTGTCTCATGGCGCTGGTGTTTTTACATTAACCTTCCCTTTGGGCTTATTACCTGCATCTTGCTCTTGATATTTTACCAGCCGCTTCAATTACTACCAAATTCCCAACGCGTGAGCTTGCGAGACAGCGTACGCTTTCTCGACATCGAAGGGACCGCCCTTTTTTTACCAGCCATAGTAAGCTTATTGCTGGCACTTCAATGGGGTGGCACAAAGTTCCCCTGGGGCTCGGTACAAATAATTGTACTGCTAATTATTTTCTCCATCACCTCGGTTGGATTTGTCTTCGTCCAGATTTGGAAACAAGAACTTGCTACTGTCCCCCCACGGGTCATGACGAGCCGTAATGTTTGGGCCGGATTTGTCTTTACATTTTGCTTCGGGGCTGCCGTTGTCGTTGCGATGTACTACGTACGTATTGCACCTTGCCCCCTTCCTTAATTTTCCTTTTAGAAAAAAAAGCTAATTTTCACAAAGATTCCGCTATGGTTACAAGTTATCAAGAACGACTCCTCTGAAAGTTCTGGTATCATGACACTCTCTCTAGTGATCGCCATGGTAGTCACATCACTTCTTACTGCCATTCTCATCACCGTTATCGGCTATTATACGCCCTTCATGATTCTTGCATCAATTCTGATGTCTGTCGGCGGAGGCCTTCTCAGTACATTAGACACAAACGCAAGCTCTAAAAAATACATCGCCTTCCAAATCATCTTTGGCAGCGGTGTTGGCTGCGGCATCCAACAGAGTATGGTTGCGATCCAAGCCGCTGTCAATGGCAGCGGTAGCAGAAACAGCAGTAGCAGTAGCAGCAGTGGTAGCAATGGTAGCGCTGTTTCTATGGGCACTGCAATTATGACATTTGCACAGACCCTTGGCGGAGCTATATTTATTGCCGTCGCTCAAAACGTGTTCGAAAATAAACTCAGCAATGGGATCGTGGCTGCAAAGGTTCCGGGATTAGATTCTCAGGCTATACTTAAGATAGGAGCGACGGAACTCAGGAATACGGTGGAAAGCCAGTACTGGGATGCGGTTTCACACGCATATAATGCTGCAATTGACGATACGTTTCGTGTAGCAACGATCGTTGCGGCAGTTTCAATATTGGGCGCATTGGGAATGGAGTGGATTTCAATAAAGCGCTAGATAGATGAATTGATAGATAACGAGTATATGTCATGAAATGATTATTGATATGAACATTGAGATACCATTATCGTTCACACACAATTGATAGCACCCCTGTCATTCAGCTGTTGGAAGAGGGTAATCAATTGAAATTGTTGTGTAGATTTCAATATTCTATCAGACCATCGTTCTCAAACTAGTTGGTTTTTGAGTACCAATCTAGACGTAGTAGTGAGCGCTGTGGAATGATATCCTGTAGCAAGAGGAATCCATGCTAATCACCCTCGCTGGATGCTCGCTCCAACTGCGCCAAAATGTTTCAAGAAACGACCACGAATTATAACCGATTCTCTCATCTCACCAACAGCAATCGGCCATAAGACTCGAGATGTCCCATCCTCAAAGCCGATGGGACAGCCTTCATCCCTCTCAAATTCTGGCGCTGCGCTCATGTACCCCGGGTCGACAGTGTTCATTGCCACCTGTCGTGCCCACGCATTCTCAGCCTCGGTTTCGGTGATCATGTTAATAGCAGCTTTGGACATGTTGGTGTGAACATGGTGGCCTGTCTTAGGTGACCTGTTTTCGAGAATTCCTTCGCGCGAAGAGACGTTGATAATATATCCCTCTGGGCGAGAAATATTCGATTTGTTTTTCCTAGCTCCTGATCGTGAACCCATGACAGGTAGCAGTTCCCGGCACAGGATGAGCGGCACAAATGAATTGACTGAAAAAGCACTGATAATATCCTCGTAAGGAATATCTGACATTTCCTGCACCCACGATGACCTTTCAGTTTCAGAATCATGCCCGCCCAGTCCCTTTGAAAGCCTCGCCTCGTTTCCATCTTGATCTTCTGGCTTGAACGGGGATTGACTGATTTGATGCTTGGAGTTGCCCTCGATACTAGATTTCCAAATCTCTTGCATACCACCTCGGACTCTAGGTTCGTATTTGTATTGGGTTTCAGAGAGGAGAGTAGACGGGCGACTTTCGAAGCTGTTTTGTAACTGTGTCTCCCGTCTAACAGCAGCCAATTCAGACTTGACAGGGTCTGTGAGCGTCTGAGCAGCATTGTTGATTAAAATATGTAGCGCGGTCTTAGACCACTCGCGCAGAAGAGATTTTAGAGCAGCAACAAGCTGAAAAGCATCCCTAGCGGTTCGAAAGTCGGCACCCACGATCCGCAGCCTCGATGTCCATTTGTTCGCGTCGTGTTGTTGCGAATATCTCGACTCGGCATCATGAGGATATCTCGTCGACACGATGACTTTGGCGCCACATCGAAGTAAACGCAATGCAGTGTAGAACCCTAAATTGACACGGCCGCCTGTCACAAGGGCGGTTTTCCCTTCTAGATTCAACTTCTCAGGAAAGGCTAATTCAGACTGAGTGAGGTTAAAGTGACCACATGGCCGACACAAAGCGTGGTACAAGTGATGTGACTCTGAACGACGGAATTCATGTCTGCATATATAGCACTTGCGAGACGTATTCTGTAGGGATATCGAATCGAATGACGCGCAAAACATGGGGTCGATACCGAGATGTGTATCAATAGCGCGCATTACATCCGCAAGTGGAGTTGAGTCACTAATTTTAGGTGTTGTATGCTTCTCCTCCTTCCGGAGATAGTCTAATACCTTAATCGCGGTGGAAAACTCATTTGGGGTTGGCGTGTTGAGATTCTTCTTTTCGCAATTGCTCTCGCCACTCTGCACGTGGTCAAGTTGATGTAAATAAGCCCTGATGGACTTGACAATACTATCGTATTGCAATTCTTTCAAGCTCAGCGGCACATCGATGTTGGACAGGTTATTTGCAATCGCCATAGCCAGCGGTGATGATGACGACGATGGCAGATACATAGCCAACATGCTGGGTAGCTCCTTGTTGCGACATCGTTGCTGATCATGTCGCAGGTAGTCCGCAATTACAGTAGCGGGCTGCGATTCAATGAACCTATGGTACTCTGCTTGACTGTGTAACATCATGAGTTGAGTTAATGATTGGTAATGGATAGGTCTTATGGAGCACATGAAATCTTGGAAACACGATCTCACAACCCAATCAAATGTTTCAAACTAGCATTTTTATTCTAGACTTAGGTCTTCCCAATGCTGCCAAATAACACTGTCCGTCAGTACACTTTGTCCTATTTATTGCATCCAATGTTGCTCCGCTGGTTAGGTTGACCCCATCGACACAGGGCGGTCCGTGCGAGAAGCGGATCTCGACCAGTAGTATTTTAACAAATTTATGAACCAACGTTCATCAATATTATCTTGAAGAATTTCATGAGGACAGCCCGTATCTTGATGATATCATTGAACTTATAGTATTGTACAGTAGATCAACGCGTCTCCATTTTGTAGTCTGGAGAACTAACCAATGGCAGTGACGAAACGATTATACGACGAGGATTTGTTACATATGACTCACATATACAATTGATTGAATCAAGTTGTTATTGACAAGTATTCAAATTTAAAGAGGTCTATGATATCTGAATAGTCAAGTTCTTTACATGAGCTGATACCACAGAATCTAGGTAAAATGCATACTCCGTTATCCCTCATTGTTAAGAAACTGGCGACTACGCCGCCGGAAATTGTGTGTGAGATATTGCAAGACCTGCGATTTTGGGATGTTCTTCGCCTGATTGCTCACGACAACCCATCGGTGAATTATTCTGTCATGAGTCACCCCTGGTATGGAAAGGTTTTCAAACAGAGCATGGATTTGCTAGCCCCAATGAAGGAGACTACGAGGACGTACTGGGACTTTGGGCGCGAAATGCGCTGGAAACTTGCTCCTCTGGACTCGCCACTAGCACTATCAGCAGGGTTTGAATCACAGGCACATCGTTCCCGACCAGATTTGTACCCATTATTTACCCAGCAACACGACAACTACTGGCATGATGCTGATATAGGGCATCAGTACACTGTTATAATCAATTACATGAAATTGCGCATTGCAAATTATTTGAATAGCCTGGATGGCCTTCAATTTAAATTGCTTCCTTACTATTCCAACGAACCCCACGCTTTACTCGTTGAACGGCTTGATTTGGACATCGACGGCTTGAAGCGGCGATGGATTGAATATAAAAGGGCACAGAGCAATCTGATGACACAGAGAGCTCGGCAGCTCACACGTGCTGCTGATTTACTCGAAGCTAATCCCGATATTCTCAAATTGGCCTCAGACCCTAGCCAGCAGCGACGGAAGAGTTTAGGACATATTATCCAAAATATGCGGGGCATCGCGCAAAAAATGTTACAAGGCAGTATGATACGAGGAGATGCAAATTGTGGCAGATGCTATTTCTTTGTTTATTTCCCCGTCGTACCGTTTGATGCCTGTCTTCGGATTGTTCTGAAGAATATCAAAGCCCATCGCAAGAACGGATCCAGCGGCGTTTATTCAGAGGGTAGTTCTCAGGACGAAAATGAGAAGAAGGGTCCCATAGAAGTCTTCTTAGCTGGCCTTTCCTCGATATATACAGGACGTCACAAATGGCTGTGGACTATACATGATGCACCGGTAAAGAAAATGCAGTATACCGAGTTCACAAACCCAGAACGGATTCCTAGAGTCATGGACGGCGACAACCCATATGACCCACAACAAGACCCATGTACCTCGGAGCTAAACTATGAGCAATTGAAGTTTGTTTCCGGCTACACAAAATTTTACCGTTTTCTCTTGTCGCAGAAGACGGTGGCTCTCCGAGACAACATACAAATGGCATGGGACAAGCACGATGACCGGGAGCTGGAATGGCTAGAGGCGTTTGTCAAAGTCTACCGGCTTGTCCAAGCGAGCCAACCTGCTACTGCTAATACCTGATTATCTCTGCCTAGCTTAGAATATATTCCTCTTTGGGCCCTGTAGCCCTAACCCACCAGTTTTATTAGACGGAGCCCTCGGATTCCATGGATTGTTCCACGATGCATATGGAGTATTAGTAATACTAGATGCAGGGTGACCGGAGCTGCAAAAGCCGCAGTATAGACGTAATGGCTGGTACTCGTACAGCAGTATCGTACGGCGTATAGTAGCGCTGATGATTGGCTGAGAACAACAAAGCCAGTTCCTTTTTAGGCACCGAGATCAATTTCGCTTGGAGTTAGCCTGGGCGGGGAGCTGAGGGGTGCACTAAGCCCCTTCGAGTGAGTCACAACTTCCCATTCGCCCACTCGCCTGTCAGCCACCCGCCACGTGGGGTCAGTGGCTGTCAGATCTCCTGATTGGCCAGCTTCTTTACGGGGTACGGAGAACGAGGGATACGCGATACGTGAGCCGTAAACACGACGCAATGATTGGCCCATCGTGATTCCCGCCTCGCTTATACGGACAATATTTGGACCACCGGCCAATAGTAATGCTATGCTAGCTCTTAGCAGTCCAACTTGATCTTCTAAGTTCTAACATATTATCACTGTTAGCTCGCTTACTCCGCAACGGTGACAATTCGGCAATGGCATGCTACCTTGCACCATCTTCTTATGGCAATGCATTATGCTATCTGTCGGACGCTGGTCTTTCCGGCCCTCGTGGTGGGCCTGTTTATTGATGGCTTGATCTATCAGATTGTCGATACTGGTCGGGGATGAAGCATAATAAGCTTATTATCTTTTAATTACTACCTTGTCACCGTTCTTGTTTTCCTTTCCTCGCGACCTCCTCTGCTAGATATCTTTCTATATCTTGATTATCTATTTCCCCTTCCATAACGATGTTTTGGTGTTTAAACATACTCCATCTCACGCGCGTCTAACCGAGAAACTGAGCTGGCTGCAGGTAGACCCCTGGGCTCCTTTTTTCGAAGCACTTGATATATTGGCCTTATTGAGTTCATTTAACTGTGCCTATATATATAGCTAAATTGTCGCCAATGGACTCGCCATGTGAGGGTGCAATTGACGGCACCAAAAACTTTCCATCTCAAGCTTTGGAAGGAAACCAAGGACATGCCGAGCCCGGCGACTCGACTGAAGATGGATCTTGGGACGAGATGAACCAAAAAGAGAAGGACGAAGTCACCGACCTCGCACGCCAGATATCTCAGATCTCCCGCCAAAATAGCGCACAGGTTGTCGACGAGCCTATCAACCCGTTCCTCGACGCCAATACCCATCCCGAGTTAGACCCATTATCGGAGAATTTCAAGCACACAAAATGGGTCAAGAATATGCTGCATATCACCTCTCGAGATCCCGATAGGTACCCACAGCGCACAACTGGCGTCTCGTTTCGGAACTTGAATGCCTACGGATATGGAACCGCAGCTGATTACCAGGCGGATGTCTTCAATACGTGGCTCAAGGCATTTGGATATTGTAAGGGCTTATTAGGCATGCGGAAGAAAATGAGAATTGATATTCTCCGGGATTTTGAAGGACTCGTGAAGAGTGGCGAGATGCTAGTCGTTCTCGGGCGTCCTGGAAGGTTGGTATTGTCTTTTGGAATTGAGTAGACAATAGCGTTAACGATATTCAGTGGCTGCTCCACATTCCTGCGCACTTTGTGCGGAGAAACACATGGCTTATGGCTTGACGAGGGCTCAGATATCCAGTACGAAGGTGTCTCATATAAAGAAATGCATAGTCGATTTCGTGGAGAAGTTATCTATCAGGCCGAACAAGAAATCCATTTCCCTCAAATGACTGCCGGAGATACTCTGATGTTTGCTGCGCAAGCCCGTGCCCCTGCAAATCGACTGCCTGGTGTCAGCCGTCAAGAGTATGCTACGCATATGCGCGATGTCGTTATGGCTGTTCTTGGTCTCTCACACACTAAGAATACACAGGTCGGAAATGAGTTTATTCGTGGTGTGTCTGGTGGAGAACGTAAACGTACCAGTATCGCCGAAACGACTCTTTGTGGAAGCCCCTTACAATGTTGGGACAACAGTACCCGTGGTCTTGATAGCGCCACAGCTCTTGAATTTGTTCGTACACTCAGAACGTCAACAAAATACACTGGCTCGACTGCCGTTGTTGCTATTTACCAGGCCGGTCAGGCTATCTATGATGTAGGTGTTCGGGTTTTCGAAGTTGAATATCCGCAAAATCTCTGACAGAGTCAACAGATCTTCGATAAAGCGATCGTACTGTACGAAGGCCGGCAAATATATTTCGGTCGGGCTGACGATGCCAAGCGATTTTTTGTCGATATGGGATTCTACTGCCCGCCCCGACAGACAACAGCCGACTTCCTCACCTCACTGACCAGCCCAGCGGAACGCCAAATCCGTGAAGGATTTGAAGGCCGCGTTCCAAACACACCCGACGAATTTTCAGTTCGTTGGAGGGAGAGCCCGGAACGCGAGGCCCTCGTTGAAGAGATTGAGACCTTTGTAGCTGAGCATCCTTTGGGAGGCAACAAATATAACGAATTCACCGCCTCACGGCAAATGGAAAAGGCAAAAGCAACACGAGCTTCATCTCCATATACTCTTAGCTATCCTATGCAAATTAGGCTATGCTTTTGGCGAGGAATTAAGCGCCTCCAGGGCGACATGAGCAACACCTTAGCCTCAGTCATTGGAAACATTGTCATGTCACTCATCATTTCCAGCATGTTTTACAAGTTGCCGGTCACTACATCCAGCTTCTACCAACGCTCGTCTCTGATGTTCTTTGCTATTCTAATGAATGCCTTTGCTAGTGTGCTGGAAATACAGACACTGTGGGCCCAGCGCCCCATTGTGGAGAAACATAAGAAATACGCCTTGTATCATCCCTCTGCGGAAGGTCTAAGCTCAATGCTAGTAGACTTGCCTGCAAAAGTCGTCTCTGCTATCGTCTTTAACTTGATTTTGTACTGGATGACTGGTCTCAATCCTACGGCTGGTGCATTCTTCACATTCTTTCTGTTCTCCTTCACAACAACCTTAGTAATGTCCAACCTCTTTCGATTCATCGGTTCTATGTCACGGACACAGGCACAGGCAATGGTTCCTGCGGGCATTTTCATGCTCGCTTTGATGATATATACTGGGTTTACAATCCCCATTCGCGACATGCATCCATGGTTTCGTTGGATTAACTATATCAACCCGATCGCATACGCTTTTGAGAGTCTGATGCTCAACGAATTCAGTGGGCGAGAATGGCCTTGCTCCCAATTCGTTCCTACTGGTCCCGGCTATTCTAACTTGCCATCCAAATCCGTTATTTGTAGTGCTAACGGCGCTGTTTCTGGTGAAAGTACCGTCTCCGGAGATGCTTACCTTGCCACTACATATCAGTATTCTCGCGATCACCTCTGGCGTAATTTCGGTATTTTGGTAGCATTTTTCTTTTTCTTTCTCGCATTGGCTATCTGGGCTACCGAAGTCATCACCGCTAAACCTTCTAAGGGCGAAGTCTTGGTATTTCCTCGAGGGAAGATTCCAGCGTTTGCTAAAGGGAAAAAGAAAATTGAAGATCCAGAGGCTTCAGAAGAACCTAATCAAACCGTCGTGCAAAAGGATGGATACGATTCAGCGGCTGCTATTGTCAAACAGACCTCAATTTTTCACTGGCAGAACGTGTGTTTTGATATCAAAATTAAGGGTGAGCCGCGTCGAATTTTAGATGATATTGATGGCTGGGTAAAACCTGGAACATTAACTGCATTAATGGGTGTCACTGGTGCCGGAAAGACAAGTCTGTTGGATGTGTTGGCGAACCGCGTTACTGTTGGTGTAGTCACCGGCCAAATGCTTGTTGATGGCCGCCAGCGGGACTCTTCGTTTCAACGGAAAACCGGCTATGTGCAACAACAAGACTTGCACTTGGAAACATCCACCGTGAGGGAGGCTTTGCGGTTCAGTGCTCTACTTCGCCAACCCAAGGCCGTTTCGAAAGCAGAGAAATACGCGTACGTGGAGGAAGTGATCAAAATGCTTGGTATGGAGGAGTATGCCGAAGCAGTCGTTGGTGTTCTTGGTGAGGGCCTCAATGTGGAACAGCGAAAGAGGTTGACTATTGGCGTTGAAATCGCCGCCAAACCCGACTTGCTGTTGTTTTTCGATGAGCCTACATCTGGGCTGGACAGTCAAACCGCTTGGAGTATATGTCAATTGATGCGCAAGCTTGCTAACCACGGGCAAGCCATATTATGTACTATTCATCAACCCTCTGCAGTCCTCATGCAGGAATTTGACCGTCTTCTGTTCTTAGCAAAAGGTGGTAGAACCATTTACTTTGGAGAGCTTGGTGAAAACATGGGGGAACTGATCTCTTATTTTGAGCGACATGGATCATCGAAATGTCCAGCATCTGCCAATCCCGCCGAGTGGATGTTGGAAGTGATTGGCGCTGCACCTGGTTCAAGGGCCGACAAGGACTGGGCGCAAGTTTGGAAGGACAGCTCTGAGCGTATCGCTGTGCGCAAAGAACTTGCCTCTATGAAGGCAGAACTGTCGACAAAGCCTCAACCTGAAGGCAATGCAGGATGGACCGAATTTGCTATGCCTATATGGTACCAATTTTTCACCATCTTGTTTCGAAACTTCCAGCAGTTCTGGCGGACGCCTGGGTACCTATACGCGAAATTCTGCATGTGTATTGTTCCAGTAGGTCCTTCGCATTTGTCTTGATATTATTTTCCAGTATGTACTAACATGTATCAGACACTCTTCATTGGTTTCTCTTTCTGGCGTGTAGGGACTTCGATCCAGGGTCTTGAAAATCAGACTTTTGCCATCTTTATGTTCCTCACCATATTCCCGAATCTATCTACACAAATGATGCCATATTTCGCTATGCAGCGGTCCTTGTACGAGGTTCGGGAGCGTCCCAGCAAAGCGTACTCTTGGAAAGCTTTTATTCTGGCTTCGATTTGCGTGGAAATCCCATGGAATGCACTCATGGCTGTTCCTGCCTATTTTGCATGGTATTATCCCATTGGACTGTACAATAACGCGGAGCCGACTCATAGTGTGATTGCAAGGGGAGGAACCATGTTCTTGTTGCTCTTGTTGTTCATGCTATATACATCGACGTTCACGATCATGGTAATTGCAGGTATGGAAGATCCGGCTGCGGCAGGGCAGATTTCGCAACTGATTTTCTCTCTGTCTCTCGTCTTTTGCGGGTAAGTCTTTTCTGTTCTTTCTGTAACCTCGTATTTGTTGGTGACCAGACTACTTACCACCTTCAAGTGTCCTTGTTGGCCCTTCTGCCCTCCCTGGGTTCTGGATTTTCATGTATCGTGTGTCACCATTCACATATCTTGTCGGTGCTGTACTTTCAACTGGCCTCTCCGGCACTTCCATCAAGTGTGCTTCCAACGAGATCCTAAAATTCAACCCTCCAAATCCTGGTCAAACATGCCAGGATTACCTGAATAGCTATATGTCCTATGCTGGCGGCTATCTACTCAACAATACAGCAACAACGGAATGTCAGTTTTGCGCTCTCGCCACAACGGATGACTTTTTGGCAACCTTGAGTATCTATTTCAAGGATCGATGGCGTGACGTTGGTATTCTTTTCGCCTACTGCGGGTTCAACATCCTTGCTGCCATTTTCTTGTATTGGTTGGCTCGGGTGCCCAAGGGGAAAAGGGTGAAGGAAATTCCTGATCAGGAGGGGAGTTCCGTCGAGAAAACTAAAAGCAAGACAGAGAGTAGTTGAGCACTGGCGATTTCCTATGGCTTAATTTGTTTTCAACGACTCGTTGATTCTGGATCAAAGATTCGAGGGATCCGCTAGAAAGCTTTGGGCTTCTTTTTCTCTACTATCTAGCGCTTTTGCGGAGAAAGCCTTGATATACAATTTTAATTAATAGTATTGAAGTGTATCTATCTAAAATAATCGTATTGATAATAACTTTGCATTGATATGTACGTGGATATCAGATCATATCGGATGTTCACTGAAAAGGCTTGAGATGACGAATACGTTAACTAGGGTAAACATTGGATTCCAACCGCATTCTTGACAAGCCTAAAATTGAATGTATACAAGGATGCGAAGCAACCGTGTCCGAAAATCCTTTGATGCTGACATGACTCGTGCTCCACGTCCTACACCAATTTATATGCCAATATATTACTGTATGCAATGTTTTCGGCCCAAACAGTCTAAAAACCAATACCCGAAGAATGGTGGTCTACCACAATATGAAGTCCCTTCTTCTCGTTCATTTTAGGAAGGTCAATATTGGTCCATCCCGACAATGTTGCCGCTAGGGAGTGATTGTCTCACAGCAATTTAAAACTTAATAAACATCAATCTACATCCGATAATATGTATCTTCCCGAGCATCAAATCACCACCTCAAGTATGGAAGCCATTCTCTTTTCCTTCTTGGAATCGTATTAAAATCTACCGGTTATGTTAGGAGATATTGCTATTCCCTATATTGATAATTTCTAATTAGCAAAGATATAGTAAAGATATAGCCCTAAAAGTTTTCGCTCAAAGCTAGAATCCTTTTCAAGGCTGAACTTAATTATGTGATGCTCTGGCAGGAAGATGTCTGTTATTGAATTCCAAGTGGCATACCTTGAGCAGGAGTTTGTTAAGTAAGCTTATCTAATTCCTTGTAGTTTTTCAGTAACGATTTTCTTTTAGTGACATATTAGCAACCATGACAATTAGTGATGGCCCTGAATTACTGTTAGACCGGAGGTCAAAGCGAGGCTAAAATATGGGAAAAGGATCATATTTCCGTCAAGTATTGGCAGAAAGTCGACCGGAAAGTTGATTACCTTTATCATGACCAACATAAATATCCTTTTGAGTTTAAACTTATTGATGGAGTAATCTTCCCTTTCCGACCAGCCTTAAGTACATTAGTGAACGTGAGGTGTCAAGACTAGGACCATTCAAAAGCCGCAAAATCCATGAGAAAATAGTGTGAGCATACAGGTTGATTTAAATAAAGAACGCTTATCCTGACAATAAATGTAAACTGCAGACTGCATAAGCGGGTTCTGCAAAGCACGATAGCGCATGCGTTATTGCATCAATTTGGACCATGGCAACTGCAGGAGCTCTTTTATCACTCACTTACATGGAAACATGTGCTTTATAAGCATTCATCACATTGAAATATGCACGAAATTTCTGTCAGTGAACAGTGGGCCATAGGACCAACGGCTACTCAATCTAGCGATGGGTGGACGATGAACATCTAAATCGTCCACCAGAATATCGAGAAATCACTTTGTTGTACAAGGTCCCTGGACCGTTTTGGACTATGAGAAAGGCCAGGGTCTGGGATCTCGATAAGCAAAGTCTGAGCGGATCCTGATTGAGTGATGGTTGTTTTCGGCAACATGTTGTAAATGTGCCATGTGAACTCATACTTCAGTGATGAAAGCTGCGGGTGGCTCATTCAGCATATGTGGCGGGTTACGCAAATGCAAGTACCTATCCCATTCTCATCATGCCTGTGTAGCCTTCGGTGCATGGGAGAGGCCACAGACAAATCTAGAACAATCAATCAGAACGAATAATTACTAGGCATAAAAGTACACCCCTTGTAGGCGACTACGGGTCGAATTCCCCAGAGTTACTTGATCTGGTTTAATGCATGACTGAGCCATTGCCATTGTCGGTATTTAACAAATTTGATGGACGGGATATGTTGGTGTGAATGACATTGGATGAAGTATCTAGTTTCTCAGACAGTATCATCATTGATGACATTATTATCACGATTATTCTTACGATAAATCCGTGAGCAATCAGCATGGGACGACTCTGAGGCTTTCCGGCTGCAGGTCGGCGCTGGAGACCAATGCTGTGGGACGGCCAAGTCACACAATGATCGACGGCGGGTCGTCACGATCGTGCTGCCTCTGGTTAGTTTTTGTAACATTCTCTACCAGTACTCGGTCGCTTTTCTTTCGCCTAACCCTTGTTTGACAGCCAGCGGCTCCAGTGGGTCCTATGCAACGAGAGTTCAATATTTCGGAGCCGGTTGATGGCGCCCGCAGTGGACAGTCTGGGAACTTGCCGAATGCAGTGATACCAAGGCCAATAGTAACTCTTCAGTGCCCGCATGTCACCGCTGATCTGCTGTCTGGGCCTATTTATCTGTCATATTTTGTCTCTTTTCTTTTTCCTTTTGTCTGTCCTTTCGTATTTAAACTGTATAATGCATCTATTAATTTGTCAGGATAAGCTTAACGAGGTTGGCTGGCTGAAGAGGCTCCACTAGGGCACAGATGATCATCTGATGATCCTTCGGCGGAGCAAGGCTATTGGTTTTTACAGGGTACGGCTGGCCATTATAATGTGAGAGACTATAGCTACATTGTATACTGGACTGCCTGCATTTACGTGGCTCCCGTCAAGCTTTATGAAAATCTGCTCCTGATGTGATTGAAAGGCTGCACCAACACATCCCCTCAACTTGTTTTTTAGCTTACTCAACCAGATATACAGGCTGAGAAGAAACATAATCGACAATAGAGTTCTCCATTCAGGTCAGAAAATATAGAAAATAGAGCACCAGACCGGGACCAGCTAGCCACATTTGTTGCTCAGACGTACCTGGCTGGCTCTTTTCAGGTCTAGTCGATACCATGTTTTTGGCTGCAGATTGTGTAGTAAGTCTACTCAAGCTCGACTCTTAGCGGTCGATCATCCGTGTATCAAATGGACCGGTAATTCTTCTCTGTCCGTTCTGCTGCGCTGTGTGGATGATGATAATGCGTCTGGTGGAAATAAAGCAAGTTAGTGATGGGCTAGAACGATGCACAGGCCTGAGTAGCCGCGATGCTTAGCCAAACGCCAGTGTAATACGAAGTGAAGAGAAAGAGGACAACTTTAATTCTCATTTGCAAGATGAAGAAAATTGTTTTAAAAATTGATTATGTTATAGCACAATTAACAATTGAATTAGCCTGCACCTAGTATTTGTTGTGTGACACCGACCGCCTTGTATCTACTTGCAGGGCGGATCTGACCTCGTCATTTTGACTCCATGATAACAAGATCGAACTCATGGATCTGACGTACGTCTAGAAACTGCAAAAGAGTATGGCGTCGCTGACCCGGACCAGGAACCACCCATTCGGTCTTAAAAATGGCATTTTGCCGTCCGATCGAACTTATACGGGGCTCGGGGTGGGGTGGTAATGGCTGAGAGGAGCAACCAAATAACTATTACATCACCATTGGCCACTTCAACCATTTATCGCTCGGATCGTGCCGGTATAATGATCTCCCTTGCATCCGCCTTCTGCAGGGCGACGTATACAGAAAGAGAAAAGACGCTTCTCGTGACTGGACATCTGCTCTTTGACCATGCATTTTCCCTTTTTTTTTGGTTTTTGTTTTTCCTTTTGACTTCCTCTATTTCCGCCTTTCTATACATATGTAGACATGGCAGACACTAGATCACGATCGTATCAATTTGGTTTCGGAGTAGCGGCTGCTGACTACTTGGCTGTCGTGTAACCACGTAGCTGCTACCTGTGTAGCTAGTTTTGGAAGCTAGCTTTCTCAGCTAGAGCCTACAGGAGGTGACCTTGGGCACATATTTTTACAAAGTATCTGCATCTTGCAAGTGATTGGACCGCTACTGCCCTTTTGTGTGGTGAAGACAAGCGCGCTGCTGCAAGAATTGATATCCTTAGTGTAACCACGCAGTTAAGTAATGATATACTCAGGCAATCGATTGTATTATCTGGTTTGGCTTTTGTTAGTTCCATAATTACCTTTCAATATGATTGCTGTATTTTATTTCTATACGGTTCTTTGCCCATTCACTTCCTTCCTCTTTTCTTTTCCTTTTTTGTTTATTTTCTTTTCTTGGGCGAACAGGTACATCCAACCACAGCTAACCATATCAAGCTTTCGGGGGAAATCGGCTAATAAGTGTTGTCTCCGCATCTAGTCTAGTGAGAATAATAGAATGATGGAGAATTGGGGATTTCTCGGAGAGTGGGCAATGATAGGAAAGTGGGCAAAAATACGATATCCGCTTGACTCTGACTCCACTAAGCTTGTCAAGAGTCGATCCTCAAAGTTTTTTGTCACCAATAACGAGACCGAGGGCTATTGCTCACGATCTTCAGAAGTGGATCTAACCTTTGCCTTTCATCCCGCCATCTCGGGGAGGGTGGACTGGAAGAAGAAAAGGGAAGAAGCTTTGATGATGCTAGTCCGCTAAAGGAAAGTAGACTTGAATCCCGGTACATCACGCTCTTTACATATGTAAGCTGCCTGCAATGTATATATCGGGTAAATAAGTACTTTTATCATTTGGTTCTCCATTGAACCTTATAATATCAAATCCAACCAGTCAAGGAACATATGCATTGCGTTCTTGCTTGTCTATTTTCCTGTCGTGAACTGTACTTTAATATCCGAGCGAGTATTGGGATAGAGGTGTTCTTTTCAGAGGCTTATTTCTTGTATTACTTTCATCTGCCAACGAACCCATCTCAATACTTTCAAAGCTTCAGTAGGTGGAATGATCGAAACACGCTCTATTATTGACTTCGTCTTGCCTTTGCAAATGCCTGGAGAAAAGCAAGCAACTGGCGCCAATGCCACTTCGAACACAACCACAACAACCTCGCGACAGCGGCCAGGCTCAGCTTGTGAAGAGTGCCGAAGACGAAAGTTACGGTGTGATAGACAACCGCAATGCGGCAACTGTGTCGAGAGTGGAGTCATTTGCACGACAACGACCGTCCGCCCAGCTCGTGGGCCCAAGAAAGGCCATCTAAAAGCCTTGAAAGGGAGAATAGGTACGCTGACTTAGAACTGCATATCAATCCTGAAGTATTAAGTCACTGATCAGCATCAGCTACGCTCGAGCGTTGCATTATGGAGCAGCAAGGAGGTATTGTTTTACCAGGTAGTGATGGATCACTATCTCCCGTCGAAGAAAGCCAACAGCCCTGTAGTTCAGACGGGGAGAATGGACAAGAATCGAAGCTGTTAGACATGCGACGTCTCTCTCTTCCTTCCCCGATAGATCACCAAAGCTATGGAATTCCCGAACTTGTGCGAGCTGATCTGTACGTTTTTTGCATATGTTGAAAAAGGAAGTGGCACGTTCCGGCTTTGGCTAACGAAGACAGTGACCAATTATACTTCGAAAGAGTACATCCTCTAGTTCCTATCCTACAAAGAGCTCGATATTTTACATGGGCAAAATCTCCAACAAAATCCGATTCGCGCAGCTGCTTACAATACGCCATGTGGACGCTGGCCGCCTCACTCTCGACTCACTGCCAGAGCATCCGAGACTCTTTATACACAGAAACCAAAAAACGACTTGAAGCACTCGAGTCAAAGGATAGTGAGATTGATCTGTTCGATATAGAACAAGCACAAGCGTGGTTGTTACTAGCCATCTACCAGTTCATGAGGACCACTTACCGCAAGGGGTGGATGAGCGCCGGGCGGCTTTTCCGTCTTGTCCAGCTCATGAGATTATATGAACTTGACAGTCCAAATGAAATTGCAACACAGCTTATTGAACCGGATTGGGTTGAAGTCGAAGAGAAGAGACGAACATTTTGGATGGCATATACACTAGATCGATTCGCCAATATCCGAAAGGGATGGCCCATCACGCTTACAGAGCAGATTCTTACACGGCTTCCCATGCCCGAAGCTGAATTCCAGGGGGGCCAGCTCATGATTATGGGCTTCTTATCTGACTCGCTTGCTGGAAGTGACTTTAACCTCACTCCGCAGTCGTCGTTTTCCGAATGTATTCTTCTAGCCACCATCTGCGGCCGAACCTTGTCGCATCGGCATTTGTCCATGGTGGATGGTCTTTATGGAACGAATCCGCAGGAGTTCTGGAGTCGACACGAGTGGATTGACACCGCATTATCAACTAGGATCTCTATGCTATCATTGACTTATCCCTTTCAACTTGAACACATGGACCCAATGCTGCTATTCACAAAAATGATTGCACAGGCAACCATTTTGAGTATGCAGAAAATTATCGAATCTGTCACATGGGACAGTGATGAGTATAGTAATCTAGTTCTTGAATATGAGCAGAGAGCCCGACTTGCTTCCAAAGAGATTGTTGAGTTGGCGAGAGCGCTTACTCATTTGAGTTACTTTAAAGTTAGTCTTTCTTTTCCCTCGTGGATTAATCGTTGTGCTAACTTTTATTTCACAGGTGCACCCTTTCACACCAATTCCATTGTGTATCTGCGCAGAATTTTTGAGCACAAGGGATCGCGAAATCGATCCAAAAATTGAGACACAACTGCAAGAAGTGCTCGATGCACTACAATATCTTAAGAACGTCAATGCTCTTGCGAAAGAAAATCCGACTGTATCACTTTGGTCCGAACTCAACATGGACCCTTTTGATTTTGATCGGAGAAAACGTTAATGTTTTATATTAATTTCAAATCTAGTCTGGCCCGTGGGCGGTCAAGTTTTAATAAGTGTTTTCATATACAAATTTAAGATAATTTACATGTACAGTCTGTTGTCCGCAAGGACAGGGAGATAATACTTTTCAGGGTTTCATCAGGTCTGGAACACCATGGGAGTTGCGTGAGTGCTGGAATTACTGGTATTTCATTAAAACGAGTATTTAAGTGGCATTCATTCAACATGCTGTCTCGATGTTTAGATATATGCGCGCATTTAATGAACATCAAACCAAATTGATCTGACAGGTTCAATGAGAAAGTGTACACGTATCATATATCAATCTCACTTTCTATTTTACCCAACACTTTGCTTCAAGTGTTGGCCTTGCAGTGCATTTGGACACGCAGAGATAGATTTGGTGTGGCTGATACAGTCCGGTTGTTGTTGTACGTATCGTTCCATATAGTACATATGTATACATATATGATCAATTCATATTGATTGATGAAAAGCAAATGATTCGTCCCATATTTTTCGAAACTGTTCCCCAAACAAATGCGAGTCCCACAGGAACAGTTCTAAAACCTCGACTGTCCTTTCCCATGAATTAATGTCCATAGCTTTATTAAACTCCACAATCTCCAAGAGACACCAGTTTTTCAAACTTTTGTTAGACGCAACGAATGCAGCAAGAAACATCGCCCATAAAGAAAACTCTGCGGTCAATAGGCAATAGTGTGTTTGTCTGTAGAGATTTTGTAGCCGAGTAATAAGCATATCGCATACCGGTGCCGATGGGACCTTCTCATTGAATAGACACTCTGAGAAAAGGATCAAGGTTAAGCGAAAAAATTCCCGACCTGCATGGTTACTATAAAAATGCGCTGATAGTAGCGTGTACTGTGTCGCTGTTAGCCCAAACCGGAGTCTCGCTGCTTCCACGCGACCACCTTTGTTGCTTATGAGACATTTCATTAACTTCATAGAGCCTTCTAGAGAGGTAAGGCATAGTTTCAATGTTTTATCAAGATTAATGAGGTCGTCTATTTGCTGAAAGCCTCCGTTCAGAATGTTAGTGTCGCTAGTGATTGAAAAGGTTGGGTTGTAACGGCCGGCGAAATAAGGCTCTTGAACGGCATCGATCGAGCCGCAGAGATCAGCACTATTTAAGTTAGAATACATTACGTATAAAAGACCCAAGGCTAATTATATACCGCTGCAATTTTCCCATCAGAAGCGGCTTCGACTCTAAACAGCTAAACCCACCACGTAGGTGGACGAGCTTGCGCAGTCCTTCCATATGGATGCTCCAGTGAGCATGAGCGCCGCGGGATTTCTACATCAATATTAAAGATAGTTAAAGAAAAGAAAAGAAAAGAAAAGGGGGGTCGGGGGGTCTGATAGCGACTTACCTCAAGAATCGCTATAGTTGCTACAACAACAAGCATTTCGTCTGTTACGAACTCGAGGTTCGCAATTCGTTCATTAACTAAGGAGATCGCAGCATTTAAGTGTCGGGTAGCTCTTGGTCGACTCTGAATTCCTCGCCAAGGTGCATCAACAGAAAGAGAGTCGGCACATCCTAACAGCGTGTGCAAAAATGCACTATCTTGAAACGCCAGAGCTATCCAGTAGTCTGTCATAGGGTTGAATTCGGCATGCTTCTCGATTGAGTAGAATGTTTTCCAACCGATAGTGATATCTATATACACTTCCGTTAGAGTAAGTGGCCAACTTCTGAGATATATTTTACTTACAATATTTCAAAAGATCGTGCATATACGGCTCTAGACGGAAGGGAAATGCGTCGAACGGATCAACGCTAGTAACCTGCGGTGGAAGGACAAGCTGATCTTTAAATTCTTTTGGTTTCTTGTGCTTTAGTGTCATATAATTGACCATTACGTGCCTCCGAATCTTGACACGGGACTCATGATCGACATGTTTCGACTGATTAGTCACATTAATGAAGTCAAAATGGCTTCCGACTGTAGTGGTCGAATCGTTCCTTTTCTTTGTCGCTTTATCTTGAGTAAGCTTATGAATAGGACAAAGGTCTGAGAGAACCCTACATCCTTTTGGCCGCCCTCTCTTCCTCGGAGGCCTTAACTGCAATGCGCCATAGTCATATCGAAATATGCACGGCTCGTTGGTAATATTCCCGGCCGCGGGGGCTAGAGAAAAGATGATTTCACTGGGACTTTGATGCATCAGAAAGCTACCCCGCAGTTATAGTTTTAAAGAGGCTGAAGGAGAGAGATGGTATCGAGAAGAAGTGCTCTTAGTAGGTAAATGGACAGAAATTTGTCGTTGAGAACATTGTCCGTAAACTCCGATGCGGCAAGGCAAATTCGGAACTAACCGGATTTGGATAGAGGTCGACTGAAAATTCAGCCTGAACAGGAAAGGATCGTCCGGATTGGATAGCTCTAGCTGTATGGGCAGCGTCAGAGGTGAGCACGGAATCGGTCAAATCTTACATGTTTCAATGAAGCATGATGGTGATAGTTATGGGTGTAATTCCATAAAGTACATTGAGTAATGTCCACTTAGCCGTAAATGAGGTTGTATAGAGATATCCTCTAGTGACTACTTTGCGTTATACACAGAGAACTAAAAATATCATATTATTCATTCTTCAAAAGATATCTAGCCCAAGCACAGGGCAGACACCTCGCCAGCAAAAACGATGAAATTGTTGGTGACTGGGTTATTAGTCCAATCTTTAGAACAAAATTGTAAGCTGATATCTCGTTTCTAATATACCGGTTCCTCTCTCCTTGAAGACAGGACTCACAGTGATGAAGATTGGTCGGGCATTGAAGCGCGCCCTGATAACTGGGGAGGTTGTGCAATTTGACGAGAGTGAGGACTTATAAAATTCCTGCATTTACCCAATTCGACATCGATTAACTCCGAAGATGCATTACTCAGGCTTTCTGTCGTTTATGCTGATGGAATATTGGTCTAACCTGATTGGGATAGAAGTTGATGCAAAATTCAGCCCAAAGGGGAAACGATCGTTCGATTTGGATAGATTATTCAGCTCCATCGTAAATTTTGAAATTATCCCTCGGATTTAGGAAGTAAAAAAGGCAAATAATAAGTTTTTGATCTGAGATTGCATGACATTTGTCAGGAGGAAAGCACAAGTATAAATACTGGCCGTTGTATCCTGTAACCCTTCTACTTTCTTTCTCTTAATCCGAACTGAATTTATTTACAAAACTAGACACTAATAGTGTTTACTTCTTGTTGTTGATAGTATTCTCAACTAAAATGGCAAAATATTCATTTGAAACCACAGCCGATGTAGTCGCTGCTGACTACTCTGCCGCCATCAAGAGCAAAGTCATCCTTATCACAGGCGTATCGCCTGGCGGACTCGGTGCACAATTCGCATTAACGATTGCAAAGCACTCGCCTGGCCTACTTATACTGGCCGGGCGAAATATCGACAAGATACAACAGACCGCTTCCTTAATCAAGGAGTCGGTATCTTCTGTGCCGACACGAGCTTTGAAACTCGATCTCAACTCACTGGCCCAGGTTAGGGAGGCGGCAAAGATAGTGAATGGATACCAGGAGCAGATCGATATACTGGTGAATAACGCAGGAATAATGGCTCCTCCGTACACATTGAGTGAAGATGGTATCGAAAGCCAATTTGCTACCAATCATATTGGACATTTTCTCTTCACTAATCTCATAATCAACAAATTGATCTCCATAAGCGACGGGAGAGTTTCGCGAGTCATCAATGTTTCTAGCGACGGCCACCGCTTGTCACCTGTGAGGTTCGCAGATTGGAATTTCGATGTAGGCTGTCTCACTATTACAAGTATTAATTAAGAGATCGATGCTAACGCTATTTAAATAGAATGGGAAAAATTACAATCCATGGATTGCTTACGGTCAGACAAAGACCGCAAACATGCTATTTTCAAAGTCGCTTGCAGCGAAACTCGGGCCAAAAGGACTTATATCCGTCAGCCTACATCCAGGAGTTATCCCAACAACAAATGTAGTAAGATTCGTGCCAGATGGAGGATGGGATGGGCTTAGTGAGTTTCCGTTATTGATAGGTTTAAAGCACCGTAGTAAGCTTGAATTAACAATGCAATGTCCTAGTCAAACTAGATCACCAACAAGGCAACCGCAAGGCCTGGGGTGGCTTCAATTTTAAGACGCTTGAACAGGGTGCCGCCACTCACGTTTACGCCTCTTTCGATGACTTAATATCTACAAAGCGTGAGTTCAGCTCTCAGAGTTGGAATTCAGATTCATGTTGCTACAACGCTGATATCTGACGTGTCGCAGATAATAATGGTGCGTATCTTGAGGATAGTCGGATCTTTAAACCAGAGGAAGTGCCTAGTTGGGGAAGGGATGAAGTCGAGGCAGAGAAACTGTGGAAGTTGAGCGAGCAGATCGTGGGCCAACAATTTGAGTACTGAATCATTCCATATTGAGAATGGGCAATAGCGAATCTTTTGATAATATCACCAGATGCCTTCATGTCCTTTGGAACATTAATGATTGAAGCGTTGAAATTCGCCACGAATCTGATGCTGTCGGAAGTACTTATAGTATGCTATAGACCTGTAGAGTAGTACATATGTACATCCGCTCTCTGTCCTATTGGATTTGAGTAATTGCCATAATTTATATGTATATACAGTGTGTTCTTAGGTGCTCGGTTGACATCCCCAGGCTAAGTACTATTTGACAAGACTAAAATCACACCATGCCGAACATAAGGAATTGGGATATTCCAGACTGTGGACAGCTTGATGCTACTTTTTCCATATTTTGTAGGGGATAAGCAATATTTATTTTTCATCATAACCAATCGATTCTCTTGTCTCGGCGACCGGCTTGATATTGGCAGGTTCAACCGAGTCGCCAAACAACTCGGGGATGCTTTCAAGAGATCGTTGGCTTGTCTAGAGCGATTCTCAATTAGTTGATCACCACAGTAACGGTACGAAGTGCATACCTCAGGACAGAAAAGCCAAACGATGAAAAAGCTGATGACAGTACACGAAATAAAAACAACATAGTATTTCCATCCAATCTCTGCAAATGCTGTAGGTGCACACTGTAGAAAGATAATAGTGGCGACAAACAATCCCGAAACGGAAATAGCCAATCCTTTTGCTCGAACAGGGGTTGGAAAGATTTCGGATGCATAGATATATGAGGTTGCATCACATGTAACAGAGAAACAGCCAATGTGAAAGAAGAGGAAGAAGACTGCCGCACTGGCAGCTGAGCGAGAACCCTCTTTTTGATATATGCTAAGGGCGATGCACTCGCCGATGAGAGCAGAGACAGTCCCGACAAAACCAGCCATAAGCAGGCGAGTGCGACCTACTTTGTCCACAATGAGTGAGTTGATGAAGTTTCCAATAGGACAGACTGTAATCCAGCCACTTTGAATGAGGAGTTGAGGCACAGTGTCAAACCCCAAAGCAGCGTACAGAGAAGGGCCGTAGTCTGGAAAACACGGTAAGTACACATTATTAAGTAGTGGAAAAGCTCTCACTGTTAATAACCAATGTTGCTGTCCCTTGGCACGCAAAGAGAACGAAGAAGCCAATTAAACATCGCTTTCGCATGGCAGGATATCTAAATAGGTCAGCGAACGTATGTTTTTCTTGCCGCTCGTGAACAATTAAAGCTTGGAGCAGGTTAAATTCGGCCAAAATAGCATCGTGATCTTGGGCAATAGACTGATCAGACTCCGCATGGATCGCTTCAAAGCACTTCAACGCGTCTTCCGCGCGGTCATTATCAATAAGCCACCGCGGCGATTCTGGAAGAAGAAAGATACCACAGGATAGAATAAGTGGTGGAAGACATTGAATTGCAAGGGGCAGACGCCACTGAGAGCCGGAGGCGTTGACAAAGTAAAAGCCTAGGCCAACCCAGCTGGCAAGTGTATACCCGATACAGATCATCACTCCGTGGATACCAACTAGAAAGCCGCGAATTTTAGGGGGGGATATTTCGGACTGGTATAGAGGAACAAGCGTAACGAGAGCGCCTGTGGCGGGTTAACCTTCCTAGATTATATAGAGAAATATGAAGTTCTTACCCACACCAATTCCCGTAATAAAACGGAAAGCTAGGTACATGGCAATATGAACGCTACCGGCTTGCAATGCGCCTCCCACCACAGTTACCAAAGATGCAATCAAAATAGCCATTTTGCGACCTAGTGAATCTGCCGAGGCGATGCATGACAGACATCCGACCAATCCACCAGCTTGAAATAGCCCATTAATAGCACCCTCTAGTTGTGTAGCATTTACCCGGGTATCCAGCTGGAAATATGAAAGGAAAGATGGTTGACCAAGAGTGGTAGCGATAATGCTGGAGCTGTAGCCGTAGGTTGTGCTACCAAGGGCAACGAAACCCACAACCTGTGAAATTGATCATTAGCAGGATTGGAGGACTTCAAAGACACATAAGTAGAACCATTTACCAGAATACGAAAGGTTGAAGGTGAGAGACCCATTGTTCCTTGAGGGGAAAAGGGGTTAAACGCAGCCGGATGAGCAACAAAACGCACGAAACATCAAATTGTAACTATTTACTGCATGCAAAAAAGTTGCCGACAGGGGAAAAGAAATACTGCGGGGTCAATTCCAAATCGCACCCATTCACTGCTTCCGATTGGCTGGGCGCAGGTCAACCAAAGGCTTTTAAGGGGCCATGCGGGGGGAAGTCCGACACTATTGAGCGCTCCTTTTGATGTGTTCGCAGCCTCGGGCTCGGTGTTCTTGGCTACAATGTATAGGAATGAATATCATGGAATGGTACTTTATGGTGATGACTAAGATATATTTATATTCAAACTAGAAAACAGCCCCAAATTGGAATAGTATTCAAAAGTTCCACCATGGCACTCAAAGGTCGATGACTGTATCAATGAGTGTTGTCACACAGCTGCTATATGTGTAGGTGCGGTATAGGATTTTGAGCGGATAGTAATAGAATTATTGGAATTACCTCCATCTTGCTGGGGGTGGTCCGATGCGTGACGCGCTCTACCAGGGCGGGGTCGTCATAATATTCTTTAATAATTTCTTCAGGGGTAGGCGTCATGTTTTCGGCGTTTTCAAGAATGTGGCTCTTGCAGTGGAATCATGACAACAACGACGACGATGATAAGCTCTCCGTGATTGGTCCGACCCAGGTTCAAGAACTACAATGTGAGAGCTAGAAATTACTGCGCGCGGAGGGTTTTCTGTTTCTGTCTAAGGTATGCTTACAGTCGCATCTATATGGTTAGAATATCTTGGCATAGTGATATTCTTATCGGCTAAGAAGTGAAGTCAGCCCAAATGGGGATGAGTTATGATTGAAGACAGTGATTATGCTGTTTTTGGGTCTAGTTATAAAATAGTAAAACTACCTACTATGTCATCATATTTCTTGGCATGCAAATTGTTAAGGAAGTGGTTGTAACGACACATGTGTGAAGAGTGTGCTATTGCACCTTTGGTTTTTTCCTAGTTGATTGGCAAAGGAATGAAAGAACGTGAACAACAATGATAGATGCTTGCCAGCAAACAATCGCATTATAAAGGGGGAAAAAAAGAAAAATGGAAATTATGTGGCTGAACAAGTTACAATGTGACAACCTCGAGAATTACCCATATTAAGAAAAGCAAAGTGGTTTCCGGGTCTGATCTATGAAATAGCCGCTGACGTTATCCCATCACGAGGAGAGGAAACTGGTATGTAGGCCTGTTTGATAGAATCTAATTTCTTGCCTTTCCTTTTTTGAAGTCTGTACCTTTCTGATCCGATTTCCGAATCTGTTGCAAGGATGACTGAAGAGCAGGGTCGAGAAACGAGGTTGTCTTCTGCTTTCTTTCGTTCCGAGGATCATTCCCAGGAGAATAAACGGGACGAGAACGGTTACTTCTTCCCATGTGACCTTTCTCGCCGTGTGGCTTTTTCTGGTGGCCGTCATTGTGGTATCTTACATTGTTTCCGAATCCTTGGAAGGATGACGAAGAACTATTCTGTCGGCTAATATCCGCTCGCGGGCCTTTGGGAGGAAAAGGTGAGTGACTATTCTGGAAAGAGTACGAGTTCTTGTTCTTGTGTTTAGAGTTGTTTTGTAATGAAGAGGCTTTCGATGAGGCCAAGCCATCATTGACTGGAGAACTATAATCACCGTGTGTGGCTTCCGCTCCTGTCCACTCACGAGGCAACCAGGCTTGTTCAGAGTCGGCCATGGGACCTTGTTGATACCTCTTTCCATTTACAGCCGGTGACACCACATTGTTAACTGACACCTCGTCGTCATCACCGCCCGTTTCGATGAGTGAGTTTTCCTGTGGTATGGGAGACGTTGCAGACACAGGGGTACCATTCAAAGTCGCTTTGTTCTTCTTCTGCTTCTTTTTCTTACTTGTTTTTGGGGACATGGCACCATTCGACAAGTCGGCTATCTGCTTGTTCGCATCAGAAGGCAGTTCCTGGGGAGATATAAACGCAATTTCTTCATCTCTGATACCATCTCCATTACGCACAACAGAAACGTCACTCCTCTGTTCACTGGCCTCGGTCACCGGCACAGTGGGGACTGTTTCTTCCATCACAGGAATCTTCTCCGCCTGGTCAATACTTACATGAGGCGATATGGGAGTTGCCAACTGGAAGTCTTTTTCCTTCGCTTTTTTGTCTTCCTTCCCCTTCTTCTCCTTCGATGGTTTCTCGTTCAACTTTTGCTCCCTCAGTCGCTCATGCTCTTCTAGGATTTCCTCACCCTTCAACTCCTTCTTTCCGTACTCCATTGGAATTTCCTCTCCGTATTTTTTCTCCCGTAACTTTTCCTCGTTTGGCCTTTTTTCTGTCGGCTTCTTCTCTTCCTTCAAGTTGACATTCTTTGGCTCCTGCAGATCTCCTTCCTCCGTCGCCTTCACATCTTCCTTCGTGCTCTCCTTCGGCACGTCCAATGTTTTATTTGCTTCCTTCTCACGCGTCTTTTGTAGAAAGATGAAGCACAAATCTTGCAAGAATTCCTTTGGCAGTTTATGAATCAAATTGTCAGAATTTCTCACTCGTCCTGCATTCTCTACCCACACCTCCGCAATCACCTGTCGCAATTGACTGCCGTGACTGGTATGATTGAAAGCATATTCTATCATATCCACCGGGCAGACCGATCTATGGAAATCATTATTATTATTATTAAGATTGCTCGGCCTTGATTTCGCATAACAATGCGATATAACATCTTCCTGTAAAGCCGGGACGTGGACACGTTCAGCCAAGAGCCACAAATGAATGAGATCTTGCCAGTCAGGCGTTGACTCTGCGAATGAGGTCCCAAAGACCTTGCCGTGATAAATCCAATTCAAAAAGAGATGGATTATGTTAGGGATTTCACTTTCAAGAAAAACAAACCCGCCATCTTGATGCTGCTGCCTACTTAACAGCTCTGCGAAGTAAGTTGAGCAGGTGGCTAGCAAGTTCGAATGCACATGAAATACAGCCTTTTTGGGGCCGACGCACAAAGTGGTGATTCCACCAGAAAAGGTTCTTTCTTTGATTTAGCTTCGATTGCCTAATCGCCTTGGAGGTGATAGACTTACAGTTTTGAAATGGACTTTGCCATTGCCGAATGTTCTGCGCAATGGATCAAGTAGGGGAAAATTCAAGTTTGTTTATCCTTGTCGAGTTTTGGGTTCCGCTTGGCGGGACATTCCCCATTGGCCGGAACATTATAAGAGGACCCATTTTTGGGTGCCTGAGGCCAGCTCGCATATGAAATAGCAATGGGTTATTCTTGGCTATTTCTGGGTATATAGGCTATTGTAGAAAATTAAACATCCGTGTTCTAGCAAAAGTTTCGAGTCGTGTATTTTATATTATTGCCAAAGTTCGATATAAAAATTTGAAAATCTTTCATTTTGATTATGTCACGGGCTGCATTTCCTGTGTGTGAGGGACCAGTCATAAAGCACATTTATGGTATTTATTCGCAAGCAAACTAATGTTAGAGAAGAGAATTATGATATGGGGAGAAATTAAAGCTATTTGTGGGTGTATAAATAAGGAAGACAGCTCTGGGTGACCTGTGATCAGCCAGCCCGCGACCCCGGTACGGGGCCCCGCCAGCCCCTCTAACCGTGCGCATATAAGCGGCTTACGGCAAGGAATTTATTAAATGTTTTAGCACCAGGTCAGAGCAGGCGGCATACAGAGTTAGGGGCAGACCCCTAAAGAACCCCCCAGTACCCACGAAAATGAGACCTTCATAGCTAAAAGGATTTGTTCTCGATTTCGAAGTCCACCCACCTCCTATAAGGCCAGGGGATGAGTGTATAAGGCCAGGGGATGAGTTGCGGTGGTATTTATTATTATAAACTCGGCACCAAAGTATTCTAGCTAAGCTAAGCAAACAAGATTGAAAGAGCTGAATGCAAATATATCTTGTTTCTAATTAAGGAAAGAATACGAACAAGTTATCCAAACAAAATTGACGAAATTGTAAAATACTGGGAAAAAAAGTGGGACAGAAAAGGAAGCTGAACTCGTGCATTCAGTTTCACATATATGTGTTTCAAATTTTGTTTTCAACATTCCAAAGGATATGGTTTGACAGTTGATTAACATGATGGATCCGAGTACAAACTTCCAAGCGCTGTCATCGCGTAATAGTCTATTTGAACTATTACTTCCTCCTGATATAGACCTGCAATTCGAATCAATTTGAGATTTGTCCCTTGCCTGGCCAATGTTAGATCTTGGTCAGATTTTAGTAGGAACACCGTTCGTTTACTGACAACTCAATATGAACGCCCTCTTCTGCAGAAATTAGGATTTAAGGCCTTTTTAAAATGAGATGCAATTTCGGTCATTATTCTTTCTTAAAGGCAAATTTTCGTTGTCCACCAAATGACTGCGAGTCGTGTCTTAAAATATCAAGGATTAGAGACACTATATTAGTGGAAATTAAGTACTATCTATCATAAGCTCCTCGCAGTTAGCTACATAAATACCCCACATTAGTTTTGTTTGGTGCCGTTGTCTATGTCGCAACATTAGAAGTGACGGGTGCCTAGAGTCACGAAAAGCTGTAGATGTAATTCTATTGGATAGGCATATTTAGATTCTTTCGAAAGAACCCACCAAGAAACATTTTTGTTCAGAACTGGAGAGAAAAATACGAGTCTGTCAGCGCTAAAGCGTTCGAGAAATATTCCGTCTTACTAAGATTAGATAGATGCCGATATTATTATTGCTGACGACTGGCGATTCATATCGTTTGAGATGATAAGTGATACAAAAATGAACGGAAAAGATCATATATTTATTCATTATTATTGGTTATAGTCAAATTTCTATGATGCCTGGTTGTATTATTATGTAAATTGTAAAGATCCGGAGCACATGTAGAATGACATCAGCCCCCACGGGGACTGCCAGCCTTAGTCAACTATACGCCGCCCTTTTGGAAAAGCATGAGGCTTAGCTACATGTAATTGGTTATATTTAAATATACGAGGTTAGTCGATCGGCGGGCTGAACGGGCTACGAAATTGAGTTCAGGTAACTTTATTATGAGAACACTACAAAAGGAGGAGTTTGCCCTCGAGCATACCAGAAAATAAATAATAACAACATCATCACCATAATCCGTCTCGATTAAAATCTCGGTGCTCTTTTTTGAAGCCTTTAATTATCCGAGGCCTGTAGGCGCGATGAAGTCCTTCTATCTCGCTTTCTACGTCAGTGCGACTTGGATCAGTCGAGTATCCTCGATCCCGACACCAGGAGAGGGCGGGTCTGTGTTGAAGACCATTCACCAGTTTCCCAACTATACATGGATTGAAAATATGGCATGTAAATAGACAGCCACAAGGTGTTACCAGCATCGAGCATCTAACTAGTTCCAGGCCATTCGTAGTAACGGTCAAATTCTCGCGAATGACTTGAGCAGCGGCCAAATTTACCTTGTCAATCCACAAGAATACCAAGTTGCGCCGCCAGTTATTGCCCAGTTCCCAAATGGAACTGCCATCACCGGCATTGCTGAGATTGAGGAAGATGTCTTCTACACGCAAAGCGTTCAGGGAAACGCGTATGAGGTCAAGTTCGTTCCGAACACGACTGTCATCTGGGAGGTAGACATACGAGGTTACCGTAAGGGTGGTCAAGCCTCTCTACGCAAAGTAGTTGAGATTCCAGCCGCTAATCTTCCCAATGGCATGACCTTACTAAACAAACAAGATGGAACTATCCTCATCGCTGACTCGGTACTCGGGGTCGTCTGGCGAGTGAATGTATACACAGGCGCGTACGAGATTGTGTTGGATGACTCGCTGCTCAAGCCCGTGCCTGGATCGACGTTTCTTTTTGGCGTTAATGGCGTGCATGTGGTCGATGATATTCTTTATTTTTCAAATACCAACCAGGCTATCCTCGCCAAAGTACCAATTTCCCGCAACGGTCTTCCAACTGGCCCCATCGTCACGATTACCAAAAGTGTCCCAGCCGCCGATGACTTTACCGTCGACCGTTCTGGCAATATATGGCTTGCTGAGAATGTGGAAAATACGTTTGTTCGCGTTTCAACAGACGGGCAGGTCCAGACTATTGTTGGAGGAGTGAATTCGACCGCTTTGATCGGTCCGGTGGCTACGGCCTTTGGCCGTGGTCGCGACGATCGCGATATTCTCTATATCTCGACCGACGGGCTTACTGAGAATAGCAATGGGATGATTCTCACCAGCAATGGCAAGATTGCATCTATTGACACCAACTGCTGGCGGTGAATATCAACCCGTCCGAGTGCACTTAGCATCAATGAAGAAAATATTCTATATTGACTCTAAACCATGTCTTTGAGAAATCTGGCTATCTTAACACTGTTCTGACGGTTCTATCGTTGTAATTATTATTAGTATGGAAGGCATTGTTCCGATTGTTGTGATTAGGGTGTACAGCAGAGGATTACAAACTATTTTATCGAGCCTAGCAGCGCGTTAGAGGTGCCGCTCGATCAACAATAGAAATAAGGACATCTAACTTCAATTAATTATCAGATGTAGCATTATTTATTGATCCATGTCCTTAGTACTTTTTTGGTGAATCCATTCCATCTCATGATACTAGCATGTGCCCATGTCTTTCATTTGGCAGGCTCGCTTCGAGAAAGATCGGCCTACGAACCAGTTGCGGCTAGACAGTCCGATTAACACAGCTTATCTCTGCACGTTTCCTTGCATCTTCCTACTATCATTGATGGAAGAATAGAGCCGATTTAAAGAGTGGGGAGGATGGGTCTGTGTAAATTGTGCTGCTGACGTATAACACTGGAGGTGGAATTATTGAAAGTCAACTCTTCATATTTAATCACATGAACTTTTCCCATCCCCTCATGGTCCGAACTTCGACGAAAACCTTCGACGGAAAGGGGTTGATTTAAGAAGTCGTACCATGAAAATCACAGGTTGCTTGAATTTTGCCTTGGTGCTGGCCTCCTTCGCCGCGGCCCGAACCCCAGTCAAAAGAGACAATGTGAGTACAATATTGTCAGATATTGAAAATGCTGTTACATGTGCTGCTTGTGAGGTAAGCAAATATTCTCTGGTGACCTTCCCATTGACTTTTTTTCTGGCTCACTAATTTCTTTTCCATTCTTATTCAAGGCCCTTTTAGTCATCTTACAAGGCCTCGCTCATCTAGGGAATGATGACTTCACTAGTACCATCACTGAAGTGTGCATTTTGGCCGGAGTATGTACAGCCTAGGGTGAATTACATAAGAAAACAGCATCAATATGAAAATAGGTCGAAGATTCTGATGTCTGCGCTGGAGCGATTTCCCGCGAAGGTCCTATCCTAGCACACGACCTTCGCCAGATGAATATCCCCTCGCACACCGCGCAGCTTTTCTGCAACACCATTTTCGGACTGTGTCCATTCCCCACAGTCACTGCATACAACGTGACATTTCCATCGCCAAAACCAAGCACTAGCCGTCCGGCCGCTAGCGGAAAGACTTCCGTTAAAGTGGTGCATTACAGCGACATTCACGTCGATTTGTCTTATGAAACTGGCAGTAGCTATAATTGCACAAAGAATATTTGTTGCAGGCCTTATACAAGCGCCGATGCTCCTGGAAACACCTCGTACCCGGCGGGACCCTATGGAAATCACGCGTGCGATGCGCCAGTCAGCCTGGAGGAGAGCATGTATGCTGCCATTCAAGAAATTGCACCTGATGCAATATTCACGTTGTTTACTGGAGATGTGGTTGAGGGTGCTGTCTGGCTGGTTAACGAGACCGAGGTCACCGGAGATCTTCAGAGTGCATACGGCAAGATGTCTTCTTTGACTCAGGTTTATAGTACTGTTGGGTAAATTTGTCTCCCCCATACAAGGGACACCGTGCAATTGACATAGAAACCAGAAACCACGATGCAGCCCCTGTAAACTCCTTTCCCCCAGATGCCGTTAATACTACCATCAGCAGCCAATGGGTCTATGACACCCTATCCAGTCTCTGGACAAGCTCAATCGGCTCGGCGGCCAGCGCAACAGCAGACAGGAACCCAGGTGCCTATTCGGTTCTCCACCCGGGTAGTAACCTGCGAATTATTTCTTTTAATACAAACATGTACTACAAGGAGAACTTTTGGCTGTACGAATCCACTATGGAGGCCGATCCTAGTGGGCAACTCGCTTGGTTGGTGGATGAACTCCAAGCCGCTGAGGATGCCGGAGAACGAGTTTATCTCATTGGCCATATGCCCATGGGTTCCGGAGATGCATTTTACGATGGGTCAAACTATTTTGATCAGATTGTGACCCGGTATGAAGCCGTGATTGCTGCGCTATTCTTTGGTTAGTGCTATAGTAGACCGCCCTCGTAGTTGTCGAAGCGCAGAACTGATGGAATCTAGGGCATACACACAAAGATGAATTCGAAATTTCATACAGCAACTACACCTCACAGTCCTACTCAAATGCCGTTGAGATCTCATATATTGCACCCGCCATGACGCCCACCAGTGGCATGCCAGCTTTCCGCGTCTACTCCGTCGATCCTGAAACTTATGCTATTCTTGATATGACAACTTACATCGCCAACATGTCCGACCCGACATACCAGACTTCGGGGCCAACATGGGCAAAATACTACAGTGTCAAGGAAACTTACGGACTGCTGGTGACCCCGCCGCTGACCGACGCATATGCCGAATTAACGCCAGCATTCTGGCACAATCTGACTGAGGTGTTCAGCTCGAACCAGACTGTCTTTGACGAGTACTATGCGCGCAAGTCGCGTGGGTACGATGTTGCTGACTGCATTGGAAGCTGTGTGACGGACGAGGTGTGTCAATTACGGGCCGCGCAGTCGCAGTACAATTGCGTTACTGTTTCTCCCGGGATTAATTTTAAGGTCAAGCGGAGTGACAACAGCCATGGCATGGATGCCCACAGTGATGGAAATTGCCAGGGGAGCCAAACAAAAAGAATCCTGCGCGCTCTGATGACCCGGAAAGATATCCAAAGCAAGCTCGATAGGAGAATTACTGGTTTTGGAGACGATAACGCTTGATTGGAGATATTCCTACATAGAAAACCATGGACCTTACGAGTGAAAAATGAATGCAGTGACTGAATAATATATTTCGTATGTCCTCTGACATACAAAGGGTCCACCCCTGGAATCCCATTTGTCGAGGTAGGATTAAACTAATATCATATCTACTTATATTCGTCTGTAGGGTTATCCTCATGGTGGAGAGCATTGGAGGCCAGTTCATTAAGAATTTACGATAACCATCGCCCATTGGTCAAACCCTGGCACGTGCATGTCTTAACGCTCTTGAAATTAAAGCACCATCATTTATTATCATCAGTTATGATACCTATTAATATAATAAACAGTGGTCCAAGTTGGCTGCGGGGCACTCCCTTTTAGGCAACCTGCCCGGAGTTTGAGGGCTGGCCGGCATAGAATAATCCCGGAATGTGCGCTGCACGTGGTGGCGGTCGGGCTCAATCGCTGGATGCAAAATAGTCGAGCTTCACATGCTACCAAAAGTGCAAATCCGGTGGTGTTTTATTGGAGGAAAAATCATGCATGATTCGGAGAACAATTTCGCTAAGAGCATACTATGTAGAACGCTTGAGTCGTATTCTAGAATGACAATAACAACCAATAATATTGAGCATCCGGTGTATCAATTGATATAAGAAGAAATTGCCTACATCTTACGAAAATGATATCGAAGGTTCCTTCTCCAGGAGGGTCTGGTAACTGAATTGCAGCATGAGTTTGCTCAAACGAGCGGTCTGGCTAGCGGCCAGCCCTGGGTTCAACGTCTTGAATCACCTTGGCGCTAATTCGCCCTGGTTTTCTAGTAGGTTTAAAGGAAGGTGCATATGTTTGTACTGACTGCTGATGGATATACGACGCTGACAAGGCCCCAATATCAACCACATTTCTACTGAAGTGCCAGCTGGGTGTGCGGTCGATCAGGCAGTCTACATTGTTCGCCATGGTAGTCGTTATCCGGACCCCGGTGCTTATGAAGAGTGGGAGGCACTGTATAAAAAAGTTTGTTGTATTCGTTTCGAAAATCTATCTCAGCATCATTTAGCTAATGATTCGTCAGTTCCAATCTGCAAAGTACAAAGCCCATGGCAGTCTGGAATTTTTGCCTGACTGGCAGCCCGTCGTGAAGCATCCCGAAGAGGAGATGTCCATGGTTTCCCTCGGTGGATATTATGAGCTGTAAGCTATCCCCACAAAAAAAGCGACGTAATGATGGGGATACAGAATCAACGAATAAATAATAGCGATTGGAATTGTTAATCGGTACTGCAGGTATACCTTCGGCGTTGAGCTACGATGGCGATACCCCAATTTCTATACTGATAATGACCCTTTTTTCTTGTGGGCCAATGATTATCCTCGAACAATCGATTCAGCAAGGTAATGATGACGAAATCGCCGGTTTGATATTGTGGCTAATACAGTAAAAAAGACTCTTCGCTCGTGGGTATATGGGTCCTAATGCCACCTTGGATGGCACTATCTACGTCGTCAACGCTGACGTCCCCTCCTCTGTTGGCAACTCCCTCGCTACATCAGATAGCTGTCCAACATTTCACGACACTAGTGGCGGCGCCAATGTCACCGCCTGGGCAGATATTTACCTGCCCCCTATTACCAAACGCCTCAACAAGCTGATTGAAGGAAACTTGACTCTAGTAGACGCCGATGTCTCGCTCTTTCCCTATCTTTGCGGCTTTGAGACCCAGATTACTGGCTCTGTTAGCCCATGGTGTGATATTCTCTCAGATGATGAGATCTTACAGTACGAGTATGCCCAAGACATGCGTTATTACTACGGTACCGGTCCCGGCGCCGGGAAGAACATGACAGTCCAATTCCCTCTGCTTCGAGGCATCGTCGAGCAACTGCAAAGTGGACCTGGAGTGGCCAGGGCAAAGACGGCTACCAACATCTCAACGAAATTGCCACCTTTGATTGTTGCTTTTACTCATGATAATCAAATCAATGAGCTGGCCTCCATTTTGGGTATCTTTGACAGACAAAAGCCTCTCGATCCAAAGAAACTCGAGGACCGCGTAGGTCCTTCCCACTTTTTACATCCGTTTTACTCTAATAATACCAGCTTTACGTTTCATCCAACATCACCCCCATGCGCGGAACGCTTGCATTTGAGCGTCTCAACTGTTCAGCTAGCAAGCAATATGAAGCCTCGAAAGACAAACCATATGTGCGCATCCGTCTGAATGATGCCGTGTATCGTACGTTTCTTACTTATCAGGACCCTTTTTCATCAAGCATTTTTTTTATTATCTTTTTTAAAAAAAAAGGAAAACTGACGTAATTGATACAAAAAGCCATCCCATCGTGCCACAGCGGCCCCGGCCAGAGCTGTAGTGTCTCGCAGTACGCAGAATACGTGTCCAAAAAGTGGCAGTCGTACGGCTCCTTTGCTTCAGTATGCAATATCTCGGCTGCTACTGTGGCCACATCTGATACCGGAGCGGTTACGTTCTTCAATGATTTGACACTACCGTTTTTGAGCACGGTGCAGCCATAGTGATCATTTCGGTCGCCTAGTATACGTTGCACTCCAAAGGAAAATAGGCTTGATGTAGAATAGTACGTGTGGTAGTGTTTGTTCTATAGATAATCAATCAATCAATTGAGATAGACTGAATTTCGCTGTCCCAAGCACAACTGAAAGCATAAACTTCAAATAGTATGACCAACACGCTTTGTGCATCGCATGAGCTTTTTGTAGATATTATACATTATTATATCCCATTTAGCACTATAATTTACATTGTATACACAGCTGGCTGGGCTGACTTCATTGACCGAACCACGAATCGGAATTCCATACAGCGACATACTCAACCTCCATTTGTACATCGACCCCGTCAACAGTCGTCGCATTGGGCTGTCCCGGCCAGTTCCCACCCACAGCCACATTCAGTAAAAGGAAATGACCCTGATGCGCAATCTTCTCCCACACAGTAGCATCGTCAATTTGTGATCCCTGTACTCTGTAGATCTGCTCCCCGTCAAGGTACCAGGTCAACATCTCCTCGTGCCACGCTTTCGAATCGCTCTCGCCACCTGTTGCAGTGCGATCAACCTCAAACCCAACAGTATGCCATTCACAACCCGTCCACGTAACACCTCCATCCCCAAGCCCATTGTTTTCATTACAAGGCCCCCCCGGCGTCGTACCGCAGTGCAGCGTACTATACATTGTCGGTAATCCGTTGATCACCTCCAAAAAGTCCCACTCTGACGCGGCTGGCCAATTGGTATAGTTTCCTCGAAATTCTTGTCCAAGTGCCCAAAACGCAGGCCAAATGCCTTGTTGGTGCTGTGTCGCAGCGCAACCTGTCCGCAGTCGACTCTCAATGTACAGCTTTCCGCCTGCTGAGGCGGCAAAGTCGGAGCGGGCAGTCTCGATGCGTGCCGACGTCCATGTTCCATTCGACGAGAGGCGAGGGGTAATGGCTAGCGTACTAGACTGAGTAATATGGACGTTGTTAGGGGAGTTTGTGTATAATTCCGCCTCATTATTTCCCCATCCTTCTGCGCCACCGGGGTATGAGGTGCCGAGATCGAAGATCCAGTTGGTGGAAGATGGTAAGCCATCAGTACCTGGAAACCAAAAAAAGTCGTCAAACCAAGTCAGCTCGTAGCCCCTGTGACCCAAGAAATCTGGGATAGTTGGCACACTCCGTCCGACTGTATTTTTATGGTGGTGCGCCGAGTGTGCATTCCCAGCTTGGGCAACTTTCGAAACGAGTGGTAATAAAAGGAGAGACAGCATGTTCAAATGATTGATTAATTTAAAGAATAGTGCCATGAATTGAAAGTGAAACGGCTTTCGTGGGAGGAGGAAGATAATGATCTCGTTGCCGAATGCATAGAGAATATGTGGCTATTGCCGAGTCTTTACTATCGAGAAGGAAATATAAGTATGAACTTTGAAGGAGGAAGATGAGTGAGAGATGGCCAGTGACTGTTGGATACTGAAGCCATACCCCTATCGGTTATAAACTGATTGGCTCCTCCATCCGAACTATTGATTTTAGTTCCCGATGTGGTGTTTTTTCTTTGCGCCTCTTCAATAGTCGTTCGGCACGCCAAGTACTGTCACTAATAATGTATCACTCGACACACTCGTCCGTGCTAACGGCGATTATACACATGTAATAATCCTCATATCCTTTAACATTTTGGTTCCAGAACAGCGAATGTGTCGCGACACCCTTACGCAACCCCCAATCTGCTACCAACAGTCAAGAGTACATGCGCAATCTTACATCCGGTTCAATCTACAACGACGACAAGCTTGAGTTCCGCATTCCTGGCACAGATAAATGAAGTTGGCCAGATGGTCTCGACATTCTTCGCATCTGTGAGGTCCTCTGACTGATCTCCACACCGTATATTGACAGTCATGGTGCTCCCGCAAATGACCAACCGCTATTTCAATCTGCTCAGCATTGGCTTGCCCATTGGCTTGCACATTGCCTCTATTCGCTCGATTTGCAATATTAATCGCTCGGTCTAAGAGATTCGCCTTTTCCCATTGTGGGCATTGACAAGTCTTCCCTCTATCCCCGCATTGGTAGCAGAATTCAGCGCCACAACGACAACTATATATCTCATATCAGCGCTGCTTTTGAGATTAAAAAAGTTTAGAGGACCGATCTCACATGATGTGGATGCATCCCATGCCTAGTTCAACTATTCTGTGGCAATTGTGACACTCTTGCCATCCGTTGCTTTTTGCAAGGTCGTGAAGCTCTTTGATTGCCGGTTCTTGAGGACAATCACCATCATGAGACTGGCCTTTGAGATGGTACAAGTTGACTTGCCGCATTCAGGACAGGTGCATAGGTCACCGACGATTTTTTTTGGGCCAATCCATGACGAACATGATGGCTGGTAGCAGTAGGTTCTATTCGGAGTCTCAAGCTCGGTCTTTCTGCGAACGAACTTTTCATTGAGTTCTGAGTCCAGAAAAAATCGAATGGGCTCTATCAGTATTGACTTCCGACAATACCGAGGAGGGAAAAGGGACTCGTAAACCAGTGAAGCGTTGAACAGCTGTCCCAAGCATTCTGTGCAGTAGCTATGGCTACACGGCACCTGCGTGACATCAAAAAATAGATTCGATTCATGACATACATCGCATCGAACATGAACCTCTAAAGACTTCCGACCACTATGCTTTGACGAGCTAAGCTGTATGTCATAGACAGTATTCACTAGACCGACGTAGTTATCTTGCAGTCAGTACAGTGTATGATCCGTCAGATCAGTAGTCTTGTTTCCAGAGTCCGTGAGCGCCCGTAGACCCCCCAGCCGCCTTGCAGCTTGATTTTCCCGTGCCTCTAGTTGCTCCCATTCTCAAAAAGCAGTTAACAGGGGTCCATCTGAAATCACAGCAGATGCCATGCTTCGACTTATCCTGCGGTCGGTAACAATAGACTCTAAATTTTTCAGTTCGTCCATATAAATACGACGAGCAACATCGGCATCGCAAACGTCGTCCTCTCGTATTTTGCCTTTATTTCCTGATTCGGTGTCACTGATGTCTTCCATCTGAAGCTGAATAGCTAAGGAAACTGTGTCCTCATCTTCCATGAAAGCAAACGCATCAGACATAGTGCTCGATATTGTTGAAGTCAAACTTGCTCTGTAGGCGACGAAGTTCACACGAGGACCTTTTTTGGCCGTCTGCGAGGTAGAATTAGACGTTGGAAAGATGTCAAGCCTCAGCTATCTATCACTTGTTTCCTATATCTTAAGATTAGATAGCTCTGTTCAAACGCAGCGCTATGAAGCTTAATTTGAACTTTTAGTACCCTAAGGTGCGATGAGGAGCATGAGGGAAGAAGCCGATAAGTGAATAGGGTGGCAAGTGAAGAAATGGGAGAGGGAGGAAGACGATGAATCGAGCAGAAAAAGCGCTTGAGATCTCGGTTCACTGGGATATCTCGAGAAAGCACGTGGCGTTTTCGTTTCTTCGTTTGCAAGGCGGTATCCAAAAAGGAAAGGCAGTGCTCTAGGCATCTAGGAATGAACGAGAAAGCTGATCCAGTCTCATGTGTCTTTCAATTTCAAGTGATGGGTTTTGACGTCCCAGGAATTCTTATTCGCGACGTCCATGGAATTCTTATTCGCGACGTCCATATCGTATTCGACACCTCGAGCATGCTTTGCTGTTAGCCGCCATAGGGCAATTTTGGATACCCTCCAAAAAAGAACACGCTTTTGATCAGATAAACGATTTCGTGGGGATTGGAAGACGGACGAATGCCCATGAACGAACGTGGTAACGTCTTACACACACAATAAAGTGTGGCGGGGAAGGGGGGTAATATCAATACAGAATCAGGGTAGACATTGAGGTCCAGGCTGGAGCACAATGGGCCAGGCACATACTGTTTCGGCGCTTGAGTTCTGCCGTCCTTTAATTTACACGGGTCATGGCTCTATCGAAGATGAGTAGGTTAGATAATGCTTAATTTTTATATTCTTTATAGAATATAGCGCTTTATAATAAGGATGTGTGACGAATTAAAGGTTTGGCCAGAGATGAAGCATTGAGAAATAAACTAGCTGTATATGTATGATGGAGAATGAGTATTTTTAGTCCTTTGTGCCTAGGCTGAAAAGGGTTGTGTAGACTAGAGCTGTTGATGATATTGATGATATGTTGATAATGTATCGTCAACAATTCTACATACGTATGTATATACATACTATCGTTGTGTACATGTTGCAATCTATATAACCTTTTTAGCATATATTCTCTAGTCATGGTTTTAGAGAAAGAGACGAATATCATTGGTTTTCTTTATCAGACCAAAAAGTCTATAGCTGCTATAATCATGGTGAGTGTCTAATCACATGTATTTCGAGTAAATATCTGCCTGGAAATGCCATGAGTAGTTGTAAAGAGAGCTGGGTTGGTCAAACTGTTAACAAACATTCAAGCTGACTGAGTGGCCAGCGTGCCTCAATACTATGAGAAACAAAGTCAGTAGCTAAGCCGCGATTTTTTTTAACCAATTAGATGATAGGCTAGTAATAATTTAGAAGGTTATGGCAAATAATCGAAGTGATGTGCCAGGCAATAAATACACCTGAAGGGCGAACACCAAATAGAGGGGGAAAGCGACTTCAAAAAAATCAATAGTCCTAGCGAACACTTCTTATTTATTAGCCCATCGTTAATCATTGATTTATGTGCCTAGAATCATAGCTCATCTGTTAAGAATAAGCACCAACTAGGTCGCCGGCAGGATGAGACATGGCGTCAAATGTCGCATCCGACTAACTAAACTGTCCAGTGCAGATCTAGCCCTTGAGAAGAAATCCTTTAGCTTGAAACAAGATTGAGTTTGTTGATGATCTACAACACGTGTTAGCACCTGTCTTGTCAGTCCCCAATACGTATAAGACTGGCTAGGCATGCAATAGATCCGAATAAAAATAGTATTCTTTGCTAATGAAGGTAATTGTGCTTGCAAAAGCCAATCGCTGGCAATCTACCCGTCAACTGGGTCTCGGAGCCACTTCGACTGGAGATGTTTCTCATTAGGGCCGGCTTTTTACCACTCTCGGCAGTGAGGGTCGGTGGCTTAGGGCTGGGCTGTGCCGGAAGCTTCGGTGGGAATCTAGGCCGACCTGTTCGTGTTTATGCTTCTGGTTTTGTTTATTTTCTGTTCTGTAGTTTTTTTTAATTTTTGTGTTTTTTTTCTTGGCTGTACTTGCTCATTATTATGCGCTCGTTCGACCTGCAGGCAGTGCGAAGGGCACGGTTTTCTTACATTATTTCAGCGAGCACGCTTGTTACCTTGTTTGTAATTTTTCACCTAAATTACTTTGTAGTCGAAAATGATATTGTCAACGCCGTCGCATCTACACCTTCATTTTTCCCGGAGCGATTAGAGCTATCTCTAAATCCCACGCCGCCTGTGGAGCTCGTTGTTGCGAGTACAAGCCAGCAGAATACTTCTTGGTATTCAAAATTCTTTCCAGATTGGGGAAGCAACATTTTTACAGTGGATGACCAATTTTCCCCGTTGAAAATACCGCGTAATAAAGGTCATGAAGCGATGGTTTATCTGACGTACGTTTTTATGTTTTCCCAACTCATTTTCCAACGTCCATCTTCTCCAATTTGTTGATGCGATCATCTCTGAAACTTTGAATTAATTCGTCGCCCATGGGGGATCATTTCTAACGCGATGCATAGCTACATCATCGACCGTTACGAGAGCCTTCCGGAGAACATCCTCTTTCTCCATGCCGAAAGATTCCAGTGGCATAATGACAATCCTAACTACGATGGAGTCTTATTATTGAGAAATTTCCAATTCCCTTATCTACAACAAGAAGGGTATGTGAACCTGCGTTGCGTTTGGACATTGGGCTGCCCAGCAGCCATACATCCCTTAAAGGACGAGTTGGTCGAGGGAAAAGTTAATAAGCAGGCCATGGGGGCAGTTTTTCGACAGGCTTTCCAGGAGCTGCTGCCTGAACACCAAGTGCCTCCCGATGTTGGCGTCAGTTGTTGTGCGCAGTTTGCAGTGACAAGGGATACAATCAGGCGAAGACCCCGTGACGATTACTTGCGTTTCCGGGAGTGGTTGATAAAAACCCCGTTTCCTGATGAGTTGAGTGGGCGGTTCTTTGAGCACTCATGGCATAGTAAGACCTTCATTTTCTTTTCCATTGTTGCAAGTTTACTGGGCTTATTTATGCTGTTAGTTATATTTGGCAAGGAACCTGTGCATTGCCCGTCGGCTCAGGATTGCTATTGCAAACTATACGGAATGTGCAATCTTCAAGATTGTACAGTTCGAGGTTGTAACAGTTATTATGTATTACCACCTTACTCCACACTTCCAAAGGACTGGCCCCGAATCGGCTGGGAGGGAGAGGAACGGCCTTATAATGATATTGCCCCCCCGTGAAGTAGTTACTTGGCAACAGACGCTTGCTTAACATTTTTAACGGTAGAAGAGTTCTTCACGCCACATGTGTGACGAATAGCTACCTTTCGAATATCTAGGCAATGATCATCCAAATCGTGCCGCGCTGGATGAGCACTTCCAGCGCTATTTTCACAACCCCTCATGATACCTCATCCCGGTTCAGTGAACGTGCTCATATCGTGAATACCAGCTGACATCGCACATGGCTTTCTTTTATATCCTAGCTGACAGTGCTCTTTCGTTGAGGCGGTGGGAACATATGGCCATCAAAAACGTGCAAGTTAGCGTAATTGTCGTTTTTTCTCATCATCTAAAACTACATAGTACGCAAATTGCGACGGAAACATATAGAAATATAGAGAGGGCTAGTTGAATTTATTCAAGCACAATTATATCGAAGCCTAATACCTTTCATGACCCACTCCTAAGTGACATCTAAGTTTGTTTTGTAACAGATGAAAAGGTTGATAGAATAATTTCAAACCTTAACCTCGATCATCTCTTGAATGAAGAATTTTAATTGCTTTATCAATAAATATTGACGTTACAGATGCTATTTTAGACTTTCCACATAAAACCCGATTTTTGTAGCTTAATGGCTTGTTTCATAGGTATGTTTTCGCGGCCAACCTCAAACTTGAAGTGTTGCATATCCGCGGGCGATTGCAGATGTTAGAACCTATCATATCAATTGATAGCTATGTCGTAGGTGTATTCCCTGTTGATCGCTGTATCGGGTGTGTAGGGCGCCTCATCAACTTGATTTATCATAAAGGTCCCATTCCAAGAATCAGTTAAAAAATTGTGAGTAAAGTACCCAGAGGGCTAAAAGTTCAAAGCTGAGAGTAGCAATCCATGTAGAACGCTACCTCAATCGTCAAATCTTAAGTCTGCAAAATCAGAGGCTCATGTACGGCCAAAATACCTGTTCCTAGCGCAATAATTGGTATCAACCAGTCTTATTTTCACGCAAGGGGAAGAGACGATTTTAAGCGATACACATTTCGATATTCTTATGTCTGGCGAATTTGATAAAAGTGATGTTCAAAATTCTGGGCATGGACTATACTTATCAGTAGTATAATTGTTACCAGTTGACATATATTGGAAATCAATATATCGTGGCTTGTAAACCCCGAATGGTCTCGTGTTTTTGGGAGCATGCAGTATTCGCGACGGGAAAGTTGACGCGTGTTTACAAACAAGATTAACATCAAGAGTCATTGTCGCTAATTACCATAAGTTTTGATCATAGAAAAGAAGGTCACGTACTTTTCCGTCGGCTTCCAATCTGTTTTAAATTGAAGCCCAGTAAAATTACGTATATCTCACATAAACTTTGCATGTCAGATGACCACGCCAACCAAGTCCAGAGCTTTTTCGCTCTCCTTGTCACAATACAACAGAATATCAGTCATTTTCTGACTGACATTCCGTTGGGGTGTCTGTAATCGGCGACAAATCTAGGACGACGAAGTAACTTGGGAACAGCGATATTAGTTGATAGCTAGCGGGACAACTCTCGATTATCCTATCGAAGTTGAAAATGACACCTGCATAGGTAACCCCTCGTGTCAATCCCTGCAAGTGGAGAAAGCCCTGTCACCCAAGTTGACGCGGTTCCCGGAGGCTCGTTTGATATCAGATTCAACAGTCCGTTGTGTCCACTGAAGGATGACTGTTTTATCCCAATTGGGGGGCATAATTCTAGTTGTCAGGGATTAATCAAGTATTGAAGCTTCGGCTAAACTCCTGGGTACTGCCACAAGACTAAAGAACGATATCACCAATTCCAGCTATGGAGCAAGATAGCTAGAAAACCACATGTGTGCCGAGGGCGTAAAAAGCTTACCCTAATAATGGTTTACGTGGAAACACGGATAAATGGCCTGCTCATTATTTTCTGTTCTGATACATTCATCAATCGTGTAGATTAAACCATCAGCTTTATGTACAGACACGAAAAAAGAACAACAGGCATAGTTCAACTTTTTTCAGCCCCGTTTTCTTGCCGATTAGTCAATGATTAGTCCATAAATAGCGCCGCCGTGCAGTGTACAACTTCTGGCCCAAGCACACTTGGCTAGGGCTAGGACTTGACTCGTTGCAAGACTTGCATTTACGTATTTTACCCACGTAAGGCTAGTTGGAGCCTGATGCGCTTTGTTTCCTAACATAGCCTAGTTCAGCCAGTTCCACATGACGCAGAACAAAAAGTACGCCCAATCGTACACCACAACCAACCATAACCCGCCAAGGAGCTTTCCAAATTCAGGGGCTATTCTCAAATGACTCATCGTTCTGTCCGTAAAATATGCTAGCACTAGGAGCCTCAATTCAATTCCTAGAACACCACTAACCTCCGCTCCTAGCCCTTATGATGGTGTAACAATGGAATGAGCCCTCCGAGGCTCAGCCTCGTTCTTGCAGCTGCAGCTGCAAGTGACCATCTTAGACGCACAAAACCGACCATTCACAAATTTCATACCTTGTGTTCTTACTCAATTCCGGAACGGCCGATGGCAATGTCCGCGCACGTACTATTTAAACAATGAGGCTAGAGAGTTCCAGTGGATTGGTTCTCGCCAATTATAATCCTCGACAAATCTACTCCTTTTCGTAGTGCGAGACCGCTGCTAAAAACAAACTACAGAATATAGTTATTTGATAACGTTGGATGCTGACGGAGCTAAAGAATAATCACACCCTAGTATTTCGTAGTTTACCCCTCTCAACACTAGCCATCAATTGATAGGGCCAATTTGAAGTACTAATATAATAATCATGTTCCCTCCGGTAGGATGCTTTAATTGCTATCGGGAAATTTTGGCGTCTTTCCATATCAACCGCTAATTTCCTCATCTTCCCCGTTTCCTTCTTTAACATTTGGATACCTGGCCTTTGTCGTTGAGATCTTAAAGAGAGGATATATCACTTCATTCATCATGCGCGCCACAACACTTCTCGCCACCGCCTTCTCTAGCCTGGTAGTTGCCAACAACCCTACAGTTGTAGGCTTCATAGATGTTGATATCCCATCAGTGACAATCCCATCCTACACCAGCGAGGCCGCAAGCGTGACAGGAATCAATGCAGACGCAACGACTTACGAAATCAGCTGTCTGGCAAACGCGCCAACAACTCTCTGTCAGATCAAGGACCCTTGGACCCTGATTCAAGGAACATCGTCATTCAGCTTCACGGGTGTCTACACTGGTTGGATCTCTGGCGACGTCAATGGAGTCACCGCCACCCGCGATATGACATGCTCCTTTACAAGCATCTCCGAGTCTGTCTCATGTTCTTTCAGCTACAAGGCTACTGGAACAACTGACGGTCAATCATACTCGACTTCCACCTCGATTTCAGGGACATATCCACCAGACTCGGTCACATATATCGCACTTACTGTCACGGGAGGTTTGGACTCCTTCACGGCACCCCAGGCCACCGAAACTCCCAAAGGCGTCGCAGGTCCTGCAGCTGCTCAAGCTATGATCACTGCTGCCCCGTTGGGTGCGGCTGCGGTGATGGCTCTCGCTGCTGCCTTTTAGAAACCTGACGATCGAAACCCTACTCACAATAATTCCTAATGCGGCGTCAACACCATCTTCTGATTTGAATACGAGACAAATTTCCGTTGAGACTTTGGACGAGAAAAAATAGCGAGATACTAGTGAAAGTGGTATGGTAGAAGACTGGAATGTAATTACTAGCAATTTACGAAGAATGACGAACTTACACCTATTATACCATTCCAGCCAATTTATTAAGCTTTTTGACAGTAATAAACCAACAAAATAGGGGAAATAATATTCTTCTCGATATTTGTTACTTTCTCTCTCTCTTAGTCTGGTGGCGATGGCTCAGCGAAGTCGCGTTGCCCAGTAGGTCCAGCATTATCAAGGGAAAGGTCAAAGGTTCTTATACAGGACGGCCAAATATCGCCTCCGTGGTCCAGTGGTTTAGGGCATCAAGCTGTTATTCTCATAACAACGACTTGAGAGTCGATAGTTCGATCCTATCCGGGGGCGAATTTTTTATTTTTTCATTATATTGGCACGCGAACCCACTTCGTCTAGCGCCGCTTTTCGTTGGTTTCGGGGAGTTTTTTTTATTTGCATTTCATACGCCATCATTGGTCCCCCAACCCACTTGGTCTGTTTGTTGCGGCTTTTCGTCGGCTTTTGCTGAGAAAGTGTCTCATTCTTAACATCAAGCTTTGGGTGTATACAAGCCACACACCATAGCCAATATTTCATCAAACCAATTACGGGCTACTATTTCAGCCACTTGTGTTAGCCAGGGCCTGAGAGTCGATAGTTAGAGCGGCCCCGTGGCATTTCTTGAATATGCCAAAGAGATAATTAAATACCCGAGGTTTAGTCGCAGCCTCTTTTCAGAGTGGGAAAAAGGGGGGACAAATATATTTAATTATTAAACCCGATTTTGTTCAATTTGTTTAATCCACCTCCAGACAACATCTAGAATCATTCGGTATGTACGATCTCGGCGCTTTCATGACAGGAGCCTCGGTTTCTAATTTTACATCTCCGTAACAATTCAGACCATCATCATGAAGATTATCACTATAATCGGCGCGAGCCTCTTGGGTTCGGCCTCTGCTGCAAGCAGCCAAGTTGTCACGATGCTTCTCCCGAACATGAATGATGAGCCCTGGGTTGCGTCCGTCGTTGGTGAAGTCAGTTCCACTCCGCTAAATTTCATCATTACACTGCATTTTTACATAGGGGATTGAAAACTGACAATTTCATAGAACGATGCTGCAACTACATATGCCGTTAACTGCGGTTCAGGCACGTCCGACGACTGTGGAGGTGTACCTGGCTTCACAGCGATGCAAGGTTCCAAAACGGCTGGATACTATTTCAGCTTAACCGCCTCAGATGTGTAAAGTCTCCTTCATTTTTCTTTCCAAGCCACTTTTTAGTGTTTACTAAAGAATAAACTAGTCTGGTCTCTTATGGGTGTTCCGTCGGTGGCAGCACGACGGCCATCTGCACGGAAGCCGTCACTGGGACCGGCGCTATGAGCCCAGGAACCTCTACCTTCACGCTTGGTCCATCTGATCTTCCGTTGATGGAACAACCTGTTACTGTCACTGCCGGTTCGATCACTCAGGACACGAGCAGTGCTACTTCTGCCGTTTCTGCCGTTTCTGCCGCTTCTGCCGCTTCTGCCGCTTCTGCCACGACAACATCTGGAGGACCCCCTTCATCGACCAATACTTCATCGGATACTTCTACCGCTGCCACCAAGACTTCCAAGGCATCTGCTGTATCAACTGCGAGCAGCACTGGTGGTAGTATGCCTCTAATAACCGGAAACGTTAAGCTCTCACTCGGTGGCGCTGTGCTCGCCCTGGCTGCTGCTGGAATTTAAAACACTCATTGATTCACTTCATTTGTCCGGCGAATATCTGCCGGTGCTGCTAACACGGTGAACAAACAACTTCTTTTATTTGTACAAAGAACTGAAAATTTTGCAAGTGGGATCAAGACCTAGCGACTGCTGTTGTTTCGATACTACTGCGGAGGGCTTTTCAGAGTTTTGCTCGTCAATATCACTTACATAGAAGGACTGTAAGTACATATGTACATGTAGTTTGCGATGTAGATTCGACATAGTATTATAACAATTGATTCAAGCTATTGAATGCAACTTTAATCCTGAAGAATACCTATTCAAGTTTAAGCCTAGCTGTTTAAGCATAGGATCTGCCGCGGGCTCGCGAGTTTAGAAACCGACGCATACGAGGAATACTTGGAACGGAGGACAAATGAAGATCGATTTTCAAATGTTGTATATTATCAAGTGGAATCTTTGTTCTTGAATCCTTTAGAATGTTACAAGAAAGTTCAGCCATAGAAAAGAGCTCAGTACTGATTTGTAAAGCGACCAATTTAACATTGAATGCGGTGCTATTACTTCATTCTAGCGTTCGGCCTGGCCGTCAGTTTGGATGATCAGTTGACATTAATATTTAGTTTCAAACCTAAAACAAGGTTCTCGTTGTCTCAACCTTCCTTTCAAAGTTAGCTTACAAATACCTTTTTTCGTCGTTGAGCCGCGAGCGCGAGTGCTGACTGCATATCAACCCCCAATTTGGGCAACGGCATATGTTGATGTGTTCTTGGCGGATCCTTCGAGAGTAGTATAAAAATATATTGGCTGACCTAGACTTGTGATTAGACAAATATAGAAAAGTGCGGCTATAGTATTAAATGATCATAGGCTTACGAAAGCCCCATGTCGTACTCAAAAATAGCGCCAGGCTCGGCAAGCCCCTGACCGATGTCACCGATATCCGTGAATTTTCAGTCAGTACATATGGAGTTTTTGGAAAGTTCCGGAAGCTAGAAAGGATATGTAGTATAAATAAAATAAATGGATCCCCTCTGCAGAAATATTTTTACTCGTTTTAACATTATATCTCTATATCTCCGAAGGTGACGCTCGACACCGTACCAGCCATCATGAAGTTCACTACTGTTCTGCTTTTAGCTCTGCCGGCCGTGTCTCTGGCCCAGGTCTGCTCTCCCTAAACTGTTCTTCATCTTCGTCGAGAAATTCCATTGCTGATAATAGTACAGACTGCACCACCCACACCCACACCCACAGGAAACCTCACTGTCTGCAAACAGCAAGCCGGCCCATACGCCCAATTCTGTGCCCGATGCGAGCCGCAGTGCAACGGGCGCACCGGTACGGCTTATTCGCAGTGTCTCTACTCCGTCTTCTCCGACATCAACTATATCGAGAGCCTGTGTGAGGCTCACAACGGCAACAACTGTGAAAATCAGTCCGTGGATGACGTCTGCGGTCCTGCTTAGAAGTTGGGAAATTACGTGTCGGAAAAATAAAATTTTCATCTTGAGGAGAAGACGACGGTTACCCAATGCCGCAAGGTTATGCAGTGCAATGATGGTTGGTGATGGCAAGAATGAGAATGGTTCGATCGGCCAATTTGGAATAATGATCGACTCGCGACTGTTAGGTCGGCATGGAATGGCGATTGGTATGAGTCCAAGCACATATTTGCCCATTGTCTCTTGCCATATTTAGCAACGCAATCTTGCTGCGCACCGTTCTCTTTTCCAAGCTTTTGTTCCATAACCTTTCGCATAATTCGCACTTGTCTGATAGCCTATAGAGTCCAGTTGAAAGGACTAGTACTTTTTTTCCACATAGTCACATTAGCTGTAGATGGCGTATTGCAATAGACAGCTATGAAATCTTGGGAATGAACCTGAAGGAAGCATGACATTAGGACTGCATTAAAAGACTGTATTGTCGAAGCGGATCAATGTGGAATCTCATACTCTCGTTCTCTTTGTCAATCACGGGGAATAATATATATATAAATATGTGTCCTGTATCCACTCGAAATATGTCCTCAAAAGACGCTGTATGTAGACTCAACTTTACATAGGTGGAAGAAGATCATGTAACTGTCGTCCCGATGGTTCAGTTAAGCTTAACAATGCTAACCTTGCAGTCTACCATGTACATACATGGTATTGCAAAGATCGTTGATAAATTGATCACTTCGGTTAAATATGATTGGTGGGTAGAAGTAGGTGCCCTATACCCGAAATACACTAGAGCCTATCACGTCAAAAATACCCCTGGCGAACCCCATTACGCACCTGATGCCTTGATATTAACCAATAGCATGGGTTTCTCGAATACCCGCTTATCCGACTGGCTCTTTTGATTGGTTGTGGAGATTGGGTGCTGCTATGACTATGATCATTCGATATTGACATTATTCTCATTCGTCGGCCGAATTTGACTGAAATTGTTTAATTTCGCTGGATCCCACGCGGCACACCATTGACCGCCTCCATGGCTAGCTTGGCTGAGGCTGGCCACTCAAGTTGCACGGCACCAGTACCTTGTTGGGCATCCGGTAACCGACGGTGAGCTGCCAGCAATACACTACACTACTGTACAGCCACAGGAAATCATGCATGCGTGTATTTTATCGGGACGACATGTATGGCTGACAAAACGATGCTAATTAAACGACGCCAAGCTAAATCCTATCCGACGCTCGTGACCTTGAGGCTTAAGCATCAACCTTTGGGGAACAGTATCGAGATAGAGCCAGAAACCTGTTATTTCTTACTACGTGATATTCACGCTGCATTGTGTAAAGAGCGCCCTCTCTATTATAGTTTTCTTCTTATTATTCAAGGCTGCCTCAAGGTGTTCTTATTTAAAAATTCGCTGGCTCAGCGCTAACAAGCTGAGAAATAGTGCACCGCATGGACCTTGTCTAGTGTCTTACCCTGTCCTTGGCTGAGATCCATCGTCCTAGCAGGCCAACAAAGCTACGTATCAATATTAACTTGTTGCGCATGTTATTCTTGACTAAAATTTGTCTTATGCGCTGTCAACTCCATGATGATTATTGCTAATTGATTAATTTCCTCCCCTTTCAAAATTCAATGTTCAATACAGTGTATACTCATCCACAGTGCCTCTGGTACGGGCCCTGATTGGTGAAAGCCCCTCCGCAGTCAACTTTCTCCTGGGATTTTGCGTCGCTTCTCTGCATACTTCTACAAAACTTCCTTCCTCTCTGTTTAAAATCCTCTAGGTCGAAGAGGGAGTTGAAGCTGGGTTGCGCCACGAGGAACAGCCACATGGGCGCAAAACCCGACCACAGACCAACGCGCCTAGTCTATTCTTCATTGTCCCTGCCCTGCAGCCTGCATATCATATCCCAGTCCTACATAGCAGCCGTGCGACCATCGCATTCCCATCTCCACGCTGGATCCGTCAAAGAATAGGCCAGATTCCGCCTCGCCGGTCGTGGTGGGCTTCCATCACCGACGTCGATCGTCCGCCAGCATACCTCCGCTCCGCCTAGTCAAAGACAACGCATCGGCCTCCTCGCCCGCCGCCTCGCGAACTGAGGCCAGCAGGTCTCACGGCAGCACCTCTGGCCTCCCTGCCGGACAGCTGGCTCACCCAACAACGACTCTCGCTCCTATCCCCGGAACGCCCGCCGACCCTTCGGCGTCGCCAATGTCCTTGTCGCGATCCCCTTCTCCTTTACCCGGAGGAGGGTGGTCGAGCCCGGGACTGACGCCTGGCAGCGGCTCTTCGTCGCCGCGCTATTCTCCTCGTCCTTATACCTCGCAACATAATAATCGACCTCCAAGTCCCGGCGGTGTGTCATGGGCCACTGCCAAAGCAAAGAGCGACCAAGTGCGCAGTTATCCTTCCTTTTCAACTCGAAACTCGGGCTTCTTCTCCCGCCAGAAACGCAAGATATCCGCTAGCTTACCCAGGTTCACACTTACGCGCGACTACAGAGAACAAGAGAAACTGAACAGAGGGCGATCATGGGAGTCCGGCGAGAATACATTTAAGGGTCGTTTGTTCTCAGTCATAAAGCATTCCTTGCATAAGAGGAGGTTTAAAATATCACTTTTTGCGATTTTGGGGCTTATTCTATACTTAAGTTTCTGGTCAGGTAGGTAGATTCTTCTACATTCTCACAAGGCCGCGAATCGCTAATTGTCATATAGCAATTGTCGAATCATATCGAGCGTCCGCTTTCGGAGGAGGCCAAAAAGTCGTCATGCTGGTCGCTTCAAATGTGGAGGGAGGTGTGATGGAATGGAAAGGCGCTCGGGAGTGGGCAATCGAGCGAGTGAGTCTTCGAAATAAACGAAAATATGCGCAACGATGGGGGCACAATGTAGAGGTTCTAGACATGGTCGCAAAGAAGCGTTATGCGCACGAGTGGCGCGAGGGCTGGGAAAAGGTCGACTTCATACGGAACGCTATGAAGAAATACCCCAATGCGGAGTGGTAAGTCGTCCTGTATCATGTTGTATATGAATTTGATTTGCTGACCTTGCACCAGGTTTTGGTGGCTGGATCTAAATACCTTTATCATGGAATACTCTTATTCACTGGACAACCATATTCTTAAATACCTGGGCCCGTACACATACCGCGACATCAACTACTACAACCCCTTGAACATCACGCACCCCCTCACTGATATATATCTCGACTCTGTCACCCGCTCTCCCACCGGAGACTCGAATCCCTCGTCAATCAACCTTGTCCTGCCACAAGATTGCGGTGGTTTCAGCCTGGGATCATTCCTAATTCGCCGATCAGACTGGACCGACCGTCTTCTCGACGTCTGGTGGGACCCAGTTCTGTACGAACAAAAACACATGGAATGGGAACACAAAGAACAGGACGCTTTTGAATATTTGTATACGAACCAACCATGGATTCGACCGAACACGGCGTTCGTTCCACAGCGACGAATGAATTCTTTCCCGCCAGGCGCGTGCGGCAACGGTAGCGATCTCGGCATACACTACCAAGAATCACAACGAGATTTCCTTGTCAACCTGGCCGATTGCAATATGCGGGACTGTTGGACTGAAATATATGGGTATAGAGAATTGAGTAACTGGCTCAATCGGAACCCCTGGGAGATTCTCAAGGACTCGGTCACCGATTTCTTCCGACGGTTGCGAGGGAAGACGACCTTGCATGAGGAACATCACATGATTCTTGATGTAAAGGAGTCTGCTTGAACCCTCGCCTTCGATTCTTGACGACAAATATTGACGTTAATACTACTAGTTTTCCAATCTTTTCTCTTCTCTATTTACCCTTTTTTCTCATTTTATTTTTCCTTCTACATGACTACATTATGTATATCTAACTTGATCCACGCCGATCAATTGTTCATGCAGCGTTTTGTCCTCGCGTTTATCTATGCATTACATGTGGATATGCCACCCTTGTCTTTGACTTGTACATCTGCTATGGAGATAGATTCGTGTCACGGCTTTACATCAATTCAGTGCTTTGCCGCAAGGTGTTCCAGATACTGACTTGGAAAATGCACCATATTCATTGCACTACACAGAATCAGTATAACTAGTCTTAATAAAATTAAATCCAAGGCGAAACTAGAAACGAAAAGATGATGAATAAGCTCTGATTCGCTCACCGCTTCTGCCACTCCATCATATACACCGCCTGGACAAACAGCCAATCGAAACGCACTAATTTATCCGTCTCCGACCTTCACCTTGCACCTCCCGCAAGACCGTCTCCGACCTTTAACATACCTCAAACCCAGCGATTGCAACCGTCCCCAAACTAAGCAAGGACGCAAATCAAACGAAAAGCAATCGCAGACGAAAATGCCAACCCCTGAATCTGCCGCCTTCCTGGCCAAAAAGCCCACCGTCCCACCAACCTACGACGGCGTCGACTTTGAAGACAACGTCGCCGTGCACAACGCGCGCGACGCTATTATTCGCGAACAATGGGTACGGAGCATGATGGCGCGCCTAGTCGGCGAGGAATTGGGCAAGTGCTATGCTCGTGAAGGCGTGAATCATTTTGAAAAGTGTGGGAAGCTTCGGGGTGAGTTTTCCCCCCCTCTGCTGTGCGGAGAACAACTCGGAAAGAAATGAAATATGCTAATTCCTCGGGGATGTTCAGAGAAATATTTCGAGCTGCTCAAGGATCGCAAGATCAAGGGTTACTTGTTTGAAGAGAAGAATTATTTCAGCAAGGCGGGCGAGGAGGGCAAGTCGTCATAGACACATGCGAGCGGGTTCATCGACAATAGGCATTCCAAGGTGAACACTTTGAATGGTATTGGAGACAGACAGGCGTTTACGAGCATCACCTGGAAACATCAAATGGGTAAAGGCAAACCCGTCTGCTTCCTGCATGGCCACGGCCATTTTATTTGTTAAAAGACGGAAGACGAGGGTCTTTCAATGTATTGTACATATATATCACACGTCATTTATCTATTACAGCAAGTTCAACATCAATTGATTTGATATTGCCTACATTAAGCGATTAACGTATTAAAAGTAATTACTGTCAGCTGTTGCTGACCTTGTACCAGGAAATGACCCTGGCACTCTCTCACCAGACGAAGCGACTCCTTCATCGCTGTCGTCTTCGATAGCGAGACTAGAGAGCTGCTGCTCTGCTTCGTCTGGGGGAGCGCGCATGCGAATCAGCTGGTCCTCATCTAGCAATGGAGGCGTATAAGGCGCAGGCGGGGAATGAATATCCCTCCCAGACGGCAGGTTTGAAAGAAGAGGCTCAGAAGGTGGTATAATCTGCGCAATTACCTGTTTCATCTATTAGAAACTCTTTTTTAATCAATTAGAAAACGGAGAGGAACAAAACAAGACACTCACCGTATCGTTCATTTTCACCCACTTCGTCTCCAACATCTCAATCACTCGACCTTCCTCCTCCCAACCAGCGTCGTCCCCTCGACCAAGCTCCCCTCCTTGAACAACAGCGCTTTCAGAATTACTCTTCTCCAATTTCCGCTCGTCGCGTCGATCTGTCCACCCCTTCTTGAGCTTCGATAGCGTGCTTCCTTTCCCAGCCTCTCCTCCCTGTACAATCGCCCTCTTGACCCCCAACGCGCCTTTCCCAGCTCTTAACCATGCAATCCCTTCGCCAGTCTTCCCTGCCATCTCTGCATCCACACCAAAAAACCTAAAAGCCTTCGCACGAGCAGCCCTCGCGGCTGTCTGCGCATACTTCATCAACTCTTCATCAATCTTGACCCCTCCCCTTGCGCCTGCAGCAGAACCGAACCCAGCCGCCGCCTGATCCGCATACTCTGCGCCGCGCACGCATAGTCGCGCGAAAAGCAACGCTCTGACTTTGGGAATCTCCGGGCTCCGAACCATCCACTCCTTATCATCTGGATTGCGCGACTGTATACAGGCAAACGTATACGCATCGTCCTTCAACACCGCCAACAACGTCGCTTCTGCAAGTGCCAACGACGCAAGCGCCGTCTGCACGCCGGTATTCAACTGTGCAATGTTCTGCGTCGCTTCACTACTCGTATGCGACCGCGCGATCAGCGAGTGCGCCGCACTCGCTTGAAGTAGCAACCTCGTCGCGTTCTGCATCGCCGCCGCGCGCGTCTCGGCCGTCGGCGTTAGCGATGTATACAATGTTCGAAGCACGATCACTCGCGCCAGCCCCGAAAGCACATAACCCAATGTGCCTATCACAAAGGCGATCTCAAAATCGATCCCTTGGCCACGGACAGCGTGTGTGCCTGTGCTTCCGCCGGCCTTGAGTAGCGCGAGATTCGAGGATAGTATCGGTCGCCATTCCACGACGATTTCCTCCTTGAGTGTGATGTCGACGACCTCGCCTTCGTCCTCATTGCCCTCCCCGCCCCCGCCTTTTGTGCTGGTGCTTCTCCCGCTTAGTCCATCGTTGATGGCGAAGAGATAGGGTATATATTCGTTTAACGCATTGAGTATGTTCTGTAGATTGTTTTCGCGCTCTCGTGGCGAGAGTCGTTTGTGTGTTTTGAGTGCGATGCGTAGGGAATGGCGCGCCGTGGACGCGGCTTGTGGGAGGGAGGGGTGCGTGTTGGAGTATATATAGTTGTGAAAAGCGAGATGAGACGTTGTTGGGAGTGGGAAATTATACACCATTCTAATATATACTACCCTGTAGGGGCTTCACGGCGGTCGAGACCAGGAGTTAATTACATCGACGCGATGGTGTCGAGATGTGAATTTCATGGAAGGTATAAAGTATGGACGTTGCTCAATCCGAAAGAGGAGCTAGTGATGTCACGGCTAAGCCTCAATAATGTCTCGGCAATTACCATCTCATCAGTAATTGATATGTAAACGGACTATGAGCTTAAAACATCATGCATAATAGTTCAAATGTTGACAGTAGTCTTAGTTAAATAGTATATTATATGCAATGTGGTCATCGTTTCATATTCTATGAAGGTCGGTAACTATACTTCAGCTAGAGCGCATTAATGCCCTCGAAATGCGGTACGGAAAATAGTATACTTCCCAGCATGCGCTGCAATTAAAAGTCACAAGCTGAGATTTTTATACCTCTTCTTGAAAAAAAGGGTTATCCGCAAGCGGGAATTGGCTCTCGATATATGATATCTTTCAGCCCTGTTTTCATTTTGAAAACGGTAGTAGTGGTAGTTTAGTTCTTCTCGAAGCCGGCCATAACGCTGGTCCAGGGATTTTCAAAGGAAAGTAAATCCGTTGCGCTTCTGTATTTTTTAACGTCCAGCCGAGATCAAATATCCATTCCTTCAGGATCAGAAAGACTGCTCGGTACACTGCTAATGGTGGATGAAATGGATTCGGCATAGGCCACTTGGGATTTCACTTGCGAGTTCCATTCTCCAATACTAGTAGCTGCGCCGCCTTCGATAAGGACGGGATGGTCGTCGGCGTCCTTCCCCAACACTGTTCCTGCATATCGCGACTCTTCGCCTGTTTTGCTGTGTTTCTTCTTCATTGCAGTTAAGAAGTCTTCTTTTTCGAGCAAATCTGCATCGATGACATCGCCCTCGTTAGGGATGAACCCGGCGATTCGTTGGATTTCGCGATTGGCAGGCCCCGTAAACCACGTTAGGAAAGCATCCACTCCTCGCATGTCTTCCTCACGACACCAGTCTTCTTCGAAATCTCTCATCTGAGGGCGGAACGCGCCTGCGTCTTCTAGGGCGAGCTGGATGTCGGCGAGGGTGGGTACAGGGTCGTCGGGGTGGCTGTTGGCGGCGTGTTCAGCAGTAGAAGAGCCTAGGAGGAGGAGATAGCGCGCCGCGAGGTCAGCTATTGTGTCGAGAACTGAAGGTCGCGTGGAATGGTAGCCTGCGGCACGGAGGATCTGGATTATGGGCGGGCGTAGAAGGGCGTTGTGCAGGTTTTGAGGGCCCGACATGGTGCAGGAGAAAGCGCAAAGACAGAACGGTTGTATAGGCCACGCAAGTTGTAACGAGGGAGATCCTGTCTCCCCATGTATCACCGTATAATCATGATCGATTGCAGGCAAACGCTCAGCGACGATTCAAAGCGCCCGACAGAGTGAAAGAAAAAGGCACAGCTTTGATCGAGTGAGCCGCTGAAGCTTGCAAGTGAGCGCGATCCAAGCTGCCCGCTCGGGCCGCCAGATTCGCCGACGCCGCTCCTGCCTCAAACAACCTCGCCTCGCCTTCCTCACTCTTTCCTCACTCCACGCACGGCGCCTTGTTTCTCAGCTTGTTTCTCAGACTGGGTTGCGTCGCTGTGATCAAAATGTCTGCGCCAACCAAGCTGAAGATCTCTTTCGGCAAGAAGCCTGAGCCAGCCGGGCCAGTTGAGCCAGTCGAGCCCAAGGAGGAGCCAGCTCCTCTTCAGAGGAAGCTGACTCTCAAGTTCGGAACTGGAAATAATACCCCAGCCACCAAACCAGAGAAAAAGGAGAAACCGAAAAAGACTAAAGCGCCTGCAAAACCTAAAAGAGAGTCGGCGGCGTCGAAGAAGCGACGCGCAAATGTTGCTGCTGGAGACGACTCGGATGCGGCTCCAGAGGCCCCCTTGGGTCCCAAGCGCATCAAACTACTCAACTCAGCCAAAGAAACCGGCGTCAAGTCAATTCGCATCAGGAATAAAGCTCGGGTGCAGGCCCGGCCTATGGGGGTGGGATATGATTCCGAGGCCTCGGACATGGAGACGGATCCTCATATTGAGGAAGACTTTATTCTGCGCATGCTACCGGGCGAAGATTGCGATCATATTCGCCAAGCCATCAACGAACGACGACTTGATCGTTCTCAGATTGGAATCAAACCACTTACTCGAGAAGGACGTCGGACCGTCCTTCGGGTTCGCGATAAGCAATACGCGGCTACGCTGGTCGATCTACCATGTATTGTCGAAGGATTGAAGAGCTGGGATAAACGTATGTTCTACAAGGCTGGAGATATTACGCAGATGATGCTCGTGCTTGGGCAAGTTCAGAACGAGGAAGAAGCATTGAAATATCCGTTGCCGGAGGAGGTCAAAGTGTTGGATGATAAGACTTATCAATACGCCCATGGTCTAACGCCACCATTGAAATATGCGAGGAAGCGTCGGTTTCGAAAGCGGGTCAGTGCTCGTACAATTGAGCAGGCAGAAAAAGAGGTGGCAGATCTCATTGCGCAGGACGAGGCGGCCATACGACCGCCCAAGTTTGAACTTGTTGACGCAACGTCCATGACACGTGCCGAGGGCATGGTTAACTACGACGAAGATTACGACGATATGCAAGATGCATATGGAGAAGCAGAATATGACCTACAAGATGAAGAGGACGGGCAAGCAGATCTTTTCGAGGACGAGCTCGCTGCAGATTTGGAGGCTGCCCTCGCCGCAGGGCTTGAGGAAGATCCAGGCGTTGCAGACACTTCGGCTGCAGCTGTTCCGGGACAATCAGTTACCCCCTCAGCGACCAGACCTGGGGATGAATCATCGGGCGACGAGAGCGAGGAAAGTGACCGAGAAGAGAGTGGCGGTCCAGACGCTGATATGGACGATGAAACGCTTGAACGGCGCCGCGAGGTTCAAGAACAGCGTGAGATAATCACCGAACTCGAGGGTTTGATAGCACAGGAGACCGCGAAGTACGAGATGCAGGGAAACAAGATCCTGAAACAGAAGATAGGAAAACGCGTTCAACAACTGAAGCAAGACTTGGCTTTGAAGAAAGCTTCTATCGGGGGAGACGAGGCTGATGGTGCATGAACGGCACTAATTGAGGAGTAGCATTTACGATACCATTGTCTTAATTGTCGAGTGCGTTGTGAGCGTTCTATTTATTAGCACCAGTGGGTAACTAGTCCTTCACTTTATCTTACAATCAATTCTCATTATAAACGTTAAAACCAGGTACACTCGAGTTGATAAGTAAGATATTTACACAACCCGATCCCCAGTGGCCCCTTTCACCGCCCCCTTCACATCCAATTCCTGATCCAGCTTCAACTTCCTTTCACGAACCTGTCTGCACTCAGCATCAACAGCCTCCTCGCCGTAACGGGCCGAGCTTTCTCTGCCACCCTCCCTCAGAGCCCGATCATGCTCCGCTCTTTTTCTCTCCATTTGCGCCGCCGTATCCTGCTCAAAGCCAGGCGTACTCCCCACAGGCCCTGCATGGGCACCCGGCTGCACACGACTCGGCCGGCCCTCGACGGCGGCGGCAATGTCGCCTTCTGCCGGTTGCTGCTCGACGCCGAACTCGAGATCGATATGCCCTCTTTTCCCATCTGGGCCAATGTCCTGGCGATGCACCTCCTCCAGCTGCGCTAGCTTCTCGCCTGAAGAGGGCTTAGAGGCGGCTGTGCGGCGGATAGCAGGAGGCGCGTCGCCGTATCGGCTTGAAGATGATAGGTAGGCATCTGTCGGTGCTTGTCCGCGCCGCTCTTCGGGGTTTCGCGAGACGGGGTTGGATGGCTGTGTGTATGCTGATTGCTTCGGAGGTTGAGGGACGTCGGTTATCTCCATGTTGTCAACGTCAAAAATTATCTTATTGATCACTAATCCGCTGGTTTACACGTGGTATATGTATTTATATGTATCAATTGATGTTTTTAGTTCTACTAGAATCAAGTATGATGATATGCCAATGACGTCACGAGCGCATCGGTCTTGTCTATGCTTCAGTTTATTATTATTAATTATTAGTTTGTAGATGAGGCAATAGAAAGCGTAGCTTGCACGCTGACTGCGATGTTATGTACATCAATTGATGTATTGGTTGTCAATGTTGAATGCTCTACATTGCTTTAAAAGTTGTACATGCAGGCAGAAATGCTCCGCCAAGCCACCAGTCAGGGTCGTTCTACGTTTACATATGCAGACAGTACCGTGCAGCTGCAGCTAAAGTACTGCTATCTATTAAATCGAGAACCTATTTCTCTTCTAATAATGATAATGGTAGGTACTACATGTAGACGAAGCTGATCCATAATCAATAATCAACCGGAGCTCGGCTGCTAGCAAGAGCCTCGGCCCATCACAAGCCAGCGCAGCTCCAACCGTTAATCTAATCATTAATTCCAACCTCCATGTACGCATCTTATTTACGCATATTCAATATCTAATTCAATTTCTACACAACATCCGACGCAATCCAGCACACCATGGCAGAGCTCTTCGTCGTCCCCATCTCCACCGGCGGCCAATTCGTCGGCACCACCGCTTCACACGACCCCAAAGATAGCAACATCTATCTGCTCACATTCACCTCCGGCGCCGACAACCGACTAACGCCTGAATTCCTCGACGCGTTTCTGACCTCGCTGGATATTCTCGAGCATCGCTTCCCCAAGGGGGTCGTAATTACCACCAGCGGAATCCAGAAGTTTTTCAGCAATGGTCTAGATCTGGAAAAGGCGCTAACCACCGAGGGGTTCTTCGATAATCACCTGTACAAACTGTTCCGCAGGTTATTGACGTACGTTCCCCATCTGCGTGACAAGATTTGTGATTGTGATTGTGGCTGATTATGACAGATATCCCATGCCGACAGTTGCGTTGGTGAATGGCCACGCCTTTGCGGGCGGGTTCATGACGGCCATGTACCATGATTTCCGCGTGCAGAACCCGAGTAAAGGATTCGTCTGTCTGAACGAGATTGTGCTGGAAATCCCGCTGACGCCGCCTATGCGCACCGTGTTTCTGGACAAGATCAAGGACGGGCCTACAATCCGTTCTATCATCGTCGAGGGCAAGCGGTTTGCAGGGCAAGAAGCCCTCAGACTTGGAATAGTCGATGCCCTGGGCGGGTTGGAAGAGGCTGTTAAGTTTGTGCATGAACGGAAGTTGCTGGATATTGGAAAGTCTTCGGCATTCGTAGCGCTTAAGGAAGGGCTCTGGAAACGGACGTTGGATGCGATTGATAATAAGGAGGCGAATGATGCATTTGACAAAAGGAACCAGGATTGGAGGGAAAATTACGTGTCAGAGGCACAGAAACGGGTGCAGCTGTGGGAGTCAAAGAAGGGGGCGAAATTATGAAATATTTATTTGATAAAGTGTACTGCTTGTATCTATGTGTTTTAGACAATATATACCGTACAGAACCCAAGTCGTCGGAGCACATGAATCGTTTAGCAGCATACATATAAGAATGCCATGCATATTTTCCCTTCGAAAGGGACATGTCTCATCAGTGCTGTTTATGACGGTGTGCTGATTATACTGAAGTATAGGCTTTGGAGTATCCTACCTCTGGGTGCAAGCTGAATAGCGCATATACTGGTATCTCTATTCCTGTATGGTTAGAAAGTAATCGCTCACTAGTGTGGTCTTTATCAACCCTTTTTATCTTTCTTCGTAGACCGCGACTTCGCAGGGCTGTCGAGTTTATCGGTCAACGGCCTATATGGAGCAGCTATCATATGCTCCGGAGCTCGTTGATTTGGGTCTTGTCGCGGCTCCCCAGAAAGCGGTCTGTTCCGCTGCTCTTCATGCATCCGATCTAGAGGCTCCCCGACAATGTGATATTTGGCCCAGTTGATCGGCGGCATGCGCACGACGTTTTGCGGCGTCGGAATCTTTCCAAATTTTTCGTCCAACGATTTTGCGCTTGATGTATTCCGACCCTCTTCGTTTCCGCTACTATCACTCTCTTCTACTTCCTCCTCGGCTGGCAGACTTGTGTCTACCAAGAAATCCCTTTGGTCCTGTGGAGCCAATCGACCGGCAATCAGCTCCTGTGCAAACCCCTCGGGATCTGCCGCCGCCGCCGATTTCATTTGGTCCAGCGCTTTGATATCATTCAGAGCCCTCTGTTTCTGCACCTGCAGAATGGAGATCGCCGAGCGTAGAGCAATGACGTCTGGATTGTCACTTTCCGAAATGGGCACAGGTGACGGCTCAGGCCGGACGGGGACTCTGGCGAAGTTATCGTGCTGAACACCATCATAGACCCTATTGATCGGGTGCATGCCATTCTGATATGCGATTCCTGGATGCGTTTGCGAGAGCTCGGGGCCCGGAGGGATGATGGCTGCGCCATCGGGGATTGGGGTTAAGTGCGACAAGACAGGCGTGACAGGGGAATAAGGCGGCCGCTCCGGCGTACCTTGACGGTCTGGGACACGGCTCTCGTCATCGGGGTTGCCTGCTGCGGGTGCTATTGTATCCGACATGTCTGTTGGCCCATGCTGGTGAATGTTCGAAGGTAGAGAGTGAAAGAGAAGAGGGAAAGAGGTGAACGAGTCGCGGCGATGATCAATCTATGCCAAGACTGTATCGATAATGACCTTTGCGCTAACCATTTAAGGACTACCTCACACGCTAACCATTTAGGGTTGACGCCCGTGCTGTTTGCACTGTTTGTTGTACATGCACATTCTATCTTAGGGTTAATACTCGATCTTTCGATGGACAACTATAGACGGGGTTACGCTGGTAACCTAAATATATGCAATGAAGAGTATTTATTACACATTTGCATCTGCTATTTTCGGGTAATTACTAAAATTCATGCATGGAATTTTCATATTTATGTGGATTATAAAGGCTCGGCATTTTATAAGTTGAAATTGAAGCCTCAATCAATGTTGTCTATAATCCTGTTCCGATAAATCTCGTTTCCATTTTACTGCTAGCCTTAGACAAAATTCTTTCTTAGTCATACATTTAATCGAGCCTTTTCATACCAGTTGATGGTTGTATATACAACCCCTTGGGCTGGCCGGCGGCATCCGGGATACCGGAGTTCCGGTATACACCACTGCCGGAATAGCTTGTCAGTAATTACCAGTACTAGTATGTTGTACGCTGCGGCATTCGGTGTGCCGGAGCTCCATGGGATCAGAACCGTGCTGTATGGAGACCACTAAGATTGCATAGATTAAATTGAAATGGTGCAATATGCCGATATATTTGTAGACCGGGATTCCTTGAGGTTGGATCTGTTAACACTGAGTTTTTATATCAATTTGCGCCGAATTTTGGAGAGGATGGTGCCCCGTTGACACTTTCTATCGATTTAAGCAATATCTATTGCACCGATTTGGTACACATATCAAGAGTTAACTGTTCATACAAACGACTTCAGGATGGAACACCCTACCAATCGCAGGGAAAACAAGGAATCTTCCATCCATAATGCCAATCCTGTCCCAGGAGTTGAGTCAGATGTTGAGTCAGATGTGAAATCCTCCGACACTGCACGCGAAAAGCATGAACGCCAGCCTGAATTAACTGACGGTGTTGTGGGCTGGGATTCTGAAGACGACGCAGAAAACCCTCTGAACTGGAGCTCCCGTAAGAAATGGGTACACCTTTCTATTATGGCATTAATGACTTTCATGGTGTATGTCGTTCCTGTTATCGGGCCGATTTTGTTTTTAATGTACGGTATAACTGATCATTAGATAGACCACTGGCATCGTCTATGTTTGCACTTGGAGTGAGTGAAGTCATGACTGATTTTAACACTTCCAACAACTATCTGTCAGCACTGGTGGTGTCAATATACGTCTTGGGTTTTGCATTCGGGCCCCTCTTTTGGGCCCCCTTATCTGAAATATATGGAAGATGGATTTGCTACTCTGTCAGCAACATTCTATACATAATCTTCACAATCGCCTGCGCCGTCTCGACTAATATGTCAATGCTGATAGTTTTCCGGTTCCTGGCAGGGTGTTTCGGGTCTAGTGCTCTTGCAATCGGTGGTGGCACTGTTACTGACATGTTTCCGGTTCAGCATAGAGGCGTGGCGCTCTCGCTTTATACTCTTGGCCCAATATGTGGCCCGGCCATTGGACCAGTGATCGGAGGCTTTGTATCAGCTGCTAAGGGATGGAGGTGGATTTTCTGGGTCTTGAGCATTCTTGTAAGCCATGCATTTTTCCTCCTGTCTTGATAAAAGACAAGCTAAAGCCGGCTTTATCAAATCTTTTAGGGCGGAGCGGTCACTTTCCTTCAAGTATTTTACATGCGGGAAACCAGTGCTACGATAATATTGAGAAGAAAAGCCAAAAGACTGCGAAAAACCTCTGGGAATAGTGCAATAATTTCGAAAATTGACGCCGATAAACGCGCGTCAGGATCGCAGATCCTTCTTCAAGGACTGGTGCGGCCGCTGAAACTGATGCTGCTCTCGCCTATTAGTTTTCTTCTCTCAATCGCCACTGCCTTTATCTACGGATTACTCTATCTTCTCCTGACCACTCTTCCAATGGTGTTTGAAGAAGGGTATGGTTTCGGGGTCGGCATAACTGGGGTTACATATGTCGGACTAGGTATTGGCAACCTGATCGGGCTATTTGTTTTCAGTCTCACCAGTGACCGATACATTCGCGCGCGCATCGCAGAGGGGAAAATGACGCCAGAAGACCGCTTACCGTACATCTTGGTATCCTGCCCATTAATGGCCGCCGGCCTGTTTCTATATGGATGGACTGCTGAAGCGCGCACATTATGGATTGGCCCCGTTATCGGACTGACGCTTTTCGGCGTTGGAAACACGTTATTTATGAATGCCGTCATTGGATATTTGATCGACTCCTTCACTCAGTATGCAGCATCTGCGCTTGCGGCTAACACTGTGCTGCGTTCTGTCGGTGGAGCGTTGCTTCCTTTGGCGGGCGATAGCATGTATCAGTCCCTTCGCTTTGGGTGGGGCAATTCCGTTTTAGGATTCCTTGCGCTTGGTTTTACGCCTGCACTCATTGCGTTGTATAAGTATGGCGAGTCAATTCGCCTCAAATATCCCCTAAAACTGTAGAACTGCAGTTATAGGGCTGGAGCGATACAACAGAAAACACTAGACTATTCTCAGTGTTGATTTGTATATAATTTTAGAAAATCTCTATGGGCCACATGTAACTAATATATTGAATAGGATAGTTTTGAAATCCATTCACCTTAAATGTACGCTTACGGTTTGTGAATCTGAGGGGTTGTTTGTTTCATGAGCTGCATGTATCTCCGAAGCAGACAAGACTTGATATTCGAACAAACAAAAGACTGGCGATTGCTGTGATATTTTCTCCGTATATAATTCATACTTCACTGCCCTTAAAACATGGGACCTAAGAGTGTAGAAAACAAAGAATTCAGTAACAAATAAAGAAGGTATTTCTCCAAGACAGTTAAGGGAACTCCAATATTCAAAAAGAGAGGGAAATAAAGGACAAGGGAAGAAAAGAAAAGGAAGAAAAATAAAAGAAGGGAGACTATCATAGCCTAGAGGTTGATTACGGTTGTTAGGCCTGAATATAATAATAATAAAGAAAGAGAAAGAGATTAAAGTATGCCAAATGCCATGATAATGGCATCAATGGTATGATAAGCAATATAAGGCAACGCCATACTCAATCGACCATATGCAATTGCAAATTTATACATGTTATCCGCGTTCCTCTTCTGGGCAAGTATTGAACCAGCTTCACCGAACAGTCTGTCTGACTCGACATCGAAACGATGACCCCACCCGGGATCTTTATTGTCAGCTAGCAGCTTGGTATGCCACAGACTGTAGATATCACGAGTCACTTGGACGAGATCGTCGCTGACCCCCAGTGGTTGCTTCTTGTTCAATTGTTCTGACCCGTCCTCGATCATGTCATAGTAGATGTCATAGAATTTCGTGGTGGGAGAAGTTGGCAAATCTTCCTGCTTTACAGATCGAAGGAGTGCGCAAATGAGAGGCTCCTTAAGTCCAGCTTCGGTCACTTGCTCTTTTGCCATGCGAAAGATTTCCCACGTCCAGTCCCAGAAGTCATCCGCGTATTTGTTGATATACATCTCCATGATCTCAAAGATCCGACGATGACGCGCTCGACAGAAACTATATGGAGGGGAAGTCGCCGCGATCCGCCCGTCTTCGCGATTATAGAATCGAGCTCGTTGGTGTCCACGGAAGATCTCGCACAGTTGCCCAGACAGGACGGTCGACATGGCTTTCATTGCTTGGCTGATTGAGAGACCTTCTGGATACAACAGGCGGATCGTATTCCGGGTCTCACCTGTTCGAATATCGGTATGTAGATCCATGACATCGTTTGGTATAGCAGACCCAATCAGTGAATCCATCCCAGCGTCGTCCAGCCATGCAGCCCCATCGCTGCACATGTACGCAGAACCGATAGTGTCCAAGGCGCGCATGGCAAGGACCAGCTCATGATTAACCTGATGATTGATAGCGGCGTTCCGAGGTGTCTTCAATGGACGTAGATTCTCACAGCCATTCATTGCAGCAAGATAGGCATGGGCGATGCGCCAGAAAGAACGGTCCTGGCCGCTCTCGATATCATCCAAATTGGACACGGAAGATCGCGCCAATTTCTCGAAAGCGGCTATTCGATCACTGTAAATATTTTTTCCTTTTGCCCAGTCAATTCCAGTCAATGCAGAGTAGACGTAGTCTGCCTGAGCCGGATCACGCTCAAAGGTAAACGCCTGACACATCATCAAATATACAGGAAACATGGCAATGATTGGGGGATCACATTCCAGCCCAGTCAGCAATCGACCCCAAGATGAAAAATGATCGTCAGCACCGGCGCGTGAAGAATGAAATTCTTGCTGTAATTCTACTGGATCTTCGGTGGCGTCTGCTGCCAATAGAATTTCGGATCCGACTTCAAGCGCGACTTGATATGTGAATTCAACCAAATCAAGATCATGTAGACCTGAGCTACAAATCCTCTCCTTGTCAACCATGACATGAAATTTAGCTGAGAATGGCTCTATGAATGTCATGACTTGATTATCAGGCTGATACCCGTGCATAGTTTCGAGAACCCAGGAAGATAGGTCCGATGTCAGTGGATAGTGACCGCCAGTATGCCGGCTGATTGCTTCGTCGTCCACTTTCAGTGGAGGCCGCTGTTTATGCTCTTTCACAAACCAAATTCTATCACCGTGAGCATCGTTACTAGATTTGGAATTGGTAGCTCTTTCATCCCCGTCGTCATTATCAATGTTGCAATTCTTGCATTTATGGCGGATATCGTCAAGCTTATTGGCTTTGAAAGCTGCCATGGCATCTCCGGTATATCTCAACTTGCGAGTATTAATTGCATTGTAGGCTGTTGAAACCATTTTGAATTCTATTTCTTGTGCACGGAGCTAACTGTAAAGACGGTCAGATTAGAGATGGAAATTAAAGTAAAAGATGGAAGATGAAATTCGCGAAGTAAGGATGACGTTGAGTGATCTAAGGCAAAGAGTACGCGCCGTAAAGTCTGCGCCTTTGAAACATTGGTTCGGCTTTTAATGTGCTATAGCAAGCTAGCTGGACCAACGTTATCTCAAGGATCAGCCAGTTTTTAACAGCTGAAGTTGTCTACAAATCACATTTTAATAGGTCCCAACAGGAAAACTGACGCGAATTACATGTAATTATGTTACAAAATACCGACACCCGGTGTAGTGTTCGCTTCCTATGACTGTCATGGAACCGGTCCCAACATAAAGCTTTGGGAGTGACAGGCTGCATTAGCTTATTTACAGATGGACCACAATTTCTAGGTTCAATATTTCCCGAAGGCCTCTCACATATGCTTCAGGTGCATACATGTACCATACTAGGCAGAAAAAGGACAAGAGCAGTAGCATAGCCCGAGACACGCGGATTTTGTGAGCAACCACACTTCACACCAAAGGGGGGTGGGTAACACCGACATCATCGTTTATTTCGGAGATATCCCCATTCCAAGAAATATTACGCTGCACGCTTACTAGTAATAGGATCAGAGTCCGTGTATGTTCCCGATTCGTTATTATAACGTTTGTAGTGGCGTTTAGTTCCATGTTGCTGGTATTGTCTACCATCGCCAGCAAGGAGATGGGGCCAGAAAGAAAGAAACAGACCCAGACGCCTGGTTTAGTAGGCACGGTGCTTGGTATGTAACAATATGTACGAACTAGGCTTCGGTATATCCATCAATTCAACGTATAAGAATTCAGATATGTGTTATATCATAAGACACAGGTCATGGGAGCTTCCTTTAAATCAGCGTCATCGTCATTATTATTGAATTAGGTATAACATTAATCTATTGATCTGTAGCCTACTTAAGAGGATAATTTAATGGGCACTTAGCAGCACTCTAGAGCCTAGGCTCCCTAGATTCCTTGTCGTTCGCGTCTTCTAGATCCTGGAGTATCTGTATCCTCTAATGCTTTCCTCACCCTAGGCCACTCATCTGCTTAGAGCGTTTTGGGAGACTTATAGAGGGTTTACCAGCCATTCTCTTACCTTGCTTCCGAACGTAGGGGTGTCATCAACACGAGCGCATACGACCCAGCGCGCTTACCATCCCTACATTCCTTTTTTAAGGTTTCCATATCTGCCCTTGTAGTAGATAATAGAAAGAAAGTGAACTTGTTGAGAATATGCACAAGCATGTACAATTATATTACATACAAAAAGAAATAGATACATGGATATCATCACTCAACTCTCAATTCGGTGTAAACACGAATATTATTATCATCACCCCGTTGTGAACTTGGACGATTTACTATGTCTTGCTCGATGGCCCAAGTTTGGCCTCCGTTTGGATTGGAAGCCTTCGCAAGTGAAGTCGCGGTGACTTGCTCATTGTCCCAGCCCCAACCATGGATAGATCGTGTTGATATATCGGCGTCCTCGTACTCCTCGGTAATTCGTATTTCTCCTGCTTCCCCATTTCCCGTGCCTAGTAGTGCAGGCTCATGCGATAGATCTCTGTTATGCCTACGGGATGTATTGTTTCTATCAGAGGCAGAATTGCTGATCGATGAAAGGGGGTGTCCCTTGTCAGACGTGTTTGTAGGATTGATCATGAGGAGATTCCTTCCTCGCACGAGGTTGTTAACCAGAGGCCGTAACAATGGAGCACTGGCGACGATCAGAGCTGTCCCCCATTCGACCAATGACCAGATAAAAACCATCTTCCCCGTAGTGATGAAGGTTGCAAAGTTGACATTAAGAATCTCGACCATCCGGGCGACGGTGATACCGATGGTACTATCGAAAAGTCCCTTAGTCAGTACAATTTCTGGGTTAAGCGTGACGAAGCAACTCACAATAACCCGAGAGCAAATACGGAAATAATAGCTGCCTTTTTAGAATTGGACAACTGCCGCGCCAATACCATCGGAACAGGTAAAATAATAATCATTACATCTGTTGCAATATCCACGGCGCCGACCGCTGCGAATGCGGCATTCTGATTATCACAATGGCCCGCAGGATCCTTCAGGTTCCAATTGTAGTTGAGCGGGCGGCATTGCAGGAAGGCAATCAAGATAGTCATCACACTCCAGGAAATGCATAACGTGACAATCGTCCAGGAGATTCTGCGAAAGGCCACAGATGTCGTTCCAAAGATGTTCTTGAGTAGAAGGAGGAGGCTACATTTGATCGATCCCATCCCGACCGCATAGGAAATCTGGATGTAGTAAAGGCCCTGAATAAGAAGTTTTGATCAATTACAAGAATTGTCAAATGGGAACGAAGATCGCGTAGTTGCGAATTCGATCGCCTACCTTGAATAAAAACGAGATGCGCCATGGTTCTACATCTGTCACGGGATATCCAAGACGACCGATCGTCAGCACTGTATAAATTTAGGACGTTAGTCCGTATAAATATGGACGATAGATGAAAAAAGCCTCTGTATCATACCCAGGTATGTGGTGACCGCGTATGAATAGTAAAAGATCTATAAAGAAGAATTAATAATCCGTAAGTTCCCAATGGCGAAGGTATTCGGAACTGACAAGGGAGACAGAAATCAGGTAGTCTGAGACCTGTAAAGAGCGTCTTCGTTGAAGGACTACTGCCAAACGAAGCGCAGTAACCACGGTCGCAAGAAAGAGGAATACTGACATTGCCACGGCCACCTGAATAGCAGCCTCAGATAGGCCGGTCGGCATTTCCGCTTGCTGTGGCGGATCCTCTCTAATTGACAGCATATTGGGCTATTTGCGATCTAGACCGCTGGGATAGTGAGGACGAGCATCAAGTCTAGCATATCTCATACTGAAGACGATAAAGTATTAGAGTTTCCACCACTTGTGTTGCAGATCGTCTGCATTTTCTATTCGAGTAGTGAAGAAAAGTATATTAAGAGTTCCTTCAGAGTTCAGTATCTAAACTGCAACATATCCGAGCAAATGCATAATGTCATGATTGGCTGAACTGCCTTCGATTCGACTGGTGGCATGGGGCCCTTTGCGGTTGTGGGGAGGGTTCGTATGAGAATCTGGGTTCTGAAAGACCGGCTAATATTCAATTGGCCTAACAGGGGCCGTACGTAAATAACCTATGCCAAAGTATGATTTGGTGCAGGGTGATCTATTTCCTTACAAAACACTTAGTTGAGAAGGTAATAAACCCGAGATCGATTATTACGGTTAGGGCTACAGTGTCAACTGTCTCCACCACTCGGCCCGTGCTGATCCAAAACTTAATAAATTTCAAAGTACGCATTTCGTCTAGTTTTACCTATTATATTAATAAAAAGCGATATATTATTATATAAACTACCAAATATATCGGATTAAAAGTTTATTAAATTAATACTAGTCTCGGCATCCTCAAGTGCTACTTTATCAGTACATAATACTGCATACAGTGGTTGATACTAGCTGTAAACCGTGCATATAATCATACGTTCAGCTGCAAACCCATATATTGCCTGCAGAGAAAAACTAAGCTCAAAGCCAAATCACGAGAAATATTATAGGTGAGCTGAGCAACGCCAGGGAAAATCACGCTAAAATAAAAACTGTAACCGGTCCGTATTACTTGTCTATACGATACTCAGCCATGATTTGCACAGCTGATGATTTCGAGTCGACAACGTAGTATTGAAGACTGCCGGAATCGGAAGGTCAGGGAATAAGACACGGTGTACCAGCGAAAGGTGGGAAAATCCCTAAGAGACGAAGATAATTTTTCTCATGTTTCAATTGTCCGTCCTCATCAAATCATTTTCATTTACCGACCTATTTTTTGCTTTTCCCACTGTTGATGTCGTCAGGGAACTACCAAATACGTACTACGTAGTTAGTTGACCGTAAAGAAAAAGAAAGCTGCATATTTGCCTAGCCGTACTTAGAATATTCTTCCAACTTCCCGTCATCTAAAAAAACTGCCCTCTAGCTGTTTGGACCGGGATACTCTCCCTCTTTCTGATTTCGAGAGCTCGAAGTCAGATTTCGAACGACACAATAAACCATGGTGTTCCTTTATATAGGCGCCAGCTTCACTTCATGGACCGCAGTATTGCTCTGGTCGCTACTTACCCTATGTATTTCGATAGTGGGGCAGATCATATATCGCCTCACGCTTCATCCCTTGGCTGGATTTCCGGGGCCAAAGTTGACGGCGGCGACAAAATGGTACGAGGTTTATTTCGAGTTGGTGAAGAGGCCTCAAGGTCAATTTTCAAGAGAGATAGATCGCATGCACGATCGATATGGTATGTTTCGATTAATATCCATGACCTCATTATTTTCTTTTCTTTATAGATATTCGTTCTAAAGTTGAATCCTATTCTAGGCCCAATCGTACGCATCAACCCAGACGAGCTTCATGTACGCGACTCAGACTGGTATGACGTTTTTTATGCACCAAGTACAGTTCCTCGAGACAAATACCCGCCAGCAGCCAATATGGCGGGAACTGGCCTCGGAAGTACGTACCCCCAGAATGCTACGTTGAAATTTCTTCAAGATATATTTCTGTTAAGTTCAACTCATAATGTGACCGTCTATGGGAGAAAACAGCTTTTGGAACAGTGAGACATGAACTTCATCGACGAAGAAGGGCTGCCGATGCCCCGTTATTCTCGAAACGGTCCATCCAACAATCAGAAAGCCTGATAAAGGAACAACTACAGCGATTGACCGCCACATTTAAGAAGGCATCTGTTTCGGATGAGCCGCTGAATCTAGGGACTAGTATGCTAGCATTTTCGACGACTACGCTCGGCTTGTTCGCATTCAATTTTGATTTTAACTTTTTGGACGATGCCAAAGCAGCTGAGAACTGGCGGAAAACTATAGATTCGGTGACAGTCGTTACTATTGCTGCTAGGCAGTTCCCATGGCTGATTCCCTTGGCCATGATGACTCCTCGGGCTTTGGCTCGACCGGTGTTGCCTGACTTGTGCCGTCTCCTAGATGCTCACGTTGTAAGTATCTCAATAAAAAGAGGAATTTTAAGATTCTACATGAGTAACAGCATTGGATGAAAACAGAGAATCGGCGAACAGGTCTCTAACTATATGTTGACAAGGACGGAGCCAAAGGGAAAAGTCGTCCGCAAGGAACGGCCTCTAACTATCTTCCAGGCTATTGACGAGAGTTCACTCCCAGCACATGAGAAGAATGCACCGAGACTTACTCAAGAAGGGATCACACTGCTACTCGCTGGAGGGGAGACTGTTGCACGCTCTCTCATCCATATCATATTTCATTTGCTAGACAACCCTGACGTATACGCCAAAGTCAAAGCAGAGATAGATGATGCCACCCCAAAAGACCAACTAATACCCTCAACCAAGACATTAGAGAGTCTGCCATGGCTGGTAAGCTTTACCGACCGAGCCAAATTGCAACTCTTTTTACTAACTAGACCTCAAGACTGCTTCGGTACGCGAGAGTCTTCGGCTCTCTGCCGTCGTTTCTTCTAGGTTGCCTGAGATGGCGAGAACGAAGATACATTATGGGGAATGGGTAATACCAGCTAATGTAGGTGTTCTTTTCTGTTCTAAAATCATTCGTAGTAACGGCTAGCAGACCCCAGTCAGTTTGCACCCATCAAGTGTCCTCCATGACCCTTCTGTCTATCCCGAACCATCAAAATTCAAACCTGAGCGCTGGTTTGATGCATCAGATCGTGCCAACCGGTGTTTTGTGCCTTTCGGTAAAGGCGCACGTATGTGTTTGGGTATGGAGTAAGTAAAATATACCATATTATTATTACTTTCCTTGGTGTTGTATTGATAAACAGGGATTGGGAAAAAGAAAGCTAACAGAGTAACTATTACAGCTTTGCGTACACCCAAATTTTTATGACGATTGCGACTTTCCTTCGGACATTCGATCTTGAACTATACGAAACTTACCGCGCACGAGACATCGATCAAGAACGTGATTGTTTCGTCGGTATGCCTTCAGAGAACAGTCCAGGCGTAAGGGTGAAGGTGCATATGCGCCTAGGAAATTTGGACCCCATGTTGCATGACACATAAGCTTATTTACTGGACGTGGCGTCCTAACTATCTCACTATCTCACAGCATATATAATTATACACGAGTGGCGTGAGATAAGTCAGAACCCGGATAACCATCCATTGTTAGTTAGTTAAGTTACTAGTTAATTCGTCGAAGTACGAGGTAGTTGCTGGGATCACAGTAAATTTCTGTGTAACCAACTACGAGATTTCTGCAACCATCATTGGTTCATAGGCTTTTCCATATTTTTGAGTATTCCTGAAATTTACACGGGTGGGTGGGTGGCTCTCAGATAAACATGGTCCAGGAAAGGGTCCAGGAAGGATCATCTGTAGAACACAGTGTAGTTAAATGAGTGCCGGGATGAGTGAACAAGTCTCACACCTACTCCTCATGGCGAGGAGGAGACTCAATACGAGGATCAGGTTTTATCCGAGCTAAAGAGCATGTGATTACTCTCTAGTCATAGGATCTTGTCTTACAATCATAAGCAACCTACAATGAGGGAAACGAACGATCTGAAGCCTAGGCCTTCAATGGCGCAAATAAAAGCCATTGTCGTTAGATTACTCAGAATTCCAGGTAATTACTTTTGCACTAATAATGGGACGTCTTAAATCTACAAGGTAATAATTAACTCATAACGGCATCAATACACAACTAATGTAAGCAGGAAATACAATATATAGGAAATTGATTGGATACAAGAAACAGTGAACACAATGATCTCGGGTAAGGGTTGGATATACCAATCTAACACCCCATTTCCCCTCCCTGAACCCTGGGGTGACACTATTTGCCGGGTCTTTCTAGCCGGTAGATCCGGATAGGCTGGATCCGCAAGACTGCTGTCGAACTAATGCAGCTGCGGCGACTAATATAGAGGCCAATATGCACTACGGTGTATGTTTGGAACGAAGAGGATGATTAAGATACATGGTATCGTAACTCTAGTGGAGTCTGTGGTCGTGGACTTATCTCTAAACCGTAAATACGGCCATTTTCCGACCCTGGTCGAGGCTGGTATACGACTCCGCCTTTGCTGAGGATGACGCGCGTTATTAATATTCATTATTGTGAGGCATATTTTTTTATGTTTGGTAATCAAATTGACATCGGCTGGTCTTACTTACATGTAATGGTTTTCTTGTGCGAACAAAGAAACGTCTCTCACTGTCTGGCTTAATAAGTTCAAGATCCAAATCAGTCGCCCTCGCATCAACAGAGAAGTCATAAACTTGAAAGAAGAAGAAAAGCAAATAATTAATAACTCTGACAAGAGGGAGAGAGAAAATAGGAGGAATAGACAGCAAAATGACTTCAGACAGCTTCGACTTCATCATCATTGGCGGTGGCACAGCTGGATCAGCACTTGCGTCGCGGCTTCAAGAGGGGAACCCATCCCTCTCAATCTTGATAATCGAAGCTGGGCCAGATGTCAGTAGCCGTGCTGACGTACTTGACGGCACGCAATGGGGTCGCTTACTAGGAACGGATCTTGATTGGGGCTATTTGACAGAGCCACAGACTCATCTGAATGGTCGCGTTCTTCCGAACTTCGCTGGCAAGGCTCTTGGTGGGAGCTCGGCTATTAATGCAGGTATCTCTATCTTTCTCACCCAAAGCCCAGTGCCCTGCGGTGTTGGTTTTCTTCTACAAAGTAAATAGGTAAATGAGAGCTGATCGTATGTAAATAGGTGGCTGGACACGCGGCGAAAAAGAAAACTACGATAAATGGGCACAACTAGTCAACGATCCCAGATGGAGCTATGATGGATTACTGCCTTATTTCCAGAAAGTCGAAACATACTTTGATCCAAATGGAAACCCGGCTATTCATGGATTCAATGGGCCTATCAAGATGCAACCAGCGGTTGACCGACAGTATCCATTGCGTGAACAGGTCAAGAAGGCCTGGGCTGCTGTCGGAGTTTCATATAAGGAAGATATGAACGATGGCAGTCCCATTGGACTAGGGGAGTTAATCGAAAACCGAGTCGACGGGGCGCGCCAGATTGCGTCTTCCGTCTATGACCTGAAAAATGTTAAGATCTTAACTAAAACCTTGGTGAACAGAGTGCTTATCACAGATAAAGACGGCCACAAGACGGCTACTGCTGTAGAGTTAGCACCTGGGGATAACCACGGCGATGCAAGTTCACGAATCATTACTGCTCATCACGAAATAATTATCTCGGCAGGGACTTATCGTTCACCTCAGATCTTGATGCTTTCTGGTCTTGGCCCTAAAGACGAACTGCAGAACCATGGCATCGAAACCGTACTTGACCTGCCTGACGTCGGACGCCATTTCCAGGATCATTGCAGCGTAAATCAGTGGTGGAAGCTTAAAGAACCTGAAAAGGGGCTATCAGTCGGATCTCCTGGTTTCAGCAATCCTAGCTACTTCAAAGGGCTTCCCTTGGACTTTGTAGCAACTCAATCAGTACCAAAGGAGGGTCTTTTGAAAGCACTATCTGATGACAATGAAGCTAACCCGGAACTTCATGCGCTGGCAACACAGCACGGCCATCTCGAATTTTATATTATGTATCTAGCGCGTAATCCGGAAAATCCAGTGGTTGTTCCCGACGGCACCCATCTTACAACGTCTACCATCTGCATCTTACCAACTTCTAGAGGTTCTATTCGATTGAAAGATGCAAATCCTGAGAGTGCACCCTTGATAGATCCGAACTATCTAGCGACGGAAACAGATCGGTATGTCATCAGAGAGGGCCTGCGAAAGATACACAAAGTGCTTCGAGAGACAGAGGCTGGCCAGGAGATTGTTGCAAGTGAAGCTGTTGAGGATGGTGGTCGACAAGTTTCTTCAGACTCCAGTGATGAAGAACTCGACGATCTAATCCGCCGACGTCTAGGGTAAGTCTTCCATTTTCAAAATGCCGGAGTCGATATGAGACTATAGGCCATAAGCTAATTGAAAAACTTCTTAAAAGGACAATGTTCCATCCAGCAGGCAGTGTATCCATGGGTAAAGTCGTGGATAGCGAACTGCGTGTTAAAGGTGTAGACAAGCTCCGTGTTGTGGATGCCAGTGTTATGCCACTGCCAATTGCCGGTCATATTCAGAACTGCGTCTATGCTATCGCAGAACAAGCCGCAGATATTATTCTGGCGTCTTTGTGAAATTAGAATTTCTCCTGGACTGCAAGAAGAGGTGGTGTGCCAAACGTGTGTGCTGAGTGGCTTGTGAGTCCGAGCATTTGCTCTAGCTGTATAGGTATGTAGGAAATAGCCATCTTTGTTAGGTTGGCTTAACTCTCAATAAGACTGGGTGAAAATGGACTTATACTTAATGTGTTTGGAAAAGATCAATTTGTAATAATTCCACGTGGATTACTCCGCGAATGTTCATTTGGTTCGGAACAAGTCTTGTGATCATACGTTTAATTCGAAACGAGGGAAAGCTACTCGGACGAATAGTTAGTTTTTCTTTTCCTTTATTCCTACCCCTTACGGGGGGTTTGGTTGCTCGACTAATGGACGAGTAATTTGTAGCGAATTTACACTAGTGACTGTACATGTGTTACGCAGGGATCATGATTTGTTGAGAACTGTAACTAACACAAGTGGCGTGTTTGCTTCCTTTTCTCCAACCTTAAGATTTGCTACGAAAGATAGTAGAAATAATTCTCTTACTAAGAATGTGAATCCAGGTTATTATTGGCCGCGCATTTGTGCGAATTCACCAAAGCGTTGCTTTTCATATTTTTGTAACTTAACTTTATAATACAACCTTAAAGGTCATCTTGTGGTCAAGATCGGCCCAGTTAGCTTTGTTTTAACTTCTGCAACCCCCCTTTTAGCTGACAATTCGTAATCCTTCGAGAAGCCCTCGGTCTCGCGTGGCAACAACGTGGCTTGCAGGTCCGCCGGTAGTCTCATAATTTCTATTTATGCAATTATTCAATTAAAGTACATATGATTTATCGCGGCCCTTTGTCTTCTCGAGGTTTTAATAATTGCCAATACTTCTCGGGTTACCCCTTTTGGAAGTTAAACATGGAGGTCCTCAAACGTATAGTGTTCTTCTGGCTATTCGCCGGTTCAATCGTTGCCTCGCAGCTTTCATATCGGGAATCGATCACCGGAATCAACTTGTTAGGGTCCCATTTTGGGATTCCCACACTTAATGCCTCTTTTGATTATGTTGTCGTTGGTGGTGGTACTGCTGGTCTTACTATTGCGACTCGTCTTGCTCAAGCGGGGAAGTACAGTATCGCCGTTATCGAAGCTGGCACATTGCCTGAGCTTATTGACAGTAACTGTAGCACAATTCCTGCCAGCGCTGCAAATTTCCTAGGGGCCAACCCGAAAACTAATAATCCAATGATCGATTGGGGAATGCATACGCAAAATATTCCAGTCAGTCCTCTAGTTGTCTTCTATTTGTTCTTTTCTATTCCTCGGTTTGCAAACTTTGAATTAAAACATTTGCTTATTGGAAGACGCAACTACAGGGCTTTGGGAATCGCTCTATCCTATACAGCCAGGGCAAATCGTTAGGAGGGGGGAGTGTCCGAAACCTGATGTTTTACGTGAGATCATGCAAAGGCGCATATCAAAGATGGGCCGATGAAGTTGGGGATGACAGTTACACCTTCGCCTCTCTTCTTCCTTATTTCCAAAAGTCGGTTGCTTTCCACCCGCCCGACCAAATCACTCGACCAGCCAACTCAACACCGAAGTACAATGTTCACGCGTACAGTCCATCAGGTGGTCCACTACAAGTGACGTACCCTCGCTGGGCAAATGCTATGAGCTCTTGGTTCAAACTCGGTCTAAGCCAATTGGGAGTACCCGAGGTTGTGGACTTTGTGAGTGGAAATATTCTGGGCTATCAGTATACAGCGCAAACAATAGATCCCACAACCATGACGCGATCCAGTTCCGAGACCTCATTTCTACGGACAGCATTCGCTGAGACCACGTCCTTGTCTGTATATGTGCAGAGTCTCGCCAAGAGGATTCTGTTTGATTCCCAGAAACGGGCGACCGGTGTAGTTGTTGAATCGAATAATGTTCTCTATACCATTTCGGCCAACAAAGAGATCATCGTGTCTGCCGGCGCTGTAAGACAAACCCCCTGCTCTTGATATTTTCTTATAATAGTATGAACTGAGTTTAACTTCTCGGCAGCTTCGCTCTCCTCAACTCCTAATGGTATCTGGGGTCGGTCCGAAAGACACACTTCAGGGACTGAATATCCCAGTAGTATCCGACCGCCCAGGGGTAGGTCAGAACATGCAAGACCATCTCCTGGTTGGAACCTCATACCCTGTTGATGTGCTAACGCACGAATTAATCGGCTCAGACCCGGTGTTTGCTGAGGAGCAAGTCATCAACTACGTAACCAACCGCACAGGAATACTAACTAATGTCGGCGCCGATTTTTTGGCATACGAAAAACTACCCGACTCTCTACGAAAGACTCTAAGCAAGAAGACACTAGAATCGCTGAATAGCCTGCCTAGTGACTGGCCAGATATTGAACTCCTTTACTACGACTCCTATACAAGCAATCAACAAGACTATACCGCATCCGGGCCGTCCGGTTCGTATGCTGCCGCTGATGTGGGTGTTGTGGCACCGTTCAGTCGCGGGACTGTGAGTATCGCCAGTAATGATACTGCCGACATTCCCTTGATATACCCTAATTACTTGGAAGACGTCCGAGACCAGGAGGTCGTGCTGGCGGGATGGAAACGTGCTCACCAGATCTGGAATACTCCGGCGCTGAAGAAAATTACCACTGGCCCAGAGGCTTGGCCTGGCAGTAACTACACGACCGACGCTGAAATCCTCCACATCATTCAGGAAAATGCATTGACGCAGTACCATGCGTCATCAACAAATAAGATGGGTCGGTCGAATGATACCTTAGCCGTGATTGATCCGCAGTGTCAAGTCTACGGGGTAACGGGCTTGCGCGTGGTTGACAGCTCGTCTTTTCCATTTATTCCACCATCTCATATCCAGGCCACTGTTTGTATGGTTTTAAATTTTCTCTCTTTCTGACTATTGGCTTTTTCCACTTTCACTACTAACTAAACTGATTTGTTATAGATGCGCTCGCGGAAAAGATAGGTGCCAAGATCATTGAATCTTGGTAAAGACTCCAGACATAATCCAATCACCCTTCCCTTACTCGAACAGATATAGAAGGCAATATATCAATCGGGATCTAGGGAGATTGTATAGACCGGCAGTTTTCAAGGAAATCAATATTGTTAATAATCCTATAGTCGAATCGGTATATTAACGAATTACCAAACATCGGTACAAGAAGACAGTCTTTTTCCTGAACAGAGCAAAGTGCAGAGGAAATGTCAACATGCAAGTTACCTGTGTCACAAATGCCCTTATTTTTACGTTTTGTATCATATCCAGATATCTGTCCAAAGCCATATAGCCTCCTTATCTCGAACCTACAAATATCATTCAAATATTGCTGCTGTATGTGTACTACGTCAACTCCACTCAATATCAAGTTCATGCAAAATGTCGTTAATTTTCTTTCTTAACTAGAAAAGAACTTTGGGAGTAACGTAAATACGAGCCATATTCTATATTAATGCTTATGGTTGTAAACCTCTCTATTAAGTTGTCAGTAGCGTTAACAATTTGGGGTGAAGTTAGGAATACTCAAAATTACGATCATTAACAAGAAAATAAATTTAGCAAAGAGTAATATTTAGAATTATACTATCTGACTTCTCAATAATAAATATAGAGTATCTATGTAACATGTTCGTAGAACAAGAATTTCCCTGACAAAGATAGATCTTAGCTTCTTTCCCGACAGAATCCGACAGAATCCGACAAAACCAGCCAAATGCCGTGCTGTGGGTCCGACGGGCCCGACGGGCCAAGCGCTAATAACAACCTCCGGAGTCGGGCTTTCTCATTGATAAATGTATCATTGATCTTCCTGCAATTTCTACTTCACACAGTAGAGACCTTACAATGGCGGCCGACGGCCATCGGACCCGCCCCACGCAAGCATGTCTCACCTGCAAGACTCGTAAGAAGAAATGCAACAAGGGCCTTCCTTCATGTAGCTATTGTATACTGTAAGTGCTGAGGCTCAGGCTGTATGATCCCGAATAATGCTTAGGACTGGTGCACAGGAAAGATCTTGAATGCCGCTACGTTTCGGTTACTCGCCGACGTGCTTATGCCACCCCAAATACCGACAGCTCAACGCATACAACAATACACCGTGAGATACTGACCGCAGAAACACTTGACGATCTGGCGCCGCCCAGGACAACTCTTCCAGAACCTGTAACTACTCCTAAAAAGACCACTCTATACCGTCCGCTCTTTGAATGCTTGTCAGTACCTAGCCCAAATCTGACAATCTGCAACGAATTCCAGAAGCGTTAGCCGCCGCACGCCATTACTAACAAAAGTAATAGTGATAGCGTCCACCTCGAGGTCCAAAATATCATTCGTTCGACTGGTGAATTTGTGGACGATCTCACGGCTCGCTATTTCCGGAACTTCCATGGCCATCTGCCCATCATTTCCCGTACGCGCTTTCAGCGTAGCCTCACCGCGACGGGAGCACCCCCTAGTGCTGACTCCTCGATTTTACTACTAACTATCTGCTTAATTGTATACCTCCCGAATCCTGAACTGCTTTCACGAGCCGGAGACACTATCGGCCGACAGTCTCTGTATCTCGCCGCAAAGACACTTCTCGCACAGGTCCAGGGGTGTTTGCAGCCTTCGATTCCTCTTATACAGGCTTGCCTCTTGCTAGCCACATACGAATATGCAAACGGAAGGCCAGAAGTTGCATTGGTCACGATTGCGGGCTGTGCGCGAATGGCCTATGCTGCTCGTATCCACGACAGCAGACGCCATAATATGATGAATGGTGACTCTAGACTAGAAGTCGAAGAAGCTACAAATACGTGGTGGGGCATTGTAATCTCTGAACGGTAAGTATTTCTATGTAATTAGACAAAGCATCTATGGACTGACACAACTCTTGTTCGTGCTAGAGCCTTTATTTGTGAGGTAGGTGATTTTGAGCAACCAATGGCTACCATTTTACCTGCTGGGGATACCCGGCTACCTATCGAACGCGAAAAACTTGATCGGGGGGATCTCCTCAGTCTAGATTCTACGCCTAATATTCCTGTCTCGTGTTTGGCCATAACAAGCATTGGTGGCTTCGGCCGTGCAGCTCAAGCATCTTGCCTCTTGGACCAAGTCTTAAAAGGCTTAGTCATACCAGATCTTACTACTAGGCTGCCTCTGCTTGAAAGCCTGGACAGAACTATCCAGTCATTTCTAGCCGTTATCTTATCCCACAACCCAGATATAGCGTGGCCGTATTGCACAGCGCTGGCAGTGACAGTCAGGTAAATCCCCCACCTTTTACGAGACTACTAAGCCCTAATTCAATGCAGAGCATTGTTCACATTACACGGGGCCATCTTAAACATACCACAACAGGTCATTTCTGCCAATTTTAGATCCCTGGAGGAATGGAAGAAGAGTTCCATAGCTGCACTCGATACTGCTACGACGATGGTTAACGATATGGTGAAATGGCATTACAGTACTCTGCCTTCAGATGGGACCAATGATACGTCTCCAATTCACATCTATGTAGTTCGTGCTTCGATTAAACATATGCATACTCGGCCATATAATGGAGATTATCCTTGGTCAGAGAGAGCTGAAAACGAACTCCAGCTCTATCTGGACAGGCTTCAGCACCAATGGGTTGTCTCTTATGACTGAGTCTTTTAGACTGATACCTACCAGACAGTCTCTAATAGATGGTGACTTGCTAGCTTCCCAGGTAGTAACGAAATCTATATTCAAATTCTATGGTGTGGCTAGTGAGTGCATGGTAGGATTTAAAGAAATTTTCGAGCTGGAATTCAGCTACCTAGAGACCTAGCGGTCGTTTGAATATACAAGTAGGTTGCTTATAAATGAATGTGAGTCTTTGTAACCCTCTTTCCTTCTTTATATGCATCTAGCACCTCGTTGACGCTGTCAGCCGACAATCCCTTCTTCACGACATAGTCCTGTGGCTTGATTTGACCGGTCTCAAGATAGTAGGGGACTCGGGACCAGAATTCGGCCGCAAGCTTAGGATGCGCTTGCGAGCTGCCAAAGACATCACGTACATCGAACCCTGCTCCCTTTCCCAGGACTTTTGACTCATCAACTTTGCCAAGAGGTATTAGACGGGCCAGCGCGCCTTTCTTGCTGCTTGATAGTGCATTTAGCGCGAGCAATTGTCCATCCGGAGGGCTGATAGCATCATAGGCGTACACTAGATCGTCGCCTACTATATCACGAATTTTGGCAAGTATTGTGTCGTATCCAGCATGGCGGTCGATGACATGAGTAGCCCCAAAGGATTTCAACTTGGTCTGATCCCCACCCACTACTATGATGCGCCCAACGTTTGCGAGCTTGGCCAGCTGGACACCGAATTGACCGCAGTTGGAGCCACCTCCGACTACCAGAATTGTCGTGTTGGCGTAGTCAAAGTCCTTAGCAGCTGGCAACCACGGCGCAGGGATCTGCAACGTGTCGAACAGAGCCACTAAAGGCGGAATGATGTTGGTAGGCAAAGTAGCAGCTTCATCGTCCGTAATAGAATCGGGAATCTTGGCCAGAGCCCCCAACTCTGCGATAGCATATTCTTGCAGGCCATTCTGCTTCGAACCCGGCGCGAATGACGGTTGATACACGATACGATCGCCGACTTCAAGATCAGTGACACCTGGGCCCAGCTTTGTGATCCTACCGACGACGTCGTTGGTAAGAACCGAGGGAAGATCGGCGTCATCTGGGAAGTCTTTTGTGACTGGGCTAAGATCTCGAAGAATGAAGAGGCCCCAATCACGGCTCTTCTCGTCGTGAGGGTTGAGGCCGGCAACAGTCACTTTCACCTGCACCTGGTCTGTGCCTGGCTCAGGAATAGGCCAGTCACTTACCAGGGTGACCGGTTTACCAAGCTCCGACACGATGAGCGCTTTCTGAGTGAGAGACATACTGGCCGATATGCGAGTGATGACTGTGTTTGCTGAACAGAGTGAGTGCTTTCTAACCCGGTAAATATGGGCTACGAGCGAGTATTTATAAAGCGCAAAACCAGACGCTATGGAAGCCTGCTGATTAATAAGAAAATGGACTGTCGGGAAGTTGTCGGAGATCTATTTACTTCTGTCGGGCCCGTCGGCCGCCACAAGTATTACATGCCATCAGCAGATCCATTATTCTTCTACGCGACCTATATTTATTGTGTAGTGGCTAGTTTGCACAAATTTTCCACTTTATACGATGCCTTACACTGCCTTTAATTATATGCTGGTTTATGCGCTAGAGCCAATCAATGAAGCCCTCGCCCTCCTTCCAGGTTGGGACCAAACCCTAAATAGCCACGAATAGGTAATCACAAATATAGACATCTTAGAACTGATATGTTGCTGCAAGATACTACCTAGGTATAATTTTACATATGTACCATATACATAAATGTAATGTGCAGCTACAGTATATTTTTTGATTAATCAGACCTCCTTCACTGACCTATGCCGAGCACTCACTAAGCGTACTATGAGCAATTATGACCGCTCATTGTTCGGCCTACTGCTCATAGTGATTGCTCACTGAGTAGATGTTAAAAGTTGCTGAAAATTCATCAGGGGCGATGAATCAGCCATTTCACCCGAGGAATTTGCTCATCCCACTTCATTCCTGGAAAAATGTTGATGTGTGAGGGTTTAGACGAATGATCTTAATGGTACTATTACTGTCTGTCATCAAGGTTTCACTTTAGAATTCGATCTATCTTAGAACAGTTACATCTTCCCATGCAGAGGTCCAATCAGTCCCTTCTGCTCGAGCTCTTGGGACCGTGTTCTCGACTGCTGGCTCTTTATCAGTGGTGACGGAAAAGCCAGTGTCCTTGGGATCGTTGTTAATATACTTAATGTAAATGAGCAAATATTAGATGTTGACGGGAAAAAAAATCAACAAATAATCAAGGAGTGCATGGCGTGGAAGACAGGTTTCAAAGGTATTGATGGTGTGGATATATCAGATTTGAGAGACCAATTGGAGTCTTATTTTAGGGATTAGAGAGGCAGTCTGGACGATTCACCAGGATGGGAACCGATCAACAACAATACGACGACATGGAAGATTCTAAGCCGAGCAGAATAAGCTAAGAGGCTATGTTCATCCTTCAGCCGCAAAAGTTCTGAGGAATTCAAGTAGAATCCATATATAACGTCGATTCGCTCTTGAGAAATATCAATAAACTCAAATTCTAACATTTGGAGTTGTGATCAATCTAACCTAGCCAAAGACCGCATACAATCCTCTACTAAAGAAGATCGTTAAAGGCTGATATTCAGGACTGCCATTTCACGTTTTGATATATATAATTTTAAAGCATCGCTTGAATATAGCTGCTTACTAGTGAAAAAATATTATATATCATAATAGCTTTCCCAAATATCTTTAATTTATTAAAAAGTTCGACTATATTCTAATCTAGTTGAATTTGTACCATATTTAACGAGTAAATTGTTGCTGAGTAATCTCCCTAGCGTGTAGAAAGTTCAACACCAATGTTTGCATCTTCACTTCGGTGCAACAGCCTCTCGACTCCGTCAATCATTGAGGGCATGCGTTTATTTAACAGTGCCTAAACAAGTACAATTCGCAGCCGTAACTCTGCGAATCGGTAATTTGGCTATTTTCAATAGGACCGAATATATCATCCTTGAAATCAACGCCCGCGAGGCTGAATATAGAGGTTAAAACGAACCTGAATATCCTTATGGATTCCGACTCCGACGCTGTGGCTAAAAGAGCTTGCAATGCTTGCAGAGCAAAGAAAACTCGATGTGTAGCAAGCCGAGACGTGCCAGGCGTCTGCAAAAGGTCCGTCTACGGGATAGCTCTTGAGGCACAGCGCGCGATGGCTAATACAAATTCGAAAGATGTCAGCAAAAGAAAGTTGAATGTGTCACTCGCGCTTTAAAGCCTGCAGCACGCAGGGATCGACGTAAGCTCATTCTGAGGCGTACTTTGCTTGACTTGAGAGACACCAATTTTGCTGACGGAAAATAGTTTATAATCGAATAGCTCATCTCGAGAAAGAGATGGAAAATGTGAAGAGTCGCCTACCAGCGGAGCAGTTACAACATCCTCCCCCAGCAGCCTCCCAACAGTCCGAAATTTCCATCACGCCACCCATCTCCCGGATACATGCCCAAGATTCCCAAAATAGTAATAATCATACATCGAGCATTCAGCTCCAGCCGGATGTCCTTACTAAACAAGCACTTACTCTAGAGCAGGCCGACTTGTATTTGAATCGTTTTAGGAAGATGTCCCAATTTTGCCCTTATGTTGTTCTGCCAGAGAATGCCACAATCGCTGATCTTCGTCTCAGCAACCCCTTCCTTCTTTTGGCCATTTTAGCCTCTGCTTCTACACCTGACAGGCCCCTTCAGGTATGGCTTAGCCATGAATTTCTTCAACAATTAAGCGAAACCTATGTCGTTAAAGGAGAAAAAAGTCTCGACATGCTGCAAGGTCTTTTAGTATACGTGACTTGGTATGAATACACCGCGTTGTTATTCGCGTGATCACTTCGATATTATATCTTACACTGATATCTTGCAATTCCAGGTACCATCTTCATTTCAAATCGATAAATCGACTTCTTGCCATTGCTGTGTCCATAGCCATTGAGCTTGGAATTAATAGACGTCCCCTTGTAAATGAAAAAGAACAAGTCGCCGTGAAATTTTCATCCACATTGAGTCACGGACTGAGAAATTCTGGTCCTGATTTTTGGAGTCTTGAGGCAAGACGGGCTTTTATTGGATGCTACGTATTATCCTTAATGTACGTTCTGTTCTCATTTCGTCTTGCACCCAAGTCACTAATAGAAATCAACTAGGTATTCCAGTTTGCAAAGAAAAGTAAATACTATGAAATATACAAGCTATCTCGAAGATTGTGCAGTTTCTATTGCAACCGAATATCAAGTCTTGTCAGATCTGACTCTTCCTCATTACCTTCGAATCGCCCGGTACTTTGAGCTCGTCGGAGACGCGTTCGGCTATAACCTCCCAAATAACAACCAAGATAAACTCTCCGAAGAGACGATACAATTCTATATTCGATCTTTCGACAGCCAACTGCAGGAACTAGTCAAGTCAGCAACCCAACCAATGAATACAATTTGTGAGTTTCCTGACAAAAGCTTTTTTGTACATTTCCTAAGAGCTCTAATTAGTGACTCTCTGGCACCGCGTGGCGGATATATACACGCACGAGATTGGACTATATGGCATAGTCGAGTCCAATATTTCAATAAAACAGACCGAAATTCTATTCAACTGCACCACTGCGGCACACAAGTTTCTGGATTCAGTTCTCATCGCAACCAAGAAAGACGTGGATTACTGGCCCACGTTTCTGCTCTCCCAAATCCATTACACAGTAACCATCGTCACCAAACTCACACTGGGGGTTAGATCACCTACTTGGAATGCGGCAGAAGTTCGAAATATTATTAAATTAGAGTTATATATCAACGAAATCTGTCACTCTTTATTGCCATCTTCGCATGAGCCGTCACACCAGCTGCCGCAGCAAATACGTGCGCAAAACGATCCTCTCTATGAGTGGCAGGAATTCATTACTTCCCAGTGGCACATCGCTAAAGCTCGGTATAGTGAGGGGCTCAAAGATCTTGGTATCTTGATCGCTGAACCGTCATCTACAGAGCCGTCCTCGCTGACACAGGCATATTCTACTGCCGATGAGCAATACTTGTCAAGGATTCCTCAGATGGGTATATCGGCTTCTACAGATATAGATATTGTGGATTTTCTAGCAGCAGATAATTTATGGTTCATGCCCAATAGTTCGATTGATGGGCTTCTATGACTCCTATGTATTTACTGCTATATAGTTAGGAACAAAGATATGAAATATTATCTGGAAGCTTTATCTAGGTTAGTAACAAAAAAGGCCACATATATATATACAACCGATCAATGATCAATATGGACAGTCGAACTCCCAATGAGAAATCCAGGAGTAATAGGCTGGATGTCGAGGACATATTCGGTCAGAAGTTGACTTATGCAGCCTTGACTAACATAGGGCTCGTCATACGACATCTGGACCTGCTTGACGCTAGAATTTCTGCCACTGTGACTAATGCTTAGCAGGGTAAGCTGTCTTTTATTTTCGATATCTACAAGCTAAAGCTATCAATATCTCCCCACGTGCAACTCTCGAACGGATGTGCGTAGTTTGGGGTAATGTATAAATTGATTAAATTGGTAGTGCGGAGCTACATATAAAGCTTAACCATTACAAGTCGAAGGAGTTAAAAAGTGAGATTGTGTCATAGCATCCTACATCAATACGTACATCATATTATTTTGAAATTTGTATTGGATAGGCACAACTACATAACAAGTCAGCTTCACATCGGCTGCGCATGAAGTATATGAAGAACGCATTTCAAGGTAATTTTCATATAAGCTACCGGATGTTCGATAATCTAAAGTACGTTGGAATTGCATCTGAGCGATTGACACAGCTTGGTCGGTCGCATTATATTCAATGCATCAGCGTTGTCTACCAGTACCAGAGCAGCTAATTAACGACCCTACTGAGGACATCTGGAGAATTGAAGACATTTAAATGTCTTGATTAATCTACGCTTCATGTCAAGATGAGAAGGGAAAAAAGCTACAGATTCGCCCAGAGCAATGGGTCAAATAGTCAATGTCTTCGAGCCAGCATCAGCTTATGTAGAACAGCTCAAGCAATATAACAAATCAACTACTGACAGGCACATCAATGTCAGCAATGATTGAGCAAAGTACAGCAACCGCACGTTGAGGATATCAAAAGAAAGGAAAGAAAAGCAACACAAATCAAGCGGAACCAGCAAACTCCTTGAATGTGAAAATGTGAACACGCCATTTCCGTGAGGTTTTTCTCTTTGTACATCCCGTTACAACTCCGTAAACAACAGCACAAGTTTTCCCTTGACTATCAACCAGTCAACATGGAACAAGACCTCCGATCCATGATCCACCATAAGATAACACGAAACAGCCACGTAGATTCCAACACCGGCCATGCGAGATAGAAAGGCACTTTTGTGGAGAATCGAGATAAATAAGAATTAATGGCATTATTTGAGACAAGCATGACGATCCTTGCAAGGGCCGGCGACTGCAGGTCCTAATGAAGGGTAATTCTGGTTATCTTCGCTCTTCCGTGTACTGCACCCCTTGCATAGCTGCTACAGAGCCATTAATGAGAGGCGGCAAAGTTCGCGGCTGATCAACAGCCATACCCGATGCATATGTAGGGTAAGTCCCGGGCTGGGACGACCCGTTTGTTTGCGGGCCATTTATTGAATGGCTATCATATAGTCGGCTCTGTCCATTGACTTGCTGTCCGCCGAGTTGGGCCCGCAGCTCCTGTACCTCACGTTGAAGATCGTTTGTCTCCCGACGTGATGATGCAACTTGTTTTTCGAGCGAGGTAATATAATCAATAGCTGCAGGGACACGTTAGAAACGCAAAGTTGTTATAATCGTAGCAAATTTTCTAGCATACCTCTCGTCAGTGTCTCCCATTTGCTAGACTTGTTATTTTGGCTTTGTGGAAGTCTCATTCTCAGCATCTCAAAGCAGTCCTTCATTTCACTACGACGCTTTCGCTCTGCGAGCTTGTGGGTCACTCGAAGTTCCGGAGTTCGGCTGTATGGTGTAGCATTGTTAGCGGCCTCAGCATCGCCCATAAGACCGCGTACTTGTTTGTGCTGGAGCGAATGGTGGTGCACACTCTGCGGCAATTCTGCAGAACATACGTCAGTGGCGATAAAAAGCATAATTGAAGCGGGGAAATAAACCATACCTTGCTGACCACGGGGCAGCCGTGTTTCCGCCGAGTATACACTGCTGTTAAGAGACTCTGCCATACTCCCCTTGCGTGAGAACGGGGTTGGTGTCTGCTTGTCTTGGGAGTTCAAACTCGAGCTAGAACGGGCGACATCGGGATCGGGAAAAGCATAGGCCATCCCAGCCGTCGGAGCCTCTGCATTGTAGATCTCAGATCGAGGGTTGGATGAAATCGCCGGGGCAGTACGTCCGGAAGTGAATCCGCGTTGATCGCCACCGCGGGGACCCAGTGGAGACAAGGGCTGGCCAGAATATCGCGGGCCGCGAAAACCATTGGCATTGTTGTAGTCGTTGGAAATCCCTCGCTCTCTTTGTAGACCAGAGACAATTGAAGATTGGGAGGCGTTCGTGCTGTGGTAGGGGGAGGCTGGGTTAATGGCCAAAGCGCTGATCCCTTGGTTCACTCGGCTATCAACACTGCTTCGTCGCGACTCGGGGGGTTCAATAATGCTGCCCCGGTGCGACACAGCTTCAAAATTCTGATTGATAGAAGGAAGGTTGGAGGGAGGCTGTGTAGCGGCAAAACCTGGGGATGGATGGGCACCGGCGGGTGAAGGAGTCGTAGATTGGTCTTGATTGAGCGGCGATCGGTCAGAAACGCCCGAATGGCGGTTGGGAGATGGCTGCGAGGAGTTGAGGAAAGTCATCGAGTGGTAATTGTTGGCGCCAGTGCCGTTTGTGGTTTGCGAGTAGGTAGATGATCCTGTACCGTCAGCTTGACCCAAGGCAGACATGGGAAGATAACACATACTTGTGCTTTGAGGCATAGACCAGTTGCCCGAGTCCCGCTCGAGCGTGTTCATTGAGCTCGCTGGCGATTTTTCTGCAGGAGGAACATTGCTGTTGCTCATGCTGGCAGTCAGCGTGGATATCGATGGAAGGGTCTGCGTTGTCATCGCTGTGGGAGGCGTCTGGAAGCCAGGCTTGATGTCCTCCCAAGGCCGGTGTGCCACAGAGGGTTCCATCATAACGATTGGCTATAAGATGCGCGTATAAGGACTTTGTTTGCTCGAAAGGCTCTTATTGCATGTCCCAGTCGATTTCCAATGGCACGTCGAATTCTGGTTTCTCCTTCAATGAGTGTTTGTAGCGCCCGACCCTGTAGTGTCTCTCCGCGAGACAATCCTAATTGTACTTGTCGATGAGTATTGGCCGAAAGATTGAGTACGGCGACAGAAGTTGAGCCCAGCAGTGAGGTCGAGAGCTTTAAAGGAAGCACAGGGCCATCAACTCGGGTCTCCACGTGAAGTGAACCAAACCTACAACCACCACGCGAAAGTCCCCTGTAGCGACACGTCAAATAGTCGGGAGGGCGTCACGCAATAGAATCGGCAAGGATCGAGCAGGTCTCGCAGCGACCAAGGCAGAGGGCGGTCGTTGTCGTGGGCGGAAAAGACAGGTTGCTCGGGCTGAATCAAGGAGGCGCGGGCGAGGCAAGGACGAGCCGCGGTCTGATTCACCATTAGCATTAACATCAGCAACTCATGTCGCGATCGACAGGTCATGCAGCAGAGGCAATTGCGTGGCAGGAGAGGAGAGGGTTGATTATTGAATATTCAATATCCAATATTCAATATGCGATGCGGAGAGAAAAAAGAAAGGAAAGGAACAAGGCTCACGGTTATTGCGTGCCTATCTGGTCGGCTACCGAGGTACTGCCCCACGAGCCACTGGGCAGCTGCAAAGACAGCGCGATATAGAAGTTAGATGCTATCGAATATCCTCGTCAACAGTGGTGGGAATAGCTTCGATTCGACAGGCGACAAGAGAAACAGAAGAGAGCAGCGATGGACTGATGTCGTTGCGCAATGAGGCCAGAGGGACACAAGGGTGCACAATTAATCAAGGGAGCAAGCGAGGGTGGAGCAGAAGGTGGTAGGTAGTTATCCTATTGCATTCAAAACGATGGATTGCGATGATAATCGATCGATAGTCGTTGAGCCAGAAACAACAGCAAGCTGGCAGCAATGCAAAATTAAACACCAGGTTACGTTAGGGATATGACGGGGACCGAGCGAATGTTCATACAACCACCAAAGCTATTTCTACGGCGCCCTCCGGCCCAGAGATGCGTCTGCTTCTAATAATACAGAAACTGCAACATCTGTGGCTCTCTGGCTTCCCCCACAGGGCTAAACCTCTGATTGAAGTCACGGCCCTAAGCGCCATCGACTATGCTACATTTGACCGATTTGGGCCATTACTCGTCGGCCGATGGCACAAAAGTGGAGGGTCTCAATAATGGATCTTTTTACACCCACGTTTTTTTTTGCTTTTTGGCCAGGTGCCCACTTTTTCCCTACTTTCTTTTTAGTTCTCACCCCAACGCCGGGCTCGCATCACCCATCGTCGGACGCCCCGTCGAGTCTGCACTGCACATTCTTGACGTGCTGGTCGTTTCTACAGGCCGGTGGGCGAGCACAGCCGTGCAACGCCATCAGATGATAGCGTGCGTGTGTGTAGCAGGGTGTGCATGGGCGTGCATGGGTGAAGAAACGAGCACCCGGAGCTGCTGCGTGGCAGAAGAAAGGCGAGCCAGGCCTGAAGCAGCTTGCTAGCTAGCAGCCTAGCTGATGCAACACATGGCGAGGCGACGGACAGGCACGTCGAGAGCCGGCCGCCCAGAGAATGATGTGCACTAGTGTCTCATCCGTGACGGAGACGGCGAACAAGAGCTGCCTGAGGGAAAACCACGAGGTGTATCCGGGGAGGGGGGGCCGTGTGCAGGAGGATTGCGGGTCGTCCTGCATGATGATTGCATGGGGCAGTACTCCATACAGCGGTATTATTGAGCTGCACGCCTTGCTGGCTCGCTGGCCAGTGGCGTGTACGAGGCAGTATTTACCGGTACCATCATACTACCATGTCGCGTCGCATTGGCCGGGCCCTGAATTACGCTGCCTCGTTCCGGTCGGCCAGGCGATCATACAACTCGAACTTCAATATTGAAATATTGGTTATGCGACTGAGTAACCGAGCAGCAGACAATCAGAGTGGCACTCACTCCCTTCCACTACCAAACGAGCATTCAATACCTGCTGGCTGTCGGTCGTAACGAATATTACCGTCCGTAACGTGGTATCCGGCGTGTAGATCGTCGGGGGTAGCGTCCGGCTGGTCCGATTTCTCCAAGCGACTTACCGTATACGGAAGTAGTCTTTTGGTTTTCTTTTCGCTTTGGTGACACAGTAGTGCGAAGCCATCGTTAATATTCATATTATGATCAAATCCACAGCACGCACGCGCGAACCACTGACTGGCCACCACGCAACAAGCAGACGTAAACGTCAGCGGGGAACTCTCGCGATCCACGGACACGCGAGGGGCGCTTTGAAATACGCGAATTATTGTATTTGCCCTGAAGAATCTGCTGTTGTCGACTTTTAAGAACCCGGTAAGTATATACACTCGTTATGGGCTCCTCCGCGGAGTTAGTCACACCAATACTATTAACGCATATTAATGAATAATGAGCAGATACGATCTTTTCCGACAGTGCAACGATCACATTTACACCTATAATAATAATGTATGACTCGTCACTCTCAGCCAATAACGACCGAACATGAACCAGTTTCATAATCGCCATTGTAAAGTAAAGCAGAGTAATACTAGGAAATGCCTTGCTCACAACCCACAGCCGTGCGACAATAATTGCTAATTAATATGAATTAACGGGCGGATCGTCGCAGCCACATGCACGTTCGTGGCAGCCAGAAAGCAAAAGCGCTGGGTAAGCCGTGCGTCGATGCAGGGTCTACCTCCGAAACCAGTGTTTCCTCGAGCATGCTTCAATCCGATTTATCGAGGCCACACGCTAGTTGTTTTTGTTTTGTTTTGAATGATGATCAACTAGTGACAAATAAAGCAGCTCCCCGAAAATACTCGCAAGCTGAATAAAATGTGCCAAAGTAACATCACATCAATAATCCGACATTATTCATCGTGCGGCTTAGTCAGGGTGAGATACATGCATGCCACGCAAATGCCATGCCATGCCAGCCACGCCGTTTGCCATCTACGTAATCAAGGGATATGGCGTATGGGCAATGCCAGTGATTTCGGTCAATGTCGCCACGAAGGAAGGGGGAGGCACGCGGACCTCGACGGGTGATTCGTGTTCACGTGGCAGTGATATACGGATAGTTACTCAGGACCCTTAACTATAACTAATCAATATTGTTCTTAACTTCTTGTTAATCGTGGCAGTAATTAATATATGAGGTTGATGAATCTAGGGCCGCTTGGCATTCCTTGCTGCATCTCACAGGTCCAATTTTGGACGCATAAACTATTGCCTGACGATCCGACATGACCAACTTGACGGTCGATGGACACTGCGATCTAGTAAATCAGTGCTACCCTGCAGAGGTCGGCATTGACTGATGTAACTATTCATACCAGACATGTAAAAAGATGGATGTAAGGAATGCTGGAAAGGATGCCAACATCCATCCAGTCGTAGAAGTAACTTGTTACGTGCATACGTAGCAGATTATCCAATGTTGAACTATTGATAAATACTCACTGTCATATTATTTCTTATATTATCCTTTTACTCCTAAGTCCAAGTGTTAACCTTCAGTTCAAAAGTCAAACTATCGGTACTCAAATCCGACACGGCAAAACCCCCAAAATTGGGAACGACAACGTAGCTAAAGGAAACGCTATGCCCAAGCAGGCCCAGGCAGGCAACACATGGCAACCGAAGCGCAGATCCTCTCGGATGCTAAAGCCAGAATGGCCAGCCGCCCGTTGACACAAAAGTAGGGACGTGCGCGGAGCAATTTCCTACGTATTCACAATTTCAACTGTATTTTGGCGATGCCGCTGATTCGCCGATTCAAACAGCTCTTGATAGTGATTCTATTTTATTAATAGCGTTATTGAATAATAGGTATTAACCGAACACAATCAAAGCATCATAGACCATACGAACCAGTAATATTAATGCCGTTGAGCCAAGGATTCGGTGGTAGGTTGACAGATGTCTATCCACGCTGCAACCTCGCTGCATGCAGTCACACCGTTATCAGTAGTCACCTACCTAAACAGTATGATTGTCACGCTTTTGGATACCCTCGACTCCATGTCCTGCCGGGTTTCGATTCCGCTTGAAATTGTATCCGAATGGCGTCGACTCCGTATACGTTCAGTGTCCATCTATTAATATCGAATAAACAAGCGAGGCTTATCCTGCATTATGTATGGTAATTGTGCGTCCCTGACTCCCTGCCCAATGGATAATAGCTCACGGAAGTACGTCCGTTTCAAGTAAGCATCAATAGCATGAATTATGATTATCCCGGGGTATAATTTAGGGAACCACAATTAAATATGTACCGATTCGGCGTTGCAAATGGTTCAATGTGATTTTATTCGTTGATATGATTATGCTTTGAAAATCTTCAGTCCTGTTTCCCTGACATTACAAGTTAACATAATCCGAGGTCCAGATAAAAATTCGGGCTTGGTTGAAGCTGGTCTGATAATCTAGACACGCACGAGCGCTCTTAGTCGATAGTCGATAGTCGACAGATCCATTTATCAATAATGCATAATTGTCTATATGTAGATCATTTGTAGTTGCTTAGCCCAGTCTATCTCGGCTAGATTTTCAAATTCGATATTAGCGAATAGCAATATGGGTCATCGTCTTGAAAACGTCCTGCCTAAATTTCGTAATACGAAACATTCTTAGCAACCGTGAAACATCAAAGAGCCCAACCTACATGGCAGCTACAATCATAATAGGCATGGATTAAAATCCGAGTGTGACTGATATGGCTGATTCTCGCGGTCAATAAAACTTACCAGACGTGGCTATGCAATGATTTATCGCGCTTATACCGGCCACGTCTCCCACATTTTCGAAAGATTCTCTGTAACTCGCTGACCGTATGCAATACATAAGAAGACTGAACTGGTCGGAATTGTTATGCCGAACATAAGCTCTGCCGAGGATGTAATTGCACCACATGGCTTGGCTGGGCATCGGGGCTTTTGCAGGAAGCGGAGACTTGTTCACAATCGTATACGGGTAATAATCCTCCTTTGAAGGTGCTGGGGTGGCGGGCTAAGTAGTTAAGTAATATTATGTACGGTGAACACGGTGGCTGATTTCTCGCCGTTTACGCCCCAGATTTTTGTCGAAGGATTTGTCCCACAACATAATCAACTGATCCTGCGAAGAGAAACATTGACGCCCAAAGTTTGGCATTTATGTCATCGCGGATGGCGGGTTTGAAATTTTTTTCGCCCTTTCAGAGGAATTAATTCGGTGACCGTGACGGCATGGCCCTTGTTCAAAATCGAGACAGTTTCAGCCAGCGTCTTTCATTGGGTTTATTATTTTTGGAAATGAGTCTAATGCGTAGTACCTATATTAATTGATGTATATTTCAAAAGGTACTTGATATGTATATGTAGAATTCAACCTTTGAATTTTTGTCGCGCCAGTCATACATCAATGCTGAGTATGTTTGGGTCGAAATATTCGATGCACAATGAGTCAAGTATCTCGCTAATGTTTCAGTTCACATTCATTATTGATCCATTCAGACGTATGCTACATATGAGAAACTGATGGAACTGTGAAGGTGTACATGTAGTAAAAATTCGCACTAGAATTGAATGTTATTGATTTGATCAATTGATATCGTTGATGAATTCGACGAATTGATCGAAACGACCATTTGAACCCTTAAATTCTTTAGGGTCAATTTCGAATTTGTCAAATGTTATTTGATGGTTGAAAAATATATTTCGTCTACATCAATAGATACATATGTACCCATGTAGCTGGATTCTGAACCAACATGTACAACACTGAATTGATAGCTACAAGCGCTGTTTACAAAAAATAATACCCTAAATTTATTCATCCTCATCTTCATCAGCATATTCCACCCCAATCTCTCCCGTTATATCCCATCGGTCCCCCTTGGCCGCAGCACTGACATATTTGACAAACTTGAGTGTGCCGCTATCTCGAAGCACGATACTCATACGGTTCCAACCTGCTGCCATGCTGAATAGAATACCATCATCATCGCCCTGGGCCGCCTTATATATTGCTGGATCAGACTTGGCCTTGCTCTTGTCGGTCGTGTCGGCGTCTATTTCCATTTCGTTGTCGCCATCGTCCCCGGCCATGTAGATTTCGTATCCACCAATGGTTGACTCTTCCTCTGAACCTTCTTTAATAGTAGGAGCCTTTTCTACCTTCTCGTCGCCATCGTCGCCCACTTCGTCATCCTCATCATCCTTCTCCCAGCCTGGAGTCGGGGTTAAACCAAGAGTGAATTCCAATCGTGGTTCACCACCCTCATAGCTATTGGCTAAGGTGTAGTCTTCGCCCCGCCGGAATCGACGAGCCAGAATATTGTAGCTGGTGAGGCGATCTGCTCCAGTAACAAGTGTGAGCCATTTTCGGAAAGGCTGAGAAGGCAAGAGCTCATTGAGTAGTTCCTGGATAGGAGAACTTGTCTCTGACTGAACTTGCGGTTGTTGGAATAAATACCGATGTTTATGCGGCGGGCGAGCGACTTTCCAGGCTGTGTTTTCCTCAATGTCATCTGAAGATGTAGGTAATTTATCTTTTTCTTGTTGTTCAATATACTCTCGGACCCGGGTTGCAAACTTTTCTGACAGGACCTTTTCTAGGCTGAGTGAAGAGTCATTCACAAAAGTATCCGAAAGCTCCTCGGCAATGTCTGGTGTCAAATAAGATGGCGCAAGGAACTTCAATAGCAGGTTTATGTCAGACTCAGTAAGCTCGTCATCCTCTGACTGGGCAACTTCTTTGCCTTTGCCCTTGCCCTTGCCTTTTCCTTGGTCAGCTTCCCAGTCAACGACCTGTGGTTGCGGTTGATCAAATGCATCGCCTCTCCCTTGAAGCTGTGAGAGACTGCTTCGTTCCGCTAACTTTTCTTCCAAGCCCGGTTCATATCCATCTTCGCCTTCTTGTGGAATATGATACCAGCCGCTGATGGCCATACGTACGCGTTTTTGTTTGCCCTTCTCTTCCTCCGATGGATGGTAGACCTCTTCGACGTCATGGAAGCTTTCTCCTGGCTGCACAGTAAAGAAGCTAAGTTGATTGAAAGCCGGAGGTATGGAGAGTGTGTGGTCTGGACCAGGAATTTTGATATCTTCGCCCTTCTCATCCTTGACTGTCTTGGTTGGGAAAAGGCGCAAGGCTCCACCCCATGCTGCCTCCCATGGGGTATCGGGATCGGTCAAGTAAAGAATGTAGCTGAGACGTCGACTTCCAATGACATCGTCGTGGCACAGTAAATGACATCCTTCCGTATAGACATTAATAGCCATGTCGGTTTTCTTCCCGCTCAGTTCTCCAGACCCCGTCAGCGATGATAGATAGTGGCGGAACTTGGCCGAGTAGAGAGCATCGCGTAGCTGTAGAAGAGAGGGAAGCCGCGATAGAGAAGCATCATCCAGTCCATCTAGATTGGCAAGATCGCCCGATTGAAATATCTTGTAGATATCCGTTTCTTTCTCGGTGAAGGAGAGGTTTTCTTTAATTTCACTGCGGACGGAGCGCAGAAGTTGCGGTGCGATCAATGGAGAGATAACACCGTGCTTGTACCTTGACAGCATTTCAATCGTCAGTACAATAAAATCTTCTTAGAACTATTCATTTATTCGAATCGAGACTCACGGTGCTGAGGTGGCGTATGCCTGCGTATATTTATCGAGTTCGGCTGGCACGAATAAACCCTCACGGAAGCGCGAGACGACCGTTTCGTCGGGGAGAGTTCGCTTTTTCGCCCCATGGTCACCATTAGACTGGTGAGAAGAATCCTCAGTCTTGCGCTTCATGGTGTAATCCGTGATATGGTTGATCAATTCGTAGTATCACACAAAAATTTGTTCGCCTGGGCTGCTTTGCGATATGTTTTTTTGCCATGACGGACAAAGGCGGTCAAGGAAGGCGGTGAGAGGTGTGACTAGAAGCAGCTGAGATTGAAGATGCTCGGTTTCTCTCATAGATTACTAATATCTGAAGGATATCTGAGCAATAGCTGAGTATTTGAATATGGCCCTTGTATGAGGCTGTATAATTACTACCACGCAGCTAAACAAATTGTCACATTGCGTAGTAAACAGCGGTATTAAGATAGTAACATGTATATTCTAGCAACCAACTACCTCGGGAGCATATCAATATCAACTCTCGACTGATATGAATTCGGAGCAATACTTTTAAGTTATAGTCCCGACAGCAATGATAATATAATAATAGTAATAACAGGCTTGCGAATTGTTATATATTTATAGCTGTTTCGACCTGCAGAATAGAGGTTCAGATCTGCAGCCTGATTGGATAGAATAAGCCGGCCGTCTACTGTTGTGGTTGGCCGAAGCTATTACTCACCACCAGAGATCAATGTGCTAGCCCTGTTCCAGCTAGCGGCGGCGGGAAGACAGAAAAAACAGTCATTGATTGGCTGCTGGTAGCTTCCCTGCTCGCTAAAGCCAAGCTAAGCCCACGCTAAGGTTTGGCGGCGGCTGCGCGATGCAAGAGCTACGATCATTCTCGTCCAGCCAATCCTCTCCCCAGCGCTCTCCTCAAACAATGATGATGAAACTCATCTGTGGAAGCTCATTTGGACGATCATCTGCCGCCTCTCTTGGCTATTTTGTAGCCATGTTCTCATTGGACCGCGCCGGGCCTAGAATGCGACCCGTGTTTGTGGGATCCATCCATGCCGCCGACCACCGATGTTGAAGATTAGTAGCCCCTCCAATCGGAGACTTGAGTTTCTTTGCTTTATTGACGGAGATGTGACCTGGGCATGCTGGGTGATTGGGATGGGCTATTTCTAAAAATGTGTCATGGCTTGGGCATGATCCACCCTGATTCATGCTGGTTACCAGTTAGTCATGGACGTTCGAGTCAAAGGCCTACTACAGCCTAGGGTAAATAGACCATGCAGGCGGGAACTCTGGACTTCTCTCAGCTTTTCCCTCTTGCATTCTCTATTATTCCTATCTCCTTCTTTCCATTCTCTTGCTTTGTCCCTCGCTGTGTGAATGGGCGTTTTTGTTGAATGAGTGTTGTTCCTATTGTATTCGTTTGCTTTGTTGGAACAAGTCGCTGGTCGACTCTTATTGTGAGTGCCTTGATGAATAGTCATTGATACAATCACTCATTGACCTATTATTTAGTCGTGATTCATTGTTCGATACCAGCTGCTCTCTTTATGTCTCTTGCTTTTGACACGGCCGACCGTATTATCGACTGAAGTGCCTCTGCTTGCTACTATTTTTCAACTTTCATGCCTCGAAAGTGCATATGGTATTATATTTTTGCTTTACATATCTCCGTCGCAACAGAGAAGAACAGAAAAAATCATGGCATCCAGTAATATCCCAAACGCTAACATGACGCGAGGCAGACTGCGCCGCAAGAACCTACGCATGAATCTTACAATCGATACAGAGACCGCTACTGGCTTGCGGCCTCCTGAGAGGCCCAAGTTTCCATTTTCTTCCCCGATCATGGAAGAAGTTCCCAGCCCTGAGAATTTATCAGCCGCAAGCGGTTCTTCTGGAAGCGGCAGCGAACAAGCGAAGCCTAGACTTGTGGGTAGACTAAGCGGCCTGGAGTCTGGGACATCGCTCAGTAAGAATGACTTTGAACGTGCGCTTTACGCAGATCTGGCACAACCCATGCAGCAGAAGGAGGCGATGCACTGGACTAGTTCTAATACTAGGAATAAACAAACCGCAAAACGGAAGAGTGGGATCATGAAGAAATCGCATCGGCCCACGGGACTGCAGGTAGTGACTAATTTCTCGAGAAATCTAGAAAACGCGGCTATGACAAAGAGGCGGAACGAGGACGCTGGTAGTGGTACTCCAAACCGTGCAAGCCGCTCGTTGATTGACTTGAATGGCTTAAAAACCCTCGCAAGAGCTCGGGAGAAGGAGAGACTGAAAGAGAAGCTTGATCACCGCGCTGTGCGTTCAAAAGGTTCAAACGATGCCAAATTTGCCAACCAGCAACAAGGGAATGGGAGTAACTACGTCTCTCCAAATTCTGTACAGACCGGATATGCACCAACTTCTGGGCTATCCCCATCGGATGGCTCCCTTATGATCGGCCTACGGGTGACAGATGAGGATCCAACTACTCAACATCCACCGCGTGATTTGGGAATTGATAATATGAATCCTCCACCAACTCCCTCCATCCTTATCACGCCTGCAGACAAGGAGCCACCCTGGACACCGGATAGCCCAGAGAATCCACGACCTCGTGCAACCTCTAGTGTATACTCCCAGCCTACCCCTCGCCTTCTACAAAATGAAGACGTCCCACCTGTCCCAGCTATTCCGGCATTTCACTCGATGGTTAGAGGCCACAATGCCAATCAGATACTATCTACCCAGAATACTCCAAATTTGAGGACCGAACGTCCTCTGTCTGCTGACACGGTATTCGAAGATGAAGATAGAAAGTCATATTTTACAGAAAGCAAACAAAAATCGAAATTGAGCGTCAATACGACTGACGCCAATAGACATCCCTCGCAAGGATGGTGGACATATTTGCTGTCTCCGCTGTTGAAGCGCTCGAGTACTATCTCAAGTCGCATTACTGGATTGTCGCCTGAGCAGCCTCCTAGTCTTCCCCCGCTTTCGACTACATCAGTTACTTTTAAGGATGCAAGCGTTAAGGTATTGAGTGAGAAAGAAACCTCCCACTTCTCTCCGGATACACCTGAAGACGATCTTCACAGACATGCCACAAGGGATGTTTGGGGCAGCCTCGACAAGGAGACTTTAAATGGATATTCTGTCCCTTCTACTCGCGACGTAGCGGCAAGAAGTGTTTTCCATACTGGCAACGGATTTGTGCCAAACTATGAACTGCATGGCTCGGCTGCTGAGTACTACCAGGCTAGCGCCCACGATTTGTACAGCCATGAGCCATATTTCGAGTGCATTGGCCATATTTGTTCGATGACAACGGCGAAACGACGAGCGGAGTTAATGAAGGAGTTAGAGGTACAGAATGGCGAGCTAAACGAAAAGACACTGGCTAGAGGCACATTGGATAAAAGTGCCTTACTGGCCCTGATCGACCTTCTTGTCAATCTGAAGAAGCCTTCCGTTCCCGAAGAGGAGACTCCGCAGGGGACTAATGAAATTGCGAACGAAAACGAGAAAGACGTGGATATTTCAGATAACCCATTTCTAGATGAGTCTGAGAAATTGGCTGCTATGGAAGGCAGTAACAGAGGCTCCACGCCGTTGAATGGCGAGGAGGTGAAGCGTACGCGTGAATTGTCTTCGGGGCCTGCACCACGATCAGCTTCGTCGCCAAACCCATCTTATCACAGCCCCCCACCGCCATCTGTTGCGTCGTCGCGTGGTTTTGATAGAGGTCCTATTCAGGAAGCCCCGCAAGTTATGCCTGCACCCAGGGAAACAACTCCAATCCCAATGCCAGTGCCTTTCGAGCAGCCTCAACCACAAATGTATCCTCCACAAATGTATCCTCCACAAATGTACCCCCCACAAATGCAATCTGCACCAATGCATCCTGCAACGATGGCCCCTGTGATAATGTATCCTCCCATGATGCCGGCAACAGCGGCGCCTCCGTCAATGCCAGTCGAACCAATACCCTCTACAACTGCACATATGCCAGTACCGCAAGAGCCGCTCCCAGAACCAGTAACGTCCACAGGGATGCACCCTGTGCCGATGCAACAGCCAACGTCCACAGAGCTAAACCGAGAGCCTATGTCGTCCACACTAATGCCAACAGGACCTATAGAGACTGTCCAATCTACCTCAAATTCTATGGCAATGTCTCGCCACCCAGAAAACCCTTTTACGGACGAAGCCGAAGATTTAGATACGACTACAACACCCACTCCGGCGATCCGCAGACAAAGCCCTGCGGTCGTAACAACAAGGTCTCCCCCTCCAACCGAAAACGTTTCACGCAATATCCCCCAAGGTTACGGGAATGAGCTACCGCCATACTCTGCATCACCGCCAGAAAGAAATGATCCCCGGAACCGCCCGCCACCAACATACGTCGCCGAAAACCAGCGGTCTGTACCTCCCGGCCCCATTTCTCCAGCATTTCAGCAAACAATGGCAAGCCATGGTGGGATCCCTCTGTCGGATGTAAGCCAGCCGCACGGTGAAAACCTGAACACGGCGAATGTCCGCGAACCTCACCCTTATGGCGAGGCTGCTGTCGCTGTAGAAGCCCTAAGAACAGCCGAGGAAATAGACGCTCGTCGCCAACGACAAGAAAAGAAAGACGCCCGGAGGAAGAAAATGGCAGGACTATTGGCGTGTTTCTCAATGAAAGGCTCTTCTAAACGGGAAAAACGAAAGCGACAGCGTTGGTACTGCTGCATTATTGCATTCTGTATTTTGGTGATCGTGCTTTCGGTTCTTCTCGCAATCACCCTCACGCATAATGTGGACTCTACCCCCGTCCAGTCGCAATGGTTGAATCTTACAGGCTATCCTCCTATGCCAACGGGTATCATGACTGTCGCGGGGCCGGATCCAGCTATCGACCGCAGTAGCTGTGTTGCACCATCAGAAATGTGGAGCTGCGCTCTCCCGAAGGAGCAACAAGACAGTAACGCCGGGTATCCGGCAAATCGACCGAATTTCAGATTCGAGATTACCTTTCAGAACGGAACTTATTCGAACAGTACCGTACCAAAGGATCCGACCGCCACGTCAACTTCCTCAAGAAGATCTCTGCTCTTATTTGGCAAACGTGACGCAGAGCCATCTCCCACACCGGCCGTACCTCGGCTGAGCGACCAGACTTTCTTGGGAAATACGACTGATAATATAACGTCCCCATTTGCTGGAGAAGATACTCCGTTTTTCATCACTTTTCTTTCGCCAGTGGACGCGTCCAGCTTCAATAAATTGAAAAGAAACAATGGCGATACCGGCTTGTCTGCTACTGCAACCACCACCTCATCACCGAGCACAACTAGCTCTGGCAGCGCAAGCAGCGCAACAACAAGCACTGGGGGCTTAGCCGACATCTCCAATCTTATCCCAGCACCGGACATTGCGTCAGATGGTACTGCCGCGGCCGCCACCTTGTACCCATTACCAGTGGCGCAGCCAGTCAGGTTATACAACCGAGGAATGCCAACTGAACACTACGGATTCTACACGTACTTTGACCGGAGAATATTCATGAAATCCAATGTCAGCATGACAGGCGACGGGGATCTCAAGGACCCTTTTTCTGAAGACTCGAACGGTGGTAGTACCAAGGATGATGCTAGTGCACAGTGCACATGGTCGCAGACACGGTTTTTGGTGCGTATATGGACGCAGCCGAGCAACGTATCGCAAATATCCATCACGTCATCCTCGCCCAATAACACCAATACAGCAACTGCTACCGCGACTGTGACTTCGACTGCTTCTGCATCCACCACACCTTCCTCGTCTGCAAACAACTTTACTTCTCCAGGGTCTTTCCCTTACCCCATTAGTCTAACCGTCGACCGCCACGGCGGCCTGGCGACTAAAAAGCTGATATACTGCTATGGCATCGAACAAGGGGGCTACTATAATCTCACATACCCGAAACTGGAAGACGAGGACAGGTCCGCAGGAGGAACAATTATACAGCAGTCCCCAGGCTACGTGGCATTAGCTGAGATCGTCCAGGAAGGTATCAGCGATAATCAAATTGCGCCTGTGGATGGTGGGTCAGGCGGTTGTGAGTGTGAGTGGAGGAACTGGGCTTCTGTTTCTTGATTTATTTCCTTTCTTTTTTTTGGGGCCGAACATGATGGGTTTAATATTGCGTTGGGAAACCTTCTCGAACTTTTCCTGGAGACAAGTAAGCGTGAACTTGTTTTGCATTAGCATTAGCGTGGCGGTTTCTTTTTTTTTTCCTTTGTTAATCTCTTGTACGGCCCCTTGATAGATTTTCTTGCCAGCGTTTTTTGTTGGTGACTCGAAAAAAGTTGCATGTATACAAGTGTGTTTAAATATCAATAATGAATGTGAAAAAGATAAGTATTCGATTTAATTCGAATATAAGCTATCTCAATAATTCCCATCAACTATGGGAGCAAGATACATCGTGTATCTACGTTTTACAAACATCTATTCCAAAGCTTTAATCAAAGGCGGCAACACAACCGCATCAGTGAAATTCCATATCAACGCGCAATCCGGATGCTGCCAGGCAGCTCCAGTCCACCAGGTATTCCTGTGGCCCTGCAGAGCGTTCAGGCGCGTGTAGAATCCACCACGGATTTCCTCCGGCGTGACATGGCACTCGTAATCCCCAGGGTTCATGTACGAGACAATCTCGGGGTTGGAGCCTGGAATGCTGGTTCTCACGAGCTCGAGCACTTGTGTCTTGATCTCCTCGTCGTTGTAGTGTTCGGGAGAGGCAGGGCCTCCGTAGGGGAACGCAGTGAGGTTGGATGGCGGGAACATGGGTCCGATGAAGTAGATGGATGGTTGAATTGGTAGGTTGTAAGGCGTGCTCAAGTCCGAATTATACAGAAGTTCTGGTGATTCTGGATAGACGGCGTTTCGGAGCACACCGGCAACGAACGTGTGACTCTTGAAACGGGAGATCAAGTCGTCCTCGGTGGGGTCGAGATCGACGGTCTTGAAGTTGGAGGAAACAGGAGGAATAGCGAAAACGACTTGCTTGGCAGTGATGGTGGTGATTTCTCCTGTGTAAGAAGACTGAACGGTGATTTCGATGTTTGCGTTGGGGTCGCATTCTGCGGGACGCATAATAGAGGTAACGGTGGTGTTTAAGAACACATTTTCAGCTCCGAGATCGACATATGCCTTTTCATACAGCTCTTGCGAGTTTGCTGTCTCAGAGGCTAGGAAGGCGGTAGCCAAGTTCTGAAGAACAATCTCGTTGAAGAATTTAAAGACGTATAGCGTTGTAGACTCGGTTATGTTGCCAAATCCCTCGGCCTGGATACCAATAAGCGGCACTACGTCCTGAATTCCGTATTTGTCGACGAATTGGCCGAAGGGCAGCAGAACATCCTCAGGCACTGGATCGGGAAGCTGAATACCGGGCTCCGTGAGAAACGGGAAGCGAGCCAGCTGGGCAGCGTATTTTTCGAGTGCGCCAGTCACATTGCCAGGGAGAGCAGTGATGTTGAGATGTTTCCCAGTTCGCAGATCCACAGGAACCAAACCAGCACCGGCACCTGATACACCGATGGACATGTTCTTGAGAGGGAGGTTGTAACGCGCAAAGAAGTTTTTGACAATGTCCAGGTTCTGGAAGATTTGCACGCCAACGTCTATGGTCTGGCCAGTGACAGGGTCATGGTATGTGCGGGTGGCACCACCTAGGGCTTCGGTCTTTTCGATGACTGCTACAGACTTGTTGTAGTCGCCCAGACGGACAGCAGTGTAGGTGCCGCCAACACCTCCTCCAACAACCACGACATCCCGAGTGATACTTAGAGCTGCAACAGCAGGGAGAGCCAAGGATGGCAGAAGGGAGAGCAGTGGTGTGAAATTTTTAAACCTCATCTTGACGCTGTAGAAATCGACGGCTAACTTTTAAGCTCGGATCTAAATGGAAAATAACGTTTAGGAATTCACAGCTACGTAGAATGAAAGAAAAGAACACATGTAATCAATGATGTGAACCGTGGGACTGGCATAAGGCAGCGATTAGGGTAGTTATATAAGAGGTCAACCTACCAGTTGACATGTAGGCATCGTTCTCAGAACGGGGCGAACGGCCCAAAGCATAAAAGAAAACTCTCATCTCCATAGTACGGTGGCGGGTATTATACAGTACACGCTGAGGTGCCAAGTCTGTTAGTCGGGACCAACACTGCCGAACCAGCTTAATGGAACGGGGCCAAGTTGGCACCAATGTAAGCTGATCTGCGCTACTTGCATCATACTCCACACTGCCTTTCACGGTCAAAATTCGCGTCCGCCTGGTCCACTTGGTAGTCCTGCAGAACGGAGAACCAACAGGTAACCGGCGTGTGTGGCTACTCAACAGCTTTTGACCACTGAACAGTTACATTTGAGTCGACTCCAGATCCGCCTTGTCACCCGCGAAAAACGTGTCAAGGTACATGAATAATCACATCCGCGCCAATCGGTGGGTGTTCGGAGATCCTTTAAATTAAATTGATATGACATCCAAAGCACGGAAAGCTCGTTGATGCCCTCGTCGGTTCTTAGGTCATTCCCCAATCAAGTATTTTATTTCGCCCAAGACAAGAGCGAACGGACTCCTCTTTTAAAATGGTCCTCAGTTCACTCCCTCATCTGTCCGCACATGTAGATTCCACTCGTTAAACACCATTGGCACTTGCTTTTATGTTCGTCTTTGAACTCTAGATTTATCCTAATCATATTAGCGTTTCATGTAGTCATAGTGGAACATCCCAGATCTAACGCACAGCTAGAGGGATAATTGATCTGGATATATTAAGAGATTACCCAAATATTCTTTATCAGCATAAAGACGGCACCGTTTTAACAATCGTCAAGTAGAGTGGGTGCTGTAATGCTAGTGGCTATGCTCAAATTCCAAATGAGGACCAACAGCTTAATTTTCCACACTAGCAGAGGTGGCTGTTCTACAAATCACATCCTGGGTTGCCGGACCAATCGGCAGTATGGCCAACGCGAAGTAGACCCGGAATTCCGGCGCAATTTTGGTAGTTAGGGCAATTCTTTGCCTCGAAGACTCAGCAGCTCCGCAGAAGTCGAGACCGGAAAGTGGTTCATGTAACCATAATCCAACTTCCAACTCCCAACTCCCAACTCCACCTGTCCTTGTAACAGGGATGTCCCTCCCATGAAATTAGCACATGAGTAGGCAATATCGGGCGAGTTATTGCTAACAAGGTTAGTGGCAATTGCGCTTCAGCGTCAGATGCCAAATTACCCACAAATGCCACAGCAGTGTTCTGAATCACGTATTGTGTTATGTCGATATTAAACGTTGGAGAAGAAGGGACCCAGCTAGCTAGTCCTGCGTTTTTACCCTTGGCATTGGCAAAAAGCATTTAGAATATTTCTCAATTTGCATTTCTCTCTTTACTTTCATTTTTCTTTCTCTTCAATTGTGTACCTCACTCTTATTCGTGCAAGTATTATATTATTATTTTTCTCTTACTCTTCTTTATGCTCTCACGCTTAACCTACAGCTTACAGTGCACCAATACCTCCCTGAAAGTGGCACGCACTCTCTCCTCTCCAGAATTCAGACATAGTATAAATTGGATTTATTCTCGCTCGTGTGGGACCTGCACTGGGATGATGGTAGCTCTTCCTCGTACGATTTACGCGTCGAAAATAAGGTCAGAGACGGCCGTTACAATTAAATAACCGGGAAATTACCGACTTGGTGCTGATAGGGGGATCCGCGTTCGATGAATAATTTGTAAATCAACTCAAGGATACGCTCGTGGATTCCTGAAACTCATGCATCCATGGGAACCTGGATCTCTCGGCCCGGGGAAGATCGCGTGGCGGATACCCCGTTGCATATGCACCCTCGACTGGCGCGCTGGACCTGGGGTTTTTAGGAACCCTTGAGCACCGCAACCGCGGGATGGCCGAGCAGGCACACGAAAAAGACTAGTCTGGCGCCCGGCCCCTGTTCCTTGAAGAATGTGAAGAACTGGTGGAGACGCGGTAGGAGACGACACAAAACTCCTTGGCCGTCCCGCTCGAGTTGACGAGACATCTGCGTACGGCTGGTCTTTAATCTCACGGATTTCGACAAGGAATAGCTAGTAATTGATGTTATCTGATAAGTCTATGGTTTTGAAAGGAAAATATATATTTCTTCGCATTTAGTCCTTCCATTTAAGTGCTATTTCTTTCTATTTGATCAGTTTAGAAAGAGCTATCATATTAATAAAAGCTGATGATCTTATATTTAGAATGATGGGAAATATAATCTCGTATTTGTAGTATTAAAGATTGAGAAAAAGCATATGAGGCAGAGACGATACCAAGCAATAGATATGCGTGCATCCAATTGTTATGCCTGTTATACTTTCCCCTGACGGTAATTGCAGCATAACGACATGGAGTTCAGACCGACGTTTATCCGTTCGAGTCTAACTACTCAATTTACTGTTCCTAGATTTGGCAGTCAAGGTCCCTTAGTCAATCAGAGGTTTATGTCAAAGTGGAAAGGGTCACAGTGGCGGACGAAAAAACACAGATGTTGATTGGTGAAGAATCGAATAAAATAGCTGCACGGCCGTTAGGTTGTCTCGTCTCCCATCCGCAGCTGCAAGTCATACTGAACCCGTCTCGCTGCAGCCGCACAATATTCGGCCCTGCTGACATGTCCACCATGATCAAGCAATAAAGACGAGCTGTAGAGCCCCAGCCATAGCAGCAAGTCGCAAGAGATCAGGGCATTCCCCAAACGCGAGACGAGACACGAGAACTTGGCAAATCGTATCAACGGGCTAAGTCAACTTAACCATGTAAAGGACGCAAAAGCGGCCACAGCCGGCGCTATTCTCGAAACGGGTACGTAGGCACTTTTAACTTGTGGAGGTCCCCAGATATGGGGTTGTTCTGGCCCATTGTAAACACCTCGTTGATGGTGTCCACTTATTTACGACCCCACCTGATATCAGTTATCTAATTCTCCTTAGACGTAAATTTAGACCTGACCTAGGCGCAACTATTACTCTGATCTATCTATCTATTATTTCCTGCCTCCAGATATGTAACAGTTATATCTCTGTTCATCATGCTAAGCTGCGGTTCGTCTTGGTATTCTCAAGTCAAGAGAAAAGGGCAGTAAGATGTGGAAATGCCTCTTCGGGTTATCCTTGTATTCGACACCCCGGTTCCTGATTGTGTCAGTCTTGATTCTGCGGCCTTCTCGTTATCAGAGCGCCGTTTGTCTATGCCTGGATAAACAATGGGAAGATAAGCGAGTCGCCTAGATGGCTTTCCAGTTCTGTCCTAGAGGTATGGCACGCTTGGAATACAATCAAGCCAAGGTAATTCTCCAAGCACAGAGACGCATCACTCCACAGCCTCGTCGCTTCCTTGACCAGGGAACGGAAGTATTTTCCAAGACCCGTGCACCTCTAGGAAAAACCAAGTTGCGCCTCCATATGCTGGCACAGCCCGCATCTAAACAGCCAATTTCGCCCCCCACATGGTCAGTCTGTGGTCTAGAGCCTCCCGAGGATGGGTTTGCAGCAGTTTTATTCGGCGACATGTACGGACTTATGTATGCACAACGCCAACTTTTGGCTTTTTCTAAGCGAAAAAACAACCTTGCCAGAGCAGAGTCTAAGTTTAGAAACGGGAATCGCGAACCAAATATCGGCGGCCTCTGCAGGAGCACAGAACAGCATGCTGATACCCTAGAAAGCTCCCCAGGATAATAAAAGCTATTCTTTCTAGTATAAGAGGGTGGAAAGTCGACAGATGCCTGTTGCTATCCACTTGTTTCCTCTGGACGCTAACCACCACATCATCTGACTGACGGTGACAGAGTCGTTCATAATCGCATAATGCGGTTTTATCGCTTTATGTACACCCTTGGTTGGGCTGTAGGTCTCACCGTTGTGCTAGCTGGCCAGGCTTCGTCGGGTATGAATATCGAACGTCGCAGCGCCAACACTTCACCAGTAGATCCGTTGTTGCGTGGTGTTCGGCGGGCCCTCATCGCTGCCACCGTCGACAAGAGGGATCCACTGTTCTCGAATAGCACCTCTCTTGACAAAAGCTTCGACGGAGCCGTGTTGTTTTCCTTGTAAGCATACATCAAATCTAATTGCTCAAGACGGTGTATAGATGGCCGTGTCTAACACTACCATTTTTCTCTTCACAGTGAACAAGATGCCTCTCAGGGGAATCTGACCGAGAGCATCAGTGTGGAGATTACTTGTACGGCATGCTACATTACAGGCACTGCCACAGTGCAGTTCACGATTGATAATAACTTCAATGCCAGCCAGGCATTTCATCAGTTTCTGGACAGCTTTGAGAGCGAGGTCGACAACATCACGTCTCAGGCCATCACCGGCATTGAGAACTATGTAAAAACGGAGGCCCAAGACATCCTCAGTCTGGACTTTCAAGATATTTCATATCCTACCATCCCCCTCAACTTTACCCTAGACATCCCGCCCATACCCCAGTGTCATTTAAAGTTCCAGTTTGATGGCCTTGAGCTGTATATGCTGCTTGATACAACCCTTTCCGTGGGAGCCACCTACACGCTGAACCTGTTCACGTCAAAAGATCCAATCGGTATTGCCATTGGTGAGAACCTGTTGTTAGGTGTCGTATTCGCGATCGACCTGATCCTTGATGTCAACGCGGAGATCGACATCCGCAGCGGGTTCCACATCAAACTCGACGATGGAGCTGCCCTTGATATCAACATGTTCAACACGGATGTCGCAAATATCGCCCTGTGAGTATCTCCCCCCCATGATAATTTGATCGAACTAGGACTAATCAAGCATTGTATCTCTCATAGCAAGGGTGGCCACTTCGAGTTCCTGCCAGTGAGGGTCAGCAACGCGGGTGCTACGTTCAGTGCCATCCTCCGCCTCAGCATCCACGCTGGACTCGAAACAGGAGAGCGCGGTTTAACTGTCGACGGACATACGTTTGGGAACTTCAGCACTGGTATCGAGGTGGGCGTCTTCATCAATGTCGCCGAGTTCATCACCAACGTCACCACGCCAACAGTCAGTGACAGCAATAGTAGCTGTGAGATCCAGGTCATGGAGGAGTACCGGTTCGCTGTCGGTGCAGAGGCAGGCGCAACGCTAGCCGTCGACAAACACTCGTGGGGCCCCAGTCCGGAGACGACGATTCCCATCTGGTACACCACGCTGGAGGCGTGCGCGGCGCAGACCACACCGTCAACGACAAGTGTCGGTGCCGGTGTGACGGCTAGAGCGGCGCGGAGGCAGAACGACCTGACCACCACCACAATCAGCACGGCAGTCACCTACACCGGGGTGGAATGTCAGTCTTCGGGTCTCGTTAACTGCCCAGTTTCCCTGCAATCGACGTCCACCTTCTCAATCACCAGCACGCTGGTTACAGCGGTTGCCTCCGGCTCCACCGCCACGTTCCCGGCCACAGTGCAGAATACCGTTCTCACCACTATCCCCTTCGGGTTGAATGCCCAGACCATGACAGCGACATCTGGCAGCCCTGTGTCGTACACCCCGCAGGCGACGCATGGTTCAGTGAATGGCAGCGGCAGAGATGACGTTGGTGGACTGTCCGAAGAGGACAAGAGAATCGCCATCGGTGTGAGTGTCGGCGTAGGGGTTCCAGTGTTGATAGCCATCGCTGCTGGATGCTAGTAAGTTCCATATCTTCTCTCTTCCGGCAGTGAAACGCCGTATACATGCTAAAACACCTCAAACAGCTATCTCGTTAAGCGTCAGATAGCCGCTCGCCAGCCAAAGACAGAATATGCTTCAGTTAATCAAGAGGTTCAAAAGTCGGGTACTCCTGCAACACCATCCATCCCCGTCACCGTGGCCGCCAAAGATTGATGCCAAGATTATTCATTACTAGAAATCTTGAAGGTTATCATAAATATCACGTGCAGGAAATTTAACGATTTATAATGAAGGTATTTCACTGTTTATCTTGAGAAAGATACAGATAGCTGAGCAATAATATCGGAATTTGGAGTTGCAGCATGCGGACAGGTCATATGTCGATGCTCTAATTCCGGCGACCGGCGTGCAAGGGATTTAGCTTCTGATTATTCTTCATTTTATTTTCCTTTCTTTTCTTATCTTATTACTTAGGCTTTTCGCGGCCGTGGGCTGCATGTAGTCCCCTAGCTACTACTATCTAGTCACACTTTATTCCTCCGATGAAGTTTCTATTAACTTAAGAAGCTGGCGTTCATCGTCAGAGAAGCTGGTCTCAGTAGCTGCGTTCTTGAACCATTGGGATAACTTTGAAGCAGGGATGGAAGACTAGGTAGTAACGTAGGCGGAAGAATCGTCAGTCACACATAGTATTTGTCAAGCCTCTCCCATCCAAGCTGGAGGATAAAGGTAGCTATCTTTTGTCCATCTCCAATGCCTAGGAATATCACCATCCGAGACACTCACAGCTGGCGTGTACTTGTCGACAAAGACTTTAATGTCTAACTCTATGGTAGGGAGAACCTCCCAGAGAACCCCACAGAGAACCCCATATCTACCTACAGAAGTATAGTTAATATAATCTTCCAAGGAGAAGGTTGAATAAACCTACCATCTAGCGCTCGACCATCAAGCAGCTTAGTTTCTTATTTGAAAGATTTCAAAATTGCGAGATACTTTGTCAAAACAGACCAGTCGTCGACTGAGATAGTCTTCGCAAATTGCTGGTCTGGGTGGTATTTCTTTGATAGGAGCCGAGTGCGATTGTGTGTGATCTTCGCTATGTAATCATCATACTTTTTGATGATTTTGCGCATGAACCGTAATTTTTCTCGATTGCGGACAATGTACTGTAGGGTTGAAGTCGTCCCATTGAGCAGATGATCAGTCTACACAGGAAACAGTTTTGACCGAATAAGACAATCTCGCTATATGGCAGTGGATACGTGAACCCTGAGAGCAGCATGTTGAGCGTTAGAGTAAGTTTCCAAATCTCATTATATTTGGAATTGAATTACAAAACTGACATGAGGTATTACAGTCGCTCAATAGCCGAAATCGACGAACTCTAAGAGCGAAAGATCAAGCCATGGCGATTTCAGAAGCCTGAGACTTCCACTGAGCGTGTTCTCAATGCAGACAATTTAGTGGAAGCTGAAAAGCCCTTGGAATACTGACAATGTATTTGTAAAGCCAAATCATTTTTATCAGACTCTTAATATTCTGGTAGTAAACGTTTGTTCTGACAGCTCATTGATCTAACTGTTGTTTTAAGCATGTATAACATGCTTATTTAGGTGGAACCAATTGTGAGGGTAGATCTGCCTGTCTGATAATTCAATGGTCTTGAAAGAATACAAGTTAATACCGCAGTTGAAAATTTCGAAAGCAGTAACGATATGTAAAGGTTTCAAAACTGACTACCAGATAAAGTTCATCCCTGAGAACGATATATTTCCATGAAATTATCTCGGGTTTCGTATGGAAGGGGCCGGGCTCCGTTTGATGAAATACATTCCAAATACTCGTAATGTTGATATAAAAGACTTCCCTAACGTCAAATTTCATGCCGATCCTTCATTTTGCAGTTTCGGCGGCTTGGATGTCGTATGGAGATCTTTATTCTTTAATAGCCCTTTCTATGCTTGGAGTATCTGGTAAAATAACCAATGTTCCTAAGGTTCGTGGTGCTCCCTGTCGGGCATCGACATTTACTCTGTCTATTCTACATGAAGCCGTTATCTTTTTGAATTGCTCTCTGTCAATAGTCTACCTAGTATCTGCTGTTGCTGAGTACCTTAATAAAATTATACACAATTATAAGATCTCTTCGTATATAAAAATTCAATCTTACTTTATTAACAATTAAGTCATTAAATTATATTTAATAAGTATTTTTATTCATATCTTTTAAATTTTCATCAGTTAAGGTTTCGTTTTTTTGTAATTTAAATGGTTTTTAAATATAAATATAAATTATACATCTAAAGAATTATATCATAATTATTTTCATTACTAAAGATAGTATACTCACATTTAATTATATTAAAGCTATAGCTTATTTTATTAGGCGGCGTTACTGGTGTTATTGAAAATGTCCTGCATGGAAGCCACGCACGATCTTTTTTGTTGCTTTTACCGTCCTTACGGTAACGGCTCCCCTGATTTTCTCATATACAGGTGGTCCTTTTATACAATTAATCTGGCTGAGCACTGCATATATACGTACGCACTGTACGAGAAAGTCACCTTTATTACAGGTTGTGATATTTCCAAAACCCGTCTCGTTCAGATTGCGGGATTTGCCAGTATACGGATTTTGATAGCCGCTCAAAGGCGCCGTTTAAGAAGCGGGGTTTGACCAGCCCGAGCAAAAACCCGTTATTATTCGCAAATTCAACATTGAGACTTGCGGGTTAATAATAGATATAATAAATGTGATAGTATTTAAGTTGCGGAATACTTTTCTAGAATTGCGTTCTACGACACTGAAGGCAATAATATCTCCATTCCATTGAAGTTGACAACCAGTAAGATAGCATCTATCGACCCTCCTATAAGATGGCCTCTTCCTTTACCACACAACGGCCTCTAAACGACATCAAACCAGAAAAGGACGATAAGTGTATTGAGTCCTCTGGGACTAAAGAACCTCGAGGTTGCCCTGTGTTTCCTTCACCCGCTCACCTATCCGCTCGATCAAATCCTGACTTGGAAAATCAATCCACAGTCCATACAGCCAACACATCAGAAACGCCCAAGGTAGCATTGAAACAATTCCCTAGCTTGCGATTTTATTAGTAGACATATAAGCAGAGAAAACTAAAAGAAACTCTAGGAAACCCCACAAACACCAATGTTGACCAATCCAAGAACATGGCCGAGACGTCGCAAATGGAATATGACTCTGGTCGTCGCCAGCTTCACTCTCATCCCACCAATCTCTTCGTCCATGGTTGCGCCAGCACTTAGCACCATGGCGAGTGACTTAAAAATCACGAGTAGTGTCGAATCGCAACTCACCCTTACCATTTTTATGCTCTCCTTCGCCATTGGTCCATTGTTCATCGCACCTATTTCTGAAACTATTGGGAGAGCCCCTGTCTTGCTAGTATGCAATATGATTTACCTGTTGTGGAATCTTGGGTGCGGACTTGCGAGGAACAAAGTAGAAATGATCTGTTTTCGGGTTTTAGCTGGAATCGGAGGAAGTGCACCAATGGCAGTAGGCGGTGCTGTGATCAGGTATATGGTTAACCCCCTGATAAATTCAGTTACTAATGATATAAATACTAATAAAACTGATAGTGACCTTTGGGATCCAGAGGATCGCGGCAAAGCCGTCGGTATATACAGCCTAGGTCCGCTGTTAGGGCCTGTCATCGGTCCAGTTGCTGGTGGCTTCATAGCTGAACGAACAACATGGCGATGGGTTTTTTATGCAACCAGCATTGTTTCAGGTATTAGTGAAGCGCTTGGTTTTTTATTTCTACGCGAAACATATGCTCCTGTCTTAGCTAGACGGCACTGTGAGAAAGCCGACATGAGCGCGGCTGCTGCTCATCCAGAGCCCCTATCAAAAAGGTTGCAACAGGCACTTAGGCGACCGTTCTACTTTCTAGTCACGCAGCCCATAATCCTGGTTGTCTCCATCTATCTTGCATATATTTTTGGTGTGATGTACCTGTTGATCTCAACGTTCCCGAATGTATGGACTAAAATATACGGCGAGAGTATCGGCATTGGCGGCTTGAATTATCTCTCTCTTGGAATTGGCTGTATAATCGGTGCACAAATCAACGCAAGAGTCAATGATGCTTTATACCGTCGTCTTAAGAAACGCAATAATAACAAAGCCGAGCCGGAGTTCCGTGTACCGCCCATGTTTGTGAGCTCTGCATGCATCCCCATCGGCTTGTTCTGGTACGGCTGGAGTGTCCAGGCTCGGGTGCACTGGATAATGCCTAACATTGGTATCTTTATTTTCGCTTTAGGTACCATTATTTGCATGCAATGTATGCAGATTTATGTGATTGACAGTTATACTGTGAACGCAGCAAGTGGTCTAGCTGCAACAGGTCTTCTGCGGAGCTTAGCTGCCTTTGGAATTCCGTTATTTGCACCTGCTATGTATGATGCATTGGAATACGGATGGGGAAACAGCGTGTTGGGTTTTGCGAGTATTGCCATAGGCGTGCCTGCACCATTCATGTTCTGGGTATATGGCAAGCGATTGCGTGAGACTTCGAAGTTTGCTGCGTCGAAATGAAATTGCCTTCTGGATTTCAGGATAAAAGTATATGTTACACTGTGCAAGCCCATGGCATGGAATTGAAAATAATAGCTATGTAAATTTATGTACCATTACCGCTCAAGTAAATGGAAAGATCATGTCAGGTGTAATGAAAAGACTATCTTCCCAATTGCCTAAACCGTCGTTGGGTAACTGTTCAGAAGACAGTTCATTTATGAAATCGTCCCATGCAATCCATGACGGATCTATTAAACCAGTTGCAGGCTGCCCCTCGTGGTAGGGTATAGAGGAGTTCGCGAAACTCTCGACATCTCCATAGATCCCTGCATCTTCAGAGGTAGTAGTCGAGCCTTGATTCTCCGAAGGACTTGGTTGAATAAGAATTTGGACCCTTTTTCTTGTAGCTTCTACAAGCCGCTTAAGTGCCTTTATTCTTGTTCGTCGTGTGGGAAGTGCGTGTGCTTTCTGGTAGCACTCAAACACATCCTCAACAAGTGGCCACACACGCTGAATAAGAGAAATGTCTGTTGTGACAGAGCATTCTCTTATAGTTAAAAGAAGAGCAGGCCATTGCGGGGTGATATACCATCTGAACCCCTCTCCCCGTTCATCGTTGTGTATGCGAGGAGTGTTTTCAAGCATCTTTTCGCACAGCTCGAGAATAGAGGAATGTTCTAGCAAGGACTGCGGCGTATTTTTCCGCATGGCTATGAGCGGTTTCATTATGAAGAATTTTGCTGATGCTCTCAAAGAATTTGTTGCGTGGTAGATAAACCAGGAGTAATTATTGTCTTCAGGGTTGCATTTCCTGGTGAGTCGCAATACATCTTCGTCAAAAGATGCGACAAGTTCTTGACGTACTTTGTCGTGTTCTCCGTCCGAACTTGTGCAATAAATACTCCTTCCTAGAGCTAAAAGCCTATAGGTTACGCGGGCGAATGTCATGTCTGTTACTTCGTGACGTTCTGAGAGATTGAGACCTTGATAGCGTACGTCGAAATCGGAATCATTCACATTGAGTGGCAGTGTTATTTGCGTCATTTCAAAAGGAATGAGAGGTTTAGAGTCAGGGTCGATGCAGGTTTGCATATCCAGAAAACATATTGTTAGCCAGAGCCGCTTTCGCATCTGTTTACTGAAAAAAGTTTCAAATGGATGAATAGACTCCACATGTAAATCAAGTGCTTGAGCAATTCGCACTGCTGTAGCCAACAGTGTCCAAACCGCGCGTGATTTATCGTGCGCTCGGGTGGCGATCTATTAGTTAATTTGTTAGAAAGTATGAACGAGATTTCTAGCGATCTAACACATACAAGATACAACACGAATGCTTGGAGAACAGTCATATCATTTGTTCGCATCAAATCTGCCCTTTCCAAAGATATTTCGCAGGCCTTCTGGTATTCGGATAACACTGTGGCTTTGCTACAGTCAAAAAGTAATTGGCACTGGCGATCCGTCATACTCGCAATGGCTGCATAGAAGATGGCGGCATCGAGTGCTTCCTCTGCAACACGCGAGCTGCGATGCGCACTGTATGGTTTCCCTTCATTGAAATGTTGCTGCACTGAAGTTCGATGCAGCACCTTAAAAATACGGTCGACTTGGTCGAGATATATATTACAAAGCGCAGTTGCGACCGCAGGTGCCGGGCGCAGTGACAGGGAATGTAAGGGAACACCCCCGAACTGTCCAAGGGATAGACCAACAAAGCGTGAATGAGCATGATTTTGTGCTAAGAAGGCAGGTGGGCTTTCTTGGTCCTCGAATTCATCGTCGTCATCATCTCCTTCTGCTTCACCTGCCGTAGTACTAGCAAGCCCTTGTAATTCGCGGATCTCCTTCAACATGCTAGACCACAATCGTGGTGTAGCCAGCTTATCATCAGTGGAAGGACCGTTGTCCAGCGGGGAAGGGTTGCTTGTTATGCCTTTGGAAACAGAAGCTTCGGTAGATATCTGGTTATTCCCTGTAATGAGCAAAAAGATGCTTCTGTTGGTATGCGATGACATACCGAATTAGGGGTTAACCCATTATCGTTTGTAAAAGTACTAGGAGGTTTCTGCAGAGCTATATTGATAAGGGCCTCTAATCTATCGATCTTATCCTGCAAGTTCGGAGTAATTGCGGCTGGCTTCCTTGTATTGTGACGTCCTCGAGGCAGCCGCCTACGACGTACAGGCTCGCAATCAACGCCAGATTGTTGACAGTTTGTGCAGGGATTTAATTTGTCGCATTTAATCTTGCGTTGTCGGCAGAATTCACAGCTGAGAGTAGGAACAATCTGGCTTTTGGTCACCGGAAACCTTCCGGAGATGGGCGACGCCATTGTCCGTATGTGTATGTTCAGGGTGTGCCTGAGCTGATTCTCACTGTGTCACATTCACAAGATATGGATGATTGACAGATCTGTAAACCACGAGGATCACCCATCAAAAATGGCAATATTTGAGAGCGTAAGACAATGGTGGATCTCTAGAATGAGTAGAACGTTGGTGCTCGCGGGAAGCAAACACTGCAAACTCTTGACTACCGTATAGCCTGCAAATGATACACATCAGTCAGCTGAATCTATTGATGAACAGTATATTATCGCATCAGGAGAATATTAGCATACGATTGAATGTTTGCTTTGAGAATGAGCGCGTTATTTACAAAATCTGAGTTGATGATGTCACCGGTCAGCATGACGGCTTTTGACCGGCTTTTAACACTTGGTTCGGCTTTTGACGACGTGATCATTTAGTTCGACAGTCACTAAATTTTAAATGAAACCGGAGCCAATTTTTATTACCATTCAAGGAGGTGTCAATTAATGAGAACAAAATTTCTCTCTTCAATATATTTTCTCTGGTCTATTCGAGCCTTTTATGTTGGAAATTGACGACAACCATGGCGTCACTAGAAACAATCCACGTCCCAGTCCTGATAGTTGGCGGCGGTATTGTTGGTCTCAGCGCTTCTCTATTTCTTTCACACCAAGGCGTAAACTCATTACTGATTGAGCGGCACTCAGGAACATCGATCCATCCCCGAGCGCGTAGCGTCAATGCACGAACAATGGAAATTTTCCGCACTATAGGGCTGTCTGATCTGGTCCGTGAGGCTGGAGCTTCGTTAGCGCCTACCTGGGGTATTTATTCCGGAACTTCTCTTAAATCTGTCATTGAGACAAAACCACGGAGAGAGAATCGAAAGGGGGCGTCGCTGGTTCGATCAGCAGAAATCGGTCCGGAGGACGGTGTATTCGTTACCCAGGATATGCTCGAGCCGGTGATTCTGAAGGCGGCGAGGGAGATAGGTGGAGATGTGAGATTTTACTCAGAATGCACAGATGTGGAACAATATGAGGAATATGTGACTGCTAGAATTAGGAATCGAGAGACAGGCAATAGTATAAAGGTGACTGCGGACTATCTCATAGCAGCAGACGGAGCCAACTCTCCAATCCGCTCACAACTTGGTGTTACAACGACAGGCCGTGGCACGATGGGCAATTTACTCAATATTTTATTTCATGCAGACCTCAAGGACATAGTTCTTAACCGTGAATTCAGTCTCTGTTCGATTGACTCTCCAGAGGTCGTCGGCATTCTTACATCAATTAACAACAGCGACCGCTGGGTGTTTCATCTAAATTATGACCCTTCCAAAGGCGAAAAACCAGCAGATTACCCTCCTGATAGATGTAAGGAGCTACTAAGGATTGCATTGGGCCTACCAGATATCAAGATCGATATAGTATCAATCTTACCGTGGCAGCCTGCTGTTCGAGTTGTCACCAAACTACAGCACGGCCGTATCTTCTTTGCAGGGGATGCGGCCCATCAAATGCCCCCATATGGCGGACAGGGAGCGAATACTGGTATCTCAGATGCGTATAATTTAGCCTGGAAGCTATCTTTCGTTCTAAATGGCTATGCCAATTCCAGACTACTCCAGACCTTCGATACAGAGAGGCTTCCAGTCGGTAAAACTGCAGCGGAAGCGTCTGCTGGACCTGCAGACGACCGCGGTCTAATCTCCATAAAACGAGATTTAAGAACAATCATGGGATGGACAAGAATCATCCCTCTAACCAGTGGTTACGGTTACGTTTACTCAAGCGACAGTCTAGCTGTGGTAAGAGAGGACATATGGCCATTAGGTGGGATGACATGGAAGCCTTGGAACGCGCCTTCACTGTTCTTTTCATTGGACGGCAGACCTGGGTCTCGCGCTCCTCATGTTTGGGTTGAGAAAGAGGGAAATAAAATCTCAACAATCGATATTTTTGGAAAAGGGTTTGTATTGCTAGCTGGGAGTGAGGGAGACGCTTGGGTAGCGGCTCTCAAAACGATTAACGAAAAATTTCATGGTCTAGGGTTTACAGGATATCGGGTGGGGCCTAAAGGCGAGATCGTAGATCAGGGAAAGAAGTGGGAAGCAGCAGCTGGAATTTCTTCAACCGGGGCGTTGCTTGTGAGGCCCGATGGTTATGTAGCATGGAGGCAGAGGCGAATGCCAACAGATGTTTATGCCATGCTGGAGGATGTACTTGGAGAGATTCTATGTTTGTGATGAAAGTCGATGGTCTTGATTTACCATAGCATTTAGAAGACATGGAGTAACATCTCGGCTCTAATTTTATTTGAGGTCTATGTGTTACAAAAGCTGGGTTGTATCTAGTAGAAATCAATGATACAATAATACTGTTAAGCAATATTCGCACCTCATACTATTTAAAGATCGGTGTTGTTACGTATATTGCTTCAAGTGTCAACTGTTTGAGCTTTACGACCAGATGCTACTAAATTTAAAAAGCCGTTTTTATGGTTAAATTTGCCTAACAAAAGTATTTTCTCGCTACCTACCGAACCAGCAGTTCTTCGTATAAATTCATTACAAGATGGCTCAATAAGTATTTAATTCAAAAACTTTGGATTACCATTTATCGCGAAATTGTACGGATAAACTTTTGTTAAATGTACATACATATTGATTTTTTTTTTAAAAAAAAACAAACAGATAAAAATCGCTCAAGTGACAAGATCTTCATTTGCTATAAACTGTACAGACATTCTCAATTCCGTTTTCGGCAAACTCGCGATCATGTCCGCCGATCACAGAGCCCTAATGGAGTGCAGATTCAAAATGTTTTTACCTCAATGGAAAATGTATCTTTATTGAAAATGATGTAACACTAGATTTTGTCTCACAATGAAAATCAAGTCATTAGCATTACATATAGTATTAACAAGCAAATAACCAATCACGTCAACATATGATATCTCCGTGGAATAACAGAGGAAGGTTCATCAATCTATCCCTCTGAAGAGTCGAGATAGCTCAAACAGTCCAAATTCATTCCATCACAATATCCCACAAAACAATCAGAGAGAGCATAAAAGAAAAACCAGTATAACTCCGACCACCTTTCGACTCTAGAGCACTGTATAACCCAATATTAACCACCGTACAGATGACAATAATGAAAGACTTTCGCTAGATGTATAATGGAATTCCCAGGTTGATGGATACATGATTCATCTTTCTAGGCAAGAGCCATAAAAGCGCCTAGAGCTCCAAGGGCGGCACCAAAGTAAGTGAGCTCTGGCACTTCGATAGTGGAAGCAGGATTGGAAAGCGGAACATTGGGAGAAGGTTTAGAACCACCACTGCCTCCTTCACTTCCTCCACTTCCTTCGCTTCCTCCGCTTCCTCCGCTTCCTCCGCTTCCACTTCCACCGCTGCCGCTGCCGCCGCCGCTGCCACGGCTAGTAGGGACAACGCCTGGAGTTGAGGATGCACGAGATCCAGGAGAGGTGGTGATGCTTCTAATCGGGGGAACAATAGAGCTGCTATGGTGGGGAGGGGGAGTATACACCGGCTGGGCAGAGGTGCTAGGCTTGATATAGGTTGACTGGGGGGTGGGGGTGGGCTTCTCATACACCCCAGGAGCGCCATTCTCCTCTGCCACAACGCCGGCAGCAAGGGCGAAGATACCGATGACTGGTGCAGAAATGCGCATCTTGATTAATTGGAGAGGATGTTTGTAGTGTAGGAGCGAGAGATTGTGGACCGAAGAAGGGAAGAATAGAAAACCAGCTTCTGAAAAGGCCTTAATAAAGTCAAAAACTAGAGAGTGTGTCAAGGGGATCAAAAATAGCGATGTGACCAGAGAAGGGGTTCGGTTTTTTATAGTGATAGCCTGCCTCCCAGAAAAGTTTATTCTAGGGCTACTCAAACCACTATGCAGTGAGTGTTTGTATATGTTCACTGAATGCGGCTCATATGGAACTGTGGGTCACAACCCCTTGTTCAAAATCCAAATAATACAACCATCAATATTCTGCCAGATCCACCCCCCGCGAATCTTCTTTCGATGCCATCCTCTCTCTGATGACATATCACGTGACTCGCCTCGTGATATTGCCGGATTGGGATGGGTTGCAGTAGAGACGTTTCCACCTCCGAATATCATTTGCAAGCAGCCGTGCAACGTCGGACATTTTGGAATTTGCGGAGGCTACGTGTTCCATGGGTAAAGTAAACCTTTTCCGACTGATGCAACGCAACAGCTATTCTTAGAATTGCCCCTGAATGCGAGTGAAGATGGTAGTGTGATCTTCCGATTTCAACGAAAAAAGAATCCTATGAATGTTTTCAGCGACCTATATGACTTTTAGATACATGTATTCAGAGCTAAAATTTAAAGAATGTTGGTCTACTTAAATGTCTTGCTGTAAACTATTAGCCATAGGTCCCTGAAAACAGGAAATGTGGTCCGAGCAGGTTAAGCGGCATTCACAAGGTACCATAACAACACCAATAATCATGTTTAGAAAGGCTCCTTAGTTTGTTTTTGTTTGATAATGATTCTCAGTGAATGTTAAATTCGGCTTGTTGACTGTGCTTTCATTACACCAGAGTTGAGGGCTTCCGGAAATGTTCCGAAAGCGGAAGCAGCCGCCTACGAACCCATAGAGATACATATAGAAAGTAACCACCTTCCAACTATGTGGAATGATAGATTCTGGTTAGAATCATTCCTCGAGGCTGTCAGGCTGCATGTCAAGAGTTGAAGTTCAGAATAAGATTACTAACAGTCTTGATTCCGGATTATGTTGGCTTGTATCACGTGATTTATGTCCAGTAGAGTCTTCCTGCTTAGGATGGCCAGATCTCGTAGGGAATTCTTCACGAGTACTTTACCAGTGTCTCATCTTTCCTTTATTATATTACTTCAGACAGAGTCAGAATTTAGGACCTCCGTGCACAGAAATTACGTGGAACTGGATCGGTTGATATGAGGATAAATTACACGTGTATGTTCCTAGAAATTGTTGCCTTGGGAACTGCAAATATCGTACTAGTCAACAAAAACAAACTTGATAGTCGATCAGATGCATTTCTTGAATATTTATCTCCCTCATAGGTCTCAATTACATGTATAATATGATAATAACAAGAATATTCCAAAACATCAGCAATTGGTTGCCAAGAAAAGTGATATTACCGTACTGTATTGTACGTCTTGGCATTGTTTATCTCCGAAGCGCCGCAGCTGCGAAACTCCAGTTGCTCCTGAGTAAGACAATCACCTCAAAGGCTCGCCATCCAAAACGAGCTCTGGCAAAGCCAGGGTAGAGCTAGACAGCTATAGCCATGCTCGCGGCACGAGGTCGCTCGAATTCTGATCTACTCTCACCCTCTAGCTACGACGACGATGTCCATTCACCGCGGTCGCTATCGGACCAAGATTCCGACTCCGAGGATGACGAATTCCTACGTGCGAACCGGTCGACTTTAGAAGTTGCTCGATACGATAAGACAGTTTTGGAAGAGGAGGAAGAGATGGAAAAGCTATTAGTCAGGAGCAGCCCTGCCGATGGCTTGCGGAGAATCTTCAGTCCAACAGTCGGTCCGGTACGGATAGGCAAAAGGGATCGGAGTCGACGAAGGGAAAGAAGAGGGAGCACTCAAAGAATTCCGCACCAGGAGGGTGACCTGATGTTTGAGATGGAAGAGGGATTTAAGGATCAATCAGATGATGACGACGATATCGATTCTTTAGATTTGGATCAGAAAGAGCTAGATGATTGGGAGCCTAGACGAGTAAGCCAGCGCTAATTTAATAACTGGCCAAATTGATATCAAACTGACCGTGCGAAGTCTACCAAGAGCAGATTTTTGCGCCTTTTACTTATATTTTCCGCCATCATTGTTCTCTTCCTCATCCTTCTTTTAGGTGCCTACAAGGCATCTAGCGACGTTCAAACCTCGAATCCCCTCACCACCCTCCTGTCAAACGGAACAGCCCTCTTTGGCCCAACTACTATATTGATATCTCTTGATGGCTTTCGCGCTGATTTTCTCAACCGTGGACTCACTCCAACGCTCAATTCCTTTATCGCTAAAGGTGTTTCGCCCAGATACATGACTCCAAGCTTCCCTAGCGTGACATTTCCGAATCATTTCACACTCGTTACTGGCTTGCATCCCGAAAGCCACGGAATGGTGGCGAACGACTTTTACGATCCGAACATGAAAGAATTATTCACTGTCAGCCCCGAATCCTCGGTGGAGGCCAAATGGTGGACGGCGGAGCCACTTTGGACCACTGCTGAGAAAAGAGGCGTTCGCACTGCTATTCATATGTGGCCCGGATCAGAAGCACACATTGGAGAAATAGACCCGACGTTTTATGATAAATTTAACGGCTCTGAACTCTTATCACACAAAGTAAAACGTGTCATGGAATTCTTAGATTTACCTGGAGAAGAAAGCGATTCCGATGTGGAAAAACTTCGACCTCAGTTCATAGCTACTTACGTGCCGAATGTCGATACTGCGGGGCATAAATATGGTCCAAATAGCACCGAGATTCGAGACGTTATCTCCAATGCCGATGCTATGGTAGGCGATATATTACGCGGTGTCGAGGCTCGAAACTTGACAGATATTGTCAACATTGTAGTCGTCTCCGATCACGGGATGGCCACTACATCTTACCAGCGCACCGTCCAGTTAGAAGACTTGATTGATATTGATTTGGTAGAATACATCGATGGGTGGCCACTCAGAGGACTACGACCGAAGCGAGATGAAGATTTAGATGTCCTAAAAAGTCAGTTAGCCGAGCATGCAGAGAACTTCTCGGATGCCATTGAAGTCTATACACGAGAAACAATGCCCGAAAGATATCATTTTTCAAACAACGATCGTATTGCGCCTCTTTGGGTCATTCCCAAGGCTGGCTGGGCTGTCGTGGAGCGACCTGACTTCGATGTAAAGGAGGCAATGGAGAAAGAAATAATCTACCGCCCCCAGGGACTCCATGGCTATGATAATCAACATCCCCTCATGCGTGCGATTTTTGTGGCGCGTGGTCCTGCCTTTCCTCACCCTCCCAACAGTCGAGTGGAGAACTTTCGTACGTCTTTTCAAAATCACCTCAAATATTGTCACTAACAAGCCATACAGAAAATACCGAGGTATACAATCTGATCTGCGAGTCAATCGGACTCACTCCACTTCCCAACAACGGCACCCTTCATCTCCCGCTAGAAACAATAGGTTTGCATAGTGATGAAGACGCACCAGAACTAGAAAGCCCAGAAGATCCGCCTCAAACAACAACCGGGCCTTTTCTCCCTACATCTACACTCCCAACACTACCATTTATACCTGCCGAAACAATCTCCCCCGACGTCCCTGCTGCCCCTGAACCTGGTACGGACGATGAGGATGACACAGAAGATGAGTCTAAATCATCGTTGCAGTCGTTTTTCGATGGCGTGAAGGAAACCGTAAACTCTATCAAGGACTGGTTCGGTCAGTTGTGGGATGCAAAAGAAGACAACAAGCCTCCCGAGTCATGATGTTCAGGAATTAACTTCAACATGAACTCACGGAGCGACGGAATTATTTCCTTCTTTTAATAGATTTGGATCTTGGCTGGCGTTGGATGGCGATGCACTTAGTCGTTTTATCGTGCTTTGTACTGTCCTCGATACATGTATTCCAGTTAGCATAATGATACCCCTGCTGTAAACGAATTCGTCATTTCGAGGTCGTAGCTTTGCGGACTAATTAACAATTTGGCCTAAAGCATTCTGGTAGTTGAATTAGCAAGAGAAGAGCTATTACGATCTTGAGAATTCAGTTTCTTGACACACCACTTGATGTATCTACAGCAGACTAGGTCAGAACCGCGTACCCGACTCGCAATGTCATTAGTAATAAAATAAATCGATCCGAAGTACCAAGAAAACTTCCAACATCAACAACATTTTCCTTCTTAGATTAGATCGATCTACTCTAAGGTCGAATATAGGAGTGGGTGATTTCCGTCGATTTCATCCTTTACAACCCTAACCCAAAACAAAACCAGTTCCAGTCTACCAGTGCCAATTTATCGATTAAACGATCTATAAAAATATGGCAGAACAGCGCAACTCGTTATTGGAACACCATGAAAGGGTGGATGTAGGTCTAGCCGAATTGATAGTAACGCTTAAAATTATATTAGGTTCCTCATAATATACCTCCGACACTCGAAGGGTACAAATGAGTCTGGCGAGACTTCCGATACTGATTCAGGAAGGTTTAACCATTGAAGGATTCGATATTCCTGCGCATGACGCCTGTCCGATTAGAATGAACCAAATGTCACCAAAACAAATCAATTTGCTCCATTCATAGTCTATTGTCCAAATTATACCAAAACTATATATTCAAGTCATATACAACGAATCAAACCCCCAGACAACAATAAGAAATTCGATTCATAAAGAGTGTATCGATCACGCCAGAGTGACCGTCTTACCGGCAAGCTCAAGATGAGCAGAATACATACACCTGGCACTGTTACCATTGCACCATCCATGGAACAACATCTTCCCCTCGGAATTGACCGTGGCTCCGCCAGGCCCGGACACCTGGTCAGTCGACGCGACCAAGGAATATCCCGCCTTAGTATAAGGCCCTGCAATACTCGACGCCGTCGCATAGCGGACGTCGTATTTCGGGTCGTTGAAGCAGTGGCTCGAATAGAAAAGGATGTAAGTTCCTTCGCTGTCCCTTGTCAAGTAGGGGGCTTCAATCAGAGGTCCTTCAGATTCGTCTCGGTCAAGGATCTGCGTTGGATTTCCTACGGCTGTGACGCCGTCGTCTTTGACTGGCTGGAGCATAATCGGTGTTGAAGTAGCGAGCGTACCTCCGTTGACGCAGTCGCCCCCGTTGCCGTCGATTTTGTAAACCACGTAACGAGATCCATCGGAGTCTTGGAAGCCGGCGGCGTCGATCGCTCCGCCTTGGTCGAGAGGGCAGGTGAATGGCGTGTTGGACACTGGAATGTAGGGGCCCGCAGGGTTGGTGCCGCCCAAGGCGATTCCGATGCAGTGGTGTCCGTTGCCACCTGAGTATTCGGCGGAATAGTACATGACGTAGTTTCCATCAGACTGTTTCCGTCTATCAGCTAAGCTTTCTAAAAGGAAAAAAGAAAATGCAATGTTCGGGAGAAACATACCCGTCTAATCACATCTGGAGCCCAGTGGTTCACCTCCGTCTCCCAGCCAGACAGTGTTGGGAGAGCTTCTAAATCAAGCAGGGTCCAAGACTCGAAGTCATTTGAATGGGCGACTTGGATGCGTTTTCCATTACTGTTGGTGCCAAAGGCGTACCAAGATCCGTCAGTATGCTGGATGAAAGCCGGGTCGGGGAAATCTGTGTTTAGGGCAAGTTTAAAGTTTCCGCTTCGTTTGCTAGACGGTAGTAGGGGAGAGGAAAAGACGGCTGGAATGAGGCTGAGTCCGAGGACTGCAAGGTGAGATAATGAAAGCATGTTCTGATGTAAAAAATTCAATTATAGATATTAAGAAAAAAATTAAAGTTTTAAGAACATGTGAAGAATGACAGAAAACGAACTGAACGAGTGTCGAAGGCAAACAAAAGCTGCCACGGTATGGAATGAATGATCAACATGCACGAATTCTTTTCTTTTAAAGATATGAACGTGTGGAGGTGTATATGTAAGCCACGATCGCACACGGGGCTAGTTGCAGCGGCAAATGCCCGTTCACTTGGATTTCGCGTGAAGAGTGCCTGGGAACATCCTTGCTTTGACAGTTAGGGTTACATCCCATGTTGCCGGATTAGGTTGACATGTTCATGTGTACACGCAATCGTCAGGGAATAGCAATGGGCTCCATTATCCATTGTATAATTATTGGTCTGGAAAGGCGACTAAGTTGCTCTGTGAACTATTTATCGTAACGGATCACTGGAATAATAAGTCTGAACGCTGCAATCGCCATCATCGCTGTTATCGATCTACGGTTGCTATGTACGATATCACATAAACAGCTCCAGTGCTACGCAGGGAGGGAAGGGTGGATCGGGGGAGACTCTAATTTAACTTTCTAGTATCTAACTTGTACTTGTTCTGGGTAGGATGATAAGTCTGGCGCGTACCCCATAGAGATGCGCCAAGCCAAGATGTGAGGTCGTGTGGGAGGGGGAAGAGGGTTGAGGACTATATTCATTATTGAGCAATCAATTAAAGAATAGGTCTCCTCCCGACCGGAAACAGTCCTTCTTAATTGAATTAATCCCCGCCTTCACTCCAATGTACACAAGGTGGGTTTTCCAGACTGAACTATAATGTATCCCATACCGTCAGCAGCAAGGAGCTCATGGAGCAGGTTGCAGGTATTGGTCATGATTGGTACGTATTTGCTATGACAGTATAAAAAGGATCCGGAAGGCTTTGGCAATGAGCTTGTCTGATCTTCCTTGCACGTACTTTATGCGGTCGTTACATCCGGTTGCCTGGATGTGGTTGAACTCGGCGAAGAATTAGTGTCTGCATACTGAATATTCCATCAATCAAAATCTTAAGTTCCACCATCTCCAATTAGGAGAAAGGGAAGAGCAACAGTTTCGTATGTGCATTGATTTAGATATTCTGGCATAATAAGAGTAGGGTCGTATATCCTACAGCATTCAAATGTTTTCTGGCAATATTCGTCAGGGAATTCAAATTTATCCAAGTATATAATAAGGTACAAGCAGGTACAATGCTATATTAGTCCCTGATGCATACTGGCCTTTACACGACTTTCGAACTGCCGCGACGCAAGGAGCTTCGATGATATTGAATGGGATACATCCTAGCCAGGGGTCTAGCTACATAATTCAGGTCACCATCAAGCGTGCAGAGCCATGAGAGAACATGAATAAGAGAGTGCTTTTCGGAAGATAAAACACAAACGTAGCCAGCTATAGACAGAGCATAAACAAGGTCGATATAAGCGTGCGCCACCAAGCCTCATTCCGTGGCACTGTTTCCGGCATGCTCAGGTGGTTTCTGCCTGACCGCTCAGGCAGAAATTACCTGACCACCGCCGTTTGCGCGCAGTCTGAACACTAGAAATTTCCTGCAGAAAAATTCCTTCCTCATGCTCGGTTTTTTGTTAGAATAGCACCAATTCACTCATTAAATTGACTAGCACCTCATAAGATTAGCTTTAATTCCAACGCTTTGCCTGCTTTCCAAATAACGTTATAGCAAGACCCGCAGGACTAATTTATCGGGATGGGAAGCTATGGAGGAAGATGAGGCCCCAGGGTTTCGGGGGGAAGGGTGACAGCTCTGGGCGGTCTGTCATCGACCGACGACGCCCGCACCTTTGGCCGCCAGGAGGACGCTCGCTCTATTCTTGAACTCGTTCCCTATAATGCCCCCAAATCGCCCTGCGCATATAAGCGGCTTTGGGCGGTAAGTACATTTGAATGTTTTGGCACCGTTTTGGGGCGGGCGGGGGGAAATTAGGGGCTTCGTCCCCAAAGATCTCCCTAGTTCCCACTAAAATGAGACCTTTATAGCTTAAAACTAGGTAAGGTCGTTAAAATTGACAGTCATAATAATAATAACCTACTCATAATATCCTTGTTACATTAACCTAAGGATATTCTGTGAACAGAATATCTATGTTTTAGTTACTTTTCTAAAGGAATCGTTTCTCTTACGGTTAGGTGAAAGTGCTGCAGCTTTTCTGGTGTCAGCCAATAAATACCAAATTGATTACCCTTACTAATTACGGGGACTCGTTTTGGTGTAGTAGTTTTTCGGCCGACGTCTGGGGTCTTGGTCAAGCGGATAGCCATCTTTTAGCTCATCCTGGCAGATGATATAATACGTCAATCGAAATTCTTCCAGTGTTGCGGAAACTATTCCAGACTCTATCTATTCATATAAACAAGGTGAAAAGGAAGGCACAGCTTCACCATAACCACTGGCATCTCCAGCCAACCCATTCACTCGCACGATGGCCACTGATCTTGGAGTCGTTCTGGTCGTCGGCGGCTGCGGCTACCTAGGGTCCAACCTAGTCAAGACGCTGCAGGCACAGCCGACATGCACAGCTATCCACGTTGTCAGCCGAACACCAAACCAGAACCTGTTTCCAGGCGTCACTTATCACGCAGGTGACATAACCGACGCTGGCCAGGCCACTGACCTCTTTGCTCAGATTAATCCGCGTGTCGTCTTCCACACTGCATCACCGAAAGACACCGCCCCAGAACATCTTCTCTGGAAGACGAATGTGGAGGGCACACGTAACCTCTTAAAGGCCGCTGCTGAAGCGGCGAGCACGCGTGTCTTGGTTTACACTAGCTCGGATTCTGCAATGCAGCAAATGCCTGGCGTCAAACAGACAGAGGAAATAGCAAAGCTTCATACTGAGCACAGCAATGCCAATCCATACGCCAAAACTAAAGCCATTGCCGATGCTGAGGTCCAGGCGGCGAATGCACCACCCACCCTGATCACCGCCGTCTTACGTATCCCAGGCATGTATGGCGAGAATGATGATAATTGCGTTGGGACATTACTCAGCACAATTAGAAAAGGCGAACACAACATACAGGTTGGCGATAACAAACCAGTTTTTGAAGTTGTCTACGTGGAGAAGGCCTGCCAAGCACATATCCTAGCAGCGAAACGAATACTCGAGGGTCGGCCCGTAGGCGGCCAGGCTTTCTTCATTTCCGACGGCGTCAGTCTCCCATACTTTGACTTTGCTCGCAAATTGTATGCTGGTGCTGGTCACCCGGTTCCATCAGACCAAATCAAAGTCATCCCACTCTGGCTTGTAGTCGGCCTTGCGTATATTGGTGAGTGGGTTTACTGGATTTTTACTTTGAATACAAAAGTCCCTGAATTGCGCAGTCGACGGATTAAATACCTTGCTGGTGGCTGTCAATGGGATGTGAGCAAGGCAAGGGAACAGCTGGGCTACGAACCGGTGGCAGACCAAGACGCGGTTATCAAGAAAGTTGCACAAACGGAGATCGCACGTTTAGGTATTAGCAAGAAGGGTGCATAATCCAAGGAATAGCCATTCCTATATGTAAGCAGGAAGCGATTCAGTTGATTGCAAAAACGGTGCGCGCTTTTACTCATTTCAATTTTTTTCCCAACCCCTACTGCTTCCGCCCCGTTGGAAGATCATCCTGGAAAATCACGTAGGCCATCCATCTGTGTGACAAGTATTGCTACTCAGATAACTCCAAATTTAAAATCATCAACTCAGAGTTTGCCCACGGCATGATTATGAGTAACGAGAGCATAGTTATTGCTGGCATACCACCCCCTTTCGTACCCCTCCAAACTGGTAGCGCAAATCCATCAACATTGTTATATTGCCGATAGTTAAAAATAATGCAAACTGAAAGCCTTTTCAATATAAAGTGAGTTGCTCCACTTTCTGGAGCATTTCCGTATATATAGTAGACAGCTAGTTCAAATTTCACTGTCAACCCGGATAAACCTCCATGCAGTTCCTTCCTCCGGTGCGCTAGTAGTCACTAATTGCGTATCGTCATTTCCACCTATTTTCATTGGTTCAAACCAGACACGAAACCACTGCGCACGCTTCACAAGAAGTATGTGACCTCCATCCCGGTGGTGCTCTACCCAGAAGTGCTCCCAATCGTCATGTACATTTGCCCCTGCAATAAATTTTCTATGATCGTTATGTCCTATAAAGGTGTTTGAAGCCTCATTCCTAAAGCCATACCACCTGTCCGGGTGCCTCACGCAGCGCCATTGAATTCTGCCGTCGCCTTCATTGTATCGAGAGACTAAACATAGCATGCCACTCCTCAGTGCAATAACAAGTCCTGTCTCAGGATCCAAGATTATATATGAGCTTCCCTCCGAAGGAGGTTCTCCAGAACTCATCATTTGCGGGAAGTCAGACGCTTCTAAACCGCTTGGTCCATCGAAAACGCTGGTATGGGTTGGCGTATTGAATCCATCTTCATCTGTGGTGGTAGAGGACATTGAGTCGACATATTCCATGACGTGTAGGTTCAAGAGATTTCTGGCTTTTGAATACTTCTAGACCAATGTATGGTAGTATGTAATGGGACTATTAAGGAAATGGCAGCTATATCTACCTTACAATTCTAAGGTTTTTACTTATAAACGAATACAAGCAGCTGCTTCTTGTAGTGTGTTCCTAACGATAGGTGAAAGGCAAGAGGCGGAGCATAGGAATGCGGGGATGAATGGAAGTCAGGTGATGAACGATTCAATCCTGGTCGCCCTACGTAAACTAAACGCAGCATAAGTTACATTTGCCATTTTACTTTTGCAAAACGGTGAAAGCCAAGATCAACATATTATTTCTTGCTGGAACGGGGATATCTCCGAAATAAAAGTAACTTTATGGTGAATTTCAATATTCAATACAGCGCCTTGTCAGTTTGGCTTTACTTGATATCATTCTCTTTCACGAGAAGACGCCTCGGATTACTTATAAATATATCATTTCCCAGTTTCGTAGAATTAATTTTGATTTTGGTTTAACTATGCGACGAATTACCCCTGTTCTGTACCGCATAGCCTCAGCCGCGCTTAGTCGCGGTGATTTTTGAGCGGCTAATGCGGAGTCCTGGTTGGCGAGGCTGATACCGCGAGGCTGATACCGCGAGGCTGGGATATCATCACTTGAAACTGATCTCAGACACTTCGATTACTTGACTTTATTGTAACAAACAGATAGCAATCTGCCCCTCTGAAGAATACCTCGGACATATCAACTTCTTACTTGATGCTTGTCGGCCTTTTATCTTCGGTTTACTCCAGATGCGCCCAAACAGTCGGGACGAATTTGCGATTGCAATTATCTGTGCGCTGACTCTTGAGGCGGAGGCTGTCGAAGAGCTCTTTGATAAAACCTATGATAGGTTAGGCGAGTTCTACAAGAAACAACCCGGAGATGACAATGCATATGTTAATGGAAGGATTGGGGCGCATAATGTGGTTTTATGTTACATGCCAGGTATGGGGAAAGGAAACGCTGCCAGTGTGGCATCAAGCTTGAAAATCAGCTACAAAAGGATCGAAGTGGCACTGATTATTGGTATATGCGGAGGTGCTCCATATCTGTCAAACCAGGAAGAGATATTTTTAGGCGACGTCATAATAGGTGATGCGGTGGTCGAATATGATTTTGGCAGGCAGCACCCTGGTGGATTTGACCGCAAGACAGGAGTAAAGGACACACTCGGAAGGCCAAATCAAGAAATCCGATCATTGTTAGCAGGCCTCCAGGCAAAGCGATCTCGCAGAGAACTTCAAGCTAAGATGCTACATCATCTGCAAGAAATCCAGGGGTCACAACTTGATTGGGGTCGTCCGAACTCTGTTGATGATATCCTCTTTGAAGCATCATATCAACACAAGCATTACGGTTCAATTTCGCATCCTAGGTGTCTCTGCCTTGATGACACGTCAGATAATGCCTGCGAAGCAGCCCTAGAAACAATTTGTACCCGGTTAGGCTGTGATGAGGACCGAATTTGCCGACGTCGACACCGTACAGAACACTACAATCCAAGGGTCCATATTGGGAAATTTGCATCTGCTGATACAGTAATGAGGTCTGGAATACACCGTGACAATATTATCGGAAGAGAGGAGGTTATTGGCTTTGAAATGGAAGGGGCAGGAGTCTGGGATAATATTCCATGCATTATTATTAAAGGGGTGTGTGACTATGCAGACAGTCACAAGAATAAAGCATGGCAAGCCTATGCAGCAGCAACTGGAGCAGCAACTGCTAAAGCTTTTTTGGAGTATTGGAAACCCGCTGTTGGAGAAGGTCAGTACGCACCTCTAAGTCAAGTTCCTCATTCATTGTACCTGTTATATTCCCCCAAAACCGTAGCACCGTCAAATTATGGTTGCCGAAAATAACAATGCTCACCCGCAATAATGGCGGGGCTGAAATGCACTAACGGACCTCAAGGTTATACTAGTGAAGACCAACGTTGCCTGCAAGATGTCTTCCTGAGCCATCCAGATGATGACCGAAGACGCATTGAGGCGATTAAGGGTGGATTACTTGACGACTCATTTCGATGGATCTTGGATAATGCCGAATATCAACGTTGGTGGAACAACCCAGGGAGCCAACTTCTTTGGATCAAGGGAGATTCTGGGAAGGGTAAAACTATGCTTGTAATTGGGATAATCAAGCAACTTTTGAAGCCAGAATCATCCAAGTTTCCCGCCTATTTCTTTTGCCAGGGAACTGATCCCAAATTAAACAATGCGACCGCCGTCCTGCGGGGCTTGATTTATATGTTGATCATCCAACAGCCGCACCTAATCTCACACCTGCGACAAAGATACAGCACGGAAGGTAAAAGACTGTTTGAAGGTGGAAATGCTTTCTACAGTTTGTCCGCGGTTTTCGAAAATATTATTGGAGATCTACAGCAACCTACAGTACACCTGCTGATTGATGCTCTTGATGAATGTAAAGAGGACTTAGAAAACTTACTTAGACTTATTGCGAAGACAATGTCTATGACATCTGTCCAAGTCAAATGGATTGTCACCAGTCGCAATATGAATCATATCGAGGAGATCCTGGATCACGATCATGAAGCCAACACGCTCAGCCTTGAGCTCAACGCGGACCGTATTTCTCGTGCAATTGAGACATACATCTATTACAAAGTATCGCACCTGAAAATACTCCAACACGATCAAGAACTCCAGGAACGGGTCAAATATCAACTTTGCCGAAAATCTGATGGGACATTCTTATGGGTGGCCCTGGTGATTGAAGAACTTCGCAAATGCCATCTTGAAGAAGAAGTCCTTGATGCTCTTGAAGATATTCCAACAGACCTCTCCAAGCTCTATGATCAAATGATAGGGCACATAGATCAACTCAAGGGTCGGCGCCGTGATATATGTGTTATGGTCCTGTCGATGGTTGTACTTGCCTACCGCCCGCTGCATTTATCTGAGATATGCCACCTGACTGGGATTGACAAAAGGCAAGAGGTAGATAGGGCAATCATCCTGTGTGGATCATTTCTTTCAATCCGCGATGAATATGTCTATCTCATCCACCAATCGGCCAAGGACCATCTGGACAACATTCATGCGACTACTGCCATCTTTTGGGAACGCTCAACGATTCACCACAAAATGTTTAGTCGATCTGTAGAGACCCTCTCAACCAGGCTGCGACAAAATATTTACAATCTTGAAAATCCAGGTGTTTTAGCCTCTGAGGTAGCAACCTTTCAACCACATCCTGACCCTCTGTTGGGCCTGCGATATAGTTGCACGTACTGGTTGGACCATTTCCTTGAAGTTGATCCGGAAGTAATTGATAATAGTGAAGCAGTAGAGAATAGAGGAGTAATGGGGTTTTTTAAAAAACATCTTCTTCACTGGTTAGAGAGCCTTAGCCTTATTGGTGAGGTCCCACACGGAATTCTATCGTTCAGGAGGCTTGCATACCGACAGCAGGTATGTGAAAATAAGCAATTTTCAACATATCACATCTAATCTACAATAGGCTCAAGATATTCCCCACTCTCTGTCGATCTTGAACTACAATCAAAGATATACTTTGAGTGTATTTCTGTGTAACGACCAGGTGCGTCTTCATACCAGGAGCCAAAATATTAATTTCTGATATCGACAGGCTGCTGTTAAAATACGGCGCAATTCTGTCTTACTGGAATCCGAGAAATTTGTAAATAGCTATGGGTCAATCATAGAGAAGGCTCCGCTGCAAACATATAGCGCTGCACTTGTCTTCTGTCCCCAGAAGAGCGAAATCAAGAGACTTCATTGGGATGAAAGACTAAAATTTATCAAGAATGTATTTGGAACCCAAGAGTGCTGGGATTCATGTGTGCAGACACTGCGTGGCCACACTGGTTCGGTCAATGCGGTGGTATTCTCATCAAATGGCCAGATGTTGGCGTCTGCTTGTGAGGATCACACCATCCGGCTCTGGGACGCAGCGACAGGCACCCTGAAGCGTATTCTACTTGGCCATAATGGGTCAGCTCGTGCATTAGTCTTCTCTCCAAACAATCAGGCCCTGGCATCTTCTTCAGATGACCATACCGTCCGGCTCTGGGATGTCGCCACAGGCGTCATTATGCAGACACTGAGGGGTAGCAATTGGAAGGTCCATGCAATAGCCTTCTCACCAGACAATCGGATGCTGGCATCTGCTTCTATGTATCACACTGTCCGTCTTTGGGATATAGCCACGGGTGCTGTCAAACAGAACTTAAAAGGCCATACAAATTGGATCCACGTAATAGCCTTTTCGCCGGACGGCCAGGTGCTGGCATCTGCTTCTGATGATAATACTATCCGACTGTGGGACCCGGCTACAGGTACTGAAAAGCAGAAAGCGGGAGGCTGGAATGTCCGCGCAATAACCTTCTCGCCAAATGGTCGTATTCTGACATTTGCTTTAGCTGATGCTAGTATTCATCTATGGGACACAACTACAGGTGTTATCAAACAGGTAATGGCGAGGCAGGACTTCAAGGTTGATACAGTAACTTTCTCACCAAACGGCCGGGTGTTGGCATTAGCTTCATTGCATAGGATCCAACTCTGGGACATAGCTACTGGTTCCATAAAACAGCGAATGGGCGAAATATCCTCCAAAGTACACGCAGTGGCCTTTTCACCAAATAGCCGGATGTTTGCATCTGCTTCAGACGATCATAATATCCGCCTTTGGGATACAACGGCAGTCGTGACAGAGCAGACACTAAGGAGTCATAATACGTCAGTAAATACAATTGTTATCTCGCCACATGGCCAGATACTGGCATCTAGCTCAAATGATGGCAATATCTGCCTCTGGGATATTGCCACAGGCACTGTAAAGCAAATCCTGCAGGGCGATTACTCAGTTAGTTTAATGGCCTTCTCACCGAATGGCAATGCATTAGCGTTTGTTTCAGATGATTACACTGTCCAGTTCTGGAATCTTCCTGCTGCCATCACAAATCAGGATTCGCCGGGCCACATTATATCAGCTAATTTATTAGCTTCTTCCCCAGATAGACAGATTTTATTGTCTGATTCAGATTATGACGATACCCATCTTTGGAATTGGAACGCAGCGAGATGCCGTCAAGAACAATGTTCGAATGGTCATACCAGCAGTGTTACTGCATTAACATTTTCACCAGATAGCCAGATACTGGCATCTGCTTCTAATGATCACACTATCCGGCTATGGGACACAAGAACAGGCAAAATGAAGAAGACACTAAATGGCCATTCTGATTCAATTAATGCGGTAGTTATCTCACCGAATGGTCGGATCCTGGCGTCTGCATCCAAAGATTACTCTGTCCGGATTTGGGATATTGCCACAGGCAAGACGGAGCAGATACTGAATGGCCATTCTGGCTCTGTTAATGCAGTGGTTATCTCACCAAATGGTCAGATCCTGGCGTCTGCTTCCAATGATAACTCTGTCCGGGTCTGGGACCTTGCCACAAGTTCTGTGAAGCAGATCCTTCTAGGCCACACCAATTCAGCTAATGCAGTCGCGTTCTCACTAAACGGCCAGGTACTGGCGTCTGCTTCAGACGATAACACCCTCCGAGTATGGGACACGGTTATGGGCAAGGAGACACACATTTGTAGTATTGGCATTCCTATTAAGACCTTGTCTTTCTCATCTGACTCTTGTCTGAATACCGAACGTGGCTCGTTAACTCTGCGACCAAGCTGCTCCGAGGATTTTGAGGTATCCTGGTCAGCAAGTGGAATATACATTTCAGATAAATGGGTTACACGAGATGGGCAAAATTTAGTATTGCTCCCAGCAAACTACCGAGCGACATGCGCAGCTGTGTGTGGAAACTTTGTAGTTCTCAGCCACGAATCAGGCTACCTTTCATTTCTTGAGATGGCCTCAGCTTAACTATATACGTAGCACATATGATTCTATATATAATTGATGCGAGGAACTTTTGGCCGTCTCCCATATCACTGGTGGAAATCCTACCCAGAATGCAAATTCCTGGCTTGCAGCCCAAAATTGAAAACACCAGTAGGTTTGAAACATGTAAAGTGGATGACTGCTAAGTTTAGTTACGAAGGGAAAGGCCCGAACGATGATAGCTCCGACCCTCACAGGTATTTGACCAGCAAGTCAGTTTCAACGTAAGTGATTACTCATCAAGAAATTTAGTTTAGTGTGCAAATTTGATGTGTATTGGGATGCACACCTGAGCGGCAAAGAACTCTTCTATCTAGACATATTTATATGCAAATTTACACATTAATTAGTCGGCAGGGGCTAGGGGTCCAGTAATTGCTTTTTGTCACTTACAACGTAGCGTTTTGGTGCGTTGACCGTAATATTGATTTTTCAGCCTTTACCTAAAACATTATAGTGCCAAATATTCTGACAAGTCACTAATTCAACAGAGTGATTACAGGCCACTCACTCTGTTACCACAGCGATTGTAATCTGAAAATACCTATATCATTAATGACTGTGCCAAGAAATAATCGTGCAGCGATGTACGTTACAGCTAGTTTTGTACCTGTAAGCTGAATACTTCTCGTAAATTACCTCAATTACTTACTGTAGATTAGGCCCGGAAGCGGCGTTGAGAAAGAGTCAAAGAGTAAATCTTGTAAAGCCGAAGGTGCAAGGTGCTGTAGAATACTCCAATATAAATACAATATAGTTAATATGATTAATATCCAAAATCACATAACCTTTTCATGAGTCCTAGAGATCATACCGTTTGAGATACAGGTCTTGCTTCTAGTGATTCTGTTTCTACAGGGCACTGCATCGTAGTTTTCACAGTACTGCATCCGCAAAAAGTGTTATGGAATCTCTATTGTAAGAGCTTTGAGCATTTGATAGTAGTGAACTAAGTAGGAAGAATATATTGAGTAGGCTTGACATAGGACTTAGTTATTCTTTAGAAACAGGATGTAGATACAATATGTGGCTCATATAACTAGGCGATCCCCTTACCGAGACACTCTAGCCATATTCGTAACAAAAAGCTCTCCGACGGAGACGGAGTCCACTTTAAGTCCGTCGGACCGCTTATATTCTGCGATGTCCGCCCGTACCGACGGGTGCGATCTTTTTCTATGATTTCTGATCTGCTTATGCTTTGATATACCAATATGGCCGACTATGTCAATCCCCGAGCACATGCCTGCCAGAACTGTGTTAAGGCAAAGGCTAAATGCTATGACCAAACAGACGGACGCTGTGAGAGGTACGAGTTCGGTCAATCCCCGACGCCACAGCGTCAACGCTGAAAGGCTCTGTATAGGTGTAAACGCCTCGACAAGCACTGCATAATGCAGGATCGTAGCACACCACGACCATCAAAGCCTTCCAAGTCAAGGTAAACTTCTGCATAAGGCCTTTCTCGTACCGCCTGCCTGCCCGGTCCGCTATTAACGCGTAAGATGTAGGCGAAATGACCAAGCAAGGCAAATTGCACAGCTGGAGCAGAAAGTCAACAATCTAGTCTCACTTCTTGGTGCTTCTCCGCGATCTCTGGATAACGGGGCGCTAAATGCTATTACGCCTGAGTCCACTGGACTGACCTCCAGCGCGTCAGTTTCCATGAGCGCTCCGATCGACATGAGACAAGCTATTCCACAAGGTTTGCCAACTACACAACAATATGAGCTTGAACCGACAGTGTTTTTGCCGTCAGAGTGCAGACCTAACAAGAGCCCGGACTATTTGCTGGACACCTTCCGTCGCGATATGGCTCATCAGGTGCCGTTTATATCAGTTCCCTTGCAGATGTCGGCTCAGGCCCTCTCAAGAGAACGCCCCTTTCTTTATCGCGCGATCATGACTGTAGCGTCGTATCATGACTCTGTACATCAATTACAGATGGGCCAGGAACTTGTAAAGTACATGATGGAGCATCTTATCGTACTTGGCGAGAAAAGCCTGGACCTCCTTCAAGGGCTTCTGGTCTATATCAATTGGTACAACAGCCTATTTCATGTCAATTTTCAGACAAATACCTTACTTGGACTCGCATTCTCTCTGCTTGTTGATTTGAACTTGTACATCCCATTCAAGAGCAGCAAAAGCCATGAAAAATTTGTTGGCGAAATGAAAATTACCGCCACTTCTAACCCGAATTGGGCTCGGAGTTCAGAGCCATCAAGGGAAGAAAGAAGAGCTGTCCTCGGATGCTTCTATCTCTTCTCATGTGTAAGTGGTTCTAATTTCTGTCAACGGTTACTCTTGGGCTCACTTGTTGTTAGGCATCTTCTAAATTTCGTACTTCGAACCCCCTACACTGGACAACCAATATCCAGCAATGCTACGAGGAAATATTGAAAGCCCCAGAATACGAGAATGATATACGGCTAGTTCATCTAATAGATTTGCAACGAATCGCAGAGAATACCAAATATATCATCATCCGCGAATTCCCATCATCGAATGCGTCTGTTCCAAATAGTTCCATTGGTATACACTTAAAATTACTGGTGTCCGACTTAGAGAAGTTCAAAGTCACACTACCTGAGAGATTTCAACAAGATTGTAAGAGTTGCGTCCATGGTGTTTTGCAACGCAATGAATGCTGACTAGAAATGTCTCGTGTAGCGATGATGCTGATGCATTATCATGCGGTTGAGATACTTGTTTCAGAATTGTGCTTCTTCATGCCACCTACGGCTCCAGCTCAGGAACCGTCCCTCAATAGAGCAGACGCCTTATGGATGTGTCTGACAGCGACTCGCGCACTTGTAAATATCTATTTATCACTAAATTTACAGCCCCACATCAGCTTTTCCGCGATATTGTTACAACAACTCTACATCGCCCTGGCGTCATTGTCTAAGTTAGTATTATTCAAGGCCGACGACTGGGACGCGAATTATGCTCAACCATCAGTGGAATTGTCTACTCTGTTAGATAGTTTAATTACAAGAACCGAAGAACATAGCTCCCGGTACGATTTGATGGAGCACAACAAGCCCTGGCTACAGACTAGTCGGAGGTTGAGGCAGGTGAGGACTCGATTTGATGACCTGTTGTCAAATGAGAATGTCTCATCTGCCACTCTTTCCACCACACAGCCATCAAATGGTTTATTGGCGACATCATTTCATGATTTTCGTCTCGATCCTTTTGGTTTATTGGACGATAGATTTTGGCAAACCATGCAAGATGACTCAGCACCATGCAATTAAACCCTGTTGTAACTACATTATAGCACCATATCTATTAGAGGATTTCGCTTTTACGTTTACCTGCCGGGAGTGCGCTGTTTTGACACGTGCTGTACAGCTGTACAATGTAGGGGTGCTACCGTGGTAAGCCGTCGGAGACGTACTACTCCGGCTCCGACGGAGACATCGCTGCACCACAGGAGTGGATAGTTATAAATAAATACATATCGAGGATGGTCGGTTTTTCTCGAGAAAATTCACCATAGAAACTATTGTTCACACATTCGGTAGTAGTCGGCACATGAACTGCTGGACCTGGTGAATACGCACGTTATCCTACGCAGCGCCGAAATGCCAAATTCCAACACGTCTGATTTCGACGGCTCTCTCAGCAATGAACCCAAACGGATCGAAGGAATAGTAGACGGCAACGACGATGGTGATAATAGTATGAATAGGCCAGCTGCTGCGAATGCCCCGCGAGCTCTTCCCGCGATCCAGCTGTATACAATCGTCGCTGCAGTTTCACTGGCCGGGTTCCTCTATAGCCTGGACGTTACAATTATTACGACTGTGAGTTACTACTATACTGATTTGTTGAAGCCAAAGACATAAGTCTCAATATACATGTGACTAACTTGCTCGAAAAGGCCATTCCCGCCATCACCACTCACTTCCACACCATCAAAGATATCGGCTGGTACGGAAGCGCCTACCTTATAACCTTGTAAGAGCCGATATTCAAACATCAAATTATATATGCATTTCGGCAAGCTAACAGGTGCTCACCAGGTGTTCTTGTGCACCCGTCATGGGCAAGATTTACCAATACTACTATTCGAAGGTAACCTAATCGTAAAGTCATTACGCTAAATAGGATTCAGCTCATCCGTACTGCCAGGTCGTCTTCTTCATATTTGTAGTTATTTTTGAGATCGGCTCCCTGATCTGTGGAGTGGCACCATCGTCAACTGCATTTATAGTTGGCCGAGCAATCGCTGGAATCGGAGGCGCTGGCCTCTTCAACGGGGGATTAGCGATCGTCGCAGCCTCCTCCACGAAAGAGCAACGTCCGAGTAAGAAACCTCTGCAGATGAACGATTTACGGCGTGGGCAGTCTACTAATTTATTGCAATACGAACAGGTCTCGTTTCTCTGGTATACGCATTTTCCCTACTAGGAATGGTGATCGGTCCCATAATCGGAGGGGTGTTCACGGAGAGGGTTTCTTGGAGATGGTGTATGTCCAACTGACATACTATTGAGAGTTACAACTAAAATACAATGCAGGCTTCTATATCAATCTCCCAGTTGGTGGGATTACGTTAGGCGCGATCACTCTCGTCCGCATTCCAGACACCAGGGACAAGTCCAAGACAGCTGCTACCTTGTACGAAGCAATTAATCGGCTTGATCCTATAGGATTCTGCCTCTTTGCGCCAACCTGCATTATGCTTTTGTTGGCCCTCCAGTGGGGTGGCTCGACGTACGCCTGGAGTTCATCCACTATAATTGGCCTTTTCGTCGGCTTCGGAGCCCTCTTGACTGTCTTTTGCGTGTGGGAATCACGACGCGGGGATTCTGCAATGATACCGGGATCTATTCTACGCCAGAAGATAGTTTACTCCTCATGCCTTATCAACGGGCTACAATTCGCCTCCCTCTGGATATTTGCATACTACTTGCCTGTCTGGTTCCAAGTAGTTAAGGGCGCGTCTCCAATCATAAGCGGCGCCTACTACATGGCCACTGCCGGACCGCTAATAGCAGCGACGATGCTCACGGGGTTTATAGGTAAGTATTTAATATTAAGCCTGACGGCTTCAAGCCCTAACACGTCCTGTTTAAAGAATAAACGTTTGCTAATACTCATCCTCTGTTTTAGCTAAGAAAGGAAATACCTCTTTGTACTCTTTAATCGGAAACTCAATCGCGGCAATTGGTTCAGGCCTGATGGCCCTCTTTACCCCGTTCTCTCCGACAGGAGCTTGGGTTGGCTACCAGGTCTTATCTGGCGTCGGCCGTGGTATCACCCAACAGCAACCTGTCCTCGCAGTACAGCAGAACCTTGAGCCATCAAAGATCCCAATCGGTGTGGCAATGGTTCTTTTCGGACAATTCTTCGGAGGAGGATTATTCCTAGCACTAGCAGAAACAGATCTCAGTAGTTCCCTACGGTCAACACTCCCAGAGTATGCTCCGGACGTCAATGCCACCTTGATTTTTGACGCGGGTGCTACGGGGGTAAGAGCTGTAGTTAGTATCGACCAATTGCCTGGAGTAATATTGTCATATAATAAAGCTATTATCAACACGTTTGTAAGTATATGATTTTCCCTTGCAGAATACGTTTGACCGAAGTCTTGAGCTACTGACAATCCAAAGTATTTAGGTACCGCTGCGTCTGCATTTGCTGCAATAGTATCTCTATACATATTTTTTGAGCATTTTAGGGTTACGAAACCTAGCAAGTAAGCCGGGAATATATAGGCGCGTTCAGGTCCGAATATGATCCTACTGTGTATTAGGAGGTACTTCAACTTTTGTTAACTTATATTGGAATATATTTAACTATATTATCTATCCAGTTTATTAATTCATCCCCTTATGAGTAATTAAATAAGTACTTAGTAATTAAATTAAACTTTCCTTCCTATTATTAACCTATATACCCCGTATATATTATATGCTCTATAGCTTCAATCCGACGAATTTTAATGCGGACTCGGACGCCATACAGTGAGACACATTCTCCTAGAATATAGGGACTGGACGGAAGAGCGACATGGGATGTCGACAGGCTAGTCTCCATCTGTCGAATTATATTTAAAATTTAGAAATAAAATTGGTAAGCCTTTTAAGGGATAAACTTGTTGGTGATGCTAAATCTTATTGGATATAGGTCTCTATCTCGCCCATTCCTGGAACCCAATCAAGTAAAAACAAGATGGTTGGATAATAGGGCTAAGTGGACTGCTTGAGCTCCACGATCAAGCGACCAATCTTCCCCGCATTGGATATCTGGTCATCTGACATAACTCAAACAACAAAGGGTTGTCTAGTCGACTACGCATCATTCCTCTTCATTTAGTTCGCTATACTCGGGCAGTGAGTGGGTCTTCTCGGTATAAGCTGCTTCTTTTACATATTCTGGAATGATCGCTTTTCTTTTAGTAGGATAGATAAGATTTACCTTCAAAACTGCTACGTATAACTAACCCCTAAATGTAGATAAGAACAAGGAACGATACTTTAAAGCGGGCTCCTCTCGCTATAAGCTACTTCTCTTGTATATTCTGGAATGGTCATTTCTCCAGCAGCCATAGAGAGATGCTGTTTTATGAGCTGGCTGATATAAACCTTAATAACTAGTTATAAGCTTTAGATAAGAACAAGGCCCTCATTGTGAATGGATCAGAGCGCTCTTTATAACGGTGACAACCAGTGATCTGAAAACCGAGTTGTCCTAGGCTGTTAAATAATACGAACTTCTCACCACCAGCGGGTTCTATCTTAATTTCTGTACAGCTTCTATCACAAGCAATTTCCACCTTCGTATCTGAAGTTTGTTTCGCTGCGAAAGTCAACGATATTGGCTCGATGGACGACAGCAAACGTATGGACGTACCCGTCGATGTTAACGGTGATTGTACCATGGGCCAAATGGACACACAAAGTGACCGGTTTGGCCACGTCGAGAGGAGGTCAGTAATAGTTCAAACTCAAGACACCACAGTTTAGCTAATGTAATTTGACCATAGGCTCAAAAGCCGCCATATCCAGTTTATGGCTCTCGGTAAGTAACGAGCAATCAGTAGAAGGAACAGGCGTGAGTAGTGTCTGATATATCTCTCGACAGGTGGTGCCATTGGAACTAGTCTTTTCCTTGGAATCGGCTCTTCGCTATCGACAGCGGGCCCTGCAAACCTTCTGCTAGGATTCGCCATCTCCGGTTTTGCAGTTTACGGCATGATGCTTTCGCTCGGCGAAATGACTACTTGGTTACCAATACCGGGTGCTATTCCGACATTTTGTTCTCGCTACGTTGACGAGGCCCTAGGATTTGCCGTAGGCTGGAATGTGTGTATTCACCCTATGCTTCACATTTGATCCACTAAATGGTTCATCAGAATTGGTACTTTGCCTCGATTGTTGTATGCCTTGAAATCAGTGCTGCCTCTGTCGTGATAGACTACTGGCCTGGTGCCCAAAGAATTTCTGTAAGGAAGTTGTCCTCTTCTTAAGGGGCGATGGTTCTGGGCTGATTAACTTCACTATTAGCCAGCCGTGTGGATTACTATCATCATCATATTCATCCTTGCCCTCAATGTCTCTGCTGTTGGAATCTTTGGCGAGGCCGAATTCGTCTTCACCTCCATAAAGCTGATTGCCATTATTGGCCTCATGATTTTATCGGTGGTCATTATGGCAGGCGGTGCCCCAAATAACGATGCTATTGGGTTCAAGTATTGGAACAATCCTGGAGGTGAGTCTCGTGACCAATATTGAGTATCAACTTCCCATGATAGCCCACCAATTAACTAACCAAGCCATGAACGAACTATCTCCAGCTACTGGGCCTGAAGGGCGATTCCTCGCCTTTTTCAGCGTTCTGGTTTATGCGTGCTTCACCTATGCTGGCGTTGAAATGCTTGCAGCGGCCGGGGGCGAAACCGAACACCCTCGAGTTAACATACCCATCGCATTCCGCAGAGTCGTCTATCGTATCTTAGGATTTTATGTTCTCGGGACGTTGTTTGTTGGCTGCATTGTGGCCAGTAACGACCCCAATCTCCTCACAGCATTGGCTACTGATGCTAGTGGTGCAGCTCAATCGCCCTGGGTTATCGGGTTGCAAAATGCGGGAATAACAGTCCTCCCCAGCATCATTAACGCTGTCATTTTGACTTCGGCCGTCTCCTCAGCCAACGCAATGCTATATACTGGTAGCCGATACCTCTACTCTCTTGCCAAGGTCGGCCAGGCACCAAGAGTTCTTCTGAACTGTACTAAAAAGTGAGTTCTATATCCATGGAATGCTACTCTGATTTGTTGTCACTGACTCTCGAGTACAGAGGAGTGCCACTGTGGTGTGTACTTGTTACAGCTTCTGTTTCTTTATTAACGTACATGACTGTTTCAGTTGCCGGTTCGACTGTCTTTCTCTGGGTATGAATAGCCTATTCATCCTCCAGGTAAAATGGTGTTACACGTTACTAACTTGAACCCATTAAATAGTTCGCCAATCTCACCACTGTTGCCGGCTTACTCACCTGGATATCGATCTGTTACGCATCCACGCGCTTCCGCGCGGCGCTGCACGTCCAGGGTATTAGTAGCGAGAACATCTTGTTCCGCAGCCCTTTTCAGCCTTACGTAGCCTGGACATGTCTGATATTTTTTGCAATCGTCTCCGTTTTCAATGGTTTTTCGGTTTTCATGAAAGGCAACTGGAGTGTAAGCAGCTTCCTGGTCGCCTACATTGGTTTCCCGTAGGTTACTCCCCATCTAATCCGAGTCATTGTTTATTGGCCGCTGGCTCTCGACTCCAAGACACATTCATGTTACTTTGCTGCCATCTACTAATGAAAAACAGGATCTTCGGTGTTTTCTACATTTTTTGGAAGATTCTTAAGGGAACAAAAGTGCACCTGCTAGAGGATGTGGATTTAGTCACCGGGAAAGCAGAGATTGATGCTCTGGATGATATTTGGGAAACAGAACATCCCAAAACCCTAGCTGCAAGATTGTGCAATCTCGTGTAATGTCAGCAGGGAGAGACTTTGGTGTAGCGTTGAGTCCATTAAGGAGTTAAACTGAAAAGCTACACTTTCCTTTTGTAATCGTCACGATATAACAATGTCTATTTATATCGAATTAAAGATGCTCATAGTTATTTTTAAATGCATTCTGTAACCACAAAAAAAAAGGGGGGGGGGAGGGGGGAAGAAGAAAGGATTTAGGTAAGGTGTGTGTGTGAACCGGTGTACACTGGAGGCTGCACTAACTGGCCTACACCAGAGCCCACACGGTTCTCCCATAGGGTTTCGTGTAATGAATATATTCTGACCTGTAGAATATGCAGAGGCCTTCCTTGGCACACAAGGGCGGAGGGAAAAGAGGACAGCAATCAGTTTGACTCCATAGCGACATATAGCTATACACGAGAAAACCACTTCCTCACAGTATGATTATTTCATTTTCAGTTGATATAAAAGTCGGGTATAGGGAGTAAGACTGTAGCGAAAGAGGACCTAAAACAGTGTGCGGGTTAAGCTAATCACTATATACATTTTTTCTTCTCCTAGATAGAGCAAGCAACTGCGTGCACGCAGTGGGAACATAATGTAATATTCACCAAATGAAACAAATACCAAGGGCAGATTTATCGAAGCTTCTAATGAACTTCAAGATTCCCTCTGGTGGCGAGCCTTAGGACCAACAGATACATCGTCAAAACCGCATCAGAACGTCTCTATGCAAGTCTACTGAACACCGGTTGGTACGCCCTAATTAAAGTCCGCGTGGGCTGCATCCGCCATATCTTCCATGGATCTGAACTGAAAGTCTAGTGATAGCTGACCCTGAACTAGTGATAATTCGCCCCCCATCGCATTTGGCTTTCTCTCAATCCAACAAGTACTCAGCCCCAAGCCGTGGGCTGGAACCAGGTCATGATTCAAAGCGTATGCGGTATGTAAGATCTTCTCCTTCGGAACTTGAAGGTTCTTTTCGCAACCGTGTACGAGATACTGAAAGTTGTTCAGATTGGGCTTGTAAGACCCGATTTCTTCAGCAATGTAGACAGCATCGAATTTGAAACCAGCAAGAGGGCCAGCAAGCGTCTTGCTGAACGATTCTCTGTCAACGTTGGACAAGATGACCAGCTTAAAATGTTTCTGAAGTTCGCGTAGTGCTGCGAGAGTGTCGGGAAACACTGGCCAGGATCCAATACTCGCTCCAAAAGCTGCACTCTCACCTTCCACGACCGTTTCCCCGAGTCCCCACTCAGACGCCAACTCTTCATACACCTTGGTTAAGATGGATGCGTATTTCATGGTTGGGAAAGCTTTCTGAATCCGGCCCTCGTGATACATATAACGCCCAAAGATTGCAGTTTTGTCGTCCCTCAATGGATCTAGCTTGTCTAAGCGATCAATTAATGCCTTTACTCCTTGGATTATCCCGCCTTCCCAGTCGACGAGGGTACCGTAGCAGTCAAACGAGAGTAAGTCATATGTATCCAGAAGTCGTGCCATGGTGGATGAAGGTTGACTGCTGATGCTTGTATGTAGTACTTGAAAATGTTCCTTGAAATTCCCATCTCTACACATATACACACATATATATATGATACCGAGGTATGTATATTTTTACAGTTGCTGGTTCGGGACAGTAGGGAAATCTACGCCGAAGGGACTAACCAATTATAGAATTCCGATTGAGCGGCGAGCAGAAATAAGTGGAGATGGCTAACTTCTACCACATTTACACCACTATCATGCCAGGTATAGATAGGAATCCCTCACCTCTCGTCGGTATAGCTTTCCTGCTGTCCTTCATTGCTTTTGATCATGCCGCGACGCAGACGGGATCGAACGTTTACTGTAAGACTTTCGTCCCGATCATCCCTGTTATTGACTGACTTGACAAGGGCTGCTGGAGATGCAGGGTGAGGAAGGTAAAGGCGAGTTGACACTCTTCTCTCTCCCCCAATTCACGACTAGCTAATGCAGACTATAGTGCGATGAGCAGCGGCCACATTGCCGGGCTTGCCAGCGGCTTGGCCAGCCATGTGATGGTTATGGAGCCAAACTAGTCTGGATAGAAGATAAGGATCAGCCATACAGGTCCGATGGCCGTCGGTACATTGACTGTGGTTCGTTCTTATCATTTCTTCTTTGCTGCAAAATCTGACGCGCGTCCATTACAGACGCTACATGGGCAGGTCATGCAATCCTTGATTCAGAGTTAGTGGATCAACTCATATATGGCTGCGATCCCGAGTGCGCCGAAGAAGTTTTTAGCAGCAGCAGCAGCCAACCTACGTTCAACCCATTCGGCTCCTTTCGCGTGTTGGTGAAGAATGCGGATCACCCACCTGGCTTGCTGTCAAATGCATATAAACTATTAACCATTGATCCCACGGACCCATTCAGCTCGAGCAGCGAGGCTCGATTTTTGTTCCATCATTATACTAGTCATGTATCCACCATAATGATTCCGCTTTTTCATCCCCGTAATCCCTGGTATTCTTATTATCCGGCAGTAGCCCGTTGCTACGAAACATCCGAACAAAAGGCACTTTACAACGCCATGTTATCACATGCAGCTTACAACTTGGCTGGACTAGCCGGCTTGCCGGACAAGATGTTTTCGCTTGCAACTGAATATTACACAAACGCAATCGAGCAGCTGAAATATAGCCTGCAAAGACAAAATCCGGACTATAGTGGAACACTGGCGGCTGTAATGACTCTGTGCATGGCCGAGGTGAGTCATAATTCACAAGAAACACATATGTCAATGACATACTCATTCATAAGAAGGTTTATAGCGGGAGACCTGGAACTTGGAGACTACACCTCAATGGTGCTTGGTCGCTACTTTGTGAATATAGCGAAAAAGAGCCCTGGACCGACTCAGATTTTGCCTGCTGCTCGACACAGAGCCTGTGTATTACCAAAATAATCGCTGATACCGTGAACGGCCATAAAGCCACTTCTGGGATTGATGACTCTTGGACGAGGATACCTTTCCTAGATTCGCAACCATTCGGTAGCCCTGGAAACTTTAGCACATCCATCATGGACGACGATGAAGCCGAGCGTTCTCTGGTTTCCAGTGTCTCGTCTACGCCCGAATTCGGATTCACCATTGGGTCTACAGACTCTCTGTTGGCGTGTATTTCGGCTATCACTATCGCCGGTAAAAAAATGAGAGCGAAAAGTTTGCAGAGTCAACAAGAAGCCGATTTGCTAGAGGAAACACTATCCAATGTCATTTCGTGTCTAGACAAATGTAAAGAAGAGACCATGTATAACATTTGTGACTCGTTTGATGAACATCATGATATCAAATCTCAGATCCTCGCAAATCACCAACGAGAGGCTTTTATTTCTGCAACATACGTCTACCTTTACAGAGTTCTATTCGACCTTCCGCCATACAGCGTAAGGAAATATGTTTCTGAAGTTTTGTTACGAATATCGGCTTTCCATTCTGCAAGCGACGGAAACCTCTCAATCTGGCCTGCGTTCATTGCTGCAGTTGAAGTCTACACGCCGGAGGACATTGCTCTCGCACGGAACTGGTTGGATCGTACCATCAGGTTTGGGATTGGCAGTCGAGTTTGTGTCCGTAGGCTTGTGGAAGAGGTCTGGAAGAGGCGAGATGAAATGGCTGATGAGTTGGAAATTGATAAAGGCTTGATATCCATTGACTGGCGAGCAGTCATGGAAGAATTGGGAATGGACATACTGCTTGTATAGGAAACTCAATATGCCTTGCATGTTGCATGAACTAAAGAAAAACGAAAAACGAAAAAGCCACATGATTCTCAGCTTTGCCTCGACATTTTTACAGGTCGTTTGACATCTGCGCCGCCCACTTCGGCTCTATAAACAGAGCTTCCGCCTCGACAAATACAGTGCTCTCTTCGGGATCCTGTATAGTCGCCTTGACCCATGCTTTGCGTCCTTCGACCTTTTCGACCTTTGCAGCAACCAACACTATACTGTTCACGGCTATCGGTGCCCGGTAGCTGATATCCAGTTTGACTGTTACTCCGACACCACTGGGTAATCTGGCGAAACAGACGCGGCCCATACATTCATCCAGCAGCACTGCAGAGAGACCACCATGGCAGATACCGGCGTGGCCAGCTAATTGAGACCCGAGATGGTAAAATGCTAGGAGTTCTCCCTTTTCGTTAGACGTAGCAACGTAAGGTGGGCATGAAATTTTGCCTGGTCCTGCGAGAGTCGTAAACGTGAGTTGGTCTGCCTGGTGTTTGGGCTGAATGACGAGGACACCTCGGAACTGCGTGCAATCTGGGAGGGCTAAAAGTCTCTTCAAAGCTGGACTGTGGCTGGTAGTTGCAGCCAATCTTGCTTCTACATCGGCTGCCATGGGTGAAATTCTTTCAAAAGGGCCCGTTACTCAGCTATAGACGCAAGATAATGAGAAATTTACGCAGAAATGTACATTTATACCATGTACTCCGACCACTTAAGTATCATTGGTACATCGGTATAACCTGCCCTCTATTGCCTTCATTAAAAGCGTTTTAAAGTTCATTAGTAATTAAATTTCCAATTTTTATTATTAAAAATCACGACTTCTTGACGATACAGTAGGTGGTTTCTGTACTTCGGTATAAGTTGCCACAAAGCCAAAGTAGACCCACAATATCAGTGGTTGCAGTACCAATGATCAAAGCCTGAGAGATAGTCCACTGTCTAGTGCAGTAATAAGCACTAAGGGGAACTTAGCGGAGCGTGGATCTCACTCGGTATCAACTGACTACGTAATATATGTCTATCTTGACGGTCCAGTATTGCTATACTAGGTAGCTTTGGCGCTAAAAATGATGACCTATATAAATACCAACAATGTGACCTTTTCATCCGCTCTGTTTGAAGAAGACACAACATATTAAACATGGACGCAAATCCGGTTCTCGTTTCTCACCCAGCGCCTGGCGTAGTGAGAATCACCCTTAATCGCCCTAAAGCCCTAAACGCAATTAGTGTTGACTTGCTAGATGGGCTCACGGCATCCCTGAGGGAACACGCAAGCGCTCGCATCATCATACTTGAAGGTGCTGGAGATCGTTCGTTCTGTGCTGGGGAGGACCTGAAGCAGACCCTCGCTCCGAAAACAGGTTCGGCCGAAGAGCTGCGCGAGGCATTCCAAAAACTGCAGGATATCACACGGCTGACAGCATCTGCCTCGACGATAATAATAGCAGCTGTACAGGGATACGCCATCGGTGGTGGTGCCGAGATTGCATTGGCAGCTGACTTTGTTATCGGCGGTCCCAACGCTCAGTTCAAGTTTCCAGAGGCAACTATCGGTCATGCAGTCACTGGCGGCATCTCCTTGCGGCTTGTTTCTATGGTGGGGCTTCTCAAGGCGAAACAACTCCTTATGTTGGGTAATTTTACCGGGGCAGAAGAAGCACTGAGAATTGGCCTTCTCACAGAGATTGCACAAGATCCTAAGCAACGGTCTTTGGAGCTGGCCCTTGAGTTAGCAAAACTACCAGGAATTGCGGCAACAAATTCCAAAACCTCGGTAGAGAGGGCGGTTTTTTTAAACATGGAAAATGTACTTCATGATGAAGTCAATGTTGCTAGCTACTGCTTCGCACAGAGTGATGCTGCCGACGCCTTCAGAAAATTTGCTAGCCGGAAAGCAACTTCCACCAAGACAGATAGCGAGCTTGAACCCAAGACGAACTCTATCAAGTCTACTGTATTCCCACGCAATGCTCCCGAGAAGGTTCTAGCCAAGCTTTGGGCTGTCAAAGACATCAACACTGCATTCAAAGTTGCCATTGATACTATGGCCGATCGAACCTTTCTCCGCTTTGGAGGCCGCGATTTATCTTTTAAGGAGTTAGATGTATCCGTATCAGCGCTGGCAGGAGGCTTGAGAGACCAAGGAGTTGGTCCGGGAGATCGAGTGCTCGTCATTATGAGGAACAGCGTAGAGATGGTTCATACGTGGATAGCAACAAACCGACTTGGAGCCACCTGGGTGCCTGTAAATGTGGAACTCAAGTCCGTTACACTTCAACATGTTGTACAAGCTGCAGATCCAAAGCTCGCCATTGTTGACGCTGAATTTTTCCAAGATATTCAATCAACCAACGTACTTGGGAAAGAAGACATCTATGTCCAAGGTGGAGGCAACTTTCATGATCTGACGGCTCTCTATCAATTCGACAAGGCCATTTCGGAGGCCATTGAAGTGTCACCGTCTACCACGTCTGCTTTCCTGTACACAAGCGGAACAACGGGTCGATCCAAGCCATGCGTTTTGTCTCATCACTATTTTATCCGTCAAGCCATGCTTCTCATAGAGAGCTTTGGAATCCACGAGGAGGACGTGCTTTATTGTCCTTTCCCATTGTTTCACGCAGACGCAACTGCACTCACAATTATTCCTGCCATCCTCCTGGGTGCAGTAGCAGCGCTCTCGACACGCTTCAGTGCGAGCCGATTCTGGGATGAGATCAGGGCAACAAAGGCCACTGTGTACGATTTCATGGGCGCCACTCTAGCACTGACATACAAGCAGCCAGCGAGCCCCCGCGACTTGGATCACAGCGTTCGACTTGCCTGGGGCGTGCCAATTCCATCTTTTGCTGAAGATTACGAGCGCCGGTTCGGTCATCCTCTTTATACTCTTTATGGCAGTGTTGAGGCTAGTATACCCATAACTCAAAAGGGTGCTCGTGTACCTGGCTCGTGCGGAACTGTGAGCAAAGGGTTTCAGATCAGAATTGCAGACGAAAATGATGAGCCGGTACCGAATGACACCGTGGGCCAGCTATTACTACGCAGTGACTATCCCAATGCCTTTTTTCAAGGCTATTTCAATAACGCCATTGCAAATGAGGGTACCTTTAAAAATCTTTGGCTGCACTCCGGCGACTTGGCCACGATGGACGATGAGGGTAACGTATATTTTGTCGGACGCTTAAAGGACGTCATTCGCAGACGTGGAGAGAACATCAACGCGGCGGACCTCGAAGAGGAATTCCTGCGACACCCCGCTGTGAACACCGCGGCTGCATTTGCAATTCCCAGTATTCTAGGCTTCGGCACCGAAGACGATGTGAAAGTTGCTATCCAGTTGTGTGAAGGCGCGGAAGAAGTTGATGAGGCCTCTTTATGGGCTTGGTCAACTGAGAATATGGCACGGTTCCAAGTCCCAAGTGTCATCGAAATTGTGCAGGAGATCAAGAAGACACCGACTGGAAAGTTGGACAAGGCAACCCTCAGTCCGGAAGGTGGCCAGCGTTTTGATATTCGGAGTATCCGTCGTTAGATGTTGAATTGTTTCTTTTTACTGAATATGATTAGTTGAAGTAAGGAATTATCTAGTGGTACTTTGCCGAATAAGGAGTCCGACTATTAACATGAAGATCTAACTCAGTGATCATGTTCATTGCAAGGCCAGAATACAGCTAGGAAAGACAGCTTTTTTTAGCTTCCTTCCTCTCTGAGTTAAGTCGTACCCTTTGAGTGAGAGAATACTAATCCCCAGCACTGTGTAGGGGTGTCTGCCCATCGCGAGGGATGAACAAAATGATAATATTCACTACTCTGATTTCTGCCGCAGCAAAAGAGCAACATATTATTTCTTGCTGGAATGGGAATATCTCCCGAAATAAACGTAACTTAAATCTGGTTAATTTCAATATTCAATAGAATGCTCCAATATAAATACAATATGCTTAATATGATCAAAACTCCTCTCATGCAATTCTCATCATAAATTCATCATTGCTCAGTCCCCATTAGTCTGCTGTTGAGCCTTATTATCCCGTGTCTGCTGAACCCACATGCTGGCTTCCTCAATCGCGTTTTGCGGGCTTTTCTTGTGCAATAGAAGGAAACCCTGGATCTCAGCGGGCGTGAACTCGCCGCTCGGAATCCGATCCGCAAATTCCTCGGCCATCTGACGGATTTCCTCTTCCGATGAACTCTGAACAGAGAATGTTTGCGAAATATTGGATGATGTGGACGGTGTGCGACGACCCGCATGGCCCTTTAAGAGCGACAACTTGCCGTTTTCTTGCTCCCTCACAGCAGCCGCCCGCGAAATCGCAGATGTGGATTTAATCTCGCATGCTAATGGGGCGTAGATTGCCAGGAAGAGATCCTTGAGGGTCTCCCGATCCGAGTAGCCAAACGCAACTGTCATATCGACACGGCCGGGGCGGAGAAGCGCAGGGTCGAGTTTCTCGATATGGTTGGTTGTCATGACCAGGATCCGCCCTTCGCTAGAGGCTACACCGTCGATGATGTTGAGGAGCGCGGAGAGAGAGACGCCCTGGTTAGCGGAGCTATCTGTGTTCTCTGTTTTGTCGCCATCGCTGGGACTCTCGGGTGCGGGGGTTGAAGTATTCTTCTGCTCTGCGGAAGCAGACGCCTCGGTGCTGGTGCTGTTGGTGCCGGTAGACGGAGTTGTGGAATTGCTTCGCTTGTTCGCAACACCAGCGGCGTCGACGTCTTCTAAAAGAACAATGCATCGACGGGGCAGGCTTTGGAAAAGCGTTGCCAAGGCATCTTCGGTCAGAGTCTTGGAGTTGAGACTAATCAGATAGATTTTCAAGTGCATTGTTCCGGCAGCAGCGAAACATAGACTCGATTTCCCAGTCCCAGGCGGGCCATGGAGCATGTAACCGCGACGATAGGGAATTCCGCGGTTGGAATACCACCGTCGAGTGTACGGGTGCAGGTATTCCTTGATGTCAGAGATGAAAGCACTCTTCTGTCCCTCATCCAACACGACAGTAGACAATGGCCGGGGTGACCGCGCCATGCACCGAGTCCAGTCAAAACAGGCATCTGAGTTCCTCTGCCCACGGTAAATAATTGTCCTGTCGCCATCACGGTCAACATACATCTTTTGCGCTTCAAGCAGGAGATCTTTCAGAATGTCCGGGTTGCGGCCGAAGCAGCTAATGTATAGTTTCTCAGGTGGGCTCCCCCAGCCAAATTGCCGCTTTTCCTCGCGCTCTCGTCGGAATGTGATTCGGTAGTTTCTGAAGCGGAAATTGTGTGTGCCTTCGGCAGGGGTGATCCGGAGCGGTTTCAATTTGTCCTTGCCCACACGCTTCTCCCAGTACGAATCGAAATCGTTAGAGGCACTGACCATGTCGCCTTCATCGTCGTCGGAGTCGTCGGAGTCCTCGTCAGAGTCATCAGAGTAATAGTAGTAGCCACTGTTAGTTCTTGTGCTGGCCACGACTCTGGTGGACTTTTGGGAAAACCGCTGCCGGGAGATCCAGAACATCAGGTAGCTGAATACTTCGTCGTCCATGCGCACTTCAATCGTCGATGTGAAGTAGCCCCTGAATTTCTCCATGACCGTTTCAACGCGCAGTCGGACAGTCGCGACGACGGTGGCCAGGAGAAAGACCAGGGATATGTATGCGCTTATGTCCATGTGGAGATATTGCGAAAAGAACATTGAAATGACCGAAAACCCGGAGAGATATGTGTCGACCATGGGAATGCCGGTCAGAGACTTGATAGCCTCAGCCGAGACGTTCTGTGTTGGAGCGGCGTACGACATGATCGCTCGATAAGCAATTATTACCGACAGAATTGACGAGGAAATATTGGCTATATGAAATAGAGGCAGGCTCCTTTAGTCCTTCGGAAGGACTGGTTGGTAGATGGAAAAGAAACAATTCACTGGAAGTTGAGTAGCTTTATATCCACAGCAACACACTCTCAGCGGTCTTGGACGTTGTTGCCTGACGCGACACGCATGTGTCTAGATCCACCGCGGCGATCCAAACAGGAAAAGATTGTTGGGCAAATTTCGCCAGTTAGTGTTGGTTTGCTATTGTGACTCATGATTAATATTGGCGCTTATGCAGGCATTCAGCCACCCATGGGATCCTGCGAAAGGAAATCCATGAGCGATAGAAACGGTCTGGGGAAAGCGTCAACTTCTTGTTGCATTACTTTCAGGTGAGATGGTAGCACCACAAGAGACCCCGATGTCTGCCTAGAACCAGAGAGGTTTCCATTGGCTGCGAGGTGCGCATCTAGACAAGTCAAATTTGCGCACGACTCAGCCTCGCCATAGCCGGCCTGGCCGTCATTGGCGGTCACGGCCGCTTCAGCCTCGCTGCAAATTAACCTCTTCAGTCGAGCCAGCTTGATGTAATGATCAACAGCAACAAGCCTCACAGCTCAGCCACAACCTAGTCTCGTCGTCTATGATTGGACTGCATGGAATTGCGAGCGGTGAAACGAGCCTGTACTCTTAATTGAGCCGCATTGAAATCGCATTGAATGGTATTTAACCCATATAGTCTATATCATGGCCGTAGATATAACCAGCCCAGCAAATACTGATAAAACGAAACCCCTAAACTCCATGTCCACCCAATGCCCCGCCGAATAGAAGCCACTGTACATAAATCTAAATTCTAGTGTGCGCTCAAAAGCCACTCTTCGTATGGCTGGCCCCGGAGCTTGTTTGTTTTCCCATCGTATAGCCTGGGCTCAAAGTCGCAGACCTCGCCCCATTTCCGTATCAAGTATCGCCAGTAGCACGCCTCGGCCGCCGGGGTGAGGTATCTATCGCGGAATGTCTTGACTGAGTTATTGGCAATACGCTCGGCGACGTCTGGGTGGTCGAGGAGAAACTCGATCTTCTGTTCGAGGTCAGAAAAATCGCGTTTCACTTCAACGTAGTTTGCGTCCGGGCCGGATGAGAGCAGCGCGGCATGGTGAGCCTCGTGCCAAAGCAGCGTGTGCGAAATGAAAACGGAGCGGCAGTTGAGAAGGTATTTGCCCCGGCCGGAGAACGACCGTCCCTCGGTGTGCGCGAGAAACATGTACCGGCAGTGGTCTTCGATGGGAAGCATGTTGTCGGCAATGCTTTGTTCATTAGTCCAGTCCACCGCCCGTACAGAAGCCCAGTATTTGTTCCTGGTTGCCTCCAGCAGCTGTTCACGCAGTTCGGCTCCTGTGTTCATAGCGCCCCGCCATACGAGCTGCTTCTTTTTGGTCTGAAAGTCGTCAAACTGGGCATCGACTGTGGCAATTCGTCGTCGGGCTTCACGATAGGGTGCGATGTTGACTTCGGGCCATGCCCAATATCCGAAATCGGGCATCAGCCATATATTGTTATCGTCGATGTCGCCTTCGTCAATATCAGCGGTGTTGCGTTTGGAATACGACCACACTGGGCCGCCTTCAGCCTTGAGGCTATCCCAGACAAAGTCGTCGGCAGAGAAATGGAACTCAATTGATGGTAAGGATTCGTTATCGGTCATCGATACGAGCGCACGATGAAGGGAGTGGAGGGTCGATTTGGCTCGGGTGGCGGTATAGGTCATGTCGCCGTAGTCGATGATATACAACTGTATCCCAGGCTTATTGTCAGCATGCGATGCGATGCCAGGTGAGCCAACTCAACTCACCTCTCCTTGGTAAATCATCGCCCGGCCCATTCCCTGCCCCAGCGTCTTGCGTGCATTGATTTCGTCAAAAGTAATCGGGTTTTTTGTTTCCTTCCGCAGCTTCACGCTTTTATCGATTTCTGTAAATAATTTAGGAAATGCAGCCAGGCACTGCTCCGAGCTCAATCCGTAATTGTTCGCATCACGACTAGCAGAAAATTGCCATTTGGCGGGCACCTCATGCTGCCACGTCCCGTCTTGCAGCAAGTCGGTGGCCGAATGTGAAGGCGCATAGCACGGTTTTTCAAAAAAGTGGTTGTTTCGGAATAATTGATGCAGTTGGAGCTGCAGCTGATAGTTTTTGTTCTTGAAATCGATCACGAAAAACGAGGCGAACAGGACCAAGGCGAGAGAGCAGGCTATGACGACGAGCGACCTAAAGCGAATAATGGTGGGAAATCGCGACGAGACTCCCCAGGCGGGCTTTAATTGCTGGGCCATTTTCTGGATTCCACAGTCCGTCCGTTCTGGTATGCGTCGTTATGAGGAATGTGTCATCCTTATCGTCAGTCGGTCGGTTTCGTCTGAACTCAGTTATCGCGTGCACAAAGGATTTGTTGTACCAGTGTCACAAGTTGCAACACGCGGTGCCACAGCAGTGACAAGCAGTTAGTAAAGTAGAACTCTGCAGTGATATAATCAAGCCAGCGCTTTGATCTCTTTTATCTCAGGAGAACATCAAAATGACGTGGCGGTTGGCTCTGGACCGATAACACGGCCGATCAGGTCCGCTTTTCATCTTCCTTCTGGAGAATCCGCCCGTTTCTAGGGCGACCAGGGCCAATTAACTATGGTCCTGCTGGGGCCGGACGGCGTCAGGTCCACTGTCGATAGTGCTCGGACGGTAACTGCTTTTCCATTTTGACCCTGACAATACTAATAATTATAATTATTGATTATTGTTAATGACAGGCTCCGAGCGTGCTGCGGAGTTGTGCAACGCTGAGTGGCGCACGCTTTGGGACCTATTAGGGTTAGGGTTATTCTTAGGGTTAGGGTTGATTCCCAAAGGATATTTATATCAACAGCAGATTGATGCTGCTTGATAAGTTTCTTGTTATTTCTCTGATATGTTTAACAATGTTGATTTTTGGACATCCCTCACGATGACTACTGCAATACTACAACAACTCTGCTTCTATGATTTCATATATCTCCTTTCATATAACTAATTACTGTGATTATCGTCGAGTTTACTACATGGTGAAAGTTAATATGAATTGTGTTCTCTCAATTTGTTAATTCATTTAATTAGACACATCAACAGGAGATGCGATTAAAGAGGTAGATTATTCGGCGATAAGTCTTTCGCAGTTAGTACATGCATGTACTTATGACGCGTTTGAGCGGGGATGATGCATTGAGGACTTTGCATAAAATATTCAATTCCTCTCTACTTCCCAGCATCGTAGATATATAACAGATTATACGACTTGGCAACTACTGTGAGTTGTTCATATCAAGTGCTTCAACTAGCATATGCAATTAATTGGGGTCTCGGCAAAGGTGTTTTCTGCCTCGGCTATTCCGACTAACTAATAACTGGCCATTCATTACTCGCATAAAAGATCAGCTCTCCTTCTTTCATCGGATAGGTTCAACCACATACTATTCCGATACCAAGAAAACAAATAAAAATGAAACCAGCTGGTCGTACGTTCATCATATCTGGGGGCTGTTCAGGGCTCGGTCTGGCCACAGCTCGTGATTTACACCAAGCCGGAGCATATGTTGTTCTATTGGACAGAAACGAAGACGCCGGCCATGCCGCCATTAAGGAGCTAGGCGAAGAAAAAGCAAAATTTCTGCAGGCCGATGTGACCGAAACATCGAGCATAAAAGCTGCGATAAAGAGCACCGTGGAATGGATACAACAGACCGGAGCCGCTCTCGGCGGCGTGGTCGCTGCTGCGGGTATTGCCTTCCCTGGAAAGGTGAGATCCCAAATCCAACCTAAAGTCCCGATCTACCCATTTGTATGTGTATGAATTTTTGTTCAAATTAACCATATCCCGCTGTGTTCATAGGTCTATAATGCAAGAACCAACTCGCCAGTCTCAATGTCGAGCGTTGACGCAGTCATGACGGTTAACGTCCGAGGGACGATCGACCTTGTCCGGCTCGCTGTGCCGCATCTGATAAACAATACTCCATTTACGGCGGATGGCGAACGCGGTGTCTTGATTCTAGTTGCTTCATCTGCGGCGTTCGATGGACAGCCGGGTCAGCTTGCCTATTCAGCATCCAAAGGAGCCATTGTTTCGATGACTCTGCCGCTGGCCAGAGATCTCGCGCGATATGGCATTCGAGTAGTCACCATCGCCCCCAGTCTATTTGAAAGCGAAATGACCCGCAATTTGTCTGCCAAAGCTCGAGAAAGTCTCGAAAGAGTAATGGAATTTCCGGTCAGGGCCGGAAAACCCGAAGAATTTTCGAGCCTGGTCATGCATAGTATTTCCAACTCCATGTTGAATGGCACGGTGCTCCGACTTGATGGTGCCATGCGAATGCCGAGTAAGATGTAGGGGAAAGGAACGGGCTTTTCATATTTGTAAAAGTATTTATTTATGTATAAAGCGATAACGTTGATAATTAGGTATCATCTATATTAATCGGCATGCAATAAGTATATTCCGCAAGGCCAGACATGTTAGCTACAATACAGATAAGACAATAATTGAGATGTCAAGTTCATGAATCGATGTATGGCTAGGCTAAATGCTCTCGTTATAATCGTTCTTCAATTTATTTACGAATTTTTAGGAGACAAGAAGTCATGAAATGTGTCTTTCTTGAACAAGCTTTCACTCAATTAATTATATTTCCTAGACATATAGTTCCCATTTTGAATAATTTTACGTTCGGACTCGGCATTTAAATAACAACCTCGACATTTTTTAGCATGTTTACCCAGTAAGCGGTGGATACTCCCAGCCTGCCTTCATCGTTTGAAGTTCCGAAACAACCTGGTCGCGGGTCCAATGGTCTTTAAGACCCCGAATTATGATTTCTTGCTCGCTCTCTGGCGCCATGCCACTGGGCGCAGGGGGCCGGTGATCTAAGTCTGTAGGGAAGGGATACCCGTCTGCGATGGTTTGGATAAGATATGTCAATGACAGGCTCAACCCTCCATCGTCCTTATATTTAGCAGCTAACAGATCCCAACAACGTGCAACAATCGGGATTGTATTTATAGATTCCATTGGTTTACCAAATGCACTGCTTATTTGCAGAAGATTGGCAGTACGGTTGATATCTGTTGTCTTGTTCTCACCTGCTGCATGGAAAAGTGCAGGGTTGAAGAATACCCCGTCGCCTCTATTCAACGATACAGTCACCCATTGACTAAGAAAGTATGCCTGAAATTCGGGAAGTCGGTACGCTAGAAATCCGGGTTCGAACTGCTGGCTGAATGGAAGTAATCGTGTAGGCCCGCTATCAAACGGCATATCAGTGTGCGCCACAGCGCCTTGAAGAGTCAACAACTGGCTCGCAACCTGTATATTCTGAGGATATCGGCTACAGCTCTCTCCGCTTTGGAAACCCAGGTGATAGTCACGATGGCTCTGCTGAGGCGCACCACCGGGTTTGACAATGTTGACTTGGGCTGTTACGCGATATGCAGGGCCCAGCCATGCCTCGCAAATATGAGCTAACCATGGGTTGTCATAGTATTTGACAAATGATTCGGGGTCTGCCAGAGCGTGTTTGCTAAACGAATTCCAAATCCGGTCATTCGCGCCACTATTGGCGAAATGGTCGCCTTTCTTGACCCCCGGACTTAAACGCTCATGATCAATGATGCGCTGGAATGTGGACGTTGTGGAGTCTAACACGTCGCCATATATAGACACATCATACATTCCCTTTAATATAAGCACACCTGGACCTGTCGAGAGAATTTCATACCATTCATCCTGTAGTTCAGAGATTGTCGAGGCACTAGTGTTGAGGGCGTATTTTGACAAGTCATAGATTGGCACATTTTTCTCAATCGAAGAAGCCAGTGGGTAGGTTTCTGATGAAGTCTCCTGGGAGCATAATTTCTTAAATGCATCCAGTGAGATATCTTGTTCAGAGAACAGACGCTTGGATCGGTTTCTCGCCGGATAGATTGAGTTGCCGTTCATAGTGTTCAATTCTTTAAATGCTGCAGTGTGGCGGATATTTAGCTAGCGGATTTCGAAAAAATTTAATGGATTGGAATCATCTCTGAGGGGGGATTGAAAAATCAAAAATAAGGTATGCATGGCCAAGTTATATAACTTTAGCCGATAACACATTCACCCACAGCACGGAATTTAATTCCCGAGTCCCGACATCATCCAAAATGCATCCAACTCAACTTCAAATTAATAAATATTTTCAAGGATATCCAGGTATTGTTTTATAATAGAAGCTACAGAGAGATGCAAACCCATGAAGAACACATCATCAATTACATTCCTCCGGTATGATCGTAGAATTCATCGGAAAATGAAAGCCCGGCAGCACCGCCAAACCCTTCCAATACACCAAATTCCGTTAGCTGTGTCCAGTCCAGCTGGTCATGTACGGCTCCGCAATCCAAATTCAAGTCACCGATAGAATGAGCGAAAATCGACTTGTTGTCGCACATCATACCGTCTTTGGCTGCTGAATCCTCGGTCCTTTTCTCTGGTGCCGTTTCATCTTTTCGGGTTTCTTCAGAATACTTTTGACGTAATAACGTTACTAGCTCTGGGGTTTGTACATCAGTTCCGAGTTGGCGTTGGGCTTCTTTATAAGCATCCCAAGCTCTAATGAGCCTGTTCCCAAAGTCGATATGCATAGGGCTCCTAAGATTGCGCTTTAAACCTCGATGACTGTGGTTACTTAAAAGAGCCTTCCAAGCGCGCTCACACAGGTCGCCCGTGGTGCGCTGGAGCAGCTCATTGACCACAAAGAGATAACCCATCATAGGCATATGAAAATGCATGTACCAAAGGAAGCCGCGGAGGTTCTCGTTTGTATGGATTACATTGTCATATTCCAGAATTTGAATGGCACATAACAACAATTTATCGCGCTCGTGGCCATCTAGGTTAGTTGATAGGTTGCCCCGAAGCATGAACTCAATAAGACGGAAATTGCATAGAGACATCCGTGTCATCATGAGAGTAAAGGACTGAATGGCAATATCGGAATCACACTTTTGAACATACATTGACTCCATATATGCACAGTATTTATCGACTCCATCGCAAACTGCATGACTTGACCTTGGCGTACTCGCATGGGTTGACGATGATGTGCTAGAATACATTTGTTGAAATTTATTAGTAATTGCTGGCCTTAATCCAATTCCATTCGCACTGGATGCTATGGTTATTTCAAATCGCGTGAGGCTGAAGATCATTTCTGTCGCTTCGCTATCCGGGGATGGGGACTGTTTGGTATTGGGATGTAGAGCCATGTCATTTACCCTCAGTGGTAATCGGCAATCTATTCCAGTTGAAGACAAGGCAGTAGTGGTAGATCCTGTGATCTCAGCTATACGTTTGTCTAAGGTAACAATCTGCCACCAAAGCCGTCTTCGTTGTTCCACCTCGAATGGAGGCAGTCCAAACTTGGCTCCATCTCGATGCAGACCAAGGCGTGTAGCTATACGGACCGCAATTCCAATCAAACAATGGAGTGATCTAGGATCAACATACCGTGCGAGAGTGAACTTTGAATTGGCGTCAGATGTCATGGTCTATCAGCAGGAATATAAATTTCTTACAAGGTATAGCAAGTATGCTTGAAGAACCATGAGCTCTGTAGATTTCATAAATCCGGCATTAATTAAAGCCTGTTGCATGGCTTGGTTATATTTTGCTAGAAGAATAGTCTTTTCTTCTCCAAAACCACTGCGAATCTCCTCATCGGACAAGGAATTCACGGATATGAGGTAGATCCCAAACATGAGAACTTCCAATGGCTTGGAAATCTTAGAAATGTTTGAGCACGCTTCAACTATTAATGGCTGAAGTGTTGGAATGTGGCTAATCTTCAGAAGAGGGTTGACATTATTTAAATAGACTTGCCACAGCTGAAATGTTTGGATGGCTGTGGGGTGCGCATCTGTGATTCGCGCTGGGAAACCACCGACGACGAATGGGAAACTATCAGTATTTTCAAACATGATGTCGAAGGAGTGATGGATAGTTGGTCTGTCTAGTTCATCCTCGGACGAATCATGAAGCATGGCATGGGTGGTTCGATACTAGATGGCACGCCATTGTTAGTTCAACTACAAGTTTAACCGGAATGGTAAAGCCCTGGATAGTTGCCACCTATCCAAGAAGAATATGCAATAAGCCAACAAGCCAATTTTATGAACATACATACCTCTTCACAATATGGGAACCATTTTGAAGGTCTGGATAGATGTTAGTCGACATCTTTTAAAGGGAAAAGAAAGGGTATATAAAATACCACAGCTTACTTTCTACTATCTTCTCCTTGAGAAGTGATGTTCTGGCTGTTTTCATCTGGAGAAGTCTTCGTGTTTTCGAGTGCGTGCTCTAAACTGAAGATGTCACTATCATATTCGTCGTCCAAGATCGAGTGAAAGTCGAGACCATGTTGAGACATGTACGCTTCATATTTCTGGATTCTTCGAAGTAAATCCCGTTCTTGCGGCCTTCTAACTCTCTTCCGAATGGGTTGTAGAGGAACAACTATACAATCAACCTTTGCTTTGACGCAGTTAGCACAGGGTTTTTGCTGGTCACACCGAATTTTCCGTTGCTGGCATAAAGCACAGGAGTGGCCCCTGGTCACGGTCATGGCGATGCGCAATTATTGACGCTGTGGAGGCTGGGCTGGGTCGAGTTATGAAGAGGCTCCGGTACCAATGGTATGGTGAGGAAACATTCCTTCTTCTAGAAATAGAGTTGTTTGCGTGGGTCATTGCATGTCTGATGAGATATTGAGGGAAAGAAATTAATACTTCCACTTCCGAAGACAACTTTGAACCCCTCATACACTAGACCGAATTTAGAAGTCAGCGTCATCCAGTCAAGATAAAAGACAGCAGTATTTAACGTTGCAGTCCGAAATGTTGAAACTACAGAATATGCTTATTCTATCAATTGATAAGTCTATTTTATCCACTTCATTTGTGGGGTTGAGTTGAGCGCCTAATCCCAGTCACAACTCTCTACGACTACGCACGCACACCTCAGAAAAGCCAAACCCGGAGGATCATGATATAGAAAATCTTGTCCAACGAGATCGACATCAGAATCCGCAGCTACCGTTAATTCACTATGGACTTGTCGCCTCCGGGGACAGTGTTATAAAAATGCCATCGTTAGAGACAACCTTGTTCGTATGCTTTGAGAGCAAAGCTGCTAGCATGATGAATGACTGTCTATGTCTTGCTATCCGTTGAATATGCGATTACACTGAATCTCATAAAAATGATGGATTGCATGGTTACACTGCAGCCGTCGCGGCCGGCATGGGTAAAGAGATTCTGACTAATCTTCCTCCTAGTATGTCCTCAATTCATTGTACTTTTAAGACAACGTTAGCGAATCAGAGATAAGTGGCTCCCTCCCAGACCGCAAAAGAGGATGCTGAGTATGCCAATGCAGGACGATCTATAAAGTTTTCTAGCTCGTTTGGTGCCGATCGAGGAAAGTTTTACATCACTGGCGGTGATATTACTGGCACTGATGTAAGGATTGGATAGCTAGATAAAGATGTTTCATCGTTGATCGCTTCTAATTTCAAAATTGAAATTTGGTTGACTGTTATAAACATGCTTTCTCAAAGAGGTAGCTTTAATTATCTATCTACACATCGTCTAGAAAATGTACAACCCTCATATGAATATGACTGTGGCCATCCGGTAGTACAAAAAGAAAGGACATTAAGTATACAATGTGTCTAAATTCGTCCAGGGTATCTCAAAAGAAAGAGGGGGAAAAGATAAAAAGGAAAAAACAGTGGCAAAGTTAAATGTTCTAGATCTGCCGAAAACCGACCGGTCGTGACGCAGGGGTATCTCGTATATTTCGTGATCAAGAGGCAAATGAAGCAATAACCCAAGAGTAATAATAGAATGACAAGAGAAATAGCCACCTGAACTATCGACCATTTTTGGGGGCATTGTTGCTGAAGTAACTTTGGTCAATCTTCAAGATCCACTCAACCTTTTGCGCCTCAGTCCGCGCCGTGAAGAGGAACGTGTTTTGCGGTCCATACACCGCAAATATATTTGGACGTCCACCTGGTCCTGCTCCAGTTCCGTCAAAGAGTCGCGCAAAGTCAGGATCGTGGTCCACCCGTGCGTGACGTAAATTAATCGTATTAATCTCGTCCCCGTCAGGAACAGAGTAGATATGCAAGTAAGATCCCCGAAGTTCAACAAATCGACGTATCCATTGTGTGCTGCCGTCATCTGGCATAGCAAGGTAACTAGATTTCGCCACGGTTGCATTTTTTGTAAGAGTTTGGACTGTTGCAACATAACGCGGTGGAGATGAGCTATGCTCTGAAGAACTGTCAGAATCCAAGGCTGATGGGGCTTTGGATGAGCCAACACCATTCGTTGGTTGCTCGGTATTGGTTTTCACAAGAATAACCTCCGTGGGATCTTTTTTTGTCGACCAAATTCCAAGGTATTTTTGTACCAGCTTGGTCTGCCGCTCTGAAAGCTCCTGGTTGCGTAAGGGGGTTGAGCGACCACTGCCTTTCGAAGGGGAAGGCGTCAGGCTCTCAGCATCTAAGGCTCCTCGAGCAGCCTCCAGTTCGGCTACACGTTGTCTTCGCTTACGAGATACGATAAAATCTCGAACAAGTGATACTTTTCTTGGAGACCAGCTTGTCAACAATTCCTCGCCTTTCACGTAGTCATTCTGGGTATTCATCCTCCATAGGTCTGCAGCACGTTTAGCTGATACCGGGCGGATAGCAACTGAGAACATGCCAACAGTGGAATGCACTATACGCGTCTGGCTCCAAAGCTGTTTGAGAATCGACTGGTGACGAACATAAGTGCGTCCAAGGATCACCAAGGTTTGATCTAGCTCAAACGTAATAGGGTCATGCACACGAGATGACACCAGATCCCACCGCAGAGAAACCTGCACTCGATATTTATCGGCAGTAGTGCGGTCCAGTAAGAGCGAACCGTGGAGACTAGAATCCCATTGTCCGATGATCGTTACATTCGATGTTCCATCGGCATTATCCTTGATCATGGGTTCTTGTATGAGCCGCAGTGGTATGTCAGGTGTTTTGAAATCTTGGTCCGGTATCTTGCCCCATGGATCCAGCAAGCGAACCGAGCCGACCCGAAGATTGTTTATATCCTCCCAAGGAAAGTTCTGAGTAGAACTATGTGTAAGATGTATAGCAACTCGTCGTTGCAAACCTTGATGTAGCTGATAGGTACCTGCATCCATGCTGTTATTCTGAACGACTTCAACGGGCAGGTAATCGCCAGTTTCGGCCAACTCTAGTATCTGAATGCGTGAAAAAACGTCATGGCGTTCTTCTGAGTAAAATTCAGTTTCTGCAATACGAGGCGCCTTGCGTTTTGAAGGGGGTGGTATCTCGGAAGAGTCACGCATGCCATCCCAACTAAGTAATTTGTCAAGATGCATAGATGTGACCTTCCCATATATGCAGACTTTCAACGAAGCAGTCCGAGGGCTTGATAGCGGTAAGCTCATACTATGCACACTCTCAAAACGAATTGGATTTTCATCAAAACCACTAATAATCTGAGTCGTTGTAGCACCACCTTCTTCAGACACACCAGGCACAAAAAGCTGGGCGTGTACTTCCGTTCCTTCGCGTTCTGCAAATCCGGCCATATCACGCATCACCACGTTGAACTTAAGGGTGGAAGAAGGAGCCTGTGCTGATGATGGCTCGAGGGACAATCGAATAATTCCAACCACACTTTGGGTGTAAGGAGAGACCACTTCGACAGAGAAATCCTGAACACGAGTCTCGAAGACGGCAGTCAAAGGAATATCGGCATCACCGACCAAAGAATATTGAGCTGGACACGTTTCCGAAAACGGATTCTCAAGCTTGAAATGTTGGATGTAGTCAGGTCGGTCAATGTATTGGTGTATTTGACGCATAGATTGTACTCGTTTTTGAAGTTTTTCAACCGACCAGAGATTGATGACAGAATGCTTGAAATCGATTACGCGTACTCCGACGCAAGGCTTTTTTTCTTCGTCCAATGCATCATCGTCTTCTCCAGAAATGCCGTTGAGAACCAAGTCGTAAGATGACACCATGGTATGTCCTTCGTCAACAATTGCAAATTGGAAGACGACATTTTTATCCATGATTTGGCTCATGACTTGAGCTTCCTTCAACAACGAAGCATGCTGTAGGATCGACTCGGCCATGCGGACGTAGTTTCGTTTAGACCAGTGATTTACAACTGACTTGGCAACTTCAATCTCCTGGGGTTCAAGCTTGGCGAAGCCATTTTCTAGGATTTTCGGAACAGGATGACCCATCTCTTTGATGTGAGCCTCATACTGCTCCTTTTGTATCTTAAGTTGCTGCTCGAATTCTGCCTTAGCAGTCTGCAAGGCTTCCTCCATGTGAGTTCTCTGCTGCCGTAGTTCTTCAACATCTGCATGAGATGCGTCTGCTTTCAGCTTCTCTTGGAATTCGCCTTTCTGTTTGTCCAACTGACGCTGCATATCATCTCGGGCTGCTTGTAGCGTGGAGTCACCTTCCTCTTCATCAATTTGACCAGGAGTACCTGGCATGGTTATCGCAGTATCAAGAGAGAAATTATCGATTGTTCCATTTGACATGTATTTGTCCCGCACGGGAAATGAGCTGAGCGAGTCAGAATCCTCTTCGTTTTCAAGCAAGCCACGGCGAACCGCACGAGCCTTTTGGACATCATCAAAAAGAGCGTCCAATTCATCGTCATTAAGATCGGAAATCTTCTGGTCAGGGCCTAGGATTGCGCTCGCGGCTTCTCTACGCGCATAAAACCAATCTGAGTCCCTTCCACTTCGATTGGGTAGAGGAGAACCAGATCTACTTGAATCATCAATTTCCAAACCAGCTTTGCTCAGGGTACGGTCATGAGTCTTGTTGGGTGCTGGCGATCCTAGTTGGCTTGTTGTGATGGAATGGCGTAGAAGGCTTTGCTCTACTCGTTCTGCACGAGCTTCATCCGGGTGATTGAACCTGAAAATATGAAAATCACCTAAGATAACTCGGCAACCACTTCGGAGACGCGTTGGCTTTTCAATACGAAGACCGTTAATCATTACCGCGGCACCTTCCCCTGGAATAAGCGTCACCACATTATCGACGTTCTCAAACGTACAGTGGTTTTGTTGAATCTTTGAACCGTTAAGTCGTATTTCGGCCTCGCTCTCCTGGTTCTCCTGGTCAACATTTCCCACCCTTGTTTGGCCAGGTTTAATGTTATACACGAGACATTCTGTCAGGAGAGGATCATCGCTCAGATTGACCAAATGAGGCATCTTCTTCGGAGTACTTAAACCTATGAACCCCTTCTCGATGCTAATTCCAAGTTCTTCCAGTGCAGCCTCCCGTTCTTTCTGAATCTCCTCTGTTTTCGCCAGCTTCTCTTCCCATGTTTGATTAAGATCATTGTATAGTTTCTCGCTTTGATTGAGCTGTTCAACAATTTCGGCCTTGCTGACCTTCTTGATCGAGCCATCCGGCTGTTGGATAGAGACCATTTGCTTTTCTAAAGGTGTATCGGGAGGATAGGATTCTTCCATTTGAGCGCCTCCAGCTGCCGACAATGCACCGACACCACCGCCCAGCTTGCTTCGCAGCTGAGCTAACTCTTCCTTCAACTCACGTATCATACGAGCATTTGGATCCTCGTTGACCACAGCATGATTCTTGATGCGCTTGGCTGAATCAGCGTATCTCAATGTGGAAAGAGTTTCTTCAAAGTTGATATCTGCAGGCGAAATGGCCGCAATCATCGCCGTCATTGAGTTACCACCGAGCGAGTCTTTCAATAGCCATGTTAGAACTGAATCCCGATATGGTACCAGTGTTCCTTTCTTTCCTTTTCCGGATGAGAGATCCGCCAAAGCTGCAATAACACGTCCCAAGGTCGAAAGCGAACGATTGATTTCCGCTCCTTCTTTAAGACGAGCACCTGTCGCACCAGTCGATGTTGCTCTTTCGGAACCTGCCAAATCGACCAAACTGATTTTAGCAACCTTCTCGGTGTCCATACTTGTTTCAGCATCGTGTCTCTTCTGTGTTAGAGTAAGCGTAAAGACAGCGTGAGAACGACTGGATGTCTCGTTCATATTGGTTGCAGCGACAGTTCTAGCTTTGTTTCCTTCGTCCATCAGGTTTTCGATTTCTTGGAATGAGCGGACAACCAGTTTGGCAAGATCTTCGACATAAGGACCAGTAGATGGATGCTCTCGAACTTTGAGGTTTCCTTTATTCGCAGGGTTGAGCAAATCGCGAACACGCTCATTGTAAATTTCCAAATACGACACTTCGACGGTACAGATCAAATTCTTATCTTGCTGTATGGCCGTAATTCTTTTGAACATATCTTGGCAAATATTCGGTATAATACCATGTTCTTTGCCATAACCCATCATGGAATACGACTTTCCCGAACCAGTCTGACCATAGGCAAAAATACAATTGTTGTAACCTTCGAACGCATTTTCAAGCAGTGGTATTCCAAGATCATCAAATAAATTATTTTGACCAGCATAATTCGAGGAACCCTTATCAAACGACCAATATGACCTATCGAAAGCAAATATCTTGGGACCATCAACCGCGCCCTTCGAGCCACCTTTGCGAAGCTTCTCTTCGGCGCCAGGAGGCAGCGCAAGGACGGTCTGGTTCCCAGACATTTTGACGATACATTTTGCACCTCTGTCAATTTCTAGAAGACAGGCAGTGAATTAGTTCTCAGGCTTGGTTGATTATTTCGTCAAGAAGAATAACTAAATCTCACCTCGACTGTTGAACGGCCGCACTCTCACCACCACCTTGATGTTTCCACCACCGCCTGGAGCCATGGCTAAAAATATACTCAATCAATCAAAACCTCCCAAAATGAGTATTCGGGATCCTGCGTCCCTCCCAGAATCGGATTATCGCAGAACTACCGAATCGGCAGAGGTGCCGCGGAAGCCCGCGACAGGTGTCGCAAAGAGATAAGAAGCACGCAGTTCTGGTTCACGGCTGTTGTCCCCGATATTGAGCTTGGTCGGAGTTGCTGCACTGATTCCCCGCGTTGCTTGACGTTCATCTAAACAAGATACACCGCCATGCGGGATAAACAATATCCTATCCGTTTTGGACCGGCACCGGCAGAAGTATATCGCGTGTCAGCGGTCGCACTATACGTTCTGTAGCTGTCTTTTGGGGTTTCAGCGTCTGGCTAGCTGTTTCTCGCAACGACAACCGCGTTGTGCACAATCTGCATCTTGTTTGCCTGCCCAGGAACAACGGAACGAGCCACACAGACTACATCCAAATCTGGTCTAGTGCCTAGCTCCATCCCGCCCGTGCAAGTGGGTCCTCGGCCCGGAATGGAGAAATATTATTGCTGCTACAGCCTGAGGCATCGACAGCTGACAGGCGTCGCTTGACACATTCCTGCAGCCCACGATGGGAAACCGATGTCAGTCCTTGCATGCTGCGTCAGCTCGTGGCTGGGGGAGGATTTACAGGGCATAAGACTAATAGATACCCCAAGTACTGCCCGGATCCCACTCAGAAAGACTAGGAGACGTGCTTGCAGCGATGTGATTGGACACAGCATGGGCTTCGGCGCAGGGAAAAACCCTTCCGCCGGCCTCCTAGTCTTGTTTACAACCACATCACCAACATTATTGACGATGCCGCGGAAGTGACAATTCTCGCTAATGATCACCTCCATGCATGCCTAACTCTCCGCACCTCCAGATTAGCCCCTGAAGCACCGCATCGGGACTCGCGCTTGATGTCTAGCACCCTGCTGAAACGGAAACCCCTTTCCCACTCTTGCGAAGCGCTTTGTCTTGGGTTAATCCCTGTTCTCTCGAAAGCCCGAGTGGCTATTTTGCACCGATTGGCAGATTAGGCTTCGACATCGACATCACACTCTTGTTCTTGGCCAGGGCCAAGATTCCACTCCTATCATGAGTCCTATATTGGCGAATCGACAAGCCGAAGAGCTGTGCGTATATGCAATGCGACTGGTCTCCAGCAATGACTCGGGATAAAGCTAACGAGTCCACAAGGCATAAATCAATAATAGCATACCTATCCGCCAATGATTTGCCTAATGCTGCAGCTGCACTCAGGGCAGAGCTAAAGCTGTCCGAAGAGGCCTTCGACTCCGCTACAATGAAAAAATATGAAACATTACTGGAGAAGAAGTGGACTAGTATTGCTCGTTTACAAAGAAAGGCAAGTATTCGGCAGCATCCTTATTTACTACTCCTGCCCCTCCATCTATAAATATTGAGTGTATGTCTGACTAGCGCTTTTATTACAGATAATGGACCTCGAGTCACACAATGCGGCATTACAGTCTGAACTCGACAACGCATCGCTTACCACGGCCTCCAAGCGCAATAAAGATCCAGCTTCTTGGCTTCCTACACTACCCGCTCGCTATACGCTCGAATCACACCGCAGCACAATAAACTGTCTTGCTTTTCATCCAAAATTTTCCTCTATTGCCTCCGGTTCTGACGATTGCATGATCAAAGTATGGGACTGGGAACTTGGAGAATTAGAAAGGACTCTAAAAGGTCACACGAGAGCAGTTCTGGATGTGGACTACGGCGGGGCACAGGGTAGCATTATATTAGCATCTTGCAGCTCCGATCTGTCCATTAAGCTTTGGGACCCGGCAGACGGTTATAAAAATATTCGCACCTTGGTCGGCCATGACCACAGCATCAGCGCTGTTCGTTTTATACCTGGTGGAAATTTGCTTGCTAGCGCAAGCAGAGACAAAGATCTCAGGATATGGGATTCAACTACTGGGTTTTGCGTTAAGGCTATACAAGGCCACAGTGCCTGGGTGCGAGACGTTTGTCCATCGTTTGATGGAAATTTTCTCCTTTCTACTGGTGATGATATGAGCGCTCGGCTATGGGATATCTCCAATTTGATGAACCCAGACAGCAAGTTGACCATGGTGGGACATGATCACGTTATTGAATGTTGCGCAATTGCTCCTGCTACCACGTACCAGTATCTTGCTCAGATGGCTGGACTAAAGAAAAACTCGACCACACGAAACGCAGTCGAATTCATGGCGACTGGATCCCGAGACAAAACTATAAAGGTTTGGGATGCTCGCGGAACTTGCCTCATGACATTAGTAGGGCATGATAATTGGGTCCGGGCGATTCTTTTTCACCCTGGAGGCAAATATCTTCTCTCCGTGTCAGATGACAGAACGCTGCGGTGTTGGGACTTGAGCCAGGATGGCAAATGCGTAAAAACACTCAGCGACGCCCATGGCCGCTTTATCACCTGTCTGAAGTGGGCTCCAGGAATCGTGAAGGACGCACAACCTGCTGCTGATGGACAGGCTGCAGAAAGCAACGGTACTCTGGCAAGCAAAACAGCAGGCGATAACGCCGCTAATGTGCAAATTCGCTGTGTAATCGCTACAGGAAGCGTGGACGAGACGATGAAAATTTTTGCAAGCTGAGATCCCTATATTCGGTCGATCCTACACCAGCCGGGGAGAATTGCAGACCCCTCATACTATCGGTGCGATAGAGACGCCAAGTCTTTTTTGAATACTCACGATATGGTGAACCTTTGCACACTAGCACGGTTCACTTGAGCTTTCTTGCCTAAAAGAGTTTTGGCTTGGAAATTATTTGGCCCTGGTGTATCCACGCCTTTGTTAATACCACTCTCTCCGCGTCTTAAGCCCCATCTTGTGATAGGCAGCAAGAAATTCTCAAGCCCTTCATATCCTTCAAAATCCTACTGAGGGGGGTTTTTAGGACATAGACTTAGGTCAGGCCATGCTGCGTTGATATTCTTTCTCAAGATATCAGTATATGAATTCAGAATGTGGCATATTTGACCTAACGCAGCTAATATATCCATATTAGATTATGGGTATTTTGCTAGCATTTCAGGATTATTTCCGTGGATTCATAAATCCAGGATTATAGATGAATGAAGTATAGAGACATTCTAAATCATGGAATTGATTCTCTGTCTTCAGCAGCTGATAGGCTATTGTCTCGCCAGCTTGTAGATATTTACAAATGAAACGGCATTCATCTTCGTCTGGCCTCTAGAATATAGCCTTTAGTCCCGCATGAGTATGTAAAAACTTGCATGCCCAGTATCGATGAGGCACTGGCTATTGGAGAAGGTAAACACGTGGTATTTGTCCTCATCTCTACCTACCATTTGATAGTTTACATAGATCATGATTTGTCATAAAACTTGAACAATGAGGAATGAAAGCTCGACCTATACATGTCTCTTAAGTAATGTACAATTCGGCGAGTCTCGGTATATTTCGAGTAATTCAAATACAACCAAACCTATGAACATAGAAGTCTATCCAGTCTTAGTACTACACTATCCCTTTGCATAGTCTAAATCACATACTCAGTAGATGTATATCTTCAGTCGACTTTAAATGCACCATCCCGCTTTCTTATTGCATGGCAAAAATAGTTCCAGAATCGGAAATGGTTTACATAAGCCACGCCCTTTCGATGACATGATAACCCTAATCTAACTCACTCTTAACAACAGATTGCTTAAAAACGATCCATAAACATGTGTAGTCTTTGAAGTACATGTCATAAATCCTTTGATAGTCTGTACTTACGAAAGTTTTTACGCAAAAGATTCTCATAAATCGGTGTTTCGGCGTCAATTGGCATCTAGTACTTATATCATACATCTACCAAAATTATGAAAGACGGTGAACAACCCAGCAAACCAGCAGGCTTTTCTCTCCGAACTCATCGCCCTGGTGACATGGGATGGATTACACATCGACACGGGGTTTTATACGCCACCGAGTACGGTTGGGACGAGCGTTTCGAGGCCCTTGTAGCCCGCGTAACCGCGGATTTCATCGACCACTATGATGGGGATCTAGAAAAATGCTGGATTGCCGAGAGTAACAACGGTGGCGAATTCCTGGGTTGTGTCATGCTAGTGAATGACAGAGAACGGAGTCGTACAGCCAAGCTTCGCCTTCTCCTTGTCGAACCAAGTGCGCGTGGTTTGGGTGTTGGGAGGGGGTTGGTGCGACAGTGTGTTCGGTTTGCTCAAGAGGCAGGCTATGAGCGAGTGGTGCTTTGGACGAATAGCGTACTCACCTCGGCAAGGTATATTTATCAGAGTGAAGGTTTTGAAATGGTCCAGATGGAGGAACATGAAACTTTTGGGGTGAAACTATTCGGCGAAACCTGGCAGCTTGTGATACCTATAAGGACTGAGGAGTGATACGACATTCGAGTCATACGAGGCTGGATGGTTGATATTGGAAGCGAAAAGCATGCTATCGAATTATGAGATCAATTGATGTCTCGGCTTTCACCCATCACATCTTAGACTTATAAATTTAATCGATATCTTTCTTAATTACTATCTCGCGTTCTTGACGATATGTAATAAATTAATTTATATCCAAAATCCTTCTTTTATCTGTATGTATACTAAGGAGACCGAATGTTTTATTCGTCAGAACGAAGTAAGTATTTGACACCCTATATTCCTTTATAGCTACAAAGGAAAGGTTTCTAAACAATTATTATTTACATGAAAGAATATATAGTACACAAAATTCAAGTTCACACAGCTTCGGGTCATTGTTATTTATTGCAGCCGCCATCGTGAGTGGGGATGTTCAAGAAGCCAAATTCGCTCAACTCCTTTTCAACTGTCCCAGTCTTCCCTTGCCTGATGCCAGAACACCTCTTCTCGCTTCAACAAGCGGACTCCTCCAAACCAGCTCATCTTCTTTCTCTTCGGTCTTTTCTTTCGTGGGATACGCAGTGCCGCCTATATACCTCTGTCAGACTTCTGCCATTACTACATAAGAAGAAAATCAAAACTCACCAAGCAACGTAGGCTTGCTGTTGACATATACTGCCTCATGGGCCCCCTGTCGACCCTCTGCACGGTAAATCTCATGCATGATGGCAATATGATCATGCTTCTTTTCCGTGCGGTTCCACCAATCCCACACCTCCTTGTGCACGGGACTATAGGCGAATTCATGGATAGCTTCGATATTGCGCCAGTAGCTGATCGATATGATCTCATTCGCTGCTGAGCTTTCCATCCCCATGTATGAGCTCATGCCAAGGAATCCGTATTTCTGGCGTCCTTCAGGGCCATCCAGTACTTTGAGCATTTCCGAGAACCCGTTGGTGGTTTCTTTGAAGCCAGGGGCGAGAGCACCCAGGGGACTAAATGGTGTGTTAGTGGGGTCACTATAGAACTAAATTCCGAAGCTTGTTAGTTCCTTACTGATTCGATCTAAAGCCTACCAACAATACGACAACGCGTTCCTGGCTTGGCTCGGTAGGCAAGTGGCCGTATACATCCGGTATCTGTGGCGAGACCTTGCCTAGAACGACTTTGTCCATTCCAGGATTATGGAGGATACCAAAAGTCTGTAGCAGAGCTAGACCGACGCGGAAGCCCAGAACCGAAAGCATAAGTCCGCCGATGTAGATGGAGCTCTGGGGCAGAAGAAGCGATAGCGCTACGTTAACGGAGGCTCCCAAAAGGAGCCATGTTGAGATCGTAAACTGATCGCGAAGAATCTACGATATGATCAGCCATCTCTTTCCGCATTCTAAGCTTTTCGATACATACCACGATCGGCGAACCTTGATTTATCAAAGACTTCGGCGACGTCTTCGCCAAGGTCGGAAAGCGGGGCTTGAATTCCATTATAATTATTGATGTTCTTCCTTTTCAGTATTCTTTCCCTTGCCTTTTTTATCGGTTTGATATCTGACGCTGGTTGAACATTGCACCTGGCAAACCTCCATGGTTATATAGTTCCCAAGGCCACGCATTCTAACGAATTGCGCCGTAAGATCCGACTTTACTCCCTCTTCTCCAGATCTTCGGGACAAGACTATCCGTTTTTACGCGTCGCAACGACCATAAACTCCTTTGCGGACGTAAAAGTGGAGACTCGCACGGAAAGCGGTAGCATTTTGCCGACCGGGACCAATCAGGGCCAATTAGTGATGTCATACCCTATGGGTCTATGTAAACGATGTTGGAAGTGTGGTCGTTTAAAGCTATTTAGATGTTAGGGCTTGTATAAAGTATTATTGAATATTAATAAGTATTGTTAGGCAGCAGTGGGCTGTCAATGGAGCCTAACAGCTATCATAATTCCTCTCGAATGCAAAACAACATTTTTTGAATACTCCAGAGCATAGCGAATAATAAAATTTACATATATATAAGGAGTAATTTCTTTATCATCGATTAGAGAGAATATTAAGCACGATATTAAAATGTGGTATTGCCTCTGATTACAGTAATTGATAAATCCATATTGGTGTACTTTTCAAATGTTTGCACACCTACTATGTACAATCGTGTAGGCAGCATCATATAGCTGTATCTCCTCCGACACTCACAGCCAATCATATATCGAGTAGGCTCCCAATATCTTCAAAGATACGTGTTCCTTCCAGTTCTTGACAGAGTCTAGTCCGCAAAATACAATGCTCGTACCGCTCAACCGTAATGGGGAGATGGTGGCTGTGCCGCTGACTGATGTTGGTCTGGATTCTGGGAATGTTGGGATATTATAATTTTGAAAATGAATAATTGGGTTACTTAAGGATATAAATAGATAGAATATGTATTCATTAGAGATTTCATATTTCTATAATGAGGAGATCTGCTATAATAGAATAACGTATTTCTAATTCAGATTTTTCAAAAAAAAAAAAGGAAAGTTCATAGTATCAGTTGTTCAGTAATTTATTAGTATTAAATAACTAAATTTTATAAATTTCCATTTATGGGTGGAAAAGGTGGCCTATTCGATTGTCTAGCCCATTCCCTTGTGAAATACGTTATAGGGCGGCTAGGTCGGTTAGCTGATGAAATCAAATTAATCAAAATCTCGATATCTCAAAGCTTTGCGCCCTTGTTACCTGCGTTTTGCTTCTCCTCCCACGTCTTTAAGGTATGGGAGGACTCTGCCGCGCGCTTTTTTAAAGCAACATACATATCACCATATTCACCACCTTCTTCTATGAGACTGGGTTTCCCCCCTCTCTTGTGGTCAAAGAACACAATCCAGTCTTCGTTTTCAGAAATCAAGGCCTTCTGTACCACAGAACAAGTAGCGTACTTAACCAGGATTCTGCTTGCTTCGACCTCTGCAATGCGAACCCCTGTGATAAACTGCCAGATCTTTAATAGGTAGGTCTCAGCAGCGCTTAAATTGGAGTTAACGTACTAAGTCGGGGTATTTGGCCACTCGTTTGATCTTCATTGTCATCCTATTTGTTAGGGGACCAATAACACGACTCGCCATAAATCGGGAAACTTGTGTTTAAGGTGTTCTTCGAAGGATTCGAGTAGACCAGTGGAGCATTTTGCGTAACTATGGGGGTACGTTTGCGCCACCACATGCCCAAATGGGTCCTGATCTTCCACCCATGCAGAGCGGGTGCTCAGCTAATGAAGAATATTCCAAACCCCTTTCCACCATGGTTTGGACTGTTTCCTTACGAAGCACGCCAAATGGCCCATTTAGGTTTGGATGCTGGTAGGACGACGCTTCCAATGCTGACATTAATTTGGCCATGCTCGGTTTGAACACTATGAAGACAACAACAAAAATCAGTTGAGCGACAAAGGATGCAGGTGGACTGTTGATGTTTCGTTGCTCCCCCTTTTATAAGCCTAATAGAAAACTGTTCCAGTTGCAGCAAGCAGTTACATCAACCTTGGCTCTTTATTATTGTTCCAAAATGCAGAATTCTGTGAGAGTTTCTTCATGCTGAAGTATGTTACTTGACGTCTCTTAAGTACCCCAGGTTTCAATGCAGCTTAATCTCTCCCCCACAGTACTTGCTGGTGGGGCAGCCAGAGATTTTCAGAGTGACCTTATCCCCGAGTTAACATATTCCACGGACGTTTGAAAATTATTTAATTAGATTATTTATTAATTATTTTATAAATTCAAAAAAGCTTGGATTTATAAATCTAAGTTTTAAAACTAATCTATCTATATTTAATAGAATATTCTATAGAAAAGCATTATCTATATAGAGAGATAGAAGATCTTTTACAGACATATAACTCTTGCCGGAGTTGTCCTGCCAAGCCCTAATACCAGACACCCCCGGACACGGCCCTACCAAGACCGTGTTACAGGAATACCAGTAATATGATCAAGATCTTACAAATGGAGAGCTGTATTGTCGTTATTTATAAAGAGTGATAATCATTAGCCCGCGGGCTATTGAGGGGCGTTATGAAATCCATACAGTTAACTGATACTATAGTCGAGGAAAGACGTCAGTATCTATTCATAGAAGGTCAACTTCTCTCATATTTTATAGAGAGCATTTAAATTAAATTCTAGGTTACCGCATTATTTGTCAATCTTCATAGAATATTAGGCTTCGAAGGGGCCTATATTGGCTACCTTACTTTTAGCTATCATCACATGAAAGATTTTACCAGGCTGCACCACGAGGAGGGGCTTCGAAGCCTTTTTTGATATAAATTCTAGCGAAACGAGGATACTAAGAATACAGATTCAGGGGTACTTGCCAATTGGTAAGCAAATAGAAGAGTTGGCGCTGCTCCAACTGTGTCATTAGGTTTGCCACCATTGTTCTCTTTTACTCTGTTCATGCAGATGCTATGAAACGGCTCCTCTTCCGGAGCAAATGGCCGAATTTGAAGAGTATCCAAGGGATAGGAAGGAGCCCCAAAGACAGAAAGCCAAACACACTTCCAGCCCAATGGATGCCCAGGTTCTCATACATCTGAATGGTGAACAAAGGTAATACCGCTCCTAGGAGGTACCGAATAGATCCATTTGCAGCGAGGGCTGTTGCAGTGTGAGTCCCGCACTATCGGCTTAAAACAAAAAGAAGGAAACTTACCAGACGCAGCGGCACCAGGCCCGTATGAGTCAATAAGGTATGTTATTGAGGACAGCTTTGAAAAAGGGAATCAGTAAGAAACTTCTGGTTTTCACAAGGGATACTGGAATACTCACAAAGAGAACAAAAGCACCAAGACCAAATGGGATACCGCTGGCCATGAGTGCTGCCCAATCGCCGCCTTTGTGCGCTTCCCATGCGTACCTGCAATTGCAAGAGAAATATGAAGATTAGCTTGACACCGAAATATTAAGTTGGCATTCTACAGGAAATATTAGAACGAACCAGAATAGCCCAATGGGCAAGAAAATGCTTCCAGCCATAGCGGCGTACAGTCGGTGTTCTGGGGCCGGACGGCCATTGGGTGCTTGCCGCACGGCTCGAGCATAAAGTGTCATCTCGACGATCATATACATGACAGCAGCCAGAATATAACCAATAATCACACTGATAGAAGAGAGGCCGATCTGTCGAGGGTTGAAATCATAGTCAAGTGAGTAGACATAAGTGGCGCTTGAGAAAAAGCTGAAGACCATTGCGTATGCGTATCCTGTGTACAGAGTCAGGGATAACGCGATAGGCTCGGTAACAAGAATGGCCATCGAACGGAACACTGCAGCCTTGAGTGTTGACAAGGCCAATTGCACAATGCCAAACCGGCCTGAGTATTTAGCACCGCGTTCGATCTGAAAGTGACTAGTCTCCTTCATGAAAAGAGCCAGAATCCAGATAGGTGCTCCAATCAAGACTATGGTCCACTGAGTCCATCTCCAATCGCCATTGTGTTCGTGCATAACGTATGCCCCTACCAATGGACCCATGGCTGGTCCAAAGAATGGGCCGCAAACAAAGAGAAGCCTTGCCAACCCTCCAGATATCCCCCGCCCCCAAACATCGATAAGTGTTCCCGCACCCATAGCAATTGCGGCTGATCCCAAGAACCCACAGAGAAAACGGCAGATCAAAAGTGTGGCAAAATTTCGTGCAGCTCCGGAACCTCCTGCGAAAGCGATTATGCTTGATGAGTTTACCAGGTACAGCCAACGACGTCCAATAAACTCTGACAGTGGCGCCAGGATCAGAGGACCGAACGACAACCCCAACATGTATAAGGTTCCCTCTAGCAAGGATTCGGTACGATTGATATTGAACTCAGCCATGAGCGAAGAGGAGGCAGGAGTTGTGATGGACGAGGATAGTGTGCTTAGTTAATTATGACTTAGTTAGCAGGAGTACACGACATGCTTCTCGGGTTGTTCAAAACCTACATCAAAAAGGCCAGGAAGCAGGGGATAGCAGTGTGATAAATTTTCGACCCCAGACTCCAGCTCGTGGCTTCTACGGCCTTAGGGGGCTCATGGTGCTCGTCGATCATATCCAACGTTGACTGGACGGGACTGGTGCTTGCCTTTCTCAATTCCCGTAATGAAAGGGCCTAGGGATTGAGTACCACTGGTGCCCAATCAAATCAAATAGGGTGCCTTTTGCAATTGATGTGTAGACTTCAGTCTCTGGAGAGTGTGCTTTGTTACTACTTGAATGGACGAGATGGGATGATAATGATATACATTTATACTAACAGGATCTTCCATGGTGATCCACTTGTCGGCGCAATAGTCAGACATCGGCATGTGTCCTTTCCTTTTCTCCTTTGTTTCCCTCCTTTTCGTTGTGCTGAGGAACGCTTGCACCGGCGCCTGGGACGACGTCGGGCAGTCGGACTTGGTCGTCCATCGGCGCTGAATTGTAGGGGTCCGTGTAGCAATTGCAAAAATTTAGAACTGCGCCTTCAGCTTGTCGCCCACGTTTGAGCTATGAAAGCCCCATACAGGGAACCTGAAAAGGATTAGCTTTCCTCGCCAGATGGTCTGAACTTGCTAAGATACAGTGGGATGAATGATATTTGAATGCCAATGTAGCGCGGTAATAAAAGTAAGCACTAAAAATTTAAATAAACTGAAACCCCAAGAAACCTCTCATTATAACATGTAATTTCACCCTAGTGCCATATTCAAATATTATTAATCTCACTGTATCTTGACTACGGATCCACCGGCGCCGAGAATGCCGGTGGATGAGTCAAAATCGCGGACATCTCGGTCCCGAGAGGCCTAGGAGACACCACAAGTTCCCTTCGCAAGGACAGAGCATTTCCTAGCAATAATTTCTTGTCGTTACTTTCTCTTTCCAACTTCGAGCCGCTTGCTGGAATGAATTATAGTTTTGCTTTTCTCTTCAGTCTTTCTCCCCAATTTCATGAGCATTGAGCGACTTACATCAACGATTATGGCTAGAGTTCAAAAGAGGCCCTTTGTCTCTTCCGGTACTAATGACAAGGCACACCCATTCCGGGAATCATCCCTGCAAATTTACAAACCAGGGGGACGGTCCTGTCTGAGCTGTCATCGGCGTAAGGTCCGCTGCGATCATGGAGTGCCTTGCGCCAACTGTTCAAGATATGGTTATACCTGCGTTTATCCCACAAAGAACAGCGACACGGCAGGGAAAACCCCCACTCTCCAAAACATCTCCAACCGCCTGGAACGAATTGAAAATTTGCTATCACGTTTTGCTGAGAGTAGTCGAGTCGCTACGGAATCTGTAGTGGAGGGTGGTAGTAGTGATAGTGGTGGCAAGTCTCAAACTCAGGTTCAGCCTCAATCTGGTACAAATGTCAATGCAACTGCAAATCAACATCCCCGCAAGTCAACATGGGAGCTATTATTGAATGATGGACAAGTTGTGAGTCTGGATTTCTTCTTGGAATTTATTCGCGTTTTACTTCCCTCCATAAAGGTATCTTACATCCCCCCCGGCCAAGCTAATATGACGCATCCACTAGGAAAAAGAAATCAAAATTACTCAACCTACTGGCTTAGAAATACCACCTTCGCAGCTTCAGAAGAGTACAAATGCTCATCATACACTTCTTGCGCAGCCATGCACCTGTGCTCCTTCAGAAATAGTTTCCGATGTGCTGGAACTCTATCCTGATCCCCAATTAGCTCTTCGGTTATGGACTGTGTACGTCAAGTTGGTCGATCCAGTCCTCAAAATTTTGCATATACCAACCACCCAGTCCATTGTTGTTGCAACCATTCTGGACCCCAAATCTGCAGGATCTTCAACAGTGGCATTGACATTTGCCATCTATTTTGCCGCCGTCACGGCCCTTAGTCATGATAATGAGAATGAAACCATCGAACTACCTTTGGAGAAGCCAGTACTCTTGAAACAGTATAAGATGGCCTTGGACCGACTTCTCGTGGTAACCGATCTCATGAATCGACCTGAAATGATGGCATTACAGGCTCTTGCAATTTATGTGGTGAGTACCGAGGCCCGCCCTGGAATCTATCACGTACCCTTACTCGGTTTGCCCATCTAACTGACCACGTCTGTTTTAGACCTGTTTACGGGTCCATGAAGTTGGCCGGAGTGTATGGGTCCTTAATGGGCTGGCGATCCGCCTCGCCCAATCGATTGGCCTGGACCGAGATGGTGCCTGCTTCCAACTGAGTCTCTTTGAGACGGAAATGCGTCTTCGTCTCTGGTGGCATCTATGTGTGCTTGACTCTCGTGCCCCGGAGGACCAAGGACTTCAACCCACGGTTGATGTCATGAACCGGGGACTACGGCTTCCCTTGAATGTGAATGACAATCAAATCTATCCAGGCATGACATCCTTGCCAGTGGAGTCGGATGATTGGACGGAAATGTCTTTCTTTCTGATTCAAACTGAGTCATGCCGGCTACTACATCCGATTCTTGAGACTCAAGGGCAACATTCCGCAGATACTCTACTTGGTATCACAGAAAAGCGAAAAATTATTCAGGAGCATGGTCAATATTTGTTTGCTAAATATGGTCTTCTATCTGGGTCTAGAACACCCACTAATCTGTCGCGCATTGCAATGCAACATCTCACCACTGCCAGCAAGAAAATGGACTTTGTGCTGCAACTACGAGAGGAGATCATCATGCAAAAGCAAAAAGAGGGACAAGGTGGTGCGACTTCTGACGTACTCAAGCTGTCTTTCAAGTTGGCTTGTGATGGGCTGGAAAGTAATTATGTGTTATTGAAGGAGGGTCTTGCTTCCAGATTCAAATGGTTCTTCAGCATGTACACGCAATGGTACGCCCTCGCCTACGTTCTGCGCTGTCTATGTAGCAACCCCCGTGGATTCAGGACAGAACGTGCGTGGACTTTGGTCGAAGAGCTCTTCCCTCGCGGAATGAGTCCTCATGGTCATTCGGCGGGGCTCGATGCTGAATATGGGCACGGTAGCATTTGGAAATGTCTCAATCTGCTCCGATTTCAAGCGTTATCGTTGAGACAAAATGCCCAGCTATCTGTGGACACCCCTGATGTTGAGACCCAGTTGTCCATCAGTGGTGAAAGTCGTACTTCCCAGCAGCTTCTTCCAGATATCGAAATCCCGCCGCCCACCCGCACGACAGCAACAGCGCATGGAGCATCCACCCTTCCCGAATTGGGTCAAGATTTCGTGGCTGATTCCAACCAAAACTTCTTTTCATCTCCGGATCTGTCAATGCCAGAGATTCTATTTTTGCCGGATTGGAATGCGGTGATCAATGGATGCCTGAACGATGATGGTCACTCAGGTGTGTTTTGACGAGATCAGTCCATCTTGCTTCAATAATCATCCTGCTGGCCAGTGTGGCTTACTTAAGCGTGTGCAATGCATAACTATGACTTGTAATCTTGTCTAACCCTTCAGGACTACACGTGTAGGGCTAGATACAGCTATCCGCAGCAAATATACTCTCTGCGGGTAGGGGCGGCTAGTAGTTACCCGCGAGGAATATCATGGGGAATATGGCCTGCGGGCAAAGTGGGCACAGCCAATTGCCCTCATTCTTGGGATTGTCGACACAGTAGACGGCTGTCTCACCAAACAGACTGCGAACGGTCTTTATAAATTAGCTGTTCAGCTGAAAAAAGAAAGGAAGGAAAGAAAGCAGTAGAGAGGAGATAGTATATTTGGATGTAGATATAGACGGCAACAGCAATGTCACGAGGCTGGGATATTTGCAACAGCTTCGATGATGCTGCCAGACAGCAGCGTGAAGGCAATGATCCACAACCTGGCCCTACGACCCCAGTGCCTCATGAGCCATGAAATAGTCTATTAAGTCAGTCGCGGGACCAAGGATAGGGAGAGGCTGGATTTGCTGCTTACAACAACCCCAATCCTGCTCATAGCCATGCCCAGGCCTATTGCTACCATTCCGACTTCGTTGCTCTTCAAGGCTAGGAAGAAACATGCTCTGCCCAGGCTGGAAATTATGTTGAACCCACAGACTTTCCGAGCGTACTTAGAGAGAGGAGCGCATTTTAGTTATGAGTTAGAGATAATTTCAGATGCAACACTCACCGTGACTGAACCAGTGTATAACACGTTCAAGACCTTCCCCTTGACACTGTGTATGATTGGGGCGATAATCTCTCTCCCGAGCAACGATGAGACACTGAGCGTTTTGGAAAATATCGTCCTCTGTACGGCACACATGTCTCCTTATTTGCCTATCCTAAGCCTAGCGATTTGAGAGGTCCTTCAGAACGGGTCTTCACCTGGCAAGCGGTAAGTATCTACAGTCCAACTGGGCAAGGACAAATACTAACGACAACTTTCTAGTTCTGGATCCTGAATTTATGTGACATGGGAGCTACTACAGCCGTAGATACAATGAAGCACTTCTCCGCTGCGGACAAAGAGGTCCCCAAACGCTGGAGCGCTTCAGTTTCAGACATCGCGGCGATCCCGATATTCTACCTCGAGCAAGCTTCTAACGCCCTGGACATAATCAACGGGGATAAAAATGGAGTGCTTGTTGCGAATAGTATTTGCCAAAAATCGTACTTGGACCTGGGTAGGGCACTGGGAGATGCAGTTGGGGCGCTGGATGGGCCTGAACATGCTGAGGCCGTGGGCATTACGGGACTTACAGTCAGTACAATTTGCTCGAAGGCGAAAATGGGACTTAGTGTGACGAGTTTTATTATTAAATATGTTTGAATTAGGTGGCAGCGTCATGATGGTTGTTGGTGAGGAGTTTGGTTATACTTGCTATGCACTTGAATGGGTAGCGCTAATGCGTGATAGGATGAGGGGGTTTCCCTACCAAACAGACGAACCCTTTCGCCGTATTGTCCCTGGGAATAGCTTAGACCTAAGAGCTCCAGTTAAAACAGATGGGAATGGCCCCAACTTCTATCATTTGCGTTATAGTTTCCTATCTAGTCTTGCCATGTTTCAAGCCCTGTCAACCACGTTATAAAAGTAGGGAATGCTTTTTACAGTAGAACAGAGAAACAATTCTGAGCGAGATGAAGAGACATTTTTAACAGAGTATGAATTCCAATTTCATGAAATGTGGTTTAGCAGTTGTCAGATACATGTATCATATGATTTCCCTATGCCATAGATTCCCCCAATACAATGATAGGGTATACTAAAGCTTTCTTATTAATTCTATTGATATAGCGCCTAAAATAATGGCAATAACGGAATAGGGGGGTTCCCTCACACCACTCTACTACTGCCCTAATACGTTGTTACTACCGTTGAAGATTATAGCAATGTCTTCAATTTTTATATATTCTAGCATAAGATTGTATATAAATTCAAATATATATCCTATGTTGAGATATATTTATTAAGAATATATATATTTTATAACCATTTATATATTCATTTTAATATATATAAAAGCCCTATCTGTATATATAAGTTTTGTCTGCGTATATAAGCCTTACACGCGCACCACATAGAGAGAGTCATGTAAGCAACGCACTAAACACTTCAATATTAGGGGCTTACCAATGCGTTTAAAGCAAGCAGGCAAGCGCTCGAGGCAGGGAGCAAGCAAGACAGGGAGCGGGGCAGACAGTGAATAAGATTACATGTAGGAATCCAATATACGTGTATATACATACATATATATACAATACCGCATGCCGATATATTGCTTCACCGCGCTCCCAATCATATGTAGGAAGGAACGTGCTCTTTAGTATTATATTTGAAAGTTAGATAAATATAAGGCGTCTCCCTTTATAATACGTCGCCAAAAGTCTGATACGTATCCAAATCGCATGTGCCATTTAGTATTATTTTATGGTTGAATATCGCTCCAGTCTAACGGTATTCAAGAACCTCATCTCCCGCTATTGGCGCTCAGCAACACGCTGGCACCTTATGGGCCCCGGAGGCTGATATTATTGCTAATTAATAATACCGTCAATCCATAAAATTGTAGTCAATTTTGAAGACGTTGTATAGAAAATACAGTTGAATTGATTTATATGTTACCTAGGGAAATATGGTTTGGCGACTTCGAGACGTTTTGGGGCGGTTTTCTGCCTTCTCATAGGTATCGCTATTGCAGGTATCAGCATTATTGAACTCAATACATGTACATCAATATGTACTGCCTATCGTGCTGGTTTATTATTGTATGGTATCATATATTATATTGATATGTGGATTAATCAATGATACATATTGACATTTCTACTATATGTACTACGCCGAAAAACCAAGCTACGTACAGGTAGGTACCCGTTTGATGTCATGTATGCAAAATATGTCACATGCAGGAACGCCAGGTGAAGCACAAAACACTAAAATACGACCTGTAGATACACCACCGAATCTCATTTTCCAGCCTATATTCAGAAATAATCCCAATCAATTATATGCATTGTCAGAGTCAAATAATTTTAGAACACACAGAGCGAGATTGATGTTATTATAGTTGACTAGTTGACCCGTCCATGCCAGCTGGCGCTGATGAGCTGGCACAACCAACGCCACTGGGCCACATAGCATACAATGTGGATAAACTAACCATTTTCAACTTTGATTAATTATTAATCGCTCGCACAGAGGATTTTAGGAAATTGTTTAAAAGAGTGGCGTGAGGGGGGGATTTACTTGGATGGTGAAATTGTTTAAATTCTTTGCTCGTCTCTGGGATGGCTCACACTTTGTTGGATGAAGATTGTAAGTCGCTTGCGCGCCTTTCACACCTACCTTGGACTTTCCCTGAGCATGGTCTTTTCTGGAAGAGGATGGTCTGCACTTGTTGTCTATGGCAACACGCTTCCACGTTCGCGAATGGGAGGCGTGAATAAAATAGAGTTGCTAATCTAGCTGATTTCGAGATGTTAGCAATTCTATTGCAATCGTCGTCGGACTCTTGGATCGCCGGGGCTATCGGTAATCGCGGTGATGTGGCATCCACAAATCCATTCTCTGTCGTAATAATAACACGAGTGTAGATTCACAGAAGGAATTATTCTCGTCCTGGGTCAGGGGTAATGTCTTTTGCTACTCATGCCCAAACTGAGACGGATGATAAACAGTGTGTAGAAGCAAATGTAACAGAACAGCCGTAGACAACAATACCCAAAACCTGGAATAAAGACCAGACGCGTCCCCAGTTCATGGATTGGCTCTCCGACGTGAGACTAGTTACTCAGCATAGCCCATTATGTCCCCCATCATTGCAAGTGGTGAGTCGACTGTCCTATCATCGTTGGAAACAGCGTAATCGGGATCCGATTGGCCTCCGGACACTGGGTCCAGATAGTGGGTGGCCCTTCGAGATAGGCCTTTGTTCTGCATCGTCTCGAGGAAAATTAACCGCCCGTCCCGTCCCGCAATACCATGTCATATGATAGTCTCGACTAGACCAGCTGTGATAGCCTATAGTGTACACGAAGATAGACATGCTTCGGGGAAAGACCTATTTTGGAGCTATTTTGGAGCTATCTACCATCCCCGGGCAGAATAGGTTTGCACTAGCTGGGTGACAGCATGTGGAGTCCATTCATCGATGGATCAGCCTGTTGCTAGGTAGGAAAGCTCAATTTTGATGCTCTGGCATTCACATAGTCGTATTATATCCTGTTTTGCGCGTACAATCCACAGCTCCTGCGCAAAGCTCCAGAATAGGGTTTGCCACAGGACGACTGAATAGAAGCGATTGTATACCCGGCAGCTGGATACTATTGGTGCTCTCCGGTAATTGGGATGAACATGGTCTCGTAGCTCGTTGCCATAACCAGCATTTCATAGTCTTGGTGGCTTGGAGATGACCCAAAGGGAAGCTCGCTCACTAGTACGTTTTATAGAAACCCTCAATCCAATAGCGTCCTGTCGATGCTCGAAGGAAGCAACAGTAATGGCTCAGCGTGATATCTCCTGGCCAAGCCGATGGCTAGAGCACGGCGGTGTCTTGAAAGTCGAAACGACCCAAGTGGTAGATCGTAGCGAAATAGATTCTTGCACTCGATACTTCGAGTCATTCGTGGGATTCGCTTCCTCTTTTGGTAGTTGCTAACCGGTGCGACCACAGGCCTGTACCGTAGTAATCATGGGGTTGCCTTTGCGATGAAATGCAGCGCGAGACAGCTAGCCGATATGATAGGCTTGACTGCGATCGTCAGCGCTTGCTCTGGTCACGTTCGAAGCCAAGGTAAAACTATTACTGGTCGTAACCAAGCACCCTGTAGTTCAGCGATTAGCTTTCGTGATCTGGTATTAATGTAGACACTTACTGTAATAACTATGATACCAAGTAGCTAGACAGACACATGAGAGCAGTCTTTGGCGATGTCAAGGGAGCTTCTTGGATCGCGCCGGCAGGCACTCAGGTACACCACCGGTCTGCACTTGCCTCAGTCACTTATAGCCAGCCTCTGATTGGCCAAGACCACAGAGGTCTGATGGCGACTGCTATTGGTCAGAGGGCAGAAACACACAGTGGGTTTGGAAGACTTGGCGGGTATTCTAGAAGACTGGCCATCTCATCTCTACAGCCAACAATAGCTGCCTCCATAGCCATCCAAAGAGATCTTACGAATGAAACTTGACGTCAACGATCAGCCGGTGCGGCGTGTGGGGGATGGGGTATGTTTCTCCCGTCCAATTCGCCAAAGCTCACCATAAGCTCACCATAAGCTTTCCAAATTCCAGCTCCCGAGTGAGAATGAGCATGAGTTAACTATTCGTCGGACTATCACAAACCCTCCGGCAATAATCATTGCGCCGATTCGCCGGCGATTTCAAGGACACCCGATTCTTGAATCTGAACACCTAGCAAACAGTAGCGGATAATCCAAGCGGTGAAAAGCCAGTGCTCGTAGCTGAAGGGCCGTGACATAATAGTGTCTCGTATTGTTCTTTAGCAGCTACACCGACAGATTGGTAGGGAGATTGGTAGCGGTCAGGCAGGAGGGCCAAAAAAAGAAACAGCGTCATGGCATGGACCCTTTACGGAACGTTTCTGGAGGCGGTCAGCTCATCGATTGAGGATCGCGCGCAGATTGGGCGGTGAGGAGCAGAGTCTGCAGAACATAAAACTCCGCAATCTGTTCAAATATTCGTACGATGGTATCAATGCTGAAGACTGAATCAATGCGATACGTAATAAGCAGCAATAATGTGGCAGGGATCGCTTGCACGCAGACCCCGGGTCGCTCCGACTAAAATGTGACAGTGAAGCAGTGCTACCAAGCTTAGCCGGACTCATCAGAGGAGCAAGGACCCCTGTCCTTGCAATGAGGTATTGATGCCGGATGAATTGCCGTATTCTCTTCGCTTATTATTATGCCATTACTTACGGGGTATTACCACGTATTACCACAAGCCTATCTGATTATTTACAGATTCACAGATAATACCATACCAGATAGCAGTTTGGCAGACAACGTGAGGAGGGAGGGAAGAGAGAGAACTGGCCAATCAGATGCCCGGCGACACGGGCTGAACCGAGGAGTCACGAGATCACCGATACGGTAAGGTGGCGATGGACTGAATATATGCATCATTTAATTAATATATTATTATAATAATAATACATACATTATTACTGCAGACTGCATGGGCCACGCCACGAAATAGAGCAGCCCTGGAGCTGAAATCCGAGCTCACACGTCACGGCGAACGTGTCAACATGGAAGAGAGGGACAGAGAAGCTGACGGGGAGAAACGGGGATGCCTTGGGCAGCCACCGGGAGAATGTCATGAGCCAGAGCCATGATGCCATGATGAGTCACCGCACAATGCGATCGCTCATGAGTGCACCATTCTTGTTTATATTAGGTACATATTCTGTATAATACTGCTATGGAAAAGCAAAGCCATCTCGAAAGGCGGCTCAATGGGCGATTGTTGTTATTGTGAGTGCAGTCGAAAGGAACAAATAGTAGTAGCGCCGTCACGATTTAGCCCGGGGCCGGCACCTGCAAACGACGATGGTGGTCGCACAACATGCTAGAGCAGCCGGGGTCTGACCACACGACGAGTTCGGAGGATAATAATACATTACATACACCTAAATGATCAGTATTCAGAAGAAGAAACGTTTTCAATAGCAATAGCAATAGCAATAATAGTAATAATAATAGTAATAACAGTAGGTGATGTTGAATAGATACCTGTACTGTACTGTACTGGTACTGTCAGTCCCCGCCGGAGCCGCCATGCCTGCCCAGGCCAGTCGCAAGGCTGCAAGGCTGCAAGTCTCGTCGCGGCGGCCAGTCAGCACGGCGCCCAATACAAATGCCCCATCGCCCGCCCTTTTGCTCGCTGCGGCTTTCTTCCTCTGCGCTCCTCTCGTTGGTCGTGAATCCTGCTCTCTGCCACTCAAATCCGAGCGTCCAATTCGATTTCCTCCCAGCTTATCCTATCACCATTTTTCCCTCCCTCGCTCTCTGTCCATTCGTCTATCCACCTGCCTTCACCCGCCTTCCAATCAGTGCGCCGCCCGCGCCTGCAGCCGTGCTCTCTGATTAGCAGCAGCTGCCAACTATTGCGAAAGATTTGCCCTTGTGAGCAAATCACCGTCGCAGGTGAGTCGAAATTCCCTCCAATCCAGCCGCTGGTTACACCACGCCAGCCCATCAGATTGCCCACCACACATCATTCTGCCTATCTGCCTGCCTGCCTACCATATCACAATTGTCATCGCCATCACTGCCCAGTCTATTGCGCCGGCGTACAGTGCAACTGTGGCGGTCCCAGCACCGCTCTGGGTCTTGTTTCACCTGTATTTTGTCGCTGTTAATCTTTTTCGCTGTTTTTTCGCACTGTGATCTGTCATTCCTGAGCTTGTCCATCCTCCAGCCACCACCATGGCCGCAACAGACAGCCGGACGTGCTACGCGCGCAGACGTGTTCCGTTTCCGGCCTGGCGCCTCCGGGCGGCTGTTCAAGCGTGACGAGTACTGCGGTTGGTCACGGAACCAGCGGACGCCGGCCAAAGGGAGAACAATTCGACAATGACCTCGCTCTTGCTCGGCGAATCAGTCTGAATGTCGCATTCTCCGCTCTGGCCCCGTGTTTCCCCGTGACTCTGCTCGGTTTGCTCTCTACTGCTGCACGACGCGACCGCCATCACTGCACGGCGCATCGTGGCTCGATTGCATTGCTATTACGACGCACTCCTAGCACTGTTCTCAGTCGGGGCCAGCTGCACAGCACACAGCCTAGCACACCGGCGACTGTGTCGAGCCCCCAAACAAGACTAGCGCGCCCCTCCCCTTCTAGCAACTGCCTCCTGCCCGCGTTGCCTCTTTGCTCCTGCCTGCCCGTCCCAAAACAAGCCTCTGTTTTGGCAGTGACGCGCCGAGCCCAACACGGCTAGCTCCCCCCTCCCCCCAGCGCCGCTCGCCACACACACTGCTCCCTCTCCCTCCTCGACCCAATGCCAATTCACAATCCATCTCCCCCAATGCCCTCGCCGAAAATAAGCTAAAATCTAACTGTCGCATCTGCAGCTTGACTCTTTGCTGGGTACCGCTGAGTCGTGAAGGAATATCGTTTCCCCTGCTCATCCTCCGCGACCTGTCAAGCCTTGTCGTGGTGCCGCCAAGCCCCATCGCAGTCTCGACGATTTGGTTAGCGCCTTACCCTTTTGCGACCCGTGCAACACCCGGCGCGTCCGTCGCATCTCATCTATATCTCCGCTGTTGTTGTCAACTTGCGCGCTCGTCGCAATACACTTCAGTTGCCATTATCTCTTCGCGTCAATCGAAAGCAGCCTTCTCAATCCAGATCCACTCGCGAAATAACCGCACCGTTGCTCGTCTTGCCTCGCGATTCGGTGCTGCTGACTTGGATCGACAAGGTATGTCTTCGACTGCATGAAGCGCCCGCACTGCCAACGCATACACCCTCAAACTAGCCCATCCACCCTCGCTGCCCACTGCAATTGCAATTGCCCCCGACCCTGCCTGCTCTGACTAGGAAGGGCCCGAATAATGATGCTGTTATTGGAGAGTTCTGTGTTGTGGGAGATTTACTAACGTTCGCAGCAGTTACCTCTCAGTACCCGTCTAGCGCAAACATTCTGCATCGCCCGACGACAGCTTTCGCGCTCTCCTCGTTCCTACGCCCTTGATACCTAAGGCACTCGCTCCCCTCTGGGAATAGCGCAGGCCACCAGCTTTGAGGCGTGCAGAACACCGCCTCATCTGCTGTTATTCGCTGCCTTGCCATTGACTCCGGTTGGCCAACTAGGTAGCTGTTACCCCAATTGCAGCTAAGTATATTGCGTAGTCGCCTTGCGCACTTGATACACAGTTACCTGCGCCACGAGGAATTCCTCAAAAACACCCTCTGACAACGCATCATCTCTTTGGTGTGTCCAACCCTGTTCCAGCTGCATCAGAGCCCAACCACGTCTCACCCTGAGGAAAGAGAAAGGATTTCACTAAAGAACTGGGTTCGCCGTGGAAGTTCTTTTTATTCACCAAACATACTTGATCGTGAGACGTCAGAAAGTATTCAAGGATCACTGTATTTGGTAACGCATTGAAGTGAACAGGTACGTGTGCTTCTGTTCCACTCAGCTGTTTGTGTCTTCTCCCCGCCCGCCCGTCCCACATCCGAGGTCCAGTGACCGTCCGATGCTGCACTAGGTGCTGATGCGACTTGTTGGGGCTGCAGGCCTTGTCGGGTAGCCCATCGAATCAGGTTGCTCACAACGCCTAACGCTTCTAACCCCATCACAATCTCATACCCATTCTTTGACAAAACAGAACGCCCTAGGACCACTGCTGAAGTGTTACAGGTTGCCTGGAAATTCTTTTATTTTTCGCTCTCGTCGCGCCAACATTTACATTGCAGTGATTGGGCTGTTTTATACGCTTCCCATCTACAAGCAAACCGCCCTATCGCAGTGCCTATTGCCTCGTGTGACGGAAAGCGCCAGCGCGCCGTCACCATAACAAACACCACACGATGGAGTACTCCGCCCAATATCAACAGCCTCATGGCCAGCACCCTCATGCCCCGTCTCACATGGCCGGTGCATATCCAAATGCACAGAATGCTGGCCAGGCAGTCGGTTCAATGACGTCGCCGACAAACCCACAGGCGCACATGCCTCAAAACCACCAAGCTTCTCCAATTATGCCTCCCCAAGGCCACTACCAACAATCCCAGAATCCCCCTGGTGCTGTCCATCAGCCAATGAATTTTGCTCAACCATACGGTGTGGCGACGACAATGCAGCCTCCATATGGCATTTCGCCTACGCAAGCAGCTGCCATGGCCACCGCTGCCGCTTCAGGACAGTTTTATCCGATGCATCAAGATCAGATGGCTGGACAAATGGCGCAAGGCCCTCGAGGTTCGCCGCGCATGGCTGGTGTGCAAGTGAAGAATGAACGAAATCCTCGATCTCCAACTCAGGTGTCTGGCCAAATGCAATCGATGCCTGCCCAGGTCCAGATGCCACAGAATGCCCAGATGCAGCAAAATCGTCGTATGAGTCACGTTGGCAGTCCACACATTCCTAATGCGCAACCAGTGATGAACCATGTAGGTCGCCCAGGTGTTCCACCAGCGATGCCCCCACCACCACAACCCCAGGTCCAGCAGGCACCGCCTAACACCGAGGCCGTTGCTGGTGCGACGCAGGAAGAATCACCCCTCTACGTGAATGCGAAGCAGTTCCATCGGATTCTTAAACGACGTGTTGCTCGACAAAAGCTGGAAGAACAACTAAGGTTGACATCGAAGGGTCGAAAACCGTACTTGCATGAGTCTCGACACAATCATGCCATGAGACGGCCTCGTGGTCCAGGTGGACGCTTCCTCACAGCAGATGAGGTTGCAGCGATGGAAAAAGGCAAACCAGGAGAGCTTGCCGATGAAGATGTGGCCAAATCAGCCGGTGAGACCAACTCATCGGCACAGAAACGAAAGTCTGGCTTAGCTGACGATGGTAACGACAACCCCTCAAAGAAGACTAAGACCAGCACTAGCGCCGAAGAAAGCGAAGATGTTGAAGATGCCGAGCCTTCCGATGAAGATGGTTGAGTACCTTTTTCATCCATCTGGCGCTCCGGCTCCAGAATGCCCCTCGCCAGAGTTCCAGCCTCGGGTGCCCGTTCGTCTGCGCGCTCGGCCGTTGCTGACGGCTTTGTTTTAACTACAGAAACATGAACGACTGGTTGATCATTCGCGGAACTTCCTTTCTAGCAAGCGATGTGGGATTTGCTATTGGTTTCCTTTTTCTTCTCCCCGGTTTTGTGTTATTCTCTCTGTTTCATTTGATCAAATTTGTTTATTTACACGCGTCGATGACCTGCTTATTCACTGTGGTTTCTGGGAGGAATGGTGTTGTGATTATTGTTATTCTCTGCACTTGACATATCTTTGATTCCCCTGTGCCCTTGGCCTCGTCGATGTTTGCGTTGTACCTGTCTGGACTTGCTCTCTGGCAAAATCTAGTTACGGTCGGCACACCAGATGCTTCTGTCCGCATCGACTACGTGCCTAGTATCCGGGCTCGAGGCTCACCGTCACAGGAACTTTTTAATGTCAAATGGGTATTTTGATGAGGTTATATGTTTGTTGTATTTGGGTTCTGGGTTGGCAATTAGAGGTGGCATCCTTCACTGGTAAAACTGAAACACCAACAGGACGAATTGTATGTCAGCATTACAGGCCCGGGACACGGGTGGCGAGAGTTTGAACTTTTCTCCATGTGCAAAATCGCAGACACTGTCGAAGCACCCGGATGTACTTTGTCTGATCTTGTTTGATGTCGTTCTCCATGTTGAAATTCCGCGGCGTCTGAAGTGAGTCTGCCGCTCGAGACGAGTTTAGAAATACCCTGCGATTTGTTTCTTTCTATCGCCTCTGTTCTCGTTCTCGAAGGCTGTTGACTCACCATATATCCCTTTATTTAACGAATCTCCTTTTCTATCTCCTCCCTTATTCCCCGAGTGTTTCAATCGAGATTCCGTTGTTTTTATACTGTTGAAAAAGAACTTGTAATTTGCATACGCTCTTTCTCGGGCTGCTCTGTGGACACTGCCTGCTGTCCAATGTTTCTTGGTATTGAGGTACAGCACATCTAGGAACTTGGGATTGAAGGAGCTACAATAACATTCAGATACATTTTACTGTTGGAATTGTGTGCGTTGTATTGATGGCTGCTTGTTGGTTCTGGTCAAGGATGCTTACTGTAAGGTATGCACTGTTGCTACATAGGATAGTGAGAAGTAAATAATCCAGCATATTTCCCATAGCCTTGTGACTGGATACACCACTGTAGAATATATATAATATGCAGCGATGTAATAGTAATGTGCTCCGTACTTAAATGTTATTATTCAGAGAAAACTGCACATGGGAGCCAGATCCGACACTAACATCGGTATATCGGCGACTGGACCTGGCTACTCCCTTCTCGGCCTAGTGTCCCGGCACGCTCTCCGCCCCGTCTTTGGCCTCAACTCCAGCCACTTCCTTCTCCTCCTGCACCAGCTCAGCTCTCTGGACCACATCCCCAGTGTCTTCTTGCCAGGGATAGCTGCATCTATACGTCACTTGATCTACTGGTGCATTCCACCGTCATCGTTTTATTTTCTGGGCTTCTTGTAGGTAGCCTACCCTTTCCACCTCATCATTCATTGTTGTCCTCTCCCTTGACTCAGACCATAATCACTTGCCACCTCCCTTTGAACCAGTCTTTCTTCTTGTAAATTTGGAATAAACCCATTCCTTCGTTTATCTACTTCATTTCTTCCATTCACCAATGCCTTCCCAAGGTGTCTGCCGGGGAATGCGCATGGTCTCGAGAGCGTTGATCCGCAATGGATCTCTCTCCTGCTCTGCCCTTTCCGAGGCTTCGGGTATCCTACCTTGATATCTTTGCACTCTAGGGGAACAGAGCTGGATGTTCCGTGGTTGGATATTGAAAGCCTGTACTTTCGACATCAACAAAGTACCGGCCTAGCTCTTCTATCATCTTGTCTCTCATTTTCTACGCCCCCTTGCTATTCGCCTTACGAGAAACCCTCGCTCTTATTTTCTTCTCTTTTTCAATCCATTACTCACAATCTCGATTATTAGCTCTTTTCTACGCTCCTTCCTATTTCCTTCCGAACGAAAGTGCGATACCGTGTGGAGGTTATATGGGCGGCTTGGCAACGTGACACTAAAGAGAAATTCTGTTGCGCTCTGGAAGCTTTGTCGTACTAAAAGGAGCTGGTTCTGATTTAGAGATGGATTCCTATGATGGTCACACATCCCCTGGCAGGGGTCGTGAGAGTGATGATTTTCGTCGCCGTTCACCTGGTAAGATACATGAAGAAGGAAGAAATGATCGCATTGACTAAATATATATATAAAAAGGTGCTTCCCAAGACCGCCGTCGTGGTGGTACCGGGCGCGGCCGCTCGCGGTCACCGCCTATGATCGATCGATACGAACCCACGGATCGTACCAGGACTAGAGACGAATACTACGGGGCCGGTCGCGACTTCACTTCTAGGGAGCGCGATGACCGACGTAGACCACCTTCCCCTGCTGCTGCGAACATTGATCGATACGTTCCTGGTCAAGATGCTGGAAAACGCGTAATACCAACAAATCCTCTTCCGAATCCTATGTCACTTGATTTCCAGGTCGGGTTTACTTGGTTTGCTGAGTGGTGGAGGACTGAACAGAGCATTAAGGAGGAAAAGGAACGCGCGAAACATGGCGGCCGACACCCATCGGATCGTGTTAAGGGTGAAAAAGAAGCTCGCGAGGACCGAGACAAGGAGAGGGCTCAAATTCAAGAAGCCTATGATTCGTACAAAGCAGAGCTGCAAATTAAAATGTCCCGAGCATTTGTGAAGCAGCACCGGAGTGAGGAGTGGTTCAAAGAGCGATATGTTCCAGAAGTGAGAAATCCGTTACGCCGGCGTTTAATGGACTTCCGCCGAGGTACTTATGACCAATGGGAACGAGATATCGATTCTGGGATTTTCGATGATTTCACTTTAGAAGGTATCTACAAAAGTGAGAGTGACGGGGCAGGCGGTGTCATTGAAAAGGAAGAGGGGGAAGCTACAGCAGTTGGAGAGACGCTTGGCGTTTTGGATCTTCTACCTGCACGAGGAGCAGAACTTCGGGATGAATCGCTGGCACAACCGGCCCTGCTGATCAAAACATTGGCTCCGAATGTAAGCCGTGATAAAATTGAGGAATTCTGCAAGGAACACCTTGGAGAACAAGATGGAGGGTTTAAATGCCTCAGTTTGAGCGATCCTAATCCGTCCAAAAAGTTTCACCGCATGGGATGGATCATGCTTCATCCTGCAGCCGAGGAACCTGCATTTGTTGAAAGGGGTGATGGTCGTGATGAGGAGGGTGAGGAAATGGACACAGAAGTCGTTGCGAACGGGACAAGCAATTATACGTCAACAGCGAATAAAGCCCTGGAAGCTATCAATGACAAGACTATTCACGACCCAGTTCATGGAGATTTTGTCTGTCATGTTGGCGTCCATGTACCTCCTTCTCAACCGCGAAAGAAAGCTCTTTGGGATCTTTTCTCTGCCCGGGAACGCGTCGAACGTGATGTTGAGCTTGCAGGTCGTCTCGTCAGCAAATTGGACTCAGAAATGGGCGAAGTAGATGGCTACGCTAAGATCGAAGCGCGCGTGGAAGATTTACAATCAAGAGGTCTCCTGCAGCCAGCTGTGGGCGGCTTGGCTAGTACAAAGAAAGGACAAGATGATATGGTGGATGAAGGGGAGGCCGAAGAAGGCGAGGAAATAGAAGTGGAGGAAGAAGTGGACGACGAGGATCTTCTTGTGAAGAAAAAGAAGCTGGATTTGATGGTTGAATATCTTCGACGCGTGTATAACTTTTGCTTTTTCTGTGTTTTTGAAAGTGACTCTGTTCACGAGCTGGTTAGAAAGTGTCCTGGTGGGCATTTGCGTCGACCAAGGTCCGGTTTGACAAGCCAAGCCAAGCAAGTTGCTCAAGCCAGCGCTATGGGTCAACCTTTTCCAGTGAAAAAGAAAGAACCAGTGGAGGAAGGTGAAGAGTTGTCGCCAGTTGAAGAGAGGCGACCACAGAAGCTGTCCAAAGCGGAACAGCAGTTGCAACGCGCTTTTAACTGGGTGAAGACTTTTGAGGACAAGTTGCTTCAGATTCTGGAACCAGAAAATGTCGATCTTTTGAAATTGGGAGGAAAGCCAGTTGAGGAAGCTTTGGAGGACGAATTATCCAAGTATGTTAAGCAGGAAGATGAGTCCAAATTCCGCTGCAAAGTTCCAGAATGCTCCAAATTGTTCAAGGCCGACCACTTCTGGCGCAAACATATCGAGAAAAGACACGATGAGTGGTATGAGAATATCAAGACCGAGGTGAGTTTTTGCTATCGTTATGTGTTTGTAACCTGATCTAACATTATTGCTTTCAGCTTTCACTCGTGAACGAATATGTTCTGGACCCCGCACACATAGCACCTTCTCGCTCTGATGCAAACAGCAACGGCCACTTCCCAATCGCTGGCAACCATATAACCCCAGGTACGCCGCGTGGGTTCAACCTTGCAAACATGCCACCCTACTTCAATGGTAGTGGCGTCCCTGGCAATTTCCAGGGCATGCCTGGTGGCAACTTTCCAGGATTCATGGGCGTCAACCAAGCTGGATTCAATGGAATGATGTCCGGCGACGGAGCAGGCATGCACCATCCGACCGGCGCCATACGTCGCGGCGGTGGACGATACAACAGCCATCGTTCAGGCCCATACGACCGTCGCGGTGGCGGCGGCGGCCCTCGCGGCAACAGCGCAAACTACGGCCGGCTTAGCCCCGTTCGTGGCGTGTCTAACATGTTTGGCCCTGGTGGTCGTTTACAAACCGGCGGCCATTCGGTCGGCATGCCATATATACCACCCGGCCACCCCGCTGCAGCCATGTTTGCCCAAGGTGGCCCTAGCGGTGGCACATTCCCCGACGGTGGAATCGGCCAACAAGCAATGGGACCTCGGGAAGCGGTTCAAGGACGCAGCCTGAAGAGCTATGAAGATCTGGACGCTGTTGGGGGTTCTGGAGGCGGAGAGCTGAATTATTAGCACCATCATTCATCCTTTCTTTTGATGAAAAGAAACCAACCTATTTAAGCCGAAGCTAAACTTGGTGGTGTGATTGATTTAAAATGCATATGGTGCCGAGGTTATTTCTTTTCCCTTCTACCGCATTGAATTGTTGTACTATATTTACTCTACTTGCTGCATGCATCGTGCATGGATTTTCTTGCAAAAATGGAGCTCAAGGATGAAAACATTCCATTGCAAAATCCTCTATTTCAAATGTTCAATGTTACAATAGCCTAAGTAGGAAAGAATGGATATAGGATTCGATTAATTAGATTCGATACCTCGAATAGTAATCGCCATACATTGTGAATAGATTGAAAGAATTCAGCGAGAGATTCTTTTGTGTATATAAACCGCTGGTGCTTGTAATCGAGAAAGAATAAGCAAGGAATGGAGACTTGTTACATCCTAATAACAACTTCGTCTCTCGCATCTCTCCATTCGACGTCCCTGATATTCCTGATCCGTCGCTCGGTTGCAAGATAGAGAAGCATGTAGATGTGTGGCACGACCTCTCCCCATGTATATATTTTTAGATTTACCGTTTTTATTTGCTCCGAGGAGGGTTTAATATTAGCCGATTGGGATGATGATGATGATGATGTTGACGCCTTGCCTTGTTCTTCGTGATTAGATTCGTCCGGGCAGGCTTCGAGGAGACACCATACGCCCCATCCAGCACGCCCTTCGACGAGGAAGTCACGGAGGAAACACCAGAATTGAGAGAAGAATGCCAGAGTCCAAATGTGGGTAGGCTTGTCAGGGGTTTTCGGTAGGGCTAAATCGATGGGCGGGTCTGCGTGGATGATGGTGAGGTTTTGGATGAGCCAGTACCCGCGTTCGAGCGGATACAGATCACGCGTTTGTTGGGATGGTTTAAACCTTGAGATGAGATTCATGCGACTGGCAAGAGACCCGAGTGTTGGAGTGATGTGCGTGTGGAACTTTTCGTGCGAGACTGCGGGGTTGGGAGCGCGGATTTCAAGAGGAAGCTTCTCGAGGGATATTGCTTCTGTGGTTTGCGGGAGCGTTTGACGCTTTTTAGCTGGCTGTTCTAATGTAATGGAGGCTGTGGTGTTGCTTGTTTTTGCTCTACTGGTATGGTTACTGCCGTGAGATAGACTCCTCTGGTGGGAATTGTTGCTATTCCGTTTACTAGTTATCCTTTGTGTTTTAAATGTACCAGGGGATGTCTTGAAGACATTTTTAGTGTGTTGACGCCGGGCTGCGGGTTCTGATTGATCGGATTCGTGGGAACTTGGTGATGAAGCAACTGATGACGGTATCCTCGTTTCATCATTGATATCTGAACCTGTACCCCCATCGGCATTTTCCACCCTGAATCGCTTGGATTGCCGAATAGTATCAGGCACGTATGATCGGTCAACTTGGATTGATTCAAGTCCGGTTTGGTCTGTAACATCCTCTGGTGGTGGAGTAACTGGCTGTGAGTCGGGAATCGTATCCAACGGCGTGTCCCATGTCAAGGATTCAGTATTGGCCGATTGTACAAGCGGAGAAGTATTGTTGTGATGAATTTCAGGACTATTATGGTTAGTATGTGCCAGGGAATTCCGCTTTTCGCCATCAGAAGCTTGGTATCCATAAGGAATAGGAGCCTGGAATGAGAGCTCGCTATCTTCTTCCGTGGAATAGTATTGTATCGTGGCAGGTGTTTTCGATTCATGTGGGGCTAAGAGACTTTGTAGTTCATCGCCTGAGTTGACTGAGCATGTCTCGTCATGATTATTTTGTGAACGTGGTTGATCAGAGGCTGACGACAGCGACGAGGTAAGGTCCTCCACTGTCGCGTCCAGATTGGCTTCGTTCTCTGACTCGTTATCCGCCACCGCCCCGTATACACACTGCCGTGAGATAGATTCAAATCCTAGATACGCGTCGACAAGTGAGCGATATGCGGCATCATCCCTAACCCCGCTGGGCGCATCGACGTGGACGAGGATTTCTTCGGTGTGGCCTGCCATGTACCCCGCAAACGATGAGACGTAGCGGAATAATAGCTCTTTTCATGCCGTACGTAGTCCCTTGCAATGATGTGCCACAGCCACGACAGCAAAAAATGGTGTGGTCAGCTTGTTGAGTGACTTTGTTGTTGCTGTTTGCGATGTTCTAGCAGAGCAAGAGCGGGTCGGCGGTGAGGAAGGAGCCACTTATAAAAAAGGCTTTATTTGGAGGCCCTTCAACGCCGTTCCTTCACTTCCCAAGGGCGCCATAGCTATATGGGATTTCCTTCGGTCTATTTATTACTGCTGCATTCGAGTGAGTCTAAACAATAAAGTGCTGACCAAAATTTCTATTATCGCCTAGTCAAGTAGGGTTATGCGTCTCTCAGCAAACTGCAGCAATGCACCTGCAGGCACAAGGGATGAGTACATTGATACATCTAGCTCTAACGTCATGGCTGCTATATCACCAATACCATAGGGTCCTGCAATTCCTACGTGCTCAGTGCCGATAACCTGATAAAGGAACTCCCCAAGTCATCAAGTGATAATAGTCACAATATGGGGGATCTGTATCGACCGTTATTCCTCTTGCTAGAGCGATGTGCGCTCTCAGGCATCGCTAAATCTGGTTCGATAATAATGATGCTGATCATGGGATTTCGAGCATCCCCGAAAACCCAAGGATGGCTGGCTCCACTATCTGATAGTGTGAATTTAGTCTACTGTCTAGTATGTACTAACGTTAACTACCAACCGCTGAATCTCGTCCAGCTCTCTGATTCAGCGAACATCTGATCCGGTCGCGCGACGCCATGTGATTGGAAAAGTATTCACATACATGATTCATGGGAAACTGGCGCGGCGAAAATAGTCCATCTTGAAGACGCGCTCAGAAATTGAATGCCTCAATTTATGGCGCACTCATTATTCTGCTCGACAATGAGCGGGCGGGTGGTTTGATCTGCCACACTAACCGGGCTTGAAGAGAGGACTGAACGCAATAGAGGAATTGCTTTTCGCTATTCCCCGTCCGTGCTACGTTTCGTTTACATTGGGCACCAAGTGAGATCTGAATACGAATGCAAGAAGGGTCGCTATCGATCATCTAATGTGATGTGAGCAAGATATTCGATTCTGTGGAGCATTGACTGGGAATCATAATGCCTCCTAGGGGTTAACGTTGCTTTCGGCCAGCAAGTCTGAGCGTCCAATAGACTGGTTTCTCGAATAGAGCAGCAAGTCAGCAACATCGAAGTTCCTGTCGTCGATAACGTAGTGGAACGTGCCGATTTGGTTGGATTTACTCTTCTAATTATTATGCTTTTAACAGTGTTGAGCGATGGTAACTGGCGCCTGGGCAGTTGTAGGGCTAAGAGCGCTGAGTTCTAGGTGGCCTGGAGGGTCCACTTGGCCCGGGTACGAATAATGCATGCTGCCGTGGTCGGCGATCAACCATTGTTCCATTGCGGTCGAATCTGGCCGAGCATAGGCTATCCCTTTTCTTGACTCACGTATGCTGCACAAGTCTGGGTTGTCGAGGTGGAGAACAGCACCGCAGACTAAGAAGTTCTAACCCCAGTCCAAGCGAGGGAGAGCTCCTAGAGGCTGGTCTTCCTCGGTGGCTGGCCCCATGCATTTGCCTTTTGCAACCAGGGCGATGGATTCGATAGAGTTCTGTCATGTCATTGTGCGACTCTAAATACAGGTTCACGGCAAATGCCACGTACCAAGAATATTTCTCCCTTTCGAATCCGTGGAGGTCGTTGGCTTGAAGGACTTGAAGCCAGCCCGGGCCATACGAATGTCAAGAAAAGGGTATGGATCGAGCAAAAGGCGAGGACGCGTAGGCTTCGAGGCCATGGCTGTGCATCTTCTTTCGGGATCTGACTGTATTGCTGTATATGGACTACTAAGCCTCGAAGCATTCATGAACATGTTAAAAATGCCAAGAGAAGTAACGAGAATGATGTATCAGAACCGTGCTGTACGAAGTAAAATTAACCGTGACAAAGCCGCCTCATCACGAGATCGCCGATTTAGGGCTCTCATTGGCTGATCCCGACCGGCAGGACCAAAAGTACCGTATGCGCGTTACGTTGTTACATGCTGGGTATGGTACCACGGACTTAGGACTAGTCCGCAGTAACCTACAGTTTCTTTCATGCCACCTGCATACCTTGGCTATACTACTTGCTACCCGCCAAAGTTCGACACTACCTCCATAGACCTGCCCAGGAACGACCGAGCCCATGAAAACCGCATCGCATCGCATCGCACCGCGTCAAGCAGTCTAGTTTAGAAGCAAACTCGACCCGCTTGCTGGCTGTCATAGAGATCGACCGTTCCCCCACGACTTCCCCGCCACCCGCCTTGCTTGCTTCCTCGCCAGTAGATATCCTGTCGAATCCTCCCTCCGTGTCACCTCATCTGTCGACGATTACTAGCCCTTTCGATTCTTCGTATTGAGTCGAGTCAGTCATCTGCCCGGCGACTGCTCTGCGGATCGGAAAGCGCGCCCCGAAACCACAAGCCATTCATCACCATCACTGGGACGGAAGTGCTTGCTGCGATACGAATCGAAAACATTCTCTTCAACATTTATCACAATGGCAGCGCCGGGCTACCCGAATGACCCAACATCACCTAGTGTGATGCAGGGTGGTGATTCTGGTGAGTTTCCAACTTCCCTTGTTGCTTCATCTACTGTGAAATGGTTGCATGATCTCTCTGTGTTCAATGCTTGTTGGCCAGCTGTTGATTGCTGCGGCTATGAAATGTGTTTCATGCTTTGTACCTTGTAACCTCTTATCTTACTTTGGCACCATCAATTCAACCGAGACTGATTTCATGGTTACTTCTAGACGGAGGCGAACCAAGCAAACTCAACATGGGGTTTCTCAAGATACTTGGTGGGGTGCAGAAGAAAACTACAAGAGGTTAGCTAATTGACCTTCGCGACTATGTTTTGTTTCGGCCAAATTGACCCTTTACAGATGGACAACCCGCCAAGCGGCGAGGCCCGAAACCCGACTCCAAGCCAGCTCTCACGCGACGACAAGAGCTTAATCGCCAGGCACAAAGGTTTGTTTTGCAACCAAAATTGATGATGGACAGTGACTTATCTACCTTTATCTAGAACCCACCGTGAACGCAAAGAACAATATATCCGCGCATTGGAAGCTGAATACTCCCGATTACGTGAAACATACGGTGTTGAAATCAACAATTCCCGGCAACAGCTTCAACAACAACATGATGCGCTGCAGCAATTGAAGGACGAAAATGATCAGCTTAAAGAGATACTAAAATCATACAATATCTCATTCGAGCCAGAACTAGAGCGACGTAAAGCTGCTTTGGCGGCGCGTAAAGGATCGATATCTACAACTAATCCCTACACTGCCAGCACGGCAGGCTCTCAGTCGACAGGGTTTCCATCTCAACCCACGTTCCTCACAACACCCCCGTCAAGCCTCAGCTCGCCACTGAGTCCTCGAAGCGGCGGGGAGCGAATTGGATCGCGAGGTGAACCACCTGCGTCGTACAACTACGGTAACACCGGTTATCACGCTACCCCGAGCCAGGGGTCCCATGAATTTTCCGGCAAGGTTGACAATGCGAGCGCGGTATCTCCGTATCCCGGCATTTTCGATGAGGATCCCCAATTGGGAATCGACTTTATACTTCAGCTGGAAGCACCTTGTCGGGTGCACACGGAATATCTTTGCAGAGAATCACACAAGGATGTTGAAAAAGAGTCATTTTTCTCCGGCCATGCCTTGATGGCTTCTTGCCCACCCCCCAGCCATATCGAGACAGTTCCTGAGGGCAATGATTACCCCCACCAAACATACGATCTCCCGACTCCAGATTTAGAGAAACTTCTCAACCTCAGCAAGCAGCTTATCACCGATGGACAAATAACGCCGATCATGGTGCTCCAGAGCTTAAAAAACCACGAGCAATACCGCTCTCTCACGCGAGATGATGTCAAGACCATAATAGAGACATTGAATGCGAAGATCCGATGTTATGGTTTCGGTGCCGTGATTGAAGATTTCGAACTGCGTGACTGTTTACAAGCTGTTTTGGGCACTAAATTGTACTACGGCCGCACTCCCCCATCACGAGTCACAGAGGACGCTGTTATGTATGCATAGTACGTTTCTTATATTCGGTCCCCATGATCTATCCAATCATCTTGTTACTATTTCTTATATTTTGATGACACCAATTTATGGACGGCATATTGATATCCAACTTTGCTATTTTATCTTTTCCTGCCTTGTTTAATAATGTCAACTTTCTGAAGGACCACGCCACGTCCTGGTTCTTACAAGTGATTACGTCTTAACGTTAATCTATGTACATATATACCTGTTTACTCGCTAAAGCTTCAACTCTTTTGCCAAGTCTGTCAGCTGTCTGTTTGCTCACTTTCGGGTTTATTTCCTTGAGTCCTCATCTTTTATCAACCAATGTCTTTTACCGGACGAAGAGCCACCCCTCCATCTCACTGAAATTTTTGAATAATTTCTTTCGTTTTCTTTATCATCCCTGTAGCCTGAGCGGGGAATGTTGGGGTGTTCAGTTTGGTGAATATATCTGCTGGCCAATTCACCCTTCGACCAAGACATATCTTCTCTGCGGTATAAATCAAATTAATGACCGCCTTATTTACAGAGTTGTTGAGGATGGGAATAAACGTTGCTGGATAGGAGTGCTGGGACACCACAATGGCGAAAGTTAAATGAATATTGAACATTTTTAAGCTGCTTGGCTAGTGCCCAAACCGGTGTAGATACGTAAAAATGATTCTAAGATATCAACATCTATCCAAAGACTGATGTTTAGGTTTAGATATAAAAAGACTTTTCATTGATAAGAATTGGATCATGTCATTACACTTGACAAAAATGGAAAAGGACGTAAAGACACCACATCAGGAACGTAAATGGATATGCTCTAGTCAGAGAAAACGACAGGGGAGAGAAAAGGAAAGAGAAGATACTATTTAATTTGTCAACATCTTTTACTCTTCCTCCTCTTCAACTTTCGCCTCGGGCTCTTCCGCGGCATTGTCATCTTCCTCGAATGTGTTGGTAGGCACACTGTACAGACGCACGACTGGCTTGTTGGGGTCCTTGACAAGCACGTATTTCTTGATTTTCTCTTCAGTGTCTTCCTCTTCCTCATCGTCGATGCTGCGAATGAGATCGACAACTGTGCGCACAATACCCCATCCGTTTCCGAGATTCAAGTTCATTTGTGTGGCAAATTCGCGAGGCTTGTAGCCGACGACACCCAGGACGACATGTGACGCAGAAGAGCGTGGGTTGCTGCGCGACACGAAACCGAGCTTCATGTGGTCGGCCTTGGCGAGGATGGCTTGGGTCGTCCAGCGCGCAAGTTTGCAGCTGTTGTTCTTCATTTCGGTTGCCACGACGGCTCCGCGCTGCGAGGCTAGCTTGGTACGCCAGTCTAGAGCGCCACCGGCACCTTGGGCTTTGTGATCGAACTCGTTCAGGGCTTTGATCACGATGTGTTGATCAGGACCACTGGAACTCTTGATGAAAGCGTCGACCTCAGTTCGAACGATCAGGTTGAGAGGCTCCTCGTCCTTTTCGAGAGACAGGTCGAAGCGGCGGTACTTGTACGCCTTCGATGCAAGAGGCTCGGTCTCTTCTGCAGCGTTGTAGAAGGGGTTCGGGCTAGGGAATTCAACCTTGTCCTTAGAGGACTCGAGAACAGTCTGGAGAGCAAAGTTGTGGTTGATAACAGTGGCTTCCAGAGCCAGAGAGCCAGGGCTGTTCAGGGTTTCTTGTTTGCCGCCGGTTTCAGAGATTTCGAGAGGAGCATCGGCAGCATTCTCGTTCACTGTGACGAGATCAATCGAAGCACCCTCACGCTTGTCGAAGTAGATCTTGCCGCCTTGCTTGATGATGACGAGGTCCCACGAGTAAACACTGCGAGGAGCACACATGAGCATCGACAGGATATCGGCAGTCGCAAATACAGTAGCCTCGCTCTTTTCAGATAGGTCTTGAATGACTGGATCTGATGATGTAGTCACATTGTAAGCAGCGCGGTCGAGGGACTGCAGCTTGCGCTCAGCGCCCTTGACAGGGGGCTTGTCGTACGATCGGTCGTACGCGTAGAGGAAACCGTAGTTTTCAAGATCCTCGCCATCGGGAGACTCCAGATGGAGTTTGGACAGGCGGTTGAAATCAACTTCTTCAAGGAGAGCCCACTCTGGTCGAATGTTGACTGAGCTGTCACGGTTGCGCTGCGGCTTGTCGTAGTCCTTCCAGCCGAAGCGGCGTCCACGGCCACCACGTCCACCACCTCGTTGATCATAGCCACGGTCTTGTCCACGACCACCGCCACCAACTCTTTGGAAGCCAGCTCGTCCACCACGTTGCATTGCGCCACGTTGGCCACGTCCACGGAAAATGGTACCACCACCACGTCCAAAGCCTCTCGGTTTGGCAGATGTACGAGTGTTGTCGACAACAGAGAAGGACGACTCATCTTCAGCAACCTGGATAGCGAAGAGACTGGAAGAGCCAGCACCGTACACCTGTTGGTCTACGTGTGCGTTAGTATGAAAAAAGTTTTACGGGGATTAGTGTTTATAAAGGCACTACTCACCACGGAAATTACGGTTGTAATTTTGACGCCCACCGCGCTCACGATCTTTTCCTTCAGTAGTCCAATCGGCCATGCGACCAAGCTTATCGCCCTTGGAGAAAGGAGCATAAGGAACACCGTCGAGGATGTTTTCAGACAACGTGGGGGGGCCCCATTCCTCTCCAGAGGGGAGAGAGGAGACAATGTCAGAAATCGAGATGGGAGCCATCTTGATCAGATATTACGCTGCGGAATCGGCGGAATCTGATTATAGCAAAAAGGAGCTTTTCCAACCTCCAAAAACAGAAAGGTCAAGGAGGCTCGAGAACGGGGATAATAGTATTGTATTATCGACGCTCGGCAATATTTCGATGTCTTTTGTGCCTCGCCGCCTAGTGGGGCGAAGTCTTGGCAAGCCTCTCCCACCGCCTTCGTTCTGCCAGCATCATATATAAAGCTATTAAGTTTGTACTGGCAATAGAAAGCATTCCAAAACTGACATGAGCATGTCCTCGTGGCCGATAGATCTAGATCAGGGCTAGATAGACATGCGAGACCTCGTATTCAATCTCAGAAAAGCGATAGGGCTACCCCTGGTGGGGATCTAAACTGGGATTCTAAATTGTAGAAACAAGATGCCGAGTGAAATTCAGTTACAGCCACGAAAACAGTGCATATATTAATTCTAATCGAATTAGTTCCAAGCAACACTAACGGTAAGCTAAGAACATGCCCAATCAACAGAATACACAGTAGTAGCATTGCGTACTGATAAAATCAGCCATAGGCGAGTCACGGGGTCTGCGGTATGACGCTAGCGGATGCGACTGTCTTAGACGTCGAGACCTCTTTGAACCTCCCCAGTTATATACTACACCACCACCTGCGTGTCCTCGAACCAAGCGATAGAAGCACACTGTTCCCGGGTGCATGGATCTAATAACTCCTTGATTTATCCCGCAACTCCGCCATGCATAGCTGCTCTCGCTAATCGATAATCCGAGTTCAATGATGCGAAGTTAGCTGCTGACCTGGTCCACTGTCTCACCCTTGGACCTCATTAACGACATGAGTTACGCATACTCTCGCGGCGGTCCTGGTGCTGCATCGAACCGATCCTATTACGATGAGTACGATGAAGAAGAGGAGACCCTGTTGTGGCGCGCCAGCATTGCGGTGTACTCATACGCTCGTCATTCGGCTTCAGAGTCAATTGAAGATGTGAAATCGCGGTTTGGCTATGGACGACGACCACGAAAACTGAAGCCATTCTGGCAGGAGGTCGGGTCTACTTTGAAAGCGGCTCTTTGCGTTGCGAATTTCCTGGCCGCCATCTGGATTTTCACACTGTGGTGGGGTGAGAGGACGGTTTTCCAAGAAACCATTTCACAATGTTATTGGGATTCATGGGAGAAATGGGTATGTTTGGATATTCCATGGTAAGAAAATATTTGTTAACAATTCCAGCCCGAAAACGCGACACCACACCATATCGTGTTCATAGCCGATCCTCAGCTCGTTGACCCTCATACATATCCCGGTCGACCGTGGCCCTTGTCCACCTTGACGGTGAAATTCACAGATCAGTATATGAGAAGAGCGTTTTCTTTGATTGAGCGACAACTTGTGCCCGACTCAGTCCTGTTTTTGGGGGATCTTTTCGACGGCGGCAGAGAATGGTCGACTGCTACAAGTACGAGCCCGGAGGAGCAATACAGGAAGTACGGCGATAAATTTTGGATCAAAGAATATAATCGATTTTCCAAAATATTCTTCCGCCAATGGAACCAACCACCTGTTCATTCCGCAGGGGAAGCTCGAGGCCGAAAACTTATAGCTAGTTTGCCAGGAAACCATGATCTAGGATTTGGGAGCGGAGTCCAAGATGCTGTCCGTCGGCGCTTCCAGGCATATTTTGGCCAAGGTAATCGTGTTGATATCCTCGGGAACCATACGTTCGTTTCGATCGACACTGTTTCATTATCTGCCATGGACCAACCCGACCCAAAGACTGGTAGCAGCGGCATTGGAGCAGGCGATGGGCATCTACCAAACGAGGAGATCTGGAGCCCGACTGAAAATTGGCTCAGAGAAGTTAAAGACATGAAAGCACGAGTGGAAACTGAAGAGCTCCGTCTTCAACGCAACCAAAGCGAAGGATTTAAATTCAAGTCGGGCATACAAGGGGGTTCGACAGACACTATCATCCAAAAGGCTGAAATTGAGTCACAGGGGTTTCCAACCGTCTTGCTTACGCATGTACCTCTATACCGGAAGCCCGCAACACCCTGCGGTCCTTTGCGCGAGCGCTTTCCTCCATCGTCCACAGATCCTATACCTGAACAGGACGAGCGGAATGCACTCAAGATTAATGGCGGTTATCAATACCAAAATGTTCTCACCCCGACTATCTCTAATGAAATAGTCTCTAAGATTGGCTCTGATATAAGCCACGTCTATTCAGGAGATGACCACGATTATTGTGAAATTGTACATAGGGAATTCAGTGGCTCCCCGAAAGAAATTACCGTGAAAAGCTTATCCTGGGCAATGGGGGTAAGACATCCTGGTTTTGTTATGACAACACTATGGAACCCAATCGATTTGAATACGGGCAAGTCTCTTGATAATGCACCAACGGCAACCATCCAAAATCATCTCTGTCTCCTCCCCGACCAGCTCGGCGTCTTTATCCGCTACGCGCTAGTTTTCTGCCTCACTATCGCTGTTCTATTTGTTCGAGCCGTGGTCATGGTCTTCCTTTCGTTTGGAAAGTCACCAGAATACGAGCCAACCCTGCCTTTTACTGAGCAAGACCACTTGCACATGCGTTCGGGAAGCCGTAGCGCAGTTCCTCCATCTCTCAGCGTCACAAGCGCTACATCCGGAGGAGATGCTCGATTATCTAATCGCAATTCAGCCCGCGACCTTGCTGCTCTAGACTCAACCAAAAGTCATCACATCGACGAGGATGTGTATAGCAGTACACAACGATACGACGAGTTGAAAAACGGAAATCTGCATGATGATGACGACAAATGGAAGAGCAAGGTGTCTCTTAAACGTCAATCGGGGCGTGGTTGTACTGGCCCTGCATCAACTACAAGCATCTTCACGCGAGAGCTAAAGAGCAGTATCAAACATGTCGCTTTTATTGTTTTTCCTTTTTATTTCTGGCTCATTTTTAGGTGGTGATGGTCTTGTACTCGTCTGCATGTAGCGAGCATCTATAGGAGTAGGTGTTGATAAGTGAGTTTATTGTCATTGATGATTGCTTCTGTAATTCAATTTAGCGTGATACTCTACATGTAATTGTTAAGCTATATCTATTTTCATTGCATACATGTAAGGAATGATCGGAAATCTTTTTCAGAAAATATAAAGCAAGGCCTACAGACTTCCGGCTTCAGCCTCGGATGAATTGACGGATCATCCAAATACATGGATAGTCACAGGAGAGATCGTCAGGCTAACCGCTCTAAGGAGCGGTTAGCTGTGCCCTGGAAAGCTGCAGCAATAAGCGGCGACCAGCAATTGATTGCTGTATCCTCAGCAATCATCGCGTGTATTAAAACGCGCTGAAAAGAACAAATCACTCAAAGCCACTAGTAGCTAAACCCATTACTCATATGATTGTTTTCTCTAAGAAACAAGACATAGCCGTATTTAAATGATTCTACTTTCCTTCTCAGGTTTGTGAGCTACTAATATGCCCATGAAACCCTTTCTCCTTCTGTCGTCGCGGCGTCAGCATGCGCTGTGAAGGCGTGAACGTTGCGCAAAAACAGTTAAAAGGTCTACGTTTTAATGCTATTGATCCTGGAGGAAAGGGTTGTTATCCCATTCTTTCACGTGTGCACGGCTGCGGATAGTCATCCCTGTCAGCACGGATGTCCAACTCTCGAGGTCAACCTGAGGATATGGAAATAAGCTTACTCGCTGGGACTCCTCGGATGAATCTCTTCGCCAGGGTCGAAATAGTTCCACAAGCTAGTTTCACGAAAGACAAAAGGATCATTTATGCCTTGCGGGTGGCTGCGTTCGACCCTTTGAGGGCTCCCGCCAGGGTTGGGACTATCGATATGCTTTTCCTGATCACTCGCAGAATCATGACCCTGGCCGGTGAGATTAAAATCACTCATTAATGAGTCACCGCTATTGCAAGATTGCCGTCAGCATGCCGATAAAATTCATATTTGTCATCATAAAAGACGTACGAGAGTGAGATCCCCACGTTCACTCCTTCTATTTTCATTCGAGCGTTTATTCGATCGATAAAAGGTTGAAGCTTCGGGTCCAACATTGGATTCTCTACCCCCTTTTGAATATGGTCCCACAAAACACTGCACTGCTGTGGATCTATATCTGGAACGCTAGTGTCACCCTGGATGTTATCTTGAAGGCGGTGTTCTTCCTCTGTAGTTTCAGGAACGTTATCAGAGTAGATGCTTCCGGCCAGGGATCTAGTGCTTCCCGAATGCGAATCGTTATTGCTCAAAGTCTTTACTGACTCGTTTCCCTCAGATTCACCTCCATCTCCATCGATATGCCCCGCAAGAGATATCTGCGCCAGCGACAAAAGGTGTGCCGCGACATGACTTATCATCTCCCATCTAGGTATATCCATACTCTGTTCTTCAGAACAAAAAGGACATTCAGCAATCATGTTAACCTCTGGTAGTTGTTGATAGCATGCTGCAGCTATGTCCTCGAGATATGCAGGTTCAAATTGCTCTGCATGATGCTCATACATGTGCTCTTTGAATCCAATCTCGGTATCAAAGTAGGGAGTGGAACTATGATCACGGTCCATACATGTCCACCAGTTCACAATATGCTGACTCTTCATGTGGTTAATCCAATCCTTTCCGGACTCAAACAACGTATTCGGTGTGGGACACGGTTCCAGTACACAAACATACGGCATCAGATCTTCGATAATATGCCGCCTTCGCGATAGTCAGTAGGCTTGTTTGTAAATTCTAGTCAGAAGAACAAAACTTTACTTCCATCTCTCTCCAGTTAACTCTCCCACTGAACACACTAGGAAGCAATATGGACACTCAAATTCATTGAGATGATCTGGTGCCTTTGGTGGTGCTGGAATATCCAAATCATCATATTTCACATCATCACCTTCCGAGTTCTCTGCAGATTTTATAGAGTATGCTTTGGGCATTCGGTCAGGTTCAACTGTGGTTGCTGTCAAAAGAGATAAATTCATTCGCGGATCACGGGGCGATTTTCTTGGACGTTTGTTTGGTTTGCTTGGAGAAACCGAGCCTGTGACGGTGAATGTGGCACTTAGAGTTGACTTTGGTGCTGGTGATTGTTTGTTAGTATTGTTATTTATTGGTGTGTTCTTCGCTTTCCGGGCTCTCAAGTAAGAAAAATGTTGTTGGCGCAAGCAGATGCTATCAACAATGCGACTCTTCAGGCTGTTACTCGCCCTTGAGTCCTTTAATCGGAAATCAATAATCCTCTCTGCACCTTTCCTAAACCCTTCTGTGAGATTTACTCCATTCTCATCATATTCGACATAACTAGCCAGCTTAACAAATCTGCGAAGGATTCCTGACCGACGTACCGCACGAGAAAAGCGGAAAATACCATCCAGGATCTCGCTAATAACATCTGGAAAAGAGGCAAATTCTTCATCCGCCGATACCATTGTGATTTTGGAAAAAGAAGACTGTTCTGAAGAAATATATAATCGTTAGGGCCAAATCTGACGTCCACCCTAAAGCAGCAGATAAGCATACTGATGAGGTTGCTCTTCAGGTCATCCAGCAAATCTATCAAGACCGACTCTAGAAAAGGTGCATTCCGCAGCCTCCAGTCCATCGAGGCCCGCGTTGGAGCGTAGATGAAGTTATTCGCAGTCCACAGGTTAAACCTGAAAACCTGGTTTTCTGCACCTTGCATAAGTGCTGTCTCGTGATCGGCAATAGCTTTCATCCATTTTTCGAAGAGACGATCACATTGTGCAGCCCCAGTAGCGATGGCCATCAGACTGGTTCACAGTGCGCGGGAATCCAACTGCGTGATTCAAAGACAATGTGTATTTATTCTCACACCACAAAGAGGCTGAAAGACGAGAGGTGTCGGCGGGGTAAGCGCGCGAAAGCCTTATTGTAGTTCCTATTGGCGAAATGCGCTGTGATGAGCTCCCGCTAAGCCTCGTCAGCAATTAATTAGCCAGCTGAATGAGGGTCTACATGTCAGATAATAAACATTCAATACAAACAAGATACTCGGTCTCGACATCATTGTCTTCCACAGTGAATCACAAAAGATGTCCCATTTTAACATTTCAGACCAAAAACATGAATTCCACCTGATGAATCTAGTTGCGGATGTCTCCGCAGTCCTTGGAGAAGGCTTCAAGGAGGGCAGACATTTGCCTGCCCCTCTTCTATATCGGGATCTCCGAAAAGCTCTAGCAACAACGGTCCTTGAAATTAAATCTGTTGAGGTCGTCGAAGCCTTGGGGCAGTCAAAAACCTTGCAACATTCTCTAAAACAAGTAGCGAAGGCGTTGAATAATGTCTTGCGTTGGGACTATTTAAAGGCAAAGTACCAGCAATTTGTAGCAGAAGAGGCAAACAAAATCTCCCGTCGGATGACCTTCTTGCCATCATGGCTTACTACTTCTTCTGAAAGTGTTAAACAAGATGTCGACAAATGGGCCAACGTTCCTTATCCGAGATTGGAAATGCTACGTGAGCTCTCTATAAGCCACTTTCGGGGAGCTCTCAACATGGCAGATTTTCTATGCGATGAACGACGAGCCATAATAAACCTGACGGACCAGGTGAAGGAATGGAATGACCAAATTGATCAGATTTTCTCCGGTGAATCACTAGACGACGACAATGATCTGACTCATAAAAAATTTCCAAAGCCCATTATCAAAGAAGCAGCGTTTTGCGGGAAGACCAGCATTCGACACCTTTCTCAAACCCTGTACGAAACACTTCATCAAAATCTGCCGTGTCGATTCGAAGATCATGACCATAATGGCAGACTTGGTGTTTGCGAAGGAGCAAAGTTCTGTCTTGATCCCCAGTGGAGTTATAAGGACGCAGACTCATCGCGCGACAGCTTTTTTGTACTTCTGACCGGCCCTGACATGATCCAAGAATGTCGAGTGTATTTGCATGCAAGCGGGTAAGATCAACTCTCCCTTTTATACCTATTTCACGACCATTAATAACTCTCTATTAAGGGTTGGAAATAATACAAATACACTTGTATGCCTCGTCGACCATGAGATTTCTCGGGCCTATTGCCTCCAGCTTAGCAGAGACAAGCATAATCAGTTATGGGATCAACAACTGGCGCAGCAGCTCGAAACCCTACAGCCGGACGAACAGTATATCGAGAAAAGCCTTGGCAAGCTACTCCAAATCGTGAAGCCTACGTACGCTGCAAAGCGTGTTCTTGGTGTAATTTTGGCTCGCTCGATGTTACACCTTCTCGATGGGCCCTGGATACGTCGGTCATTAAACATTGATGATATCTCGCTCTACTGCAAACTACAAAATGACCAGCCATACCCATTCTTTGACAAGGTCTTCCTGTCGACATCATTCAAGACTGCGGATAATAATCAGCAAGTGGAAGCTCGTAACTCTTACAGTGTTCACCCTTTCCCGACAATTCTTGCCCTCGGTATTGTTCTAGCAGAGATTGAGCTGGGCGAGGAGCTCGACGCCATTTATAACCAGCCAGCCTTTACAAAGTTGAAAAAAAGGCCATTCGATCTAGCCAAGAGCCTTTTACGAGAATGTGAGCTTCGATTTCATTTAGAGTCCGGCCTGCTTCGAGCTGTCAAGTACTGTATAGATCGTACCTCCTTTCTTCGCTTCACCAACACTAGCAACGAAACGCTCTTTGCAGATCAAGAATTTGTCAACGCGTACTACATGAGCGCTGTCAGACCATTGGAAGAGGACCTCGTGAACGGTGCCAAGTGGACCTGGAACGAGGTAGGTTTGCTTCAGCGCCGTAATCTCGATGACGAAGGAGTGTGCAAAACGATCATCAAGTTAGGACAGGGTATCGAGACAAGTCAAAATAATATTTTGCAAGAACAGGTCGGGCAAACATTTGGACAAACCCTGGGAGGTCCCATGTCATTCACACTAGTCTCAGAAGAAGTTAATGGTTTTGTACCTGACTATCGACAGGATAAGCCTCGTAGGTCAAAACCCCCCGCATTTTCTAGAAAAATTGAGACAAAAATTTCTAATGTGAATGAATTACATTTGAAAGTGTCTTTGAACCAAAATACCAGCCAGATACAGAGGCCAAAGAGTCGAGATGACTTTGAGATCGCGATTATATGCGCACTTCCTCTGGAAGCCAATGCGGTCCTGTGTACATTTGATCAACATTGGGATGAAGCATCGTACACGTACGGCAAGGAATCGAATGACCGAAACTCTTATTCTGTAGGAGTGTTGGGAGGGCGAAATGTTGTTCTGGCTCATCAACCGGGAATTGGAAAAGTTGCCGCGGCCAGCGTTGCTGCTTCCTGCGCCACAAGCTTCAAGAATGTGAAACTTGCTCTCGTCGTTGGTGTCTGTGGTAGTATTCCTCTGAAAAGCAACAGGGAAGAGATCCTGCTCGGGGATGTTGTTATTAGCAAAGGTGTAGTACAGTACGACCTTGGCAGGCAATTCTCTGATCGCTTTAGACGAAAGATCAGTGTGGAAGAGTCGCTGGGCAGGCCGAATGCATCAATCTGCTCTCTGTTAGCAAAGCTGGAGACTGCAACATACCGAAAGAACCTGCAGGACAAGATCACCGACTATCTAAATGAACTCGACAATGATGGGCTGTTTTATCCAGAACAAGATATGTTGTTCAAACCTTCCTATCGCCACAAACACCAAGCATCTCAATGCTGCACAGTGTGTGAAAACTGTATAAACGGTACGGACCCTATCTGTGAAGTAGCCCTCGAGTCGATTTGTCAAGACACAGGCTGCGATGAAGCACAATTGATTCAACGGCGTCGGCAGAATTCAAAGAATAAGCCGATGGTTCATATTGGCTTGATTGGATCTGGTGATATGGTTGTCAAGTCCGGCACGTACCGGGACATGGTTGCAAAGGAAACTAATGTTATTGCTTTTGATATGGAAGGTGCCGGAGTCTGGGACACCTTTCCTTGTGTGATCATCAAAGGGGTATGCGATTACGCCGATAGCCATAAAAACAAGCTTTGGCAAGAATATGCAGCAGCCACTGCTGCCGCCTGTGCGAAAGGTTTCATCCGGCATTGGTGACAATGTTGATTACCCACACAAATTTGTATATAGGTGGGCCAAGACAGTGTGCGGACGGTGAGAGAGGCTTGAGGCATAAGAGCGGCGAGCCTCAAGAACTAGATCGGGACGGGTACCTACGATGTCCCCTGTGACTATCCATGTAACATTCAATTTCTGAAGTTCGATGATTTGTCATTGTTTATATAGTGAGCATATCGATATTTGTAAGTTTAAATTTCAACTTCAAACTCCTACTTCAACTTCCTAGGGGTTAGATTTGGGATTAGGGTTAGTATTTGAGAGCGTATGTAAAACTTGAAGTTTCAGAGCCAGGGTTTGGGAACATTATTAGAATGATTGATAGGGAGGGTCATTGGCTTGTTTTTATTCTTTTTGAGCTTCTTCTTCTGCTGTATGCACCCTATCTTACTCCTTTTGAGCCTTATAACCCGGAGATCTGTCTATAATCTATCATGATTAAACAGAAAAAAGGCATGCAGTGCAACACGATACTACACAGCGGAATGGCGAGTCTAGTGGACACCGAACCCGAAGTTGCCAACTAAAACCAACGCATATTAACTTTAGTACTTGGAGAAAATCATATCTGTACAGTTTCCAATTTTTTCATTAACGACAATTTTTCTGAGCGCTTAGAAACAGATCTCCGACATCAAGGCCTATCGGCCTCGGGGTCCTGTCCCACAAATGGCCCCCAAATGTTTTGCAACTGGCCAATTCTTCTCTCAATCCAGTGTGCAGAATTTTCAAAATCTTGAATGGCCATCTCGTGCACGAATTCTTGATACATCTCTGCAGGTTGTATTTGTGTGCCATCTATTGCGAGGACGCGTTCTTGATACTGGCGGTAATATCTCATCACATCTTGTACGACTGTGGCCCAGTTACTGTTGACTTGGGCATCATTACATATGTAAATAGCTTGTTGCCTGGATTACTGTCTGAATAGCAGTAATTATATCCTGTATATACTGGGTATCTGTAATGTTAAACCCATTACTGGTCCACAGCATATCAGACATGGGCAGGTATCCCACCGAGACTTGAGCTATATAGCCATTCAGATTACTATCAGCGTTCACCAAAACACTTGGATTGATTTCTGACCCATAGGCATTTGTAATACTAATTGGTCAATTGGCCGTCTAGTATACGGGTCATTTGGATTCCACACGATATGGTCCTTAAAAGAAATAGCCGTTTGGGTATAGATATCCTTCTGGGAGCACGGCGTATGTACTACATGTAGCGAGCGGGGGGCGGCGAGATTTAGTCGTGTTCTCCATCTGCGTTTCGCGAGTAATTTGCTACTTGACGAAGTGCCTCCAGCTCTGATGTGTGCCGATATGACCAACTCTTTGCCCTGTCTGTTGGAAGGTCACGCTGTGTAAGCCTTGCAAATAGAGTGGGGAAAATATGTTTTATATCCACTTTGAGTGGCTCCGCTGACTCCTTTGACTCCCACAGCCAGACAAGCGATCTTGACGTTGTACGCGAATCTAACAACTCTTGATCTATATAAAGAAATGAGTCTAATCGTAGACCAGAGGGGAACTCATTTCCGTCTTGACTAGAGGAAAACTGACTCCGAAGAGCAGCAGGCTCAGTATAGGCCACCCAATGCAGTGTAAACTTGTCCACCGCAGCTTCGTTCATTAATTACGGTTTAAAATGCAAACCGTGGTGAATAGCGGTTTTTATTTGCTCTCTAATGGCGCAGATTCTGGAATGTCCCTGAAATAAATGACCAATCCACATACAGACATATCGGTGAGACCTAGGACGTGCTGCCGTCAAGGTATTCACAGGGCATAACCTGACATTCCGGATATCATTATCGGTGTAGGTCTCATAGGCCGCGTTTTGGCGGCCGATCCACCTGTGGGTCACGGTTTGGGAACCCGCCTTGGCGACTTTGAGCTCTTTGTTGTGGCTGCTGCGTTTGCTCTATGGACAAGATCTCGATCTTCTGGGATAAGCCGCACGCGCTCGCTCAGCAGTCTTCCAGCTTGGTTCCGCACCACGCCTGCTCACAGGAGGTGGGCCTCGTTGAATGTAAGATAATCGCTATTTTGAATGGCTTTGGTGACCAGTTCGGAGAAACTTAGTCCACAGGTAGCACGACAGAGAGCGTCTTCCTCTTCTAGTGGCAGACGATGGGCAATCATTCCTTCTTCGTTCTGCACCCGTCAGGTTGGACGAGTTGTTGATGGCTCGATTGTAGAGAGTCCGAGTGGTCTCGTCCAGGGCGAGCGGGTTTCTATCTACGTTAACCTGATAGCGCCGTCGTACAATTGAAACGACGTGATGGTAGCAGATTGATGCTTTGGAAGAATCCCACATGGAAGTCTGCTGATGCCTGAATAGCCGAATGGGCACCAACGTGACAGGGTGTTGTCTTATTTCATGAGACGAAAATCTACCGCTATTGATTTCCAGACACCGATTCAGCCGTTTTCAGAGGTCCATTTCGGTCTTCCAGGCCTTGGTCTACATTGTTATCTTGCAAACCTGCGGGCGAATTTATTCCAGCCTACTAGGCTCAGGTACCTATTGAGCGAGGTTTTGAAATAATCCTTAGGTCTATAAATTCAACAATGAACTGATCCAGAGAACCAACAAGGTATACAATCATAGTGGTGATAAACATGGGCCAGAAACTCCCGGCACTTATTCCTAGAATTGGAATACCGGGGGATTCACTATACCCATCAAGGGTGTGACAAGGATTGAGTCGTTGCTAATAGCATGCCGTAGAGGCGGATCGAGATCAGGAATTGGAATAAACAAATAAAAATAAAATTGACTCAATAGTGGAGGAGTAGCATTGGAATTTTGATGGCTGCATTTGCGGATAAAAGTTGCTTTTTCTCCTGGGCATCAGCGTAGAGCAGGCTAGTGTTATCTTGAAGCGGCTATGGCATGGTATGAAAGTTGATATTGGTTCTTTGTGCGTTCGGCAAGCGAACACATTTGCCTATCTAACCGCGGCTGCATACGAAGTACCTCATACTCAGGCATCCAACATGTTATCTCTAACTAAGAAAATGTCTGTGCAGTGTGGCGCACGCCGCAATGATATCTGGTTCCACTGCCCACTCATCAATCGCTGGTTAATGTTAACGGTACGGCTGACTGGTTATAGGGAGGTGGCGACTTTTTAAGCCCGCCGTACTTCGGAGCATTGGATCCCGGGATGGGCTATAAGCTCTAACTACGAGTCCCACATGGTCGATCCCTCAACGAACCAGCAACAGTTATAGAGTACATAGAGTACCTTGGCTTCTGATAAGATTACCTTAGACAATTACACAAATTCTTGACTAAACAATCTCAATGCGAAGCCAACCATCTTAATCACGATGGACACATATTGTATCAAAAAAAAATCAATTCCCTGATATAATTCAGTATATATACTTTATAGCGATGACCGGCCTCAACTGAGCTCAACGCCATCTCTACGGGATTCAATTTCACGTAGTGTCCCGACTACCATTTTAAGCCATCGGAGGACAAAATGTCGAGCCCAAAAGTACCTGAACAGGTCCTGACGAAGCCACCGCTAGACGATGAGGCAAATACTGTTGTGCGGCGTTCAGAGATTGGTGAGTCCATGGTCATAGACTCTCACGCCGAACGGAGTGTGGTCTGGAAGTTCGACCTCCGCATTCTCCCAGTGTTAGCGGGCATGTATCTCTTCAACAGTCTTGATAAATCGAACCTTGGAAATGCTAAGACTGATGGTCTGGAAAGTACGTGGACTGGCCCTATTATATGGGTTGTGTTTAGTGACTGACGTGCGTTTCTTTGTATAGCCACCCTCCACCTACATGGTAACCAGTACAACCTGATATTGAGCATCTTCTTCATTCCATATGTCTTGACAGCCCCATTTCTTGGAATTCTGGGGAAGATGTATGGTCCCAACCTTGTTTTGCCTTGCATGATGCTGTGCTTCGGCGTCTGCACACTTCTTGTCGTCGCCGTCTACAATTTCGGTGGCCTTCTTGCGATTCGATGGTTCTTGGGCATGTCGGAGAGCGCTTTCTTCCCTCTCGTGATCTATTATCTAACCACGTAAGGGTTCCCGATCTGCAAGCTCAAGTTCAATGCTAAAAAAGGATGACATGCCATACAGGTTTTATCGTCGAGGAGAACTGGCAAGGCGTCTTGCCATTTTCTATGCTGCCCAGAGTATCGCTTCTGCCTTTTCAGGGCTGCTTGCTTTTGGCGTTTTCCATATCAAGTCCGGTTCGCTGGCCTCATGGCGCTACCTTTTTCTCATCGAAGGCGCTGGTACTATCGTATTCTCCATCTTTGCATTCTGGTATTTGCCGCGGTCTGCATCTGAGGCCAGCTTTCTCACCGCATCAGAGAAAGTATTGGCATATGACCGGATGAGGCTCGATAGTTCTTCGGTCGTTAATGAGAAGCTCAATATTCGTGAGGCATTTACCATCTTCAAACATCCTACTAGCTGGATTATTCTGGGTATCGAAGTCTGCTTGGGTGTTCCACTACAATCCGTTCAGCTTTTCTTGCCCCAAATCATCAATCGACTAGGATACAGCACCGTCAAAACAAATCTCTACACAGTTGCCCCCAATGTGTCCGGAGCTGTCATGCTTCTGATCTTGGCGTTTCTCAGTGACTGGACCCGGTGGAGATTTCCGTTCATCGCATTGGGGTTTCTCTTCACATTTGTTGGTTTTATTATTTACGTCGCCATTGATGTCGAGCACGATATTAATGTTGCCTATTTTGCGTCCTTCATGATGACCTGGTAAGCGAGATATCCTTTCCTTAGCATTCTACGAGTTTATTGAGTTTCCTACTAACGGGCATTTAAGGGGCACATCGGCACCATCTGTTCTGCTAGATGTTTGGTACAATAACAACATCGCGAGTGAAGGAAAACGTGTGGTTTTGACCAGCATTGCTGTCCCTCTGGCTAACCTGATGGGCGTGGTTAGTTCAAATATCTTCCGGAATCAGGATGCACCAAAATACATTCCGGCTCTCATCACAACCGCTGCCTTTGGAGGAACTGGTATTTTGTTGACTCTGATTCTTGGTGCCTGGATGATAATAGACAATAAGCGACGAAATGTGAAGCAAGGCATCACGCTCAAGGCTCTGGATGTCCCAACAGAAAGGTTGAGGGATGGTCCTTCTAACCCTGATTTTAGATGGTTCTACTAGATTGATTTCTAAAAATGACGAATTTGCATTTACGTAGCATTTTCTTCTTATTCTGCGATGTCTTAACAGTATATATTAAGCTTATTCTAATTAGAAAGGGGAGAGACGTTATGCTGTGTGCAGTTTGATGGGAAATGTCCTTCTAAACTTTTTTATTTATATTACCAGGACGAAAAACGGTTGGGTTATATTCTGATTTCGAGCCGAAGTTGGCTGCGAGAACCAAACTTGGTGTTACTAGTACTTGTGGTTAGTGTCTATTGGGATTTTTACTTTAGAATCAAAACTAAGGCCGTTTAGTTTACTACGACTAATAAATAAAAATCAATACCGATCCGTGTCTACTATTTTGAGACTGCTGTCTCATCCTATCTCATTCGGACTTGTTCATATAGAAAAATAGATAAATCCAGTGCTTAAAAAAGCCCAAGGAAAGAAAGAAAGAAACTTAAAGAGCAAGCACAGTATCCTCCGCACCAATGCCTGTCCATTCCAGCGTCTTCCGCCACAAGAGCTCCTGTTTCTTCTCATCCTTGCTCTCTGGCGAACTCTCATCCTTCTTCCGCAACGTAAAGTACCCCTCCGCATGTGAATAATCCCCCCAACTGCCAACTCTACCACATCCACCCCTGCATCACTCGCAGTTCTCATGGTTGGATCTATTAGCATCCGTAATAGCGGACCCAGGGGCTTTATGATCAACCGCGACATTATCTTAATACTAGTCGGCGTATTCACCCGCAATGCGCGTGAGTCACTCAGGTTTCCCGGATTGACCGCAATGGCGGTAACGCCGCCTTTCAAACGGTGGTCACTGCTGTCGCCTTCGTCGCCCGCAGCGGCGTGCAGACGACGATTTAGGGCGTACATCCAGGCTATGATGGCGAGTTTGGAGACGGCATAGCGGTGGAATCCGTGGCCAAGGGGGTCATCATTTGCCTTTATGTCTCTAGGATGGACGAGGGAGTCGATATTGACTTGTCCTTCGCCAGTCTCTTCCACATCTGGTAAAGATGGCGGGTACTTTTCCAGTGAGTTTTTACCGGGGTAATGAGCATCGCTGGAGAAAAGAAGAATGCGGGCATTAGAAACACAGGAGGTCAATAGACGCAGAATAAGGGCCGCATGGGCGAGATGATTGATTTGGAAGGTTTTCTCGTATCCATCGCTTGTTAGTTCTGGGGGGCCAGTGAGATTCCAATAGAATGCGTTGCAGATAATGCTGGCTAGCGGCGGCACGGTTCCTGAGGCGATTTCCGAGGCTAACGAGCGGGCAAAATCGTGGACGGCGGGGAGATTGGCTAGGTCAAGAGCACGGAGGGACACACGGTCCTTGAATGGGGCGATAGTTGCTTGTAGCCGCTGTGTATTGGGGTCGGAAGAGGCTGACGGATTACGCACCGTCAGGATTGCGGTTATGTCGGGATGGGTGGAGAGGAGGTGATGCACGGCTGGGATGGCGAGGGAGCCATTTGCGCCGGTTAGGAGCACGGAGCTGATTGCCATTTTTTGTTTTTGGCTTGGGGTTGCTATGCCTTGCTTTGCTTTTGCATGGAATCTCAGCAGCAATAAATGCTATTTACGATAATAGCACATACGCATGAGATGATTCTGTCTATGAACAAGAAGAGGGGAATGAATTTCAGCTTAATAATAGTGACCGAGATCCTCCCCTGTCAATATCCGCCAAGCCCTCAATACACGCCGAATGGCTCAAACAACAATTAATAACCAGAGATAAATCAGCGAATACGCGAGCTGGCGGAAAGAACTAAAATGGCCTGATTGGCTGCCGAAAGTACCAAAGTTTAACAAATTTCCTCTTTATGTTAGGTTTGTTCGGCTTATTGATAATAATATTTTGCATTGTTGCAATGCTTTGCCCCGAAATAGATCTCCTTTGGTATTTATGCGCACACATGTAGCTAGGATCTATCCAACAGGTTTACGGAGCTAGCGGTAAGAGGATGTTCTTGAGGATTTCAGAGCTAGTGCAACTATATTCTATGAATATGGATGGATGGTGTGTATTCAACTTAGATTGATATATACAAAGATCCTAATTTGTATAGAGAATAAAATAGATAAAGAGAATCCTTAAGTGCTACCACCTATACACGCATATGTGTTAACATCTCCCGCGGCGTTTTCGTCGGAGTGGAGAGCGTCCATTCCCGCCTGCGTCACTGCCCAGCCTAGGTATTGCCTAGGAAGCGCCGTTCCCTGGGCTGTACTGAGGAAATCCTGGGGGTCTGGCACGCACAATGTGGACCCGATGTCCATTTTGGTGTTGGGGCAGTCAGTGACCCATGGGTCGGGGTAATTCATGCCCCAACTACATACCTGCAAGGAACTGAGGCAGTTGAAACCAAGATCGCCATTGGTGAGGTTCAGCTGAGTGACATTGAAAGTAGGACTACCACCGCCAGAACAACCGGCTGCTCCGGCGAAAAGCATTTCACCTGTTGTATAGCCACTGAATGAGCCATTATTAGCGGCCTGCTGAGCATCGTAACCAAGGAGCTGCGACATGACAGAGCTGCCATTATAGCCATTGTCAGAGGTCGAGGTGAGACCGTAGGTTATGTCGGCCGAGTTATCATACCACCATATATTGCATTCACCATTCTTATCGTAGCCAGAACTGCATCCAAAGATCCCCAGATCAACTAGAGAGTTGAGTTGAGTACCGTTGGTGAAAAGGGCATGCACGTCGGTATTCCAAGCTCGGGTTAGAATGAAGTTGTTTAATTTGAGCAGCGAGGAAATGATAAAAGTATACATTCCCGGAAGCATAGCTTGTTTCATCGAATCCAGGGAAGGGTTATCAGTTCCAGAAAATAGACCATGAGCGGACAGCGCGAGAAAGCTGTCAACGTCGTTGATGGCAGGATCAAGGCCGTTGGAGACACTGGTTTGTAAAGCAGAAGTCACCTTGCCAAGGCTGTCAGACACATTCTGCCAGTTCATCACTTCTTGATTGAAAGAGCTTGATTCGGGAAACAAGAATTTGGCCACACCCAGCGCTTGTCCCAAGCCCGTCTGTCAGTCATAAATTATTAGCTTACTTCTCATATGTCTAGATAATACGGTGGGAACTTACAAGCAACATGCCAAACCACGACGGTGCTCCCTCTGGAGCACTCACAAAAGCAAGACCAATAGCAAGAGCTGTTAAAACGTCGTTCAATGCAACGTTTGCCGTCTCAGGAGGCTGTACAATCTTCGCAATCTCTCCAACAGAATCTGACGCTATCGAGGAGACATCCCCAATAGTAGCGTAGTAGTCTTGAAAAAACCCATGAATGTTGAAAACACTCAAGGTAGCGTAGAAAATCCGCACAGAGTTCCAAGGATATTTCTCATAATCTCCCGAAGAAGGCTCTTTACACAGAGAGTCACTATGTAGCGCAGAACAATTCATTGGAGAATCCGCCGTCATAATATTCACAAAGCAATCACCGAAACCGTGATAGGCCGGGTGACTGTTGCAGATGGATTCATATTCTCCCCACCACCATTGCACGAAGCCATCCATATCAAGTTCGTCCCAGCACGAAGGATCCGGGTTACCTATGTCGGAACAATTCTCCGAGGGAGGGTCTGTCCAGAACAGTTCAACACCGCCTGGTTGCTTTTCAGCGATGGCGATTTGAGGAACCTCAACGTAATGAGTGGGTACCGCGCTGGGTGTAGCGCATACCGTGGTAAGGGACACCGAGGACAAGGCTATGATAGTCGGCACGGAGCTTGCGGTAGCAGTGTGATCCCCCCACAAGTGCAGTACTGGGTCGAGTAGACCTCGAAAGGAGTAACGATCTCGCAACCAACATCAGGCGCGGTGACCGGCTGGTCAGCCGATACCATGGATTGCCAGGAAGTCCACTCATCCTGGTAGGTAGTGATGGGCGTGGGTGTACCCTCACACACTGTCGACGTGATGACGCCGGTGGCCTCTGTGACTTTCAAGAGAGAGGACGAAGTGCAACCGATAACAACGCCATCTATAAGAGTCTCAATGACTGCGAAGCCGCTAGATGTTGGTGTAGCTGTATACGAAGCACTTCTCGACGGAGTCCTAGAAGGCCTCCGAGAAGGTGTCCTCGAAGCAGGAGTAGAAGCAGAGTTTAGGGCAAATGCTGAGGTTGCGAAGGCAAGAAACAGGGCTATGTGCCCTGACTTCTTCAGAATCATCATGGGCATGTATAAATGAATGTATACTAGACAGAAATCCAGGTGTAGACAAGGAGGGATTGAAATATCTTTAAAGCAGAAGAGAATGAATAATATACCGGTAAAGGGTATGAAAGTGCAAGGCGATGCTAATGTTATATGCTTTTTCACTCAGTCAGCATAAGCGCATACGGTCTATCATTCAGATTTTGATATAACCATCATGCACGACTTTTAACCTGAAAAATTCTAATAATATCAGATTAATTTACTATAGTAACTAAGTAACCCTCCTGAATACCCCTGTGAGCACTCTGTTTCATCAGCGACCATTGCTTGGAGAATGGGTTACTCGATGTGGATGTCGATGCGCCAATCTGACAGGGCTGACAGGAAACGATAGGCTTATAATTAACTATTCAATTTTTATTTTTAGGAGCGGCCACTATCCCCTCACCCGTCCCAATTAGCGCCGTATTTCGTGGAATCTAGCGCGCCACAAAACGGCGCGGTTCTAGAAATTGGATAATATTAATATTCTATTTAACTATTAAAACTAATATATTTTAACTAATTATATGTAGACTAGTTAAGCTTTACTAATAGATCATATAGTCTCAGCAGTGAATCTTCAAGCAGAGAGCAAAATTGCATGCTAAACATCCTGATCTTGATCGTCCAGCTCTTTCAGAGTCCTTTTGACATTTACTTTTTGTATAGGAGTACCGTACACAAACTGCCTGCTGTGATAGTTGACCTCTTTGATGATTTAATTGAGGATCAAGTCAGACTGTAGATAGGTCAATCTCTTGGGATATAAAAAGCTCTTGATAAAGCCTGTCTCTAAATTCTAACTGGCTAGGAGACTTGCTATTATCTTGTTGCTTATAGATATTATGAATTCTAAAAGCATTGATAATTGTAGTATCTGATAGCTAGTATAGGATTGGAAGCTAGGTCTATCTAGTAGAACTATGAGTCTTATAGGCAGATCTGTATTGATCAGCTGGATTAACTCGATTCATATAGTGATTATAGTTATCTACGAATCACTTCAGGATGAGCCTAGGAGTTCAAGCCAAAAGAAATGAAACTAGGAAAGATATTGGAATTGCAGACTTACGCTATGAAAGGATGTCTGATTCCACATAATAGAAATATGAGACCATCTCAGTACGAACACTTGTAGGATCGTTTGGAAGGAAAATCAAAAGATTTAATTTCAGAATCACCATCGGAAGCGACCCACGTTACAACCCTATCAAACCCAGTGAATTTGGAAGGCATGAATAGTGATAAACCCTCCTCAAGTTTGAAAGACATAGACATGCATGAAAGTTTGTCAAATTTAGGGAGAGGGAGGGAGGTCTGTTATACAATCAAGTTTTCATTTCGGTTGTTGTTCCTGCTATTATTGAATTGGACGATGCATTGAGTTCATGTGGCGTTTTCATTTTCTCGACCGAGAGTTGGTGACTTCGGAGAAAACATCATTGTGACCTGAGATGAAGGAGCTTTTCCTAATGAGGAGCCCATTCGTTGAAGTCTCAAGAGAGAAGCCTCAAAGCCTCAAAGAAAGGAGAACTTAAATATCTAATCCGCTAATAGTTTGTTCCTCCCAGCAATTTGCCAGACCATCATACCCTAAGTTTCCGACTGCTATCTTCAACGGATTGTGCACTTTTTGTCATGAGTGTAAAAGAGCGAATGCTAATTTTAGAATACTAAAGTTACATGTTCTCAGTATCATGAATGAATCAATCGATTGATCAATCACACCCGTGGTGCCGTTTGACCATATTTAAACTGAGAGTGATGAAATGAAGTAGGTCTAAGAGGTGGGAATTGAAGCAGAAAAATAAAAAAATAAAAATCATGTTCATCCCTCGAGTTTGAGCTGGTGCCTGGGAAGGACTGCCTAGGGCATGCTTAGCGCGAACACTGAGTAGCCCCCACGAGCACCGGGCGCTCATGAGCACGCGCTGGTCTGGCTGAATATAAAGCGGCGCCGTGCTGAGCGCGTTAGCGCCGCACATCGCGATAGGGCGAACTTGGATGATTTGCTTGCATTAGGTTAAGAATCCTACCCACCCTGAGGGTTATAAACTCTGCGTTAATATGAGCTTGTGATGGCATATGAATACTAGGGTCTTTGGTGCTGTAACTTTCAGACTATCATATTAGATTAAAGATATTAAGTAATCTGATAAAGTGGTAGATTTATTAGTGGCCCAATTGGATGACCGAGGTTTGAGGGTAATTGTTTAATACGGACTCCTATGTCCGTACCCCTTGCATCCATGGAGCCAAATGCAGGATCGTACTGGCTTACCTTGACAACTAGCTCAAAGGACTTCAATTATGATTCTAGTATTGTACTTTCTTTAATAACACTACATCTCAGCATGTACATGGAAACAAGTATAGAGATTTACCTTTATTTTGTTGCTGTACGGAAAATTGACCGTTGTTCCTACAGAGAAACAAATAACGGGTAAGAAAACGATAATGTATGTTGCATTCCACAGGAGCTTAGGTATGCAACACAGTCGGGGAGCAATTAGCCGACACTGGCTAGTTGTAGAAGTTCCTTGGAATGTTGTTGAGGGAGTAACCGACGTCGATATTGGAGTTTTGAAAGAGGAAAAACGATACGTTACTAGATTCATCACAGACGTGCTACTATGAGGGGTTCCTTCAACATACTGTAATAGGGATTCAATGATTTTGCAATTAAACCGATAGGAATGTATTGAGTGGTCACATTTTCGTAGATTAATGTATGCAACTGAAATTTTATGTAGCATCCCTGGCTGAGACATCCCGATCTGGACTGTTATTCCACGTGGGAATTGTTTGGTTAGGACTTTTGATCAGATCTCCGGCCGATCCTATAAAATGCTCTCCTGTTTTCTTTTTTGGCTAATCTCTCATCTCACTTTCTTATATTATGTATGCGCAATGATTAATTGATATTCACTCATTTCTAGAACCGCGTATCTAGTGCTGCATATACTAGACTCTAGCGTTCACAACAGGCACATATCCATAAATTTTGGACATAATGTTGAAGACATCACTCTTTTCTCTTGCCTCTCTTTCGGTCCTTTCGAGGACGGCCAATGGCTATGGGGTTACTGGTGTATCTGCTGGCGTTAACCCTGACACTGGAGAACGACCCTCGCGCATCGATTTGAGAAACCTACAATCGGCTGGCCCAGCATTTGATCTCTTCGTGCAAGCACTCGCTCAGTTTCAAAGCGATGACCAGAGTGACTTGGTTTCGTATTACGAAGTTGCAGGTATACCTAACCAACATCCAAAAAACCCTCCTCCGTCAAACCTTCCATCATACTAACACACACAGGAATCCATGGTTATCCATACAGGTCTTGGGATAACGTAGACGGTCAATACCAAACAGGCTATTGCTCGCATGGATCGCCAATATTTCCGACCTGGCATCGACCTTATCTCTCCCTATTTGAGCAGCGCATCTGGTCTTATGCTCAAGACATTGCGAATTCATACCCGGATGACCAGCGCCAGTCATACGTGGACGCAGCGACAACTCTAAGAGTTCCTTATTGGGATTGGGCAGTTAATCCGAATTTACCTGAAAGTACGACGTACCAGAAAATCGCGATCAATTCTCCAACCGGCCAGCAGACGATTGATAACCCGTTATATTCGTACAAGTTTCATCCGTTACCGCTGGGTACTGATATTCCTAACAATGACCCTGTAAGTATATGCTTATCTTATTGTAAAGTTTGATCAATTGCTGATTAGACCGGCGGTTTTTTCAGCTAGCGAAATACCAGGAGACAGTCCGCTCCCCGGATCCAAACACAGGCGTGACCCGAATTGACAATGTCAACTCGGGAATGAGTTCCAACTCTGCATGGTCAGTTTGTCGAATCTAATCCCCAACATCTTACTTTATGTTCACAACTAACCCGTTGTGAAGGTTGAAATCGAGTACCTATCAGCTTCTTTCATCAGAAACAAACTACACAATCTTTTCCAACAATGTGTTGACAGACCGAGGTGATAACTACAATAATCTTGAAAGCATCCACGATGGAGTACATGCCCTAGTCGGTGACGGAGGTCATATGACATACTTCAGCATGGCTGCCTTTGATCCCATCTTCTGGATGCATCATGCGTAAATTCTCAGCCATCACATATATTGATTAAACTTAAACTAATATGATACAAACAGTTCAATCGACCGCATCTTCGCTCTCTGGGAAGTGCTCAACCCAGACTCCTATGTTGAGCCAATGGCCGACGCATATGGAACATTCGTAATTCCAGCAGGCGGAATCGAAGATGTCAATACACCGCTATATCCATTTCATCGTTCCGATGACCCGAATGATTGGTGGACATCGGTTTCCAGTCGCTCGACTCGAGATTTCGGGTATACGTATCCCGAGATCCAGGACTGGGGTGTTGATCAGGCTACACTTCAGAATAATGTGCGTACGGCAATTAATAATTTGTATAATGCTCCGGCTCGTATGGCTTCTACATCAAGAAAGCAAAAGAGAGGGGCGTTCGACGGAGTGAAGGGGCTAGTCGATGTGCCTGGAAGTGGGAAGAGCATGGCAACAAATGCAGTGGCAGGAAAAATGACAGAGAGCGATTTCGACAGTCTTGGAGTTAACAATTTAGCCAGAAACTGGGCTATCAATGTTGCTGTTGACAAGTACGTTTCTTCCCCCATCAATGCATATTTACATGTTACGAGCCGCGGAATAAGCAGAATTACTAATTTGGGAAACATCACGAAACAGACATGCACTAGGCGGAAACCCTTTTCAAATCCATTTCTTCTATGGCCAACCAGATGCTAGCATCAAACCGAGCGACTACTACCATGCCGAGAATCTCATCGGCACGTACCGAATTTTCGCCGGTGCCAATAATACCCACAGTCTACAACTATCTCCGAACCAACAACATCGCTCATTATCTAGTGATGGGGACACGCCGACTCTTTCCGCAGGACAGATTTCGCTCTCTCCGCTTCTCGCGCGAGCGATTGCAAATGGAATATTACCAGACGAGACGTTGGGGCCTGAACACGTCGTCCCAACGCTCTCGGACAATTTGAATTGGCGGATTACTGACTCAGCTGGCCAAGAAGTTCCCGTGGCAGATTTAGCGGATCAGGGCAAGTTGCGGGTTGGAGTGGTGTCGCGAGAGGTCGATCCGATTGTGCAGGGGGAGGAGCATCGGTTCCCTCGGTATGGAGAATGGGTTCAATGGGAAAACGCGACGAAGGGGAAGTCGGGGGCTGTGTAGATGTCTAGTGATTTCCTTTATTTTACTATTTCATTTTTTTTATGTTATTTCAAATACATGTGTAACTAGCGTAAATAACACGAGGTGGCAACGCTATTTGAAACATGCATACACATGTAACACAAGTAAGCACTTTGTCAGATATGAAAATACTTGGGAAGTAAAACCGCTAGTTCACCCGCACTTCATTTATCGTACATGGTTGATATGAAAAGATTATTCATTGTTTCAATAAGTCTCCCACATTCGGCAATCGTTCTCTTTTCCCCTCTTTTACCCCCCTCTCAACGTTGAATATAATTCGGTAGTATTCCGCGGAAACATCAAACTGCCGACCTGATGCAGCTAACAGATAAACAGGCTAGCCGTGGACGTTCTCAATAACAAATTTAGGCCAGTCGAACCGATGCACCAAAAGGACCCTAATCCGTGGCAAAGTACTGTGACCTGTATCACGCGGGACATTTGAGCATAAACCAAGAATAATTTTTAATTTTTAATTTCTAATCGCCTTCAGAGACCGAAATCGCCAGTTACTTGCCGGCAGTGATCTTGTTGGTTGAGAACTACTTCAGGCTCTATTTATCTATCACAACAAGTACATGCAATGAGAATAATAGCAATTATTCTCATTAGTATGAACATCTCTGCATTTGATCGAGTAATGAATATTAGCTTGTGGGGCTCATGGTTACGTCCAATCTTCACAATTAAAAAGCTAGCGGATCATAACTTAGCCAACAAATCCAACTCCCCAGCCAATCACAAAAGAATTCAGCCCAGACAGTTGAGTTGCAATAATACAAAATAAAGTACACCATTGGCTGGTATTTATGCCCGTCCAATGTGGGCTAGGATTGCCTCCCGAGGGGCTCACCCGCAAATAGCCATTGCGGCATATTGCCTTCGGCTGAGTGAGACACAAATGCAGAGTACAGAGCACAAGTACGGATTCAAAAGTAAATCTAGTTCAAGTAGTACACGGACCAAAGAACGCCGTCCAGGATGGTCTTACTAAGTGGGTCTTACATCTGGTAGCTATCTTTGACTCTATTATTCAGCCTGAGCATTGCCCTTTTCCCTCTACTCAAAAGAGGAATTTCTGCCCTCGCTTCGCTCTCCGCTTTACTTCGGGTGTGATGGAAGGTAACCACTATTCCCGAGTACTAGTCCCCTAACAGCGCCGTCTTTTTTAAACTGAGAGATAGGAGAAGGCTATTTTTGCTTTCGCGTAGTAGATTGCTAGTGGTTGGAATTCTTCTCGCCTGATGGACCGGGCGGTCGGTGTGCAGTTAAAAAAGGCGTTCCAATGACATGCATGCGCTAGATTACCTGCAATGGAAATAGAATCACTAAAAGAAGCAGCTAGGTTCTTGGCCGGCTAAAAAAGCTCCCCATCTGTTTTCGCGGCGTTTTCCCGGAAGTGAAGAATCCCCCAATGGAATTGGCAACATTTTCTGGAGACGAAATACGTCCAATTAGAGTACAAAATGTGGCTGCAGGGTAGTACCCAATTGTCGACAGTGACACGATATGGCGACTCAAAAGGCCTGGATCCAGAACGTCCTCTAGCTTGGACATCGGGCGAATGCATGCGCTTTGCCACTCTTCATTGAGCACTCGGGCCCTGGAAATTTTCTCCCAGCCAACCTGCTGCTTTATATACCAGGTAACACCCCGTGAACGATCGGCAAAAACCAGAAGGCAAAAAAAGAAAACTTTCTTTAGTTTAGTTGCAGTCACGTTCCCGCGTGTAAAATGTCAATGAGGCTGGTGTATTCAAAACTCCACAACTGATTCGTGGGGAGTTAGGATACCTCCAAATAAGCAACGCCCTCCAAAAGTTTCCTTCGGCTTTCGCCCCCTGAGATCTCTTGCCGCTGACTCCGGGGTTATCTATGCGAGCGACGCACATACTCGGTAGTTCGGGCAAAAAAAAGCGAAAATAATGCGGCTGCTCTATCGCCCATGTGGTATATTTTTTGCAAAGGGACGTATTATAGTAAACCGATATTACACCATACGGCCGGTACCGGGACGAAGGCAAATTTTATAAGAGCTAGATACCCTTCGCGGTAGCCTATACGCGTCATTAATTATTGTTTAATACCTCCCACCTCTAGCGATCACCAACATGACGGAGCCAAATATTGCTAGGTCTTTGGCGCCAGCACCTCCTGGCTATCAGCGGAGATCAAGTTCAGAGACTGTGAAGCCAAGGAAGAATATATCAACTGCTTGCAAAGCTTGCAAAACCAGAAAATGGAAGGTCATAAATCCCTTCTCCTCGTAACAGTTTGAGAATAAGTTCACTGATGAGTTGCGAACAGTGTTCGGGAACAGTTCCATGCAGCAACTGTGTTCGAAGCAATACTGAATGTATTATAGACGAGTCCAATGACAACCGTCGCAGGATGGCCGTGAAGCGTAAAATGGCGGAGCTAGAAGACCACAAGAATACACTGGACCGACTTGTCGAGGCGCTTCGGCTCTCTACCAACGAACACTTTATGCAACTCTTAGACCTTATTCGCTACAAGAAAGCACCCTTAGAAACCGTCAAGACGTATCTCGATCGAAATGTGTCTGACAGTGAATTTGAGGCATCTCCTGAGCTGCAGGCAATCCACAACGAGATTGAAATGAGAACACGACCGAGATCCAGCCGCCGAATCTTGGATGTCACCTGGCTCTCACATATTCCCGTCGTTGACGTGCCAGCTGCGCCATGGACAACTGTTACAGACGACGATGGTCTGGTATCGTATCTCATCTCACTATGGCTGACATGGAGTCATCCTTTCTGCAATTGGATTGACCGCGACCTGTTTATCCGAGACATGAAATCGAAAAATGCCAGTTCTAAATATTGTTCGCCATTTCTTGTCAATAGCATTCTAGCTGAAGCTTGTGTAAGTCTATCACAACCAATCTTTGACTAAAAATTGACCATACAGCATTATTCCGATTATCCGGAGGTTTTTAAAGATCCAAACGACCCGAATTCCAAGGGTATGCATTTCTACAAGGAGGCCAAGCGGCTACTTGATAAAGAGGAGGGGCGAGTTAATATTACATCCCTCCAAGGTTGCACCACGTTACTGGCCAGGTCAGTAAATCTGGCCTTAAATCTCTTCTCTACTGACCGAAATATCAGCATGGCTATTATGGGTAAAGACCGCGTCGCCTGGCTATATCTCGGCCAGATAGCACGAATGGCAGCCGAAATATCGGCATCCCTTCCGCCAAAGTCACCGCATGGAAATGAAAAGCTGCTCGACGAAGCTAGGTCAATTGACAACACACTCTGGGGAGTGTATAATATTACTGCGTTTGAACACCTCTCAAGCTCAAGGCTCAAGAAGAAAACTTGCGTCATTTGAAACCAGTACTGAGACCTTTGCAGAATGTATTCCACTGCGTTTATGAAACCTCTTGATTTAAAAGTACCCTTGAGACCCAGGTTTCCCTGTCACCATAGATATGATGGCATGGTGTGGGAGCCATACCCTCGCCGAACCGAGAAACAAGCATCTCATCTTGGATGCGTGCTCAACAGTCTTGCTAGCCTGAATGCGATCAATATAGAGACCACTCGACGGATTTTGAAAGATGAAGCACGAAAGTTGATGTCTCGAGCTGAGATAGAGATTGTAGCTGACTCTATATACCCCCGGCTACAAAGCTGGTTCATTGATCTACCTCCATGTATCCAAGAAGGACAGTCATCACTACCACATATTCTTCTCTTACAGTAAGTTGGGAGCCCAAGAGTCAAAAAGGAGCGAGATCTGACTTGCAAAGTATGTACTATCATAGTACAATCATGGTGTTATTCGGGTTTTTAAAACACCCATTGAAAAGGCCTGAACAGGCGCGAATCATTTCTCCTGAGCATGCACGAGAGGCTTGCATAGAGTCGGCATTGCAGATTGCGCAGATGATTCGAAGTCACCGTACCAAATGGGGTATTGAATATATCTCAGCGACTGCTGTGTATTGGGTAGCAGTTGCTCTCTTCACGCTTCTAGATGACCTCGATAACCCCAATAGCCGAGACGCTTTCATTGATCTTTGTTTCGTGGCACGGGTATTCTCACGACGCTGGCTCGTGGCTAAGGGTATCCTGCGGATGCTACAGATTACAGCTAATCAGATGAACATTGACTTCCCGGTAGAAACAGATGTTCTACTGGACGACTTCGAGACTAACATATGGGAGGCGGAAAAGGACGGAAGACGTTTCAGCAGTGCCTATCCGAACCTCATGCTGTTCCTCGAGGGAGTCCCCGGCTTTGGCAGCGGCATGGGAAATTCTATTGATATGGATGAGCTATTGGCAAAGTGGGATGGAGTGAAGTTGGAGAACGCGCGGCAGTTCGAAGTAATTGCGGGACGGGGACCTCCTGCCGAGGCGACTCACCCGCCTCCTAATTTCCATGTTTATGGCTGATTTCTTGATTCATTGAATCCTTTTTGTGCGATTGGCTATTTTGGTATTTTCGTCTATCATTGATATTAATAATGGGCCTAGCATTTTCACTTCTAGATAATCTCAACCTGTTTGCTACATAAATCCGACGTTATCAATTAATCATAGTAGCGTAAACTATATTCACTCATATCGAATGCTGCTAGATCTAGACAGGTAACTTGTTTTATTATCATTTCTTGGCTGTTTGTTTACTTACGTAGAATGATTGTGGGTGTTCGGGTTTCTCTGCATTCGGAATACCGACTTGTTGCCGGGAGACAATTGCGGCGGCATGTGGGGACCGGCACGCGCTCTAGTTGGCGGGCCCCTGGCCGCTCCCGGACGCCTCCCGTCGATCCTCCTCCTAGAGGGGCTTTATTATTTGTCTCACAGACTCGTTCTCACTACAGAAAATCGCGCGTTCGGAGGCACTGCTCCAATGAGACGACTTCTCACGGTACAACCCTTCTAGAAACTGTCCACATTTCCCCGCAATCGGCCAAATATGCCGTCATTATTGTCAATACTCTGATGTTTTCAATAGTGCATGTCGTATTACGGCGCTGTGTACCGATGTGCCTGGGGAATCAGTGCCGCTACCCCTTGTTTCAGCTTGTTTCTCCCCTCGTGTAAATACCTGTCAATTCTGCGAAAAGAGAGAGGGAGGAGAAATTGTGGGTACATCTAGATGCGGAGTATTGCTGCGAATATTGCTGCGGTTCCTTCTGTGTCGGTTTTTCCGTATGCGGAAGGGGCGAGATGTTTATAAGATACTCTATCCGCTCTTTTATCAACTCTCTTTTAATGCTTGTTCACTCTTCTATTGCATATCTTTTGATTTACGAAATTCTTATTTGGAAATAAAGGCATTTCACTTATATCATCGCTGGTTTCGCGAATTACGGTAACTGTGTTTTCACAATGCGTCTCCAGTTTAACAAGCCAGAAGATGCCACCGGATCGGCTGCTCCAGCCATTATTATCGGCCTTTTTGTGGCCTTTGGCGGCGTCCTTTTTGGGTGTGTATACTGCCACGCTCTGCAATGAATATTTGCTTAATCAGGTAGATATGACACAGGCACTATTAGCGGCATCCTTGCCATGAAGTACTGGCGCAGCCTCTTCTCCACCGGATACGTAAACCCCGTTGACCACCTTCCGGATGTCACTTCAAGTCAGTCATCCATGATTGTGTCATTATTGTCGGCCGGAACCTTCTTCGGGGCACTGGCTGCCGCGCCTGCTGCCGATTACTTTGGCCGTCGAATTGCGATGATCATTTATACCGCCGTCTTTTGTTTCGGTGTTGTTCTACAGGTTGCGTCAACAGGGATTCCGCTATTTGTTGCAGGGCGCTTTTTTGCTGGATTCGGAGTGGGATTGCTGTCGGCAACCAGTGAGAAAACACCCCAAGTGGCTGATAATAAAGTGTTGACTGGATAGTTCCGTTATACCAATCCGAAACTGCGCCAAAATGGATTCGCGGGGCAATCGTCGGATCCTACCAACTTGCCATTACTATTGGCCTCCTTCTGGCAGCCATTGTCAACAACGCTACAAAGAACCGCGATGACACCGGCTCGTATCGAATTCCCGTTGCTATCCAATTCGCTTGGGCGATCATTCTTGTCGTCGGCATGCTAATTCTCCCTGAGACCCCTCGATTCTTAATTAAAATGGATAAGATGGAAGAGGCAGCGAAGGCGTTATCACGTCTTCGCAGAATTCCTATCGACGATCCAACCCTAACGGCAGAGCTGACCGAGATCCGAGCCAATCACGAATACGAGCTGTCTCTTGGGAAGCCCTCTTATTTTGAAATTTTCCGTGGTTCTTTGGGCAAACGGCTTGCCACTGGCTGCGGGGTGCAGGCGCTGCAACAGCTTTCAGGAGTCAACTTCATTTGTAAGACCGCTTTAACTCCCAGAACCAAGAGAGTTGAATGCTGACGCCTTCAGTTTATTATGGAACATCCTTCTTCCAGAACTCGGGAATCCAGAATTCTTTTGTCATTACTCTTATTACTAGCATTATTAACGTGATTTCGACGTTGCCCGGTTTGTATATGGTTGAGAAATGGGGTCGGCGTCCACTCCTCCTGTTCGGCGCGGTGGGAATGTGCACCAGCCAATTGATCGTGGCCATCGTCGGCACTGCAGCTTCCTCTATGGTGGCTAACAAGGTGCTCATTGCATTTGTCTGCACCTACATCTTCTTCTTTGCCAGCTCCTGGGGGCCAGTATCGTGGGTTGTCACCGGCGAACTCTACCCGCTCAAGGCCCGTGCCAAATGCCTATCAATTACCACTGCTACGAATTGGCTGCTGAACTGGGCCATTGCTTATGCCACCCCATACATGGTTAACGGTGGCGCAGGAAATGCCGACCTCGGGTCGAAGGTGTTTTTCATTTGGGGTGGCTTTTGTGGAGTATGCTGTATTTTTGTGTTCTTTTGCATTTACGAGACCAAGGGTCTTACTCTGGAACAGGTGGACGAGCTATATGGCAAGGTCTCGGTGGCCTGGAAGTCTACGGACTTCGTGCCGTCTGTGAACTATGCGGATATCCAGGATGTCGCGGAAGGCAGCAAGGCATCAACCTCGCTGGCTGAGCTCGAGGCTGGAGCTCAGGAGAAGCGCAGCAGCTTAGCCACTCACGTGGAGAGTGCCGATGTCTGATATGTACGTAAGACGTATATACTTCCTTCGCTCATGTACATAGTACGAGTGGCGCATTGTATCATACCACCCGTCATCCCAGCCTGCCGGAGTCTATCCGACTTGAAAGCTTAAAGTATCAGACACGAAGATAATATGCTGATCTTCGTTTCATGCTATAACAGACGTAATGCCAGAAAAACAATTCCCAAGCCAGATAATCTGATTGCAATCTCCACCAGCCAAGATCTCGGAATCTTGATCTTATGCTGCCAATAGGAGAGAGCGCTGGGAGCACACGGCTGGCGGCAATCTCCAACAACTATGCATAATAGTCCTTTTAAGGATCAATGATCCCGGTTTATACAAGCAAAACCCTCGCCGACACCGGGATAATGCGAGTCAGTGGGGGATGTACCCACTTGGGCTTATTTAAAGTACGGCCAGTAAGCGGTCGGTCCCTGGCCACGCTGTGATACTAGACCAATCATAGTGCGCAGGTGTACTTCGGCCGTCCTCCCGTCCCCGCTTTTGGCTTTCTCAAGCTCAGACAAGCTGGTTGATGATGGCCTCGTCGCGGCCAATCACCGCAGACCAAAACATAAGCGGCCTGTGAGGGCTCCGAGCACGTGTCGGAATACGCGGGTGGTCGTGGATGCACTGTACCCCGCCGTAATTAATCATTTCATTCTCGAATTTCCTTTTCTTCCAGTTAACGCTTGCATCGTCTGCTTAGCGTCGATTGAGTCCAGCTTCCGGTCCACTGGAATGCGAGCTCGCACGTGGGCTGCCTGTTTTCCGTCGTTTCTGGGGAGCTATGGATGATGGCAATATTATTCTAGGGCTTTATAAAACTCCAATGCAACCCTACGTCGGCCTCTCTCTGGAAAAAGCACCAGCGCATAAGATTCTACATCTAGCACAATGAAGTCGAATATCGCTGCTGCCGCAGTTGTTGGCCTCTTGGCCTCCTCTACCGTTGCCTCCCCAGCCAACACCCACTCCAACTGGGACGCCAGTGCCGACAACAGCATCAACAAAAATGTCGACGCTCCCTTCGGCTACAAGGCTGGCTCAAAGCAGTCGATCGCCAACTTGAAGAGCAAGATCAAGAACGTCGTCTGGATTCTGCTCGAGAACCGATCCTTCGACAACATCCTCGGTGGTATCGAGCGCCGCGGTCTCGACAACCCCGTCAACAATGGCGACTACTGCATCCCCCAGAACCTGAGCCAGCCCAATGGCAAGCAGTGGTGCACCGGCGCAAAAGACTTTGACTCTATCCAGAATGATCCCGATCACTCCGTCACCGGAAACAACCTGGAGTTCTTCGGCCAGTTCTCTCCAAATAACGCCGATGTTGCCAGTGGCAAGATCCAACAGACCAACCGTGGCTTCGTCAACAAGCAGTTGATTTCATACCCCTCCATTTCTGCCGAGACCGCCGCCAAACAGGTCCTGAACTACTATACCGAGGATCAGGTCCCGGTTATGGTGGACTTGGTTGACGAGTTTACTACTTTCAACTACTGGTTCTCTTGCGTTCCCGGAGTACGTCCTATCCTCTTTGTCATCATTTTCTGCCTCTACATAGCTAACTCACCAATCAGCCAACCAACCCTAACCGCCTCTGTGCTGTCGCTGGTACTTCTGATGGTCACGGAAAAAATGACAACGACTTTGACGTCTCCGCCATTGACATCCCTAGCATCTTCGAGGTTGCTAGTGGCAAGAACATCTCCTGGCTCAACTACGACGGCACCAACGGCGCATTCCTTCCCGACAGTCTTTTCTTCAACTGGACTGCCAAGCACGCCCCCAACAGCGTTGTCCCCATCGAAAACTTCTTCCAGGATGCCTACCTCGGCCAGCTTCCTCAACTTTCTTACCTCAACCCTTCCTGCTGCGGCGCCAACACCAACTCCATGCACCCCAACGGCAACGTCTCCTACGGCGAGATCTTCGTCAAGCAAATATACGAGGCCCTGCGCAACGGCCCGCAATGGGAGGAATCTCTCCTGCTGCTGACCTACGACGAAACAGGCGGTTTCTTCGACCACGTCCCCTCCCCCGCCGCTGTTCGTCCCGATAACAAGACATATACTGAAACCGCACACGATGGATCTAGCTACACGCTCCTTTTCGACCGTCTCGGTGGCCGTATGCCGACTTTCCTGATCTCGCCTTACACGCCTGCGGGCCATATTGAGAACTACGGTACTAACCCTGCCACTGGAAAGCCCGAGGCATATAGCGCTACCTCCGTCCTCAAGACCCTTGGCTATCTCTGGGATTTGGAGGATTCCACCCCTCGGGTTTCTAACTCGCCTTCCTTTGACCACTTGATTGGTCCGAATGTGCGTCGCAAGGCAAACCAGTTGGCTGTGCCCAAGACTTTTTAAACATGACTACTAGAGGTTAATTTTAACTACCGCTTGGATGCGAAAGAAGTCAAATTGAAAATAATGCTGTATAATTTGATATGATGTTAGAAAACTTTTCTCATTTTCACAAATGAGTGAGTAATCTGTAATAGCCGGTATTGTTTCGTGATACAAGATATTGCATGAATAATGAATCTAATAGCAAATTTTACGTAACGCTACTTGGCATATTCGTAATCGTTTATCTCAGCATAACATATTCATATCTGTGTGGAAAATGTCAAGAAGATGAAGGCGTATCTGGCTTGCGACCCCATACCACATATCTAGCAACGCGTGAGAATAGTCAAGTCAGATGTTCTAGGGTTCATATTACTTACATAGGAAAATAGCAATGAATCTTTGCGTCTTTAAATTCCTTTCGCACATCCACTAAGAACACTTCGACTTCTGCAGCTGTCCAGCGGAGGCCGCGTGTGAATAGAGCCATGCTGATACCTGATAGATTATACCCGACATCTTGGAGAACCCAGCGGCCTATTCTCGTTAGATATGATGTCTTGTAAATAAAAGATGAAAATGGGGGGATATACCCAATTCCTTGAGTTTCGGATCCTTGGGCCAATGGTTCGTCGGCCACGGGTATATTGTCTCAACCACGTCGACAAATCCGGCGTCGATCATTTGCCGTTTGTATAAAGCTGCGCTGTTGGCATACCGGCCCAGCTTTTTGGCGGATTCAAGCATAAGGTCACTCCATCTTCTCAACGCTGAATTTTCAGGGTAGGAGTCGTCGTCAACGCGAGCGGGGAAGGATATGTCGGCTAATTCCATATACCCACCGGGGTTGAGGTTTCTATTGATAGTGTTGCGTTAGTATGGCTTTACGTATATGGCGCTTTAATAGGCTAGACAGCGACATACTCAAATGCTTGTTCGAATAATCGGGGCCAGTTGGCAATAGATCCCGTCATCATCCGGCTATATATAAATTCAAACTTGTGAGAGAAAGCCCATTGGTTTTCAAGGTCATCAACTAGGAATGATAAATTCGGCGGGACACTTCAGGTAATCAGTATAGCACTGCAGGTTGAGGGTTGGAGCCCACAATGATGGTTGATTTGCACCAATATCCACGCCCAGCACAGAAGCCTCGGGATGTGTATCGGCTTTGTTTACAGTCAGCAAGAAAAGCCAGATTCTACAAGAAATATATGTACCGAAATCCAAAGCCCAGATTCCGGTGCCAGTTCCGATGTCCAAAACATTGTGCATCGTCTTGGATTTGTCGACGGGGCAGTTATACAAACGTGCATCGAAGGTGAGTAAGAAGATATGGTGTTGTAAGTCTAGTCTTGTTACTTTCTCCATACAAATACTATTGCAAATATCTACTCACCCAATCGATCATTTTCTTCCTGTTCCGGCTTAGCGATTGATTCATTATTGAAATTTTCAAACTCACCTCGTCAGATGGCAAGACATAGTCTAATGCAATCAGCACAGGCTATTTTCTATTCACTCATGTGCGCATATCATGTTTCTTCCGGTAAATTTGAGCCAACTTACTGCCATTGTTAAATCCATGATAAATTCGCCCGTTTTCGTGATGCGGCATCATCAAACTAGACCGCAAGGACATTGTCGAGCTGGCCCAGTCCCCCTACTTTATCTGTCAGACACATTATCGTCCCCGTATCCTCTTTATTCTTACAGGATCCAACGCTGAGTCGGCATCGCCCGCATATTCTGGTACCTAATCGTTGCGCCCATCCGATTAACTTATGCCCTACAGACAAGTATAGAACAGTATAGATCAAGAGTGTCTCTCGCGTACTTCAGCTTCAATTAAGCCAGATATAGTAGTTTCTATATTCTGCTCATCGGTGTTTATCTGGTTTGGAGGAGGAGGCGATGGTGTAACTATCTTTCCTTCAATGTTGGCGGACTTCGGCGAAGCTTTAGTAGACGTAGACCGCTGCTGCTGACCCTTACTGGGCTGTGTAGTCATTGCTAGAGAGGGTGCACTGAGTTTCTGGCACCCTTGGGCACGTCGTCAAGTATTAATCAACCGATCGATCAATTAATCATCTACCGCGGACCTTGTACACGCTCACTTCCGCATGTTGACGGCGAAGTAGAGAGCTGGGACACAGCATATTATTTGTTTTTGTCGGCCCCCTGTGGGGGTGGAGCTGAACAAAGAAATCAAAGCACTTCGAGTGCCAACAATGTGCAATGGAAGTTTGGTCGAGTTCACAACGCCAGACAAAGGGAACTGGATGGTTTCTTTGCGCATTAGCCCAATGATGAAGCCCAGTTGTCGCGGGGGTATACAAGTGCGAGTGGAGGAGCAGGGGCAGAGAAGCGATAAGTCGACGCCTGCATCTGAGGGTGGAGCTCACTGCTGCCAATGACTTCGTTTCCTGCAAGGCGAACATCGATTAGGGAATAACATGCACCATTACTGGCATGTAGTGCTGCAAGTATAGAGAAAGGGCAAGGCACCAGGGCTGGGATGGAGAATGGAAAACTACTAAGTCATAGCTGCTGCACTATGCACGGCTCGGGATGGTCTCCTACGCCCGCGCCGGGCTTCAGGCTCCACCAACAAATTAGCATCTCCTTCCAGCCAGTCCGTTTGGACTGCTGCTCGCCATCCTTGCTCGCGCCCAATGACGGCACCCATCGGCATCGAAATGTGAGAATCAGTGGTGCCACACGCAGACGGCTAAACCAGACTCGCCAGCCCGTGCTGACAGGGTTGTCATCACCAAGAATAGGTCTAGAGTCATTCCACTTGCTCGTAGCGGCATCATGCAATATTAACAATTGCTGTTCGAATGGCCTGGTTCTGCAAACTACAGAGTTGCATGAGACCTGCCATTCATGATTATTCCGCTCTTTCACACGCCTGCCCCGATATTGTCCGCGATAGCCCTCATTCACTGCCTAAGGGCAACATTGCGTGATTGCGCCCTCCCAGTCTTCTTATGCGAGCATGTGCTAACTTTACATAATGTCTCGATGGCTCCACCATGGTGCAGCTATATTGAAAGCAGGGAGTCTTCATCAGCTAGAATAATATTGGCCCAAGAGCTGACCCCCCGTCGTTCGCTGTTTGAGTCCAGCAGCCTGGCCTGACTTGAAGTGATCTAGGCTATCATCACCCTCACAGTGCATTGTACGACCGTATTTCAGTATTTCGAGTAGAAATGGCTTTATCTGAGATCCTGAATCTTCGAGCAAATAGCCCCTCGCTATTTTCAGCCATTCCCCTGGCAATTATCACCTATCTTCTCGCACGCACAATCTATGCCTGTTATCGCTTGCTTCATATAAAAGGACCATTGCTAGCGAGTTTTTCCAAGTCTTGGTTGGTGTGGCACACTCTAGCCGGCAACTTTCACCAAGTATTTAACGATGTGTCTAGAGTATAAGGTATGTTTTGATTGCTTCTTTGGAAGACACTAGATAAAGTAGAATGCCCAAAGAGCAATAATGTCTTAGGTTAAATACCAACAAATATCGCAAGTCCTCTCACACAGATTGGCCCTTATCACTTATTAACAAGCGATCTGGATGTGATGAGTCGCATGCTTGGCGTGCGATCGAGGTGTCGATGTGCAGAATGGTACACAGGAATGCGCTTTGCGCCTACGAGAGATAATGTGGAGTCGGAAAAAGATGAAGCAAAACATAGCGCGCTGAGATCGAAAATGGCTGCGGGTGTAAGCATCGTTGAATTGCCGAATTTTAAGCAATATTAGCTTCTAGCGCGACAATGGTATTCAGGAAGAGAGGTCGACCGTTTAGAAGAGCGTGTGGATGGTACTTGACGGTTCCTACATGTTCATGAAGGCTAATACTATATGTAGTATTAACAAAGAAGTAGTCGATTTGCGATTTGTGTCCGATCCGAAAAGCGGTCGCGATATGCTCGACTCTTTCATCAGGCAGGGCCTTACTCGTGCCGAAGCGATTTCGGAAGGCGCCCTTCAGATATAAAGTATTCATTACTTTTCAGCACCACGAATTGACTAACAAGCCTTGGAATCGTAGGGACAGATACCAGTGCGACAGCGGTGCGAGTGGTTCTACTTTATTTGTTTACCACACCTCGTGTTCTAGAGAAGTTTCGTGCTGAATTTACGGAAGCCCAAGTTTCTTTGCCCATCCGCGACTCAGAGGCTAACGACTTGCCATATTTCCAAGCAATCATCAAAGAAGCTCTTCGCATCTGGCCGCCTGTCATTGGTTTGATGGAGAAGGAAGTCCAGCCCGAAGGCGACGTCGTCAACGGACAGTTTATCCCTAGTGGTGCCAACATTGGGTACTCCGCATTTCGAATCTTTCGATCTAAGAAACTATGCGTTGATGACGCAGATGAATTTCACCACGAACGGTGGATCGATACTCACCAGGACAGTTGAGGGAGATGGAACAGAACTTGGAATTGATCTTTGCGTATGTCTGATACAGATGCCTCGGTAGGGACATTGCTTTGATGGAACTAAACAAAGTTTTTGTGGAGGTATGTTTCTATTGTGTTGCATTGAGCTTTCCGACAAGACAATAACAGTTTACAGCTCCTCCGGAGATACGACATATCAATCGTCGACCCTACGAAACCGTGGAATTCAAAATATACCGGTATTTTCTTACAATCAGTTATGTACTTAACTGTTTTGCGACGGGAAACTGCTTGACAAAGCTATACGTGGCACTAACACTTGAATTGTTATGTCCTTTAAGAACGTGTATTTGATGACGATAAGCGATATCTTATAAATCCAATATGAAATGCTATTTCTACCTTTAGAGTGAATTTTACTTTACAAAATCTTTTAATTGCATCAATTGGTATAATAGTATGTATCGTATCCCCCAAAATGTCCTTCCAGGTTTTGAACATTGGAGATGTTTTCACTACTTTCCGGCTCGTTTCCAATCTAAACGATATGACGCCGAACGGAAAGTTCTTCAGCAAGCTGTATTATAACAGTACTAAACAAGTACTTGAAGGCCATCATATACTTTTCATGTATAGACAATACTGGGTTTTCCGAATTTTCGATGCAAACTAAATATCCAAACAGCAATTGTGGATCTGGTCCTCCTATTCGCAATACCGACGATGAAACAGCTATCTTATAGAGAGCTGCTGCTATTCCCACTGCGTATGGTTGCCACCTTTTGTTTTATCTGAGTCTGCGTGGTCACATATAGTATTATTTGGGTATCAAGGCACGCAAAGTGACTGGATCATCCTATGCCGCAAATCCGCGAGATGTCGTATCATTCTGAGTCGATGTCAACAGAAAGCACGCGGTGGACATCAGCAGTATTTTTGGTCCTATTTTCTTTCTTTCTTTCTTTCTTTCTTTTTAACCATGTGTAGCGGTAAGAATATTCCAAGCAATGATTTGGTGATTGAGTTATAGACAATTTCATGAAATAGTCCGATGCTCTTCTAACCGGCACTTCTGGAGAGTGGGTATATCTCATAGAGCGAAATAGCCAGTTTTCAATGTTGTAGTAACGAAGCCTTCTCTGATTACTTTGATCGGGCAAAGATATTAAGCCAATATGTTTACCTTGATCATAGTTGCTTTCTGCTGTTAAAACGGTAGTCAGCTAGAGAGATCACCCGAAAAATCTATCTATACATTTTAGGCAAATGTGCATTACCAGTGGAGACTGATCATGCATCATTCCCTAGAAATATAGTGATTTCCTGGGTTAACAAGGCTTCCTTCTAGCAATTGCCATTATCTCATACGGTGCTAGCCCACTTTCCTCCGGAAAGTTCAAATTCGAGAATGAGGATTGGCAAAAGTGTAACTCATACTCTGGCCAGTCAGCCTGTGGCCCTAGCCATATGATCATCTCAACACCATGGCCACCATATGTATCAATGTATTTCATGATCAGCTTTGGTTCGCGCGGGTAGACAAACAACCACGCCTTAGCTTTTGAGACACGGGGGTGGAGGTCCCACGTTCCAGCAACAACATTCATACGATCTTCGGAAATATAGCGATTAACAGAATCATTGACCTCTACCCCTTCCACGTACACGTTGGGATGCCGGTGTGTAATAAGTGCTTCCAAGAACCCCGATCCGCTGCCGATAGAGGCGGTGAAACTCGGTTTCTTCGGCAGGATCGAGGCAATGGTCGAGATAAACGAAGAGGAGATAGCCAAGCAGCAATTAGGGAATGCCTTGGGGGATGACGAAAGTTGATCTGATGTTTGAGAGATATGCATAGTAATTGTGTTTGTTTTGTGTTTGTTTTGTGTGTGACACTGCCAGTAGCCGCAAAAACTATCAAAGCGGGATTATGTTCTGATGATGGCACGATTAGAGTTGCGAATGGTGCGATAAGGATACAAGTTAGGGCTCACCCTCGTATTATTGTGGAGCCAATCAGAGAACATGTCTAGGCGATCATTTATAAGATCAATGATATTGCATGATCTACCATATTCAACAATTTTAGACCACAAAAGTTACCAACGGGTTGCTAACCTAGTATAAACAAAATCTATCGTCATTTTGTTTGTACCTAAAATACTTCACCAGGGAAGAATGTCGCGTCTAGAAGGATCAATTGGTATTTCCGCTTTATCTAATAGATAGATGTGATAGAATAAGAACTTTTTTGCTTGTTCAATCAATAGCAAGCCGTTATCTTTTGAAATATTTTCACGAGCCTAGAGCCGACTTGGTTGCATTGAAATGTCAATCCGGTCTAAATTAGTCGAAACACGGAGCGGTCAGATGTTATTTAGAGCCGTTAGCCCTTACCTTACACGGGAAATAAATAAAAGAAAGTGACCCTACAGGCTACATCTTTATCTGGCATATATACTTGCTTCCGGCGCTATTCTTAGATTAGAAGCTGGTTTAGAAGCTAGTCCACTACTTATACAGCTTAACCCTCGATCGGCGTCGGGGAGGTTACACTTTCAAGTGGCATTTTCATATTAATGAGTTGTGAAATGTTGAATTAACGAGAGTCGACATAGTATGAGAATGAGTGATTTGTCGATCATGGCTTTTATATGTATATTATTTGAAGGGTTACGCGCGTCCTCAAGCCACGTCTAATCCTAGCTGAATCATTTACCGAAGCGCAAGACACCAATTGATGGGGTTTTATCCGGGAATATGCCTTTGTATCTTAAAGGAAAAAAATATTAATATAAATAGGAGTCCAGCTACTCGCTTATCTAAGTAATCAAAAGATCTTAGGGGTAATATGTCCAGGCAAGAAATTGAGACGTAGTCATAACAGGATGACTACATATATCATCGCAGCCCTTGCAGGCTATGTAGCAATAGGACACAGCCTCGTGCTCAAACATGCCTCTACTGCGGCAGCCTACAGCTCCAACTCAAACGGGACTTACACTTTGTCGTCCGTTCCTGCACCTGTCCGGGGCAACATCTCCCACGCATCAATGCGTGCATGGCAGCTCAGCATCGATGACACACCATCGGGCCACAAGCAGACCATTACCGGTTTCGGGGCCGCTGTAACCGATGCCACTGTCGCCTCATTCAATACTTTACCGTTCAGAACTCGGCTCCAACTACTGGATGAATTGATGACTCCCTTCGGTGCTGACTTTAGTCTGATGCGTCATACAATTGGGGCATCAGACTTGTCTGGTAACCCGGCTTATACGTACGATGATAACGGCGGAATTGAAGATAAGTTGCTGTTAAATTTTAATCTTGGAGAACGAGGACTTGCAATGGCATTGATGCTTGCAACGATGAAGTCCTTACAACCTAATATGAAGATTCTGGGTTCTTCATGGAGTCCACCCGGATGGATGAAATCGGATAATGCTATTGATGGAACGACCACAAATAACAATTTAGACGACGGGTATTTCGGTGGGAAGACTTCAGGGCACTCGAACCAATTTGCGGACTACTTTGTGAAGTACATCCTGGCCTACGAGATTCTTGGTGCTAATATCGATGCAATAACCATTCAAAATGAACCCTTGAATAGTCAGGCTGGATACCCTACCATGCACATGCTCGCTTCTGAGCAGGCTCATCTCATTCAAAATTACGTTGGCCCAGCACTTGCTAATGCAGGCTTGAAAACCAAGATCTGGGCCCATGATGACAATACCAGTGCGTACTTTCTCGTTTATTGTCTATGTAAGAAAGGAAGCTCTCATTATACTGACATCAAATTTAGATGTTCCATCGTATCCCCAAACAGTTCTAGACAACGCCGGCCAGTATGTTGACACCGTGGCCTGGCATTGCTATGCAACCGACCTGGACTGGCATGACCTGACGGACTTTTACCACAACAACACCGGTATTACACAATACATGACTGAATGCTGGACTCCAGCATCGGAATCCTGGAACCATGCGGCCCGCTTTACCATGGGGCCCCTGCACAACTGGGCTTCAGGAGTGATTGCCTGGACGCTCGGGACCAATGCTGATAATGGACCATATTTATCCAGTGGGGGATGTGACAAATGCCAGGGTCTGGTCACGGTAAACAATGATGGTACATATACGTTGAATATGGCCTACTACATGATGGCCCAATTCAGCAAGTTCATCCCTCCTGGAGCTATCATTCTTCAGGGAACGGGAAGCCATACGCACTACTATGGTGGTGTCCAGTCTGTTGCTTCACTCAACCCAGATGGTACCCGAACTGTGGTCATTGAAAATACATTCAGCCATGACATCTATGTAACCTTGAACACAAACAGTAGAGAAAAGTGGAGTGGCCATGTTCCTGCAGAATCCGTGACAACCTGGGTTCTGCCGCCTGCTAGGTAGTGTTTGTGGTTTCGAAATTTTACCATAGTCTTGGAAACGAGTTGCTAAATCCATTTCATAGTTAGAACTAGACGGTTTATATAGGAGATATTTCGTACCATGACCACAACAGTCCGAAATAACATCCAGAGACAGGCAATTGAAGAACGGACGAATATATACCAAAAAATTATTCAAATCTAGCATGGGTATAATCAGACCAACAGTATCCGATGCTATACAATTGAATGACATGACTTGATGAGCCCTACAGCACAGGGATGGGAGTGTCGGCAGTCTGATTGGCCACTGGCGGTGCCTCCACCTGCCAAGGCGAGCTCCAGCCAACTTCCGTCAGTGGCTAGTCACGTGCGGCCCGATAAGCCTCCATCACATGCCGCCCTGTTTCACTTTCAACCCTGTTTATCGGATTCCCCTCTCGCAACTGCCATTGCTTTCCAGAGCCACTTCTGCTGCTGCGTTCGGCTAAGATCTGTTAATGTAATGCTATTTTGATCCTCACTTTATCTATTTACTGCTATGGCTTGAGAATCGCATCATACTCGATATCGACTTATACTCCCCTTAAGGCCTGAAGTTCCCTGGCGTTGGCGCAACAATGTCTTCGTCGTCCACTCCTTCCACTCCCACTCCCATCTCTTCACGCATACGGCCGAATATAGCCCTCAAATTTGCCGAGCAGTCGAAGAAGCTCTCTTTAGGGCCGGGAAAGACACCCGAAGAGGGAGAAAACGCTGCGATCGCCGCACATTTCATTAATTCGCACGATGCAGTTATCGAGACGGAGTGCGGAGAGCGCCTCCCAGCAGTGCCAGCTGAGGAAGCAGAAAGGCTGAATTGGCTTCGGGACGAAACAGTGGCTGGATCTCGTCATTCCCTTTCTTCGTCAGAATCATCACATTCTCGCCAACAGGAAATTCTAAATGAAAATGCCCATGAGCCAGGTCCTTCGCCTTTTCAACGGCAAGGCGGTTCTCTTGACACTGCCAATCCTCCATCACGTACTCATCCCCTATTTCCACCGCTTCCGCTATATGGGCCCCCGTCCCGATTACGAAATTTACAATGTCAAACCTTTCGCGTTGTGTCGTTTTTCTTTTCGATGTCCTTTCTCGGTGTTGTTGTGATCGGCTCTTGCTTTAGTGGACTTGGTATCGGCATTAAAAAGTGCTGGGAGCGAATTCGCGGAATCAACTCCGATGTTCATCGACCATTTTACAAGGAAGAGATGGAAAGAAAGAAGGCAAGGCGAAAGGCGGCATTGAGATGGAAACGTGCACAACGAAATTTAAACGATAAAAAAGATGCCAACGTCTCTGATGTAGAGCATAATGACGACGTTGAGGATGACGTGCCGGCTACGGAATTTCCGCCCTTGGAAGGTGGTTACGACCCTGTTATCTGTGATATTGGCTACTACGCGAGAAGAGTTGGTCTGGATGCTGAGAAGTTCGATGTCCAGACCGAAGATGGATTCATTCTGTCGTTATGGCATATTTACAACCCTCACGAGTATACCCCTCTACCGGAAGCTGAAAGAGGTTTCCGGAAGCCGGAAGTATTTTATGAACAGAAAACAAAAGACCGCCCGGCATCGAACCGTCGCTATCCTGTCTTATTAATCCATGGTCTTCTTCAAAGCGCTGGCGCTTATTGTACAAATGATGACGATAGCTTAGCCTTTTATCTGTGCAAAGCTGGGTATGATGTGTGGCTGGGTAATAACAGATGCGGGTTCAACCCCAAACACAAGACACTAACATATTCCGACCCTCGAATGTGGTGCTGGAATATTCGCCACATGGGCACCCTGGATCTCCCAGCTTTCATTTCTCGGATATTATACGAAACTGGGTTTGAGACCGTTGGCCTAATCTGCCACAGCCAAGGGACCACCGAGGCAATGGTTGCCCTCGCGCAAGATCAACGACCTGAGTTGGGCAAGCACATTTCTGTATTTTGTGCACTCGCTCCGGCAGCCTATGCTGGCCCATTAATTAAAAACATGTATTTTCGCTTCATGCGCAAAATTTCTCCCGGTGCCTTTCGACTTTTTTTCGGCATTCATGCATTCGTCCCCATCATGATGGCCATGCACAAACTCATTCCACCCCATATATATGGATATCTCGGTTATCGAGTCTTTTCGTACCTTTTTGGCTGGACGGACACACGCTGGGACCGTGACCTACGTGCCCGTATGTTCCAATTCTCTCCAGTCTACGTCAGCGCAGAGAGCATGCGATGGTGGCTTGGGTGCGATGGCTTTGCGGTACAGAAATGCATTCTAGCCACGAAAGAGCAAAACCAACGCGAAGAGGAAGAAGATCTCGCTGTCGAACGCGGTATTTCGGGAGTCGAAAGCGGTATGGAGGACACTAAGGACCGAGCCTTGAACGCGTGGTACGGACCAAAAACGCCCCCATTTGCACTTTGGATCGCAGGTTCCGACGATCTAGTCGACGGCATGAGGCTACTTCGCCGAGTGCGGAATGGTCGCGAACCACATGTTAATCTCGTGCACCACAAGGTCATAGAGGGATATGAACATTTGGATGTCATCTGGGCGATCGATGTAATCGAACAGGTAGGCAGGGAGGTCGCACAGGTGGTTTGGCGGACTGTGCCTGACGAGGCGAGAAAAGTGTGTCGGGTACCAAAGGTTTGACACGCCGACATCTAAAGTGAACATCCCACATTAATCATGATTATCTTTTCTTCGTCTGTTAATATATTGTCAACAGACTAGACGCTTTAAAACAGACTAGTCCATTTTATGGATGTCAACCTTTCAATAAAGTTACATATATGTATCCAATGACGGACAAACTCGGACAGGCATTTCAAAATGTTCTTAACCTCTTGAATTTATCACAGCGATATTAATGATTATTCTCTGTGTATCCTTAATTTTGATAAGCTTTAATTTAGAACCCCTGAATAGCAAAGACGCGTCGAACATAGATAATTGATTTTTTTTTTTACACGAGATCGGCTACAAAAAGGTATTTCTCATCATACCTTTCACTAAAACTTGCTCTTATTATCAAAAGATACGCAATGCTAAAACTGATTTAATATGATTGATAAAACGATGCATCTGCCTCCATATCGAGTACACTTAAGCTCCAATTATCTCCAGTAACATTCAGTTGAGGCGTCGGAGATCCAGGGTTTAGAAGATATTGATCGAGAAGAGCCTGTAATTTCTAAGTTTTAGCCACAAATGTCAATGAGTCTCTGAAAGTTAATGTAACGAACCCAATCTAGATTTTCAGTTCCATGGATCATGTCTGTCATGGTCTCGGCGAAGGATACGTCTGGAGCTTCGCTGGTATCAGGAAGCGCAGCAACTGTAGTCGGATCTATAACATCATGTAAAGAGCCCGTGTTATGGCTCTCAGTATCCATATAAACACTAGGAGTTTGTTTCTTTCCCTGTACATTGTCTATCATAAGCTGTAATGTCAGCGCTGCGGTGCGAGCTTCTTTGGAGTATACACTCCGAGACGCCCAGATGCGTTGAGAATTTATTAAGGCGTCCAGTAGTCTCCTGATATAAATCGAGGAATCATTCATTGACAACAAGGACGATGAGGGTAAGTGTAGCGAATGGGCAGGAGACGATCGCATGAGTACAGACAACTCCAGGCAAACCACCATGGACGCAAGAAGAAAATCATGGCTGGTCAGTGATGACACCATCCAACGGTCCTCATATAACCGCCCATCGAGCTGTGTTGCCTCGTGTAGATCTGCCTGTCGCGTCAGGATCTCAAGAGCTGCATTGATGCAAGCTCGTCTGGAAAATTCCCACTGTGGATCCAGTCTCTCTGTCTTGAGATATCGCCGATGAAGGACCATGATGCTTTTCAAGAAGAGAAGTTCAATTGTGCATCGGCTTATTATCAAGCCGGAAGATATTGTAAAGGACTGGTTGATTGGTTTCATCTTGAAATCGTCTGGAATTGCTGCATATGTTTCTCGAAGCTTGCCATCCAATTCGATAGTTGTAGGATAGGAAGGAAAAGACATTGATGATTGCGTGTGGGCAATTATCTTTCTAAACATGCCCATAATTTTGCTTTTGACAATAGTATAAAGAATGGGAGTCCAGTCAGAGAGAGGTCTGGGGGGAGGAAGTGTTTCAAGGTTGGGAGAAAGCTCCGAGTCATTAAGATTTCTTGGGGGCTCTGTATCGCAAAATTCTTCTGGAATCATGCTGGGCATCCCCATCTGGAAAGAAAGTAATATATCAAGCTGGAGTATAGCATGCCAGCACCGTCTCCGCATCTCACCATCAAAAGGTGAAATGTTTGGTTGAGTTTTTGGATCCCGGTGGTAGCCGAATCGTAAAGCCAGACGGATAATATTGCCCATAAGGAACCAAGAGTCAAAACTAGAGTCAGGCTTTCCAACATACTTACCGAGAAGGTGCAGTACCAGAGTCTCCAAGGTGTACGAGGACGAATTTTTATAGTTTCCCATAACGAGACATTCTGCTGTCCTAGTTCGAAAGGTTTTGACTGAGAGTGTAGTGTGGGTACCGGTTTTCGATCCCTGGCCCATCGCCTGGAGTACAGCGGCTGCAACACCAAGAATGGAGAACAGAAGTCCAATCCACAAGGGTGGCGCTGTGGTCGGGTCTTGCCAAAACTTTTCGTACTAAAGAACCGTTCAGTGAGGTTATATCTCAAAGGTTTGAAGCACGAACCTCGTTCTGAAATTTAACTGTATGTACGATTGCTTCAAAGGTGTTAGCGCCAATATCATATAAGAGATGAACAATAACGCACGTAAATTGAAAGTTGAATTAAAATATTGTGAGAGGAGTTTGTCGCATATTGGTCTCGGTGGTAAAGAGTGAATGATATCTTGGATTCTTGATAGCTCCGTGGGTCCCAAAACCAAGTCCAACTCTTGTTCATTATCGATGTCATTTTCTTCGGGTGTATAAATTTCTGATTGTGAAAGGTGCTGTCGAACCTCCTTAATATCATCTAAAATAGAAAGCCAGTGGGTGGAGTCTAAATGACCCCTTTGAATTGTTTCGTTTTGTATCGTTGCTTCTTCATCATTTGGCGTCGTCTTCGTGAAAACTAGCGCGCTATTGTCCCCTAAAGGCTCATTGCTTTCCTTTTTAGATGATTCGTTGATAATTCCTCCCTCGAGAAGCTCAGAAACCAGATTTTCCACTCTTTGGAGTCGCTCTCCCACGTTGTTTTTAGGCTTGGGGTTGCGAATAGCGTTGCCTGCATATTTGCAGAGAGACCTGTCGCCTCTCTTAATACAGGCGTCGCACGGTAACTCGCGGTTACATTTTGCTCTAACTTTTGTGAGGATAATTTCACTTTCAAGCCCTTCCTACTTACTTTCGTACACGACATTGCTCGCAAGATGTTGGCCGCCGATTCCGTTTATTATCTCTATATATCGCTTGCTTACCCGTTGGTAACATTTCGACTATCTCAATCTCGCCAACAATAGTTCCGGTGCTCATATATGTCGGTACTCTTTCTTGAAGAAGAAAATCAAGGCCTATGGTTTGGAATTCAATAAGAGTGACTTTGAGAGTAACGGTTTGGGCTCTCGCTTTTTGTGGGGCCAAGCAAACATGTCGAATAAGCCAATCATAGGCATCTATATAAAATAGTGGGCCCTGGAATTACTGGCCGGGGGCGGATATATTATCTCCGCAGACACAAAACCCTAAATATGCATTGATGACCTGGAGTAATGCAATTTCGAAGATCCTAGGGAGAAAAACATGCTAGTTCGGTCGGAAACCATCATTTTTATTCTCTCAATGATTTATTACTCGTCGGAAATAGTTATTTCCACTTTATTTCTGTATGCACTGGAGATGCCCATTAGGGCCCCATACCGCATTTACTATCTCCATGATGGCTAGGTCTTAGCTCCAACTATGGCTCCATGCCAATGCTGAATATAAATATCCGGCAGTCGAATCATAATATACTTGAAAAGAAGACTATCATATATTTGACAAAAAGGAAGAAAGCAACATTTCTACACATCGACGCCAAACACACAATGTCAGCAGCCGACGCCGCCCATGGCGCATTCTCAACCCTTTTCTCTAATATTTTCATAAAATTACCCACCCCTAACACCGACCTTCGAGGTCAAACATTTATAGTGACTGGCTCAAATACCGGACTTGGTTTCGAGGCTGCCCGTCATCTCAACAATCTCGGTACCGAAAAATTGATCATGGCAGTGCGAAATGTAACAAAGGGAGAAACGGCAAGAGCTGAGATACTGGGATCGACAGGCCGAAAAGAGGACTCCATCGAAGTGTGGAGTTTGGACATGGCTAGCTATGAATCCGTCAAGGAGTTCGCTGCTCGCGTAACCAGGACCCTTCCCCGTGTAGATGGTGTCCTTGCAAATGCTGGTATCATGGTCGACAAATTCACAATGTTTGAGGACAATGAGAGTACATTGACAGTGAACGTCATCAACACTTTCTTGTTGTTGCTCCTTCTAGTTCCAAAGCTTCGCGAGTCTGGAACCAAGTTCAATATCGCACCACGATTCACCACTGTGAATTCAGCATTGCATTATATGGCCCCAGTGAAGGGGCTTGACTCTGATGATTCTGAAATATTCGCAAGGCTAAACGACCCTAAGACTGCTGATATGGGCGCACGATATAATCTCTCTAAACTACTCGTTATATATGCTGTCCGTGAGCTAGCAGAACGACTCAATGCTTCATCCACTGCATCATCAACGATCATCATCAACTCACCAAATCCGAGCTACTGCAAATCAAACCTCGCACAAGGTACTGAAGTAGGAAGGAGCTCAGCAGGAAAGATGTTCGAGAAGCTATTGGCTAGAAGCACCGAGGAAGGTAGTCGGGCCTTAGTACATGGAGTTATTTCGGGAACGGAATCAAACGGACAGTATTTAACAAATTGTCACGTTCAGGTGTAAGTGAGCCTACATATTGACGAATTTATATGAAAGCATATTCTGACTTTAACTTATTCACTAGACCGGCATGCTTAGTGACTGATTCGAGAGGTGTCAGAATACAGAAGAAATTTGCGGACGAGTTGGTTGCAAAACTTGAGAGAATTTCTCCAGAAATATCATCATATGTCTGAAAAGACATTAGATTGTATCAGGAAACAAAATGTCTTATTTAGAAGGTGTCCGTCATCATTTTCTTCTCTGTGTTTGTTTTTCTTCTCTCGTTTTTCTCCTCACAAAGGCTCTTCGAGTGAAAACTCGTGAACACTAGCAGGCCTGAGCATATTTTTGTACTGCTTTTCATGCTTTTTCATACCAGGAAATGCTTGGACAATGCATTTTCGCAACCAGGAGTGATGTAACTAGATTCAATACATGTATCAGATATAAATTCGACTAATAAATCCGAACAGGACCAAGAGGTTCCCTTAGAGCTTCTCCGCCATGTCCTTAATTTAATCATTGATATTGATGTGTCTTTAATCTACCTCAAATGTTCTTTTTTGCTTGAGCAATCACATAGACTGTCCTGTGTGATACATTATGCATGAATACACAGGTATACTCTAAACTATTTCCTTGCGTCATCCTTCAAGTTGAAGATACAAGAAATCTCCTAGATTACGTCTTCATTTTTGCATATCTTAATGTCTTTATTAAATAGTGTTTTAATCGTCACGGTGCCGTATAAATTGGGGGAGAGCGCACAGTAAATTCAAGTTGTGTTAAGTAATGAGTTTATTTGGCTGATCATCATATCGCAAACTGTGCTAGTGCACATAGTAGATCGTGGATTACAGTTTCAATACTGATATAATGGTGCCATCATCCTCCATTTTTGAATTCGACTATTAGGTAATTCCGGAACTGAATTATCGTCTAGAGACTGCTAGTTTCTTAATCTACGCAGTGCTAACTATCTCACATCCACATTTGATGTATGCTTCGCTTATATACTAAATATATAACGTACTATCAAATTGAGATAAACGATGGCGTGCTAAACTATTCAAACCTGGGTTCTCATTGGCGTAAGCTTGATTTTAGTTAATACTAGCGATCTGCCCTGCATCAACCTCATAGATATCACGCGATAGATATTTCCTATTGACTAATGAAATAGTGCCGTCCACGGATCAGAAAAAATTAGTTCATTTTGTGGTGGCAGCAAATTATTAAAATAGTCTCGAATGATCAGCCCTGATGTGAATTTCAAGACTAGGGCGAGGCTAGTTGGCGGCAATAATGTTGGCGCTATAAATAGCAGTTGACAGTAATGCATGTTCGTGCAGGATATCACATCACTACCCCATCTCGTAGAAACAACGGTACTTCAAAAATTTTCCCGAACTTGCAGAAGCGACTAGTCGCAAATAATATCCCGCATATCGAATATTCGACGTTTACCTTGATTCACTATTGGTGGTTTACTTCTAAGCTTGGCAATGGAAAGGATTAGCGGTGTCGTACCCAAAGATTAGAGCCTCTTTAGCAAAGGCTCAGGGTTGGTATAGCGCTGCTTCACTGCTGGCATGCACATGCCCTCCTATCAGCCCCATCAATCTCTGTTATAGGTACCGAGTTATTTAATATCTCTTCTTGCAATGCGAATCCCACAAATTCCAATTTTAGAAAAAAACCAAAGACTGGAACTCCAGAAAGCAGGTGGGTAATCCTGGCTTCATGAACAACAACCAAGGCTCCAATCAGACCCGCTATTATCAATGTTTTGGCATTATTTCCCATTAACCTAACCCGAAAGCCAACTGTCATTTCGTCCCAATTTTAAGCTTTTATGTCAGTCTATTTATACCCTGCACGATATGTTTGAAAAGGCTGGTCCGTGGTGTTAAGATAAAGGACGTGGGCTTTGTGTTATTTTGGTCGCTGCTTTAGCGATCCTGCAATTATCTAATTCGGTTTAATCTAACATGTTGAAAGCTGGTTGTTTTCTTCGACCCAGAATGTCTGAACAATTGACTGTCTGTATTACTGTTATGGGATAATTTGCAGACTTATCTAGTCGTTGTTACAGTTCCCTCTGGCAATAAGCTCAAAGAAGCAGATTTCGCGACCGCTGCATTTCTCATCTTAAACGCAAACACAGACTTCCAATAAATTGAAAGATCTAGGGATTGACAGCACAAAGTGTATAATAATTCTTCATTCCGAAGTAAGAGAAGATTGAATAACAGATCATGATATAGAAGCTAAGGGTGATACTCACTTGCACTAACAACCAAGTGTGATTCCTGCTTTTAGTTGCAGTTTACGAAAAAGGTTTTTTTCCTGAAGAATATAAATGCGGCCGTGCATAGCATACCATATAGTTATATGATAAAAATGATTAAGAAATCATATTAGAAGCCACAGTGCATTTACGTAACTCGTTATTAACTCCCCGACATCTGGATGGGGCTACGGGCCGGGCCTTAGTACTCCTCCAGTCTCCAGATATTATTATTATTACATGTACACTATGCCTCTTTTGCTGAGTTTCGACTTGATGGTGCCTATAAATCAGTACTGTCCATACTATTGACCCTCTAAAACGCCAATTGTGAGGCGTCTAAATATTCATGCGAACCTCATCCGTTTTATATAGATTGCCCCTTTTTTAGCTATGGTCGTACCTGCGTTTCTTGCCATGTTAGTTACATAAGCTAGTAATATATAGGGAAGCCTAGCCTCGTGTTGATGTTGTTGTTGGATGTTCATTGGAGGAAGCGGGAGCCAAGACTCAGCTGACGTTTTCAGCTGAGAATCGGAGTATGAGAGAATGTTATTAACCCTTCTCGAGCATCACCCTAAGTCCCTTTTAGGAGATAGGACAGGCGACAACTCCTCGCTGATTGAACGAAATCACGGAACATGGCACTATCGTCCGCCTCGTATGTCGGGGAACGTGTGTCAAGGCTGAAGCTATCCCTGTTATTTGTTAGGGCTAAAACCCAAAATGGAACCCCTTCTTCAGTGTGGGTTATTACGCTCCGTTGACGGCTGAGCCAAACGTTTCGGCCCCCGCTGCAGAGCCTCATGGGCAGCATTTGAGAAGGAAGGGCTGTAGTATATTAAGTTGAGAAATAACCCATATCAATAGCCTTCAAATGTTCTAATTACACCGAATCACTTCAAACACTTGCAGACTCAACCAAAATGGGGTTTCCATATTATTGGTGGAGTCCCCAGGATAAAGCGGTTTATAGTTTGAAGGACCCCCTTGTGGTGCGAAACATATTCACCACTATTTACGTCGTGCTAAATGCTGGAATCTCCTTAATCGGTACCTATTATCTAAAGCGATCAGCCCAACGAATCCTCCTCCAAAAACGAAACGGGAAACACAGAACTGTGCCAGTGAATCACCTAGTCTCATGGCTCACACTAGGTTCCTTCGCAAGCTATGTGAAGGCAGTACGGAAGATACCTGGGGGAGGTTTTGGACTCCTTATGATCTGGACGGGTATTTTCAGTCTCATGCATCAATACTTTACGAACAGCTTCATAAGCGCCGTGAGTCTGGTTAATACTTGTCCGTTCGAGAACGGTACTATCACCACTTACAGCACCGAGCCAATCGTTCCAGCTACAACATGGCCGGTAACACGTCTCGTCTATGAGGCTTACTTGGCAGCTCAAAACAACGGTGGAGAGTTCGGAATATACGATAAAATTAATTACAACGCAACTCTCTTTTGGCCTCAAAATGAAGACATATTAGGCGCATGGGACTGCACACAAGAAGCGAATGGGATCATCTCGCCATCGGACTGGAGTTCTTCAAATTCATTGACTTCTTGGATCGATAGTCAGCCTTTCTTTGGGTTAAATTATACATGGTCTCAGAATGGCGGAAGCTTCGTGGACACTGGTGCTATTACTGGGTTTCTTGTCTGGAGCGCATCCACTGCAACATCAAATCTGGAGCAGTCAGACTTGCATGCTATAATTCTTGACGCAATATCTGGCGATAGCCCTCTTGAAACTTCAAACTACAAATGCAAGTTGATACCCAGTCCAACTCATACTGACTGGGTGCCGCCCATGATGCCCGCTTCTGACACGCTCGGCAATTGGAGTGATTTGGCATATGGAATGATGCAAAATACAGCTCCAGAATCTTATGGATTTCTATTACAAAACATCCTAAACGGCATGACGATGATATCCGGTAGTGGGAATCTTGCTAACTCGGTGCTACCATCGGGTTATCACAATACGTATTACAGCTGTCTTCAACCAGGGACCCACATTGGATTAGCGAATTTCGTTCTACTTGCAGCCCTTGTATTTACTCTCCTGTTTATTCTTGTGGCAGATCTCTACTCACTACTGGTGTATTGGGGAGACGACACACATTCTAAGGTCCGAGAGATTCCTTTGAGCCAGTTAGATTGGCAACTAGACGCGATTCGGGAGGCGACTTCTAACCGCGGCCTTTCGGAGAAAGACCTTGTACGATACGGGTTCGGGTGGATCGAGGAAAAACAGACTCTAGGGATTAAAGAGACCTATTCGGAGGTAAGTTGTTCTCTGCTGAAATTTTTACACTTTCTCTGACAGAATTCAAAACAGGACTCAGATGTATCACTATTACCAGTTCAAAGGGAATCTGTCATTATCCGAAAGGGTTAAACCAACATCGTCGTACTTGTGTAAATTTATTGTATCTATATTATTGTATCAAGCCTTGATGTTAGAATTTAATGTGCCGTTTTTATTCAGATCAATCAGTACGACGATTAGTTAGTTGGGGCATTTGTTAAAGCGGCAACACCGTAAATTATGCAGATGCACGGCGTCGTTCCCATAATAGAACAAAAAACTGGCTAGGCCTAACTGGGGAGAACTGAAACATAGGCAAAATGGGGCCAGTGAGTTCGGGGTGATAAAAGCGCCGACCCAAGCTTTGCCGAGGGTGGCTGAAAAGCTTGGTTTTATTTCCACTCTCCAAGTTCACTTTTCTCTGGACCTTTCTGCACTGTGAGAAGTGTACTTCTAGCACAGCAGTGGCGCAGCACGCCGTAAATTGTAGGTTTAAAGTATACAATATCTTGTCAGATGGGGGACGAAGAAAGACATCCTTTTTTTGTCACACGGCATTCACCAGGGAAAACAAGACTCCGAGGCCCGGTAGTTGCGGCACCTCATCATTCGCACTAAAGCAAAGCACGAATATCAATTGTCAAATTAACGCCAGTATCCTCAGGCCTATTTTCTCGCTTACTGAAGATATTCTACACATATTTCCATTCCGGGCCGATTGCTACATGCCCGCGGTACGGCAGGGCTTCTGATTCGTGTTTGGTTTTGCGGCACATACTCTCTCCTCTTCCTCTGCCACCACCTTTTTCACTTGAACCCGAGATGTGATTTTCTATAAATATCATCCAACTAGGGCCTATGTGACCCATCAAGAGAAATATACTACTAGCACGGAATACTAGTGCCTTTGAGCTACAAAGGCACTAATCGTTTGAAGCCGGTGCGGGGCAAGCTTTCCTGTTGCGTATTAAATGATTAGCAAGGTCTCCTCTCCACAATACTATCTACATTCTTCCTAGTAACTTTATCATTCTTCCTTGAATCCTCATGCGGGGGCTTTCCTCTTTCCGGGTGGTGAATGCAAGTGAGGAGAGAAGCATTTTCTTCTCCTTCATCGATTGCTTGGTTAATACTACGTCAGAACAGATCAGAAAGAAGCCATCATAATTCAGACGGAGTAAAACGGGCCACGTAATCGCGAGGTCTTGTCCTGGGATATGTGAGAATGGTCGAAAGAGCCATCGCATACATGCTTGTGTTGAGACATCTTTCCATTGGCCAGTTATGACTGTGACTTCATTTATTCTCAACGCTAGTCATTACAGACCATTTGTCGATCAATTGCATGATCTAATGTCTCCAAATATAAAGCCACTTATGTACATACATGTCGTAGCGTGTTTTGATCTCATGGCCTCGAGACTCTTGTGCATGCATCCCAGGCATGGAAAAGGGAGAATCCTTTCCCCGCCTGTTGCATGATTCCGACCACGAGATGACCAGGGTTGGAACATAGAAAGTTATTGTACCCATGTAACTGGCTCTTTTCCAAGAATCCTATTGTTGCTTATTTCTTATCTTCATAAGCGAGTTTCTTTTTTTAACAAAGATCTTCGACATATCCGCTGGCGCGATCTATACACCTGCATAATCCAGCTTGTAGACCAGAAACATCTTCTTATTAGCCGCCACTATCAGCCACATGTGCAAAGGCGATGTCTCGTCACCGCCGGTTCAATGCCTAGCTTTTGTGTCTACGAAAATTATCCATTGCTACTGCGGGGTTACCAAGAAGCATTCCAAGAATGGACGCGGCAAATTGAAGAGCACTACCTTCTAATTTGTGGTAGGAGCTTGTCTACATTCAGTATCATTACGCCATTTGGCGGTAGGCTCCGGATGATTCTTGATCAATTGATGGATCAGACTGTCTTATGATCCTGGTAACGGGTCAACTTACTCCACATCTCTACCTGTTGTATGCGATCACAATGTGCTGCTTAGCAGATACCGGAAAGTGGAATACGTCAGGGGCCTTCCCTTTTGCTTTCAGAACGTCCTTGGAGTTTCTTGCTTGTTAGGGTAAGTTATTTATATCAATCCAACCAATGAAGAAGAGGAATATTTATAGAGCAGAATGGTCAACAAAAAGTATAAATTGTATGATATATCCGTTGAAATTTGCTGCTCTTGTAGGTTTATCTAAGGCCTGTTACTGGAGTTCTGATAATTGTGAAGAATCAAAAACCATAGCTAGTTTGATAAGATCAGATATCATGATGTTCAAGCACTTGTCCTACTTCTCAGTGATCCTCTCGGCCCTCAGAGTTGCCAATGCCGCACCAGCTGCAACGCTCTCGACAAATCCACGAGGAGGTAGTGGTCTAGTTGGATACTCGCCAACAAATACCATCTCCAACGAGAATACAGAGACTATATCGTATCAATTTGCGCCGGGCCAGACGCAGGATGCAGATATTGGTGCTTACCTTGACTTCTCAGCCGTGGCTAATCCACAACCAATACGGGGAGAACTAGGTGGAACAGACCCTGGGCCACGTCCGTATTTATCTCGTCTTTGTTGAGTTACTAGCTAATCGAAATCTAGGTAACCTGAATTATGCTAAAATAAACCCCGACAAATTGGCTCCTCCTGGAACTGATAGTGGTGCAACGATCAATGCACAATGGCCACTAGGTAAGTCATTTCTGGTTTTATTCGACGAATAATATTATACTAATAGCACATGTCTACATTTAGGTTTAAGCTCCGTCAAGTAAGCTAATCGAGCTGAATAATTCGCATCCGAATTCTAATACCACCAAGACTAGGAAAAGACCATGCTGGCTGGTCCCGACAGGAGAATATTCAGGTCATGCCTGCAGCTACTCAGATGGCTGGTGTGGATATGCGACTTGAAGCTGGTGGATACCGAGAACTTCACTGGCACGTTGCCGCCGAATGGTCTATTGTTCTGAATGGATCCTGCCGAATTCAGGTATTCTACCGATATTTATACTCTATATAAAAAAAAAACCATGAGGCTCTAACCTAACGATTTTAGGGCGTTAATGACGACGGCCAGACATTCATTGATGATGTTGGTAAAGGCGACGTTTGGTTCTTCCCTCCGTACGTACAAACATTACTTTTCGAACTACTTTCGTTGAAGTCTGACCTTTATTAGCGGTATTCCACACAGTATTCAGGCATTAGATGACGGCGTCGAGTTCATGCTAGTCTTCGATGACGGACATTTCTCGGAAGACAATACTTTCCTTGCATCTGAAATCTTCGCTCACAATCCGGTAAGTGAATAGATCTTATATTAACAAACCGAATTCCATTCATACTAATGTATTTTCCCGTATAGAAAGAAGTTTTATCCAAGAATCTTGGGGTCCCTGTCTCAGCATTCCAAACACTCCCATCTCCTAACCTTTTCATCTTTCCCGGTACTCCAGCACCCAAGGATATCGAACAGCAAAACGTGACTGGCTCCGCCGGCACCGTTCCCAAGGCCGTGAGCTACTCTTACCATTTCTCGGAACAGCCTGCAGAGGAACTCGAGGGTGGAAGCGTTAAGATCGTGGATCCATTATCATTTCCTATCGCCAAAGACTTTTCGGCTGCTTTGGTTACTGTCAAGCCCGGCGGCCTGCGTGAAATTCACTGGCATCCAACTAGTGACGAATGGACTTTTTTCATACAGGGTCAAGGTCGTGCCACGCTATTTACGCCGCCAAGTGATGCGACTACTTTTGACTTCATGGCCGGTGATGTTGGGTACTTTCCCAAGTCGAATAGCCATTACGTTGAAAATACGGGTAATGAGGATCTTGTTTTCTTGGAGGTTCTTCAGGCCGATCACTTCTCTGGTGAGTTCTTTCGACCTGTTTTGCAACGAATGAAGGTAGATAATATTGGCTAATATTATCCTTGGAACAGATGTCTCTCTCGCTCAATGGGTCGGTTCAACCTCGAAGCAAATTGTTCAGGATACACTGAAGCTCTCGAACGAAACTTTGAGCCAGCTTTCGACTGAGAAGAAGACCGTCGTCTTGTAGATTTGTCTTCTGATGAATGAAGGAGCACTGCCTTTTTTTTGTGCCTTACTACACTCTTTTGGTGCATATATCCGTGGGCCAGAATTAATGACCCAAACTTCTTTTCCATTCTTTTACCACCAATTTGATGATAAAGAGAAATTATTTATAAGTGCCCTGTGTAATATAGGGTGAAATCCAAATATGAAACACGTTTAACTTGGACTACATAGGGACGTCTCGAATGCTAACAAACTAAGTTAACTATCTTGAATGAAAGAAAGTAAATTGAAATGCTTCCTTATTCACATTCCAACCATCTTAATTAGCTAGACTTGATGCTAGCAGAAAATACTTTAACTACCTATCTGAGAGTATGATAGACAATATGATTGAGCACTAAGCAGCGAGGGTGCAAACGAGGCAGGGTGCCTGAGGCATTCTAATATTATCAACAGTTCCTTCATTGTAGCTCGCAGTTATGATTTCAGCGTAGCCAAGATAGACAAACATTTTCAAGTGTTTCTCGGTTAAGCCTGCACCTACACCAAAGCAGAATATACCAGCTGTACCCTCTTCAATACTCGAAAGATTCGATTGGAAATTCATTACACCAAGTCTGCATTTCCAAAATGTCTCCTGAACTCGGGACAAGTATCTCTCTCCGCTAAAATTCCTAACTAAAATATAAAGACCGGTTATCTCCAATATTAGATGCATTCTGATATGATCAAACGCTACTACGAGTTGTCCAACTCGAGTTCTCCTAGATTTGACTCCATTACGATGTGGATCAACATGCTAGGGAGGCGATACTTCGCGCGATTGGTGCGGGTTATGCTATTGATTGGCGAACATATTCATCGCCTAGATGTCGCGCACGTGCGGATTGTACAATCCGGACTGTTGGGGCTGGGGATGCTCGTCTCCCTAGAAGGGTCTATCTCATCAGGGATAACAGTAGCTCGCATGAGGCTTCAGATACAGCATGGGCGGATTCCATTGAGCAGATCACGAATTAAATGAAGGCCACAAGGGCTGAGGGAATAGCAGGGGCGGAGGGGTCTCTTTGTATGCTATCGTAATAGTCCGACGTTATGCGCGATTTTTTTATTTGCTGCTAGGAGGGAATGAATTTTTCGCATATCCAGATGGGGAAAAAGGAGTATTTGAATTTCGGCAAGACGAAGATGCCATGGACTCGGTCCTGCTTCAGCTGGTCGAGGAGACTATGAGCTACATGGCAGTGCAGCCAGTAGAATGATGATTCAACGTCGTCAATATCGGAAGTTTTCTAGTTTAATGTTGTGTTTATAACATCACAATAAAAAAAAGACGAAGAGAATTTCGTCTAACTTGAAAGAATGTATCAAATTCCCAACCATAAAAATATCAAGCATTCGATTCATACCCAGTGATACGACCAATACAAAACACGACATTTATCCTAGATATACACCACGTCAAAATTCGATTTCGTCCCGAATCGTCATTCCATAGAGCATAGTGAACTCCTCTAGAATAGATCCTCATATATTCTAATGACAAAATCTCAATGTTCAGAAATTTATTCCTGCGAGACAGCCGAGAAAACAGCATAATTGAATTAATTCTACCAATAACGCCGACCATAAACCTATACCAAGACCAGCCGCCGCAAAAGTACAAAAACATTCAATGGAAGACCGACAGAACAATAAAGGAAAGACAATAAATACATCTACAGTAATCAATGCCGCTTATTTTCCGACTCATCAGCCGTCATCGACTTTTTATTACAATAGGGGTATGTATGGATAGTAATAATGGTATAAATAGGATGTATGCTCGTCCTTATTTCTTAGGACAGCACTGTTTACCGGGACACTCGTCACCGCATTCGAGCAGGCAAGCGCTGCCTTCCCGAACACTACTAGCACTGCTGGAGACATGCGCAAAGTCGCTGGCACCGTTGGGGTTGGAGTTGGAAGGCGAAGATTGTGGGCCGAAGAATTCGAGGTCGCTGGTGACAAACTCCGGTTGGACGGTAGATGAGTGGATGCCGTAGGCGTGCAGACACTGACGAATTTCCTTGGCGAGCTTCATGTAGCTGTCTGATCCCTCATCTTTGATCTCGCTGCCGACTTGGACATGGATGGAGGCTACGAGCTTGGTATCGCTCAGTTGCCAGACGTGCAGGTGGTGTGAGCTGATGACGCCCCGGATGCTGTTGATGTCTTCTTGGATATGGTCGATGCTCATTCCGGCGGGTACAGCTTGTAAAAGGATTCTAGAGGCGGCTTTGCAGAGTGGAATTGCTGAACAGAGGATGATGATTGTGATGATGAGGGAAATTCCAGGGTCGACGTAGAATCGCCAGGAGTAGTCGGTGAGCCAGATAATTAATGCGGACGCAATAACACCAATATTTCCTAACGCATCTCCTATGACATGCAGGAAGACACCACGCATGTTTAGGTCGCCGTGTGCATGTCCACCGTGGGCCTTCCCTCCAGTCTTAGGTTTGGCGTGATTATGAAGTCGATGTTCATCGTGTTCGGCTGCTTTGGACGTGCCATGTCCGTTGGTATAGCTCAGCGCCGCACGATCCTTCTTTCCTAACAATGTCGTGCGCTCATCAACAAGTGCTTCATCTTGGCCAGCATCCTCAGATTCGGTGGTGGACTCAGTATCGTCAAGCTGTTGCTGTCCGGCAGTGATGATATTCTGGTACCGGTCTGCTGGATAGACGCGGATATTATCTAAGCTGCCAAATACGCGTGATTTGGAGCCGCTATAACCACGAGAACGGCGGTGAATGATATCCTGCTCTCGGTTTCTGCGCGGTGTCGACGGGGATCCTGGTACACCATCATCGACGTGGCCCGTTCCGACTATCTGTGGGCGTTCACCGACATCTGGCTCATCCTGTCGACGAATGCCGACTATATTCTCAGGCATTATGCTAGCAACTGTGTTCCTCTCGTCGGCCATCTTCTGGGTGCTCTGTTCATAACTCTCTTCTTCCTCGTGGCCGACCTCCAGATCGCTTTCGACGCCATGTCCGTGTCCGTGGGAGTGTTCGTGGAAAAGGAGGAGACCGAGAATGTTTGACAACAGACCGAAACAGCCGACAATCATGACTAGTTTTGGGTTCTTCACCTCCTGTGGCTCGACGAGTCGTTGAATAGCTTCAAGGAAAATCGACATGCAAAGCGCCACCAGAAAGACACCGTTGACTAAGGCACCAAGGGTTTCGGCTCGTTGCCACTACAGCCATTGGTTAGATTCATCACACAATACCCCTTCCTTGCCATATTACTCACGCCGTAGGTGTATGTTTTCGAATTCGATTCTTGGTTCGCGACCTTGACGGCCCACAGTCCGACGACCAGGGAGAGGACATCGTTGAGCTATTCCACCATCAATCAATCATCCAACATCCATCCCCTTTGCGAATCAACATACCATATGAAACGAGTCTGCAACGAGAGCGAGTGAATGGACGGCATAACCTGTGTTTGCGCGTCAATATTCCGTCTGACCGTGTCCACCCAGAATAAAACAAGACATACCAACGATCAATTCCAGCAGGAAAAAGACCGAGTCGATGATCAACAGGATAATAATCCTGTTGGACTTGGAGAGGGCCATATCTGTTCCTTCTTGCTTTCTATCTCTCACACAGCGCCCTCCGCTCAATGGCGCGAGATGATTATGCGGGATGCTGCAGCAAATCTAAAGGTCGGCGCGGGATCATGCAACAACGGGTCGATCGGCACAGGCGGCAGGAAACTCTTCCGAGTGGGAAGGCGGACACGAAAGAAAAAAATGAAAGACTGGGGACCCAGATGTGTTGATGAACAAGGGAAAGGGAAAGGGAAAGAGTAAGATTGTGGAAAGCCCAAAAAAGAACAATAACTAATAAATAGCATTAGCAAGGGCGTCCCGAATTCTTTGTCGCCCCTCACATGGGCCGGGTGGAGGATCCTGACGCAATCCTCGACTGATGTTTCGGCGTCGGCTGCAGTCCCGAACACTTTACAACGCTCGTACAGCTTGCTTTCTCCACATGGGCCATATGCTTGCTCCCGCGTAGAACAAAGTCACCGTGGAGTCCGTGCAATTCACCGTTAAATACCAGATATACTGATACGCTCGTCCTGGGAAATATTAATCACAACAAATATGCCCACCGCCTTGCATCGCATACATTGAAAGCATTCCTCGCGCTCTCTCAACAGCAGGCCACTGCCGAGAATCCGTGTTTTGGAAATCAATCGCATAGGCTATTCTGGTACCTATGCACGCCTTCGTCGCTCATTATTGGACCTAGGTCGTGTAGTCTTGAGATTGTCACAGTACTAAAGTGCGCATTAATATGGCGCATTATAGTCTCGGCGAACCGACGATAGGCCAAGAACTAGACTATGTTTGACTTGACGATATCAAGGAACAAATACTAATTCTACTTACTATGTGGATGCAATTATACCAGGATATATCTTCATTAGAAATTCAATATTCTACCTAAATTGAAACCATTTCATCCAAAAGCAACTATACCCCTACTATACCCTGGTATGTCCCGATCAACGAGAACCGCATATGCTTAACTGAGGAACTTGCTAGCCAGGCCCATGAGGCCAGCTGGGCCGCCGGTTCCTCCCAGGCCACTGCCCTGGCCCTTAGAGTACAGCTTGAATGCCATCTCGGCGGCGGAGTTAATAGCGGACTGCTTGTCACCAGTCTACACAACACGAATCAGTACAGATCCATGAACAAAAAGAAATCTCTCAAAGGAAGAAACTCACCGCATTGCCATTGGCACTGTGCTGATCAAACAACTTCTCCGCCTCCGCCATAGCCAATCCAATCAACTGATTCTGACCACCGCCGCCAGCACCCCCAGAGAACTTCTTCAACGCCTGCAACGCAGCGCCAGCCCCGAGTTCATTGGAGTCCGTGGGGCCGCCGCCTTCGCCGCCGTACAGCTTCTTGTGCGCGTTCACCGCGTGGTCCTGGTCAACCTCCTGGTTGGCAATGTTGCCGTGGTTCTGCTGCAGGAAGTTGGCTGCTTGGTTGAAGTACGATGAGTTGCTGCCGCCGTGGTTTTGGGCGTGGCTGGCCAGGTCGGAGAAGTCAGGAGCGCTGGCACCGTAGTTGCCCCTGAATTGCTGGTCGCCGTACCCCCGGTTGCCGTCATCGCCGCCGTAAGACATGATTGTTGAAGTAGTATGTAGATACAGGTGGAGAAGGGATAGAATTTGGGATGGGAAGAACCGATAGACACAGGATGAGATGAACAGATGAAGAGGAAGAGCCAACTGAAGGAGAATAACAATAAACAGCCTGAAACAGATTGATGGAAGACCTCAATATATAAGCCCTGTGGCGGTGCACAGTGAGGGGTACGCTAAGGCTAGAGGGGCACGGCGGGGCAGCTGGTTGGCTCTGGCCACACTGTGGCTGAGCTCTCCCTGCTGTGATTGGCGCGCTCAAGGCGCTTCGTACGTCATCGCGTCCTGTGCTGCGGGCGAATGAGCGTGGTTCGATGTTGTCACTGTATTCAGGCGTAGTATACCGTATGGTAGGAGTAGTATCATATCTTTGCTAGAAGGAAGTCTACACATTTGGACTGGAGCTATCAGCAACGTAGAGAAGTAGACAACAGGTGCCATCATGCATATGCTCTAAGTAAAAGGGCGAAAAGGTGCGCAAGAGGAACGAGAAAACAGACAAATAAGCAATCTTTGTACTAGTAAGGATCCCCTTTTTGTGCATCCGAGAACCATAAGTCGTAACCAAGTATAAACATCGGCCAAGAACAATACAAATCAACGTCTTCGCCGCTCACCACTCGTCATCTTCGTCCTGCGACGGTCGCATGGCGCTCTGCCGTTGTCGTAGAGCTTCGGCTAGGTTGCCTGCGAGACTAGCATTCGAGCTGCTGGTGGGTGTGCCGCGTCCGCTGGCACCGGACGAGTCTTGTGAGTTGACGCTGACGGCGCTATCGCGAGTGGGTGGTGCGAGGGGTTTGCGTCCAGCAATGGGTCGTTTGGCTGGGGGTGCAGGGGGAGCAGGTTTGGCCTTTGCTGCAGCTGCCGTTGCGTTTCCATTTGTTGCGACTTTTGGAGCTGGAGGGGGAGGAGGAGGCGCTGGCTTGGGAGCTGCGGCAACGATTTCTTCGAGGTAGGCTTCGGGAGTCCAGCCTTGAGCGGAGCTCGATGCGTTCATGCACAACCACCATCCTAGAATTACTCGTTAGCGATACAAGGAGTATACTAATGCTGAATATGGACATACCGTTTCCTTCCTTGGAAATAATCTCCACGATCTCACCCGCCTGGATGGTAAGTTCGTTGGACCGATCGCTGGAGAAATCATACAAGACCTTCGCGCTCGGCTTCTTTGGAGCAGCGGGGGCAGCTGCTGGCGGGGGCGGGGGTGGTGGTGCTCGCACCGATGTCTGTGATATTGTGCGGTTGTGCGAAGCCGCAACAGCTGCGACAGGCTGTGGCACAATACGTGGCTGCGCAGCGGCTGGTTGAGATGCTCCAGGGAGTGTTTGAGGAGTAGGTCGGGGAGTAGGACGAGGTGTAGTGCCATTCGGGCGATTGCCGCTAAGCTTTGAAGGTCCGCCGTTAGGTCCACCTGGACGTAGAAGCTTGCCTTTCGTAACTGGTCTTGCAGCTACCTGCTTTGGTCTTGGAGTTGGCTTCGAGACTGAATCAGCACGCTCACCAGGTCCAGTGTGAATTGCCCCACTCTTGTACGTGTCATCGCGAGGAACAGCAGGGTCTTTGACTGCCTTTACAGTAGCAAGTTTCCCGGGTTTTTTGTTATATTCAATTCTGCCTCATGTCAGAAAATATCAACCATAAAAGCCAGTGCACTTACGTTTCTCCAATCTTCAACGTTAATTGTCCTCTAAGCACAGTCGAAAGATGGGTGAAAAATTCCGTCTTGAAAACGCAGCTGACGAGAGGATCTGGTTCTTGCGAACCGACAACAATAGAAAACCAGTCGTCTTTCAAGTTTGACGTGCCGATAAATTTAATCGCTCCAACGGGAATTGTTCGTTCAGATGAAATGGACAGTTGGTTGTTGACGATAGACTGGACAACAATATACACATGTCGTGATGTCTGACAAGTCGTTAATATTATCCATAAAATCACTACCTTTGTAGTCACTTACCAATACAAGCATACGAGGCATTGGCTTACTCGATCGACCAAATTTGGCCACCAATAGCTCGCAACGAGAGGAGAAAATAACAGAGTCGCCTGTACGTTATCAGTACACATATTCCATGTAATGAAGTTGGTTGCCTACCGCTAAGTCCAATGCTGCTGCTAATAACCTCACCAGGTCCACCTTTATTGCCAACGCCAATGTAATCTCCCATAAAGCGACGAGAACCAAGCAAACTCATACGACGGCGCTCTTTTCTTTGTTGAAGCAGCTTATGGCCTTGGTCTCGAAACTTAATGAACTCCAGACCACCAGTAACTCGACGCCAGAAACGCTGGATTCTAATAGCACATTCAATACGGTATCGCAGATAATTACGCCATGCCCGTTGGATACGAATAGCCATGTTATGCCAGTAACGATCTCTCATGTGTTCCAAAGCAAAGAGCGTTTCTGGTGTTTTAATGAAAGCCTTGGTCACGCCCATTTGGTACTCCTCCGCGGGAATACCAGTGTCCTTCAGGATTTGGCGAGCGCCAGACTCTGAATCACCCGTCCACGTATAATCACCGGCATATGAAGTTTGCTTAGACAAAAGATAGAAGCGCTCAACAAACTTGTCGAATGTCTGACGGTAGGCGAATCCTGCTCGTCGAATGCGGACGTTTTCTTGAAGACCGAGGTACTTGATTTGATGCATCACATTGCCCACGTTGTATTCGGTGGGAGATTTGTTTTCGTTCGGTTTGATTGTTCGGATGTAAGAGGGCTGACACTTCATCAAGGTAGACACGAGGTCATTCGCTGATGCCTTGATCTTGTCACCTGCAGTAGGTGGTCGTCGCTTATCGTCTTGGTTGACTTGATTTGGGAAGAGCGCGTGCAAGAAATCGTTGCTCGAAGATCCAACAAGATTGAGCAGGTCCTTCAATAATTGATCCTTGTTCTTATCTGTCATGCCTTCAACCGAGTAACTCACATCACCAGCATAATGCTTGATGATAAATTGACCCTGTCGATTCTCAAAGTTGGGGTTCTGCCCAAGGAAATTCAGACGTCCAACAAAAGTCTGGTCGGCGGCTGACGAATCTGCGTGGGCCGTTGCGCAAGCGTCATTCAACGCAGCAAAAACACCAGGAGGGCGCTTGTCCTCGATCAGGGAGCATACCACCTTATTGTCGAAGTATTTTATTGGGGTCCATTGAATCTGTTCGCGCGCATATTCCTCCTGTTCGGCCTTGAGTGTCAATTGGATGAAAATCTGCTGCAGTTTCTCGTTCACGTAGTTGATGCACAGCTGCTCAAAAGAGTTCTTTTCAAATATCTCAAATCCATAGATATCAAGAATACCAATCGAATTCGTGACCGCTCCCTTAGCGGTCAAAGACATATTCAGTCGCTCAACAATCCAGTCAAACAGGTTGAAGTACAGAGCCATTGCCAGTGCATCACGCACGGCATTTGCCTGGACTTTGTTTAGCGGGACTTCATAAACAGACCCTCTTCGGCCGCCTCGTGCAGTTTCCACGACTCGAATGGTAAGAGCTTTATTGACTTGGGCTGAGTCGACTTCAAGGAGGTAAGCGACAAAGTCGACAACGGACTGGTCGGTGATTGATGCATGGGTTTGATCGTCCTCAACAAATTGTACATTCCCTATCCATAAAATAGCAGCTAGAATTCGGAATATATTGTCTTGTTCAGCTTGTGCCAAGCCAATAACCCTCATTGCCTCGACAGTATCGGCAAAGTCGGACGAATCATCAATACCCTGGACATCGAAGCATTTCGAGCGACTCGTGTATACATATGTCTGAGGTTGTTGGATACCAAAGTTATCTGCAAGTACAAAGTATGATTAGCTCGGATCAGGATCTTTTCTCTTAAACTTTATGCTCACCTCGATAGGCTTGAGGCGCAGCCTTGGTAAGCTGGTAGAAAATATGAAAGTTTCGTTCATTTGTAATCTGGCCCACTACTCTCGTCTTCTCCAATAGATAGTTTGTAATCTTGGCGCCAATGGGTTCTCCTTGGGCGTTAAATTCTAGCTCGAGATATTTACCGAATCGAGATGAGTTATTATTGCGCAGGGTTTTTGCATTTCCGAAGGACTCGAGCAGAGGATTCGTTGCGAGAACCATGTTCTTAGTTTGTTGAATCGATGAGTCTGAGCCGCCTGACACGCTTGCGATATACTGCATCAGTCTTTTGGCTGCCTCTGTTTTCCCTGCCCCAGACTCTCCTGAAATAATCACACATTGGTTATCTTTGTATGCCTTCATGTTATAGTACGCGGACTCGGCGATCGCATAGACATGGGGAGGAACTTCGAGTCGGTTCTTTCCACGGTAGGAATCAAGGACTTGGTCGGTATATATACCCACTATCCCATCGTCAGCTAGGTTTTAGAAACAAGGCGGACTAGACGTACAGTCTCGAAAGGGATTGACGGACACCAGCACATGTCCGATATAAGTCTACAGAGACACAGTGTCAATACAAATATCACCCACATTGCAGATGCTACCTACGTAGATTTCTTTGTTTTCAAATCGCAACTTGAGGTTTTCGTTGATAGCCTCGTTCGACACTTTGCTCAGCAAAGTGAGATCTGACACACCAATCTCCTTCTTCTTCGTGCTCTCGAAGGCAGCCTTCTTAACTTGTGGTTTGCCGTTTGCCTGCCGACCATCGCCAATGTCGGCCTGGGCCTTGGAGCGGCCAAAACCGCGACTGCGCTTTTCACCACCACCAGGACGTCGGGATTGACCCTAAACGAGATAGCGAGGTCATTAGCGATAAAAATATCTAACAATCGTATTGAAAGAGCACAGCAAACCATTTTGCATGTACGCGAGGCGTTGCGCCAAATTCCACAACTAAATCTGACGTATCAATTCCACGGCCGTATGAGGGGGCACGGGACAACAGGGAAGATATATGGACAAGGCTAGGTATAACCCTATGCCACGGAGGAATGCGTCTATATTTGGTGTATGCGATGGTAGAGCACAATCATGTGCGAGGGTATCTTCTTGAGAAAAGACGAGGAGGAGCAACAGATGCAGAGAATGAGCGTGGAGTGTGGTATTACGGAGATGCCTGTCAGTGCCGGCGCGCCTGTCTATGCTTAGACCCAACCGATGATGCCAGCATAGCGGGGCTCTAGCCTCCTCCAGCGCTTCTGGGCGCCTGCACTGCCCTGCGCCACACTGCCCGAGTGCCACCTGTGCCGTTTACCGACGCGTCATCCTCGCTCGTTGCGATCGACAAACGGTTGTCGAATCAGATGTATTCTTTATACTATTAAATATTAAATATGGGACATGACAGGATACGGTTTATTCGGGGGTTCCGTATTAAAAGTTTGACGTTGTGGATCTAAAATCTGGCTGCCAACCAAGTCCTCACTGATTATCATGTCATTGAACTTGTATTTGATGATATTCATACTACATAGATAACTGTATGGGAGATACTAGGTGCCTGTCCTGCTCTAGTTCGTGCAGCTAGGATATGTTCAAGGGAGGCACATTGAGGCTTTATAAATGCAGAAACTTGCAATCCATGTCAGCATGGCTCTTCGTATATATATAATCTTCTTATACACATTATAGAGGCAATAGTTCCTGATGTTCAATATGCGCCATCGATTAACATTTTACTATGTTTACATAGGGTTTATTCCAGGCAACAGCCATATACTATAGTAGGCATCTAAGTTTCTTCCCACCAAGATTTTTTTTTCTTTCCTTCATTCGCTTCCTTTTCTCATTTTCCGCCATGGCCAGGAATAGCCAAAAAGAACTGCAAGAATCCCTATGGTGGAGATTACTGGAATTCATCAAAAGTCTGATATTCCATCGCAGAAAACCTGGTACAGCGGACTCTGTCCTATTCAGATTACCTGAATGCCTAGTCCGCGAAATCTTCGAGCTCCTCTCACCAGTCGACCAAGTCTGTTTTTTTATCAGTTGCAAGCTACTTTTTAATCTTTTTAACTCAACTTATAAAGAATTCACTTTTCCACGCCATTTACACATCAAAATACCCCATTTATGTCTAAATTGGCCGGATATACCACGAAATATGCTTTTAATTAGACTTGAAAATACTCGTTGGGTATTTTGCAGTGCATGTTTAAAGTTACATCCACGAAAAGAGTTCGACAGATTATCACTGAGAGAACCATCTTTAAAGAGACGTTGCATGGTTTGGGCTGGTATAGTTGATCTATGTCCATGTCTCTCATTAACTTTCCGTGATCGAGAACAGCTTGTGCAGTTACTTAAAAATCTACTGGAATTACGACTTTTGAATTTATTACAGGCCGCTGGAGTATGTTCCAGATCAAGTTCGTCTATGATACATTCCAGGAATGTCTTTTACATGAATGTTGGGTTGCCAATGATGCCTATCAAACTCATATTCAAATGATATTATATTTTTCGGAATCGGATTCCGAAAATTTGATTATAAAGGCTCGATATACCATTCACATAACGCCACCGCGATACACTCCTTCGAACCCTGATACTGAGATTTTCGCATGCCCTCATATTGAGCTTTTATCCTTCATAGAACTAGATCGGGAATATGACTACTGCTGGACTTGCGAAAGCCAAATAGAAAGACATCCCGAATCCCGCCCCAATACAGTATTTATAGATGTTATTCGGCCATTAGGAAGCTCTAGCTGGCCAGCAGACAAAAAATGGTTTCAGCAATGCCGGATGATTACTTATCTCAATTATCAAATTTTTTGGTAAGTCTTCAAAAAGACGTAATGGAAGATATCTCAATTAACTATGTCACTTTATAGGCATCGAACTCAGAAATTTTGGATTAAGCTTCCCAAGATCAAATACTAGTCTACACGCATTACATGCGACAAACTCTCGCTATTTACATCCCAAATAGTTATTCGAAAAAGAACTAGAAATATGAATACTGCACATGTAGCTCTATCTATATTTTTAGTACACAAGTAAACTTCAGACTTGCTATAGAAGATCTAATGAATATAGTATGATGATTGAGTTCGTATTTTATCCCATTGTACAATTCGATGCTGGAAGCAGCATATTTCAAGTGTCTATCAATATCAGTTATTTAAAATCAAGGTTCTAACCGCAAACCCATTCATCGCTCCAGAACGCCTGTATGCTTTCTTCAACTTCCTCCCCGAGATACTCAATTATGAGCTGTCGCCCCTCGAGAGTTCTTGTTGCCCTGCTCAACTCACGCAGCGTTGGGAACAGATCGCTCAGGACATTCAGATTATGCCGTTGGTGCAGCTGACTTGACCCGCTTGCTAACACACGTTCCAATAGAAACAATGGCGACTGTGAGGAAACCATGGGGGGTTGGACTGGACCACAAGCACGAGCTTTGCAATGTTCTTTCACGGACGCCAATAGAGTGGACGGCTCTGCCGCTGATATTATTGGTAAATTCGACGCATTTGGAGAATGCAATAGTCTTGTTAAAATTATTGAAAAAGATTAGACCCCCTCGATGCACAAAACTACAGGCTGAGCAAAACAAATCACTTACAGGACTTGTAGAGAAATCAAACCGTTAAAGTTGAAGCGCCCGCTAGCTGTTGGGAATGCCTTGTTTGAATGTAGAAAGATGATAGCCAGATACTGATTGCTGCTAGAATCACTTATGAGGGACGCAAATTTTTCTACACGGGTCAGGGTGGCCTGTCGGTCGTCTTCCTCAAGACCACAAGGCGTAAAAAGAATAGCGCGCATCTCGTGCCGATGATTTCCATCAAAGAGACAAAATGCAAGATCGTACGTTTTATCAGACGATTCTTCAGCAGAATAAGCACAGTTCATCCAAGCAGCGAAAAACTAGACCTTCTAATGTGATATTGGGAGCCACGTCAAGGACCGGATGCAGGACACTCCAAACTGAACGGCGCTGGAGAGAAGAGGAGAAGGTAATGTATTGTTTGCCAGACATGTTGCCATTTAGTCGTACTTGACAAGAAACATTTAGGCCTGGGCTTGAATTCTATGTACAAACGAAGATGTAAATGCGATGACGGGGAGGAAGGTGCATGGCCCGCTGAGAGGAGATATCGACTCACATGACCACCCGGTGACTCCTGGTGGTCCGCAATATTATACAGAAGGCAGACAAGAAAACAGAAAGAAAGAGGGAATCTATAGACGCCACCATTTGTAACGACAAAACAAGGAGCAGTATGCATGATATAGAGGGTATCACAGTCGGCTATGCAATTATATACCAATAATTTGAGAACAAAGAATGAATTATGATTCTTTCGACGAGGGTTCTGCTTTGTGGGAGTTGAGCACGATAGTGGTGGCTGATGGACTAGAATTAACGCTGGGGAATGAAGAATCCCCTGCTCCTTCTCTTGGAGAAGGAACCTCTGACGTTTTAGTCACTTGAGAGGACTGAATGGTCTGCTCGGGAGAAGAGAACCAGGCCACGATGCGAGATGTCCAGCCTGTATTCTCGTTCTTTGGCTCTTCTTCCGTTTCCTCAACTTCCCATACATCGGAAGGCAGGACACGCTTCATATCTTTGACAGACTTTTTCCCTTGGTGGGCTTTGAGCTCGAGAATTTCTTTCTCGAGGACAACCAGAGCTCTGCGGGCGGCTTTTTCTGACTGCTCCAATTCATTTAACCGGTCTTGAACATCCTCTCGACGAGTAGTCTCCTTACGCCGTGACCGCCATGACTCGAAGACAATCAGGCCACCAGCTACCAGGAAGAGGAACGTCTCGCTGATAAAATTCGCGCCCGAGTCAATGGCTTTGGATTCGGACAACGGTCTGATCTTCGGCGGGGGCCGTGATTTTGCGTGTTCAATCGCTTTCTTCTTCGCTTGTTGGATTGCCTCACCCTCCGCTTTTACTTCTGCTTCTGTCTTCGCTGTCGGAACCTTGGGCTTGAATTTCCGTGCTTCTGCATCTGCGGCTTCTTTTGCGGCGTGTTGTTCTATCGCGCTGGTGTCGCGGATCAGACCTAATCGCAGGCGCATGTCAATGCGGTGCAGAGTCTGTGCCATGGATACACAGACATGTCGGAAACGCTCATGCTCGCGAGCCTGGTTTTTGATTTGATTCTATGTTCGTTAGAACGGCGTAGAGGTATGAGTTGGTTCACGGAATACGCACCGCAATGGGCTTCGATAGAGTGCGAATGACAAGCGACGAAAGTTTCAATGTGAGAGACATGGCGCTGGTAGCGCTGCCCACAGCAGTCAGTACTAATATGAGTAATAATACCTTGACCCTGGTGACAGCAGCAATGATATTGTCAGTACGGGAGTGCGAGTTGGAGAGAGAGGCTGCGGACAGAGCGGAGCAAGCCGGCCAATGAGACGGCCGGCTGTGGGCCTGGTGCCTGAGGCCGCCGCGACACCTCCCTCTGTTGTGCCGTTGCCGTGGCCCGTGTTTACTGTTTTCCCAAACCAGTAAGCCAGTCAGCCCAAACATCTCTAGTATTTCGCCAGTAAATGTTTTCCACTTTTGCATCACAAGCGACTCTCCCAGCAGTCCGACAGCTTTCTCGGAGTCACGGTGTTATGCGCATGGTTGTTATTCAGCGACTTGATCTCAGCCATTGTTGTTTGTGTTTGGTAAGCAGTGAATTCGTCCTACTGCACCGCTGATCTTTGCGGCCCGCCGAGACGAAACATACCACGCCAGCAATACATACTGAAACCAACTCTCAGGGGACGCTTCCACCGTCTTGCTAACACCCCCCGTCCGTGAAATCGCAGGTTTTCTGCGTTGGTTTATAGGAATTGAAGATACCCCTGGGTTGTTCTCGGTTGTGTTCACGAACTCACGACTTACGTTAGTTGCATGGGGCTAACTCATGAGCGTCCTCATACTGCGTCCAAATACACCGACTGAAGGGTTATAGCCTCTCTGACATGGAAGCGCTATCCCCGCGATCAACAAACCTCCCACTCAAGAACGCCGCGTCTGCAACTCAACAAAAGGTGGATCGTCACGCCCCTCTACCCCCGGTGCCCCCGGCCGCCGCAAAGGCTGCGCTTTCTAAGGTCCACCCACCTCCACCGCCACCAGTTGTGACAGAACCTGGCGAAGATGGCGAGCAGTACTCGACAGGCTCGTTTCTTGGGAAGGGAGGGTTTGCCATCTGTTACGAGGGGCAGCTGGTGCGCAACGGCCGTGTTTTTGCGATGAAAGTCGTCCGGTCGGAAATGGCCCAGAAAAAAATGGCAGAGAAGGTAAAACCGATTTCGCTTCAAGAGAGAAGGCATGCTAATACTTGTCATTGTGAAGTTTCGTACCGAGCTCGAAATCCACTCCAAATTGCGACACCCAAATATTGTTCGTTTCCACCGCGCGTTTGCTTTCGAAAGCTGTACCTACGTTGTCCTTGACTTATGCTCGAACGGGTCCGTTATGGATATGGTGAAACGACGAAAATGCCTTACTTTACCAGAAGTGCGACGATTTATGATTCAACTGTGTGGCGCCGTCAAATACCTCCACAAGCGCAACGTGGCGCATCGAGATCTCAAAATGGGAAACTTGTTCTTGGATCATAACATGGATATCAAAGTTGGTGACTTTGGCCTGGCAGCGATGATTATATCGGAAAAGGAAGCAAAACGGCGACAAACGCTCTGTGGAACGCCGAACTATATTGCGCCGGAGGTGATTGATAGGAGTAAAGGAGGACACAACCAAAAAGTGGATATATGGTCATTAGGGGTCATTTGGTAAAGACGATCGAGAATGCTTTATGATGAAAATTGCTAATACGGCGCAGTTTTGCAATGCTTGCTGGCTTTCCACCATTTCAATCTAAAACCCAAGAGGAAATTTACAAAAAGGTCAAGAACTTGAACTATGTCTGGCCAAAGGATAACGAGTGCTCGAATTTCATTCCCGAACAAGCCAAAAACCTCGTGAGCTCATGTCTGAACTTGGATGAGGAGCAGCGACCATCTCCCGACGATATTGTTGATCATGACTTTTTCAACATGTATTCGGGATGCATCCCTCGAGCATTGGACCCGTCCTGGAGACAGACGAAGCCCGTCTGGCTGAAAATGGAAGAACCCCGAGGCGATCGCATGATTCAAGGTTATAGCCTAGATTTTGAGGACAGATATCGAAGTAAAGCTACACACACCAGAGATTCTCGGGAGCGATACGCGTTTTGCAAAGAAGCTTTCTATACAGAGTGTGGTGTTGGCCGAAAACGCGACGGCACTTCTCGCAAATGTGCAGGAAAGCACTCATCGAAAAGCGTCTTTTCGGAGACTGCAGCAGAAACGGAAAAACTGCTTTCGCCAACTATCCCTTTGCCATTGGATTTTGTTTACAGATACCCAGTATATTTCGACGGCGACTGGAGCATACCAGAACGCGAGTCGTCATTTAATGGAGACCATAATGACTCAAAAAGTTCAGATGACAGTTACGAGAGCATGCCTGCCACAGAAACTGCAAACCCGGTATCTCGTGCGAGAACAAAAGCAGCTCTTGCGGCTGCGCAAACTCGACGGTTCGAGGCACAGCCACAGAGTCATGCAGCCACCCTTCGTCAGCAAGCTCTTCCTGTTCGACAATCGAGTAGAAATGTCGCGACCATGCGAAACCCACCAACCACTGCCACACACACAAGACGAGGGACATCAGACTCTCTGGAGGGAGTACCAGAATCCCTCCCAAAAGGGCTCGGCCAACGACCGTTGCGCGCTCCTCGAGGGGCAGGAGGTTCCTACTCCGCTTCTATACGCGATCTCGACAGGATCGTTGCACCACCTATGCCCAAGTCTGAGAGTATGCCTAATAGTTTAACCATGGCCAAAACACGGTCACAGTCTCGCCGTCAGCTTGAAACCCCAGGGCAGAGACTTCCGATGCCACCATCTATGACTGACAACGTACCCCGATCTTCAACACCGATTGGAGACATTCTCCCAGAGCCAAGGACGCGAACCGTACGCTTGCCTTCTCGCCAACAGGCAAATCGACCAGTGGAAAGGGACGCTAGAACCCTTCCACAACCCACAGCGGAGAACGTGCATCAAGATATGGCCAAAGCTAGTAAATTGAGTGCTGCAGCCAACAAACCGCGCTCAACTCTTGGCACCAATCCACTTATCCACCCTAGTGAGCAATTTGACCTGCTTTATCGATCGTCACCAGAGGAAGTCATCATGGATATTAAAGGCATGTTACGAAGCATGACGCCATCGGGTTCTCGCACATACCGTTCCCAGACTCGAAGACGGCCTCATCCATATGTTATTAAATGGGTTGACTATACGAACAGATATGGAATAGGCTATATTTTGGATGACGGTACTGTCGGCTGTGTTTTCAAAGGCGAACACAGCCAGCCCGCAAGCGGTGTTATATTACGAGACGGCGAAAGGCATATTCGGCGTAAAGCCCGAAGCCAAGAAAACCGCGAAGGCGCCCAGTATGCTTATTCTGAAGCCGACCAGCTTGTTCCCCGCAACGGAAGACCCGTTGAGTTCTATGAGAATTCCGACCATGGCCCTGCTGAAAGCCGAGGGATGAGGCGCGTTTTCGTCCAGCCGGATGTGTTCGAAGTCCGAACCTCTAGCAGCGGCTCAGGTGCTATGGGGGTGAAAGTTAGGACAGATTCCGGAGTGGAGTACGCCAAGTCGGAAGCAGAAAAGGTGAAACGGGTCAAACTGGTCGATCAATTCGGGAAATACATGATTGGGTCACTGGGTAGGAACGGAGATGCTGATCTTATGAACGACGATGGTCCGTCGATGAGGGAATCAGATGCTTGCATCAAATTCTACCAACGGTTAGGGAATGTTGGGGTGTGGGGATTCGGTGATGGGGCTTTTCAGGTACAGTTGATTGACATCCATCCTTTTTAGGACAGTGTCTAACTAAATTATCAGTTCAATTTCCCCGACCATACTAAGCTGGTGATTTCCCACGGCCAGAGCAGAGGCTCGTCGCCATGGATCGACTTCTACCACCTTTCTCCGTCTGCAGCACGGTATCTCGCCGGCAAGGGCAAAATGCATCCATCAGGGTTTGATACCCGCGCGGTGGCTTCGGATGATGCATCGACTTTTATCTCTGTTGCCAGCGATTCCTCATCTTCTGAAACCGGCAACGATCGATTGCGCGAGGTGTTACAAGCCAACTCATTCCTACGCAAAATCGAATTCGTCAAGGAAGTGCTCACTACGTGGGTTCATCACGGGCGTCTCGGGGGCAGACCGCGTTCCTCCAGCGGCACGGCGGATGCGAGTGGCCGACCGACGGAGATTTTCTGGGATGGACCGCAGGAACGGCCGTCTGGCGGGGGAGGGAAATATGTATGGGTGACTGTTGGCGCTCAGGGTGGGGATGGCGAGTATATCTGTATGGCGTCCAATTTTTCGGCTCATACTCCAGATAATAACCAAGCACGGCCGACGAGGGAGAAGGCGGGCCGTGAGAGGGGAGTTGATTTCAATCCGGTGTGATTTGTTGTGGATTTTCTTTTTGTGATCTTTTTGGTATTCTGATGATCAATGATGAAGCTGATGTCTGTAACTGCAAGCCGTACTATACCACTATCAATAATATGCTACTCACCATCAGCCCTGGTACATAAGTACTTGTAATGGTATGGTATTAACAAGTAAAAAATCACTATCCACAAATGTCTTGCCAGAAATACGAGACCTACGGATATAATCCTAAGATTAGTCCCTGTGTGATATATTGACATCGCTATTGTCTCAAATATGCTTAGGCGAAAAAACGTCACTATATTTGTATGTGGCAGTTGTACGAATGCTTATTCAGTCGGGACAAATCTTCTATGCACAGATTTGATTGTTTTGGAGAGAAAATCATAGATTTACAGGCCTACAACATATTCCGACACAGAATATGATTATATTAGATCAACATACACGCTTCACAATGGCAAAGGATAATCGAACAACCGGCACTTCCCAAAGGGTCGTCGACTGAGTTACTAGATCTGGCCTAGTAAGGTGGCAGAAAATCTGCCAAGGGGTCCCTGATTTCTTTGTTTGGAAGCGGTAGCAACAACCCATCGTCTGATGTTATCACATCGAGTATGATAATATACACCCCTTCAGAATGTTCACAGACCTCACATATGAAATTTCTACTTAATTAATACAGCCTGAGTGGATTGGTGGTATGACTCCACGTTTGGGAGCCAAAGAAGGCAGCATTGGTGGAAGCCTTGGGTTTACTTCATCTTTTTTAGGCGCTCCTGTCTCGAAATTTTCATTTCATTACCGGTTATGTGTATTTTGACTTTACCTACTTTCGGATGGTAACATAGAAGGTTTGAAGCTTGAATGCAGCCGATCATCAAGCTGCGCCCGAATGGTCTAGTGGTATGATTCATGCTTCGGGTATCCTTGGGTATCCTCGCTCCATGCAAAGGAGTCGTTCCTGACTGTGTGAGGTCTTGGGTTCAATTCCCAATTCGGGCCTTCTTTTTTTAAGGTGTGATATGAAGTGAAACTTCTCAAAAAATATGTTTTTCATGTTAATTAATGACGATGAAAGCAATTGGGTTATTACAATATTGGGGGAGAAACTTTCCGACGCCCTCTTCTAATCTTTGTTAACTGCTTGCTCTACAACCCTCCATTTGCTATTTTGTTGACACGTGTGAATGGCGATATCTAAATCTAGAAGAAACTGCTGATTGGGTGGAGGACGAGGTTCCGCGGAGGAAGGCCGTGAATGAACTAAGTGGCCGTCTATTATCCTGAGATTCTGGGATACGTCAATCATGTTGGTCGGTGTATGCAGAAAGTTGGTTGTGACTCCTATGAGGTAGAGTTATCTCAGCTTTTCAGACGACTCCGGTGCTGCCCCACAGTGGAGCCTTTTCTGCCGTTTTGGTCCTTAACCGGAAAAACGAGGCTCCGCGCGCTGCGGAGATTTCGCTTCGCGAAGTACTAATCAATCAGAACAGCTTGCTGTAGGTGGTACGTCTCTGATTGGCCGTGTCGAACTTGGCGTTTCTTGGAGGATAAGAGAGTCTGAGAAACTGAGATAAACACGCGGGGTAAGCCGGGTACAGCTGAGACTTACCAAACCAGGATTAGTTTGACTGCTCACCAACCGCAGCAGGAATTACTACTATCGAGTATCGACGCCTGAGTTAGGACATTTCATGATGTAGCAACACCTGACTGACAATGTCCACTTGTCTGCAATCCGCTATCGTGCCAATTTCAAGTCTTCGTCTTCATAGGCGAATTAAATCTATTATTTCATGATATGACTACCTCGGATTCTGCATCTAGTCGAAATGTCGCTTCTCGACAGAAGAAAAGAAAACCTGCTAATCGGCGCGCGCTTAGTTGCTATCTATGCAGAAAGCATAAGCTAAAGTGTGATCGTCAAATTCCTTGTCACAGCTGCATCAGATATCAAAGAGAGGATCAATGTAGGGAAAATCCCGCCCCATCTGCTTCAGCCCGCATTACGTCGCGACAATCGCCTTCAATCATTGCTCCTGGATGCTTGCCAGCGCCGCCCAAGCCAGGAGGCGATTCGTTGCTAGAAATTCTAAAATTCCCGATGAAATACACCGTCAACGCGCTTGTGGAATGTTGTCAATCAAATAGTCGTCTGGATCCCGCATATACGACCTTGTTTCTTCATTCACGCTTTACGTTACCGATCCTGCTGCCACAATCCATGCCTATGGGCTCAGTTTTAGGCGATTCGAAGGTAACTTCGTCATCGCTGATACCCCGCCACATAGACTCCAAGTTATTCTGGAGAGTGCAGCTGGCATCACTCCTACCACCTCGAAAACTGTGCGACAGACTTGTATCGTATTACGTAGAGAATATCGACCTCATCTACCACGCTATCCACATCCCGAGTTTCCAGCATCAATACAACGCCTTATGGACGTTGAATACCGCTGAAATTGATCTCATATGGCTGGCGTTATTGCTGACAGTCATTTCCATATCTGCGCTCATGGCTCCTAAAGAATACGTGGAGACATTGGGCATTGCAAACTCCGCAGGCCATGACTGGGCCCATGTCTGGCATCAAGCATCTCGCCAGGCTCTACATACCGGTGAATTTGAGTTGAAGCCAACTTTGACCCAGCTGCAGGTGTTTCTATGCACTCAGATATACTGGCTAGAGACTAAAAATCATGAGATACTCAACTCGTAAGCCTCCTCCATCTGTTATTCTGTTCTCCATTGTTTCCCTCTTCCAAATTGTCTCTTATCATTCAACTTTGATGACATACACGGTACTTATCGTCTAATGTTGTCACTCTAGAGCTCTGGGACAGGCGGTACGGAACGCGCAGGCCATCGGATTAGACAAAAACCAACCTGGCAAAGATCGTCTTGATACGGAACTCAGGCGTCGTGTCTGGTGGGAGCTCGTGATTAATGATACGTACGTGCTTCCGGCTTCTCTAAACTTGACTTGAAATCTAGAATCTGACGTTTCTCAGTTATCAGGCTATGTGCCTAGGGCGTCCTCCTCTAATACATCCTTCATCCTCCGAGGTACCAAAGCCAGTTCATTGCAACGATGTTGATGTCTCTGAGACAACCATCACGCCACACCCCATGGAGGAAATCACCGACATGAGTGCTAGCATTGCCCAAATTGAGGTTTATATCGTGTTCCGTCGACTCTTCGAGGACAATGGTGCCTATAATTCGTCGTATGAATTTGTTCGATCAATCGATCGTCAGATTCAGGACGTTGTATCCCGATTCCCATGGTACTTTCAAATCAACAACCAAATTAATCTTCGCCATGTGTCAAGTATGAACACTATTTTTTGGCAGCACAATAGTTTGCATATCGGTATCTGTCTGCAGAGAATTCGACTGAACAGACCCTTTCTCCACGCGCGTATCGGTGAGTCATGGCTTGTTTGCGCAAAAGCCGCGCAAGATATCTTTGTTCCATACCGGAGAATGCGTGAGACCCACTTTACAGGCTTTCTAGGTTCGCCGCGGTTCACTTCGCTTGAATACGACGTTTATACTGCCGCCGTAGCAGTGGCGGCGTTTCTGCTGGTGGAACGGTCGTTGCCAGGACTATCCTCAAAATCAATGGTTCAAGACATTCAGATGGTGATATCAGACCTGGAACAAGTAGATCTTAGACCTATGTTGGCTGATGGAGTCAAGGTGTTGCGAAAGATGCTTGACTTATTTGAGAAGCAGGACCACTCTCCAGACTCACAGGCTCGTATCTCTCTTGTGAAAGAAATTGCGTCAGTCTTTGGTGGAGAGGAGGTTGCAAAGAAGTATTTGAAGCAGTCTCATAATGATCCACTTGACTCTACGAAGGCTACGACGGCAAATGCAGCTTCTACGAGGACGTTCCAATCACACTCGGGCCTAGAGTCGGGATTTGGAGCTGGAATCCTTTCAAGCTCAGAACATTCAAGTCCTGCAATGGGGAATTCATTTATGACCTTCAATGATTCTGCATCAATTGACTTTGAGGTTGCACTGGAAATGTTAAGCTTCGACCAGTGGTTAGACTATCCGATGCCTGATGGCACGTATGCACCGGTAGATCACTGGTAAATAGTAATAAACTTCTATGTGCTAAAACATAGGCAATCACGCCGAGTCATCCATTTTTCCCTGTGCTACGTCCACCTGAAAGACCTCATCCGGCTCGTCATACGACTCCCGATATTGTGCCATTAGTTGTTGCGCGGGGGGTGCAGTGTTGACGAAATCCTGGACTCGTTCGTCCGGAAAGGCATAGTGAAGAGCCACATATACAGCAGCACTGATAGACATACCGGTCAAGAAACAGATATAGTACAGATGTGTGAGGCCGATAGGAACTGAGACACTCGGAGTCACGTACGCAATGAAGCCGGGTAAAGAAGGTGCAACTCCACTGATCCACTGCATGAAGGGTCAGTAACCTGAATACTTCAAATTCAAAGAAAATAAATGCACTCATTAGCCTTTGAAAAGAAAGGACGTACCGCTACAACTGCTCTCCAGTTAACACCATAATTATACCAATAAATGCTGCTTTTATTTCCAATAAACAGGTCGGGCACCTTGATCTTGCGCTTATTGATGACAAGGTATGATGAAATCATGAGTCCAACCATAGGTCCTACAAAGACAGAGTAGCTGCTCAAAACGGTTATAAATGTTGTTGCAGTATTCACTAGCTTCCACGGATTGGTAGCGATTGAGATGATAACTGTTAAATATGCTCCGCGTCGGATATTGATATATTTAGGCCAAGTAGCCGCGAAATCGAACCCTATTATAGAACCCAGTTAATGATGCAACGAAAAGCAGGAATGCATGAGAACGGACCTCCCGAAAGAGCATTGCCAGGAACATTAACTCCAATCTGTGAAACTACCAGCGCCACTCCCCCGAAAAAAGCCGCCGCGCGTGAGCGAGAGCCGCCAGTCTCAATGACCGCACTCAGTAGGTTTGGAAGACTCCACATTGCTTCGCCATAGCGGTTCTGTGTGGCCGCAGTTACAAGTATTCCGATGACACTGCAAGAAATAGCACACAAAGCGGAGCTAATAATTTGTCCATAAATAGCATCTCGAGGTCTGCGCGCAAAACGTGCGTAGTCGGTCTGGTTCAGTATTCCAGCAGCGATACTACCGATAGTGCTAATGATACCATAGGCGATCATCCAGCCCGAGGTGGTTGTATTAGAGGATATTGTATCTCCAAATCCGCTGCTGCCCATTGTGGCCAGCGACCAGATGAGCAGTACAACTTCGAATACGAGGACGACTGCCGCAGAGCTATAGAACAGCATTTGCAGATTGTGTGGTCGCACATAAACAAAAGGCAGAGAAATAATCATGAATATGATATAGGCCACGAATTCGGCTGTGGTCATTCCGGTTGACGCAGGCATATGGTTGGGAATCCGGTCTTCAAGCGAAGGCCAAATGGCCTGCAAACAAACATAGATGCATTCGCCACCGATCCAAGCCTGAAAGCCATCTGTTTTATTGCGCATTGGTTGGATATTACTCATGAGGTAAAAGAAGGAGGATATCACAACTTACACCAGACTATAGAAGCTGTTAGCATAGGAATGACTGAAAAAACTTGAAGTGGAACTTACTAATGGAAAGAAAGATTCGATTCCAAACCACCCATTGTGATCCCCACATTCCCCAGACGTATCTATTTGCTACTGGGAATCCCACTAGATGATCATTATCAGCACTGATCCAAGGTTGAACTACGCGCATGCGCAACAAGGATTTCCAGTTATGGTTCTTACAATGATAGAATGCTCCCGGAAGCGAATTCAGAACAATAAAAACAGAGGCGATAATATTTCCCACGACAATGGCAATAATGGCTTGCCACCATGATAAGCCCAATGGAATCAGCGAGCTACCAGTCATATAGGTCGAGATGTTGCAGTTAATGAGTACCCCTGTATCAAAGACATCGGTCAGCCATTGATCCACGTCAAGAGAATATGCTATCAGAACCTCCATACAGTAGTAATTAAACGTCCAAAATCCCCATTTGCGTCGCCCTGCCTCGACAGGCTTAATATCGTTATTGATCCATGGATCTGGAATGGTGCCACCCTCGTGGGGGACTTCAAGTCTCTTCAAAAGCGACATGTAGGTTAGATACAATCAAGTCAATTGCAGCATATCGCATGCATGAGCGGCCTGAATATTTGTACTCCTTCGCTCATATATATTCATACCTAGGTGCTCTGTAATGGGGTTGTCACGCGTTTCCGATGATGATACTGAAGCGGAGAAGAGATAACGCTAACTTATCCGCATCTTGCTTTTAATTGGTGGATTTGAATTAGTCTCGCATTCGATTGGCGGACTTGTAGAGATAACATTAAGATCCGCTCTCCGTATCGTTCTACTACCAAAAAAGGGTGGAACTGTGTATGATAAGCTTTCTGGCTATTCGGTCTGTTTACAGAATGATTGGTGGGATAGAAACAGATGGATTTCGGAAGAGTCCGACATATTAAGCTAGTATAGATAAATATCAATGTTCACCAATATGTGCCGATAAGTATAGAGCAGGTTTCATAGTTCCTCGCCGCGTTTTGAGATCATAAGCCAACCCCGGAAAGGAAGATTTAACGATCAACATCATGGCGGTACATTCATACAGAATCGGTGTCGATGTGGGCGGCACAAATACTGATTGTGCTATAATCGACGTGACAGCTACTGACAATCCATCACGGGGTGTCTGCGCGTCCTGTAAAACCCCCACTACAACCGATGTCACCTCCGGAATATATACAGCTATTGTCAATGTGCTGGCAAAGTCACAGGTCAATCGGAAAGATGTTCAAAGTGTCTCCATTGGGACGACACACTTTGTCAATGCTGTCGTAGAAGCTGATCCTCGTCGGCTTAGCAAAGTGGCCGTGATCAGACTGTGTGGTCCATTCACCAGAGCAGTGAGTCTTCTTCATACTTTCCCTTGTGGTCTTTCAAATAATAGGTGGCTGATAATATGGGACAACGGAAAGATTCCCCCTTTTGCAGACTTTCCTCAACGATTACGAGATATCATGGCGGGTCCGCTTTTTTATCTTGATGGGGGTAAGAAAAATGGCTTTTGTCTACTTTTTAAGGCATAAAACAAACAATGCTCACCAGAAACTTTCTATAGGGCTCGAAATAGACGGAAGAGAAATCAGTGCCATTTCTCCCAAGCAGATTGAAGATGCAGTCGCCCAAATTAAGAAGGCTGGAATCTCCACCGTCGCCCTTGTTGGCGTGTTTTCACCCCTAGACCACCAAGGAACTCAGGAGGAAGCTTGCAAGAAGATAATTCTCGATTTGGAACCGTCTCTCTCAGTTGTCTGCTCATCTAAGATAGGAAACGTTGGTCTTTTAGAACGTGAGAACGCGACAATACTGAATGCTTCCATATTGAATCTGGCTCGAAAGACCGTGCGTGCTTTTTGCAAGGCCATGAATGATCTTCAATTGCATTGTACATTATTCTTGACGCAGAATGATGGTACTCTTACGGATGCGGCCACCGCAGCCGAGCTACCAATAAAAACGTTTGCCAGTGGACCAACAAACAGCTTGACGGGAGCTGCATATCTCGCCAATCTGGATCGTAGAATGGGAAATTCCGATATTGCTGCAGATACTCAGATCCTTGTCATGGACATCGGAGGAACTACAACCGATGTTTGTGCCTTATTGCCTTCTGGGTTCCCCCGAAAAGCGCCAAATTTTGTTGAGGTTGGCGGAGTCAGGACGGCGTTTTCCATTCCCGAGGTACTGTCCGTCGGTTTGGGTGGTGGCAGTCTCATCCGAGTAGATGAACTTTTGGGTACTGTCGCGGTTGGACCTGACTCAGTTGGCTACCGTCTTGGAAGTGATGCTTTAGTATTCGGCGGTGATATTATGACATCGACAGATATCGTAGCCGCGAGTGGCAGTGCAGATATTGGCGATGTATCCAAGGCTAAGCATATCCCTGACACAATACTTGTCAAAGCACGAGCGGGGATTAAGAATATACTGGAACGTACCATCGATGATATGAAGATTTCCGACCTGCCTGTTACTCTCCTTCTTGTGGGTGGTGGCTCCATTATTTGTATGGACTCTCTCGATGGTGTAGCCAAATGTATCATTCCACCTCACCATGATTCCGCTAATGCTGTCGGAGCAGCAATTGCTAAAGTTTCTGGTGAGGTGGATGTCATTGAAATTCTTGAGAACAGAGATGAGAGAGTTGTGGTAGAAGCAGCCAAGCAGCAAGCTATCCAGGCTGCGATTGCGCGTGGAGCTGACAAGAATGATGCTAAAGTTGTCGAAGTGGAGAAAATCCCATTGCAATACGTCACTAACAAGGCTATCAGGTTAGTAGTCAAGGCTGTCGGCAAATTGAGCACATCAAATCTCGCAGCGAACTCCGTATCAGAGCAGTCAGCGAACACGGAGTGGCTGTCAAATGATGACGCGCAGATATCGCAGCAGGAAACAGAAAGAGATACAACTTCAGCGATATCTAAAGATCAAACTTTATTGTCGTCAACAAAAGATTTCACTCCTATTGAATTCGTTTCATACAGGCCGGAGGTATTAAACAATGTATGGTATCTCTCCGCCATTGACCTGGAATTCATTGCCACTGGTACCGGAGTTCTCGGCACAGGAGGAGGAGGGTCTTCGTATCTAGAGTACCTTCAGTGCCTTCACTGTCTGCGATCCCCTGAGTCAAAAGGACGGATGAGAGTTGTAGCACCCGAATACATGAAGGACACCGATGTATGTGTATTTGGATCCTGGTATGGTGCACCAAGTGTCACAAGCGAACGACTCCCTACCGGATCAGAAATCATGACGGCCATTGATTACTCAGTTCAGTTATCAAAGCACTCTCACTTTGAGGCAGTAATCGCCGATGAGATTGGTGGGGGCAATGGCATGTCGACATTTCCAACCTCTAGCTTTTATGATATCCCAGTCATTGATGGCGATTTGATGGGGCGAGCATATCCCACGATGGAGCATGGTGAGTTTATAGGTGATAAGATGTGTATGAGTCGCGTGTTGCATTCTGACACCAGCATCTAGGGATACCGTATGTTTACGGACATCCGATAACACCTTGCGTTATAGCAGATTCTAGGAATAATGTTGGCGTTGTGATGGTGAGTCTTCAGCCAAGGCATCGTGTTATATGTGGACTTTAATATTCAAATGAGTCTGACAAGGTTATACAGAGTGCCGAATCCAACAATCGGGTTGAAGGGATGCTGCGATCCCAATGTGTGAATCTCGGTATCAAAGCCGCCGTCGCCGCCGTTCCGTTGACCTGCGATATCATCAAAGAGTATTGCATTCCGAATACTGTATCACAAACGTGGTATATTGGCCGAGCGATTCATCAAGCCCGGAGATCCAAGACTAATATCGTAAAGTCGATAGTACGTCTATTTCCCCTTACAATCATTTCCTTATGTTCATGTGCTCTCTCATTCGTATAGCTGCTAATAAAGTCCCTTACTCAGTTTGATATCTCACCCGGAAGGTTACTATTCAGCGGAAAAATCATCGATGTTAAAAGAGACGTCAGCCGTGGATACACAATGGGTCATTGTACTATTGAACCCTTGACAGGAGATGAAATGGAAGACTTCAATGAAATCCATTCGACAAAGGAAGAAAACGAGAAGCGCTGCATAGTACTCCCATTCCAAAACGAGTTCCTATACGCAGCATATGTCGAAAATTTAATTAGTGCAGACGACTCATCAAAACACGATGTAATTTGTTCGGTGCCGGATCTTATCTCGGTATTGGGAGCCGACGGAGAGGCCCTTGGAACCCAGGAATTGAGATATGGACTGAAGGTGGATGTGATTGCTATGGCGGCGCATCCGCTGTGGACAGCTGATGAGAGAGGGTTGAGAGTTGGAGGACCTGAAGGGTTTGGTCTGGATATGGAGTTTAAAAGTTTGGGTCCTTATCAAAAGCCGAGGAGTGTGATCGAGGAGTTCAACACGAATCTGCAGCCTTAGACTACCTATATGTGTAATCTATCATATACACCGGTACACTCCATCGAAGAGATATTTACCCTTATTCTGGCCCCTCCAGCCTTAGAAGTAGCCATTTATCCCACTTTTTCTCTTCGAGGTCAAAATATGCCTGGTTTAGAACCTCGTGCGCGGGACACCTAGACTGTATTGTTTTGTCAGGGGTGCGCGTTCACCAGAACTTGGATGATAAAAAAAGCGCAAGCAAGGAATGTATTGAGTAGCATAAATTTATCTAATGCAAAAAAAGGGCAACATGTTTCCATCTATCTTCCTTTTGCCTAGACCGTTTGAGATGACTCGTCGATCTGGACTTTGAAGTGCTTTGTTGCCAGGCCGTAGCTTGTTCTTACAGCCTCGCTCGCGTATACTCTCATCTCTTTCTCATATGCCGCCGTCACACCGTCATTGTAACCACCAGCCTCGCGGAGCAATCGTCCCAATAAAGCCGAATCTCTCACGGCCGTGTTGGCACCAATGCCACCAGCTGGTGTCATTGAATGTGCCGCGTCTCCAATAACGGTGACTCGAGGTACATTGGGCCATTCTGGCACGCCTCTGGGGGTGGAACAGGTAATCTTCCAGAAAGCCGCTTCTGATTCATTCATGTCATCAAATAAAGGCTTGAAGCGGGGATGCCAGTCATTCGTGAGCGATTTAGCAATATCAGCTGCCACCTTGCCAACAGTCGTGTAGTCGTCATTCGGCGCCTTGATGACGCCAGGCACGGAAGCCAAAGTCCATCCAAATTCAACATTTGGATCACCCATATCATCTGGACGAACGTTTGTGATGATAGAGATCCCACGTCCAGGTTTTGACTGGTCAAGGAGTCGAAACACACCTTCACCTAGACCTTTGAATGCTGTTGTAGGTGCTTGTCCATGTATTCCCCTTGCTCCCGTGTCGAAAACTTTGAGCAGACCGCCAGACACCTGCTTAGCGACTATCGACTTGATGCCATCACCCCCAACGAGCAGGGCCCCTTCAACCGATTTCGTCCCATCGGCAAAGATGGCGCGAACGCCACCATCTGTCAATTCGTACCCTTTAACGTGCTTGTTGAATTGTACAAAGTCCTCGCACCCTTCCATGAACAGTCTTCTCATGTCACCCCTAGAAATGCCCACAATCTTCCCACCCCGCGACCCAAGGGTTTCGCCGCCTGGGTTCTCCTCTAGTATCTCCCCTGTGACAGCGTCGAAACCCACAAATCCGCTCCCACCTGTTTTCCCACAGACGTCATAGAAGCGCTGAAAAGCTGGCGGATCGAGGACGGATTCAATTGCATCTAGACCCTCAGAAGAAAGACGCAGGCGGTAACCCTGACCACGGAAAGAGATTGATGCATCGCGCTCAAAGACTTGAAATGGAATATTTGAGAGCAGCAGAGATCGCGCCAGGAGAAGCGAAGCCAATCCGGCGCCGGAGATGAGAACAGGTTTCTGCGTCATAATGAAATTTGGTCGAAATGATTTTTACGAGGAACTATTAGAATATACAATACGAGTTTAATATTCTTACAAGAGGCTTTGGCTTTTCAGTTAGTTGACTTGTATGCAGTGGAATAGTTTCATTAATAATCATTTACTCTGACTTAATAATCATATGACTCTGATCCGTTGCAACATGAGGCTAGTCAAAATATAGTCAGTTTGGTATTTTACCTATCACTTCAATGCTCCTCATACATAATTACACTACAAAAAATTGATGTCTAATAGATGAGTACATGATATGCCTTAATACTATAATTAGGAGTAAATTTAACTTCATCAATGTAGTGCAAATATTGTAAGGAAGGCGAAGGCACGATACGTATCACCATAACAGGTAAAATACTTAACTGACTATTATTTGACTAGCCCAAATAGTAGCGCCTTGGTACCGGGGCTGGAATTAGAGATAAGCTATGTGGTCAACACGGTAGTTCAAACTACTGAAAGCAAACTACTGAAAGCAAACTACTGAAAGCGTATTGAAATATCAATCTCCATACAAAGCGATACTCCAAGGATGGCAGGTCCAAAACTACCAAAATATTCAAATAATATCCGACCGTCGGCGGAGTCATCGCACCCCTGATGGTCGCTTATATAATAAGATAAGAACAAAGGCAGTCCGACGCTGGCCTTCATTAGGAGTTGGCAGCATCAGAATCTTGTCTGTTCAAAAATAATGAGATACTGTACTTCAATATCAGGGCTACTACATCATCTAAATTGAGGATTTTATACTACTCGACAGCAAGCGAGATGATTTGGTCAGAAAGCCGGTAAGCGCCGTACTAGGAAACGGTGATGGACAGATGTCTGGAATATATCGGATTCATCGTCTCCCATCCCCTCCGGATAGAGTCTTTGGGTGAAATAAACTTGCGAAGACATCTCGTTTTCGGCCCCTGATGGGTATTGATGTTGGTTTCGGTATTTTTGCATCAATTTCATTACCAGGCTGACTTGTCGGCGGTACCGGTCTAGGCTGTTTCTTTGGTACGTGTTGACTTTGATCGTCATGGCCTGGCTCACTGAATGTTTCAGGGGATCTGTTAGATGCAGTCGTATCCGTTGCTTGCCACCTACTGAGAGACCCCGTGGAGGCTATGGTATGTGGGTGATCAGGTCCTAAGTGTTGGGTGAGGAATTGGACACAGTCGGTCATTAGAAGAACAGCATCTTTGTGCTTGCCTAAAGATTTCCAGATACAGGCCAGATTGTGCATGCTATGCAGTGTATTAGGATGCTCTGCTCCTAATATCCTCTTCCTTATCTCCATCACTTGCACGTTCAGCTCTTCAGCCTCCTTCCATCGACCTTGACACCAAAACGTTGATGCTAGATTGCCCATGCTAATCAGTGTATCAGGATGCTCTGCTCCCAACACCCTCTTTCTTATCTCCATCACTTGCATACCTAGCTCTTCAGCCTCCTTCCATCGGCCTTGATCCGAAAGCATTAATGCCAGATTGGCTATGCTGTTCAGTGTGTCAGGATGCTCTGTTCCTAATACCCTCTTTCTTATCTCTATCACTTGCATGTTCAGCTCTTCAGCGTCTGTCCATCGGCCTTGAGACAGAAACGTTGATGCTAGATTGGCTATGCTGCTCAGTGTATTAGGATGCTCTGCTCCTAATATCCTCTTTCTTATCTCCATCACTTGCATGTTCAGCTCTTCAGCCTCCGTCCATCGGCCTTGTTCCTGGTAGATTGATGCTAGATTGCCCATGCTAATCAGTGTATTAGGATGCTCTGCTCCTAATATCCTCTTTCTTATCTCCATCACTTGCATGTTCAGCTCTTCAGCCTCCGTCCATCGGCCTTGATCCCAAAATGTTGATGCTAGATTGTTCATACTGCTAAGCGTGTCAGGATGCTCTGCTCCTAATATCCTCTTTCTTATCTCCATCACTTGCATTTCTAGCTCTTCAGCCTCCATACATCGGCCTTGATTCCAAAACGTTGTTGCTAGTTCGGCTATGCTGCTCAGTGTATCAGGATGCTCTGCTCCTAATATCCTCTTTCTTATCTCCATCACTTGCACGTTCAGCTCTTCGGCCTCCTTCCATCGGCCTTGATTCTGGTAGGTTGACGCCAGCCAACTTATATCGATTAAAGTAGGCTGATGCATACTACCACCATTCTTCCTTTGTTGCAGATCTATGATATCGTGGAATAAGACCTCTGCTTCATCGTATCTCCCATCACTATAAAGACATTGCGCAATTCTCCGAAGTAAGCTAACATATTGCTCCTTCACCTCATAAAACTCACTTCTTTTGATAAGGAATAGGATATGAGGTAAGTATTCCCGCCATAGATATCGATTGCCATGGTAATCATTAGGGAAAATTTCATGAAATCGATCCGCCGCTTTACGTGTCCAGGGAGGTAGTAGATTGTTTTGTCTCATCCAGTTTCGAGTGGCAAGATGGACAAGTCGGTGGAGGCTGAGGGAGCCGTCTTCTTGTGCACTGGTACTGGTGAATGAATAGGCATTAAGAAGTCCAAGCGCGTCGGTCCTTTTCTTCCAAGATAAGGCAGGAGGCAGAAGCGACTGCGGAATATTTTGTGGATTGATGCACGCCATAAATGATAGATAATCCGCCGCTAATGAGTCTAGTCGTTGGATCTGATGGAATGAGATCAACCAGGTAGTGGCGACTGGATTTTGAATTTCTGTATAGCGGCCTTCATCGTTAAAGTCCTCACTTAGAAGCTCCACGCCGTCCTGCTCTTCCTGTAGAAGCGCCAGATACTCAGAGATTCCGATGCCATTAGCATTGATATATGCTGCTGCCTGCGTAATGGCTAGTGGAAGAAAGGTCAGCTGCTGAAGAAAAGTAGCTATGGCTGCATCATGAACGAGGTCTTTGTGAATGAGGGAATTAGTTAGAACTTCCTTCGCTGCCTGTTCATCCATCTCCGGGATGATGATAATATTGGATGGTGCGAGAGTCTGTGCGAGTTTTCGATTGCGCGTGGTAAAGACAATGTGACCGTGCTCACTTTGCGGAAGGAAGCCCTTGAGACTGGAGACCCACAGATCGGTATCATCTGCGTTATCACAGATCAGAAGCCAATTGCCCGCATTTTCGTGACTCAAGTGTATCTTGACTCGCATTTTGACATCGGCCGGGCTAACATCGTGCAGCTCGAGGCGTTTGGCAATGTCCATGTACGCCTGCTCAATACTCTCATGGCTCACAGCTGGGATCCAAAGGACGGAACACCCAGGGTCTCGGTCTCGCATTCGGTACACCAGTTCTAGCACGATTTGGGTCTTCCCAACCCCACCTAAACCCGTAAGAGCGATTCTCAGTCCATTGTGCATTGATATTAGATGCTCTAGTTTCGTGATTTCATTCTGTCGACCCGCAAACCGAGGATTTCTTGGAAATGGAACCATCCAAAGCTGATCCCTCGATTTTTGACGATCGTAATTGACGGGAACGACAGACAAAAGGTCTTTGGCGTATGCTGCAGCCGACAAGGACGCATATCCTTGCCACTGTTTATGTTTGTGAGAATCGCAGTAGTCGCATATCCCTCGAATTACAAGGCATGGGAGCTGATCCATCAGTCCTGCAGCCTCCATCTCAAAGCAGAGAATTCCCAGGTCTTGAGCAATTTGATCTCGCGTCTGCGCATCCTTCATGACTTGATTTCCGGACGCAATTAAACCATAATGAATATAAGGTTCATCCGTGGCTCGAGGGGCACGAATGATCAGTTGGTTCTGGTCACATGCCGCCGAACACTCAGTGTCCCTGTCCTCATGGGGATATTTTGCACGAAAAAGCCAGTCATAATCAGGCCGCGAAAATTTTCCTCTCATTCCTTCGTTCTTTCCTAGCACATGGAGCACAACTTCTTTAATTGCGCTTTTCCCCATCATATGGTTACTCTCAACTTGGGCTATGGCGGTCAACAGCATTGAGGGAGGTTTATTCAACGATCCAATTCGCTCAAACTGCCCACTGCGAATAGTTTTGCCATAGTCGTACTGTACCACCCCACTAAAGGTGGCAGTCGGCCTACTAACCACCACATCGCCCAGTCGAATATCTGCTTTACTAGGAACTCCCCCCCCTATACCCACCATTAAGCCAAATCGCAGGGATGGAAATGTTTGTAACATCTGAGTCAACACTGTAGCCGCGGAGGTGACACCATAAATCCCTGACGGTAAACAAGCGATCACAATATTATGACCGCACAGTCTCCCGAGTGTGTATGTGTTGCGGTCTATGAACGGCTGAGGAAGGGGATCGTGGTTTTCATCGAGCATAACCTTCGCAGCAGCCATCTCCAGCGGCAGGGCCGAGATCCATGCGACCGTGTAGTCATCGTGAGAGAGTGCCGCAGACGCCATCAGTATAGGGTCTCGGTGTCATGATAAGTACACCAAGCTTTTTCAATTTTTGGAGTATTCCTCGACTTCACAGTCAAAGTGACAAGCATATCGCTACAGTAGTTGGCGACGGGAGGTGAAGCATCCAAGTGCAAGGCTGTGCAAGGCCGTGTGCAAGCTGCGTGCAAGGCTGTCACTAACCAAAGCAACCAATCATTTTCACGACTATTTTCCCCTCAGCACCACACAATGACGATTCTCCCCATAGCGAGGAAGATATTAAAAAAAAGTCAGAGCAAAATTCGTAAGTCGCAGGTATATCTTCTAAGGCTCGGTCTCCTTATGATAAGCTATCGCGTTGTCACTTGGACTAGTTGCTGGTCGAGTGAGAAGCGGGAACCGAGTGCGGTTTGTACACCAGCGACAGGCTAAACCTCAAGGAGTCAGGTACGCCAACTTCACATAGATCGAGCCGACACTGGAGGTCCCAGGTGCACTACTGAGCAGGATTCCAAGGATGGACTACGTGTCTGATTTGATGGAGTGAGATGAGAAAGATGAGGGGGCGTATGACTGTTGGATTTTCCTCTGTTTGAGGATACTGAGATAGCAATAAAGCCTCTTAAGGCTCTTATATAGAGTGGTCACATGACCGCTTTGACTAGAATAATCCTACTACGGAACATCCACATTTGTAACAAAGAGAAGATAATAGATAATCAATATAATATAATTTAGCATAATAGATATTTCTACATAATAAGCCAATATTGGTGAAGAAACTCGCATATCTAAAATTATTAGAGTAATCATGGTCAAGAGTATGCTTGTACTCGATTAGTCGGCGATGTCGCCATAGCGGAGCAGCGCCTATTGGCCAATGGCGGGCGCGCAGGCAGTGTCACTCAGCCAAAGGCGTTTAGCTGCAGGTCATTTAGGGCTGAGCGAGAGATCGAACATTGCTTATTCCTGCCGATAGCTTCGCGATGTCTCGTTTGGGAATACAAGTACGTCTCTGCGACTTTACATCTAGTTCGATGAGTGTCTGGACTCTGCGCATTTCGGCACCCCGGCAGGTGGGTCTAGCCAGGTAATGGCCAGGGCAGGACGACGTAGGTTGGGCATCGGGTTTGTTTCCGTGTCGTTTCTCTTCCGTCATATCTCGCAGCGGGAGATATAGACACGATGCCATTCGATTAATCGCTCGTCCATTAACTGCATTACCAATCACTGCTCCTAGCAACCCGACCTTCACTTCGCTGAAAGTTGAAACATGGCGGAGGCTACCGCTCCCTCCATTCCCCAGACGCTGGATGACGACACAGAAGAGCCCTCCCCGCTGCAAGATCAGCCCCAATCCGAGCAACCACACCCCCAACGTTTCCTCTCCCGCACAGAAAGCAACGACAACAGTCGTCCACGCGAAGCCACCGAACTCGACGAGATCGCCACTGCTTCAGCGTGCTCCTCCGCGTCGCTGTCGTCTGGCGAGTACCGCATTGTTCCCCGGCGGACAGCAACCAGCACATCTTCGAACACTGTGAATGCGAGCCACAAGCACACCGGACGACTTCAGCCCCTACGGCGATTCTGGTCGCGCCATGTCGCGCTGGTGGTTTCGCAGAAGGGGAATCGAGACTATTTCGGTATCACTTTCTAACATTCCCCCTATCTACTTTGCATAGGTGCTGATTTGTTTGTAGCATTAGAACGAACGTTTCTAGCCTATGTGCGCACTTCGGCGGCCTTCTCAATGCAGGGTGTACTCGTCGCACAGCTTTTCCGTTTGCAGGTGGAGCAAAAGACACGGTTTGATTTCTACACCGTTGGCATTCCGTTGAGTATTGCGTATCAATGTTGCGCCATCGTTGTTGCGCTGATGGGTGCGTATCGGTTCTGGAGGCAGCAGAATGCGATAGCAAGGGGGAAGGTGATTGCTGGTGGGTGGGAGATTAATTCAATGGGGGTATTGGCTGTTTTGGTAAGTTTGCTGTCTGCTGGATTGGGGATAAGCGCTAATGCAAATGTGTAGGCGGCACTGGCGCTGTTCGCGCTTGCGGTTGCGATCATTGTGGAGTTGAGTATAAGTTGATCAACACTCATATTGACGATTCTTGACGTCCTACGAGCGCTACGATTGATGAATTAATGAGTATCAAAATAATGACTTGATAGATTAAAATTAGTGACTTTCGAGTATAAAGTTAATTGCGTATATTTTTTATATTGTGGATACATTATAGTAAATTAGTAAATATACAACATCATATTCGTAAGTAGTCGTAAACTATAATTTCTTTTTCATGGATATAGTGGTGAGTCGATGCAAGCTCTCCACCCTAATTTAGGTCGATTTTATACCGTTGTGATATATATGTCTATAAACCGTATTTATATCGAGCTTCTAAATATCATTTATAAAAGTCGCTGAATAGCGGCATAGATGTCGATGCCCTCGAGACGCGCATCCTCAGACCCGTCATCAGAGCCATATAGATCGACGTCTCTTAGTCGATACTTGCTTTTGACAAGGCTAGAAAGTGTCGCCTCCCAAGTCTTGCATATCTCAGCAAGACCCTGATTATCAGGACGTGAGAATGGCCGGTATTCTTTCCCAGAGATTGCATATTCGTCGATGGTCATCACAGGTTTGCATTCTTTAGCAAAGGCAGTAATTGAAGATGGAAGAGAAAGTTCCAGGGAGAGTTCATGACTGTCAAACCCATTGGGAATCCTTTCCAGTGGTAAACGGTTCGTGAAGGCGCGTTTCTTTTTTGTAGTCTCGCCTGAAGTGGTCCTTTCAAGCTCGCGCATCAAATATGCACGCGGATCACTGTCGCTCATTTGTGGTTCATTGGTTTGCAAAGAGGGTTCGTCGACGGGAAGGAGATCTGCCTGGCCCTGGGTAGACGTTGAAAGGGCCGCTCGTGCAGCCAGGTAACGATTTTGATGTGGGGACTTTGATACAGATTGACTGCTCGCAGGAGTCGTCAGAGATAGCTGTCCGCTTTGCAATTGCCGTCGACGAGCTAGATTTGCCTCGCGTTTTCTGCGTTCAAAATCAAGAGCATACTCAGTTTCCTGGCTGTCTGAGATTTGGCTTTGAGTATGATCAATAACAGGAGAAGGTTGATGAAGTCTGGACGACCAGTCCTCCATGACCGGAAATTCTTGTTGTTTGTCACGTCTCTCAATATCCGCAAGGCCATCGTCTGGAGTTGATATTTGGCTAGAGAATAGCTCTGGTGCTCTAGAGCTTCGTCCGCCGCTTGGAACAGGGGGTTTAAATGCCTTGTTGATTAACTTTGTCCGAGTTTCGAAAACATCATCAGCATCAAGATCGTCGAGCATAACACTTTCTGCCCCGTCTTGATCATGTGATTGGTCTCTTGTGGATGTGGATAGAACCGGCTGGTTTTGTTTGGTGAACCACGTATCTAGAGATCCATTTCCATAACGCTCTCGATCACGTTCCCGAGAGGCCTTTGAATAAATATGCAGCCTGGGAGGACCTTCTACAGATGCCGAGCCAAACCTAGAACCGGACCCACGTCTTTGCTGTGGCGAAGAAGCGTGGGAGGCTGGACTAGAAACATCCGAAGGACTAGATTGAGATGCCTTGATGTTGATTGTGTTTGCGCCTCTACTTGAATCTCGTCGAATTGGGGTTAGTAGTTGGCTTGGTCTTTTAGGACTTGACGATTGATGGAAAAAGTGCGTTCTGGCAATTGACCACGGGTTCGTTGTGTTGCGGTCTGCTATTCCAGCGTCTCTCTCCGTTTCAGACGCGCCTCCTGCTTCATGTGATGGAGAATAGACATCCTGCTGTGGCGTAACCGCGGTCCATGAATTAGCTCCAGGAGCAGAGTGTTGTGGATTCGTCGTTGGTGGAGACAGAGGAGCTTGTATCGCAGGCCGTCGCATCAAGACGGTGAAATCGTTTGCAGGGAGGACAGCCTCATCTGTGTTTTCTAAACCCTTCTCTACTTCGCCGTACACTTGTTTAAAAAGACTTTCAGACAATGCAACAATTTCCTGCTGCTCTGCAAACAAGACATCATCCTTGCCAGGCTCAACATTCGCATCATAACTACCTTTTGGACACGTCATTTGCAGACAGAGAAAGGGATCTGACAATGTTGAGTGACCGCTAGTTCTTGCAGCAGATCGCACATATGACTTGAATAACCGAACAATCTCCTTCAGAGTGCCTCTTGAAGACGACAAGGGACGGCCATCCACACAAAGATACTGGCCGGAGTTTCCGACTTTGGGAAAGTCTAATAGAATTAGATACTTCCCTCAAATGTAATGGATACATACCAGCGTCCGATTTAGGAAGAACGGCCACCAGCCTCACAGCATCCGCTTCATAATTTTGATCAGGCCATGACTTGGTGAGACACTGACTAGCGACCTCAACACCAATAGCTTTCCGGATGGCATCAGCAAGATTTGAGCTCGCCGACGGCGCATAGGTCCAATTATCCTTTTCATTCTTGCTTTTCAAAACTTTGAATGAAATCCTTGTACTGGGTCGAGCGATTGCATATGCTTGAAGCAGCTTCTTTATTTTGGTTATTGTCTTGGCAGCATTCTTCACTGCAGTCTGACGTCTGACAGGAATACTTTTCAAAAAGCCTACCAAGCACACTGTAGTCCCAATAGGGTGAGAGGTTTTATCGGAACTACATTGTCAGATGTTTACTTGTCAGTTCTGCTGGGGCGAGACCCGTACCTAATCAAGTCCCCCTTCCTATTATATTTTAATGCAGACCCTACAACTTCATCTTTTGTCCTTGTCGTCACAGTAAGTGTATCGGCCATCTCGGCTGCACTGGCCAGTGCCTCTCCGCGGAACCCCAACGACTGACCACCCACATTTCTAAAGTCATCTAGAGTCTGGATCTTGCTGGTGTACGCTCGCTTGCACACGCATGCAAAGTCTTCCGGTGCAATACCATGACCATTATCTTTGACTTGTATAGTGTCAATAGTGTTTTGAGAGATCTCCACCGATATAGATGATGCCGATGCATCCAAGCCGTTATCTAGGAGCTCTTTCACCACGGCGCAGGGGTCAGAGAGGACGGATGTCGAGCCAATTGCCTGGGCCGTTGCCGGTGGGAGAGCGGCAATTGGCATCGTGCTCCTTTGCTCCGTGATTGTTAAAAACGAAACGAATGCGATGGCATAAGCGAATCAGAAACATGCGGAAGGCCCGACGCGAGGACCGCTTCGCGACCGATGACGCGGAGTCATGTGACTTTAGCTATTTAAAATCAGATCATCGAATTTGAGTTCAGAGATTGGAAATAGGAACAGCTAGTCTAGTCGGATATGAATATAAATATAATTGGCAGCAGATATGATTCCTCTGAGGCACATTCATTTGGGTCGGTGGTAGTATTTCTGCCTGAATATCCAGGCTCCGATAATTGCACCTCAGGCCGACACGGAAAGGCGACAGCAATCATAATTTCTCCTAAACACAGTCGTCGATAATGTTCAGCCTCCATCATGGCAGGCGAATCGCTCAACATCGAACTCCTGGCGATTCCAGCTGTCTCTGCACTTATAATATTTCTGTCCTATACATCCCAGCTCCTTTTTTTATTTCTCGAGCCCGGAGCTCTCTCCACCAGTGAGACATGGAAATTCAACATCCTTGTAGGCTGTATCTGGATCTGCTATTATCGCGCCTGCACTGTAGACCCAGGTCGTGTTCCAAAAGACTGGGAGCCATCAAAAGAAAATAAATCGGCCCAAGACGACACTCTCAGAGAGGACGACAATCATGATGCCTCGGTCAGGCAGCGGTGGTGTCGGAAATGCTCCGCCCTAAAGCCGCCGAGAGCGCATCACTGCAAGAAATGTCAACGGTGAACAACCAAGTTTTGAATTATTCATGCAAAAGAGGTGTTTCTAATCAACCTGGTAGGTGTATTCCAAAAATGGATCACCATTGTCCCTGGACATGCAACTGCGTATCGAATTTCACACTTCCACATTTTGTACGCTTCTTGTTTTATGCTGTGGTTTCTATGACATACCTCGAATCTTTTATTTTCAAAAGAATTGGCGTTATTTGGGGCCAGAGGACACTACCCAGCGTAAGCTTTGCTTGTACCCTTACTTTTGGAAAGAGTGTCTGATTATGCATAGTACCTCGGTCCTAGCATCCCAGCGCTAGCTCACTTGTTCATTCTTGTAGTTGTCAACAGTTTGACACTATTCTCTTTGGTTATTCTATTGATTCGCACTATTTGGTCTTTGGGCTCGAATATAACCACCATTGAGTCATGGGAAATCGAACGCCACAAAACACTCCTACGCCGAGCACGTTACTTTGGCGGCTACCTCGACGGACCGGATGGCGTGAAAGTCAGAATCCAGAAACAAGAATTCCCGTACGACATCGGGATACTGAGTAATATTAGGGACGGCATGGGTGGGACTTGGAATGTAATATGACCTATCACTCTTTCTTTGCCTTGTGCAGAGTCCTCTAACTGACAACCCATTAGATACTCAGCTGGTTTTGGCCTTTTGCGGCCACGCCTGGTAGAGAATCGGGCTTGGATTTTGAAGTCAACGGATTTGAGGGTATCTTTTCTAAAATTACAGCCTAGAAAAAAAATGAACTTCATGCTGATTTACTTCAGACCGCAATCTCTCTTGGCCGCCTCCAGACCCAGACCGCATACCGCGCAGGCCACGTGCACTACATCCCGGAATGGATCCGTTCACAATGCCACACTTTGAATCGACATCTGATGAAATCGAGGCTTTCAGAAAACGTCAAGAAGAAGACCTAACGCGACGAGGGCTCGCCGGTCCTGACGTTCGACGACGCAAGAAATTCCATGAAAGACATGAACTTCGTCGTAAAAACGGTCAAACCATCATAGAAGATGATGATGACGACGAAGAAGAGGGGGAGGAAGTAGAAAAAGTGTCCAACTCTGGCTCGTATGATCATATTGATATCGATGAAGGCGAGGAAGCTTGGAGAGATTCAGAGGGTCAACGACTAGGCGACTACGGAGTTGACGAGGATATCGAGTTTTATGATGAGGACGATGTGCCATTATCGGTGGTTCGGGAGAGGATAAAAGCTAGAGACTGAACGTGCATTACAAGAAACATAGAAGCGGGCATGTCGATGACACATGCCCAAGGTAGCTAGAAATTCAAGCAAAAGTCATCGCAAGCACAGATTTATCGCATTATGTTTAAACATCCACCATTCCTTCAATACATACCATACGGACAGTTTATCACCAGAATAACATGAATGCCTTCATGCAAATATGTTTAGCCACTAGCCGATTACATAAAGGGATGACGGCTGCTAACGTGATTTTGGGGAAATTAACCTCATCGCTCCTTATCTCGCACTTCCCCGCACCACTTCAAATGTTTCTTTCAGGCTCTCTCTCCCCCTCGACACTCAACTCCCTTTCTCCAATTCATTGGCTTTAAGATTATCTCACTTGCATAAATTACAGGCATCAGCTTAAGACATGGGCGACTCTGGTATAAAGTCTACAACAGAGAACCTGCTTATACTGCGGGGAAATGTCTGGCCAGACGCGTGGCTCGATGGGCTACGCGGAGCATTTCCAGGTCTCAAAATAACAGCTCTCGAGGTGGATGGCTCGAAACCATTGGAAGAAACAGTTCCAAAAGGTAAATCAGAACCCAAACTTACGTACTTACATATTTTCTAACAATTATACAGATGTACTTGCAAATGCAAGCATCATTGCCCTCCTAACAAGGCATCTTCCTCTTCCTGACAGCATTCCCAAGTAAGTCAATATTAGCAGAACATCTACTAATCCTTGTGTGTACTGAAATAACTAACAACATGTAGTGTGAAATTGATCCACACTTTCTCAGCCGGAGCAGACCACGTCTCCAATGAGCCTTACATCACCCAGACTGATCTTCCTTTCACTACCAGCTCTGGCATTCACGGTCCTCCCATCAGCGAATGGGTCTTGCTCAATTGGCTCGTATCCTCAAAGCATTACAACAAACTCTACGAAGCGCAGAAGAGCCATGAATGGATCAGTAAGGACTTTTTCGGGTTCGGAGTGAGCGATCACGTTGGAAAGAGAGTCGGTATTCTAGGTTATGGGAGCATTGGACGACAAAGTATGTCCCCTCTATAATACTGAGACTAAAAACTGTTCTGACATACCGTAGTTGGCCGAATTGCGGTCGCTCTGGGCATGCAGGTCATTGCATACACCGCCTCGGCTCATGATACCCCGGAATCGAGGAAAGATAATGGGTATATAGTTCCTGGCACTGGAGACCCCGACGGCTCTCTACCGATTGAATGGCACCACGGAACTACCAAAGAGGAACTTCGCCACTTCTTGTCTACTACAAAGCTCGACTACATCGTCATTTCGCTACCCCTGACCCCGGCGACAACCAACCTCTTCGACCGCGAAGAATTCGACGCCTGGTCATCATCTTTGTCATCGCAGGCAACAGGAGCAAGTCCCACAAAGGGGTTCTTAACAAATATCTCCCGAGGCAAAATAGTCAACACGGATGCTCTTATTCACGCCGTACAGGCTAAGAAAATCCGAGGCGCGGCGCTGGATGTTACAGACCCAGAACCCCTCCCCAAGGAGCATCCACTATGGGATATTGAAGGGATCCAAATAAGCCCGCATATAAGTGGAATTGGTTCCGAGTACTATGTCAGGGCGCTGGATTTGTTGGGAATAAATATTGAGCGGTTGGAAAATGGCGAGCCGTTGATCAACCTCTATCGGCGGAAACGGGGATATTGAGTGATTATATGCAGGATTTAACAACGATAGATATGTATATATGATTTACTAGATAGCACTAGGGTGAATATATGTATAGACGGACTGCGTCATTCTTGCCGCCGTCTGACGTATTTGTGCACCTACAGCATGTATACATCCTACACCTGACGCGATATCACAGAAATACAAATTTGAAGGGGAGATACCAAACTACGAAAGTAATATAAACTGCAATTTGAAACCAAGTATGGCCTGCAGCGATGTCACAGATATCCCCTCCCCATCGCGCAATCACGAGCTTCACGAAACCCCATCCATAATCGACCGTCCTCATCATGACACCCAATCCACCTATCAACCACTCATCACCATCACCAAATCCCAAGACACGGCGGCCTCAGAAACAGACAGCTCGTCAGCATCCTCAACAATCAATCACTCGCTCCGTCCAGGAATTTACGTCCCCACACTGTCCTTCTTCACCACTGAAAAGGACGAAGATCCTGATCTCGAGACGACAACTAAACATGTAAAACGCATGGCCGACGCCGGGGTCGCTGGCTTCGTCATCCATGGCACAACAGGCGAAATTGCGCATTTGTCACGCAGCGAACGCAAGGTCATCACGAAAACTACCCGCAATACCCTTGACGCCGAGGGGTATAACAACCTTCCCATCATTGTCGGCTGTAATGCGCAGTCGACGCACGAGACAGTCGAGCTGTGTATTGAGACGCAGGCGAATGGTGCTGATTATGTTCTTGTTTTGCCGCCATTTTACTATAAAGAACAGTGTAAGAAGGGGTGTTTGAAGGATTTCTACACGGATATTGCGGACGCCTCGCCGCTTCCTGTATTGGTGTATTCTTTCCCTGGAGTCACGCCTGGGGTAGATGTTGATAGCGATTTGCTGGCAGAGTTGGCGCAGGGGCATCCCAATATCGTGGGATGCAAGCTTATGTGTGGGAATACCGGCAAACTCAACTGAATTGTGAGCGCGACGAAGGCAGTTAGTGCTATGGACTCGAATAAGAAAGGGAGTGGGTTTATGTGTCTGGGTGGTAGCGCTGATTTCGTTATTCAAGCACTTGCTGGTGGAGGGAGTGGTGCGGTCTGTGGACTTGCGAATATTACTCCCAAGGCGTGTGTGAAGTTGTTTGATTTGTGGAAAGATGGAGAGTATCAGGATGCTTCTAGTCTACAGGCTGCTGTGGCGAGGGGGATTGGCTTGTTTATACGAGTGGGATAGCTGGTTTGAAGAGTCTGTTGGAGTATTTCTTTGGCTACGGAGGGCGTGCAAGGAAGCCATTGCCGCGGTTGTCGAAGCAGGAGGAAACTATATTGAGGGACAAGTTTCAAGAGTTGATTAATATCGAGTCAAGGCTGTAGAAGCGAAAATGAGCAAACGCCAGATCCATTGCATAATTTTCATCCATAAGAAGACATTGAGCATCTGAAGTGTCCAGTAAACAAATATATGTGGAATCATCAATTATTATTATTATAATCAACATTATTAATAAAATAATATAACTTGCTTAAAGTATATCGTTATTATACTAACTTCTTTAAGAAAGACAGAGATAAGACTACGTCCCTAAGTTAGGAGGCAACCGAATTAAAAATTTAGTACAAGACGCCTGTTACCGCAAAACAAAGAAGCGATGCAACATGCACTAGGCCGCTACAATAAGTACTGCGCTACTAACTGGAAATAATTTCCCAATTCCCATTCCTTCTCCCAACTTTTCTCATTTCTCGTGTATGAGCCTTTTAGACACCTCAACCTTTGGTACATAATAACGGGTAGACTGCAATTAGTGAATCTTTTCTATCGAAATGATGGATGATACGAAGCGAGACCTGTCCCAAACCATTGATTCTCAAGATTTAAAAACCCTAGATCGCGAGAAAAGTAACACGTTTATTTCTAATCCCACGGCAGACGTCGAAATCCAAAGCGTATGCCTTTCGTCAAACCTAAAACATGAGGCGGAATATCAGGAACTAATATCAAAAGTTAGGCGCAAAGAGCTGATGGTCAGGCTGGAAACGAAAGCAAGGTCTCGCGGTTCCTGAAACTTCTCTTTCACCGAACAAACAGAGAAGGACTACGGCATGAATTGCTACCAATTACCAACCTTGATGAGAATACGGTGGGCTGGGAAAGTCAAGAGGACCCCGATATGCCTCTCAATTTTTCGAAGCGGGAAAAGTGGATATGGGTTGGGCTCCTCTCCACCATTACCTTGTTAACTCCATTCGCAACTTCGATTCTCTCCCCCGCCATTGACGAGTTAAACAAAGAGTTTGGCAATAGCAATGCAATTGTCGGCTCTATGACTGTGAGCATATATCTACTTGGATATGTGATCGGCCCTATATTCGTTGCACCGCTTTCCGAGATATATGGGCGCAAGCCGGTCTTAGATGTATCCAATGCATTTTTCTGTCTTTGGCAGATTGGGTGTGCTTTGGCGCCGAATATAGAAACTCTCATTGTGTGCAGATTTTTCAGTGGTGTCGGTGGTGTTGCGTGCTTGGTGAATATGCTCCATTCAGTATCATCAAGGCGGCATCCACATTTGACTAACTAAACTCCCTAGACTCTTGGAGGCAGTGTCATTGGTGACTTATTCCGTCCCGACCAGCGCGCTTTTGCTATAGGAATGTGGAATGTTGGACCACTGATTGGTAACTGCTCTCTATCTCCTCTTAATACGTTGCCTTCAGAGGCGAGAATATGCAATGTTAACTCCATATAAGGCCCTACCATCGGTCCACTCCTCGGCGGGTTCATCACTGATTCAATAGGCTGGCGCTACGATTTCTGGATAGTACTAGCTGCTGCTACTCTGGTCACGGCACTCATTGCAATACTGAATAAGGAAACGAGCCACCAGGTCCTTATTCAACGAAAAACACTTCGCTTACAAAAGGAGTTGGGTCGCTATGAGCTTAAGAGCTGTTATAAAAGCTCCGAAAGTCGGAGCACAACTGGCACAACTCGTACTTTAATAATCGGCCTAATTAGACCTCTTAAGATGCTCGTCCTGTCGCCAATCGTGTTCTTTCTATCCTTATATATTGCGTTCGTGTTTGGAACAGTTTATTTACTCTATACTACGATTCCCACCGTCTTTCAAGATATATACGGATTCGACCCGGGCCAGACAGGACTTGTGTATCTCGCTCTTGGCTTAGGCAATGTTTTGGGGTGGCTGGTGATCACTTTCTTTTCCGATAAGATGGTCATTAGGCTTTCACAGGCCAATGATGGTGTCTTTGAACCCGAGATGCGTCTCACGATAAGCATATACTTTGGAATATTTCTTCCTATTACTCTATTCTGGTATGGCTGGAGCTCCTACTACCGTGTCAATTTGGCATCTACCATTATCTCACTCATACCATATGGCTTCGGTATCATGGGTCTTTTCCTACCAATCACTACATATCTTGTCGACAGCTATCCCATACACGCTGCCTCGGCAATTGCTGCCAATGTCATTTTGAGAAGTGTTGTGGGAGCATTACTTCCGTTGGCTGGTCCACCGATGTATGCATCTCTGGGGTTAGGCTGGGGTAACTCTTTGTTGGGATTTATCTGTGTTATTATGATCCCATTGCCATTTATCTTTTACAAATTCGGAGCTAGGCTTCGAAAAGCCCAAAGATCTGAATTTTGATGAAATTGAAAGTCCATGCCTTCGAAATTCAAAATGAATGTTTTATTTGGTACGGCAGGGCTCGGATGTGCATTAACAACGACTACGCCAGGCAGTGGTCGAATAGATGTCAATGCGAAGCCAAGGCGACTAGGACATCGTTCACCTCAGGAATCGGATCCGGCCAGTTGTATAGCCATTTCAAGCAGCGATGTGTCCTGTGCGCGGTATGACTACTTCGTCTCCATCTATAGTGGTTCGATTCTTCGGAGCAGCATCTCAAGTCTAACGGCACAGGATTTATTAAAGCCAAGAACTACAATTTGAATCACGTTTTACCAGGTTCAATTATTACGACGGTGTAGAGTGGATGACCTACCCTGCCATCTACTCAAAAGTCGTTCCTTATAGCACTGAATATGATTGTATTAAGCATAGATTTGCATTTAATATAGATGCATATGTGCATGTATGTGGTGTAAGTATGAACATCTCAATATAGCTTTGCGGCGTTGTGCATCATCATATTAATGAGCCTTCATATGTTCCAGAAAAGCAACGTATATCAAATAACTTCGGAGGAACAAAGTCAACTGATGATTGATTCCATCAGTGCTTTGGCTCTCGCACTTCCCTGGACTATTCTTCTCAGCTCTTCCTTTGTTTCCGCAACTTCGCTCTCTAACAAATCGACCAATTCATGCAGCTGTTGGACATCAAAGGGATGAAGCAAATTATCATTTTTCTCGTATAGCAAGACCTGTATAACATCTGTAAAGCGTCCCTGAGCCGCGCTCATTAGGTCATCGTAAGTCGCACGTGCGCCGGCTTTAAGCAGCAACGAAATGATACCATCCTTCCCGTGTGCTGCTGCAATTGCTAAGGCTGTTCCATTGTCGGATGTGGCGTTCACATCAATATGGCGTTGTTTGATGAAATACTCGACGATAGCCGCAAATCCATCTCTGCAGGCGACGAGAAAGGCTGCTGCTTCGAGCTTATGACGCTGTTCAGGAGTGGCTGTTTCGTGAGACTTCATGTCAAGCTCGTAGAGAAATATTCGAACAAGTTCCAAGTGCCCACTGGAAGTTGCTCGAAGTAATGGATGGTCCAGGAGACATCCTTCGGAGGTATTCCAGCTGATACTAGTACCGTCACGCAGTAAAGCCCACACCCGAGCAATATCGCCTTTGGAGGAAGCAAGTACAAGATGATCTCGACGTAAGAGGTTTCGAACAGCACTGCGGCAAATTTTGTTGGTCAGAGACATGGAAATGCGGTCGCTCGTTGGTAAATTTCCGGCGATCATTTCTATGATCTCCAGATGCAAGTCAGTCAGTAAATGGGCCTCTTTATTATCCTTACAGGTCGTGGATTGCCAACTATTTTCTCTTGGGTTGTCACCAAGCGCATTATTCGGGTTTGCTTCACACTTCTCGCTCGACGATAATGCACTCCCCGTTTTCCTATCAACCAATCCAGAAGTCTCAAGAGACTTCTCTTTCTTCAATTTCTCGCAAACAGATGTGTCACGAGTAGTTGACACAAACCCAGGCCGGACGCCACGCAAATCGAACCCTCCCGTGGAAAGCTCAATCAAACCAAACTCATTAATCTTCAGACCACCCTCCAATAATTGCTTTTTTGTGATCGTGACATCTGTTTCCTTGTTTTCAATTGCCTCGCAAGCCTTTGTCAAGATAAATGTTCCTGGGAACAGCGAAAAGCATGTTTTGCGTCCATACAAGTGAAAGACATGATAACGAATATGTTTGAGAGCTTCATCAAAGCTATTCACATTTCGAGCTATTCGCCACAGCCTATAAGTCCAACTATGGGGCAATAGTCCGGCCCACTCGCTCTCAGGTGTTTGATCTATCGCTCGCCCATCAAGTCTCTCAGGATGGCAGATAAAGAACTGCCTGAATAGATGAATGACACGTTCCCCCATTTAGATTTGATGTAGTTGTAGCTTTTGAGTCTGTATTGGTTGTTCCTTTCTTGGCTCTTGCTTGAGTCTGGATTTGGGCTCTGCTTTTGCTGCTGGGATTGTTTGGGATTGACGTTTATGGCTGTCCATGTTGAATAGAACCCTGGCCGTTTGACGCTGGTAGGCAGATATATATATATCGTAATTAGTTTCACGTAAAGTATGATACGACTTGACTTCATGAATGAGGTATAGCAGTCCAAACTCACCAGTCTCTCAGCTCCATGGCGAAAAGTCAAAATGGAGAATCAAAGAAGTCAATATATCGCATCGTGATACCGTCGGAAGAAGATTTGAGTCGATTCATCCACTTTCTTCTATCCAGTCTCAAGTTGACCCAGATGTGGAAGAATGAGGTGAAGGTAGGAAGCGGGTCAGATACAGTGAGGTGGAAGAGGAAGGAACCCTGGGTTGTCAGAGGGGACTGCAGCCTTTTACCACGTGCACATCCGTAGCATAATTTAAGACACAGAGATTTTGTATGCTTTTGTTCCTAGAATAAGGCTGATACCAACTCCAACAGATTAGTTGTGTCTTCTCCTAGGAAACACGCTAACAAGAATGACAAGTAATGGCACCGCGTATACAACTGGAAGGAGCTAGCGAAGTACTAGTCACCTATCGAATGTAAGTCCCTGATTGACTACTTGACACCTGATGACCCTGGACGGTACGCGACCTGGTAAAAGAAGATATATCCAATGTCTCTCGATCATGATTTTAGAATGTATTTGAATCGATTACACATGAAAAGTCAGGCATATGAATTTAGAAACCTGCATTGTTCTATAAATACCAAAACCATGCACTTTGATTTCCTTATACTCTGTTTCCTGTTTCTCCAAAATCCTACATCGTGCGTTTGAATAATTCCGGCCAATCATAGCCCAATGTCGTCAAACATCATGCGCTGCTCCATAATAATTGGAGCATCAGGATCAGAGTTCATCATTGATCTTGTACTGGTACAGAGAATTAGGCTCAGGCTTATCCCCTAGGTTGATCCGATTCCGTCATCCCTACCTGTATCAATTTTTTGTACGGGAGTGGTCGCTGGCATCTGGCAGCTTAGGCCGGGCCTCGAAGAAGAGCGGGTGTTGCGTTGGTAGCGGCAGGGTCGTACGCGTTCTCCCCGCGCTCGCTGGCATTTTGCCACGCAAAGGGAGCTGAGCGAGATTGATTGAAAGATTTGATTATACTTACCTCGCCTTCTTTGGATCTCGCCGCATTTGCATTTACTATGTCTTTTGGGATGGCGGCTCGCTGGGGAATTACGTTAGAGAGCATAGCATTCCTAGGAATATCCTGATAGGTGATTGTAAGATGCACATCGACATAGGCCCTCCCTATTGACGGAATGTTGTTGTCCGTTATTGTGAGGTGATAAACGGCTGGTTGAGTGCAACTGATATTTGTAATGAACATTTGAAGAACACGTTGATAGATAGTCGCTCATACTTACATAAATTACGATACGTATCAATTTATATAGTACAAAGACCATTATTGTCGATTGTTTATTCTAAGTTCTTCTTCGGCATAGAATTTCAATTATACTTTACAATAACTTTCATATGATGCATTGATACAAATAGACACTGTCGTATAGAATATAATTACTATCAATTGATATGTTAGCATAATTTCGTCCCCGCATTTTCGAAATCACATTTCCAGTAAACAAAATGTCACATTCGATGTCTTGGCCCTCGTATTCACAACGCCATGTCGTCACAGTCAATGTTGGCTTATTAATCACCCATTCTATCTATGACTAAGTTAACCTAAACGATATACAAATTATTCAACTGAGAAATACCCACGAACGATATCAAGAGCATTTAAATCGAATATTGGTTGACCTTGGGATCAATCCTGGAACATTATTTCAAAGAAATCCCAAACCCGCACCATACTTAAGCAAAGATGAGCCGTATCTTCATGTAATGATTATCGGTCCTTGAGATCAACATTGAACCACCACATACTCACTTTACCTAAGAACAGGTGTTACGGGATATATTGGTGGTGATGTTCTTTATGGCCTCACTAAAGCTCAAGCTGCGTCAAGTATTGTGGCTCTGGTGCGAAACGAGGCTCAGGCAGCTTTCATTGCTGAGCAATACCCCGCCGTGAAACCGCTCATCGGTAATTTGGACTCTGTCTCTGAAATAGAGGAACAGGCTTCCCAAGCCGACGTGGTTCTTCGTGAGTTACTTGATGCTCTGCATTGATTTATCTTGAAACTTCATACCTGACTAAAAACAACAGACCTCGCAAGTTCAAACCATGTACCTAGCGCAAAAGCCATTGCCGAGGGATTATCCAAGACACAACGCGTGAATCCAGGTATTCTACCCGGTAATCTTTGTTATAAAAATTGAAATCTCATGAATCACAGTCTGGATTCAGATTTCTGGTGCCAGTCTCCTCTCCGGTCCAGAGATTGCGGCCAACACCTACGGGGAGAACAATTCAAAGATCTTCAACGATTTAGAAGGAGTCGGCGAACTTCGAGAGATAATTGCCTCACCGGCGAGAGTCGTTGACCAGATTGTTACAAATCTATCCTCGAGTCAACCAAATGTCCGAACGGCGATTCTGTACGGACCCCTAATTTACGGCCAAGGAAGAGGTCCCGTCAATCAACGCAGCATGCAGATTCCCGATTTGGCAAAAGCAATTTTACAGCATGGCCACGGCATTCAGGTAGGAAAGGGTTCAAGTACTTGGAGTCATATCCATATCTCGGATATCACGCGTCTTCTTGTGATGTTGGTTTTGGAAGCCTCTCGCAACACAAACCAATTGCTTTGGAATGAAAATGGCATATATTTTGCCAACGCCGGGCTGCTCGTAAGTCTAGAATCTCTCATTCTTGCGTGGCACTTATCTGATAAACGTTTATTCTGTACAGTCATTCGGTGAAATTTCGAACAAAATGTCTGATTTTGCCTACTCCCGAGGGCTTATCAGCTCTCCCTCCACTAAGGAGATTCAACCAAAAATTGCGGACCTTTTAACTCATCGAGGTGCCGTGCTTTGGGGAACTAATGCTCGAACATCATCTGATAGGGCACGGAAAATTCTTCAATGGCAACCGGAAGGTCCTAGCATTGAGGAGGAAATTCCTCGTGCGATACTAGCTGAAGCGGCGTTTTTTCAACGGCCAACCTTCCATGTCTGAGAAAGTATGGCGATCATCTAAATAGAAGCATCGGCTTTTCAAGTGAAAATGAATTTTCAATTTTCAGTTAATGATCAGACAATTGAGGATTATTCCATACAAAGAAAAAAGAATTCACGGAATATGAGTCATTAGTTTTGGACTTTTAACTTGCATCCCGACGGACACTGTATAGCAACATATCGTAAGCAAATAAATGAACTGCATAAACCCAGCTATCATATAATTAGTTTTTTATTTGTGTGCTTATCTTTTCTTTCTTTTCCTCGAATCGACGCTGATTGGCCCCATGGAGTTTCCCCCTTTGGCAAACTCCATTCGTTAGGACAAGAATTCTGGGATTCTCTTCAATTAAGATTCCAATGATATCTTCTAAACTGTAAATATATTTAGCATAGAATTGTAGTACATTCTGTGCACTTTGAAAGCTAAGAGCACCACGGAGATCTCCTCCTAGCCAATAAAACCCTGCAGGGTTCGTTCCTCAGCCTTGCATATCTCTCAGCCTTGTTCCCAATGGACAACACACAAGGCAGACTAACCCAGCCCCTTTACGTGGCATCGTCTGAGTCTCTCACAGCCTTGTTCAAGGAATTTTTGCACTACAACGAGTCTTCATCAAACTTCACTTCCAATTTCATCACTCAAATTGATGGAACAACTGCACCCAGAGTGTCTTACCTGAGACAATTCTGAGCTACTATCTTAGCGGAATGGCAGAAGCTCTGGCTGTGTTAGGTGCCGCTGCGGCCGCTTTACAGTTCGCAGAGGTGAGCTTTAAAATCGTTTCACGAGGTAGTGCTCTGGTGCGCAAATCTCGCGAATATCCGGAATGTCTCCAAAGAGCACACAGCCAAATCCGAAATCTCATATATCTGGCAAAAGTGACTGCAGACAATGCAGATTCTTTTCAAGTTGCCGCCTCTACCTCACAGCATGCCGCCGATCAACACGGACCCCAACCGGCAGATAGCCAGAGCGCTTCTTTGGCGGTGACGTCGATTCAATTGGAGAAAGTGTGGAAAGATTGTTTCCGGCAAGCGGTAATTTTGGACGATATTCTTCAGAATATGATACAGGAAGTCGAAGGCAAAGGATTGATTGGGATATGGAGAAAACTTCGCCGACAGGAGAGACTGGACAGTATTGAGAGGGCGCTTAGCGAACTGGAAAGGTCTAAGGCAACCCTGGACCTGTGGTTAGGGAACGAATCCCTACGTCGAATGGGTAATATACATCGCGATTTGGCATTAATGAATGATAGGATTGTCCACTTTGGTAAATATTCCCTATCCCCTTTTATTTACATACTTTATTCTAACTATAATTAAGAAGCAGCTTTGCCTCGCATATTGGAGAATCACCACCAAATGAACGAGAATGTAATTTCTACTGTGACTCAATCGGCGTCACAAACGACCTCTTCAAATGGAGAAATTTGCAAAATACAAAGCACGCCTCCCACTGCTGTGAGTTTTCTTCTATGTACCGGGTGACGAAATGAATTTAACTTATCCATTAAGACTACAAGAAGTGCCAATATACCGAGGCAACTTAACTCCTCTTCAAGCAACGACGCAATAGCTATACCGCAAACAGGAAACCAACAAAGAAATCCAAGAAGTGCAAAAAAGCATTATAAAGGACACAGACTACAGCGCTTTGATAACTCAAATATAAACTTCTCTAGCTTCAGTAAAGTTGAGTGGAAAAGAGTGCTCACTCTTGCAGGGAACACTGTAGTTGTTCAACTTGGGAGCCAGAGCAAACTGCCTTTTAAGACAACGTGTAAAATTGACAGAAATAATTTTTTGAGCATTTACATACGATTACGAACTACCTGGCTTTTTGACGCGATCGAGATAAATTTCTCGCTTCAACAACATCCAAGCGCCCCATCTATACAAGCTTCACTCAAAGCCCAGATACGAGTCAAGGCCTTGCCACTTAAAACTTTCTTTGTGGATATTTATGGATATCGGAAGACGCGAAATTCCACGGACATAAAAGAGATACCTTCTAGAGAAAAGCAAGAGTATCTGTTCAACGTGGCACGAAGGTTACTACTGCAAAACTTCTATGCTGGAAGGGCTTCCCCAAGTGATATTGATTCAAGAGGTCAAACACTGCTCCATGTAAGAACATAAATAAAACATACTTAAGGCTATTCGGACTAACGGTACCAGCTTCAATCTGAGCTATACATGCCGGGATATGAGATCCTTTTCACAAAGATGACCGAGTTCTTGATATCATGGGGAATCGACCCTGAAGTAATGGATAATCGTCTGATGTAAGTTAGAATTGTTGTCTTTTTGATAAATGTGTTTTGCTAAATAGATCTTAGGACGGCACAAAGTGAACTCTGTACTAAAATTTTGCTTGACAAGGCTGTTTCACATGCTCTCACAGGACAGACCCTATTATCATGGACCGGCCCTCCAAAAGGGCGGAAGATGGGAGCGTTAGTCATTCTCCAATGTATCCACTACTGGCCGGAAGCCATATTAGGTGAGATTTATAAAAGGTCCTCCTAGAAATATAGGGGAATCTAACAAGTCTACTATACACATACAGACTATGGAGGCATCTGCGATATTGTTTTGCGAAGATCAACAGATGATCTGCAAAAGTTCATAGACCACGACGATCACGACTCAATGAAGAGTGACAATTTAAATTCTCCTTTACATTTTGCAGCTGCAGCCTCATGGCCTGAAGGGGTTGAATTACTGATATCCAAAGGATATGATAGGTTTCAAAGAGATGCTGGTGGGTTTTACCCCGTCGAGTATGCCATTAACATCGAATGTATTCCTACTATAAGGATCCTTTTATCGGGTGACTGCCGGGAACTCTTTAAACATACATGTAGTACACCAGGCCAGAACACTGAATTACGTCGGGTAAGTCTCCGGACAGCATGTACTGATAACCCAGAGCTTCAAGATGTCGTCATTGAATGTTTATCTCGACATAAATTTCTTTTCCCAAAACTGTTACCATACCACTATTTTGCGAGTCTATTGTGGACAGGTACCATCGACTTCGTACAAAAGCTTTTCGCGGCTGGCTTCCAGGACATTGATGCATATGACAGCTCCGGGTATACACCTTTGATGAAAGCTTGCGCCAATGGCAATATACGAATTGCGTCATTTTTGATGCAGCATGGAGCTGATTCCAATAAATTTCATGAGAATGTCGGCCTCAGACCAGGTCACTTTCTGTCTTTCGAATTCATGAATGAGTGTGGTGAATTTAGCTTTGATAAGGAATTCGATCACGAGTTCAAAGTTCACGCGGCAAGGCTACTTGAAGCCGCATTTGATACGTCAATTGATGTGGAGTCTCAATGCCACTGTTCACCCGGTGGTTTCAGTCCTATTACATCTCTGTTCCAGCGGCTTGATTATGTGCCCTTCTACTTCAAAAAACAAACCGTCAAGAAAATGATTAGAAGTCTTGACTGCACGATCGACGATGAAAAAAGGCACTGGCGAGCCGTGGTTGTGGCTGAAGTGTTTAATCGCCTTGAAATGACGCACACTTGCCTCAAATTGAAACCCGAAATTCGGTCTTTTCCAGAGGAAAGCAGAATGGAAATCGAAGTCGAGGAAGATGTCCTCTTCTTTCATCTACAGGAAATAGTGGCTCGGTTTGATCTGTTTTTGGAGAGCCTAAATGGTGATATTTCTGAGCTTGTTGAGATGTTCTTCGACCACCTCGATGCTGAACTGAGACCACGTAATTTGTGGTGGATCGACACAGAGTTTCCCATCAAAGGCCCTGATGGTCTTGGGTCTGGTGGATGCATCCAGTCGAGTCGTTGGAGGTCTTCCCGCGGAGAGTTAATACCATATGGACATGAAGAAAGCGTTAATGAGACTTCAGTGCTAAGTTGGTTATTTTAACAGCAAGTTATAAGCAGGTTCTGAGTGTATACATATGGAGATTTCATTCTTCAATTGGTTGCCAACATGGCCCCTATCAACGCATCACCACTCTGTTAGTGAAGAACGAAAACTGCTTGTACACAATGAGAAGAGAAGCATACAAAACCTAATAACATACATTCATACCAGAACTACGCATGGTATGACTCTCCATAATTGAGTTCCTTCAATTAATTACCTAAATTGAAAAGGACAGGAAAGAGACGTTGGTATAACAAACCGGTCTTGTTCTAGCAATCTTGATGATGAATGTGTTCTTTGAATAGACGCGACAACGCCGCTGAGCAACATGAATCAAATCAAAAATCGACGACGCCTATTTACTAGGACAAGTCGAATTACTAGCAACAATCAGATTGACATAAGAACAGCTGGGGAAAACAGGTAAAAAGGCGGAATTGCACTGTGATCTCGACTCCATCATTAGCGTAGTATTTACGAGTGATGTGCCCTAACCACCAGACCATGGCTGCACCGAAGCAATCGCTTATATTGACTTATTAATAATTTTCGTTCGAATATTCATCAAGTACAAATCTCCTGGGCCAATATTCAACCACGATCCACGTTGAAATAATAGATAGAACTATAGCGAACTGGTTGATTGAGGATGGCTATATACATCGCAACCGATCCTATCAAAACAAATATCCACCTAACAACAATGTAGTACACATGTGTAAGTTATCATATGCCGGGGGTATCAACTCTAAACAAGCAGAAACAGAAAAAAACATAGCCTCCCATGGAAACTCTAGCAAGGATCCCTCCCACATACATATCCAGCTTACACAGATGGAATAAAGAAAAGGTCTAGAATAAGTAACTACATGGACGAAGATGGTGTCGAGATTGTGGTTAGATGAGGAGATTGTCGCGCGCTTCGTCGCTCAAACCCTGCATGAACCTGAGATCGCGCTCGCGGGTACTGCTGATGCAGCGCGGATTCGAGGCGAGCCCGGCTTCGGTCATCCATTCATGTGGTAGGTCGTGGTACCAGTGCGGAGTGAAGCTGTCATCATCGTTAGATGAGGCGTTTCGTCTCCGTTTATTGCTGGAACTACCACCCACGCCGGATGTTGAACCGTATCGTAGGCCGTACTGTGAGCGCTCGAATTCCATGAATCCGCCAAACAGGTCGTCGGTGTTCGCGACCCAGATGGAGGTTCCGTCGGGGGTGTAGTCCGCGCCGCCAATTTCGCCGAAAAAATCGTGCACTTGTCTAGTCTCGTAGGTTTGCGCGTTGACGATGGCGATGCGATCTGCCGGTTCGCACATTAGGAGGGTGCGTGGACCGCCGCCGAGCGGGGAGAAGCGCAGGGAGCGGTAGCCGGCGCGGTCGGAGTCCATGCTTTGTAGAATCCGCCACATGCGTACGTCCCAGATATTGACGGTTTTGTCCTGGTTGCTTGTTGCGATGTGGAGCATGTCGGGCGACCAGGCGCACGCGAAGCCGAAGTCGCGGTGTCCACGGAGGCGTTGTACGGGTCTGCCACTGTCGGCTTCGAGGACGCAGGCTTCAGGGGAGTCGCCGATGACGATGCGGAGACGACCGTCGACGGAGGTTTCAGTGCAGTTGACGGGTTTGGAGAGTTCGTGGTCGGAGATGAATTTGTTGGTCGCGCAGTCGAGAACGCGGATGTGTTCGTCGTTTGACGCGAAGACGATCATGGGAGAGCTGTTTGTGCGGTTTTGGGTGATATCGATATGATTTGTGATGCCGTTGATATGCTTCGTAACGAGTCCATATGTGTTGCCCATTTGGCTACCTTCGACATGCATGGCATACTCGCCGCAGAAGCCGCCGACAACGGCGACTCCGAATTTCGATCGGATTGTCGAGATCTTCACGGGTCCTTGGAAGCCGGTCTCTATAGCTGGTTGGGAGAGATCAATCGGACACGAAACGGTGTCGTAAGTTGGAATCCATGAGACCAGCCTCGACTCATGCGCAAATTGCACGGTGTTTGAAGCTGTAACCGACATGAGATTGCGAAGCTGAAAGTGCTCGATCGTGGCTCTTAAATTTGTATACATGGCCTTCGGTCGAAAATAGACCTCCGAGCTAGGTAGTCTTTGTTGGAACTACCATCAAATTAGCATTTTCTACCTTGTACAAAAGAGAAAAGAAATCACATACGCCGTTCCTAGAGTAATTCAGGTTACGATACGGCGTATACCATGCATCACGGAGAATTCGTGCGTCTTCACGACGAACGTTTAGCTTCTCGCGCCAGGGAATTTGTTGAATATCATAGAAATCAGCATCATGATCCTGAGGACTAATAATCCTCTCCGGTCTATCCCAAAAAGCCACATTCGCTGCTTCAATATCCGGCTGAGGAAAGTTAAAGCGTTCTTGGTCGTTATCGGTCATTGTAGATCTGATCCGCCAAAGACGAATAAATTGCTCTATTGTGAGGTTGCGTTCGTAAGCTTGAACATAGTGTCAGTAACTAAATATCCATAATAACCAGATATAAACGTACTCGGTGGAGCGGCAAAATGGGTGTCGACAGTCTCCTCTGGCTCCATTATACCCCAGTAACGATCTGAATTGCGAAATTCATCGCCATACCAGGATTCTTCATTGTCCATATTATCGTCATAGTCTGTATCATCGTCGTCGAGATTTCCAATGCGCGTATACATTCCTGTGTAGAACTTGCGAGTGTCGTCCGGGTCGCTGCCTTCATCGTCGGAATCAGTTACCGGGGACGAGTAGTCGAAAGTGAGAGAGTCGTAGTCTTCGACGAGCCTGTCTTCATTATCATCATCACATTCTGCTTCCATTGTCGAAGCATTGGTAAATTGCTGCAGTATAGAAGCAAGGTGCGGCATCCGTTCAGCGATTTCTGAATTCGTCGAACGAGAGCTTTGATCCAAGTCATGAGGCATTTCCAGATCGAGATTGTCGGATTCGTCAGAGTCGGGTATATGCGAACTCTCGCTATCAGCGTGGGCTCTATTGGTGAAGAATGTTTGTTCAGAGCCATCTCCATGATCAATACTTGTTAAACGCAAGTAGGCGGGATTCTCCAAGTCACTCATTGTCCGAGTAAGCAGCGGCGACATCGTTATTGAAGACTCGAAATTTGTTGGGGGTATGACAGTCGCACGAATGCGGTCGAATCCAGCACCCAATGATTCCTCCATATTGATAGGTTGTTGGCGGTTATTTCAATCGGCGTTCCAGAGTCAGTTGTCGTTCTTTCTTCTCACCACAAATCCGTGCAGTCGCACATCTGATGATCCATCGCGGAAAAAAGTCCACGCAAAATCAGCCATATACCAAAGAGAGTAGAGCTCGCTATCCCTGAGATATCGGAATCTATCTCGATTCGACTAAGCAAGGTGGTAACACAGGGCCTATGGGATATTTCCCAGCAGTATCGTCGTACCGAAATATACGCAAACAACCCCCGACACCGTAAGACCCAAAAGCTGCAAAGACGAGGTTTGAGTCGTACAAGTAGACCCGCACTAAAGAGATCCCTAGGTTTAAGTTTTGTCCATCAAGTTATCCGGTTCTGTGATAGCTGTCGACAACCGCTTTTCGCATATAGAGGCTAGGCTGTATGCTTTTTGTATATAATTATCACTTGTCAAGACACTGAATGACTATGGAAATGGTTAGCCTCAAGCGGAAGAAAATAATCAAAGTGAATAAACATTCTTTGAGTGAAAAATAACATAAAAAGAACCGAAACAAGACGGTCATCGGAGATTTGAAAACCAACTGCGTAAATGAATGGCCGGGGAGCGGGGCTATCGCCGAGCAAGGCAGTGACACGCATTAATATATGCGAATAAAGTCAACTCCAGCCAGCCGGTGAGGTTGGGTTCGCCCAAGAAGTCACGGTGCAATACTGCAACGCTGCAAACAAGCCATCGGAGGAAATTTAAGTATGGTGGGGGTGGGATATGGAAGGGTTGAAGGCCAAGGAAAAGAGTCGTTAGGATTCAAGGCATCGGGATAGCTGAATCGGCTGCAAATATGCGCTCTGCGTAACGCAAAGAAGAACAAGCAAACACTCACGATAAGAAGAGCAGGTCTGTACCAGGAAGAATCACAACCTCCACTGTTCCACGTCCACTTCCACTCTCACTCCAGGCTGCAGGGCTCGAGCTCAGATTCACACTCAGGCGCAGAGCGGGGATAGCGGAGGGGGTGACAGGCGGGTACACGCCTTGATAAGTCGGGGGTCAAAGCTGGCCAGCAAGCAGGCTCGCGCACCGGGGCTCGTCAGGCCTATATACTGCGGAGGGGACGTATAAGAGGCGAAAAGAGTAGTGGCTGACTGACTCAGCGAGAAGCTATTATAAACGCCTTCTTATCCGGGCTGCGCGGCGGAGGAGAGCTTCCAGAAACAGGTCAGGTCAACAGCTGTGCGGGCCGGGCGTCATGCAGGGCGCGCAAAGAGGTAATTAGTCGACTGTAAAGTGTCAGTCTCCAGGAAAGCGACAGAAACAACGATCGGATTTGGTTTCTTTTTTAATTATTAAGTTCTCAGCGCGTGATGACATCGACCGATCTGCGACGCATATGCGAGTTGTTAAATCAACCACGCCAAGCGACCGGTTAAGTGACAGGTAACAGCGAACTAGCAAGCAGGGCTAAAAGGTTATGAGCTAGCCCACGCTGCACCTGCAGTTGGCTTCCGTCACGAGTATGGCTTCGTGAGTTGAGGCTGGCTGTTGCGGTGCAGGCTGTCATAGAGTAAGAGTAAGAGTTGGAATAAGATTGAGTAATGCGGAGGCGGTGTGGGTTGCCACTTGCGGTCGACTCGTGTTTTATGGCTGAATTCGTCGATTCATTAGCAGCTAACTTCTTACGATGTTTAATTAACCCAATACATGTCACTGGCCATTGACGGAGTATCGCGACGTCATGCAGTATGTAATTATTAGTATTTTAAAGAGCCCCGCCATTTTGACCAATATCTGACCCAAATAGCGGTGAGGTGGAAATACCACAAATGCGAAAAATATCTTTTGAAAAATACTAACTTGGGCATCAAGATAATACTAAAGAGTATTGAATCATAAATAATGAAATTAGCACGGTCGTGCCTTATTATTGTCAGTCGCAGAATAATTGTTGGAACCGACAGGGGCCGACATGATGCATGCAATTGCAGACCCATGTCCAGTCGGGGCTTAAACCAATACAAGTCGCTATAATTATCATGATTGATCGATAAGTTAAAACAAGACTATCATGTAATAAAACAGAAGTTTATCAGGCTGACACTCTAGCCTATTTCATGAATCTAGCCCACTGGCTAATCATTAAACGAAGCTACGTATACTCTTCCCCTCCCAAGGCCAACCAGCGGATCAGCCATTAACAGCCGCCGTCACGATAGCCAGACAGGGGTCACAGGGCTAAATCGAGATTGCTGCATGGACGAGCGCGGGCAGACCCAGCACGAATGTGACAAGTCACGCTTGTGTCAGCCTACAGATGCAAAAACCCATCACGCAGTTATGTGATAATAAAACTAAACTATTACTGGAGCGCGGAGGGAGAACTCAGCCTGAGTCATGTCTGAGTGCTGAACAGCCTGGTGCTGCTAGTCGCCAAGAGCAGAAATGAGGCCGGCTGGCCAATGGAATGTGACTGGTCATAACAGTTGCATTTTGAAACAGATTGATAGTCAGCTACAGCGTTCGTTCACCCGGGTAATGCCGAAGTAGCCCGTGGCATGTGTCACTTAGCCATATATGCACGCGATCGGGTGATCTGGAATGGAGACAAGACGTAAAAAGAATAGCGTATATTCACAGGCGGAACCTGAAGACTAAAATATCAAAGGCAGAAACGCATAGATCTTGCGACAAATATACACCGATAAGATGAGAAACACCAGTCGTTCAAGTAGAGGTTGGAAGGGAATGAATAAAACAATACTCAAGCTCAATCGCGATTTAGCTCAAAACAAGGTCATGCACCTGTACTCGAAGCCACGTACAAGATAGATGTCGTCGCAGCAAACTCCACCCATGATACATATTTCCAAAACTAGAGAAAGCAAAATGGCACGAGGATACCCGGTAGTATATATATCCGGAAACAATAAATCATTATATGAACAAGATAGAACCGTTTTAATTAGTAATCGGAGTAGGTGTCGTATCCCCCGGGATAGGTGTAGCCCCCTGAAGGAAACATTGCGTGTTGCCCTTGCGCGCCGCTTATCTTAAGTCGTCGTTCTATAGATGCCTGTTAGCACTAACCTACAGAAATCAAGGAAAACTGGAGGTACCTTTTTCAAAATCGCGCCAGCGCTTCATAGTAATCTTGCTGCTATCAAACTCTCCCTCCGCGTCTCCATGTCCTCCTCCTTTGATGTCACCGGCTGTCTTTCGAGTATCACCCCAGCTGAAATCATCAAACTTCCAGTAAGCATATACCGGAAGGACAAAATTCCATACAGGAAGTGAGAGCAGGTAGATCAACATCCAAAGGACATAGACGAATCGGTTTGCGGTGATGACAATAAGAACACCAGGAAGACCCAGAATAAGTGCAAGAAGAACCAATGGAATGATTTGTACCGGCTTTCTAATGATCGAAATGATGACGACGTAAAATGTGAAGGAGATAGCGGCAGGGAGCACCAAAGTACCGATCAGCTCCACACCAACGACGAATTGCATACTGAAGCAAAATGTACCGCAAAGATCACGTACCAGCACGAGCTCAAAGAGATTGTGAACTGTACTGTTGATCCAACGACGACGCTGAGACAAAAGCACCTTGAACTTGTCTGGCACAGTTGTCTTACAGACTGCCTGGGGAACGAAAACTTGCTTTCGTTTGGGGAATGTTCTCAACATCAGTGTTGTCAAGTAACGATCTTCACCCAGTAAGAGCAAATTCTTCTTGTGCAGAGTATCAACAACATTCTCTGAATAATGTTCCACGATGTCAGGGTTGGCGAGAATTGGTACCCAGTAATTCTGGCCGCCCTTTGGCGCCTTAATGCGGTACATAGAGAAACAACCAGGAAGACAGGTAACACCACCGAAGACAGACTCGAACGCTTTGGCCTGGTGATGAGAGATGAAGTATTCGAAAACTTGAATCATAGTGACCCAGCTGTCGGTTTTGTTAGCAATCTTCGTTTCACCACAGAGACCCATAATGTCCGGGTCTTTGACCATAGCGGAGACCATGTGTGTCAAACTATCAGGGAAGACCTTCGTATCGGCGTCCACCATCAGAATGATTTCGTAGTAGTCAGGCGATATACCAGTAATATTCCACAACCCGTTGAACATTTCAAATTCGAGTTCCGTCATACGCTCATCGAACATAACCTTTTGCAGGAACGACATGAGAATGATCTGACTATCTCGTTTACCACGATTTCCAGGCTTTGATACCTTGGCCTCTTCCGGAGTGCCGCACTTAACAATGACCATCATCGGCACACGCTGTTGTTTTTCGACAGGAACGATCGATGCCTGTCCGTAATCGTAAAAACCGGAGTAAATCTTGGCCATGTTGTGTCGCTTGGAGCCGCTAGCAACAGCTACATAGGAGAAAGGTTGAACTTCCTCTGGATGTACAACGAAATCCCGCATCATACCGATGACAATTTCGGGAGTGGAAAACTCTTCGCCTTTGCCCTTAATCATACCATCGCAAATGACAACAATCGTCTTGTGGCTGTTGGGATAGTCTGTCATGGCAACCGAGTCTAGGGTAGTTCGAATGCCTTCCTCGCCTTCGGAGTAACATGTAACCAAACACATTGCATGAGCCAATGGGAAACCAAATGGTTGCCATTCTGGTGGTGGTTGCGGCACGACAGCTTCGTGAATAAACCCAGCTGGGCCTTCGCTAGAGCCTACAAGAGTTGAATGTCTTTGGTCAGACTGAGTAATCATCAAACTGACTCTACTATCAGTGTCATTGTGGCGAGACATTGCGTCAGCACTGAGCGTAGCATTGCTGCTATTTTGTCCCAATTTGTATATAGAGCCAGAGGTGGTTGTAGGCACAAGACGAGACGTTGAGTTTTGGTTAGCCATGGTGGTTGGCTGAAGTTTAGTCCTGCCGCTGCCACTAACTGCATATGGGCTGGAGAAACGAGAGGTGGTCGGCAAGAAGCTAGCACGTTTATTATTCAGGCGTTCAGTGCGATCGGGGACAGGGGCATCGGCAAGACGTGGCGCAGGGCGATAAATATCATCTGTCCAGTCTTCAATCTGCTGAGCACGAGCTTTGCGATCCGATGTCATTGTCGTCCGCTCGGGGGCAAATTTCCTTGATAATATCCAGTGGAAGATCACAGCCATAAAGAATTTGGCAGCCACAATGGACAAGATAAAGATTAACGACACGTAGAGAACCACTTGTGAGGCAATACAACCTATAGTCTTAGTATCGATAGAGCCGACTTTTATAATCTGAGAAAGGCACTTGGCAACCTTCTTGTCCTCAGAAGATTGGAAGGCGTATGTGACGTCTGTTCCAGTGACATCCGCATTCTCACGAATTTCGTCGAAAAGGGCTGGATATTTAACCTGGGTTGAGTTGAACCATCTGAGCAAATTCAGATCAAGCACATCTCCTGAGTACACGATGAGGTTGCGGCTCTGGTTCTTCAAGTCCTCCCAGGTGAAATAGACGTCGCCAGAAGACCTCAAGCTGTAGAATTGATTCCGTGCATAACCCGAAAGATGGCAAGAATAGCCGAAATAATAAGGAATAGTCTCGTTAGGTTGGGACGAACCATCTTGGTTGAAGGTGTTGCAGGGGAAATACCAAGCGAGATCGCCGTTGCTGTTTGTTGGTACGTCGGAACCTTCTGCCAAGGTAATAATATCTTTGCAGGCGCCGTTGACGTTTTGGAACAGAAAACTGCCATCTTGACCGCCATATTTTGTTGGAAGATCATAAAGAACGTTAGACCCGTCCGGGATACCAGTGGCAGGTGGATGGGAGGACCGGGACAGATCATAAGCTTCACCATGGAAAATCATGTAGCCGCTATCCACCTGGTTAACTTGCAAACGCACGGTGGTAGAGCCGCATACGACCGCGGTGAAACCAAAGGTCAAAAATCCGACAAAGGTACAAATGAGCAAAATAACGCTGATCAGACCCATCTTTTCGCGCCAGGCTCGGCGCTGGTCCACCTGAGGCATGCCAAAACATTTCAAAACAAAGTCGGGAGCCCAGAAGGTCACTACCGCGCAGTAGGCGTACCATAAGCTCGGTGGATGTATTTGTTCCCGCGCCTTTTGCTGGCGCTTATCCTGCGACGCTGCATGTCTTTTGGAGCCTTTTCGATGTATCTTCCGTTTCTCGCGAGTGCTCGTTGAAGCTTTCTCGATTCGTTCCATCGGTTTGTTCAAATTTCCCTCCGCTCCGTAAAGATTTGTCTTATGGGCCGTCTTCAAGGAGCTATCTGTGCTCTGGGTCTCGGTCTCTCCAGTCCCATCCAGAATGGGATCATGGCCAGTTGTGGATGGGTATGTAGCGATATTCTTATTTTGCGCATGCTGCAGATAATGATAATTCGGATGATCGGGATCTAGCTGGCGTCTTTCCGGGCGTACGAGGGATATCTTTCTACCCAAGCCAGTCGAGGGATTGGGAGCAGCGGCTCTCGCGGAGGACTGAGACACATGGCGTCTATGCGATTGGGAGTGTCTCCTTGGAGACGTCGGGGAGTATGGTGATTGTGGTACGTCGGTGTAGGCACCGGATTCAACATCATGGCGCCGCCGTCTCGATGATTCTCTGAATCCCGGCTGTGGTTCCTCACGTCGCGAAGATGGCGCATTGGCCGGTCTTTGTGGAAGCGACATGGCGGGTGATATATACACGGGTCTGCGGGGAATGTTAACCCAGATTTCACATTCCACGGTACAGAGAAAATCTTACCACGAGGTTTGACCTGCCACAAGGAAGAATCCAATGTTATAATACAGCTTCACACAGTCGACATTGAGATGCACGGAATGGCGGCTGGCAAAGACTCCGATTCTTCGTCGGACTAAAAGTATCGCAAATATCAACGAGAGAAATATAGTCGTAGGCGAATTCCGAAATTTAATAAAAATACACGATTCTGGACGAGCGTAATAGCGAATAAATCGATAATATTTGCAAACAAAACGAGGCTTGGCCGATTGATCGATCGGCTAGGTTAGATATTAGGCGGTATCAACGAGGGAAAGGGCGAAAAAGGGGACGGATCTCGTGCAAGCGAAGGACAGGAGTAGTATGACAGGCACCTCAACGAGCGGCAGAGGGGATGCGGATGATGGAAAATGAATCCAGGGTGCCTGCCTACGCAGTGGCGGTCATGAAGCCGATGAAGTTGCAGGTTCGCTGGAGGGGTGCAGAATTAGACTTGGGACCGGATTACGGGCTCTCAGGCCTGAGACAACAGCACTGCGCTGTTCCCTAAAGGGGATCAGGGGGGACGCTCTGGGCAGACGCAGAGTGACTCCGGGCCGTCGCTTGGAAGCAAGGCTAGTGCCGCCGAGCCGCTAGCAGAGACTGGTCGAGGCAATATTCTCTGATTCAGGCGGCGCGATCGGGTTAAAGCCACATTGTTATTTTTATTATTGCGAGACGCAATGGGATAGAGCAACGAGGATGTTTGGAGGGCGAGATGGGATGGGTACAGGGAAGCAGCATCAGCATCATTCTGCTCTACCACCATGCTAGCCCTTAGTCAGCTGTGTTTACTAACTGATTGGGAAAGAGGGAAAGCACGATCCCCAGCAACGCGAATCAAAGGAAGGCGCCGCTGATTGGCCCGTCTGCGGCGCGCTGTGAGTGGCTGACTAAGGTGGTCTGTGTTGAGCAGCCGCCCGACGCTGCCGGACTTGTAATAATAATAATTTTACTCATGATTCTAATTCTCATTCTCTTCTTGGTATGGCGGTCAGATGACCCTGCTTGTTTATTTTCCAGCACAAGTCACACATGTTCTGGGTACATCGTTACTGTTCTTGAAGGCAGAAAAATGCATACCTGGTGCGCCTATGGAGTCCGTCAAACAGTGCTGGTTAGGCGGGGAAAGAGAATTTGAGACTCTCTGCGAGGCTGTCTACGAGGCTGACTACCAATGTCCATATACAGAAAGCTCGTGGTTATTCTGTCCCATTTATTTTGTGTTTATTCAACAATACCATTACCCGCACACTTGAATTTATACACATTGTGGGGCCAATGATGATTATTGTATCTTGCTTACGCCGCTCTCTGGGCTTTGAGACCTTAGGGACCTGATGCCCCACATATGCGGGCAGCAGAAACAAGTGTGGCAAATGACACATTTCTTGTTTCCATTGTTAGCACCAACATGCAAGCATGTTGGAAGGGAAGAAGCACCTTGAGAGAAGAATGTAAAATACGCAAACAGATGATGTTATTGAAGAGAAAAAAACTTCGGAGCCAAGAGCGAATCCACTGCGAACTATCGTGTCAATCCAATCATGAGTTCTGCGTAGCGAGTGGGTTTGCCTTTCTAGCGGCTCCAGTCGACCCTTTTTTCATTTCATTTCTGCAGGCTTAACAAGGCATCGCAGAGAGCTTCACTTGAGATTTTGAGCTGATAGGAGCATATTCTTTAATACGCAGCAATCAGACAACCCGACCAAATGAAGTCGATATATTGTTGAGCTTTTCCCATTGTAAGTTTGAAATACGTAGTCGTAATTTCATAAATTAGCTTTTCTTCAGCTAAAAAAATGCAAAAATGGCGACAGGCTGAATCGTATGGTAAGGATAATTATTGGGACCTATTCTTAGCCACATCCGGGATCACGAGGTCTTGGCTGGGAATACGGCCATTGAATAAATGTTAAATACTTACCGATACGAGGCGCAGAGCCGCCGTCCGTATTAAAAGTTTTCAAACGAGCCAAGATACTCACTAATAAGAAGAAGAAAAAGTTGTACTCACCAGTCCCCGTTACCTATGTATTATGTAGCGAAGCTGAGACTGTGGGTATCGGTTACGCGGCTAGAGCATATCCAAAAACAATTATGCACACGGTAATGACGATCAACGGAGTAATAAACACTCAATAATGTGTACCCACAATGTGACTGCTGATAACCCTTATCGATCTGTACCCAGTACAAACAAGTGTAGGAACATGGACTGTATGTACCAAAGCGGTAAGTACCTCTACCCATGTCTCACTTCTAGTGTTTTCCACAACTCCATTGGCCAGCTATCTTCTACATTTTCTATTCGGGGTTAGCGTCACGGCAGTGAGCCAGTACGGGAGATCCAACCGAGCTAATGGAGATGTATGATTGGCTATCACACCCGCTAGTAACATGTCTCACACGGTCGCATTGTCCGGTAACAGGGGTGATAATACATAATACATGGTAAATGTTTCGTGATGCTTATGCTTTTGCTCGTCAGTCTGATTTAAAAGACATCCCAAGAAAGACGTCAAGAGCCTCAATTTGCACTGCTGCAGAATGTGCCTGTATCCTTGTGCGTCGTAAGGTTGTGTTCATAATCTCTGGTCAACTGCCCCTGTGTCTTGTACCACAACTGCATATTTTGTTTCCATATAACTATATAATTATATATAATTACATCTGCTAGCTGGCGTTCGCCTCAACATGGAAATAAGGTGACTTACTGGCACGATTTTAGCTCAACATTGAAGATTATTATCCAAGTTTTTTTAACAATATCCGATGTACAACATTTGAATAATGACAGCGTTTATTCGCAACACAGTCTGATATAAGAATGTGAGCTGATGTTGAACAGAGTGGTAATCGGTAACTTATTGAATAAATCTTGGTTGCATCGTACTGTTAAATTGTATTGTGAAATATGCTAGAATAACGCCGCCAATGGCGAGGCGCAATACCGCCACCTGTGGTCAGATTAGAGCCTTCTGTCTCACTACCGTCATGCCTCAGGCTTCTGCACCATTTCTAGCGGGGCGGCTATACACAGCTCTGGTTATGAATGCTGCGGACGCTTTCTACTGGGCAGAGTACGTATTATTTCGTGCTTCTTGACGCTTGGCGGCGGCTGGCTGTAAGATTGCCCTCTGTTACGGGTTACGTGTTACAGGTTACAGACGTACTGAACCGCACCGCCCACCCGCCAGGGAACTTCTGCGAACGGCAGCAATCAATAATACATTCGCACATCATAAACAACTTCCCTTCCTCGACTTCCACGCCCCTCTTTATCGCACCGGGCATTGCTTTCTACTGACTGACCCTGGATTGCATGCTGGGAAGCAGAACTGCGTGACGTGTTTCACCGGGTGGAGGTCTGACAGGTAAGACGGGTCCCCTTGTTTATGGTCAATGGTCGAACCTGCCCGAAATGCTTCCTCTCGCCAAGAGGATCCAATTCAAAGGCTCCTGGATAGCATCAGATTTTCGTTTACTCTTTCTGCTTCATCACTTGGCATGCGAGTCGTCCATCATATTGACTTGTCCCTGTGCAGGCCTCTTTTCTTTTTCGGTCGCCTTGAAACATTTGGCCGGCGATCGCCAATGATCAGTTCCTCTCGACCCGCCCGCAACACTCCCTCTTCCATGTCGACTCGATAATATCGGTACATATTATTTAATTCGCAATTAACACCGCCGTCACCGGGTGTAGATCTGGTTGCTCCTTCGTTTTCTTCGCCCCTTCCACCTGTCCATACCACCGTCGCCTGGTCATCAAGTTTCCACGACTCCATGACATAACCTTAACCTGAGCGATTAAAAGCAACACCCTTAAAATTCATCGTCATTGATTTGTTCTCTCTTGTCACACCCAATGGCCAGCCCCGTCGTCGATCCAGTCCACCCTCCTATCTCTCCTCCGCCGCCAGTGTACCTACGCGCGTCTCCCCCACCGTCTCCCCCGAAGTCAGATCTCCCCGAAGTTCCCAGTATCGAGCTCTCAGGGGGGCCATCCAACCTGGGAAACGTAAAGAGGAAGCCCATCCCGCATGTCCCCATGCAATTCGATAGCAATGCACATATTCACAGCTCGCCGCTGTCGTCCGTACGAATCGATGGCTCGGTCGCAATTCCGCAGGCGTCTAGTGCCGTGATTGAGGAGGGTTCGGAGATCTTCAGCAACGAATCGTCCGTTCTCGATCAATCGCTGTCCAATATGAAGATTGTCGAGCCGGTTGAGAATGTCACATCCCCCAAGTTCCCGCCGCGAGTTGATTCGGTTTCTGCAATTACCCCGATTGCAGCCGCAAATCGGCACACATCTGCCAGCACTGGATCATGGTCATTAATGGGCAATGAGAAGGATGACAGCTCTAAACACGGGTCAACAGACCGACAAGATTCGGTGTCCAAGGCTTACCATAACTCTAACTCATCTCAAGGGAGCTTAGACAGCTCTCAACAGATGGATTATCACCCTCTCCAGTACCACCACCGCCCTTTCCGCGATTCACCCACCGGCCGGCAGTCCGGAGCATCTTCTGCTGAATATCTTGCTAACCCAAATCAACTACTGCCTCCTGGGAAAGGAATCCCGCGCCCAGTTTCTGCACACTCTTCCACGTCAGATCTAAGAAGCCGGTCGCCGAATCACTCCCCTAACGTCCATGCTCGACACTCATCGGGTTACTCACCGGACATGCGGCCGATGTCGACGTTTGTTGATCTGCTAAATACATCATACCCTCAGCCGTCGCCGTCGCCAGCCGGGAAAAACAACGACCATTTACGGATGCTAGTAGGGAACAACGTATCGCTACTGAGCCATAAACAGACATTTGAAATGTACTTGGCCAACGTCAAGAAAACGAATGACCCGGCCGTTCAATATGAGTTTGCGGTTTTCATGATTAGCGCGATTCAGGAGATGTACGCACAGGAGGAAGATGACACAGTGGTGGTGGATAAAGAGAAAGGCGTTGCGCCAGATATTACACGTTCTCGCTTGCTGCTTGAAGCGAAGACAATCTTGCAACGACTTGCAGATCGTAGTTATCCGTTCGCACAGTACTACCTTGGAGACGGGTACTCGTCAGGACTTTTCAATAAGGGTAAGGTGGACTATGAACGTGCTTTGCCTCTATTCGTGGCAGCTAGCAAGCATGGACATGCAGAAGCAGCATATCGGGCGGGCCTGTGTAACGAGTTTGGCTGGGGCTGTCGGGTCGACGGACCAAAAGCTGCCAACTTCTACCGCACAGCATCCTCTAAGAACCATCCCGGAGCGATGCTGCGGCTTGCTCGAGCTTGCCTTGGCGGCGACCTAGGACTGGGGAAACGTTATCGTGAAGGATTGAAATGGCTGAAACGTGCCGCCGAAGCAGCCGACCTGCAGTACAATGCGGCCCCATACGAGCTGGGACTGTTACACGAAAAAGGGTTTGGAGAGGATATCTTCAAGGATGAGGGCTATGCTGCTCAGCTGTATACCAAGTCTGCGGACTTGGGCCATGGCGAGGCCAACTTTCGAATGGGCCATGCGTACGAATTTGGCGAACTCAACTGTCCTATTGACCCAGCATTGAGTATTCATTTCTACACGGCCGCGGCGCAGATGGAGCTACCAGAGGCGCAATTAGCATTGTGTGCTTGGTATCTCATTGGTGCGGAACCAATTTTGGAAAAGGATGAAATGGAGGCATACGAATGGGCTCGTCGGGCAGCAGAAAAAGGTATGTAACCCCATACTCTACAGTTTCTAAACTCCTATAACTAACATGACGAAAGGCCTCGCCAAAGCCCAATACACGGTGGGCTTCTTCACCGAGAGCGGCATCGGCTGCCACCGCGATCCTCTGGAGGCGAATGTCTGGTACGTCAAAGCTGCGGATCAGGGAGAAGAGCGCGCCAAACACCGGCTGGCAGCAATCCAAGCAGCAGCAGATGGCGCAAACCCAGTCTCCGCCGCAAAGCCCCGAAAGAAAAACCGCACATCATCATCGGAAGCAAATAGTATGCCTCTTTCTATCCATCCATCTTCCACTATGACAATACTAACCGATTGCTCATTAGAAGAAAAAACTAAATCCAAAATCTTCGGCATTTTCTAGTTCTATACCACTTACCGGCTGGAATATACTACGAACCAAGAGCCAGCATCATCATCCATTCCATGCATCGTCACACAGTTTGCTTCAGCATCATCGTATCGTTTACATTAATCACGGACCCCATCCACCAATACATACCATACCCCTCTACCTTCAGCTTTCAGCTTCTACATCGAATCACTTCTCTTTTCTCCATAGATCTCTCATGCACCCATGACGAATATCGTAAAATACCACCTCCCATCCTTGACGCATACACACATCTCTCAATCCCCCTCTGGAGCCCTCGACGCAAGCAACCAAGACCATTTGAATACCATGGTTATAATTAATTCATTTTATCACCATTCCCATTCCCATTTCCGTTTCCGTTTCTCGATTCGATGCATGAGGGAGTTTTCATCTTTGTCTGGATCGTTAAAATAATTTTGATCGTTTGCTGCTGATGTTTTGGCGTTGGGGGTTGGTTTCGGAAGATCATGTATTTACTGTTGATATGGAAACGAAGTACAGTTTACAACATTGAACTTGATCCCGATGGCAAATAGATGATATTATAGTTCATCAGTAATGGTATGTATCTATTGGATATAACGACCGATATTATAAGGATGAGAAGTGTATTAATATAGTATATATTCCGATTCAATGTGTACACAAACAGACAAAAACATTTGAAACCGGGATGAACATTTAACCAAAAGGAGGGCCAATAGCAGATAGCAAAATATCAAACAGCAACTGATCTAGTCATCACAGCCGCACCAGGAAATAATATAATAAGTACAGGGAATCGGTAGACGACTTTTATAGCTCTCTAGTCTAAAATTCTAGAGGCTTTCCGGACACTGTCTACAGAAGAATCATACCGGCACCGGTGAACGCGGCAACGGCGACGTAGGCAGCCAGCTGCCAGGCTCCGACTACCATAGCGCTAGGGCTGTGCATGGGCATAGCGAGACCACTGGAGGTCGCGGCGCCGGAGCCACCGCCACTGCCGCCAGTACCACTGGGAGCGGAGGTCACGGTGCCAGTGCCGCTGGCAGCCTCATTCAGCAAAGAAGAGCAGGTGCCAGAAGGGCTGGAAGAGGTAGTGGAGGTGGCGGCACCGCCAAAGTCGCAGGCACTCGACTTGTTCTCGTCACTCTGGTCGTTGTAGTAGTCGTTGACGGCGAACGAGAGTTTTTGGATTTCGCTGCACATGCTGTATGCGCCGTAAACGCCCGAGGTTGAGTTGTGGTTAACACCTGCAAGCACATCCTTGTTCTTGTATCCACCTAGTTGGCTGTACAGCTGAGCAAAGGACTTGGACGAGAAGGAGGACTTGACGGCGCAGGACAATGTGCTCATCATGCAGTTACAGAGGTCCTCGTTGGGGGTGGGTGGCAGATTGGAGGATGCAGCCCAGACGGCGTCAACGGTCGGGCAGGCGGCAGCAGAGTTGGAAGGGCTGTATTTCGAGCTGGGGGTAGGACTGGGTGAGACAGTGGCGATTTCGGTCTGGAAGTTCTTGAAGTCGGGAAGCTTGCTGACACTGTTTCCATCCAAAGTGACCAGACCTGGTTATATTAGCTAGTCATTTGATTATATACAGGGAAAAGGAACATACCTAATTTGTTGGTCTGCTCGAAATACTCAAAGACAACACCACCGTTCAAGACGCCAGTCATCTGGTCACCGTACATGGTAGGGATGTTCTTGAAGGTACGACCGTTGGCTGGAGACAGACAACCGTATTCAGCAAAGAAGTAAGGGACGGAATACGAAGAGAAGTTCTTGACGATCTGGTCATAGCCGGACGATGTGTAAGTAGAAGGATCACACCATTCGTAGACGTTGTCACCGAAGAAGTCAATCGAGTCGGATTCGTCTCCGCAGTTCAAGTAGTCGGCCAGCTGAACACGAATGGAGGAGACGTCAGCAGCAGCATAGCCAACACCAATGGATCGGTAGTTCTTCTGCTTGATATAGGCCTTGGCATCACGCACAACTGCCTTGACGTACGAGGCAGCCGCAGTGGTGTTGGCGGAGTTGATGACCTCGTTACCAGCGAAGAATCCGAGCAAGTTGGAGTATTTGTTCATATTGTCAATGACGGCGGTGTAGCGGCTGTACAGGTCGGTGTTCCAGAGCGGGTCATTTTGGTTGATGGACCCATTGTTAGGAGCAGACAAATCGACGAGCACATAGATGTCGGCATCGGCGAAGGCATTCATGCAGTCATCATGGTTCTGTGTTGGGTCGACTGAGTAGACACGGATGGTGTTTGTGTTCAGGGACTGCAAGTAGGGAATGTCTCGCTGGCACGACGAGAGGGTGGCCAGGGGATCGATGTAGCCGTTTGTGTTGGTAGAGGGAGAGGGCTCCTGGTAGGCAACACCGCGCAGGAAGAACTGCGTGCCGTTGTTGCTGTAGAAGAACTTGGAACCCTTGATATCGATGGTTGGGAGGTTGGCGGCGACCGCGCTGCCGGCTAGCAGGGCAGCGCCCGTGATGGTTGAGAAGAACATGTCAATAATAAAGTGATCAAAGCTGAACGATAGTAGACGAATTGATATTGAATAGTTAGTATGTAATGTAATAGTTGGTGAAAGAGTGGATGTCTAGACAGACAAGGGAAGTGATGAAGGAGAAGATGGGGCAAAGAAAGGCAGCAGGATGGGAGACATGTTCATAAAAGCGAAAGGGTGGCCAGACATTAAGAGTTCTAGAAGGGCAACCTCGGGCCTGCTCCCTCCCTGCTTTCCCTGTTGGGTGCGGCAAGGATGTGTGGGCAGCCCCAGTCACAACGAGGCTGTGTTGTTGCATATGCGGACGCTGCGGCACTGACTGGCAGGCTTGCAGGTGGGACTGCATGGAACCCGCCTGACTGGCCCCGGCGCAGTGGGGCCTGCAGGAACCAGGACACGGGAAATAAGAGATTCACATTCATTTTAGTATTCACGCAACAAAGATACATATACCTGACCAGGAATCTGGATTGATACCGAGCTTTAGGACGGTTACATACCTGTAGAACATATGCCAACTATAATCATTGCGCATCCACAACAGAGTGTAGTGCGAACTGCGACATGTAGTTGTGGACACCATGAGACATGATGACAGATGACTTGTTGCATCTGATACCGCCGATGTAGGGACAGTCGTCGACCCACACAGCCGCCATTGGCCGTTCCCCCTCCAATGGCTGCAGTTAAGCAATGGCTAGCCGCAATAGTTCTCGTCTGGCGCTGTCTCAAACTGTTGTGCGTCGGAACTGGCAGCTTTTCCGGCCTCCCACTGGGTGACTCCTGGAAGCGGCCCACTGAGGCGTCCCCACACTGGGTCTTTCCTTAGCGGGTCAGTGGGTTCCTTGCCTTGGACGGCCGCCGATCGCTATTCGCCCCCGTGTTTGATCGTCCGGTGGGCTGCCGGACCCTGTCCAGCTGCCTCCACCATTGGCTGCGGCGGCCTGCCTTTTCGCACGGTCGGAACCAATGACATCAGCCTATTGATCTGCTTTCCTAACATCCACAGATTTACTCCCCTACGGCTTATCCTGCAACCATTCCGCTACCAAAATAAAGATGGCGTCTGACTAGGTCGGCTTCCAATAGACGTTAGTGCATATCGAGGCGTGATCTGCAATTACGCGTTCTTAGTGGGGGTTTCCTTTCACTATTGTAGGAACTACCTTCTTGCGTCTGCGGTCGGCCAAATAGAAGACTCGTCCCAACTCAGTCCTCAAAGCTTGTCATCGAAAATTTAAAACACTCACAGTCCCTTCATCGACAAGATTTACTCGTAAATCATTGCTTTACCCTGTTGGGATATGGAGCAAATGTGAAAAATCGAAACTGCTCCCTACAAGTATCTCGGAGCACAGTTTTACGTGTAAGAGGCCAAACCTCGGTGTTTTTAATGCCCGTACCGAGTCAATTCGGATATCAATTGATGTCAACCAGTCAATCAGTACGAGTTTGTTTAACATACTGATATTGCTTTCTTTATTTCATTCAAAACGCATTTAGAGTCTCAGGCCCTTACCCAAATATTTATGTACATATTAGACATTATCTCGGGCAATATTTCTCTACGGTGGACACAGGCCAGGTAACAGGAGCATGGCTGAGAAAAGCATCTTCTATTCTTGAATACAGACGACACCAGTTGCCATTTTTCACCAGGTTTATCATGGAAAATAATTCATCCTACTAGGGAAGAGATAAGAACTAATTGTGTACGTCCGTTTTGTGCATAAATCTTATCATTTTACAATTTCACCACTAATCAAAAGCTATCCGCATTGTTCTTCTTATTAACAGACTTGCTTGGCTTGTCAAACTTGTAATCACTCTTGTTACTTGATGTGTGCCATTTGTCATCCTCTCTTGACCGAAAGACCTGTTTTCCTTTCGTGCTTTGACTGTGCGCAAATGGTGGCGGTCAGCTGACTACTGCCTGAGCGTTCAGGCAGCACCCTGAACCGCTAGAATCTCACATGGTTGTGTTCTCACAATATTCTTTGTTTTCATATGCTTCATAGCGCTTATTTTTGAGGCATTGATAGCTGGAGAATTTATTATGGACGCTTATGAGAGTGTTGAATTGTGTTCTATCAAGTGCCTCTCTAACTAACTACTCAGATAAGTCCGAATGTCTAGTCTAGTGCTCGCCCGCATGGGTGAGATAAATTAAAAATTCCTTCGATCCACAATCCCTAAACAAATGAGATTCCTGTAAGTTGATCCATAACTCCTGTTTCCCATGACCATTCGAACCCCAATCCTATCGGATATTTGGTCCCTTCAAATAGACTTTGAAGGAGCATCTCATTAATCTTTGTATCGATTCATTCTTTCTAATAATCCTTTCTTCAAGGCTTCTGATAGAAGAGGAGGAATATGTATCGAGTGGATGGAAGGATTCGAATGCAAGGTGAGATGTATTTCAGAAATCCCATGAATTAAGCAGATATGTTAGGAGGTTAATCACTAGACGTATTTTCAAGCTGAAGTTTTTAAGATATTTCTCGAAATCAAAATCGAGGTTGGAACATGCAGGACGATCTTGGATTTGTTCATCACTCATCAAGTTCTCTCTCAGTTTGGCGGGTGCCAAGAATTCCTGCACCATATACAGCACAATGTGTTTGGTCATGTCCGGTAATTATAGTGAGCAGATTTTGTAGAAACATGAGGATAGAAAGCCGCATGTAAGCCTCAACATGATGGTATTTGGGACGAAGGTTCCCTCGTCAATATAAATGCTCTTCTGCTTTTCAAATAAATCCAGCCTGTTTTGGTAATTGTCGAAGATAATCCATCTTTATGCTTAAGTGTACATAAGTCAACATTTGAATGGTAAATAACCTTGTTTGTGTGGACGCCTGCTATGTCTACCAGCAGCTCAACAATAGGCAAGCTTTTGACTTCTATTGCGGCTGAGGAGCGTACATTCCGTAGTCAATTGCCGCGCGACCGATCCTTATGAAACAGAAAATGCCTTTTTCCGGCCGTAGCTCGCACTGGAATTGCATGTATATCAAGGTCACTCGTTCATATAAGATAGTGTTCAGGTTTGTCCTAGTAAGATGACCAATTCACAATCCTGGAAATCTCAGGTAACATTGGGAGTTATTGAGAGAGAAATGGAGTGGAGAAGCCACAGGAAATAAGGTGCTGGAACAGTGAAGGTTTCAAATATTGGCCATTTTCGTACAATTCTCCCATTCGCTGCACTCGGCTGAGTTTATAAAGGAGCTCTTGAAGCGGGGTTGGTTTCAAGTTGAAAGATCCTTTTCGAAATATTTGCTGGATGATAACAAAGACTTTCCATCTAGAATGATTACCTTCAGAATGGTCACTTGGAGAAGGAGTTGGTTATGGTTGATATGCGTCGGCGTCAGGACAGCCTGGGCGCTCATCCTCATCTACCCAGGCGTTGAGGACTTCGTCTTGTAGTCGGTTCAGGCTATCCATTCGCACTAGGAGATTCACTCGATCTGTATAGCGGAGCTGAGCACGGACTCGATTGATAGATGCGGTCTGGCATCCAAAGGAGCAGCCGTTGAAGAGATTTATGTCGGGGTGTGGGCAGTGCCGTAAGGATTTACATACAACCAGTAGAGGTGGATTTCCACATGTTTTGCGGCGCTATCATCCAGGTTGGATAGCCATGGAGGGGTTGGAACGGTTTTATTGGTGCCATCGCCCAGCTGAAACCACGTGGTGACTTATTATCTCACAGTTGGCAAGAGCCATCGGAGGCACCAGGGCACTCAAGATCGAGTTTTTATTTTTAAACTTCACCACAGGACCGCCATTTTGTTTGGGTCTGTGTGTCTCCATGCTGTCCTTTCCATAATTGATTGGATCACTGCTTCAATTTCCTAGAGAAGCACGAGCGACAAGTGATCAGTCAGCATTCGATCTCCTGCTCCCTCGAGCCTCTTATAACACTAGTCGCGGGATAGAGCGTCCCGGTTGTACTGCACTCGTTCACAGAGGGGCATAGTGCAGACAATCTCCCGTCTGATCGTGACGGGAATGCATTGGACAATCTGCTTACTGGCGGGATCGTTGGTTTCGAGAGAGATCTGGGACGAGATCGAGCGCTTGGTCGCACAGAGTTGGAGAATTGGATGTAGTATGAGTCCGATGGACTCGGGTTACTAATAGATGTCTGGGCTTGGTGTGGTCTCTAACTCTTCATCAAACTAGTCTTCGGGAATGGCTTCCAGGAGGGTGTTGAAGTAGTTGAGATATTTTTGCCGGAATATATTGATGATCAAGGGTCCATCAATATCTATTCATTAGATGATGTTGTCCAGATATCTGATCCACATCTCTACCTTAAGCATCTTTCACTTCTCAGAGAGTGCCACCACAGGTATATCTTTGTTCCTCAAGGACGAACTAGGCCTGGATGGAATAATCTGTTAATAATACTTAAGACCCGCCTTTTTGGTTTCTACCACGTTCTCATCCTTATACGCGAGCCACTCATAAGATGACAGTTAATATGTCTTATTGAACGGCTTCTCATCACTATCATTATCTTCTTTAAGATGATGATCGCTGGCCATTTTGCTAGCACCATGGAAGGAGGCCTGGGATTTTGATTAAACCGACGACTCTTTCAGTTTCTAGAATAGGGATTAGCATAATCTATACGTACGATAGGACAGATGATGAAGGACGAAGAGGAGTGATAAAAGGTGCTTAAATGATAGAGAGATCTTATGCTGACATACTGAGGATATTTTGACCACACCAGACTCTTGAGAAGAGCATTGTAAAGAGCCTCTATGCGCGCCAGGTCGGGACTGTCGACGCTCATTTTCTTCATCAGGGTGCGGTACCGGGTCGGGGGCCGTGTCGCAGCGAGCCAGGAGAGCGTCCCGTGTTCATGAAACCAACAGCCGCAGTGGATGGGAAATTGGCAATGACCACGTCCGCCTTGCATCCTAGATGGTATCGACTTGAGCGACCCAATATTTCCTCGGTCCTAATGCCTTAGTGGTATGAGCACGGATAACTAGATCGGCGGTTTCGGTGTTTGTATCAGTATTGTTGTTGGCGGCTGTAATGAACTTGACCCGTAGTCTGGCGCCTGTCAATGGTGAGTGCTGTTTAATGAATGGAAATTCAACATAGAAGTAAGTATGGCCTTTTCAGTCTCTGCAGGCTCCTGAATCAGCGTAATTTGTGGAGTGTTTTTTACAGCGTTCACGGCAGCTGTCGTTCCGTATTGAGATCCAGCTGATTTCAAAGTGTGGCACGGTCCCAATTGGCCGGGAGGAAATTAAATAGATTGATCTATTTAATGTGGTCGTATGAATGCCCGAGGAGGATAGGTTGGAGTCGACTGGGAGGCTGACCTAAATTCTGTGGGTTGCGACCCTGCATGATTGCAAGGCCGCCACCCACTGGCCTGAGTTTCACGCTTTGGTGCTTTGCTTTGCACCAAGAAAAATAGATATGACCGATTGTGGTGCTCTGAAAAACGTGAAAATTGGCGAAGCAGATGATGATTTTGATATCAACCTGCACGATGTACCCATCTCGGATTGAGAAATGAAACTGCGAAATAGCATTCCAGATGCCACTAACTACACTCTCTGGATCTGGCTTTCTCATTTTTCTTACCTCACCCCCTTGATTGCTGACACGGTGTAATAATGTTAAATCGTTAGCGAAGGTGATCACATTGGTAGATAAGTCCATACATTTTAGAAGCATGGTGGAACATCTTGTCGGAGCGAGCTTCCATAAGAGCTAGTCATATTCATTTATATTAAGCTGTGTGGCCTCAATCTTCTGCTATTCGTAGGTTGAGTAGGTCTGCAGCTAAGTTGTTTTAGGTAATGCTCTTGATACTGAGGTCGACATTACGCTTCTTCAGCCAACTACCGAGGCAGTCGCGTAGATGATCAAAGATATGATTGCTTTTCGTCATGCCATGACCCAGTGATTGCAAACGTGCAAGGGCATTGGACTTGTATTGGCATGTTGACGCTGCGGAGTATGTTAGTAACGATATAGCAAGCTGGATGCCTTCAACTCGTCCTCCCCGTATACGTCAGTCGCAGTCGCCTTCTCATTTCGTACCATGTAATGGATGTCTTGGATCGTCTGATACAGTGTGACCTTTTCCGCTGTTGCTTCAGTCAAGGTCTTGTTCTTTCGCTGAGCCAGTTTGGAGATGAAGCTCACTCTAATCTGTACGACCTACAGGAAATTATGAAGTCAAAAGATGAACACAGAGTCTCGATGACCGCCTGCTATGCCGATATATCGCACGGCAAGGGTAATATGTAATGTGGCGCAGCTTTCAAGCTTCTATTTGGACTAGATGTGTTAGTAGGATTCTGGAAGTGAAGAGGTTGAGGATGAAACTTACTGCAATCTCTTGAAAAGTCTCCCGAAACTCTAGAGAGAGACTGTTCGGCGTGGTCTTTAGTTCGGTCGTAGACGTCAGCGATTTACTGACCGACATCATCGATTGTATTTCGAATTCTGATTTGGATAGCGTCTCCATCCAGTGCTTTAAGTCCGCAAAAAGAGTATCCTTTAGAACACAGTTGACTGGAACTCCACATACATCTTGCCCTCAGCGTACATTCCTCACCACAGGAGGCTGTCGCCCAGCCCTGGTAACCAGGATTGCCTCGCGGAGCTGAGTTCTTCTGGCCAACTCGCCCGGTGTTGCCAAGTAACCGTAATCGACCGATCGCAAAATTGGTTCACGTATCCATGAGCGTTCGCGCCCGCTGAGCCCCTGTTGACCGATCCAAGGCGGTAGACCTGGAACCACCACTCCATTGCCTCTTGCCCCGGTATTGTAGTAGGTGTCGTTGGGCTGCTCGACAAATGGTCCCTGAGCCCAGTCCGCTACGGAGATGGGGGTTGGGGGTTGGCGATCCCATTCATTGCGAGGAGTGCCCCGATCTGGAATTGGGCTGATAAAAGAGTTCAACTGTAGCCAATGTTAGAGAGCTCGACCCTGTTCCTGAAGACATCATGGAATGGAATTGCTCCTAAAGTGAAGGAAAGGCTTTGTTTTGGTAGAAGTCGTCGGCGTCTTTGCCTTGGAATCGTTGACCAGGAAACTGAGAGAAAATAGAATTGACGGTTACTGATATCTGTTCAAACACTGAGGTTGTTAAGTCGACATCGTGGTGTTTATATTGCTTGTAAACTCCTTGCATAAAACTCCATATCGCCTTTCAAAGTCCTGTGTCTTGCAACTGCTGATCTTATAGAATACTCTCAGTAATATCCTTATCGTTTTGGCCTAATGCCTTTAGATCCTGTAACTTTCGCTTTCCCCATCCCTTCCAGATACTAATGTTCTTTTTGGCATTGGCGTACTCTGTCCGCAAAGAGGGATTTGCAATCCTCCACACCAATTCCATTTCACCCTCAAAGGCCTGGATTCCACGGATTTGATACTTCTTATCCGTAATATTGCGATTGATCATTACATGTTGAGTATTGTTCTGTTTCAAGTCCGTCCAAGGCTGGAGGGATGCGGTCCTTTAGCTCTTGATTGCTCTATGGTTTTTCTGAGAAAAACGAAGCATCCCAGCTCCCACGATCATTTTGTTGCTCCCGACTTAGTTCTAGGTCATCCGCTTCGAGATTTGTCGGCTTGGGTATTGGTTGGAGTTGTGGTGAGGTGGCTGATGATTTGGCACTCTTAACGTACTCGAGCGGCAATTGGGATATGCCATAGCCAGAGCTTCTCTGGGTAACGAGTATTTGGAAGAAATATAATATTGTTGCAACTCTGTTTTGCGTTTTCTCACCTGGTGCTTTTTAGTAGCGTCAGATTCAAACGCGCCCATTATAGGTGAATGATAAGTTTCTCGCCTATGTTGGAAGGGACGAGAAAATATACCGCTCTTAGATCGAAATCCATTCTTCCATCCTCGTCCTCCATTGTCGCATCAATTCGTCGTGAGCCTGTTTCTCGTACCAGAGTCTTCACATCTGCTCCCGCAAATCCTAGTCTCGAAAACGAACGGCGGTTGTTAAGACACGAGAAAGCCGCAAGAGGTTTGTGATCAGTATAAAAAGCTTCGGAGCGTTCAATTTGGAGCAATTAATGCTTCTTGGATTCCTTGGAGGATTTTCGTGCTTGTATACAGCTCCAGGTTATTCGTTTATGTAATCACATCTCTCAGCAACAGTGGCAAAAACTGGGGAAGCAGCCATGCCAGGCTAAGAAGGAGAATCTCTGCGTAAGCGACGAGAAGGGATTGGTTGAACAAGCTAATCGCCATTTGCGCCTGCAAGCGTAATTTCAATAATACAGGTAGGCGTTAAGGAAGGCCGAATATGAGTTTTGTTAAAGATATTTTAACACCAACGTAGCTGCTTTGTGACAAGCTAGACAAAAGGAGTCAACTGTCGACCACATTAGAGACCTTAAACACTGTCTTAATGGGATGACTTACCGCTATGCCAGACGGCCTTCTGCAAATATTGATTATCAGCTTTGTTGTAGTGTGGATATGTCCTAGGCTGGACGGAATGTACAAGGGCATCTCCGGGGGTAGAGGGATCTCGAATCTAGCCTCTGCCGTAATGAACGGGCGGCAGTCCTTGTCTAAAAAGAAGAAAGATTGACTGTCCGTCTCTTGACACGGTTCGATCTGTTGCAGGGATGAACCCTGTAAGGGGAGACAGCATAGGAGGAGTAACGAGAGGGGTTATAGGTGAAGTTACAACCTGGTCTCAACGTCAACATGAAGACTTCTAGGAGAATATCATATACGCACAGTTTCGCGGCCACATCCACGTCCTGCAGGAAGGATCGTGTTTGAGAAAAACATTATAAAGCCCAACGTACCAGCAATCATATTGCAGGGTCAGAGGTCCAATCTCCAACATATTAATATAACACGAGAAAGATCATGACTGGAATTAATATACTTCTTTACTGCTCGATACCAGCAATTTTTGTTGGTAGAAGAAAGAAGAAATGGGAAAGACCAACTCAATATATCGTCATTAGATGATCTCGTTGACCACTTGACACCTGAATGTGATCAGCATTGCATCACTCAGCAGGCTTATATAGAAAATCAGGAGATGTCTTTATGTTTTCATGTGTGTTTCTTTTGTCGGTCTCGTAGGTAACCTCGCAGCTGGTCGAAACACTTCTGTCAGACAACGTCCTTTCGTATTCCTGCCTCTTCCACTGGGTAATCAAGAAAAGGGATTGGACCCATGAGTTTATCCGCCTCAAGTCTCGAGTTTGAGACAATTGATCCAAGATTTTTAGTCACATCTTCACAGCTTGAGATTGAGGTGTTGGAAATAATATCTCCCTTTGTCCAGCAAACCATTCAGTAATGGTTTGAGTAAATCGGAAGCAATTTCCAGTTGGGTGGCCAAATCTCCCATCCATCCTAGATGGTCTATCAAGGCAAAACTTGCTTAGCATCATACGTTACACCACGGATATCATCACCAACTTTGCCCAGCCAGTTGTGATACACAGTAGGAGAAACCTTGAACATGGCGGGTTTTCATGAGACACAAACAGTCAGGTGGTTGATCGCTTCTCCCGCAACAATATCTATAAATAGTTCAGTGTAAAGACGTAATCTGTTGGAAATGGTTTGTTTCACGAATCCGAGAATTTCTAGGAGTTCGCAGCGCAGAGTTTGATAGTTCCCACGACTACCTGTTCGCGCTGTGGAGGTGCCATCGCGATGTATTCCTCACCTAGAACGACATGATATAGCTAGCGAAGACTCCAGATTGATCAAAGATGGCAGTATCCAGTCCATGCTGATAATTCATCGCCGTTCATGCAGGATTTTCAACATTCTAACAAACTCCAAGGCATCGACAGAGTCCCGAGTGTCGGTGGGGTTCAGGAGGTGCCAGACAGCTTGAATCAACCCCACACGCAGGACATCGTTGGCTTTGGGGTGACCCATCATCTTAGCGCTAACATTGACTGTGCATTTCTGGTATCCGTCAATGTTGAGGGGTAGGTCGATTAGATCACTCTAGGTAACTTTGTCGACATAATTATATAATGGTTGTCTCTTGACATGATACTTTCTTTACCGAGGACCTAATATGACATTAGTGATTCAAGGTAATACAACAACAGGAGACATATAGTTACCGGTCGCGGTAGCTTGATAGTCAGTTAATGCGCCCATAAAACGGCTGATCCGAAAATCGATGAGTCTTCAGCCTTTTTCTGAGTCGGTGATGTCAAATACATCCTGGTCCTGAGTGTCGACGGCTGGCCCATTATAGTCATGTGGTAGCGGTCAAAATAAGCTCCCCAACCGTCCTGACTGATCCCTATGGTTCCGATGGGTACCTCGACCAGAAAGGCCGGGTACTCATCGTCTCCTATTGCGGTCATGGTGGTGATATGCCGGCGTAGCTGGGGTTGGAAGGGGCGGCCTGGAAAAGAGGGGTGAAGTGGATATGAATTCCATAGAGTATGCGCACAATACACTGTGCTTGGAAGGGGGCGACCTGGAAAATAGGTCCAGGATAAGAGAGAGGGCGTCAGGATGATCGTGACTATCTGCAGAAGGACACAGAGTAGACAAGCTGTGACTCTCAGAAATATGTTAATATGCGGTATATAGTAAAACTGACGGGCACTAGCCATGTCGTTGTTATGAAAGTTCGGAACCCTAGATATAGCGCTGTTTTGGCTGCTCTTCTCTGCGTCAGAGCAACGACCACTACTCGATTCCTCACAAGTCTCCGGTGGGTTAGGGTTACCGCGACGTCGCACATTTTCTGAATCTCCGCATACCTCACTGTCTATATCACGCTGTGGCTAACTGGAAGTGTAAGGCGACCCTGTTTGGGAAACGTTAGGTAGAACTCTCTTACTCAGTTGCCTATAAGTACCGATATAAGACCATTGGATAGACCAATCTTTGCTAGTCGCAAAGTGTTCTTATGAGTCTAAATCCTCTAGATGATGCTTTCCATCTCCCTTCTCAGAAGTATCCACAAATCGGAAAAGGCCTGATAAGGTCTTAGATGTCGGTGTAACCCGTCAATCTCCACGGGGATATCGGGGTCGCGCGCCCTATTATCGTCGGACAGTTTGTAGAAGGCGCAATAAATGCTAAACATCTCCTCATCCATCTGATTAAACCGTTTTGCATCCTGCTTTGTTGCCATACTAAAAAAGAATCGCAAGGATAAAGCTCTGTTCCCGTCATTGCAGTGTTGTTGATGGCTACCTTGAAAGCCGAGACGTTGAGGTTGTAGGGCACCCTGAGCTACCTCCATCAAAGTAGCGTAATACTTGTCTTGATCTAACAGCTGTGTCTGGATGTTCCTAATAGTTTCCTCCATGGTGTGTTCGTATTAGGGGATCCGAGCAGTCTGCTCGAATTAACAAAAAAGGGGCTACAATACTGGAGTTAACAAGACTGGGAAATATGAAAATCCTAGGAGAATCCACAACAAGAGAAACAGAGCCGAGGTTGAGAAAGCTAATAAGGTAGAAAATATAATACAATGACAGGTGATGGGTGAAAATTCAGAGAGTGAGAGTGATGGCTATCCTTATCATGCCATTTGCATAGCGCAGCAACAACCTTCCCCCCCCAGTGGTCCGAGAGACGGACGCATGGTTGCCTGTAGGTCCTTGACATGAAGCACTAGCTAAATCAACCTGTCCGCGGATTTGGATCAGAATTTCGTTGATATCGGATGGTCAGCGCATATGTAGCGAATCAAGTGACTGTTCAACGCTCTCAAAAGGCGCGCTTGAGGTGGACAATTGAGTAAGGGGAGATCATCTCGGCCGACGCTAATTTCCTTTTGGCTCCACGACTAAGGCAATAATCTCTGCATCCTTTCATTATTGGATCCTTAAACTTGAACGGAGAATTGGGTACTCCATATCGACTAGATGCATGACCATGGGAGAGGTCGACATACTTTCTATCGCCGGGCGATTTCCTTTTGCTCAAGAGTGATAAGCTTTAGGGGTCTTCGGATTCTTTCCCCCCTTTAGTGCTGAGAGCGAGGCGTTTATTAAAACGTATCCGACGGCTGTCTGACGCATCCTTTTGGATGAGTTTGAAGATATTGGAGAAGATGGTGAATCTTCATGATTCGCCGAAGAATCGAGCACGAACAGACAGAGACTTCTGGTAGTCTGATTCATCGCAGTAGATGCAGCAAAGTGCGCCAGCAATGAAACGACTGGTCTCCCAATCCTTTGCTTGGGACTGGGGTCAAGAAGAAGCTCCTTGGCCATAATAAGAAAACATCACCGCATTTCGGAGGGTGTTTCCGATTGCGGATTACTTGGATACAGAGAACCCATGGACGAATGAATAAGGGCATGCCTCCATCCCACCTAAAGGAGATATACAACGACTAACCATTGAAATAAAAAGAAAGTGTACAACAACAAAAACTCCATGTCTATGAAGAAGAAGAAGAAGAGGAGGAGGAGGAGGAGGAGGAGAAGGAGAAAAGATTCAAGACAAGAGCCAACCCTTTTATCCACAATTCCTCACGCTCCCTCCACCAAACAAACCGCAGGGAAGGCAAGTCTTTGTCCCACCTACCACACCAATCTCATGACCATAGAATTCCCTTCATATCGTTTGCGGTGTACCCATGTCTCCACTCAGTTGAAATTGAAATGGCGGCGATGATAGCATCGGTGATCCAAAAGGAGGCCGGTCAGAAGAACAAAAAGAAAACAACAAGTCGATGTCGTTAACCGCGTGCAGGATTCTGGGTATGTAATGTATGGCGTATGTGGGGAGTTACAGCGGGGATGGACATGAATATTATCACCGGCGGTTCAATGTTGTTAGGTGTTTGATGTTACATGTCAATTGAGACATTTGTGAGCGGGGTTTGGGAGGTGATAGGTCGAGTATACTACTCTTAAGAATTGATGTAATTGGATGAAACGGCTCGGTCGTGTTTGCTACAATTACTCACTCTGGCATATCGAATCAGGCAAATATGTGGATCGAGGTACTTGATGTATTATTAAAAATATTAGCATACATAGGTACAATGTAGAGTCACTACACGCACTGTAATGTTCGATTTTACTAGCTAGCTTAGTTACAAAGGATATGGGACGGCGATAAATTACGGTTGTGTTGATCGCCAACTAAATCCATACGATACAAGGCATAGGCTATGATTTAGAAGTCAAAACATCAACGTTAATAGAAAGTTAATAGTTACAGAACATTGAAACCGACAATCGTAACACGAACCAACTCGCCCTACATAGACTTTATATTCGAAACAAGGTCGGGTAAGCACCCCAAAGTATTAAAGACAAGGAATTGAAGAAGCTGGACGAGTTGCATGAATAAAAATAAACCAAGGTATTCTCAACGCCGCCTGGATATCATTCCCACGCTTTGTGTCGACGCGTACAAAGAATGGGGTTGCGGGTTTCACTTTTGTGTTTCTACAAGACCGCGCGCTTACAGCAGAGACTCTAAGAAGCTGGTAAGACCCCAGAATTGCTCGACGCCGAGGGTACCAGGGGACTTCCACTTGTCGCTCGAGAAAGAGAACTGGGCGGTGTAGGTACCGCATTCCTTGCGGATGGAGTCCATGGCTTGGGATTGCTCGATGACACCAGGAATGGCAGCACCATTGGTGTCACCAGCATGTGGCCAACCAGACTCACCGACGAAGACGACGTCACCCTTGCCAGAGCAAATCTTCTTCAGGAGATCAACTTCCTGGGCAACAAAAGAACCGGCGTTGGCAGCAGTGATGCCACCGTTGAAGAAGGCCTGGACGTTAGCGGAGACAAAGTCGACAGCACCGCAAAGAGTAGCACCACTCTCTTGCCACACGTTGAGGGGCTCGGAGATGGTAAACTGGCCAGAGTAACCAGCAGACTTGATAGTCTGGCTGGCGGAGGAGACAAAGCCAGCGAGCTCGGAAGCGGTGGTGTATCCGTCCAAGAGGGCTTCGTTGTCGAGGACAATGAATTCAACGCCCTTCCAGCCCGAAGACTTACCCCAGTTGACAATATCAGAAACCTGCTCGTTACCGGAGCTGACACCAGCATTGCTGATGAAGACTCCTAGGATAACATTGAGACCCATCTCAATAGCCTGGGTGGCGACAGTCTCGAGCTGGTTGCAGTCAGTGGAGTACATGCGGATAGCATGGAAACCGGCAGCCTTGATGGTTGCGAGTTGAACCTTGACCTCACCAGAGGTCAAGCAAGCACCGGTGTCACCAGAGTAACCAGTGTAGGTGATAGCGTAGTTCTCGACCTGTCCAAGAGAAGAACCACCGGTGGATCCAGAGGTGATGGTGCTAGAGGGAGCAGGGGCAGAGCTGGGGACGGAGCTGGCGACGGAGGTGGGTGCGGCAGCAGCAACAGCGGTGGTAGTTGGTTGAGCAGGTGCAGGTGCAGGCGCAACAGTGCTGGAGCTCAAGCCAGTGGCAGCGGGGCAGGTGTAGGTGAACGAGTGTTCGGTCACAGTGACGGTCTGTTCAGGGGCGGTGTAGGTACCAGAGGTGATGGCGGCGGGAGTGGGCCAGACCAGGACAGTGCTCGTGGGAACATAAGTGGTGGTAGGAGCAATGGTGTAGGTACCGGCGCTTGGGCACCAGTAAGTGGTGGTCTCGATCACGCTGGTGACAGTAGAGCCGGAGGGCTTGACGGTGGCGTATGGGCAGGTCACAGTGGTGGAATGCTCAACGATAGTGGTGACACCACCGACGGTGTGAGTACCACTGGGGACGGTGGCCGAGGTAGCACCACAGACATAAGTGTCCGAGGTCACGGTAATGGTGGTGGCCGGAAGCGTGTAGGTACCAGGGGTAGGGAAAACGGTGATGGAGCTAGTGGGCAGCGGCGGGGTGTAGGTCGAGGCCGGGACCGATGGTACCGGGATGGAGGATGAAGCCTGGACAGTCACGGTTGCGTAGCTGGTGGACTTGAGGGTTGTGGTGGTGGTCGAGGTGGTGGTTGGCGCCGCAGAGAATGGGATCACTGGATCGTCAGTATTTCAATTCTTCTGTGCTAAGTTCTCCATCCTAATACTCACCGGTTGGGGAACCCCAGTAGGTGACGACACTGGTGGTGCAACCGCATGTGGCGGGAGTCTCGAGTCCACGGTGGTGGAGAGCAGCATGACCGTGAGCGTGTCCACGGCGGAGTTCGTTGGCCATGACAGACCCGGCGAGGGCTGCCGCGGCGGTAAAGAAAGCGGCCTTCATTTTGATATATTGCTCGAGAGGAAGGACGCGATATACGAGAGATGGCCTCGAGAGGCAGCGTTAGAAAAATTCCTGACGGAAAGGAATGCCCGCTAAACGAGTGAAGCGGTGGTCAAAGGAGGACTGTGATGATGATAGATGAAGAGGAGAGAAAGAACAAGGAAGGAGAAGAAACAGCAGCAAGTGAGGGAAATAAGAGTAGCAGCCAGCGTGGGACTGGGGAGGCGCCGGCAGGGCTCAGGGGGGCAGCGGCCAGTCACTGCCCGTTATGGGAGCCTAGCCGGCGCATCCAATTTCGCAGCGGCTGCGGATTCGCTGCAGGCCTTGTTAGGCGCTGGACGGCGCCTGCTAGGCCTGCCTAAAGGCTGTTAGTGTGCGCTGGTCGAGTCTACTGCCCGCTGCGGCGGGGGCGGTGGAGCAAGTGAGGCTCCTGACTGGCTGGGGCTGCCCGCCCCAGCGCCGGCCCAGGCACGCGCGGCGTCTGATTGGCTTTCGCTTTCTTATTTTTACGTGCATTCGCAACTCTCTGTATAACTTCACCATCTGGCTGGACGTCTTTAGTAATTACCCAAGATGATTATGCTTGCAGTTTCCATGGTCGATATCATCCTGTCATTCACTCTTTAATAGCTCTCACCGCATCATCCCAGCTGACCTGCCCGTCATCGCAAATGAGAAACAACGGATGCTGCTATATATAATTACGCGCCGACTTTTATTGGCCGACGGCCCCCACCGCGCGCAGCCGAGGGTGCCTGGCGCTAGGCCGCATTGGGAACGTAGCCCAGGATTTAATTTCCGCCACTGCTGTGTCTCACCTGCTCTTACCTCTTGCTGCCACTGTGAGATCATCGCCATTTCACGGCTTAGTCCAACTACTAATCCCTTCCCTGCTTGATATCATTTGCAGATGATCTTCTTCTGTGGCTACGATCGCTCATCACACCCATGTCGACTCTCGCTTCTGCCGGGTCCCTTTCCTTTGTGTACGCAACCTTCCCACCTTAAAGAAGCACAGAAAAAGAACAGACGCCACCGCCGATCTCCCCGCCAGGTCCATCTCCATAAGACACATTCATCAACAACAATAATATCCTCGGACCTCCAGAGTCCAGCGTTCTACTGAGGAGTTGGTCATGCTAACTAGTTTGAGTCTCGACGTTCTGGGGACGGCCCACCCCTCACGTCGCCATTGGAGACCCAGCCACGCCGAGCCATCCAGACCGACAGCTGGCCACGAACGTGTTCGACAGCCGTTGCCCCTGGGACTCCATAATATTAAAACACGATTGCGAGGCTGAGCTGTCTGCCCTGGCATGCCAGGTGGCTCAATACTACTAATGACTATCCGTACCGGTCCGCAAATGGACTATGGAGCAGCCTGCGTAGCATTGGCAATGGTAATAGTATTAAATAATATTACTACCAAAGTTTAACTAACCTGCTTAGTCCACGGACGAGTCTGCGGATGACAAAGTCACCAAGCCACTGAGCATTGGTCTCGATGGCGGTACCAACGTGATAGTACCATGATAGTACCATGATAGTACTGTGTTCTCGACAGACGATCGTTCGTTCTGGACTGACTCCTTGACTAGTATTTTAGTTTGAACGGTAGCATGCTCCTTTATTTATGGACGATTCACATGGACGCGCGTGCGATCGCTCGATCCGCTGTGATCGTCTGTGCTAACGAGACGACTGCGGAGTCTGGACGGACGACGGAGCAGCGATCGAGAGGAATTCAGTCAGGAGACGGAGACTGAGTCTGTATGTGGCTGTCACTCATGATTTTATTTTTTTTAGCAGCCCACTGCCCAGTTTCTTGGCCAATAACGTCTCGTCGAAGTAGGATTGGAGATGGTTCATAAACATAGCAAGCCTCTTAACCTTAGCCCCTGACTCCGCACAATCTCACTCATATCACAAACCATAATCATTCGGCAGTCGGGCGTGTAGGAAATCGAATACTAACTGACTCAACATCTGAACTTGCTGCTAACAGACAGAATTTCAAACTAAGTGGTGGCAGGTAACGGTCGTTTAAATATACATCCCTTGCATCTCCCTGTTTCAGGGTCGTCTACACCTTACAGAATCACAGTACCAGAGCGCTGAAACTAACAGTGAGTTATGCTTGCATTAAAAATTCAAATATATACAGGACACAAGCTCGTCCGCCTATCCCACGCCGAAATATCAGATACGAGGAATCAATCCCAAATAAATTCCAACACCAACCAACACCCAACGCCAGAAATCTGCAGCCTAGTCTTCATCCTCCATTCGTTCCATCCCCAATAATATCCAAAATATAACACCGTTCTATATCAATCAGCTTTGTCCATTCTACAATCACATTGCAACAGGACAATAGGCACTCCTTACCTGTACGAGATCAAAGTCTATCAAAGTCACATTCTCACCGCCCAAACCACCAGCCCCAAAACCCACTCTGACCTTGCTCGCGCTTCTGCTCCTCGACAACCTGTCGATGCGCCCATCCGCCCTCGACGTTGTAGTGCTTGACATCTTGCAGCCCGGAGAAGAGGCCACGGCCAGCTGCGTTGCGGCGGATGCCCTGGTTGGTTGAGGTAGGCCGAACCCAGTGGTTTATCGTGGGATTGAGCATGGATTCGACGGGGGAGTGGGTATTTTGTGAGTTGGAAGTCGATTTAGACGTAGTCATTTTGTATGAGTAACGGTATACCGAACCTGTCTGAGAGGAGATGATGGTTGATTATGATGATTGAACACTCCATCGACACGCTGAGGAGTCATGATTATATACATGCGAACTGAGTCCGTCAGACCACTCGGTATGAGTCCTCGGCAATGCAGTCGGTCATATTGCATGATTCTATCCAAAGCCAGCAAAGTCCGAGTCGGGGCCGTCCGACCAACACCAGCGATAATATCAATCAATCAATGAATGTAAACATTCACTACCTCTCTACGAGAATTCTCAGGAAACAAGCAAAATTTCATCCCTAGAAATTATCGTTCGCAATTAATCGAATGCTGTCTGTAGGCGAGTGTGGCTGTGGTGGTTAATGGCGTGGTTGAGTTATCAATGTATCGCGTGACGCAAATTATACGCTTGTACATGTAACCAACAAACATCGACACAATAATGATTATTCCTACATTCGTCCAATCATATCACCGATATATCATAGAAAGCAATGCTTAAATACCCGCATACCGATAAAAAAACAATGAAGATTGAACATTCCTGAGCCCACGTTCCGCCCATTACATATGTAAGCAACTGGTTACTGATTGGAATGTGTGACAAGGTTAATTCAACATCGATTCTAATATAAACTATTTATTATAGTCATAGCCTGTAATTTTCAATTACATACACAATTCAAATGTCGTATTGCAGATTCTGTGAAATTGAGGAATTTTTGGTGGCAAACTTCGGCGCCGAGAAATATGCAGCAATTCCACGGACCGTGTGATGCATAAACACAATTATATGGTTCGCTCGGGGAGCTCCGATCGACTATTCAATGGCCAATAAGATTGAACATATTATTGAGATGATTTAATATACTGACGAGTTAAATAATCTTATAAGAAAGATATATAAATTAGGCTAGTTGTTTGATTATACTATATATTTTTGTAATTTTTGAAATATAACTTTCGCTACGCTGAGTCGCTTGAACCGGGCCTCGACCTCCAACGGCAAAACCTCATTGTCCGCATGAAGTATTCCATGGATAGGAGCTCGTATATCTTCGTCGACTAAGTCTCTAATAGATAAATTAAGTAATAATATATTAGATTGTCTTACCTTTATAAATATATTTAATAGTTATATCATCTTATCAAACCTATAACAATATCTAGGTATCAATTTTAATAGTCTGATATATATTATCAAAAAAAAAATTCACTCTTAATTAAAATAGTTTTATCTTTACAATTAAATAGAAATTTATTATTAAAACCATCCTTAAAGCTATCATATTTATCACCCTTTATAGATATATAACCTTCTAAAAAGATAAATTTATCAATTTCTTATTTCTTTTTTACCTTAATAGTTTTATAGCTATTATCTATCAATTATCTCTTTATTAGATACTGCTATGTGCCTTAAGAATTCTTAGCAGAATAGTGGTAGCATCCAGATTTAAAAGACTTCTATTCAGCCAGTAATACTAGATTCTCTAGAAGAGACAAAAGACTAAGGGCTCATCTAGTCTATATAAGCTTTATCACTTGGTCTGATCATCACCCAACCATGGTAATGACTAAGCTTCCTGTTTGGACAGCAGGAGCAAATGGGGTTGTGATAAGTTCCTCGACCCAATCAAAAACTCAACTGAGCGATGACTAAGATCTCTAGATAATGACTGGGCTGAACTAAGGCAGCTGCCACCTGTCGAAGCCTAATTTTTGAAATCGAGGATCAACTTCCATAGAAGAACGCACTCAGGAACTGAGCGATGACTACACTATATGGGTCAATATATGATTGGTTGAAATATCATACTGACAGAATGGAAACCTCAGAATGACTAAAGCACGTTGAACGAACATGTGATTAACTAGACTAGCGGATCTGTCTATTTTAATGTTGAATAACTACGGTTCTCAGAAAGGGCTTGCATACGCTGTCTTTGGTGGGTATTAGACACAGATTGATGATTCTTTAAGTTCAACATGCAAGACCCCCCTCCCCCCAGCCCCTCTACGGAATTCCCTAAAAATCCCTATTCTTCTTGCTCTTTCTCCCCACCATTTCTCTGTAAAGCCAAAATGGAAGTCAATCAAGGAATTTTCGGTTTCTTTTTGGTGACAAATATCACTGTGGGATCTGGAACAGATATACAGTATAATGAGGCATCCCCCCGGTAATAGATAATTCTTTAATCAATCGACAAGAGTCAATCTTACTTCAACAATTGCAACCCCATTGGTCTACCGGCCACCCAATATTATGGAAATCACTACAGAATGTGATCTTCGATTGTTTCCAGTATCGATACAGCAGAGGAAGCATACCCTGCGGCAAGGAAGCACGTCTTCAGAGTTTACAGAATAATTTGTACGGAACAACGACTGAAGAGGCGGATGTTCTTTGAGGATTGAAGCTACAATTACTCTGATACCATTGTAACTTTGTCGAAGTGAGCCTGACAAACAGAGGCAGAATGTATTATACCAACTGCACTAGCAAGTATCCTGCCTGAAAGATCGAACATCGTGGAATGGCTCCAAAAAACGAGTCCAAGAGGCTTGGTCGATGGGTATAAAATCTGCCAGAACATCAGATCGTTCTTTTGTTCCGTAAACATTCCCTCTCCCTATATCAAGCCAAAATGTCTACTCAGAACGGTGCTATTTCAGCCCGTTGGTGATATACCACACAGGACTAAGATCAAAAAACGTACGCATACAACACCTGGTATTTATCTGTTGATAGCTCAACAGTATGTCTTATTCCTACACCAGGGCACCCCGGGGCTTCAATAAAGAAGAAAAGAAGATGATCAATGATCACATTGGTTGACTAAAGAATGAATCCGTACACCATGCCATTTCTTCAACATCTGTTGTGGCGCAAGACGGTGTCCCAATCTCTGAAGCTTGTCCAAGTGGATGATGTTGAATGGCCTCTCCCTCAAGATAGCCCCTGACTAAGACCATGCCTCCCCCCAATACACAATCTCGGTGACACGACATTAAGGGCCCCCGTCAGAATTTATAGCCCTCATGACAGCTCTAGCCAGATCATCCATGCTGTCGTGGGTGCTGAGTTTGTCCAGAAGAAGCTGGCCGTTCCCGTCCTTGACACTGATGTAGCGCACGTGTCCTTCGACTGAAAGTTCCTTCGTTTCAAATGTCATGGCAAGGCGCCAATCAGCCTCCGTGAGGGCCTCGGCCAGACGCATCGTGTTTTCGTGGCAGCCGTGGGGTCCCCAAATGGTTTGGCCTTTGAATTTGAGGGTGCCCGTGAGCTTGTGGCCATCGACCGAGTGTTCCTTGTGCTCGGTCCAGACCTCCATAGGTATTGTGGTATCCCTTGATGGAAGTTAGCATGTGGGAAAAGCTCTTGTGTTAAGTAGCTTCTCATACCTGTCTGGGCACTTTGATGATAAAAGTCAAGATGTCTAGCAGCTAGGCAACGTGCGAGAGGTGAAGAAAAGTGATGGTGCTGATATCTAACAGCTGAAGAATAGAATTCCCTTTATATGTATTCGGTATCCTTCCTCTAGGGCTTCATAGTTAAAGGCCCAAGATCTACAACTCGGCATGCGGACAAAAATACTGCGGAGTAGTGCCCCGAGTAGGTTTGATTGGATTTGACCACTGGCCTGCTGTACACCCCTCTCGACCTGTGACTTCCCCTCTCAATAGCAGAGCGATCGTCGGGTGGGCGAGCAGGTGGCTAGCTGAATCTATCATGATTTCCTGTTTTTGTCACTCAAATTGGGAATGCTGGGACAGACAGCCACGGACGGACCGTTGATTGTTGGCTCCGAGCCGCCGATCTTGAGGGAACTCGGTCTCATTCGTGAATGATAATCAAGTTGCCAGATCACTCCGGCAGCAACTTACAAGGTGTCTAAAGCGGGGCAGCTTTCTTTTGCCACGTGTCGATTCTCATTCGCCAATGTGGTTCTAGGTCTTCCTATGGCTGTCTTGGTTTAATTGTTAACCGTCGGCTACAATTAGGATCGTTGAAGATATGATAGATAAGTTGATATAACCACCTTCGGCCGCACATTTAACACTTTATTGTCTTACTCACTTTTCAATGTTCTTATGCAAGGTAATTGCAGTCTTTTCCTTGTGACTACAGTGATGATCACCGAAAGCTGAGGACAAGCCTTTCTCAGTAGTCTCACGTCTCTGCAAATCCTCGAAACTCCACGGACGCTGAAGAGTGGGGAATCGTATGGATGTACATACGCGATCCTTACCGCCTCAGAAGTGTAGTAGATATGGCGAATCACTTGCTTCGCCTTGATGCTACCAGCCCAAGAAGGAAGTCCAACTTCGGTTCCAGCTTCCGTTACATCCTCTAATGGCTGGAAATGGCTCAGATGGCAAAATAGCCGTGCCCTCCCATCCATGACGTTATAATGCATATGATCATGTCCAAATGTAATATCCGTCACATACTATGATCTATGATGCAGCAGCCCGCCCGCCCAGCCTAGTGGGTCACCCAGATTCTGCTGGTGTACTTGAATATAAAACCATTTAACAACAAGTATTTTGACTACCACCAACTACCTATCACCAAGAAGATGTTGATTTCCACAGGGCATTAAGAGGAGGCGTAAAATCTAGTAGCATATCAATGCTTGGTGACTTGTCCTGTAGTAGATTAGTACGAAGCTGCAAAATAAATTTCAGTTAGGCATACACAAGCGCGAGCGGCCCGCAAGTTAGTAAGAACTATGAAGATCATAATTCTCCACACCTTTTCTGCTACTACGTAGGATAAATAATATAAATTATATTTACTTCTCAGTTCACAGCTGTGCTGATCACCTACGCGGCCCATTCAGCCCGCCACATGTCTTGGCATAGGCTGCAGCCCACTTTTCTCTGATTGCCCGTATGGCTAGTTTTGAAGCTAGAAGCCAGAGAGAATTAGTATTATACCATAAAAAGGTGTTTTTTTGTTCGTCAAAGCCACTCAGCTGACCGGAGGTGCTTTGTCTACAAACGGATGCTGCGTCATGGATTCACACTCTTGCTCGCTGCTCCCGCTCGCATTACTATTATAGTCTAGGTACATATATGTCTAGTGTACGTTTAAATACATTTCAATAACATAATGGTGAAATCATGGTGGGAGTTGCTGCATGGGAATATTATTACACAGCTAAGAATCCATGGCTGAATTTAAGGATAAGTTCTATAGCAGTTCGCAGCTGACGCTCCATTAAATATTTATATTATAGTTATTCCCACGGCGCCGATCATCATTGCTGTCCTCCTACACACTGTCTCTCAATCCGCCAGATGAGGACAATAATGGACTTAATTACACATACCCAGTTCCCTACTGTCAAAATGCTCGCGACATCTGCAGCTGCATGGCTTTAGGCCGGGTTTAGCACGCGGGCGCCGCCAGGAGTCGCGATTCAAGATGGACGAGCTTGGTACAAGGCCCACCCGAACATGGCGCATATTAATCAGGTGAACCAAGATACTCATCAAATTATTGATGAGTATGGCCGCACCCGTTTCTTTCATGGAACCAACGTTGTCATGAAGGAGCCCCCCTGGTATTGGCTGATGGAGTGGACCCCCGGAGTCTCGTCATTTAGCGAGCAGGACGTACAAAATTTGCATGATTTGGGGATGAATATTGTGCGGTTGGGACACAGCTGGGTGGGTGCTGAGCCAGTTCGCGGTGAGTATAATCAAACGTTTTTAGATATTATGAAAAATCAGACAAAGATGGCAGAGGAGCAAGGGATCTACGTATTAGTGGACGTACACCAAGATTTATTGGCAAGACAATTTTGTGGCCATGGTGTGCCTGATGTGAGTTTTGAAAAGCAAGTTAGTTCTTGTTACTAACCAAGAGCTCAGTGGTTTGTCAAGAAAGACTGGGTAAAGGGCTGGACAAGGTTCCCAGTTCCTGTCGATATCTGGCCATTTACTACTGACAGTAATGGCTTCCCTTCGCCTAAATCGCAATGCAATAACTCTAATTGGGAATATTATTATGGATCTGTGGCTATTTGTAACGCCTTTGGAAGACTGTACAAGAATCAATACGGTCTTAGAGATGCATTCGCGGAATACTGGAAGAAGTTGGCGTCGGAATATGTCGAAGCCATTAATGTCGTAGGGTACAATCTGCTGAATGAGCCCTGGGCTGGTGACGTATGGGTAGATCCAACACTCCTTATATCTGGATCCGCTGACTGTAAGGTTCTGGAGGCACTCTGGAACCGCGTGGCGAAACAGACCCGCACCGTCGATAATGATATGCTTATCTGGTTTGAAGGTACCACCTTCGATATTCTGTCTGGCTTCAATAATGTGCCTCTCGGGTACGGATCTAGGATGGTGCACTCATTTTATTACTATTATCCACCACAGGTGGGCGCCATTTCCGATATATTTAGATATCGTCACAAGGACAACGTGCGACTCAAAACTGCTGGTGTCCTTACAGAGTTGGCGTTTTGGGTTGGTGATGATAAGCAGATGAGAGATATGGCAGATGTTATGATGGCGACTGACGTACATATGGTTTCTTGGATTGGATGGGCATATGAGAATCTGTACAAGGGAGCTTCTGAAGAGCCGTATCCAGAGCTGCAGAAGCACTATAGCCGCGCGTATCCGGCCTCGATCGCCGGTACGCCTACTTCGTTTGGCTTTGACGAGGACTCGGGTACTTTCAAGCTGCAATTCACAAGCGACCCGAGAATCGATGCACCTACCGAGATCATCTTGCCGCCTTCCACGTTTCCAAACGGGTACCGCATTCAGATTTCCCCTGCCGGCAGCTTGGGGCAGTACAAGAGAGACAATCGCACCTTGGCCCTGTGCAAATCGAGTTCTCTCAAGAAGGCGACAGATATCTCTGTCACCATTGCTAGGAAATAGCCGTACAGTGGTGTTTACATCTGTTAATTGGTCAATGTTCGAAGTTTTATCGATTATCTCTTTATCGGGTACTGCTGTGAGCCTCGAGGATTCTTGGCATGGTAGCGGTAGTATCCAGATTTGAAAGACTTCTATTCAGCCAGTAATGCTGGGTTCCCCGGAAGGGACAAACGACCGAGGGCTTAGCTGGTCTATAAGCTTCATTACTTGGTCCGATCGCCACTCAACCATGGTAATGACTAAGCTTTCTGTTTGGACAGCGGGAGCAAATGGGGTCGTGATGAAGTCCTCGAAAACTCAACTGATAGTTAACTAAGTCAGTTAAAATTAAACAACATATCACCCGTCAGTATCACCAGCTCATCATTTACAAAATATCTGTCTGAATACATCTTTATCCCAATATTAATAAAATTACTTAATACAACTTATTGCTTGCTCGCAGCCTTATTCAACTTGGTTTAGATATCTGGCGGTGCCAACCAGGAGAGTATTTTTGCCCATTTGTTGTCTTCATAAAGGCGCTCGATGGAAGTAACTACGTGCGATATGCTTTCATTGACTGTGTACTGTCATCTTTAGTCATTTTGTAGGAAGCGGGCTACTAATTATCTCCAAGAGCGACAGCCAATGAAGGCAAATGTATGATGCTTTTTGGATTCAGAATTTCTAGTAGCTCCCATGCATATGAGGCTGCTGGCAGAGTGTTATATTTGTGCCAGTTGTTGTTTGTGTGTGAATCACAATAATCACCGATTCCACGAATGACCAGGCAGGGAAAATTGTTCATCAAGCCTGCCGCCTCCATCTCAAAATATAGAATGTTCAGCTCCGGGTCATTAGCGTACTTGTCTCTCAAACTCGCTTCTTTAATGACGGAATCGCCAGTGGCTATCGTCCCAAAATGAATAGCGAGCATTCTACAGGGACCTGGATGGTCTCCTCGCTGCAAGGCCTTATCAGACGTGCAATCCTTTCCGCCTTGATGGGGGTAATCGGCGGGAGATAGTATATCTTACTTAGGCCGCCTATACTCCGCCATGTCATCCATGCGATTTCGGCAATTTTATCTGGTTTACGGGGGTCATTTTGACGTCTCCGCATATCTGGTATAGCCCCAAGAAGCACGTTAGGAGGTGAGAGCAGTAGCCCAGTTCGACTCATGCAGCCGCTTTATTGGATGATGATTTGTGACTGTTGACCAAGGTTGAGTCATGTGAACATGAAATAGGAATTACGAGAAACGAGCATATAGTCCGAATAATATTGACAGTATTTGGCGTAGTGATATATGACAGGAAAACTATAACGCAGTATATGATTTATACAGACGAACGTCCGACCCTTTCTTCAAAAGGACGTGTTTTAGGGCATTTAAGGCTGGCCTTTTTCAGGATAGAAGAGAGCCAAATTTATTATTCTCTGAATCAAAATGGTGCATAAATGGTAAGAGCACTAAAGCCCTTCGATATTCTATGCAACTTCATGAAATCTCAATGATTTTGAATTTTGAACTGGATAATCCGAATTTAGTGGTAATGGTTGACAATACAAGGACCTGGCATTTCACATATAGAACCTAGTGCCTAAATCTAGAATAAATACTTGACAAACGCCTCCTATCACTTAAACAAGGAAGAAAACCACCGCCACCGAAGGGATAGCTAACACTCTGCCCAGTTTTCTTTTTCCAGAAAGGATTGATACTCAGGTAGTACCTGTCGATGTAATATCGCTTCTGTGGATATTGAGCGCATAATATTGCTAAGTCCATATGCAAGTTTCGAAGCAGTATCGCGTCCCTCCGGATTCACCACCATAACGTATGTCATAATATGGATAAGAGCTTCACTTATTTGATTTGAGCAATTAGGCAGCTCTTGAAGCATGGATACCCAGCTGGTTATTTCTTCTCGTAAGGAAGCCCGAAGCATGGCTGAATTGGGATCTAGATGGACCCTGAAAAACAAACTTTCGTACACCGAATGATGTTTTTTTGACGAGTTTCGCAATTGTTGGATACCTGACCACCCCATCAGAACCCAAGTGATAAATTCAATGTATACACATCCAAGACTCCAAACGTCCGTTTTCTTGTTATTCTGTTCATTGATCTGCGTCTCTGGAGCCCGGTACGTTTCAGAAAGATCGAATTTTGATAGTGAGGGCTTGCTCTGAGATGGAAAAGCAAAATTGAAATTAAGTTGTAAGATCCCAAAGGGGTCTCCCCCAGGCCTGTTATCCGTGTTAAACCAGAGGATACACTTTGGCTCGATATTACCGTGGTATCCATTTTCGGTTCGTGGATATGGCATAATCTGGGCTACCTCCAAGGCATTTGCAATACCGATCATCTGCTTTAGCGCCCACTGTGCTACCTTTGGGTCTGATCTTTGTATTGGATCCTGATTCCAAAATTTCTCCAGATTATATTTTGCAAGGGGGAAGAGTATAAAATCCACCTCAGCCTTCCTGTAAGATGCAAGGTGTCTAACGAGATGTTCTGCCTTTGGAGATTTGAAAAATTCTTGCTCGTATATGTTTCTAGTTGTTTGATGCCTGAGCATCTTGATAACGACGATGGGGCCACTGTTTCGGTCTGCAATTTCGTTACCATGAGAGAGAAGTCCTTGAGATTGATACGGATAGGAGAATCGATGATGTGCTGGGTGGACGGATGCCGTCTGGAGGAATGCCGTTGGACCGCTTTTATGCCCTGTGGGGGTCAACGGCATTATGCGGAATTCCTGCTCTAGGTGCATTTTCGGAGACAGTATAGGAGCAACGAATGGCCACTGGCCATCATAGAAGATATCCACATTAAAATCACTCGAAGCTCGAGGAGATCGCAACCTCGACCGTAAGAGTGAAGTCAAAGCTGATTTCTGTATAGGTAAATCTTTATCTGTGATCTTAAGGTTGAAAACGAATGGAATGTGTTTTGTCATCTTTTGATATACCAGAATGGCAAGGCATGTCCTTTGAGTAGTGAAGAATGCTGAAAGGGCGTGAATATTTGTGTTGCCATCAACGTATTCGTCGACAATCCTCTTTACTACGGGAGGGCTGAGAATTTGGTCCTGAGCATCCCTGGGAACGAATTTCCCACCCAAGCCCTCTAACATGGAACTGTCCAACTCGAATTTCACCCAATCTGTGATCACAAGCTATATAGGATGTAGTTAGAGACCAATTATGATTTAATACAACCGCAGCAACTTACTCCAGTATGGCCTCTACCTAGTAACTCATTCCATAGCCTACTCATCATTCCTTCTTCCTGCCACAGACCTGATATATGATAAAAACAAGCTTCTTTAGCGTATTTGAGAAAAGGAAATTCTCTTACTGATCTGCTTTGAATATTCATAGCTGTTTGAGCGAAAACTTGACTAATGTCATACGGGATATGCTTCCGCGATTGAACAAGCAGTTGCGCGATTTCCTTACGAGCCTTTGACTCACTAAATATGGAGCGTAAAATCTTTGATGGCGCTTCTGTGATGGGAACGGTGGGAGGCATGGTGCGCGTCATTTGGCCTGCAAAAACGTCGTAATTAAGGTAGGTGAGTATGATCCGGCCCATCCCTCGCCTTGCCTCATCCGGATTTATAGGAATTGTAAGGCCGTTGTCGCCAGGGGTGATGAAGAATTTCTGAATACTATGGTGCGCAAATCGAACGGTTTCTTCTTCTTCGTCAACTATTATTAGACTTTTGCAGCATCGTAGCGTCGCTCGGATATTATTGATTAATCTTGCCGGTTCCCACTGGGTCTCACCCGGAGTCACAGCCAGGGCCTCTTGAAGTTCTGAAAGGGTTAGCGGACGGTGAGCAGAAATGATAAGCTCTACTATCTTCTGCCGATATCTATTAGAACTAGAACTATCCGCCTTCTGAAGGAGTCGAGTGAAGATTTCAGATAAATCTTTGGGGAGGGTTCCTAGTGCTTGAAGAATTGCCTCGTCTGTGTCTTCTGCACAGAGGCAGTCAAGCTGTAGTGCAGTCCAAAGGAACCTAGTATGGTTACCCGTTAAAAATAGGCTGATAAGGGGTGACATCATTGTTTACTTACATTCCTTGAGATCCTCTGGACAAGGCCTCTTGAATAGCCAGTATGATGGCCGGATTCCCTACTGTCAACTTCTCCGATTGTAGACGATCCCGAAGCTCAGACTCAATATACTTTCCTATGTCAGGATTTTCTTCGGGCATCTCCAAAGTCCATTTCTTTCCTCGTGGTACAGATATTTCCTTGAACTGGCGGCCAGCGTCCGTTCTAAAAGACACGCATAAACGTAACTTGAAAACCTTTCGGAGAGTTTGAAGAAACTCCATCAATTCATTAGCCTCTTTCTCGCTGCATTCATCAAGCCCGTCGAGGATAAAATAGTAAATGGGGTCTCGCGGAACAAGAGATTGCAAAATATCTAAAATCTTCGCAATGTCTGGGGGTGAGCTTTCTTTTCCAAATCTATTGGCTAGCTCTTTCATATCAATGGCTTGCTGATCAAGTAGTTGCCGAGCCAAGCAACCAATGATGTTCCTTGCTGTCAAAGACTCTGCAATGTCGTACCGACAAAAGAAATAGGCCAAAGTGCCCTTTGCAACAGTGAGGCTGAGATCATCGACCATATTAGCTATTAGAACCGTTTTTCCAGACCCAAGCTTCCCAGTACAGAGGAGAGCATGTAACGATGATGAGGTTTGTTGATGGTCTCTCCAATCCCGATATTCTGTCACTGTGGTAAACCATGATGTGGTTCCGCTTTTGCGTGCTTGCTTCCACGTTGTCTTATAATCATGTTTAGAACATGCCTCAAGCCAGTGGAGTTTAATTGACAGTTGATGGTAGTATTCTCGATTTTCCTTAAAGGTAGTGATCATCTTTCGAAATCGTGAACCCTCATTCGCCTCTTCCACCGCTTTTTGACCTAGGAGCATTGTCACCTCCCTCATGATAAAGTCCGCCAATTCTGTGAGGCTATTTTGGAACTTCTGTAGTCCCGAACCAGATACTGCAATTGGAATTTGAGAGATAAAAGATTTTTGCATGTATTTGACGTAATGTTGACAAATATTGACAACGACGATGAGATATTCGCAGAGGCCTTCCTGGAGCCTTTTCGACCGGGGGAAAAGTAAAGCCATGTCATGATATCGAGGAACGTTTCTTCCGGCATTCATAAAAAGAATACTTAAGTTCTCAAGATAAGTGACCGACTGCGTGAGCATCTACGGTAAACGATCAGGCTGAGCCTAAAGGGGAATAAAAGAACGAGAACCACACACCGTTAACGTCATTCGCACCAGGGCCCAGACACTACAAGCAACTATATTCTGGGAGGCCCCGAGAACGACGTCACCGAGAGAGGCATACTGCTGAACAGCCTCGAGGATATTCATGAGTCTGGGGCCAAAGCATCGCCTCGATTTCTTGCTTATGGACATATCGATTTCAGCGATTACTTGCTTGACGTCGGAGGCATCTGGAGTGCGATTCTGAAAGCTCGACAGTATATTCTGTAACTTTGTCTTATCATCACGAGATATGGAGGCTTTGAATTCGGATACTGCCTGGGCTAGTCGGACATCGGCTTTAAGCCGTGAAGCATTCAGTTGCAGTGTATCAGTTTCAGTCATAGTCACATGGCCAATTTAAAATAACAATTAGAAGGCAACTATTTATCTCCCTGTAAAATAGGGCTTGTAATAGCTGATGTGGCCTAGAAATGCCTACCGATTTTTCGATTGTACATCGCATCATGCACCTGGCGAAACCCCGCACTAGGACGCTGGACTAGGGTCAAGGTTGATTATGCATGCAGCCTTGTCAATACGTATTTTACAACAAAAAACGAGGCTAGTTGTTTTCTTTGATCTTGGCGAACAATGAAGCCTAACTGAGCAGGCTGGATCTTGTTATAATCATGAAGAGCGGAAGAAGTTGGCTATTCACTGATGAATGCCCCTAGTAATGAAGCCAAAAACAACAACTGTTTCATTGATCAGCGGCAACTAGCCTGGCTAACAGCAGCTACTACATCTAAATTTATATGTCAATAGAAGTTGGCGGCGCCTAATCGAACCAGAAGAGATAAAAAATACCTGATCGAAGACTTATTAGTTCATATTTCGGGGGCGATTATTTAAGTAAGCGGCACAATACAGTGTTAGATACCCCTCCAATGCTGTTTGCTTCCCATCAATCTCATACCTCTCTCTCTCTCGGGACGATTCATTGCCATGGGACCAATATCATTTCAAATACTCTCCGACCTGCACCTCGAAACTCATTCCTTGTACGGAAGCTTCAAGTTCGCTCAAACCGCATCATACCTCGCCCTTCTTGGCGATATTGGCCACGTCGCTAACAACGACTCTTTTCATTTCTCGAAGATCAACTTGGCCATTACTCAGTTGTCTTTTTTCTTTTGGGAAATCATGATCCATATCATCTGTCGTTCAAAGTTGCGAAGGCCAAGATACACAGTTTCCAGGCGCTTATGGGGAAAAAGTCTTTGGGCAAATTTGTTTTCCTTGACCAAATACGATATGATGTGAACAAAGATCTAACTATTTTGGGATGCACTTTATTCTCGCATATCTCCCCCCGGCAAGAATTTGCTGTCGAAACTCGCATGGTAGACTTCAAAGATATCCTAAGATGGACGGTGGATGGTCATAATGCTGCACACGAATCAGATCTCAACTGGCTTAATTCTCAAGTTTCCACAATAGCCAAAAACGAGCCTCATCGCCAAATTGCAATTTTCACCCATCATAGCCCAAGCATTGATTCACGCTTTACGGACCCAAAACATATTAGCAGTGATGTGTCTACCGACTTCGCCACAGACCTCAGTAACAAGAGATGCTGGACTAATTCTGCGGTTGTAGCATGGGTATTCGGTCACACGCATTTTAACTGTGCTTTCACAGATGCGAGTGGGAAAACTATTATAACGAACCAAAAGGAGTATCGTTTGATTCTCGCACAAGGTTTCAACCCAGAAGGGGCATTTACTATTGGAAAATGAGAACAAGTTCCTGAAATGTTATTTTGGCCCGACTATCGAGTTGTTATGAAACACCATTTTTTCCGCGTAGACCGCAGCCATTGATCGCTTTTCGAATCGCTACTCCACTCGTAATATAGATAGCGACGACCACAATAATCGCTTTCAAATATAAGTTGAAACGTCAAGCCTGCAATAGAGTGTTCTCCCTTATTAAATGAGAAACTTTAAGCCATGAAATATGTTCATCAGGTGGCCCTAGAGTTTGGTACTCGAGTAAATTGCTTGCGTTGCTCATTTTTAACTTCATTTCATACTTTGCTAGTAATGAATCAACAGGCTTGTTGAATGATTTTGATGTAACTGGTATAGCGATATGCATGATACCTGAAGGATTTCTTTTGCTTATTCTGAAATCAGCAGGAAATACTCCCATTACCTCTTTCATTAGAGGCTCAAAACCGTCTGCGCTGTATAACCGGACCTATAGGATGAGATGGCTATAGTCGCCCTTTAAAAATTAGTTGATTTACGTCCAGCAGGCGTGGCGGGGTTGTGACCGGTATTCTCTCAGCCCGCTCCAAATATCAGTAACGTCGAAGATCTAAGCGACTTCCATTTATTTGTTAATTCATTTCACATGGCCTAGCTTCACGGGTTGTCCCTCCCCTACCCCGTGGGCTATATGCATGCACAGACACTGGCTTTACGATAGTCATAATAGTTGATTCGATCCAGTCATTACTACGGCTAGCAAAGAAATTCCATATCCGAGTTCGACGAGAGGAAGAAGAGTGGCCCGAAGCGCACAAGAAAAACAGTTTAGAATATCAGAACTTTGGGATAATATAGATTTGACACTTACGGCCCAGAGGTCAGTCTTCTCGCCAACGATGAACCACGGAGGCAACAGACTAAGGCGCGTGCACGATGGCTTGTAAAGCGTGTAGAGCGCTATGGGGTCAAGAGCGTAATGAATTAGGATGGCGTTTTGGACGTGAAAATAACGTATTGTGAAGATTTATGGTGGAAGTCGTTTGGTGAGTAGAATTTCCTATACGCCCGACTTTCAAACCAGTCCATCGAATTGTATGAACAGTGTCATTTGGGTTATATATACATACCTACATAAAGTATATGTGCGACGCCAAATCGCTCAGCGTCCATGTCGAAGTCCCTCTGATGAGCGACCTAAATATTTGTCAGTTATATAATCATGTCCGTGGGAGTAGAGAGAATTATTCTGACTACTATAGCTACACAATTGGGAATAATCCTTTCTTGAATGACCGAGTAGGTGAATTCGTCATATATGATGATAATATGAAGCCTAAGCTCCCGAAACAAGGCGCGGGCCATGTATTTGGGTTGCAAAATATGCACAACTTTGATACCTTGTCGTCTAGTCCTATTAGGCCAGAGATACGGAAACCCCCAGAGGATATTATTACGGATATTCTCAAAATCACACCATTTAAGAAAGAAGCTGACCCACTCTTATTTCCTTTCCTGGTACTGGAAGCTAAACCTGAAACCAGTTCACGAGGGTTTAAGGCAATACTGGTTCATTCGCCCTTCCCTATACGAGCTCTCTTACAGCTGCAAGATGAGTTAAGATCACATGTCTCTCAAGGGGATCGAGTCTTCGATCCTTTGGTATGGTTTCTACATCCCGCGGGGACGCCTGGAACATCAGGTGCGGCCATGTGATACCGGGTGAAAATGGGGCGCCAATACGGAAGCGGAACTACATCTAGCGGACTATCTCTTATAAAAGACAAATTTCTCCATTGAAGGCTTAGCTGATGGCTTTGTTCTAAGGAAATAACATATTGTGGGCTGGTTCTCATTTTACCGTATTACAATCCTGAAAAAACTTAAATCACTGGTTACAGGCCAACCATGTGATAAGATCAATCTCGCAGATAGCAATTTGGTTTCGATGCGAAGGGATATATCCAATTGAATTCCTGAACAGTCTAGTACCGTGTCCAGTGCGTTTGTAGAATCGAGTTTTCCTGTGGAAATGAAGGCAATATTTCGTCCAGATTATGGGACTACGTACTATCCTTGCATAATGAAACAATGGACTTGTATTAATTGTATCTGATGGATGAGACGACGATGGGCCAGAAACCGTCACTCACGATCCAACCTGCCTTCCATTCAAGGCGAAATGAATCCTCTAGTGATTCACATCGTGCTGATCGAGAAGACCGACGCTAGAATATAGTATCTTATTCGATATTCGCAACTCTTGCGAGGTATGCCATGAGGCCCACATTTTATTGGCTAAAAAGGAGGCATAATGCGGGGTGTTGCAACATCGGCCATAACATTCAATTGGTCATCAGTGGTACGTCAGCTGTCTTCAAATGCAAATTATACCTTATTCAGGAGCTCTTAATGTATTTCCGCGAATAAGGTTATCAGTTTATCTAGGTTGTCTCATCATGCGTTCAATTTGGCTCATTTTAGTGCAATGAGGCGTTGATGAAAATAGTGAAGATCCTCTCTGCCAGCCTACTCCTCCTCCGGAAAAATTTCCCTCACATAAAGAAGAATGTCCAATTTTTACATTCATCAAATATTGTACTTATTTAGCAAGGTAACCGTGACATCAAGATGATATACTCTTGAAGGTATTTCCCCCAATGAAACTATTGTGAAGCGGCACGGGATGGAGGGGAGAGTGATGGGATTCAAGTATAAAGGAGCCCTTCATTTCGCGTTATATCCCTCGAAGGATTCATAATTAAGTCCGTCAACGACGATCATTGGTATTTGATATAACATCTCAAGAAATCAACGTAGATACTTACGCATATACACCAAATTCACCATGTTGGGAAAGCTCTTGACTATTGTTCTTCTCGGGCTCAGCCTTATCAATGCAAGCCCCATTGCAAAGCGTTCAGTGGCAACCGACATCACCACTATTACTAGTGACGTTCAAAAACTGGACTCTGACATCACTGGCTGGGACGGATCCCTCCTTACAGCGATCCCGTTACTCAGTGATGTTTCTACAATCAAGACTGACATCAACACGGCCATCACCGATACGAACTCTTCATCTGCATTTAGCTCAAGTGACAGTACCACAGTTACAAATGAAATTGTAGCTTTGCAGCCCGTTATCGCGACCACTCTTAGCGATCTGGTCGCCAAGGTATGTTTATGCTTTCGTCTACATATCCTCTTCGAGTGTCTTTCACCCAATTTCCAGGTCTTTTTCCATACTGATAGAAATGTAGGCTTCTGAGGTTTCGGCAATTGGCTTCACAAGCACTGTACAGTCCAATTTGGAGGACTTGAAGACTCTCGCTGATGAGCTCACTACCGCACTGGAGTCCAAGGTCGCTTCATCCGATGCAACTTCGATCGAGACCGCCGCAACAGCTATTGACTCATCCTTTGCTAGTGCCATCTCTGCTTACTAGGGGACTTTTGTCACTTCCCCGAGCTTTATATGTTTAGCTAGGCTCGAAGCTGATTAAATTAAACCTTCCATTTCCAAATATGACAATATTTTTCTATTACGCTTTAATAACATTCTCTAAAAAGATGCATACTAGTAGTTGTTGGAAAGGGTCCCTCAATCGTACAAATAATCCCTCTCACTGTTGGACAGAAACCGGTATTGAAAGGCAGGCGAAATATAACTAGCTAGCGGTGCATTGAGAATCTCTTGTCGTAAATCACTATTAATCAGTCCTCTCTATCCGCATGTCAACCTCTCTGATCAACCACAGATTTAATACAAATGCAATTGATCATACTCTCTATACATATACATATATGAGGTCATTGCGCCATTATATGGTTTCATTGAATCAAAAATTATACAGTCTCCGGTAGGTGATGGTATTCATGGTGTTCTTGCGACCCTCTGTTCGCCGCGAGCTGATAGCTTTGGTCTAGCATACGTTGTTTACGGCCGACAAACAACCAGCGCAGGCCACGGGCAATTGCCTTGCAGAGATCCCATGGATTCATTGCATCCATTATGGCTGCAGTGCCTAGCCGGCCTCCGTGATATTCTTGGATCCTTTCTCTAATATTGCCGTCCTTCTGCATGTTGATCACATAGTGTCGCCATGGAAAGCCCCAGAGGTGAAGAACGGCGAACGTGGCCATCTCCATGCAAATGAGGAGGTTGGGCAACGCGTTATTCCAATCTTGTAGAGCGATTTTGTCGGATCCTTTGACAAGCCCGGAAGATGTAAGAAGGTCGATAATGGTCTATATACATGAGCTTAGAAAATTTTACAATAATGTAGAAAATAACTAACCGACTGCCAGAACGACAAGAAAATCACGAGCTTGATGCACACAATTTTTAGAAATGGTTTGTGTTGCGCGATATCACCTTTAATCTGAATATAGAACTGAATCAAACAGTACATTGCGATTGAGACAGCAATGGATTCGATTAGGAGGACCTATTTAGCTGTCAGAAGTGTTGAACTGGACTGTATAAGAAGCTGCGAATTACCCAAAAGTGGGCAAAGACCGGGCTAATCGAAGTCTCACAATAGACATTGGTTGACTCTGCCACCACAGCAATGACTGTCATCACCACCCGAATGAAGCAATAATGAAATACGCCTATCCAAATGACCTAACGTAAGAAGTACGGTCAGCAACATAGTTAAAATCAATGCGAAACTTATATCTCTGCAGCTCCAGATATCCAAATGATGAATCATGATTCGGGAAAACATACATTGAACCAGGTCAATCCGCTACGAGGCTGCCGCCATATTCCATTTTGACCGCCAGTGAATTTCTGAAACCAAGTAACTGGCCATACCCAGTTCACTGGCTTAATGTGTCGGAAATATTCTTTCTGGTCATGAAGATCCGGGACGATATAGTTACAGAGTAATGCAAAGAAGGATGCAATAGTAAAAGGCTCGTAACAATTACCTATAAGCTGAAAAATGACCGTTTTCTTATAAAAGGCCACACAGAGAAAGGATGTCAACGAGTATATTGGAATCATGAAAAGAATTCGAAGAATACTAAAATTTGAAATTACTAGTTAGGTTTTTCATGAACACATATGCCAACAGTTGTCTAAAGATATATACATACTATCTTTGCTCAGATGGTCGGCTGTAATGGGTCGCATGGCCGATGATCAGAATGCCGGCGATAATGAAAGCTATGAGAGTGAATATTGCACAAAGAATGATGGCTAGATTATGAAACATCCAACCCCCTTCCCAGAGCCTTGTTTCAGAAACTAATTAGAAAGACATTAGCAAGAAGATTGAATTGAAGGCTACCGCAAAACTTACTCGTTCCATCCACGGCGCTGGAATCGCAGGATGGCATGGCTGAAGTCGCAACAATTATTATGTGAACCTAAACTGGTGGTGGGATAGGAGAAAGAACAGAAATGATAAAATCTGGGAATGAACATCCGCCCATATATGTATGAGATGGCGATCCTCCGCTGTCCGTCATCCAGCATCCACATGGGAAATCGAAGCCGTTGCCCGTAAGACAAGCAATCGCTTAGCAGCATATTGATCTTACATATGTTGTGTAGATGGAACGTCGACTCAATGCTGAGCCAGTAATCAGCGGGGCGATAATTGGGATCGACAAAGGCTGAGATGGGGCTTGAAATTTTAGCTGCAGATTATTATTGAAGGCAGGGTTGCCTTTCGCCATTAGAGAATATACGAGACATTAATATTATGCCGCTAACATTATGGCTCTTTACCACATGGGTCTTGGATAAATCTTAAGTACTTAATCCGGGGCTCGGAGTGGCTTGGGAACATTCCAGGCCAGTGATATTATTGGTTATACTATTAAAAGTAGAGTTCGTGTTGGCACTAAAATTTACGAGTACTAATCAAAGTATCAATTGATATTAATAGCTAGTAATATTGAATGTTTGCATAATTTTTCGGTTTTTGTATTGCACACAGATATATTTCTAAAATACAAGATCAATTTTGTAGTAGACCTCATAACGTTAGCGAGTCCACTACTACTACTTCTTATATAAATAGAACATCGCCTTTTTCAAATGCTTTTAGGCTTAATTAAGGTGATTTTAACATTACACTCCATTTATTCTGTTATAGAAATCCATTAATAAATGTGTAAATTACTCGTTGCCTAAATTGCATCATTTTTAACACTAGCGTTAAATATCAAAATTAGCGGAGGATCTCTCAACCACCTCAAAGCTCCGGCTTAAATCGTGTTAGGCTTACAGGTGATAGAATAGGTCTGAAAAGTCTCCGCCGAGACCTAATCATCCTAATACATTAATCAGCATAGCAAACCTCTCACTCACTTGGAAGTCTTCGAACTGTTAATACGAATACAATCATTTTGATGGAGCAATGCTATGAATTTACGAGTGCGAAGCATTTCTCATCTTTGTTTGCAACCAGGCACATGGAGGCTTCTTAACCGACTCGACGGCTAGGCAATTCTGCAACAAGGGTTCAATTCTTCCCAGAAAGGGTGCATTTCAAAGTCGAGAATGATCCATATCTCTATCGAATAAACATAAACATAATGTAAACTTATAGCAACATTTGAAAAGGAAAATAGTATCAATTGACCACTTGACTGACATTGATTGGAATATAAAAATTCAGACAGATCCGCAACGCTAAGGGGGTATGTACACAGTCCTTCAAGCTCGAGGAATGCGTTGTAGCGCTTAATTTAAAATGGTAGACATCTCAGTACCCAGCCCTTCAATAACCACTGTATATGCAACCAAACCACCTTCTACCCCATGCGAAGAAGATGCCAGTATTGTCCTCTGCGATCCGATCTATCTGTCCTTCGCTGTATGCTGACCACTCCAAACCCAGATGCCGAGGAATTTAGAGCAGCATTTGACATGGTTCTCTCCATATACACATTTTAGCGCTGATATACATTACAATAAACAAAAAACTTCGTTTCCAGAAATCATAACCTCCCACGTACGCACAGTCTATACATGTATCTGCACCATCTCTGCAGTTGGTATACCTAAGCATACCTCGCCATCGTAACGGTCTGTCCCTGGCCTGGCGCTGGCGCAGGATACCCATATGCCTGCTGCTGCCTCTGCCACCACCAATACCGCCTCCTCTCCTCTTCCTCCTCATCGTAGTACCGGCAGGGATAGCAAAACGACCACTCTAGGCCGCGGCGTCGCGCGTAAATGTAGAAGCCGAAGGACATCATGGTGAATATAAAGAGGAGCCCTACGACGACGATTAGGGCAATGAAACCGGGGGCTAGAGTGGTGTTGTTATTTTCGTAGCCCACTGGGAGGTTGTTGTTTGTCATTTTTAATGTTCTTTTGGTGATTTGCTTTGATTGATGTCGGCTTCGTGGTTTGGAGGTGGTGGAGCTGGCGCTGGGTATTCAATATTGTATATAGTGTCGCCAGCGGAACGAATAAAGGGTTCAATTTGAAGCTGGTAGTCACGAAATCAACATGTCGAGCTAGGAACCTGTCAACGTTGATCACCTTGATCTGCTGCGAATACTACTTTGAGAGGAAACACTACGCACCTTCAATCATTCACCAGCAGACGCTAAAAATAACAAGAAATTTCTCAAAATCAGGTCTATTCGAGAACCAGTAAACCGAATAAATAAACAAAAACAAAGGAAAGGTGAAAGGAAAGGCGGCGATGGATGAGGCTGAGCCGCGGGGTCTAGAGCGTTAGTTAGTCCGCCAACGCTTTCCGGTTAGCAATTTCTATATTTGGATAAAGATAATTAATATTAGCAGTGTATTATTACATGGGTGATAATTAATTGATTGGTTTGATAATAATGTTAATATTATCAAGGTTCAAGGTTGTCTTGCGACGGTTTTCTGTCCAATACTAATACTAATACTTATACTTGTAGAATCTTCGCTGGAAGACGTCCGGTTGTCAGACCTGCTAATTCATCTGCAGATACGATCTCGAGTGGTCATATCAATACACAATCAGGCCCCAGAGGGGGGAGCTCTGACTTTGCTCGACCCCATGATCGTGACGAGACCAAGTCGATGAAGTTGAAAACCCCTGTCAACAAAACGCCTTCTCATTAACATGCAAGGCCAGCTGCTTTTGAGACTTCCCAGTCTTAATAAATCACCCAGACGCTCGGTGGTATACGATGGAGGCCGGAGCTTCATTGGCAAGGCTGGATTCACACCACAGCGAAATAGAACAAGTACTACACCATCTCATTTTTTATAGCAAGATAGGATACCCAGAGCAAGGTAATATCTATCCTAGAATGATTTCGCGGGACTGCCGCGCTATGAGAGACTAATATGCCTAAATATGCACCTGCGCGTAACTAATAATGGTTTATTCTCCATACTATACACTGAGTGAAAGATGGCCAAAACGCGTCCATATCGCGATAAAACAAAAACTATGGTCTACAAGGTGATGGAGCCCTCCATAACCTGTACAGCCGAACCTCCTAGCATCAAGCGTTCAACATGAGTGTTTGAAGCGTTCAAGGTGACATCTAGCTGTATGTGACTCTCACGTCCCATCTCCACTCCCTGTGTAATCTCAAATTTCTGAGCTCCTGATACGTCTCCCTTGTCAGGGTTGAAAAGCGAAAGATAAGCGGTAAGGGCGCAAGAAGCAGCGCCAGTGGCGGGATCCTCTGTAGAGCCAAAGACGACTCTGGTCCTCAGCTTGCTCGAGCCATTAGGAGATTTTCCGAGCCGGACGAAGAAAGCAAAAGCAGTAAAAGTTCCATCGGGGTGCCATTCTGTATCTAATTGGCCGTCGACATTGACTTCTCGGAGACCAGGACGAACCTCATTCAAAATCTCCAGAGAGGGCAATTCGACAAGAATGAAGGTCATCCCTTTAACCAAAGACACAAATGCCGGTGGACGTACCATGTTCTCGACAATTGTAGGTGCGAGGCCATAAAACAGTGCCTCATTAACCGTAAGCACCTTCTCATGCAAATGAAAGTTTTGTGGCACTTCGACAGAACTGGTCTTCAACACAGGATCGTAAGTAAAGGGGATAGGACCAGCCTTAGCTATGACCTTTCCATGGATAGGGTAATTCGATGATTCTGAATGGCCACGTGCCGCCTGGAGTTGGGCGCCAAGATAGCACGTTGTCCCAATGGTTGGATGTCCTGCGAAAGGGATTTCGGCTGTCGTTAAAAAGATTCCGATCTTCCACTCGGGAATGGCCGAGTTTTGAGCCAGCTCCTGGTCATTTTCCTGTAAAATGACGGTCTCCGAATAGTTGAATTCCCGAGCAATTTTCTGCTTGTCTGCCTGGGTTAGGGTTACTGATTGCGGAACCTTGACTATGGCAAGTGGGTTGCCCATAAATCGAGTTTTCGTGAATACATCGAAGGTAATGTAGGCCAGCTTCTGTGGAGATGGGGATGCCATTGTCTTCGATTATACACACTTGCTGAGAAGAGAGAGTAACAGGTTGCTTAACGCAGCGTATGTTTTTCCTTATCGTGCAAGAGGAAAGAATTTATACTCTATTGTCTAAACAAATATCGAGGTTCTGAACACAATCTATAAGATTCCAGGAACAATTTGTCAGCTGGGCATAGGACCTCGTATTCGCGGGGACGACTCGAGTTTCTATCTCCTATGCTAGTGAGTCACAATACGACATCACGTGATATTAAATCACGTGATAATTGTGTTGATTGTTTGCTTGGAAGAGGATAAGATCTCGACTGGTCACTTTAGTATACACTATCATAGTAATGGCAATGAAAGGACCTTTCTGTGAAGGGGGCTGCGTCGCTCGAAATGCAGCCTGACTATATGAGCGCGCTGTCAGGATTGTGTGAACACTATATATGTCGTGGGCTGTTAGCAGCAACAGCAAGTCAGTTTGCAACCTGCTATGCTAACTTCCTGCGTGTCATTCGGCTGTTCTTCAAACGGTGGTGGGTGGTGGCTGGGCGATTGGCAACATGCTCTCGGCTGACTACCTGATCTGCCCTCATCGCCCATTGGCCATTCTGATCAACTGTTCTGCTGAAACGCAATGATAAAATCACGACTCAATTGACCGATAAAACTCCTCGACAACATCATCTTTCCGAAACCCCGGACTCCGTCCCAAACACACTGCTTTCGAAATAAGCCCTATCACAATCAGCATCATCATACCCATATAAGAAAATAGGTAGACCCACGATCAATAAAACAGTCTACATTTAACACCGCCGGCAGTCCCCCCTGCATGAACTCAGCATACGCGGTATGACCCTCTAGGAAAATCCCCATATCCCGCAAATACCCCTCTATATCATACGCATCGTACCATTCGCAGTCATTCATACCCAAATATCGAATAATCCCCTCAACGCTCGGGTTGGGCCCCTGCTGCCGGATCTCGGCCATGTGTATTGGCCACGGCCCGTTTGTGACAGGCTGGATGAGCTGATTTGAGCGGCGGGGGTAGTGCGTGGCAGCACCGCCGACGGCGAAGAAGGGCGTTGACGGGTCGTCTAGCTCCCAGCTGGATATAGCTTGACGGAACTTTGTGAGTAGGTGGTCTTTGCTCCAGATCCGATAGATGAGTTTGAAGACGCGCGCGACTTTGGCCGGATGAGTGATGGTGAGGAGGATTCTGTAGGCCTTTTCGATGCATGTGCGTTGCAGGCGCCGGGCGAAGGTCGTTTCTTGGAAGCTGTATGTCGAGGGTTCGCTAAGGTAGACGGGAGCAGGGAGGGTGGGCATGCTCATCGTGGTACCGGGCCCAAGCGTGACTTGCTGTCCATACGACGGCAGTCCCTGCCCATAAAACAGCAAATCGGGACTCGACAGGGGATAGACATCTTCTTCAACTTTCGTAACTGCAAGACTTGGTGGCGAGCTCGAGGGCTGCGAGCCAGGGCCATGGGGCAACATCATCCCTGTCTCCGTCGAAGTCGAAGTAACCCCCACAGGTGGCGACGCGGAGCTTTTATGATCTGAATGACTACTCTCCCCCATCTCCTCCTCCGATGAAGACATCTGGATCAGCGCCTGGAATTTAACCGCCATCTCTTGCAAATCCCGTGCCAAATCAGGCTGCAGCGCCAACAACCCGGACGTGGCCAACCTAGAATTCAGGGACACATACGTCGTGCCCAATTCCGTGATCGCGTCGCCCATACACGACAGTTTCCGCTGCGTTGTTGATAGCTCGTGCTGCTTGCGCTGGCGGTAGGCGCGCTGTGCGAGACGCATTTGTGTGCGTCGACGCTCTTTGGCGGGGGGGACGCGGTTGATAACATTAACCTCTCCACTACCACCACCAGCAGTAGTAGTGGGAATAGCAGAGGAGATGCTCTCAGTCGAAGACCCTGTTCCTCGGCGTCTCTTCTTCTTGCGACTTGCCTCATCGCGATTTTCCTTTACATCCTTCTGTTCGTATGAGCGGGTGTGTGCGTCAGTTGGCGGTGACTGTGATTGTGATTGTGGTTGTAATTGTGGTTCCGATGGATATTGCCGCATCGGCAGAGACTGGGAAGGTACCGCCGACATCATCAACGCCGCCCCAACTTCAAAGCCATATTGAGTCGGAAACGGCGGATTAGCATAGCCCAGCTGCGGCGGCGGTGGGCGAGCGATCGAGTAAAGGTTTGCCATTGTCTATCAAGTAATTTGTTGCTACTGTTTCGGTGTTAAGATATGTTATGTCGGCGACGGCATTCAGCCAAGATGGTTCATTCGCGCAGTCACCATTTTATCACCGTATTAATTCCAGAAGGGTTCTCATCGCAGACAGGCAGAGGAGTTGGGACGTTGAGACAAACAAGAAGCAGAGCCCGTCGCCTACTTATGGCTTATGGTTCGTTCCTAACCTTAAATGCGACGCAGGTGGCGTGGGCACCGATCTAACTAGGCCCCCTTTCCCCATCCAGCTCCATTCTTCTAAGTTCTTCTGATCAGCAGATTCGTCAGGCTCACTCATGCTTACGGAGGATAGTCCTGACGATGTGATCTATCACTCGCTTCCATAACATTATTCCAAATACCATCTAGTACACCACTGTATGCTGCGGGAGGTCCATGCAACCCTGCGCATGGACTAGGCGCAGACTATGCGGCGACTATTAAGAAATTACTGTAGTATCGGGCCTATGATTTGGATTGCCACGCTAACGCGACGCACTGTGGCCCACTTCCCATCCGCCCGGGCGCCGTCGGGCCCAAAAAACTAGGATGGGTATTGGCTGGAATTGGCTGATCTTATAATTGTGCCAGACTAGTGCCGCTCATTGGCTGCGGATGGCACGGCTAGCGTGGCACAAACCAGCCATGTGTAGAGTGCATTCCGAAAACGGTAGAGGCATGGATGGACTGCGTGTGCGTAAGAGCACGTAAGAGGGGCCCTGGTGAGAGTGATAGGACGAAGTTATTTGATATTGACTTCTCCGTACGAAGCACGGAGTACAGCAGTCCTCGGACTGCAGGTGGCAGATACTAGGAGGCTGGAGTCGAGGATCTACCGTTGTACTAATGCGGAGGACTATTATTAGTTTATTGTAGATTAGGTGCTCACGTGATATCATCTGCCATCCTAGCTATGACATGATACGGGGTAATAATCGAAGAAAAGGAGCAATCCTCATTCAGGCTCTTTGCTCATACAGCTCTCAGGAATCGCAAGCCTTAGGTAATAAAATGTGGCAGTCAGATGATTACTCCCAGGAATCGATCTTCATCGACCCCTTCTCCGCCAACTGCTGGTGCATTTTGAACACCTTGAACAACATATGCGGCTCATGACCCATTCCCTTCTTCAGACACTCGAACTCGGCGCGATCGAAATAGTCTTGCAGGATGGGCTTGTATTCTGGATGCGCGCACTTATCAATAATAACACGCGCGCGTTCCCTAGGACTCAAACCGCGCACGTCAGCGAGTCCCTGCTCGGTCACGACTACGTCCAGATCATGCTCTGTCTGGTCGACGTGCGTGCACATAGGAACAATGCAGCTAACCCCCGTTGGGTCGGACTTGGTCGGCCGCGTGCTGGGCGTGTGCATGATACTGTATTTCGCATTGCGCAGGAAATCCGCCGACCCACCGAGCCCGTTCAGCATGCGCGAGCCCATCACGCAGGTGCTGTTGGCGTGCGCGTAGATGTCGACTTCGACGGGTGTGTTCATGCCAATGACCCCCAATCGTCGGATTATTTCGGGGGAGTTGGAGACTTGTTGCGAGCGGAGGAGGAGTTTCGGGTAGTAGTGCTCCCAGCCGTCGTAGAAGCGCTTGAAGCCGTCGGGCGAGAAGCGGATTGAGGTGGCGGTTGCGAAGTCGAGGTGTCCGCTGTCGAACAGGTCGAGGAAGGAATCCTGAAGGACCTCAGTCCACACCTTGAGATTACGGAAGTTCGCGCCATGGCTCAGCCCGCCGATTACTGCGTTGGCAATATTGCCAATTCCAGACTGGATTGGGAGGAGGCTCTCGGGGAGACGGCCCATCTTGACCTCGTGCTGCAGGAAATCGATCAGGTTGCGGGCAATGGCGCGGGATGACTCGTCTTCGGGGGAATTGGGCTGCGTTGCGTCTGGGTAGTCGGATTCGACAATGGCGACGACTTTCTCGGGGTCGACGGGGATGTGGGGTGTGCCAATGCGGTCTTCAGGGGAGAGGATAAGGTATGGTTTGCGCCGGGGGGGTTTGTCGGACAAGCTGATATCGTGCAGACCTTCGAAGGAGGGCGTGGCGGTGTTCACTTCGATAATGATCTTGTCGGCCATCTGCACGAGCTCTGGAGATGCACCGACAGAGGCACCCGGAATAATACCACCATCTTCAGTAATGGCGGTTGCCTCGATGACAGTGACGTCAAGTTTATTATGCGGCCGGTCTTTCGTATACCATCCCTGCAGCCATTAGCCACGAGCGATCAGCACCATCAAGAAACATACGTAAACAAGATCGGACGGAAACATGCTGAGATGCTTGTCAAAGAACTTGATGTTTCCATTGTTAATCCCCTTTGCGATTTCCTTGCCGACCTGGTGCGGACTGCGACGCTCAATCATGTTCAGGCGCGCCCAGCGGTTCTCTGTCTCTGCACCGGACGAGGCTCCAACGAAGAGGGTATATTTGAGCTTTCCTTGGAGGTTGTTCTTTTCCACATGGTCGGCCAGGGCTGTTGGCACCATCCTGGGCGGGCAATATTAGTATATCTCACACGAAACAATCGAGGAAGAGTGACAATGGAAGCTCACTTTGGATAACCAACACCAGTGAAGCCAGACCATCCAATGTATGAGCCATGAGGAAACAGGTCAATGAGGTCTTCTGCTTTGGCCAGCTTGCTCAGGTACGATGGGCGACGGACACGGCTCTTCAATAACGCTGAAGCAGCCATGATGTACGACTCGGATTCTAGATTCGACTCTGGTGTAGCAAGAGGTAAGAGCGAAGAGAAACCAAGGCGAGTGACGACGAAGGAAAAGAGAGATAATCGAAAAAGACGAAAGGAAGTAGAAAAAGGAACCGGGGTTCAAAATGGCGCCGGCAGTCGTTATCGTGATAAGACAGACAACAGGCCTCCAGCCAAGAATAGGATCTGGGGTCGACAAACGGAAACAGAAAGGGAATGAGCAACTGGGAGGAACAGGAGGAAAGGGAATAAATGGGTTAAAAAGAAAAGAAAAGAAAAGACTGGGGACCCTGGGTGGATTCTGCAGGACCGCCGGATATTTCTGGATAACAAGCCCAGAAACAATGGTTGGAGTGGCCAATCAGACCGCTTGGCCGGTGGCGTGGCCGGCGGATCAAATTATATATTATATGTATTACTTAATTATCACAATATATATTATATATATTATTTAATTATTGTTATAATATCATTTATGTTGTTTGCTGCCGCTGTGTTGCACCAGTCGATGATGAAGTGATGAGCGGATAGGCAATTAACTAGCTCACCTAGTGACGTAATCTGCCTCTATCTACTGGTTGATCTATAATTGTACATACACCTTCCACCATCCTAAAGCATGCCGATGCGTATCCTTCTCAATGGTCCTAGTGTATAATAAATATGAATATACAATAATTGACCATTCCGATCGACCGACCATATCGGCTACATCGGCGCACAGAAGACAAATAAGGCAATAAGGCTACAGGGCAAAGATCTCGGCGACCTGGAGCTTGGGCCACATCGGCTACTCGGCCGGCTATCTGCTCGGCCGGACGGATCTTCTATTCTTCTTCTGTTCTTCTATTCTTCTTTCTTCTACTACACTTTGTATAGCCAGTGTTCGGCGGATGCATAGGCTTAGGGATCGTCACTGCCGTTTTGACTGATAGCTGTTAGGCGACCGTTCATTTCAGATGCTACGATGGATCCTTCAATATGAAAAAATGTCGATGAATACTCAATACTAGACTTGGGTTGACTAGAGTATTTACTACATAACTGACATAGAGTACAGGTCGTTTGGCACGGGACATGTGCCTCAGACAAGTATCTGTATGTGTATAAACTCGGAAGCTAGCAGTTTCTTGGATTAGGGCGGCGTTTTATTAATGCTCAAATCAACTGCCCGATGGACTAGATAATCATTATTGAGATATGCATCGACCAACAGATAATTAGCTTTATTGAATATATGTAGTCAAACACAGTAAAAATCTGTGTTATGCAGTCAATATGCAGTGAAGTTTATCATATCAATGCAATTCTAACCAAATATCAAGCATAGACAAGAAAAAGGATCATGTTCATTCTTGAGATATCTACCATTGTGGACTAGGTTTGAACCGTAGAATTAGGAGTTTCTTAGTAACCCCGGCTCATCCAGGTGCCATTCAATGAGTAATCTTGAGCTAGACGCCTGCAAAGCATTGGTATGGATGTAGGTCTATGCTAACTAATAGAAATTGAAAGACAATGAATAGTAGAGTTCATTCAACAGTAGCTTACTACAAAAATCTAGAATTACATGTCACGGCTTACTAATCTTCATTTTCCCGTCAACCCCAGTGTTACCTACCTGTTAACCCTTTGTGCCGCCAGAAGCCCATATGTATGTGGTGTTCCGGGTGTCTTATGTATAAACGCCAGACCAGGCATACAGCAAGCCCATGATGCTGCAGCATGGGAGACTGAATTGACACCAGAACGCCAAGAATAATGCCGCCATATAACGAGAAGAAGAAATTAATGATTGCGCAAGGCAGAAAGAAAGAATTGTTATTCCTCCGCCTTGCTGGTTAATGGCTCGGCATCCGCCATATCCGCATCTTCTTTTACCTTCTCCTCGGGCTCTTTCTCTTGTACCTTGTCACCGGTAGGGAGTTCAACAGCAGGAGCAGCTTCAGCACCGGCAGCCTTCTCAGCAGCAGCCTGTTCCGCTTCATCGGCTTCACTGGTGCCGTTGACCCACGAACGGAACTTTTTGTTGGATGCGTCCACTTCGTCCTTACTCAAGCCCTGCGCCCAGCTTGGATTGTTGATAAACTTCTCGCGGAACCGGTCTTGACGGCGGTCTTTGATGGTAGAAAATTCCTTGGCATTTTCGTCAACTTCCTCTTGGTTGGACGCAGTAGGACGCCACCACCAGTCGTAGCTGCCCGGTTCGTAGAGAATATGGTAGCTGTTCGCGCAGATACGAATAACTAATCCATCCTGGTGGACCAGGCGGCGGTAATAGCGTTTGTATTCCTCGTCTTGTTCTAGATTCGTGGGCAGGTTGCGCTTGAGGAAAGGCATGCGCATTTGCGAGAACGGAATGCCCTCTGTGGGATCACGCATGGTGTATGCAGAAACATAGTAAGACCAGCGAGCCTCCGGGCTAAGTTCCTCGGCTTCAAATGTGCTCTCTTCGGCGGTCATCATTTGTATATATGTCTTTTGGGTGGCCGGATCCTAGAATATTGATAAGCATCATCATAAACAGGGGGGAGTACTGAACTTACGTAAGTTATACGGTAGATTTCACCTTCCTTAACCAGGCGTTCAACTTGCTTGCGATACTGCATCTCCTGGTAGTGGGTCGTCTCATCCTTGTCCCGTTCTTTGAAGAAGAGATTGACAATGTTGTCGCTGCGGTCCCTTTGATCTCCCATGAAGATATTGCTAGCGAAGCGGGCGATGCCAGCAAAGATCTTGTCCAGGTTATACAGTTGGTATCCACTCTTCAGATAATACCGACGTAGTGTCTCTTCCAAGTGCGTAGGCTCTAGATCACCCTTGATGACTTCATCACACATACGAACAATTTGCTGGTAAAAATTGGCAGTAGGACTGGTGTCGAAGAGGAAATCATTAGGCAGCTTGTCCAGGAGTCCTAATTCCCGGGCAGCCTTTGGTAGAAGCTGGCGACGAACATCCTCGTGTGCTTCCTTTTCATGCAGTTTAACCTTCAATAGGCGGCTGTACAAAAGCTCAAAAGTACGGAAAAAGCAGTAGACATTCAAATTGCTGTACAGGTGATGCACCTTCTTGTCGTATGCCTGGTTGAGTGTATATTCACGATGAAGGTTAAAATTACCTTGGCCAGGGTGCTCCATCCATTTCAACTCGGCGACATCAAAAGGTTCCGTCGGATCTGGAATTGGAGTCGACGGGACAAGCACCGCATCGGGAGTCGCATCACGACTAGGGCCAGTGCTGATGGTTCCCTTTTCGCCGCGACGTTCAAGAACGTCGCGGAGAAGATCCAGCCTTTTAGCGGTGGCACCACGACGGCTGCGGTTCGAGGACTCGTCGACCGCCATAGCATCTTCATCCGTCTCCTCAGGTGACGTTCCATTAGACAACTCGTTCATGTATATATGGAATGTATCACGATCCATCCCGAAGAAAATAGGGATGAAGTCTTTGATGAAAGCAATCACCCGCTGAGGTTCCTGGCCATAGTTTCCAGAATTGCGGTCAATATAAGTGAGCAAAAGCTGAGCCGCATCAATAATGACAGCAGGATCGGAAAATTCGAATTCGAATTGATGGCTAGGGATGTGAAAGCCACTCTTGCGCACGTTACGTCCCTCTTCGTATTTGGCTTGGATCTCGTTTTGGATGTTCTTTGACGAGAATAGTTTCTTGTCCACCCCCTTGTTCGTAATTGCCTGGTGGTCGAGGCTACGCCAGAAGCATCGCTGCATCTGTTCACGCCATACTTTGTCCCACTCGCGCTGGCTAGCTTTCCACTCCTCGCATTTCTGTTTAAGGCGATACAAGAGAACAGGAAGGACGTGGCAAGGCCGTTCAAACATTTGCTGAATGATGAGTTCTCCACGTTGACGATCATAAACTTTCTTAATTACCCGCTTGTAGATAGACTCGCTCTGTCCCCCTAAACCAGGCGGTAATACGAACGCAGCCCGTTCTGCCTCTGACATAACCAAGAATTGCTGTACGATAGGCTCGATGAGTTGGATTGTACGAACACACGCCTCAATGTGGTGATCATAATCATGGCGGTCTTCTTCAATACGATGAAGGGCATCTTCGTATTGGTTCTTTCGGTGCGCGACGAAACCAGAATCTTCGGACTCCCACGTAGGATGTGATGCCCATTCATCGTTCAGTACACTGCGACAAAGCTCATCTCGGCCACTGCATGGCTTCTGCCGCTCTCTTTTCGGCAGAAGACGGTAGCTAGGCCCAAGCGAGCGACAGTGAGCAAGGTTGACTGACCCAGGCTCCTGTTTGGGTTTCAAATCAATAATTCGGTCTTCTGGATCTTCAATGTGCATGAAGCGTTTAAACCAGGACATCAGCTCTGGGTTAGATCCAATAAACCCGGCAGCTCTCTTAACCAGTATGTGACGGTCGATCAGATCGGTCGAATACAGATTACACAGTTTCAAAAACTCCAAAAAGGTCTGTTTGTTGCCGATGAACTTCTTAACCCGGTCAAAGAAGGCGAACTCATCATTGTTCGGCGCAATCGAGTGAACTGGCGGTATGGGTTCAGGAAGTGCGGGCACCAGCGTTGGGGAAACCATCGGTCCATCTGCCTGCATTGGTTTAGTATGATGAACTTTGGCTCTCTAATAATTTCAAGGCAATTAGCATGGAAGATGAAAATCATCCAAAAAGACTCACTTTATTTATCCCACTGGCCTGGACGCTGCCAGCACGGGTGGACTGTGCATCACCCATTCTCGAGGCGTCAAGAGATGGCCCAGGAGCTGGGGCACCAAGGCTGCTGCCAATGCCCGGTCCACCTCGGCGTTTTTTGCCATCTTTACTTGAATCTTTAACGTTGAATTGTCCCAGAGGGGGCATTTTGACATCCCGTCCAGGTGTCTGAGATTGAGCCACGGCGACAGAAGGTGGATATGGCATTTCTCCACGCATACTGCTAGTGGGCGCAGGGTCATCAAGAGCTTGTCGAGCAGCTTGAGCTTGCTGTTTGGCCTGCGCCGCAGAATCGGGAAGAAATTGTTTAAAGTCTTCTAACAGATCTGGTGCAGAATGGAACAGTTGAGTCACTTGAGCGTAAACATCTTGAATAGGTTTCGATTCACGTTGATACGTCTGCAATATCTCCAGAAATTGTTTATAAATTTCTGGGGCACCTGCGAAACGATTCTAGAAGCAAGAACAATCATTAGTATATCATCAACATACCCAAAAGATAGCTCTCACCTTTATTTTGTTCACATAGCTGATTGCATGGTTAAACTCAACGGGTCCCCGCTTATTGAGATCTCCTTGAGGTCCTTGCAGAACACCGGCACCAACACCAACCAAATTGCTCATAGGTCCATTACTAGATGCTGTCCCGGGGGACACCTGTAACAGAGAGGGTCTGCCTGCACCAGACGTTGCAGCAGCAGCACTCTGAAGCGTTGAGACTCCTCTTTGATCTTGTTGATGGAGAGCGACAGCATTCAAGGCAGCCTGCTGTTCTTGCTGGCTCTGATACTCGTAATGGTGATCTTGAGTCTGGTTTTGACTTCCCTGCTGTCCGTAAAGACCTCCCAAAGGACGATTATTTGGTGAGTACGATCCTGCAATCCCGGGTTGCGTCTGATGTTGTGGTTGCTGCCAGCTGTTCCGTGGTTGGTCATAGTAATCTGGCCGCGATGGCGGTACAAGTCCTCCCGACGCTCCCATATCGTCAGTGGAGTCGAGAGATGAGCGAGGGGGGCGAGTAGCCATCGATAAAGTGTTAGTACCAGATGGTGTGGTCACGCGAATGGCATTGGGATTGTCGTCTGTTCCGCACTCGATGCGATAACCAGGGGGCAAGAATGTGTTGAACCCTTGAATTAGAGCGGGGTGTCCGGTGAAAAGGTTCGAAACTCGCTGGATAACGCCAGGTGTGTCAATCCTACAACTTGTCAGACTCCTGAAACACTACCTGTAAAAAATCCGGGTGTCATACGCTTGGCTTTTGAAGTCCTTCATAATGTCTAAAAAGCGATTGTAGACATCCGGTTGATCAACAAACCGCACCTTGACCTGATCAAGGTAACTGAGCGCGTCCTTAGATTTGACAAACATTAGTTTTGTTCTTTCATATTTGCTTCAAACAAATATCATTGCACATATCACTTCACCAGAAAGCCTTTTGCTTTTCTAGGCTTTGTTCGCCGCAAGGAACACTCACATTCAGAATAGGCTGTTGGCCTTGTGCCATAGCCGCAACATTCCCCGGTATTTGGGCGGCCGCCGGAGCAGTAGATCCATTATAACCCATCATCGGCTGCGAAGGTGGCGGTTGTGTATGCGGCATGTACGGTCGAGGGGCGCCATCTTGGTGAGGCGGCATCTGGGTTCCAAATAAGCTACTGACAGTATTCGATTGGACTGAGCTCTGCGAAGGGTTTGACGGAGCACCTCCGCCGATGTTTGAGAGCAAACCATTTGGCCCATGAATGGAGTTGGGCACTTTTGACGCGACAGGCTGGTGGATAGGGATCGAGCCAGTATGACTCTGAACAGGGTGCTGCTGCTGTTCGCGCTGTTGACGCTCAAGATGTTCTCTCTCGCGTTCACGCTGCTCTCGCTCTCTCTGTACCATATCCTCGTGCCGTTGTCTCTCCAACATCTCTCGCTCCCTGGAGTCGCGCTCCCGGTCGCGATTCAATTGGGGAGAGGGGTGCTGCATCGCCTGCCCGATACCTGGCAGTGAATGCGTTCCGCCATGGGAAGGCTGTGGGTGTTGTCCAAAGGGAGGTGGTTGGTGTGGTGCACCAGGGCCCTGCGCCAAGTCTGCCAGGCCTGGGAGAGAGTGGCCTGAGGACTGGGTTACGGAATGAAACGGGCCTAGTGAGATCCGAGCTGTCAATAACCTGCCATCCTAAAGTGCGCTTATTTGTCAATTTGATGTTATAACTTACCCGCTGGGGGTGGAAGCACCGGTCCGGCTGGTTGTGAGGAGGGGCCTTGCGGAGGAGGATTTTGTCTGCGACGATAGTGAGGAAAGGGTCAGTCTGCATGTCCAAGAAATTTGATCAAGCGTCATGTGGTAGAAGTAAAAGCAGAAAGATTATCACATACCCATAAGACCCCAATGGACGAGACTGTTCCATGCTGGGATGTGATGGTGGACCTCCAGCTGAGGAGTGCCAACTGTCGTTCCCAGAGGGGTTCATGCTAACATGAAAAATCAAATCGAGTGCAGTAGAAGGCCGAAGTAAAAGCTTTGGTGAGCTCGCTGGAATCGACGGCTCAAGCCGAGTCCCGATTCTGTTGCTTGTGCTTGCGATTTTATGATCTCAAAAAGACAAGACCCAGACGTGATCAGAAGAGTTCTGCCACAAACATCGCGGCTTCGCTGTGCTGAAAAAGATAGTCCACAAGTTGAAAATGTTGCAGAATAGCGATATCTGGGTCTGACTGACAATCGCTGTCAGAAGCAGCTGTGAAGAATAAAGAGATACCACAAGTGACTCACGAAGCAAGTTGCGACGACACAGGTGATGGTGCTTCAGGGAATCTGCTGCGACCAGGCTTGCGCGACTCCGGAGAGCGGTAGAGCGAGGCAGTATCTAGCGGTTCCACTTTGAGTAAGACTTGGCGGCTATCTCGGTCGCCGGAGGATCGTTGTCCCGGAAGAGCTTTGTTAGGCCTGTGATTGGCCAGAGCGTCGCTTTCTGGTGTCGCGGCTACACTGGGACTAGTGCATCAAGCTTGCAGAGGATGACGTCTTCGATACGGCTTGTTTTAGTCGCATGGATTAGGTCAGGTAAGGAAACCACGTATAAGATAGGAATTGCCTCTGCGATTGGGATAAAGAACTATAGCTTAATCGCGTATTGAAGTTAACGGCAGCGATGCCATGATAAAACATTGCTTCTCGGTCCATTAGCGAGCTTTGGAATGCTCATCAAGTTTATGCCACGATCAGTGCCTGGCTGCTGAGCGTGCACAAGGAATACAAAACACGAGAAAACCACCAACATAAGATACCAAGCCTCATCTAGCATTCACATGGATACTTCTACGACCGATTTGAATACGAAACTAATGGCTGTAAATCGCCTCGACTCTCAATTTACTGCCGTGTCCGTGGAAAATAAGCTGTAGTAACAGCTCAATAATAGCCCTCGCCCATTATAACCAATTCACCATCTGAATAACTTCGTTTGTGTATGTTTTCTTTACAATGCTGAGAAGACAAAGAGCTGGTAATGGGTAAGCAATGCAGCAAAGTAATCAGGAAGTAATCTAAAACTTACATTGTTAGTGGCGGCAATGGCAATGCTGTCTTCGAAAGGGTGCCAGCTCATGTGTAGAATCTTCTTATTGAAATCAATCTGATCTGCGTCTGTCTCTTTCCTCATGCGTGACCCAGCACCAGCAGGACTGTTGGCCCTAGAGCCGTTCTTCTTTCCGTTTTTATTGATAGGAGTAGGCACGCCGACTTTCTTAGCCTTAAAAGCCGACTTGTCCGCTTGTAAGACTACTTCTGTCTCCTTATTCGCATCTGTCGGGTATATCATGAAGTTGTTATTGTAGCTGCCCGTCATGACGTTCTCTGCATCGCCGGAGAACACAACCTCAAATTTATCGAAAATACTATCGTTTTCGTAGGTATCGCACAGTCGAGGTCTAAGATGTTCATGGATCGGAATAGTCTTGACGGGTTGGCGTTCCATGTTCACATCCCAGATTTTAACCGTTAGGTAATCACGAGAAAGGATGTAGCGGCCGTCATGGGAAAATCGTACGTCGGAGATGGAGGAGATGATTTCGGAAAAGAAGGATCGTGAAGAGGCGTCTTCTTCCTGCTCGAACACTACAAAGGCATTTCATTAACAAAGTTCATAGGGTTAAAATGCTAGAAACTCACATTTTGAATGTTGGTCACAAAGTGCACGTTGTCGCATATCAGCCAGCTTGATCGTGCCTTTTGAGCTAGCGTACATGAACCAGTTACAGCTTTGAGGGTGAAATTCGGAAGCGGTGATGACCTCGGTTAACTCTTCCATATTTGCAGGTTTGATATCCACAATATTGAAGCTCTGATCCTGTATGTTGAGATTCCATAGATTGATTCGCAAGTCGTCACTGCTTATGAAAGTCTCTCCATCACTGTTCACCGAGATACTGTTGATATGATAAGCGTGGGCGTTCGCATATGTTCGTCGAGGCACGGCAGCGACAACGGTATCATGGTGAGTCATGCGTGGCAGTTTCAACGCGGATGAATCTTTGAATGAGACATGCGGAGGACGAGCTGCTCCTCCGCCCAACACACCTGCTGGTGTGAGATCATGAGACAGGTTGTTTTCAGCAACGACTTTCAGGGACTTGTCAAACACCTTCCACAACTTTATGGTCTTATCATTAGTCGACAATAAAAAGTGCGACGCGTTCTGGCGTCTACACCATTTGATCTTGTTAATCTTTTCTTCGATTTCGAGGGACTTGAGATAGTCGAACTCTGGCTCGTGTGATTGGAATTCAGTGTGAAACTTGTACTCGCACGTTTTTTTCTAAGTGACAGGACAGTATAGTAAGCAACATGGTTATATGTGTTTAATGCGATTCAAAGGTGTTAAAATACCGTCTCATTCCTCTCAAACAGTACTACCCGGCCACCCTTATCTCCTGTGGCCAGATAGTTTCCAGTGTGGTCGAATTCAACTGTTGAGATAATATCCGCTGCGATGAAAATCCATGCGTTAGTCTCACGCCACTTTTCTGAAGGAACAGTAGCTTACCTTCTGTGATATCCTCTACATCGCCTTTATCCCCAAAGCATCTATTCGCTTACGTTAGCTTCACCGCCTTTATCAAGGAATTGTTCCACAGCTCTGGTACAGCCACTGCTGAGAGAAAACTAGAAAATATCGTAGTCTGGGTTCTCCCAATATCCGGGTACCCTTTATTCTTATCCACCAGGTCTGACTTACTGTGTGAACTTCCAGGTGGGCGACCCTGGATCTCCGTCTACCATCTTTCAAGGCGCAATATTTATCCGGCCAGCAAGCAATCGTCAAGAAAATCAACAAGTAATAATTCGAAAGCAGATTGACGCGGTATCTGTTTATCTCCGATGTCGGTCAGCAAATGGGGATGCGATTCTAGTCTTGACCGGGGTGTTGTTTTCGGCGAGGGTAGTGCAGTGCAACGATGAACGCCGATCTTAATGAACAAGATCGATATTGGATAGAAATATTAGATTGGAAAGTCTTGACAATACCTAAAATACATGTATCAGCAACTAGTTCTCAACACGGGGATGAAAAGATAGCGATTCTGCCGTGAGGGAGAGGGGCGGAACACAGACCCACGGATGACAGCAGCAAACACGCAGAAAAGGCAAAAGAGAAAAGAAATATCTGGTGACTGACCTAATAAGCAATGGGAATTGAATGGGTAATGCACGAATGATTCGCTGCGGGCGTTTTGTTCGATCGAGTGAAGAGTGCTGCGACACGAGAACAGGCGGGGAAGAAGAGGTTGGTGTGAGGGGAGTTGAGCTGCAGCCCTTCCACAACGCAGAAAGCCCGTCGGATGAGAAGAGAGGCGAGGAAAGGGATAAGGGCGAGCCGACGAGTAGGGGGGGTATTGTTGATGCAGGAAGGAGAGGGCAGAGAGCTACAGGTCGGTGGTGCAGCGATGGTCGTGGGGAGAGGATCGAAGCAACAGCGGGTAGCAGAGTAGAGTAGTCTGAGGCTGGCCGTTTTAAGGCTTGGCCCGAGCCCTGCTTTTGCCTTTGCTGTACCCACACCACAGCTGGCGATGCACACGCCAGCGCATTAATATTGTTCTTGACGGCCGAGTATTAATCGATTCGTCTTCTGTGGACTCGCAGTTTGTCTTTGGGTTATTATTGCTCATCGAGGACTATTCCTTCGGGACAGATCACTATTTCCTCGTCGCGGTTGAATGATTTCACATGGCTGATGACGATATATAAGCTCGCCAAGCGCTCTGGCCTAAAGTCTACTTAGACATGAACGAAATCTTCTCGAAAATTAGTTGCATGTAGCATCCTACAGGAATTCTATTACTGGATAAGTGTCCACCTACCAAGACAGACTCAATATATGCAGTCCAGAATACCGGAAACCTCGCGGTCCACGGCCTGAAACGAGAAGGCTGTCTCGTGATTTCTTCATCCATCACATTCGTCTCTAGAAGAGACATTCCAATAAGAGCACACGTGCAAGAATAATGCATTATATAAGTCAGCACACCATGGGCCATAGTCCTCGAGGTGTCAACTTATCTGTGATCAGCAGTGACAAATGAAGCTACGCTCTACCTTGATATCTAACGATATTGAAAGTAAAAAAATCCCAATTCAAGCCATTTCAGAAGAAGTAATACCAGGTTATGATCAACATCCAGATGTCAATTTCAATGTTCTTTACTCCAGTGCATAGTAAACAAAAAATAATAACAATACATGTAATCTCTAGAAATGTCAACAGCTACATATATCAAATTATTAATTGATATTTGGCTATATATTTTACAAGATCCGCTACGAATACGCTGAACGCCAACGGGGACATGGATTAGCCCTCATGTAACCAAATAGACCAATATACCACCTAACGATGTTTAGATCTCTCGATATAGAACATAAGAAACTATAGACCTGCATCCGACAATAAAACATGACTGAGCGGGCTCATCCAATCGCGTGATCACAGCGGGGATACCTGAGGCACCGGCCGCAAACATACGCCAGGTTTCCGGACCTGGTTTAGTGTAGCCATGGAAGTTCTAGATTCAAAGCGACCGAGTCTAATTCTTTCTTTCCTCTACCTTCAGGTCGGATTATCATCGTCGACGAGTGTATCGAGGGCTATCGCGAGGCTATGGGTTGAAGAGCGGTGCTGGTTCTCATTGGTCAGCTCGGCTCGGTGATAGCCGATTTGGATCGACAGATGAACCGTATCAATCGCTCGCAGTGAGAAATACATCGTCATGGATGACATTGAGGGAATTTTTTGTTGGACAGGGTTTCTTCATTTCTCTTATATGCTTTTAGTGGGTTGCTGGTCTGGAAACCAATATATGTCTGCACTCGCCAAAGGGGGCAGACTATTTCCCCGGTCAACTCCTTCCAGGAAGGTGTTTGTGGGTTGCCACGACATGGCTAGTGCTCCAGAGATACTGAATTGCGTTATTCCTTGAGGATAAATTTCTGGACCAATAGCTGCTGGGGTGGGGTTAGAGACTGCTACATCACAAGGCTGCGTGACTGGTTCGGAAACAGGACGGTTTCTTGGTGCGTCCTCTTCGTTTGTCAAGCCATGCTGGTTTGATCGTTGTCCTGATTCAAACATAGTATTTCATCTATACTATAGACGGAGAGGATTCCGCAGCTTCTGGAAAGTGTCGCTCTTGTATACATTGTCGAGCCATGCGGTAAATGGCCAGTGGACTAAGGACATATTTCGGCCTTCGTTGCATTGGACCGGGCCCTATGTGTAGTCTGTTAAAGGAACTTGGTGGAATACATATGAAATCAAGATATAGATCGACCGATGCTTGACTGACACTTCAATATCAATTCACCCTGTATGCTTCCTGTCCGTGAACGAATCCTGGTGACTTGAATATCGAATCCTGCCGGCCTAACCATAGACATAGTCGATTTATTCTGCCAGACATATCAGCCATCTGTACAAAAACCACTGCTTAAATATCAGGAATACCAATTTTTTTGACAAAACAATCGTGTCATATGTCCAAGTGCCTTGATATTCGTTTGCAAAAGTGGGATGATGCTATCAGCTTCCTCCCGACCCTAGGTAGATTGTGTGTCAATAAGTTGGGTGGTATAATATAGGATAGCCCGCAAACTATCGTATGCAATCGTTTCCATGCATGTATCAGCGAGAATGTTCGTGCCATGGATCATCGCCTCAGCAATTGTACTTGCAACCTGGAATGCATGCTGTGCACATGTTTTTTGATAGTGAGAAGCGAATGAGCTCTGCTCGGGAGGAAATTGTACTGCAATTTGGAACTTAAATAGTTGCGGCACACCAATACGATATAGATCAACTAAGGTCTGGTAGTTTGTGCACCAGATCAGAAAAAGGGAGCCCAATTCTCCCGACTGTTTTTGCGCGTATATTGCGGTAGAGGTCATTTGACTGTTAGCAGGGAGCGTAACTTTTCAGTGTGCTAGGTCGGCGTTTAAACAATAGAATCCAGAGTCTACCTCCCACGGCGGTGGTCATACGTCGAGAAGTTTGACATATCTGTGCACATCAACAAAAGCGGACTCTCAATTGTTGGTACAAGCTTTACATGCCTTAAAACTTCCCGCCTGATGCGAATCAAACGGACAAAAAAGGCCATCATGCCCATATTATCAACTGGGTTGAGCGATATTGCAGAATGTGGGAGAAACTAGAAGATTTCCCCTTCATCCATCGTTCTGTGATGCAGGGTATCTGATAGAGAAAGCTGCGAGAGTGACAAAATCTTGATGTCTATTTCATGTAGCCTAGTGAGATGGTCGACACCGCTGCTAATCCAGCTATCCATTATATAGCAGCACCAGATTAATCATCGTCGCGTCTCTCTTTCTGATGGGGAAAGCCCTGCCTGAGAATTCTTACATAGCACATCGGCAGAGTATTCGACGTTGAGCTGCAGTGCTTGGGACATGCGCAAGCCTATACCACTGATCATATAGGCACTTGCATAATTCCCTATCCTGATTTCAGGATCACATAAAAGAGCGGTAACCTGGATACGAGTCAGGTATCTGGTGTGCTCAATTGAAATACAATTACTACCTCGAGTTTGTCTATAGAGACTTGATTAAGATCAGCAAGAACCGCACTCATCCTGCGGCTCACCCATGCATTTGCCGAAGATAGTACAAAACTTGGTGGAAGATAAGATACTGTTTCGGAGTAGAGAAGAGCGTGAAATCATTGAATCGTTAGTCAGGGTTCCTGCAAGTCCATATCGACGGTATATTACTTTGCTCCAAGGGCACAGATACTCAAGAGTAAAGCACAATGGTCGCTTTCTTCGGATATGTCCTTATCAAACTGTGCTAGGAGCGTCGGTATGTGGACGAAGCCAAAACATCGCAACGGATGGACGTTGGCGAAATAGCCGTCAAGTGGTTGGGTAATGAGTGCCTTCTTGCTGGGTAAGTTAGACGCTTGGAGCCTTTCATAATTAGCTATATTCGTCATACATGTTAAAAAAATGTCGTCATGTCACTTACCGTGATAAGGGTTTGATATCAGACTCTGAATATGGAAGTTTCGTAGTCCGTGAGTTTTGAATGGATAAACTACTTGCACTGCAATCTGGACCATGCTGCTGTGAATCAACTAACTGCATAGATGGGCCTTTAGATTTTGGAGATTCCTCTGTTGCTAACGAAGCATAGTCACATTCAAGGCCTCTTGCCTGACATCTCGTACAGACAGGTGTCGCACTAGAGCACTTGGCCTTGCCGACGTGTGATGCATTGCATGACTGATAAGCGCGACTTCGTCTCGTTCCGGCCTGGGTCAATTCCGATATTTTGAGTTAAGCGACATCCGACAATGCTGTTCTTTTTTTGCCCCAAAATGCCTCCAATTACCCTCCCAGTGAATGCGACCAAGGTAACGGTCCAGTTAATGACCAGTCCTCAGGGTGCGTCGGCCAGAGATGCAACCGATATCACCTGGGCTGGCAAGTAGGGGACTGCAGCTAATAATGGAACTAGTGTCGTTGCTAAAAACGATACCTAGACAGTGAATGTGAATAGAAACATGAAGCCTAGTATGGAAGTCATTCGTTGGCAGTAATGATTACTCTGTATTGATTTAAGTCTTGCAGTCTGTTTCGTATGTTACATCACTGTATTTTGAAATAGATCATTGTTTAAACTGTACAGTACTCTGCAATCGAGATTGCAATTTATTCCATGTTTAACGATGACCCAGCCAATTTAACATGTCAATCCTCTACTCCTAGGTTTTGGCGAGTGAACCATTGCACCCGCGTTTCCGTATATGTTATATACAAATGTGGCCTCGTTTGAACAAAATCTTAGCATTAATTCATTATATAGCCAGTAAATAAAAACATTGTTAAGAAAAAACAACGAGGTCATTTTCAGTGATGGACTGGCAGCCGAATATGGCATAGCATTGTCTGGCCTCGGATTTAAGATGTTTCCTCTTATCCGAGCTCACATCTCGAAAACTGACTCAACGACAACATTTGAACACTATCTCGGACCGGAGATGTATCGAACACCATCGGATTCAATTCTCAGTATATATTTCAAGTACTACAATGGCTCACAAGCGGCGGCGTCCAATCCTTGCTTGTGTCGAATGCCATCGGCGCAAGGTAAAATGCGACCGCAATTATCCGACATGTCTCCGATGTGAGAAGGCCGGCATGGGCCAAAGTTGTTCTTACCAAGTCTCTCCCACAATAAATACCGACGCTAAAAACATTTCGTCACTTGATGATTTAGAAGAGGATAGCTCTAGTGGTCAGCGTGCGCAATCTAAATCGACGAGAGAGAAAAAAGACGCATACAGGAGGAGGAAATCTCCAAATCAAGGCCGAACTGATGAAAATCAGCCCGAGAGCCTCAAAGATAACATCATGCAAATTGCATCATACGTGAAATCACCAGGGGCACGTCCGATATCCTCTGAGATGTACCTCGGTTTGGCGCATCCAAACGGCCCGGGTTGTCACATGGGTGTTTTGCAAGCAAAGCATAATGGCAATAACAATGATGAACAAAGCCACGCAGACTTAACATCTCGCTTGCCGGATCACGCCTTTAGAACTCGATACTATGGCCCTAGTTGCTTGACGGCAATGCTTCTACAGCGCCAGGAGCTATCGGACTTTGTTCGACGGCTTCTCCGACATATCTCATCTTCCAGCTCACGAAGGAAGCAAATGATTAGCTCATCGTTGAAGAAGAAGAGACCTGGAAAGAAAAACCGTGCTAGTCAGATATGGGAAAAAGAAGACTTGATATCCCTGTTGCCGTCTCGAGCGCGTGCCGACAGCTTGATTCAGACATATCTGGATGTTTTTGAGACGACTTATCGAGTATTTCACGTGCCGAACTTCCTCCGACGCTACAATGATTTTTGGAAATCCCCGACTGACACAGATGAATGTTTTATACTCCACATCTTACTCGCCATGGCTACAGTCAATGCTTTTGTTCACGACGGCCCGGAGAGGAATGATGAGGATCGACGAAAACAGGCCAAAAAAAGCATTCGAGCAGCAGAGAGCTGGTTACGTGTTCAAAGTCAGAAATGGGTTACATTGGATATATTTCAAATCCATGTGACTTTGTTCCACGCGAAGAAACTGAATTGGGTAGAGTTTAAAAGTTCCTGGGAGTCTATTGGCACACTGGTCCGACTATCAATGGCAGCTGGACTGCACCGTGACCCAACGTATTTAAGCCAGAAAATGCCCGTGTTTGAAGCTGAAATGCGTCGAAGATTGTGGTATACGATTTTGGAGTTGGAATTGCAAGAGGCCTGCGATCGAGGAATGCAGCCAATGCTTTCAGCTGATAACTGGGATTGCATGCCGCCATCTAACATTCATGATGAGGACATTGGCGAGATGACTATAGACTTACCACCGGAAAGGGACCTACATGAATACACTAGGACTTCCTTCTTATGCACGGCTCAGAAGCATCTTCCCTTACGCCTGGAAGTGCTCAATAAAAGCAACAGTCTGAAGAATGGCATTGATGTTGACTTGGCCCGAAAATATGTAGAGACGCTGCAGGGCCTGGTTGAAGGGTTGCCTAATTGGCCCGAGACTCCGTCATCAGCCGTGGCGAATGTCCTCTCCAGGTTAGTTCTTTATGAACAGCTGATGATACTTCAACAACCTTTTGCTATCAGTCAAGATACCGGGTTAGATCACCATCGAAGCTTCTATTTCAGAGCTACACAGCGACAAATGGCCATAGATGTTATGAGTCTTTACTCTTCATTACCCAGATCTGAAGCTCTTCAGATATTCACCATTAGAGGAGATAGCTTTCGTGCGGTGTTGGCTATGTGCTATGAGGCTGTCCAATCATCTGGAGCAATGAACTCTGAGCTATACAACCACGAAGCGGAAATCCATCTGTTGGAGGAAACCATGACTTTGTTTGCTGACAGAGTTCGAACTCTACACAAAGGATTCCAGCTATACTGGCTAGTTTCTGCGGCAGTCGGCTTGGTCAAAGTTCGTTATTCTAAGGTGCCAAACGACGATCTGGTCGCTGCAGAGACTGTTCTTGATGCTTTTACCCTCCTGGAGCAGATAAATCAATGTACAGGCACGAACAATCTCGATCACAACCATGGAATTGATCCTCGCCTTAACTCGATTGAAGTCACAGGCAATATGCAAGAGCATCAAGAAAGCCATACCATTTCGTCTGCTATTGATTTGTTCGACCCAGACACTTTCTTCGCTGGCCTTGTTGATATGGACTTCTCACCTGATTGGCTGTTGAGATTCGACGATCCATATTCTTGTCCTACCATAAACGATCTATAAGAAAGCACTGTAATGTAATATGTTGAGTATGTAGATGAATGATATTTCTATTGATATTCTATATGACATTGCTAAATGTTCACAACCGCTCTGTGAATTGATAATATAGCGTTACTCACAAGTCATCAGGTGCAAGCTTTGATAGCTTTCGTAATCTTGGCCCATATTTAATGAACAAAAATGGGACAGGAAGTAAGACCGCAGCTACAGCACCAATAATTGAGACAGATGGTCCAATGCCCAATGCGCTGACCATGGGTCTAGCTGCTAAAGGGAGACCAGCTGCCATTAAACTTCGGAGAAAAGTGACGGCGGCGGTCGCACTAGCTGCGTAGATTTTGTACACGTCAATAAGATAGTTGAGACACTGTTGGAAAATGCAGTTGAATCCAAAGCCGATGAATACCGCTGCCAGACAGGGTAAGATCCAGTGGTGGGGAGGCGCACCAGTCCAGGCAAACCAAAAAAGGCCAGTCACGAGGAATATACCGCCTAGTATCATAGGAGGAAGCCGTGCTTCTGGAACTGCTCTTCCATTCGCTGCTTTTGATATCCGGTTATAGCGAGACTGGTTATAATTGTTGATGCCGACGGCCGACACAACTCCGATTAACAGTCCCAGAAATGGTAGTGCTCCAACTACTGGGCCCCAGCCACGAGTCTGTTCAAATATAATAGGGAAGAGCTCAAGAGCTAAGTACATGACTCCGTAGACGAAGGCCGCATAGAAAGAAACACAGGTGACGATAGGCTCGGTGAATAACATTATGAGTGGTCGAGCAAGTTGTTTTGTTAAGATTGATCGAAAATCAAGTTTTAGGTGCTCGTGGGGGTGGTAGTATCGAGGCTCATTCGTTTCCTTCCGAAGCTGTTGTGCTTTCCTCTTGAGTAGCACCAATGGAAATACTTCGGGGAGACAAAAGAAAGCCAAGAGGAAAATGGTAAACCCCCAGATTGCCTGAATATACACAGTCCATCGCCAACCCAGGTGAGGATTTAATACAAGCGCTGCACCGATTACAGGACCCAGGGCTGGCCCTCCGTTTACTGCTATTGCGTACATACTGACTGCAGTTCCTCGCTGCTCTTTGCTCCACATATCCCCTAGTGCAGCAGTGACATTACTGATCGGGGCAGAGCCAAAGAACCCTGCAAAGAAGCGCGTAACAAACACTGACGCCGCGTCTTTACTGACGCCTGTAGCAATGAAGAAAAGAGCTTGGCAAAAGACGGCCGGCAAGATACTAACTCTGCGACCCCATATTTCTGATATGGGTGCCCAGATGATGGGACCAAGAACAAAGCCAAGTCTGAAATTATATTAGAATTTTACATCTGATGAGATCTCAGCAATACTCACAAGTATAGAGAGAGGTCAAGAATGACGACCTCATCGCTCACCCCAATATATTTCGCAATAGTCTTATCGGCAGGCGTTGTAATACTTGACCCGAGGCTGCCTAATAATGCAAGCATTCCTAGTTGAAATGTAACCCACCATCTGTAGGGATCGGTCCAGTTTTGGGGATTCAACGGGTCATTTGGTGCCCACTTAACAATATATGCTGGATCAAGTGGTACGGTTTCTTTCTTTTCTGCATCTGTTTGTGCGCCAACAATGGCTTTCGTTTTCGACCAGAAGTGTCCCATTTTATCCAATTTCTTCTTCATTCGGGTTTATGCGAAATCGGGTTTCGAGTTTCAATTGGTGCTCTATGAAGTCGATAGCGAAGTGAATCGGACAACCAGTTTGTTCAATATTTTGATAACAAACTATTAATACTCTCTTAATACTCTCGGCGCTAATTTTCAGACGACTCGATTCCCACGAGCGGGGGAAATATTTGCGTGACCAAATGTGTGGAATACATATTCGGAGTCGGCCGAAATTTAACTAAGGGGACTGTCGGCGCGTTCCTAGTTTTCTCTGAATTAGTTGAAGTTCATTGATTAGCCAGTCTCAAAATTGTTGGTGGGGATTCGGGATAGAACCCGTAGAAATCCAGTTGTCTCGGTCGAAATTTGACGCTGTTATCTCCGAGGAATAACGCTACGCATATCGGGACCGAACGAGCTGCACTCAAACGCAACCAATATTCTCATTCACTAATGTATTACCGGTGCCTTGATATAATTTACCTTAATTATAATGAACGTACACACTTATTGGGTTAATGACCGACTTTAAACCCAGGAGAAATTACAGAGATATCGGTCAAAGAATACATCTAGCGTGGTACAATAGTTGTTAAAAGAGTGGTAAGAACAATGGGTGCATATGGAGAGTGAGTCTGAATGCAAATCAGAGACACAAGAAAGTAAATTGAGGATTGCTACAAGCGGCAGCTCACGCTTTCATTTCATTAGATAATGTTAATCGCTGGAATTGTTCAAAACGTCTCTGTAGAAGTACCAGAATGGCGACACTCGAGAAGCCTGGTGAATCCCCTCTTTACATGCACCGAGCTGAGTTGTGTCGAGTGCTTCAAGAGGTATATGGATAAGATGATGGCCAAACTCCTGGTGATATAGGTCTGTAGCCGCGGATTAAAAATTAGTTCGTTGTGCTCTGGGACGTTTTGATTTGATTTCATTTTTTTTACAAGAACTATCTTCGTGTGGGTGCTACCCATCTCCTTAAGCCTCCCTATTATTTTTAAGTACATCTTTTTGAAGCTACTCGCCTACAAAGCTAGTCCTACAGTGTTCAGTGAATAGAGGCCGTGACACCGTTCTTCACTGTGGCGGCAGGCCTGATAGCTCGTCTGCTGTCTTTATTTCCAACGACAAAATGGTCGCGATAAAGGATTTTCTCAGTCAATGAATCTGGCGAGAAGACTTGAAGAGCTCCAACCGGGCCATCTTGAAGTGAGGCGCTTTATCGGCGACTTCACGTCTTGCTTTGGAGTCCCAGGGTCCGCCTGGCTCAACAACAGGTGATCTCACTGGCGCTTACCAGCTTATCAAACTGATTAAGGACTTTTGAATTATGGAAAACTGGGACCCTTGCTGAGCATGTGGAGAAGATCAAAATGTTATGTGTCGGAACGGGGTTGAAGTAGCATCCTTCATTGTTGCCGTGGTTTAGAATTTATTTTAATCATAGGCATTAAAATTTTAAATTCCAACTGACATAGAGAAATCGTTTCACTGAACCCTTAACTCCGTTGTACGAGGGCTTTTGGTATTAATCAATCATTTCATTAGATAGCTCTACCGCCCGGTTTCAACAGAATATTAACACGAGATCAAACGCGAATACCTTAGCTTTTAATAGCAAAGCATAGATTAGACAATAAGTAATCCGATCACCTATTATCTTCTATATGGATAATATTCAAAGACTGCGAATCCTGATCCCGGTCATTTCTACCCAAAATGCCGACCATAAAGCTGGACTGATCGGTAGCTGCCTGGTCGCTTAGTCTATCATCTTCGGCTGCAATATAATTAATCATATCCGGATGATGACCAGCGACAATCCATCCATTAAACGGTTCATCGAGTTTTTGGATAGAAAAGTCGCCCATTTGGCTTCCAACACGAACTGGGCCGTCGGTCGACATGATCTCGCGCGCTTGTTTGGTCAAGTCAGATTCTGGCTGCATAAGGACCAGGCATGTTCCGTGCTCGAATAAAACCCAGCTCTTTTCGTTGTTGTTAAGAAGTTTCCTCCATAAAGTGACGCGGGGATCAACTGCGGAGCCCGCCATGCTGATACCGAATAGATAACTTAGTAGTGGTTGTGCGTTCACTAGATTCTGGAGAGAATGCGATTCAGAGATTGCAAATTCGAAGTTTTTATACAGTTGAAAAAATTTGAATATGAAAAGTGAGAGTAAAATAAGAGGGGGATGAAGGCTAATAATAATAGTACCAGTAGATAGTTAGCTTAATTGAATACGAGCTCAAAGTGTAAGGTTGTCTCGCAATTGAGGCTCAGCTGAGCCACGTCATCAATTAGTTCCCGCTTGTCAATCACGCTATATGTTAATAACTAAAATAGCGAATTAGTTTTCTGCTTATTCATAACGAGGATTCAGCCTTGTCTAGTAGTAGATTTAGGGTACATAATCGTCCGGACAACTACGAGTTGCAGACCCCCAAACGCTCAGAAACGTGTTCAGGCAAGACAACGAGGCATAGAGGCAGGGAGAAAGCAAGGTGTATTAATACACATTCATATATATAGCTTCGATAATATAAAATGCTTTAGAAACATGCTTCACTTAATTAATACACTTATAACTTTTAGCAATCTTGTGACGTTGCTATAATATTATCAAATTTGGGAGATGTTGCCAATTTAGAAAACATTTCCAAGTTTAATAATGTGGTTTAATTTATTACATCTATAATAAGTGCGTTAAATATGACACCGCCGCAAAGATTCTCGTGACTTACAATTTAAAGTAGAGAAAGAATATAGTAAAATACCACTACTAGTATAATTAGTATTTTCTATATTAATATGATGTTTTTCAAGTGAAAGTTTGATCGAAAGGATAGACGCTAATACTGTATGTGACCGCCTGTACTGGTGTAACTTTTGTAAACTTGTAAGTTTGCACGAACCTTCGTGCCACCCTTGTGCCACGTTCCCTTAGTCGGAATATGCTCTCTTACACATGGATTTCTACTTTACCACCTCGTTATCACGGTAGTAGAATACAACTAGGTGCATTAAATTTTCAGGTCGTTGCGAACGAGGTCGAAGATTCTAGGGAAAATTATTTCAATGAGAGACGGCGTGGTCCAACAGCATTAATAGCAGCAGCTCGTGCTGGCTACAAAGATATGGTAAAACTTTTACTTGAAAATGACGCGGATGTTGACTGCATAACGGTGCTACCTATAGGTAGACTCACTGCCTTAAGCTCTGCAGCTGCGCATGGCCACAAAGAAGTTGTCCAATTGTTGTTAGACCATGGTACTAGTTCTTCTAATTATGAAAATGCCTTGTCGGCAGCCGTCAAGTATGATCATAAAGACGTCGTGCTGCTACTTCTTACTGAATACAGCCGATACGGGGAAGGGACAAACCCGATGTGGCGTGCAGCTGAGGATGGCAATCTATCTATGATTGAATTACTTCTTAGTAGAGGATTTGATGGCCGAAAAGCATTGGTAGAGGTTATTCGGTTTCATCATATAAACGTCGTTAAGTTTCTGCTGGAGGAGGGAACCGATCCAGATGTACCAAGTGTGCGCGAATGCGCTGTTGGCATGGCTATTAGCATTCGAAATGTGCATATGATCGAGCTTTTGCTACACCATGGGGCTCATATACATCCGGAGACCCTCAAATTTACCCGATGGCACGGTCCGAAAGAGATGGCTGAGTGGGCAGAGCGGTTTCCAGTCTTAAGTTATACCAGGTCGTCCATGTTTCCCATCCAAACACGCCCTTCTGGAATTAGTACTTTATTGCCAAATTTTCAGCTCTCTAATGCCGGCTAACCCATGTTTATATATCGCGGTGAACATCAATAGCGGGAGATAGGGATTCTTTGGACACTGTTGCAGATTCTCTACCGTTCAGAAGGTAAAAGGCAATATGGACACATAACAAGCCCCTTACAACCTCTTATATATATTTACACCTTCAAATATACTATTAAAAGCGCGTTCCTTTCTAATTAGAACATGATAAAGTAATATATAACTCTCTATCGAAACACGCACGCAGGTAGGCATTACATTGACGCTGACATTAATAAGCCCGTAATATTAATACATTTTAATATATTCCACATTAATATTTTGTAAGTAATATGCTTTATGATATAATTTCAAATATTACATAGATGTTTTAATTAATAACAGCATAGCTATTCTAACCCATATTTATAAAGAATACATCTTCTCAAAAAGATACATCTTGGCACACAATACATCACAAATTTAAATACGTATCCCATGCTAAGACGTAGAAATTAGATTCCAATATTACAGCCGCATTGAGAATGAAGACATACGAAATTCAAACATTGCGAAGACATTGCTGCAACCCTAAAACGGTAATAGCAACGTATTAAGCCGCATTAGAGTGGTAGCCTAGAACTCCCTTATTCCGCTATTGATACAGTTGGATTACATATTTAATGGTGCATGTTGTAAATCACTCTTTCCCTGATAGCATATATTCATCAGTAAAATGTCATCAATCCCCTCTTACAGTATAAACATGAAAGATATATCTCACACGCTGCATGTTGGGTCATACCAGGAGATGTTATTACAGATCCCTGGTACAGGGTGCCTTCATAATCATACTGGCATGCAATGAAAGTAGCATCTGGTTGCGAATAAACGCATCCAATGGTAAATTTACTCCGCCCCTTCCATTCATCAGCTTGAACTGTTATAATAGTGTCAGTTTCAAGGTCCACGTCATCTTCGTAGATAAGCGTTCCTTGAGAGCTGTATGTTTCAATCCCAGTTCTAAACTGATTGTCGGAATCTTGCACTCCGAAAGCAATAATTTGACACCAATTCCAGGATGATGGGATAGACAGTGAGGTTGTTGCAGTAAGGGATGGCGACGTAGTTGTCGTCATTGATGTCGCTGTCTTTGTTGTAGCAGTACGCAAACTGTCAACAAAATTCGTTATATTGACTTCTGGATTCGATAGTAGCGACGAAAAGGCTGCAGCATTTTGAATCACACTCTTGTATCCTTCTGTCACTGTTCCTTCAATCAGACTATCACCGCCGATAGTTGATGTGGTAGTAGTAGGGATTGCAGAGCAGGCACTAATTGTGTGACAAGAGGAAGTGAGTGTCGTCATCATGTGGGTGGATGCTGGGGTAATCAGGGTGCTTTTAATCCATTTAGTGCAGATATAAACCTCTTTTGGTTTGCAATCCTTGTTCTCTGATTGACATCCATCTCTAGTGCATATACCATTGGAACAATTAGTACCGCAACAGCTGACCTCTGTACATTTAGAGCCGGTACAGACGCAGTCAGAACAGTCTAGACCTATACATCCTCATAATATACAACTCAATCCGAGGCAAGTTCCAATGCCCTCATAATCATCCCCGGTGCAACCAAATTTCTGGCATGGAACTCGACATGCAATGGCCGTCAGTGCAACCGCTCCCGTAATATGACCCGATACAGGTTCCATCAATGCAACCTGATCCTTCACAACCGGTCAAAACACATAGCGGTCCTGTAAATTGACCATCGTGACAATCTGAGCCGGCGCTCTCCCGTGCGAAGGTGGGTTTGGGCCATCAGGATCATCCCAGTCTGACTCATCCCCGTCATCACAGTCAAGCAAACAAGGCATATCACAGAATATAGCATTTGTGGCCACGTCTAGATGTACAAGTTGGCCCAGGCGGCCCAATATGCCAGGTAACTGTTGGCAAATTGAAAGGGAACTTAGAAATACCGGTCGACCATGGCCACGGAGGAATTGAAAAATGCTTATGTTGGTAATAGGCAACCATGTTATCTTCAAATGGGTCCACAACTGACGCAAACTTACCTCAGAACCCACTACACAGGCTTCCTTGGCAGTCTGCGCCGCAATAATATTTTACAAACGGGAAAGACTTTTTTAGGGTAGAATAGCACATGTACCGCTCACCGGGAAAGGCTTCCGGCATCCATCCTTGGCATCCTAGATTGAGGCCTTTGATACAGGTATCAAACTCAACACCAATCAAGCGGCTTCAGACTGCCAACATTTTATTCTGGAGAAGTGAATTGTATAGCAGCTACTTTCCGTAGTTTCTTTGAAACTACTTCTGGATTCGAACTTCAAATGGTATTCTGCTCACATGTCTCAGCGGAATCCCTGCAATAGTTACATGGATTGATAGAATTGAGTGGATCTTCTGCATATTTTCCAAGAATATGCCCCTCATTGGGCATTTCTGCATGTTCATGCTGCCATGAAATGTGCTTCTCACCGGTCCATGAAAAGTTTTAGGGAGGGGAAAAGGGGCCAAATTATCAACTAACCTATAGATCGAAAGAGGGCGGGATAAGGCTTCGTTTCTTTTTGTTTCTCTACTTTTTTATAATGCTTGTCACGATAAATATAACTATACAGTCTTCTGAATACAGTAGGCCCCTGAAAAAGTGCAATTTTCTAATCTGATATTCCCATATACCGCACTGAGCGACAAGTTGCGTTTACCTTGTTAAAGTTACTCCAATTTTGCTAGCGGCATACTATAAAAAATGTCTATATTTCAGTAGCTCTCGTTATACTCGGAATGATCGCATGCTTGGATGCCTTTCCAATGAATGATTCTCATTATTCGGAGAGCCAAAATCAGCCAACAAGCAACTTGGAGCAACTACAAAGTCTTTAAAAGGGGACAAATAAAACCGTAACATTCAGAGCAGCTTCTTTAACTCATACCGAAAGGCAATATATCAAGGCTTTGTGGAAGCTGAAGCCGCAGTAAGCCCTTGTTATTGAGAAAAGGTGCAAAGTTATTGACTTTCCGAAGCCAACGCTTACCATTGTCTACAACAGGCATACGTAGGGTATGCTCGTCTAGGTCACCTATAAAATCTCATGAAGACCGAGACGCAACCTGTGGTCTGGTCCCAAGGCGGACCGCTGGCCCTTGAAACGGTTTTTTAGGCTTATTACTCTTAATTTTACTTGCCTCGGGACAATCTACAATTGGCAATTAAAAATATGAAAACAGTAGTTAGTCAGTGCAGCCAGGGTTGACACCTCAGACAGTTTTCCTAAACCATCATTGCTAACGAACTTTAGGTCGATTCAATAAACTTCTGCAAGCGCTACAACAAGATAACTACGTAGTCGACGTGATGTGTGGCGATTTCTGGCTAGAGTTTGATCGTGTGGAAAGCGATCTGAACTCACACGAGGACGTTGTCTATTGTAAGTCCTATCCAGTTGCACTTCGTTTTAAAAACATACAACTTGATATCGGAAAGAATGAATTCTCTAAAGAAATTAATGCCTGATCGCGATCAGGATACTATAAGGACACGCGTAGTCCTGAGGATGGGGGTGGTTATGACCTCAAACTTCTGGCCAACGAAACGGCCTGCACAGAAGCTCCCAGTACAAAAAAGGCATATGCATATTAACATGAGCTCACTGGGCGTGATCATCTCGTGTTTTGTATTGAAAATTTAGATTACGCTGGGTACCATCCATTGAGTGATATGAAGGATGTGGACTACGACACATTTGAGAGTGTAAATATAGAGCATGCTTTCACAGACATTAATACATGAGATGACCCATTCAAAAAATATCCTTGGTGCCCTGGCTGCTAGTAACGACGATTATCATATGAACTATCTAATTAGATATGCTAACAATAAGCCTAGTGGACTTTACATATTCGAAAGATGTAAACCCCCCTAAGGCATACCGTTTGCAAGGTATTCTGGCCCTTTGAATTTCTCACCAGAGTATACACACTACATTTCTGTGTTGATTGTCTTCTAGCAATGTATCTCAATCTGTGCGATTGGAGAGAGTTCGAATGCTCTAAGTATGATCCTCTATTTCAGACGCAAGATGGACACTGGAAAATGCTTGGGTATGAGAGTGCTCTATGATGGAGGGGTAACTGGAATCGAATAGCAGGTGGCTTGTTAAAACGATTGACTCCGTTATCATGGTCATCGTAAATTCTAACTGAAGCAAAAGCAACTACATTAATACTGAGATAACTAAAAGCTGAAAAATTCTGAATTCGATAGACTCTTAGGATTATTTCAAGAAGCCATAAGACTTCGGCTAGCTTTTTATATTGAAGAGGGATCGACTTCTACTATAGATTGATTACCTCGAGTACGGTTTGATAGCTATTAATAGCTCGTTTGCTTGGTTAGCTTTTCATTACCTTATGCGTTAATTTCCTCAATTTACCATCTCCGACACCGCAAACACAACTTTGCGGTTAGAGTAGAAGGCTAGAACAATAGCAATAGACGAGGACGACGGAGCTAGAAACTGATACATTACTTGGCGGTTACTTGCTCGACTAAATTTTCACGGGTGCACTAGGAGTCCGAGTATGCACATGGGCTGTATTCCTTTTGTGCTTAGTAAAAGGTCCACCATACTTTTATTGCTTATGTCGCTGTGAGGGTAATGTACGTTATATGCAGAAATGCAGCGCCGCACACGGCGTATACCAACATTATTACATAAAAACAGTGCTATATGGATACAAAACATATTTGTACTGTACTATGTAAACTAGTCCCGCTTATCACATATATATGTGTGTTAAGTATGGTGATTGCGACTTGTTTGGACAAATCATATTCAGTTTAAGATCGCGAGCAGAAACCGAGTACCCAAATTATACACGTATTTATTTCCTACAAATCAAATCTCATTTGGCATGTGGTCCAAAAGTGATTCAACCTGCATTAACCCCAACAGCAGCGTTTAACATGTAGCCATCATTGGTTGGTAGGGTTTATTTAAGTTCCGAATCCCTCAGCCTAGTGACAACTATTTAGCTTTATTACTTATTCCGCCGGCCTAATTAGCCCGGTGCTCCTATGATCATACTAGCCAGGGATTTCAGTATACCACGTTAGGGTTCATGAAAATGGTGTCGCTGGAATAAGGCAAGGACAAACCCTTCGAGTGCGAGAAGACTTTACCCATGCGACAAGTACTCTTTTATTGAAAAACATACTATACCCCATGTGTATTATACCAAGGATATTGTTTGACTACATATTGTTCATATATTGAGTTGCTTGCTTGGTTGTCTCGTGCATGTCAGTAGTTGGTCTATTCGACTTGTTGATTCTCTTAATTTTACAGCTTGTTTCGTATTACGAAAGAAATACTTGAATAAACCTTTACATTAGCTGCATCAATACTGCCTTCCAGGATTCTGACGTGTTCAATTCTTTTCATCCAAGCATGTCGCATTATACACTATACCAGCATTCAATAGATGCTGGAGGAGCCATCGGCGGAACCTACAGCATCACGCGTTACTTGCCTAAGGTAGTATCTCTTAGTGATACATGGGTCTATCCCAACAATGAATTGATGTACTCTGTAATAACACGGTGACACGACCGTGCCAAAAGTTGTCAAAAGCACACGAGGGAATTCTCACATGCATATATATATATGGGTATCAGCTACCTACCTACATGAATGATCATCAATTGATATTTGTTCAACTGTGTCTTCTATGGGCTTTTGACCTTTACCGCATCTTGTTTATGAATTATCGTTGTGCATTGTTTTCTTAAATTGACTCCAATGTTGGCTATCACAGCTCTTGTATATGGCCTCTTCTTAGGTCGAACTCTTGCCCATTCTGTAAAAAGATGGACCAACGGTGGCTTAGCTACGGGGAAAACAGACCCGAATGTTGTCGCTGACTGCGATTACTGGGCTAATGTTATAGAATCTGGCGACACCTGTGAGTCTTTGGAGTCACACTTTGGCCTAACAGCTGCGCAGTTAGCCACATGGGTAACTATTCACCCAATACAGTACCTGGATACACATTCAAATAACTTCCATTACTATTCAAACAGAACCCATTATTGTCAGGTAATTGCACATTGAATATAGGTTGGTCGTATTGTGTCGACGCACCATACACCACAACTATATTGAGAATATCGAGCCCATCTCCAGCGACGGCTGCTTCTAAAATTATGGTGCCTACTACTTTTGTCACATCAACTACAAGTACTGCGGACCATGCGCCGTCGCCGACTCAAACTGGCCTGATTTCCTCTTGCAACGCTTACTATCTTGTTAAACCAGGTGATACCTGTTATGGCATACAGTCGCAATTTGGAAATTTCACCCTGGCTCAGTTCTACACATGGAATCCGTACGTCTCCATACTCTTATTGTTATCAATCCTTCATTAATTTTCTCTCGCTATTCAGGGCAGTCAAAACGGATTGTTCGGATTTAGAGGCAGGATATTATGCTTGCATTGGAATCTCCTTAGGACAATCAACTACTAGCGTCATAACGACTGCCACGGCGACTTCCACTTCAACATCAGGCCCCATCCCAACGCAAACTGGAATTACAAACAAATGTATGTTCAATAGCTCTCTCAACTTAACGGAATGCGTGGGTTTTAGCATTACGTTGCTAACGAATCAATTGGATGTAGGTGACAAGTACTATCAGGTCGTGTCTGGCGATACTTGTGCAGGTATTGCCAGTAATTATGATATCTCCCTGAGCCAATTCTATGATTGGAACCCAGCTGTTGGCAACAGCTGCACAGACCTTCTTGCAGGTTATTATGTATGTGTAGGGGTTGTTGGTATGTCTCTCCAAAAGCGAAGCAAAAGAAGAAAGAGAAATGCAGAGGACAAAGAAAGAACGAGAAAGAAGTCAAAGCATGAAAAAAGACAAACATAAGTTACCTCTGACAGTTATTTCATAGGACAACCTACTTATTCTCAAACAATGACGACAGCAACTGCAACCTCCGCCGGGCCATTGCCGACGCAGTCGGGGATCATATCCAGCTGCACGTCTTATTATCAAGCCAAGACCGGCGACACATGCAGCTCTATCGTGACTGGTCACTATTCGTATTTGACAGTTGACGAATTCGAAAAGTGGAATCCAGCAGTAGGGACCAACTGCGGTAATCTATTGCCTGGTTACTACTATTGCGTTGCTACTAGCTCCGTTGAACCGGAACCTGGAACGATCAAAACATGCACGTCGTACCACTTGGTCGTCAGTGGAGATACTTGTTATAGTATTGAGCAGAAATTCGGCATCAGTACCGCAAATTTTCAATCCTGGAATCCTGGCGTGGGTAGTTCATGTTCGTCATTGTGGGCTGGGTACTACGTCTGCGTTGGGGTATGATAGGGCAAAGGCAAGCGAATTGAATACATCAATATTGATATAGTGCCGATATTCACGTTGAAGTCTACTTACCAATAATGTTACTGTATTTCAAAAATTCGATTTAAAAATAGTGCTAGATAATGTTGTGTTGTTAATCTTCATTATAATACTGATCATTTATTATTTATTCATAGCAATCGATAACATCACAAGTGCTATACCCAGCCATAGGCTATGACAGGCCGAGTTAGTAGGCGCTAGGGGTTTTAGGACTGACTCAGGTCCTGTCTTCCTTCCTTAAGCCCAAATAAGGGATACAAAGACCGTCTGGAGCTTATTATCCTTCCAACTTAGTCTTCCTCGCTTCTAACGCCTGTCATCCCCTAAAAAACAGAGACTCATACTGCTGCAGTGCAGAGACCCTTTTTCCTAACCACCCCCTTCGCCGGGAATTATCGCTTTTAAGCACCTTTCTCCCTAGCACCCCGATTGATCTGATTTTTAGCCTCCACTCCCAAAGACTTACAGAAAATCGACTCAAATTTCACCACAGCAATACCTCAAATTTATAAAATCATCAATGCGATTAGATTAGTTAAGATTAAGGTTATACTTAGTATTTATGTTGCTGTTCTATGAGATTTTATTAAATTATATTCACTGCATAAATTAATAATAAAGTATTAGTATTTAATTTATTTTTAGTAGTACCTATAATTTATACAAACTTTAACTCGTTGATGTAATGAAAACTTAAAATATACTGGCATAATCCCATACCTACAGACATATCAGGGTTAGTAGCCCCAGGCAGGTCACTCCCCTCGGCCGTTGGATTGGTAACAACATTGAATTTGGTGTTTCCAGCTTCCTTCAGCAACACCAACATGTTGTAAATGCCCCTAGTGTCACTACTCTATTCTGTCAGACTGTTAGCTACATGTACATAATAACTCCACTACCCTGCTGCTACCGTGCTATTCAACCAAAGAAATACTGTCGAGTCTGCGAGACCTTCCTGCCTAATTAGGCCCCGTCGGCGGCGCCTTATATAGCGTTACCTCTTACCATGGTGCGCTGCTACTAGTCTTACCTTTTAGCATCAAGGGTAACCATTTAATATTGCATGGTATTAGTCTCTATTGCTATGAAAACTAAGCTTGAGAAAAGAAATCTATTATACAAGTGTGTTTGCCTATGGCCTAAGGCTATTATCGGAGATAACACCTAACTAAACTATCACATTACCTTCTTCTTTAAGTACCTATCTTTAAACAGTAATATTATTACATCTTCAATTTGAACACAATAAATTATTTTTTAAATAAGCTTTAAAAACTTGTTGTTATTTGTGTTATAAGAACTTGTTGTGTGGACTGTTGTGAAAAGTGTCCGGCTTCATTGGTTCTGCGGGATGCAACACATTTTAGGGCAGTGCAGAAGGATATAATTGGTAGTTGAATAGTATGGTAGACTTGGCAGACGCCTGTACTTTTCCCAAAACAGTAAAATCTGCCCTCACACGGCCTGGCTCCTCGTATTCATGGTTATCATCAGACAAAAGGGGTCCAAACATAAGTAGCCACAATTTCTTGACAGGTTCAATGGCGATCTTATTTCCATTGTCTCTTTTGAAATGTTTTGGAGTCTTCAAAGGCGGAAAAATGCATCAGATAATTCGGACACTTTTCCAGAGGTTAATCCTCTTCTTTATCTGGGGTTGGATGTTCATCGTGGTAGGTCCTGTGGTATTAGCGACTTCTGGAACGGTGAGCTTCGAAGGCTCCCCAGCCTTCGCCTCACAGCGGCCATGTGTACAGGACGACTGTTTTGGCAGTGATACTTTGGGAAACCCTTACTTACTCGCGAGTGATATTGGTTGCGAGACAAATCCCGTGGAAAACGAATGTTTTTGCCGACCAGACTTGCAGGAAGGTGCGAAGTCATATCTGAGCAGTTGTGTGTATAGCGCTTGTAACCAAATGACGCTGGATGTAAACAGCGCCATCAAGATCTATACCGACTACTGCACTAACAACGGTTTCACTGCCGCAACCACCAGCAGTCCAGCATCTACGACTTCAGGTACGCGATATTCTCCCGCTACCATGACTGTGACGGTAGTGCAGACGGTTTCCGTCGCTGGAGCGCCGCGTTTGCTGCCTACCATACTCCACCTAGCCGCTCAGGTCACGTCATATGTTAGATATTGATTAAGGTATATAGAACCTACAACTACCACATCAACATCATATCTCTCTTCAACCCAGCTTCCCACTAGCCAAACAACATCTCATACATTCATAGGCCAGACCACCCAATCACCCACAACTACCATTATAACTATGGCTAGTGGTAGCTCGAACTCGAGCTCGGGCTCCAGCAATGGTAACGGTCTTGACGTTGGAGGAATAGTGGGCATAGTGGTGGGCATTCTAGGATTTCTCGCAACAGCTGTCGGATCATGGTTCTCATACAAGGCCTTGAAGAATAAGAAGACTTCGTCAGCAAACATACCATGATTTGTAGCTGGAATTAATTTTGAGGAGGAAGTCCCCTGACCACAAGTCTTGTTGGTAAAGACGTACCTAAACAGCCAACACACTCTGCATATTAATAGGACTAAGCAACACATATGTAGATGGTTGTATAAGCCAGTATATACAACAAGCAAAGTCAACCAAGTTGTGAAATCAAGTGAGCGTGTAGCTAGAGCCAATAAGAATTAGCTGTGAGTTGTATTGTTCTATAGCATGGTCTAACAGCCGTCAATCGTATTTGAAAACCAGACACCACACCGTTAATTGCGGTTCCTCTGAGACCCAGTGAGGTAGAACAAGGCCAGTTGGGATTTCTTTCTTGAAGATAATCGGAGTAAATGAAAGAATGATATCAATCAGCTCTCTTCGGAGTTTTTGAATTAGTTGTTGATAGACTACTCCGTTGGCTTTTTCTTTGTCTTTCGAACGGTGATTATCACCTCCAAATCTATGGTCAGAAGGCACGATGGGAGCTAGAGGGTATTTGGAATCGGGGGTTCTTCGTGGTAGGAAGTAGCTAGGAGGTTTTTTTTAGCTTTCATCAGCAGCCTTCATGAATGCTTTACGTTATAATAAAGTCTGTATATGTGCACGCCTCTAAGCTACTGGAATGGGGAAAGATCTTTTAACTTAATAGGCGTAAGAAACCTTGCATATTGAAATCATGAGCTTGTCCTCTGGAGAAGTGATAGTGGCTGGTCAGCAGAGTATCTAATTCTATTAACTGCTCAAGACAACCATTTCATGAGCCTTAATCAGAAATAGATGGCTTGTTGTCTACTCCTAACCGTACAGGAATCTTCAGTGGCAAAGATACAGCATGAAAGAATACCATTAATACTACCCATGTTTCACACAAAACGAATACGATCTGGAAAAACATTACTGGTATGGATTAACCACATTTCTTCGCCGACAACTATGTCATCGACTCTGATAATGGCTTCGATGCACATTCCCATGCTCAGTGCATACCACTGTGTGACAACTGAGTTCCCCACCAGAGCTTAACGCTGGTGTAACAAGGTGTGATTCAGTCTAGTGATGTGGGTTTGAGTCAGTGGCGAAAATATGTGAATAAAAAAGAGTATTATCGACTCTGGAACTTTTTGGCAGAGTCAAAATCAATCCATCGCCACCGCTGGGCTATGAGAGCTCCGTGACGGTAGTATTGACATCGCCTCCGGATGTGATCCTCACATTGACTTGGCAAGGTTTGGTTTTATCTACGTGAACATCATCAATCGCCCGTTTAAGTAGCATCCTCCCGCTTTCGTTATCCTGTAATTGAGTTGGGACAGCTATAAGTTCAAACGCGAATATCGCGTCCCGAAGACGGGCTAGATGAAACGGAAGAAGGTAGTAAGGAAACCCCAAGCCAGTTAGTTCGGGAGATAGATTCACTAGCTCGTAGCGGATGGAGTTGAAGATGAGGAAGTCGTTTGGTATAGCCATTAGGTGGTTTCACACGTGGACTGGATATTTGATAGAACTAAATGTTATCCGGTAACCATGTGTATGCCAGTCAATATCTAAATACTTTACACTACATGTGATTACTCCAATTTATATTAAATGAACTTGGTAGTTCCATCATAAGACAATCAGTTACAAGGCGTAGCGGAAGGATGGACCGTAGTTTTCAAAAGCGGCGGTGCTAGTCTCGTCTGCCTCACGCTGCTTGCGCTCAAGATTCTTGTTATCCCAGGCAAGCAGGAAGCGAAGAGTGAAAGCGAGGATGGCGGTGAAAAACATAAAAGCGGCACAGACAGACTGACCCTTGATATAGCGCGGCCCTTCCGAGGTTGGATAGATACGCGACGACAACACAGAGCCGCACTGGCCGACGACGTTGATGAGCACGAGACCGGCACCACGTCTGGTGTCGGAGCCTTGATTATCTACAGAACGTTAGTCTGGTATATTGGGAGAGGGATGAAGCATACGTACTCAAGGTCCAAGCAATAATGTTGGGGATGGTGGAGAAAACGCCAGCCGAGGCGAGAAATACAGCAAAGTATCGGACTCCGACGGTTGTGACAGTAGCCAGAACGACATAACCAATGCCGCCAACAATAGAGGTGGCAAAGAGCATCAAGCCACGCTGCTGAGTCCTGTCGGCGATGTACGTGGTGATCAGCGCGAAGAGGAAGGCCACGAAATAAGGTGGGGCGCTGAGACCCTGGGCGTTGATGCTGCTGTATCCCATGGCACTCAGAATCGTGGGCAGGTAGACGGGCAAACTGGCATAGCTGACATTGGCTCCAAAGTACATCAACTGGCAGAGTTAGTCAGGCATTTTCATTTGGAGCCAACTTCGATCGGAGAAATAGAGACGGACATACGGCAACGAACCAGGCCTTGTAGTCTATCAATATGTATAGAAATTCTGTCAGATTCAAGCCGCCAATGCGAACCGCGGGCTCTGTGCCAACCTGACGCATGGAACGGGATTTGACAATCTCTCTCTCCTCGGCATTCAGAAAGCGCGCCTTGTCGGGCGAGTCGGGGATGAGTAAAAAGGCAAGCGGGCTCATGATAACGGTAGCTAGACCTTCAACCAAAAACAGCAGGCGCCAGGTTTCCAGATGCGAGTGGCCATTAGTGATTCCATATGCAAGTGCACCAGCAAAAGTCGATGCTAGAGGCGCGGCAGAGGCAAAGAGACCGCATCGAAAACCAACCTCATTCCTCAGGTAGAAGAAAGACAAGAGGTACATAATACCAGGTCTGAGAGCAGTTCAGCGGAGAATTAACTCGGCCTATATCCAGAAAACTTACGCATAAGCGGCTTCAAAGGCACCTAGCAGAAAGCGGATAGCCATCATCCCTCCCCAGCTCTGGGCAGCGGCCTGCATCGTACCTAAGAGGCCCCTGGTTTCGTTAAATTATATAAGGTATTTTCTCTCAGAATTGCGAGTACGAACCACCCAAAAACGACAATAGCACCAACCAAATGAGGCGGAAAGATCTTCCAGAAAATGATGCAGAATTCAAAGATGATGTACGTAATGTAGAAGATGGTGGAGAACCATGCATACTGACTACTCGTCAGATTCAGCGCCTTGCCCATGCCGGCCACCTCGGCGTTGCCAATATTTCCACGGTCCAGGAATGCCAACATATACAAGACGAAAAACAAGGGCATCATGTGTAAGTCGAGCTTCCTGCGGACGCGGGCATTGGCCAAGTCATTTTGGTCGACAAGCGTTCTAGTGGTGGCCTCCGTCTGCCCAAGACCTTTCTCCAAGACGGCTTCGTCCATTGTCGTTGAGATACAAGTCGGCAGTAATACAAGACTGCCTAGATGTGACCACAATACGCAGTGTTTTTTTGACGAACTGTGTTTCCCAAGAGCAAGCTAGAGAAGTTCTCGACAGTTGCGACACCTCCAGACTCAGCCCAACGAAAACTTATATTGACTACGGTGTCGAATACGTTGAATTATCATGGAGAGGCGGATTAATTTCGTTTCCTTGGTGTTTATAATTGTGTTCCTTAGTGCTTATAAATATCGTGCTTTCCTGGCCTGATTCAATACAAATTAGGGAAGTGGGACCGGACTAACTGATTAAAGAGATGCTTTGGGATACTGGACAAACAAATTACATCTGTTTCTTCAGTCATAAAGTCTGATTGGTGCTACTCTCAATCGTATATTGCTATAGTTGTATAGTTCTAGTGAAAAAAAGGGTCTCAATTCGCTTATGCTGGTGTCATGTATAGCAAATTCTCGTAATTGCAACAGTATTAGGCATAGCAAAACCATACAAAGCTCACGACAATTGTGAAAAAACAGACTCGCACGAGGTAATTGTTCTGTGTGCCGATACTATTAGTACGTAGATCACTACGGAAGTTGGCTGCGCCACCCGAGCCCACCCGGGATTTCTGGGCCCACAGTAGGAGTTCATGTTTCACTTGCAGTCTTTGTGTTGGTAGACATCTATCCTCCATGCATAGTACACAAAAGATAGAGCAAATACTGCCAGAGAAGTCCCGCTGAGTGAGAAACGTATTATCCAGGAAATGTCAGTCTGGAAGCACTACTCAAACAATATCATGGTGTTAGGGAGTGCCTACGTAGAATTTCCAAGATCAATAGGCTGAGCAACTGGTTTCTTCAAGATGGAGCAGTCGTTATTCAGGCGGGTTGATGATGAAACTGATTTTAAGATGAACTGAGAGATAGGGAGTAGAAACCCCTTATATCGTTTGGAAATCTCTAGTCCCCAGTAATGCCCAGATATGCCGGTTAATAATAAACCGTATACATACTCGCCGTTCAAACAACTGTAGCTTACTCCTAGGTACATCCGGATATGGTTGAAGTCAATGACTTGCACTTGGTTGCCACAGAACCTCACATATTAGCTGAGATACAGCAGACAAATCTATCACAGGGGGAGCAATATAGAAAAGGAAATTCAACTGAACCTCATTCTACGAAAATAGAAAGTGATCTTTGTAATATAAATCCCAAGTTTGCACGACACAATGCAAATGGTAGCCAAAGCTGAGAAAAGCCGTAAATATTTTCTATATTCCCTAGTGCTCATAAGTTTCGTGGATGAATATCGTCGTAGCTTTGAACCTTACTCCAATACGAGAGCCAAAATACCAAGACTTGTGTGATAATATTAGACCAAGTTAGATGGACTAGTGCCCGAGGCTGTGCTATCATTTGACAGCGAAGTGTTTGGTTTTCTATGCCAAAACCTAGATCGTTAAAATAGAAATATAGAATATACAATGTCAGAATAGTTCCTGTTTGGTAATTTTACCTAGCACAAAGCCTCATGTCCATTATTTTGAGAAGAAGGCTATTCTTGAATGTGATGATGGCTACTTGTTGGGATTGCGTTATAGGTAATCGCGCTGTAATTTCGTTAGTCAGGGTCATAGGCAGCCTATTATGATATTTTAATTTCCTTCTCCATTGATGAATAGATCAAAAAGGACGTGTAGTCCTGGACAATACTCGATTGACTGTAAGGCTTGAAAGACCAGAAATAATTTGTACATGGCCATATAACGTAGCGCGCTCGGCATGAGGCGTTAATTGCGCGAATACGATGTCACGCTGTCAATTACGAGTCTAGGCTGTGTTAGTCACCACGTGTTGCAAGGAAGGAGCCTCCAAGAGGCAAATACGATCTCAGTCTAAAGTAAATACCAATCAGGCCGAACTTGCCGTTGATTATTTACGGATATAAGGAGAATACGGGAATGATCAACAACACTGCGCCATATTTTCCGCCCGATTAGCTCCGCTGGTGCAACTTCTTGGCTTCTTTTCAGCTCGGGTTGATATCGTCGGTGTTTTAGACGCAAAATGAAGTTAAGCTAGATCCAAACTTAATTAAGATAGCCTAGACAAAAGCCTCATTTAAGATATAATTTGATCTAAAATCAACACTTCATACCTATTCATACCGGCCTACTTTCAGTGCTAGGACACGAATCTTTTCTATGTACTATTCTTGTTACTTTGATTTTCTATGAAATAGTTACACACAGTATGAGATGGCTAGCAAGCATTTCAACCTTCCTCGGAGCGGTTTCGTTTGCCTCTGCGGTGGTGGACGATCCAGCCAAAGACGCGACCCCATATATGGACTCCTTCCCACTGTTTCGAAGCTCCAACATGGCCAACCCCGATAAGCTGTCAAGTGGGGTTGGTTTTCATTCATTCAGGATTCCGGCCGTGGTGAGAACCAGTACTGGACGCATTCTGGCCTTTTCTGAAGGCCGGCGATGGAGTAATCTGGATTACGGCGACATCAATCTTGTCTACAAAAGAACTAAAACAACAACCAATAATGGTGTTGCAATACAGGATTGGGAATCGTTGCGTGAAGTTGTAGGAGCTGGCCAAGGGACCTGGGGCAATCCGACTCCAGTAGTCGATGGTGAATTCATTTATCTCTTCATGTCATGGAATGCAGCGGGCTACAGTCAAAATGGTCAACTACTTGCTGACGGAACTAGCACCAAGAAGATTAACACTAGTTGGGAAGGCCGTCGTCATCTATATCTGACCAAGAGTACTGATGATGGAAACACCTGGTCAACTCCGGAAGATGTCACACTTTCTCTCACGCCAAATAACTGGGCGTGGGACGCAGTTGGCCCAGGAATTGGCATCAAGACTACGACTGGAGAGCTTGTTGTGCCAGCTCAACGCCGCAATATCATTGGCCGAGGGCCCCCAGGAAACCGAACTTGGTCAATGCAAGAACTCAGCGATGGTGGCTCAGAATCGACTATCTGCCAAACCCCAGACGGGAACCTCTATCGTAACGACCGTCCGGGAAAGGCTGGTTATCGTTCCGTCGCTCGTGGGACGTTGAGCAGCTTTGGAAAATTCGCAACCGACATCGGTCTCCCCGATCCAGCATGTGAAGGTTCAGTCATGCTATATAATCTTGCCTCATCTGCTGGACCTGCGCGAGTAATATTCTTGAACTCTGCCAGTCAAGACAGTCGACGGAATATGCGCGTCAGGATCAGCTATGACTCAGACACAAGGAAGTTCGACTATGGCCGCAAGCTTAGCGACGCTGCAGTATCTGGAGTTGGGAACGAAGGCGGCTACTCAAGCATGACCAAAACACAGGACGCAAAGATTGGTGCCTTGGTAGAAACCGATTTCTACAATGCGAAAGGAGGAGCAGACTCGCATAGAGCAATATTGTGGAGACGCTTCAATCTCTCTTGGATCCTCAATGGCCCGAACAACTAAGGCTATCAATTCTTGCCGATTGTATTATGTTCCTCATCGTTACACTGTCATTGTTTCGGGTTACGGATTCCATGTTCGTATAATGAGGTTCTGATGATATATGTATATCATACTAGTATATATAAAACTAAATCCATTCACCCATCACGACTATTAAATGATCCAATACAGCTAGTTATATCAGCTAATAATGGTTTAGCTAAAAGCTGAGCTGTTTGAGATAGAAAGTCAAATGACTTCACCATTTATCAATTGAAATATACTCAAATAGCTTTGGTTTCTCTTTGTATCATAGTTCGAGACTCTTCTCTGAGCTTAGTTTTCTAGAGAATAAGCACCATAAAGCTGGGTTATGACTGGTTACTCACATTTAGTTGGGTTGTTCTTGGGGTTAGTATGTAGACTCTTCAGCCTTAACTTTCCTGTTCACCCCACGAAAATCGTAGATAATGTTGGACTAGTACCGCATGTACATGCTGAGTACTCTAGTTATCCACGTGCACAGCTCTAATCCCGTGACCTCACAAGTAGCTCTATTGCATGGCGGCCGACATTATACTCTTACACGTGAAGTACACAAAATTAGATAACAAATTTCAGCTAATAGCTCCTAAACGTAGTGAAAATGGAATATGGTGTCTTGGCCGAATTCAGTAATCTCGGTCGAGATTTCCACGTTATCTCCGACGAACGTTTTAACCGAGCTATAAATCTAGGATCTATCAATACTTGAAAACTTTTTCAGACGACTGAGAATAGTATCCATTATCATTTATTTCACGTTTAAAAATCATATTTCTATCTACTTCACCGAAATGGCTTCAAACCCTCCGGCATCCTGTTGCGCCACGGGCTTCAAACATGAAGGCACCGCCAAGGGCAAACTGTCCAATCTGAAAGATTTCGAAGTTTACGTTAGTTATCCCGATAGCGGATCAACTGAAAAGGGCATTTTAATGTACTTCTTCTTATTTTCTTGTTCCCGGTCAATTGCATCACTCCGATCTAACAAGCACTTCCAGCTTGACCGACATTATCGGACACAAACTCATTAATGTCCAACTCATTGCTGATCAGTTCGCACAAAAAGGCTATTGTGAGATTATTCCCTATGGATTTTTAATGAGTTTACTTCTCTGACAAACATCAATTATAGTTGTCATGATCCCGGACCTGTTTGACGGCGATCCAGTACCCCTGAACAAACCCAGCGACTTTGACATGCCTACCTGGCGGAATGGTAAGTACCATCCTGATGGTACTGCTCACATTTCCTCAAACATTGACCCCATCGTCGATGCTTGCTTGTCCGAGATGCGCACCAAATATGGCTGCAAGGTTAGTTGCTATCCTCATATCCTGCATTCCCAAATTCATTAAACTTCGTTTTTATATAGAAAATAGGTGCAGTAGGGTACTGCTTTGGCGCCAAATACGTGGTACGACATTTACAGCCCAAATCAGGAAAGGTTGATGTCGGCTATATCGCTCACCCGAGCCATGTGACGCCAGAGGAGCTTCGAGGCATCAAGGGACCGTTGGCCATTGCGGCAGCAGAGACAGATTCGATATTTCCAGCTGAGAAGCGACGGGAGAGCGAAGATATCCTGAGGGAGCTTGGGCTTCCATATCAGATTAATCTGTATAGTGGAGTGAAGCATGGGTGAGTGTATTCTATACCAACAGGCCTCACACAATTCCTTTTCTTTTTCTAATTTAGTTGTGCAGTTTCGCTGCCCGTGGAGACCCCAACGATCGGATTGTTGCGTACGCCAAGGTGACAGCGTTCGTTCAAGCTGTTCAGTGGTTCGGAGAGTTTTTGTTAAGTGTCTAGTATTAGGCAGTACTTAAAGTTATAAGTATCTTACGCTTTTGAAGCAACAGATCATTTTAACAGATATTCGTTCACTTGATAAGTAAACTATAAGCTAGACACTCATATATAATTCTTCATAGATAGCTAGGCCTTAAGAAATTGATGCTGGCTAGTAGGAGTTTTATATGCATTTTCAATTTTTGTTAAAATGTTTCAATACCTAAATTACGTTAAGAAATATCCAGGTGGTTTCACATTGCCAATTCTGCCAAATTCCCTAAATAGCTATAAACCACAATTCAATAAAACAAAACCCGCCGAAGCAAGGAGAAACCGGACATCTAGACCACTAAACCTGGCCTATTTTCAAATTCTTCCCATAAACAGGCACAAACAACTCATCCAACGGAACCTTCCTATCAATCATACCCTGTTCATACAAAAACCCCACCATTGCCTCTAAAGTCCTTCTATTCTCCTCGACCCCATATGGCCACGGATCCCCCGCAAATAACTCATCAATCTCCAGCAAATCCGACGTCAAAAAGGGCAGCATATAACGATAAGTAGCCGTAAACCTGAGCCTTGACAACGCAATATCCTTCGACTCATTCATCGCATTAAACAAACTGGTCGTTACAAATGGGTATTTCTCTACAATCTCACGCTTGATTACTACACAATGCATGATGGGGAAAATCCCCGTTCGGTTGTAATACTCCTTCTCTTTTTCGCGGATATTCGGCGCGAAGAGCAGGCGTACATTTGACGCTTTGTTGAGACACGGGGGCTGGTCAGCGCCGATTGTGGCCACTATTTCGCTGTCTTCGAGAAGTTCGCTGAGTGATTTTGTCGGGTTGGTGTTGGGGATGAGGTTGACGGGTTTTAATAGGGAAGTCTTTGCTGGCTTTCCGTGTGCACCAGGTTTTCTGATATCGCCTTCAACCCAGGTGATAGTGGACAGGTCAACGCCGGCGTCTTCGAGGATGCCTCTAATCCACACCGCCGCTGTCATGGTATACAGCTGTACGCCAACACGTTTCCCATTGAGATCTGTGGGGGTTTTGATCAAGTCGGTGTTCACGGCAATGCAATTATGACGGAACGCCCTGGATGGGAAGATGGGGATTGCTACGAGGTCGCGCTTGCCGGCGGTGTAGCGGCAGATGTATTCCGAGACTGACATTTCGGAAGTATCGAATTCGAGGCCGCCGACCATCCGATCGAAGATGTTCCGCGGGTGGTCTACTGTGATGTAGGTCAGGTCGATGCCAGGGATGGAGACTTTTCCTTGGGCGAGAGCGTCCATGCGGTCGTATGGACCGCATGCGAAGGTTAGAGGGATATTTGGCATCATGAAGGTGACTTGTTCGAAGATGTGTACTCTAGAAGCTATAATCGGCTTTCTGAAATCCTTATATCTTCATGATTAAGTTCACTTCCGGTCGATTCTACACCTAAACGCCGAAACCTACATGTATAGTAATTGAAACTCGGCCGAAATCGACATATTCGGCCTACCCTCTAAGTACGTCAGTTTTCTCCACTTTCAATGTTTCATACTTTCATAAAGCCAAATCCAAACTCGGGGATAATTTAGACCCGAAATTGATGTCATTAAAAATCGTAAGTATCATACATGTGCGCCGATGGCTCGCGGTTGGGTAAATTAAGACTAGGTAAGCTTATCGCCGAGAGTCTGGATGTCCTATTTACGCGGGAAATTGTATGTTTGTTTCGTTATTCTACAAGGAAATCACAGCATTAAATACTAGAAACCTATGGTCATCACTGACATACAAATTTCGCATTGACCCAGTATTCAGCCTCACCGGGGAAACTATAGCACTGACAGCACGTGATGGAATGCTGCGTGGCTTCGTGATGGAGCGACTGCTCAATCGTCACCGAGTCGGTACTGTGCCCTCGATAGTTCGGATTAGTTTTAATGAATGGTCCGAAATTTGGAATCCTCTATGATGACGGTGTTATGTCGGACCTTTGTCCTCAAAGTCGGCTCATCTCGCATTCCTGGGCATGAATCACCATATCCAGGGTCCTGCAGGCACACAAACAGTGATACTTTTCTATTCTCGCCGGAGAATTTCTCCCGTTTTGAAGCCAGTCGAAGCCCAAAGTTTCATCAAGCCGTTGAGATTATCGATGTACGATTTGAGTTTTTGTTCGGATATGCTTCCTTTTTTTGTTTATATCTTCCACCATGTCTAACCCTTCAATTCCACGATGTTCTCATAAATGGGGGGTTGCTTCAATATTAGCACACATGTTTCCTCTTGGGTTCTTATCAAACCATTAATAACATCTACTCTAGAGATATAGGGGTACTTGCCAAATAGGAAGTTAGAAATGTGTAATCTCATAACGTATCGTAATTGCCTACTTGATCAAATGACTGCCCTCACAATACATGTTTCTTTAATTGCGCCATCATATGCACCTTTCATCATCACCCGACTATTTAATTCCCAAGATGAATCACCTTCCACATTTTCAACCACAGCTGACTGTGCCAAGTCAGACATTTTGAACAAATTTTCAACGTTGCCAATGCTGTATTTTGTAACCCAGCCATTGATATCTGCATTGTATTCTTGTCGAATAGCTGAGAAATTGACAGGACCTCTCCCACTGCTGATCCCATTCTCACGATCTTCTATATTGGGTTTTTTTTTACGCAAGGCAAGGAAGAAGTTACCCGCTCTGGCGTAGAATGACTTCGCCGTGACATTTTCGCAAATCAGTTCTTGAGGATCGTCATCAGCGCTTTCTAAAACGAAAGCTGTAGGAAGCCCATATGTATCACCACCCTGTTCAAGCTTTATCTCTCGCCAAATCTCTCGGTACGGGTAAACTTCTCCACCTCGATGAGAAGCAGGCATCTCTCCTATTTCGAGATCGTCTCCATTGGGGAGCTTGGTGAACTCACCCACATCGGGGGTCTCCATTCTATTCTCGCCGAGGTCGGAACCATTGTGGTGGGAGTTGATGCAGTGTGTGAATTTAATACGAACTGCACCTCTAAGTCATTAGCTGGAAGGTACGACCAGGGATAGTAACAATGTGAAACATAAAGCTTGTCAATCGAAGAGAGGACACGAACGCGGATCTTCAGAAACAATGATTCTCTGTCCTGCTAGGGCCCATGAAATGGTTTGGGTGTCGGAAAAAATTCTCAAATCAACGTAATATTTTCCAACACTTATAACGAGGGTATCTGGTGGCGTTTCTACGGGCTCGGGAGGCCACTGGACGCTTATCAACGTGGAAACACGTACAGTCATTATCGAATTAAAAGAATTTGTGAAAAGGGAAGAATTTTAGATTATATGGAGTATTAATGATATTGTTCATACTTAAAGTCAATGAAAAATACCCCTCATTAATACATACTGAATTTGTCAGTAATGCCTATCTCCTCGGGTTTCCTATTTCGTAATAGCGCCAATATATTCTAGAAAGGTAGAAAGCCTGCCAATTCGGTATAGTTATCATCTGGCTGTTCCCAGTAAGATTCTAGAATGCCAATAGCCCGCAGAATATTTGGGATTCGGAGTGTCATGTAGAGATCAAACAGTAGACTTCTGACTCGTTCTCGATCTAGACCCTTGGCTTCACAACTGTTCGAATGTCAGAGCTTCCGTAATCATACATACAATACAGTCCAATTAAAATCATCGGAATAATATGTAACCACATTAAGAAATTTGGCTCCTTACCCTGCTGTGAATAGAGGAGTAGTAAGCAGAATCCATGGCGAGAGGACAACTACCGGCAACATGTCGCATACAGCGTCTAGAATGGCCCGAACACAGGATTGGACTTGATCCGACTCAGAGTCGATACAAAATAGTCGGCGACGGATGTACAGAAGTGCTGAATACTGATATGCAGTGTTACATGCACTGAACATCCGAATTTCTTCCAGACTCAAAGGCCGCTCATCCGGCATATGAAGACCTTCCTCCCGGTCACGATGGATCATTGTTAGAACCATCTCTTCTAACCCATGGACTTCAAGATACGTTCGATTAAGCTCGGATGACATCTCATCTTGAATGACATGGCCTGCGCAGTATGGATATTTTTGCATTAAGTTACCGATTCCACGAAACACCAAATGTAGGTCGGACGAATACCCAGCATATATGTCAAAACCAGAGCCTCGTTCAGTTATTGAATCATTTATTGGCTGGAAAGCGTGCTGCTCTTCGTTTTGAGTCTCAGCATTTGTCAATGCTGAAAGGCCTTCCACAGACGTATACCACCTAGCTATCAACCAAGCACCTGGTTCAATGGAATACTGAATCACCTCTGGTCGCATGCTTTCAAGCAACGCCCTTGCACCTTTGAAATGAGTTCGCCATGAAGAATTGTACTTTCCGGAGTAAATCTCGAATAAACAAAGAGTCTTCACCGTAAGGAGCAGAGGTTGTCTGCTTTTAGTACCGTCCATCTCTAATCCCTCACGCAAATGAGCAATGCTTGAAGCTAAAATGTCCCTTATAATATCATCAGATATTAATGTCAACACTTGTGGATCAGCTAATTCTGAGAGGTGTAGCGCCGAAAATGCCAGCGTCGCATACATCAGTGAAGGGATTTCCAGTGCCATTGGCAAAATCGTTTGACAAGCTTGTTCACGGACTGAAGTATGACTCGCTATCATTGATAATTTGGTGATAAAATGATTAATCAGAAGCTTGTCTCTGTAGGACAAAGACTCGAATAGATCTAATTCGAGAATATCGAGCGTATCTCCCACAATCGATCGCTGCGCTTGTCCCAGTAATTGGACAGACATATCTTGTCGGCATTCTCCTGTTCTTTTAAAAGGCTTCGCTGTTTTTCTATTTTGCCGTGATGAGGCTTTTTCCATGCGGGGAACTCGGCCATCCCACTTGAGCATAATGTGGTACAGGCACGAAGTTCCGGCGTTCACACAGCGACTACAGCTTGGTCGCTTCTCGTCGCATTTCTGCCGACGTTGTTTGCATCGAGTGCAGCCGTGATGTGATCGTGATTGCATTGCTGGACGATGAGAATGTTTATATACCATATCCGATTTTTTGGGGTATGCAGATTCTTAAATTGGAGTCGATTGATACATCATGACAGAGGAAGAAGTTTATCTCGCCCGCCGTCCGCTATCATCGTTATGTAAGAGGCATGGGGTAATCTAATTGCTTATCTCTACCAATTACGCTCAGTGCCACGGAGCGGTTCTTTTGCAGCGCATACACATTGGCAATGGGGAATATCTTATCCGGTTCTTATTTGTTTTTTTTATTTGATCAGAAAATAATTACTTTCTTACCAGAATATGTAGGTGTTTATTCAATCATAATTTACAATTAAATATTCAGAAAACCTTATGGCTGTAACAAACATTAAACAATCAACAAACACTAGCAAGTAAGTCAAATAGGGCCGCCATCACTCGGTCGATTCCTCTGCTTAGTACCCAACCTGCTTTTGCTCTACCATTGCACTGCCATCGGTTGTTTGAGTCAAGTATTTCTCATTTGATGAACTCGCGGTTGCGGGCAATCCCTCGATGTGCTTATTATACATTGGTCGAGCATTCCGCAGTTGAGGGCCGTAAATATGGAGAAGAATATATAGTGGAATTAGACCAAATGTGCATATTATGCATTGTGCTGCAAACGTCCAGGTGTAACCTAAGGGGAATAAATAGTAAGTGCCACAGGTTTAACCATATAAGTATAGGAAAACGAGCAAGAGCTTGCTTACCTGAGCCTTCAACCCAATAGTAAATGAACCAGGGGTTAATAAATGCCGAAATCTGTATATTCGTAATATGTCAATATAACCTTAGCTACTTCAAAACGAAGAATCACATGTTAAAGGTGGGGGAGGAAAATTACATTAATGATGACAGTATAGAATGTGATTACTTCATTTGCGTGTTCAGGATAATTATCCACAATATAGGCAGACAAAACCGTATTTCCCATTTGCAACCCGAGGGCGTCTAAAATTAATTAGCGATATGCGTTTTTGAATAGTAGACATATGATATCGGGAAACTTACAAAAGAAAAAAGCTACCTGACCAACCATCCAGTGCATATTCTGATCAACACTGAGACCCCAGAGAACAAGTCCTACAGACGAGATAACGGCTGCCGGATATCCGAGCCAGAGCCTCATTTCGGGAACGCGTACGTTACCGTTCTTTTTAGCCAGACGGTCTATTAACATATCGCTCAGATTTCCGGAGCAGACAAACTCGGCAACAAGCAAGCCCACCAAGAGACCTATCAGAAGCAATCCCTGAACAACAGGAGAGTCGTTAGGGTAAGCGTCAGGAACAAGAGTAGTGACACTACAAATCCTGTAGAGCCATTTAGTCAAGCCCATGCAACATACAGGCAGCTATACATACCACCAGTATTGCAAAAAGCAATAGCCAAAAACGCTAGCCACGATGGTAGGATACCGGAAAAGATTGAAGAATTGAATTATGGTTGTCCATGGCTTTGGGTGAGAAATTCCGGGAATTTTTTGAATTTTCTATTCATGCCCCAGGCGTTAGTTCTTGGGTCCAGGCTTTGTACGACGGCATCCATAGAGACTCACAAAGTATCCGACTGGGCTCAGAGGTTTTGAGGAAGTGGGTATCTCAATATCAGCGGTATCTCCATCCCCAGATCTTTGATTTTCATGCAGTAAAACGGCTGCTCGGGGATAAAGAGTCTCTGGGAGTAGTAGCCACTGCACAAGGAGTAATATGGCAAAGAGAATAGTCACATGGTATGCCACCCACTCGCCTGAGGTAGCCAACAGACCACCGACTTAAGGAATTAGATGTCATATCACATAATAAGCGGAGTATATCACTTACAGACACCACCGAGTACAGTTCCAGTGTTTGCCGCAATTGTCCACATGCCCACCCTCAACCCTCTTTCATGCTCAAAAGAAATATCATGGATAATCACGAGGCCAATATTCGCGGATGGTCCCGCCCCGAAGCCTTGAAAGAACCTCGCCGCCATATAACCACCGAAATTAATGGTTTTGATCGAGGTACATCCGCTTGCAACTACAGCCAACGCCGTGCTTGCAATCAAGGCTGGTCTTCGGCCATAAATATCCGCCAATGCTCCCAACAAGAGCGGGCTGGTCGCAAGGCCAAGACACGGGAGTGCAAAGCTCCAGCTAACCTGTGAATAATTTATGCCGAGCTGTTCTTCGAGAAAGCCAAATGAAGGAATGATAGTGGTAGTGAAATAAGTCAACATGAAGTAGCCATAAATGACTATTATAAGGCAGACGGATTTACGCCATAATGGCCAGTTGAGAGGGTCTTTTTGGTCATTCGTTGGAGTCGGTATCAACAGTCGCCCTTTACGATCGACTTTCAAGGATTCAGCGGTTTTTGTCACTTCCATGACTGGAGTTGTAACTGTTTTGATAACAGTCATCGTTAATTGTCTTGGTTGTGGAGGTGATTTAGTGATTCATCAAAGGTGATTATGTAGAATAAGAGTAGACGAGTAAGATTAAATAGTACACGCATGAACCAGGACGTGCAATAATAGGGACCCTTGAAGTGTTCCAATATTATTGCCCTTAACCATTAATGTTTATACTTCTAGGGCACATGTTTGCTGATAAGGAGACCCTACTGATTGGTAGCTTCGCCGTCGTCTCCAACTTCCCGGATAGGAATGGTTCCTAGCTGACACGCAGAGATAAGGCAATATCTCCTCCACTTACTGCATAGGGTAATTACTACTTCAACATATTAAGAACGAAACTGGTGTAGAAGGATGAGATCGATGTGCCAATCGCGTAATTATTTTCCTCGAGCGGAATAATCAATATCTCCTCGACTTACTATATCGGGTATATATTGGGTACCAGCCGACCTATATTAAATTTCACGTTACCCAGATGCTATGCACCATAAATCACATTCGATATATCCCAATTTGACCCTTTTGACAGATTTACTTTCAATATGTTTGTAATCCCCGGTCTGTTGATATGCATCTGGCTGGTATGCCTGGTCACCCAAGCAGTATGGGGATGGCAAGCCAAAATACCAGGACCCTGGTATACCAACATCACAAGCCTAGTGCTAAAATATCACGAATTTACAAAAAACCGTCGCCTATGGATCCATGCATTGCATCAAAAATATGGACCAGTTGTTCGCGTTGCGCCAAACGAAGTCGCGTTTTGCAACATGGAAGCAATGCAAGAAATCTATCAAAGTAAGGGAAGCGGCTACGACAAGACTGAGTTTTACGATCTATTCAAGCAGTATGGTCATCGAACATTGTTCACCACACTGAACAAGGCCAGTGTAAATATTCTGGTCCGTTGAACATCATGCGTATGTGCCACTGACACGAGTAGCATGCTGCGAGAAGAAGAATACTCGCAGATAGGTATTCTATGACCAATGTCCTTCGGGCACCAATGCTGCAAGCGATTGAGCAGAGGGCGTCATATGTTCTGAAAAAGTGCCAAGAATCTCAGGGCAGCTATTTGGATATCTACGTACGTCCTTATTCAATATACTTTATTAAAGTATTTACTAAACCCATACACTTGTATAGGTCGTACTGCATTGCTATGCTCTTGATTGCGCATCTCATTTTCTTTTCAGCCCTGGAGGGACAGACTCTATCAACAGCCCTGAAGACATTAAACTAATGCAGGAACTTTCGTATCATGATAGCATAAAGCGTAAGAATATCGATTCTCTGTCATATGAAAAGTTACGATGTTCCAACCTAACTCTTGTTCCAATAGAACGATATATTCAGCACTACTGGCCAATTTTCAATAAAATCCTTCCACTCTTCAGCTCCAAATCAGTTCCTCTCTCAAGAGGCTATGTTCTTAGGCAAAGCCATCAAGAGAAGCCTCATGAGGTATCTCTCATGCACAAATTGCAAAGCAATTCCTCTGTTCTTTCCACAATTGAGATGGCGGCCGAATGCATGGATCACATGGCCGCCGGGATCGACACCACAGGCGACAGCCTTTGTTTTTTAATGTACGAGTTATCATTACCGCGCTCTCAGCATATACAAGACCGGCTTCGGCAGGAACTTGTGAGTCATACAGATGCAAAAATAGATGAGTTGCCGTATCTTGATGCCGTCATCAAAGAAGGATTGCGTCTTTTCGCACCGATTCCCATGGGTTTGCCTAGGTATGTCCCCGATGGTGGCAGTTTTATTTGTGGGCACAAACTTCCCGGAGGCTCTATCGTGAGCTGCCAGGCATATTCGCTACATTTATGGAACACGGATGTATTCCCCAATGCCGAATCATTTTCACCGGAACGGTGGCTGGAGAAAGAAGGCAAGGCTGAGCGTGACCGGTTGTTTTTTGCTTTTTCTGCTGGTGGGCGGGGTTGCATTGGGAAGCAGTAAGTATCTTTCATTATATTTCGATATGTTGCAGATTTGACGTGTGTGCTAATGGTAAATTAGTCTGGCAATGGTAGAAATGAAAACATTGTTGCGCAAAATATATGAACAATATAAAACAACGGTTGCCTCAGAGATGAATGGCGATATGTCAATTCACGATCAGATCATAGCATCGAGACCCAAAGACCAGACATGTTTGTTGGTTTTTGATCGAGAGCATGAAAGTTAATTTACATGAGATATCGATAAGCGAATGAACAAAAGTGTGGCATTGATCTGTCTCCTTATACACAGCGAATTTTGATTTCAAAGCGGCCCTATAATACTTAATAATCAATAGCCGCCTCTGTATAGGGCATATATGGCAAACAATAAATTACTTTGTAAAATGTTTATATGGAGCGCGTGCAGCGAACAGCTCTATACTGTGTCGACACTATTTTTGATTGTAATTAAAATATAACATGATAATTGAATTAAATTATATTTCCTTTGAATGAATAATAACTATATCAAATTTATATAGATAATCTAATGATATAATAAAATCCGATAGTAATAAAACTATCGAAACTTGATTTTTGAAATATTAAAATTACATGTGTCAATAAGATTGAAGCTTTCCTAGTGGATAACGAATTATGATGTTAACCCACCTATACACAAGCAGAATGGCCTAGTAAAAATGATAATCGCTTATCAATGATAATATTTAATATTAAGCTACTTGATTTAATTATAGTATAAGACCATATTCTTAAAATCAACATTCTCTGTGGCGTAAGTAAAAACATAGAATATAACTCACCTCGTTACCAGTTGACGTTGTGAAGACCCGCTCCCGTACAGCCGAGGATAATCCACCCGGCGAGAACCAATGCATGTATATCCATCATCTGACAGACTGACAACCACGATAAAACACCACTCAACCTCAACCCCTAAAAAGAAGAGGCTTAAATAAGAAGAAGGGGAAAAAGAGAAAAGAATAAAATGTCACAAGACGACAACCACCCGCCACCAGCACCCCCCGCAGGAGACCATAACCAACCCAGCGCTCCATCAAAAGACAAGCCCAAACCCACAGCCTCTGCAAATCAAAACTCAAACTCCCTACTCAACAGAATCCAAGACTCAGCGACAACACTCATCCGCGATGCCATCACAAGACCTAATCCGATGAGCCTTGGGTCTGAGTTACAGGGGTTACAGGGCGATAAAGCATCCTCCTCCTCATCAGCATCAGCTAGTGCTGCAACATCACAGCTAAATGGGTATACATCAACAGCGAAACAACCTTCTTTTTCTTCATCTAGCTTCCGTGAATCGGGTCTGCGCGGTCCATCGATAAGAGAGAATGATGAGCCCCAACTCAACTGGCTCTTAGACGCAAGCGATGTATCCGAAACCGTCAGTGTTGAGGACTTGGACCGGTATCTCACGGCATCTTCAGCAGCATCAGTGTCATCTCCTAGAGAGACCTTTATGGGCGAGGATGGTGGGAAAGGAAAGGGCAAAGCTGTCAGTACGGAAACTGGGTATGAAGAGGCATGGAGCAATGCTACGGGTACGAGATCAGTATCAAACGCACAAGAGGCGGCGCGAATAGGGCATGTGAATGAGCATGATGGCGCTGAGGTAGTCGCACTGCTGGCTGATCCCTCTTTCGATGCAGAAGGTTCTGCAGATGTGTACAGCGGTTACGACGACGACGATGCGGTGGCGCCGCTGACGGCTGATGAGATCAAGATTCTGGATTCGTTTCGTCGGCAGTCGGGCATTCCTAGCAATACTGGGACCACTGGTGGTGCTCAAAATCTACCGGTAATTACAGCGCACAGTCTGATACCCGATATCGACAGTTTTCTAGCCAGCGACAATTCTAGTAATAGGACGGATACTTCCCTCCGCGACGCTGTTCTGCGCGGTTTGCCGGGGGCCGAGGATTGGATGGCTGTGAATGATCGGTATCAGGATGAGGTGTGGGGATATTTGAGACCGGCGCTGGAAGCAGCGGGGAGGGAGATAGAAGAAAAAAAGAATGTGGCGGAGGAGGGTGGGAAAGTTGCTGATGGACCGGCGGTGAGGAGGTTGAAGATGATTTTAAGACATATGCAGATATAATTTTAATTCAAATGTTATATAAACGGGCTAGGCGTGCTACGGACATCATTAATCTTTAAGTTTATGGCTAGTACAAGTGTATGATTGAAGAATCGATTCATAGGTATACAGATCAAGGAGACTAGGTATATAAATAAGACTCCAGTAAGTCGTCATAACAAAGTAAACGCAATCATAAATGCAAATAGTCACACAGTTAGCTCTTCAACTCCAGTGTATATTCTCTTCTCTTCTTTTTGAAATGAAATTAGTATTCCAATCGGGGCTGTTGGCCCTTGACACGGCCAATAACAATCTGCGAGGCGTATTTGGGAATAACCTCGTCATCGTGAAGCATTTCGAATTCTATTATATATTAGTACGGAGAAGTAAAATGTTAATTAGGATAACTCACCCTCGGAAGCATCACGACCCATATGGCTGAACAAAGCCGGGGCGCCACCAGGGTGCTCATCGAGCCAGTTGGTCACATCCATGACAACTCCCTTGACAACAATCCACAAGTCATCCTTCTTGTTATGCTTGGCAACCTCCTCCATGGTGAATTCCTTCTCGGGGACCTTGAACTCAGAAACATCCTTGGCAGCGGGTCCGGCGGAACTGGAAGAGGTAGTGGGGGCTGCAGCGGGAGCTGCGGCAACAGCGGATGGGGCCTCGACGCGGGCCGACGCTGGGTCCTTCTTGTCAGAGCCATTCCACTCGACCGAGATCTTACCAGGGGTAGATGGGTCGATGTGAAGAGAGATCTGGCCAAGACGTTGCTGAGCAGCAGACGCGCCGCCAGTCAAGACCTTCTGGAAGAGGTACTGGCTGGCACTGTCACCGGCAACACGGCCGTAAACGACACAACCGAGTAGAGATGAACCACCCAGACGGTTGGCACCGTGGACACCACCAGCCAACTCACCGCAGGCGTACAAACCATCGAAAGGCTTGAGCTCTGAGTTTAAGACCTGGGCCTGGTCGTTGATTTCGATACCACCCATGGTAAAGTGGAGCACAGGCTCCATCAAGGCAACGTGGAAAGTGTCATCAATGCTGAAGGGCAAGTTGTGGAAGAACTTCTTGTTCCATGGGTCCTTCTTCTTGCCCTCGGCGATCTGGTTGTAGTCATCAAAGGTCTTCTTCAGGGCAGCCTCTCCGCAGCCAATTTCCTTGGCAAGCTCCTTTCCGCTTATCTTCTTCATGAGGCCACGACCAGAGTAATGGCGGGTGTGGAAGTCAAGGACATTGGAGGCCTTGCTGTTGAGGACAAGGCGGATGGGCCACTTGCCCTTCTCCTTCTCCTTCCACATCTGGCCCGAGACGTAGTCACGGTGACCCAACTCGTCGGAGAATCGCTGTCCATCCGAGTTAAGCAATAAACCACCTTCACCACGGAGAGCCTCCGCAGCCAAGAACTTCCACTTGGAAGTAGGGTCTTTAGGGTCGATCAGACCAGTGGGGTGGACTTGCACCTTGTCCATGTCAATGCCATTGGCACCGATGGCCATGAGCATTTTCTGGCCGTCGCCGGTGGCGTGAGTGCCGTTGGTGCTGGACAGGCCGAAGGTGTCGGGACGGTGCTTCTTGAGCAGGGAATCCTCTGTGAAATCGGCAGCATAACCACCAGTGGCGAGAACAACAACACCATCGGCAGTGTGAGTCTCGCCGTTGTACTCGTAGGTGACACCAGTGACATGGTTGCCCTCCTTGTTAACGGAAGTGACACGGGCCTTCTTGATGACCTGGACACGGTCAGGCTCGGACTCGGTAAGCTCTTCTAGTCGCTGCATCAACGCGTATGTGATGGCCATGCCAGGGAATTTGGCGTCATGGCCACGGTGTGTACGGGGGAAGGAGTGACCTCTGGTTCGAGTTAGCAACTCATCATTTCATAGGGAAATATATAGAAAAACTTACCCGAGACGAGATACCAGTGTAAGATCAAGGTTGAAGACATCCTGAAGCCACTCAACAGCAGAAGCAGACTTGTAGGTCAAGACTTTGATGAGATCAGGACGAGCCTTGTCGCGGGCGGACTTGAGGGTATCTTCGTAGAACTGCTTGACGCTGTCTTGGATACCAAGATCGGTCTGTGTTCTTGTCAGGGCACCGTTAATACCGGATGTGGCTTTGGTGGAGTTGCCACCGAAGAAGCCTGTTGCGAAATGTCAGCAAGGGCACATCCCGGGGAAATCAGCAGTCCAGAGACGACTAGAAGTATTACTCACCCTGCTTGTCCAGAACCAAGACATTTCCACCATTCAGATAAACGGTGTGAGCGGCGCTGAGGCCAGATACTGCGAGGGACAATCAGCACAGGATTCGATCATTTTGCGGGGAAATCTGGGGGAGACATGAACGTACAGCCACCACCAACAACGATGACCCTGGGAGCCATGATGGATGTGAGATCTAGAATATGCGGGTCGAAGGATGGATAGAGGGAATAGATAATACACAGGGAGAAAGAAGCAAACGTGGACAGAGATGGGGAGGGTGGAGAGGAAGGAGCGCAGAAGAAATAGAAATAGTGGCAGGAGGGTCAGAAGCCGATGACGGGCACTCGGCCGAGGCAACTTGAGTTTGGTCACCATGCTAACCACGGGGTCCGGGCCGAGTCTTCTAACAATTACATTCTCCATACAGCTAGCTATATTAGTAGTACATACTATTAAGTCCTTCCCTTATAATTATCATTATCATTTCGAAAAATAATGTCTTAAGAATTACAGTGTACGATTCTACGCTATCCCTTTCCTTTTACGGTTCTGCCACCCTGGAGCGCTGGGAGAGTCGTCACATGTGAAACCAGCTGGCGTTACATAGCTGCACAGTAATACTAAGTTAATAAGAATATAGAAACAATAATAAAAGGGGGAGCTACGCCTGTGAGTTGCAGGATCTCCTGATCTCCCCAAGCTCCCTCCCCAGTTCCTCCAACTTTCACATGTGAAGGATCCAGCCAAGTCGACGTCATCATGCCACCCTGCAGGGCTATTTTTGCTAATATATATATATCGTGTGTATTCTGGACATGAATGTAGTCGTATTTTGAGATGTCATCTACACCAATAACCAGCCTATTGCTCTGAAATGGGTTCACACCCGGCAACTGTGGCATTCTCGCTCTCTCTGGGGAAAAGATCGGGATTGTCTGCCCGCAAAACCCGCAAAACGAGGGGGACCCCGGCCCCACCGCTACCAACCAATCACAGCGTCCACAATGGTCAACCTCGGCTCAAGCTAGAACGAAATTGCGAAGAGCTGGGCCGAGATAGTCTGCATTGTTAATATCTCTTATCATTGCTCTCCTTTGTCAAGGGGGTGAGGGAGATGCCTTTTACAAGCTCGCCTTTTCATCATGTTCAATCGCGAAGTTAGAACGCAAGGGCGGCTATTGGCGTCGGCAACTGAATTCCGGATCGAGTCTTGCGGCGGGAAACCACTGGCCGATATGAAAGGCTTCGTACTAACATAACGATTACTTCAATGATTACATAAACCGAGTCATACCAGCGTCTAGGATCATAATTCATTATAGATTTCACTCTATCAGGTATCAGGCTGGAAAAGAGCTAGCAGGGAGCGTTTATAAATAACTTTTGTTCGTCAGTGTGCCATTTGCGCTGCGGCAAGTTCCTACATACAATCACGTCAGTAGGTGGAGTTCAGAATACTTTGAATGAAAGGAAAACTCACAGGAAAAGCATCAGAAACCCCCGATGCTACCCTTTCCACACTCTCCGCCACTGTTTCCACCCCAGCATCCCATAGTCGTAGATTCCTGCCCGTCGTACCTACGTCTCCAACTCCCGAAATACCCAGATCAAAATAAATTATGCCCTCGATCTGATCAATACTGCCCTTGAGACGGCCCTGTTCCACCATGCGGGCTGCATATGCCTCAGCCTTCTCCCCCGCCGTGGTATCGCCAGAATCTTGTAAACCCAGAATTGTTCCCAGAGCATCCGTTTTGATATTCTCGTATAACCGGCTAGCAGCGACAAGGTTATGTTCAATGACCGCTTTGTCAAGTACCGTCGATCCATCAGCAGTCTTCGCGAGCTGATGGGGCTGTAGCTTTTGCGCAAAGGCAGCGACTTCGTCTGCCGTCAGCAACCGATCGAGATGCATCTTCTCCAGAATAGCAAAGACGTCGACCGAGGTCGCACGGTCATCCTTGTATAACCGCGCCAAAGTGCGGGATCGCTGTGGTCCAGCCGGAGCAAGAACTGCACAGATAATCGCTGCGGAAAGAGCTTGAAGCCGGTCACTCTCGTCTACCCCGACTGCTAAACTGACATTAAAATACTCCTGACTTGCGTCCAAGAACCGACGACGAGCATCCAATATACGGGCTTGTGAAAGCTGAAAATGTAGTTTCAGCTCGGGGTCTTCGATTTTGTTGGGAAGGTTTTTGATTCGATTCAAGAACGACTCTGCGCTGGTTGTGTCGTCTTCTTCCAAGTACAGTCGGAGGATGCGGATCCACATACGTGTCTTTGCGGCGTCGGTGATGAGGCGCTGGGAGCTGTCGAGCTGGATTCCTTGCAGAACTCGTGCCGCCGCGATGTATTCCTCCTCTGCTTCATAAGCATCTGCGAGTAGCTCACGAATGCTCGAGTCTTGTTCTTCAACGGAGGCGGATCGGGACTGCAGTAGGGATACGGCGTGTTGGCCGACTTTGATTTTGATTTCTGGCGGGAGGTCACGGAGGACGATGATGAAGGAGTCCAGAAGTGTGCGTGCGGCGACGATACTGACGTTTTCACTGAGGACAGAATCAAGGTAGTAGATCAAGTCTTGCGATAGCTCGTGTCCTGATGAGCTAGTGACGATTTTCGATAGCAGGTCGCTGTAGAGCTGCGGTTTTGCTTGTTGGCTGCTGGACGACTCAATTTCCGCCAACGCGGACGCGAATTTTTGAGAAGCCATGGAGCGAGATTGAGGCTGTAGGATTAACTCGGATTCAAATATCTTCCCCTTAATCTTCAAGCATGTTCAAGAAGGAGGAAGTGTGGTAGGGGTCGTCGTGGGAAGCAGATCAGGAAGATAGCTGGAAGTTGGTTGAAGACTCACGTGCGGGGCGAGGGCGACCTTGGGTTTGATGTTATCGATAAGCAAGCTTCCTTCAATAGCACAACTTTGCAACAACTTCACATATATGCGGCAGAATAAGAACTGGGGAAGTGATCCGATACATATGTATAATTATCGACTGTAATACAACATAGAAGTTCATTGATTGTCATACACTGCCATCTTCGACCCCAGATGTCTTCAGTTAATTGCCTTGAATCAAATATCGTAGACTTTAGCTGGAGCCCCTCAACTGCATATGTGCTCTTCTCTCATTTGTTGCCGCACAATGAAGAATACTTATCTTCATATTCCCTTGAACAGCATATTCTAATTAGGGATCAATTCAGAGAGTCCGTTTTTCAGTCTCTCCAGGAGAAAGTGCAACAAGAAGTCCAGGCTCCCAAAGTCTATATATAAAACATTGCAGCGGATCACCATGAATCAACTAGTTAGATTATGGCCTGTTAGTGGAAGACATATTTTTTCATATTAGATCTCACCTCTTGTCAGCATAAATGCCTGAGTCGTGCTTCTAAATCATACATCTGCAAGGCTTACACTAAGTTGCCTGTCCTCCATTTGGATCTAAGGTTCACCGCCTTCGGGACATGCGATCCGCCCCACCGACATCGAGATCATTCATGAGCTCACTCCAACACGTCACCTCCTATTCATATTACCTCCAGCTCGCATTCGAATACACACGCTACCCACGTGGCACACAATACAAGACCGTTGAAACTAGTTCCAGAGTTTGTGGGTTCTCTTGACCTCCCGCGCAACGCAACCTACAGGGTACCGTGGCAAACATGGCCGCACCTATAAAACAGGAGCCAGGCGGCTCAACCTTCATCAAGCCTGATCCCGACAGCAAAGAAGCTTTGTCGGGCGCGTTATCTGACGAGGATATCTACGAAGATGCCGGAGATTTAGATTTTTCACAATCAGGGCAGGACGTGTGGTTGACTCGCATTCCGAACGACTTGTGGAAGCATTGGTCGCATCTAGATGAGGACGAGGAGATTCAGATAGGCACCGTCAGAGTAGAGGGGGAACCACAAGATATCAAAAGAGTAGGCTGTTGAACACCATCTCCATCGCTAAGATTTAGCGCGTGCTGACTTTCGACTCTCGTAGATCAGTTTGCGACTGAACGATCACCCAAATAATAGAGATATTCCCAAAGATTATCTCCTCCAGCGACAAAATGTAAACTCCAAAAACAGCGCTATTACCGTCCAGAACAATTATATTTTCAGCGAAAAGGATATGCCTGGCCATAGGAATCGAGCAGATGAAATATTCGGCGAGACGCGGTCGCTGCTTTATGAGACTGTGAAACGGGAGGCTAGGAAGAAGACATTCAAAAAGAAGTGGGAGCCATATGTGCGGAAGACAATACCCAGTATGTTGATACTGAAATTATGCGGTTTCCAGCAACGTACTAATCTATGCAGAACAAACATCACTCGCAGGGAAAGTCGCAGACGAATTTAATTGCATGCCTGTTGAAAACGCCGAATACCAAAGACTATCCACGGCCAAAGCGTTGGAAGCTCTCAAACCGAAAAACAAAGTCCTGTACCGACCAAACCTCGAACAAACAGGACCTAATGTCAGAGAAGTTGCTGCTGGTAAAGTCGGAGGATTTGTGGTGAGTCCCCCTGTTAAAATATACATTGTTGATAATTCCCTAACCTCAATAGCAAACCGGCAAACCAGTTAAACCTCGCGCACAAGAGAACAAGGCTACTCGCCGAGAGCGGAATATTCTGCTTGACGAAATCTTTGGCTTGTTCCGCGAGTATACTCACTGGAAGTTTGCCGATATCAAGGCTCGACTGAACCAACCGGAGCAGTATTTGAAGGAGACCCTAGAAATGGTGGCGCATCTCGTCCGATCGGGAGATTTTGCAATGACGTGGGAACTGAAACCAGAAGCCAAGGAAACAAACTACGCAGGTGCCATATTCTCACAGACACGACCTGAGGTAGCCGCCGATGATGAGGCTATGGATGTTTCAGAAAACGAAGACGTGCAGTTTGAGAATGTGTGATGGTTAGAGCTGGAGGTGAATAGAGATGCCCTTTGAATAGGAAGGCTATGACGTGTACTATATTAATATTTCCATGCTTGGATCATATCTACCGAAGTATGCAAATGATACCAACATCTTACTGATTAATAAATTTGATTACAAACCTAACTTATCACCCTCCATTTGTTTTTTCTGGTGCCTCCCACACAAGTCACGTGATGTACCTATTTAATTCCGAGTGGCGGCAACAACTCAGCCTTCACCTGAGATATCACACATAAGCTCAAAATGACAGAAGATCAGGAGCTACTGGCCAAAATCAGCCAGCTAGCTGGTGAGTACATGACAAAATAATCAAAATCACATCTCTAAAGAATAAACACAGGCCAAATCAACCAGCACAAGAATCAGCGATCGCATCCCCACCATACAGCATCATCAAGCTATAGCGGCCGTCATCCACGCGCCGGCTGGAGTCCGTACGGCTTGCGAGGCTCTCAGCGCCGCCCCCCTGTCTCTCATCGCAATCGTACCTTGATCCTGAACAATGCCTCAGGAACCTCGCGCGAGTCGTCTCTGACCCCAGCGGCTGTATCCGATGCTACCACTACCGCCGACAACGTCACTCCGCCGTCTGCATCTAACGGCTGGGTCGCGAAACGTGACCGACACATGCAGTTAATCAACTCTGCTATATACGACAAGGAAGCACAGGCTCGCACAAAAGCCATCGCCAAAACAGAGAAGAATAAGCAGGAGCGGAGGACCAAAGCTGAAGAAGCCCAGGTTATGAGATACGCGCAGGGGAGTCGAACTCCACACATGAACGCTGTTCCGGCTTCGACGGATAACACCTCATATCAAGTCATCATACAAGATATTCCCTTCCAGGTTGCACGGGGCGGAAGCAAGCTTGTCAGGAAATCCAGTGCGCGACTCATTTCTTGTCTCTTTGTTGGAACTGGCTTACAAGGTTAGGTGATCGGAAAGATGCGGATAAGACACCCAAGAAGGTTGCTGTCGGAGGCGTCACGTTTGTGCGCAGCAAGAACGGTAACCTTCACCGGCTGGGTGCAGTAATAAGCAAGAGGTATTTCTCGATGTGTCGTCCGGATAGTGCACAACTCAACTTATAGCAGGAAACCAAGCAAAATCAAGAAACGAGATGAACTTTGCAAGCGATTCTCTCGAACGGGTACCCGACTCCTATCCAGGTCCAACACATAATTACTATTACGATAATCTACCCATCTACGTAAGTTGCTAATACTGACTGGCTGTTCATTAGGAACCTGCTACAAAGGACCAGCATGTCCCTACATCCACGATCCCAACAAGGTTGCAATCTGCAAGGAGTTTCTTCAAACTGGTAAATGCCATGCTGGAGATAGCTGTGATCTGTCCCATGAGCCATCGCCCCATAGATCCCCTGTTTGTGTGCATTTCCTAAGAGGCCGCTGCTCGAACCCAGACTGCCGCTATGCCCATATCCGCGTGACTCCTGGTGCGCCGGTATGCCGTGCATTCGGGGTTCTGGGTTACTGCGAGAAGGGTGCCGAATGTCCAGATCGACATGTCTACGAGTGTCCTGATTATGCGAACACGGGGAGTTGCAAGAAATCGAAGTGCACGTTGCCACATGTTGACCGCGCAGGACAGATTCGAAAGACTGCCAATAACAACAAAGTGGAAACTGACGTTGATGAAGACATCTCCAGTGACGAAGAGCACGAGGAGATTGACTCGGATGATGTTGATTCGGACGAGTTGGACTCTGATGATGACACGGTGGAGATGATCGAGGCGGGGAGCGAGGATAACCAAGTTTCCGGACAGCAGGACTTTGTCCATTTGTGATACTAACTAGAGCAGACTCAGACTCCTTTCGACGTAATACCCTGTTACTCTCGTTTCTCTATACTCTTGTTTCTGTATTAGTGCCTCGACATTCACCAGCAAAAGAATTGCTGCTTGAGTCGACACATCTTATACAGCACATGTTAATAACAATGAACAAAATATACATTATCATCCCTCTCCAATACTCAGTATGTCATAAAACTCAGCCTTCACAGTATCCCTCTACAATCCCTCATCACCATCAGCATAACCAGCGCGGGCCTCCAACCCCTGAGTTACCTTCCTCCAAAATCAAGTATGACTCACACCAAAAACCAATATCCAGTGGGTCAACCTACCTAACTCATCCGAGCCAGGAACCCACTAATTCCATCAATATTAAAATTAATATTGGGCACAAACGACAACCGTCAACGGCATTGGTGATTGGCCTATACATCAACCACATCCTCCCTTGATGTCCACTGATTCAACCATCTAATCCACCTAAATAAACAATTGACAACGCAAGTATGTATGCATTTATCAGATATCCAGAACTAGTCTAATCAACTTATATCAATAAAACATCAAAAGTCGGGTGGATGGATACATGGAGAGGATATGATTGGCTGTGAGACATGCACACCGCTCCTCCTCTGCACTGAACGGCGAAGTTTATCGCCCCATATGCTAGGCTAGCTAGGCGGTATGAATAATTGTTTGTTGTGGAAACGGTTGTTTCAGGTTTGAAGGATCACTTACGTGGTAGCTAGGTACTAAAAGTACATGTAGGGACGGTCTGTGACCTCTAAGGAACACGCCGAACCCACTATCATAACAGAATAAAAGGTTACATATAGCGGTACATATGTGTGTGCTAATAATATACGCACTCTTGGGACATGTGGCAGTATGTGGTATAGGAATCACGCTGATATGATCCAGTCGTAAAGATAGGGAGAGATTCAATTGTTCCCCGGCCAATTGATATTCAGGTCGAGCTGGAATGGGTGCATGTATACTTATTCAATGACTCAATGACTAGTTATATGATGAAATTCGTGAATAGGCGTAGCTAGTTCTGTATTTACGTCAATTGATATGAACTGATACATACATATGTATAAAAAAAAGTTGAAATTCGATTGAAATACACCAACGTATACATGTAAATTCAATGATGACGTTAGATAGCACAGCTAACCATAGACAAGTAGTTGATGTAAGTGTATACAACTTTCTATCTAGCATACTTGACTAATAACTTTCACATTCAATTTAGTTACTTATTTGGTGCTAAGCTTCCTGCGATAGGGACAGTCCGACGCGAGATGAAACGTGGCAGATGAGTACAGCTAGTTGGTGGTAGTGCAATACCCTCAATTAGCTTATCACAACTCGCAAATACGTCATTTATTATATTATGAAAGAAGAAAATGTAGGATTGTGCTATCAAATGTCAGGCTGGTGATGATGACATATGGCGGTCAGTAGATAGATACATTTGCGCGTGTTGGGAATTGTGTGTTTGTAGTGTTTTACTTAGGCTAGCTATGTTTCAGCTGAGCGAAAAATTCATATTAGAACGAATAAGTTGGCTGTTGAGACGTAGTTAGGGTTCGAGTGAAAGGCAGGCAGGCATGTCCCTGTCATTACTCACATACTTCGGCACATCCTCAGCACATACCACCCTGCAAGTCAAATAATCCCGGAATCACCGAGAAGCTGCCACGATCGTCTCCCCTTAAGTGCAATTAATGAGTTCTTCTATCATGATGACAGTAGAATGATGTTAGAGGTTCCGCAGTCACGGGTCAGCCGGTTGAGATTGAAATCGCGGATGCAGAGGGCTTGCCTCCGCGCCGAATAGATGACTAGAGTGCGGAAGGGTTCTTTGGGCTGAAGCCAAGCTCTTCCTACCGCATGCAATCAGTGGGTAGGAAGGATTACATAGTCTATCTAGGCAAGTCTATACCTGAATAATAGATAATAGATCTATTGGATAGTCGTGAAGCAGAGCTGGTGTCGTTCAAGCCTAATCATTGCCTCAAAGTCAGATTCTGATGCCTTATCGACATCAGGTCAAGACAAGCGCTGACTGGCTGCGAGCAGCCCAACATTTGAACGGCAGGGCTGTTTCTTGTCTTCTTGCTAGTTAAACGATCGTTAAAAATATCACCTTATTCTTGTAAGCAGCAGGAACGAGCAAGTCATTGGCGAGCTGCACGTCCAAGCTTCATTCCGGCCGGCCGTCTGCTTGTGCAGCGGCAGCTAATAGCCTGATAATTATCTGGAACGGACGGCGATGCGGTCAAGCTGCAGACACCATTAATAATGAGAATATTAAATGATAATGAGAGGGTATTTCCATGTAGTGATTGTGTCTAACGTAGTCTGGACTAGCTCGATCCAGTCGACGTGACCTCGGGCCGACCCTTGGTATTTTCCCGATCCTGATTCGCCGGGCTGCGGTATGGCCCCTCTCTTGGGAAAATTCCAGCCAATAAACGGCTGTCATATTTGGGTCCGTCGTCTCGAGTTCTTGTTGTGTGGTGTATCTCTGACACGTTATTGGCTGGGGGAGCGCTGTCTGGAGCCGTGTAAATTACGGTACGCAATACATCTTCCATCATGATGATGTTTTCTTATTATCCTTCTCTTGTTCCAGTTCTTATTCTTATTTCGCAACATCAGCAGGAGAGGTCACGGTAATATTTGACTTTTGTTTAACTTTGATTCGGACATTTATGGCGATGTTCTCAAATATGGTAATGGGAGGTATCCGAGACATCACGTCCCATGCACACCACCAGGGTCACACCGATCATCAGTCTGATCATGATCAGGGTGGCATGACAGCATGACCTAATCTGTAACAACCTACCAAATGCATCTGATCCTCCACCATATCTAGTACTTACTGCTTCCTACTTAGCACGCACTCTTAGCCTAACTTAGTACCAGTCGGATTTTGGCCTGATTCGATGGGAGATTAGATCGACGGCCCGTTGCTTGAGCCTTGTCTGACTGACCACTGGTTCGTCTACTAAGTTACTGTAGTACGGTGCTTGCGCTTACTGCTTTGGGCATGTCATGCAAACAAGTACAAGACGGTCATCATTCTTGATAATTGATAATGTCCAACGTCATCTGGTACCGGCAGGGAGCTCTGACAGGCTGTTATTCTCCAGACATCCTTATAATACTAATCCTTATAATCAGACTCCAAGAAGGCGGCCAAAGCACGCCGATGTCAATAAGAAGAGAGCTATAAAAGGAATCGGGCGCCTAATCACGCTCAAGCGCTCGCATCCAGTCATGCCGCGTCCATGCAGTATCTCCGACCAAGGAGGAACTGTGGGAGCAGTGTTAGGCACCATGATTCACGACTCGCAGAGCCAGTGGGGCGTCACAGACACGGGCAAAGCACTGGCTGAGAGTGCTTGAGCAACAGCTAGAATAATAAAGAGAAGTAAAATAAGAAAGAAACATAAGAGAGAGTGGGATATTACGTCGTAAGTGAGCAGCACGTGTATTGGCCATACGGTGTGCAGGCCAAAAATACGCAAATAGTATGGGGGCAGCGAGTTTTGATACCAGCTGCAGGTCTGCCCAAAACGAGAACGAAGCATCCAATAAGCGCCGCCCGCCAAACTCGGCATACACGAGAAATGGCAGGAGCACAAACAGAGGCAGGAGGTACCTGCCATGACCGTTCGTTCGCTCTGGCTCGCAGCAAAACGGCCGCCCACCAGACTAACTCAACTCTCTCTCCTCCGACAGACTCAGCACTGTCACGACCTAATGGCACTGACTGAACTACTGAGTCCTCTCGTTTCTACCTAAGCCTTTCCTTTCCCCGAGCCCCATCGTGGATCTTGGGCCCAACTGTACTCGATCTAGCCCGCCGATTCTAGTCCCAAGATCATTGCACGCCATCACCGCTTTAGATATATGGGTGCTGCTGCTGCTGTCCTCTCCCATCCCACACATCAGTTCAACGCAGCTTTTATTTTTATTCTTTCAAGGTGGCACCTCTCTGTCGGCCCTCTTGAATTTCTCCCTGTTCCTCCCCTTGGTTGTGTCTTCGCAGCCTACCTTTTCTGTGTGTGGCACCCCCGCACACCAATTACCGTCATCGTACACCGCTTCTTCTTCGTCGCTCGTCGTGTAGCCTTCGCTCGCTACACACAGTTTCCTTTCGACCATTCTTGACGTCTTATTAAGCTTATTGAGTTGTTTTTAAAATTCTACCTTCCGCCCTTTTTCTTCATAATGGCACGATTTGCACAGCAGCCCTTTGATTTCTACCAACAAGCCCCCGCCGCCGCCCTTGAGACAAAACCCGCTTTCTCGGAAGAGGATGACATGAGCGTGCTGGACGACAAGATCCTCGACTCCAACCCAGAGGTTGCCTCTATGGCCGACCCTCGCCGGCCGTCGTATGATCACAGCAATGCCGATGGTCTGACTTATCGAGAACAGCCAGTCTGGGGCGACTTCACACAACAGCAGCAACAGCAGCAGCATTCACAGCAACAACATTCACAACCCCAGTCGCATCCATCTCGGCAGGACTCGGCCATGTACGATTCAGGCAATCAGTTCATGCGATTAGACACCGCCCAGGCGAATGCCGCGTATGCGCAAGCCCAAGCCCAAGCGCAGCAGGCTTCCTGGCCCATGTCGCGGGGCTCTGGCTCATGCACGCCGACTCCCGTGTATGATCAGTTCTCGCAGGACTTCAACGACGCCAACTCTGCGGGGGCATTTTCCGGGGGCGCCGTGGGCCCGATCTCGTCCATCAACTATGCGCAGATCGCGTACCGTGGTAATGTGTTCGGCGCTCCCGGCGGCGTGGCCATGTCCCCGCAGTCGAGCCAAGGATGGATGCCCTCATCCGACATGGGCGACGGGCGGCCAACTCGGAGCCCAACGTATCGCACCGACTCGAATCTACATCTCCGGCGCGACGGCATTCGCAAGAAGAACGCCCGGTTTGAGATTCCTGCGGAACGCACCCTCAATAACATCGACCAGTTGATTGCGCAGTCAAATAACGAGGAGGAAATCAAGGAGCTCAAGCAACAGAAGCGTCTTCTGCGGAACAGGCAGGCCGCGTAAGTCCTTCTTTCTTATAAGCTTTTATAATCTTTTATAATATCTGCTAACAAAACAGTCTCGACTCCCGTCAACGAAAGAAGTTGCACACCGAGAAGCTGGAGGAGGAGAAGAAGCACTTCACTAACGCCATCACCGATCTGGAAGAAGCTCTACAGGCATCGAAGATCCGTGAAGCTGAGCTTCTCCGTGAAAAAGGCGAGTGGCTATCCACGCAGCAGCAATGTAATCAATACATCGAGGCCTTGCACATGCAAAAAGACGAACTCATTCGCACGCACACTCTGGAAACAGCAGAGCTGCGCAAGAAGAACAACATCCTCCGCGAAGCAATGGAGAAGATGGAGCAGCAATTAAAAACATCCAACCCGACCACCTTCACCACCGAGTTTGGCGAGTTCGAGAACATCCCCATGGAAAGCAGTCCTTGGGAGGACTTTTCCATGGTCAACGAGATGTCGCTCGACGCCGAGCCCGTTGCTGTTCCTGACAACTCCCTGTCGCTGGTTCCTATCAAGACGGAAAAGACCGACAAAGTCATCAACCAGGCCGACTACCCCTTCAGCTGGAACGCGTTCTACATGTGCCTGCTCTTCGGCGCCTTCATCGCCTCCAACAGTGCCTCGTTGTCCTCTGCCGCTTTGCCCAAGCTTTCCGACGAGTATCGCGCTGAATCTGCAAATGTCTTGAAGGCGGTTCTCGCCTCTGCACCTTCTGATGTCACCAACCCCTCCACTCACACTGCTTCCACTCATCTCCCTACCACCATTTCCGGCGCCGAAATGGCACACATGGCCACTCCTTCCCAAGCGCAGCCCCAACCCTCACCCCTCGAACAACTCCACACCAACCTCGCTATGCCCACCAAACAGCAAGAAAACGAGCAAGTCTTTGCGCTGAACCCAGAGCAATACAACGCCCTGACTACGTTCGAAGATGACATTGACTTCAAGCCTCCCCAACAACCATCAAACCTCCAACAAGCGCTCGCGGCAATGCGCAGCAATGGCGCACAGCAACGGGCTCTCGAGGCAAGGGGCACATCCGATGTGTACTCACGGTCCTTATTATGGGATCGCGTGCCGGAGAAAGTAGTCCGCGATTTCAAGCGTATGGTTCGCGAGTGTGGACAAAGCAGTTAACACTCCACTCTTACCCCCCTCTACTCTTTGATTCTTTGATTCTGGTAGTCGGTCTGGCTGGCCTAGCCGATACCCTTCTTTGACAATATAAAGCGCACGGCACGCTTATGCTATGCCGGTGGCTCGACGCCGCTCTAGCTCCTATGTTCATGTGGATGATTATTACGACCCTATGACTCTGCATGACTCTTTTCGTTCTTGATTATGCACTTCAGCGGCTTGATTATCTTTTGTTTCTATTGTTTTGTTTAGCAAGCGAATGATTAGCATGGTCGGCATTTTGCGTTATGCTTATTACTTTTATCTTCCTGTTGATTGTACATGTTTTGTTTTGTTTTGTTTAGTAGGAGATGGCATGTAATTATTTTTTTTGTGGTTTGTGTTTGGTTATTGAATTGGGAAAGGCAAAACGAAAGACGGGACGAGCAATCACCTTCCACCCAGCATCCAGCATCCTTCAGGGTGATTATGATGGGAATGACAACAGGATTACATACATACTACATATATACGACAGATCTATTCTTTCTCTTCCTCTTCCTGATGAGGAAGCGTGGCGAACGCCCCACCTACCCTACTCACCTCGCTGACGGTGCGTTGGGCGTTCGCTACCGTTTTAGTATATTACGTTACTTTTACTTGGACTCTGTGATTTAAAGCAAGCGAGCGAGCGAGTCTGTTCTGTTCTTATCTGTTCTCTATTCTGATTTGATTGATTTGATTATTTGATTGACTCGAGGTGAGGTCAAGGATGTTACGTTTTCATGACTGATGAAATGACAAGGCAAAGCAAAGGCAATGAATAATGACTATATATACCAATGATGATACATTTCTCTCCACATGCACCTTTCGCTATATACACACCATACATGTGTATAGATGTGCTTCGTTATGGCTACGTAGTTTGGTAGCTGTAAGGAGAAGGAGGACGAGTGAATTAAAGCAGTATTACTATCTAACTAACTCCCTCCATACATATGTAGAATATGTAGATATTAGGGAGGAGGGACCTCCATGGGAGTGAAATGCACCAAAATCAATCGCAATCAATCGCAATCAATCACCAAACTAGAATAAAATCAGAAACGCTATGTACACGGCGGATTAAAAGAGGTAAAACAAATGTTGAATGGAGTTTTTTTTCAAGTGGAGGCATGCTCCGACGCGATCATGCCGTACTGGCCGCCTGCGCCGGCCCAGATGAAGCTCTTGTCGGCAATAGCCTTGGACTGCAGCACGGTAGCGACCTTGATATCGTCGTCGCCTGGCTGGCCGGTCTGGTTGGACGAGTTAAAGCCCCACGAGTACGCCTTGCCGTCGGGTGTCACGGCGATGGCGTGTTCGGTGCCGTAGGTAGCATAGGAGAAGGCGAGGCCGGGGATGGGCGTGGCGTTGGTTAGGATGCGAGGACGGTCGCGCTCGTCGAAGATCACATCGTCCTTGGAGAGGGCTAGGGTGGTGGGCTCGATGCCCGTGGCGTGGTTGTCGATGCGGCCCCAGACAAGACACTCGTTCGACTCCGTGATGGCGAGGCTGTTGAAGTTGCCCGCTGCGAGTTGCGTGATCTTGTGCGATTTCAAGCTCGGGATGACCGCGGGTTTGAGGATGCCGGCTTCGCTTTCGCCGGCCTTGGACGGGATGCCTGTTTGGCCGTAATTGTTCAGACCCCAGCCGAAAATTGAGCCGTCCTTGTGCACGGCAAACGAGTGGTCGGCGCCGGTGGCAATGTCGACGAAGCCACGGCGGGTGCCGACTTTCTGGGGGACGAGAGCTTGTTCTTTTGCGCGACGTTCGACAATGCGACGCGCGAGTTGGTCTTGTTCGCCGGATCCCCAGGAGTGGACGCTGCCGTCAGACAAGAGAGCGAGAACGTGGTTGCTACCAGCAGCCACTTTAATAACGCTCTTCAAGCCAGGGATAAGAGTGGGAGTTCGCTGGATCTCAACATCAGGCGAAAAGCCCCAAACACCGTTGCTGTTCTGTGTGGATTTATTAGTCGTGTTTGACGCGTCAGAATAGTAAACACTTACACGGAATGTACCCCATCCGTAGACCAACCCATCATCAGTCAGAGCAAAAGACGCGCTATCTGCAGCAACGACTTGAGTGAAGATAGTGCCCGGCTCAACACCAGACAAGTCGATTTCGGTGGGAGTCGCCTCCTTAGGATTGACCTCGATCTCCTCGTCATCATCCGAGTCGGAGTCCTCTTGAGCCTTGTCCATATCAACAAGACCACCATCCCAGTTCGTGTCACGGCCCAATGCGCCCTGGTCGTTCACGCCCCACGTGAGGACCTTGTTGTCGTGAGTGAGAGCAATACCGTGCATTCCACCAGCCGAGATCTGGACGACGCCGGCGTTGGAAAGGACAGTGTTGAATTTTGGGCGCGGGCAGTCTGCCTTCTTGAAGGTATCGCCCATGCCGAGCTCGGCGTTGCTGTTTGAGCCGAAAGCAAAGACATCGAGTTGCGTGGTTGGCGCGGTGTTGATGACAACCTTGGGCTTCTTCGGCTTGGGAGCTGGAGCAGCCTTGGCTTTGGGCTCTTTCGGGACTTTCGGAACTTTAGGGGCTTTGGGGGGTTTTGCAGCCTTGGTGACCTTGGCCTCCTTCACAGCAGGTTTCTTGGTAGTAGTCTTGCTGGTTTTGGCGGTTTTGGCGGGTTTGGCAGTCTTGGTCTCTACAACACGCTTCTGTTTCTTGGTAGCCGGCTTCTCTTCGTCGATCTCTGCGGCCTTGCGTTTCGCGCTTGTGTTGGCCTTTGCTTCTTGAAGAGGCTTTTTAGCCTGCGTTGTCTTGGTTTTCTTCGCGGCGTCGTCTTTTTTTGCGGCGCTCTTACCAGCAGGACGACCGCGCGGTTTGGCGGCAGCAGCAGCGACAGCCTTTTTGGGTTCGCTCTCTGCAGTGCGCTCTGCAGCAGCGCGTTTGGGGGGCATATCTTCTGCTTGAGGATGGGTTGTGAATGTAGGAAGGTAAGGGAAGCAGATGAAAATGCAGGCGAGGGTCAATGGATGGGGATGGAAAAAAATAAACAGAGAGCCTGGTTAAGAAAAGAAAGGCACGAGTGAGGGTGGGCCGGAGCTCAAGCTGGATGGCGGCCAGCCCCAATCGGGCTAGCCGGGCTATCCAAGCAGATCTATTGTTCCTCGATAGACTGATTGATGATAATAGCCTCTATTCACCATTCTTATATTTATTCAGGTGTCTTTTGTGTGTATTTATCTGGGCTCTCATTTGCTATTGTTCCACCGAGCCATCCCTGGTAGAATATAAAGGTGACCCATATAAGGAGATCAAAAGTTATTAACATGCTAGGAAATACATCACAAGAAGAATTTAAAACTTCCAAGAATCGCTACCTAATTTCACGTCGATGAAGCCGATATAAGCAAATAATAGAAACAGAGGATTCAGATATCCAATTCACTATGATATGGTCGTTACTTTGGGTTGTACTTCTCTTTCCATATCCTGCGTGATGTAACAGCGGTTAGCCAGCAACCCAATAATAAAAAACAATTATACGGCTTACCAAGAATTGCCCAACGTTTTGTTCCCGTGGTCTTCCGCGAGACGGTAATATTTGGCTGCCGTGAACTGCAGACAGGCGAGTTAGTCCGCCGATTTAGTTCTTACTGATGGGATTGCCAATGTCATGATATCATGATATCACGCAGAGGTACGGTACAAGTACAGGGGGAAAAAAACTTGCCTTGTCCTTCTTCCCCCCAAACCCCTCCAAGTAGCACCAAGCAGCCTCGTTCATGGCGTCGGTGTCGCCGAGATTGGCGGCCGTCTCGTAGTACTGCCTGGCCGCGACAGGGTCCTTTTCGATGCCCCAGCCATTACGAAAACAATTGGCCAGTTCGAAGATAGCGAGCACGAGCTCGCCCTTGGCTGATCCTCCTTTCTTCACACCTGCTTGCAGCGCTTCGGCTTCTATTGAGGCAGAGTTTGACGCCGCTGCTGAGAGATATGTGACTGCTTTAGTCGGATTGGGCTCGCATCCCCAGCCATGTCTGAACAAATATCAGCATATACATACTTGGTACATGCGGATATCAAACCAAACGTACCGCAGTGCAAGTCCATACAGAACCTGACCCAATGCGTTATTCGCGCCGTTGGGATCTGCAAGGATACCAAACATTTTCGTTGACTTTTCCAGCTCTAAAAACACACGCATTAATCCCATTCAAATCGCAACACTGATAACCCCTTACCTCCATTCTCATGCAGCCGAATCGCCTCTTGAATATTAAGCTATTTTCGTTAGCACGAACCCTCCCGCGTAGAACTACTAGGTAGTAACACATACATCGCCCTGCGGCTCATTAACCGTCGAATTACTCCTACTCCTCGGCCGATCCTGCAGCATCGGATTGCCCTGCACCAGCCTCGTCGCTCTCTTCTCCCATTGTGCCTCTCGATCCTGCTCCGCAAGATCGTCTTGGACTTGCGGCAAGTCTGCGGGGATGTTGACTGAGCTCGTGCTATTGCTTCTCGCCAATGAGCGGTCGAGGTGCAGGAAACTCGATATTCGGCGCTCGCCTTTTTCTTTTTCTTTCTCCTCGGCAGGGTTGTGAGGATGCTGATGGCTTGAGTCAGAGCGCGAGTGGCGCCGGAAGAACGACTTGCGGCGAGGCGATAGGGACGAGGGGTCGTCGACTTGTTGGCTGCTGCCGTCGAAGGAGGGTGGGTTCAGGATTTCTTGCGTGTGAGTGTCTGTGCGAACAAATTTGAATTCTTGCGATGGGCGGGCATCGCTGGTGTCGCGTTTGTGGAGGAGGTCCCTCAATGGCATGGTGGCGCGGCTGATACGGTTATCGCTGCGGGGGTGAGTTGTGACAGTGAGTATGGGGAAGATCTTAGTCCTGGTGGTTGATTATTGTTCTTGCAATAGCAGACTGGTTTTGTAATAATGCGCAAAGAAACATTTGAAGTATTTGAAGTGTTGGAGTCTGCTCAAGATTCATTAGACTCTTTTGCTAAAAATAAATCGCCGTTTAACCTCAGCCAGGCACGGCGCGTAATAATTGAGGCTGTGACAGAGTTCGGTTCTGGCGCCTTGGCAGCTGGCTTGCCATTTAATCATTATTGGCCAGCATTTCTGGCCTTTTAAAACTGGCGATGTATGCATTGCTTTTTAAATTGTTTGGATTATTTGGTTATCGATTGTCAACTTCAACCTTGTTAGTGGTGGTTGATGGATATGTGTATTCCTCACTAATCTTGAATTCTGGCATATGTCCCACCAATTTATTGTAACGGCAGTTACCGCGACAATGTATATCATGATGTAGGAGAAAACCTGGGATTGGAACTATACCATTATTAATTTCTTCAACTACCTTCCATATGTCAGGCCGGAATACACAGACATCAAGAAATAGATGTTGGATGACGCTAGGGCTCCTCAGCGCAAGTATCATCAACCGTAAGAGATTACTATGGTACCTACACGGCGAAAGAGGCAGTCCCAGCCTAGCCAGCCTCATTAATGCCAAGTTTACCAGCAGAAAGGGCATTAGGAGCCATAGTATCATGATAGACTAGAGTGATACCGATGTTGATTTAACGAGTCATCTGCTAAAATCAGAAGTTAGCACCCAGGAACTATCAAGTCATCTCGATAAACAGAAATTGAGACATTATATGTGAAGACACACTCCCTAGCTTGGGAGTCATTCATATATCTAAGAGTTCTGGTTATTATGATATGGATCTAAATACACTTCACTGAACAGGAGATTTTCCTTTTATTATATAAAAGACTAGAAAAAGCCAAATAGGTTGTAGTAACACATAGCTATCAAGGCCATTGCTATTCCTTCAGTCCTTAGCGTCGTTATCCTGCAACGCCTCAACAACCCGGTCCACCCCCCATGCTAAATCCACAGCGGTTTTCCCATACATGTCACGGATCAACGGGTCTACTCCTCTGTCTCGAAGATACTTGCACCTCCATACAGTTCTCCTATTATCATGTGCGGCAACGGCATGCAACAAAGTTCTGCCCTGCTCGTCACGTTCATTCCAGTCAACTCCTGCCACCCCAAACTTATCAAATACCTTGGCCTCTGTCTCATCTGCAAGCTTCTCGATTTCCATGCTGGAGTAAATAGAACTTGCTCCCCTCCACCTCCCCCGTTTCGCCATCCACGCACCACCGCTATCAAGCAATATGCGCATGGGCGTCTGCCCGGCATCATTGCGAGCCTTTACATCCACGCCTTGGTCAAGCAGTATATCGAATAGACGCCGGGCTGCTGCTGGACACCCTATTGTAGCGCTCCATTCGCCAGAAAAGGTCATATCAATTTCGGTCAAACCACTATTTGTCAACATATCACCCAAATCAGCAATATAGTGCAGTACGTTGTTGCCATGTGCGTCACGAACGTGAGGGTTGGCACCTGCGGCAATGAGATCGGCGACCGAGAACTCTGGATCAGTTATTTCAATGCGTCCGCCATCACGGAGTCTTCGTACACGTTGCATCGCTGTATGCAGAGGATACATTCCATTGGAATCGGGTTGATTGACTAGAGTTGGAAAGTGAGAGGCTAAATAACGGAGGGATTGCCGTATTATAGGTGTCCGATCTCTATCCTCAGCTTCTAGTAGATGATGGAGTACATGTTTCCCTTTATTATCAGTGGCTAAAGGATCTGCGCCTAAATCTAGTAGCGCCTTAATTGCTGTAGGGGGTAGTGTACTTGCAGTTGGGTAATCGGAGGGATCTGGAAATGGATTGTTATAGAAACGCAACATAGTGAAGTCCCATGCCAGATCAGCATGAGTTCTATCAAGAAGAGCATCAGCACCAAGGGCATTTCGGCAAGCTGAGAGGAGGAGCGTGCGTCCTTGAGGGTCACGATGTTCCAGATCAAGGGTGAGACCTGGAAAGTCTAAGATAGGTGTGATCAGGAGGCTATCCTCGAGGATAGCATGGAGGACTGAACGAAGACCATATTCCGGTGGCGCTTTATCTTCATCGTCATCATCTGAATCATTTCCGAATTCGTCTTCATAGCTATACTTGTCTGGCCAGAAACCACGATTTTCCCAGAACTTACGACGAATGTCGTCTGGAGCTCCAGGCGGAGCTACTGGAATATCTTCTCCAGGGAAGATAGAACGTGGAAAGAAGCCAGGAAATGCAAAAGCTTGACGGAAAACAGCGTATAAATCTGCACCATGTCGGAGTAGAGCTGTGACCATACGTGAGTGGCCTTCTCGGGTTGCTTTGATATATTGCCTATAATTGCAGGCTCGATAGAGAGGGTACCAATGGTCGTCGTCCAAGGTGTCAAACCTAATAGGCTTTTCGCGTTCCTGAAAATTCGCCCGAACGCCAGACAGATCATCCGCACCAATGGCTCGTAGATTTGGGTTGACTCCATCCGAGAGCAATTCGTCAAGAATGTCGGCTGCACCATACTCGGTAGCTGCCTTGATGACGGTTGGAATTGCGCCTGAGCCATGCGACCTCAAGTACTCGCGCACTAGGTCCAAGTCGTAGATGATATCCGTCATTGGATCCATTTTGCGTGTATCAGCTGTCCCTTGAAGATTTTCCTACTTTCTTCTTGCACTTGGGTTGTAATCGCCTTGCAATTGAGATCACAGGCAGAAGAGTGCTGTTAACAGCTGGAAAGAAAGGGGGGGGTGTTTATTCCTCCAGAAAATGGAATATGTTAAATTACTGTATTGTTTGGTATCGGGAATTAAAGCAATATGTCGACGACGGGGTTACCATGATATTGCGCGGTTAAGAACTGCTAGCGATTGGTTGTGAAGCTGGCGGTTGAAGACACAGGTAGTTGGCCCCTACTAATTACATTCATCTTTAATTTTTGCGCTAAATATGGACTATTGGCTCAGAGCGAGCCTTCTTATCAGTTTCGAAACAATACTAATATCTACAATTCTGTACTCCGCTAACTCTCTCGCTTGATCTTCTTCAAATGGGTTGGGATAAAGCTCTTCTTGCACTCGCAGCCTACCATTGACTGCTCGGATGCAATAATAGCTTTACTGTGCGGAAGGCCCTGTGCACTAGCCAGATATCTCTCATTGACAACCCTCAACCGTTGTTCAATGTCAGGAACCTTTCCTTTATTCTGCTCAATAGTTTTTTGGAAGTCTATCACCGGAATATCCCTTTTCAGCGCTGTCTGGAGGTTCGTCTTCACTATTTTTGGAGTGGTCTTTGACGGCCACCCATCGTATCCAGTCAACCAAGTTTCGAAATTTCTAGCTCTATAATCATCTGAGTCCATCCTTCGTAGTGCAACCAATACAGCCGTGGTATCTTTTGCTCTTTGCCAGACCTTTGGGTAATTGCTCTTTACATCGCCGGGGTTTTTCTTAATTGTCGCATCAACCGTATCGCTGAACTTCTTAATCGGATCTCCCATTCTAGCCAGCACGTCGTAGTAATCACCCACACCAGGCATCAGTTTTGCTGAATCAGTGAAGCCGTCAAGGCCAGCCATCGTATTAAACCTAGCTGAGGCCACATAACCAAAAAATTGGTTTATATTAAGGCTAAGTAAATTGATCTTTCTAGAAGCTTCCTCGGGGAGAATTAGTTTGCTCGGTTTTTGTTTGTCGTTCGTGCCGGGATTCTGGTTTTCTGACCAGATACTGCTCGTAGTTCAAAGTTAGTACATCAAGTCTTTAATTCTCCACTTGCCCCGAGAAAGGAAACGTACTAAGTCATGAGCTCCTCGAACGTACACCTTTTACCCTGTGGTCCCTCACAGCCAGGAGCAACGGTATACGTATACTTGTTATCCATTGACTTGATTTGAGTTTCGATCCAATAATCAAACCAGTACAGCATCCTGCATGAAGTCAGAATCGAATTATTTCATTTACTCAACAGATCAATATTACTTCTCTGCATAAGCTCGTTCTCCGCCAGCAATGACTGGGGATAGCAATCGGCTGAAGAGCAGAAGAGCTCCAATCCACAAGGCGTGCATGGCGAGATTTTTTGTAATGTTTGCAGATTGTTTGTCAGCGCTGCTATTCAAAAGCTTGAGAGTGGAAGCAGTTGATAATTTGCCCACAACAAACAATAGAAATGTTAAGGGTTGTCTTCGCCAACAAGGATATGGGGGGATAAAGTAAGTAGAAGGAACAGTAACGGGGGGCAACACTCTATACCTAAGAACACCGAGACTGGCCAAACTGAGAATGACATGTACTCTTTATGCACTCTGATATTCGGGCGAAATTACACTACAATAGGCATAGAGCATAACTTTTTTTGGAACTATTCCATAGTCTGGCGGTGCGGTATCACAATGTCTCCTGAATTGTGCGGCTAAAAAGATTCGTTGGTACACAACATTGAAACGAGGTCGGAATTTCAGGTTGCTTGCATGATGTTTACAATTGAGGACTATGAATAGGTCTCAATGGGGCGAACAGCCGCGCCGCCACGTTTCATCGGGCTATCACTTCTTTAAAGGACATATGTAGAGTAGATAAGGAGAGTTCTACGGAGTGCATAATATTGCCTCGAGTTGAGTGGACATACTTCTAGTGACCCTCTGCTAGTGCAACATACGCGCCGATTCTCTACTAATCAACCCCTCTAACGAGGCGCCGTGTTGGATGAGGCTGATTTTGAGACGTCAATAATTTAAGACCGTCCTCGATCTAATCTCGCCTGGCCAGTCAAATCGTAGCCGAAGGGACAGACCATTTTTATCTCTGTTACGCCTAAAGCATTGTCTTCGGCGACTAAGTTGGCGGTAAAAAATGCCCCTACTTGCTTGTTATTATTATCAGAATCGCTGATAGGCTCGCAACTGGCGCTTTTCGGCAACAACCGGCACAACTAGCCTGGACCCTGAGAGATAAGGGCCAAATACATGTAATTAACGGAGTTTTTTGTTTCAGTATAGCACTAGTTGCAGCAAGAATAGAGCCAGGAAAAGGAAACCCCCTTGATGGAAGCATTGAGCAACCGATACATTCTGGAGTCTCCATGTTGCATCACTCGGCTATTAAGCGCTGTAGGTTGAATTGTACTTGTTTCGTCTCAGGCCGGCGCTGACGGCACATGAACTTTAAAATTTGTTCTTACTGAAATTGGCAATGTTTGGAGATGGGGGCATATATCATAAATTGGGATGTAGACAAGAAGAGGGAGTAGCATTGCCGCACTTTCAATTTATCTTCTATATCAAGTGATACACACCACATTCATTCCTTCACACTAGTATCTGGGTGTTCACTCTCGCTCTTTTCTTTTATTCCCCGGCAGTCTAACTGAACAGTCTATCGTTAGTTGAATATTTTTGTTTCGTCTTTTGTATCCACGTCACGAGCTTGGCGGGGACGAAATGTGGGTGCAGAGAGCTGCCACGGCAAGTCTGGCTGTGACAACAGTCGCAGCTACAAGCATTGTTCATGGCCCAGACAGTTTCTATTCTGCACTTCAGCCTTGCCCAGAGCAGTGTGCCGGCACACCGGAACAATGGACTGTCTACTCGTCTGTCTATCGTTTAGGAATCTGCGAAAAGCCGATGTTATTTGATTTTGCGGTTCACAATCCACTAGAAGACCCTTCGAGCACTGTCAAGGTTCGGACTTGCACGGCCAAAGCCAGCAATGAAACATCTGATAGTGTTTATAAGCGCTTAACATCTTCGACATGCATCGTACCAACCCAAAGAACCGAGCAGTCGTTGGACTTATTCAAAAGTGACACTAGCAACTCAGAAGCAGGCGGAGATCTCGAGGCAGCATTGGATATCCTCTCGACGTATTTAGCGGATTCGACTCATTGTGAGACTGGGTTTCTGGCTGCATACTATGGCGACGTAGTCGTTGGGATCTATAGTGGGTCGGCTATCGACAAATCTAAGACCATTCCATTGTTGGTGAAGCAGCTCAAACAGCAGACATCAACGGCTCCAAAGTCAATGACAGCCCAGCTTTGTGGTAGTGGCCGTAATGCGGACTACACTTTTGGTGTTTCCATTGATACCTCCGGGAATATTGCTTCTGTTCAGAAGGCCGTGAAGTCATGGAGCGTAGCATCTTGTGTCAACAGTACTCAACAGGCCACCCAACTCAGTAACGTCGCCTGGTACGAGTTGTCGCTGCCGAAAAAGTCTACAAAAAGTACTTTTAAGCGCCATCTGCTACACCAGCGAGAGGGAGGCACTTGTCAGACTGCTACGGTGGTCTCTGGCGACTCGTGCGGTTCTCTAGCTAGTAAGTGCGGTATATCGGGCAATGACTTGACCAAGTACAACCCTCAAGAATCCAATTTATGCGCTACTTTACAAGTGGGCGAGAGGGTCTGCTGTACTGCTGGAAGTTTGCCGGATATAACTCCCAAACCCTATGCCAATGGGACCTGTGCCACATACAGTGTGAAATCGGGAGACTACTGTTCATCAATTGCCGCCTCTAATGGACTCAATTCTACACAAATAGAGTTGTTTAATAACGGGACTACATGGGGCTGGAATGGCTGCAATGATATCATGGCTGGGATGAACATATGTCTCAGCTCTGGAAAGCCTCCTCTACCAGCTCCTGTTGCGAATGCCATATGCGGGCCCACTGTCCTAGGGACAAAGAACCCCACTGGAAAGGAAACATTGGCTGATCTAAACCCTTGTCCACTCAATGTCTGCTGCAATATATGGGGCCAATGTGGTCAGACTCCGGATTTCTGTACAGCAGGGTCTGGGCCAGCAGGAAACCCAGGAACGGCTCCCAAAAATAAGAATGGTTGTATCTCCAACTGTGGGCTTGATATTCATGACAAGTGAGATACCGCTTTTTGCTTGCTCTCAGAATAAAAGCTAACTATCCTATGTCATCCTTCTAGTTCTAATGCGCCATCCTCGTACATAAAGGTGGGGTACTATGAGTCTTGGAATTGGGACCGATCATGTCTCAATTATTTCGTTGGAGATTTAGCTTATACTGATTATACTCATGCCCACTGGGCATTCGCATCTATTAATACCCAGAACTACAGTGTTTTTGTGAATGATACGTATAAACAGTTCCCCGCTTTCCTTCAACTACCGCAAAATAAGATCCTCTCATTTGGCGGCTGGGGCATTTCTACTGATCCTTCAACCTACAATGAACTTCGCTCTGCTATGAATCCTGCTAATGTCGACACGTTTGTGACCAACATTGTTGACTATCTCAACGAGCAAAAACTGGATGGTGTCGACATCGACTGGGAATACCCTGGAGTAAGACTACCTTATCCATATATCTTTCCACTCTGTTGGGTCATAGGTTATGAATTTAGCAATCTGACCTAAATAATAACTTTATTATAGGCACCTGATATCCCCGGCATCCCGCCTGGTCTGGCCTCAGACGCTCCCAACTACCTGGCCTTTCTTAAAAAGCTCAGGGCGAAATTACCTTCTGGGAAGACTATGTCTATTGCCGCTCCAGCTTCTTATTGGTACCTCAAGGCATTCCCTATTGCTGAAATGGCCAAAGAGCTTGATTATATTGTCTACATGACGTATGATCTTCATGGTACGCTTACAACTTGTTTGAGACCACTATTTCGAAGACTAACCAGATAACTCCCCATGTTAGGCCAGTGGGACTATAATAATAAATGGTCGCAGGACGGTTGTGAGACAGGGAATTGTCTTCGTAGCCATGGTATGTAAACGTTATTCTTTGTTCGACACTTCTATCAAAGCTGACACACAAATTCTCTAGTCAACCTTACTGAGACAGTATATTCTCTGTCTATGAGTATGTTTACACTCCCAGCACATAATCTAGGATTGGTCTTCCTAACGTTCAAACAGTTACCAAAGCCGGTGTCCCTGCAAACAAGGTGATCGTCGGAGTTGCTAGTTATGGCCGGTCTTTTGGCATGAGCGATCCAGCTTCATGCCAACAGAGTATCTTCAACCCCAAGTGCACATTCACTGGCCCAAATTCTGGCGCTGACCCAGGTGTATGCACTGTAACACCGGGATACATTTCCAATGCCGAAATCGAGCAATTACAGTGGATAAATGAAAGCGTGACGTATAAGTTCGACCCTGGCAGCGACTCAGACATGCTATTCAATGGCACGACGTGGATCGGATATATGACAGATACTACGAAGAGTACACGCACAGAGTTTTACAAAGGTCTTAATTTCGGCGGTACGATTGAATGGGCTGTTGACTTGGAACAGTGGACTGGCGATAATGAAGCTCCATTAGGCATTGATAATGAGCTTCCAGCCACATCGCCCATAGAAGCCTGCGACGCAACGTATAACACGCTTGAGGATCTCGATGGTGCAGCGCCAGATATCCCAAGTCATTGTGTCCTTCCTTACACCTTGACTGCTCTCAACAATCTTCTTTCGGAGGCTATGACCAATTACACAAGCCTGAATAATGATGGATACGATTCCAAGTTCAAGACCTATGCCAAGGCTATCTCTGATAGCGCCGCTGGAAATATGCATGATTTTATTTACGCTAATGGCAGTCAATACTTCACTTGTATCGTGCCTGAATACTCCATTTGCTGTTCGCATTGCAAGAGTAATCAACCATCTGGCCAGCCCAGCTATTGCGACTACTGCTTCTCTGACGGAGACTGCTATCATTCAGTCTTGGAAGATCGACATCCTCAACAGGTACTGAACTATAATATTGTTAATGAGACTGAACCCTGTCCACCGGATTATTCTAAGCGTGGATATGGACCCAATAACCCTTATGAGCAATCCGTTTACTGGACTCTGACTAACAGCTCTGGGTTTTACGCCGATCTTTACACTGATTCCGGTATCCCCCAGGACAAGACCAAGATTGGCAACTATGACCGTCTCAATGCCTGCGCACCTAGTTCGAAGCCTGACGATGATTGCTGGGCCACTGGAATGGATTTTGATATTCCAATTGTCAACGGCTATTCGACCTCAGACGTGGCAAACCCCAAGGACGTCGTCCAGCAGGTCCAATCAAATATCACTAATCTTCCCCCGCAGATTTCCAATATCCAGACGCTTGTCTCTCTAGACGGGTGGTACGGAAACAGTGATGATCTGATTGATTCAGTCAGCTTGCCTATATTAATGCTTGCTCAGGCGACCGAGAACATGGCTCAAGTGGTGCAGGTTGCCGATAAGATTGAGGAAGAAGAGCGCAAGGCCCTTATATTGGCCTTTCTAAGTGCGATCTTCCTTTTTCTCCCCATTATAGGTGAAGTAGTGGGTTCTGTCGGCGCTTTGGCAGATGTGGCAACCGTTCTCTCCCTTCTTGGAGTTGCAGGAGAAGTGGGGACTGATATTTATGGAATTTTTAGCGACCCTCAAAACGCTCCACTCATGATCATGGACTTAATTTTGACGCCTCTATCTCTTGGAGATGTTGGCAACATTGCCAAAGCTTCCAAGATTCGCCGCGGAATGTCCGATGCAGATATTGTTAAGCTGGGCGACAAGGTTGGCAGCCGGATGAAAATCCTTGATCACATCAAGGGATCATGTACTAAAGGCCTGGAGTGAACGAGGAAGCCTTCAAAAAGGCAATATTACTCAACGTATCCAATAATGGTTTCTGAAAAGACTCCTTTAGCGATAGGGCTCCCACTTAACATGCAATGAGTGTTTTCACTGTATATTATTTTTTTTTTTATAAATCTCTAAATCTCAGCAAAATTATATAGAAATGCCTAGTCAAACCTTATCATATTAATTACTTAGATATAATAAGTATACTATATAAATATTATTAACTATAAACTGATACTTATAAAAAATTACAGAGAATACAGAAAATTACACTGTAATTTTAGTAATTCTAATCAGTTTTAATTGAGATTTACTAATTTCTGAATTTATTATTATCAAAGCTTCCATTATGTATAATCTTAATTTTAAGCTATGGTTTATATATAATTTTGTTGAGATTTAGAGATGGCAAAAATGGCTATTTTCTTTGCAATACACGAGTGTGCCGTGTACTTGTGGGATACGCTAGGCCTAATTAATCTTATGTAACGCGTCTATACGAATGTAAAGCGGTTGGTGTTAAGTTTATGTAGGTAGTAAAACGCAGCACTTCCTCATTTTCGATCTATAATATACAACATAGGGAACACAAAGAAAGAAAAGTGTTTGATATTTTAGATTCAGAAGTATAGTGTATCAGTGTATCACAACACAAGTAGCTCCCGCTCTGTACATGATGGAGGATGCACCCCGTCTAAGCCTTGGCCACAATGCCTACAAATTGTTAGTTCCGCTATAACATATATATATATGAGAAGAGGGAGGAATGGCGACTCACGCTCAACATCGGCAACACTCTGTTGAAGAATCTGCTGGAGGACCTTGGGGTTCTTGAGCTCTTCTTGGATCTTGCTAATGACGCTTTCGGCAAGCTCGCGCTGCTCACGCTGCTTGACTTGGCCTTCGTAGCGCACCCAGGAGTCGAGAACCTGCTTGGCCTCGGCAGCAAGGGCAGTACGCTGCTCGAGCTCATAAGCCTGAGCCTCAAGCTTGGCGGTTTCCTACCAGATATATTAACACAACCCTCAAACCGTAACTAATTGTGAATTGAACAAACCTTGGAAACCTCAAACAGCTGCTTGGTAACCTCGACAACGCTGCCGAGTTGCTGCACGTTCTCAATGCGGGCGGTGACAGCGTTGGTGTGGTCGGCACGAGCAGTGTTGAGGATGTCCTTGAACTTCTGGCTCTGGCTCTCGGCCCATTCCTTGTACATGGGACCACCGTACTTGCCGATCGCAGTGAAGACGCTGAGCAGACAGAAGGCAATGACGGTTTCTTCGTTCAGCACGTACAGCTCGTTGCTGATGGCGGCGATGGAGAGGCCGGCGCCGGCAGACAGAATGGCGGTCTTGGAGACCAGCGAGTTGCCAGGAAGAGCATCGATGATCGACTGGGCTTTCTTCTTGGGCTCCTCGGCCGGGACGTTGGAGTTGTATCGGGCGGCCGTAAGGTTGGCTGTGACAGAAGGGATGCTGCGGGCGACGACAGCGGGTCGCATGCGGGTGGCGCCTGAAAACGAGTTAGAGGGCAATCGAGTCACGGCAGGGAAGATATAGCGACATACCAATGGCGCTCTTAGCCAAACGCGAAGCCATTGCGGTGAGAGAGACGTGTATGGGCTGGTCAAAAGCGGGAGAAGAAGGAAGACGTCGGGATGGAGTTTGGCAGGCGCCAAGCCGCTAGCCGGGACGGGGAAGGCGCGAAAATTACTTCTACTTAGTGGGAATAATTAATCATTTACTTCTTTCTACTTGGTAGAAATAATTACCATTTCCTTTCTGCTGGACAGGCTTTCTTAATCACAATATGCCCGGCATAGCAGATCCTAGCGACCTTAGCACACGCTCGAAGAAGCGCAAGCAGTCCTCAAAGGAAGCCAATCCCTCTTCCAAGCGTCGGGCCGTTGCAAGCGATAAGATCAATGGAGAGCAGGCGAAGATCGAGGAATTGGAGGCGCAGATCTCGGAGTCGAGGAAATACTACAACAACATCGCAACTTTGATTTCCATGCTGAACAGCGATGATCAGCCGAACCTCGCTGTCGCTGTTTCTCTCTGTCGCGTGTTCTGTCGGCTTATCGCCGGTGGTGATTTACAGCAGTCGTCGAGAGCTGCTGAGCAGGAGCAGATTATCGTGGCTTGGTTGAAGGAAAGATTACAGGAATACCAGGCTTTTCTTCTAAAGACTATCCGTCATTCTGATTCTTCCTCGCAGGTGCGTTCCAGTGTGAAATGTAAGGCTTCGCAGACTGATATGTGCCAGATTACTTCCTTGACCTTGTCGATGCGGATTATCAGCACCCGTGCTACCCATATACCAGAAGCAGAAATCCAAGCATGGACAACCGGTCTTTTTTCTTCTGTCTTCGAGGCTCTGGTCGAAGCCGAGGATGGCCAGGGAGTACGGACAGAGTTTGTTGAGAAGTTCATGAAAGAATACGACGACGTTAGATTTTATACCTTTCAAAAGATCTCGTATGTGTGGTGAATTATTTTTTTCTACTAGAATATCACTAACATCATCTAAGAACATACGCAGCTGAAAATCGCCCTGCCGAAACCATCGAAGTACTCATCTGGATTCTCTCCCAATGCGACTCTACAATCCCCCAAGACCACACGTTCACCAGTTTCTACGGCAAAACTCCAAGCGCACAAAAAGCGCAAAAGAATCCTCTCTTATCTGTGAATGGCCACAAGAGACGAGCGCAAGAGGCCTGGCTGGCCATTCTTCGCAACAACCTTTCCGAGTCCCAGCGAAAAGCCCTCCTCAAAAAGATCACTCACACCATCGCGCCGTGGTTCTTCCGTCCGGAGCTATTGATGGACTTCTTAACCGACTCGTACAATTCCGGCGGATCTACCGCGCTTCTCGCTCTATCTGGTCTCTTCTACCTGATCCAGGAAAAGAACCTGGACTATCCACAGTTCTACCCAAAGCTATACTCGCTTCTAGACTCAGAGCTTCTCCATTCAAAGCACCGCTCGAGATTCTTCCGTCTTTTGAACTCGTTCCTCGCATCAACACATTTGCCCACTACCCTTGTTGCCAGCTTCATCAAACGCTTGTCTCGGCTCGCATTAAACGCACCGCCGAGTGCCATCGTTGCCATCGTCCCATTCATCTACAATCTCCTAAAAGACCACCCTACCTGCACATTCATGCTCCATCGCACTCTTCAGGACAACAAAGCAAAAGCCAAAATAGAGGCCCACGGCATGAGCGATCCCTTCAACCCCGACCAACCAGACCCAACCCTCACTCACGCCATCGAGAGCAGTTTATGGGAAATCGAGACCCTGCAATCTCATTATCACCCGAATGTGGCCGCGATTGCGCGGATTATATCAGAACAGTTCACGAAGCAATTGTATAATCTTGAAGATTTCCTGGACTATAACTACCATGGTATGCTTCTGGCGGAGTTGGGGGCTGAAGAGAAAACGTTCAAGAAAGCTCCGGTCGTGGAGTTTCAGATACCCAAACGGATCTTCACGGATAGGTTGTTAGAGGAAGATAATGGCGAGGACAGCGCGCCGGGAAGTCTGCTTAGAAGATTGTGGGATTTTAGTTCCTAGTTTAATACATTGACACATACGAGGAATGCTGGGGATGTAACCTCTACTAGAGTAAATATCTATGCAGATCAATACTTTATTCCAATATACTTTTTTATTCTATTATTTCTGTATTCTCCTTTTACTAGTTAGACTGGAGTCGCCGCCTCTTGTAATTATGTTCAAGGCATTCCCAACATTCAATAATCCAAATTCCACCCCTCTGTCGCGCAAACTAGGCCAGTGCAGGAAACAATCATCCCCAGCACGAAAGGGAGGGACTGGAATGCCAAGCAGACAACCTACACCTGCACAGAGAAGGAAGAAACATGCTATTATACTAGGGTACATACTGCACATTACTAAGAGTCGCGGAATTCCTCAGGGCAAGTCATTCAAAAATCCCTACCTATTTCGGGAGCGCGTCAACATTCCACAACAACCCAAATCGAAGGAATAGGGAATAACCTTTAGAAAATGAAAATTCCGTGGGAGAGAGAGAGAGTCCAATATGGTTAGTTTGAGAGGTGCGTTCTTGCTATTTCTTTCTCTCTCGCCGGCTTCGATGTCCTTGTAGGAAATATTTATTCGGACTTTCTGCAGCTTTGACAGAGGTGTTGCTCACACAGTTAATTTTCACGAAACAACTCTCTCGCCATACCGTGCGCAACTCCCACAATGCATGTGCCATTTCTCAATGTCCTCCTCGCAGGCTCAACCTTCCTAGCCACCGCCCTTGCCCAAGGCGTCTCGTTTACAGAGTGGCCTACAAGCGTGACAGCCGGACAACCAGCGACGTTGAAATGGACCAGCGGGACAGACGCTGTAACTGAACCTCCTCATACTCATACTTCTCTAATAGACCCATCAAACTGATGTTGTATTACAGCCCACAACCATCACGCTGCGCAAAGGCGCCTCAACGGACCTTGGCAACGTCGCCGTCTTGACCAACGACGCAAAGAATGGCGAATACACCTGGACGCCGAGCACCGACCTGCCGAATGGCAGCGACTACGCCTTTCAGATCAGCCAGGGCGATCAGGTGAACTATTCGGGGCTGATATCGCTCGGTGGGGGCAGCGATGACCCTGCCGCTGCTGCTTCACTGACACAGATGGGAACTGTAGACGCAAGCAGCAGCACTGCGGCGCCAGAATCTACTACCGCTAGCGCCAGTGCGGCAGATGTGAGCAGCACGTCTGCACCTGAGAGAACCAATGCGCCGGAGAGCACTTCTGCACCAACGTCTGCGCCAACATCTGCGCCAGAGAAGACAACGGCTGGTAGCACGACCAGCGCGAGTGAGGCCAAGGCCACGACAGAGTCAGGGCAGCCGTCGGCGCCGGGCTCCGTTGCGCGCCCGTCGCTTATGAACACACCGTTTCAAGCTGCGCACGGCGATGCGTCGTCGACGGACTCCGCGGAGTCGAGTATGCAGACTGGTGGTGTGGGATGTGTTTCGGTTTCGGTTCCATGGGTGATGGGCGTTGGGTCGGTTGGGTTGATGTTGCTTCTTCAGTAGGATGGATTGCATACGTAGAAGGTTATTACAATGCTGCTTTGTCGATCAAATTCAAGGATACTAGGCTGGACTGTTTCATTGGTGTGCATTGAGGGCAGCCGTGGGATCCTGGTATATATTCTTGATCTCGAGTTGATATACACTATGAAGGTAGTTAATAAATAAGGGAATTAGCTAACAATGAACATTGATATAATCAAACATGTAACTTTCTATTTACTTCTAGGGTCATCTCACTATACTGCCATAAAAAAGGGATCGCCCCAAAAGACACTCGTGATCGTCAAAGATGCGCCAATAGGCGTAATACAATCGCCGCTCCTTTCGCTTTAATCGACTCCAATATGCCCAGCGTCATAGAATTCACAACGCCAACACTTGCGCAAGCCGGCAGATCAGCCTCGGGCACATTCACAGCTGTGTCTGAGACAGTCGGACATATCGTCACGATTAGCTGCAGTGTGCTATTATCGACATTGTATGAATTATACCAGTTAATAGACGCCAGAACTATAGACACGACAACCCCAAAAAGAATTGGGTAGAAGCTGAGAGTGAACCACGGGTTAACCCTCAATACGACAGGCCGATGGCCGCTTTCTACATGTATTGTGGGTTCGATGCCCGGTTGGTTTATTTTATCATTATCGATTTGCGGGATATGGTAGTATTTGGTCTTGGTGGTGGCATGTTGCGTCGCCAGTAATGTTGTCGGCGTGAAATCACCTTTTGACTTGAGATAAAGCTCGCCTGTGACCATGATGAGGAGGATAATACCCATCGTGACAACGAAGAAGATGGTATATATCGAACTCAGGGCTGAGCCGCCGTACCCCTGACCCCAACTGGTGAGTGTTTTATTAGCATTGACGCAAGTCGCCGACGTAAGGGTGTCAGAGGTGAGGCCGAAGATCCCCGGCCCACCGACCTCAAAATTGCAGTATGGAGAAGTAGCGTCGCACACATCGGCGATACAGGCATTGGATGAGATCTCCCAAAACGACGTAGTGCCGATGTGAGGCAAGAAGGATAGAAGGGTGAAGTTTGTGATGGAGAGGATTGCGTTAAGGATGGCGAAGAAAGAGAGGAATGGAATAGTCCGGACGGTAGGGCTCTGCACCGTGCCTAGTGAGGCCAGGAGGTTCAAATAGCTGCCCCCGCTAACACGCTGGATGCTTGAGATGTTGTGAGCTTCGATGGCGATGTGTAGGAGGCTGAATGTGGTTTGCAGAAAAGTGTATGCGAGGCTGATGAAGGCGAGGGTGAAGTGTCGGCCAGGTGGTGTGAATACATTCCATTTGGCAATGCCGTGAGGAGGCTTCTGGTAAATGATCTTGTGGCGGAAGATGGAGAGAAAGTTATGGCATGCTAGAAACAAATCTAGGACGCCTCCTATGACCGATGTCCACCATGGAAGGAAATAGGGTGCAGCGACGGGGGTCCAGTGGAGCGTTGCATTCGCGGGAAGCGAATTCTCAGTGAAGTTATTGTATATATCCATAATCAATGTGTTGATGTACAACAATACATATGTAGAATGGCGGTACGTTGAATGGAAAGAAGACAGTTTACCGGAATGCCTACGAATATATGTAATACCAAGTTTAAAAGGGAGGCAGACCCCATGTACAGGCTGAAAGCTTAGCAGGCTTAGCCAAGCTTGATTCTAAAGTCTATACGCTCAGCCAGGACTCTGATCCTTGTTTCGTTGAATAAGGTGTGTTGTAACAAGCCATATGAACTTAACCTCAACGGTGCATTTCAGCTCCAGTTGTCCTCTGATAGCGCCACCTCGTGTTTAAAAGTCAAATATTCGCCAATTGTCACTGCGCATACGCAGGGGGAATGCCCAGTCATATATACTAGTAGTAGCTAGGGTTGATAATAAATATAATCGTACAGGAATATATATGTACTGTTATGAATGGTTAACAATATCAAGAACAGTCAGCAATAATGTTGATAATTGCTAAGACAATAGCGGAATAGGGGCTTCCCGATACGGTTTTGTGACCGCTCAGGCCTCTAATACGCCTTATAAATTCTTGGTCTTTACTTTTGTTATGGCTGTCAGCTAGACTCTAGGTTTCAACATTTTACCATGGGATACGCATACAAATTTGTACTAATATTAGAAACATAAAACAAAAGCGTATTATTTACAAAAGATCATCGCGTCGCATAGAAGCCCTACACGCGCATCCAGATAGGCATATAAGCAACGCTAAAACGCATCAATATTGGGAGCTTAGCAACGTGCCAATCAAATGCCTGCGCGCACCTAGATAGACACTAAGATGAATTATATTAAAAGCTTACTTATACCTTATACTCACTGATGCGTGTTTGGAGCGAGACAGAAAGGAAGTAAAATAGAGTATTAAATAACTTATTCTACAAATCAACTGCTCACGCCATCAAATTTTCTCAACTTTTTAACCTACTACTCACTTCAAAATCTAATTAATATTTAAAAATAGATAAAAATCATACAAAAAAAACTTTAATTATAAAAAAAGATTTCTACTACTTATTAATAAAATAAAAAACAAAACAATTATAAATGTATATAATAAATGTTCTTAATCATGAACAATAGTAAGTGGAGCCAGCTGAACCAGTTGGAGTATGGTATCGCTGTGCGCCATCACCATGTCTGGCGCTGCCCCATAAGGCACCTGGTTTTTTATTTCTTCTTTCACTCGAATATCGTCCTGGGAGAACCGCCAGTATTCAGCAAAAACAAACAGTGGTACGGAATCCATACGCTCGGAGGCGTTGATCGCCAGAAGCCGCTAGGGTACTATACCCAGAGAGGCTGGATTCAGCGGGCATTCGACTCCGCAGGGGCCAATTGATGTGGAGGAAAGGATCTGCCACGGATAGATTGTAGTATTTGTGGATATGCACTGCAATTTTAGTGTTTAGGAAGAGTTGTCGCGACATCGAAGAGAAGACTATCGTCCAATAGGCGAAAATGCCTTCGGGCGACACTCCTGCGGGACGGGCTGCTACACAAACCCTTGCACCCAGTGAACCAACAAACTCGCCACCGAGGATAAGAAAGGTAGAGCGCATCAGTCAACCACTAGATAGCTATGCTCAAGAACAGGAAAATAAAATCGAGAAGGATGACACAAGCCCCAGGAACAAGGAAAAACCAGAAGCGGACAAGAAGTCAAAGCGAAGCGTCAATAAGACACCTAGTGACATCAGCAGACTCCGATAGCGATGATTCGGAGACAGCAAAGCTTCTGAGAGAACTCATGAAATTTACGAGAGAGATTAGACAGAGGGACCTACTGCATAAGAAGAATTAAGAAAAGTTAAAGCTGAATTTACGGCGGCTCCAGCTGAAGTTCGATAAGAGCTAGAAGACTTTCGAAATGGTATTACTACTATACAAGTAGAGTCCGAGACATGCCCAAAGAATTCTAATGTAAGTAAATCTCCTGCTATGTCGTGAAGTAAAAGGAGGAGCCCACAGAGGATTAGAGGAGGAAGTGACACCGTAGCGTGAGTGCTCATAAAATGGATTAAAAAAGCTTTTCAACTGGAACTCAAGGAAATAATAAACATTTACCAGCTATAGAACAATACGAAGCCAGGAAAGTCTTCTTAATATCAGGTTCTCAATCAGCAATAAAAAAATAATGATTCCATGGATTCCAGCTGTAGCAAATATAAGGATGAGATACATATATTGAAGCTCGGAGTCTAGTGTAGAGCTGCTACCAAACGACGATGACCAGCGGCTGGCATTCACAAGAACGTCAGCTCAAATGAACAAGAATATAGTCGCAACATAGAGGATCAATACGTAAATAATCTGAATATTATCCAGCCAGTTGCTGTCAGGGTGCTCCAAACAATTGTTATTTTCATTTAACAGTTGGCTCACACAATTATCTTGTCATTGTCTGTAATAGTTCCAGGAAAAATGTATGGTGGATTTAATCTTGCGCAAATACACTGTCTTTTCGAAGATATGATCAAACATCTTCTAGAATACTACCTGATTGCAACTGAGAATCTCGATATCTCCTAACTACGACAGCAGCGATATGGTAATAAAACTTTAGAGAATATCGAAGACACCAGGCATTTCTGGGGTGGTAAGGCAGTTTGGTTTACAGCTGCTGTCAATTTATCCACCGGAAACCAGCTGAATGTTTCCTCATAGTTTGGCTTTGGGATCTTTGTCCTTTGAGAATCTGTATACGATATCTTCGAAAGAATCTGTCGGAAATACGTAAAACCATTTCAATGGCTGTTGTCCACTATTGATCACTCCATGTTCGGCGTCCGAAGGAATGAAAACAGTACTGCCTTTTGATACCCGGTATGTTTCTCCATCGATTAAAACGTGCCCTGAACCCTCAATTATGTAATATATTTCGGCTTGTGAATGGCGATGCCGGCAGAGATGGCCTGTCCTAGGTGGGCAAACAGCCAGGCCTGCACTAAGGTCACTCGTTGGAGTTCTTGGCCGAGAGAAGAGCGTGTGCCACGTAACGTCACCTCGTGATGTGTCATTAAACGATTCTGCTGGCGTGTTTTGGAGATTGTTGGCATGGAGAATGACTGGCCGAACCGGCGATTGCTTGGACTGTCCCATGGAATAGGCACTTGGTGTAAGGTAAATCTTTGTATGAACAAATTTAACAATGGCTAAATTAGTTATTGAGTAATTATATGCACGTAGCGTCTGTGTCTTTGAAATTTATATATATTTTTTTGGGTCGGATGCAATTGTTAACTATGTAGCGATGAACCTTTTCTTCTCTGGAAGCGACTCACGCTTCGGAGGAATTGATTTCCTAACTCGGCTATATGATCCATCGAGCTAGCTGTTCTAGAATCATGGTCAGGAACACCTGGAGGGCCCGTTCGCTTTAAGGAAGGCTGGATCACCTTCGGTTAATGCTACCTCCGTGCTCGGGAACAGGGCGTTATCTGCCCATCCAAGATGAATACTTGTGGATTCTTCAACTACAAGAGTTCACGTATATCGATCGCTAGAGCGAGTCCACTAAATAGAGCAGTCAAATATCTATCGAAGAATCTGGCAATTTTGTAGCGGTTATCAATAACGCTGTTCAAGGTCAGATCCATCATACTTACTTCGGATATCATTTAGTTTACGAAAGGGGTGCAAATTATTATCGCTCCGTTGATAGGTAGACTGCTCCTAGCTACGACAGATCAGACCAATGGAACCAAACAGAGCGGGCGTATAGACGCTGCATCCAACGTCCAATTTTTGACAGTTCATTGTTCCTTATTTTAGACTTTCCATGCAATGTACTTTTACCCGTAAGCCGATCTTCATTATGCCATAGATGCGACATCATATAAGAAGACGGGTTGGGTACGAGTATTCGACAAGGATCTAAGGAGGTAAATTCTCATCCACCACGACGACCTCGCATGTGTTAACCAGATCGAGGTAATGAGATGTGGGGCCACGGGATTAAATCAGTAACAAGCATCTGGCTCAAACAAGCACCTAATTCACTCAAGTCACGGACCTAGATCTACTCTAATTGTCGCTAGCTGTGTCGAGAAACGATACAATGATTTGAACTACACAGAGGTTCCTTAAGGGCAAGTCGTAACGATATACTAAGATTATCAAACAGTAAATAAGTAATAGTAACACAACTAAAGTAGAAGAGATCCCTTAAAGTGCCATAAACTTCAAGTATGATTGCCTTGCTAACCATCTCAATATAATCGAAGTAACTTATGTTAAAAAGCTATGCCAAAATAACTAGATACATGGATATTAGCCTATTTACATATCCCATAGTTTCCTATAATTCCTCTACGCTCCATATACACTAGGTATGTACGGATTATATACTGACTGTATACCCAAGCAGTGTCCTCCCCCCATATACACTTCTCCTACGCTGCCCAAGTGAACACCCGAGTGTATATACTTACATAACCCATAACTCCGTGGCCTTACTATATAAGCCTTGTGCAGCCATGGTAGTTGGTTGATTGTAGTATTAGCTGCCTTAAAGGTGGCTTGCCCTTTCTTGATTTAACCTCGGCTAAGCTTTATACAAGTTGGTTTCGTAACACCCATCTCCCGCTATTGGATGAGATCGCTATGGAGCCTAGCCTCCACAGCCACTATTATAGGCAAGACACCTGTTTGATCTATCGGCTAACTCTGACAAATCATGCAGTGTTCTATCCCCTAGTCCCATTGACGGTTGCTATTGGTCTGGTTCAATTGTTCAGCCCTAAGGAGATTAGGTCACGGGGATACCTAGTTTGTGCCAGAAAAAATATGCGACTATAATACCGCTTGAAATCCTTACTATGTAAGGATTACGCCTTTTTGGTATAGTGATTAAAAGCTTGACAGTGTCTGTTAAAAAACGACACTACATATATAGATATGTAACTACTATCGAATATTCGCGAGATTACTAAGGTTGGGCCTTTTTATATACTAACCCATACTAGCTCTGGGACTTCATTGAAGGCAAAGAACTATTCCACTATGTTCATGATTCACAAGGCCGCTATGATCCTAGTTCTCATTTCGCAGAAATAATAGGCCTAGTCGGGCCTCCTCCACCAAATCTTATCCCAAGATCTCACTCAATGCTGAAATATAAATGGCCTGAGGCCATAAAAAGGGAGGATGGCAATGTCTGTGAAAGTGCGGAGCAGTATTTTGGTGGGCCTTTTCGATAAAGATGGTATTTCGAACACCATGTCGTAAAGTAGACTGCTAGTGTACCAATAGCCTACAGCAGGCAAATTCTTACACGATAAGGTAATCCCAGATCGGAAGCTGGCAAATACACTTCCCTCTCTAGAAGAAAGAGAAAGAGAAAGAGAAAGAGAAAGATTTTTATCTTTTGTAAAAATGATGCTTCCCTGGCTCCCAGAGAGAAGAAAGTCAGCCCGCGAATTGATAGATTACCCATTTCTCAGACTGAAATAATACTATGTATTGATATCAGAATTCAGAAATACCGCAATATTGACTCTAGGACAAAGACAAGGAGGAACATATGTACGGAATTATGCATACCAATCAACCCAAGGATGCCTTACTCGTGTTATAAGTTAACCTATCGCATGTAATCATCGTTCGTTCATTCACGCATTTATGGTCCGGTTTTAGCAGTGTTGTTCTACCCGCGACTATGTCAAAACTCACACAGGTTAAATACAGAAATGGAATTATTAGCCTGCCAGTTTGACCCAATCCGCTGTTTATTAATTAAAAAAATAGAAAATAAAATACGTTAGTGGAAAAGTGCCACAGCCTAGACTCTGTGAACAGGTGGGACTTGGTATTTTAGGACGGCTCTAGTTTGTACCGTTAGGAAATTTAAACCGACCCGGTCGGCCATTACTACCCTTCGGCCTCTGCTACTTTGTATATTGTGTTTTGTAGAGATACTAAGTGGACCACGTATAAACGAGATTGGACCGTCAATACTCGTAGGAGGAGGTATAAATCTAGTGTAAGCCGCCTGGACGCGAAGCTACCTACTATGTAGATATTTATTATTACTTTTTTCGTCCGCTTTGTCCACGAAGAACGTGGCAGCCACTCATTTTTACTATCATGCGTCTTTCACTTTCAATCCTTCCTGCATTGATCAGCTTCGTCTGTCTTGCTCATGCCAACGACGTCGGTGACTATGGTGCCGACGCCTGCGTTCCTGACTGGGAAATCTGCGAATGGCAGCAGCCCCTAATCGACTTGTTGCTTGGAATCCCTGGGGTCGATTCGATTTGCCAGCAGTATGATCCTTTGGTGACTGGGCCCATCGTTGTCACTGTCACCGATACCCCGAGACCGGTGACAGCTACAACTACATTATTCCGCGCATCGAGCCAGGTCATTCCTCATACTTCTACGTTGACGAAAACCATCCTTCAATCATCCCAAGCAGTTGTGACCCGCCTGTTTTCATCAACCGCCATTCGAAAAGTCGCTCTTACCCCTACTGTCACGGACGTTGAGGCTACCACTGTTACGGAAACGGACACTGTCACTGACACATCCTCGACTACACTCACCGACCTGGTGACGCAAACTGCTACTCAGGTAATCACACAATACACCACCACCACGGCTACCGTTACAGCAGGAGCAACGACAACTTCCGTCGCCCCAGCAAAGCGAAACACAAATGGTGACCTGGCACAGTTGGAATTGTATGGAGCTGAAGACCTCAGTGAGGCATGTTCATGCCTGCAGTCCTCAACTTTGTATGAGACCGTTACTCTACCACAGTCCACGACCACAAGGACGGTCATCCTCGCTACTACGTTGAGTTCTAGTATAGCTGTTATCCAGACTGCCGCTGTGACCGATGTAGTCATCAACACCTCGACAGCTGATTTAACCGTAGTCGTGACTGATACATCAACCACCATCTCAACAGCTACAATAACGGTTGAGACCACTGTAAGCGCTACAGTAGACCAAACAGTTGATGTCACAGAAACCGATACTGTCACGGCAACAGCCACTATCACTGACCCGTTCACAACAACGCTACCTGTTACCGTCACCGCCACCGTCACTCCAACGGCAACATGCGGTGTCAATCTTATCCAAAACCCGGAGTTCGCAAGCACCTCCTTGCCCCCTTGGACGGTAGCGTTGAGTGGAGGGTTTATCCAACAATACAATAGCAACTGCGGCGTGAGCTCGTATTGTATCCTCTTTTATGGCAGCAGTGCTGGTAGCTTCACACTTTCTCAAACCATTGATACATTCGCCGGAGAGAGTTATACCATGTCCTTTGACTATCATACCTGGAGTACTCCGCAAGCTGGAGCGGCTTTTACATGTCATGTCAATAATTCTGCTGAGACCTCGTGGAGCATCCCATTAAGTGTATCCACATCGAGTTGGGCTTCGTACACTGGAACATTTGTTGCGTCAAGTTCGTCTACCACTTTCACATGCACGGGTTCGACGACACACGAATATATATTGAACCTGGACGCGTTTGACATTCAGTGCTAAAGGTACATAACTTACCACTCGACGGTGTCTGACTGTGGAAAGTGGCAGCTGTCGAATCCAGTATCGTATAATTGGCTTCACAACATTGGACTGCGATATTCTGTCTAATGTGTGGAAAATCTTAATCATATAATTACGATCGCAGTGCACAAGAGCCACTCGAGCGGTCCTAGTCCCAAAGGGGTCCGGTGATTGCCTCCTCTTGTTAATTATCTGAGTTGTGTTTATTGTAGTTTGTGAAACGCTGATCCAGTAATTATCTCGCCTACTTTGGATTAGCAGGATCTACTGTATACTAGCCTTAATGTATAAAGTAGTGGTAGTTTACCAGTCCATATATAAGACTCTTACTGTTCTTTAGCATATCAGCACACCATCACGATGCTGGCGCTGTGTGATCATGATGGTCACCGTCTATACCGTAGATAAAGCCTGATCTGGGTGTCTCTATTAGGACCCTTACACGACTTCAGTGTTGAAATTACCGGTCTTGCCATTGGAGAAAGGGTTTTCCGCACTCCTCTCTTTTATCGTTGCTTGCTTATCGTATCTTTGATATTTTCCCGCATGTCTTTCCTATTGAGAAGGTTATTCCGCAACCCTAATCTTCCCCCATTGGCCCACCCACTTTGGATATCACCTTCGCTGTCGGTTGCCCTGCGTCTCGCTATCAAGACTTCTATGTTCCGAGCTCTCAAATTTCAAGCAAGGGGCTATACTACTGGACTTGCTCGGGCTCGAGACGACGGTGGCGGGACCGAAGGCGCGTTTACGAGCAAGTTTTATGATGGAAAGGCCAGAATCTGGGTTGCTGCCTCTCAGGCAGACTCATATATGAAGCGCCATTCCTGGGGCACGAATCGATTGTAAGGTGCTAGGAGCATATAATTGTTTGCCTAACTAATCTCACTCACCCTCGCTCCGCTTTCCAGCTCTTTTCCTGTCCTACTTTACATCTTAAAAGATCTTAGGAAGTGTACTCTTATAATAAAAAAGATAGAAAATATAGATGATAATATTTTTACTCCGCAAATAGTACACGAGGAATCGTGGTTGCTAAGTGTCACATAGCCGTAAAAAATTAGTCTCTATATCACAGTATGCCGGAACTAAACCCCATCCCTGAGTCTCTCTCCATCCCTAACGACTAGAAGTTCCAGCTCACTAGATTCACAGCAACCCTCAAATTTATGAGGGATACGAGCTTAGAATCGTCTTCGATTGCAGTAATTTATCACCCATGTTAAAGTAAAATGGCATAGTCGTCCCCCTTCACTTCTCTGCTCGCTCCCTGATTAGGGGCAGGTCTGCCGATGTCCGGTTCCTGTCTATATCTCTCTATTGGAACAAAGCCAAGGAACATCTGCACAACCTCTGAGATCTCACAGCCTAGCTAGTTTTTCAGCTTTCTTACAAGTGTCATCAGCTAGGGCATCCCACTGCCCATTCCCTCTGTAGATTGGATTCTCCTTAATAAGCGCTTCCCATCTAGATTGAGATAGCATTGGCGCCGAACAATAAGGCTCAATATCTAACTGATCCAAGAGTTTATCCAGTTTGGGAAAAACCTCATCAAGTGCCTTCCGCTCCATCTCAAGTTGAGTGGCCCTCTTTAGTCCCAGGTTTTCAACATACCAGCTGGAATCACTCCTCATCGCACCCGCCTCATACAACGCGAGAAGATCAGGATCGACTCCTGCTTCGGCAGCGGCCTCGTATGCCATGCGAAGTCCGATTGCGACTACCATGCTACGACAATGGCGGAGAATGCGGGCGTTGTACTCCTCCCCGCGGTGGAAATTTGCATCGGTGTTTTGGGTTTGCTCGAGTTCGGCGATGATACCGGCTTCGTGTTGCGCCAGCAGGCATAGGGGTTTGGTGCTGCTGGGGAGTTTGTAGCGGCCGATGAGAAGCTCTGTGGCGAGCCCTACGTCATGAGTCTCTTATTAGGGAGTTGATTATCGTAGCTAAGGGGCAAAATGGAGAGCTTACGAATAGAAAGCACCTGAATATCTCCTTCTGCGATAGTCGTGATCCTAGTCAAAGCCTGGATGGTAATTTAGCTTCTTATTTCCAAGCACCTAAACGATCAGGGGTCTACAACTTTACCTCGAAAACAGTCATTTGATTATGGAGAAATACCCCCTGCGCGCCACTTCGCTCAATTAGACCGGCCAGAGTGTCCTGGCCATGATTGACAAACACGGCTTTGACGATGACCGCTATGCCGTACCTAGATCGAGGATCAAGCTGAGTGTTTGTAAATTGGGTCGTTGCCCAATCAGCAAATGCTTCCAAGACCGAGATTTGAGCCAGTGCATGTAGAACGGGCATGTGCTGCGTACGGAATGAAATGATTGGGGCTCGGTCCCCACCCAAGCCCAATTGAACTGTTCTTCGCATACTATACTTGCCCACTATGAATGTAGCACTTTTCAAGAACGGGATGACCCATAGGCTCAGTGCCAGAGTACCAGCACCAATACGGCCAATTGCCTTCAAAAAGGCTTCACGGAAGTTATCAGGTTTGGCGAGGTCTCCTAGCATTGCGTTCGGGGGGAGTGAAACACCGTGGAATGAAGTGATAGCGTGGTCCATCATTCTTCCACATGCTACCGGTGGGATTAAACTGTGGGTGGTGAAAGATGATAATTAGCCAGATTGTTCTCTGATTTGTTTTGATTGAATAGAATCCGAACATACTAGGAGGTTACTCCCGTGCACATTTTTTTGCCATCTCCTAAGGACACAATGAATGGTCGGACACCTCGGTCCTCCCCGTCAACCATAAGCCTGGCAAAGACCACCGCAACGCGAGGAATCCCGGCAACAGGCATGGAAGGTGGCATAAATCTAAGAGTAGTTAGTATACTAAACCATCTACTCCTAGGAGAGGTGGTATTTTACTTGTAAGAGTCGGGTGTAGGAGACTGGAGGGTGAAACCGCCATCTGACCGAAGCGTGGCTGTGGTTTCCAAGTTGCTCGCATCATTACCGTGGCCAATCTCGTTGAGCATGAAGGAGGTTCTTGCAAGCAGTTATCAGTAAGTCAATATAGACTGGCATTTTAAATTTATGCCGAAGTGCTTCACGTACGCGACGTCAAAACGCACAATTTTCTCGAATAGTGGCCGAAGATCTGGTCTTTTGACGGCATATGTCGCAATTGTTCCAGCCACCAGATTGGTTTGGATACTGATTAGTGCCTGGGCTATAGGGTCCACTACTGCCATCCCATCCTTGTTGAGATGCCAAAATTTGGGGGAGTAGTACAGAACGTCGTCCATTGTTAGAGCTAGATGGAAGAAAAGGTATTAGCTGTGTGACGGCCACCGGCCTTCATAGGTTGACTAACCATAATGCCTACAAAGCTCTCTTGCCCTGAGGTAGGTGTACTCCACATGTTCTATGCGTGGAATATCTTCATATCGAGGTCGAAACAGGTCCTGAGATAGGAAGCCGAGTGTGGATGGATAACTTTGGGTTGGCATCGTGCGTAGTTTGGCTCCCGGAGAAGCATATCAAGCAGAGTTGCTTATATTCAAGAGGGCTTCTTACGCCCAATATATATATGTTAAGAGAAGAGGTTATAGATGCGAGGGATTTCGCCTAGTATGAAGCCTGAATGAGATGGATTGGAGAGTGAGGTTGAATGGATGGATGGATGGATAATCCTGTCTCGCATGTAAGCCCAAAGCGCGGATGGCGTTATCTATTGGGTAGTAGCGCTCCTACCAACATGCTTATGGCCCAGGGGGGTGGTATCAAGGAATTTCATACTATTCCCTTTCATGACCCTACTTCCACGCACGTCAAAAGCAAAACATAATGGCATCTTCCTTTAAGTGAGGACGTGTATGTCAGTGGAAGGCCTTAGTTTGCTTTTTGGAACCAGCTCGGCCCGAAAATTAAGAATTTATCTTTCGCCGAACGTAGGAGTTATGCAAGCCTAGTTGGGCGTCTGATCGGTATGACTGGGTAGACAAGGACAACAAAGGAGAGAAGATGGAAAAAGGCGCATAACAGGGAGAAGCAGCCACGGTAAACACCTATTGGCTCGAGGCACATGTTCCCTGTTTGTGTACCCTCCTCGGCTCACTTGAACCCCCTGCATCGCCAATTCAGCTTATTACTCTATTTTCAAGTATCATCACGCATCAACCGAAGATCGCCGCTCGCCATGGCGTCTTACCTTTTTTAGCCGTCGATTGATCTGCCGCCGAGGTAATGTCACCTCAGTCTCTACTAGCATAGTATCAATGCTATGCCGTCGTTATTTTTGCCAATCTGCCACCTTGGAGCAGGGAACTTAAGAGGAGCCTAAGCAGAAAAGGAAGCAAAGCATATAAGGTCATTTGTTATATGGATATGTAACCAGTCACATGAGGTAATCCAGAACAGTAATCCGATCGGCGAGGTTGGCGCTTCATGGATCGATCGAGATCTAGTCATGTTACCGTGTTGTCAACAAGGACACTGATACTCTTTTGAGTCTAGGGTCTACAAAGTACTAGAAAATCCAAGATTCGATGGCTGATGTACCGCCGCTAATGGTTAGCTGCATTGCTCTTAACCAGAATGAGCTTCCCAGAGCCACCATGAACTACTCCTGCTAGCTTATCGGACGGCATTAAACCTCCAATGGTCAATCTTGAACGTTGAGTTTGCCACGGCAAGTCAGCAACCCGTTACCCTGTGCAACATAGAGCGGCCTTTGTACTGTGAATCACGGAAAGGTAAAAAGCAATTTTGACTTTTGGAACGGTAAAATTTGAAGCAACTCCTGGTGGCTATCTCTCAGTGCAGGCAGATGCCGTGCGTCCGTTCAGAACGAGCTTCTATCAAAGTCCTTCTAGCCATACACATGCCCTAAGAGATGGAGCAAGAGCATGAATCCCAATGCATGTTTAGAGAGTAAATTTTGTGGGAAATATATGCTCTCCATCAGAATGGCAGAAAAAAATTGCCGTAGTGTTTATTCCAAGACATTCTCAAGCCCAGCCTCAGCCTGATACCCGCCAATCCAAGATGAAGTACGTAATGAGCGACTGATGGCCTTGCATGAATACCATATATTAAGAACGAGGAGGGATGTTATTGTATGGTGGTAAGCCCTGTGGCACAGCCAATCGGCTAAGCTGGGGGATACGAACAGCGTGCAGTGAACTAATAATAGGGCGCAATCATAAGATTCAAAGTTGAAATCTTCCACGTCACTCCACAGTCGAGTCCACACTAGCTCTACAAAAGCCTATCGGCTCACTAATACAATGGAATTGCAGAGATATCGTTGAAGAATAAAGTGAGGTTTATTCGCACCCTTTATTTCAGTGCATTTACCAAAGGCAGAATGGCCTGACTGGCACTTTTCTTTTTTTGTGAGTGCCAGTCAATGTCCACTCTTATTAATCCTTGCCGACAGTCACAAAGACGCCGCCAGATTTGAAGCACGATCCCAATCAAGAACTCAACCAATTATCTCAACGACATGGTGTCCAGATAATCCCCATTACGCTACTCAATCTAATCGGAGTACCTGCATACTACACGCATGATATATCACATTTGAGTTATGGATAATCTCTTAAAGGCAAGATGGGGCTAATGCTTGTATAGGAAGGTGGATATGTCATAGAGAACGTCAAGCTCCGATATTTGTGGCTCCGTCTTTTTTTGGTCGTAATTTAATAAAATTGGTGCTGTGCTCTCGAGGAAGCGCAGCGCCCCAACCCTGATATCCTGAGATTCGATTAAGGATGCGTTTCTCCGTCTTTCTACAAGTTTTTATATAATACAGGACTGTTTTCTCATGGCCTCTCTATTACATACGAATTCCTATGTCGTCCAATTTTCTTTCACACTATGACCTAGTTAGATTCAATACAATGGGCTCAGCCAGCTTACGCCAGAACTCGAGTCCTCAGTCTAAAGCTGCAATGACTTGTATAAAGCCATCGAAGTAGATCATAGTGCAGAAATTGGTTCATTTTGAAATTTTCACCCTTTCTTTTATATGAAGAATCTCCCCATACACTTTGATGCAAGCCACAGCCTCGTCGCATCACAAATCTATTCCTATTTTGCGCGCTCTAAACGAGATCGGGCTGCCGTTGCCCTCAGGCCATTTTGTGATTGGCCACAATCGTCCGCTACCAGACGCTTTTGGGATGATCGTCACTTTGGATTCAGATCTTATCGGCACATAATTTCACCAGGCGCACTAAACGCCAAATGGGCCTATTTCTTTAAGGCCTGGGCAAGCCTGATTCATCATCACTGTTCAGTTGTTCACCGATTCGAACTGCAGGCTTCATCCAGATTATGCAGCTTCAAGGACGCAATTGGGACCATGTAATGTGAAAAGGCATCTACTTGAGCAGGTATTGGATCGTGTTACTGTTTTATCCCATACCAAGTTATCAGCTGACTGATGCTGTTTAGGGTCCCACTGTTTGCCGTTCTGTGGAACTCAGGAGTCGTTTATGTCGAGGATAAAGAGCCAGACTTGCGTGACAGGGTATCATATCCCTATCCCTGTCGAAAACATCTTATTTTCTGCAATTATGTCCTACGGCAACCCCATCCCGAGCCGAGATTAAGAACCGATCGATCGATCGGATTTATTTTCAACCTTTTTCTTTGATCTGAATGGTCAGAGGCCGGAGATTGGTGGTCTTACTAGCCCAGTAGCACTTATCTCACAAGCCCTATTTCTCATTCAGGCCTTCATTCACCAACCATCTTACAACTCCGGACAGACCGGAAAAACTCATACTAGCCATTTATGTATGTCCCTTTTCTTTGACAATATGAAGTAGGCCTCTTCCTTACTTACATATAAATACTTGCCAGTTTCCCAGTCAATGAAGGAATCATCGACTTATGTCACTACAACCCGATTTATGACCAGGTTCAAATCTATCAAACCAACTGGGAAGATTCGCAATACGTGTTGGAAAGCTTTATCAACCTAGGTTACGGCCACTACTTTTAATTCTTTGGAAACTCTTAGGCTTTTGTTTTACCATCTTTTTACACCACATGACGACTTTTGTGACTTTCACCTTGAAGTCATAAAACATCGAATACCTGCACACCTCCGGCATCTCTATTTTATCTGTGATTCCTCTTAAATTTCCTAGTTTGAGATAGGAAAACGAAAAATAAATGAATCCGATTATGTCCAAGTCCACCGAGAATCCTTCTGCGTCTGTAACGTCAGATGCTGAATGGCCCCAGCTGGCTGATATCATCAAAATTCGTCAAGAATGGGATGACCAGTTAGAAGCCACCATCACACGGGCTCAGGATATTATGAGTACGTCCCATCATATAACCATAAGCACATATACAGAAAGAAATACAACTAATACTTTCCTTTTCACGAAAACATAGGACAACAAGGAAATCGAGAAAGAGAAGCTAAACTACGTGCCAATACTGTACAACCCAAGCCCAAAGAAGCGTGATCAATTGTAATCAAAAGTCAGGAAACATGGTTCTACAGCTCCTTTATGTCTCACTGCATATTTCTCTCCTTATTCGACTGTTAGTCTATACAAAAAGCGATGATGTTGTCGATTAGTTCTATAAATAGTGACTAGATAGATACCTCGGCTTTTGTCAACTAATTGGAGTGCAAAGCGGGGACGGAGTCTTTTCTAATTTGGGAAATTGTATTGGACCAATTATACAAGCCGAAGATCTCTATCGCACCGATTTGATGTTTCCTTTTCTTCCTTTCTTTTAAAGGTTCAGACACCACTTGTGAGAGGTAATTGCTTTCGTCCACTTGTGTCTACTGTATAGTACTCATGTGAAAAGCGCCGATATTTTAACAACTCGAAAGGTGAAGATAGTGATGAAGGGGAGGGCTTCGTTGATGCTGAGGAATATCCTTAGGACGATTTGTCGATAGTCAGAGGAATAGTGGGTAGAAGGGATATTAAGTTAACTCCGTAGATAATAATATAGCCCATTAACAAAACATATTTGCTGGGTTTAGAGGTCCTAGAACTGGGGATAGAGCCGGTCGGTATGATCCTAGGGACCCTGCTTGTATATTCAGGCACTATTAAGGTAAACAATTAGATGCACTATAGAAACTAGAAGAGAGACAATGGCGCTTATAAGATGTCTACCTATACTACGAAGCCTATATTCAGGAATAGCAGCCGATATTCAGGATGTCTCTCTCTAAATCTTGCAAACTGCCCACCCCTACAGAAGCCAGAGAGGCCGCCGATTCGATAAGACGTTCAACAAAAGGAGGAACCCAACCATACTTCCCAGTTCCCTTTCCCTCTTTGAATCTGATGGTCAAATTTGGTCGCAGCTCTATCATCCCTGAGGGTCAATGCTTATGGACAATTCGAACATACCTTGGTGATATCGTGCCTGTTCCAGAAGTCTATGGATGGTGTAAGGATGACGGAGAGGATTTCCTCTATATGGAGTTGGTGAGAGGTGCCACCCACAGCGACCTTCACCCCAGTAACATTCTTATTACTCGGGCTGGGGAAGGGCAGGCCCGTATTCTAGCTTTGATTGATTTTGAGCAATCTGGTTGGTATCCAGCATATTGGGAGTATTCCAAAGCTCGTTGGACAGCAGAGATAGGTGGGGAATGGGAAACAATGTATCTCCCCAGGATTCTAGAACGGCACGACGACGCTTATAAACATTGGGATTATTTTTGCCTGAGTCTTGGGGTTTGAGAAGCGGTTAAAATTTCCCCTAGCATAGATAATTCTTAGTTTCAAGTATTGGAACGCAGGATTAAATCAATTGAGACTAATTATTTGATGATTAATCTTTTAGCCGTTGCCTGTGCAAATTTAACTAGCGACACGACTTCTTTGGTTTGAGGACAATCCTGAAGAAACGGATGCTGATGGGTGTTAGAAACACTGAATTCTGGAATATTTTCAAGAACGACTCACCTGCAAGAGATCTTTTGAGTCTTTAGACGTCGTTGAAGTGAGAAAGTCTACCGCCTGCAGCGTCCAACGCATAGGCTCCGCAAGCCTAACGTGATCATCATCTGGTCGTTCTTTCTCTATTAAAGTTACCATCAGAATCCTCAGGAAAAGTACGACAGTTTCAGGAATGATACCACCTTTGACGGATTCGTTTCTAAACATTTCTCCTGGGGTAAATCGGATAAATCGGATCAAGGATCAAGTACCGTATCAATAATTAGTGCATAGCAAGTTTGGAAGATGATATTGCATACTGTATGTGGCAAGACCTAGTTGGCTTCGGGAGAAACCGGATTGGACAGCAGGAACTCAGCCTTCAGACCTTTTGATCCTGGGTACGCACGTCGACATACGTAGCAAACACGTATTCATAGAATTCGTGCATAGTCTTACTATCTCTTATACAGTACACATGACGTCCTCTCCTGAGCGTATCTTGTTGATTCTATCTAAATGAATGAAGTAATTGAAGCCCATCGTGGGCGGAGCGTAGCAATGTTCGACAAAAATGTCATTGTGTGTAGCAATATATTCTAATTCGGGCTGTCGAGCCGAATTAAAACCGATGTTCCCAGTACTAAGTATTGCCATTCAAGCCTCTCTATTTTATATTATGCTAGACATGTTTTGAGGCCCACATCCGACTTCTCATGGGGTTCTTCACTCTACTTCGCTAATTTCCAATAATTCAACCTCGGCCTTGATCACTTCGAGATCTCGGTATCAATTGTTGAATATCTGCATCCAGATTGTTAAGATCAATATGGATCTGATGGAAAATCTAATCAAATGAGCGGCTATTATCACTGACATAGATATATACAGGATGTGAATCACATCCAATATCTCGTTAGATAAATACAACATTGGGGCGGCCTGCAACGCAGAGCTAAACGGTTTTTCAGCGGTTGAATTGTGGGATGCTATTGTTTCCGAATAGAATCCAGCAATTAAATCCTTAACAGAATCGTTTGTCTTTAACAGGGGCATTTTCGATAACGGCTCTTTCAATTCATATACTGCCCCGAACTGGCGCCCAGCGTTATAATGTACAAACAATTCCTCGCCCCAAGCCGCTTTTATGCGCAGGGCGATTCGAGGACCTTGTAGGGACTAGGGAGTCTCGCGGCCACCCTCCTGGAAACCAATTCGAATGGATTTATCTAATATAGCTTTTACTACAGCTATCTCTATAAGTCAAGTATCTAAATAGTAGCAGGAAAGTAAATCATATTAATAGTAAATACTAATACTAATAGTAAATAATAGCGCCGGCCCTAAAGCAGGCTAAAGAGGCTAAGGCAGGGGCTCTCCCCTATAGGCTCTAGGACAGGGCCGCCCGCCCGCCCACAGTGGACCGATTTGCCAGCTGACATCACGCGTTTTTCAGTCAATGTTGACTTCAAGCATTGCTCTATACATTGCTCTATACATTGCTCTATACATCTGTTGAATCTACTGAATCTGCTGTGTGAGATAGCTGTGTCAGTGTATAGTATGTTAGGAGTTTGCTTGTCCATGTCTTGCTTTGTCTAACCGCTGTTTGCTCTGATTGTGATTATTCTGTTCCCCCCGGAACTTTTCTCCAGATCTACTTTGCTTATCCGCACATCCCGGTTCCAGCTCCATGAAGAAGAATCTCTTGCGCAAGAGAGCACCAGCAGACACACTGGGGATAAAGGCTTGGGCTTTGGAAAGCAATGGTGGTATGTGCTGCCTTTTATCTTGTTGTGTGCGACTGTGGATGCCTCCCTGCATGAGCAGGCCCCATCGGGTTGGAGGTTGACGATGTCATACCCTTTATTTGTTTATCTTTCTTGTCTCTTCTTTCTTTCTGCTGTGAAACAACTTCCTCTTCTGTGACCCCAAAATACCATGCTCCTTGCACCCACTTTATTCGCTTGTCCAGCCATTCCAGACACATTCCTCCGAGGACGACCCGTCGAATGGATGACACGCCCCGCTTGAGTCCGCTCAAGCGGATGAAAAATGCCATCAATAAGAAACGAGACCAAGCCGCTGATAAGAACGTTTCCTCCTTGCTAGATGCGCCGCAATTGAATCTCCCACGTGTCGAAACGAGATTAGATATGCACAAGACGAACGGCCTATTTGATCCGCTTACGCCAGCGCCAGACCGTCGCGTTGTTTCGAATCCAGGGGTAGATATAGACGGTTAGTTCGATGATAAAGTTTGTTGGTGGGATTATGCTGATTGTTTGTTCTCATAGATGGGATACCGCAGCCGACTCTCGATGCTGCGCCAGAATGGACGTCTGCTGTCGGCCACGCCAGCACCGGCAAGTCGGGCCGTGTTATTCACAACCTGCAGGAAGATATTGCGCGGCTGAAAAGAGATCTGAGTGTTTATCGATCGCGGGCTGAGGAAGCCCAACACACAAACGAGACCCTGAAGGAACAAATAATCAATATCGGCGAGCGGTTGCGGAATTCAGAGCAGTCCAATGAAACGAACCTAGCGTCTATTGCTCGCAAAGACCGCAAGATCGAGGACCTGCGCACTGAGGTACAGAATGAAAAGGCGAGGCGTGTGAGGGCAGAGGCGGAGACGTCAAAGGTCAATCAGTTGATGTCAGAGGAACAAGACGAGTTTCATCGCAAATGCGCGGAGCTGCAGGAGTCGGCGAATCATTACACAGCGCAGTACGAAGTTCTATCCAAGTCTTCGTTGAGAGAAAGGGCCGACACGCAGCGGAAATTGAAGGGACTCCGCGACGACCTGCTGGCGCTTCGCAGCCAGGCAGAGAAGAAAGACAGGGAGCAGGAGAGGCTGGACGCGCTAATAGACCGACAAAACCAGGAGCTCGAAGCCGAACGAAAACGTATTCAAGAGATATTCAACGCGTATGACTCGTACAAGACCACTCGGGACCGAGAGCTCGAGGATTTGATCAAGAAGGGGCGCAACAACCAAGCGACTGTGGACGCTGCTGTCGCGTCGCTGAAGGAGGCAGAGGATAAAATGAAATGGGTCATGAATATCAAGAAAAACATCGAATGGTCAGAATAGACCGACCTAACCTAGCACCTCAAAGCCATGATATCTTCAACCACTCGCCTTGCATTCAATCCACTAATTCGACTGTCGCATCTCATCTTGCATCTTTTGCACCCGCCTCAACCCGGCATTAATTCACCTGATACCCATACATACATGTCCCATCTTCATCTCCAGGCGTTGCTCAATTTGGTCTGGCCTGCATTATTCGGGACTTGGAGCCCACAACTGCAGTCTCATTTCGTTTTCTATTTCAGGCGGCTTGGAGCATCATCCTTGGTTTCGGTTCAGAACGCTTGTATAATCCTATCCATAATTTCTATTGTGTTCATATATTGGCCTAGACATTGTCTGTACAAGTGACTACAGCTTGTTGTTATGAATAATGAAGAGATCTTACTGAATATAGATTTTCTCTCACCCGAGCTTCCTGTCCGCAAAGCAATAACAAACAGACCAGCTGCACATACCCGCTGCAGCTGTTTGACCTGCCTCAATCAGCTGACAGGTCTTTGTATATATTGAGCATTTGCACTATCACTGCTCTCTCACTGCAGTGATGCAAACGTAGGAAGTTGCTCGGTCCCTCTTTCCTCTTTCTGCTCCGCCATCCCACACAGTCCACCGGCTTCCACATTTTTCACTGTTTTACACTGTTCGCCGCTGACTTCTACTGATCTTCCACTGTTTCAGTGACCCTTCACGGACTTTCACTGACTTCTCTTTGCACATCTTCGTCTCTTGTCTTGATATTTCAGATCACCGTCTGTAAATGTTTCACGCGACTGTTTATTCCTTTGAGTAACAAACAAACAGAGCTGTCATCATGGCTGGCACAAGTGCGATGATCTATTCCCCTTGGACCTTCAACCCTGATGCCGTAGGTCTATCTACATTTTCTGAAATATCGTTCAACTAAACAGCGGGTGATTAACCGTTCTCAGGCTCGAGACTTCTGTGACTGGCTTAAGTAGGATCCGCCAGAAGCCGTTCTACGATATCGTCCCAGCTACTAACATCAATGCTAGAACAAGATATCCTCAGATAACAGATGTCAAGTACAACAAACAGCACTCCGTAAGTCTACCACTACTCTCTAGATGTATATGGTGGCACCAGTAACCGCGTCCAATCTCAGTATTTCGCTGTCGAGGGCGACGATATCGAGCATGACTATGATGTTGAGTTCGCGTTGAAGTTGAATGAATTTGCTCAAAAGGAGCTGGCTGCATCTTTCAAGGTTGGTATTCACCCTGCTACCGACTTCTTATAAATGTGCTTATTGTTTGCAGGCCCCGCGAATCAGCCGTAATGTACAAGCTTCTCGGGTGGTTGACCATGTCGATAATCAAGTTCGAAAGCCTCCCATTTCATCAAACTGTCATATTCTTGACCAACCGATTGAGGACTCAAGTAATGATGAGTGTGCGATCACTGAAACATGGAAGTCTCAATATCAGTGCCTCGGACATTCCCCGAATACCCAAAAGCACCTGTTAAAAGAGTTCGGTGGCCTTACTGGTACCGAGATATCGATAGACATCACTTCTAACAGCATTCAAGTATCTGGCAAAAGTGCAGAATGCGTTCAAAATGCACTTGATTACCTGAAAAACGCGGATACTGCATTGGTTGGTCGTCACCTTTATGCCTTTATGCCTATGTTTGTATCACTGTCTGACTGGATTAGAATTTGAAGCAACGGGACGAGAAACCTTGCAGCCACCACCTACTCCTTCAGCAAAAGGATACCGGAAATCTGCGAACGATTCCATACGTGGAGCATCCATCCGCAGAAATTGTGAGTGGTCTTGTCACACAAAGGCAGCGATCACGTCTCGCAACCGCGGTTGCGTTGGTGTCATCATACATACCCAGTCCCTATTCGACTAATGGTCTAAGTTATACTGCTTCATCTGTCGAATCACGCTACTGGAATGGATATAAATTCCCTGAATTCGGAAAGAAGGAGCTGTTCATACATGCCCAGCCCGCAGTTGATATTTCTTCGGCATCAACTACTACCAAGGGATCACCACATTCCATTGGCAGTGAGGCGGTCTCTATGGCGAAGATTGAGGAGAATAATATCTATTTACAACCAGAAAAAGTCGATCGAATTGCCGACTGGGTTCGCCACAATGATGACAAGGAGAAGAGTGAAGTCGACGATTTACTTTTTGGTGACTTGCTTATCGGCACCGATATTGCAAAACCCGTGCGGACAAGTATTCCTAAACCTTTGAAGGAAGAGGAGAATGTTCCAGGTTTATTGAGACGAAGAGTACGGTCAGCGAAATCCCAGACAGAAACAGAGAAGCCAGTTCTAGAACGTAAGGAGCAGGACTCTAAGCACTTTTGGCCTCCGTTGATGCCACAGCTTCATCGTACCATGGGCCAAAAGAGTGCGCATTCAACGAGCACTAGCAAGAAACCTGGGACCAAGCAACTTACCTTGGATGCCTGCTGGAGTCGTAAACCAACCCCTTCTCCCAAAAACGCAGCTATCAAAGCTGAGAAAGCCAAGGAGGAGACGGCAAAGCCAGCTGTCACGCGAGTAGAAGAATCCATTGCCAGTCTTCAAGGGGCCAAAGAACCACAAAAGAAATGCCCGTCCAAGCCTCCTCGTGAAAACGCGGACCAGGTTAATGACGTATTCCGTGCCCTCGAACCAACACTGGTAGACGCCAAATGCTTTCCTGGGATATTACAGTTAGAAGTACACCTTGGTCTGATTATCTTATCTCCCTTGCCATCACGCCAGGAGCAAGATGAAGGAAAATTATCGGTGAAAGACTGGTATGAAATCTTTCGGCCAGAGAACAATCTCCCAGTGCCATCATTCTGGGTATTCCCGAAATTTTCGGCTACTGGCACAGATGTAGATTCATTGGTGGATTTGACCTTACCTGGTGATGAGAAGCAGAGATTGTTCGAGAAGAAGACTTTTGATCGTGGAATTATGTATGAGTTCCATTGTAGCAGCAGACATGGGAACGAGTTCCTCATCACTCTAGACGAAACCGGCAAAGCCAGCATTCGGTTGCCCGAGGTCATGCTTGCATCTTCAAACATCCATTCTCCTCACTCCACATGGGATCTGACAGCCATTTTCAAAGGCTGGCCAAACTTCCGCAAGGGGCGAGACGCAAAACTTGACGAGGCCATCAACACCTTTGTCGACGAAATCTGGCTACAACCGGGATCCTCCATCAACGTCTTCTGCAACGAACCAACCGACGGTCTTTTCTCCGTGAATGAAATCTTCTTGAAACGATGGACACTCCACAAACACACCGCCTCCTCCCTCTCCGATGATCGCATCATGCTGAAAATCACCGAAGTCCAGAAATTTGTCATCGGCCGCAACCCCGACTGTCCCACGCGCATGCGCGGTCGGATTCCGTTGAAGAGGAGAAACGAATGGGCCACTAAGAAGATCCTCTGGTTCGAGGTATCTGTTATCAGCGCCGCCATCGAATCCCTCTTCGCGTCCAACGCTGATCTCGAGCTCGGCCGGAAGACGCAGAAATGGAACCCAACGGATATTCTCCGCGATGAGGTCGTCGACCTAGCGCAGAGTAACGACTCGAGTCCTGTCGCTGAAATTATCGGTGCTGCGAGCTTCGGTAATATGCTACGTGTAGGAAAACAGGTTTTGACGAGTATGAATGTCAAGAGATCAGAAGAAGGAGTACCCGTTTAGCTATTCTATGTCAGGGAGAAGGACCTAACTAGTATTGAATATGAAGTTTGATGCTGCTCTCGTCTAATCTGGTGCTAAAATAGGCCGATTTCATAATAACAAATGCAATGAATTCTACTTTTTCATCTTATAATCTAATCCCCACGTCTCCATCACTTTTTAGATCTCACCTTTTTCTCACTTTATACTACTAATCATCTTCATCCTCATTCTCATCACTAACAGCCCTCAACCACGCGCCTCGCGCATCGACAGCAGCCTTCCTAACATCCCGTTTCGGATCATCCAGTATCGGCATCAACGATCTGAGTACTACGTTTTTGACAGGTAGCAACGGCGACAACTTCGATTTGGGTAGCGTTGAGCCCGTCGGTCGACTTGTTGCCGCGGCTAGAGCGGCGTCGACGTCCGACGATGTTGATATTGGTGGTGCTTGGGTTACTGCGAGGAGGTAGAGGCAGCGTAGTGCCTGTTCGCGGAGGATAGGTGAGGATGGTTGACGTTGGTGTTGTTGTTGTTGTTGGTAGGAGGAGGTTTTAAGGAGCCGGTGCACAAGCTCGGAGATGTGGCCGCTTTGGTCGATGACGTCGACGCCGTTGTCGCGGATTAGGATGGCGAGGGTTTTGAGGGTTGCTTCTTTGACGAGGTTGGCGGAGGGGGTGAGAGGGGCTAGGTCGAGGCTTTGGAGGAGGAGGGGGAGAAGGGTTGGGAGTTCGGGGAGGACGAGGGATGGGGGGATGGCGGATAGCACGCCAGAGAGGGCGGTGAGGTATGCTGGTTTCATGTTGGTGTCGGTAGTGGTAGTGCTAGCTTCACGGATTTTAGCGCTGATGAGCGGTAGGACAATGCTGAAGACGCGTTGTTTGGAGAGAAGGCGGATGTTGGCCCCGTTTTGCGCGGATAGGACATCGTCTGGGCTTAGGATGATGGAGAACCCTCGGGCGGCTGTGTTGCGGGTTGTTTCGTCGGGTGAGGATAATAAGGAGAGAAGATTCGTGAGCACAGAGGAAGTCGAGGGCGCGAGACGCAGGATTAGTGCCTTGGAGAGCCAGAACACGGTCTTGATGGTTTTGGGTGACAGTTTTGCGTTGGCTAGGTCACTGGGGAGGAGGCTGGTGATGATATCCGACACAGGAACCAGGCTCGAGTTAGGCAGGAACTTGTTAATGAGAAGGGCAAGATGGCGGTGGATTGTGAGTTGAATCGCCGGATCTGAAGTCCCGCTGATGGAAAGCTGCACGAACTCGTTGAGCAAGGGTAAAGGCGCTTCATCGGTGTTGTTGAAGTATGGTATTAGATTGGATGTGTCTTTGGGCAGCCCTGCAAGAAGATAAGTGGACAAAATAATTGTTCGCAGTTGGCCTTTACTTCTTGCAGGATTGAATGGAATTGCTTGGAACTCGTCGGTGTTAATATCAGACTGGCAGAAAAGAGTATAGATGTTCTCGGCGACCTCGTCTTGCTTTCCACGGGGAATAGATCGAACGATCAGATTGCAGAGCCTCCCCAAGGAGTCCAGTACTGTTACGTCTCGCAATATCGTGGATGTATCGCTAGTCGCAGCTGCAGCGACTCTCCGCGATAGTCCAACAACGACTCGGTCATAGTAAGCTTCCAGATTTTGAGACAGGTCATCAGATCTTTTCTCCATGGCGTATATAATCGTTAATATAATAGCCTTCGCATATACCGGGCTTGAAGAGTCTGCTTGTAGTAAGAAATCAAATTTGTTAAGTAGACGTCGAACCAGGGTCTCAAAAATATCTCTTTCGGTGCTGATCTGTGCAAGAGTATCCAATGTCGACAGATATTTCATTTCTTTTCCATCATCCTGATCCGGAAGAGTAGCCATAAAGGCTGGAAGCGTGAGGTCCATGATGACCTTCGACTTATGCCTTGAGAGCTCTGCAAGAGCCGAAATCGCATCCTTTTTGAGCTCGCCAGAGCCCACAGGCTCTTCCTTGAGAAGGATCTCATCCAGGTATTGCACAAACAATCCTATTTCGTTATCTTGGAAAAAGTTGCGTAGCTTGGATAGCCGTAGAAGACCTTGTAAAGCTGTCTGTCTGAAGGATGTCTCTTCCTTGGCTGTTCCCATTAACGCTTGACTAAAGACCTCGGTAAACTGGTCCTGGAACGCTGATAGAGGATTATCCAGTGGTGGGGATACAGGGTCTCTCCCAGCCCATGTGCCGTATATTTCAAGCGCAGAATCCAAAAGCGCAACATAAGTTTCGAGGAATGCCCGCTGCTTAGCTATAGAATCGGCTTCTTGATATAGTGTGAAAAGCGGTGAGACAACGGATTGAATGATGAGAACGAAAGACGCCTTCGATGCAGACGAGACTGCCCGAACAATATCCCTTGCAGGTTTTGCTTGTTTATTCTGAGGTTCACGTAACTGCTCATTGCATTCTTTGATGATTGGTTTAAGGAAATGAGCAAGCGGAATATCTTCAGAAACCTCTGTAACTTGATCTGAAAGACGTTTTAAAATCTCTTGGAGGATCTCCAGAGACATCTCAGACAGAAACTCTTCCTGTGAATTCAAGATTTCAAATTTCAAGGTATCCCAGATCTTGATGGAATATCTCGACACGGTATTGGAATCGTAGGATTTTATACATGCGGATAAAGCATTCAAAGAATCTCGCTAGGCGTTGTCAGTGAGTTATAAATCAATCAGACAGCTTAATCACCAACCTTCACATTATTTGAGGTGGAGTCAAGCTTGTCAAGCAGGGCTGGAAAAGCATGAGGTGCAAATAATGAATTCGATGATATACAATCCTGCAAGCGATCCTTCAAGTCTTGAGCTGTAATTCCATAAGGGTCCTTTGGAGGAGGTTTGAACGTGATTGGAAAGTAATTGTATACAGATTCAAAGAGCGTCTTCCACTGTTAGTTTGGTATACGACAAAGTCTTTCACATCCTTACCTCAACATGGCTCGTAAGATCCCATTCCGTCATTACTACCTTGAGTATTGAGAAAACAAGCATCAGATTTCGCGGATCCTTTTCGCCTGTCATCAAGTCTACAATCCCAACTAGGGATTCATCGCCCATTTCATGAAGGGCTAGCATTATCAGAAACTGCAAAGTCGGCCGTATTGGATATGAGATACGCACCGGCCCTGTGATTTTCCATCAAGCCATTGAGTAATTGATACACTTGATATCTCTGCGATTGGGCTCGCGCTTGTAGCTCTCTAAGACTTTCAAATAGACTGCAGATATGTTAGATCTTTACAGCCAATTCGTGTCGAAATGATTGACTCACGCCCGTGCAGTATCCTGAGTCAACTCTTTACTAAATCTGTCCAATTTCTGGAGAGTATCAAGACCGGTGACAGACCCTCCATCCTCGATGCGGTCGCAAAAGAAAGTAGTCAAAACTTGTATTTGTTGGCGAGAAAGGAACTTGGGCGACAATTCCTTAACTACAGCGGCCAGATACGAAACCGCCTTTCCACGAAGTATAGCATCTTCTTCATTGACATATTCACCGAGCGATTGAACGACATCGATTAGCGTAATTTGCTTGTTCTCGACATCTTGCAACACATTCGATTAGCAGATGCAATAGGTAAGTATAAGCCATGGGATGGATTCTTTACCTTGAGCAGTCTTTGCGGCAATTTCAAAAGCCTCCTGCTTGTCGTGGTCCACCACCAGCATGAAAGTCTGCAACGCCGACATGTTGGTGACCTGCAATTCCTCTCCAGACTGCAAGTGAGGGGCAACATTGTCTGCGCTCCTGCATCTTTTTTGGCCGATGCCGCTCCGTTATCGATAACGGTCACGTGCACCAATCACTGATGTTGCATTTGAATCAGCGTCTATACTCAACAGAAGACGTAACTGCTGCAAGGCATTTGTCGCCGCTGTCTTACCTGACGGCAAATTCATTATCAAATCGTTTATTACTGCTCTCGAAATACCGGAATAAGGGACCCCATCGCAGGTCCTGGAATGAATCGCTAGTCACGTGTCCGCACCACCGCTTGCGTCATACTCTCTCGCAACTGCTCCGAAGAGTCGTGCGCTATCGATACGGCGCTGAACTACGATGAAGACCATCCAGAATATCCAGTTAACGATATACGCACTACTGCTGTGCTCGACTTTGGTCTGGTTGCTCGTCATAATCGCCAACACCGCAGCACTTGCCATACAAGAAATTGGCTGCCTGCATTCACCAGCTCGTGATGAGATAGTGACACAGCAGATAACCGACGAATCCACATATTATCAACAGCTCATATCACTCCTCGAGTCGTCTCAAAGTATCATTATGCCTCCATTTTTCGGCGGCGATGGTAGCGGTGACACCGACGAGGGCGATCACAAGTCCAACCTAATCGTGTCGGATATACTCGCAAAGACACCCCGAATCAACGTCTTTTCGTCCCTCACACGGGACTTTGACCCGGTTGCAAGTCGGTTGAATGATAAGACACAGAATACGACAGTCTTGGCACCTCTTAATTCCGCCATTAATGCTCTACCGCGCAAGCCGTGGGAGGATCCAGAGGATTATGAACGGTACGGCGAAGTGAATGCTTACAAGGGCCCGGATGGCGAGGAACGCGCAAAGCGGAATTTGCAGCGGTTTGTGGAAGCCCATCTTGTTCCGGCCAGTCCATGGAATGAGGGTGAAGAGATAGCAACCATTGGTGGGGGAGAAGTGAAATGGGTTAAAGAAGGAGAGAAAATATTTGTAAATCTTGCAACATATCAAGTTGGTTACTATTGGCTAATTGGAAACTTTAGATTGAACCCGGTCACATTGAAGTCGACAGTCTCGCTTCACAGGTGTCTAACGGCGATGTTTGGGTTATTAAAGGTGTCATCAATTATAAATAGCCTGGTCGCTGTTGGAATGATTTTTGTCGCTTTTCGGCTCCTTTCACGATGTACGGCTTATTACGGTTTACTTCATAGTTTTGATTTATATTTATTTATCCTTGAGGGATTGAGAATAGCCTGTTTGATATTGGAATTTGCAGTGCCCATGTCATACTGCTGGTATATAGATTCAAGTCAACACAAGCTTTACGATTTTTTCATCTGAATACATACAGAGCTTCTATCCAAAATTTGCAATAGCATTACATTCGTTTTGTGGATTTTGCTTCCAGCAACGAACAAACATCTAATAAATTGGTCTTCATACAAGAAAAACCTCCACATTTCTACATATCACGCAGTACCTTCTCTTTCCCAATGCTATGAGCTCCAGTTATGCAAAACTCTCTCCTCTATGCCATCGAGAACGCTAAAGTACTCCATAACTTCCAAATTCTCAGCCTCGCTTTTGAACATCTTGTCAGGGTCGGCTCCTGGCTGGAAGGGATTGGCACCGGCTGCTGGATTAGACATTGCCATCTGTTGAGCCATTTGGTTGGCAGCTGGTTCAGTTAGTATCGAATATATAACCAAAATATTTTACAAACAAGATAGAAGGGAGACATACAATTGTCTGCACCGAGTATAAACCCAAAGATTGACTGAAGACCAAACAAGTTCAGGAAATACCACGACAAGCTAGATACCCATCTAACATCAAGATCGCGGGTCGCAACACCAGACTGGAGCATTGACTTGAATCGAATAGTAAGGGGGAAAGGCAATTTCACTAGTCATAGCCCAATCAGTTAGCAACAATCACACCAAAAATAGCAAGCCCTTTTTTCATACATATAACGAAGCCAGAGAAAAACGCATTTATCCAGCTCATAATCAATGTTTGCGGGATCATCATCATCATATTCCCCTTCATCATCCCCATCATACCCTCCATCGCGGCGGGGTCAGACATGGGGTTTGCGGGCGGCTGGCCACGGCTCTCTGGGTCTTTCAAAAACGCGCCGGTCTGGTATGCGTTGACTAGATACTCCTTGCGCGCTTCGAAGCCTTCGGGGGTAAGCACGGCGGATGCGTTGTTGCGCAGATTCACGCCGCGGATTAAGGATAAGCGTTCGCGGGAGTCGAGAAGTGTTTGGGCGGGTTTCGGGGGAGAGTTCATCAGTACGGTTGCATAATGGCGGAGGATACCAGTCAGTATCTAGAAAAATCAGTCTCTCAATACATCGTAGATCTAGAAAGTGCGCCAATATACCATGACAATCGTAATAGGAATCAAGATCCAGTAACTTGGACGTTCAGGTTAGTATTGCCATTCCAGCCATCCACGCGATAAACGACTCACAAAAGAGCTGGATCCCGAAGGATCGTCTGGTCCAGTCCCTGAACAGCCATTTCTAAGGGAATGCAGTAACGGCCAAGTGATGTGACCCTGTTAAAAATACCCGTCGAGAATAATGAGGTTCAAGGATAGAGCGGAGCACCGTGCTTAGCCCGAAATCGAGCATTGATGATCCACAACTAATTAGCTTCCCGCAAAGTGAACAGCTCGCCGCAACCGCATCATCACAAGTGCACTTCCCCCAGCGTTGACACAAAAGCAGTATTCTGCATACTCTACTTATTGACATTGAACATTGCGATTTATCAACGAAGCTAGCAAATCAACCTGCTCCTATGGCGTCTGCAGCGGCACCAAAAGTGCCTGTGTACTCATTAAATGGTTAGGGCCACATCTCCACAATATACACCAAGTTGCTCGAAAATGGGCTGTGTTTTCGTTTCTGAAATTATTATGCTATAATTCCTGCTTCTGATACTGACATTATATTTGTACCAGACTTGAAGAACACCACTGATGACGCTTTCACGCCTTACCTGTGTACCCTCCCTGCACCTTACGCCTTCAAGCGCAACAACATCAAATCCAATGTCCGGCTTGTTGTAGGATATATTGCCGTCGCTATTGCCGGCGTCACATTCTACCTAGACCGCCAGCTAGGGTGGGAAGCTGTCGAGGCTTGGTGGGTGAAAGCCGCCGTGGTAGCGTACTTTATTCTCAACTCGATCCTGACCTACTGGATCTGGGCTGTCGAAGCAGGCGAGGTCTTCAAGGGCTCCAGGAAGTCTGGTGAAACGGTGAGTTTCCTTCATACAAGGGTTACAGGGTATGTGAAAGCTAATAGCTTCGGCTGGGCTAGATCACCATCCAATCATTCACAAAGAAACACAGTCCTCTGTACAAATTAAAGATCACATACACAGCGCCAACAGGCAAGGTATTACAGGAAAAGGAAATCGAAGCCCCATTCACTGCTTGGTTCTCGGGTGATGGTATCTTCCATCCTGAACCATTCCGCAACTGGCTTTCTGGTGAGATTGATGTCCTGGCTGCGGCTGCAAAGGAGACCTCCAAAAAGACCGGCAATGTGTCGAGTCATGTTGGGATTGACGAGTCGAAGGGTGGTAAGGGAAAGAAGAAGTGATTAAACTCTCCGTTCTGTCTTGGGGTATATGTATGATGTATGTAGTAGGAGTAAAAGAAAATGTCCACGAGTCTGTTAGCAATATCTTGTGTACTGAGCAATGGAGCGTTAGTCACTGCGATCAAGTATTTAACGCATTTCATATCAACTACGGGTGTTTGAGCAGATTGTTAAATATGGGATTCATTATATCATTAAACCAAAATTACTGCCTCACATCTTTATCTATCTTTTGAGCGAGCAACAACAAGACCCAGACCACCCATTCTATGCATACTGTACATTCTCGAAGGTGAACCAATCCGGGATTTCTTTTCAAGCAGCCTCAAGCGTACCGGGCTGTTCAACAGCATTAGCAGGCTTTGCGCCATCCGCCGCACGGTTCTGAATAATCCTCTAACACATCATCAGCATAACCAATCAACCACAACAATAATTAAGCTCAAACTCACCAGCAGATTCCGCAACAACACCACTATCGTAACCTTGCCAATCGACGGCACATAGATGGACGCTTTATCCTTCACCTCGGGCCCAAAGTTCTTCTCACTCGAGAAATTAATACACACTGCGCCGCCTCTCAACAAACTCGTATCAAACTTATACGAGTTACCGGGAACACCGGTAATCACCACGTCACACAACGGCGCGGCATCTTTAATCGTCCAGCCGTCCATCTCCTCAACCTCATGCCTCCGCTTCTTCAGGCCCTCGCCGCGCGTGAACTTTTGCACACCGGTGATATCAACACTGTATACACAGGCACCATCATTCGCCAACAGCGCTGCGAGCGGTCTCCCCACAACCTCTGACCGATTCACCACGCAGATGGTATGCCCGTGCAATCGGTTGCCGTACGGAAGGATGATGTTGTAGATGTGCAGATACTCGAGGATCTTGACAATGGCGAGCGGTGTGCACGGCAGAACGGATTTCTGCGTTTGCGTGGCTTCGTCGAGAAACCGGATGTTTTGGTACATGTTGAACACGTAGCGGTGACTGAGTCCCTCGACGTCCTTGCCTACGTCGACAATTTGCTGTAGGTATTGGTCTTGTCGGTTGTTGAAGATCGGGTAGTAGATGATGATGCCGTCGACGTCGTCGTCCGTGTTGGCTGCGAGGATGGCTTCTTCGATGTCGTCTTTGGAAACGTCACGGCGTGTGTAGCGATAGCCACTGGCTTATTTTTAGTTGTTTTTATCCGTAAATTGATAAAAGAAGAAAAATCGCTCCCTAATCTGGGACAAACTCGGCGATATATATAAATAATATTACATCCACTTACTTCTCAAGACACGTCTTCTCAGTCCAATCCGCATACATGCGCGCAGCAGGGTCTTGATTCGCCAGGAAACCCACGAGGTGAGGCTTCTTGTGTAAAGTTTTCAGTCCATTGCTAACTTCTTCAAGCAAGCCATTGGCGATATTTTTCGCCAGGACAACCTTGCACGACGGAGCGGAAGACATTTCTTTTCTCAATTAGGAATTTTCCTCAATTCCCTCCCGGAAAGAAAATTCAATGAAATAAAAAAAAATTGTACACGTATTTGGGAGAATAGAAGTACTTTGTAGTGTTGGCGGGGTGAGCAGTGATGAAATAAAAATTTGGCGGGTCAATCTTATCGGTGACAGCATCAGCGCTTCCGATTCCGGCGCAAAGATCTTTTTCAGTGCATATAACATGCAACACCTGATTTAATTCCATTGGCTAGTATATGGGATATAGTTAGTTATAAATATATGTGCCCTTTGATGATTGTTATTTATTTATTGCGTATACTGTGCAATTGATGTAATGTGTATGCTTAATAGGAAGATCGAATGATGCAAATAACAATATAATCGATGTAGAATTACATAAGTCTATGCTATGCATCATGCTTGAAACATAGGATAAGAAGAATTTTGTATAGATGCAGGTCCTCCACGCCATCACGAGCTCTATCATGATAGCCACACACGGCATGTCGAATGTCTTACAAACTTCCGTGTAGATGTCAAGATGTCAAGATTACTTGAACCAGATGTAACTGCTTCGTGGAACAAAGGAAATTACTGGTCTCAAATTGTACACAAGCTATCTTGTCTATACACAGATAGTGTTAGGAAAAACAATACATGGCAGCGAACAACACCCATTATATTTTGCTCACCTAAGCAGAGAAGCTCTTGTTGAAGTCGGTGATGACCTCACGGAGGCGGGTCTCGAGGTCCTTGCTAATTTGGCCCTCCTTGTCGATGGTAGCAAGAAGGTCGGCCTGGTTAGACTTGAGGTAAGCCTTGAAGTCCTCCTCCCACTTCTCAACCTTGTTGACGGGAATGCTGTCCAAAAGACCGTTGACACCAGCGAAGATAAGAGGAACCATCTCACTGACAGCCATAGGAGAGTACTGCTTCTGCTTGAGAAGCTCAGTGAGACGCTCACCACGGCTCAGAGTCTGCTTGGTAGAAGCGTCCAGATCGGAACCGAATTGAGCAAAAGCAGCGACTTCACGGTACTGGGCCAAGAAAAGTTTCAAAGATCCAGCGACCTGTTTCATGGCCTTGACTTGGGCGGCGGAACCGACACGGGAGACAGACAGACCGACGTTAATGGCGGGACGGATACCCTTGTAGAACAACTCGGTTTCCAAGAAAATCTGACCGTCGGTAATGGAAATGACGTTGGTGGGAATGTAAGCAGACACATCACCACCTTGGGTCTCAATGATGGGAAGGGCGGTCAAGGAACCGCTGCCGTGCTTGTCGTTGAGCTTGGCAGCACGCTCAAGAAGACGGGAGTGGAGGTAGAAAACGTCACCAGGGTAAGCCTCACGACCAGGAGGACGACGGAGCAGAAGAGACATTTGACGGTAAGCAACGGCCTGCTTGGACAAGTCGTCGTAGATGATGACGGCATGACGGCCGTTGTCACGGAACCACTCACCCATGGCACAACCAGTGAAAGGAGCAATGTACTGCAGAGGAGCAGCCTCAGAGGCAGTAGCAGCAACGATAATGGAGTACTTCAAAGCATCATTCTCCTCAAGGGTCTTGACGAGCTGGGCAACAGTGGAACGCTTCTGACCAACAGCGACGTAGACACAGTAGAGCTTCTTAGACTCATCACCAGCCGCGTTGATGCGCTTCTGGTTAAGAATGGCATCGAGAGCGACGGCAGTCTTACCAGTCTGACGATCACCGATGATAAGCTCACGCTGGCCACGACCGATAGGAACCATAGAGTCGACAGACTTAAGACCAGTCTGGACAGGCTCGTGGACGGAACGACGAGGCAAGATACCGGGGGCCTTAAGCTGAGCACGGCGCTTCTCCTTGGTGTTGATGGGGCCCTTGCCGTCAATGGGGTTACCGAGAGCGTCAACGACACGACCGAGCAGCTCAGGACCGACGGGAACATCGACCTAAAACATATTAGCATCTAATGGCCTTTATAGAAGGCTAGTCCACTACATACAATTTCTCCAGTACGGCGGACAGTCTCGCCTTCCTTGACGAGACGATCAGAACCAAAAAGCACAACACCAACCTGGCCGGCTTCCAAGTTCATGCACATGCCCTTGACACCAGAGGCGAACCTATTGGCTGGTTAGTGTTGAGTTTCTTGCGCATTATCGTAAACACTTACTCGACAAGCTCTTCAGCCTGGACATTGGTCATGCCATGGACACGAGCAATACCGTCACTATTGTAGAAAACAGATTAGTTCCGACTCATTATATTATTATTAAAGACCACTTCGAAGACTCGACAAAGATTCAACTTCTTTGTGGTGCGAAAGTCGGATAGATGAAGGAGCATACCCGACGGAAAGGACACGTCCAGTCTCGGCAAGGCCAGCTTCCTCCTGGACACCTCGGATTCTCTGCTCAAGGATTGAGGAGACCTCAGTGGGAGAGGCCTTGGCCTCTGCGGCATATGAACGGACCTGCTTCGAAGCAGCAGCGTAGGGGGAGGGAGCAGCTACGCGGGCCTAGCGACAGATGAAAAATTTGTTAGCAGCCACACCACAAATCGAAAACGCGTCCCAACAGTCGCAACCGGTCATTGAGGCCCAGCATAATCGATGAACGATGCCATTGATATACGCAGAGCCATGTTGTCGTCCAAGTTGGCGATGCTTGGGTCGGGCGTGAGACAGGATTGGAGTGCTCACCGAAGCGAGTCTGCCAGTGGCGGAGACGGCGGCCACGGAGCGGCTGGATTGCCGCAGAGCGTTCCTGAACATTGTGATATGAGTTCAGAAAGAGTTGAGATTGGTTTCCCGGAAGGAAAGATGTAATTGGGGGAGAGGGTGGTTGAAGGGAGAGGTTGTGGACGGGCGAGGGAGAGCTTTGTCGTCTGGGAGGAGGTTTCCAAGGCTGCCGCTAACCCGATTTGCCGAAGCGGCCCAGGGCCTCCGAGTCGGCCCGCCTATTGCTACGAGAAATAATACTGTCACCCGGGCAGCGCGACGTTCGCTTCTCTTTTGTATTCTTACGGTAGATAATTGGCTTTTTTGACTACATTATCCAGGTCTGTCATGCACTGCGGTATATCGTTGACTGGAGTGAAATGCACAGCAAAGTTGCCAATGTTGCGGCCACTTGTCACCCCCGGGTTCTTTCGGCCTGCGACTGCGAATAAAATTTCGTCTCGTGCTGACTAGCGCTAGTCCAAGAATTCAGGCACCAAGGCATCCTCCGACATCCATATCCTATTGAAATTATATACAAACGTATCCTTGTTGATATTGATTGGAGTGAAGCTGTACTCCACGCTGAACAAACAATTCATAAGAGATCAACCACAGCTGCTGCATTATTTACTCAATCTGAGTGGAACATTCTCGTTCATGTCGTCCCAATTTCCTATTCCCGCAATCACCTGCATACCTCTGCTTACAATGCGAGTACACGACAAGCAGCCATAACGTGAAGAAACACGCCAAGTCAACCGCGAGCTATTCCCACTATTTATCTTTCCCCGACTTGAACTCGGCGATTTTCTGCTGCACGCCGGCCTCTACACGACGCTGCAATTCGGGGCGGTAGCCCAACGTGAAGAGATACTCCAGGAAAACAAACAGAGGGGCCAGGAAGATAGCTTGGAAAAGGTTATCTAGCAAGGCCGGTGATCGGCCCTCGTAGACACCGTGGCCCACGAATTGTGCGATCCACGACACCACGTGGATTCCAAGCGACCAGTAAGTAGCCGTCGCTCCGTAGGTCGCTGTCAGGTAGTTCATGTAGGCGGCAGCACCTAGCAGGAGCGGTACAGAGACCAGGCCTACGACAGGCTCGAGGAGAATATAACCGACGCCGTATACAATCGACGCAAGGGTTCCGGCGTTGAGAGGTAGGTATTTATACTCGAGTGCGTCTGGTAGTGAGATTTCGAAGGGGATATTGATAGCCTAGGATGCGTCAGATGGGTATTGCGTAATAAGGGGACACGTGTCGTACTAATTGGAACGCGGTGATGAGGATGATCGGTACGAAGATCATATGGATTCCAACATTCACCTGAGAAATATGAGTTATTGTCGTTTTGGAGTGTTATTCAGAACGAAGTACCGTATTATGGTGATATGCCCCATACTAATAGATAAAATTTGTTAGCAAGGCCCCGTTTATTTCACAAGATTTAACAGAGTAAGTACTTACAAATACGAGCTGCTTCTCGAGGTTCAAAGCCATGGCTGTGTTTGTCTGCTTCGGATGTGAAAGCTAACAGAGCGCGAGTAGTAGATGAGGAAGCGTTGCTTATTATTGGCACGAAACGATAGTAGTCATATAACGCGCTGTAGTTCTCGGATACTGGACTAGAAAATAATATATAAGCGCTGGCCAACAGATGGTGTTGCGAGATGTCCTGGCAGTTGCGAGGCCTTAGTTACATCGAGGCCTGATGAAGTCATTGAATGCCGAGGTTCCAAGGCAGTCGCTCATTGGCTGCTACGAAACCCCGCCATTTGTCCAGCCAGCAGAATGCAGAGAATTACATTGTTATAGCATATTATTATGTCGAAGTTATTGTTAGACAGTTTATAGCCTGAAGGCTTCTTTGAGCTCGGTTGGCACATTGTCTTGGGCTCGTGCAGGAAGTCACTGCACCCATCTGTATATTTATGAGTAGAGTGAGGACTGTTCAAATGGTTCGTAAAACAAAAATAATGGCTGCTAAATTCTTACTATCATAAATAAAACGACCCTTCGGAGAATTTAAGTATGAATTGAATTATGCTTTTTCCGATGCGTCAAAGTTCGCAGCCTCAGGCAGCCATGCATATATCAATCACGTGACTGTCGATAAAGCATCAGGCGTTTGCTTCCGGGCGCGCGTCGAGGCTGAGAGCAGCCTGGCGAAGTCACAGATCAGGTCGAACGTGGCCAGCCATAACGCTCATTGAGAAGCAGTGCTATTGCAGCATTATTGTACCCCGTTCGACAGAGTCTGTGCCGTGTCTGTCGCTCATTACCTTTGGATTTCCACCATTTCTGTTGTCGCATTTCGTTCGAGTATGTTGGCTGCAGGCGCTGTTTTACTGACCTTTCTCTCATAACCACCGTCTCATCTCGAAATTCCCTTGTTACTTTGAATTGAATTTGAACATACGACCTTGATAACCAACATTCTTCACCCCGCTGCAGTCGTCTACAACTTCCATCGATCCATCCTACGCCGATTCGAAACGCAAACCGGGTACGGACATGTTCTTCCTCAAAGAAGAATCAAAAACCGTGACCCTCCACCCTTCCTACTTTGGCCCGAATGTGAAAGAGTATTTAATCAATCGGCTGAACGAAGAGGAAGAGGGGAGATGTACGGGCGACCACTTCGTGATCTGTGTGGTGGACATGGTAGATGTTGGTGAGGGACGGGTGATACCAAGCAGTGGGCATGCCGAATACACAATCAAGTACCGCGCTATCATATGGAAGCCATTCCGAGGCGAGACGGTACATACTCAAAATGACTGTTAGGGAAGTACTGCGAACTAACACTGTGTGACATGATATACAGGTCGATGCGATCGTGACCTCTGTTAAACCCACGGGCATTTTCACACTAGCAGGCCCTCTGTCGGTCTTTATTGCGCGCAAAAACATTCCGTCAGATATCAAATGGGAACCAGGGACGGTTCCGCCGCAGTATACCGATCATGCCGACCAGGTGATCGAGAGAGGGACCAGTCTGCGGTTGAAAATCCTCGGTGTTAAGCCCGACGTCTCGGCTATCAATGCCATTGGCACCATCAAAGAAGACTACCTAGGGTAAGAACTTAGAATATGCAGTGTTGTCTGTGTATGTTCCGGCTAACCAGGATGTAGAACACTTTGAGATGGCCGCCAACGATATAGAGAATATGCGCTGCTCTAGCTACAGACTAGCTAGCTTCTCGCAGCTGCATGTATTTTGGACGACCGGATGGATGTTTGTAAACATCCGGCGTGGACAGACCGCGATACCCATTCCCATTCTGTGATGAGCCTGTTCATTTTATTCATAAAAGTAAGACCAAATAAACGAATAACGGTAGCTATCCATGTACACACTACACAGTAAAGAGAGTAGAGGCTAGACTGAGCTGTGGGTAACCGTTAGAAACTCACAGCGAGCTACTGCAGTATGCAACCCAATCGCACAGGCACCGGTGGGCCAGCCAATGAGCCGATGACCCTGTCATTATTCCTCCGAGAACTAGCTTAGCCCAAGTATTTCCAGCTGCATGCAATCATGATTATAACGACAAGGACAATGACACGGCGGCAGAGTGTACGAGGTTGTGCAGCTGACGAACAAGAGTCTGCAGAAGCGCTGGAATTTTATTATAGCTAGGATGAGCAATAGAGTAAATAGGGCGTAGAGTCGATGGTGAGTGTGGTTAGGCGCATTTCAGATGAAACACTGGTGTCCCCTGCTTAGTAGCGTTTCACCGGCCAAAGCCGCGCTCGCCAAATAATAATAATAATAATAATAATTTCCCTAACTCTGCAGAAGCCCCAGTGGCGGCACTCTGCGTCGAGCGCTTGGAGTTAGACCGCGTCATGGAGCCTGGAGGAAGGATGGCCCGTTCATTGTCGCTGCCCCTAGTCAAGGAAAATAATAATAATAATAAACTGTAGTTCGTACTAATTTCCTTCAAACCTTCTTCTCAAACCATTTAATATTTTTGCTGTGCCTGTGCCTGTCGTCCCTGGCTGTCCCCGTTGTTTATAGCAGGCAGCCGCGCCTCCTTCAGCGAGATATATCATATTTATACTCAGGCCACGGTATCGTTTGTTTACTTCCCCTGCCCCGCTCGCCCGCCTGCCGCAAAGCACACCGCGACCTGAGACCTCCCTCACTCTTCTCTCTCTTTCATCACAACGCAAAATGTCTCTCAGGGCCGTCTACGAGCAATTCCTCGCGAATCCATCGCCTGCGATCCTCGGCCGCGATGTGTCGTTGAACTACATCACCACGACAACCTCGGTCGATGGCGCCGATGAGGTCTTGGGCCATCTGCAACGCCAGCAGAAGATTGTCAAGAAGAAGGCAGACAAGGTCCTCGACGCGATTGAGGCCCCCGGCTCCGTCGTCCTTGAGATCGAAACTACCGTCGAATTCGTGTCTGGTGGCGGGGCTTATCTCCCCTCTCTCGACGATAATTTCCTGGCCGACCGCGTGGTCACCTTTCCTACGGTGTGTTGTCGATCGATCATCTATGAGAATAACAAAAAAAATAACAAAATCCCCTTGCTGATGGCAATATATAGGTGCACATTGTCCGATTCGATGCGAAGAACCAGATCCAGCAGATTAGGCTTTACTGGGACCAGGGGTCGCTTCTCAAGGAAGTAGAGGTCATTGGTTCCCGTGGACGCAACTGGCCAATTCGTGACGCGAAAGACCAGTCGAAACTAATCGCCAACATCGTTTCCGTGCAAGGCCCGGCCCCTGCTGCAATTCCAGAGAAGAGCGCGTCAAAGCCGGTGCAGGATGTTCCTCGATCGGTGTCCCCTAGCAAGAAGCATATCAAAGACCCCCACGCATCATTGTCCTTATTCGGTGGCAATATCGATGAAGAATCAACCTCTATGGTTGCGCCTTATGCTCCGAGCTCGATCAGACCGCATGCTCGCGGCCCCAGTGAAGTTCTTATCGGCGGTGTCGACGACGATGCCACTCCTACAAAGCCTCGAGACAGTGTCATTTCACCTAGAGCCGGAGCTTCAAAGCACTATGGTCCAATTCGTGTGTTTGGCGACGATCCTGAAGACTCTACCCCTGCCAGTCCCATTCAGGCACGTATTGGCTCTAGCAGGAACTTTCAAGCTATCCGTGTCATTGGAAATGAAGACCACGATCAGCGCTCCGAAGATGTTATCCAACCTAAAATTGGATCGAATAAAAACTACCAACCCGTGAGACTGTTTGGTGATGACGCCAATGCCGAAATAGAAGAAGAGCCACGCTACAAGACCCATCCTAAGAAGTTCACCCATTTCGAGATGGGAGAGGCGAATGACGGCTCTGCAGAAATTCAAGACCGTCCGGCACCCAAGATGCGCCCAATGTCGCAATGGGATTTTGCTGATTTCGCAACCCCCGAGAAGCCCCGTGGCAAGCTCCGCGCTCAGGACGTTCGCCATTTTGGCTGGAGCGACAACGAGGAGGAAGTTGGAGAAACCCCCCCAGCGCGGCCGCGTGTCGTCCAGCCCCGTCGTGATGCCGAGACTCACTTTGATATGGCAGATGAGGACTCGAAAGCAGGCGGCGAGTCAGGTCGTATCATTGGCTCATTCCACAACAAGGGCCTAGGCTTATACGAGAACAATCTCTACGACGAAGAGGGCAATCCGACACCCCCCAAGACCTCGGGATCAAAACAACCTCTCTCAATCGTCCCCAACAACGCTTTCCGGAAGAAGGATTTTGACAGCCATTGGGATGCCACCGATGCCTCACCCACCAACGAGTCAGTCAAATCAGAGACCAAACCCATGGGTGCCGATCGGGTCCAGGCCGTCAGGCAGATGGACGCCTCCTGGGATAGCTACGACCAATCCCCCGAGCCAAAGAAAGCGGCGACACCACCCCAACTTACACAGAGCCGCGCAAACCGCAAAGCTTTCCAGCCTAGCTGGGGATTCGGCAATGATGATGAATAGTCTTTTTAATTTCGAATACTGCTGCAACTCCGTCGATTATTTGAGTTTTCTCTGAAGAATAAATACCCTGTGCAACAATCGAAACTGGCGTCTCTGTATACCAACCAGGCGGAGTGATTTCTTTTCCGCTCTCTCATGTTCTCCTTCGCCCTCGCAGAGTGTACCGAGGAGGAAATGCAACCCAACCAAACAACTCAAAAAAAATTACCCAAAATGACCGAACCCACACACTCTCTCTATTTCCTCACTGACCAATAAGTTTATTACGTGCACGAGTATGATGATAATAACGACCACAACAATCACTGTTTTGGTATTTTTCACTCTTTCGCTTTCTTTTCTTTCACTTTAAACTGTGTTTCTCTACTCGTACTGGAATATTTCTTGACACCGTGCTCATCGACATGTTAGTTTGTATCTGTTTCGCTTCAGTGTATAAATCAGTGCAATAAATATCTTCAATACCATGCTTGCCTACATCACGTGCAAATGACGAGGGTTGTGTATGTATGTATTGTCACGGACCTAGATCAACTATAGTTGCCGCTGGCTGTGTCGAGGAACGATGTGATATGTTGAATTACAGAGAGTCCTCAAGGGTAACTAGTAACGATATACTAAGATTACTAAAAGATAGATAGGTAAGATTTATATAACTAAAATAGAAAAGATCTCTTAAAGTATTATAGAACCTTAAATATAATCTACTTTTTAATCTTTTTAGTATAATCAAAGTAAATTATTATTTTATAAAAAATTATATATAATTATATAAATTACTATAAATTACACTGTATTTTTAGTGATCTTAATCAGTTCTTATTTAAATTTATTAATTTCTGGGATTACTATTATTAAAGCTTTAATTATATATATCTTCAATTTTGAACTGTGATTTATATATAATTTTATTGGGATTTAGAGATGATAAAATTGGCTATTTTGTATGCAATACACGGGTGCGCAGGGTGCTTGTGAAATACGCTTAGGGCTCGGACGTTGGTATGCCTTTTTAGCCCATCTTCGTAAAATGCCTGACTAGGCTTAGACCATGCCCTAAAGAGAGAGATCTGCAACTAATGTCACTAATTAGATTTAAGAATTAATCACAGAAACCATCATCATCATCGTTTCTTCACTAGACTAACGCCATCATCCAGTTTTCTCAACGTGGGAAAGTGATGACTCCAATACCACTGTGGCATGCCAACAATAATTAAATTACACAGGAGGGTGTCACCTGGTCGTCGCCTTTGGTGGGATAATAACTAATTTAACAGGCCAGGACACCTGGAAGCCTTATTCGACGATGTGGGAAGTCTATTGGACATTTACGCGCCAAAGCTGGCCAACATCCACCTACGGGACTTTTCAGCTACTCGCAGATCTTTACGCGTATTCAGAATGATCTGAAGGACTGTCTTCTTCAGCTGAATATTTTCAAACTTAGTTATACCATTTGTATGCCGGTCTCTAGGCAATTGAATGAGCAGGTTAATTAGTTTAATTGACTTACAATGATTTTGCAATTTGGTTAGCAGAAAGTGAATATCTCGAGGGGCCATTTGATAAGAAATGTCGATGAATCTGAGTAGTCGAATTAAAATAGGTTAATAAAACAAGTTTTTTCACGCATTAACCTAGCTAATCAAGTATTCTGCTCAAGACTGCATTATATTGGTGTATTCAGTACTCTTTGATAGTAGCATGTTGAAAAAAATTTAGTTCTTTTCCACAGAAAATGGATCGGCCCGAATTTCAAAATGCCTTGTTATAATGAAAATAAACAAGAGAAATTAAAACTAATACAAGAAGGTGCTTTCACATAGAGCGCGCAGGACTCGACACACTCCATGCTGCAAAGAAAATACAGGAACTAAGTCTAGCAGTCGCTCGATTGCTACTTAAAACAGAAGCCGGAGGCACGACTATGTGAGCGTGGTCAGGCGAGAATGACTTTTTGCGCCTTTGCTCCCGAACGATCCACCAGAGCAAAGAGGCTGGTGTCGTCGATAGCCAATAGACCACCCCAATTGCTAACAGCAGGAGAAAAGGTCAACTTATTTCCCCATGTTGCGCCGCCATCGCCACTGGTCACGATCTTGCCGGCCTCGGCGCTGAAGTCAGGGGCGGAAAGGTCTTCATCGGTCTGGAAGCTGCAGACGAGCGTGCCGCCAACGTTGGTGACTTGGGGTGATTGGGCATCGAATCCATCCGGTGCGTACACGGTTTGACGGTTACCCCATGTCTGACCATCGTCGGAGCTGGTAACTGAGTAGACGCCGAAGTGGCCGTTTGTAACACTTGTATCAATCGATTCAAACACAGCAATGAGGTTAGTGCCACTAATTAATGTCACACCAAGCATGCCATCACGAGTGCTAGTCGTGTCGCCACCAGAAATCACCGTAGCGCCGCTCCAGGTACTGCCACCATCAATTGACGTGCGCATCAGGCTGTCCTGGTCAGCCCGCGAGTTCTCACGAGAGTAGTATAGTTGTAGCGTCTTGTTATCTTCAGCCATACGTAGGAATGGCTCCCAGTTACCATTGACCGAACCTGGGTCCGAGGCTGGTGTACTCAAGTATGACCATGTCGTGCCACCATCGTCAGAATAGCAGATAGTGATACGAAAGAAGGTATATGTCACCTTGCCGGTACCAGGATCAGTTGTCCTGTCGTGATTCCGCATCGCCATCAGAATCCGGCCAGAGGGCAATTGGAAAGGGTATGGATTGTCAAGGTCATGAGTAGATGCATCTGCCTGGGCTACAGTACCAATCTCGTTCCAGGTATTGCCGCCATCAGTTGAATGCACAGCGGTGATTATCATGTTGTTGTTTACAGACGCAGTATAGGCACCGATGATAGATCCGTCCTGCAAAAAGTTGGCGCGAGGGTATGTGCCAGCGCCCATGACGATCTGGCCGCCTGACAGACGAGCTGTCGTACCTGCTCGTTTGTCAATGGATGATGTCAAGGACGGTGTAAATAAGAGGACTGCGGCAGAAAGCCAGGCGACGAGCCGGAAGTCGACCATATTGATGTCGGATTATGGTCTCTGAACACAGGTAAATCCTTACTAGGTAATGAGCTCAGCATCAGCATTTATACATTTTCTAATAACATGTACGTCGTAAGTAATATTGAGGGCCAATAATAATTTGGCAGTTTATATCGCTGAGTTAAGGAATCATTAACTAAGTAGTTAATATGCAACTACAAAGCATCGACTCCCTACTTGAAAAAACAAGCTTCTATCGGCCTCGGGGCGATGTCACGCCGCCTTGTGCCCGGACTATGTAGCTAAGAAGTACGTAAAGTACTGAGGTCTCTACCAGGCTGAGATTTGCCGATCACCCTGCTCTGCGAAACTATTTCCTTTCTGGTCCATCTTTGGGCCTTCAGCTAGCGGGGCCATTTTCGTATTGCCGTTCGCACAACCAATAAAACCAGATCAAGCTGGAATCAGGGAGAACAGACAACCAATAGAGGTCCCCATGCGACAAACAGTGATCGATGGAGTGTGGAATGGGTGGGACATTAAATTGGGCAGGGAGTGCTACGTCCAATAATCGAGCCGCTTGGGGACAACTATTTACCCCCGTACTACATACAACCACTGTAAATAAGAATTCTACTACTGATTTCGTTACTACCATCTGCAGTCTGGCGCGGGACTTTAACATGACTTATCCACGAGGCTAACGAAGCATGGACCCTTCTTTCAAACGTTCCAACGCTGAGATGGGTCCCCCTAGCTGAGACCGAGCCATGTTTCATAGGCTTTGCCGTCTCATGATATAGCCGTTATCACCCTCTATTCATTTTTTTCTATCTGTCCTTCGTACAAAGTCCATACATATATTCTGTTGACGAACGGTTACGTCATCAGCTACTGGCAAAATGGTCGGCATGAACGCTTTCTTAGCGGCGACGAACTTCATCGCCCTATCGTCTACATCGCTAGCCGACAACCGCGCATGCTACTATCCTGATCAATCCCAAGCTCTCACAGATGTCCCCTGTGGTAATGGCACGGAGGTCGCTTGCTGTGGTTCTGGTGATATTTGTCTTTCAACCGGTTTCTGTCTTTCCATCGAACAACAGCCATACGCTCTGTCTAGAAAATCATGCACGGATAAAAACTGGGGGGTCAATTGCCCCAACTACTGTCTGCAGGGTAAGCATAAAAATAAATGACCTGTTAAGACAAGCAAGAAAACAATGCTGAGAAAATTGCCAAATCCTCAACTATAGAATCAAGTTATAACTTGACTTGGGTTTCCGTTGTTCTATACTCATTCCTTGAGAACGTTTCGCAATATTGCTGCAACAATATCGTCGACTCAGGTGGTTCGGCCGTCTGCTTAAATAATTTACCTACCTTCACAATGCCAAACGCCGAAATCGTGCCAGACACCAATCTCCTGGCCGGCTACGCCAAGGACAATTCTTCTTCTACAGCAACGAATAACACCGAATCATCATGCAATGCGACAATTAGTGCGTCTTCAATGCCACCACAAAACTCGTCAGCCGCAGCAGATAGGAACAGCAATAGTAGCGACCATGGTGTCGCCATCGGCGCCGGCGTTGGAATTCCCCTGGGCCTTATCGCACTCGCCTCGATTGGATGGGCGTTAAGAGAGCGACGAAGATTCCATGCCGCTGTAGTTGGTGCAAGGCCTCAGTCAACTCAGGGATATAAAATGGCCGACTCTAACAATAATATCTACAAGGATAACAATAATAGCTCGCACACCCAGCACACGCAACTAGTGAGCTCGCAATACGGCGGTTATCCTAATAATGGCGGCGCTACATCGACCAGTACATACCGTCAGCCACAGTCCAGACTCACGGAGATGGAATCTACGGCGCTAGTCGAGCTGGATAACGCGAGAACAGGCTAGAGAATGACCATGATACTATTAATGGTTTCATGTGGAAAAACGGAAAAGTAAACGATGGAGACGATCTACCGTTGTACGGACTCCTTATATCTGATATTGGGGGGGGGGGTTTAATTCTTGCCGGTGGGTATTTCCAGGTAAATGGTAATTCCAGCATGCAAACAATATTTTATATGTACACAGCTATTTTATTGGTTAACTAGGGGAATATAATAATATCCATATACTAGTCGCTATACTGTACAAGATATATTGGGGGGACTGGAGATGTCGGTATGTTTTATTCTTCTCGTTTCTTCTTCTTTCGAGTAGGAATTTCTACCCCTTGCCTTGTCTTCGGCCGCGTCTTGGGAGTCACTAATTCTGGTAACGAACTCACGCTCGATGTGTTCGATGGCTGAGTTGATGTCAGTCATCTAGAGAAAGGACTGGTTCGCCGGAGAGAATATGCATCGGCAAGACAAACCAATTTGTGTCATACCGATCTCTATACACCCCTATGTACCAATATATATAGTCCATGCCCATACCTATATTTGCGGTATAGTGATGAAGTGCACCTCTCCGCATGTCAGCGAGTGGTATTAAAAACGTGACTTGGTTTTTCGGGGAAAACCCATGTATTTACTCGCCCACCACCCTGGGGTATTAGGGCCAGAGGCGCTTTTTCCGGCGTCAATACTCCTCATTTATTAGATTCTTGTCTATCTTTAGAGTCGTCTGTCCAAAGAGCTCATAGAGATGAAGACGATCAAACAGGAATACAAGAGTATGCGATTCGTCACTTCATTCATTGGCTGTGAGTTATCGATTTCTATGATACAGGTTTGGCCTATACAGACTCTCTGAACTGGCCATGTTACAAATATTTTAAAAGGTTTTATTTAATTATATTATTAGTTGTTTTTAAAGAAATTTTATAGCCACTTCGGGGCCAAATGGAATCATGATTTTGTCTGCCCTTCTTCATAAAGATATGTATACAATAGTGAGACAAGTCCGTCAACCAAACTAGGTCCAGATATGGGCTTTGATATGAATCAATAACAAAGATTTTTATATAATTTAAGCTATTATATCTCAACACAGCTAGTAACAATCATAATGGGACTAGGTCTGTGACACATATTTAATAAGTAGTTACTAAGCTCTTTTGATCTCTTAGCCCACTTTGGCCTTGCCTAGAGATCAATCTGTGAGCGCTCTGAGTTGGGCTGAGTATAAAGTGGCACTACACTGCGCCTCTTAGTGTCGCACATAATTGTTATATACCTAGGCACTTGTAAATACTAAACGGTAGATATGCAAGAGGTATAACGAAATCATTCGTTAGGCATTCTGGTAACTATCCTAATCATAACAATAACATCCAAAAAAGTAAAGTAAAAACCGAAACTGAATTAAAGCGTTACTTCGTTAATTATAAGTTCATCATAAGTTCATCAAAATGTTGACTATTCTAGTCTGACGTATTCCAAGTCTTGTAATTGTTGGGTGTTATCCAAAATAGTCATCAAATTATCACATCAGTTTCGATGGAGATCATTGGTTGGGTAGGAGGTTAGGAGAGGGTAGGTGGCTAGATGTAGAACATCGTATTTTTGATATTCGGATGAATAACCACCCTATCCGCACCAGGCAACGGCGCCGAGCCCGCGTCACTGGACGCTGGACCCGGAGCTTCGCTAGCCGCAGGCGTCGGGGCATCGAAGATATCCGAGAGATAGCAGCGAGCACGCTCGCAGACCAGATCTGCGTAGTACGCGGGCGGGCAGATGCTGACTGCCTTGGTGGCGCGGCCAAAGGTGTAGCAGAGCCGATGGGTCAGGTCATGCAGGACATCAGCGGTGTTTCTGCATGGGTATTTCGGGTTCTGCGCGTGGAAGATTTCGTCGTAGACGGTGAAGTAGTGGGCAGGCCGGGCGGTGCCTTGTAGGGCCTTGTGTGACTGGAGGAAGAAGTCGAAGTTGCGGGCTTCGGTGATGCCACGGTCGACGACGGTGCCGTTGGGAGGGTTTTTGGACTTTTCGTCGGCCTGATCTGGGTTGGTGACGTAGAAGCGCGTGTTGTGGCGTTTGCCGACGATGACAACGGAGATGCGAGGTTTGAGTGCGGTGGTGTACATCTTGTCGCAGGCTTTTCGGAGCTGCGGGAGTTCTTCCGTCACGACCATTTCGTATTGCCCCTCAGAGACACCGTCGCGGTAGACGATGATGTTATTAGGCAATTTGCCGTTGTTGTTGCGCCATAAAGTTAGGCGTGAGGCAAGGAGACTGTCTAGAGCATCGACCTTCTCTTGTTTACCCCTTTGGACTCGGAGCTCAGCTGGGAACTGGCCGAGGAATTTGTCAACAGAAGCCACCATGGCCGCGATACTAGGAGCACGGTCGACCGAGCCTGGGGACGGGTGTGTCACATCGATACCGACGAGCATGGTGTTTCCTTCGTCAATGATACCAAGCTGATTATTTCCGAGCAGTTGGTTAGTACCGCCCAGTTTGAGGTTGATTTTCAAAGCCTCGTTTGCATTGTACTGGTGATTGTTGTCTTTGGCAAACTTCTCCGCAACAACACAAGCATGGCGAATTCCAAATCGCACATCGCAGTTGAATTTAATAGCGTTGTATATCTCTGTGTCGCGCCTAGGTAAGATCACCAGAAGAAAGTTTAGGTTTTTTGTAGCAAGAGATGAAAGACATTCCCGGAGCGTTGTTTCATCAAACCGCTGCCCTTCGAAATACAAGGATTGCGGAGCCGTAGGCATCTCGACGTTTGTGATGCCCACCTCTTTTAGCTTGCTCGTGAAATCTCTTATCGACTGAGCCAAAGCACTGGGGGAGTTCCAAAATCTCTGACATACTGCAGCGTCTACCACCAAGTAGCTCCAGCGACCCAGACTTTTGGAATTGTGAAATTTAATGTTTATCATATTCCAACTAGCGCCTTTGGGTATCACGTTAGATCCATCGCCTTTAGCCGTCTTGTAACTAATAGACGGGGCTTTCAGTATATGACCCGTAACTGTGATGAGGCTGGAGTTCGGCAGGAGCCCAAATCTAGCCTGTAAAGATACCATTTTCGTTAGGTAAAAGTTATAACCATCAAAATGAGGATGCACATCACCACTTACGAGAGTATCATTGGGTCTAGGGCCAAAACCCAGAAGTTGTGTGCCTTGTTTTACAATCGATTCGGCATTCTCTCCTGGCGAGCGGACGGCGAATTTGATCATACTTGCTGTTTGGTCGGGCGTCAGTTTCTTGTTCGCAGGCTGCCCTGCCGTGACTGCGCAGACGTCAACTGGTACGTAAGAAGGGTTCTGGCGCGATCCAACGTTGATCACGGGCCATTTACGATCGACATCAAGTCCGTATACTATTGTAAATGTGTCAGAACCATAGTAAATAAGTCACCAGTCAAGACCAGCTCACCCTCTTTGAAGTACTTTGCTACGCTGATGTAAGCCCCAGCAGTTGGTGGTCCGTCTGTAGGTTTTTTCTTCCCTTTCTTGCTCTTACTATCACCGCTTGGTGCCTTAGCCGGTTCTTTCCCTTCGCGCCAGAACTCGACATCGTACGGGCCAGCGGCGTAGCCCTTTACCCGTGGGGGGTTTTCCAGATTAGGCCCATCTTGCGGCATAGCAAAGCCGTTGACACTCTTTACACGAGGCTTTGAAGCTCTGCCGGAGCTGCTTCTGCTTTGAAGATGGTTGAGCTGAATCCGGATGGTCTTGAGGAAGCGTTCCAAGTTACGGCCACTCATATGAGTGCTTTCGATCACACGCGACAACTCACCAGCCTGGTAACAGGCGATGTTCTTAACCTGGACATTTATAAGCAGTCTAGACGTCGCTGCTCGAACGCTAGTAAGGAACCCTCGGACAACTTGGAGACCACCTCCAAGATTGAAGAACTCTTCTGATGATGGCAGAAGGCTGAAATGCTTGTTTCCACCGACAGTGGCCACATCGAGACGTGATTTCGGATTATGTCCCACAATGATATTCAGGGCCTGGATGAGTTCAGCCTTCTCTTTCAAGTACTCTGTTGCTACGGATGAACCAATATAATCAACAAGTTCTTTCAAAAAAAGAGATCCCGTGTATTTGACGGTCACAGCATAAACAAGCGGGTTGTCTCGGTATTCATCATCCTCCTCTGCTTTGTAGCGAACAGGAAACAACGTGCCTGTACTGTCGATCTCTTTCAGCTCTTCATTCTCGACAGTCGTAAGCGCTTCACGGGATATCAAAGTCGATTTGAAATCGCTGGCAATGTCGAGTTTCTGTGGACCGAAATGCTGTTCAAGAAGTAATCGAATAATTTGTTTCTTTTTTTTAGACTTTTCCTCCTGACCTCTTGCATCAGTAACAGAGACTTCGTATCTATATAGAGCCTGGTTGCCCCAGTTACAGGCTAGCTCCATGTAGTTTGTATAGAGTTTAATCTGCTCTCCCACAGTTCCGTATCCAGGACGCTCAGGGAACTCTATAGTTTTGTCACCAGGCTCGGGTTTGTCGCTCTTTTGCTTACTGGCTGCAACTTTCTTGGTACCACCGCTAGGTTTCTGTTTCGCTTCAATGATGTTGTTTGCGATCTTATCTTCAAGGTTTGTAACAGCTTGAGAAACGGGAGGAGCGCCCCCTTCAGCTCTGTGGTTATATGAGTTAGACTTCACAATTCAGAGAGCTTTGTTCTTTCACGCGTACTCGTATACTCTCGCTGGAGTTCTACCGCCTCCACGGCCACGACCACCTCTGAAGTCGCCCCTGGCTCCTCTAAAATCGCCCCGGCCTCCCCTGAAATCACCTCTACCACCTCCACGGTCACCTCTGCCCCCCCTGAAATCACCTCTACCGCCTCCACGATCACCTCTACCACCTCGGAATTCCCCTCTTCCTCCCCCACGATCGCCTCGGTCTCCACCCCCACCCCCACGGCCACGACTGGAATCGCGGAAAGGATGATCTTGAGACTGGCCACGGCCTCTGCCCCGGTCACCTCCACCACCGCCGCGAGGCGGGCCTCCTCGAGATCCACGGCTGGACATGGCGAGCGCTGAGGGAGAATGTGGTAGTAGCTGCCTTTTAACAGTCGAGCAAGTTGTGGCTAGCTGGGGCTAAATGTCCTTAACTAGACGCTAGCGATTGTTTTGTGACTTTTTTATTCTGTGTTGGAGATGTCCTTTAGCTATTGCGGATGATATGATTAGATGGGGATGCTTTGGCTTACTAGATAGTGTTTAGCATGGTTAAGAGCAACCCAATGGTAAAACTGAGGTGGAAAATGGCAGAAGAACGGTGGGAGTAAATGAGAAAGTAATTTAAAAGTAATTGAAAAGAGAATACATCTCTTATGTGGAAAGAGATAATTGTTTGTCGCCGTGTGATTTGTTGTCTTTTTTGTTTGGGCGGCGGGGCTGGACAGGAAAGCGGTCAGGCTAGTCCACTGACGCTCTCCGTTTGTTTCCACTACTATGCAGTCTTTGTATGGGATCGTCCAGCATTCCATACTATATGCACTGCTATTCAGCCTTTTGACTGATTGCTACGCCCAATCTGACTGGTTTGAATGGCTACAGCCTGAAACCTCTCCAACTGGCGATTGGCAACTCTTTGATTAGGCTGACCCTTCAGATTTGTCAACGAGGCTGTGGTACTGTACCATGCTTTCACACGCAATGCTACTCCCGCCCATATCAAAGTGGCTTTATTGGAAGGTGGGATTATGTTTAATGTGTTATTTTGGCCTGGCCTAGATTGCGTCGATTTAGATGTATACTTACTCCAAGCTTCCCACCCACGCTGCCCAGGCTGCATGTGGTCGAACGGCCCACAGTTTCTTTTTATTCGTCTCCTAAAGCATGTAAAAACCTACCACAATACCTCGTAGCCAGAGAAATCATTTCAGTATTTCTCAGCCTATTTCGCTGCAAGCTTGCCAGATCAGAAGCGGTGTTGACCCATACCATCTGGCAAGGATACATACTCCTTACCTGCTGCATAATTCAGTATCAACAATCGTACTTGAAAGTCGCTGATAAACCCATGGCCAATCCAGTCCATTCCCACTGTGGAGGTTGATAACTCAACGTCAATTCTTTCATGCAGGCCTGACGCGCCAATCAAAGAAATGGTGTCAGATATAGCCTGCCCAGTCATTATGATATGGAATACGGCCAAAGACGAAGACCGCATAGCTAGGAATGTTGATAACTTTCTATTATTCGCTACTCGGCATTGATAGCCGACTCAGATATCTTTTTGTATAATGATTATATAAAAATTAATTGTAAAATAAGGCAGTCAATACTAGTTATAAAATAATGTATTTCATAAGCGAACGGTGCACCCCCAATTCCCATACGAAACTGGCATTTTTGGGCCCTTGATATTAAGCAACTTGTATTAGAAAATATAGTCTGAAAGTGATATTATAGTCATTATTTATTATAAATAAGAACGTTTTTTTTAATATTGATAAAATTAAACCAAAAATAATGATCATTTTAAAAATTACGCTGTGATTCTGCCGAGCAAGTCTATGTTGAAGCCGTGATGCGAAAGTCCAGTTTCAATGTGCATGACTTTACCTTTGCAATGTCCAAATGTATCGTGGATCAAGCTTTGGGGCGGTCTTGCCGGCTTGGGGCAACTCGGATCGTGTCACCATCAAAGAATACCGGCTAAAAGACTCATTTCATGGGAATATGTATATGTGGATAAAATTTGAGCTATTATGTATATATAATTTTGTTGAGATATAAGGACAGAAAAATAGCTATTTAATATATGGGGGTGGCCATCAAAATACCAGCTTGGAGACTGGCGTCGATGGTGATTGGGTGAACAGAGTAGTATGTAGCACTGGGTGGTTAGAGAGAAACAGTCCTTATAACCTCATGCTGGATTTGCCCTCCATCAGTACATAGGGTGATTAGAGACTGAAAATGTAGATCAAAACATATCCCTTCATTGTGCCAATTGGTATATCACCAACTTGTAGGCCAAGTGTCGAAACCCTCTATGCTTTTTACTGTGACATAGTCATCCCCAGATTTTGACCTCGGCTCGGGGAGCCGAATGCTTCCAGCGCAGTGCAGTATGGTCTGACCAGCTACCCACGATGAAACAGAAAAGTCGTGCCAGTCAGCAGAGGTTTTCGCGGCAGATATCTTGCGCGGGGACATAGTAGTGTGGAAGCCAACTCGCTTACCGATTACGTTGCCATATAAATCAATGACTTTCTGGGATGAGATCATCTCACGCACTCCATCTCAAAATCGTCTACCTGCACCTGGAGAGGGCTGCAAAGGCCTTTCACGTGACGTGCATACCATACTAGGACTAGCGTGTACTGCCTGATCAGGTGATTAGCACCTTGGACATGCTACGGCGACATCAACCAACAATATGAGAGGGCCGATATGCAGGTACTTCGTGCTACCCGGGCTTAAGCAAGCTTTCCTCCGTAAATGCCGGGGCAGCACTGGATGATTGGGAGAAGAGCATGACTCATATTAACAGTCTGCCAATGAGCGCTACGGATAAATTTATTAAACAGAAAATTGTGCACTGAAAAGACGGCCAATACCAACCCAAAAGAGCGATGATAATCGTCTTGTAGGGAAAAGTACCATAACGCGGCCTTGCTCAGAGCGCTAGCCTGATCCGGCTGGACATGGACATATCCAGAAGCGTGTTACGTTAGTATAGATCTATAGGCCAGACACATTGGTTCTAGTATCTTAATCAGCAGAAGCGAATACCCTCAGCGAAGCAACGTATGTTGAAGCAGTAGACAAGAAGTGGTAGCGTTGAAGTGATGAATGCATAGTGTATAGTGTATCGCTATACAATCGAGACGCTGGACGCGCGCGAGTAGCACAGCGTCTGGGCTGATATTGATCTGCAGAAAGGCGCTGTACCTAATACGTCAGTAGTTAACCGGCAGCCAGACCTCCAGATTATATAAGTAGACAGCGTGCCCATCTCGACTTTGCGCTGGTGAGAGTCGAGAGCGAGATTCGCGGCCAGCCGATAACGACGACTACGGCAAGCGCTACGGCGACCCAGATAGACAGCCGGCGCGCAATCATCGACCAAGAATCCTCCAGGTGCTGCCCTTCTCAACTCTGCCGGAACAATACCTGTTGCGCTCGGACTGTGGCTGTCTTGCAACCATCTCGTGCGTGCGCCGTTCTTCATTCATCGATTTCTACCGTCTGTCTGCCGTGTATTTCGCCTGAGGAGCTCAAAGCCGTTACTGCTGCTGTATTCTGCGAACCGACCCCACCATCTCCATCGTCGATTGATTTCGCACCCAACCATCTGACCTGAGAGATTCGGGTTTCGCTAGGCTTTTCGTTAATTAATTCGGCCTCCATCGGATTCCGGTAGTACTATCTTCGAGTGAACACTGTCCCCTTGCGATCTAAGTACCGGAAGCTGCATTCGTCACCGCTTGTGAGGCTTACAGGCGCAATATCTCGCGTTGAGGGTTTCGGTCTAGCGAAGACTTGCCGGGTTTGTGTGAAGGGTTGAATATACAGTCGATTCTGCTACTGGCGCCAACGTTACCGAGTTCAGCGGGGCTGTGAGCGCTGAATCGCACATCGCTTGATAGCCTAGCGATAGGAAAAAGCTACCTGAAGCTTGTTTTTCGAATACGTGTTTGATTGGGCTGTTTTCAAAATGACGCCAACACCGCCGTCTACTTCTTCCAGTGTCGCTGGACACTCGCCAGAAGGCCAATATAGGGTGATAAGAAAGAGAAATAGAGTGCCGCTCTCGTGCGCTCCCTGCAGACAAAGAAAGTAAGCTTGCGACCAATCCACTCTGTCTCGATGAAACCGCTGACCGGTGTAATAATTATTACCAGACTGAAATGCAACCGGTCGCATCCGTGTGAGAATTGTGTGAAGAGAGGCGATGCGAGCTCGTGTTCATATGCTCAGCTCGGCTCGCGAAAGAAGAGTTCTGCGACTCAAAGCTCCTCCAACTCGCCTGATGATATGCAGAACAGGATAGATAGGCTGGAAAGTTTGGTTTTGTCACTTATGACCAATGGATCACAATCAGCGGGACCGGCAGCTGCTGTCGCTGCTCTCTCCGGCAACGACAGCATTGGTTCTGTACCGAACTCCCAGGACCTCGAACTCGATGACGACGTTGATGGGCAGGAAGAAAGTGAAACAGAGTCGGTGACCAAGTCGTTCGGTATCATGAAGATGGATAATAATAAGTCGATGTACATCAGTGAAGCCCATTGGGCTTCTGTATTGAACGATGTAAGCTTGTCGCAGTTGAAGCAGTTTGATCCAGCACGCTAACGTTTTAAAGATCGCCGAAGTTCGACAATATTTTTCGAGTCACAAGAAGCAGTACGAGGAACAAGCACAGAAACTAAAGGCTGCTAAACCAGAAATTGATACATCTATGTTACTATTCGGTTCAGTAAAAGCTCCAAGCAAAGCAGAAATTATGGCGTCTTTTCCGTCAAGATATACCACCGATATGCTGATCGCTCGCTATTTCAATACTTACAGTCCAGGCACTCGTGAGTTATTCACATCCCCGATACCGAGTGGGTTGAGACTCGAAAGCATGTGATTTAAGGTTGCTAATGAAACCAGATATTCTCCATGTTCCCACATTCCAAAGAGATGTAAGTTGTCTTAGTATCTGAGATACTTGGTGTATGGTAGCTGATCCCATATAGTACAACAACCACTGGAAGGATCCCTCTGCTTCATGCATCATATGGATTGGCATGCTTTTTGCCATGATGCGTTTAGCAATGCTGTCATATTACCGCGACGGTGATGAGCCTCCCGAGTTTAGAGGGAAGGCTCTTGACATGGCCAGGAATTTTCGCCACTTGATGTCTCAATGCCTAATTCTAGGCGACTTCACGAAGCCCTATCCCTATCTTATTGAAACGCTAATCCTCCACCTACACGGTGACTTCAGTCAGACTAAAGAGGCAGATGTTGCGGTCTGGATTATGGTGGGTATTATCACACGACTGGCAATGCGCATGGGGTACCATAGGGACTCAAAGATGTTCCCAAATATCACACCTTTCCAGGGTGAAATGCGGAGACGGGTTTGGACGTTTGTCAGACAAGCAGACCTTCTCTTTTCTTTCCAGGTTGGCATGCCTAGTATGCTGCGCTCTGGCGACACCGATACAGAAATTCCAAGGAATCTATACGATGAAGATTTTGATGAAGACAGCAAGGAGATTCCACCTTCTCGACCAAATAACGAACCGACCCCAGTCTCATACCTAATAGCGAAATCCCGCCTGTCGTTCACGTTTGGCCGGGTCAATGAACAGACTTCTTCAGTTCGAAATGAACCTTATGAGACGGTGATGGATATAGACACTGAACTTCGACATGCTCGAGATTTGATACCAGATCATTTGAAAGTTCGCCCGATAGAGGAATCTCAGCTTGACCCTGCTAACTTGGTCTTGTCGAGATTTTATGTAAGATCTCCAAGTCTTCTTATGTGTATAGTTCTAACAGGTTATAGATCGAAAGCGTGTATCACAAAGCTCAGTGTGTTCTACACCGACGGTATATTGCTCGTGCCAGGGAAAATCCTCGATTCACTCATTCTCGTCGTACTTGCATTGATTCATCTATGGAGCTTCTGCGTTACCAAGCTGTACTACATGAGGAATCGCGGCCAGGTGGACGCTTGCAAAAGCAAATTAGAGACAACGCCATCAACAATAACAATTACCTTCTTGCTGGCACGATCATCTGCCTTGATCTTTACCATGGTTTGCAGCTACAGGCTGCAGGACGGCCATCTGGTGACATGTATACCTGGGGCCGAGAAAGGCGTGATGAGATGCTCGAGGCTATCCAGCGGGCACTGGGCATTTGGGAAGAGATGAAAGACGATTCCATGGAAGCCTGGAAGGCATCTGGTGTCCTACGAGTCATGCTTGCCAAGTTGACATTCAAACCTGGGCCCCCGACTACCGAAACTAACACCAACCCACCCTTGTTCGAGACCCACGACGAGAAGCAAAATGCTGCTATGACTTTGGGGCTATTGAGCAGCGGTATGAGCCCTCAAAATGCCGGAACCACTGCCTTTACAGATTCATTCAAAGGCCTAGATACGTCTCTTCCATCGGCAGGCTTTGCTCCGACACCTGCAGATACCTTGGGGCTCACATCCCCCTTTGGCATGTTTGGTCAGGTGCCAGACATGCAGCTTGACTGGGTAAGTCTTGCCAACCCAAATTACCCCGATTCCCAATTGTGAATAATCAGATTTCTAACATCCCGATAGGATGCGTGGGACAGTTATATTGGCAACCCTGCCAACGTCGACAACCTTAACCCATTGTGGCCCATGCCCGACCTTACACAGCAGTCCCCTGAATCTCTCAATCAGACACCAAATCCACCACCACCAGGTGAGGGTACCAGAGCTCGAAGGTTACGGTTGCCGGGTATACTTCCATCAGACGGCGGGGCCACATTCGATCCGTCTGCGCCTCCAATCTTCATGACCGGGCCAAGTAGTAACGATCCCAGCGCCCACAGCCAGCAGCAGCAGCAGCAACAACAACAATAGGTTACTACCATCGTATTGCTTTGCAAGGAACGTACTAATGCTTGATACCCCGCGCACTTTCTTCCTTTTAACCGGATAATCGGTGTTGCACGATGTGATGTTTTTTCTGAGAATGAGTGCCTGGAGTCGGGATGTGATAGAATGGACAATCTCCACCTAAGTTTACTGTATATTTATTCAAAATCAAGGACTCTCTGTTGGTGTTTTACTCTCCAGTTTATGCGATTGTTGTTTAGTAACTTAGCCCGTGGAATTCACTGTATATTTGGCGTCTTTTCAATGGCTGTTATTCGGCTTATTCTTAGTACTAGCTTTAATTCATTATTCTGCTCTGATTGAACATTACATTGTCATTGTCAATATAATGCGTCATTCCTCGTTCGATGTACTAGACTACTTACTCGTCGAATATAATCACGTGCGTCCGTGTGACGGTCGGTGGCGACTAACCCGAACAGTACAAGCGGGTCAGCGGCGTCAATTACATTCGAAGTTTTCGAGACGCAACAGGGGATTTTGTTTATCAGCTTTTCTTGATTCACAATTTGGCCTTTTTCTTTTAAAGGCATCTTCTATTTTCAGGTTTCAAGAATTTTCTTCGTCAAAAGTTAAATATTTAATAAAAATGTTCGTTACCAGCATTGATTGACTCCTGTCGAAATTGTTGCAAGCAGCTAATTTATGATAATTCTTAGGCTTTCTGCTTTCCGACCAGCTGCGCGCCGTCTTTTATCTGCAAGACCAACTTCTCTTCTTGCTAGATCGCAAAAGGTCACGTCAATTGCCGCTCCTTCTGTCCGCCTGAGCCGTTCAGTCTTGTCTCTTCCAACTCAGCGACGATGGAACAGCAGCGATATCCCCAAGGAGACAAACACCAAGGCTGAGGCTGAATCACTGCCATCCGCAGACGACTCCGAAGTGCGGATCCTCGAAGACGCCGTTGCCTCTGCCAAGGAAGAACGAAGCACAAGCACCGCTGGCGAAGCCTCTGCCGAAATCGCCGCGGAAGAACAAGCCAAGGAATCACCAGAGGAGATCACAGGTGCGGACGGCATCGAAAACCACGTGGTTGATGATTTGGAGGATGCCGGGCCGCGGCGCTATACAGACAAACCATCCACCCAATTCAAGGCGCAACAGAGATATATCCCCAAGGAGACCATCTATGTCGGGAATCTGTTCTTCGATGTTACTGCCGACGATCTGAAGGCGCGTATGGCTGAGTATGGTACCGTTGAGCATGCTAAGATCGTTCACGATGCGCGTGGATTGAGTAAAGGGTATGATATATCCTTTGATAATTTCATTTCATGAATACATGTACTGATGTCTGTTCAGCTTCGGATACGTCACTTTCGCCTCGGTGGAATCCGCCGCCAATGCCATCGCCGGGATGAACCAGCAAACATTCGAAGGACGACGTGCGGTCGTGCAATACGCAGCCGGCGTTTTCAAAGCTTCATCGCAGAGGAACAAACGCGACCCGACCCGCACTCTGTATATTGGAAACATATCCTTTGACATGACAGACCGCGAGCTCAAGAATCTTTTCAAGAGCGTCCGCAACATCGTTGATGTGCGCGTTGCTATCGACCGCCAGACCGGACAACCCCGCGGCTTTGCGCATGCGGACTTTATTGATGTTGCCAGTGCCCAGGAGGCTTTCGAAATCCTCAGTGCAAAGGCGCCGCATGGCCGCCGCTTGAGGGTTGATTACAGCGAGTATGTCGTCGGGCAGCGGCGCTCGGATGAACCATCAGATGCAGGATCTGAATGAGGACGCGGAGTGTAGAGAAGGTTATGCTAGAAGTTTTTCCTCTGATATTATCACTCGCAGAACGGTTTTTACACTTGGGAGGCGTTTGAACTTGATCTTCAATATTTTTCAAATGCGTTATGTGTATTATCATTCTTGATGCTATGTATATTATTGTACTATTTCAGCCTGAAAATGATTTGAACTCTTCATTCACAATTGATGATAAATTTCTCCGCGCAGACTATGCAGATCGTATGCAACACAATTCCCTCTAAAATTGAACTACCCCATCAATGCCAGAATACAAATACAAGTACATCATTTAATCAATCATCTTTCAAAAACTAACATCAAAACAGCCATGTCTATTCGGCGCTGTTATTGATAATATAATACCGGAACCCATCCGGCGCCCCATCACTGTTCTCCTGGTCAATGCAGGCATTATTCTCCGGGTTCCCGTCATTAATCCACACATCCTCTGAGCCAGGCCCGCCGTTGCAGCCCGCGGCTTTCCAGCCATCGAGAGTGTTTTTCGTGTCCGTCCAGTAGATGGATTTGGCCACGAAGCCGAAGTCTAGACAGTCGGTGTCGCTGCTGACATCCTGCAGGGTTAAGAGGGGAGGGTTAGCGGGTGAACTATCAATTGATTATCTTAAAGATGGAATATGGACGTACAGGGGCGCTGAAGTCTTTACAGCCCTCGGAGCAGCTGTTGTCGGTGCAGGCGTGGAGGGTGTATGCTGCCGAGAGGGCAGGGAGGAGGAGAGCCAGGGTCTTGAGGGAGAGCATTTTTGTAGTGTTGATGATAAGAGAGGAATGAATTAATGTTTGAATTCAATGTTGCTTGGTGAGAGAAGTGAAAACACCGCTCCAGACTCTGCCCTTTTATATCCCTCGAGCACACACACCTATTACTATACCTAGCACTTTTCTGTTACCCGACAGTAACCAACACCAACCCAACACCAGATCAACCAAGTTTGAAGTTGGAACCGGTGGTGACGAGTGCGCGTATTCGCAGTCAATGAGAAAGCATTGCCATCGAAAGGATCAACAAAACAAGCCCCAAGAAGACCACGCGGGGCCCAGTAGCCAACGCTTGGCTTTAAAAGTATTCTGTCCATGATTGGGTGTCTGGAATAGCTAAAAATGATGTGATCGATAAGATCTGCAATCCGCTACGTCGCGCGTAGCAGGAGAGGTTGAAAGCGTAGCTTCTAGTGGACCTTTTACTCTTCTAGAATTATGAATTATTCTGTCTACGTAGTACTACGGGGGTATTTATGCACGCTAGGATCGACTCTATTTTTAAAAAAAAGAGGGTAGATCGGGCTAGAGGGTTTAGGAGTTGGTTATGAAGAATTATGATCATGATGACGTGTTTGGTGTTTTAGAAAAATTTGGATTGACCTTTTACTTGAACAATTCGAATATGAATTGCTATACTGTTTGGACATCATATATATTACATGTTCTAATTGAGTATTTAAGTTGTATCAGTGTGAATACCTCGGTAAATTCTCACGCAATGCCGACGGACTCGGCTTGCCGATCCACTCGACACAGCCGGCGCCTCTCAAAAAAAAAGAACACAGAATTAGGCTAATATACAGACCTCTCTTACAGTATAAAATATATAATGTATAATAAGCAGTCAATTCGAAAATGTGATCAAATTCATGCATTGGGGCGAAATTGGGATCTTCTCGGATTTCTCCTATGTGCTATTTACGCTATTGGGGCCATGACATCACCGAAATATGGGGTTGCCCCAGTTTTCACGTATAAATAGTAAGAACCAGGACCCTCATATATGGTGAAATAAACTCTAATTATCACATCATTCGGACTATTCAATGGCATTGATTTTATTGGTTTGTATAGATTTTGCTTCAGCTTGTAGAGATGATAATAAACTTGTTCAAGGGCCGGCTCTCCAATTCAATGAGAAGAGTGGGACTACACTTGTCGTTGGGTAAAGGGAGGAATTGACATAATATATATCATAAACAATAAATAATAAATAATAAAATTTATTATATTAACTTATACATTGAGATAATGAATAAATCCTCAAAAACGGCTACATTGGACAACGCATTTTGTATCTCACTAACTGCTAAGATCTTCATTATGTGCCTCATTGTTTCTGCTTGTTACATATATTGTAAATATTTACTCTAATATTATAAATAAATATCAAGAATATGCGAAATCTACGAAACCTCTTTTAATTAATAAGCGTAACGCCGGTATATGAACGCAAGGACCCCTATATGCCCTGCGAGACACGGCAGGCGCCATTAAGGGTCCATTGAATAGTAAATACCCAGGCATCTCCTTCACCCACGTCCACTGGGCCTGCATCGAGGCCTTGGAGGCTTAATGGATAATGTGGCTCACTAAAGCGCTCGCTGCGATGATTAAAAAAAGGTGTCAGCTCTATTATATCTTCCTAAGGTGGGTAAGATCTCTAAGACGATAGTATGGCAGCTATATCAGTTTAGATCTGAACGTACCCTAATAGCGACATATTTACATCAAATCAACAGGCATGACATATCCTAGTATAGGGGCTGCTCTAAGGGGGTAGAGACTATAGCATACCTAATTCACTGCAGGCAGTGGTAGTGGCTATAGGAGGCTCTTAGAAGCTGAGCAGGCCCTCAAAACACACAAATTGGCGAATTCCAGGGCTACAAAAGGCTTTATTAGTCCTTGTAGAGGCCACTAAGGCCCTGGAAAACTGGAAGAAGGTGGCTAGAGAGGCCCTTGGAGTAGATTTATGATCGTGGGAGGCTATATAGGAAGAGGAGACCCTAGAAGGAAGGGTGTAGTTCAGGAACCAGTTTGGGGCAGGCAGTGAAGGGAATTAGGGGCTCAGACACCTATTACGGCCCCTAAAGCTCACTTAAACGAGACCTTGATAGCTTAAAGCTGGGCAAGGTCGTAAATATTTAACTAAATAAGTAATATAAGGCCGTTGTCAGGGAGTATGGGCTATACCGGGAACAAATAAAACAAACGGTATTGTATTTTGCATAGGTGATAGGTTATAGAGTTGGATTATCTAAGATATGAATATATGAATACATAGGGCTTCCTTATACTCGTCCTCGGATTTTAGCCCCATCTCTCTATCTGATGTTGAGATATAAAGGCCCGAAAGTAGCCACTTTGTATGGGTATTGAGGGTGGCTGGGGTGGTTTGTGGATTGCGTAAATCAACGTCCTTCCCGATTAGGGCATTGAACTATATAAAAGAGTCATGCGAAGCGCTAAAATTAACAATTAACGTTAGCGTCAGCCTTGTTACTAATCACCTAAACCACGATTCAGTTGAAAAAAATTAAATACCAAGTTATTAAATTTGGAGATCAGCACTTGCAAAGCCCATTAAACCGGTTTAGAGACGGGTTCTGTCTATTTGGGAAGCAGTCTTCTGGCCTATGGTAGGTGAGTAATTGACAGCAAAAACGATTGCTCGATTTTCTTGCTTTGCTCCGAAGGACTCCTTCTCACTCCGGCAGAATATGAAAGAGGAAGTAGAATTGCTTGGTATTACAAGTATAAAGTTAACACTGGTTTTGCCTACCATATTGAGTCAGTAGTGCGCGCCACGTCGGCAATATTGTTTCTTTTGGCAGACACGAGGCGTCCATAAGGATTTTCGTGTCTTCTGTTGGTGTGGAAGCAAGTAAATCTAAATGTAAACCTTATTTTGCAAACGGGTTTACCGTCGGATTGGCAAGAACTGGGAGTATTTATATAGCATCAGTTGGGGAAAGCTGAAAGGAAGACGGAAAGGTATAAACGAATGAGAGTATGCCTGTTGTTTTAATATCTCTAAAGAATCACCTAGATCACAAGAGTCATCAACGTCGCCTTGTGCTTCTTTAACAACAGCTGATGCCAAGAACTCGGAGTCATCACTAGCACCGGTTTTCAGCCGCGGTACCTTCTTCCCTGGATAAAAGGCCGGCAAAAGTTCTGCAATTTGCGCATAAACCTTAAAAAAAAAAACCTTTATCCATCAGATTCTTCAAAGGAAACATATTTTTGCTGAATTTCTAGCCCTCGTATGGCGGGCAGGGGCCGATGCTTCAAGCAGCCCAGGCGTGCGATGCATGCCGAGATCGGAAGAAACGGTGCGACAAGGCCTTGCCAACGTGCTTTGAATGCAAGAGGTAGACTTCTAGATCTAGTTTTGGTGAGTATTTTGGTGAGCTGCCGACTAAAATCACCTTTAGGCGTGGAGTAGTATGCCTGTACAGTCAGGAAGTCGAGGAACGCGGAATGATTGAATATCTACGACAGAGGTTAAAATATGTCGAAAATGCCGTCACGGACGAGCAAGCTGTGATGGTGACAACTCCAACAGAGACAACGCAACTTGTCCCCTTGAACATGGTATTCAATATGAAGTCTCATATCCGGTCTCGAGGAAATGGTACTTTCCCATGTTGCTCCACTTCCGTAAGTGTTTTTATTGATTGTCAGCCGTGTTCACTTTTTTTGACGAGAGTATCAAGGATTTCACTCCATGGTCCCGAGTATTAGAGAATTGAACCAAGGTAGTGCTGCGTATAAATTGCGAACAGCATGGGTGACTGGCTACCTGACCGATCCAGCTATGTTCCATGGGGTCATGTATGCCGCATCTGCAAATCTCGACCTCATCAATGGAGATTTTAATAATCCAATAACCACTTTTCATCGTGTAGAAGCCATCCGATTGGTGAACAAGGGGTTATCGAAAGTAGAAGGGGGTGATGACTTGCCGCCAGCGATAATTGCGGCCACCTGGGCCTTGGCCCATGTTGCGGTACGGACCTCCGACTCTTGAGAGCTATCTCAGTAGCTGAGACTAATTTCTTGCAATTAGAGACTCAAAGGCGATATATCAGAAGCACATCTTCACGAATCTGGACTTGCGCAAATGGTTCTATGTAAGACCCAAAAAAACGAAGATCTAGGATTTGAGGGCGCGCTGTCGTTTCTAATAATGCTGTAAGAATATATCAACTTGTATCACATCACCCATTCAACTGATGAGAAAAAATATTACAGTAGCGATATCTGGAACGCGGTTATAAACGACACAGACCTGACTCTGGATTTCATTAATGTGTGCCAGCCGCCCTTTTTTGCCCAACCGAGGAGATCACTTCTCTCGACTGCATTAGAAAGTCTGTTTCGACGTGGCTCTGAGAAAGTACAAATATCCGCAGACATTATCTCACTTCTGCAGATAATTAGTGACCCAAATCTTGGACAACCTCAACGACAGGATCCCCACAACCAAGACTTGCATAGTCCTTCTCCACATCATGATTACGAACCTATTCTAATGCTTCTTTGGGTGGAAAGGCTAGCTTCGGTGCAACATCGCAACTATATCTCTGAGAGCTGCTGCTTGGCTGCTATCATTTACTGGAGAGCTCTCTCAGCGAATATTCCATTTCTTTCACCCGAAAATGATAAAATTGTGCAGGAAATTCAGACCGCGCTACGACACAGTGACTCGGAAACCTGGATGGAGGAAGCCCCCGAAATGCACCTTTGGGTGTCATACGTTGCCGCTTTGGCTGCTGCAGATAAAGCGCAACGGGCCTGGTTCGTAGCGAAGTCCAAGATTTCTGTCGTCGTGCTCAGTCCGAATCAAACCTTTCACTTCCAGGATGGAGTATCGCATCTTTTATGGTTGTCGAGGTATCTGCGAAAGCGATTTCTAATTTCGCGATAAGGATTCAGATGCTCTGGGAACTCATCAAAATCGGTTTCGAGCCACCACTGTACAAAATCATCATCCTCCATCTCATCATAGAGAACATAAGCCTTTCTTCAACCTGGGCCGATTCGCGTGATCGTTGTCGAAGATAGTCTGGATCAAAGGTATCAAGTGTCTGCTGGCTGTCAGAGAGGTTAGTGGCCTGCTGATTGTTTGATACGGTACGATGGTGCCGGGAATAGTTGCAATTTCTCAAACCAATTCCCTCTGGACTAGGCTACTCTCAGCGATATATATATATATATATATATGGGCGATTAATACAGTTTATATAGATTGACACGATATTGTATTTATTTCTGATTTCTATGTTCAGTATCCATATCTTCAGAACTGACATTGCAAGTGTAACTGGACACCAATCCCACAAATTCGGGTGACTAGGCCAATAAGGACCAATTACGTGCTCTGTCGGCCTTGCACGGCTGCGCAAGGCTGACAACAACGAGGTCTATGTTATATCACCCCTCCATTTCTGCTCTCCTTCTTCAAGAACAGAAAAATGTGAGTAGTAGATATCTGATTTGTTCTCTCTTCATATTCAACTTGGCCTCAACAGCTCCTTGACGATGAGTTTTGACTAACCTCGCATCCCTCACGTCGACTTCATCTGATAGTACTATACCCAGGGTAACTTATGATGCCATTTCTCTTCCACACTATTTTCTGAATAAACCGTATTTAACAATCCAACTTGTTAAAGTGCCCTGCATAATTAAAATCTATAATTAGTAATATATTATAGAATAATAAACTAGATCAAGTTATAATTATTAATTTTTATTAGTTTTATATAGTTTTTTAACTAATAAATCAATAGGTGTAATCTATAAAAAGATCATATAATCAAGAAATAAAGCTTTTTAAAATGATCTTCTTATACTGCTATTACATTCTAACCAATACACTTAATAATAATAAATTCCATTTTTATAGTATTCTTCCTCGTCATTTATCAAGCGTGAAGATATCGATATAATATAAGAAACCGCGAATAGGCTTGTCAGCTGCCCTCCTGCACGATCTGGTCTGCCCCACTGGTCATCTTCTTGGGCTCAACATCACGGCGGGACTGATCCTTAAGAAAGTTACATGGAATCGTGGCTCCGCACGTGTGGTTGAGTTGCTGCGTTCCCATTAAAGATGTTTTAAGAACGCGCTTTCCGCCCTCTTTATTTTTATGCTTATTCACCTCTTTCTCGCGTTCCTCTAGGATGGTTAACAACGAAGAGCGCATCCGGCTTAAGCCGTCAATGGTCCCAAACTGGCCCAATTTTGACGTCAAGGACTCATCATTCTTTCGAAAATGGGCCAACTACCCTCACCGAAAGAGGTTCAAGCTCAAGCCAAATCCCAATATCTTATAGGAGTCAATCCAGACAGCCGGAGAACCTTTCAAACTACTGCTCCTTATGTCAGGCCGCCACCGGTGTTGTTTGAACATATGAATCTGCTCGTTAAATGGGGTAGCGCTGTGAAGATATCCGAAGCCTTGGTGCTCTTTGCAATTAATCGATACCTCAAGGGTCGCGTTCCCGTTCCTGAGGTATACGGGTGGCGCACCGATGGAGACGAGAAATAAATATATATGGAATACATCCAGGGGAAGTCCCTGGAGCAAGTATGGGATACCATGGAGCTTGGCGACAGGACCATATTCTGCCACCACCTTCGGACAGCCATTAATCATCTACATCAACTTGAGCAAGACCCGCTAGTCAAATTCGTGGGTCAGCATGCCCCCTGTTAGTCGCAACATGATATTTTCCAAACACCTACTTATTTTTTCCTCTAGGGAATATTGTACGAGCTCCTCTCTATGACAGAGCTCTGCATATCAAATACATGACGGAGGCAGGGCCATTTGCTACGGTCCATGATTTTCATAACTGGTTCACGTTTCTTCACCGAAGACCAATGCCTGATCCATATTCGGTACCAGTAGAACCATTCCGTCACGAACTCCCGGATAACTGTGATATCAAGTTCACCCACGGTGATCTCCATCCAAGTAACATCATCGTCACCCCTGACCGGCCATATCACATTCTAGCCGTTGTTGACTGGGAACAATCGGGTTGGTTGCCTGCTTATTGGGAGGCACGTAAGGCACAGTACACTGCAGATCGCAGTGAAGAGTGGTCCACGAGATATTTGCCAATGATTTTAAATCAATATTCCAAGACTTGGGACCCGTGGGATTACTATACCACCGCTATGGGTTGCTAGATTCCAGTTACGCATGCAGCCTACAATGGAAATATGAGAAGGAATCCATTCTCATTGCTTCGGTAGAATCAATTATAAATATGGCTTTTACGCTTTATTTTTCCATGTAATTCCTGAGAATTTACTATCATTTAAGTAATTATAAGCAATCAGTTCCACTAGTAAGTTGGGTATAAATTAGACCTAGTTCCCAGTTATTCAAATTTCAGGCTTCTTGCACGTTCCAATTTAGTGACACAATAATATTGCACTAAATTTCCTTACACTGAAATCGGTCAACACTATATCTGATCCATATCAACTCCACTGCACTACTTCATTTCTAGAAAGGTTAAGCGGCAGTAGCGTATTCCGAAGATTGGGCATGAATGAATCAGCATAGTTCTCATTGAACCACGACTCTAAGAGACAGAATCCCTTCAACTGATTCCGTCTAGATAGACGCATTAGCACAGCTAAACGCCGGCGTGACAGAGCTCGAGTAATCACTAATGATTGCCTCGACAGCAGCATACAGGCCCGGACCCAGCAAGAACAGCCCACACAGCATCACAAAGACATGAATAAGAGTCATAATCGACCTGCCCGCGCCGCTAAATAGATCTCCTTTGTACAGTTGCCAGTATGCGACAGCGAAGAAAATGAAACCAAAAAACGAGTCGAATGCAGCACCGAGTAAGGAGAGGAAGTCGCCCATACTGGGAATCACCTCGGCAAAGATAAACGCAATAACCCAGATCCCAGCCATGATAGCAATCCATACGCCCCATCCGGTAAAGGTGTTGCTATGTGCGTGTCGGGACTTGCCCATAATGCGGAAGTAAATGAATTTGGCGGTAACGTTGGCGTAAATCACGCCGATGATCAGAGTCGGAACGATGACGAATGCAAAGGAGCCTTTCTTATAAGCAGTTACGCCTAGACTGCCAAAGGCCGGCGCAGTTGCGTATTGGCCTAGATATCTGAATCCGATTGCCGGGGGGATGATGAATAGGATGGCTGAAATGATTGCGAGGACAGCAAGTGACTTGGGAAAGTCTTGCGGTCGCTCCATTTCGGAGATAAAGGTTGGGAAGAGGATCTGAGGGACCCAGAGGAAGGTGATGTTGAGGACAGCATTCATGCATGCCACCCACGTAGTGCCAGGCAATGGGAAGGCGTAGGTTCGGACTGGGCCGTCCGTGGGATAATTCCCGTTGTATCCGTACAGGGGAGCGTCTTCAATGCCTGCAAAAATGAGGAAAAGGAGTATGGCAATTCCCATGCAGGCGGCTGTCAAATGTGTCAGCATATCGACGTAAATTTGATACAAGGGAAGGAGGTACAGGGAGAGGAGAGGGGTTCTAACCTGAAAACATCGACATGAAGGAAACATGGTGCAATGTTCGCGGCAGGGACATCACGATACCCATCAGCATCGCAATGACTGAAAACACTACGGTGCACAGCGAGTGATCCGACAAGGTATTCAAAACCTTGGCACCTGTAAGGATATGAAAGCCAATGAGCAGAATGTTATTGGCCAGCAGCATGAACCCCGCAAACTCGTACGCAATTCGACTCTTGCCAAAGGCGTAGTATCCAAAGTCGCCTATAACGAGATAAGTGTGTTAGTCTGAGTCGACTTCGCGAGGGCGATTGACTTAAAAATATCTTTGATATGAGGATGCTTCATTATGAATTTGTGCATGGTAATCGAGGTGATCCAGAAGAGTATGCCGGAGAGAACCATGGTAATAATCCCAGGAACCCAGCCTAAAACACTAGATATGCGATTTTAGTATTTGCGCCAATTTTCTTGAACGACAACATACGAGAGGGACCATGACTGGGCCATAATGGCAAGACACACTTGATCGCCAGCGAGCAACCAAGCAGCCTTCTGCCATGACATGGTTCTGAGCTTGATTTCATGTTTGTGATCTTGAGCATCCGTCGTTAATGAATTGTATCGCCCGTTACTAGATTTTCGCGGACATCCCACCTTCAGCAATCAGCGCATTCAGCGTGTTGACCGACGTGCCATCCGAGTCCTGGGCCTCGACGTAGCCTGGCGCGGAGGTTTCATCCGCGTACGGCTCTTTTGACTCCTTTGACTCTTTTGACATGTCTACCGAACTCCAATAGTGGTCTCCAGGTTGTCGATTTGATGAGGCTCAATGGTGCAGGAACAGCGCATGCATGCAGAACAGGGAAGAACGACAAGAATAAAACAATAGACAGGTAAAGAAGAATAGATACGAGTCTAGGCATCGGGTATTCCTGCCTATTGTCGAGCTTGACAAATGGCGTGATAACCCTAAAAATGACGGCATTCCAGAACAGGACTAGCGCGGACCCTTATCACTGACACCTACCACGTGAATCCACTTATCTACTTAATATTAGTATTTATTGCTATTTATTGCTATTACTGTTATTCCATTTTTCGGCTAGGCTGGGATAGGTGTAGCCGTTTTGGCGTGCTCGGATTTGTTAGATGCCACTGGGATAAATCGAAGACTCCTCCTTCTGCCATGTTCATGACTGGCTTTTGAGCTCTTTCTCTCCATCTCAGTTGGGGATATGAAGTGGATTAACGGGTCTTGACTCTGCAATCAAGCCGCTTTATTATAGGGTCATGGAAAGCGCAATCTGGAGAATTACATATACCCTGCGAAGAGATCTGAATATGAGCCAACGAAGCAGGGATGTCAAATACGCCGCTCGCTCTTTGTGTTGAGATTTAGGCGGCGCTGTATGTACTACACCGAGACAAACTATCCTTAGGCCAAGCACAGCGATACTGGAATCTCTCTGCTTATAACACCATCTATCGGTTATTTTAGGAATGTGCCATCTATTCCAGTCTACATAAAAATATAGGGTGCAAATCGCATCAGTATGCAGAATAACAGCGACTCTCAGCTCAACCCTCTACCGAGCCAACTAGTACCAGATGGGCTCCAAGAGTCATTTAATGTGTCATCCTTGACTGCTGGCGAGCGCAGAATTTATGATTACCTACGCTCTCATGGATGGAATGATAGCCAGTGCTCGATATACTTCAGCAATGTCAATGCGCTACAGGAAGCCCTTGTTCATTTTTTCTCGTGCTCAAGGCTGGAGTGAGGATTAGTTGGAAGCTTTTAATGATTCTTTTCGTTCAGAATTACCAGAGCAGCTTTCTACGCCACCCCGCTTCTGACTACGAGTGGCAGATAAGACTGCTAGGAGAGATGAATCGCAGGAAAAGAATTGGCGAGGATATGGACTTTTCCACGTCAAAGTCTGAAACGCAAGAAAGAGGGGAGATTCAGCGTTGAGACCAGTCAACTGGTCTTTAGGGGGTTGGTCTATTTATCATTGTTCCTGCAGTGTTCCTGAATAACGTGCTACATCATTTATTTCTACTCACCAGTTGATCTCACATTGATATTTGGCTATCATCACCTCCTTTGTCCTCAATCAAAATAGTATTAATATCACCACATGAGTATTGATCAACACAAATTAAGCATACCCCAGAATTCCATATTAAACCAATTTTCCTTGTGTACACTTGTAGAAATATGCTACGTTCATGCTGATTGGTTCATTTATGCATCGCCTCCACGTGACCACATCTAAGCAACCTCGGCACCGGGAGAGCCGAATCATGCGGAGGGCGCCGAGGACTTCTTCCAGGCCTTGGAAGTATTGTTCTTCTTGTTCACTTGTCTCATCAATCTCTCGCTGTTATACATATACGTATGCGTATATTTATATATATTCTTGAGGAAGACATTATTAATAGATTTGTCAGAGACCGAGGCCCGGGATTGTATCACCTCCGCGGGCTTCGCCTTTACCCCACAGCATTACCGATCAGCCACTTCATGCACTTCCGGCTGTCACGATTTCGATTTCTTCACTAGATATCATTCTTCGCCTATAGATTTCGACTTCGACTTCGATTATTAAGTTTGTTAATTTGATTCACCGCATCGCCATCTCGCCATGTCTTTTCTCGGTGGCGCCGAGTGTTCTACCGCCGGCAACCCGCTCACACAATTCACCAAACACGTGCAAGATGACAAGTCCCTACAGCGAGACCGACTCATGGGTAGAGGCCCTGGCGGGATGCAAGAGAGCATGCGGTCGCACGGGATGACAGGTCCAGGGGAGCAAGTACGAAAGAGCCCTTTTATTTAATCGAGAAGGTAGTGGTAAATGACTAATGCTTGTATTTTTAGATGATGGATGATTTCATGCAACAACCCGCTCAAGCCCCCGGTCAGCCTTTTGCTATGGAACATATGCGGCGAGAACTGGAGACACTGCAAAACGCACCTCAGCGAACAGGTTCCCCCGGCTGGGCCGCCGAATTTGACCCCGGCGAGCAAGCTCGCATGGAAGCCGCGTTCCAGAATGGCCCGAATACATCTACATTCAATGGCGGATCGGGGTTCAACCCCGCCGAGTTCGCACGGTTTCAGCAAAGCACGGGGATGGCTCGCACAGGGAGTCCGATTACATCTACACAGTCGCCGATGATGAGCTCGTACCAGAGACCAATGATGGGGGGATATATGGGCATGGGAGGGGGTATGGGAATGATGGGGATGATGAATCCATCGTATGCACAACAGCAGCGACCTATGGAGTCAACAGCACAGGAGAAAGGCAAGGGACGAATGGTTGAGCTGGACGATACGAACTGGGAAGCACAGTTTGCGGAGATGGAATCGGCTGATCTGCAGGTGGTTGATGACCAGGCTAACGATGCCATGGAGGCGGAACTCGATGAACTTGACAGGTCAGTGTTCACCCGAGATACCCTAGAAGAAGAATCCGATCTTGTGGATTTTGAGCGTGCGTGGGATAAGGCTAGAGCTGAGATTCCTTCCGCTACTAGAAAACTTGCCGAAGAAGACCTTGATTTCAAAGAGGTCGATAATATCCATATGGGGGATTTGAATGACTGGGAAGGGTTTGATAGTCTCAACACCCGGTTCCGTGACCCGCAGTTGGGCGACTATCTGTTCGAAGAAGACAATGCTTTCCGTGCAGTGAATAACCCGTTTGAAGAGGGCATGAAGATTATGCACGAGGGAGGGAATCTGTCATTAGCAGCTTTGGCTTTTGAAGCAGCAGCCCAGAAGGACCCTCAACATATCCAAGCCTGGACCATGCTCGGCGCCGCCCAGGCCCAGAACGAAAAGGAAAGCCCAGCCATCCGAGCCTTGGAACAAGCACTTAAACTAGACCCAAACAACCTAGATGCCCTAATGGGACTGGCTGTTTCGTACACCAACGAAGGCTACGACTCAACTGCATACCGCACGCTAGAACGCTGGCTATCAGTGAAATACCCACAAATCATCGACCCGACGGACCTCTCATCAGATGGCGAAGTTGGCTTCACCGACCGCCAACTGCTGCACGATAAAGTCACCGATCTATTCATCCGAGCCGCACAACTATCACCGTCGGGAGAACAGATGGACCCAGATGTCCAAGTCGGTCTGGGTGTATTGTTCTACTGCGCTGAAGAGTACGACAAGGCAGTCGACTGCTTCTCGGCAGCGCTGGCGTCCACCGAGTCCGGCACATCGAACCAGCAAGACCAAGTGCACCTCCTCTGGAACCGCCTCGGCGCCACGCTCGCCAACTCGGGCCGCTCCGAAGAGGCGATTGAAGCGTATGAAAAGGCGCTGACCATCAACCCCAATTTTGTGCGGGCACGCTACAATCTCGGAGTCTCATGCATCAACATTGGCTGTTTCCCCGAGGCCGCGCAGCACCTCCTCGGCGCCCTGGGAATGCACAAGGTCGTGGAGCAGCAGGGCCGCGAGCGGGCGCGCGAAATCGTCGAGGGCGTTGACGGCATCAACGACGACGAATTGGAGCGCATGATTCATATTAGCCAGAATCAAAGCACGAATCTGTATGATACTTTGCGGCGTGTCTTTACCTCCATGGGTCGCCGGGATCTGGCCGACATGGTGGTTTCGGGCATGGATGTGGATGTGTTCCGGAAGGAGTTTGAGTTCTAACTCATGATACCATATAACTAATGTCTACGTTCAATCTTCTTCCATACAGACTGTATCAATGTATCTACAATCCTACAGATTACATATTACACGTCTTCTTCATTCTAGACTGCTTCGTGCAGTGTTACACCCGCACACCACGCTCTAGATACAGGATTCAAGCTTTGATCGGTCCTTCGTAACACAATCTATCAGTCACACAGACAGTTCAAATGTAATGTTCGATGCGGGACGACAGCCCACCATGACATGCTTATCCAGCCACGGCGCTACCACAATCTCGGTATCAGTATAGCATCAAATCAATAACGATGGAGATACACACGTAGCCATTAGAATTATGAGATACGAGAAAGTCGGCAGATAGCCAGCTTGACTCGTGTCTAACCAGTATAGATCTCTATCACTAACAACAACGTTTGAACTAAACCTTATTCGAATGGGAGTAGTAAGTGCTAAGTGGATGTATAAAAAGTATGTGCGATTATTGTAGCTAGTTCAACATTTTGAAGCTGAGAAATTGAGCCCCCTTACATGCACATGTCAGATTGAGGAATTTTCGTTGCAATGACCAACAATCCAAGCCCAACTCACAGCACATGCAGATTCGGCGTTATTGCGGTTCCAGCAAACCTTTCAACAAGTTTCTTATTGTCTCTCCTCAGCACCATCTTCATCACCGCACACCCGACAATACTCAGCCCCGAAAACGCAATCATCAAAACCATAGCGAGAACATAACGCGGGGAGTCTTGCGGGCGGAAAAAATACGGACTCCAGATATTCCCCAACTGGCCCATCAAGTTGACGATGGCGGTGGCACAGGCACGCTTTTCGGGCGTCTGACTGACTGATGCAGCGGCCCACGTGTATACCATGGAATTCGCCGAGAAGGTACCGGTGATATATAGGAAAGAGGCAAAGTAAAGAACGGCGTGGTTGGTCGGTGGCGAGGCTATCGAAATGATAAATCCGGCGGCAGCAAGCGCCATCAGGCCGCCGATATGATAGCCACGGTCTCCGAGGTGGTCGCTCGAGTATGCGCTGATCAGGGCGATGATTGTTGAGAGAAGATATGGTGGCGCAGTGCAGACCAGCGTGATGGTTGTGTTGCCCAGACCTAAACCCTTGACGATAGTCGGGTAGAAATTGTTGAACCCATATGCTGTATGGTTGCTGCAGAGGATGATTGCCTATTTATTTATTTTTAATTACTTGTCAGTTGCTGAATCGAAGCCGCTCTTTTCTTTCTTTGCTCTCTACTCACAAATATCCATACGCGAAAATCTGACACTGCCGTGCGTAGACCGTACCAGACCGAGTTCTCAGGTACCTGGTTGGACACTTGATCCCGAATCATACGATCCTTCGCAATACGGCGCTCTTCAGCCGTGAAAAGCCAGCTTGTCGAGCCCGTTTCCGCACCTGGCAGATCTGGAAGGAGGAAGAAACCACACAAGCCGGCGAGAAAGCTGCCAGCACCTTCGATAATAAACAGCCATCGCCAGCCTTTGATGCCGCGAGTGCCATCCAGGCCCGAAAAGATGCCGGCGGCAAGCAGACCTGAAAACGCTGTGGCGAGAACAAGTCCCGAGTAGAGAATTGCCGTGCGAAAGGCAAGTTCCTTTTTCGTATACCAGCAGGAGAGCAAGTAAAATGCACCGGGGAAAAATGGTGCCTCGGCAACGCCTAGGAAAAGACGCACGAGGATGAGCCCAGTGTAATTGTGAACACCAGCTGTTGCGGCCGATATGCACGACCAAAGACAAATCCAGAAGGGGATGTAGAGCGATGGACGAACTCGAGTGATAAGCATGTTGCTCGGTAGTTGCATGAGCATATAGCTATACCAGTTAAGTAAACCTGTCAGAAAGAAGCTTGTATTACATGGAGGAAAGTACTAACCCGACATTGAGAATGGAAACAGCAGTATTGAAATTGTCGCCACGAAGACCTAGGTCTGCCTCGAAACTGTCTAGCTTTGCTTGCCTGCGTGCCCATCAATTATATCAGTACAAATAATATCAGCACAAATATAGAACACTATGGTACGTCATAGACGTACGCTATATTATTCCGATCCAGGTAGTTGAACAGATACATGACCCAGATAATAGGCATCAGAGTCATATCCAACTTCCTCACTAGTTTCCTCTCACCAGCAAGGTCGGCCTCGGACAGGGGCAAATCAGGCACTTTCTGCTGGATATCGTCAACGTGCTCTGATTGGCTAATCTCTTTGGCCGCCATGGTGGTTCTGAGAGGATATCGAAGAGTAGCTGTTAAAAAGTCTTGAAATCAAAGGACGCAGATATATGAAATCTAACGATATAGAGATAGAATCTTCTTCCATGAGCCATCTCCTGGTTTTATCAACATATTTCTGGCAGTACTAATAATAGTGGGGTGCATTGATTCAATGTTGGATACAGGCCTGAGCCACAGCAACTCTGGGGTCCGGGGAAAGTTACGAACGGCCTGAGAATTCTTGTTCCGTGTCTTTAATGTGGAAGAAGTCCTTTACTTTGGTTTAGTTCAAGAAGCCACGCTTCATATTGGTTGTGTGTAGATTTGGAGAGTTGTGGAGGCGGCTGGAGAGGGTGGAGCTACTCCAAGTCCCATACATCACTTCGGCTCTTATCCGCTGGTTGTGGAGTGATGAACTTGGGTCGATACTCTCGGCCTGATTTACTTTTCCCGGATACTTTTGACGTTGCCAAATCGGTACATGTGTAGAGTTACCCTACTACACAATTGGCGTAACTCGTGTATGGGTATTGACTGCTGTTGAATACCGGAGAACAGAATATTATTATCACTAAGAATATCAATAGAGAATGATATTCAAATACGTGTACTATACGTATTGTAATTAACCATTCGATTAAGCTCTGGTTATCCTCTATGGCTAGCATCCACAGTATATCCAGAATCAGGGTTATTTTTTGTTTGAGCTCGTTCAATGCCTTCAAAACTTCAATGTTGTATATTTATGTTTCCACAACTTAAAATAATTGAATAAGAACAACAGAAAAGAAACAATACATCATGGGTCAATCCCACCCAGCCACTTGTAGATGATTTTTGAATCTTTTCCTTGAAAGTCGGGATTCTTTGCCGCATCACGGAATGCATCTAGCATAGGCGTTCCCAGCACCGTCTTTGCACCCAGATCTTGCGCAGCCTTGTACCCCAATTCCAACACAGAAAGACACAACTCGAGAGAAAAGCCGCCAATGTAGCCCTTGCTTGCCGCATTTCCGGGCGTCAGACTGGGGACGGGGTTATTGGTGATCGAGTTGAAGTTCATTCCGGAACTGGCATTAAGCACTTTGTTTAATAGATGTGCGTCCAACCCGCCCTTGATGCCGATATTGATAGTCTCGGCTGTTGCAAGCGCTGTTAGGGATGATAGATAATTGTTTAGTAGTTTGGTCTTGAGACCGCTACCTAGATCGCCGCAATGGAAGATGCCGCTTTCTTTGCCTAGCAGCTTGCAGATATCCAAGACACGGGGATAAAGTTCATTAGGGGATCCGATCATAAATGAGAGTGTTCCACTTTCAGCACCCATTGCTCCTCCCTAGAAAACATTAATACTAGAAAAGGGGAGAAAGAAACAAAAGCAAGGAAGGCTTACCGAACAAGGAGCATCGACAAAGGCTCCATGACCAGCCGCGGCTACCTTTTCTGCAATCTCAGACGACACCTGAGCATCGATTGTGCTTAACTCTAAAAACAGAATCTTCCGCTTTTTCGCCGGATCCACCGACAATAGACCAGTATTTGGATTGAGGAAGACTTCCACAACATGTCGTGCTTGTGGGACGGAGGTCAGGACAATATCCTATGGTAATGCAATCAGGATTGAATTAACAAATAAAATAAAAAAAATTGGAAGATGAAGAAGAACCTGCTTACAGCGACTTCAGCGACTTCTCTAGGCGACGACGCCGTCTTGACATTGCCTGCTTGTCCATGTTCCTCGACGAAGCGTTGCATGATCTCTTTGTTGATGTCAAAAACCCAGAGGGCTGATGTCTCCGGGACTTTCTGGCGAAGGTTTTTGGCCATTCCATGGCCCATCTGGCCAAGGCCTATTATTTTCAGTCAATTTACTATATATACTTGTCCAAAGATCAGTACAAGCTTACCAATAAAACCGTATGTGACAGTTGGAGCCGGCATTTTGATAGTCAACCACGTACGTTTAAAAGCGCGGTATTTGATTTCAGGAGACAATGATGATGATGATAATCCCAAGGAAAATAATTAATTCAAAGAATGGCTATCTTCAAGACGAACAGGCGGGTTCAAATATTTCTCTTCAACATTTGAAGTTTCGGCGCAACTCCAACATCCGGGGGAGTAACGGATCGAAAGAGCATACTCCATATTCTTTACCACGGACACATCATATGGTATCCTTGTTACCACTTTTTCAAGGACAGGGAAATAGAAGGAAATTCGCACCGGCCACCGTAAGAGTTGCCGAGAATACGAAGCGACGCAAAGTCAGAGATCTAGGACCGATACGTTGGGGTTTAGACAAGACCCCAAAAACATCGCATTACCGCCAATAGAAGTTGGAAAGTGACGTCTAGCCTGGGATAATGTACTTGACACAGATCTAGATTATAGATTTCACTGGTTAGAGTTTGACACCAACACAGTGCGAGAAGAAAAGAGAAGATTGGTGGGGTTGATGGAGACCCTCCATTGCAATAGCTCTATCCCCTCCCCCAAAAATATGCAGTCCATCATAATACTTAAGCCCCCATCGTTCATCTTTTTGAGAGTCAGTCCGCAATTGATCAAATAAGTGAATATCTGGAAAATATATACACTGTCTTGAAAACACCATATAAGTTCCCTTGATTTCTATAACAAAATTGAAAAGACGTGATAAGCAAAACGACCTAAAATCACAATGACCGACCGCATCGAAAGCCAAAAAAACCTGTACAATGTCGGCATGAAACATCGCCGCGGCGTCCTTGGTGATGCCTATGTCGACAACGCCATCGCCAACGGTAGCACCGAGTTCGCACGTGCCATGCAAGAATTCACAACCGCCTTTTGCTGGGGTGCTGTCTGGGACCGCCCCGGTCTCGACCGCAAGCAGCGCTCCCTTATCAACCTGAGTATGTTGGCGGCCACTGGCAAGGTCCACGAACTGGCTGTGCACACTCGCGGAGCCGTCAACAACGGTCTGTCGGCGACGGAGATCCGCGAAGTGCTTGTGCAGGTGTGCATTTACATGGGTGTTCCAGCCGGCATGGAAGCCTTCAAGGCTGCTGAGAAGGTCCTGAAGGATATGGAGAAGGAAGGTGTGCAGATAAAACCTTAAAGGGGAAATCACCAACACCATTGACATTTGATGGACATCTGTATATACGAGGAAGGAGGACAGTGCGGTACTTGATATCTTGTCATGAATACGCTGCAATGAGTAAAGACCAAAGTTTTGTACCACCTTGATTAGAAAGAATAAAAATTACACTTGGATCAATATCAGATCGAGAATATCTCCTCGGTCACGAAAACTAAGCACTGTTGGTCCAAGAATTGATGTAGGCTTAATTATTTTGAAAAAATAATGTTTAATATTACATTTGGTTAGCCAATCGCTCGGCGTGAAGCCGGAGAACCTTGGCCATATTGGGCATGATATGCCATACAGTTGTTTCTTTGGTATCCAACAGCTGGGCCCAAAGGCCCAGGAGATGCACCGAATCTATTGACCGTGTAGAACATGTAACAGACCCACCAACGATCTGGTGAACAAGATCCAAGACTGTCTCTTCCTCCTGGGATAAGTCTTGCGTGTGCTGCATCATTTGTAACCATTGCCCCAGCAGCAGAGCGCAGTCAAAATAGCACAGCGCATGCTGCACACTCCAGATCCAGAAACTGGAGCGTGCGATCACCTTCAAACCCAAATGGATAGGAATGCGAAGCGCTAGACAGGCATGCAATACAGCACGCGTTGTCTGCGAACATCTTACTGGCGGTGGCAGTACATTTATGCGCCCTGCAATATCTTCCATCGTCGTTGGTAGACTAAACGCCGCTCGAATCGGAGAATAATCAGCGACAAGTCGAATATATGCGAGTCGAAGCAGAGCCGTGCAATTGAACAAGATTGGGCCGCGGGGGTGATCAGGGGTCAAGGACGCCTCGGGCTCGCTTTCCCACATGATCTGCCACCGTCGCAGTATGCGAAAGTAGTGTTCACGAAGGTCAGCGAAGCCGACGTAGTTGGGGGAACAGCATTTGCGGAAGAGCATTATTTTCTGGCTCATCAGTGACATGACGATGTGGCAACCGAACATACCGATCTTTTGAGGCACCGGAAGTGAATCGTCAGCCAATCTTTGGAGAATTGCAGACGCGCATGGCCACCGTTCGGCGTTGGTTGTTTGGGCCTCTAACCATTGTTCTGGTGTTTTGGCATTCCATTGACTCTCATCGCACGGCATGCCAAAGGCGTCTTCTAAATCGACGGGAGACACAATGTCATAGGCAATCGTCATCAGGTTCATGAGGGTGAATATGCAGTACGAAACCCTATTTTCATTCATTTATTGACTGGTCAACAAGAAATAAAAGGAGGAGGAAGAAATCACCTCCTCAGAGATTCATTCTGCAGCCAGCTTGCCCACGTTCCATCAACAGTCAAACCTGCTCGCGCCCACTCATGCCGCAAGGCAAGTGCGAGTCGTCCATGTATTTGTAAAGCGGTGCGGATATTGCTACAATCTGCACTCCATGCGGAAAAGGCAGTCAGGAGCATCATGGTCTGTAAGGCCGACAGACTATGGTCTTCGGGGTCGAGCATGGCAACTGCCAGACGATGTAGCTCAGACGCTGTGTCCCACTCCAAACTATACACGGCTCCGTTAGCACACACAGCCAGGACCAAACTGACTTCAGCGGTATCCGGCGACCACGAGGGCTCGTGAATAAAAGGCTGGTGTTGATGAAATGTCTTGAAGTATCGATGTATGAATCGGCATAACACAGCTGGGTCTGGCAGGTTACAGGTTCCGTATTTTCGAGCCTGCTGCTGTATAAAATCCCATCGATTGCCACTAAATTGCAGGGCGGAGCCCCGCAGCAAGCCGGGAGGCAGGCCACTGGTAGTTGGGCTTTGAAGCAGCGAGCACGATGAGCTAGGAGTGGGATTGGAGTATCGTGAATCGGTTCCAGATGATATCTCATCGCCTGTAGACACTGAGTAACCAGAGATAGGAGGGTTTGATACTGCTGGCACATAAGACTGAATACTGTCCAGCCAGCTCAAGTTGCCGGGCATGAAATAGTTCTGGAGGGACAAGTCAACCTCATCGGGAGAGGGCTGATTGGGCCACGAGTCTTCTAATTGAAAATCCATAAACCCTGTCGGTAGCATTGACGATAGGCTCATCCTCGCCTCCGACGCTCCTACTTGTATGGCTGGCCATTGCCGTTGTTCGGTTTGATCTTCATTATTCTCCAGGCTTGAGCTTGATGCCCGTTGCTGACAACTGCTGTCTCCAGAAACATTGTTATTGTTATTGCTATTTTTATTGTCATCTTGGCAATGATTCTGATTTCTCTTGTCGCCTCTTATGGATGTATCGAGCTCATGGGCTTTGATCTCATGGCGGCGCAACAGGTCTCGCCGGGAGAACTTTTGGTCGCAGTGGCCGCAGCAAAACGGCTTTTCTTTAGTGTCTGCATGGACAATTAACTAGATTGCAAGGGCTGACTACTAGTAGCAAGGGAAGAACGTACGAGTTCGTTTGTGACGGACGAGGTGCTCAGCCCGAGCAAACTCGCGCGCGCAATGCGGACATTTGTGCGCGGTTCGTTGGGACTGCATTTTTGATTAATATTGGTGTTATGCAAGAAGATTCTCTTTTTTGGTTCATGATGAAAGACTGCTCATAAACGTGGGGTATAGACTTTGAGCAACCCTAAATCTCTCTAGGCCGGTGATTGCCGGTACAGACGAGAACCACACCGAACATTGAACTTTTAGCCTGTGTGGCAACTTGTTAATCAACTAATACTACTAGGAAAGCATGAGGGGAAAAAATATATATATTAAATGATCAGCCGGGGCGTGTAATTTTTATGCCTCAGGGTAAGAATTATCCTAAATGACTATTACGCCAAGACACAGAACTATACACTAGATATAGACCAGGTTGACAGAAATATAGCCTGAAATGAGTGCTTTTATGTTATCTAGATTCTATAACATTGTTCCATATCCATGGTAGCTATGAAATTCACACTCGGCACCAATGGATCAATTTAAATTGGTTGTGAGTTGTTCACAATTCATCTAGATATTCCATCTCTCTATATATGGTACTATATGCAGTCCACACTCAGTCAATTAAGTCAATTATGGATTAATAAATCAAAGAGAGCTGGCCGATATAATCTAAGCAAGTACTTCGAGTCCGGTCTTTCCTACTATGTAGTTTGTGGGTCAACCATAAGATGCCACAGATAGCAACACAGACTAAAGTCAACAACATGCCAGGGGAAACCGAACGTATTAGAAGATGAAACCATTCGATTGAACCTTCGACTGACTTTTCGACTACCTCCACAATTATTGGAGTACCCCAACACCTCCAACAACAAGCTTCACAAGACCGCGCCAAAGTGGAACCGTTCGCAGTATGTGGAACCAATGAGAGTGGAGTAAACCGTACCCCAATAGCATCGATTGATGAGGGCTACAGGCCAGAACGGTTTGAGGCAGGGTCATACGAATCAAATATGTTCATCCTTTCTTGAACACGAGCATCCAAGGATATCTATCAGAAAAGAAAATGGCGGATTCCTATGTCAAGGTATCACTCCTACCCAGCGGATTCCTCACCTTGCCGGAGCACTTTTTCTGCGCCGATCAAGATGACAAGAGCGTGCGCAACACAGTGCCGTCCATGTCGTTTCTCCTACACCATCCTCGAACCGGATCCAATATTGTCTTTGATCTTGGACTGAGGCGGAACCTAGATGACTATCCTCGCAACATCCACCCGCACCTGCGCACCCGCCAACCCATCCACACGGCGCCAGATGCCGGAGAATCGCTGAAGAAAGGTGGCTTGAAACCAAGCAATATCGATATTGTTATTCTCAGCCATGTGCACTATGACCACGTCGGTAACCCGCGGGATTTTACACGGGCCACGTTCATTGTGGGATACGGGACGCGGAATCTCCTCGAGCACGGCATGAAGTATCACTCTGCAGCGCACTTTGAAAAGGATCTTCTGCCGCCTGAACGAACAATCGAACTACCAATCCAGGCCAAGCTGCCCAATTACCAACCCAAAGTCGCTCCGCAGGCAGCGTCCAGCCCGTCCACCATTACTCTGGATGGATTGGTGCCGGGGGTATCACACTGCTGGAAGCCGCTGCCGCCGTTTGACAATGCAATTGATCTGTTTGGTGACGCATCAATCTTTATTGTCGACAGCCCAGGCCATTTGGTTGGGCATTTAAATGTGTTTGCTCGGGTTTCGGAGGACAGGTGGGTGTATCTAGCTGGTGATGCGTGCCATCATTCACGCATTCTAGACGGGATGACGGATATCGCTACATGGGAAGAGAATGGGATGGTTGTATGTATTCATGCAGACAAAGAGCTGGCCGTTGATACGGTCGCAAAGATTAGAAGGTTGAGGAAGGAAGGCTTTCGCGGCGCCAGTGTGGAAGTTGTGCTTAGCCACGATGCAAAATGGTATAAGGAGTATCAGAAGAGTATCTTCCCCGCCAAGTTGTAGAAATAAATTTACACATATTTCAGTTACTTATTCCAGCAGTATCTCTGTATATACTCCGTACATATGTAGTAGCATAAAGCCTCTCAACAGTAGCTACGACAAATACATCAATTGATAAACATATTATTCGACATGCTCAAATGTTTCGCCCTTGGCCTCTTCAGTCAAAGGTCCAACTATGTTTTCCCCCTTTTCATCGTGAATATATGGCTTTTTAAAGGACACCCTGACCACATCAAAAGGCCCCGTGGCCTCTGAAAAGATCTCATCAATCTCCTCCAAACTGCGACGAGCTGTTTCTGGATAGAATGAATAAACGCACAGCCCAATTGCGACATTGAGCGCCGTAAAAATGAGATAGGCGTGCCACTGAATATTAGCCAGCATGACAGGAGTCACCATAACGACGAGAAAGTTGAACGACCATGTCGTTGCTACCACAACGCTGTTGGCCGCATACCGAATCTCGGAGGGCACAATCTCAGCAGGGTATAGCCAGACAATAGCCAACCAGCCGATGGCAAAGGATGCCTGGATGGTGAAGATAAACGCAGCGGCGACGGCAGCTATTTTGACATTGTATGAATACCGCGTCGTCCCAGCCACAACGCCCATACCTATGGCCATGCCCGCCGACCCAATAATCATCAGCTTGCGCCGGCCAATGCGTTCAACCACAGATGTCGAAATAAAGCCGCTGGCAAAATAGCCAATGCCATTAACGGTCGCCGAAACAATGCGAGTCTGTGACGCGCTGAGTCCGAGGTTTTCCTGGTAAATCTTAGGCGCGTAGTAGATGACCAGATTGATGCCGCAGATCTGGTGGAAGATCGCGTGGCCAATAGCTAGGATCATGCGGTGGTGATACTTGTACTTGACTGCGTAGGCATTCTCATCTTTACGGGCCCCGAAAATGAGTTTCCAACCAGAACCCTCCTGATTTGCAGAAGTGACAACACCCGAGCAGGCTTCTGCGAAATTGGCTTCGCGCGCCTCTGGCCCCAAATCACTATCAAGAGCGTCCATCATGCGTTTCGCCTCCTCGTACCGGCCCATTCGGATGAGCCATCGAGGGGATTCGGGCAGATCAAGAACGACGAGGCACACGATTAGAGCGGGGAGCACTTGGAAACCGAGGGGGAAGCGCCATGATAGATCGCCGGTTGTGAATTGGAAGGCAAAGTTGATCCAATATGATAGACAGACACCGCCGGTGATCATGGCGCCCTCGATCAGCAGATATTTGCCTCGATTGTGAGAACGCGAGCTTTCGGCTTGCCATACGGGGCTGTAACTTATTTGTTAGTATCAAGACATATATGCATGGCATATATCATACTACTGGGGAGACGATTGGTCGGGTGGAGGTTGGATGTCCTTACATGGTGACGGTGTTGAAGCCAATTCCGATTCCAGTAATAACGCGAGCAGCAACAAGCTGTGCCAGACCAAATGACGCACACTGCAGGACTGCTCCAATGAGCAGGATGAAATGGCCAAGCCAGACCATGCGAAGCCGACCAATTTTGTCGCCAATGAGAAAGGCCAGGACGGCACCGAACGCGCCACCGACTTCGTATATAGCTACAGCGAGTCCTACACCGGTCTATAGGTTAGTAACCTTCTTTTTTTCTTTTTCTCTCCCTTTCTTTTGGAGAGTTTCTACCTTGGACAGTTGCATTCCTGCTTTTTTGGGCGCCGGTTGTAGTAGTCGTGTCAATTTCCGGGAACATATTGTAAAATGATGGTAGCTGTAGTCGGCCAATAGTCAGTCGACCTTGATTTTGCTACATAGGTAGCTTCAATGACTTTACCGTCAACAATCCACTAGTCACACCCTGGTCTTAATATGAATAGGGTTAGTTATGGGTCTTTCCAGCTATGCAGGGATATTTTACCATATCCAAACAAGAGGAATGCTATGCTCGCCGTGGACACCATCAAGGCTCTGAGGCGCCGCCCTGAGAGGGAAAAAAAACTGCTGGAAAGTAGCATTGGAGTGGTTGTGGAATAGAAACGGAGAAAAGGAATAGATACACAAAGGACATGTGTAGTTGCCAGTGTGGGATACTTTTGAATTATGATCACTACAATGTAATAAATAATACTTATTTTAATAGATGACCTCTGATAATAAAATTTTCTACTAGTCCAATCTGACAGCTATTATAGTGACTATTTGGGATATTGAATTGGATATAGAGAGTGGTAAGAGACATCTCCGTGTCTGTTCTATTCAGTACTAGTTCTACGTTGTGTATAGAGGAAACATATCTCCACACGAATAAAACATGCTCCAACCCCAGTGGCAGAATATGGAACCCCGCAAAAGGATGCTAGCAATAATACCTCCATGGCTGGAATTCAGTGTTGGAGGTTTGGATGGATGTTGGGGTAGGCTGACATACTTTGGAGTGTCCCGGTTCGTACGGAACAATAAGCTAACCCTCCTGACGGCTAAATATTTATGAATGTCATTTCTACGTTTGTTCACTGTTTTAATATCTAGGGCACCTGAATACAGTAGAATGCAGCTCAAAAACCAGTCACTGATCCAGCCAGACTCGGCATTCATCAACGGAAAATGGTATCGCCCCGAGAGTGACCAATACTTTGATGTTATCAGTAGGTCTAGCAGCATCGATTAAGTCTAAATATAAAAAATACGTTTTTCACCTGAAAACTAATACTGCAAACAAGACCCCGCAACCTCACAGCCCGTGGCCAAGGTCCCCGACCTCGACGAGAAACAATGTACAGAGGCGGTTGACGCTGCCGTCAAAGCAGCAGTACAATTGAAAAACATGACCGGGAAACAAAGGGCAGAAATACTACGGCGCTGGTTCAACCTGCTGCATGAATCCAGAGATGACCTTGCGACAATCATCACGGCAGAAAACGGAAAGCCCTTGGCAGAAGCACGGGGCGAGGTTGTTTATGCATCTGATTTCGTAGACTGGTTTGCTGGCGAGGCCACCCGGATAGACGGGACGGTATAGTTTATCTCTCTTCTTTTCATCTGACCTGCCTGATCCATGGTGGTAGGTACATCAAGCGAGTGCTTCCGCCAATCGCATCATCACGATCAAGCAACCCGTCGGGGTTGTTGGAATCATCACACCATGGAACTTCCCAGCCGCAATGATTACGCGCAAAGTCGGTGCGGCCATTGCAGCTGGCTGTCCGTGTGTGGTCAAGCCCGCGGCCGAGACGCCTCTGACTGCACTGGCTCTTGCTCATCTCGCATACCAAGCAGGCCTTCCAGCAGGTGCACTAAGCATCGTCACTACGCTCGTGCACACGGCCAGCGTAGGCAAGGTTCTCACGCAGCATCCATCAATCCGCAAATTCTCCTTCACGGGGTCGACCGCAGTCGGGAAGTTGCTGGCGGCACAATGTACGACGACGATGAAGAAAGTCAATCTCGAACTCGGTGGCAATGCTCCTTTTATTGTATTCGACGATGCCGACGTTTCCAAGGCAGTCGATGGCATTGTTGCCAGTAAGTTTCGTTTGTCCGGACAGACGTGTGTCTGTGTCAATCGGCTCTATGTTCAGTCCGGTGTTCATGATCGAATTGTCGAAGCGTTGATTGCTCGAGTCAATCAATTCCGTCTGGGGCCAGGGGATGATCCCAAAACGACGCTTGGCCCGCTAATTTCGAAAAAAGCGGCAGAAAAAGTTGCTGCTCATACAGAAGATGCTGTTAAGCGTGGCGGCCATGTTTTGACTGGTGGTGAAGTCGCCAGCGATCTCGGAGAAGCCTTCTTCCAGCCAACCATTGTAACAAATGTTGCGCCAGATGCCTTGTGTGCCAGAAGCGAGACATTCGGGCCTTTCCTTCCCATTCTCCGCTTTGGAACAGAAGACGAAGTAGTCCAGATGGCGAATTCAACCGAGGTCGGACTGGCGGGGTATTTTTTCACAGAAAATATATCTCGAGCCTGGCGAGTGGCAGAGGCGCTTGAGGTGGGGATGGTCGGGGTGAATACTGGTCTGATCAGTGACGTTGCTTCGCCCTTTGGTGGCGTAAAGGAAAGCGGCCAGGGCCGAGAGGTATGCTTCTTTTCAGTGTCTCCGGGATGAATGTTCTCTAATACTTGTCCTTGCTCTTGTTAGGGATCGAGAATAGGTATCGATGAGTACTTGGAGGTAGGTCTTCCTTTTTTTTACATTGATTCCTTACTGAGACCCTACCCAGGTAAAAAGCATGACCTTTGCAGTGAATAATTAGATGCCTACAAGGGAATCTGGTTGCAAATTATATATAACATATAAATTTGATTTTGGAAAAATTATGAATTTCCCTGGCAGATTTTAGAGTTACGGCATTAAGTTTAGGTTTTGACCTTATCTATCGATCACATTAATATCAGGCCGAATAACAGCTTTATGCTTAGGCCGCTGTCTACAAAGTCACTTCTAGTACCGCATCACTTTTACGTAGGTGGCAGAATCAACGGAATATTTAATCTTATGTATATCGACCACCACGTCAATTGATACTCTGTATGTAATCATTGATATCTCGGGCGGATGTAACCCCAGATCCCACCCTCCTCACTACCGCCCCGATCGGCCAATAGTAAGTGAACAAACGCGGAAATCTTAATAATAAGTACTACTATTATGATAATACGTTTATTATAATGTTAGCAGTGCAGGTAGCATTGGATCGGGATAATAAGATTTGAGGATTGGCATGGTGACACTGGTTATCGTATCTGTGCGGGGAAGATAAACCTAGATTAATGAAGGAGATAATAAAATGAAATAGTGGAAGTTATTGCGTTGATTGTTGAGTGTTGGGTGTTTCGCGGACAGTAAATTGTTTGAGGAAACGAAACTTCTGTCAAACATGAAAAAAGCCATGGTCATCATACAAGCACAATGTGGCCCCCACCCCCGGCTGTGCCTGGCGATAGGACCACGCCTATACTTAGCATGACTGGCCTAACACTGCTAAGTCAGTGCGCTAGTCGATCGGCACCCTTTAGGCTTTTAGTGCGTTCTAGTGTTGGCACCGCACCTTCTCTCTACTACCACCGCCATGGTCAGAAGAGATGCCGGCGTCAATGTTACATTCGAATAATGGATCTCCAGCCTCCGCTTGTCCAGTGTCGAGTCGCGCCCGCTAAGGCGCGTGGCAGGCATGTACGCATACGTTGGTTGTTGAATGCGCCGTTCCCTTGCTTCAACCGCTTATTTGTTGTTTGTTTAAATGCAGCAGGTCGCGCGTCGATCTTTCCCATCCTTCGGCTTGAGCATCCACACCTGGTGACTTGATAACTGTCATCCTCTTTCTCTCCTTCTTCTTCATCCATTCATTCTCTTATTCGTTCCTTACTTTATTTTATTGCATTGTTTACCATGCGCCTGAACAGCCTGGTTGCTGCGGCCTGGCTCGCCTCGACGGCCGCTGCTGTCGCCGTCAACCCTCTCCCTGCGCCGCGCTCGATCACCTGGGGCAGCTCAGGCCCGATTTCCGTGCCAGACGTGCTCGTCCCCAACCTGCCCAACAACCAAATCGTCGTCGAGGGCTGGTACCGCGCCTGGACCAAGATCGTCGAGCTGCGATGGGTGCCTCAGGCCACAGAGGCCCCGATCGCGAGCTACCCGCCGTTCCCTACAGCTTCTCCCGCTCCCTCTTCTTCAGCTGTTCCCTCTGCTTCCAAGGCGAAGCGCCGCCAGAGCCACATCGATACCGTCTCTGTCAAGGTCGCTGATCTTACTGCTGACTTGCAGGAGGATGTCGACGAGTCGTACACCATTGATATCAAGGAATCCTCCTCCACCATCCAGATCTCTGCTCAGACCATCTGGGGTGCGCTCCACGCCTTCACCACCCTGCAGCAGATCATCATCTCCAATGGCCATGGTCTGATTATCGAGCAGCCCGTCCACATCGAGGATTCTCCAATCTACGCCTGGCGTGGTATCATGCTGGATACCGGCCGTAACTTTATCTCCGTCCCCAAGATCAAGGAACAGATCGACGGCTTGGCGCTAGCCAAGCTGAACGTCTTGCACTGGCATTTGGATGACACGCAGTCGTGGCCCGTCGAGATGAACGTTTTCCCCGAGATGACCAAGGATGCATACTCCCCATGGCAGAGATTCTCGCACAACGACATCAAAGGTGTGGTCGCATATGCGCGTGCCCGCGGTGTTCGTGTTCTGCCTGAGGTCGATATGCCCGGCCACTCTGCCTCGGGCTGGCAGCAGGTTGACCCCAGCATTGTTGCTTGCGGCAACTCCTGGTGGTCCAACGATGTCTGGGCGGCCCACACTGCTGTCGAGCCTAACCCTGGCCAGCTGGATATCATCAACAACAAGACCTACGGTGTCGTCGAGAAGGTCTACAACGAACTGTCCACCCTTTTCACCGACAACTACTTCCACGTCGGCTCTGACGAGCTGCAGCCAAACTGCTACAACTTCAGCTCCTACGTGACTAACTGGTTCGCCCAAGACTCCAGCCGTACATACAACGACCTTGTCCAATACTGGGTTGACCACGCCTTCCCCATCTTCAAGAAGATCAAGAACCGCAAGCTCGTCGTCTGGGAGGACATCATCCTGAACGACCCCCACGCGCCAAACGTGCCCACCAAAGACCTGCTCGTCCAGTCCTGGAACAACGGCCTCACCAACATTGCCAACCTCACCGCGCGCGGCTACGACGTCATCGTCTCCTCCTCCGACTTCTTGTACCTCGACTGCGGCTTCGGCGGTTTCGTCACCAACGATCCCCGTTACGACGTGATGGTAAACCCGGACGCCGACAACGCCAACTTCAACTACGGCGGAAATGGCGGCAGCTGGTGCGCACCATACAAGACGTGGCAGCGCATCTACGACTACGACTTCACCGCCAACCTGACCGACGCCCAGGCCAAACACGTCAAGGGCTCCATCGCACCTCTATGGTCCGAGCAGGTCGACGACACCGTCGTGTCCAGCAAGGTCTGGCCCCGTGCCGCGGCTCTCGCCGAGCTGACCTGGTCGGGCAACAAGGACCCCAAGACCGGCTTGAAGCGCACGACCACTCTGACCCAGCGTCTCCTCAATTTCCGTGAGTATCTGGTTGCCAACGGTATCGGCGCGACTCCTCTCGTGCCCAGGTACTGCTTGAACCACCCGCACGCCTGCGACTTGTACTACGACCAGACTGCGATTCATTAACATGGTTAACTAACTTGAGTTTATGCTCTATACATTATGATTCTTCACTGTGTAAATAGATTTGACAATACGAATTGGTTCACACAACTATATCCGTTAAATTTAAAATTAACATTAAACGTATTAATTGAGTATCGAATTACGTCACCCACTATCAATTGATCAATTAATCATTGATTAAAGTAAATGTTTCTTACCTGTAATCACACCGCCGGTACATGTACGTATCAGCAATATATCAATTGGTGCATTAAGCAATACGTGCTCTGAATGACAGCCAATTCTCCAGTCCATGTACAAATAAATGACTTAACAACAAGGGCTTGATCATAGCTACATATGTTATGTACTTGACGGTTATACATCAACCCTAATCTCATATCAATTTGTCTACATCAATTGACATCTGGAGAGTCTTGCTAACATAACGCATACACACCGACGCTTGCATAGATACATGTATCGGAGAAGCAAGGGTGCCGAATAAAGAGCATCTCTCGCTTATGATTGATATTGATACTCGGTGCAATGTTCTGTATTACATATGTAATCTAGGAGACGACTAGATCATCGGCTGAGCAACGGCCATCGGGGGTGTACGATGACTGATTGTTCCGGAATCAAGAGATTGACTAAACCAGAGAACTAACTATCTGACCTTTGAGGAAGGTTCCTTCTACAAACGAAGCGGTGTAGGCAGTACGATGTCCTAGTCTAATTTCAACCAAACCTGAGTCGTATGACGGGATACCATCCTACAGAGTATATACGCTTGACCCTACGGAGTATTGATATACACGAGTATATACACTTGAGCAGCGAAGATTACACCAAGTCAGGGGATGAACAGCGTATGCCGTTCGGCATGCCGGGTTCTTCAATGCTAAATCCTGCATAGGTAGGCGAGGTACGGACATAAAAAAATATATGTATGAATCATAGCATTTTATATAGCCTACCCGCGCTTAGAGCCAATTAAACTATCTGTCTCGCTTCTCTCCTCATATACAGGACCAGAAGGACCCCAGATAACAACAGCGCCAGGGCTTCTTTTCCGGCGTCGACTACTCGCAAAGAAACAGCGAGTCATCCAGAAGTTCGCACGCCACTCCACAAAATCCTTGCGCCCAGAGCAACACCAGCAAATGGCAACGACAACCACATACACGGCGACCAACGGCAACACCACGGTCGTCAAAGACGGCATAATAACATAAAGCACAAGCATCAAACAAACACTCAGCACTGGCGCAAGGTAAACGAGCAGAAACGACCGCGTCGGATACGTCTTTGACGGCAACTCGCCCTTGACATCCGACACCACAATCCCCGAAATCCCCGACCGTGCAGACTGCGTGACTTGCAGGTCCGAGAATGACGCGATGACGCCAAACTCGCGGTCCGATGGGCGCGGGTCGATCAGGTTGACGTCGTCGCCGTTGTCGAGGGTCGACGCTTTCCAGATCTCGACGCGTTTGCCGTCGCGCGCAACGACGCGGATTTGGATGGCGTATGTGAAGCCGTGCATCTGGTGATGGAATAGTGCCATATCGGCCCATCGGAACCAGGGCATGTTGATTACATGGTTCTCATCGCCGGCGTTGATGTGGGCGTTGAGGACTTCGCTGACATATAATTCATTGTTGCGGGTGAAGAGGTCCGCATCATCGTCATCGTTCTTTTGCGTGGATTTCAGAATTGCATCGGTCAGATTCAGATGCACATGTTCGCCAATGTCCAGCGAGACCGAGTCGTGTTGCACATCAGATACCAAGCGCCAATCGATGATTAAGCCTGAGCAGTCATCGGATGGGTGCGGAACACGGCCACTCGCGCCTGGACTGGCATATGAAGGATGCCACTTGTGCACAGTGTGGAGAGTTTGGCCTGCAGTGAGAATATTTTGAATATAGTGATCGCGCAAGTTGGTTGGGGCTGGCGATAGCGACGGAAGAAAGATCCAGAGGCCAACCAGGGCGATCCAGAACAGAAGGAAAGATTTTATAAGCCGTAAAAGAGTGAATCTAGGCATTTATTTATTTTATCTTTTTATAGAGGGTTGGTTATATTGACCGGTTAAAGTCGGCATCGCATCGAACGAGTGGCTGGTTGAAGTTATTTTGTGTAAAGTTGGAGCCTGAGTTCAACATGAAAAGTTGCCTTTTGCTGCGCCTCCGAGGCTGCATTCAGGGGCCAGCCAATCACAGCCGCTGTACTATTTCCGACCTTGGCACGTCTCAAAAATAATGAAAGCGCCTATCTTTTTACTATAATATGATGGTATACTTATTGGTTAATAGAAAACTGACCACCTCTGTACATATATATATTTGTCAATGGTCAAGAGATGATCAATTAATATGATGGAAAAATAATATTGGAGTGTGTTTAGACTTATCCGGTAGAATCAAAGCAGAGACGACAAGAGGGTTATAGGTGCTAGGTATGAGTCCGCCAATTCAATTGCATAAGCCAAAAATTTGAAAAATTAACTAAAATATACAGATTATGCCAACATACAAAGAAATTGTGTAATGCATTAATGGTATTTCGAGTAAAGACAATAGTCAACTATTGTGGTTGTGTTACGCAAGTCGAGATGGATCTAGCCTATCATACTCGGGAACCAAAGACATGCATATCAAGCATGCATGATAGTTCGGCGATGTAACTGTCGTCACCATATATCCAATTTTTTCTCTATACAACTGGATTTTCAATTTTGAGTTCTTCATTTGTGATTTGAGATAAATGGTCTTGCAGAGTGGGATTGGTCGTCGTCACTGTCAATTGTCTATACAGTCGGACCAAGCCTAGGTCACTCGTAATGAATCCCGTATCCTCTACTAGTGTGGGGCGAAACCTACGCCGGGTCATACTCGACGAAATAAAGTCAAATACTATAAAACGCATTCTTCCAGGCTGTTGAAATTGAAAACCAGACCGGGGTAGTGCTGAATATAACCTGGATTTGTTAGAACACAATATAGGACGTAAATCAAAGACATGTTTGCAGCCATTAGCTAGTGTTTATCAATAGTATATTCATAGAATACTCCGTATGGCATACCAATTTAGATCTGGTGGCTTGTGGCTGGTAATTAATGTAATACATGTTTCACTTAAGTAGGGCTAGGTCTGACAGAGTTAGGTCTAGAGGGTTGGCAGCGACTAGTTCAGGCTGAGAGGCTGTTTTGACATGTCCATTTTCTCATGTCATCGATTTAGTCCGAGTACGTGGGCGAGTTCTTCTAATTAATTCGATATTTGAGAATAGCAAATCCCGAGAGTCAAACCTAGATATATATATATATGTATATATCCATATACTATACAGATAATCTACATGCTTTTTCCTTAACTTTGTTGTTCAGCTGACAGCAACTCCGCGTAAAGTTAGTTGAACCAGCTACAGTAAGGATAAAAGTCACATATACCATAGTATCATGTTATTGGTTTCTATTTTTTATCTACTCAAAGTGTTGAATCCTCACCGGTACCGCGCATTTCGTACAACTAACAAACCTACTCGCCCAAAAAGCAATTTATACTAGTATATACTCTACGATAGGCTAGAGTTCCTATGGAAACGCAGGCCAAGCAAAACGGTCGAGGCTAAAAAGACGAGATGCAGTTGGGCGCGGATCAAGGGTGGATCGCATCGCACTATGACGGTGTGTGGCCCGGTTCATTGGGCCGATAACGTGCTTGCCAACACACATGCGGTATATGCATATGCATGTCTTGGATAAGACTTTTATTTTACTACTGCTTTCTTTGTTGATTTTCTCTTCGTTATAGAATAAAATGTTACGAATAAAATGTTACTGTGGGAGCCTTGAGTCGAAGCTGGTTCCGATGTAAACGACTGTCCACTGTCTTACTTCCAGGCTGATGGGTATGAGAGCAGACTGGTTGCGCCACAGTCAACCTGGTATGATCCTAAGACATGTACGTATGGCACTACTAAATCAAGTATGAACCTGAACATCCGCGAAGTGGGGTTCCATCTGACACCGGGTCAACGAGATATAAGCCCGCTAACTAGGACAACTTCAATTGGTTCTCTCACGGGTTTCCCTCTCGGTGGCAGGCAGGCTTTACGAGACTAGTTTAGTAAACTGTCATATAGTATGCCAAATACGGAACTATGAACTTGGTAGGAAGACCGCGGTAATACGTGCCTGCTTCCCGGTAATGCCGTAGCGCCCTATGGTGTTCACTTGTGGATGTATTATATGATATCATCAATCACAGCTAAGCACCAGCCCCTCCCAAGGCGGTGTCCAGAACGGACAGCAGGATGACGAGAGGACCTAGCGTCCAGGCAGAAGACAAACTCGGATAATTCGAGAACGAGGCTCAGCATCGCGTACACCTCCCAGTTGCGGCGTGTCGAATATTTATCTAAGAAGGTTGCCACAGTGGTTTCCAAGAATAACACTATAAACACATAACATCAGCCACAGAACCATGGATATACAAGATGAATGCAGCAGGATCCCACTGCCGAGAGAGAAAAAGAGAAAAAAGTTTCTTGAAGCGATCAGCCAATACTAAGTAGCCCACCAGGCAGCCAATAGCCGCCAAGATTCCAGCTGGATCGCTGGAACTGAGACAATCTTCCCCTAGTACGGCATAGCGTCCGTGAGATTTTATCGATTCTCGATTCTATTTTTAAAGTGTCGAAATCTCATTTTCCACTGCGAAGAAAGCTTACAATTGCGTAAATTACTTGCTGAAAGATGTCTGTGAGTGAAGAGAGCTGAGCTGAAGATATAGGAACCCGTAATACAAGACGAGAACTCGGGATGGCGCCTGTGCGCCAACGGCTAACGTGGTGAAGCCATTTAAGTCTTATCCAAATATAGACTAGGTTTTTGAATAAGTGGGTCCCACCACGTCTTACCCATACTAGCCTCAGCCCACTCATCACTATTCAGAATCAACCCGAGTGTGTTGAGAATGTACCTTGCGATTCGACGCAGCTATAAGCCTCGATGAGCACTAATCACCAGTTCGTTCCCACATCTAGCCACCGGCCTTTCCTCTGATGCGGAACCCGTCCATTCGGCTTTTGCCTTCCGATACACTGTGGATGCCACTGTGCATGCCGTAGTATTGGTTCATGCACTGGCTCGAACAGGATCACGCCTTGCCTCTGCCACGATCTTGTAATACAATGAATACTGTATCCGAGAGTTTGACGTGGCGGGGAGAACGGCGGTGGAGGGTTGATTATAAAAGGCGTCGTCTGGTCCTGTGACCGTTCTGTTTCCTTTATAAGCACATACATTCGTTCACAGCTGATATTTGATATACTCTCACTCGCTACAGGAGTAGTCAATATTCTGCCTTGATACATCCTCATCAGTTCTGATACTACTTGACGGACGAAAAGAAAGAGCACAAAACAGGAAGGAAGAAAAGAAAGATACAACATGCACTCTATCAACCTCCTCGCTGGAGCCATCCTCATCGGCTCCTCTCTGGCATTCCCCGGAAACTGGCCAGACCATCACAAGCCTCATCCCACTGGCGGACTCACCACTACTTCTTTCCCTCCTCCCCCGTTGTCTACTGGGAACGTTCCACCTCCGCCGCCTCCTCCCCCAGCAACTACCCTAACATCCACTTATACTTCCATCTCTACTGCCACTGGCACTGGCCGTGAAGTCACCTATACCAACACTATTACCAAAACAATCTTCATCCCAACCTCGACGTCGGTCGGTACCCATGGTGCTTCCACTGTGTACTCGACGTGGTTGACTTCTACAACCGCCGTTTCTGCTTCAACCTGGACTACCATTATTCCAGTGACAACTGTTCCTATTCCAGTGACAACTGTGCCGGTTATTGTCCACACCTCGGCCTGTCCACTTCCAGTTACTGAAACAGAGACCGTCACTGTGACTGTGACTGCTACTGTGGGACTAACATCTGCTGGAGGTGGTGGTAACGGTGGTTCGGGAGGCGAGACTACTATCACCAAGACGAGTACTGTAGGACATGTTTTCACTAGTACCGGTTCTATAGGCGAGTCCACTACAACCATCCTCGTACCTCCCCCTCCCCCTCCACCAGCAACGTCAACTATTACGGGAACTGCTACCAAGACGGCTACCGAGACCGACGTCACCACAGCAACCTGTACAGAATCCGTTACCACATGGACTTCTACCTCAACTGGAACAGGAACCGGGCCAGCTGGGACAGGCGCTCCTGGATGGGGGTCCAAGAAGTGGTCTCTTGAGAGAAAGCCTCTGGCGTTTGCTCGCCGAGCCTAAACATAGTTTTCTAGGCTTCTTTTTGATATTGAAATTATTGGGATTACGACAGGAAAATGTTTATTACTAATGATCATATCTTGATGAAACGATAGCGATGATATGATGTACACTCCTTCAAGCATGAGCATGGCGTTTTGGATATATGATTTACCTTTCGTTCCTTAATTGACAATAGATTAGAAATGATAAGTCTTAATTTTCGCGTCTTGAACTGAGAATATTGTTACGCTTTGTAGCGGCCAGGAATCCTCTGTACGTTTGAATGATATAAATGTGTGAAAAATGTGTGTCTCAATTCAGGAAGTTGGACATTGATCATTATATTTGGTATCGAGATTATCGAAACATGCGTCCCCTAGCGGAAATCGTTTGTACCCATCAAATTCTCTCTCTTCCTGCCTTGTTTTCAATATCTCGTGCAATCGTCAAGAAACACGCTCGATTGTGCCCGTTGATCCAGACCATCCGAAAGAAAATTTCTCTGGACAGAACAAATTATTGGATTTCGAATCTGATTGTCCATGGCGATGCCCGTATGATTTGAATTCAAGTTAAAAAGAAAGAAAAAAAAGTTGTCTAAAACAAAACTCCCATTCCCGATCATGCGACACGACCAGCTAAAAAAAAAATCGAACTTGGATGTTGGTGCAAAAATTTCAGCGTTATAAGAACATTTTCGACCTCCCATTTCGTCTCCATCATTTCCAATAGTTTTTTCCCTTCGTGTTGGATTTTTTGAGTTTCTTCTTTTTTTGATGTCTGGTTTAATGCATTTATCGCAGACGGCGGGCTTCACGCTCGGATTCGAGGAGGCAGAGGATGTCGTCTTCACGGACTGTAGAGAAATTTTCAATTAGCCTCAATTCCCTGCCCGTTTGTCTCTGATATTGATTGTTGTTTGTATATGCACATACCAGGTCCCTTGACGTTACGGATAATCGAACGAGTCTGGTCATCCATGAATTCGACACGGACTTGAGTGACACCACCGCGAGAACCTATTCAACAAAATCGTTAGACAACCTTTTCTTCAATTCCCTGTCCCTTCTTCCTTTTCGAGGTTTAAAGGAGGTCTTCGCGTACCAGTTCGGCCCAAAACGCGGGTCACCTTGACCAACTTGACGGGAACTTTGGCAGAATCCATTTTTGTTCTTCGAAACTTGAAGATGCGAAGTGTCTTGGCTGAATTCTTTTTGGACGGGGAGCGTGGTTGCGAGGGAAGACTTGCAGAGGCTACGGAACGGGTTTTGGTGGGTTTAGCGGACGGGCTCGCCGTATCAGTGCGATTAGGGTTTTGGCATGCCGGAACCCTGGTGACCCACTCCCAGATGGCAGGACCAATCAGAGAACAGGGTTATGGATTGCTTCAATAGTGATGTGTATTGAATAAGTGTTATTTGTATATATTAGCTAGTGAAAGGGTAAATGGTTATTATGACTGGATTGTAACAACCGGTCAAAAGTAGAGGCTATCAGCTCATCCAATCCCAGTACAACAACCCGCGTGCTGCCGAGCACTTCGTCCGCCAAATCCAGCGCCAACGGCCACACGGTTCGCGTGATTTGCATCATTAACCACATCCTGATCCGACTTCGTGATGGACTGGCACGAGCGGCGATGACTAGACACCAGATAAGGGCGCCAGGAAGCGGACCCCATAGTGATTGGAGCTCGCTTTGGTTTAGTAATCGCTCAAACTGGTCGAGGAGAGATGACGTATCGGTAGTGGCTGAGGATGGGGAGAGTGTGAAGAGGAGAGCGGTGTGGCGGATGACGTTGATGATTGGGGTGGTGAAAGTATCGAAGTTAGAAGCAGGAGAAGAGGATGGGGAGAAGAAGAGGATGGTGGTGTACAAAGACAGCCATTGCTTTTCGTAGCGCTTTCTCTGTTCTTCCCGGGTAGTACCGTTCTCATCATCTTGCAACCTGGTGGCTCGAATAGGTAAAGTGACGAGCTCATAAAAGGACGTGAGAAGTCGACACATGTCTGTGCCAAGTACGGCGATGTGCGACTGGTCAGCTGGTATGCAGTCGAATGTAAACATTCGCAGATCAACTGGTGCATTGATCCATCGCATGTCATGGATACGCTGAATCCGTTGATTATGGGGTGCAGGGTCGTCGAATATGGAAGGGCATCGTGTCGTGTCAACAAAGCCCGGTAGGATTTTTTGTAGCTCGCGCGTACTTGGTAAGTGTTAGCTTTGCCTATCCAACACACGAAAAGAAGTAAAGAGGAATGGTGGAGTAGTGAATAATGAAGATGAGAACAAACATAAGGATTCCGTTTTTAAGATGCCCTTCGAACCCTAATTCATCGATCCCACCTCTCCGCTCGATCATGACTTGAATTCCTTTCTTATGCAAATGATACGCCTCAGCGTTATCCGTTACCATCTTGTAAACATTCATTAGCAAAGAGGAACACAAAACAAGAAAAATTGTTATAGAATTTAAAATGACCAACCTCAAATGACAAAAAACTAATCAATGACGCAATATTCGCATCGCTGAGAGCTTCCTCTTCCCGATGCAGGCTTTCCGTCAGAAGTCTCATCGAGATCTGGCGCTGCCAGAGCGTCACCGTGCTGACCGATTCGCCGGAGCGGGTTTGCTGTAGGTCGTCGTAGAGAGTCGCATTAAGCACTTTGACGGACATCATGGGTACGTGCAGTACAGAGGCTGGGATGACGACACGGAAGAAGGGGTGGTTATGGTGAGAGACTGTTAGATGTTGATATACGACTATATCGTAATTCATTGTTAGCATATTTCAAGTACATCCTTTCATACATCCTTTATCGATGGTATATGTGGGCTTGCTAATTTAGAAACTTATAAGACCCTAGCAGGCCATTTAGGCCGATTAAATTGTTCAAACTTACATTGCTGCATCCTCTCACAAACCTTTTGACTAATAAACACTCTCGTCGGATCGATTCTCAACAATGCGAGTTCTTGTACCATAGCTGTTGATTCCGGGGCATCATGATGATTGGATTCTACCACCCTCTCCCCGACGGATGTCACTAATCCATGGTATTCGTTGCCAGAAGTAGTATTATGCCTCACAGGAATCATCGGATCAACCGGGAACTCTACATGCTGATGATTTTTACGCTGAATATTGGAATTTGATATCCGTTTCGCAATCTGTTGATAGTGATCTGTCTGTTGTTTATGCTGCTGATGAAACTTGCGTGCGACATGCGATCGGACTTTGCTTAATCGTAGACCCTTTCCGATGGACGGAGGGCCGGTTGTTATGATGAATGGATCCGACATATCTTAACTTTATAATAGAAATATTCAACTTGATTATGTCGGTTACGTAATTATGAGGTTATGTATCGCAGGTTGATGTTGAGTTAACGTTGATGTTGTTGAGATGCGAATCGTATTAGGTCGAGGGCTCCGTGTTGGCTGCCCATCCTTTATTGGACTTTAGAGCCAACAGCTAACTAGCGGAAGATCCAACGTTTACTTTATTTCCCGATAAGTTTGGTTAAGCCAAAAAAAATGTGCATAAGTAATTTAATTTATGTTTTTTTTATAGGCTGTTTTATTTGGAACAACATCGTATTGATCCTGTTCTCTGAGAGCAAACGTAACACCTAACGTCCCTGAAAACACTGCTTTGGCCCCCAACACCAACAGCAACGCCAGTTGCAGCTTGGCCCCAAGGCATTGTGACAACCGTGAACTTGGGATGTGGCAGGCACTGTTTTATTTGCGCGGGAGTTTAGAATACATTGATATTGATATGGCCGTCTCTTATGTTGATAATTTGTTTGTTTAATCAAGGGTTACAACCGTACTCAGCTCTAGGCTATCACATGATGATGAATAAATAGCTTTGTTATAAGAGTTATGCTATGCACTATAATTCGATACATCCGTCACAGACGAATCTTTGTTTCGCTCAGAAATAGTCTCTAGACCATACTCTGTCTCAAGTTCTTTTCTCAATGGAACCTCTTTTTCAAGTAAAACGAGGAGCAAAGCGACAGCAGCAAAAGCTATGGAGTATCTCCACACCCGCGACAGTGCTTTGTTAAATAATTCTCTCACTTGTTCCTGTGTAGCTGGGGATAGCGACGTCACGAACTCGCTCGTCGCGTGTTGGAATGCCTGTCCACGGGACAATGCTTTGCGGATATCGGTATTTTCGATATTGTGTAATCCATGCTCAATCTGAGTGTTAAATATAGCTGTGGGGATAGCAAACCCCCAAGTGTTGGCGAAGCATCGTAAAAATGTAATCGTTGCGGTGGCCGCAGCTTGATCGGTTTCGGCCTGTCCAGCTTGAAATGCAGGTAATAAAGAATCAAAAACCATGCCGGAACCAGCCGCGGCGATTAATTGAAAACCAACCCAGGCGGCTGTAGATGAGTGCGGGTTGAGGAGACTAAATAGACCCAGCCCGACTGTAATGAGGGCAAATCCACAAAGGTGGAGGAGCTTGTATTTTCCAAATTTCGAAAGAACTAATGCCGCAACGGCTGCACCAGGAATAGCCATAAGGACACTAGGAAGTAGTTGAACTCCCGATATGGATGGACGAGAGCCTAGGATTGCCTGAAAGTAAAGTGGGAGAAAGAACGTGGCCCATTGTAGTAGCAAAGCGTTAATGAATGTGTTGATTGATAGAACGACTGAAGACTTGCTGTTAAATAGTCGCAATGGTGTCATCGGTTGTCGACAAAACCGCGACCCTTCAAATAACATGTATAAAATGAGGCCAATAATCCCGAGTAGTAATGGTGCAATGATATGCGGTGAAGACCACTTGTAGCGCGAGCCTCCGTATGTCAGGGCGATAAGAACCGCCACACTTGCCAAAATCAAAAGAAAAGCTCCGGTCAAGTCAACTCGTTTCAGTTTTTGCGTACTGCTAGTCTCGCGATTATGTCCAACCCGGAGAAACATGAATAATATTACGAGCCCAGTACCACAAATAGGGAGATTGAGGTAGAATATCCATCTCCAAGTCGTCGTTTGAACGATGATGCCCCCTATAAACGGCCCAAGGATTGTTCCCACAGCGAATATGCCCAGAACTAAAGCCATGTAATTCCCTCGTTGGCGCAATGGCACCAAATCGGCGATGACGACTGGGACAATCATTTCGACTCCGCCGCTACCCATGCCCTGAATAGTACGGCCGATAATAAGCATCGATGCATTCTGCGCTGCTCCGCATATCACGCTTCCAACAAGATATACAACAACTATCCCGAGCGTAACCCATCTCCGTCCGAAAAAGTCAGCTAACTGCCCACAGCTAGGGATCACTACCGCACTATGGCTATTCATTAGCATAGCCCCATCAAAATGCCAGCGGTGAGTTTGAATACGTACGCAGACAGTGAAAATACGTTATTCACCCAAACGAAGTGGTTGCCTAGGTTTAGCTCTGCTGCGATGCTGGGTAGTGATGTGATCAATACGGTGCCTTCCAATGCACATAGTAGATATATGACGCAAAGCCCGGATATTATCCCCCACAGGCGAATACGATATTGGTTTGAGGACGTGGTACGGGGTGTTTCGGAGTTTGTAGTTTGTGTTGTTGGTATATCGAGTTTGGACACAGCTTCCGATGGACCGACAGAAGGGGGTCGCATCGTGGAATTTGGATTGTCCAAATGGATCACAACCGAAAAGACTCGATAGATTTTCGTCTATATCTGAATTTATCAATGCGTCATGGTAGATTAAGGCGGTATAAGAAAATGCATAGCCCAGAAAGGCGGATTTAGGCGGCCGAGGGTCGGGTCACATATGTAATGATGAGCGCGATAATGTGACGGTTCCTATTCTGCCATTTTTAACCTCTTGGATAGAGTTTCCAAGGAAAAATATGTGGTTTTAAATCTTTGTGAAATGTGAAAAAAGGGTCAACAACCGAAGGCACCTTGAAAGGAGCGTCGCCCCACAGACTATAAGTTGATCTTCACGCTATGCATGCCAGCGCTGAATGGACGACGCTGATTAGCCCATAATGAGCAATGGGCTGACACCATAGGGCTCAGGCAGCAGCCTAATTTTACCTTAACCCTTGCCAGAGTTGGTTCTATCGAAATAAGGAGTGCCATCTCACACAATTCACGCATTCCATCGCGAGGTTTATTTGCATTCCAGGGGTTACCTTGAGGGTCACGAGTTAGGGGCGATAGTAATAGCCGTCAGAGGTCAGAAACTCCCACGGACAAGCGACTTGGGCTCTGCAAAAATGTATTCATTTTTTGTGCAAAATTAATGGGATAATAAACAAAGCGATAGTGTATGAGAGTGTGTGAAGTTTTGCAAAGCAGAGCAAAACAAAGCGGGAGCGGCGATCATTTTGTCTTGGCGCGACAAAGCTTAAACTCCATTCTGGATGTTTGATTGGCTTGCATGGTGCCTGACAAAAGTGGTATTAGCCGCCAGTCTCGCCCTGTGGTTGGCTATCTGGCCCCTAACTGCCGAGCGCATTGACGTTTTTTGGTTGGCCACGGATTGGAAGCATGAAAAGAAACACCAACTGGAAGGCTAAAGAATCGCTATTCGGGCCGGGCAATAGGTCGGACAATGCGGATATTATTGAGATCATAATTAGCCTATCTTGCCTACTTCCATGACTCTAATTTCTCATTTCTTGCTTCTTGTTTCTTGCCTATTCGTTCACTCCGCCGGTAAATCACCAGGTCGGGCTAGGTTAAGGGGCTCCTCAGCCAATGAAGTCGCATTTCGACCTCTCCACAGTGAGATCCTGACTCGACTTTGCTGAGTTTGCGCTGTTTGCAGCTCCCACTCCGCATGCTGAAACGGCGACAACAATTAGGCTCATGAGCCCGCTCTTGTCGGCAGATGTGATTTGTTACTTCACCCGAGGGACAGTTGCAGGATGAAGAAATGATGAAGAATACTTAGAGATACTAAAGTCTACGAGGTGGAGAAAGTACCTAATTGCCGAATTTACTATATCCCGGTTCGCTGTTTGAGCTGATCTGCGATGCACTAACATCTTGGAAATGACGACTACTCACTTCTCATACAACCGGCCACCAGCACCGACAACTGGTCGCAATGCATATTCAGTCTGCCATTCATTATCTTATAAGGCTATCTTTACCCCTCAATATGGCTAGCTGTCATGGTCGACGATTTGCTCCTCCGTGATAACCCCTACATATAGCGCGACCATGCGCTTCTCCATTCAAGTCGCACTGGCAGTAACACTGCTAAATACCGCTGACGCCTCATCGTTGTATAGGAGGAATAGATTTAACTCAGCTTCGAACAATACTGCAGACACGAGCCACCTGAAGACATGGTGGCATGCGACAGGAGAAGTCAATACCGGAACGCCAGTTCAAGATGGCAACGTCCGACAGTCACACTTGTACAGTGTTCAGGTAGCATCAAGTATTAGCCACAATTTGAGTACCTTTTACGACTCCTTTGCCTACGAGAGTATTCCAGGAAATGGTATGGGCACAGATAATGCAAGCGGAGTCGGCACCACCATGGCGTGGAGCTCCTTTCTTTACGGCTCTGACGCTACTGTTAAAATTTCTCGAAGTGACAACTGGTCCATCGGCAACTATACTATTCGGCCAACCAATCTCAACCTAAATTCCACCACTTATGGAGGTGACGTATATATTTCAATTCCGTACAACCCTCGCGGATATCGTTTTTCTGTGGAATTTGGGGACGACCTTCAAACTATCTCAGGTCCCGAAGAGAAATCCCCTTGGAATTCCCTTTTAATTTTTGCGAGCCCGATGGAGGATCCGTCAATCATCCCTTCATCGTCGTCGTCCTCGTCGCTGGTAGTCCAGGAGGGGTTGATATCTGGACTAGACTCAACTCAAGCATCCGCCGTTATATTCAAACCGGGGGTCTACTACTGTACTGGATACAGCCACATGAAGCTGAGTAGCAGCGTAAATTGGGTGTATTTTGCACCAGGTGCATATGTAAAAGGTGCGGTCGAGTTCTCGAATACTGGATCGGAAGTAAAAGCAACAGGCCATGGAGTTCTCTCAGGAGAGCAATACGTCTGGTATGCAGACCCAGACTCTAATTATACCACTGGCAGCGACAATAATGGCCTCAGGATGTGGAGCGGCCAGACAGGAAGTTCCCAACAGACTTTCACCCTGAACGGCCCAACCGTCAACACTCCTCCCTTCAACTCTATGGACTGGAATGGCGATCTTACCCTGATGACTACCGTCGCGACTGACTATAAACAAGTCGGCTCTTTCTACGCACAGACAGATGGACTAGAATTTTACCCTGGCTCTCAGGCCCGCGATATTTTCTATCATGTCAACGACGACACTATCAAAACCTATTACTCCAATATCAACATCGATGGGGTAGTTGTCTGGAAGTATGCCACTGCCCCCGTCGTACAATTCGGCTGGGCCTCGCGTGAGCTTTCCAACATCACTATCAACGACGTGAGCGTCATTCATCAAAGCTATGACAATGCGGGTGACAACCCTGGCCTGATTGGTTCCGACAACGCCTATACCGCCAGCACCACGGGCATCTCTTCAAACCACAGCACGGCCAACGTCAGCAATACAATGCAAGATATAACCTGGTCCAATTTCCGCGCTGAAGGCCCTTCTGCATGCCTGTTCCGCATCTGTGCTCTTGAAAATCTAAGAAATGTCACAATTAGCAATGCATGGATCGAAAAGTTTGCTTCTTCTGACCTCAATACTACTGAGAGCCTACTACCTGTATTCTACGACTCTATTACCGGCGCCCAAGTGAATGTTAGTAACTTTGTTATTGATAATTTCGTCGTCGGTAGCACCAAGGTCACTGCGGATAATGCAGGCAGTGTGGGACAGATTGATGTTGACTCGGCGTACGCTTCGGCAGTTAGATATCAGTAATGAGTTAAGTACATACGTCTCAATAAGAGTAAATTCTACTATTTTGTCCACTCTCTAATTCACTCTTCCTGCTACTTTTGACTCGCCCTTTATTTAAGTGATGATAATCCTTTTTATAAAAATCTCTAGAAATCTCTAGTCTTTTTCTTCTTCATTTTTCTAAATGATTTACTACTTTTCGTCCATAATCTTTATCGTAGAGATCGGGGAATGGCCCTGTGATATTCCAGTATAATGTTTCTTTTCTTTAATTTCTGCTATGCTTCCTTATTACCATTAAAGTGTGCATAGGCTGATTTCGTAAAGAGTTAAGGGTTAGTTAATATAAAAAGAAATTAGCTCATATATATGTCAAAGCACAATAATATGCTGTTGTAAATTAAGTATTTTTATATATCAAGTCCATATCGTATCTATAGTATAATATATCATACCCGAAATCCAACATATTGTTCCTAGTTTTTTATTCATTGACTGGGGTTTATTGAATCTTCTGATAATAGTCGATTTATTTCTTTAGTATACTTAGTATTTGAATAAATGCATCAATTAGTTCATACTCGTTACCGGTTGTGACACTAATAATCTGAATTCTTATATTGTACTTGGACAGTTCGGTCGATGCTGTTTCAACTAACCGCTATTATTGTGCTTCTAGTCAATGTGGAGGTTTATCATATCGATATCAGATGACAGGCCATCCAGTATCACTGTGCCGATTCACTGTCTTCAGGCGACGTCGAGCGCTGAGAATGCTGCCCCTTAAGATCTCGGTTGTAACAGTATCGAATGACGAGAACTAATATAGTCGCGCATGCTCCAAACCCGGCCGTGATGTAGTTACCGGTGACGATGTACGGCTGTAAGTAGGTCGGAAATGTAAAAATGGGAACCCATGCAGTAAATATGTAGGCAAACGCGTTCATCTAAATTTGACCATTAGCCCTAACTAATCAGGGGATAAACAACATAACTAACCAAGGCAGAAATGTACGCCCGTTTTTCCGGATCATGTCTATTCACTTCATTTACCCATGTCCAAGAAAGACCACCGGCAGTTCCCGAAAGAGAAGTAAGGTCTATAGGAATAGAGAGTCAGCATTCATTCTCGCTTCTTAGTCGCGGGGGATGGGGTCTTACAATAAAGGGCCCAGCGAGTGGCTCTGTTTGGAGGGTGGACAGGGGTGGCAGCAAGGGCGATTGGGAAAATGATTCCCATCACACTGGCAAACAACATACCCGGCCACCTGGCCGAGCCAGGCAAGCTATCGGAAATCCAAGAATTGAGAAGGGCGCAGAAAATGGTAATGATGTTGATCTGAACACTGTAAGCTTAATTCTGCGGTGTCTGAGAGTGAGATGTACACCAAGAGGAATAAGGTTAATCTCGGCGACTGAAAATACAGGCGGCTTTCCCTTAACATTGTAGCTTTTGACCCAGTAGATCACTACGACAGTTAATGGCATAAATGCGACATAGGTAGAAACAACTCACTAGATCCTCCAGCCTGGCCAAACTGAGTCATGAATGCAAAGAAAAGAGGAACTTTGCACTCATTAACGTGTGTGGATAAGTGTACTGACCAATGTGCTTACAGAGGTATACGTGCCACGTCGTGTGCCAGCGCCTAATGTCTCTCCATTTGAACAACCCAGTGTGAGGTTTAGCCTCGGTTGGCATTCTGGCGCGAGCTAAGTCTACCTCCTCCTTTGTGAATATCCTAAAAGAATTAGCTATATTTAGCTGACTGTCGAGAAATAGGAAACACACCAGTTGGGCTTTGCTCGGCTGGGAAGCTGAGGCATCGCGACCGAAGTCCAGATGGCACAAGGAAAGGAGATACAACCGCAGACGCTACTCTTGTTAGCATGACCCGGTCTGATGAATGAGCGATACCCACATAAACATCCATCGCCATCCAGCCAGATCGTCGACGCCGTTCAGTCCAGTATACACCGCTGCCATCAAGAAACCCGAAAAGAGAGGCCCGACTGAGGTAAAAATTTGAATCAGAGCATTGCGCCGAGCTAATTCGTGAGGTTTGTAATAGCTCGAGCACACGTACATCACGGCTGGAAAGTGACCGGCCTCAAACAGACCAACGCTAGAATGATCAGAGCTGGTATGAGACCTCGAGGATCACAAAACGTACAAGAAGCGGAATACATAGAGTTGGTTGACATTCTTGACACCTGCAGTAGCAAAGGTAAAGATGGTCCAGCCAAGTTCGAGAAATGCAATGTAAAGAGGAGCATTGACCTCAATTTCTATCAGTGTATTTTTCTTGTAATTGTCAGGCAACTTACTCGGGTAAGAAGAAGATTCGAAGGAATCTGTCCAAATACGTATGCCGCACTCCAAATGGCGTTGGCATAGTTGAGTTCGTTTCCATAAAGCGAAAGATCCTCCTTCATACCACTGTCTTTAGAACCTGTAAGCAAAATTCTACTTTTTCGATAGACCACGTACTAAAAGCATTGGTGATATTGGCTTGGTCAAGGTATCGACACATGACACCTAGAGCCGACGAAGATATGAGTGTCAAGTCGAGCTTTGTCAGGAAACGGGCTTCCTCCTTCGGGACATCGAGTGCTACACATTTTAGCAATACGCATTTACTTCCAATGCACAACTGGGAGCTTACTCGACCAGAAGAATGACTTCCAGGATCTCTCAGATTCGGCATAGGTTGGAGTATCTGCACCCTGTGATAGGGTCTTCAAACCCAGGCTGACATCACGGTTGCTTACACTGACGATCAAGTCATTTTTCAGATCCTTTTCTTTGGGTAGCGACATCTTGGTCAGAATTGGATCGCACATGTGTTTCAGAGCTCCCTTGTACACCGAGTACGATGCATTCTTATTAGCTGCACTCGGAATTTTATAGTAAGCATCTAGCGACTAGCGACTCGGATTATTGTCGCCTTCGGCGGGTCACATCGCGACATCGAGATGTGGTGGTCTGATAAGAGCATAGTTTGATCACTCCTGGTGCGCTAATAATGTTGAAGAGATACTGCTATAGGCTAGCACCGAACCAACGAAGGATAACACATCCAACCCTCGCGAATCGGATAAATCGTGTGACTATTTTCAAAAACTCTGAGACGTGGAAGGCAGAGATTAGCAATGCTGAGTGATTGAGAGGAACGCACAACATCTTGGTGGCTGATCACGACTAGATATGCGTACATGTGATGACGTGCTCAGTGAGCGCTTCATTAGCATGCGGCCAATCACGCTGAGCATAAGTGGCATTTTACCGAGCGTTTTAGCATCACATACATTTTTTATATAAATGAATTATGTGTATGATGTTGTTGTGTTGAATGTATATAATGCTTCTGGAACAACAATATTGAAGCAGAAACGTGCATGTACATTCCATGCCGATTTTTTCTTCATTAGCTGGATAGATAATGAGCCAATTATCTAATTGCAATCTTGACATTGATGTCTGTGTAGTTTATTTTGCTTTTGGTTTTTTAGAGAGACGCTAAGTGCGTCGCTGGTGCTATCCAACATTTCACACCAGGTTGTGTTGGAACGCCCATTACTCATGGAGCATCTTGGCGCTTTGAGAGTCACCGGCGGCCCTCTACTCCTATCGAAGTATTAATTTTATCTGTCAGGCACGACGCGACCTGAAAGGATTTTTATTTTACTAGATGGACTGGACGAATGTATGGATATTGGCTAAGTGGTTGTGTAGGACCTAAGTTGAACCACGTCTAAACATTTTAGTTGCAACACGACCAACGCGAATTATAGTGCATGGGCCTCCATGTAGAAGGATCGTCGTTCCCCGCTGCATATTGAGAGCAGTATTGATTTAGATGGTAGCTAAAAAAAATCACTAAATAAAATTAGCCATGTGGTATCTCGTTAGGGATTGCTGTTTGCTCCATTTCGTATCCTGAAGCACAAATCCGTAAATATCAGGCGGGCAGAGAGTCAAGATACGTGGTTTTACATCTTCTGCAGCAGTAAACTGGAAATTGGTCGGCGAACTAAAGAGTGACGATTCAACTCGGCGACGACAATGATCAACAATGATACGACTGACTTCCTATGGAATTGTCAAACGCCAGCCCTAAAAAATTGTCACAAGTGTGCTTTTGTATTACCTTCTCTCCCTTAGATTGCATGTAGTGCTCGCAATGTCCCAATAACCAGTAGAAACGCCCACGCCAAATCAAATCTTTTCGTCTTTCCGCTTCATCAGGTAAATATTCGGATGGCAAATATTCAACTCTACAATATCCTTTCGACAGGGAAACTGAGGGACTGTAAAATCATGATATCGCTTGCTGAAATACGTTCCGTTGTGATCAACAGCCCATGCACGGATATGAAAAGGGCTAAAGCCACCAAATGGCACTGTGTCCATACCGCTGAGCTCGGATACAACAAATGCTTTGGAGTTGTTTCCCATCCCTGGCATAGATGGTGACTCCTGTCGGTAAAGAAGACAATTTTGCATCGCTTCTCTTGGATAGAAATAAGTTTTGAGAAATTATTTGTAAGTCATTTTGCATGGCATCGAAAGATAGGGTTTTCGAGAAGCTCACGCTCCGCGGGAGTTGCCACGGCAAAGAAATTGAGAAGACGCTTTTCAAAGCTTGCCCACCCGGCAACTCATCAGGCTCTCGGCTTGTCAGCCTTGTCAAACCTTCTGCCAATGATGTCCAACGCTTACTTACCTCAAACGAAAGCGAGGATTGTGTAGTCGATGTCATCCGCGAGGTGTCTATGCTTCGTTCGAGTGTATCTGGAGAACCAAATTGAAAATAACTGTATACAAAACCCATGAGTGGATTTCTTGTTTGTAGTATTTCTCAGCTTAGCACCATTCATTGTTTTGAAAACTGACAATATCGTCAGCCATACGATTCTTTGTCTAGACATTAAAACATTCTTTGTTGTCTATGGTGTTTCATTCGGATTCATAATACAAATTCTGGCTGACGCCTTTTGATCGCTCGACTTTCAGATTGGTCATTGTAAAAGTAAACATTTCTAAACATCCACATATCTACACAACCTTGACGGACAAATCAAATAATTTATTCTCATTGATATATTTATTGTCTACGCAGCTACGAACCTACAGAAAAAATGCCAATAACACGTTCTCAAGCACGCATCATGAAAAACCCACAAGCCGGAGGGGGGTCTCTCACTTCGGACATTAGAAACTCACCTGTATATTCCATGATAGAACAAGCACTGAGCCAAAACTCATCCGCGTTCTTGGAACAAGATGTCACGACTCAAGATGAGACTTTCAAAGAATCCCTATCGCTAGACGTGACGGGTGCTCGGCGGCAAAAGCCACCAAGTGGAAATCTCTTCACTACGCTGTTCAATCCCACAGCATCGGCACAGCAGCAACAACCACAGAATGGAAATCCTGAAACCTTGCTGTTCAGGAATGCAGTAACGTCATCGAAGCCAGAACGAAAATTAAGCTTTTGGCCCGGGAGCTACGACGACGACGATGATTGTATCGGTGCACTTCCACCATTTTGCAGACCTCCTAGGACCGCGTTTGGAATAAATTTGAACGGCCCGCCGCCACCACCGACATTCAGATCTCAGCCGCAAGGACAGATTAACCAGGAAGAGGAATCGACTACGAGTCTAGTGCCTGCAAATCAAAGCATCGACTCCTGTCCGCTGGAGAAATCCGAAGGCGAAAGGATTCTGGACAGTATCAAGTGTCTCGATGATCTCACTGAGAATACTCTTCGAGGACTCATTGCCAATTGTCATGGCTTGGTGACTATTACAGCCTTCAAGGTTTGTCGATCCCTCTAGTTTTCGCTCCCCTTTCCCGTTCCCTTTAGGTTCTTCAAGCCCAACACAGAATACACGCAGCTCACCAACATGTAATTTTCCGTTCAGGTGACATTGATCGAATGGGGTGAATGGTCGGACCCTCTGAGGCTCAAAGGGTACCCGATTGAGCTGAACTGGGACGGGTGGGAATATATCACCGTCAAATGCGGCAGCCTGAGCCTTATAAAGCCTCCGAACTGGGCCAAGGGATTTCTTCCTACCAATAATAAGGGCGGGCCTGGCCTTTTCCCATCATTATTCCCACCTGATAAAAAGCACCCTTTCTGATGAATTCTGCTAGAAATCAAGATTAGAGTCGTGTAGTGGATCGAGAAATCAAGCTGCATGCAAGTGATGTATGTTAGTTTCAGGTTCAATGACAAATTTGCAATACGGAGGCAGATAGGAGACCAGTTGACAGCGTGTGTACTGTGATCATTATAATGATGGTACCGTTGTTCTTGTGCCTATTGCTGATGGTGTCTTGTAGCACCGGGGGAGAGCGGGGAGCCCAGTCCATAGCATGGTAGCAAGACCCGAGAGAATCATATAACCAACAAGCAAAACGGACACACACAATCAACCGCTCCACGATTGGTGGTGACCCCATGCCGGGCCACGGGCGAATAAGCGATCGCGGCGGAACGAACCAGGGGAAATTCGCCACCACCCGCCTTTTTTGTTCTCCTCATTACATCATCCCCTGCCCAACGCGCAAGCCCGTCGACGTGGACTTTTTTTTAAATAGCAGACGATCTCTGCTCTCCACCAGATCGAGTAGCCTGCAGTGTAGTTTTCGACGATTATTCAGGTGTGATTGTCGTGCAAGGAAAGCTCCGTGCTCTTGCCATTCGGCACTGGGGGCCGCTCCCGACGTTGACGTCAGATCTTCTTTGATGGGCATGTATTTTGAGATCAAACCGCTTTTCAGTGAGTGTTATCTCGAAACATTTGGTGTAGTACGATCTCCCCCTGATATCTGGGCAGATGTGACAAAGTCACCACGTGATACACATCGATTTTCGGTCGAGTGAAAGGTACGATCGAGACCTTTTTATGCAACATACTGTAACGCATCGCCGAATCATTTTCCACCGAATCGTTTTCCGCCACCGAACCGTCGCCGTATGACTCATGAGACCGTTCCAAAAACTTGGGAATGTCGATTCGGCGGGGCAAATTCAGTGGGGAATTTGCTGAGGTCACGTAATCGTAAGCAAAATCGTTTGTAATGCCATTCGCGCCATCTGGTTACTGAGTGATCACACACCATTGACCTTCGTCGACCCGGTCTTACTTTCCTTGTTCTTCTCATTGGGGGATGTTCTCTTCCAGTGCTAAGTCGTGTACTTTTAAGTATGAGTCGGCGCAGGTGCTGCATTTGCCACAGTGGCAAAAGCTGTAAGATGTCGATGGCCTTCGGTGGCGTTTTCGATCGAGGGCTCGACTTAAGCCCACTCTAGGCAGGCTGGAACTCGCGATGGGACCATTCATTATTCACCGAGTGTGCAAGCCATAATGCATGGCCATGCTGCCACTCGGTATCTGTCATTGCTGAATATCGAAGTATCGCAGATGGAGGCTCGGGAATGGGCTTCATCGTAACATTATCGCGAAAACGAGGTGTGAAGATACCTGCTGAAAAACTGTTATGCATGTGGTCAATGCCAGGGCAAGTGTTTTATGCACAACTTGATATGTTTGTCGCAAGCGCTAAATAAGCACCTGGTGGAGGCCTCAAACGAAACACCACTAGCTGTAGAGCGGGACCTGTCAACCGCTGCTGGCCTGGACCTGATAGGCGGCTCTCGCTTCCGGGAGAAGAAAAAAAAAGGCGTTCCTTTTTTATTGTCAACGTTGGCGCTTGCCCAAATCATGGCTCACCCGAACTCGGCGAATCCTGCATAGCACCCTCGGCGACACTGGTGGGTCGCTGCACCATTATTTCGGGTCTGATCATTCAGGAGGCACCACGATACTGTGCTCAGCTTACAATGGCAAGCGTTTCGATATCCTTCGCGGTAGGATCTGGGAATATTACGGCTTTACCCGCTCTTCCCTCGATCTAAGGTTTGCCGCCACAAATTTGAGTTGACGACCAGAGAAGGCATTCTACCGTCAAGACAGCAGCCGCAGCATTTGTACCTGTGGGGAGAGTTGCATTCTAGAATTTGTAATTTCTCCAGGCAACAACCCGTTCTGTGAGGTCCATGCTGCTTTGCACTTTTGCCACAAAGCGGAGACGTGAATGAATGACTGGCGGGGAACGATAGATGGCATTTGAGAGCATGAGAAATTGGAAAGACATATTGTAAAAGGGAAACCGACTGGTATTAAATCTTTCGTCTATGTTCGCCTCGTTTTTCAATTGTTCCCGCCTGTCGGCTCGTCTTGCAACTGGCAAAGCCGACCCGCTCCGAGAGGCACAGTTTCGCTTTACGGTTGTTTCTTCCAGCCTACCACAATGGCCGAATGACTCCTTTCGCAGTGATAGTGCTTCTTCTCTCTTGTCTCCCGGAACCAATTAATCCTCACAGGCAGATCCTTGGCTCCTACCTGCGTCGCATATTTGCAAATGCACACTAAGGACGAACCGATAGAAAATAACTAAATAATAAAAATCCACCTAAGCCATTTTGGGCACGACTAGGGCTTCCGCAGAAGGCTGGTGCTGGCTCTATCCTGTGCCAACCGATTATGCACCTCAGGCACTAGGACAGGTTGGCATGGCGATATTTTTCCATGCCATAACCTGTACTGCTTACAATGGAGGACGAGCAACGCCCAGAACGTGCATCATCCATTCCATCTACTCAACCGGGAAATCCTGAATGGGCTCAAAATCTTTCAGACTCGTCAAGTACACTGGTGGGGGATTCTCGATTACGCGTGCCCGACAAACACCCCTCCAGTCGGGTAGGGGGTGCCAAGGTAGCCATACCCAGGGCGCCTGTGTTTTCTGAGCAATCGAGCGGAAACAAACGGGTTGGCCATGCTTGTGAGCCCTGTCGAGAGCAAAAAACAAAATGTAGCGGTGATCGTCCAGTGTGCCAGCGTTGTCAAGACCTGGGGTTGAGCTGTCTATACGGAGACCGCAAACGTGAACGAACAGCGAAGTCACTAACCCGACCTTTTGAGCTTGTGATATTCAATCTGACTAACTTGGACCGTGTAGACAGCTTAGGGATTATGCGAAGCAGATACAAGAATATGAACAGCTTTTTAACAATTTACACCCAAAGCTTGACCAACAGGACGTCCAACTTATCCAAGACACTTTGTCTAGAGTAGGTGCACTTGCCGAGTTCGATGGTGTTTCCCGATCCCCTATTGCGTATTTTCCCTTCCCCCAGCAATAACCTAATGTAGTTCTTGTAGTACAGGATCGATGGCGACAAGTCAGGTACCGATGACTTCGCGTTGACTCGACCAGGGCCTTCAGACTCGGATTATTCGAGTAATCCTGCTCGACCATTTCTAACCGATTTTCTGAGCGGCGCAGATTACACGGAAGAAGATTTCAATCGAAATGAACGATCAATAGCCCTGGGGTTCGTGGGCAGACACTCCGAAACGTCCTGGTTATACAACCTCAAACGTGAGATAGAATCGAACAATGTGGACGCGGAACAAACCGAACAAACACCACCGGAAGAAGACCTCCAAGACCGCAATTCTATTGCGTCAGTAAGCTATTTTCTAGACGATGCCGATATTCCGATCATCGAAGACCTCGATCCTTTGGAACGACCCTCTCGTGTGGTTGCGAACCGGCTGGTGTTGACATTCTTCAATACGGTGCATGGAACATTTCCGATTATTGGAAAGGAGACCTTTCTAAGTCAGGTGAATTCTTTCTATTCAGCCCCTTTTGCTCGACCTGGACGGAGATGGCTGGCCATTTTGAACCTGGTATTTGCGATCGCGTCTCGAAATTACCATCATCAAATTCAGCCCAGTTCGCTTGACGTTGGTGAGGAGACATTGCAATATTTTTCTCGCGCATGGCGATTAGGCATGAAAGACAGTTCCCTGCTTGGTCACCCTGACCTGCAGCAAGCCCAGGTGGAAGGACTAACTGCATTTCTCCTGCTTTCTTTAGGCCATGCAAACAGGTAATGGAATTCGCCACCAATGACGCTCTGGATTATATGGAAATCTGATTGGTTGATAGGGCGTGGAGAATATGCGGCTTGGCCATTCGATCGGCAACTGGCATGGGTCTGAACCTGCGTAGCGAAAGCAATTACGTGACTCTCGCATCGAAGGAGTCGCGCTACAAAGTATGGTGGTCGTTGTATACCCTTGAGGCGCTTCTGGGGAATATGACTGGCCGGCCATTCGGCGTTGAGCGCGACTTCTGTACAACACCCTTGCCTGTTCCGTTCGAGGAAGAAGGCTTTAATGATGCACAAGTCGCACAGATTATGGCAGATAACCGAATGCGGAACTCTCTGCTCGGACATGTTGTGACCAAACCGACTGGCGACACCTCCCCAGCGTTGACATCGCAATCCATTCGTACTGCGAGAGATATCCTCCGGCCGAACTATGCGCTCTTCTTCGTGTGCTATATCGACCTTACGCGACTAATGCGGCAAGTCGTCGAGACTTTATACGCCCCTGAAATCGTTCAAAATTCGCCGACAGACCCGGAGATCGTCATCACCGATCTCAATATTAAAGCGGACGCGTGGCTTTCGAGACTCCCAGGAGCATTTCGATTTATAGACGACCCGAGCGTGGCGAGCCGAGACAATTATCGTCTCAGGCTAGGGCTACAGTTTTATAGTACGAAGATATTGATTTGCAAACCGTGTTTGCACCGAATCGACCAGTTTTCTTGTAACGATGATAGTTTTTACGAGAGAACGGCAATCAGTTGTGTACAGGCAGCTTGCCGAATGCTGGATCTGTTCCCTGCCGTGTACAACGCTACATGGTTTAGTCAGGTTGCACCATGGTGGTCTGCACTGCATTATCTAGTCCAAGCAACGACAGTTCTGTTGATCGAATTATCGATTGACTCGGGTCCGAAGCCAGAGGAATTCCGACAGGCGCTGGCAAAAGCGACGAGCTGGTTGCGCGAGATGGCATTGAGGGATTCGGCGTCACAACGAGCTTGTGCAGTCTGCGGATTGTTACTTGAACAGCTTGCTTCCGTGGCTGGAGAAGAGGAAGATTGAGCTGAAGTTGAGATACTGTACCGGTTGACAAGAGGGCTGATCACGTGACGTGTTCGAAGCCAGCTCGTATGAGGATCGAAGCAGATATGGAATATCAAAGGTGACAACTGTCACTGCATACGCTTGCTCTCATAAACGAGCGCTAACAACTCCCGAAATCACCCTTTTGCTAAGAGACTAAAGAGCTACTGATCAGCAAGCCTTCGCTTCTAGTTATCAGGTGGACCTATGACGTAGGAAATGCGTCGGTTTGCTTCGTTGGAGCTCCCTACAACACCTTTCTTTTGACAAAAACTAGCACACGAACTCGCGACTTATTTGTTAAAAAACTTTTTTTTTGCTATTATCACGATGCCATCAAAGCATGACGCTAGATATGCGCCGAACATTTTATAATCTCACATTTTTGCGTTTAGCGATGGTCACATACAATACTGCATTAATGTTACCATGACGAGCCAGGGATGATGCTTTTGCTGGGTGTTTTTTTTTTAAAGGGGATAGAAACATGGAGAATCCTTCTTGCGTTTGTTTGCATTGCACCGGACTCACAAACACGACTCGAGTGCGGATATCACGTATACGAAATGAAATGTTAATCTTGAAACATCTTTCGGGTCCTTCTATGACAATATTGTAACCATATTCTCGTTTGCTCCATATAAAACAAAGACCAGAGAGGGATGGATTCCGGACCGCGGATTATCGACCTCGGTATATCCATCTATCCCACGTGGAGTTGCTCACCTTTACACTGAGCCTCTATGGAGTCTATGTTCAGAGCTCCGTTTGCCATGGCCATACATGTAAGGCGTTTATTTTTATTTTAAATTTAAATTGGCTTCTTACCCTTGCTGGAAGTCTCTTTGTTATTTTGACCAACAAGGGTGGAAGCTGACAGCCTCGAATGCTTGCCTAGATAGTACCTATACGCCATCCTTTTAATTACCGTGTCATCATCCCTGTCAAACCGCAGCTAGCTTAACGCCAATCATCTTCTGAAAAAGTCCACGAGGCTAGAACAAGGCTGGGCTGGAAAAGAGTCGGCCAGTTTTCGGGTTTGGTTGATGCGTGAGTGCGCAATTTGAGATACTCGGCGTCGTTTATAGTTTTCTACGTCTATTCCTTACAAAGAACAATCGTATAGCTGTTCAAGCTGTTCACAATACCCAAATTAGTCGATGCACATGATATGTGAAGGTATATTGGTTTGACCACCTCGATGGCATCACTCCAGCCGATAATGACGCTGCTAGTAGTAGCGGAAATTTGATAGCGGCTATAAAACTCCCCGTGTATAGAGTGGTCTGTCTCCAGACTACCCCGTAGGCGAATCATACATAACTAAAGCCCAAATTCTGCAGGAACGCTAGAGGTGGCATCATCCTGAAAGAGGAAAGCGTCATCCTGTATTATCACGTAATGGGAATGCACGACTCGTCCACTCAGCACAGTACGCTTGCGTTCTTGGACCTGTCAGATGCATATTGACTACTCCGTTCTTAGCATGTCCTTACTCCGAGGGCGCTAAATTGGAGGCTATGCAGTTGTTGTCCAATAGCAAGAGGGGTTGATGTCGAGTGTTGTCTTTGTTGACATGTAAATACAGTGTGTACCCACTAAACGATTGGGGTTAGTATGATAATAAGAGTCTTAAGCATGCCTAAAGTATGCCACCGTTACGTTGGCGTCCAGAGCGCCCCAGCAAAAGAATATTAATGTGCACTGTCCGCCCTCGCTCCAGCACACCACCTCGGAGATGGTTCTGGCGATCCGGGGAAAACGTGATCTGCCCATCACCGATCTGATGGCAAAAGCAGCAGCAGTGCTGCGCGATTTAGTTAAGAAACGACAGCCGTTTCAGGTGTTGCTGGCTAACGAGATTGAGTAGTGAGCAGCAGGCCATGGGGTCTCGTCGGCCATTAATAATCAGGAAGAAATACTAGGAAATAACTAGGACTGAGTAGTGTTGCGGGGAATTATGGACTATACGGAGCGGAGAGCGCCAGCCGAGGATGCACGTGAGGTCGCAGAGTCTGCCAGACTACTAACCGCCCATCTTACCCTCACTCGTCCGGGGGAACTCTTTGCAATCAGCCACGCGCCTCCTTTTCTGCCCGCCGAGCCAGCCAGCCGCTGTTACTATTAATTAACACTGGTTGCGCTCGTCTGGATATAGCGTTGTATTCACCAGGATTGTCTGCGTTCGCTTGGGACCAGGAGAACCCCACGCGGGGAGGAGAGGGAGGCAAAAGGCACATGCTAGGGTAGAGCCAATAATCGCTCCCAGAGGAGGATTGGTGGCGCACCCGCTAGTAACATAATTATATGGAGCAACGAGACTATATTTACTGGGATACGTTCGAATCAAGGATGGAGCGATCGAACTAGCTCGTCTGTGCTTTTCCTCCATCGCTCTGGGGTAAGCCGGGACTCCCGTTTAATTTTGTCGCCCAGTCCAGGCCAATGGGCCGCCCCCATTCAAGACCGTCTGTTGGATGCTACGGTCTGCGTGCCTGTTGTCCAATCTCGCTACGGAGTCTAGTGGCGTCGGGGATGGGACTCCCATCTGGGGATAGACATATGCTCAGCGGCTGCGGGACTAACTCACAAGAGACGATGGTCTGCCCAAGGGTTGTAGAGGTGCTGTCTCCATTGGAAGTTGCCATGGCTCACAGATGCCTCTATCGCCCAACTTGGAGTTTTAGACCTGGCTCGTTTGCCGTGTATGTCTCACCCTAATATCGCTCATTTTGTGGTCAGCCTGAAAATACATCCAATCTCAGTCAACGGAAGCTGCCCTAGCTACTGTTGCCCCTTGGCTAGGTCCGGAGCTGCTTGGCAGCCGCGAGTCAGATGGAGAGCGTCACAACATGGCGTCTGTGGCACAGCGATCTGGGCGAGGAGAGGTCAATCGTTGCTCTCTTACACAGATGACGTTGGTGGTCGCGAACCTGTGAGACCTTGACCGATATACATGTAATGTAGATATACTGACATCGATCAAAGGCATCGTTGACAGCAATATGAAATAACGAGTCTCTCAGCCTTCGAAAATTGGCGGTCATATGTGGCCGAAGCGAGCGGCTCGCCCGGATCCCATTCGTCGTTCCTGGCTGAAATTAATGATGGCGTCGCAAGCCCATATGTCGCCAGCGATGGGTTTAGACCCTTTCCCGAATAATCCTTGTACCTCGCCATCCATTGGCATCCACTTACGGTGGCGAGATACCATAAGCAGGGCCCACTCAGCATCATCCCACCTTTGGAGCCTCGGCCGGTATCTATTGTTTGGGGCTGTGGAGGAGTTGACATATGATCTGAGGGTGTGTGACTACGACTCCTGAAAGGTCAGCCGGGGGCAGGTTAGGCTCTATATAAGGGATCTACTCCTCCCATCCCCAATCAAGTTGATTTTTTCACCCTTCATCTCCATTCTCCCAGCATCAACTCTCGTGCTTTCTCGTCAAACCACACACTCGTTAATCCAGTCTCAGTACAGACACATTCGTTGATCGAGCATAGCAAAGATGAAGTTCACCACTTCCATTGTCGCCCTCGGCCTTGCCGTCCAGGCTATGGCCACCCCTACTGTCGTCGAACGCAAGGCCACCTTGGCCCAGCGTGACCTCGCTGCCTTCCAATCCGTCCTCTCCGGCATTCAGGATCAAGTCAAGAGCTTTGACACAGCTATCACCGGCTACTCCGGCGGTGACACCACCGCTTTGCTCGCTGCCGCCAGCAAGATCACCACCACCACCAACAGCGGTGTCTCTAGCCTCTCCAGCGAGGCGACACTCTCTGAGAGTGATGCTCTTCAGCTCACCTCTCCCGTCCAGGACTTGACCAGCACCATCAACACCGCCATCAGCGACCTGATCTCCAAGAAGTCTCAGCTCGTTGCTGCTGGTCAGGGTGCTACTGTTGAAACCAACCTTCAAGGACAATACGATGCTGCCAAGAAGCTTGCCGACACCATCTCTGGAAAGGTTCCTTCCGCCCTCTCTGGTGTTGCCGCTACTCTTGCCTCTGGTATCACCGCTGCCATCCAAAAGGGTATTGATGCCTTCAAGGGCACTGGCGGCTCTACTGGCTCTGCTACCTCTGCCACTGCCACTGCCACCTCTGCTCCAGGCAGCACTGCTCCCGCCAGCACTGCCCCCGGCTCCACTGCCCCAGGCACCACCGCTCATGGCAGCACTGCTACTGCCTCTGCTACCTCTCCTGCTGGCTCCAGCTCTGTTGTTCCCGGCTCCGGCACTGCCACTTCCTCCGGCCTCGTTCCCGGAAGCGGCACCACTGGTACCTCCACCAGCCCTGCCTTCACTAACCTTGCCTCCGGCAACAAGGTCAACACTGTCGGTCTCCTGGCCGCTGTCGCTGCTCTTTTCGCTTTTTAAATTTGAGCACAATTCATTTGAAGGGAGCCCTCGGGTTGCGTGACTGGGAAGAGGTGCAATAATGTACAACACTACAACAGGGGTGATACATAATTAGGATCTCTTACACTAATGTATGAAATGTTGTGTTTCCTTTTTTATTCTTTACAACTCAACCAAGGCGCAATTTACATCTGGTTGTACGACGCGAGTTAGCTTTCCTAATAGTTTCGCAATGAAAGCTACCGCTGATTTTATTTTATTTGATCTGTTTGTCGCATGAATGAGCATGTCTTGTTAAAAAATATAGACAAGAATTGAGCCAGCCATTTTGAACTTCAAAGACCCTACTTATTTTGCGTATGAATTGAGCGAGTGTTGTAAACATTGTAGAGATGATTTTATTGGATTCTACTTGGAACCAATTATGTTTCATATAAATGGTAATAAAGTGGAGAATAATCGGCGAAATTGGCGAACCAGGCGAGATTCCAGCGTTAAACCATTTGGTTCAGACCGCCGCAAAGAAATGCCAAGGCGGCAGAAAAGTACAGTTGTCTTTCCTCCAATTGGCCGCCAAAGGCTTCACGACGGCGGAATTCTCGCTGATATGCGCGATATTATTGGCCGATGAGACTACGCAACACCAGCAGACTTCGCATAGGCGGCAGCCAAAGGCGGTGAAAGCGATCCGAGATATCTGAGTCACACCACACAGCAACCGCTTCGATGCAATCCAGTTTAACTGTCACTGAAACATGAATTTATGACTGGTGGGCCACCTCCACGGGTTTATCCTAGTCTACGCCGATCATGCGACTTTATTCTGAACGCTGAATCAACTAGTCGATAATCATCGAGCCACCACTATATGACAATACAAAAAACTTCAAGTCTCAATGCCACCAGGAGAAGAAATAATTATAGATCTAACATCTTCTTCTTCTCCTGCACTGCAAAGTAATCCGGAGAAGAAGAAGAAGCAGAACAAACAAACTGCCTCCGCTCAAACATTTGAGTTTGTATCGTCGGAAGATGCGCACCGTGCTCGCAGCTATGCCATGCGGCAGTCGTGGCGGAAGAGGAAGCAGCAGCAAAAAATAGAGCGAGAAGAAAATGTGAAACCTGACAGACGGGGAAGACAGTTAGTTGCGAAGCCGAAAATAGTCAAACCTCAGCCAGATGCGGTTGGGATTGTACTAGCGGAATATGAAAAGTTAAGCCATAAGGAAAATATAGCAGCAATACGAAACCTCGATATACTAGCGAGTACTACAGCGGAAAACATACAAGATGTTTATACCGCGCCTGGACAGGATAGCCTTTTCGACTTTGAAGCGGAATTTTTTGATTTTTCGAATTTTGATTTGCCAGCAGAGCCCTTGATAGGGTTGGACCATATCTTGTCGCCTCTTGCTCTGGATCCCTTCGACACCTTTCCGATAAATTTGACCACTAGACATCACGAGCTACTGCATCATTGTATGTTTTGACTCCCGTGACCAATATATACTGCAAGTCTAACATATCGCAGGGTTGAGCTCGCATGCTGCAATGATGTTTGAGGAATCCCCCTCAATGGATTTTAACCCGATGCGAGACGTCTGGTTTCCGCTAGACCTTTCGAATGCAGCGTCATTTTATGGAATCCTAGCACACGCGGCCGCGCATCTATCCTATCTACATGGCCAGAAGCATGCAGTCGAGGTATTGAAATACAAGGCCGAAGCCGTGTCGTTGATTAACAAATGGATGAACGACAAAGAGAGTGCGTTGAATGATGCAACATTCGCAGCTGTTGTTCGGATGCTTACTTTTGAGGTTCGTTCAAACTAACATTTTGATTTTTCTACCGCCGGTGCTGATTGATAGATGTATAGAGGTACTGGGGATCTGAAGAAGCATGGCGGATTCACCGCGATGGACTGGAAAAAATGATCCAAGCTAGAGGCGGCATGTCCTCTCTAAAAGAAAATTGGCGTTTAGGCTTGGTTTTGCAATTGTAAGGCTTCTTTTCCACAAAAGTGACTCTTAATATTGACAAATACTAGAATCTCCCTCATGTCAAAACCATCCTGGTTCTTCCCATCAAACAATATTTCTGAGATATCAGCGTCGATTGCCTACCTATCATCTCGTCACGAGGCCTCTTCTTTCACTGATCCCACCAACAACAATGCTGATATCCAAAAACTTCGATCCCTATGGTTAATATCATTTATCCAAGACATGCGCAGCCTGATGGCGAATTCAAGCAACCTACAATCCGAGGGACTCCGACACTACCCATCTATCTACGAAGCCGTCAACATCTTGCGAACCTCCTTCTTCGAAAGCCTACAAGGCAGCAGTGACCCAGCATCAAACCTATATGAACACGACCGCATCACGTGTTTGTTCTATATCGGCGTAATGATCCAGGAATGCGTGTCATCTCGCTATCACAATACCATCGCCACTGTAACCTCGGTAAAGCCAACAAGTCATCTACTACTCGACTTCATCAATAATAAGGATGCATCATACGACCGCCTGGCCACGCTGAATAGCGCGATGTACGAACAAAGATCAGTTTGGAGAGAATCAATCTCGCAGTTGGAGGCGTTTTTGTTAAGTCATTTTATGAACCAACTGGGCAATGTGAATCGTGCGCAGTACGTATTGGATATGACAGAGGTGTTGACCTCGTTGAGTCGCGAAGCAAGGGATGGTGTTGAGAGGTGTTTGTTGAATATGTTTGGCGGGAATTATAGTCTGGGTGAAGGGAAACAGGGAGGGTGGACAGTAGATCAGCTTTTGATGAGTATTCACGGACAGTAATTGCTACTTACATTAATGTTGTATTATTTTATTTGTTAGGTGATTTTAATGTATATAGCCCCAAATATTAACAATGAAATTGAAAAACGTAGAAAGATTCAATTACGCAACGGCCCCGGCTTGTCGGGGACCAAAAAGGCAGGGACCCTTGAAAACTACTTTCCGCATTTGGTAAGTTTCCTCGTTGGTTGACATGATGATGCATGACCGATGACAAATCAACGTCAAAAGAAGCCCTACTTGATTATATAAGTCTTTAGCTGTAAAATTACAGTATTCACGACTGCAACTTTTGCTTACGTCGAGATTTATTATGTTACGGCTCTAAGGAGTGAGCATACGACCCTTTCATTCTCTCGCTGCGACGGTTTGGTATTTGAGGGCTATTGAAGGTAAACAGTCCCGTTATTTTATCTATTACTTGCACACTGTGACTTCGACGTTATAAACATGTCGTTTTAAATGGATTTAAGCTTTTCAGAATATATGTGTATTAACAACCTTGAAATCTACCTTATAGTAAACGAGCAGTCATTTTTCGGTTGCATGCAAGAAGACGACAAACATCAGCAGCAGTATTTTGAGCGTATATACAAAGGAAACATAGGAAATCATAAAAGGAACAATTTTCATTTTAATTGAAAATATCCCACCCGAAATTAATAGAACAAATTACCGCCCCATCCACCCCCCATCCACTGTTAACACCTCCCCACTGACATACAAACTAGCCTTCCCTGCCAAAAACAGCGTCGCCCCCTTAAAGTCCTCTCCTGTCCCCCATCTCCCCGCCGGAATCCTAGTCAGAATCTGTTCTGCACGTACAGGATTATTGATTAGCGCCTCATTCATATCCGTCGCCACATAGCCCGGCGCAATCGCGTTTACATTCACGCCTTTACTAGCCCATTCATTCGAAAGCGCTTTCGTGAGCTGCGCGATTCCACCCTTGGCACTCGCATAAGCAGGCACGGTGATGCCACCTTGGAATGATACTAAAGATGCAACATTGATGATGCTCCCGCGATAGCCGCCGTTCGGAGACGTAGACTCTGTGCCGGGGAATGGGGGGCGAGTGAGCATATAGACCCCGATATCGCGGCAGAGAGTGAATACGGTCGTTAAGTTGATTTGTAGGACCTTGTATTTTCAATGAGTATGTGTTCGTAGTCATGGATTTTGACTACGTTAAAGCTGAGGCTTACCTCGTCCCAGTCGCTATCTGGAAACTTCTCAGCAGGATGTCGTCGCTGGATGCCAGCGCAGTTTATGAGAATTGAGATATCGTGGCCATCTTCGAGCACCTTTTTCACTAGGTCCGACACGGCCGGACGAGACCCTAAGTCTGCGGTGTAGATGGTTGCTTTTCGGCCAAGAGATTCAATGTGTTGTTTCGTCTGTTGGTTGGAGGTGTCTCTCTATTTGCTCATCTTAGCCATATTCAACTTACGTGCTTTGGGTACGATGACAAACTACCTGTACTAGAATGATGTCGGCGCCTGCTTCGGCCAGGGCAATGGCCATCTGGGCCCCGATTCCTCGCGTGCCACCCGTCACCAGGGCTGTACGGTTTTCGAGGGAGAATAGGGATGTAATCGCTTGCATTTTGTCGGTGTTGCCGCGTATGAAGGTTGACAATTCTCGTTGATTAGGAGTAGATAATGTATGGCCGAATTGGCTTCTGTCGGGCTACCCCACGTTCGATGGGGAGTCGCTTTTCTTTCCGAGCGACACGTTCATGGGCTTAATTGTTTTGTTATGTATGTGGTGGTACATATGTAGGAAAAAAAGAGCTGGCGATTTTTATTCATTGCTAGGAATACAGAATATGAATGATTAAGTAGTGATCTAATTTCTGTCCAGGAAATATGCAATAAACCCTAAGGCTGTGGGCTGAAAAAAAAAGAAAAACGTAACTACCACTCGCGAATTGATCCATCAGAACCATAAAACTCCTTGCATTGCCATGGCTCTGTTTCCTTTGAAATCTTCCTGACCAACTCTTCGTCAATTTCAATACCCAATCCTGGGCCAGTTGGCGCGTTGACGTATCCCTCATGGATGTCAAACACGGTTTGATCCTTGAGATAAGAGTTCAAATCAATATCACCCGCTTCCACATTGTAGTGCATTCCAAGGGACATCTCTTGAATAACAAAGTTGGGCGTGTTCAATGCAACCTGGATTGATGCCGCAAGGGCCAATGGGCCGAGAGGACAATGCGGGGCAATAGCAACATCATATGCTTCAGCAACTGACGCAATACGTCTCGTCTCGCTGATACCGCCAGCATGCGCAATATCCGGCTGTAAGACATCGACCGAGTGATCTTCCAAAAACCGCTTAACGTCCCAGCGGGTATAGAGGCGCTCGCCGAATGCGATTGGCACGGTGGTGAGTTCCGAGAGCTGCTTGAGGGCTTCAGGGTGTTCGCAGAGCAACGGCTCTTCGATGAAGAGTGGTTTGTAAGGCTCGAGGGCTTTGGCGAGTTGTTTGGCCATTGGCTTGTGTAGGCGGCCGTGGAAATCGAGACCGGCATCGAGACCGAGCGCTTTGACGGTTTTGAGGCGTTCGACGGTGGATTCGAGAACGGATGGAGAGTCTAGCCAGTTGACGTCTTCGGTAGCGTTCATTTTGATGCATTTTAAGCCTTGGGCAATACGCTCTTTCCTGTAGAATATAGATTAGTACCTGTTATGGTAAGGAGGCAGGCTAGTCGAGGAGACATACGCAGCAGCCTCAACATCGCTTGGGCGGTCTCCGCCAATCCACGCGTAGACCTGGATTTTGTTGCGCACCTTGCCGCCCAGCAGCTGGTGTACAGGCACACCAAGATTGCGGCCTTTCAAATCCCAGAGAGCAATGTCGATACCAGCCAGGGCAGACATAAAGACCGGACCCCCACGGTAGAAACCCAACCGCCACACGGTTTGCCAAATGTGTTCAATGTCACTTGTTCAATCAGTATTTTGACCTTCTAATTATTTGGAAAAGGGATCGTACTCCGCTTCATAGCCAATTATTCTGGTGATGATCTCGTCGAGAGCACCTTCGACTGCAAGACTGTGGCCCTCCAATGTAGCCTCTCCCCAGCCATATCCACCTTTCTCGTCGGTAACTTTGACGAAGAGCCAGCGCGGCTTAACGCGGAAGTACTCAATGGACTTAATTTTGACCATTATGAAAGATATTGTCTAAAAGATAATTATTTGATGAAGAAGAAAAAATAATATCTAAAGAGAAGCGAGAGGGAAGCTCGGGAAGCTCTCGGATATTAAAAAGACAGCTCGCTAGTTAGCTACAAGTCTATCGTCATTAGCCTAATGATTATTTTTACATGCGGCCATCCGCCGAGCCATGCGGGGGCGGGGGGTTATCCTTCGAAGAGCGTGGGAGACCCCCACATTTCTCTCACAAATTCCAACAATTCAGGCTGTTAAACGGCGTAGTCGTCGCCTAGCGTGGGGAGTCTACTATTTCGCGGGGTACCAGGAAATTAATGCTGTTCGGGAAAAAGGCCGTGATTGAGGGGTTAATGGTATGGATGATGAGATTGAACACGGAAATTGTTCATTGGATATCTATGATTCGGAATTCAATTAACGACAGAGATATGCAACTAATTCTTCGCCAGGGAGGTCTCAACGGACCAACCCTCCTCGAAAGCCTCTTTGGTCGCAGCGACGTCAGCCGCAGGCGTTGGTCGGCGAGGCACACCTCCGTATCCGTTGAATGCCTGCAGAGCTGCCTTGACGGCAGGGAATCCACCCTGAATGGTAACCCAGTCAGCCCGGGCGACGACGGACTGCAGCTTCTGGGCTTCAGCAACCTTGCCGGCGGTGTAGAGCTTATAGACCTCGACAGAAGCACGAGGAATCACGTTGGCCACACCGGCAATAACTCCCTGGCCTCCAGCGACCAGCGTTGGGAGCGTAAAGTCGGAGGAACCACCAAACGTAAAGAAGCCGGGTTTCACGGCGGCAGCAATACGAGCGAGCTTGCCAGTGTTTGCGCACGTCAACTTGGTACCGATAATATTGGGGTGTTGAGCTAGAGCAATAATGTCATCCGAGGTGAGATCAACGCCATTGGCGGCACCGGGGTAGTTGTAAATCAGGACAGGGACGGGCGAGGCATCGGCTACATCAGTGAAGTAGGCTCGTCGCGATTGCACTGTATCTTGACCCTTGTAGTACGACGGTGGCAGGGCGATCACGTAGTCCGCACCCGCTTCGGCGGCATCCTTAGAGTAGAGGATAGTTTCGCGTGTTGACTGAGCGCCAGTCCCGACGATGACAGGCACTTTATCGAATCCGTTAGCATCGAGAGCCTTGCGTGTAGCGCGCGCGATGAGTTTTCGCTCTTCCCGGTCGAGATGCACGGCTTCACCATTGCTTCCTTGTACGACGATACCAGCAACGCCGGCCTTAGCGAGGTAAACAGCGTGCTTTTCAACAGTAGCCACGTCGACTTCTTCATTGGGCAGGAAGAAAGCTACCGTCGGGACGTAAACCCCACCTGTGAGAGGTCTGGGAGCCATATTTACAAGATTGTCTTTAGCTTTTCTGTTTTGAATATGTTCACAGAAAATCGAATGGTGAGAGGTGAAAGTTGATAGTTAGACGTGAGAAGAAGAAAAGCGTAAAACGGCGAACAGGGCGAAGTAAGGAGGAAGTCCGAGAAGAGTATTGTAGCAATAACTAGCTAATAGACCATGCTCCACCTAATTCAAGACAGATAAAATAGAGGGTCAGCTGTCCCCCCACGTAGGCAAAATGTACAGAACGCGCTATTATCGCCTTGCCAATTATACTTGAACCATTATTAAATGGCGTGGGAGCGACAGGTACATCCCACCTACCCCGCGGCTGGACCAGTCTCCACCCCCACGTCGAGGTTGTCTTACTCGCCTGCGGATTGCTACCGGAGGAGTGAAAGCAAGAATTTTGTTAGAAAATTATATGATGCAATTTATAGACACCCAGTCATTAGCCGAAATTCCGAAATAATCATTTTTCGTGTTTCGAACGATTATTCAATGAGCTATTTCCATTATCCTTATATTATATAAGCTAGCTGACAAAGAATCACCTATGTTTTAGTATGTCGCAGCATAAGATTGAATCATTGCTGTACATAGGAAGTTTTTTTGTTGCTTACAATTCTATTTCCCACTACATAATGTATGATTGATTGATTGATTATCTGATTCTCGCATCTAGACCCTGAGGGCTGGCGGCGCATCTAATTAGTAGTGAGAGTTATCCTATTAACATGCTTTTTCTCTTATAATCAATACAAAGTCTTCCTACCAGTTTTCTAGTGTTGATAGATCAGCTCTCCCTTCTCACCCAAAGAAAAAAAAGATCTGACTCACGTCCTTAAGCATTTCTCTAACTCCTATGAAGTATTATAGCGTTTATTAGACTGTTTAGGATAAGAATACCAGCAATGAAACCTTTTATTCTCTACAAGATTCGAACCTATAAGCCACCTACGTACCTATATTTTACAAGTGAATTTTGACAATCATAAGGCCAAAATCCCCTTCGGCAGGCGCTGACCTCGTTCCAGAGGTGCTGACCACTACGCCACCCTGGGGACGCTACATAATGCATAAAAGTATATTGTTCAAGGTACGACCCACCCCCTTTCCTTCACTGATCCGTGCTTTGCACTAGTAAATATACCAAAAGTGTTATTATCTAATTGAGATATCCGGCTAAGTTCTCCCCGGGTCCTTGGCAACAATTGAGCTATAAAAAAGGGATCGTTTAATGTATCATTGATGTGACAATTGCTTTGGCTAGGCGTAGAAATCAACACTAATCAACTGCATGACTGCATTTCCACTATGTACCTAAGGTAGCTATCGAACGAGAATACCAAGACAGGGAAAGCAGGGAGAAAATAATGGGAAAAAAACCATGTACGAGTCACTGGAAAGGCCCCAAGGTATATGTCAGGTATCTATTGTCTAGACTAGGTTTCTCCCCTCTTGCGCTTTTCCATGAAGGGTATTTGGAGTAGACCGCCTCGGGATATTGACTTTGGAGTTGGTCATCTCATTCGGCTCAATTTATATAGTACAATAATACACCGATTTTGATTTTCCTGCCATGCTTAGGGTTGATCGAATGTGGATTCTTCTTTACAATTGGACTGTTTTTTCTCTCTCAATTGGGTTCCATGATCACCTGCAATCTAGGCCACAGCATAGCGAACCTTATCGGCTTCAACGTGGCAATATTGAATTTGACCGTAAGGCAATATAATATAGATTTAAAATTGGAAGACTTTGTGTGGAGACAGGACGAACGTAGTCAAAGACTTAGAGATTTTTACATAGTGAGGTAAACAATCAAGATTATAAGTGAAATACAAGGAAATTTAATTTCTAGTTATCTATTTATTTACCCAAATCTTACGCCGAAATCCAGCCTCAGGCGATGACGGACATGTGCATATGCGCCTAAGGAGGTCCTAATCGTCCCTCTATCCCGGGGGCCCCAAATGGTTCTAGAACTTTCAACACTTCCACTCATTCCTCACCTCAACCCATCTATCTGGATTGTATAGTGCGCTATTGTCAAGGCCTATGAACGGTCGTAAAAGTTTAATTAAATAATATAATTAATATCAACGGTTTATTTGTTCAAAGAATGAATTATAAAGAAAAGATAACAGTTTTAAGAGATTTCCGGAGTCGTATTTGTGAGTGCGCAAAGGTCCAGCGACCGTTGCCTGAGGCTGCATCTCACCAGATCGTCACACCCTTTCTTTTGACATAGTGTGATGTCTTGCCTTATGTGATCGCACTACATAACGTAGAAGTGATATTTTATTTGTCAAGATCAACTGTGGATTTTGAGAACCCTGCGCTATTTTCGGAGTGCATAATTATGCATTAGTGTAAAAACTGAAATAGGATCGATCAATGATAATATGTTATGCAACGGTAACGATCGAGCACTCATCTCGACGATAGTCTTCGGGCCTGCACAAACCTTGTTTGGCTGTGAGGGTGCCACGTAGTTAGTATCACACTTTCAATCCCTTGGCGATGAAACTGTGAAGCTGTCTAGTTTTGACCTATTCTTCAGCTGCGCCTTAGAAAAGCCACCGGAAAATGAACGCACTAGTGACAACGCTGATTTCTGTGTCTAGTCCGCATAATATGCGTCGCTCATGCAATAGTGCGAAAACTAATCAACTATCATTGGGCGGAGCTCGGCTTCATTTGTCAACATGCAGATTATCTCGGAAGGCTGACCCCGCAGTTTTGGTCTTTGGTGCATGGCCGATTCAATGTTCGTAGCTTAAGAAGCCAGTATAAATAAATAGTGCACATCTACCAAAATCAACAGCTACTTGGCTCCCTCCAACCGGGTATTGATTATTGAATAGCTGCTGGATTATCTTCCGGCGTCATGTCGTCCTCTATTCCGCAGCCTCCTGGCCTTCCCTTTCTAGGGAATGTTCTCGACATCAACCCAAATGACACCTGGGGTTCATTGAAAAAGCTTGCCGATAAATATGGTGAGTTTGTATGCAGTTTCGATGCCTGTGGGGTATGTGGTTAACTTTTTCTGCCAGGGCCGATTTTTAAGATCAATGCCCTTGGCAAACAAATCGTTATAGTTGGAAGTGCCGCTCTTGCCGAAGAAGTATGCGATGAGAAACGCTTTCGGAAAAATACGCACGCTCCCTTCATATTTGAATTGCGCAAAACTGTCCACGACGCCCTCATCAGTGCCCATGACGACGAGCCCAACTGGGGGATATCTCATCGGATCATGGCACCTTTTGTCAGCCCATCATATGACGAAGCAAGGGTTACGGACATACAAGACGTGATATCAGATCTCACTAAAAAGTGGACATCGAACCCAGCTCAGCGTATCAATCTTACAGTAGATCTGCAACTTTGGGACATGCAGGCAGTCATATATGCCCTCTTTGGTCAACGGTATAACCTTATGGATCCCCAAGGACCACCTGTTGTTGAGGTGATGATTCAAATCAGTTGGGAAATTCTTAAGCGTTCCTCAAGGCCAAGACTGGTCAACTGGCTTTACTACGATCGTGTATACGCCGAATATATTCGTGAGTTTCGCAAGATTGGAGCTGACCTGATTGCTGCGAAGAAAGCGGAACAGACTCCCAAACAAGATCTGCTCTATGGTCTTCTCTTCAACAAAGATCCTCAAACGGGTGAATCGCTTGATGAGGAGAAAATTATCGATGCGATGCTCACCTTAATGCTCGGCGCAGTTACAAACACTGGTCTCATGTCGTCTGCGTTATACTATTTGCTCACGAATCCGGAAAAAATGTCCAAAGCCCGCGAAGAGATCGACCGTGTTGTAGGGCCCAAGCCCAGAATAGCCGTTGACGATCTGTCTCGGTTGCCATATCTCGAAGCCATCTTAAACGAGACCGTACGCCTATCTGCACCCGCCCCAGGGTTTGTCGTCGAACCTATACCATCAGACAGTCCGGCAAATATTCAACTTGCAGATGGAAAATACGAGATACCTAGTAAGCAGTCAGTCATGTTAATCCTGCAGGCTATAAACCGCGACCCAGAAGTTTTCACGGACCCGGAGGCCTTCCAACCAGAGCGGATGCTCGGCGAAGGGTACGAAAAATTACCACCTGGAGCCAGGAAGGGATGGGGAAATGGTAAACGCCGTTGCTTCGCTCCGAGATTTGCCTGGCATTTATCAATGATTACCCTGATTCATGTACTGAGGAGTGTCCACCTCCAAATGGCAGATGAGAATTACGAACTGAGATACGCTGGCAAAGACCTTTGTTCAAGTTTTCAGGCTCCAGTAGACTTATTTGTTACGGTTGGACCTCGGAAGAGTTCAGAGGATGATAAATGATAATAATTATCACTTGAGAGGCGCACAATCTGCTGGCTGTTCGGGTATCGATATAATTTGGTTTCTAATAATATTTAATTTAATAATGCCCTATTTTCAACATAGGAGTTTTCTTGCTTGTCAGGATCCAGATAATTCGACCCGACAATGCTCTAACAACAACTCCGATATACATTTACGTGGTCCACATATCGACAAAGTCGTTGAATATCAGGACCAGAATAACCCAATCGCGGCTGGTAAAATTGGGTTCAGTCTCATTAGCTCGGTATATGGACACAAACCTAAAGTCATACAGATGCTGTCGGTGGAGAAAGAATAAACACGTAGCGGAAGGAGCATGCTAGCCACACTTTCTCCAAGCTCTTTGGGCCTTGATGAGATACAAAAGTGGGAGAGGTAATCAAAAGTCGCCAACAATTGGGACGATAATGCGGAAAAACAGGAGCAAGGGCACAAAATCTGTCATGGTACGGCTACTTCACCGCATGACAGCTCAAAGCCTGTTGGCTTGTAAAAGCTCATTATAACGACTTATCATTGTAGTGTGTGGACAGTGATGACTAATATAATGATATTGGGTGCTAAGTAAAGAACGATCTTAGAGAATCATTGGTCGGCGTTGCAAACGGACGTCGTACAGCAGGGTGCCTGAGGCTCTCAACATAGTGATTATGAACTTTGTATAGGGGAGTGTCTCGGACCTTCAAGTTGTAATTATTGATTACCCTGTCACGAGGTCTTATTTAAAATGATCCTAAATATTTGAATACATACAATGTATGCTGATTAAATCGGATTCCGAATCTATTATTACATTGGGAACAACTAATTGGAACAAATAATAATCAGTTGTGAGAGGGTGCATTCTGCTGCATAAAATTCTCCAACTCAGCAGCCGATTGCTCGACCTCTTCCTCGGTAGGGAGGTTGACGATAAGCAGATACAGCACATCTTGTAGCAAAACCTTCTTAATAAGGCCATGCTTCTGCTTTTTACCACGTGGAGCTTGGCCTCGAGCAACACGCTCGGCATCTTTGGATTCCCGCCACGCATTCACGTGCTCTCCAACAACGTCACACGGGCCCTTGAACTTGATCTTGCCGCCGGTAAGGAGCGAGACAAGCGATCCTGTATTCGCCGGGTGATTAGGGTCGTTAAAGCGGGAAACAAACCCTTTTCGTTCTGACGAGGGGACAGATAGAGCGGACTCCGGATTCTTGGCTGCCTGGTTTCTATTAGTACTCGCACTGGGGGGAAAAAGACGAGGTGGTGCTCACATATGATGCCTGGGCCTTTCTATCCATGTAGTCCTGCACCCACTTACCCGAGTTCCTCAGCTTTTGTCGCGGTCCCTCGGGCCCTTTCTCTTGCCCTTCCATCGCCTGAGCCGCAGCTCGATCCAAGTCAGGATATATAAGCGGCGCAGCCTCAGGCAGCTCAATTTCGCCGTTGGTCCGGCCGCTTGTGAGTCTGAAATCTTTTAGGTTCTTTTTTAATCTCGACGCTTCTGGATTGTAATTGCTATATTTCGCAGTTGCATCATTGATATTAAGCCTTTCGCTTGCGAATAGTGTTCGTCCAGCCGGGTTAGTTAGTTTACTGTGCACCCCTCCCTCCTGCTGCTGACTGGGGACTTCGTCTGTGAATGCCATTATCATGGCAAAGAGACCACGAGGCATGAATAGGTCTTGGTTCACTTTGTCAAGGAAGGTGTTTCTGCGGTGACGGGTTTGTAGTTCGCGGGCCGTTCCTACCGCCAGCTGGACGACGGCACCTGTGACAGCTGTTGCTACTCCGGGGACGAGGCCCACGATACCAGCTGCGGCATAGATTACTTCGATCCAAGGGGAAGCCTGCATCACCAGTCAGGAACGAACTACATCCACACGTGTCTTCGAGCACAAACCAGGCTTGCTTTATGAAAGTCTTTCAGAAACTGCAAGAAAACGTCCTGGCTAATGCCACAATCGGCTAATAGCGGCGCATAAGCACGAACAAACCCACGATCCTTTCTCCCGGGTCTTCGTTGGGGAATAATCACAGGACAAGGGATCTTTTGCACCTGGGACGACACTGGGCCTGCTATTTCAACAAGACCACGAACCATGTCATTTTCCCTCTTCTCCTTGATCTCCACCGGCTCCGCCATATCGGCCACCACTGTTCCTTCGGATTCTTCATATGTCGGCAAGGTCACACGCTGGGCCGTTTCATCGAGTTCCCAAATCGCCTCATCCTGATCAATGCCGCGCAACAGGTCATCTGAGTCAGATCCATACTCTCTCAAGTCATATTCCGCTTCGGCTTTGCTCGGTCTTTTCTCCTCTATTGACTCGACCGGCATTTTTACGGACTCGTTAGGGACATGTTCACCCACGGTGATGGTGTCGACATCGGCGTGCTCACTGCTCTCCTGGACAGAGAGATCACGAGGGGAAGGAGAGGCAGAGGTTTTGTTGGATGAGCGGGAGCGGGCAGCATGGATAGCTTCAGAGGTGAAGCCGAGGCCAGCGCCGAGAGCTTTAACGACGATACCCATGTCAACTTTAAAGGCAGTGAATTTGATTGTTGGGGTCTTACAACATAGCGGGTGTCCCGCGGTCTTAAATAGAGTAAAGCTTAACAAACTCTATATTGATATAAATAAATGATCAACCCCAAAATATCTCGAAATAGAAAAATAATTAATTTAGCCCCAAGCATAGATATCTGTACATGGTCCCACCATTTAAATTAATGGATGAGTAGCTCAGGATGTCAATGTTGGTTTTAAAGTGGGACATTGCATTTACCCGCAATGTTTACTTGAATCGGAATAGGCCAAGGCTTGTCTTCGAGATAGGGTCCTGATTGGATTAGATTACGTTGAAGTCAAGGACTAATTTACGCAATAGGGCTTAGTAGTTTATAAAGTGCTTATTTTAGATCCTCCATGCGTTATCTGCTTTATTTGATCTGTTGGCTTGCTTATTACCCGTGCCACTTCTTAACAAAACAGACATCCATTTAAGTTTTAACAGTCTACATGGATATCATTGAGGGCCAGCGATACATTATATCGAGAAAAAGGATGAGGTTTGGGACTTTGAGATGCCTGAAATGCGTTTCTAATCATGAATAATCGGCACTGATATAGTTTAATTGGGGTTCAAAATTCCAATTCGGCTAATATCTATCATAATGTGCAAAGAAGATTCTACCGCGACAGTTTATATCTAGAGGGCAGACCGCGCGTCATGCGGGCCGATCGGTGAAATCCCGTGGTTTTATGTAGTTGGATGCTGATCAACTTTCTGCATTGGTCCAGCCCACGGCGGTGGAAGTGGGGTGCGTAGTCATTTTGATTACACAACCTGACTAGCAGAACGCGACAATCGCGGTTCTCTGACGAAAACCATCCTCCTAGTGCTGTCTTGCTTCCTCGGGTTTTTTGACTGATTTTTTCAAATCACTGTCCTTTCATGAATATTGAAAGGGAGAGTCCAAATTACGGACAATTTAGTTGTTTGGAGAGACACGAGGAGCGGGGAGTGATCGATCACCATCTGTCGTGGCGCTTAACCTCGCATAACGTGGGGACAACGTGGTGGTCAAGCTAAGGATGGTGAATTAAAATGGGTCTAAGGTGTGGAGTGATGAAAAGAAAGCTCGAGTCTCTCATATTTGGGGGCGATACTGAGTCATGCTCGGCACGATCAATGAGCACCTCGGGGCTTCATTCCGGGTTCTGCATGCTTACCAGGCACTCACTGAGCCACCCCGATCATCCCCGCAGCTAGAGAGTATTGCTAAGTGAGAGATCCCTCAGCCGCGCTGAGCATGAAGCGGCACTCCGCTGAACGATTTAGCATCGCTCCTATTTGTCATAGGTCCTTCTTTATTTATATATAAACTAGTTACTACTGCATCTGGAATCTCCCCACCCCTAAAATTTGAAGGCATCAACTAAAACTGACCTAACAGATAGGTTGTTTCTTTGTTCTCGAGTTCTATTATCTTATTGGCTAATATGGGAAAATGCTGGGTCCATTACGCAACTGTTATGCAACGTTTCCTAAATCTGGAAACATTAAGCAACGTTGCAAGCGTTAATCACTTGCAGCAACGCCATGAGCGTTAATTAATTTCACCGGATTTCCAAAGCATTACCAATATCCTCAAATTATTGAAGCAATTCAAATTATTCACAAAACACGACCAACCCACCTCCTTATCTCCTTGCTTCCTTACCTCTATGCCTCTGCCTTGGCTACCTGAGCGCGTACCTGAACGTTAAGGGGTAAGCAGTACATTGAATAGGGCAATAAGTAGAAACACACCTAATATGTGCCTTCACAGGCCTGCCTTATCTTCCTAAGTGCATTCGTGGGCGCTCCTAGAGATTAGCAACATATTGGATAGCGTAGAGAGGAAATGCGCACCTGATTGTATGGTTATATATATATACATATATATATATGGGGACAAGGGAGAGAGTCAACTATATGTAGGGAGACTACGCTTGCACATAAGTAAATAAGCCTTTTCAATGCTTGATTAAGAAGACATACATCTTTATAATTGAAAGACATTACAAGATTTGAAAACACTACTCATTTGGATACGTGGCTAATGTAAAATACATTGCTGCAGCTAGTAACATTACTAGACAAGTCATATTTCTAAAACCTGAGCATTGTAGCAACCGAATAGCTCAGTTTCTACAATACGATGGTCGCACAAAGGTTTCCAGGTTCCCGCATCTGCCCGTATTGATATCAGTCTGAGATCCTCGATTATGTATCTTCGTCCTCATATATATTCTAGGAAGTCATTGATATTACATATGTATTAACGCTAAAAAGATTGCCAACATATTGGTTGTCAAATCTCGCTGAATTGTCCCTCATAGTCACAGTGCTCCATGTGGGTAACCTTTACAATACTTTCTTTGTATGTAGAGTTTCCCTGAATCCCTGTATATGTTCCTGTTGATACAAAAACTTTTGCTCTTCCTATAGCAATATGGCTGGTCGGTAGTAAGGATGTTCTGCAATGACCTTTCTGCGTTTAGCAAATTATTTTGTAGGCTACACAAGAAACAGCTTCTAAGTCCCATACGTCTCTCTGCGTTCAAGATCGAGGTTACCAATAATAGTATGTCACAGAATGTTGAGGTAGAGGGTAATATGTCTGTAAATGGGGCCATAATTCAGTTTGCACTTGTAGAATAATTTAGCAACAACCCTCTATCCTCATACTGCACGTCTTTCACCATCTAATCGGCGAATTAAATGACCAGTTAATAGTCCCAGTATGTACAAGAAGTATTTCACAATTAATATGAGCATTTTCTAGCTATTTCACCTTCCTCACCGGACAGTTTTGTATTTATGAGGCAATTATGGGTTATTGAAACCTACCTAGCAAGCCGATATGGGAATATCCGAGGTATACTAGCGTGTGGCAACATCATTGTCTATGACCAATTCTCTTAGTTATCGTTAGGACCTAGTATGTCATTTCCACATGATACCTAGTTTTCCAGGATAAAATTGGGCAATTGATCTCATGGACAGGAGATTGCCTCCGTATCCAATCCCCGAACATATCCAAATCATGCTAGCTTTGAAATTCCAACTCGACACTGTCGGTATTTCCAAGGAAATCCGTGTTTCAAAACAGGTAAGTAATTTCAAACCAGGCTGAAAATGCATGACAGACCGGTTATGTGTTATATACCCAGGTGAAAGACACAGCCTCAACGACGTGCATCTTGGTGTCAGCCTGACAACACACGGCCTAACGTTACTAGCTTTCGAGGCTCATTTCACAACCGGCCCACGACATAAAAGAAGTCTTGAATGCCAGTTGCTACACGTATCATCAAATTTGAACTTTTAAAATACAATAACTTCTCTTTATACAACGATAATCTGCATAATTTTGACCATGGAAGGCGAGCTCTCCCGCGAAGTGGAAGAGTTCATAAAATCATGGGACAAGATGCAATATTACCATGAAAAACTGGCAAGTATAGTTGGGGAGAAATGCCAACAAGCTCTCAAGGATCGCGGCATTCCTTGCAACGTTAGCTGGCGAGTAAAGGAGGCCGACAGCTTGAAAAGAAAGATATACACTAGACAGCATCCTAATAAACCCAAATTTCAAAGCGAAAAGGACATTGTCGAGGATATCACAGATCTTGCCGGTGTTCGGATTGCTTTATACTGGCCTGAACATAAGAAAATGGTACCAAATATTCTCGAAAGTTTCGTGCGTATCAAGAAGAACAAAAGTGTTTCAGACAGCGACAACCAGGACGAGCAAGCTAGGAGACGTGCTCGCAGATTCCAATGGTACTCAGCCGATCATTATATTGTTGGTCTCAAGCAAGAACAGGGAGTAAAAATAGGAAACGAAGAGGACAACATTGAGGTACAGGTGGTTACAGTTTTGCGCAACGCATTGGCTGAGGTGGAGCATAACCTGGTGTATAAGCCTTTATCTGGTGTTCCTTCATGGGAAGAACACAACATAATCGATGGGCTGAGTGGAGTTATCTATATGGGCGAATGTTTCCTTGATCAGCTGTGGGACAGCCGAGCTCGAAAGTCCGAAGATACCAAGGAGCCCTTTGAAAATATCTACGACCTGGGGCTTTGCTTATCCAGACTTGTGTCGGACAATGTCCAGAGTGAGGACAGCGACTTGGGGTCTTTGAGACCATTACTTCCTCTGCTTGAAATCTATTCTCTCAATAGCCCATTTGAACTGAAAGAGTTGTTAGCTAGCATGAATTCACAGAAAGTGCGCAGCCATATCAAAGCGGCGTACGGAGACATTCAACCAACCATGTCAGTTTGCATCATGGACTACATTCTCTTCCAACGGGATAGCGCTAGAATCAGGAAAGAACAGAGCTCGACGGGAGGAAATGAGCTTGAAAAGATTTATACCACTTTTATCTGGTTGGATGAGCTTTTCCCCCCTTCGACATCATGGTTTGGACCGCTCCTTTTGAAAAACAACTTGCCTGAAAACGAGAATTCTGCCCTCCTCCAAGCCTTTAAGTGGCTTGGTCAATCTACAACCCAGGACCTTCTGACTAATCCTGAAAAGATGACCCACAATGCGAGGAATCAACTGTGCGAGCTCTGGAGTTGGTTTGGTCGCCATAGAGAGCGCCCCATTCAACTTGCTTCCCAGTTGTGCGAACTGAATATCGTTCGTGACCTGAAAAAAGAGTGGCATCTTTTCACAAGGGCATTTGCAATCTTGGATATCATCGAATAAAACAAATCCCTGCACCAGAATCCTTTTGGCAAGGTCTGGGTCAGCATAACGAGCCTATCCTAACTATCCGGCATAATGGGAGCTGAGAAATAAGAACCATCCAGTATAACCGTAGCGGCTTGGTTTGAAAAACTAGGTGGGCCTGTTCAAGAGACAAACCATACCCTTGGAACATTCTAGACTGGATGAATGCGTTTTTTAGAGTTGGAAGAACTTGTCAACTATGATACTTTTCGATTTTCATTTCATTTTCATTTCATCATTTTTTTTCTTTTCTTTTTTCTTCTTTCTACCTTTTTCTATCACTCGGTCGGATTATGACCAAAACACTTGGGCAGCAAAGGCAAGAAGAAGTTTCGTCGTGTTAGCACTTTGTCCTTTCGGTAATATCAGATGTAAAGCGAAAAGTCACGTGACTTTGTTTGCTTTTAGTATGAATTTACTCCCCTTTTTACTCTCTCAATAACTTCGACCGTTCGCTTAGGTAAATTTAATACATGCTCATCACTATTTTTCATCTGCCTATCCACGAAGTATCCCTTAGCCCCCATCCCCCTTGTCAATATTTTGACTTGAAATTACACCTGGCGGTGAGTAATTTCAAGTCGTGACATGTAAATTTGTGCTGGTTCATACGTCAACTAGTATGAGCAGAAAATTGCCCCAATGGGATCCTTCGGGTTAATATTCCCATCGCAGCTTTCAATAAAACCCTGTAACACACCGCAACAGAAAAAGGTGTTTTGGGCAAACAGACACAGCCGCATTGCAGGCAGTCGGGCAACTTATAGTGGCGGCCTTGCATGTAGAACGTAAATCCCAATCGTGCTGACTGAAACCAGGCCCATAGTATTATAAGGCTTTAGCCTTGGAATTACAAAGGTGGATATCTTTGTTTCCACTTTGTGTCAGACTGTTCACTCTCCCCAAGCTGGATTTAATGTCTCCTTATGGGACCATAATAGCTATTACAATAAAAGAAATTAAGCAGTTGCCTGAATGATCAGGCCAATGAGCCTTTACCAGGCCCATGTCGTTGCTCAATGTCGGAAGAACCCTTGCCTTTCCATTTTGGAAAGGTTTCTTTCCGAACCAGAACCAGAAAGAGGCACCTACCAAATTGCCAGCATTAATTTCTTCAGCAACCGCGATGGAGCCATACATCTGGAGAGAGAAACTCTTCAAGCTGACGAGTTGAAAGGGATGCTTTCCACTGACAAGCAGTCAAAAAACATGAAAGGCCAGATACTGATTGTGGAAGATATATCAAAAGATTTAGTGGAATTCTTAGGATCAAGCCTCAATATCGACCCGCTTTTTTTCGCTTCGCACGTCTTTGCCGCATATAGGAATACTAGCATGCAAACTCCCGATCTAGCACTGCTCCCATCTAGATTTCAATCTCAGCAGTATTTCAACACACACTATCACCGAACCGTGCAGCTGCGGCAGAAAGACGAATGCTTAGGGAAGAAACATCTCATACGCGCGACCAATATAAGTAGGAAACTTGCCATTTTACCTCCTACGCATAATATATCAATTGGCTTGGTTCAACATGCACTTTCGGTTCACTTTTTCCCGCAGAACGACCATAGAGAATCTTGGCTCTGTGAGTATATACTGCTTATCCAAACGCATATATAACTTCTAATTCAAATTCTAGGTTTGATCTTGGTGGATAAATCTATGCCTCACGGTCAACTGTCACTCCGAACATGTGATAAGGGAGGCAATACCAATATGACAAGGCTTGAAATCGACGCAATTCCTTTCTTAGGTGGTTATGAAGATTTCATTGATCCGAGTCATCCATATGCCATACTCACGGAGGCAGGATTGGCACCTTCTCGCCATGGAATGCTGGAAGATCTAATATATTACTGGAATTTGAAATTGCCGACTGATTTTGATCCCACTTCACCTACGCTACTGTCTCTGTGCTTTTACCCGTTGAGAATCATTGCGGCCGAGTGGGCGAACGTTCTGGCTGTGATGAATTACCATATGAAGAGATACGAGTACAGCGTCGAGGGTCAAAGAATTCTAAGCCAAGATCTCGACCTGCTCAACACTGATTTAAATAGTCTTCAACGCTGGCGCCGAAGAAATCTTTCATCACAGCGGAAAATAGATGCGATCAGCCGGTTCGTCACTTCTCAAATGGCTAGTGAATCACAAATTGACGCAGACGTACCCCGAAATAATTATGCGGACTCTGATTATCTGGTGAGCGATTATGCTCATCTTACCTCCCGTCTAAACCAGTACTCCCAGCGACTTGAAAGCATGTTACCAGTGGTCATGTCTCTGGTACAAATATCAGATAGTCGTCGATCGCTGGCCGAAGCTGCAAACATTAGCCGACTAACTTATCTCGCTTTTGTGTTTGTTCCACTCAGTTTTGCGAGCAGTTTGTTTAGTATGAACCCTGATACTAGTCCTGGCGGCAATCATTTCTGGGTTTATTTTGCCGTTGCCCTGCCGATCACAGGCGCAGCCTTTTTTATAGCTCGGCCGCCTTGCTCTCTACGCCTTTGGCGAAATCCTCGGGTTAAAAGTGGGATCAGTGAAGTTTGACACTATCTCCCTTTTAATCATTATTGATGAAATTGTGTAACATGTCTTTGGTTTACCTTACTTCGTTTATGCTCTCTAATTAATTTAAATTTTTACAACGTGGCAACTTCACTCGATGCGCCTCTAGATGAAGACATAGACTGCGTAGCATTTTGCCATCCAAGCTAGTTTTAGCATGATTGATACCTCATTGTACTGGCAAGGCTAAAATATGTGGCATCGAAAGAAATTGGCTGTCGGCATATAAAAGTTGAACTTCAGCCTTGCCGGTAATCTAGTTGAGGTTACCCAAACTGTCATATTTGAGCGTCATAAGTTATATTACTAGAACTATGATCCTGTATTACTATTTTAATATTTCGTCCTATTAGATGAATTATGGATTGAATTTGCATACTCACCGAAACTTTCCTTTAGGCTTCAACCCGACCACATCATCACTCTTATGTCACTAAACTAGGTCATTGATCAATGATTTTCTCAGCCCAGATCACAATCAAGTCAGCAATTGGGTGAACCCCATGTCAATGGAGACCATTCGAGTAACTGCAACAGTACTATTGACAAAGCTTAAAGGTCTCAACGCAACTAGGCTATGACCAGCGTGGTATTTCGTATGTGCGACGTAATACGAAGTAGAGTGTAGAAGTGGAGTGGACGTGTAACACTTGTCGATATTTCAGGCTGATATAATAGGATTTATCGCTGCCATCAACATATTCCACTACCCAAAATTCGATAACAGGAAAAATAATATTCATTGCATTATGTAGTTTTGCAAAATGCGACTCTAAATAATTGGGCAGAAAAGAGGCAAAGGCAGCCGCTAGCGCATAGGTGATGAAGAATATCAGCTGTATAACAAGCATTGCTAACCGGTGATGTGGGTAAATATCATTGACCTAGGGGGTTTAAGAGACAATGAAAAAGGAAATTGCTTGAATGAAAGACTGCGTGGATATTGGGGGCGCTGGGCGGCACGCCGCCAGGGGTTCCGTTTCGGGTATAACCCAAGGGTTACAACAGGAACATACGCCAGCTTTCGGCTTCACTGGTTCAGAATGAGTATCCATACCATGCATTGATTCTCACTATCTCAGGCATGCAACGTATCATGCGAGCTAATGCGCCCATTCGCCTAAAGCCAGCCTTGGGGTCAGCCTCGCGAAGGACGGCGAAAAAACTTCCCTAATAGACGTCCGTTCTGCCCATTGAGTCCCGCACCCACTAGAAAATTGACCCTCCTTTCGTCCTAATACTTGGGAAATTGATTTGATGGTCTTTCGATAGACTGAGTTTCTTTCCGTCAAAATGTTGACTGAATCAGATTGTACACGTGAGTTTCTAAGTTGTGTTCCTTGTGTTGAATAGAAACCACAGCTATAACTTCTCGTTTCTGCTTTTTCCAGAGGATTTCGAGGTATTGGCAGCAGATATGATGCTCTATGTTATGCCCTTCGAGATGGTCAAGGCTACTTTTCACCGTGGTTTCTGTTTGACAAGGCCGAATCTATTGCCTTCGGTGAGCAAAGAACGGCCACGACTTCAAGATACTGGCTTCTTCAAAGGTGACCTGGCATTGGGTTCACTCAATGATAGAGACAATGACATGCTGCGTTTTAACTAACCTGGGGATTTTTATGGCAATTCAAATGGTTGGGGACCGTTTGCTCGAAAAGTGCTTTTCCACTGGAGATAATATTAGTGAGTTTTATTCGTTTCTTTTTTCATTCTAGTACATTGCTAATGTATTTAGTGGTAGCAGCCAATTTGGATAAGGAGTGAAAAGGATGGAATGAACTCACCCAAATGCTTACAACGTTCGGATTCTCTGAAGTTCTCCCACATCGCTTGATTGTCGTTCCCACCGTGTTCGAGATATTCCTGGTAAAACTTTGCACCCAGTCGACAAATGTCAGATCCTGAAAGGGATGGATCTTCATTTTGGACCAATCCAATTATCTTCCACAGAACAGAGTTTTCTGGAATAGCCCGGAAGCTTCTATCATGTTGCATCTTCGCGAAGAGATACGAATAAAGATTCAGGTCCCCACGCTTGGTCTGCGACATTGCCACAAATTCTAGACAGGTTTTACAACAATGATTGAATATAACCTTTGTATACAAGAAATCGGACAGAAAACACGCTTTTCTTGTCGTGGCGGAGCGATAAGTTTGGCTGGGTGTGCCAGGGAGGGTTCGTCAGCGACAACCTCGAACACCGATGAGAACCCCACTCCAATATCCTTCGTCGATCAATTACTTGCCTTCGTCCTCTGGCGTTCACTGTCAGAGGCCAGTCAGGGGAGTTGACGCTTGGACACGCTGTGAGTATTCACAGGACTGTTAAGTCCAAAAAAATCGGTTCGATTGGTTTAAAGAGGAAAGGCGCGATCGAAACGAAAGAAATTGGTTTGCCTACAGGAGCAACAAAACCAGTCAACAGTCAAAATTCTCAGTGTTTTATTCTTTGGGTGGCCCACCTGGGGACTCGGCTGTACGGTTGTTAGAGAAAGGAGGAATTATGTCTGTGAATATTATTGTTCCCCCACCCTCGTTTTCAATTTCCACGCAGTTGGAAAGTAAACGATTTTGAAGTGGTGCAATAATGGTAGCAGATCGGAGAAGTAGGTTCTTTGAAATCGTCACTCCGATCAATACAGTGGTATCGAAGGTGCCAAACCTCCAACAAGAATATTTTTGGTTTCTGAACGGGTTACGCTCTGGCGATTCATGGTGGAGAGCTCGGTGGTTGCAAAATCGGCTTAGTATATAGGACCTGTTCTCACGGCCTGTTTCTCCCTGTGGACCCTAACAAGCTGAGGGCACATAGGCGTGGTGAGAACAGAGGTTAGACTGTATCCGGCCCAATTATTGAGTATCGCGCTCTGGCCACTAGCTAGAATTAGTAATTGATTTGATTCATGTAACTATAACGAATTCTTATGGAACATTCTACGTTTTAATCAACATGGAAAAATCAGCTACAGCGTCTTTATTGTACATTGGCCTAGAAATCGTGAGGTAAGTGTAATGATTGAGGGTACCTAAATGAGATCGAAAAGTCTTTAAACAAGCTATATGTGACACCTGGGCCGATACCGGCACTGAAAGACGTTCAAAATACCGAAATTGCGGCTCTTTGGGTATTATGAATGAAGAATGTATGATTCAGTCATGGAAGGTTTGGTTTATTCGTTAATAGCGAAGAAGCATCGGCCACCAAGCTACTAGATGAATAAACAAATAAACAAGGCCTCAAACCTATTTCATAATGTACTGATGTCACACAGCAGTGTAATGATCTAGGTATGGGGAAGGCTTCTACTGTACGTACAGCTGGATGATAGATATCTGATATGTCAATAAACTGGGTTTGAGTTGACCTATCATCGATAGAGATTTTAAATGAGGCTGAACTATCAGTAGCTAGAGCTACTAGTTAAGTCAAACGATAAGTCAACTGAACCAAAAATGGGTAACGACTTTACTATCAGCCTTTTCACTGGTAGCCCGAGACTAGCCTCCGCCTCTTGTGTAACTCTTATTTCCCAACAGTTTCAGTTTCTGTGCCCGATGGTTGATCCTTTTTCACCGCCCAGCCTAGACTGCTTTTGAACGACGAAACCTACCTGAATATACGTAGTATGAATAGAGATAAAATATTCATGTTTCATATACCCAGCATCGATAAATAGATTTATTATTCTTCATGTAATTTTAGATATATTGGAGGTGGGAATATCTCCTAATGTTATTGTATGAAGACTGTGGAATATTCAATACATTGCTTATTCTCGCCAAAGTCTCACCGACTGTTCGTTGCACCCTCATATTATTACGACGGGCCAAATTTTAGGCTTGCACTTTTTTTTCGTCTTTTGTTTTTCTAATCCCTGCTAGGAATTATCATTTTAGTTGCCTGTGAGAGCTAGGAATATTTAACCCTGAGATTCCCATTGGTTGTCTGGTCAGAAGTTGACCGCTATTGGCTTAACATTCGACAAGGGGCTTTGTTCTTGTGACGAGCCATTGATATTGACCTAGCGGATGCTTTGCCGTAAATACGTACGTATTTCGTGACCTGTTTCGCAATTCAACCAAAAACCGATGACGAGAAACAAAAATGGATATTTCATTCAAATCTTCGGTGCCTAAATAGATGTCCAAAATTAGAACACCAGGGAAAAGCGCAAGATCATTATATGGATCCCCATCTTGATAATGAGCAAGAGTATCGAAGGCACGCAGTTGATGGCTACTGTGACGGGCCATCCACATCGGTAAGAACAATTCCCATTGAAATAACACGATTTTCATCATTTTCTTGGACGCTCATATAAAAGTTTCCAGTCATCTTTCGCCTCAGAATGGAATTCTACACAAGCCAACATTTCTCTTCTAACAGCGTCCCATAGCGACTTTCAAATGGTTTCTTTCCCTGACAATCGATTTCAACTCCGAGACCATGGAATAACTGGAAACCTTGGTTTAAACAATACAGAACTTTCTTATAGCCCAGAGATCCAAAATAATGCGGTACACGGGAATGTTACTAACGGCTTTGTCCCTGGTACGATGCCATACAGTTATAACTTGGAATTGCCGCTTGAATATACGCCTGAAAACGTAATAGATGGTGAAGAAACGGTGAAGGCTAGTCCATATTCCTTTCACCAAGTTGATCAAGCATATAACAACGATGGAATTTTTGACTACAATCCTCCTTGGAATCCGCTCCTAGCATCGAATTCAGAGCATCAGTCTAATCTCCTAAGTGCATGCACCTTTATCAGCGCTCCAAATTTAGAAAATGATTTTGATCACCAGTACTTTTCGCATTTGGGAGGGCAATTCACTGAGGACACCGCTAGTTCAAAGGAATGCTCCATATCTTCTCCGGTATTGAAATACAGGTTATCAACAAGGCCAGACTTAATGTAATCCCTTGCTGATGAAGAACAGATGACTACTAGTAATGATAATATGTTCTCATCCGACTCTGAGAGCTGGCTATCTGAAATGGGAGACAATTCCACGTCTGGGAGGTTATCTTCATCAAGTAGTATTTCTCTTGGGTTGTTTACGTGTAGCCGTTGCAATAAAAAATTCCATCTAGAACGAGAGTTGAGGTATGCAGTTCATGAGCCCATTTCAATCGAATGAACTCATTAATCAAAACATAGAAAACATCGAAAAGCTCACTTGACCGACAATCAAAAGCCGTATCCATGTCCAATATGCGGCAAAGCCTTTTTGTATCCAAAGGATCGAACTCGACATAAAGCTTCTGTGCATGATGATGCAAAAGAAAAAGAAAGGGCATCATCTTCAGCACGCTTCTGTCCAGTGAGCGATTGTCCAAGACAGGAGCACGGCTTTTCAAGATCGGCCGATTTGGTGAGACATTTACGAACGGTGCATGCTAAACCTGAACAACAAGGTATCGTTGCGTACAGGTGCACGTCAGATAATTGCCCAACACCTCAGAAGAGATGGTATCGTCTGGATAATCTACACCTGCATATACGACGGGTACATGGCGATGAAAAAGAACACGCTTTGATTGAAAAGTTAGTGCATTATTTGTTTGTTTTCCATTCTTCTTGATTACTCTTCTCCCTTGACTTTTTGATTACATTTTGTAAATGCATCGGGTAGTTACAGGAGACCTACTGATTCGTGATTAGGTCGAAAAGAAATGCGTTGGATATGTATACTCAGGAATTTGAGTGCGAAAATATATCGACATTTAATGCAAAGCAATGGGAGCCCAGCAAATAGACACAGCATTGAATATGGTAAACCGGCACTTCCATAAGTATAATGCCGATTGGCAGTGATTCGGCACATAACGAACTTGACCACATCCACATGTATATCGTGTCTTTCTCGGATTTCATAAGGAACTATATTATTAATATAGAAGCTGCCATATAATCAACATCAATTGATACTCAGTCTTCAAGGCCGAATAAAAGAAATGTGAGTTATCCCAGGCCCCCATTCTGGAGATAATGATTTTCTAATTTGTCCGTTTGATAGACTTGTTGACTACCACTTCTAAGAATTGAATAGTAAAGAAAAGAAGTTTGCAAACTTTCGGGATCTAGAAAGCGGGCAACATCGGCACTGCGGACTGAATGGGTTTTCGTACACCCTACCCTTTATAAGTTAAATAGTGTCCAAGACACCTGTGGCGGCTCTGGAAACCCTTTATTATATGAGTGAGTAATGGCGAGGATTCGCTATCCTCAATATTCTGGTCTTTAGATGTGGCACCTTACTGAGTGAATACTCCCGCTTACGCAGTCGAGACAACAACGGCGTACACTCAGGATTATATTCTAAGTGTACACAAGCAGTAGAGTGCCTAGCAAGTTATTAGCAATGCAGCTCGTTGGTGACGTCTCCAGTTTATCAAGTGGCTTATAAACGCCCCAATTTCTATCATATTATGTCGCTTTACTCTTTTAAGCGCCATGTGTATTAGGTGGCTCCTAGATAATTTATAGAGGTTGGTGATTACTTCATATGCCCGCTTCTTTAACTGTAATTGGTGGAGAGAATATAGTATTTTCCTCTAAAATGTGTGTCGCTATAGTCTTGAACCCGAATAGAATCTAGAACAAGGCTGTTCTCTATGTAGTCTCTGGAACCTAAAGATAGGTCTTTTCTCTGCATCTTGGCAGTCGGCAGAACGTATGTGGGTTATGTGACACAAGCAAACTTCAAGATTACTGTTCTGGGCTTCTTTGTTATCTCGCCTTTTTCTCGCTTCTCTCAACTTCAGTCCCTCCACAACCACTTCACCCTATCTTAATCCACCGACTTAAAAGGCCCTTGAACATGGCAAACATCAAATTAGCTAGAGGCATCGCCATTTTCACCGATGTAAGTGCAACAAGCAAACACCCCAGATTGCCCTTTAAATACCTTGGCTAACAAGAGTCTGGGCGAGGCGGCTTCTGGCATCGGGAAAGAAACGGCTTTCGCCTTTGCCGAAGCAGGCGTCGAAACTATCCTCCTAGCCGACTTGACTAGCCCTCTGAAACAACCATCGAAGAATGCAGCAAATTCTCCCTGCTCCAGAACTTCCCCGCCGTGACTGTTCAGGTCGATATTACTATCGAAACGAGCGTTGCGCAGATGGTCGAGACTGCGGTTAAATAATTTGGAAATGTTGATAATTGTGTGCATGCTACAGGGGTGACTGACGAGACAAGACCTAAGTGCTCTCCATCTACTCGAACCGTTTCCCATCCAGGGCTCCTTAAGTACCGTACGGTCTGCCTGTTTGTCGTAGTTGCTGATATGGACTACATCGCCGCAGATGGGAAATATCTCCGGCGCGCGCACAGAGAACCTCAACGTCAACGTCTTCGACAAGACTATTTCCACCAACTAACGCGGTAAAACTGCTGGTAATCACTCCGTACTTGGTACCTGTCTACTATACTACCTTCCCGTACACGGCACGTGGCGTGGCTCTTGAACTAACAGCCCCCTTCCTGTCCTAGCCTTCAACAACTTCGACAACCACATCCGTGTCAACACTATCTGCCCTTCCTGGACCGATACCATAATGATGAAAGCCAGTCAGCGTTACCCGAGGGTCATCAAGACGATCGAGGCGCTGAGTCCACTGAAGCGAGCGGCGCTGCTGGAAGTGGCGGACTCGGCTCTGTTTTTGTGTATCCCTGCAACAAGCTATGTCAATGGTGTTAGTATTGATGTGGGGATTACGCTTCCAGCGTTTAGGACCAGTTTGTGAATGAATGCGTTAGCACAGCCTACCTTCTATTCTAGGTTTGTTCATTGATGTACATGGTATGAATAGGATGGAATGATATTTTCCATAGGCTTAGATATATTGATAGATATTTTCTCACTTTCGATGAATGCCATGCAGGGGAGTAAGCCCACGTGTTAAGGAATGATATTATCAATCGTATATAAACCAGACATTTCTAACAATTTCCGGCTGTTGTCACCGATTGGTACCTATATCTTCTTCCCCACATGTAAGGTTGCACATCTCTTTTCTTTTTCATTTCCCATGCCAATCAGCCGAGAAATATAGCTATGATATCATGATAGTTTCATCTACCATACATATGTATAATCGGAAGGGTTATGGTTGACGTTATCTTGCATATCATTCCGTGCAGCCATGTACAGCCTAGCCCTCCTGGTTCGAGCTAGGGTTCAGAACGAACCATTTGAGCATATACCCTAATTCAAGGCACTTGGTAAGAAAATGTATTGATATTTCATACAAATCACCTAGGGTTGAAGAATGGATACTGTTTCACATTACAAAACAATACTTCCTACCCGAAGTTACCACGGATCAACATTCGACATTCCATGATGCGAAATGATAATGACTTAATGGGCTCGTACACGAATGTATTGACTACTGATTGACAGTTCTAATCGCAAAATACAGAGCTTCTGATAAGCTTTCGGGATCTTTATTGCGGTCAGATCGATATCGGGGATTGAACATGTTGCTCGGCGATCTCGGCCTTGGTTTCCGCCACAGTCATCGGCAATATTTAACTCCCGACTTCTGTTCCAACTCGCTTTCTTCCTTTTCTACCGTGTAATATCACAGAACGAACAAGGCGACCCTATAAATCATTATCATATACGTCAAAACACTGACCAGCCTGGCTCCAGCTAAGACATTACGTATTGTTGAGAATTGGTTTTCGCAAAAATGTGCTTGAAATCTACCTGTTCTACCTGCAGTAAGAATAATCTCATTTTTGCCTTGAGAAAAGAACGTGAGCTCGTGGCTAAGATTTAGTATAGATAAAGCAACATGGTGGGGTTGTGGCAAACATATCCCCGCAGTGCTCGACAAAATCCCCCAAGATGAGCGTTGCAACTGCACACCGCGCATTGAAGTTGATGGCAATGAGTATCCACCGAAAGGCGATAAAGCAGATTGACTATCCGGCAGCGCTTGGATAAATTGGTTTCAAGGAGGCTAAATCTAAAGGTTTATGGGGAACGTTATAGTATGGTCGTCGAGTAGCATTTGGAAAGTGTAAATAATGTGTTCGTTAATAGAAATCTCCAGAGATTCTTACACAATTCTCATTCGCTTGCGACCTCGAGCATAAAATCGTACTGACATCATCCCCCTCTTGGTCGAACCACCACAATCTCCTGAACACCCTCCGTTTCATCAAGTTCTTTTTCGAGCACGGCCTTCGAATCTTCCCACCTGACACGAAACAAGCCCGAATTGAAGCGGCATGTATGTAGCTTTCCATCCCATTCCGCCTTCCCCTGTCTGTGAATTTCCTCAAGTTGGCGTTTCATGTCCCGAAGGGCATGTACCGAGTTTGCGAGGACGATGTGTGGCGGGCTAACTGATCTGCCATACGCATAGGATGTAAAAAGACATACAATCCAATGTTTTTTGGCGGGGGTATCGGACTCATAGTCCTCCTTCTGGGGTGGAATAATGAGAGCAGTGCCCAAGGGAAAGCGCACATCCTGTTCCTCTCCAGTGTCGGGATGTATGAGAGTTTGACTTCGAGAAGATTGTCGAAGGTCCCTGCAATGCTCCTTGTAAATTTCGTAAGCAGCAGGGTACTTTTAGATCAACATCTGTTAATGTATGGACGATATATAGAGAGTGGATGATGAATACCTTGGCTTGGAAAGCTTTGGCGATACCTCCGCCCCACGAGCCCAGGCAGTTGCAAGCGTCTGATCATTGTTTATTAGTATGATGGTTCACTTGAAAATAATGAGAGGATAAATACGAATGAGTACAGCCCCGTCGGGAGCGTCGAAGAGATCGCCCTCAACCTCAGTTATTATCATTTTGATCCCACTAAAGGCGTGTTGAGGTATTTGTTTCTCAGTCTGTCGTGGAATCTCAGTATGGTGTAGTATCTCAGTATATTGTTGGATATCAGTATGTTGTGGAATGCTGGAATAAAGAATGAATGAGGATAATATAAAACGTGGAGTAAATAGACCTGACGCACGTGGCCGCTTTGGTATATTTCGAGAATGAGTTCGACTGCGCGGAGAGGAAATAAGGTTAGCTTGGTGGAGGTATTTCTCTCGTATTTATGCGGACAGTCGGGTTTTTACTGCCAAGCGAAAACATATATGTATGACTCACAAATAAAAAGCCAGGCCGTTTGCTTCAACTTTTCAATCTTGCCTCACATCTTGCTCATTCCAAACTATCAATAATGCCATGTACGAATGCTCCGGTTTTTTATGATATAAAAACGTCTTTTAAAGACAACAACGAGAAATGCGCATGTAGTCATGTAAGTCTTTTCGCTTTATCGAAAGATTATTGCCTCTCACTACCGATGACTCTAAAAGTAGCATATGACTAGTTCAAAAATACAGCTAATCTGATCTAGATAGATGTCAAGAACAAATGTGATACCAAAATCATGTTATTGATGACCTTAGTATAGAACGTAGTCTATCGTATAAATAGTCTACAGAGAGCTGACTGCTGATTAGGACACAGTACAGTCAGGAGCGCTCCTGCCCAATTCTTGTGGACCGGTAACCTCTGCTGTCATGTCAGGTCCAAACTTGTCATACCCCTCCTTCGCATTTTCAGGAGTTGCGGTATAAAATTTCGGATCAATAGCCACGCCCGCAAAGCCACAGGTTTGGGAGTCCAGATACATGTTTCCATCTCTGCTAGGATGCCAGTTTATCGCCCCCTTTTCGTCGAACGGCGATATTTCACCGATGATGTAATCACCGTTGTCATGGAATTGAAGCGTGAGTTTGGTGCAGTCAGACGAGACAGCGGGTACTATTTGCTGCCAGAAGCCGCCGTACCCACGCCAGTATAACTCAATGCGATCCCCGCTATCAACTTTGGCATCGAGGGCCATTTCCCCCTCGTATCTCATGAAGCCTTCGCCATGGCCTCCTGCTATGCAAAATTGACCGAATATCTCGTTCCCGTTCCAGTAAATCGACATTTTTATTTGTTTGTTAAATGGCGATTTGATGGAATACGTGACTTGTCCAGTTCCCTCAAATGGAGTTCCGTGGTCTTTGGAGGCCATGTCGCGTTTCACTTGGGTGAAAAGACTCTGTGCATTGTTGTCGAAGCCTTCCCATGAGCCAGGTCCTGGGGTGGCTGGCAAGTCCCTATTCAAATCACGGGGCTGGCTCCTACCAGGCCGCAACATCTGTGGAAGCGGTGTACCCGTATGTCGATTCTTTTGGGAGTCACTCATTATGTAGGACTCGCGAGGTATGAAGATCTAGGCTGATGGTATAGTTTTTGGTTATTGGTAAACGTCTGCTTCAGGTTCTGCGTTCGTGTTGAGATTAATGGGAAAGGAGAAGTCCAAAGAGACATTATATCCTTTGTAGACTCTCTGTGACATATATTAAATGACTGTTCGGTGACTGATGATGATCCAAGACCTGTGCTGATATCTATATAATAGCAGTCTTGATGACTCCTTTGATGACTCGTTTCAATGGGTGACAGTTTGAGCTAATCCAATAAGTTACAGGAATCAGACACCACCCAATCAGCCGTTCCAAACTCTCAGTTTATTATTGATATCAAATTTCAACCGTCGCCATACCACCAATTTGTAAAGAAAAATGAAAAAGCGCCAATGAACAAGAAAGCAAGATATTACTTGCTATTTCTAATTTAAAAACTCCAAAAATTCTTAACTGCTCGTCAAGCCATATGTGCTTATAATATGAAGTTCCTTACACGACTCTTTGCAATTAATGCTATGACATCTTAATAAAGACTATAAAAAGCATCAATAATCATAAATTATCTAAATATAAGAAAGAAACACTTATTAAATAGATATTAAATCCAATTAAGCGAGAACTACCCTCACGACCACCTTTAATACAAGTTATAGCTAATATCCTTCTCTCTCAACCCACCTACCAACAGATTAATGAGAAATAGATATATTGACTTATTTAACGTCACTGACAGCATAAATTGCGATTTTCAAGGCAATGTAACTACAAAAATGCAAAATACAACAACCCAAAGATAATTCAAAATACTTTAACCACGTACGAGAGGCTATATTGATGTATAATATCTTACCAAACATACTTATATTCAATGAGACCAGCTTTACTATAGGAGTCGTGCCACTACGAGATTATAACAGAGGAAAACATCGATATAGCTAACCACATCTATTCAGCCTGGTAATCGAGAATAAGTATGTGCAATTAAGACAGTCAATTCTATCAAGTGAATTCTGTCTCAGAAAAGCTAGTTTGAGATTTGCCTACATGATTATCCATAAAGCCATACCAATCAGAAACGGCAAAATGAAGAGATTTAAATACTATGAAAACCGAGAATATATCTGAAATCACACGACAATAGGCGACAATCCCGAAATATTTGTGGCTAAAGATAATTGTACTCGGTTCAGGAGATGACAATGTCTACTCTGAATTCTCCTGTGTTTTGTAGATGTGGTTGTAACCATCTAAAGCCTGCTTTATCAAAGTCTCCATATCGCGTCCCTTGAATCTATTTGGGTCGAGGGCCCTTTGTGTGGCCACATCCACTGTCTCTCCTTTCATAATTTGAATCAAGAACTTGGCTGATCCAGCCGCATGAGTGATCCAAACCGCAGCTGCCATGTAAAGACCATTGACCGATGAAACCTTTCCTACTAGTGGCATATTGTCTGGGGTCATGGAGAAAATGCCGTTAAATTTCTCTCTAGGTACCAACTTTGTCTTCTCGGGGATAAGAGACAATGCGCGGTTAAGGGTTATATCAAAGTGCCCGGCCCAGTCGCCAATGGCAGTTTCCCCTGGCTTCTGATAAAGAGGCTTGTGGTTGTAAGAGCCTAAACCATAGAAGGGACCATGATCACGGGAATAAACGAGATATTCTGGCCATCGAACAAAAGGATACTTTTGCGGATTTGGCTCATGATATTCCCCATACATATATGGATGCGCGACCGGTATAACCGGGACTGGTACATCAAGATTGCAGAGTTGCATAGCCCAGGCACCGGTAGCAATGATAACCTCCTTTGCCTGAATAAACCCAGAGGATGTCATAACACCACTTATATTGCGATCTAGCTGGCAGATTTCTGTTACATTTGCTTCGATCAGCTCTGCACCGTTTTTGCTTGCTTCTTCCCGATAGAAAGCGGCAATCGTTGAAGCGCTTGCAGTGCCATCTCCTGCAAAGTGCAGGGCTAGTAGGTTGTCTTCCTTAACCAAATCAGGTGCCATGCGTGCTGCTAGTTCAGGAGTGATTAATTCTGCGGAGAGGCCGACTTTCTTTGCCAATTCGAGCCTATACTTGAGCTTTTCGACTGCCTCGGGACTGGCCGCAATTTCAAGACCTCCAACTGTGTCAAATCCCCCGGGAATGTTTAGATATTCCTTGACACTATCAATAGCAAGGCGAGTCAAGACTTCGGATTCATTGAGTTGACCGACGAATCCCGGCGCTGCGCCAGTTGATCCTTGTATTGTTGAGAAGGAACGATCAATGACGGTCACTTTATTTCCATCATTAGAAGAAGACAAGAAATAGGCCAATGCTGAGCCTACAATCCCACCGCCAATAATAGCAATATCAAATCTCCGTTGTGATGCCATTTTGCCTTTCGGAGAATCAGTCTTGCGTGAAAACCCAAATTCTTATACAGCGGTATTTGTAGAACCACAACAAGACATTTATTATCCTAAACCCTGCTTAATTGATATTGTTATCAGAAACCAGCTTGTGACACGATTATTCACGGATTCACGGAGAACAGAATCTTTCGGCCTATTTCGGAGTGCATTGCGGATATACGCCCTATGATTGATCACGCATACGAGGCAAACAATAGACCAAGACCATCATCCCCACAACCGAAGACAGACTCACGGTTCCACCAGTAATGACATCATGAAAGTACAGAGTAGGATAACCCAGTGGATTCAAAAGTAAGACATCGTATAAATAGCTTGAAGCTTTGTAAACAGTGGTCTTAGCATTAAAGCAATCAAGAGAATCAGTTGCTAGCTTTAGTCATAGACAGCCAATGGGACTCATCACGTGTAAGAACTCTCCTGTTCGAAAAGTAAGCGAATCATAGCGAGGAAAATCAAACCAATGGTCGGAGAGCGTGAGAACCGCAACGGATCGTGGTGGGCAGGGTTCTACCCCCTTCACTCCATTGGTCGTTTCAGGGCATGATTTTGTGTACAACCACGTGCAGTGATAGCTACTGCCGAAAAAGGGTCCATCTTGCTCTTAAAAACGACTATTTCTCTTCAGATTTACAGTAGAATAACCATTACACTAACTTTTTATCCTATCTATTGGCAGCAGCCGCAGCCTCCTTGTCAGCGGCCAACATCCTCTGTATGGCTGGCCGATTCACGCAGCGATCCCACCAAGCACCCACAGCCTCACGACTGACGATGATATCTCCGTGCCCGCATGCGAAAAGTCTTTGGATCAGTGGAATGTAGTAGATATCCACGAGAGTGAAGTCATTTCCAGCCATGTAGGCTTTGTGGCTTAAGAGACGTTCTGCAACATCGAAAAACAATTCGACCGACCGCAGTGCATCTGAGACAACGGCGTCATCGGGAGGCAGCCCCATGAATCTTTTGGCAAATTTCTCGAACGCAATTTTACCTGCAGGCTCTGCGAAGTAGTGCATTTCTACGCACTGTGCCTGGTCGAAAAGCGCCGCAGCTTCGACGTCGGAATCGGCGGGTAGAAGTGGAAAGGAGTACTTCGTTGCGAGGTATTTGCAGATTGCGCGACTCTCGTAGAGAGTGAACCCGTCGGCGGAAGTCATTACGGGTACTTTACCCCACGGGTGACGTTTCTTGTGTTCTTTGGACTGGACGCAACGGCGTTAGCTCCACGAGAATCGAAATTTGCAGGCAGGGGAACAAATATTTGATGAGTGAGAAGAAGTTTTGAGGCTCGATACGGTATGCTACTTGCTCACGCAAGGAGAAGCCGCATCGTCTTCCAAGAGAAACGGGTCACCCACCTTTTGCTCCCCTTTTTGAAGGTTGAGAAGCACGAGTTCGTAATCCGTAAAGCCACCTTCAGCAAGAGTCAGGCGGACACGATCGGTATTAGTCGAACCACGAGAGCCATACAGAGTAAAAGCCGGCATTTTCGAGTTGTATACTAGTTTCGACGCGAATCCGGGGCTAGTTGTGAGCCTCGACATTGTATAAGTACTCAATTCGAGAGAGATCCGGCCAACCACTCGGTATATAAGCCAAAGACATCTCGCCGAGAGCAGGAGCTAGCGGTATCTACAAAATCCGGCTGCCTTTGACTTCTATCGAGACAATTAGGACTCGGAACGCAATCACACCCAGGGGTGTGCTAGATGAAAAATAAGCTCTGGCAACGACATGTATGATTGGTGGGTTCGCTCTCTCTACCCAATCAAGCTAGCGCCGACGCCCGCCTCTTGGGCCTCGACTATTTAAAGCAATTCCAACTCGCCTTCCTCATGGTCCCGGTGATGAATCACGCTGCATCATTTGATTTGTCTGCTCGGATTTATTACTTGCTACGATTCTTCCTCTCGTCTGAAGGGTGTTGCGTGACAAGCGTGAATGTCCCGTCCCCCGCCCGACGATGGCCAGAAGCGTTGTCGCCCGCAAACAGAACATTAAATGTAGAACCAAGGTGAAAACTGGTTGTACAACTTGCAGGTCAGTCATAGCGGACAGATTCCATCATCGGTCTACATCCCAAGACTGTGAATTTAGACCGAGAGGCCAGCTTTGCAGTTATGGTACTCAATTAGAAATAGAATTAGGAAGATCAAATGCGACGAGAATAAGCCGTTTTGCGAAAAATGTGTCAAAACTGGTCGTACTTGCGATGGATACGAAACCCCCTTTAGATTTTCCACCAGTCAACCTATCAACAGTGCTCATGCTGGCGGCATCAAATCAGACGTTGGTTTACAACCCATCCAGCCCACCGTCATTAAGATCACCCCTCAGGACATCGACCTTCTCAATCGTTACTTCTCAATCAAAACCTTGTTCGACGTGAAGCTGGGCTGTGATGAAGAAGCCAAGCAAGTGCTCCAAGCCAGCTTGACTGATCCTCCTATACGACACGCAGTCTTGTCTCTAAGAGCTCTTCGGGAAGGTCTCGAGACATCCGGAGACGGTCCAGCATCTATCGCGCAGCAGACCCCGAGCTATCACTATGGTCTCCAGCAATACAGTATGGCTTTGGGGGGTCTTGCGTCTAACTTGTCATTTCCGGGCTCCAACGGGTTGAAGTCGGCATTACTTTGCTGTCAGATCTTCATCAGCATTGAGCAATTGCAGAAGGATTACGCTGCTATGGCCCAGCATATCATTCGAGGACTCAGGATCATGCACGAGTACCGGGCAAGACCATATTTTGTCGCCGCGAACAAATTGGTACCAGCACACCATAACCAACTGCCCTTCCTGGATGTTTTTATCATTAAGCTGTTTGCTGCACCATGTAAATTTGCGGATCCCCCAGCAACAGCCGATGTAAGCGGGGCGACGTCGCCTGGTGGTTTGATTTCGCCTCATCAACAGCCTGTTGAATCTCGCGATCTTCGCACGATTGCACCCGACATGCGGACAGAGCTTACAAGGATCGCTGCGTCGACGCTTGAATTCCTCGGCAAAGTGTCGCAAGTTGAATCGGTAGGAATCGCTCTTCGACTACTATCTGAGAAAGTAGCTCTGCTGGACTCCTTAGAATCATGGCTCATTAATCTTGAACTCGTTCAGATGGAGACCAGATCTCCTAGCCCTGAGCCTATTTCAGTGTCTTTCTTGCGCTTCTTCCATCTAATACTGAAAATCGTTCTCTTGGGGGCGCTAGACGCCTCACGAGATCTTGATGTCGAGCTGCGGACTGAGAGCGACCGATTGCAGGGCGTAGCCAAGAACGTGGGTGAAAGAGTCAGGGCATATATAACGTGCAGGGGGACTAATAGTGGTCGAGGGGAGCGCTCCATATTGCGCTGACATTTATAGCAAAGTGGCGTAATCTTTCCTAGCCACGCACCTGATGCTTGTCTTTCCACAATAAATGGAATCCGCGAATTCCGTTGCTAGCAATTCGAGTGGGATAAGGCCGGCGGCACTCTCGAACGCAGCCCAGTGCACTTCAAGGTAGAAAGAGAAGAAAAAAGAGTCGATCGGCGTTCGTGCGTAAGATTGCACGCGGCTTCCAATTTCAGTATACAGACCGAACAAACCAATCAGCGGCTGACTCTGTCTCTGAACCGCCCCCCTCACCGATCATAATTGTCTGCTCTGGAGGACTGGCCAACTTCATAAATGGATCCGTGACCCTGTCGCCCTTTTGTAACAAAGCCTCTTCGTCCCCCCAAGCTCAAGCAGACGAGTACTTAACGGCATCTCTCATCGTCGAAAGCCATGCATTTCCTCCTCCTCGGCGCCAGTGGACGGACCGGCCAGCACGTCGTATCTGAATTACTATCTCAGGGTCACACAGCTGTAGCCCTCGTGCGTACCTCTGGCAGCATCACCCCTCGTCCTGGCCTCACCATCGTCACTGGCTCGCCACTATCGAAACCCGACATACGCAGTGCTCTCGTCGCGGCGTCTCCTCTATCACCTTCTGCAACGATCATCACATTGAACACAGTCCGCAAGTCCGACAGCCCTTTCGCAGCTCAGGTCTCACCTCCTCGATTCCTGGCCGACTCGTGCGCCAATGTTTGCGAGGTTATGGAGCATGCCGGCTTTTATCGCGTTGTAGTAATGTCAACAGCAGGTGTCGGGGATTCATGGGGTAACCTACCGTGGTTGAGCAAGGCTTTCATGAGGTGGACCAACGTCAAGTATGCGCTCGAGGATCACAGCCTCGTAGACAAGGAGATTCGGCTGACGAAGATGGATTGGACTCTTGTGAGGGCTGTGAGGCTGCAATTCGACGATCAGAAGCCGACCGACACGAAGACGGATGTGAAAACGCTGGGCAGTAAGGGCGATGGAATGAGCTTGACCGACAGCGTGAGTGTTACTAGTGTGGCGAGCTTCCTGGTCAAGGTTGCCGTCGAAAGACTCTACGTCAAAAGTGCAGTGGTTGTGGCCAATTGACGCGGCCGAGGAAGTCGTGGACTTTTGTTGATATTGCTCTACCATGCAGGAAGACTTCCTGAACGAATTTGTTTTGATTGTTCTGTGTATTACCAGTTGATAGAATCGGTTCCAAACCAATTCTTCTGAGCTTGGATCCCTTTATTTGTAAAAAAAAGTTAATTAAATATTATACTATATAGCATTCTATTATATAAAAAATATCAAATTATACATGGCAATAAAGTTGCTGTGAGACGGTTACTGGAAAGCAGGTAAATATTGGGATTTATTGGTTAAATATAGGGCTCAGTTAAATATAGACTGATTGCTAACCTATAGCATATATAGTTATAGATGTGGATTATATAGTGTCTTAACTAGCTAATGCTTTAATAGCAGCACTATAAGATTCTCTGAAGATGTCTTAGAGGTGTTAAAGGATTATAAATCTCTTATAATATATAGAGCTTTATATTATCTCTTCTTTTAATAAAATCAGTATTCTTAAA